TTTAAGTTTTTAGAAGAGTTAGATTATATTTATAGATATAAGCTTAGAGTTTATAATTAAGTTTTAAGAAAAAAGTAAAGGCTTTTTATTTCTTACTTTACTTTAGGAAATATTTTTCTAAGAGATTTAACTTATAGTAAAAATCTTTTAGGTCTTAATCGTTTTATTAGATTATTCTCTATATTTAATTAATAATAATAGCTTATATATTTATAGAATTTTTTATTAAGAATAAAGTCTATTCTTTAAAGTAAGTCTATAAATCTTATATAATTTAACTTAGAGTTAAAGGTATTTTATCTAAGTAGTTATATTAAAGTTATTAGTAATTCCTATTTATATAAGATAAGGTACTAAAGATCTTTTATTTTTTAGTATTATATTTTTTACTTACTCTTTTAAATTCTAAGTATAGTCTAAATAACTAGTCTTCTCTTTCTTAAATCGAGAATTCTTCTATAAAGTTAGAGTTTTTAAAATAGATTTCCTAACTATATAGGTTTAGGGAATTACTATAAATCTAGCTATAATATATAGGTATTTTAGTTACTCTTTTAAGCTATTTAATCCTTATTATAAAGGCTTAGAAGGTTTCTTTCTTAAGGATTACTTAAGAATTATCCTTATTTCACTAAGGATTTAAGGTAGTTTCGGAGGGCTATCGGTTATCTCTACTAGTAGTAGTAGGTACTTCCGAGAGTCCTAATAAAGATTAGGTCTCTCCCTTCTCTATCTTATAGATAGTAGGTTTTTCTTATAGAGGTATCTCCTTATTACCTTATCGGGATCGTAAACTCTATCTTATTATTATTTCTTTAGATAGTTAAAGAAGAAGATTTAGAATTATTAAGGTAACTATTTATTAAGGTAGTACTTATTAACTAGGTAAATAATAATACGAGAGGGATACGTAGTTAGAGCGAAGGGTATTCGATTCTATATTAGTTATAAGACTAAATCTTACCTTCCCTATCCCTCTAGGTATCTTCCTTTTATGATTTAGGTTCCCCGCTTCTTAGAACCGGATTATATTAGTTCTATCCTAACATCGTGGGGTATTCAGAGGGGTCTCCTCTATCTAAGAGAAAGGGAGCCTAAGGCAAAATAGTATAATAAAGAAATACCGTAATAAATTAATTCTATTCTCCTATAACTAGTTCTGAATAATATATACTATATAGATCGGGGCATTATCTTATATAAAGATATACGTCGAGTCTATATAGAGTTAAAGTAAATTCTCCTTAAGAACCTTAAGATATAACTAACTTAAATAGCTATTCCGAGTAGAGTATAGATTACGATTTATTCGGAATAAATCTATATAACTACTACTAAAAATTACTCCCTAAACTATTATTAAGATTCGTTTTAACTTCGAGTATATAATAATATACTCTTTTTTCTATTTTTTATAGTAGTAGTTAATTATAAAGACCTAACGTTATCGCTTACCTTTTCTAATTTCGATAGAGTATTTATCACTCTAAATAATCTTCTTCTAGTTATCCTATATCTAATTCCGGCGCGCTAAAGCCTAATTTAATTATAGCGTAGTATATTTAGGCTTTAAATACGGTCTTTTTCGCGCCCTCTAATATCCGTATCCCGACTACTTCACTATTCGAAGTAGGGTATTATTCGAGACTATAAATCCGGTTTATTCCCGTATTTTATTATATACGATAAAGGGATCTCGTCGAATAACCTATAGGATTAATCTTTTGTCACTTTCGGATAAGATCGGGGGGCGGCCGGAACGAGGGAGGGTAGTTCTATTAACTCGGAGTGATTCTTATTAGAGGGTATATCGGATAGTAGACTCGGGAATTTAGTGATGCTTAGCAATAGACGCGACTATAGCCCCAATTTTAGACTAGCTAATGATTTAACCCCTAGCATATAGAGATAGCTTATTACCCTTTATCCTATTAGAATTGATAGGACATAAGGGGGTTCTGGGGACTATAGTTGATTTTTAAAGAAGGTGAGTTTAGGAAAACGCGACTCGAAAGACGCGGGTGTAGGGCAATTTCGCGGAAACTTTTGCGGTAGAACTATAGCTATACTATCTTATAAAATTTAAAGAGTGGTCTTAGTATTATATTATAAGCTAGATCTTTAAAGAAAGAGTGTAATTCAACGAAAATACTAAGATAGAGAAAGAAAGGAAAAGAGGAAAAGAAGCTCGCTGTCGCCGAGTTTTGAAGAGTCGTCGAGTTGCAAACCTTATAAACCTCGGACCCACTCTGCGACAGCCAGAGTCACGTGACTCAGTTTCCAGTCCACGATCGTCACATAGTATAGTATCGATTATTAGTAACGAGAGCTAGATATATAACTATTTTCTAATCTCTATAGTTAGACTATCCTTTTAGTTTTAGTACTAAATCTATATAGTTAATTTTATATTAACTAACGACGAAATCCCTAATATGAAAGGATTCCGATATATTAGTAATCTAGGATTCGGCGGTTAATAGGAAGTCGAACGGCTAATTAGATTAATAGGATCTAATATTCTACCTAGGTATTCGGATACTAGAGAGAAATTAGGATAACTATATAGGGTATATTAGGTAGGTAGGGTAGGGTATTATCCGGGGCGACTAGTAAAAAGTCTAAAAAATACCCTATAGTAGGTCGGTACGACGCAGCACTAGGTTCTCGTCGGAGGAATTAGAAGATACGAAGCTTATAGTTATATGGAGGCTCCGATAGCAAAGGACTCGTAACCTATTAGAGAGATGATCCTATACGACTACTCATAAGAAAGGAGTGGACTGGAAAATCTCCTATTATGCGTAGAGAGAGAGAGGGAAGAAGAAGGAAAGCTAGCTAGACTAAGACTAATGTACTAGGAGATCACGTGTCTTCGTAATAGATATATAGAGGAGAGTAGTTTAATTTATATTTAGTCTATATAACCTCGGACCTAGTCGCTTCGCTCCGTAACTATTATCCGACGTAGGCCGTCGGGATCACTAGTAATATCTAGGCCCTACTAATATTTATTTTAACTAGCAACTACTCTTTAATAAGGAGGATTTAGAAAATTAGACGGATTTACTATAATTCTAATTATTTCTTTAGTATTAGAAAGTCTATATTAGAATTATATATTATAAATATATATTTCTACTACTTAAATATATTAGTTTTCTAACCTTACTAAGTATAGTATTATTTTATAAGAAATTTTATATTCTATTAAGTAATTAATATATTACTAGACCTTAAATACTAATAAATAAGGATATTTTATTAAGTTTTACTTACTATACTACTGAATATTAAAGTCTTTCTTAATATAACTAAAACAAAGAAAAATCATAGTGTTTAATTTAGATAAGTAAGGCACTTTATATAGAGAATTATACAAAAGTTATGTCTAATTAGGTTTTTATTAGGTTATCCGGTAAACCTAACGTTAGGTCCGGTGTAGGCCCGGGTCGGGGGGTTTAGCACCGGACCTAACCTAATTCCGGTGGGTGCGGAAGTCTAGTCAAGGCCATGCCAAACATCGATTCCCTCCACAGGTTCTAAAAGCCATCCCCCCCCCCCCCCCCCCAAACGAGCTGATACCCAGATACTACCCAGAAGGTGAATTTAAGGCTGCATGCGTGATTTTTCTGAGTCACTCTTCTCTGGCAGACATCAATGCAAACACCCGTCGTGGCGCTAGTCCACTATCCATAGCCCCCAGAAACAAACCTCGATCCTGCACGACGAGGTAGGTTCCTGCTCGACAAAGGCGCCGATCCTCTCGTTTTCAACGATTGAGGGTAAGGTTAAAAAAAATATTCGATTGTCGAGAACATTGGTATCACGGGTCAAGACAGTCACGACCCCACCCAGCATATCCTCCTTTCGTCTCAGCCCCGATGTTTAGCAGGCCTATACAAGGGACTATATCGATTGTCCCCAATACCAAGAGCAACGAATCCCTCTGCGCCGCGGCAAACAGTGGAAAATCGCTTACATTGAGTATTCTTCTCTGTGGACGCCCTTAGATCAAGCCCCCCAGTTAGCCAAACTTGGCCGCGAAGACTGTCCTCTTCTAAACCAGGTGCAGCACGTACAAGAACCCTAGAGCAGAATTTAATATATGACGAAATCCAGGGTGCGCGGGGCACCTGGGCAGCGCGTGCGGCTGAGTCATCCTGATGTTTTGACCTCAGGTCCAAACGTTATCCGGATCTTGCGAGATGCGGGGGCTCAAGGGCCAAGCGAATTAGAGACACATTGCCGGGGGGATTATATTGAGTAACTAGGTAAGTGAATCAAGAGGGAATTGAAAAAAATATGGTTTTACACAGGAGAGACACAGCGCAATGTACGGAGTACGAGGTGGCTCGATACGACAAGAAGGGGTGGGGTTGGCTGTGTATGCTGACAGGGCGGTGGAAAGAGTAAATCAACGTTGGATCTTACTCCATATGGAGTATGTACGGAGTACCCCGTACATGGATCCCACTCCAGCTGACTGTCAGGGCTGGACCTCGGGACTCGGGAAGCCATACGGAGTACTCCGTACTCCGTACGCGAGTCCCTATTCTACTACATATACGCCCGTGCTCACTCATGATGTACCTAGGTACCTCGGTATCTTGTACATCATATTCCATGAATTGTACAGAATATGCTACGGGATAGTACTCCATATGACAAGCAACACAAATCCAGTGTACGGAGTAGATCGGTGCATTCTGTGGATGGCCTCGGATTTGCCACTTGTCCATTAGATCGGAAATTTATAGAAAGTATATATTCCGTACTCCGTAGGTCAACCTACTCCTCTATCTAATTGGTGACCGCAAGACGGGTATCCGGCAGCCCTGGATAATCGGAGTGGCAAAAATGCGGAACCCCGGGCAAAAAAGGCTTAGTCAACCAATCAGAGTGGTTGATATTCATCTTATGGCTTTCCCTATTAAATTCCACCTTTCTTCTGGATCTTGTTCGTACAACGTACATTCTATTCTTTGGAGAATCCCAAAATGTCATTCTCAAACCTGGTCTCTGACATTGCCTTCCGCGATGCTCGTCTTGATGATGGCAGTTCGCAAATCTCTCATGCCCGATCTCATCGATCCCACGCAACCGCTCGGTCGTATACAAGCACCGCAGCAACAAGTGTCAGCATCTCTGGCGAAGTTTCCAGCCAGCTACATTCTGGATATAGCCATCCCTTGACCAGAGCATGGCAAGCCGATAGGCAATTGACAAAGGTTCGCTCTTCCTAATGATATTGGACGATTAGACACATCACGCTGGCAACCAATTGCTAATACACCCTTCTTCATAGGATATGCTTATCTATCCCCTGTTTGTCACCGACAACCCCGATGAAGAGACGCTGATTCCTTCATTGCCTAACCAATACCGCCGCGGAATCAACCGCTTGGTCCCTTTTCTTGCCCCCTGGTCCGAAAGGGTCTACGTTCAGTGATGCTGTTTGGTGTTCCCCTCCATCCATCCGCTAAGGATGCGCTTGGGACCGCCGCAGATGACCCTGATGGTCCTGTGATCCAAGCTATTCGTCTTCTTCGTTCTCGTTTCCCTCAACTCTACATCACCACTGATGTGTGTCTCTGCGAATATACGTCGCACGGCCATTGTGGTATTTTACGTGAAGATGGAACCCTTGATAATGCGCAATCTGTCGATCGGATCTCCGATGTAGCTATTGCCTATGCAGCGGCTGGAGCTCACTGCGTGGCCCCCTCAGACATGAATGACGGAAGAATCCGGGCAATCAAGCTCAAGTTGATTGAAGCCGGCGTGGCACACCGTGTCCTTTTGATGTCCTACAGTGCCAAATTTAGCGGCTGTTTATATGGACCGTTCCGCGATGCGGCTGGCTCGTGTCCCTCATTCGGAGATCGCCGGTGCTATCAACTTCCTCCGGGTGGCCGTGGTCTTGCCCGACGTGCGATACAGAGAGACATGGCCGAAGGTGCCGACATTATCATGGTGAAGCCAGCCAGCAGCTACCTCGATATCATCCGGGATGCCAAGGATTTAGCACCTGATCTTCCAGTGGCAGCTTACCAAGTTAGTGGTGAATTTGCAATGATCCATGCCGCTGCCAAGGCTGGTGTCTTCAACCTCAAAGATATGGCATTTGAAAGCACCGAAGGCATATTGAGAGCAGGTGCTGGAATCGTCATCAGTTATTTCGTTCCAGAATTCCTCGATTGGCTTTAGTTGTGTTTTCAACTCACCGTTCTCTCTCTTTTTCCCCACCCCAAAAGTGCAATTCTTATGTCAACCTATTGTTCGTGCGATTGTCATGGCTTGCATTCTCAACATCTGACAATATCCATGCTAGGACGGGCTGATTTATTGAACATGCCATTTGAAACTGGATAGATTCCCCTTATGTGATATGATGTTCCATTTTTCTTAGGGTTAATGATTACCCCTCGATACAATATTATTAATTTCTTCTTTTGGCGTCAAAGATATCGCAACCGATCTTTCAAGCGTTAAGTTTTGGAATATGTCTCTAGCAAGGTTCATATTACAGAGTAGTAATGAGATGCATGTTGTAGGGGAATTCGTTATGCATCGGCCATAAGATAACACCTAATCCACCAAAGAAAAAGCACAGAACGCTAAAAACATACAACCTTGGAAGTGCAAGGGGAAATCATTTGTCAGCGACAGTGGATATCAAAAAACAAAAAAAAACCAAATCAAATCACATCACATCACATCACATCAAACCAGAAGAAAAGCCATAGGAGTCATAATTTTGCTTTCCGACCTGTAGACTCTGGTAGACCAGACTCGCAGCGGAAGGTCACTTGACACTTCCACATCATGCAAATTCATACACGTCACTTCATTCACATAATTCCTGGTTTGTTACCCTGGAATCCGTAAGCTGCAATGTTCGATCTGACAATTTCTCCTGGAGCCACATAAACGCCACGAGAAAGACGAACGCCTGGGTAGATAGTGCATCCTGCGCCCACGTAACAATCTTCTTCAATGATAACCTGGCAACCTTGGTATCGACTTTGCGAGCCCTTGCGCTCTTGCATGTTGGGATGAGCAGTTGAAGTGACAATTTTGACGTTGGGGCCTATCCATGTGTGAGCACCAATGCGGATGACACAGTCATCGACAAAAAGGCAATTCTCTGAGATCATGACATCTTCTCCAATATGGATGTTGTATCCATAGTGGCAGGTGAAAGGGGCTTCGACAACCACTCCTTGACCAATGGATCCGGCCGAACGAGTCGTACCGGTTCCAGCCGGGGAATTGACAACCGAACTTGCCGGTGGTACAATGACCTCCTTCAAAAGGCGATTTTGTTCTTTCGAGCTGACACCAGTAAGCGGGTTGCAGGCGTTATTGAATTTCCAAAGCGCGCCTCGGCAGCGATCCCTTTCCTCCACGAGGTGGACATCAAACGGTCGGTAAAGTTTGCCTCTAATCATCTTTTCTTTCTCGGTTTCGTCACCCGAGACATTACGGCCCGAGAGCTGATGTTCAATGCTAAGGGCCATCCGAGCCTGCGCCTGGGGACTATGGGTATCCACAGCCGCAGCAGGCAGTGTTCGTTGCTCCGGTCCATTCTGGAACAGGGGCATATTGGATCTAGCATGAGATGCATGTCCGAGATCTCGAAGTGATGAGATGACTGGATAGTCAGGTTTGGGTCGCCCTTCCCGCGATAGCTCGTGGATAGGCGGAACTTCCCGGTAATCAACAACTTTTGCCATGGGCTCAGACGGGTACGGGGAATGACCAGCACTGGTACCGGGCCCGGGCCCAGCGCCTGGCCAGGCTTGTTTTGACCATACATGATTGGATGCTGTATTGGTAGGACTGGTGTTGTATTGCTGAGCAGGGCGGTCATTATCATCAACCACCAAGGGGCGTATTTTTGTCGCATCAACATGTTCTACTAGGCTGGGTTGCCGGTCTTGGTGCCGCGGTGTTTCTTGCATGTACGGGCCATTGAGATCTGAATAGCCCTCCTTCGATTGCAAAGGGACCGGGGCTTTTGAAGTAGATGGCTTCTGCCAGGTGCTTCGGGATGAATACCCTTCACACAAGAAGCCGCCACGCAGACAATTGTTGCCTGCAATGCATTATTAATGTCCGTCCTTGGGGTCGGATTGACACAGGGAATAATTTCTGACAAAAAGATAAAGGCGCAAAATAAGAGAGACTTACATGCCGGATGTTGCTCGTCGCACTTTTTTTCCTGCGGCGGCAGGTCATACAGCCTGTCTTGGTTCGGTTACTAAATACGCGCTTTCTTTTTGGCGCAACCTGCACCGCGCTATGTCGTTCTGGAGCATAACCCGGGGAGGATGTCTGCTGAGCGCCGGGAGTCGAGCGATTCGCGCCAGTTGATCTTTCTTGGCCTGCTTCGCGCTGAAGGGCATCTACCAAGTGTGCATCCGATGCATCGATTTGCTGGGCTCGTTGTGCCTGGGTGATCAGCTGAGAATCATATTCCGACCAGGGACTATTAGCAGATGTCTGGCCCGCATCATTGCCCTCGGACCGATGAGAGGGTGTTGCGGAATGATTGCCACGCTCCACCTCAGAGACCGACCCTGGCATGCTGCCGTTTGGATTGGACTGGTTGATTTCAGCAGTACGGCTCACCGGGCTCCGGGAGGCGTTCATGCCTTCGGGGTTTGGAGAATCCTGCTCTCGTGACTCTGATCTCTTTCTCTTATTCTTGTTGTGAGAGCCACCAGGTGAAGATCGTTGTGACCATTTCTCTTGATCATTGGCAAGAGCCTCCCGGTCATCTCGTTGACTAGGATCTAAGCTGTTTTTTTCCTGGGTTGGTGCACGCTCTCCGGTAACGGAATTTGAGGTTGGAACATTCCCAGACACCATGGTGTCTTTCCCATTTACTGCAGTAAAACGAGAGGGACTGTGCTCTGTTCCCGTTTCGGTTCCAGAGTCGTGGCTACCATTCATGACGGGTGCAGCAGCAAGGGCCGTCATCGCAGAAGATATGAATAACCAAAGCACGAGAAATGTGCTGCACGATATCAATGGAAATAAGGGTGATGTTACACCGGGTCGAAAGTCGAAAGTCGAAAATTGAAAATTGAAAGGCGCAAGACACTATCCGAGTATATTGTCGTATATTGTTGTATATTGTTCGACATGCAGTGTTGTAGCTCAATTGCCAAGAAAAAGCCCCCAAATCCGAGAGATAGTTTCAAGAGAGAACAGAACAGCGGCTTCAATGAAAGTAGAAAAGATCTTTTTAATGCAAGATCTTTTTTTTGTTTTTTTTTTTTTTTTTTTATTATTTTCCCTTCGCAATGCTGTGAGCGGGAATGGCGCCAAGTCAAGTCACCCGCGGGTGGGGCGAGGAGATCGGGAGATTATCACAGATAAATAGTACAATACAACAGAATGTTGAAAGGCGCGGAAGCCAAGTGATGTCTTAAAAGCAGCCTCCCCCCGGGAAAACAAAAAGTAAAGAGAAGAAAGAGGGAGGGGGGGAGAGAGAGAGCAAAAAAGAACAAGAGTAGAAACAAGCCAAAGACAGAAGAGAGCTAAGGGAAGAGAAAAGCAAAGGGGGAGAGGAGAGGGGGGGGAAAGAGGCTAATAAGAGAAGGGAAAACACCGAGCTAGGACCCTCTCCCTGACAATCCAGAAAAGTACAAAAAAAGAGGGAAAAAATAAGAAAAAAAAAAGGAAGTAATCTCCCAAAACTCGAGGAAAAGAGGGAAAGGGGAAGTTGGCGCGCGATCGGCAATGACGGCGTCACACGCAGCACCAATCGGAGAAGCGATCAGCCGTGTTCTAGTGAGGCGCGGGTCTGAGACATCCATCTTGGACTCCTCTTTCCTGCGCGCGCGTTTTCCCAGTCACAATTTCCTTTTTGCCCACATTCGCCATTGGCGCCCGTGTACGCCGTATCTACGCGGTGTGTCCGCGGTGCCCGCGCATAATGGCGGTTATGCGCTTAAAGGGGTTCCAACTGTTTGCCTTCATTTTAATCTACTCGTGGTGTTCTGTGGTATATCCTCTACCCTACCCTCTTCCTCATACTATGAATATGCTTTCCTTCTTTCTTCCCCTTCTTCTTCTTCTTCTTCTTTTTTTTTTCATGGATCTGGCGCCCATCTCGGGAATTATTGATGACTGCAGCGTGCCGCGGCGCTAGGACCAAGAAACTAAAATCACTACTCGGCTGGGCACGGATACTATCTTTCCGCCAATTTAGACGAGCTATAATATGGTATAGGCCTGATTCCCATTTTTCAAGGCTTCGGAGGATATCTTGGTCCTGTATCCTTCTAACTTTGGAAGTGAATCTAGATAGTATCATAATACAGAAGGGATACCTATATAGTGTGATTTGGCCCAACTTACATCAAGGGCCAGTACAATCACTTTGATCAATATGACAGAGTATATAGGACATGGGTTGATATAGATATCTCGAAAGATAAAACTGTGAAATGCATGAGGTAGTATGTAGTATGTACAATTGGTATCTACGTACCTGTCAGCTGGTCCGTGGATGCTGGACGTGGGTAAACGGCGGGTAGAGCTCATGCTGACTAAGAACCCGATGAGACCTGGGACTCCAAGGTCAAACATCAACGCGCTCTCACCGCCAGAGTCTGTGATAGCTTCCTTTTTTTACCCCCAATTTCGTGTTGTTTTTTTCCCTTCATATTTCCGTAAGCCTGGACCTGCACCCATTCCGCGCCCCCCTTTTTTGTCACCGCCCAATCATCTCTCGTCCTGAGAACGTGCTGACTCCGACCCCTCCAAAGGATCTCTACCCCACTGATCACACTTGTTTCCCATTCCCCTCTATCTGATACTGCCCTGCAGCCGCACTGGCACCCCATATCCTGTCCAGGTGACCTTTCATCTGCCTCCGCCCTTGACTCTCGTGTCTCGAGCTCCTTTCCGTGATCAGAGGCGACATCGCCAGTCTGCGCCGGAATGTCGATTTCAGTACAAGAGCTGGACAACACGGTCCGAGCCTTGTTTGAAGGCAAAGGGGCCCTGGTACGTTAGACGATCTATTTCAAACTGCTTGATATTCATACTTCAATATCACCATCTGCATCCCCACCTGTCAAGCTTTGGAGACAGCAACACTGACAATCTATCTGTATCTAGCAATATCAAGCCCAACAGACTTTGACAGAAGTAAGCGCCCTGTTCCTGTGAAATTTACTAGGAGTCGGAAATTGATTGTCTATGTACTCTTCAGTTCAAGCAGAATCCTGATGCCTGGGTCACCGTGGGTAACATCCTCCAAGAGGCATCATACCTTCAAACCAAATGTGTGTTTCAAGTCTTTTTGAACCCTTTCATATGTCCGCAAGTATCTAGCAGAGCCTTACTGACCAAAATAGACATTGCCCTTCAAGTCTTGGACAATGTGATTATGACCCGGTGGAAGGTTCTACCAAGAGAGCAATGCCAGGGTAAGAACTATAGCGGTTTCGTGTTATTTCTTTTTATTCCCCCCATCTTATACTAAAATGGTTTTTCATAGGAATCCGTAATTTCATCGTGAGATTCATTCTCGAGAACTCCGAATCCGAAGAGAAAATCCAAGCGGAGCGCCCTCTATTGAACAAGCTCAATCTTGTCCTTGTCTCCATTTTGAAGCAGGAATGGCCACACAACTGGCCTACATTCATTAATGAGATCATTTCTTCTTGTCATGCCAGCCTCTCTATCTGCGAAAACAACATGACTATCCTCCGTCTTTTGTCGGAGGAAGTCTTCGACTTCTCGCAAGATCAGATGACCTCTGCAAAGGCACGGAATTTGAAGACATCCATGACCTCGGAATTCGCATCTATCTTCCAACTGTGCTCCGAGGTCCTCAACACTGCGAATCAGCCCAGCTTGGTGAAAGCGACTTTGGAAACCCTTCTTCGATTTTTGAACTGGATCCCGCTGGGCTACATTTTCGAAACACCGATCATCAACACCCTCCTCACCCGTTTCCTCGGTGAGCCCGAGTTCCGAAATGTGACCTTGAAGTGTCTGACTGAGATTGGGGGCTTGCAAATTGGCACTCCTTACAACTACGACGAACGTTTGGTGCACATGTTCACAGAGACGCTCACCACCGTTTCCAATGTCATTCCCCTGTCCTTGGATTTGAAGCAAACATATGCCATGAGCAATGGAAGAGACCAGGAGTTTGTATCAAATCTGGCCTTGTTCCTCTCGAGCTTCTTCAGCGCTCATCTAGATGTACGTGTGAACTATTGACTACCCCTTCCAGCTTAACCTCTTTTCTGTTACTGACTTTTTCCCTTCTCCCCCCCTTCTAGCTCATCGAGAAGTTGCCAAATCAAGATTATCTCACGCACGCACATTTCTATTTGATTCGCGTCAGCCAGATCGATGACCGAGAGGTGTTCAAGATTTGCTTAGACTACTGGACAAGGCTGGTGCAGGAGCTTTATGAAGAGATGCAGCAACTTCCAATCACCGATATCAACCCGCTCGTATCCATGAGTGTTAGCGGTCTGGCTAATGGCGGCGCGCCCAACCCCACTACTCTTGCGAACTACCCCTTGCGCAAGCACAAGTACGAGACCGTATTAACAAACCTTCGCACCGTGATGATCGAAAAGATGGTCCGCCCAGAAGAGGTATTGGTTGTCGAGAACGATGAGGGTGAAATCGTGCGCGAGTTCGTCAAGGAAAGCGACACCATCCAGCTTTACAAGACGATACGCGAATGCTTGGTATACCTCACACATCTTGATGTGGTCGATACTGAAACTATCATGATTGATAAACTGGCTAAGCAGGTTGATGGGAGTGAATGGTCGTGGGTAAACTGCAACACGCTGTGTTGGGCGATCGGTTCTATTTCTGGGGCTATGAACGAGGAAACCGAGAAGCGTTTCCTGGTCACTGTGATCAAGGACCTTCTTGGCCTCACAGAGCAGAAGCGTGGAAAAGACAACAAAGCCGTGGTGGCAAGTAATATCATGTATATCGTGGGACAATATCCGCGGTTCTTGAAGGCCCACTGGAAGTTCTTGAAGACTGTCGTTAACAAACTTTTCGAGTTCATGCACGAGACTCACGAGGGTGTTCAAGACATGGCTTGTGATACTTTCATCAAGATCGCCAATAAGTGCAGACGGCATTTCGTGGCCCTTCAGCCTGGAGAAAACGAACCTTTCATCGAAGAAATTGTCCGGAACATGCGAAAGATCACCATGGACCTTTCCCCCAACAAATTCATACTTTCTATGAAGCTTGCGGCTACATGATCTCGGCCCAGGGTCAAAAGGGCCTCCAAGATCGCTTGACTGAGAACTTGATGGCGCTTCCCAACACCGCTTGGGATCAGATCATCGCAGAAGCAAACCAAAACCCGGCAGTTCTCCAAGACGCGAATACCATCAAAATTGTTGGAAACATCATGAAAACTAATGTTGCAGCCTGCTCTTCGATTGGTACCTACTTCTATTCACAGATTGGCCGGATCTATCACGACATGTTGAACATGTACCGTGCTGCCAGTCAGCTCATTAACGATGCTGTTGCGAGTGACGGTAATTAACCCATCTTACCCCGATGGACACCCGAGTTCAACTGACACGTAAACAGGAGCCATTGCACCAAAAACCCCTAAGGTCCGAGGACTTCGGACTATCAAGAAAGAAATCCTGAAGCTCATTGATACCTATGTGGACAAGTCAGATGAACTTGAGATGGTTAATGCCAACATGGTGCCACCGCTCATGGAGGCAGTCTTGATTGATTATGCCCGAAATGTTCCCGATGCACGAGAGGCGGAGGTCTTGAATGCTATGACCACAATTATTCACAAGCTTCACGTATGTTTCCTCTCTTCCTCTCTTCCCTCCTCCACTGACTGGATGGTTGGTTATACCATTTATCACGTCGCCCAATACATCTTATATTCGCGCCTTGCTAACACATAATTTAGAATCTAATGGAGGATAAAATTCCAGCAATCATGGACAGCGTTTTCAACTGCACTCTTGAGATGATCAACAAAGACTTCCATGAATATCCTGAGCACCGTGTTGAGTTCTTCAAACTGCTTCAAGCGGTCAATCTGTACTGCTTCCAGGCACTTCTGAAGCTCGATGCCGCGCAGTTCAAGTTCGTCATCGATTCATGCATGTGGGCGTCGAAACATGACAATCGCGAAGTGGAGAACACCGGTCTTACAATGTGCCTGGAGTTGATGAACAATATGGCCGAAACCGACCCACAAACCTCGAGCATTTTCTTCCGCGAGTTCTACGTTCCAATTCTTCAGGATGTGTTCTTTGTCCTTACAGACAGTGACCATAAGGCTGGTAAGTAAACCCTTTGGTCTCTCACGCGAAGCGAAAAGCTTACAGTGTGAACTTTTAGGATTCAAATCCCAGGCCATGCTTCTGTCGCGCATGTTCTATTTCGTGGAATCCGGCAAGATTCAGGAGCCCATCTATTCTGCCGACCAAGCGCCAGCTGGAACTTCGAACAAAGATTTCCTACAAGAGCACATCGCCAATCTCCTCAAGAACGCATTCAGTAATCTCCAAGAGTAAGCTCTCCCGATGCCAAAAGAGACCATGCAATCTCATGCTGACAACTTCCAATAGAGCACAGATCAAGCAGTTTGTCCTTGGGCTGTTTGCGTACACTGGTGATTTGAACAAGTTCAAGACTCACCTCCGTGATTTCTTGATCTCTTTGAAAGAGTTTTCCGATGACAACGCGGAACTTTACGCAGAGGAAAGAGAACAAGCCGTACGTGATGCCCAAGTTGCTGAGCGAGACCGAGCCATGAAGGTAGGTGGTCTGTTGAAGCCATCGGAGATGGATCAAGAGGATGAACTATGACTGGACGAAGAACTGCGCTCCGAGTTTGTTGCCATCTCTACTGATCGCTTGGGCCATGAGAGCGAATCAGGATTGACCCCCAGGAATGACGGTCTTGACGGCTGGTCCTTCTATGAACTCTAGATCATGGAAAGCCATGTGTCGCTGCAACTTAGGAGGCTTTGCTCTCGAAAGATGTCTGTGAATTTATTCTTTTGTGTTTTCTCTTGTCCCCTCGCTTTGGGTGGACTTACCGGGCGTGTGAGATAGACCCATTCTCTGAGCGGGTTCTTCGAGGTTGATGCATCCGAGGCTTTATACAGAACGGTTTAGCCAGTTTCGTCCGCATGCACTTCTCGGCCTATCTCCGAGGTGCGAGCTTGTTTGATAGCTTTTAACGTCAAATGATCAAAAAAAAATCTTCCAATTCAAAACGAATGACTAGTCCGCTTTCTAATTGTAGATGAAGAGCATGTGTCCTTGCTGACCCAAATCACTCCATATGTAGCCCTCGCCCGTTGTGTCTGCATACAATACCTACAGTGCACAGCTGTATGTGTATAGATACATCTCATATGTCATATCCCCGTCCTACTATTCAAGGCCTGTCGCCGTTTCCCAAGGCTCTTCTACTCTCCTGTCTCCTGATATGTATCACACTCGCCCGAAGGCGGTGAGTTCTTATCAGTTGCATCATCTGAAATGAAAAAGTTCCCTAGTGCGCCTTCACAGTGATTCTCTTTTCGTCTCACTTGATTCTCTTGCCATCACAATGTCTCGAACACGCCAGCCAGTGGCATCAAGTTCTCTCCAAATCACCGCCGAGTCTAGAGATTCATCAACAACCCGCCTCCCCGCGACCCTCAGATTACGGGCTGAAGAAGCGCCACCCGACACCAGCGAAGAAACCTCGTCCTCTCGGCGAATCCGATGGAGTGAAGACGTTGTGGACAACGAAGGTATGGGCAAAAAAAGTTCGAAAGGTATGATTGATTCCATTTATTTAAGCTGTCCCACTCATCTCCCGCATTGGCAACAACATTAACAGCTACTAGTATGCTGCATCTATCACAAAGCTCGACCTGTCGGAGAAAGTAGTTCCGAGGAGTCCTCATCCAGCTCTTCCGACAATGATAGTGACAGCGAAGATGACTGGCACTCCGCGCGAGCCGATCGGGCCCGTAACTCTCACAACCGTGGGCGTGAACCGCAGGGCGAGCACGCGTCCCACCATGATGAAGGGTGTTGTTCTGAAGGCGACGACTCGAAGCCGAAACGTAGGCGGAGAAAGCCAAGTCCAAATGCGTACGAAAAGATGCCGAAAGCGTCGAAGAATCAGAGTCAGAATCACCCGCGGGGTACTTGATCTGGTGCTTGGGTGGGGTTTACTGAATGGGTAGGCAAGGCAAGACAATGAGACGAACAGAGAGAGTTCCGAGAGGCCTAGGCTCGGGCTTGCGTTGGATACATGGCCATACGAACATCATCGGCACAGGTTGTACATTCTGCATCCGTGGCGACAGGGTCTTTGTCTATGCGGGTCTGTATGAAATTCTATGACGCGGGCACAAAAACATCCTGGTTGGTGACATTTGCGACGGCATAGCAAGGTATGATGACGCACTCAAGGGGCTAGAGCCACAGGCATGCCAACTGCATTGATGGCGCGTTGCATGGGACGGTACGGTCAAATAATCCCCAAAAAGGGTTACTCGACCTACCTACTTTTTCAAATGGACCCGGCTAAACACGACAATGAAATGATATTGATGAAATTGGGATGGCAGAGGGGGTATCTGAAACAAAACTGCAGTCCGCTCTGATCTATAATGGTTGTACATAGGTGAAGGATAGACAAATAAATCCTGTCTCTGCAGGTGAAGATGGGGGACATCATACCATCATGCTTTTTCTCCTTGCAGCAACACGCTGGCCACGCCTGACTTGACCGCTGTCTATTTTCGCATTTGGTCCCGGCCCAAGTATCTCATCGTGTTCTGGGAAATCATCGACTGGGGATTGTGTTTCACCTTGATCCCCATCGTATTGAGCCATGATTGCAGTTGTGCTTTTTGGGTTTGATGAGTGACGTCGAGTTTGTCGCTTCGCGCCGAATGATTCTTGGAATACTTCGGCCGAGATGTCTGCAAGGCTCTCCTCAATCTCTTTTTGGGGGCCAGAGCTTGAACTCCCCGCATCGCTGCCGTCCTTCGTGGTCGACGACACCTTGCGTTTTCTCCGAGACACTGTTGCTAGCAACTGTTCTGAGGAATTATCCCTGGTATATCTAGAGCCCTGCCCCGCAAGAGTAAAATCAATAGATAAACTGCTATGAGGCTGTGTATGGCCTTGGTCTTCTCCGCCGTCTAAACTTGCCCGGCATGACTGGAAACTCGAAGACCTTCGTGACCCGAGTGCAACTGCATCGATCATTTCCTTGGTGGGCCGGCGCATCTTGTCCCGTAGGTTAGGCTCTGCATAGCTGACCACAGTGCCGCGACGACGGGAGGGTCGAACTGAGGATTCTTCCTCGGTATTCAATGCATTTGGATAGGGTGATAGTGCTTGCTGGAGTAAGACTGGCTCTTCTAGCCGGACAGGGGTAGGGCGACTGGTGCGCTTTTCTTTGGTTGAAGGTGCAACTTTAGACACTCGTGGCTTTTGGCTGGCAGGTTTGTCACTAAGCTTCTCAACATCCTTGTCCCTTTGTGCCGAGTTCGTATTTTCGTTGCTTTTGCTGGGCCTTTGTAAGACTTTCGGGTTCTGATTTGAGGATATTCGGGCTTTCTTGGGGGAGCTTAAATTGGAATTTGCACTCTCTGTCCGGTTGTTAGCTACAATAATAGGCGTAGAGACAGAATGAGACATGTGAACATACTTGGTTCGAGAACCTTTCGCATAGGAAGAACAGGTGTGTTTGATCCTCTTGTCGCCTCAACATGGCTCTTTATCGGTGACTGATCTCGGTGTACAACCTCAAATGGATTTGTTGGCTTATTTGGGGCTTGGCTGGGCCGGGTGAATTGAAACTCGTCATCATCAATGTCGAGGTTGGACGCAAATCGGTCATCTTCTTCGAGAACAAATTTGCGCTTCATAGAAACTGATCCTGCGTGCGGAGTTGGGTCGGTGGATGGGGTTGGTTGATGATCTATTGGTGCCGAGCCAATTTCAGACGCGATCATCAAGCTCGGCTTTTTTTCTTCTTGCGCGTCTCAAGAGTCGGAGGAAGGAATGATTCGTGTTCTTCTGGGTCACCGTCTTCAATATGGCGGCTGAATGTTGTTTCTGGTGGTGATGGACTTGATTGTTCAATGAGTGCATCTGTTTCTTCTGCCATAAAGCTGAACTGTGGCGGGGAACCCAGGGTGCTGTGGTCATCGTTGACCAGGCTGTCAATCTCCTGAGGCCTGAAGAAGGCGTTAGCAACTAGGCATAGTTGAAGAATTGTGATAGTACTTACTCCAGAGTCCGCCGCGGGTAATATTTATCCTCAACGATGGCAGGAAGCCTTCCATCTTCGCCTCCGTTCGTGTCTTCAGTCCGAGGTCTCGACTCTGCCGCCTGCTTTGGTCGATCGAATTGTTCACTGCACAGTTTGCCTACCTTTCGGGGTAGTGATCCCAATTCTGTTGCCAAACTGTTCAACTCGGCTAATTTGGCATCCAACTTCGATTTGATATCGTATATTCCATTGTGCAGCATTTTCCCTGCTTCCAGTCTTTCTGTTTCCTGGGTGAGATTAATAATCTGCTTTCGGAGCGATACATTTTCTGAAAGCAGGTGCGAGACTTCCGACTCTAGGCTGCGAATGCGAAGAGATTGTAAGGAATTAACTCTTGCGATCTCACGGTTTTGTCGCACAAAGCGTCGCTTCACTATACAGTAAATAAGGTCACGCGTCAATTGAGATCTCGAATCGTTGATGCCTTGGTAGAATATGCAAGCTTACAAGCTTCGATGGACTCGGCAGGAGCAGCATAGTCATTCAACCGAGCCATCATGGAAGTGGGGGGTCAGCGACCGCTCTGTAATGGGTCGGGAAACAGTCCTGGTATGTAGGTGGAATAGACTTGGGAGGTATGGTCCACGGATTACATAGAAAGCAAAAAGTAGCTGTGTGGGTGCAGATGGGATTATTGGGTACAATCTTGAAAACAGCAAGAAGGTAAACAACGTTGGATGCCAAAAGCCCTTGTTGATGTTTGTCCGCTTTGGGTTTAGCCCCGTTCGGGCGGTGTTATGATGAGTCAGCGTCCGGTCGGGCACCTGGGCAATTGAGTAGAGTATACTACGTACTCCGCACCCCAAACAACGAACGCGGGACCATGAACGATTGTCTTTCTCATCTCTCATTCAGTCGCTAGAATCTCCTCACGATGGCATACTCCTCAAGGCCAACCTCGATGCTTCCAAGCGCCCCCGGTGGATCTGCCATGCGCCAACCCAGTGGTTCGCAATCCTCTCAACAATCTTCGGCGTTGTCGGCCCGCATCGCAGCCAAAAAGGCTGAGCTGGAAAACTTACGGCAACTACGAGATCTGAGTGGGACATTGGCAATCCAGATGCAGGCTTTGGAGAATAAGGTCTCCACACTGAAGGATGGAACTGAAGGTTGCCTTATCTGATCCGTGATTCAACCGGGCTGGTCGCTAACTGTTGACTAGCTGTTGCATACGTGCTTTCCAATTGGGATAACGTGCTAAGAGCTATTACCCTTGCCTCGAGTAAGTGCTTTCCCCAAATTAAACGGGTTGATCGGCCCGGAGTACTAAGTGATATTTTGTAATAGCAGCAGCAAGCGGACTCCACAAACCTATGGCAGAGTCAGACAGCAAGAATGTGGAGAATGTGCGCAAAGAACCTCGCTTGCCGTCAACGCTGGTTCGCATTCCAGCTGAGCCACGTGAGAAGACTGGCGAATGAATCAGTTGACCAATGGCACCTGTCTCACTTCTTTTGACGCCAGGCACCCGTTCGGACAGTTTTCATGTCATCTTCGGCATATCCGAAATCCATGTGGCTGGAGTATTACCGGTACTCCCTACAACCTATCCCAGCCTGGTCATTTTCTCCCAGCTCGGTCCCTTGCCCATATCTTCATCAGGCCAGAAAATCGGCGATTTCATATTGGGACTCCATCATGGTCTATGATTTGGTTTATGACAGTGTGATGCAGAAATCGCCATTCTCTCATGAAAGGGAATCTTTTGACGGAGAAGAGAGCCTTCTCCAAGATCCAACGACCAATCATGTGGGTCTCCCTGGGCAGTTTTCGCAGATCCCTTTTCGTTCATGAAGATTGCATATTAGGAGAATCAACTGACTAGGATCCATTGATTTCTCGCGTGACCCGTTCTAATCCCATGAAATCGTTGAGTTTCATGCAATACAATCGATTATCTCGAAATGACGGACAAATCAAATGCTGGGGATTGGAGTTATTTAATCCCCTCAATGTTAGTTGCTTTCGAAAGTCCTGCGCTACTGCACAGATAATGCAAAGTACTACAGTAATTGGATGGGCTGAAACAAGTGAGATACGACTGGATGACGGGATTCTGATGTGATTGGCGTGCGAGGGTACCTCGCTACCTCGCTACGTCGTGGGGGTTCGAAAGTAGCATCGTAGAAAACTCCGCAATCAAGGAGAGTCACGATCTCAAGGGCATCACGAGACAGGGAAATGCAAAGGGGAAAAGAGCGAGCCCAAAAGAAATGGCGCTCTGGTGTTCCAATGAATCGCACCAGGGCGATGATTACCGGTTCGAGGTTCCTGCAGGGCGAAACGAAATTGTCATGTGAGTACCGAGTACTTGGAAGGGGTTCGGGCTGCAAGTCCATCTCACTGTATCTCTTGCTCGGTCTGGTACCTCGGCGGTCCAAGTCCCTCGAGTACCCAGTACCTCATATGCATCATACTGTGGATGTTCTCAATTCGGGTTTAAATGTTAAGCGCCCGAAGCGTCGTTTCTCTTCAACGTGGATCCAGTTCAATTTGACATGATTTCCCCGCATTTGCCTGTACCTACATGGTTTAGTCCTTTTGCCGTACTTTTCTCTGGCTGATGGCTGATTGCTGATTGCTGATCGCTGATCGCCGATTGCCTTCTCGATTTTTTCCCTTTCTTTTTATAGTCTCTCTTTTCCCCATTCCAATTGCGTGGTGTGTGGCATGATCGCTGTGTGACACTTCAATGAATAGTGGAGACTTATGAGGTGATATTAGCCTTCTTGACTGCTGCATTGCATCTTTCTCTCTTGTTTTGGATTTTTGGATTTGGATTTTTTTCGAATTCCTCTTCTATATACAATCCTCACAGCCTCCCCCAACCTCCCAAATCCTTACACCACTACACTCTCAGAATCTGTCAACATTGATCTCTCTCTGCTACCCCCCCTCCCCACATTGGATATACATCAAACCATGTCAACTGAATGGTCATTGGATTTCTGCCTGGTCTGTGACCGACAGACTATGGGCGCTCCCTATTGCTCTCAAACATGCCGTCTAGCGGAGCTGGACGTGATATCGGAAGATGGAATGTCATCACGAAGATCGAGCGAAGCGTCTACGCATTGGTCCGAGACCACGCAAGCCCAAGCCCAGGCCGCCGAGACAGTCAATGCTCGCGCCGATGCCCACAACCCCTCTCGAATCCTATTTGCCTCCTCTTCTCAAACTTCACTCTCTTCCCTGAAGAGTAATACATCCAACCCGTCCAATGTGGCCCACCGACTTCAGGATGAATTGCGTGATTATGCAAGTTGTTTCGATCAAGTTCGCGATCTGAAACGGCGTATGACTACCACCTGATATCAACCCAAACTCGAAAATTCTGCGCCTCGAGCCCCGTTATCCTACATCTGGATGATGGTCGAGGCCCTCAAATGCATGCAGCCCGCAAGCTGCTCTCTGTGGAACAATAATTTGCATATATCGGGATGGGATCAGGCGTTGACGTTGGAAAAGATACACTTCTCTCTTTTCACCTTTTTGTTTTACTGGATCAATACCGTCCTATTTGATTTTTCTCATGAACCTATACCCCCTCGACTGTTATATCACAATCATTGGAAGGAGTTTGATCTTAGCCAACATGCTTCACCTAATTAGTTATCTACCAGACTGCCTATCATCAAAACTGGACTTATGAATAATGACTTCTTTTTTTTTTTTGGAACCCTACGGACGATGTAAAGCAAGCATCTGATATGGTCTCCCGCAAGATCATTGCCAGAGCCCAACCTTCATTCGGGTTTGCCGTATTGGTTTCCCACGTCAGTGCTGGTGGATACCCTTAGGAATGTGTCCGATGCTAACCACCCAACCGGAGGAAGCAGTATTGATGGGTAACCAGAGCTGCCACGATGCCTCAACAGCACAAAAGGTGTATGGAGCCAACAGTCTGAAATGTAAGCATAACCATAAGCTCCAGCTCATGCAATATACACTATACACAATATCGACCGAATTGGGCTCCGTGCAGACACTATCTAGGCAGTCCCTTCCCGCCCAACTTGATAGCAAGGCCTAAGTGGCACCATTCACTGCATAAGAACCTTTGACAGAGCCTTCTCATTCTTCGGTACAAAGCGGACCTTATATTTGTGAGGAATGGCCACCAAGCTAGTCGGATCCGAGTTACCCCGGACCGGGTGGCAGTCTGTTTTATCATGCGGTTCGAGGCGGAAACTGTTGAGTGTGCGGATGAAGACAAGGTAGAGCTCGCGATTGGCTAGCAACGAGCCAGCGCACATTCGGTAGCCCAGGCCGTAGGTGAAGAGAGGTGCGTCGGGCTGCTCGAGCCAACGCTCGGGACGGAACTCATCCGGGTCAGTCCACACGTCGGGGTCTATGGGAATTAGATCTGTCTTCGATATGATTCCTATTGCGGGCGAATCCACTCACCCATGTTGCAAGCCCACGCATTCAAAAAGAACACTGTGCCCTTGGGGATGACGATTCCCTTATATGTGATATCCCTGATCGAGGTGCGCGGCAGTGCCAATCGCAACACAGTAAAGAACCTAGGGTATCGTGTTAGTGCAATGTCGAATCAACCCTCGTTGTGAGTGGAACCTGAGCTTACCGAAGACATTCCCTGACCAAAGCGACGATATACGCACATTTCTGGTCGTCATCAGCAGAACACATGGGCTCATCCTGGCCGTAGATCTCCTGGATGGCCTTGGCGGCCCTGTCCTGAATATCAGGGCGCTGAGCCAGTAACCCTAAACTCCACGCTACCAAGGTGGTAACAGTATCAAGCCCGCCAGACAGCATAGTCAAGCTAATCGATGTCAATTCTTCGCTGTTCAGCTTGGCCTCCTTATCCAGAATGACATTAGCCTGGATGCAGGGCTTATGTGTCCCCTTCGCCATACGATCGTCCAAGTCACGGTTCAGCGCACCGAGATACTTATCACGACGGATTCTCATCTCCGCGGCTTTCTTCGAATTGGAACTGAAGGGGTTCAATCGCAGAAGAGGGATGTAGTCCTGCAGATTCCCCGTTGTACTCCGGAACCTGCTGATCTCTTCTTCCACCTCCGTGATTTCATCGAACAACTCCTCTTCCTGTGACGCAATGCGCACCCCCCAGTTCAGAGTCAGAGCTAGACTCAAACTCAGACGCTGAATCATGGGCATGGGATCGACAGGTGCTTTCCCCTGCTTTCCGTATCGATATAGCTCTTCCACAAACGCTTTCGACTCGACATCCAGGTGCGATACATATGTCTCGACGGATGGGCGGTTGAGAGCCGACGCGGCACCCTTTCTGCGTCGTTTGAGGGAATCACTGTAGGGCGAGGTGCCAATGGTCGTGCCAGCCGTGTTGGAAACAATCTAAGCGAGATGGTCGTCAGCATCAGTCGCAAAACAAGATTAGTCACATATGAAGTCAGCATCACAACGAACCTTATGGAAAGTATAAGTCTCAGGCCTGGAACTCAAAGCCTGTGCATTCTGACCAAAAAGCACCTTCGCCGATGCAGCAGAGTTCACAATGACGATGGGTATATTGCCCAGCTGGATCTGATACACGGGACCGTGTGTCTTCGACCAGGTACGATACTGCTCTGCAGCATTTGTGCGAATTTGCGCTAAATTTCCAATCAAGGGCAATCCGCGTGGACCCTTCATGCCCTTGACGCGGGCAGCTGAACGAATGAATTCATTGATGACAACATAGAGGATGGGGACGAGGATGGCTGTAGCTGCTAACGAGTGCCATGGGTATTCGATCACGCTGCCTTGTAGCGAGGATAGGACAGCAGCGATGGCCATGGTGGGGTGATTGTAGAATAGACTTCGTCCAGGTTAGAAGTCTATATAATCATTTGAGCATAATCATGAATGCAAACTTATCAGGATCGGGAGGGAATATAAGTAGGCGTGGAACTTCAAGTGTCGTTCGAGGGATACTTCCTCGAATGGAACATTTCCGTGATTCCAACGTCGTTCAGGCCGCGATCTGGTCTCGGTATACTTCTACCCCACACTACCCCAGGTCCTCCTAGGTCTCTGCTTGAATATGCGCAGCCGAAGGTGTTCCGCACTACGGAATTGTTCCGCTCGCCGATTAGAAACAATCTTATTGGCCTTTGCCAGGTTGGACTCGAGAGGTTACCGAGATAGACTTTGGAATTTTCGCTGTTTTGGTTGCGATGATTTGAAGATATCAGGGGGCCTGCAGACGGAGCAAGCTCCAAGGTGGTATATATTCCGACGGGGACCCCTATGGTGAAGCAAGTTAAATCGCGTTTTAGGTGCTGATTCGATTGTTTAATTTCCTTCATTCTCACATCTTCAACTGGATGACCGCAGGAGACGCCCTGAGAATAGACCGGCAGCTACCAGTAACCATGTCCGGTTCATCATCAATGTCATGTACGGGGGTGTAAAGCAGACGGTCCTGAAACCGCCCCTGGCACCACTGATTCTAGTCGAAATGTCCATCAATTGCGTTGATCTGGGGTCTCCCAGAACCTTTATATTCCATCGGCGATTAGCGTGGCCTATTCCACCAAGTGTTCGTCTCTCTCCCCTATGAATCATACGAGACTCGTCCATGAAGTCTCCAAATTCGTTATTACCCCTATCTTCTTTGCGTGAAGTTGAGTCATAGACTAGCCATATGTGTTGTACACTCCGTACGGAGTATAAAAGGGAGACTCATCTACAAAGGACTGCGGAGTACTCCGTACGGCACACGTCGTATCTTTCTCCCCATCAGAGGTTTGTTAGTTTGTTAGGATGGTTAGACCCAGTAGTCCAGAGCATGGTCTCGACCACCCTGTTGATAAAGGGGCTAGTGACGATCCTATCCACTCGCATTCCCCCTTTAAGACCTTCTAGAAAGAAGAGGCTCAAGAGACAACTTTGCCAAGTTGAGAGGACCGGAATCCAATTACTCCGTACGATGAGGACCCCACCGGTTGATGACATTCCTTGTAAAACCGGAATCCAAAAGGGCTTGGAAGAGTGGGGAACTCAATTCAAAAGAAAGAAAAAAAGAGAAAACAAGAAAAAACAATGTGAACGCCAAACCTCCCGAAGTGGAGATCCAAACAAGGTGTTGAGAACGGGGCCCCTGGGCCGGCTGGGGCGATATGGCAGTCGGTGAATGGTCCGTTGTTCAGCCCCTCAGTCAGGTGGCCACGAAGAGATTGATCGAGTCCAGACCCTTGTACGGAGTAGATAGATCTGCGATATAAAGAACAAAGTAAAAAAATAAGTGAAAAAAAAAGTAAAAAGAGGAGGGGGGGAGAGAGAAAAAGCAAAGAAAACCAACCCCCCCCCCCAAAAAAGGAGCATCGGGAATGGGATGGAACCTCGGCATCCCGAGACATTACGCCCTGGATGCAAGATGTAATATCTGCGTAGACGGTGATATCTACTACGGAGTAGATCATAGAAAAGCAGGAAATCTCTTCGCGTCATGTGTATCGGAGTCGAGACCCGGGGAGAGTCTCAGCCGAGGCAGTGATTGGTGGGAGAATGAAGAACGAAGAAGCGCATGGGCATCATCTCTCCACCTTTGCCAAGCTCCTCCAATGGTGAGCTGCCTTGCGCCCATGACGCAGAGCTCCGTTGTACTCGTGACCCCCCTGGATTCGGAGTGGAAGGTGTAGCGATCAGGTATTTGGTACCTGGCCTGGGAGATGGATCGCGAATCTTGCCTTTTGTAGATGGAATTATGCTTTAGGAATTGGACTGGCATTTTATTTTTAAAACGTTGTGATGCTCTTCCCGCCTTTTGCCTCCCTTCAACTTTCTCCCTCTTGGAAACATCTTCGAATCTTCCCTCATCCTCATCTTGATCAGCACATATTCCCGAAGAATTGCATATTGCATCATTTGAACGCATAAAGCACCGTACATTCGGAGAACCACATAATGGCCGCTCGACACTCGCGCAAGCTCCTGAGACCTCTCCTCTACACATCAGCGGCAGCCGCTGCAGGAGCTGGTGTTCTCTATATTTCTTACCGTCCACGCAATATCCCCGGTCTCGAGGGCCCCGCCGTTCCCCCGCCAGGTTACCGTGAAGGCAAACTGGTCCCGCCCAGTTTCCCTTTAATTAAGTCCCGCCTCGAACAGATTCAGGATCTTAAGCGCAGTAACGAGGAGGAGGAATATGATTTGCTCGTCATTGGTGGCGGTGCCACAGGATCTGGTATCGCACTAGATGCTGCCACCCGAGGCCTCAAGGTCGCCGTGGTGGAGAGAGATGATTTCAGCTCGGGTACTAGTAGTAAGAGTACCAAGCTGGTACATGGCGGTGTCCGTTATCTCGAAAAGGCCGTGTGGGAATTGGATTACAATCAGTCAGCTCCCCTCCCCCTCCCCCTCCACTCACACGGGCAATTTTGGATACCAAAATGATCGCATCCCCGGCGTATTTGGTCTGACAATCGCATCGCAGATATGCACTGGTCAAGGAAGCTCTCAGAGAACGCAAATATTTCTTGAACACGGCGCCTCATCTCTCATCATGGCTGCCAATTATGGTGCCTGTTCAGAAATGGTGGCAGGCTCCCTATTTCTGGGCGGGCACCAAAGCTTATGACTTCCTGGCTGGTTCCGAGGGCATCGAAACCTCCTACTTCTTGACCAAGAGCAAGGCCATTGACGCGTTCCCCATGCTGAAGCGCGACAACATTATTGGAGCAATGGTTTACTACGGTGAGTAGCGAATGCCGATCTTCATATCTATGTCTTTGGCTAATTCCGCAAGACGGTGCACACAACGATTCCCGCATGAACGTATCCCTCGCTATGACTGCTGCGCTCTACGGAACTACTGTCGTGAACCACTTGGAAGTCACTGGGCTGAACAAGGACGCGTCCGGCAAGCTGTGCGGTGCGCGCGCCAAGGACATCGTCACAGAGAAGGATGGCAAGGTTTCCCAAGAGTTCAATATTCGCGCCAAGGGTATTATCAACGCCACCGGTCCCTTCTCTGATTCTATCCGAAAGATGGATGAGCCTGATGTCAAGGAGATTGTTGCCCCCAGTGCCGGTGTCCACATTATCCTGCCTGGCTACTTCAGCCCCTCAAATATGGGTCTGATTGACCCTTCGACTTCGGACGGACGTGTGATCTTCTTCCTGCCATGGCAGGGTAACACCATTGCTGGTACCACGGACCAACCTTGTGAAATTGAGGCTCAGCCCCAGCCAACCGAGAAGGATATCAACTGGATTCTCTCGGAGATCCGTGGCTACATCGCGCCAGATATCACCGTTGATCGAAGCGATGTCCTTGCTGCTTGGTCCGGTATTCGGCCCTTGGTGCGCGATCCCAAAGTGAAGAACTCCGAGGCTCTGGTCCGCAACCACCTGGTGACCGTCTCTCAGTCTGGACTGTTGACATGCGCCGGTGGCAAGTGGACTACTTACCGCCAGATGGCCGAGGAAGCCGTCGATGAGGCGATCGACGTGTTCAAACTCAAACCCCGCCACTTGACTAGCCTTCCGGATATCAGTGGTGTCGGTGGCAGTGGACTGGTGGCTGATGGTGCCGCTCTCGACGGCACCTGCCAGACTCACCAGGTTCGCCTCATTGGTGCCCACGGTTTCTCCAAGACCCTTTTCATCAACCTTATCCAGCACTTTGGTCTTGAGACCGACGTGGCCAAGCACCTCACAGAGTCATACGGTGACAGATCATGGCAAGTCGCTGCTCTGTCCTCCCCCACCAGCGAACGTTTCCCTGTGCGCGGGTGTCGCATTTCCCCCATGTACCCCTTCATTGATGGCGAAGTTCGCTATGCCGTCCGCCACGAGTACGCTCAGACTGCCGTTGATGTGATTGCCCGTCGCACCCGTCTGGCGTTCCTGAACGCCGAGGCGGCTCTCGAATCCCTTCCCAGTGTCATTGATCTCATGGGTGAGGAATTGGAGTGGACCACCGCTCGCAAAGATCTCGAGTGGAAGGATTCCTTGACTTATCTGTCATCCATGGGTCTACCCAAGAGTTTCATGGGTCTTTCACGCCATGATGTCCAGAACGGTCGTGTCAAGCATGTCGATGATAGCGAGCGTGCGACATTCTCCCGAAATGGTATGTTTCCAAGTTACATATATAACTTCGCCTTATTGGATCACAGTACTGACCTTTCTAGAACCTCCTGCGGACATGATCGAGAGTGACGTGCGTGCCAGTACTCCATCTCCCGAGGCAGTCGCAGCCAAATAAACTCAAGTGGTATATATAGACTGGCCTTGTATAAATAGAAGCGTTGATTCCTATTTGGTTATTATCTCTTACCGTCGTTCGCACCCTAGAAGAGCCCCGAGAAGGCTTACGTCTTAACATGATCCTTCTCTAATAACACCCTTTCGCATACGGAAAGCGCGACCACAAATGACAGCCCATTGTAATCTCAACTTCCCGCAATTCCTTTTATCACCACCCCTCCCCCCATACACATCATGAAGCCAGATCAGTTTGACGTTGGTCCGCCATCACCTGGCTCTGAAAAGCGCAACCTGGGCCCGCAGGCTTCAGATCCCATACAGAAGTTAGAGTCCGTGGAGGAACAAGATCCCTTTGGAGATGAAAGCCAGGCTGGTGTAAAGTACAAGACTATGGCGTGGTGGTAAGTGTTCCACTTTTCCATCATAGAGAGAAGCTCATCCATTCCACAGGCAAGCCGGCATGAGTAAGTCTTTTCATTGCAGCCTAGATAGGAACCTTTCTTGGACTGACACGATCAGTCATGATCGCAGAGACTATCTCATTGGGGATCCTCGCGCTGCCCAAGGCGCTTGCGGTGCTAGGTCTTGTTCCGTATGAGCCACACTCCGGTCAACTGCAAAAGGGGAGCTAACTTTTTCGTCCAGCGGCATCCTGGCCATTCTCGGAGTTGGGGTCATCTCGACGTATACTGCATATACTATTGGGCAATTCAAATGTCGCCATGTGCAAGTTCACAGCATGGCCGATGCTGGTGATCTTCTGCTGGGGCGGATTGGACGGAGTACATTAGATGTGGCTCAGCTTGTCTTTTTTGTGCTGGTTATGGGTAGCCATGTTCTCACTTTTTCAATCATGATGAATGTCCTCACAGACCATGCCTCCTGCACCGTCGTTTTTTCGGTTGTCGGGTTACTTGCCTCGTTCATGTTGACATTACCACGGCGGCTTGAGAAGCTTTCTCACATCTCCTCTGTGAGCTTTGTCAGTATTGTTGGAGCGGTACTCACTGGTATGATTGGTGTCACCCTTGCTAAGCAGGGGCCAGTGTATGTCCCAGCATTTTCATCCCCGCCCAAAGTACATGATGCGTGTCTTGCTATTGCAAATGTCATATTTGCATACGCAGGCCATGTTGCCTTCTTCACCCTCTTCTCTGAACTCAGGGAACTCAAAGACTTCCCGAAGGCTCTAGCGCTTCTGCAAATGAGTGAAATGGTTTTGTATACGGTGGCGGCTATTGTGATATATGCATATGTTGGACCAACTGTCAACTCGCCTGCTCTCAATTCCGCGGGGACATTGTTCCGCAAGATTTCCTATGCCATTGCAACACCCACAGTAGGTACCCTTCCCCGTGAGTTCTTCTTCTCTTCAGAGCATGGGCTGAGCACTGAATAGATTCTCATCGGGGGTGTGGTTAATGCCCATGTCGCTGTCAAGTTCATTTATGTCCGTGTTTGCAGAGGCACCAACTCCATGCATAGCCAGTCATTTCTGGCGCGATTGGTTTGGACCGTGATTTGTGCGGCCCTTTGGATCTTGTCGTGGATCATCGCCGAGGGAATCCCGGTTTTTAACGATGTGCTAGGGCTTGCGGTTTGTTTTGCCTATCCAATTTCCCCCCCAGACTCGTAAGGAATACTGACCCTTTCAACAAGAGCTCGTTGTTTGCCAGTTGGTTTTCATTTGGTCTCCCTGGGTTGTTTTGGCTATATCTGAATCGGAGCTGTTGGTTCCTGACCTGGCGACAGAAGCTTCTGTTCTGTATCAATATCCTTTTGGTGTTTCTTGGATTTCTCATTGTGAGTTGCCCTCTACCATCATTGACTGGCCCACTGAACTTATGCTATTAGTGTATTGTCGGGTTGTATTCGTCTGTTCGGTCGATCTTTCACAACCTTCGCGAGGGAGTCGGGGGAGGCAGCTTCTCATGTGCCGATAACTCCGTTTATTGAGGTACTCCCACGGCCATGACTCCAAAAAAAGGGAAAAAAGAGGGAGGGAAGGGGAAAAGGAAAGAGAAGAAAGACAGACATTCCCATGGAGAGTGGAAAGCATAATAATACTTGGGGCACGGCATCATGGGTGGTTGCAGGTGGGACGCAGAGAGCCATTCAGCGCATAACGCTGGATTTTATATATGAATAAATTGGGTTCTCCAGGTGCAATAAAGATGTGGCCAGTGAGTAGATGTTAGTAAAGTATGCGGAGGCAATAGACACCGTTGTGACAGCGAAGATCATTGGCGCGGAGAAAGAATCAGACTAGAAGCCCTGTGAAGAAGAATTACCGTCTTACATCCGAGGTCCGGCCTCAGGTACTCCGTACATCTACTTTGACCCTAGTGGCCATGCAGGTAACATGGAAGTATACACTACTGGTACATGGCTGGTACAGGCGCAGCACTAATGAATGACTCGCAGCGCGCTTGTACCTTGGGGGTATCCCGGAGATTTGCCCCAATTGTCACACGGATGGTGACACCACGAATTTTGGCAGTAAATTAATCCCTTGGATAGGAAGCACAGAAGAATGAAAGAAGAAAAGGAGATACCTGGGTCATCACATTCAATATGAAACATAACAAGTCGAAGAAGTGGGATATATAGCAAATCCCGGAGCTTCCAACGGAGTACTCCGTACACGAGGAGAAAGAGAAAGAGAGAGAGAGAGAGCTACACTGAACCCTCGAATGTGGATAATATCCGATTCCAACCTTCTAAATGATTATCATTATATATGTTTTAGCCGAAACCCCATAAAGTGGATTCCCCTCATTTCGCATGCATCGTAGAAGCCCGACGCATGTATTGTGTCCCAATCAAGACAGGGATCAGGACCAGCCGTTATTCCCTGTGCACAAAACGGTCACAGGGAAAATAAAAATCAGAATCAATAAATAAATAAATGGAATAGACAATGGCAAGGCATACATGCATACCGTCGCCACATCGTATCCTGTAGAACCGGGAAGAGCATGACCAGCATAATCGGTTTTGCGAATTGCTGGATTTGCGGTGTGTTCAAGTCGGGTGCAATCCAACCCCAACCGTTCCCAGAAACCAAAACCCCCCCAGTTTCCTTTCTTTCCCCTTCCAAGATGAACCGTGGCATAATCCTGCTGGCTTGCGTGTGCTTCTCATAGGGAAGAAAACGATCAAAGCAATGTCCCTGGGAACTGATTCTGATTCTAGTTGTATTCGATGCTGGAGCGGGTGCCATGCAACACCGGTATCAGTACTATGCAAATAGAGCAAGTAGATTGATATTGGTGGATAGCAATGCATACGCAGGAAGATCGGGCGCTTTCGAGGCCAGACCAAATCCCGTCTCTGTGCGGTGGAAGAGCCGGGGAACATTATGCAAAACCCCACTAGAGAAGAGATGGAAGATCCTCACAGCCAGTGCAAACACCGCATAGCGATAAACAAGCAGCTCAGCCATAGCTAATTGGCGACGCCGTCGCAATTGGTGGCTCCTTGATAGTTGTTCCAGAAACGGGCCACAGCTCTTTGGGCGACAGGCGAGCCGCGATATCGCGTGGTCAGAAAGTAATTAAAGAGTGCGAACTCATCAGGGCTGAGCACGTAGCTATCTGGCTGGGCTTGGATACGGTTCCAGAGTTCCGTGATGGCAACCTCTAGGACGGCGGCAGTCTGGGCGCTCATAGGGCCATCCTCGCAGTCCCGGGCGTGTTCGAGAGCCTGTCGAATCTCTGCCCAGCTCCTAGAGAGAGGTGGGTTGGGCATTTTGCCGGAGATGCAGGGGGTTCAAGTGATGTTTAGCTGGGGGTTGCTGTTTATGGAACTTCTTGAGAGGAATAGGTACCCCGATTGATGTTTGGGAGGAAAAACCCCCAGAAAGAGATGGGAATAGGCGCGCCGCGAAGGCTCAGCAAAAGCGAAAGGAAAATATCAGACCAAGTCAGATACGGGAGAAGTGAGACTGTGCATGAGACCAGACAGGAAAATCCGAATCTTTTTCAATAATTAAATGGGGCCCGAAGTGGAGCAACGGGAGAGGGAGGGGAGAAGGGGGGGGGAGGGAACCGGGCCAGTGGTCCGAAATTCTATGTTCATGAGTGTGACATCCGATGGAAAGGTAAATGCAGATGGAATTAGTTGACCCATAGGCTGTGGGACGAGGTTCAGGAACAGATCGGACTTCACCCCGGTGCGGAAATTGGAGTTGACCGGAAGATGAAAAGATATTCCAAAGATAGATGACCCCTTTCCCGCTTCTCAAGGCAAGCAGAGGACAGCACACGACTGCTGTTGGGGAGCCACCCTGGAAATGAACACATAATAATAAGGCCGAGAGAGTGGTGGGGGTGTAGTTTGCATGGGCGGGCTCGCCCGCAGGGATTGCGTTGCCCTTGGCGTAACGGTTTTATCGGGCGATTTTTAATGACATGCTCAGGTTAGGATCGAGCTAAGCCATCTGGGACCCAGACAAGACGGTGGGCACCGTCGTAAACACCAGATGATTCGCCGTCGAACTATAGGGCTCACGGGCCAGGCAGGGTCGCTTAAAGCCGTAGGCCGAGAGGACCAATTGCAGCTGGAGGGAGGGGCGTCAATGGCCCCAGAGCAATGTCCGGTGCATCAGTTGAGTGGAACCAGTCCTTGCGGTCCTTGCGTGAGGCTCGTGGGACTTGGTATTCCCGAAACATTCCAATCATTGCCGAGTTCGATATAAACACTGCGTTAGTGTGTGTATGTTTCCAACCGGATTCCCACTTGCACATGATTTATTCTTTTGGAATGTTCCAATTGGTGAGTTGTTTCGGCCGGTGATCTCACCCTTGGGCCATTTGGGAATGGCCATGCTTTGTGCCGACATGGATATATACTCGTTTCTGAGACATCACACAATCTTTTCTGCGATCACCGTGGGATTTAATCATTGATTGATCCCACAAGGGGTTGTGCGTCCGAAACCAAAATGCAGTGCTCGTCACTAGGAAGATAGAAAATTGCCGGGCAAATTGGCCATGCAATTTGCATAATCACATTTTGCATGAATTCCGAAGCGCTATTCGGGTGTGCACTTTTTCTTTTCATTCCTTTCCTAAGTTTTCCCCTTTTTGTTCTAAGAAAAAAAAGGGTTGTCTTGGTTTTCTTCATCGCAATTGTATGTTTACCTCTGTCGACAGAGGCAACACGTGGCATGCATGAATAACGCACTTCATGCGTTTTGTTTGACAATCACACGCTATTGTTCTGGTCGAGTTGTGTGGTGTATGAGGACCTCAAATCAATGAGAGCTCCAGTTCTTCATCTGAATGCGCCAAGCTTGCCAAAATCATGAGTCTGGGAGCAAAATCCCGAATCAGCCCTAAGAACGCAAGCGTATAACGGGATTGGATGACGCCGGTTGATTCTGAACCACCACACGATCTAGTTCTGAGATAGAGCAGTCATTGTCGGGGACCATCTCCAGAATTCTCGGAATTCCCAGATGCTAACCACACATCGAAAGAGAGAGAGAGAGAGAGAGAGAGAGAGAGAGAGGAAGGTGCTTGCAGAAGCCAAAACAAAAAGCGTGAAGAAAAGTGGGAGGTGCCTGGACGCGGTCCACCCAAAGCGCAACTCTAAATGCCAGGGTTCCCCCCGGTTTTGCCCTTCAAGCATCTTCCCTACGCCAATCTCGATTTCCAACTTCACCTCCACCTGAGAGAGCCGCCCCTATTCGATGTTCTTTGGCTTCCACTTCACTCTTTCCTCTTTTACAATTCCTAAACGTTTGCATCAAACCGAACTGCTAAGCAACCAGGGCCCATTAACTTCCCACGAGCCTCCTACGGGCTTGAATGCAGAATTCTGATAGAGCATCTGAGAAAGTGGTCAAAACTGCGAGGGCCTACAACAACAAGCAGAACGATGTCCGAAAGAGGACATCTACCACGGCATACAATGCCGAACGGAGGAGAAGAAAGGTAAATTCCGGGTCTTAGCTGCAGCTACCTAAGCATCAAGCTCAAAGATATCTTGAAAATTGCCACAGGAAGCTAGCGCACCTGCAAAACACTATTGTGACTCCCTACGAGGCCACTCGAGTTAAAAATCCGACCCTGTTCTTCAGTACGAACTTCACTAGAGCACACCCTTCGCTAATGAAATCTATGCGCAAATTCAAGTGATGGGCCACGAGTTTGAATTGTCATATTTCATTCACGAGAAGCAATACTCATGCGATGTACTGCATCCCAGGGAAATGGGGCCTACTACCAAGTTTCAAACTTGCATCTGTGACCCAATGAACCCTTTTAGACAACGCATATTGATATTCCGAAAAATGGAGCCCATTTAAGATATTACTCAATGCAGATGTGGCATAGCTTCTGTCCGTTGTTATTTTGGCAATACCGGCACCAAAGCAGGTCCCCAATTGCCAACACACCCTGGATGAAACCCAGAAGGCTACACAAAGAATTAGACCGGCTTCAGTTACGCAATGATCCAGTCTACGAGTCAAAAGCCATACAATGGTCATTTCCGCCTGTGCCGTCGAAAGTTCATGTCACTTCAGAAGGAGGCCCGGGCGAAATCCCACAGTGAATTACGATACTCCTCTCGTCGTCCTGAACGGGCTTCCAGTTTGAAAACATTTTCAGCCTAGGAGGGAAGGACACATGAAATACAGGAAAATGAAATATAAAACAGTCGTACTGGTATGGCTTTCCTAAGCGCGTGGAGTATAGCAATCACATCTGACCGACGTGCAATCATTCTTGTCTAGCCTGTCGAGCAATGATGAATGAGTTGGACCACGAGGAAGGAAACATTTCAGGTGCTAGATCCTTGTATCATGGCGCTGCGTCATCTACTTGTACTGCCGGAAAGGGTGATATCTCGGAGTGAGTGCCTTCATTGGTGCTCGTAGGCAGGCCTAAGCAGTCCAACATCTTCAACGCGCTGATTATGATGTGATTGTGCAAGTCAAATATTCCTCGGGGTAAGTGTGGTGCTAAAGAATTTGACATAGTACCTAGCACCAAGCTCATGAACAGCAACACCATCCAGTTTCTTCTAGTTCGCGAACTGGTTCGTTAGAACTCGGTCATCACCAGGTTATCAACGCTGAATTTGCCTCGTTCGACACAGATTCCAATCAACGCTGTCGATCATAATGACAGATTGGCCCTGGGTTTTGAATAGGTCCATAATCAAATAGTATCTTTTATTGCAGTTGTTTTTAAGGTCATTGCTAGTACGGCTTCCTCTTGCTTTCTATACATATAACCACAACCTATTGCCCTGGTGCAGGCGTTTGCATACAATTTCTAGATAACTCGCCAGCCCGGATTGATCAGATCAAAAATCAGAAATACTCTTTTTCTCACGTTGATTTTCGACGTCTCGAGAGCAAATCGGACTCGACTTCATCTGGCGACTTGTGCCGCTGACTCAGCCATAGATAACGGGCAGGTCTGGGATGGGAGATAAAGATTCCCCCTCCACCAGTGCCATTTCAACTTTTGAGCTGCATCGATCACGAATTGTTCAAACTTGACCCGCCAGGAAGGTCGGAAAGAGAACATAAAAAGATAAACTACAGGGGAAATGGTTTTCTATTTCACTTCGGACGTTGTCAATCCATCTGCCTTCATTTATGTCGGCAAGGACAAATTCGAGAGTATGCCACGGATTGATCAACCCGGACAACCAAGTTTTTAACAATGTCACTAGATGAGGATCTCATAAAATATGGATTGGACAATGATGTCTGGTAGGTTCCCTGGCACAAATGTGTAGAACTTCGTGACTGATACTGTTGCGCAACAGGGTCAGTCTTTTCCCCTCCGCCTTGCGACAGCGCCATTTGCCCTAATACATCTATACACCCGCAGTTCCACGTCGACAATCTCTCAAGTGCACACGTATATGTACGCTTACGCGAGGGCGAAACGTGGGACAACATTGCCCAGCCGCTTCTAGAGGACTGCGCCCAGCTCACAAAAGCGAACTCCATTGAAGGTCTGTACTCTACATGAGCCCAAGCAATTCACCACTAGTATACTGACTGTCGTACAGGAAACAAGAAGGACAACATCACTGTTATCTACACCCCATGGTCAAACCTGAAGAAAGATGGGTCCATGGCCGCCGGTCAAGTCACTTTCCATAATCACAAGCTGGTCCGCAAGATCTATGTTAAGCAGCGTGAAAACCCCATCGTCAACCGGCTTAATAAGACTCGGGTGGAGAAATATCCCGATCTCCAAGCCGAGAAGGAGGAAGATACCCGGAAAAAGCAGCGCAGTGAGCGCAAGACTCGAGATGAACAGCGCGCCAAGGAAAAGAAGAAGCAGCAGGAGTATGAACAACTCAAGTGGCAGAAAGATCATGCATATGATGACATGTTCACGGATGAGAATATGGAGGCTAGCAACAACCAGGATCGTGATGAGAATTTCCTCGATGACTTCATGTGATGGAGATGGCCATCTTTTCCGGTGGACACTAACCTTTTCCTCTGTGTGACATTCAACAGCCAGCGAATTGAAAATTATACCCTCTACATATCGCATATTACGGAGGAAAAAAATCGAGTATGAATCACAATGAAGCCCTCTGTTCTCCGATTTCTCGACTCTCTACCTGACTCTCTCGAGTCCCATACATACTTGTATCAGACGCAGTTCAATATAGCGCGAAGATCAAAAGAATAGCTCTTTTCATATGCAATATCCTATATTGTAAGCATAATTTGACTTCTCCAAATATCTACTTTGTCCATAGACCATAGAGACCAATTTTCTTGGCATCCCATACTGAGAGAACCGCGGGCCTGTCGTATTCTATACATGTACTCATAGCAGTGGATAGCGATTCAAGGCATATCAAGCTTAGTATACCAGATAATTACAGGTCAAGTGCAGAGACCAAACTAAACATGGAATACAAAATCAAGAAAAACACGAGAGCTTTGGAGAGCGCCCAGGTTCACAGATTAATCATCTAGGCACATAGGCATGGGGCGGAAAGGGCGCTAGCCGTGTTGACAGCTTACTGGAACCTTTGGCACTCACCCTCTTCCCCCTTGCCCCCAAAGTTCTTCCCAGGCACCACACAGCATGACTGAGGCAAATCCACCATCTGCTGCTTCAAGTACGTACATTTACCTATGGATTGGGTGGATTGCAATCCACTGACCCCGCTCCAAAGGCGCAAAGTCCAAGAAGAACAAGAAGAAGGCCGCGAAAGCCAAACCAGACTCCAAAGCCGATGAGCGCTTGGAAGATGCGCCAGCCGATGCCAATGACAGTGATGTAGGCAAATAATTACCCCTGACTGCGATTGCAACTTTGCTGAGACTACCAGAACGATCCTCGTGATCTCAACGAGAACCCCATACAAGAACCACAATCCAACGGCACGGAGCCTGACACAATAGATGGCAGACTACCAGACCGGTCTGTCACTCATCAGGAGCATGTTACTATTAGCGATGCTCCCTTGAGCACTGATGTCCAATCCAACCCCGCTTCCGATGGCACCGAGCCGAAGGACCGTTTCGATGCACTCGTTCGGGATCGCGACTCCTTACGCGCAGAAGTGGCTGATATGCGAAAATCATTAGAGCAGATTCAGTCCAAGCATACCGCAGATATGGAGGCTTTGCAGCAGAAATTGGACGACGCGGAGAGCAAAAAGGAGCAAGCGGAAACACAGTTCCAGAAGCTATTAGAACGAGTCAATACCATCAAGTCACAACTTGGGGAACGTCTCAAGGAGGATGCTGTGCGTTGATCAGAACCAGCTATTCGGGCTAATTTTTTTTTTTTTTTGGCTAACTTTGTTGTGTAGGAGGAATTGGCGCTCGCACGATCGCAAATCGAAGACCTCGAAGACGAGAATAACAACCTGAAGGATCAGCTCGATTCGAAGTCCACCCAGCTGTTAGAATTATCGGGCGACTCCACCGAGAAAGAGAAAGAGTTGTCCATTCTCCGGGATCGGACAAACTTATCTCAACGGAATTGGCTGAAGGAGAAGGAGGAGTTGCTCGAGCAAGAGTCGTATCTCCAATCGGAGTTTGAGCAAGCGAAAGAGGCTATGCATAATTGGGAAGTTCTCGCTATGGAGGAGCGATCTATTCGGGAGAATCTGAACGAAAAGGTTGGGGATCTGGAAGAGCAACTCAGCAGCTTGCGAGATGCTTATGAACGAGCTACCGATGAACGGGACACGCAGCAATCAACGGTTGATGGCCTACAACGGGCTTTGCAGGAGATTCAATTGGCACGAAAGCAGGAGCTGCGGGAACTCGTTGAGACTTCTGATTCTCAACTTGAGGATCTCCGACGGTCTCTACGGGAAGCACAGAAGCAAGCCACAGACGCCGATAAGGGTCTCCAGAATGCCCAGGAAGAGATTGAACGGGTCCGGCCATTTGAGAAAGAGGTCAAGGAGAAGAACCTTCTCATTGGCAAGCTACGGCATGAGGCAGTTACGTTGAATGACCACCTGACGAAAGCCCTACGGTTCCTCAAAAAAGGAAAGCCCGAGGACAATGTCGATAGGTAAGTTATTGCTATCTCATGCTACCTGCCTCAATTAGATATTGACTCTATACAGGCATATTGTCACCAATCACTTTCTGCACTTCCTTGCTTTAGATCGATCCGATCCAAAGAAATTTCAAATATTGCAACTTATCGCTGCACTATTAGGCTGGAATGACGGTAAGTAACCAAACGAAGATGTTTGAGCGGGTCTGATCATTGAGAATAGAGCAACGTGAACAAGCAGGCCTTGCCCGCCCAGGGACCTCGAGTATGTCTGGAAAGCTCCGGGTGCCTGGAACTCCCCTCCGAACTCCGAGCACGCCAAATCTTGCGACAGAGTTTATGGACAATGGCGTGTCCAGTAAAGAGACACTCGCCGAACTATGGTCTAATTTCCTGGAGCAAGAAGCGGAGGCCGGTAACATGAACCCATCGCGACGAGGAAGCCATCAAGGGCCTACCAAGTCATAGGGTACAGGTGCCGACATGTATGTATAAAGCAGGAAGGCCATAGAACTTGGATATCAATAGTTGCCTTGCGTACAGTATGGGCAGAATTCCCAAAGGCGGTGTGTTGTCCAGATGTAGATATAAGAATTGCATGTGGGGAAACCATCCCAGTTCAATCTTAGAAAGATTGTATGCATTTCCTCACCTGCCTCCGTCCCTTCCCAGTATATTTCAGGCCGCTCGTTCGTGCTATTCATTCTTCCAAAATGGCTGCCGCGGGTAAGAAGTGTACTTCAAAATCACAGCAAACAAGAACTTATCAGCCCGCAAAGAATTTAGGCCCATCGTGATAAGCGGTCCTAGTGGGACTGGAAAGAGTACTTTGCTAAAGCGACTGTTTGCCGAGTACCCTGATACGTTTGGATTCTCTATCTCAGGTCAGCAAGAGGAGCTTCGACGAATATGAGAACGGTTTTGCTTACACTGCGCTAAACAGAAACCACACGATCCCCTCGGCCCGGCGAGCAACATGGCCGTGAATATAACTTTGTTACCAAAGACGCATTCCTCGACCTAGTTGCCAACAACGGATTTATTGAACATGGTTAGTGATATCGCAGCCTGGGAAGTCAGATGTCAATTGACCCTAAGACAGCTCAATTCGGTGGGAACTTCTATGGAACATCAATCCAGGCTGTTAAGAATATCGCCGAGAAGAAACGTATCTGCATACTGGATATCGAGATGGAAGGAGTCAAGCAGGTCAAGCGGACTGATCTCCATGCGGTAAACTATTCTCGATAATCCGAAAAAGGCTTTACTAATTCTTTATAGCGATTCTTGTTCCTCGCACCTCCGTCCCTAGAGATACTGGAGCAGCGTCTTCGTGGCCGTGGCACTGAAACTGAAGAGTCTTTACAGAAAAGACTGAGTCAAGCTGAGAACGAGCTTGAATACGCAAAGCAGCCGGGTTCCCATGATAAGATTGTTGTCAATGATGATCTGGAGAAGGCCTATGTTGAGCTCCGCGATTGGGTAGTTGATGGCGGTAAATTTGGTGCTGCGCAATGATAAACCCAGTGGTGGGTTTGATACGGTTACATCACATGGATAGAATGTGGTTGACTGGATGTGGCGAGGCGAAAGCTCCATTGATATCTTTCAATCCAAGAATAGAAGTTTCTCTCGTCAAGTTAATTAAGAAAACTAAGTACATGGAAAGCACCAGAGTGGGCACAAGTGCTGGAGTGCCAATTCTCTTTTTCCCGGCAATACAAGCTCAATGATTCTCCCGAAAAGACACAAGATGGGATGTAGGATACAAACACAATAACAAACGCAAAAGAGGAAAAAAAAAGGGGATATCTGCAAGGGCCTGCTGGCGTCAAAAGAGGACAGTAAGTTTTCGGGAAGGGCCGTCGCGCAACGGTCACAGCGCTCGCATCAGACATGAAAGATCACAGAAAAAAAGATTAGTATCCATTCATGGCTGCGCGCTGCGAGTTGCGGCTCAGCTCCCGGTCCGCGGAGGGGCTAATAGGCCTGCTGCCGCCTGTGTGCCCACCAGCGGCGCTGCTCTCCTTAAGAGCCAGCAGCTGCTTAGCACGGAAGGTCTCGTAATGAATCTGGCTAGTGGTTTCCACCAGATCCTGAAGGTGGGTGCGGGTAAGGAAGTTGCGCAGGTAGACGAATTCACAGTGGTTCTCGTCTTCGACGTTGATAACACCCCAACGGTTCTGGCGCCCGCGAACCTGCTTGCCGTTGACAACAATGGTCTTCTCACTGCCAACAACAGAGAAAGGAATGATGTCCTATAACGGGGTATTAATATACTTGATTTTACTTTTTGGCGTGATCGGGCATACCTTGATCTGAGCATTGATGGCACGCTCCTCATCATCGAGCTCGTCATTATCGTAAGGGTACATCTTCAGGTTGTGGAAGGAGAACTCTTCCTTGATGCGCTCCTTGAATGCCTGACGCTCTTCGAGGGTGAGCGAGTCGGACTTGGCAATAACGGGGACAACGTTGACGACATCAGATAGCTTCTTCAGAACGACAATATCGATGGGCTTGAGACTATGAGAAGTCATCGGGTCAGTCTGAAAGAGGTACAGATAGCAAGGCATTAGCGGGGTAGCCTTACGCATGGCCAGAGGGCTGGATGAAGAACAAGCAGCAATGAATACGGGTATCTTGGATGTAACGCTCACGCTGAGCAGTGAGCTCCTTGCGGAGGTATGCCGAGTGCTGATCCTTGATATACTTGACAATGGGGTCCCAGCTGTTCATAATTAGCGTGGTTCTGGAAGATCCGACATTATAAAGCTCAAATTACCATCGGTCGTTGTTGACCTGATCGCCGTAACCAGGTGTGTCGACAATGTTCAAGCGGAGACGGACACCATTCTCCTCGATAACTGGCCATTCATCAGCTAATTCGGTCCGAACCTAGGTTTCCCTTTATGAACGTACTGTGCGACTCGGTCTTGATTTCGGTAGTGGAGCGAACAGGCTCAGAGGGGGTCAGACGGCCCTTGGAGTCAATCAGGTGGGATGCGAAGATGGTGTTGATTAAAGTCGACTTTCCAAGACCAGTTTGGCCTAAGACGAGATAAAGGATTAGTCGAGGTTTTTGTGGCCGGTAGGTATTGCCCAACACGTACCGACACACATGACATTGAACTGGAAGCCACGCTTCAAGAGCTTGCGCTCGATTTGCGAGGTAATGCTGTCGAAACCGACATGGCTATGGGGGAAAACAGTGGGCTGCTGAGCCGAAGCTGCGGTGGTAGCGGCGGCCATTATGAATGGAAAGAGAAAACGAAGCTGAGAATTGAACGAAAGACAGAATCAAAAGCCCGCAATCCCAAAAGCCAGAAGAGAAAGAGAAGTATGTAAAGCAAGTGCACCCCTTATTATCGTCCTTTCCCTACGAACTCAGGGGTGGCCTATACCTAATTAGGACTAGCGTCTCTCCACGAGAAAACTACGATCTTGCGCTTTTGCTTCAATGCTCTGTGATAGCTCCCATCCACTACGGTTTCGCCCCCTTTTTCGCGCCCGATTACCCTCAACATGGCATTGCGTCTGCTTCCGTTTGCTCCGGCAACAATGTCCCGCTCACTCCTCTCCGAGTCCCTTCAATTCCCCCGACTCGCTCGGTTCCTACCGATTACACCCATCGCGACCAGCGGGTTCCTTCAGCCCGTCTCGATCTCCCTCAATATCCCATCTCTTCTCTCGGATCTCTGGGATTCTGTTCTCCGTGCTGTTCCTAAGAAGAAGACCTCCCACATGAAGAAGCGTCATCGACAAATGGCCGGCAAAGCTCTCAAAGATGTCAAGAGCCTCAACAGATGTCCGGGCTGTGGCCAGGTCAAACGTGCTCATCTTTTGTGTCCTCACTGTGTCAAAGGTAGGACCGGGGCCTTCGATCTGGAGAATGCCTTAATACCGGGTATTGCAGTAAAGCTGACCATTCAAACAGACATTAAGGACTCTTGGAAGACCCTCGACATGGCATGAAAGAGCATTGTAAGAAATAAGGGCTTGCCTTGGGATTCAGAATCAAAATTTTGGAGATCCCAATCTCAAGCCCCCAAAGAGATTGTATTTCTAGAATTAGTTGTGGATAAATGCTGCATGGCAACTGGCGTCTGGTTTTTTGCGGGGGAAATTTTTCGATATGACTTTATAACAATCCGATCTTGTAGGTCGAATTTGAACGTGATCTTTTCAACTTGGTTTCCTTGTGTGTTTCATATAACATGTATAGTGGGAAATACAATTAGACCCGACGAGAATGCACCGGAACAGGCAATGGATCAAGACATTAAGCCGATATGTCATTCATCCTTTGCCATACCTTGATTGATTCCCAGATTGTATGATTTTGGGGATCACCCATGGGTCGATCTGACTCATACTGAACAACTGTGAGTGGATGAAGCTATACGTCACTTTATATACTCCATATGGAGTATGGAGTACTCCGTTCTCTCGTTAGAGTTGCATACATACATGTGCATAAATAACGGTGGTATGTCTCTTGACAAAGGAATCCTATAGATATAGGCCAATATAGACCAATCGTATGGTCTAACGCATAATTGCGAAAGTAGAGTAGTTGCCTAAGCAAGTACCCAGACAAGGACATATGCGCATGTGCTCATGGAGGGGGAAAACAACAACTCAGGTTCTTCGCAGCGTGTAGCTTCCAAGTATGCCTCTATCGGCTGCCGGAGAAAATAATGAAGCCGATAAAGGCGGGCTCTTCGGGCCCAACGTCATCGCGCTCAATTAAGTCTCGACATAGCCCGTGAGAGACCACGGCATCGTCAGCATGGTAATACTAACTCCGAAAGGTTATTGATCGATTTACTAATTGAATTACACATAGTCGAAACAATATCTCTCTTGGGGCTCCGCGGACAATGGTGGGCAGCTCTGCGACACGCTTAATACTTTGATCAGAACGATTTCGCTAATACTTGTACTGTAGCGCATCTTGCCGATATTTTCTCACTGGCGGTGACAGATAAGCAGATTCTGTCTGCCTCGGGCGCCTCCTCCATCAAAGTGCATTCTACCACTGATACCGAGTTCCCGTTGATACAGTCTATTGATGGCGCTCACAGCACTGGCTGCCACCATCTTGTGACTGATGCGCAAGGTATCCGAGCGGTCAGCGCTGGATTTGATGGACAAATCAAGGCCTGGTCTTGTCACGATGATCATTGGGTGGCAGATAAAAAAGTGACTGGTAAGCACCGCCTCTCTTTCACAGCGCATCCCGAGGTGCAATTGTGCTAATAAGAGCGCAGCCGACCTCAGTGGCGCGGATGCTTGGGCGATAGCACTTTCTGAAGACGGGCAATATCTTGCTGGCGTCACACAAGAAGGGCGCGTCAATGTATGGGATTTAGCTGCAGATGCCACTCGGATTCGAGACCATGAGACAAAAGGCAGCTTTGGTATTTGCATTGACTTGGTGAGATACTCGGACCTTAGACTGGAGTGGCTCCTACTAACTTGAATGGTCAGTCTCCCGATGGTCGATTGATTGCTACTGGTCACGAAAATGGCGCAGTCTACATATTCACGACTGAGACAGGCCGCATGCCGTTTTCCCTCTCAGGTAAGCAAAGTCGATCCAGTCGCGCATAGCGGCAAATTCTAATTCGCTGCAGGCTTGGTCAACCCTGTGCGGGCCGTAGCTTTCTCCCCACGGAGCAAAATTCTAGCAGCAGCTGGCGATTCCAAGGTGATTGTACTGTACGACACCTCATCAGGTGAACAAATTGCCAACCTCTCAGGGCACACTGCGTGGATTCTGTCCCTCTCCTGGAGTAATACAGGCGAATACCTTCTGAGCAGGTAAGTCGGGCTCCATGCATTTACTAGAGAGCAATCTAACCTTTCCCAGCTCATTTGACGGCAAGGTCAAGGTCTGGTCCATGGAAACCAAAACCTGCGTTGCCACACACTCAGAAACAGAAAAGGCCGTTTGGAACGCCAGATGGCTTCCTAAGATCGGTAAGACAGAAGGGTTTGCGACTGCTGGCGCGAACCGCAGCATTGCATTTTACCGCGAGGCCACTGGTTAAAGGGACAGCTGGACAAGAGGGCATTGTAGACATACCCTTGCATGTGTTTTATGATGACTGCAATGAAAACTAGGAAGCATTATTGAACTGCCCATAAAGCTCATGATTCGTATCAGAAAGATAACCCAAGAATCCTCATACTCGTTCTTAGTTCATCGCCTCCACAAACAACTTGCGCATCCGCTTCAAAAAAGCTCCAAAGTCTCGATCGTCGTTGACGAGATCAACAACATGCTCCAAAGCATCCCGGTCAACTTTCGGGCGCGTATGGAAAACCTCGTAGTCACGACTGGCAGTGCCCAGTTCAAACCAAGCCTCAGCCTCCCAGTCTTTCTCGAGTAAATGGCTGTAAACAAACTTTAACCGATCTTCACGCCCGGCTCCTTCGATCCGAATACAAAGATAATCCTGCCAGAACTCCAACTCGGGGAAATTCAGACGAGATTGCGCATCCAGGTGCTGTGCATGTGATTTTTGGGCCTCCAATTTCTGATTGATAGCCTTCTGGGTCTCGGCAATCTGTTGCTTCAGACGGTCGCGTTTGGTGAGGCGGGAATCACGTTCCAGGGTGATCGATGAGATAGCTGCGTGCATTTCGGCAGCCTCGGCAGCTTCCTTTTGGAGTGTTTGTTCGTGGGTTTGTGACTTAAGATAAAGTATTTCAATATCCCGTTGCCGCATGCGCTCGTCCTCTGTTAGGCCGTGTTAGCAGCAGTGGACATAGGGCTGTAAAATAATATAATACGGTGGAGATCGGCATGCCTTCATATTCAGCCAGATTGATGTGAAACTGGTTTCGTTCCTCCAATACCCGTTTGCGTCCGCGCTCGATAAATGCATCAAATTTGACTGTGAATTGGGCCATGCTATTGCGTAGATCTTCGAATCCAAAGTTGATGCTGGGGAGCGAGTCTGCCATTGATGGCGCATCCGCCGAGGCAAGGGGAGGGCGCATGCCACTAGTTGAAAGCGATGGTTCGAATGAAGAGGCCATAGTTTCTGAGAATCAGCTGGTGATGAGTTGCGAATGGTGAAGTTGAGATTGGCGCGGGACAATGCGAGAGTTGTTTTGGGTTGCGGCGCAACAAGTGACCCCGAGTCTTATCGATAACGATATCCAAAAAACTTTCAATGCGAGTGGCACTCACTTGCTACAACCTCATCTATGCGCATATGTATGTATATGACCGACTAGAATCATACCGTTGCATTGGCTAGTATCGACATGGTTTGGCCGGGTCTCGAACCGATCGCAAAAAGCACAGAAAGATCCCATGGATGACCACCCAGATAGTGCTCTGCACTATGGGCACGTTGGACGAGCTGTGTATCTTCCCGAGGAGCAGGCATGGACTTTCACTCGTTCTTTTAATAGGCGTAAGAGGTTAATGAGCTCAAATCTCTGAACCAGCTAACAGCTTTGCAAGCCCCATCGATTCTGTACACTGGAGTGACTAAAACCACAATCTCCTCGCCCTTTCCCACAACGGGAGCTCAGTCAATACCTAGAGTTCCCGAGAAAGACTTAGGGAAGTTGATTGCAAGTGCTCATCCTGATCTGGCAGCATCATGGTCCTCTGTTCGCGAAGAGCCTTTATCGAGAACTGTTACGACCACGACCGACCAATATGATCCGGAGATCTCCGCGCTTTTTGATCTCGGTTATGCAGTGGACCAAAGGCGCCATGATAAAAAGCTGCGATCAGTTCCAATTGCAGTGAATGTGACTGGAGAATGTCGCAATATAATCTCATTCCGAACGCTGGAGGAGGAGACTTTGGAGTTGACTTACCCAGAGAAGTTAGCATTTCGTGCTCCATCAATCGATAACACTGAAGTTACCCAATGGTCTAAGTATGGTGCGCCGATACTTCAGGTACACTTTGCACGTCCCATAGAGGAAAAACCAGTTTTTATGGCCGCTCGTCTTCCCACAACGACAATAGTGTTCCGGCCTCTCTATCACTGGGAGCCGGTGCCCATGCGCTTCTCGACTAACACTCCAATGGGATCTTCTATGCCGTTACGAAATTCTCGACTGGATGCGAATCCAATTGTCGAGATCTCCTTATCGCAAACAGGGGGCTTCTCACATGCCGATGTGACCTTCAACCCCTGGTATCAGAGACAATTTGCCATTGTAGATACAAAAGGCAATTGGGGTGTTTGGGAAATTACCGGCAGACAACGATTGAAGCTCGCCACCTGGTCTGTTGGAATTGTCAAATCAGGCTCGCTGCCCTCCCAGGATCCTAAACGCAACCATAATTCCCCTCGGCTTGATGGCTGGGCATCTGTGGAATGGGTCCATAATGTTGGATTGATAGTTGTCTCCAATCGTCACAGTGTCATGATCTATGCTTTTACAGATGATGACGTTCCGCCACGCATGGTTGAGCTGGGGATGGCCAAGGAATCCGAGTGGGTCTTGAGCGTGCAAAGAAATCCACGAAACTCATCACAATTCTTTGTCCTGACGACGGCTCGAATATTGTGGTATGATCTTGGAGCCCTACCGAGCGAGGATGATACAAGCTTGTCACTACGTCCTCGAGTGTCTTGGAGGCATTTTCGAGACCCGGGGGACACAACATTGCGACTCAGCGACTTAGTGGTATACCAAGGTAGGTGGTGCATAAATGAAAGCAGACTTCAAATGTTGACTTATGGTCTAGATTTATATCTCGTCTTATATTCCCGAATCACCCAGCTGGTACAGGCATTTCCATGTCCATTTATATCCGACGAACAGACCGAGTCTATCTCTGTGCCTGATCCTCTGGTACTAGATGCGCCCCTATTGATGGACATACCACCGAACCATCGTGGTCCTGCCGTACGATTTTCGACATTGGTGTTTAAAGAGGTTGCCCACTCTGTTACAGCGCTGGGCAAGAATTTTTACAATCCCTACTTGACACTAATCAAGCTTTTCTGGATGGATTCTGATCTTGCCGTTCACGAATCTACCTTTAAAGGCCCTCGCGGAGATCCAGAAGAGCTGGATTTGTTTCGCGAAAATAGCATCTTACGACTGAGAAGGCGCTATGCTCCGACAGCATACGTCAGACCCGACGATAACTTTGTCGTGGATGACTGGGACGAATCAGCGATACAGCAAGCCCCTGTTCCTCGTTGCGAGGTTAACATAACCTCTGTTGATACAATATCGGACTTGCAGTGGACCTTGGATTTCTCTGCCATCTACGACATCGCGACAGGGAAATTGGAAATACCGCGAAAACAGCAACAAAAGAGACAAAGCCCCAAGCCACGAACCCTCGATGGGTTAATTGCGAATCTGCAGAGCGATATAGAGCATGGATCGACAAAGCAAAACGCAACCCAGACCATGGTTGAATTGGGCGGCAAAAGAGTGTTAGCAGAGGGCCTTGATGAAGGGGCGGATGATACGAAACGACTCATTTCAGCACTTATGCCCGAGCAGTCGGACCCCATGGCTCAATCTCGGTATATGATGTTACCAATTCAATTCTCGAGTGAGGATTATGGCTTGTCAGCCAGGCTGTCAGGCGAAGCAGACAGGGATCTTCTCAATGCCTACGATCGAATGGTCGATGGTTGGATGTCCACTTTGCCTCGCACCATTCCTGTGCACACGCGACTCATGAAGGAGCGACTCATCCGGGGATTGCCGCTGATCTTATTCTTTCACGCTTAATCAAAATTTCTACCTCATTAGATGGCATCATTCTATTCAACCCAGCAGATTCCACCGATGATCGAACAAACGAGAAGGTCATCGCACAAAACAAACACCTGATGTCAAGCCATTTCTCATTATTATTATCATCATCACAGAACACTGCAAGCCAGTCCTCGACCGATAACCGACTCTTTGCATCCAGACGGGACAGACTGCCAGTCCAACAATCCAAGTACGCCGCGGTCCCTGTCATGAGCGGGCTCTCAGCGTTCACCACGTTTAAGGCCCCACGTCCAACAACACGAAATGTGGCAAACCTACTATCTCACTGGTCGGTCGGAAGCAGCCCCCAGAACTATACGTGGGAGAGGATCGAAGACGAGGAGACGCGACGAAGTACTCGGGCGAACACTCCCAGGAACAGACGGAAGAAGCTCTCACAGGCTCGGGATCAATCTCTGCCTCCCACCCCGGCAGTCCCCATGGTTCGAACATGGGGCAGCCAGCCAGTCGCACCTCCACGAATCAACATCACCAGTAGTCAGCCCACGATGGATGGAATGTCGATGACCCAAACCGAGCGGGGTATTTTCGGGGCGCGTGAACTCAAGAAGCCGAAAAAGAAGAAGAAAAGAGCAGCAGGATTTTAGAATCTAAATGCAATCAATGCAATAATACTAGATATAGTACTCCGTACTGCTTGGGCTTATAATTGCGACTGGCTATTGAGGTAGTGCCTAAACCCACCCGAATCGCGAAGGTGGCTCATTCTCAAAGGGATGAAACATGACAAATGCACTAGAAGACATAGATGTACTCCGTACTGCCAGAGAGATAGAACAGAAATCCCAACCCTTCTCTCTATCTCGAGTCTTGTGTTCTTTTGCACTTCCTCTTCCCTCCCAAACCCCACTGTGTCCTTGCCAAGCATATCTACTTGGGTGTTTCCCCTCCAACACCAACCTCCCCGCTCCGTGCATCTACCAACCCCCACCAGCCATGTCTGACCACCAGTACAAGTTTGGGGTGACTATGACCTGTGGCGGCTGCTCTGGTGCCGTAGAGCGTGTCCTTAAGAAGCTGGAAGGTGAGTGACACACGGTCTGGCTGTTTGAGGGTCTTGGGCACTAACACGTTCGTCTTTTCTCCCCTTCCAGGCGTCAAGTCCTTCGATGTCAACCTTGAGACTCAGTCTGCCAATGTCATCACCGAGCCTACTCTTTCCTACGATACCGTGCTGGCAACAATCAAGAAGACCGGCAAGGCTGTGACTAGTGGAGAGGCAGATGGGCAGAACAAGGAGGTCTGAAGTCCCTTATAAATACCATGGGGTCTCCAGCCCCCCTTCTATAGCCCCATTGATATGTTTGCTGGGCTATCTCAAGCTGGTGCGATCTCCAAGGCTCTACGGGAGAGGAAGCTTATACAGAATAAACCAGCAAGTATTACTCTGGAATTCCATGCCTAAAGGACCGTAAGATACACGTGTAATCAATAGAAATAGGGGAACCGGAGTTCCCGATTCAAATTAGAATGGAGGCCCGTGAGTAGAGAGGTTCTAATAATATGCACCAGGGTATCATGAACAATAAACAACAGTACAATGCGAGTACACAAAGTCTTGAAACAAAGGGGGTATGGATGGTAGAGGATGGTAGAGGATGTGATTGAATTAATCAACGATGACAATGGGTCTTTCATCGAGGACGGAATAGTAGGGCGAGCGTGGTTCAACCCTTTGAACGTAGACTGGGCGGTTTTGCTCCGGACTCTGAGTCGATGGAGGGTGGTTGTACGATGAGCTGTGGCTGTGTTAGTAAAACCCTATCCGAAGCAGAGGGAAGTTATGTTGCTGAAATGGTTGGTTTCCCCAAAGAAGGCTTACCGCAAGGAGGTGAACCCGCCACTGACTGGCATTTCACGGGGGACCTGAGGGAGGGACACGCGAGGCTGAATCTTGCCTGCGGTAGGGTCTGAAAAGGTACGAACGTGCTCATGGGAAGGAGCCGCTTTCGAGCCTATGGGCAGTGGGCGGTGTTGATCTGACGAAACATGTGTCTGAGACAAATGTTTTGTGCCAATATACTCAAGATCCCTAGCCCGAGCAGGCTGAGAAAGCTCTCCATTGGCCTTGCACTCGGGTTCCAGGCGTCTGCCAACGTATTCAAATGGAGGGGGCTCACGGTGGTCAACATGCCGAACGAAGCCATCGGCATACATGTTCCTGTCTGGTTGAAATTTCTCTGGTAAAGAGTGGGCGCCATCAATGCGAGTCCGACGCATGGCCCACGACTCTTTTGGAACACGGCCGGAACGGAGACTACGATCACCATGGTAGGGATGCCAAGGTCCAATATTGGAAACAGCTGGGGCAGCTCTGAAGGTACGGTCGCCTTCCGAAACAAGGATACTGGCACTGGGAGCCCCGTATTGATTTTGAGGCTCGCGTGGTCCACTGATATGCTGTCGACCCAAGACTGACCTTGTATCAAGGGTACGCTGCCCGTTGAGGTAAGGGATCGTGTTCCTTTCTCGCTGGTGTCCTACGAGAGAAAACTGTTCCACTGGGTGATAATTCCGACGGAAATGAGGATGGTCCTGTGGACGATGATCTGGAAGGGAATCAACGCGACGATAAGAGTTTGGCCCGAATCCACCGGAAACGGGAAGTCCAATGGACCTCACACTCCATGGCCCTGGGCGGGATTCAGGTCGAGCACCTTCATGGTATGTCAAACGCCTTCTTTTGCTAGCTTGCCCGCTGTCTCCTTCAGTTTCGATGACCTCGGAGTGATGCATGGTCTCTCCATGAAGATGTCCAGGTGTAACCGATCGGAGTGACATTCTGTTCGTCATATGCACCAAAGGATGCGCGCCATCAGCCCGTCGGGTTTCCGATGGCCAGGAATTTTCAATTGACGGCAAGATCGAGTCCTGTATGTTTGAATCCGACCTGGGAGGAGGTAAACTGACGGGTTCAAGATGGCGTCCTGATGGAGTCAATTGAGGACGGTTCTCCTTTGGTCCTCTCACGAACACAGGTGCGTTGATCCTGTCCGACTGAGGAGGCAGTCTTTCTCGTCGGAACCTAGCATCTGTTCTCAAGGGTGGACCATCTTGCGAGGGTGCCATTTTCATATTTCTGGGTCCAGAGAATTCTTCTAAGATTTGCAACTCGGGGGATTCCTGACTGGTTAGTTTGAGTGGCCTGGTGTTGAGCTCATGCATGGAATATTTCTGCTGGTGATCCGAGTGAATATGGCTATCCTGGACACCTACATGTCCCTTAGCCACCTGTCGATCCATTAGTGGAATGGCGAGCACTCGCTGTGCTTGTTTATCAATACTGGCCGAGCCTGGAACGACTCGCCGATGAGGTCCCGCGTGCTTGGATAATATATCCTGGGATCTAGCAGCGGGTGCTTCCTGAGCAGTCATGCGCTGCTCGGAGTATCGTGAGCTTTCATTTTCAGCTGGAGCACCAGCAAATCTAGGTTGTTCAGAGCCCTGTATACCGTCTCTATATTCCTGGAGGGCGCGATTCCATGCTTGATATCTATTAAAACCACGACGGTTGATGGTATCTTTCGCTGGTGATCTTGTGACAAACCGGAATCCAGGCGGTGCTTCCTCGGATAGCTCCCGCGGATGATCTTGACCGAGAGCTTTCGCGTTGTTGATGGGTTGGCTCATGATTTCCTGCGCACAATGATCGCTAGGAAGTATTTCCACGCTAGTGTTTTGTTGAGCTGCTGTGGAAGCTGCATCTTCTTCCGATTCACTATCGTCATCATCGGAGATAACGATGACCTCGCGGAAAACATCTTCCAGAACTGTTTGGCCATTCTCATCGTCTCCTCGCCATTCGATGACTTTTGCTAGGGTTGTGTGTTCAACATTGCCTCTTGCTTCATGGAATGAAGTCAATTTAAGGAGGCGATCATAATCAGTGTAGACATGTCGAACATGAGCAACTACAGCCAATTGGGCTCTGCGGGCCATAGGCAATTCAGTGGCCGTCCCGACTTTTTTAGTGCCCTTATTTGCATATCAGATTTTCCACATTCCATTTTTCAAATCAGAGTTGGTTATATGCGTACCTTTTGAAACGCAGTCTTGATAATCTGATTCAAATCTTCGTCTGGTATGTTTGGGAAGAGATCTCTGATGGCATCCCGCGCTTCTGTGTTCAAGGTTACTTGAGAAATATCAGCATCAGCCCGCCTGTGATCCTCTGTCTTGGCAATAGCATAGATGGGAACTGTTTTGCCGGTGGTTGTGAGGTAGAACCCCAACTCCGAGCAAACAGCTGCCACCACAGTACTGGGAAAATGATATCCTATCCGATGCACGTGCTGGGACAGATTGTGTGAGCGATGGTGTGGGGTAGTCTAGAAAATATAAGCAATGTTGAGTAATAGCGACCAGCCAGGGTCCTCACCGATACTGCATGAATCTGAAGCCCCTCATCTCGACATCGCTCCTTACATGCAGTGGTAAGTTGTGGGTTTCCTGCGGGAATGAAGGTATAGCCACTTGGTGCTTGCGCTTCAAAACAGATCTGTGCATTCTGTCAATCATATCGCCAATTTAAAACAGAGAACATACATACAACACTTCGAAGCTTCTTCTTTTCTTGGGTCACAGACTCCATAATGACCTTATGTCTCCGAGGTCTCCTATCAACAACCCGACTCGGAGCCCGCCTGGCCGAACCCGAGCCAGTCCTCATGACACGCGCCATATTGTTGATATAGCTCGTCGCAGGACGCACTGAGAGGAAGGTTTTAACACATCATTCACATGTGTCAAATGTGTCGTATGAGCTTTGTAGTAGATGGTGCGTTTGCCCAATGTCTCAATAATCGGAGAAGGACGAAAAATGAGTGGCTAGTCACGGGAAAGACGTGCCTATGCACTGGAGTAAATTGCAATGTAAAGGTATGAAATGAGCTATTTTAGGTGCCTCAAGGTCACCCAAAACAGAATTCAGGCTCTTCTTAAGCGCGTCAAACTGAAAGCAAGAACAACAAGCGAGGAAAGTGGAAAGGAAGCAGGAAATGTAGGCGAGGGGAAAGATGGAGCAAGAGAGAGAGGGAGGGATTGATAAGATTACTGTTGCGGCCCAAGTCACCTCTCCCGATCGGGCTAGTCCTGCCTGAGGCTTCATCCTTCCCCAACTTTGACCGTCTTTTACTCCTCCTTCCTCCAATACAAATCTGACATTTGTGCTTAACGCTTCGGATCTCCGTTGATTCCGCTGGTTACGTCTGCTTGCACATCTGCGGATTCCTCGGCTCAGACTTGGCCAACGGATTGGACATGAACGCCTCAATTCAGACCATGAAGGTGGATCAACGAGCTGTTGTCCACGCATACCGTCACCTCTACCGACAGGGGTTGAAAGCCATCCAGTATTCAACACCAGGTCGCCATATGTTTCTAAAGACCTTGCGAAAATCCTATCGTTCCTCCGCTTCCGAAGAATTTGACCCTGCCAAAATCACCAACACGCTTCGCTTTCTCGAACGAGCTACCGAGATTGCGGGTATGGAACACAAGATCTTGAAGAACCTCCTACTAGCTAGGTATTGGGAGCAAGATCACCTTGCAAGAGAGGCTCGCGTGTGAGTGATTATCATCAGCAGAAGTGGAGAAGGATCCTGCTGACCCGACTTTAGCCCACGAAGCCTGGGACTCAGTCATGTAGAAAACCAATTGCGGGCAAGTGTTTTCGACCATTATAACTTGACGCTTGACCGATTAAATGAGAGTCTAGGGACATGTCTCAGATGATTCGGACTCCGCAGTTCTCGACTTTTACCTCGGTGCTGATCCGACCCGCTGCACCAGATCGTGCATCCGTTAGGCCTCAGTGCTTCCTTTGGGCACAAATCCACATCGATGCGAGGCAGCTCGCCCAAAAGGGATTTGCAGCCACCGGGTAATCCCGTAGCCAGAGCGCCGGCACGCATGATCCGATCTGTACCTAGGAGATTGCTTGCTATACGTAAGGCTGCTTGCTATACGTAAGGCAACGGGCTACTATACTAATTATTAGAATTATTAAACTTGCTAGACATTTAGCTATCGATTGATCTAATTTTTCGTAAACTATCTATGGTTTTAGTGTAGATATAGTTGAGTGTAATGATATATATATGTATTTGATGAGGTACGGCGGGTGTCGCCAGACTTATGCCTTGATGGTAAATCACCGGAGAATACTCCAGTCCCCGTAGCTAAGTTACATCTGCTTCTCGAAGAAAGATCGTTTGGTCGTACGTGGTCAAGAACCCATATTTTGGGCCCAACTCAATAATGTACTGCGCAATCTGGCCTACGTTTATATGTCAGTGCGAATACCTTCCTATAAATGGCTCACACAACACTGACCTAGTGCGTGCCTGAACGGTTCTTCAATGATCCCGGCCTCAAATTCGCGTACCAGGTCTCTCTGATAGTGCTCGGGTATCCAAGGAAATTTAGCCTCTCCTACCACTTTAGCTTTGTGGGCTACGGTTATGAGCATAAAGTCAGGGGCTTTCTTGTGACCTGGGTAGGGCGGCAAAACACTCTTGAAGGCATCTAGCTTGAGGTCCCGGGGTTGAGCTACGAAGACGGCTCCTAGAGCGGTTCCCGCTCGTTCCTCTAATCGGCCTTGGATACCGCGTTCATCACTGACGAAAATAAACTCTTTATTGACTGAACTGGCGATCGAATTGCCCGTCAACTTGGAAGTAGAACATGCGGTTCCATGCCTGGCCGTTGTAAGTTGGTTCATGGTTGCAGAGCTCGGACGAACCATATACGATGTAGAGCGTGACTGGTGGTTGGACGAGCGGAAATGTCGAGATTGGCGAGGGGTTCTATCTAGCAAGAGGCTAGAGGCACTGTGAGAGACTGAAGTAGCCATGATAATTCATCAGTAGAGTGGTTCTCGAAAAATTGGGAGCTGGGAGCCTTGGCGTGAAGTACCGCCTGGGAGGTTTTTGAAATGACAAAGCTGAGAATATCGATGCGAGGTGCAGGGTAGGTCAGGTCGACCTTGGTATGAATTCATGGGCATCCTCGTCAACTTCCCCAGCTTTCCAGTTTCCAACTTCAACTACACCTTCAACGATAGCGTGATCCTCTCCCGCTCTGTCAGCAGCTTATACGCTTGCCCAGGTGAGATTGAAAGGCTCCACCATTATACATGTGCACTTAATGCTCCCAATATACATTGGCGACTCGCAAAGGAATCACACTGGAGGAATCATTGCGTCTTCTTCTTGCTGTGCTATTATGCCCATATGAGGTGAGAGCTAGACCCAGCCAGACCAATTAGAGCTAGCAACCAAGGCAAACGCGCATACAATACCTAGATAGGTGGTTTGTATTGATCAAAGCAGAGTTGGTTTTCCTGCTACTAAGCCTAATCGGGACAATGATGGTTATTTTTATTTTTAGGCTCAGATGTTGGTGGGACCTACGACATCCAGCCCACATAAGAGCCTCACTCGGCATCTGAACCCTCACACCCCCCGAAACACCCATCTCCCAAGTAGCTCCAATGTCGTCCTCATTTTCAACCTGGTTCCGTAAGGACATCGACCCTGGAACCATTATCAATCTTGACAATCCCCGCTCTTCCCAGTGGGAGCCTGGGAGGTCCTCGAAAAGCTGAACGAGCATGCCTTTCAGGTCAACACGGGGAACACGATGACTATGATTTCCGTTCTTTTGCTTCAGCAAAATTCCGATGCTGTAATCCCGAAGGAGCTCCAGAAGCCTTCACGCGAATCTATGTTCAAGTTCCCCATCGAATAACTGAAATGGATGATGCGCATACCAGAGGCCAACAAGCCACAACATTCACCCCGCCAGAATTGATCGCCTATCAGTACCCCAATCAAAAGCACTCAAGTAGTACACCAAAGCTCATCGGATACAAGACCGGCACTCAAGATGACTCAGGCTTCATCCCGGGTGATGGCCCAGTGTGCCCAGGGCAATAAGTCTAGTTTGGCACCGGGACACGCAAACAATGTAGGTCATTGCCACATTATCTCGAGCCAGTTTGCTTGCATATGTATTATAGCTACTTCGTCAGACATTTCTACAAGGCCACCAAGCCCAAACATCCGGTTGAGTTTAGTGAGGGGTGGATAGCGACTTTTGAGCTCGCTGAACCGCATCCTGCAGATTCATAGGAAGAGGATGACTGGGATGAAAACACTTCATGCTGGGAATTGTAGCTACGGAGAAAACCGAATTTTTCGTTCGATCTCTTATTAATCCTTGCTATCCTATGCTAGGAGACAATGCATTTATGTGAGTCGACGTGGCGGGGACTCCATTTATTGAAATATATATTTACAATTGGTTGATAAGACGGATGCGTCGCCTCGGTGGACATCGGCGGTAGCACCAGCTTCACGAAGTGATATCACTAATTAAATATTCCGAGATCAGCATGAGCATCACGAACGCCCTCTGGAGAATGGAACTACATCGGGAGACCTGTCAAGCACTCCATCGTTAAGCATCAACCTAGCACCGGCTGTGATCGATCGCTAGGCCTCTTGGGCGAGAGGCGTGATATCGTTTGAGACAATTACATCGGCATTCTCCACTTTTTGCTTGGGATTTCCATAGACCAAAGTTGCACTGTCCGCGAACTTCAATGCTGCCAGCCATGATTAGTATACCGTTATGGCCTACTCCGTACAAGGTCAGACAATATGCACCAGATAGTGCTGGCCTTATGGGCGGCAGACCACGTCTGGGTGCAGATAATCCAGCATCTGTTCCACCTGGGCAAGGTTCCAAGGTTGGTAAGTGGCTGGGTGGCTGGAGTCAGCATCGAGTTAGTCAGCTAGCTTAGTCAGTGCAGGGATAGTCGGGACGGGTCGGGTTATCCCTGCCTCAAGACATTAGGATCATCTTCCCCAAATCTGACCCAATTACGGAGTAGCTAAAGCTGTGGCATAAAGACTCAAATGGCGTGGACGCCCAAGGCAACCTTGGAAAATACCGGGATAACAGTATGATGACTGCGAGCTGCCTTTTATCTCAGCCCCATCGGGGCCGGTATTCCACACATCTATGCCAGCCAAAAGGTGAAATTATGGCATTAACGCTCATCTATTTCCCTTGACCGCGTCCATATCCTCCTGACACGGTTCTTCCACTGAAATATGGGCCCTGGCTGTTTATGAAGTACGATTGGATTCTCCGGTCGCTAGGATCGGTTGGCAGGGTATTTTGTCCAATTCCACAAAATCCACAAAACCCAGCCGTCCCCACAAAGTAATTGGTACTGGGTACTCTGTACTTGCGGTTATCTTCAATCGCATCAAGATCCTCTGGGGCCAAACCACCCACCGTGCCCTTGGGGCGCCGTTAAATGGCACATGACGAATTATGTCGGTGGCACATTATAGGCCTTGGCATTAATTTAAGCTAGCCCTCGTCTCTACGTTGTAGGCTCGAGATTCATAAATATGTGGTAGCATTGGCCCCAGAGCGTATTGGCTCTATTCAACGGTGTAGAATGAGATTCCTACAGGACAACATACTGGTGAGATAGAACGCTTTGAACACATTCTTGGCCAATCAATAGTGCATATCTCCTGCCAGGATTCCACAATTTTCAAGTCCCAAGTAAAAATCATGCAACCGGTTGGAGAGGCCCATGTGACGATGATTCAGCATCGGAGGCGGTGCCCATGGACGTCACATGCCACGACGTCTGCTGTTTTAGCTCCAAGCTTGTTTGATTTTGCTTGTTTTCAAGCATCCAACGCAGATTTATGAGATGCCAATTTACAGCCCTTCATGAGTGGTTTCATTTCGTCACTGCTGATCCAACTTGGAATGCGACCCGCCCATCTGCCACCCCCACCGACTAGCCAGCCACATGACGCCCAAACTGAATCTCAGTTGAACGAACCGACAAAGGCATTGAAAAGTGGTAACAAAGACAAGGCCAATTTTGTTTCTCAACCGGGCCAAGATCACGGACAGAAATCTAATTGCGGAGATGCGGGTGCGGGGTCCCTGCATAGCTCTCTCTTCTTCACTACCCTACCTAAAGAGATGGATGGACAGAACCTGCAACTGGAGGGCACTCGATCAGTGACCCATAACACACCCGAACCCATACAAAACATAGCTACAACGACAGGCGGATTATTCGGTCCTTTGCCTGAAACCGATCCCACTGCACCTTTGAACAACTCGACGAGTTCGAGGAATCCACAAGCTTCGTACTCCACTGAGGCAGCCGACTCACATAATGGACCACAGACTGCAGCTTCTGTGGTAGCTGTTGATGAAACGCCACGAGCCTTGAATAATGTTTTGGACATTGATGTACCGGCGCAGTCTCCGCTTCCGGCAGATGATGGGATGGGAGTGCTCAGAAGCAAAATCATTGCGATAAGGGAGTTGCGTCTCACTAATGTTGAAAAAGCGCGAATGGTCCATGATTTGATGACAGAAGGTTACAACATATCCCGTGAGCTTCCAAATACCCCTGGAGCGATGGTGATCTCTACCCCTTCCAGCCCACGGAGTTCGGGGTCTCCAACGAGCCCAAGGACTCCTCGAGCCTCGGGGATCAATATTTCTGGACCAGGTTCTCCTAAACCGGAACTGACTCCGCTATATGAGAAAACATTCAATCTCACCCTTGAAGATCTGCAGCCCACTTTTGTTCCAAAGGTAGAAACAGAATTGCCAGACACTGAAACCTGCGATGAAGAATTGGACACGGAGGAACAAGAAGAGGCCACTTTGGGCTGTGTGCATTATCATCGCAATGTGAAACTCGAGTGCCACGCTTGCAAAAAATGGTACACCTGCCGCTTCTGCCATGATGAGGCTGAAGACCATTCTCTCATTCGCCGAGACACTGAGCATATGCTTTGTATGTTGTGTGGACATGGCCAACCCGCAGCGCAGAACTGTAGACAGTGTGGCGAGCAAACAGCACAGTATTATTGTGATATCTGCAAGCTTTGGGATAATGATAGCAAGAAGAGCATCTACCATTGCAACGACTGTGGTATCTGTCGAATTGGACAGGGGCTGGGGAAAGATTTCTTCCATTGTCAGGTAAGAAATTTTACAAAGTCGAACGATGTTATGATACTGATAATAGTGCAGACGTGCTCTGTCTGTCTTCCTATGTGCATCGAGACTACCCATCGTTGCATTGAACGGTCTACCCAATGTGACTGTCCCATTTGCGGAGACTACATGTTCACTTCTCCAGAAACCGTTGTCGTCATGCGATGTGGCCACAGCATACACCACAAGTGTCTATCAGAGTACTCCAAAAGCTCTTTTCGTTGTCCCATTTGTAGCAAGACCATTACTAATATGGAGTCGACGTTTCGAAATCTTGATCGTACAATTGAAAGTCAGCCTATGCCGGAGGAGTTTAAGGACACTAAAGGCCTGGTTTACTGCAACGATTGCGGTTCAAAGTCGGTGGTTAAATATCATTGGCTAGGCTTGAGATGTGATTTGTAAGTATCTCTTGAGGAAAACCACTGATGCCTACTGACAGTATCTAGGTGCGAATCGTACAATACGGCCCAACTTCGCATTTTGCATGGAAGCATGTTGCCCCAAGCTAACGAAGATTCCGAAGAAGATCTCCTTCCTCGGCCTCGATCATCTTCTCTGATTGGCAACGATGACTCCATGCCGTCCTCACTGGCAACACTGAGCATAAATAACACCTCAGTGCCCCGCTCACGGTTGAGTGTCCCAGTCTCTTCTGGGACCGAAAGACGGTTTTCGTCTTATAACATTACTCGAGGCCGTGCTGTCTCGCCCGTAGTCAGCAACTACTTCGGATTGCCAACTGATCGTGAAACTGAGAAATCTTCACCGATACCCTTCTTCGGAGGCTCATCTCGGGGAGAAAATGAGGACTACGGTGCTCTGAATTTTCTGAGCAAGAAGCTCGCATACCGATATGGACTATTTGGCAGTGAGACTAAATCCAATGAAAAATTATCGGAATCTGGCAATGAAGAAGACGATGGGGAGTCTTCTGACTCGGCTGAATCAGATCATGGCAATGAGGGGGAAGATGAGGATGAAGACGAAGAGGAAGATCGAAATCAAAATCACATTGAAATTTTCGGCCATCAATGAGGCCCATGCAGATCGTTCCTTGCGCTTGGGCCCAGATGGTTGATCGTGGGGTTGTTTTGAAAATGGTACTTAGCGGGCTGCTTTTATTCTCATCGGTTGCCCACCCGGCCAATCCTTGCACTTTCTCAATGGGCACACCGTTTGCTCCTCGACCAAAATCCTCTCCAGCTCAGGGGTTTAATCGCCAAAGCAATTCCAAGTTGCCTCCCATACCTGGCAAGGACGCACCCAATGACGCACTATTCAAGTCCCCAGGGCCGACACGGCTTTTCGCCGAGTTCTCAGAGTCGCCATGCTTCACGGTCTCGTCTGCTGGACACAAAGGTGTCTCAAACCCGATTATTCACTTTTTGACGCAATAAATCAAATGTCGATCTGATGCATTAGGAGCGTGTTGTTTTATTTCCATCAAGCAGCTGGGGTTGCTGCAGCATAGCGTTTTTTTCCTTCTAGTTCCCAACGTCATTAGTTTCATGGTGCAATGGTATCAATTTGATTTTTAATTGAAGATTCCGACTATGCGAACTGCACTAAATGTGTTCATTGTTCAAATGTAGTCTCGGTGACTGTTCTGCTTTACCAGCTGGAGCTCAGTCAAATCAAACAGAAGACCTCTCCGGTCCTTTGGAAGGGCGTACTTGGGCCATATCCTCCAGGTGAGCAATTGGGGCCTTCTCTCCTTCGTTCATGACGGCCATGGCTTCAAGTTTTTCAGATCTCCCTTCAGATTCCCCAGCCGCCACATTATCCAGCCCGCCAAAGATTGTGTCCATTCGCTCAAGAGAGATACCCTTAGTTTCTGGGAGAATGAAGTAGACAGATATCTGAAGAACACGGCAATCACTGGTCAGTGACTGAAAAATGAACAAGAGGACTGCTCTTAGACTTACCCCGGCAGCTACATTCAGACCGAACAGTAGCCAATAGCTGTGACCGCCGACTCTGTTGTTAAAGGATGGCCAAGACTGCGTGAGTATAATAAGCCAGCATGTTTGACCGAGCATAGATAATCCGAAGGCCTACAAGAAGTTGTCAGTATTATTTCTCCAGTTGCATTACTGTCATGCTAACTCGCCTTATCTCTGACATGCTGAGGGAAAATCTCCGTCACCACTGTTGGAGCAACAGGACCATTGGACCAACAATAAGTCAAACCAACAATGAACAACATTGCAACCTCCACAACAGCAGCAGCCTTGTTGCCATTTGTCGGGTAAGCAGTTGTAAGACAAGACATGATCAAGAGAGCCAGTGACTGAATAGCAAACCCAGCCATCAGCAGGACCCGTCGACCGAATTTGTCCACAGTGAATGTGTTAACAAAGACAATGAGCAGCTGGAGAACAGACTGGATTCCATTGATTGTCAAAGCCTGCGAGCCAGAGTCCCATCCAAGACTTTGATAGATCAGCGTGGCGTACATAGTAAGTGAAGCAATACCACCGCACTAGATGGGAAGTCAGTCGTACTATATCATACGAATATAAAAGATTCGCATACCTGCTGAAGACTCGCCGCAAAGACTCCGTAAAGCAAGCGCTTGCGCATACTCTTATCCTTGAAAAGCCCAACATACCCAGTATCATATCTCCGACGGAACTCATACGAAGCAACAAGCTCATGAAATTCCGTCCGGATACGTTCGTCAGTTGGTGCACCAGATCTGAGTCTGCTGAGGACTTTCAGCGCCCACTCGGGCGCCTCCGGGTGCTTCTCTAGCATGTAACGTGGGCTTTCAGGGTACCAGAACGAGATCACGATGAAAGCCAACCCAATAGGTATCTGGATGATGTTGGAGACACGCCAGGCGATGTTGTAAGGCGACTTGTGGAAGGACATTCCATAGCCAGACCAGAAGGCGATCAGGGTGCCGAGCTGATAGCCGAATTGGGCCACTGTTCCAACGAAGCTACCACGGAGCTTGGTGGGTGCGCATTCTGCAACGTAGAGGTTGGTGGCGATTGATACACACCCGAAGCCTAGACCTCTGATCGAACGAACAAGAGTCAGCAGTGGACTCAGAACCTGATTCAATGGCCTTATGGACTCACGTTAGAAGTCTTCCGAAGATTAAAACGCCGAAACTATTCGGGACGACTTCGACAACACTATGACTGGTCAATATCTTTCATATATGCTTCCATGGTTCAATCTTACACGCCAATGATCATGATGCAAATGGAGATTCGGAGAGCCCAGAGACGACCAAGCCAACTTGCGAGCTGGCCTCCAAACCAGAGCTGAGCGAAACCTAGTGATATGATTTAATCAGCTCTGTAACGATCCCAAGTTAAAGATAGATCGTGTATAATACCTGTCATTGCCCATGGTATCGTCGCAACTAGACCTGACTTGTTGTCGTTGATCCCATAGTACTCGATGAACTGTTTATCGGCCAGAATGACTGTCATGATTCCAGCATCGTATCCATTGAAACATGTTGAAAAGACCATGCCATACAACAGGAGGGCCGCAAAGCTAGAGAAACATCAGCCAAGAGCTCTCAGCTATCAAGGACATAGAGGTCTCTTACCGGTCATCCTTAGGTAAGAACTTTTCGATGAGACCCATTTCGAGAATGAACGAAAATCCAAGACCGCGGAGAATAGGCGGATTTTCGAGGACAATCCCCTCACAGCAAGCATATATACGACATCGAGCCATTCCGGGACCCCACATTCGGATTGAGCTCATCCGCGTGGAATACATGCGGAGTCCCCAAAAAAGCCTAGGCTGAACTGGGAATCTGGGGAAAAGAACGGGATTCCAAGCCACTCCACCATTAGCTTGTGGTTGGCCTGGGACTGGCTGGGGCTGGCTGGGACTGGCTGGGACCGGTTTCCACAGCGGTTCTGACCGCTGTTATCGTGGGGACTTCTTGGCCCCCATTGTCTTGTCCCCCGCCGGAGTCCCGGAGTCTCCCCCTGCAGCCCTAAGCACCGGCGGGGACAGGTTGTGTATTCGGCGAACGTGGGGGGTTCCAGGGTGCCGCTCAATCTCCGAAGTGCGCTTTTCGGAGGGGCTCCTCGGCAAGTATAAGGGTATCTCGGAAGGAGAACTTGACTTGGATGCTTTCCCTGAAACCTCATTCAGACTACAGTCATGGAGTACCCTCAAGAAAGCTTCGTCGCAACAACCTTCATCCCAGGATCCTTCTGGGAGCGGCGGCGGGAGGTAGTTCGCACTCAAACACTGCGGCATCAATTACAGATGCTCAGGCGCACTGGAAGATATGATGCTTTCAAGTTACAATGGCACCCGAGCTACTCCGATCCTCCTACGATGTGGCCGGTTCCTAACCACCAATTCTGGGACTCCGATATCGGAAAATGGATTGAAGGTGCTTGTTACTTGTTGACGGATCATTATGATGAAGATATCGACGCTGCCGTCAAGGAGCTCGTGCAAATGATTCAGAACGCCCAGCATCCTGATGGGTATCTGAACATCCACTACTCGGTGGTTGAGCCGGGTAAGCGTTTTACGAATCTGAGAGATATGCATGAGCTGTACGTGGGCACGAGTCTGAAGCTCCAACTGGTAATTTTTTGCTAATAGAGGCTTCAGATACAATGCTGGCCATCTGATCGAAGGGGCACTTGCCCACCATCTTTATTATAAGAATGATGAAATGCTCTCTCCCATACTGAAATATGTAGACCTTCTGGCAGCGACCTTTGGCGACCAAGAGACTCAGATTCCAGGCTATCCCGGCCATCCGGAGATAGAACTAGCACTCTTGCGCTTATACAGGGTCACGGGCAGCGAAAAACATCTCAAGCTTGCCCAATTCTTCATCGAAGAAAGAGGCAACCCCACAGGAGGCAAAGAGAAACGGCATTATTACGATATTGAATCTGATGCAAGAGGTGAGAACGCGCGTACGTTGCCCGTGTATTTCCCTGCTGCGAGGAGTTATTGGTAAGTTTTGATCATTCTGTGCTAGTCATTCGCTTCCGTGGCAAGGATATTCACCAAAGTTCCAGGTATCAGCAGGCTCATGTGCCAATTGCCAAGCAAGAAACAATTGAAGGGCATTCCGTTCGAGCTATGTACCTTCTCACGGCAGTTGCAGACTTAGTTCGGATCTCAGATCCTAATAGCAATATCCGAACAACCTACTCGCCCGTTGTGAACCGGCTTTGGTCCAACATGGTAGAGAAAAGGTCTTACGTCACTGGTGGTATTGGTGCCATGAAACAGTGGGAAGGATTTGGGATCGATTATTTCCTACCCCAGGGAACGGATGAAGGGGGCTGCTACGCGGAGACTTGTGCCGCAATTGGCGTAATGATGCTAGCAGAGCGGCAGCTGCAGGTAGGCTTTTTTTTGGTTCGATATATGCCTTCATTTGTTACAACTACTTATCTGTACATTCTTAGATCGAACTGGACAGTAATTATGCTGATGTCATGGAGCTTTGTCTCTACAATGCTGTATTGACTAGCATGAGTTTGGATGGTAAGGCATTCACATATGTGAATCAACTGGCCTCCTCAGACAAAGATCTCTCCCAGCGACACGAGTGGTTTGAGTGCGCTTGCTGTCCGCCCAATATCACACGCACCCTGGGATATTTGGGCGGATATGTCTGGAGTCATAGTGTCACTGGGCAGCAGGCCATTATCAACGTGCACCTATACACAGCGGCCACTCTGCGTCTCCAGGTCTCGGAATCAGTGGTTGAAATCACCCAAAAGACCGACTGGCCTTGGAACGGAGATGTAGATTTTAGCATCCATACTGAGGGAGCTCTTGTTGATCTCCAGCTGCGATTGAGGATCCCCGGGTGGGCGAAATCCTGGCAGGTGACTCCAAGCTCTGAACATCTAGATATTCGCAAAGGATATCTTTACCTTGGCTCTGAATGGCTGCAGCAACATTCGCAATTCCGACTTTCATGTCCGATGCAGCCACGTGTGGTCAAGCCCCATCCACTAACAATGCAACCTGTGGCATACGTCACGCGCGGGCCGATTGTGTACTGTGTGGAGGATGCTGACCACCCATGGGAACAAAATCACTTCAAGGTAAAATGCATCATATCTCGAGACTCCATGGAAAGTACGCTAATGATTGCTCTAGATGACCGTGTTCGATCCTAAGGTTCCTCTCCGCGAAGAGGGTCGGTCTCAACCTGATCAGTACATAGCCATCATCGCCGAGAAAGGTGCTAAGGGCGAGCTGGACACATCGCCTTGGGACGGGCAGATCATAGCCGAGGATAAAAACATTGCCGGGGAGAGCAAGGACTTGCACTTTGTGCCATATTATTTGCGATCAAATCGAGGTGGACAGGGGCAAATGAGGGTTGGGCTCCGTGTTGAGTAGATGTGTCTCCATATGTATACACATAGGTACATTTCTGCAATAAAATCGACAGAATGTTCAATATAAATCACTCGAGCAAGCTACATATAATAAGCTACTCTGTACGAAGTACTCTATACTTCATATGCCATGTACCCGCTATAAATAGCGAAGATCGTAGATCTGAGGTCATTACTCCGTATACATCGCTTACCTCAGCGGAGACATTCTGCTTGCGGCCATGGGCTTCTCTCGAGCCCTGGAGCTGTTGCGATTCATAATCAGACATGCTCACCTGAGCGATCCGTGTCTGGCATTATCTCCAAGTCTTTCAGTCAAGTTCAGTGATCTTGATCTTTTCCCTACTAATTTCCCTGAAACAGGCACGGATCCCTCCGCACCCCCAGCCGAGTGATGCGTATGTGTTTCTCTCCTTGATTCCAGCTTTCTTTATTGAACCTCTCTCTTGTTTCAGACTGGAAACCACTCAACCAGGAGGTACAACACAATTCACAAAAGAAACTCCTGTGAATCACCCACCCCCCCAATAGCCTCGTCCAATCTCTTATCAGTGCTGCCCCGCCGAGATCCCTCTCCCTCTCCCTTTGTGGCTCCGCATTCTCGCCCATACTATGATCCGTCGCAACTCCGACATAGAGATACAGCTCCCGGATGCTGGGCCGACACCTCTTTCTCCCGAATCGGCAAGCGAATTCGACGTGGAGATGCTCTCTGAGGAGCCGACACCTCCTTTGACTCTCCCTCCACACATCGCAGCCCGGTTCTATCGCAAAAGTAGCAAAGCACGCCGCTCCTCCGCCGCCTCATCCCGACGAAGCTCGGTATCTTCTCTCCACTCCCATCAATCTAACGCGGCGTCGAATAGTTCGCCAAGCGCGGACCATATTGCCCAACACCTCCGCCGCACATCCATTCTCGAGAGCCGAAAGGCACGACTAGCTGATCGTGCATTGCATGCGGAGAAAGTCAGGCTGCGAGCCGCTCTGGCTAAAGCAGCAACAAGAAATTTACAAATTGAAGAGAGAGCTTTAGCTGCCCAGCAGGCTCGCGAGCGCCTGCTCGCCGATATCACTGCCAAGTGCGAGGATCAGGTTAAACGGGCGAAGAAGAAGGCCGAGGATCAACGGGAGAAGAAAGCTGCCGAAGAAGCTCGGTTGCGTCTGGAAATGACAGAGAAGTTTGCGGAGGTAGAGAAACGGCGCGCACTGTACCAGAAAACCCACCGACGACAGCGCACCAGCAGCTTGCCAGCTACAGAGGAAAAGAAGATGTCTCGAGAGGTCACCAAATCGCTTACACAGGATGCAGCTGCGCGGAAGATCCAGCGCGTATGGAAAACCCATCATGCAAAGATGATCATGCAACAGTTCCAATCGTTGGGCTTGTCTGTGATCCGAGTTCGCGACATGAGCTTTGAGGAAGTAGGCGCTCTCCTCTCTAACAGCGACCTACTAGATACTATGACCCAAGTCCTCCGGCTCTGCGGCCTGCAAGATATGGAAGGTGGGGTCATGGGCTCGCGGGGTGCAGTACGCACATTCCTCAGCAGCTATCTCATCGTAACTCACCCCAAAGAGGTTTTGAGCTGCGATGGAGATCAAGAGCAAGATTTGATCACCAAGGCTCGAGAGCTGCTAGAAGCCTTTGACCAGGTCACTGCACTGCTATCGTCGGGTTGCTGTTCTCCCTCTGTGATCACTGCGGATCTCCAGACCCTGTGTGAATCACACAATGTGTTTTTCTCCGCTTTCCATGCATGGAAGTCTCACGACTCTTCCGTTTTGATTGAGATTATGGTTGCACAGTTTGTTGAGTTGGAACTGATATGGCAGACGGTCAAAAACGATAAAGCTGGTGGTGCTGCAGAAGATTACAGACAGGGCATCCGACAGAACCAAGTTCTGTTGCTTGCTCGTTTGAAGAGACTTGCAGGTCCTGACCGCCACATGGAGATGATCCGAGATTCATTGAAAACGGCCAAACAGGAGAAGAAGCGGGCTGCCTCAAAGCAAGCCATTCCTCGATCTGCGGGAGCCGCTCCTCCAACTACAGATGTGCTAACGGAGAGTGTGGCAACGCCTCTTAGCGAGTCTTTCAACAATATAGATGCTACAGTGTTCCAGGAATTGGATAAGCAGCGGACGTCCCCGCACGAGAGATTCACTAAGATCCTCACCCCTCTCCCTGAAAATCGGGAGCTGGTGCATGAGCTTCTCATCAACAAAGAATTCAAGATCGAGGAAGCACCCTACACTGAACCGCGCAGACATATCATGAAGCAGATGTGCGAGGCAATGAGAAAAGGACTTGAATCTGGAGATGGTGTTAATTGGACTGTGGCTATGGCCACTGTGATTCAAGATCGCTTGCTACGCTCACTCCAACAGGGCAATTCCCTTTACGTGATAATTAGTGAAGTCTTGGACCCTAGGCTTGTCCAAAGTCAATGCGAAGCTGGCACATTCTCCTATGATAATTTCTTCGAGTTCATGAACAACATCTTACCGCGACTCTGCGCTCCTTACCGAGACCCTATGGTCAAGGTATATATTGAGGATACCTCGGGCGATGCCATCGACCGGCTGGCTCGTTTGATGAGCATCATTGACCTGCTATCACTTGATCAAACGAATTTCATGATCCAGCTGGCTGCGCCCCAGCTCATTGAAGAAGCCCCGGGATACGAGAAGCGGGCGTTTGAGCGAGGCGTCACAGATGGGACAATCGGTCTGGGCAAGACGCGGCGGTTTTGGCGTATTCATCGCAAGATAATTGTTGATGAAATGAAGAGACGAGATCCGGAGGGCATCCAGGGAGAACCACATCCACCATCAGCACGAATCTACGCCCAGGGTCTTACCGACACTATTCTAAGCAATGCCATTGTGTCCGAGGATCTAGTACCCGAGACCCTGAGTCTCGACCACCAGCGGCTTCAACGGCTCCACGCTAGGGCGTTCCAAATCGTAGCAACAGCTTCCATTCTCTTGACGGCGAAGAACCTGCTCAAACGGGACGCACGTTCTCAATGGAAACCCGAAGCTGACCGGATCCTGTCTTTGAATTTCAACGAGATCGGTGCAGAGCGAGTACAGTCGATTCTAGAGTCCACACATCCGATGCCAGCTGCTGCAAGCGCCCAGCTTGCAGCTACGATCAAACGAGTCCTTGGACCCGTCGCCACGGCATGTCTCGCAGTCACGCCTCAGCTTGTGGTAACTTCAGAGAGCTCCGCCTCCGAAAAGTGCTTCTCGGCGACAGACTCGTACGGAAGCATGACCTCCGTAGCCAGCTTCTCGGACCCGGTGGCTAAGCTCATGCTCTCCCGGCTCCGGAATCATGTCCTATCACGCCTCAGCGCGTCTAGTGCGTCTGAAAGGGTACGAGCTACCACCACAGCTAGTCAGAACCTGGCTGGAGCGGGTATGCCGGAATTTGTTAATGAAGTTGGAAAACTAGTAGAAGAACTAGAGAAAGTCCGGGAGGTGGATTGGCTTTGCCACGGGCAATTCTACGAAGGTTTATATGAAGAAGGCGTTCCAACACAGTGAAGGCGTTTTCAAGAGGCATTATATACAAAGTTTTCATGTCTTGTTTCTTAAGGGGGTGTTTTTTTCGGCTTATTCGATTTTTTGGACTTTGGACTAGGCAGATTGGCAGGATTAGGGTATGGATTATAGAGTTTTATGCAGTGATCATGTTCCTTAGCCTTCAGTTCGAGATCAGGACAAGACATCACTCCGACAACACGACGCTAAAGGCACGCATTGCCTCATCTACAGGTAGATGAATCCATAGGGTATATCTGTACGGAGTACATACACATATGTAGAAGTCCAGGGCTATCTCTCGCTATCTCTCGCTATCTAATCAGCAACCCCACACCAAAAACCACACTCCCAAACCACTTTCCCCTCCAACTCAAGAGACAACCGGAAAAGAACCATGTCTTCCCGGAAGATCACAATCAAACATCTATCAGACCTCACCCCACCTTCTCAAGAACGAACTTGGCTCACAACCCCCCATCCAACCCTCCCAATAGTCGCAACTTGCAGCTCGGACAAGACCATCCGCCTCTACTCCCTCACAAACTTCACACTCCTTTCGACCATCACTGGCGGACACAAACGGTCCGTACGCACAGCAGCATGGAAACCGCACATGTCAGGCGAGTCTGTGCTCGCGACCGGCAGTTTTGATGCAACAGTTGGCATCTGGCGGAGGTGGGATAGTTACGGGCGGGAAGATGGAACTGGGTGGGGGACGGGTGGGAGCAAAGAGACCACAGCATCCGCAGCAGTAACTCTCAAGCCAACTGATGTGGACACTGTCTCAGACCGCGAAGAAGACGAGGAGGAATGGCGATTTGCCGTACTACTGGACGGACATGACAGCGAAGTCAAGTCTGTATCATGGTCAGCATCTGGCATGCTACTTGCGACGTGCTCACGCGACAAGTCGATTTGGATCTGGGAAGATCTCGACGATGGTGATAACAACTTTGAGACCGTGGCTGTAATGCAGGAGCACGGCGGCGATGTGAAGTGTGTTACATGGCACCCTACAGAGGAGTGTTTAGCTAGCGGGAGCTACGACGACACGATCCGACTTTGGCGGGAGGATCTGGATGATTGGGGGCAAGTTGCTTGCATTAAGGGGCATGGAGGCACGGTGTGGTTTTTGGATTGGGAGGGGGAGAATAATGTGCCTCGTGGTCCTTCCTCACCTGAAGCCGAGTCCGAATTGAGCGCTTTGGAAGCTCAATGGCGCACCCAAACAGCTCTCTCGGGACCGCGATTGATCTCCTGCTCAGACGACCGCACCGTGCGTGTGTGGCAGCGCCAACCGAAGGAAGCACAGCAACAAACGGCGCTATCGTCGGCTACGACAGGAATACCGAGCATCATCCGACCTATGGGGACGGATGAAGTGTGGGAGGAGAACGCCGTGCTCCCACTTGCACATGAGCTACCTGTTTATGCTGTCGCGTGGAGTAAGCGGAGTGGGCTTGTTGCTTCGACTGGTGCTGATGGGCGCATTGCGATCTACGAGGAGCGGATTATTGCCCAAAAGCAGGACCAGGAGCAAGATAATGCTGATCCGGATGCTATGGATACGACATCTGCTGATGAACTAACGGCATTGCGAACGGAATGGGTGCTTGTTGCTGTTCAGGATGGCGCGCATGACATCTACGAGATTAATCATGTCGCTTGGGCGAAAAGGGCAGATCGTGGGTCTGGGACTGAGGAAGAGGTGCTCATTTCGACGGCCGATGATGGCAGTGTCAAAGTTTGGACTGTGACAGAGTGACTTGTTTGATCTGGCATTGCTGTGTTGAGTCTGAGTGGTTTGGTATAGACAAAAGGCTCGGTGTATTTAGGACCTTCAAAGCTAGAACAATATGTAATGCAAAACATGAACAAGAGTGCGCAAGATGATTCATTCTCATTCAAGTGGTTCAAAATGAGATCGAGACCCCATAACACCGGCTACTTTATACAGATGAAACCCCAAAAAAAAAGCAACTCAGAAACCCCCATAGAAACCAGCAATTCATTATGAAGTCTCACGGGAAGAATCAGTTTTCGGATGCGAGGTATCATGATGATTCTCCTCGTCATCACTAGCCTCGCCAACCGCATAATGCCCCTGCTCAACGCCAGGAGAGTGAAGTTGATCCAGTTCAGACTCATCAAAATCACCAGCTTCAACATCACGGCCAGAATGCTTGCTCTGGAATCTATTGAGAATGGAGGTATTTCCAAGTATTTCATCATTTGAGACTCCCTTGTAGCCCCTGTGGGTGCGAGTACGACGACTGCGCCAGATGAAAAAGCCCCAAATGGTCACACCGATGATCACAACGACGAGGATAGCCTCGCCAGACTTGGTGTAAGCATGCATTTCAGTTTGCTTCAACTTCTCCTTCTCATTCTGCTCGTGAGCGGTGCTATTAGTCTGGCCGCCAACGGCAGTCTGCGGCAATTTCTCGCCGTCGATACGAGAATCCGAAGGCTGGCCGCCAATGCTGGCGATATCGACGTTCATGAAGCGGTCAAGCATGTCGCGACTCTGTCGGGGATTGTCGAAGGGGACCATGTGGCTGGAGTTGTAAAAGAGCACGTAGGTCAGGTTGCGGGCAGATTGGTAAATGCCAGCGGGCTCATCTTCAAAAGTCCAGTCATGGCGTGGGGCCCAGACACCCGGGGAGGTCTCGAAGCCGGTGCCACCCTTCCATTTCATGTTGTGGATCAGAGTTTCTGTTCCAATGTGATTGCAGATCAAGTCTTTGTCGCCACTAAAAAGCAAGACATTGATTCCCGATTCGATCAGGCCCGGGAGCAAATTGACGGAGGGAATGGAGTTCTTCGCGGTAAAGGCTTGGTGAACCATGCCGGAGCATTCTGTCCAGCCAGACTTCTTTGCTGGGTTAATGTTCAGGGCTTCGACGACGTCCGCGCGCTGGAGATACGGCTCAATCTGTTTGAGGTCGGGGGGCCAATTCATGCCACAAGACTTGGCCTCATCCTTGAGACGGACGTCGTACATGTTATAGCACTTTTGGTCCTCGGTGGTGAGATCAAGGAATTGTTGCAAAACCAACTCGCATGCGCCTATATCCACCCTGTTCTTCGCGTCAGGGGTTTCGAGCTTCGAGAGACAGGCCTCGTTGAGGGCATTGATATTGTGGTGGAGAGCTGTCCCCGGCTTGACAAGACCTTCTCTTTCGACAAATTTAAAGTAGGAAGGATACTGGTCTGCAGGGGATATCCAGCCGTTTCCGATCAGCAGGCCTTTCACAGGCCATTTCGTGCCTCCCTTCGCCGCAACGGCTTCGTTACGCTCTTGGACAGCCTTTGCAATATACGGAATATGCTGGCCGGCATATGATTCACCTGCGAAATAGAGCTGCAATGCAATTAGATACGTTGTGGATATGATAAGAGCACAGGAAACACGTACGTCATCGGTCTCGTATTCGGGGAACAAATCGAAGAATGTTTCCAAGAAGGTAATGAAGTGAGCCGCCATCTCGTCCAGCTCATGGACATAGCTATTGGTATTCGCATAGCTGAATCCAGTACCGACGGGCGAATCAACGAAGAGCAGGTTGGCAAACTCATCCCACCGGCCTTCATTATACTTCAATGTCTGGTCCTCATTCAGTCGGTAGGGCCCAACTTCCATCAATGCGCCATCCATCGAGCTACATCCTGGGCCACCATTCAGCCAGACCACTGTGCGCTGTCGGTTGGCGATATGGCGGTTCTGGAAATGCCAGAAGAACAAGTTGCCGTTGGACTCGGGATCGACCTCGATGTGTCTAATGTTGTCACATTAGAGACAAAATGCAAAGAGATTTACAACTTGAGATCTCAACCATGAAGGCACTCACCCAGCATGCATTTTCAGGTAAGGGCCTTCCGGTGCCCCTGGTAACGCGCGCACATAATAATCGGCAGCCGAGTTGGCCAAGACCAAGGCCGGGTTTAGCAGCGATAATGCAGACAATAACATCGCCGCACCACCCTTCGTGAAGGGAGAAAGGAATGGTATTGAGAACATTTCAGCGGTCCAGCGCGGAGAACATAAGAAAAGAATGAGAAAGTAGTCGAAGAGACGTCCCGGGAGGGACTCGTAAGCGCGGATCAATGGATCATCGAATGCGGACCGGGTCGAACGGCACAAGGGTATATGCGAGGAGATGGATCAAGCGAAAGAGTAAACCGGTCACAATGAAGGTGTGTCGAGAGGATGGAGTTGAATGACGGAGTCCAAAGGGAATCCAAGCTGGCGTGGCCTGTAATAACGAAACGGTACTGACAGGTGGGTCATCGGTGGGTTTGCCGCTGCTCCCTGTCTGTCCCGGGCGGTGTAGGGATGCAATTACCGTACGATACCAATGCGGTGGGTTGTCTAGGTACCTATACAATGAACCGTGATGCTCCTTTGGAGGACTTGATCTGTTCTGCATGTTGACTCTACAAGTATTCTATTTTGAGAGAGGGACATCGTAGGGGGGACCCTAATCACAATCCATTGAAACACCCGTTTCAGCCACTTCCCGACCTTATTATCGTTTAATTTGGGATCTTCAGCTAACTTAGAAAAGATCATCCAGGGACTTGTCGGCATCTTTCTTAATGAGATCCACCATCCCCTGACCGGTTAGTGTTTGACCTTCTTGGTGGCAGTTCATCACTTACATCGGGCATAATGGGCTGCTCATTGGCATCTTTGACATAACGGAAAGGCATTTCGGTGCGCTCGTGTTCATTGATGAGCAATTCCGGGTAGTCGACATATTGAATTTCCTCGAGAGGCACTGGCGCAATCAGCACTGGGGACCTCATATAGACGATTTTACTCGACTCACCCTTTTCGTGAACAACCAGGCGAGTGACTCGCACAGCAGTATCGGTAGTCATCTGCTTGGGCCCCAATCGGCGGCCGACATAACCCTTCTTTCTCAATTCCGAGGTGCGATCTGCGAACCTATCAGTAAAATGATACTCCGTAGCGCATATGGGAGTACAAGTACATACCTCTCGGCGGGTCATCACCTGCAGACGCAGTCAACAGTAAAAGAGTCAGTCCAAATTCAATTGATATATATGGCGGGGTCCAGAAAAAAAAATTCCTTACCGAGAATACCACCAAACAAGAAGACCTCAAAAGTATCTCCGTCCTCGGGGCTCAACTCGACCGTAGCGGACGGGTCTAGCAGGCAGACCTTCTCCTTGCGGTCGGCGAAGATATCCTCAACGCTACGCTGCTCAACCTCGAGGCCCTTGGTAGCGGCCAGATCAGCGGGCATCTGCAGTTCTGCGGGCACCGAGCTGAGCAAGAATCTTGCCCCGCGGGCATGGGATTCGCGTGCAATGCAGGCATATTCCAGCGTGGACCACGGGCCCAGCTCGGGATCCAAGTGTTCCACCACGAAGGTTGGTTGGGTCTTCTGATCGGCCATGGTGTGGTGTGTGAGAGACGTCACAGAAATCGAGGGCGGAAAAATGAAGAAGTTCAAGGTTCGGCCCACTGCGCATCACTTCGATTGGGCAGGTGACGAGGTCATGGACAATTGATTTGTTCGACCAATTATAATCAGATATTATTCTCAAATGAGCCTTGGGATGACCGTTCGACAGACCTTGGGGAGGTTTCCCATTCGATACAGAGGTATGAGGGCGTGTTCATGGAGTACCTACGGAGTACTCCGTACCTAGGTAGGTATTAAATGGCCTCCCACATGCTTTAACCTATACGTAGATTCTTTTCAAAATGAAAAAAGGGAGAATATGGTGCAGACTACTCGATAGCATCGCCGTAGAATTGCATCGATCGCCCTATGTTGTATAAGGTCTCAGGGTCCAAATTGGCTGGAGTCCAGCGTCATATATATAGCATAGCCCACTATCTCCAATGCCAGTGGATGGTCTCTGATTCCTCACATCTTTTTCCCCCACTGGATTGAAATGCGAATCAGTGATATTTAAATCCAATTAACTTCCCCCCCCTCCCCTTCTCGTTTCCCTTCTTTCCCTCTTCCCGAGTGTCACACCTCTTCTTCTCCCCGCCTTATCTTTCCCGCTTCACATCCCCCACTCCTAACTTTCCTTCTTTCTTCAACCACCACCATGAATCCTCATCAGCAGAACAAAGTAGATATCAACGTGAGTACTCTCAACACTTCATTTCTCTCATCACTGACAAAATCCCAGTCGCTGAGCCCAGAGGAGCAGCGCTTGCTGCGCCTTTACGGCAAGATGCCCACCAAGAAAGACGTCCTCCAGAACAAGCTCAAGGCAAGCCAAACTGCAGCCCAACCCCCCACCTACAAACCCCACTCTAACACAGCCCTTCTTACAGGAACGCAAATACTTCGATTCAGGCGACTATGCACTCAGCAAAGCAGGCAAAGCCTCCGACGTGGGTGTAACCAACATCGGGTCGCGCCACCCTGTTCCGGAGAACATCCCGCACCTGACATCGACATCGCCGGGCGCAAACACTTCCGCCAGCAACGGCAGTGTCAGTGGCCAAAATGGCCAGCAGATTCCTGGCAGCATCAGTGGCCACCCGGGCTCGATCGGGTTCCAAAGCCGCAGTCCCATCAAAGAGGGAGGTAGCTTTCTTCACCGTGGCACCAGTATTAGCGACGGCGAGGCGGGCTCTGGGCTTGCCTCTGGATCTGCCCGGGGTGAGCAAGAGCTGAGTGTTAGTCCCCCGGCTGCCAGGGAGGGAGTTCCTATTCGTCGGTAGACAGAGTACTACTACCCTTGCACTGGACTGCCACCATTCCAGTGGCAGTCCCGAGGAGGACGATCGTTGCATGCATATCTTTTGAAGGGGGGTCTGTGATTTCACTTTCAAAAGCCTGGCGCTATGGGAATTCGTTTTGTTTTCAAATGACTTTTATGTCCCGGGAGGAGGGAATGGAACGGGACATGAGTGCACTGCCGGACAGAGCAAGAGTGGGAGCAGAGGTCGCCAATGCTCGTTGGACTGTGGCCTTCTCATTGGCTATGCAGCTGGTGTCTATTCCGGGACTCGATCTAACACCACTGCCTAGTCAGTCAAGCACTGCCTGCTCTCTAGTGCTTTGGCCTTCTTTTTTCTTTTTTCTTCTATTATCACCATTTACCAACTTATCATCAGCAATTTGTGGCATTGGGATTGTATTTGGGTCATCTTTCTATTCCTCCCTTCCTCTTTTTCTGATCCGACCATTTTGCTTCTTGTCCATATTTAATTCATGTGACAAGACCTGTGGGTGTAATACTTGTGGCATCCCTTTTCGATCTTAATTCTCGCGATGATGAAAGGGGAAAAAATGGATGATCCATCTGCATGATGTCCGTTCGCATTCCTTGGTTGTCATGCTATATACGCGTGAATAGCCCAGATCTGTGATTCCAACACGCTGTTTCATGACTCTCCCGTTGTTGTACCAGCCATTCAATTTGTTTCGTACCTAATAAAGATAAATGGCTTGAAACCAAGAGAAACCTGACGTACCATAGCCGTAGATATTGGGAATATGCGACCTGGAAACCAATTACTCTTTGAAGGTTGAAGGAATGAATGACAATCCTCAAAACTTGAACTACTCATGTTGAATATATCTACCTCTACAGCACTTGAATGAAGATTTAGAAGAAAATTCAAATCTCTATCGAACCCCGGCCCAACGCCTGGCAAAGAATACAAGAGGAGAAAAAAAGGAGATATCATATGTACAAGGAACAGCTAATTTTGAGCCAGAACCACTGGACACATGGAATGGTTTGGGTGTGAATGAAGCAAAGTTCATCTGAAGGAGAGCGAGAACTAAACTAGAAGGCTGTGAATTGGAAGGTTGAGCGAGACAGCAGAGGGTATAAGTGCTGAACGGAATAAACAGTGATAGGAATTCAGGATGAACGTGGAAGAGAACAGTCTGAAAGAAAAAGGAAAGAAAAGACAACAGATTTATTTGGTATCGTCGGGTCATGAGATGGGGGCTGATATTGAACGGAATGTGTTTTGCTTCGAGACACAGAGAGCATATGATGTGACACACCGGGGCAATGTGTTGTTGAAGTAAAAGCATGGAAATTGGGGAGGTTTCAAGAAGATCACTGGAAGGGTTGAAGTTGACATGTATCAAGTGTAGAAAAGAAAAAAGAAAATACACCCATATAGCAATCAGAGAGGGCATGCCTGGCGAGGAAGCAAGATACAATAGGGTGAGTGTGACTTGGAACCAAATCTGATCAAAAGCGAGATCAGGGATATATGGCATCAAGGCGGCCGAAGCTATTCTGTAGGACTCTTTCGGCTGTGGTTGTAACAAAGGCATAGTGTCACTGGTGAGATGCCCAGATGAAACACCACCAAGCGACAATTTTCTTTGTCAAGTTAGTTGCGAGATAGGTCGCTTGGTTGGTTTGCGGTTAAGTGGGCTTGTGCAGTGAGAAAACCATAGCGAAGGGAAGCACAAGGGCCGACTCGATTCATTTTGAATTCCTGTCGTGTGTTTTTGAGCAATGACAAAGGCCAAACAAAGACATATTGACTCCGCGATTGTCATTCAGTCGGTTTTCCAGTGGCCTGCCACTCCGTTGTCGAGATCATCATTTTCCCCGAGCCACAACTCAACCGCATATAAAGATATCGTACATGCAAGGTTGATCCAACGCCACGGGTTGCCTCCGCCATTGCCTTGGCTGCTCCACCACTCGCCACTGCCGCCCATGGCTTGTGACGTGGATGCAAAGTGTTGCATGAGTAGACTGGTATAGACGGCGATTAGGATGCTCGGAGCGAAATAGCTCAGGAAGCCTAGCACTTGGCCTGCTGCGTCGTTATCGTCCATGGAAGCTTCCTGGGAAAGGGCACGGGCGCCAGACTCGCGGACAGCGGGGATGATGCGCGTCGATGCATACAGCACAAGCAGGCGGTAGGCGAGCGAGATGAGAACGGAGGGCGTAACAGCACTGAAAACGGCAGTGATAACGTTAAAGCCTGCGTGTATGATCGAAGGCAGTAGAGATAGCGCGTGCATGAGCTGTGTGTAGGACGCCATGATGATGGGAGGCAGGGGAGGGAAGTCTCCGACTTGTGCGGGCGAGGGGATTTGTTCCATGGGATGCGATGGTTGGTAATCCGTGAAGATCTGGTAGATGCAGAGCACGATGTAGGCGAAGAGGAGAGAGCTCTCGATGGGATTTCCACGACCGCTACCAATTCCCCAGGCACACAGGATGACGGCGCATGTGATAGAGACTCCAATCAAGGCGGCATCAACATTGGAGATTTCGGGGAATTGTAGGACACGCCAGAGGAAGTATACGGAGCTGGAGATTATTGTGGCAGATAAAACTAAGAGGCCGATCTGAGACAAAGGTTAGTTTATATTGCGCGATCGATCTGGAAACTTAACACATACCATCCAGCTATCGCTGCGACCCCCTCGGTTGACGAGCCAGCGAGTGATTTGGCCAGCGGCCTGGATCACCAATAAGCTACAAAATCCCTCTGCCAGCTGGAACACCGGCGTAGACCATCTCAGGAGCCTATCCCAGTTGCCGAGGGCCACTGATTCGACCAGGCCGTCGCGGCCAAAGAGCCACTCCTGGATAGAAGAATCTTGCGCCCTCTTGCCGCTGAAAGTGCGCTCCATCCACCCTGTACCAATATTATCGGCGTCGACTGAGAAACGGTTCAGTGACCAAATTAGAAGCACCAAGATGACGGCCCATTGTGTAAAGCGGAGAACAGCAATGATGGAAGAACGGAACCACGATCGCTCAGGGGTTGTGACCTTCAACAGCGACACGAGGAAATAAAAAGTTGCGAGGGATAGTGAAAAGGCCAGGCCACATGTCTTGCCGCCCACATCGAAGGCTAGTGGGATAGACGCGACAGTGACGGCGAGGAACAAGGCCGACGAAAAGACTCGAATGAGCCACATCGGACCGCCGAAGGAAGTGGGTACGCGGAACGCGAAGGGAGGAGGTCGAGAGAAGGATGCGACTAGGGATCAGAGGCAGCTGTGGTCGTGTTAGAGGTGGATTGGGGAGAGAGATGAAGGAGGGGGAGACACACTGTTTTCTTTTTTTTCGAGCTTATCGCTGGACGCTTCACGTGGGTCTAGACAGGGAGGACAGGGACAACAGAATAGTCAAGAAGAAAGGGGAAAAAACAAAGGTACAGTGGAATAGATCAGGTAAAGCCAAAAGATCAAAATTTCCTAAGCAAATCAGAAACCAAAAAAGCAGAAGTCTCTTTTTATTACCATAATAAGAAGTGTTACAGTCAAAGTGCAATCCACCCAGGAGTCAGGACTGGCGGTCGGAGCACTGGCTACTCCCTTCTGGCTCTAGTCAAATTAACACACCTTAGTGTCAGGCCTAGAAACCGATTCAAAGGTTCGATTTCGCTATTTATTGCTGTAAGAGAAAAGGGTATCGTATTTCGTGCTAGACTAGATAGTTAGCGTCCTGATCCACCATCGCGTGTCCATAGATCTTACATGTGAAGGGATGATCTGAGTCTGATCCATATACCATGTACGTATTGCTCTGGCATTCAACAACTGTGAATCTTATACTTGTTACTCGGAGCTTAAGGCAGAATCAAGTCGCATTTGTCCAGGGTTAGAACGGAGGTTGAGGAAATCATCCTACAACATACATGGACGGGACCTGACCTCGGCCTCAACCTACCTGTAGATATTTCTACAAAGTACAAAGAATGAACTGAGTTGTCCATTATACAATATACATTGGGAACATAACATTGCATCTCGCCTCAGAAGCTCCAATGATCTTCTAAGTTATTATTATCTTTGATCATTGGAAAGGACAAAGACTAGAAGAGTACTCCGTACTATGCCAAAGTTGCCTACAATCGTGACGGGCTCACACACCAGTAGGAAATCCCAGACTTTCATTAGGATTAGGTTGCAAGGGCATCTTTAGAGATCTCTGCATATCAATGCTGAGCTACAGAAGCCATAACAGCAACCGCAAGTGTCTGAATTTCGAGGTGTAGGACAGGATTTTTGACACGTTGGCCAGGACAAGATCGAGAGAAGATCATACTACCAATTTGGCATGGATATCCCTTGGAAAAAGGGACTGGTCTGTGATGATCCAAGCCATACTCCGTAATATAGACTTACCTAGGTATCGGCTCGCTGAGTATTGCTAATGCTCTTTGAACTCCAATGCATGTTGATGTACGGAGTAATCTTGTATACATAGATAGCTTTCAGTCACATGCTGGCTGCCAGCCCTGCTTTCAAGCCCTAACAACCTGATATGGCAATGCAGATAAGAGTCTCAGCCAGACAGAGCGCAGCAATTAATACGTGAATACTTTTTTGAGCATTCTTTTCTATTTTGAATGCTTGGATTCAAAAACTCCATCAAAATGGCTGAAAACGTTGCTAAGAAGCTGAAGACCTCGTCCCCCTTGATCGGGACACACAGGTGAGTTCCATGCCCCGGCGTTGGTACCTATCTAGCTTTACTCGCTCATACTGACTATAATAGCGGCCACTTCCACGCCGACGAGGCCCTGGCCGTTTATCTCCTCCGTTTGCTCCCCACTTACGCCTCTTCCCCCCTCATCCGCACACGCGATCCCGCTGAATTGGAGAAATGCCACACCGTCGTCGACGTGGGTGGCGTGTATGACCCCGCCATCCACCGATATGATCACCACCAGCGGACGTTCTCAACCACCTTCCCTCAGCACGCCACCAAGCTCTCCTCCGCCGGTCTAGTTTACATGCACTTCGGTAAGGCAATCATCGCTCAGAAGCTCTCTTTGCCCGTGGACCACGCCGATGTGGACCTGTTGTACGAGAAGCTGTACACCGATTTCATCGAGGCGATTGATGCCAATGATAACGGCATTTCTGCCTACGACCAGGCCGCTCTTGCTGCTGCCGGAGTCGAGAAGCGCTTCAAGAATGGCGGCATCACCCTCGCCTCGATGGTTGGCGACATGAACAACCCAGACCCCACCAGCCCACCGGGCGAGCCCCAGGACGAGGACAGCCTCTTCGGACGCGCCAGCACTCTCATCGGCAACGCGTTTGCGCGCAAGATGCACCACGCCAGCACATCATGGATGCCGGCCCGCACAACTGTTAGCTCCGCTTACGCCTCTCGCAAGGATGCCCACCCCTCCGGCCGCATTATCGTCCTCCCACAGGGCGGCGTGCCCTGGAAGGAACATCTGTACAATTTCGAGGCCGAAGCTTCTGGAACCAAGGATATTGACCCCGCTGCCCAGGTGTACTATGTTCTGTACCCCGAGAGCGCCAGCGAGGGAGCCAAGTGGCGCGTGCAGTGCGTTTCCGTGTCTGAGAGCAGCTTCGAATCTCGCAAGCCTCTGCCGGAGGCGTGGCGTGGTGTCCGCGACCAGGACCTCGACGGTGTTATGGCAGCGGAGGCTGAGAAGAATGGCCAGAGCAAGATCCCTGAGGGTGCCGTCTTTGTTCACGCCAGTGGGTTCATTGGAGGCCACAAGACAAAAGAAGGTGCTATGGCCATGGCTGAGCGCAGCCTTGAGCTGTAGGTCTGCGGTCTGGTCTATACCGAAAGAAAAGGTTGGATTTTTGATGAACTCTTCGATATTACGACTTCCAAACGGAATATATGGTTTATTTTGACATGATAAATGTTCCTTTCCCCTTTTCAACTGCAAGAGGTCCCCAACCTCGATTGTAGGAAATTTATTTGGTCTTGCATCAAAGCACTGGGCATCAAAAACGCATCTTATCCAGTAGGGAAACTGTGAAGTCTCTTTGAAGATTGGATACTGTAGTGCCCAATTTATAGCAGGACACCATTCTTGCTAGATCTGCTGTGGCGACTTTTGACTACCAATTGAGCACAATTGTCATTGCTGAGCGGTAGACGAGCAAAAAAAAGGTCGGGCATTCGGCGAGTTTAGATCCAAGCCTGGGAGTTTGAGAGGTTGAATAAATTTTCCGATCCAAAAAGCTTGCTAATGCTTTTTGAGATGGCATTCGGGATATTGGAAGTCTGATACGCATGCTGGCTGGGGTGAGACTGAAGAGCCGGCTCTTTGCGCTCCAATCCGGGTGCCTCCGAAGAATGCCAGAGTCGAGTGACTGAGGCTGTGGAATTGGGAAAACACGACCAAGCCCTCAGTGACGGATACTCAATGCACTGATATCCTCAATGCTCCCAGTGCCATCTCCAGAAGATGACATGTCCTTAGGTTCGATCTGAGAAGTTGAATCCTCGCGCTCGCCCATTGCGCGTTGGATGAGCTTCGCCTTCGTAGCCGCGCCTTTAAGACGTTCGTCCACATCATTAACAGCTTCCTCCTCATTACTCATATCCAGAGTAGCTGGATCGACGAGCTCAAGAAGTGTTTGGAGATTCCTAGCCAGTCGAGTGCTGTGTGGCGGGAGACTAGGCATGCCTTCGCAGATGGAAGGACACAGGGAAAGAGTCTCCGTTGTGCTATTCGCCTGCGCTGAAGCACCTTCGTAGGATTTCAACTCGAGCCTATGTGCCCAGACTAATGCCTTGCCGTACAGGCGTCCCATCTCGACAAACTTCTCGAAGCCTTTCTCGACCGCGAAAACGCTGCCTTCGGTATACCCGGTTGTCGCTCCATCTGCGGCCCCCAGTGCATAACCCTCATTGTAGAATTGCTCCTCCAGATCAAGGAGACTATCCAAGAGATTGTGATCCATGATGAGATGCAAAGACACAAGATAATGAGCTTCAAATGAGTAGTCCAAACGAAGAAGGCCTTACTTTTTTTTTTCTGATATGCGCGGGGCGGCATGTGACGAGATAGCCCACTTTTTGATTTTCCCGCCTTTCCCCCTCCAACAAAGACGCTCTTCCATTCCAACCACAAGATGACGGAAACCATCTTGCCTAAAGCTGGCGAGCGCAACATCCTCGTGACTAGCGCTTTGCCCTACGTGAACAATGTTCCTCATTTGGGCAACGTCGTGGGCTCCGTGCTGAGTGCCGATGTCTTTGCTAGGTATGACTCAACCCCATAGTATCGCTTTGGGCCATGAAACTAACAAGTAATTGACAGATATCACAAAGCCTGTGGCCGGCCTACACTGTACATCTGTGGTACAGACGAATACGGAACAGCAACCGAGACCAAGGCGCTGGAGGAGGGTTTGTCGCCGGCCGATCTGTGTGCCAAGTACAACCAGATCCATCAAGATGTCTACAAATGGTTCAACATTGGTTTCGACCACTTCGGCCGCACGCCTACCGAGAAGCACACTGAGATTTCCCAGTCGATCTTCAAGCGCCTGCATGAAAATGGTTTCCTCGGCGAGCGCACCGCCGAACAGCCCTACTGCGAAAAGCACGGCTCGTTCCTGGCTGATCGCTATGTGGAGGGTGAGTGCCCCCGCTGCCACTACGATGATGCCCGTGGAGACCAGTGTGACAAGTGCGGTCATCTTCTCGATCCTTTTGATCTCATCAACCCGCGCTGCAAGCTCGACGGCGCTGCCCCCGTCCGCCGTGAGACAAAACACATCCACATCCTGCTCGACAAGCTCCAACCGGAGATCGAGAAGTGGGTTCATCCCGCTATCGAGAAGGGTGACTGGCCGAAGAACTCGCGTGTTATCACTGAGTCCTGGTTGAAGGAGGGCTTGAAGGACCGCGGTATTACTCGAGATCTGAAGTGGGGTGTTCCCGTTCCATTGGAGGGATACGAGAACAAGGTTCTTTACGTGTGGTTCGAAGCCTGCATCGGCTATCCCTCCATCACAGCCAACTATACAGACGAGTGGGAGAAGTGGTGGCGCAACCCGGAGGATGTGCAGCTTTGGCAGTTCTTGGGCAAGGATAACGTACCCTTCCACAGTGTGATCTTCCCTGGCACACAGCTTGGCACAAAAGACAAGTGGACTATGCTCCACCACCTGAGCACGACAGAATACCTCAACTACGAAGGCGGCAAGTTCAGCAAGTCGCGCGGCGTGGGTGTCTTCGGCACCAATGCCCGTGAAACCGGTGTTTCCGCTGACGTGTGGCGCTACTACCTGCTGAAGAACCGCCCCGAGACCGGTGATACGCAGTTCGAGTGGGCATCATTCGTGGACAGCAACAACGGTGAGCTCCTCGCCAAGCTCGGAAACCTTGTCAACCGCGTCATCAAGCTCGTCGCCGCCTCCTACGGCTCTGTCATCCCGGAGTTCACCGTGCCAGAGACCTTCACCCCCTTCCTGGAGGAAGTTGCTGGTCACATGCGCCAGTACCACGAAGATATGGAAGGCGCGCACCTGCGCGCCGGCGTGCAGACTGCCATGCGTATTGCCGAGGCTGGTAACGGACTTATCCAGGCCAACCGACTGGATAACGCCCTGATTGCGAATGAACCCGAGCGTGCTGCCGCCGTCGTCGGCACTGTGCTCAACCTGATTCACTTGTTGTCCAGCGTATTCGAGCCTTACATGCCCGCCACATCGAAGTCAATTTTGGAGCAGCTCAATGCGCCTTTCCTCCACATTCCCAGCGTGGAACAGCTCAAGGACGGCTGGAAGCCCACTTCGCTAAAGGCGGGTCACAAGATCGGCAAGGCTGCGTACCTGTTCTCTCGTATTGACCCCAAGAAGGCGGATGAGTGGCGTGAGATGTTTGGTGGCTCGCAGGCGGACCGCAAGAAGAAAGAAGAGGAGGCTGCCAAGCTCGCAGCTAAGAAGGCTGCTGCTAAGGCCAAGAAGAAGGAGAAGAAGGAGAAGGGCCGCGCAGGCGCTGGTGCTGCTACAGGTGGTGTTGAAGGATCCGCTAAGGGTGGTGCGGAAAAGGTTTCCGTCACTACCGATGGCAAGAATGACGAGGCTGTTGAGAAGATCGCTGATGGAGTAGCGCAGGTTACTCTGCCTACTTCTTAGATCGTTGGATTCTTTGAATACATATATGCATCCATGCATGCAGCAGGATGGTTTAGGTGAGAAAATACAGGCGCGCTGAGAGGGACTTTTTCTAATGATTCTCTATGAGAGATTTGCATGGGTTGTGATTGGGGATCATCTTCTGGAGACATTCAACTCGGATCTTGGGAATTCTTCATTTTAACAATTAGCTCAACTTTAACAAGTAGCTTTATCATACGCATGCAATGAAGGTGTTATTTTTTTGATCACCGGCTCTTGTAGACGAGCTTGATACTGGCATTGAGTTGCCAGTGGCCGGACTGGACGGGGATTTATACATGTAGATTCTATACAGCTCTACAGAACGAGCAATATCTACTGTTCATTGCGGCGGCCTTGGACCAAACTATGTATTTAGGTCCTAATAGGTCATTTCGAATATGCAATAGCTAGGCTAGTAAAAAATCCCATTTGCACTTTCTAGGCAATACACGCCGATATGGTAAAAATTTCATTACATGCTCGTTGTAGCGATGGGGTAAAAAAAAACTGATCGGCGGACGAAGAATCCCCCCTTCCCACGCAAAAAAAAGAAATCAAAAGATCAAGGGTTGACTCAACGCTTGCGCGTGTTAGGTTTGGGCTTTGTCTCCTCGGGCCCAATAGGGTGCAGCATGACCTTGTTGACGGTCTGCTGGGTATTGGCAGAGTAACCCTTGCTCCAGTCGTAGCTGACGGCGTAAGCGAAGATATTTCCGGTGCGGTTGAAAGCGGTGGTAGTGATAGGCCCGCCAACAGCGGGATAGCCCTTGAGACGGTGCTTGGCATCCTTATCCCAGAAGTGGAAAGTGCCGTCAGAACCGGCGGTGCTGAAGGTACCGTGAACGGGGTGGAATGTGATAGAATTAACGGAGAAGATGTTGCAGACATCGCGACTTGCAGGCGGGGTTTCACGGTGACACTTGAAGGAGAAGTTTGACGCGGAGTCCTTCTCCTCGACGTACTGGATGGCGCAACGGCCCTCGACGGAACCGACGGCGAAGCCCGAGGCATCGGAAAAGCAGCTGACTACCCGCGTCTGCCACTTGAGAGGTGATTGCATGGTCTTGTAGAACTTGGTTGGCTGGTCGAGGTTGATTATGTTGATGTAGCGGTCTGCGGTACCGATGACTAGCAATTTATTCTTGACGTCCATGGTGTAAACACGCTCCTGACACTCGACGGAGGCGATTGCGGTAGACTGGCGCAGATCCCAATATTTGACGGTCTTGTCCCACGAACCGGTGATCAAGAGCGGTGATCCGCCAATGGAGGGATTGGGGATCATGTGGCAGCTTCGAATTGGGGCATCGTGTGCGGCAACTTGGGTTGTTGTGCCTGTTCCGAGATCGAACATGCGGGCTGCCTTGTCGGCACCGGCACCGACAACCTTGGTTCCATCCTGGTTAAGGGAAAAAAAGATGATATTAGCTGCTGTTCAATGGGCCTCGAACCATCATAGGTGGGATTGCGGAGGGGTTGTGAGCTTACTGGAGACCAGCAACAGTTTAAAACTGGAGCTTCGTGCTCGAAGAGTGCCTTTCCTTCACTCTGACCCTGGTCGTTGATTTCGTAGATGCGGACTTTCTTATCCCACGAGGCTACGGCCAAGTGTTCGTTAGTGGGTGAGAAGCGAAGATCCGAGATGCCATCCTCGGGGGGATTGTTGAGGGCGACATCCTTGGAGATATCGCCGGTGGTGTTGGTGTGGCTCGTCGAGGCCGACGTCGTGCCGCCGCCGAAAAGTGACATCTGAATGGGCGCAAGAGGTGTGTCTGAGTCGAGGGTATCAAGGGGGACAAAAGAGGGAATGAGCAGGCAGAGGAAGGGCTAAATTCACAGCCGAGGAGTCATGCAGAAAAGAAAGACAGTCAAGCTCAAGGAGAAGAGACAGAGAAGTCGATGATAATTGTAGCTCGACAGAAAGTGATGCGCGATGCGGGCAGAAAATGTATCTTACCGCCTTGCTGTCTCTGGTATACTTCAACGTTTTGTCTTTCCTTTCTGTATCTGTTGATTTTTCTTTCCGATTAATCGAATTGTCGAATTGTTCGTGTTGAACAATCTTCAAATATATGCTCGCAGCAATAGAGCTGCTTTATAATTGTCTGGCTATGCGGTGTGAGTTTCATCCAGGCAGCCCTGTCAGACTTCAGTTATCCGTTTGGGGAGTAATTGATAGATGTTACTCCATAAGTAGTTGACTCGATCCTTTTGTTCAAATCGCTCGGAAAATCACGAGCTGATACTGATGATGTTTTCTTTCTTGATATTATCTACAGTTTTAATCTTAGTCAGGGAAGACTCCTTCCGCTTTGTTGTTTCCGTGTAGTTGCCGAGCTGTCTGGAGCACCAATTTCCAGTTGACTACATGGAGTCGAGATATATCTCTATATATTTCTGGTCTGTTGAAAAGGCTCTGCGGCTTTGAGTTTTTTTTTTTTTTTTTTTTTTTTTTTTTTTTTTTTTTTTCTTTTTTTTTTTGAATAAGTGGGTGCAGAGTGCTACCAAGGCTTTTAGCACGATGATGCGGCAGTCCAAAGCTCCTTGGCTTTCTTCCTTGGTTTCAGCTAGCTTTTCTGTTGCCTTGGTGCTTTCAACTAGCAGCTCAAAACATCGCCAAGCATCGATCTAAGCGCAATGTGCAATCGCCCGGTAGGAGGCTAGTCCATTGGTCACTGATAAATGTCTTGTTCTACTTTATTTCACCATATCGGACAGCCCTATTATGTGGTCTGCGGTGGATGATTCAGACTGCATAACATACCTGCGAACGGTATCTACCTCGGTAGGTACCTACCTAGGTATATGACAACTCCTTTGAGAAACCTCACTAAAGAAACGTTCTCGGGTCTGGAGTACCTAGGTACACTTGATGGGTTACAAGTTACAACATCACTTTTCCCAACAGACCGATGGAAAAGCGAATTTAGCCTTGAACATTCCGTCCAAACCCGTCATCCAAATTAATCGACAACGCCATATAAAAAAAAATACATCATCCGTTATGAGCAAGAAGCTTATTGGGCATTCTCGGGTTTTGGGGCCACCAAGTCGCAATACGAGCGGTATGCCGTAACTTGTTAGTTAATGGACAGTGTTGGTGCTTTGTACGGAGTACGGAGCACGAAGCACCTCGTATACGGTCTACTGCCGGTAGGAACTATCTCAATAGAATGTGATTGGCGAATGAGAGAAATCCAGGAGACAATGCTAGTGGTGCGATGGAAGAAAGTACCGGTGGTGTGATGGATCATGTAGTGGACAGGTGATGTTCAGTAATCGTACGATTAATAGAGGTAATAGAGGTAGTACAGGTAATACAGCTAATACAGCTCATACCGCTGGGTTAATATCTGTTAATATACCGTGCGAGTAATGTACCAAGGACTACACCCCGAACGCTGATACTAACAATACCGATATAAGAGTGATCTGCCCTAAAGAAGTGGAGCAAATGCGGGGTGCAGCGCTAAGATTGGCTCCGCTGGCGATGTTGATGTCAGTCTCGTGTGATCCGGGGCTGCCGGGGTCAAGTCCATGTATAGACCGGATCATACAGCCTTAGAGCAGCCGGAATACAATTATCTCAGAGTCTTGTCCGTGGAATAGAGTCATCATCGAACGGGGGAGTGCTAGATACTATGTTGGGGGATAATGATGCAGGTGGACCCCGACATCCAGAGGTACCTCATTGTTGCAGACAAACACTATGTGAACAGAAGTAGCATGACATCCATGACTGTCACCCCCGCCCTCTCACAAGGTCACCTGCCTATTTCCCCTCTCCAGGCTCTTCTCCTTTTCCTCTTCTTCCATCTCCTGATTCATCTGGAAATTGGTATAGTCCTCCTCCTCTCCCATCTTCCATCCTTCCTAACCTCTACCAGATACACTCTGCAACCATGTCTGTCCCCTTAACCAAAGTTGACTCTGCTATCGCTGGATTGTCCATATCGGATGAGAAGCCTGATGCCATTGAGAAGGAGGTCAAGGGCAAGAAGTCCCACAAGCGGCACTCGTCAACCTCAGAAGGCATCTTCAACATCAAGGATCTTGGTACGCACTCCTCTCCCTTTAGTGCCAAACTCGTATTGACAATCACTGCAGAGACACAAAAGATAGAAATCACACTACCAATCGAAACACAGAAAACTGGGTGGTAAGGCTCGGGGTTCCCTTCCTCATCCATCAATGCAGTATCACTCACATCGGTCTAGGAAGCTCAACACCTCCCCATCAACCATTGAGGATAAGGACATCCTCAAGATGTTCCTCGTCAACCCACCAGTCAAAAAGATTGACTTACATTTCCCCCTGGGCCTAGAGGTCACCGCTCGAAATCTCAAGGGCGTCACAATCAAGGATGCACTGGATGCCATCCACAAGCAGTTCAAAAAGAAGGTCAGTGATTCTATTTATGCAGACAAAACGATGTTCATCGTGACTGACGCAACACTGCTAGGCGGATGACGAACTAGACAAGCCCTACCTCGCTGGCTTCGAGTGGGACAAGGAAGAATGCTGGACTCGGTTGATTGTACACCAGAAGAAGGAGGGTACACCACAGCCGAGCAAAAAGTCCAAGAAGAAGGCCAAGGAAGAGGCGTAGATTGGCATTGGCCGATTGACTCCGGTGCTCCATGACATGGAACATGGACACGGACAACTGTCCCTGGATGTCCCAATTGCCTTCGACTCTTTTTACGTTCCGTTGTCAATGATGATAATGGATTCTTCTACCGGGGACTATTGCCTCCTCTCGATCTGCAATATGTGACTTGACCTTCTTGTGTTGCCTTCTTCACAGTCCCATTCGGCTGCTCTGCGTTCACTGCGTTTCCCCTGTAGAAACAAGAATCAAGACGGCGCGAGGGAGATTTTTATTCTGATTTTATCTTGTCTTATCTTATTTCTCAGTCATTTCAGTGTGGTCCGGACTTATGTATCTACTCTGGGACCGGTATCTTGCCGTTCACTCCTTCCGATGCCCAGTGGAGATGGAATCAACTAATTCTCGTATTGTTTTTGTGTTTCAGGACCACGTAGGACGAACTGCCAAATGTCAAATGAAGACCTTCAGGCGTGTAGACAGATCCAACTGTGCTATACATAGATGATCCATGAATGGGTCGTGTATCCTTTCGGGCCAAGTAATCCTCTCTACAGCCCCCAATCCCAAATTAATCCCAAAGCGACCCCCAAGACTTGCGCGTCTTGATAAAAGCCTTCTCGGAGTACTTTGGTTCTATCCCCAGCCTGATATACTCATCTTTAACATTCTTCACGACATCGCGCTCGGAACTTGGCTCATATCCACCGCGACCCATTCCTGTTACCCCGTAATAAGTATAAAACACCAAGTCAAGATTCTTCACGCCAAACAGCTCCAAGTCGCCTCGAACACGTTTAGACAGGCCTTCCAGACCCCAGATCATCTCCGTATCGGAGTATTCATACTGGTCCCACATTTCGCTGAAAACCAGCGCCTCGAGGATGATGTCCATCCGCAGTCCGTCAACTAGTTCTTTTTGGTCATCCTTGAAGCAAATTACGTCTGTCAGCTAGAGCTTTCTCCTTCTGTTTCTTTCTCCGTTGCCTTCTTCCCCCTGTCCCTCCTTTTTGATCCAGACAGCAATGATATACAGTATCAAACGAGCATAAACAGATCCCTTAGGTATATCACTACATGTATATAAGATAAGATAGAAGCACTTACTAACGCCGTGTAATGATACAGGCATTGCCCGCCATGACCTACACTACTCCGCAACAACGCCAGCGTATACACAGGGGGTTGCTGGACTAGCATGCGGCGCCAGCTGGCTTCGGGTCGGATGTAGGCGTTCAGCTTGCGGGGTCTGCGGACCATGTCAAAAGTGGTAAATGTGAGTTCCGGGATAGAATTGCGATTGGAATTGCCGTTGTGCTTATGATTGGGGGTTCCATCACGATTGCTGCTAGACTGACGGAAAACCGAGGGGAACGCCTCGGCTAGCAGTGGGTTCTGGATTTTGGCTTTGTTGAGGGGATTGTCGAGGGGTCGGAAGAATAGAGCCCACTGAAGGGGTCGAGAGTCGTTGATAAAATGGGACCAGGCGCGGCATACTCGAGTTGCTTTTGTGAGAAGGGTCCGGATGTCCAGATGGAGGAGGATGAGTTCGAAGATCTCGGGGATGGAAAGGGCGTGGGATCGGGCTGGAGTTGGATCCGAGGATTTGGCCATTGGGAACTAGGAGGATGAACCCAAGCAGAACGAGCGAGTGAAGGGAAACTCGAAGGTTCTTTGTTTTCCAGTCGGGCAAAGAATTGAGCCACATTATAGATCACACACGTGATAGTTACTTATCTTGGCGAGACTGTTTACGAGAGGTCTCAGATGTGGATATATATAGCATTAAGCATAGATCATGTCCGCATGGAAGTATATACAGAGCGTGTAAATGGAAACAGTCATGAGCTATGGCGTGGTTGGAAAACAGAGAAACAGAACATACTTGCATATCAGATGGCAGAAGAGTCGTAAGAAGCCACGCTTTAGCCTAACAAATGTAAAGGGGGAAAGGCGGGCAAGGGAAGAGGAGAGTTCTCTCAACGAGATCGACCTGAAGTGCCGAAAAGGACCAGGACAATTTCGTCGAGGATTGTAAGAACAAGATGGGTATTAAGATGCTGGTTATTGAGGGTAGCAAAGATCCGACGCGCAGCAGCCTGCGCATTCGCTCTGCCGACAACGTTGCCCGCCAAATCTGGGATAAGGGTCGCCAGGACTACCGTCGCCTCGGTACGACTCTTGAGACGGTCAGCCACTGAGCGAGGAGGCACTTTGCGGAGCACACCGCCCGGCCAGAGGGTATCGCGGGCGAGGTTAAGGTACTTGAGGAGCGAGTCATCCTGTACCAGACCACGGGCTCCGTCACGGACTTTGCGCTCGATCGTCCCACCAAGAAGTTGGTGGAGGACAACAACAACAGCACGGCCGCGCAACCAGTTGTTGCCACGGTTCAGCTCGAAAGCTTCAAGGAAGAGATCGCAGATGGGCTTGATGAAAGGCTCAAGCTCCCGATCTTCGAAGGCATTCAATTCTGCTTCAGCTTCTGCAGCTGTGACAGCATCCTCGGTCGCGAGGCTGGAGTCTGGAGTGGTAGTGCTGGTGGCTTGTTGAGTCGCAGCCGCGATGAGGTTTTGGCCTGCAGTAGATAGTTGATCTAGCACGCCGAAATTGCCAAGGAAGTCGTCCATGCCATCTGCCACGGAATTGTAAATGCGTGTTACGAGGTCTTTGGCTTCGCCTTCGTTGTCGCGCGCATTTTCCTTGTGGGGGAGGATGGCACGTTGGGACAGGAACGCCCGTAAATCACGGCTGCGGCAGACCTCTGGTAAAAGGAGGAGTTTCTGCAGATAGGCTTCAAGAGCGAGTCGTCGCTTGTGAAGAAACTCTTTCTGTAGTTTCATAACGACGCGCCGTCGAGGGAATTCCAAATGCCGCACGGAGGGATAGCGTTGGCGTAGTTTTTGATGTAAATCATGGAACTCGCTATACCGTCGTGCAACGACCCATGATGCAGCGGGCATTTGCTCGCCGGCGTTTCTTTGGACCTCTATAACGTCTGAAACAAATAGTTAGCCTTGACCAGTCAGTACGCTAAGGGGCCGTCTTACACATTGCGAATTCGCGGCCATCATCCTCCTCTTTGCCCACAACGATAGATTTGAGGCTGATAGTGGATCGCCCAAACAGGCTGTTATCACTTTCCTGAAGAGTGTATTGTTGCCTCTGCATTTCCTTGCGGTGCATTTCGCGCTCAATGCTGGCCTTAGACTTGCGCAGAATTCTCAGCTCCGCAGTATTATTTGTCAGTTCAGCTTTGCGTGTCAATGCTTGAACCACAGCATCCTGGGCTGCAAGCTTGTCGATATCCACTGAAAGCGCCTCAATTGCTTCAGTCAAGCCCAAGTCACCGGGTGCAGCTTCGTGCACCTCATCGGCTGGGTCTTTTTCATCGACGCCGTCTGGTTCTTCGTATTCGTCTTCGATGAATTTTTGTTGATCTGGAAACAAGTCATCATCAAACACGCCGAGTCGTGATGCATGATCTACAAGACCAAGCGATGCGATGCTTTTCTTAGTTCTTTCATTCCGGTTGTCAACCTGAGGAATGTCAGATGAGTTGCGTGGCGAGAAAGTAGGTCGTTCTGCTCCGAGCAGACCAGCGGCATCTCCCTTGAGATCTTCAATCCTGGTGTTTTTTGGTTCATTGGTAATGATATCGTTCAGCGCTGCCTCCATCGTCTCGAGAACCTGACTTTGGCTCTGCCCGGCATCGTGCTCGCCGTTTTGAGAATCTTTACCCAAACTATAGGTAGACGTGGCGAGATTGTCTGTATCATAGTCCTCATCAAAAAGAGGAGCAGATCGCTCTGAGTCTATCGATCGCCGTGGAGAATCATCATCATCGAACAACTTCCCCATACCTCGCACATCGCTAGACGATACAGCTGCTCGTCGAAGGTCTTTAGATGGTCGTAACCCTGGCTGGGAGGTAGTTCGTGATAACAAAGGGGGAAGAGGTCGTCTTTCAGGGGCTTCAAAAGTGACGGCTATAGGGGAGGATTGACGAGCCACTTGGGCAGCAGAAACTTCATCGGACGCCAGGTACTTCCAGTATAAATCGGATTCCTTAAACTTCGGGTAATAAGTATCTTGGAGATGTTCTAAAATGGCTGACTGAGTTGTCAGAACTACCATTCGCGCTTTGCGGTATTGTTCCGGGGTTGCACGCTTTCCTGCACTGAGAAACGTCTTGACTGCTCGGCGAGACTCTTCGGAGACTTTCAGCTCTGGCTTTGAGAGATAGGTCTCACTGAGAAGAGCTAAATCGTTTCTATCGGCCGGCTTCCATGTTATTGATGCTGGCTCCGCCTCATCTCCAAAATCGTCTTCAAGTGGGTTGCGGAATCCATCCACGACAATCCAAAACTGCACAAGAGACATCAGCTTTTGGCGATCCATAAACTCCATGAAATAAGAGAGACCAGATGCACTGTGCATTACGTCAACCAGCGAAGCTTCATGCGTTGTAGAGGGGATTTCGGGTCGAAGATCTAGAGATGGAGGGATGTGGGAATTCTCGCCAGGTTTAGCAAGCTTCGCCACTTTCTGGTCAAGAACACGTTTGCCTGTTTCCAGACGCCTCAAGTACACCTGATCCTGGCCCTCGACCACACTCTCTTGTTTCAATTGGCTAGAAACGAGAGCACGGAACCGACGGGCATCGGAAAGGTTGTTGCATTTTCTGATCGCTCTCATAAAGCGCTCAAAGGCTCGCTCTGAATCAGTTGGCGACAATCGTGGAAAGGGCTGCCCACGCTTAGACTTGGGTGCAGGAGACGCATGCTGATCCAATGCGGCGCGCAGTTTGCGTACAGTCTTCCGATCCTGCAGGGCTGTACGACCATAGGCTTCCATTAATTGGTTCCATGTATCTGGATCTGACAACGAAGTGACTATCGGAAGAAGCACAGCGCATGATATAATCTCGCGAATCAGAACCGACACAATCCGACTGTTCAGCACGCTTTCTGGGAATAACTGGGGTAAGAGGCCAACCGCTAGTTTGCGCAGATACTCCTGCTGAACCGATCTTTGATCGGACATGGAGGGTGTAACAGCAGGATGCAATCGACCTTCCCGGTACTTGTTTGCAATGGCCAAGTCGAGCTCTCCAGACTCGGTCACATTTCGATTGAGATTCCGCCCCCGAACAGAACGCTCAGCAATGTCAAATTCCTTGAGATGCGATGTTATGATAGGAATAATGCGCGACACTATCAGCGAAATCATGTCCTCTGCAACCAATCTATCTCGGAGATTTTCGAGGGCAACACGAATCGTTCCATCAACCTCATTAGCGAAAGTAGGGTTCGGACTGATACTTTGATACCACGAAGAAACAAAATCCCGCGTTATGAAAGACAGAAGTTCATCGATGCCTTCCGATACGATAAATGATTGTGGATAGAGTGGCCGGGCTTGGTATCGCGTGCTTCGACGGACATTGAGCACTTCCTTTCGCCATTGATTTGGTTTGATAAAAGCTACCGAGACGTTCTTCGCAGTATATTTGTCATTTTGTTGCCGAATCGTCAATGTGACAAGTCCCAAAATACCCGCAGAAGATAAGATGGCACCCAATGTCACAGCATATCCTAGGTACCTCAGTATCGGTAGCCAGCGAACAACCAATCCCCAAGCGATGAAAACGCCGATGCTCGCGAGAACTAGATCGCGACGACTAAGGGCCATTCTCCCCGCGCAGTGATCTGAGCTTCACAGCTCATAACGATCACTCCCAGGACTTTGGGAGCGAACAGCTCGGCATAGTATTATGGTCGCAATTGATGGGGCCTAATTGGGGAAGCTTTTGCTGTGACGAACGTCCTGGGTCGAAGTCGATATCACGTAAAGCACAAGCCCTGGAGGTTGAAAGAGGACCGAGATGCCGATCTTAGCTCTAAACGTGGTATCAAAAAAGAAAAGCCAAGCAAAGCGTCGACAAGGCTACGATCCCGTGACCCGTGGAGGTGGAACGTCATTTTGTTTACTTAAGCTGTTGATCCGGCCCCGGGGAACTCGGCGCCCAACTGTCACCGTCACCTCTCCCCTCTTCCTTTTCCTCTTCTACTTTTCTTTTTTCCTCTTCACTTCTCTTGGTTTTTGCTGGATTCTGCGTCATGGCCTCTCTTACGGATTTTGTCGATTTTTCCTCCAAGCCTTTACTATGTGAGTCGAGTGCATCTTACAGAACCTCAACAATTTGCATGTGATTGACCCCAACAGGGTCTGCTGGGACTATCGCTTTTAACCCAATTTTCTGGAAGTGAGTGTTGATTTTGGTGGTCCAAAAAAATTCAATCGCTTTGGATTATCTACATGAGCAATAGCTAATTTGACTTGCCCGCCAGCATTGTTGCCCGCACAGGTTGGTCGACTCTACCGGATGTCGCATCTCAACCTAAACTAACCAACCGTTGAACAGAGTATCGCAACCACTTCTTGACCCGCATTTTCGGAGGCGCGTACAACGGTTGCTACTTCCTTGCGGTCACTATCTTCTCCCTTGGAATTCTCCGTGACCATGTCTACCAACTTGCCCTGGCTGACCAGCCATTCTACGCTCCTGTTCACCAACCGCTCATCGGTGGTGTCTTGTTCGCTATCGGTTCAGTCCTGGTTCTCTCCAGCATGTGGGCACTCGGCGTAACCGGTACCTATCTTGGCGACTACTTTGGTATTCTCATGGACGCTCCCGTCACCGGATTCCCGTTCAACGTGACCGGCTCTCCGATGTACTGGGGTAGTACCTTGAACTTCCTCGGTGTTGCTTTGTACCACGGCAAGGTTGCTGGTATTCTGTTGACCGCCCAGGTCTTTGTCTGCTACTGGTTCGCTCTTGGCTGGGAAGAGTAAGTGACCATTCTGTGAGCATTTTAAGGTCTGAACTAACGGTTTAGTCCTTTCACCGGTGAGATCTATGCCAAGCGCGAGCGCGAGCGTGCTAAGAAGCAGGGTGGCAAGAGACAATAAGCGCCATGAATGTATACATGTATACTAGGATTGGCCGGGACATTCAACATCCACAATCCGCAAACCAAAAGAGAGGCCGAGGAGAGGCCAAATTGCTCAGGCAGCTTGACGCCCATACTTGAGTGCTGCTCACGACAAATTCCCAGCATATGGACGCATCCAAATCTTCAACGAGGCTGGGCCTGTAGACGATAGACATATTGGCCTTGCCCTTTCTACTGGGGATGAGTAAAAGAGGACAAGGCCCCACTGTGATTTCCCTTACGCGACTACCAAACAATTCAATCCACCCATCGCGACAGAACTACAGTACAACTCTGAATTAGTAAACCTTTGTGACTGCAGGTGCCTATGATGATTACTCAATATGTGGCTTGGGGGTTGTCTTTTTACGTGAAGCAAAGTAAGAGATGCTATCTACAGCAGACAAAATAAGACAAAATTTCAAATAGGAAGCCTCATGCATGTCTTTCTTACTTACCTCGTCGAATTATGAAGGTGTGTCCTTGGTCTTCTTGGGCTTTAATCTAGTAATAGTTTCGCCAGCTTTATTCCTTTCGGGTAGAGAAGACGACAGAGTATTCTGTATGAGAACTCTTTTCATGGTATAGGCTAGGGCATTGATCTTCGATGATGTAAAGGTTTGTAACCCTATAGTAGCTATGCTTCTAAAGCCATTGAGTTATCGGTGAGAGAGATCAAGGTGCGAGCTCTATATCCTTTTTTGCCCAAGTTGGGACTGGTATCTCGGTACAACGCATGAGAGACGAAAAGTGACACCCATATGAAGATCGAACGCTCAACAAGAGACTCTTCAAGCTAACCCGGACCTGTCGTTGGCGTCAAACATCTATCCATTGCATATACCTATTACGCAGGTGCGTTCTTCCAGGTTTATCAGACCACCTATAATTTTCCAAGGCTGTTTCAAAGCAAACCATCTGTTCTTAACTCTCTCCACTCCTCCGGTTATCAGATACAAGGTGACCACCACCTCAATCAGACATCTCTGTCCTGATCCAGTGCAACGCACTGCAATTAGAGTGCATTCAACTGACAGGCAAGTGAGGGACAAAGCATTCGGTTAGATTTGGAATGAATACCAAGCTAATAGGAACCCGTACAAATGGTCTAGTTTATCTAAGAGACTAAGACTTGCGCTTGGGCGATGACGACCGAGCTCATCGTGACGGATAAAGTCACGGGAGCTATAACTGTCTCTCATGCAAGCTGGTAGTGAGATCTACCTGATCAGGAGCTCAATGTACATTGACGAACGTTCTGTGTTATACCAGATCGCTTGATCCATGCATTATGCAGCTACTTCCTATGAGAGTTCGGGGCTAATACCCCCAGTGAAAGGTTTCTTCAAGCACTTCCGAATATCCCATGGGAGGTACTAAGGGCAAGAGAGGCAAATCACAACACTTCGTCTTTTCGCTCGCCAGGTGTCAATCAATATACAACAAATACACAAATACCGTCCTAATAACCCAGGCCTACCTAGCGCCTCAAGCTTCTTGTTTCCATTGCATAGTTAGCTTGGTGCTCAATCCCAGACGCATCAAGAGATCTCGACCTTGAAGACTATCTCGCAAGGTTGCTAGGATTTGGAACCCCCGAAGGCGGGGGATATAATCAGAGTCAAAGCGAAAGAATATACAACAGCAGGCGGCAAGCCTTGAGGCGTCACTAGAACCCCGACGCGCAAGGTGACCTGCAGGCGCCGAAATGAATTGTCACCTGGGTATGATTCAAATGGGGCATACAACGGGGAACAGTGTGTCACCGAGCTTGAGAGACACAGGCCGACTTCACATATGTACCTTCCCAATGCCCCTGTGACCAGGGATTTGCTGATGTTGTGTGGTTCAGGTACATTTGAAGCTTTGCCTTCTGCGTCTGACCTGGGATTCGAGGACTCTGATGGTCCACCTTTGCGCAGTTCGCACAATACACGCAACCAAAGATAGGTCAGCTAATAAAGCATCACCATGCACGCAATGCCCACACCTCATGTGGACATGCGTGCCCTACTGGGATGGCCACAGAGGACCATTCCAGTTGTTTGTTATTGTCAGTTCCACGCGTTATGGTAGGCAGTGTGGGATAACTGTTTATACATATGGAGTACTTATATTCTGTTGAATCAATGATGCTTGCTTACTGTTGATTGCTTTGTTATTATGCTCTTTATCATTTCTGGGTTGAGCTATTCTGAGGTAAATGGTACAATGGATGCTCAGACGAACCTGTTTAGCAAGTAATTTTTGGCTTAGAAATGACAGAGACACTGGCAAGGTCAATATAAAAAGTATTGAGATGCGTAGAAAATTCCATTTAGATCAACAGATTGGGTCAGAAGACCGAATGGGGAGCTACTATATTAGTGCGGCAGGTTAACAAAACCAATGTTTATAATTGAAATAAGGGTATATACCGACGCCACATGAATCAAAGAGCCCAGCTGTCAAGAGAACAGAGACAGAAGGATAGTAGGTAAGATCATATCACCACGAGACACAAACACCTTCAACGCCTCGCTCAGATGCCCTAAAACATGACAATGACAGCCAGAAAGGCCAAAGCGAACACCAAAGAGAAAGGAGGAGAAAAGCAATGAAGCACACAGTCCGAGGTGACCGTGTCAGTAGCTTGTCCCTCTCACTGTCGCCTCCCCCTCCCCCTCTTCCCATGTGTACGAGTCTCATCAACGGTCTCAACCTCATCCTCATCAGTGCCCTTCTTCAGATCCTCACCCTCGGCAAGCCCCCACTGCTCCCGATCATACCAATCTTCCCCATCGCTCATCTCACCAACATGTCCCTCGGCTTTACACCATTCCAGGACATCCGACTTCATACGGCAAGCCACGTTAAGCGAATAGAGCAGATGCTCCACCCCGCGAACTGTCTCTTCTTGTTTTTGGATATACGACCAGAGCAAGCGGCGGGTGTCTTCGGCCTCAGAAGCAGGAAGACCGAAGTTTGCGTCTGCGCGGAGGTTCTCGGGGATAAGGAAGAGGGGATGCGGGGTGGGTAGTGGAAAGGCCATATCCGCAGAAGAGATTGGGGAGCCACTTTCGGCCGGATTTACGGCATTAGCCTGGGCGCGCGTTGTCATTCGACGCGGCGGTTCGGGCGAGGACCCGTCGTGCATTTCGAGGTCTTGTTCTGTGTCGTCGCCAATTTCGTTCGACTCGGTGGGCTCACCGTCCTTGTTTGTAAACATGTCTTGTGGATTTGAGTCCGCCCCGGTTGCATTGTTGTTGCTCTCCTGAGCGGAAGATTCGGTATCGGGGTGAGATGGGAGGTCCTTGACAGTGGCATCGGCATCTTCCGATTTAAGCTGCACGTCATGCCTGGTGACTTCCCCCTCAGTTGCTGAGACTTCAGTCATTTCCACGTCATTCTGCTCTGAAAAGGGTAGGGTTGCTGTTCCGTTCAGTACATATCGAGCGTCCTCGGTGATTATCGACGTATGTACGTCCTGTGTCGCATTCGGTGGGCCATTGGTATTCTCAGTGGCGGATGGCGTGCCTGTCCCACTCTGACCCTGCTGACCGGTATATACGCTTGGGTCATTGCTGACAGGTCTAGGGTCGTAGATCAAGTGATCATTCGGCGTCTCGAGCACACCGCATGGCATCCATGTGCTATCTCCCAGGAATTTCCTATGCAAATTCCTCGCGCGCCAGAGCAAAGCACGTTCCTGGCGGAGCTTGTGTTCAACTGCTGCGGCCATATGATCTAGGGCTTGCGATGTGTATGGTTGGGACATAGAAGGATGGGTTGGGAGTTCGGAAGGATGCTTTAAGGGACACAGAAGAGCTAGAGGAATATATAGATCAGCCAGTAAACTACAGACAAGAATCAATGAGAAGAAAACTCACTTTCAAGCGCAATCCCAGAGAACGGGTTCTCCTCGGCAGCCGCAGCATCAGCCTCGGAGTCATCATCATCATCGTCAAGTTCGTCTCCCTCCGAGTCATAGCGAGCTGGGTTTGGCTGGAGAATGTAGCGCGTATAGCCAGCGTGATCAATTTTCTATTTACAGCATAACAAATGTCAGTTTCCAGTTCAATTTATCACCACAGCATCCGGTTCCCCAGTAATTCACAACCCACGCACCTGCTTGTAGTATTCCTCGGCATTTATGTACCCCATTGCACCCTCGCTCACATACTTAGCATTAGCATGCATCTTGTTGCCCCGATTCGTCGGCGCCATAATTGGGTCATCCGGACCGTTGTCTATCGAAGAGAGACGTCAGAAACGTCATGCTTGAGACGCAAGAAATCTGGTCAGCAACTTACCATCACGCTCTCTACGCAAGGCCCGCTTCATGCCGGTAATGGTATCGGCGATCAACGCTGCTTGCGCCGCCATGATTACGGTGTCCGCAACAAGACTGTCGGGGTAGACAGGTTGATTGGCGCGGTTTTGGGGGATTCTCGGGTAAATCGGCGCGTAAAAATGGTTCCCGAGGGCGGGGGAAAGAGCGATATTGGTAGCGTCGACGATTAAGGCTCAATTATGGGAGTAGACACTGTGGGAATCAAGGAAAGTACGCTCTAATGGCTTTGAGTGACTGGGACGAAGCTCTCTGACGGCAAGAGATACGGAAGATCGATCGCCGCTAGCCAAATTGGGAAATCTGGATTATGTGACAAGGGCTGAGCACGTGACATACCCTGATCTCAACATCTTTTTTGTACAACGATGTAGGTAGTGGACATTAGGTAGGTACATAGAAATCAGTTCTATTGTGTATACGATATTGCTCGTCATGGGACAGTTCAATTCATCTACGGTATTTGACTCAGATCTCAGTCATTCAGTCGTCTGCATCGATCCATACCAGAACTCCCTTCTTGTCCGACCGCATATCCCCCGTTGGAAGAACGCGGAGCGTTTTGTTGAAGTAAGTATCAATAACCACCAGCTGAGGTTGAATCCACAATCCACGCTTCGCAGCAAACAGATTGAAGTTTACACTGTGGCGACTCAGCGGCATAAGCTGGACAACAGTGGTTTTCGGACCGCTGAAGGCGAAGTGCTCGCTGGCTTCCATGACCAAGTTAAAGGTAAGGAAGTGGGTGGACGAGTTTTCCAGGACATACTCCATATGAATCAATCCCGACATTCTGCTAGACGGGGTAGCCGATGCAAGTACTCGTGGTTCGCCCATCGGGACGACAAATCGAGGAATGTCAAGGATGGTGGTTGTAATCGAGCTTCCCACGTCGGGTGAAGCTACAGATTCAGATGACTGCCGACGCCAATTGACCTCTAATGCGCAAGTGAGCGCAGTTGATCGGCGGTCTCCGATGAGGAGCTTCTGGATATTGAGGTGGAAGTTGGATTCCCGCACTTCTTCCGGTGCAATATGAGGCGTTTCTGGCGTGACAAGCTCTTCCGGGTGAACCTCGCAAGTCACTCCCCCGTTTGCTTCGAGGAGAATCAAAGACATTTTGTCAATCACTAGTGGCTCCAACGCAAAGGAGACTACCTTAGAATTGAGACACCACTTCTGGAACAAGCCTCCAGGGGTTGGCGCAGCACGGCCCTCAAGCAACTCATCGCTAACGGCGAAGAAATTTGGCCACGGCTGGGGATGTATTGCAGGTAGAAATTCATAGTTTGCTTCGAACGGCCGAATAAATGATAGATCGACTGTAATGTTCTTCATGATCGGAGTCTGGATATCAGATACCAGATGGTACACAACCAAGACTTCCAATGTGAGATTCGTGACTTCCTTGGTGTCGGCCAGCACAATTGTAAGGCTACGGTTAGAAGAGTGCTCCAAAATACCGACAGCTCGTTTCAAGCGATGAGATGGGCCCTCAGTCGGGGTGCTGGCGCCTGATTCAAGGGGTTCGGAATCTCCAGCATCGTCGAGCCACTGAATCTGAGCGGCCGACTCAGCACTGCCCAAGAGTCTGATTTCAGCAGACACATCTGCAGCTTCATCTTCTTCATTTTGTATGTCAATCCGAAGTGGCACCTGTTCATTTGTATAATATGTCTGCCTCAGGTTGGGAGTTGTAAGGCGAATCTTTGGGGGTTTAGGCATGACCTTGCATTTGCCAGTGTCCCGATCCTTGCCCACTCTTCTGCGCATGACGCCCTTTTGTGACTGCTGCCACCAGAAAGACTCGCGTTGGTCTGGTTCTGTGATTGCATAACCTAAATCGAATTGTTCCTGTTCAATCAACATGGTTATTGAAGCCACCTTAGCTTCCCCAGCTTCGCGAGGAATACAGGTAAGGTTGAATATCTTGGTCTGGGAGGGGCCCAGAGTCAGATCCGCTATGCCAACCAATGTGGCCAATCCACCAGTAGGGGACTGGGCTATAGCATCAAGATTACTCGGCTCGCGGAGTGGAATGGACGCGATGCAACAGGGCTTTGTGATGTCAGCATCCTGGTTCCGGTCAGATTGTACCTTGACCGGGCGCAGACATCCTTCAAAAACAAGTTTGATTTCTGAAAGCCGGATAGGGGCTGCGGATTTGTGAGCACATGATGTGATGGAAAGTTGAACCTGTAGAGGTTCCCCGACATTGCCATCGGATTTCTCGAACACCAACGATGCGGTAACTTTGAACAGACGGTCAGCGCAATCATTATATTGCAAGCATTGTTACCAACTTACGACTTGTCATGACATCCTCCGCACGAAGGATTACAGAAGATTTGGGCTTTTCCGAAGGAAGACTTTCGAGACTCCTATGGATATCATAATGCCACCCAGGTCTGAGTTTGAAAGCTATCGAGATGAAGGTTAACATCCGAGAAAATGAGCATGAAATAGCAGATAGCAATTGACTCACTTTTGTTAAGCAGCTCCCAGTCCACTCGCAAGACTGTCTCGCTATCCTGCACCCTTAGGGCACATTCTCTGAGAGCCCATCCGAATTTGGCCATCAAGTGCCACCATCCAGAGCGGCGCCAGCTAAGAGAGGGCCATAGTGGTTGGAGAAGGCTATGTGCTTCAGACCAGGAGCCAATGCGCATATACTCCTCGGCTGCTTCAAGACTCAGGCTCTCTACTTTGCGTGTTTGGTGGCGTTTTGAGAATTCCTCGATGGCACCCTTGAGCGTGTTTAATATTAAGCTAGAGTGGTCGAAAGTAGTCCGTCCTTCCTGGGGTGCTTCCTCGTGGGTGTCGGGAACAAGATATGTGTCGTACAAATACGATTTGTTTGCGAGTTGTGAAGCTGGTGATTGCCCGGGGGGCATGCGATCTTCGGGGGGGATATCCTGAGCAAGCCCTCGTCGGATCATCGTATGCTTTGCTGAGCGGTGTAACCAATAACCCTCGTGGTGTAGGTGTTCCCAGGGCCTGACTCGTTCCCCAGTGGGGATTGATTTTTCGGGTAATGAATAGAGGTCTCCAGGTTGCTCGAAAGATATTTCGTTTGAGATAGACGGAAGTTCCGCTCGGCGGATAAGCTGTGCCATGACCATCGACCAGCGTGCCTCCCATGCTTCCCATCCGTAGTGCTTACTGCCTTTTCCTCTGCGATTGACAATATCTCTTACACGGATTCTGTGGTCAACCCAAAGCCGGGCTGCGGCAGTTGTCTGGGCAGTCCACAGTAGACAGCGGATGATTCGAATGGCAAGTGCATCAGCCAAGAGACGTGCATCATTAAATCGAGGATTCCAGCCAGCAATATTCTCGAAGACTTCATGCCCAAATAGAGTATCATATGCACTCTCATAGTTTCGGCACGCTGCATCCATTTCTTGACGAAATTCAGCAAAAATGCCTAGTTTGAATTCATACCGCACATTCCAGCCTTGCGATGATAGGGTCTGGGAGGTTCCCGTTGTTGGTGGTGCAGTCGGAGGGGGAATGCTCCCTCTGTTTCGTTTGCGCCTGGCATGTTTTGACAAGTCCCGATAGTATTCAACGACTGATGGTTGTAGGAGAGAGAAGAGTGATTTTACAAAGTCATGCAGCTCTGACGAAGTTGCATCTGGTGGAATCACGAATATTGACCTAGGGTCAAGATTTGTTGCCCGTCTAATCCCCGCGATGCGGTCATCAATTTCGCCCTCATAGCCGCCCTCTTCTCCGTCTTCTGATATCAGCACAACCACAAATCGCGTCTTGTATCCGGAGGATTGCCATTCTTTTTTCAAGCTGTTGATCTCAATTTTGAGCTGATTATCTCGTAGCGAGTTCATATTCGGATCCAATGAGAATGGAAAGCAATTGACGACCGCTGCTGGAACCAGATCTTGGTGTTTAGTCACCCACAGAGGGGTGAGCAAGCCATCGGGGAAAGTTGGAGAGCCCGGTGACAAAGGCGATATCGGCGAGTGGAGGACGAAGTGCGTGCTAGATCCGGAGGATTCGCTATCCTTATCATCACTGGGAGTAGTTGGTGGTGAGGAGACAGGGGGGTTCGCTTTTCGTGGAGGGAGTCTGCATGACTATTTACTGTTAACTAGATGTCCGCAATCGGATGGCGTGAAACCAACAGGACTAGAATTCTAGAGAATCAACGTACCCGGCCAGAACTTTTAATGCGGTAGCCAATATTTGCAGTCGTAATATTCCCGCTCACACTGACTCTGGACTTCCATGGCGTCTGGGAGCTATCTTCGTTTAAAAACAGGCTCCGGAGCTCCTCCGCAACAGCCCCGCTCAACGGTGGGAAGTCGGAGAAGATATGGGTCCCCTTCTCTGACATCAAAGGATAGTCTGGGGATGTTTCAGTATCATTTTCGACATCTGCCTCTAGTCCTGAGAGCAGGACGAAAGGCAGGTTATGATCGACGTAGTCTTTGGGGTAGGCGTCCATTGCGGGCAATGGCTGTTTGGGAGCGCAATCACCACATATCTAGAAAATTCCGGGTGTTTTCAATAGAAAGTTATGAAGCTCCAGACCGTTTATGAGAGCACGGTCTAATTATGCTTCAAGGTCTATCACGAGGGTTGGTCAAGATGAACAATGGCCAGGATACTGCCATGTTGTGGTCCACGGGTCGTGGGCGGTCAGGTTATGTTTACTTCGAGATCACCTGCACACCGATTGGGAGTCGCCCTGTAGATGTTTCGATATGCATATTCAATACGGAGTAGATGCTGGGATAATTAATGGGCAGGATTTAGGGATCACCTTATACGGCATGATTGAAAGGGAGTATTTGTGTGGGCAAGGGTTACGATTTAATTGTATTCCCCATACGGGGTGCTCCGTGATATTTAGATGCGCTATATATATACTTTTGCGGAGTATGATTTCTGTTCAGCTATTTTTGATTTGGTGATTTCTTTTTAGACAATCGAACTCCAGCCTCGTATTTTCTTCCAAAGAAGGATCTAGAGAGCTATCTAGGTACATCTACATGTAGCTCCGTTGTACGCCGTACTACTTGACATGGATGTTCAGTCATACGAGTCATCATTTCCCATATAAGGGGGTTTCTCTCGAAGACCAAACCCTTGGAAATTGGATCCACGTGGAGTCTTCAATATTTACAAGGTCCTGACAGCTTGATCAATAGTCCAGATAGACCTAGCGTACATGCACATACCCCTGCAGTGGAGACCTTGAAGTTGATATTGTCCTGGCACTCCGTATACAATGTGACGTCTTCGTAATGGGTCAACTGGGAAATTAAGATCCCTCGGTGGAGAGAGACGGCGCAAACGCTATCTTCGCCCCCCAAAAAAATTAAAGAGAACTTCCCTCTGGATGCATTGCCCCTCGATTCGACCTGTCTAATTACACTCTTTTTCTTCTTTTCTTTCTTTCTTTAAGCTTCTCTAATTACCGGTATAACCTTCTTTTGACCCCTCTACACTCTCTCCCAAGTTTCTTATCTCAAATTACCTGTAAGGGGCCATCCGCAAGGACCAGAAACCCTTATCACCCATCTGGCGCATGCGGTAGATCATGCGCTCATCTACTCCGTAACCTGCAATCCGAATCCCTGAGTTTTTGTGTGTGTGTGTGTGTCTCTGTGTGTGTTTGCGACGCGACGAGGGTGACACCTCTAGACTATTGAACGCCATGCATTTGAACGAGAGCACCCCGGTTCCCGTGCAAGCCGAGTCGGCCCTGCTCAGCCGTCGTCGCCGTCGTCAATCGATGCCTTCACGCAACGGAAACACAGATCCAACGTCGCCCGAAGTCATTTCCTCTCTGATCTCGTCCCTTTCCACCATATCCGTGCCTCTAAACTCGCACTTTGACACCGTCCCGAAGATAGACACTGGCTCAGATCCAGGACTACCTGAGGTGCCGCACACGGCGCCCGTCTACTCTGTCCCCCCTTCCGAGCAACATGGGTTTGGAATGAGCTACGGTGCCTATAAACCAGCGGTTGAACCACCGGAGCCCCCAGAAAATCCGTTCCTACACCCGGATGATGCTGCCTCATCGCCTGTCATTCGCATGGCTAGAGCTCCCCCTTCACCAAAAGTACCCCGATCACCACGATTCAAGCCCTTCAAAGCCGTAGACTCCTTTTCCACCCGTCCAACATCAAGAGAATCTTATACATCCGTGATAGCTGCCCCGGAGCCTTCATCATTCGGAACGATCAGTACGGAGCCTGGTCCCCGTTTGTCAACCCCGAGCATTGCTTCGAATAGTTCTGCAGGGAAGACAAGAAGCCTCAAGGGTCAATTCGGGCTATTGAGGAAATCCTCATCACGGGAATTCCCCGGCGAAAAGGATTCGCAACACGAGCGCCTCCGAAAGAGCACCAGCTATAACGACAATTTACGTCACAACGTTCCGCGCAGCCGAGCAAGTCTGCGATCGCTGCATTCTATGGCAGAAGTTACAGAGGAGCCTCGCCCCGCGGACGTGAAGGAGGAGCCATATGAAGACAAAATGTGCAGCACTCCACCCAGCAAGGATCACCAATCCTACCCCAGTACCCCGGACGATGCAAATCCTGGCGGAATTGGAAGCGGGAGATTTATTCCCACGCGTGATTCCTCTTTGCGGCACCGCCATAGTCAGTCCTCGAGCTCGAAAAAGCGTCGGTCTGCACATCATAGTCGATACTCTTCCACAGCCAGCAAAGACTTCAACGCGGAAAATGGCTCACCGGGAGAAAGCAACGATGCAGAGCAGGTGACGCGTCGTATTCAAGAGTTGAAAGACCAACAACAGAAGATCAAGACCGAGCTGGAAGTGGGTGACAGCCCTGAATACTCGACTAGAACAACTCCTGCGAAGCACCCGAAAGGTTCAAAAGTATCGCGCGTGCTAGGTCACGAAGCCGACCTGGCTACCATTCAGAACGGACCAGGCCGGGACCAGGCATCTTTCAACGAAAGTGCTCCATCACCATTCGTGATGACAGGGAAAAGTCGCACAGGGAACCGGCCAGGGGCACCGCTAGCGTCAAAACCTACGGATTTACCGTCACAGTTGTCTAAGTTATCTGCTGAAAACCCGGATTCCGAGAAAGCTCGATATCGACAGTCCCTTGAACCAATCCCGCCAGCCAAACATCGCCGCACTCCCTCTGGTCAGACGTCCTATCTGTCAAATGGGCGTCCTTCCTATAATTCCGAACGACCGTCCAGTGCGGACTCGATTGATATTGCTGTTGATGACTACATTTTTTCGCCGAAGCTAACCCAGAGAGTAATCCACCCAACCACCGGCCGCTCCATCGCATTCTCTGAAGTCGGCGATCCCAAGGGTCATGTCGTGCTATGCTGTGTCGGCATGGGCCTCACTAGGTATTTGATGGCATTCTATGATGAATTGGCTCGAACGCTCAATCTACGACTGGTAACATTGGATCGCCCTGGCGTAGGCGAGAGCGGTCCGTACCAGGGAGACGAGCCGAGCACTCCTCTGAGTTGGCCAGGTAAGCAAGACTGCTGCGCGATTCTAGATTTACGCTAATATCCACTAGATGACGTTGCAATTGTTTGTAACCATCTCCGGGTGACCAAATTTTCCATTCTTGCCCATTCTGCCGGCGCAATCTATGCCCTTGCAACGGCTCTTCGAATTCCGCAGCATATCCGTGGCCGCATTCATCTCTTAGCCCCGTGGATTCCTCCATCCCAGCTGTCTACCATTGGCTCTCAAAAGGATCCCGCGCCCGCCAACGCTGTCCCTTACGCCCAAAAGATTCTCCGTGCTCTTCCTACATCCTTTCTCAAAGTGGCCAATTCGAGCTTCATGAGTGCCACTAGTGCCAGCATCACCACTAGTCTACCCAAGTCCCCGCGACGGACCAAGCGCAAGCCTACTAGCAAAGAAACATCTACCGCAAATCCTGTCCTGCCAGTACCAGCCATAACTTCCATGGAAACCAACTCACAGGCCCAACAGGTGGACATAGCGCAGAATCTGAAACCATCCGTTTCAACGACCGGTTCGTACAGAAAGAGTGACGCGACTCTCGCATCTCGCGCAAAATCTCCAGAAGACGAAGTCGAACGGCAGCGGGACTACGATACTCGTCTCACCTATAAGATTTGGGAACTGGCCACTACTAATGCCAACCCAGCGGTTGATTTACTGATATGCCTGGAGCGTCGCCAATCGATCGGGTTCCGCTATGTGGACATCACACGATCCGTGGTGATCCACCATGGCAGCAAAGACCCCCGCGTTCCAGCAGATAATGTCCAGTGGCTTGGCAAAACGATGCGCCGCTGCGAGGTTCGCATTCTCGAAGGTGAAGGCCATGGCCTCATGGCATCTGCCAGTGTCATGGGCAGTGTTCTGACCGAAATTGCCAAGGAATGGGAGGACTGGACGATTCTCGTCCAGGGCAAACGTCGAGCCACTCTTAACCATGCCGCACGGCCGGGACTCCCGATTAAGACCTAATCTTCCCATACTACTTACCATCTTTCCTTCCTTTATCCGGTGTCTTTGCCACGACACCATACCTATACTGAGCCCTGGTGGCTCATCGCCCCCTAATTACCCTCGTTTCAATAGGCCACTGGAACCTGCAACTGGTTTGCGGGCCCCACTGTGCTGATTCACATCTTGAGCTTCTTCCCTTATACTTTACCATCCACCCATTGTCTACATGCACCTAGTGGTGCAAGGTTCATGCCCTGTCTTATGATTGTTTGTTGGCATGGGTTTCGCCGTTGAACCAAAGGACCTATCTGATTTAGCATAATACCCAGTCATGCCACATTTAATAGATATTGATAATTTATTTTGACATACAGTAAATATCCAACAACGAAACTACATCCTGGGGTCATAGAACCCAAACAAGTATATAGTGCAGTCATAGCTTCGCCAAGCGAGCAAGCCCGCAAATCAGGGATGACCGATGGCCCCTTGACAACCCCACTTCTCCTGACCTGCCTGGAGCTTTGGATCCTTTCAAGGCGATTGATTTCCGAGACAATAAGCCTCAAGCGATTGCGCAGTCTTGACCCAATATCCTGAAATTGAACATCGAGGCTGGAAACGGAATTTGAATTCGTGGCTTCGGGAACACGTCACGTTGCTTGTTTAGCGCGTGACGGGATTCAACCGGATTAATCGGCTTGAACATCAACGGTTTATACAAGTCACAAGCCACGCTGGATCCTACTATAAGTGCAATCTATCCCAATGCCTTCCCAACGGCGGCTTCGACTGATCGTCGTTGCGGTCATCGCGCTTCTGTTCATGGTATTCTACTACACCGTACGTTCCCGACCCTCCTTTTTTCGCTACTGGTTTGTAAGCCATCTAATCCGCTGCGACACAATCTACAGGGCGAGGCAAGCAAGATTCAAAACCAAAAATTCTATCGCTCAACCCTTGAAGCAATGAAAGCGAAAGAGCAAGCTAAGCACACCAAGGCACAGGAGAAGATCCAGCATCCTGTGCATGCGCCGGGACAGAATGGCGCAGCAGCTGCCAATGAAAAGGTGCCCGTCGCTGAAGTCGAGAAGATAGCTGTTCCTCCTGCTACAGGAAATGAAGAGACGGAGGAAATTCCGATTGCAGGACGGACAAAAATGACTGTTCCCAAGAAGGTGAACCAGGATGCGCCGTCGGAGATTGCGCCGGATACTAAGAGTGAGGAGGAGAAAGAGCAAGAGGCAAAGGCGATGAGAGAGCGTGAGGAGAAGGGGAGGAAAGAAGCCGAGGCGACATCGGAACTTAATGCGATTCTCAAGCGGTCTCCAAGTATGTTTACTTTCTCCGTTTTTCGTCCCCAGTGTCCAGGCCCAAAACTAACAGCATTCAGTCATTATATTTTCCAAATCCTACTGCCCCTACAGCAAAAAAGCCAAGTCGATCTTGCTGGGCCATTACTCCATCCAGCCACTGCCATTTGTGGTTGAACTGGACCAGCACCCGCTTGGGCCTTATCTGCAGGCCTTGCTCGCAGAGAAAACGGGGCGCCGTACTGTTCCCAACATTCTCATCAATGGGAAGAGTATCGGCGGAGGAGACGATATTGCAGCATTGGAACAGAGCGGCGAGCTGGCTTCGACGCTGCGACAAATGGGTGGGAAATGGATCGTGGATGTTTCGCGCCAGGAGGTTGATAAGTCACTATGAGGTTAGTATTGTAGAACAAAGTTTTTAATAGCCATAGTCCATGACCCTAGCAGGCAACTGGGGGACATGGTCGGCGTTGCAGGTCATTGGATTGTATATAGTCATAGCGAACTAGCTCAACCTTCAGGAACTGGCAGCCAAAATAAATGTCAGAGATGAGCATCATATGTACCTTTACTTGCCAAACAACCAAATCAAAATAGTGGAGCAAGTACTGGTACAAGCACCGATAAGGCGATAAGCTGATAAGGAACCCTAATTGCGCTAGACCAAAAGTGGCCCTAAGCGACGCACAATCCCGTGACGACCAATTTCGCTCCACCACCAAGTCCATTCGAATTTTGAACCTCCCCGACATCGACAATCTACACCCCCGGCAACCACCAAAAGTCACGTCAAGATGCGGTACATTCACTCCGAGGAACGGCTGCCCATTCTGGACAATGGTGAGCGACTTCCTTTTTTTTTCCTGCAGTGGAGGGACGAAGCCGGTCGCACACAATACACCTCTTGACGAAATTCGACATGAAACCCAACACGATATCCAGACACGTCCCAACAGCCAGCAGCAGTACAGCAAAACCAGGAGGAATGATTGTGTGGGACCGGCGACTCGCATACCTGCCAGACCTATTTTGATTCTCTATTCAAAATATTGAATTTCACCCGGAAGGCCATGAACTAACCCAATTCTTTTGCTCTACAGTGAAGGTCCACATTAAGTCCCGCGTCGTGACTGTCGAGGGTCCCCGCGGCAAGCTCGTCAAGGATCTCTCCCACATTGCCGTCACCTTCGGCCGCCCCGAGAAGAATGTGATCTCCATTGAGCTGCACCACGGTGCCCGCAAGGGTGTTGCTACCCTCCGCACCGTCCGCACCCTCATCAACAACCTCATGATTGGTGTCACCCGCGGCTTCAAGTACAAGATGCGCTACGTCTACGCTCACTTCCCCATCAACGTCAACATCGAGCCCAACCCCGAGACTGGCCGCGCTGTGGTTGAGATCCGGTATGGAACCCTGCGAGAATCCAATCAACTATTCTTCGACTTGAAATGGACATTTCCACGTCGAACATGAATTGTGACGGGACAATAGCTAACATGGTGATTTTTCCAGCAACTTCCTCGGTGAGAAGTACGTCCGCCGCATCACTGCCCAGCCCGACGTCGACATCGCTCCCTCCGCCAACGTCAAGGATGAGCTCATCCTTACCGGTAACTCCCTCGAGGGTGTCTCCCAGAGCGCCGCCGACATCCAGCAGATCTGCCGTGTCCGAAACAAGGATATCCGTAAGGTGAGTTGCGCACAACGATCTACTTCTACTGGGAGAAATCCGGACCCTCTGAATCTATACTAACCTTTCCTAGTTCTTGGACGGTCTGTACGTGTCGGAGAAGGGCAACATCATTGAAGAGTAAATGTGCCGCTTGGGAATGTATCGGGTGTCCGGGAGAGGTTTCTTTAATTTCGCCTACTTGCATATAGGGAAGCAAAGCGAAATGTCAAAAACAAAACGACCCTTTTGAAATTCACTGATTCCCTTACGCGAAAACGTCTTTGTATGTGGCATGTAGAAATGTGCGCCCGTGGCAATTCCATTACTTCATTATCTTAATGTTCTGGAAATCGACAGAGTAAGAATAGAGGTATCACGGTGGTATAGGCTGGAAGCGTGGTTTCTGGGCGGAGCATGAGGATATACTCGAAGATCCGGGGAATCACCTGTAGATGGAGTCTTAGCTCATCTGGGCAGACACTGGGCTCAGCCTCTCATCGCATCTTGCAATTGACTCCAATCCCTCCTAAAACCACCAATATCGTCCGACACATATCTTTTGCAGCAAGCAGTCGTAACGCTGGTGTCTCTCCAATTCCCTCGCGCACGCGTGTGACGTTTTAGCATGTGACAGCAAACCACCGCATCCGCAGGTGCCTTTCTCCTCCACAACGTAGACACATTTCTTGGATAACAATGGGGTCACGGTGGCCCAGTCTAGGGATGATTGTGGGTGCACTTTGGAATATGATCCTTGATGTCGCGCAGTTCTGGAGAGATGTAAGTGTGTTGTGCTCCGATCGTGATCGTGATCTGGTTTTGTATGCGGGGAGAGGTCTTTTTTCATCTCAAGTCTGTGTTAAAGAAGGCAACGATGAACGGAGCATCGTGAAAAACATCGAGGAAATCTGACTTGAACTGCGCTAATCAATACACTTCAGAAACTATTATCATGGTGGTATTCCAAATCGCCCCGAGATCGACTCTTTCACACGTTAGCCAACTCGCAGAGCTACGAAGAATGGGAAGAGGCCGCATTCGAGCTCGACGAGTTACAGAGTAAAGATCTATGGTATGAATTCAGCTGCAATGCCAACAAAAACCCGTTCCAAACACTCAATATACTAGACCGCCATCTAACTATGCCCATAGGCGCCAAAATCCTGTCAGCCGACACTATGACTACCGACTGATCCTTGGCCGATTAGAAGCATTGATGAGTGCACGCGAATCAGAAGATATTCTAACACTAGTCAATCTCCTGCGGTCGGGGCTAGTGCGCAATCTTGGCAATATAACTAGCACAAAGCTGTTCACTCACGCGTACGCCGGCACAAAGCTTCTAATCGATGACTATATCACGCAGGTGGCCCTGTCAATCCAATACGTGACATCCATACCGGCGGCTCCGATGCACCCGAGCGGCTTCAACTCGCAAGCAAAGTTGGAGCTGTTGCACGATACGCGACAGGCGTTTGGGCGGACGACGCTGCTTCTGCAAGGCGGATCTGCATTCGGATTGTGCCATCTGGGTGTGGTCAAGGCGCTGCTTCTGCAAGGTTTGCTGCCACGGATCATCACTGGCACTGCGGCCGGGGCAATGATTGCCGCGCTTGTCGGTATTCATTCTGAAGATGAGCTGCTGCCGTTCCTTGATGGGGCGGGTATTGATCTTTCTGCTTTTGAAAAGCGCAAGAAGGCCAACGGGGGGAGAAAAGGTAACTCTGATTCGAGTTGGTTTGGGACATTTTATCGACGGATGAACCGACTATTCAGGAAGGGGTATCTGTTTGATGTTGGTGTTTTGGAGGAATGCGTGAGAGCTAATGTTGGAGATCTTACGTTTGAGGAGGCATATGCGAAGTCGAAGCGCATTTTGAACATCACCGTTGCGACAATGGGGAAGAATGGAACGCCAAATCTGTTGAATTATTTGACTGCTCCGAATGTGGTATGTGTTTCTCTCTCTCACTTTGCCCCGGCCTATCTAACACATCTTTCAGCTCATTTGGTCCGCAGCCGTAGCATCCAATGCTTCTTCGTCCTCTGGGCTTTACTCACCCGTGACTATCTACTGCAAAGATGAAACAGGCACAATTGTCCCATGGCCACACACACAAGATGCAGTCTTTCACCCCTGGCGCCACGTCCACTACAACGAGGGCGAATCCCCACTTTCGCGAATCTCCGAACTCTTCAACGTAAACCACTTCATTGTCTCCCAAGCCAGACCGTATCTTGTCCCATTTCTACGCTCCGAACTCAATCTTCTAGACCGACGGCAAACAGGCTGGAACAACCTCTCCCGTTCCGCGATGCGTCTGATAATCGTTGAATTGCGGCATCGTCTCCGCCAACTCGACTATCTAGGCGTGCTACCCGCCTCCTTGAGTAGACTCCTTATCGACGAGACGATCCCAGGACCGAACTTGACTCTCGTCCCAGACCTGTGCTTTTGGGATTTGAGGAAACTGTTCCAGAGTCCGACAAAAAGCCGGGTGTCTGAGTGGACGCTGAAGGGGGAGAGGGGCGTTTGGCCGGCTATTAGTGCGCTGAAGGTTCGGGAGGCTGTGGAGATTGAGCTCGATCGGGGATACCAGCTTGTTAGGCGGCGGAGACCGAGTGATGCTTCGCTCTCTGTGTCTCTGCCTAAACTGGCGAATGCCATGAATGAGGGTGTACCGAGGCGTAGGAGAGGGAGTGAGAACGAGGAGGGGATTCTTGCTGATCGGGAGTGATGGCTGCGATACGCTATAATGGCTATGGAGAATACACTAATATCCCAAAATTTACATTTAGATCGATTGCACTGCCATGCTTGGGCTTGAGATGATGCTTCTGCTGCTTCGAATAGGAATTCTTGCATGTACGCCCAAGCGAGTGCGACAGATGCAGATCGTACTGCTTCAAAGTGCTTAGAGTAGACTCATATTTCTTCCCCTTGTGACTCTGTTGCGCTCTGGATAAGGTAAGACACGAAGTACGCCAGGGAGCGAATGAGAGATGCTGCATTGACTGTCCTGAAACAGAGTGGAATCAATAGTCTCACTTTTTGTTCGTCTCGTTTGATTAAAGGCTGCAGCTCGGGAAAGGTGATGTCTTATGCCTCAAGTCTCAGTGGGAAAGATGAAAGAAAAGGACATCTCCAGAGCATCCCCAAGCCGGACTTGTCCTCTTTCTTGCATATTTGGCTGTGATAAAGCCGGGATTTCTGCTCTGATTTTCTCGATTTTGAAAAGCCATGACCTCAACTGTGAAATGGCTGCAGAGGCTCTTCAGCAGGTGCCCCAACCTTGACAGGTTCAGGAGATCCTTCACAAAGCCAGGAATCAAATTTCCGATCTCGCTCCCAACATCAGGTTGGAAGATCATCCGCTCTGAAATAGTTGAGGAAGAGCACATGGAAGCCTTTGCCGATGGGCATTATTTCCCCGTTGCGCTGGGCGACATTCTCCCCTCGCGGCTTCAGATTGTCGGGAAACTGGGATGGGGGGTCACCTCGACCGTTTGGCTGGTTCGAGATCTCAAGTAAGCGAGCCTCTTGGATTAATCTGTCTGAACACTAAACAAGATAGGGCAGAGGATTATATGGTCTTGAAGATATTCGCCCGTGATGTCGATGGCAGGAAGGAATCTGTAGTCTATGATCTGCTTGCTGACACCAACCGGCAGCACCTTGGATCGGACCTTGTGAGAACCAAGATAGCTGCTGTGACCATTCCTCGACCTGATGGCGAAGACCATTTCGCGCTTCTGCAAGCACCCCTCTGGGAGACCTTACGAGATCTTCAAGAGCGCATGGTGGACCAGCGCCTTGACCAGTCAACTCTTAAGTTGGTGTTATACCAAGTGCTGTTGGCACTGGACTATTTACACACCGAATGCAAGCTTATCCATACAGGTGAGAGATACTGATCGTGAATATGGGTCTACCTCGAGGTTAACATTCTTTTTGATAGATATCAAGGGCGATAACATCTTTCTAGAGCTGGAAGATAAATCGATGCTGGATAGATACGTTCAAGCCGAGATCGAGAACCCTTCACCGCGAAAGATCATCGATGGGAAGACCGTTTATCGATCTCGGCTACTTGAACCAGCGTCCAATCTGCGTGGAATTGAGCTCGGGGACTTTGGATCTGCCGTCCCAGGCGACATTCCGCGCAATGGTGAATTCATCCAGCCCAGTATCTATCGAGCACCGGAGGTGATGCTGGAAAAAGCATGGAATTATCCGGTCGATATCTGGAACTTGGCGGTTTGGGTGCGTTCTACACTCCAAAAGAGGACTCCATATCCTAATCTGCTTTGATATTAGGCCTGGAATGACTTCCAGGGAGAGCCCTTGTTCAAAGTTATAGAACCCGAGTCAGGCAATGAGCTCTACTCAACCGATGCACATCTTGCCCAAATCACTGGCTTGCTGGGCTCCCCACCTTCTGATTTTGTGGAGCCTGACACAATAAGTACTGATTACTTTGATCAAGATGGTCAGCATGATTCCTTCTCTCTTCCGTCTAACACCTGCTGATTCTCTCGCAGGCAATTGGATACACGAGAGCTGCAAGGTGCAGAAAGTCGCCCTGGAAGATGTAGAAAATCGTCTGGAAGGGGAAGAAAAGGAGATGTTTTTGGATCTTATGAAGGGAATGCTTCAATGGCGACCAGAAGATCGAAAGACTGCCAGGGAGTTACTTGAACATCCCTGGCTTCAAGGTGTCTGTTGGCCACCAGGTTGCTATAAGCCAGCTACATAGTCTCCATGGCGAACTCAGCAGAACATCACCGGAAAAGATGCGCCATCTCTGCCGGTCTTAATGTCTCATTTTCATTCTTCTCTGCTACTGATTCTCACATATTCCGTATTATGTATCTAGATAAGTGGATATATGGTGTTACATACCTTGATATCCCTGTGATCTGCACCAGCACCAACCTCAATCGAGCGCATCTGACTCTGGCGGACCCTTGTAAGCTGCGAAATAAGTCAGTAAAAAAACCCACAAGAAGATCCCAAACAGCAATCGGTAAAGTAAAGACCAAGACTTACACTTCCTCGCATAAACCAAAAACCAAACCACCGAAATGGCCATAAACCCCACAAAAACAACCGAAGCATAGTTCATCGACACAGGCGTAACTGGTAAAACCGTGGGCATACTAAAAAGCACCAACTCAAATGAAATCCAAGGGAGCGCAATCACATTAACAACTGGTCCAAGAATCCTCCCACAATTCCAAGGCGCCTTCCCAACCTCCTCACGCCCATACCACAGACTCAAAAAGATGGGAATGGCATAAGCCGCGGCAAGCGTAATAACCCCCACCGAAACAAATGCTGTAAAAGCACTCGAACTCCCCAGATTAATCAGCCCCAGCAGCATCTGAATTACCGTTAGAAGCAGCAGTGCAAACAAGGGCACACCCCAGCGCGGATGGACGCGCGACCGAAGCCACGAAAGTGGTAGGGCATCGTCACGGGCAACGGCCCATGTGGCGCGTGACGCGGCGACAGTAATGCTGATCGAGCAGAATACCGTGATGGGAGGACGAGGGAGACGAGGCCCAGACCGCCGCCGGGGGAGCCCATTATACGTGCTAGGATGTAGGGGAGGGCTTGGCCGTCTGGGACATTGGAGATGATATCTTGGAGTGGGGGGAGGGTTGCGCAGAGCGGGATGATGAAGAAGAGGCCTGCTGTGCCGCCGACGGGGACGCTGAGGGCAATTGTGCGGGGCACTTTGATTGCTGGGTTGGAGCATTCTTCTGCCATGGAAGAGATCATGCCGATGGCGGAGAAGGTGTATGCTGCTGGGAGGAGGCCGATCAAGAAGGTGAAGTTTCCCCAGCCGGCGAAGGATTTATCATAGTGGGATAGGGTGTAGGATGGTGAGTGGCGCGGGGTATGGGGTTTAATGGAGACAATCAGGAGGATGCCGAGGATTGTTATGGGCTGTCCATGTGGCGCAGGCGATATCGACCTGGGGGAGGTATTTATTTGCAAAGATGCAGACGATCAGGGAGGCTAGACAGACGGCGTAAAAGGTTAAAAGGAGTTGCCAGCTGGATGCGGACCTAGTTGGATGGTAAAGGGAGATAGTTGCTGAGAGCATGGAGGCGAAGCCGAAATTCACAGAGAGGGTTATTGTCCAGTTATCGACGAGCCAGATCCAGGCGTTTATGAAGGAAATGGTGGTTTTATTGCCCTGAGAGATTTGGAAGCTCCAGTAATAGGGTCCTGCAGAGGTTGGGTAGCGGGATGCCAGCTCGGCGAGTGAGAAGGCGACGCATTGGTCTAGCAGGCAGACGAGGATCCATCCTAGGGATGTCCTCCGTAGGTATGTTATGAAGTCAGGTGCCCAGTGGACTGCGCCTAAATACCCAAAGTATTCGTACACGTCCCCAGATTCTTCGGGATGGCAGTGGTATACTTTATAACTCCATATTCCCAGTTCATACATGGACAAAAGAAAATACCAGAACAAAGCAGACAAGAGAAGAGAAACCTTGACGCCAGGCGTAACCCTAAAAAGCAACTGAATCCATCCGAGGGGAAGGACTCCGTATTCGATCGGCTTATCTCGTTCTACGTGGACTGGAGAGATCGGATCGGCAACGCATTATGATTTGTTCGATTGATCTAGATGATGTTCGGGCGCAAATGTAAAAAAAGACCAACGAGGAGGTATCAAAAGGGGACAAACAGAGAGTCGAAAATACCCCAACTCTGAATAAACATCAAACATTATGGTAGTAGACGGTACACAGGGACCTAGGATGGGAAACGAAAAGAATTAAACCGCCGTGGAAGGCCGGCTCTGGTGTGATCGGCGCGAGTGCAAGCTGAGACGGTGACCAGTCTGCGGGGGTCCCTCCGTAGCCAGCAGTGGCGGGATACTGAACCCATACCCCTCGGTAGCAGCGCTACGATCGTGGGGATCGATCTCGACACGGATGGCAACGTCAAGTCCACCGTACATACCACTAGCACAGGTGAGCCCATCGGCCGCGCGGTGCGTAGTTCCAGCATCAACTTCACCCTTATGCAGCGGCGCATGACCGTCCTTGGGAAGGCGGTCTAGTTTGGCGGAGTTAGTTTCCAAGACCCTGCTGCCATCAGCAGTTGGAGCAACAACCTCGGTGAGGATCGCGTAGTTGCGAGACGGCATGGTAACCTTGTTCCAAGCGGCACTCTTCTCCTGGCCACCGGGCTGCTTGTCGAAGAACGGCATGAGAGTCTCGTCGCAATCACGATCGAGATGGTGGATCTTGTTTCTGCGTGCGAGGAGATTGGCGACGGCCTTGGGCGGGGGCTTGTTGGTGATGGCACTGCTGACGACGTTGACGATGAAGCGGTGGTCGTTCTCGCCTGCGAGGTTAAGTTTTGGGTTCGAATAGAAGCGACCGATGGCAGCGAGATGGACATCGCCGCCGAGGATGGTCACACGGATGCTGTGGCTGCGGGCCAGCTCTTGTAGGCGATGGATTAGCATCTTGCGCTCGCGCTTGTGCTGACGCGCTGTGTAGTGGTCATCCAAGTCGTCGAGGAGATCGACTTGGCCGTCGAATTCGTTGAAAAGACCGCCTGCAACGCCGAAGCGCTTGTTGAGCAACCGAATAGGTGCGATGACTGGGGATGTGAGGATGTTCTCTAGCCATGCCAAACGAGGATATGCGATGGGCACGCCCAGCAATACAATAAGATGCTTGATGTCACCGTCAGCAGCAAGAATCTCGCGCTGTAGCCGGTCGAAGATCAAATCGTAGGTGTCCTCGTAGTTGACCTGGTGGCGAGTACGCTCTGTGCGAGCGTCCAGACCCATAAAGGCAATGCGTTTGCCGAAGCGCATGTAAAGACTTCGGCTGCGCTCCTCCACATAAGGACCTGGGCGTTGACCGATGATCCAGCTGTCGTCCTCAACCTGATTCTCCAGAACGTAGGTGTTCTCGACCTGACGGGGGTCAATGCCAGAAGTTCCATTGACCGCGTGCATAGTCTGTGGCGCATCGGTAGTGAATGTCGACTTGGGGGGAGCCATGTGGTGCTGGAAGAGACAGTAGTATTTGAATGCGACACCGCCGATGCCGCGGAAGACCGCACACTTCATGAAGTGGTCTGTATAAGAACCGAATCCATCAATGATATCATGGTCATCCCAGATATTGACCTGCGGGATGCAGCCATTGGCAGACCGAAAGGGCTCAGTGTTATACCAGCGGACATAGTTTGCGTAGTAATAGTCATCGCAATCAGCGCGCATCTTATTATCAAAGTCATGGTTGCGTCTCTTGTGGGGGTTCCCAATAGCAGTCCAAGGCTTGAGCGGGCCATCGACGCGAATGCCATCATTGTAGATCTGGTCACCACCGCCAACCATCACGTGGAAAGGCCTCTGACCATGTACACGCATCACATCATTCCAAAGGTTCGGGCCCACCCAGGCATTCATGTCTGTGCCAACAGAAAAACCATTGCACGAGTGGAACATGATGCGCATAGACTGCTCTTCCGCAGGAACGACGAATTGCCAAGGTGCCTGGACCTGGGCCCCGGATTCGTTGTACAGACCGGGGATGTCGTACTCCCAGCACGCCTCGAACGCCTCTACTTTCACGGCGAGCGAGAATCGCCAGAACGCTTTCTGGGGATCCTCATAGAGCTTGAGACCTTCAATGGTTTGGTTGGACTGGGCGCTACCGCTGCCATTTTGAGCTCCACCATCCACGGGTCCCACCTGGCGCAAGCGCAACTGGGGCTGCTCTCGGATCGGCTTTGTGACAATCAAGACACTGCCATGCCAGACGGTAGAGGCTTCGTAGTGCATGTTCTTCAGGTTAATCAGAGGACCGGAGATGAGCTCGAAGCGGTCGTTCGCGCCGTGCGTAATTTGTTGTCCGATCTCGCCATTCTGCAGTGTCCCTATAATCCACCAATATGCGCGGTTAGTTAATGGGACTCTCAGGTCCAAACTTTAGATCCCTGGACATACCGTTGACGGGCTGCGCACCGTAGTCAGCCATACAGGGCGGTCGATGCGATTGACGGGTATCACAGGAGTCAAGGGGGGAATTAAAGAGCCGTGGACTGGAGTCGCACGGGGGGGTGATATAAGGAAAACAATTTGGCGAAGTGGGGAGTCCAATGTACCGTGCACGTTAGGGGAAAGTAGGGAGTAAAAGAATCTCAGAAGTAATTACGGAGTACGGAGTACGGAGTAGGCAGACTCGAAATCGAACGAACGATAGGGCTGCAGGGCTGAAATTCACAAACAAGGAACAGAAGCGAAATTAAGAGCTGCAGATCGCGTACTCGGTACCTTGGAAAGGCCTGTTGGCTTGGCAGCAAAGGAGGTACCAGTGACTTTTCCAGAGAAGAGCTGCTTTTATTACTATTACATGACGCCGCCAAGACTGTTTGGTGCGGATTGGCCAATCAAAGCCCGGCTTATGGCATCGGGCCCCTGCTGAGCCACGTAGCGCCACATAAATACCTTTCAGCTAGTCCTGATTGGGTCAGACAGTGTGGCGGTGTATTATTATTAGCTTCGATCGTTCGGAGTACTCCGTATGTGTGTCCACACGGGTTGGTTCTTGCCGGTTGACCTCATGTGAAGCACTTTTGGTATGTCTCAGACTCGGCGAACCTTGGGACATGGCAATGATCATCATTGTACATAATCTATGCGCGAGACATACATCATTATCCGCACGGACAGTGGAAGCACGCACAGGCGATCTTTCTGTATGCGAACAAGATCCTCCCACATGACCCACTCAATGGACCTCGGCCTATCACATTCCTATTATCTGATCTACTGAGGCATTGATTAAACCCTGCCTACAATTAGAACCATTTACAGATTACACCAGAAAGCTCACTTGGAAGTTTGGTCAATTAAAAGTACACTATACACTTGGTGGTATATCAAACAAGTTCATCGAGTAAAAGATCATCAGTCAAGAAACCCCCTCGCCCGATCCAGGAACAAAGACAGAGCACCAACATCGCACTCACAAAGACTTGAATCTGCTTCTTTGACCAAAGCTCCGAATGACCAGGAATAATCTTAACCAGACGAGATGCAGATCCAAGCTTTTTATTAACACACTTTTCCTCAGCACCAGTCCGTAGTGCAGCGACATTCTGTCCATAAAACAAACCCGAAGTGACAACCTTCTTCAGCTGCTTCTGCCGATACTGCTCGATCCCGAGTCCATCACGAGCAGCAAACCAAGAGTCCCGCGAGCCAGATGAAAGCAGTTCCCGTAGCTCATCCTGGAAAGGTGCATAGAGCTCACGAACTTCCTCGGGTTCCACCCACAAGAGATCAGCGAAATCATCCACGAATTGCAAAAACTGAATATCAATAACCATATCCAAGCCTGCAGGGAATGGACGGCTAGTCATGCCATTGTGATGCAGTATCCCGATTTCTAGTATCTCAATCTGGCGCTCCATGGTATGACGGAGGGTCGCCAGGAATCGGTCGACCTGAACATTGATGACAAGCTGACCCTCGTGGCAGTTCCAGGCCTCCCAGAGGTCATCGTAATTCTCAAGTGAGGATGTGTGCTCGAAGAGATAACCCTGGAAGCAGCGAGTTTCGAGATCAAAGGCCAGGACCAGCTTAGCGTTTGTGAACTCGTTTTTTTCATTAGGGACGGGGAGGGTGGCGAAGAACACAGTAGCATTGGTATGGGGTGAAACGTCTTCGAAGCTCGGGTTGTCATGTAGGGTGATCTGTCTGAATCCCTGGGTCTCCAGGAGGTAGCACTCCTTTGCACGACGGCACTTGTCACGGCCACTTTCAATGTGGGCCAGGTAGATAAAGTAGTCAATTACACCCCATGGATGACGCAGGTATTGATTTAAGTGTGATGTGAAGGAATTTTTATCGGGTTGTGAAATTTTAGGGCTCGCAGGTTGGGGTTGGTGTCGAGGCTTGTCGTGTGTGATAGGTTTAGTCGTCTTTGGCCATCGGAGGGGAAGCACGCGAGGCATCTCGAAGTCCTGGGAGATCTGAGGGCTCTGCATGGCTGTCAGACTCAACTCTTAGGTACTATGACTCGTGATAATGGTGATTCTATTCTTGATTGAGCGTGTTGATATAGGACTTGATCCGGAACTCACGGCAGTCAGAACAATCAACAATAGTGCGCGGCGGAGAATCTTTCTTGAGGAAATTATCCTCGAGCTCTTGGGTTAACGAGTGAAGGAGGAATAGTATACCGGCGAGTAAGACGAAGTTCGGCAGGTTCAAGGGTGTGGATAGGATTTCTGCGACGAACTTGGTGGCTGTTCGTTCGTGATAGCAACGATAGAGGAATCTCAAGACGTGGTAGATGATCGCGGCTCGGCTAACTTCAACGATGTAACGCGAGATCGCAATAGCGAAAGAGCTTAGCCAAAGGGCGAGCAAGATAAACACGACGGGTTCAGGAATGTCCTGGAAGTTGAAGTTAGTGGAGGCCATTGATGACAATATCAAAAGATGGGGCTTACGATGTATAATGGCGGGTCGTGTGGGAAGGATGAAGCTATGTGTGGAGATGGCTAGTCAAGAAGGTAAAGCTTAGTGATTGTGCTTTTGCTCTGTTGAAGCTGTTGGTAATTCATCTCAAATGCGGTGATGGACGTCCTTTTTGTATTCCAGAGAGTAGTTCAATTGGTAGAAAGGAACCAATGATACAAAGGCTTTATGAACATAGTCATCTCATCTTAAGAACTCGATCGCGAACGGACAACAATAATGCGCACAAAGGCCACAAACGACAGAAGCTGACAAAGTTCTTGTTTCAAATACTTTGTAGGAAGAATCCTCCATGAGTAGACTCGGAACTCAGCTCATAATGCCCTTGTAGGTTCTTTATCGTTGAGGAAAAGACTGAAAGGAAGGAGATGATGTTGCTTTGTACCATACGTAGTATAACAAGAGAGATCAGCAGACAAAGACTCGACCCAACATGGCCTAACAAAGATCGAGTAACAAAGTATCTCCTGTAGCGGCTAGACTGGCTTCTCATTTACGGTACAATTAATCAAAACAATGAGCATAGAACGGCATTGACGCTTTCGTCGAGGGACTAGAAGTTCAGTGTAGACAAAGACTCGAGCTTCAGCTCCATGGAGGCCACAATTAGACAATGGCATTATAGCGGGACAGGATCTTTGTTTCCATCCAAGCTGGAATCATGATGTACCTGCATCTTCACCATATAAAGAATATCAATAACCTGCAGTCTTCTCATTCGAACATTTCAACCAAGCATGTTTCTTGACATAAATACATCTTTTTCTAGAGGAGGGACAAGTAAGTTCGCCCCACGCAGTCTGTTCCTAGATAAAGACTGAGTCACCTAGACCAAATCCAATCCGCTGGTTGACCCGAATCATGATATAGGAGTGTGTATTCGTCCAGGAGCTTACTCCCTTAATGGACCCCAACAATGAGGAGGCCGTCTGGGTTACCGTGGTACTTCACCCAGAGATGGAATATACCATACCGACGAAGAGATTGTAAGGTATGTGTATAGCCAGATCCGAATGAAGCGAGAGGGTATTAGCCGGTATGCGCTGCATAATCATGGGAAAGTGCATATTTCGCTCCCGATCATAAATCGAACAGAAGACACATATAAAATTCTACTCCATGCTGAGAATGATGATCACGCGTGGCTCAAGTTGGTAACCGATAGGACAGTCGCTATTGTCCGTAATATTGTTTTCAGGTGAGCACAATCATTCTCATCTTTTAACGCCGATTAACACTGATCAACTGCATTATCAGCAGCTTTACCAGGCAATACAAAGTTAGTTGAGTTGTAACGGCAATGGTTTACAAACTGTCGCTCCGGAGGTCTTGAAGACGTGATGAAAGGGGTTTATATGCCCAAAGCCCTCTAAACTTTTAGTCCAAAGTTTATGTAGAATCTCATTGCAGCAGAAGGCGGATAAAACCTATCGTTTCTCTCAATACTTATGACATCTTCAAGGCGTACCTAGAAGTCATTTTGTAGCAAGCAACTCTAAATTAATATCCTAGATCCGCAAGTTGCAGGGGCGAAATGTTGCTACCGCCCTAGCTAGGATGGTCACTTTTATATTTTGACTGGTTGGATCCCTCTTTCTTTTGAAATTGATGTCAATATTTTTTGACCATACCCATCAACTCCCAGGGTCAATCATGTTGATCAACACCGAATTGGGATGTGGAAGATAAGATGGCCAAGCCTCTTGCGGATCATGTCGGCGGGCCGAAACCTTATTTCTAATTTTGAGTGTCCCTACACAAGGTTACCATGGTTACCCTTGGAACAGATGGCATGGATTGAATACAAATCTACCGAACGTAGTCTCCATCTGAGTTCACTCCATCAAGATACAGTGATTAGTAGCCTCGAGCACCAAGACTGGCAGTTGCTGTCCCAGCACACCCGTTCCCCATGCCCCACTGCACTTGGGACCCAGTCAAAACTCTCCAAAGTGGGTCTTGAGGAGCTGGATGTTATGTATGTATGTACATATAGATATGTAGGTTGGTAGGTTTCGTTTACTTCCAATGTACAATTGGCTTGATAGAAAGACAATAAAAACCGAATCATGAGGACAGCATGGAATGTAGGCTCAATTTATAACGCGTAGGAATGGCTCATGACGCGACAAGGGGCCAGGAAAAGAAGCAAGGTAGGTCTACAAGATCACAAAGGAGAAACATGTGGGCATCCTGGTGGCGTTACGTATAAGAGGACACAAGTCTGACTATAGGATATACGACTCTCTTCTCCAAGCCCGTGCCAATGGCTCAAGGATTGATGAAAAGGATATCCACAAGAGTGGGGTGGGGGCCAAATAATACGCCTGTCAATGACCCGAGAGCCATTGAACAGCCTGTTCCGCCGCGGTGTGCAATGCAGGGACCAGACTGTGGTGAACTGCCTTCATGATCGCAGCCACCCAAACAAGGTAAGTATGAAGAGGGAAAAAGAAGAAGACGAGGGATCTGGGAGGGAGCGCATTATTTATAAAGCACGTCTAGGGCGGTGGCAAAATTTGGATGGAGTCATGTATTCTCTTCTAGATTAGGAAGGAGCCTACTTTTCTGTTTTCTGTTTTTGTGATCACCTTGACTACTCACGTGAGATAAATTATGACTTTTTAAGTCCCATTCTACTTTGAAATGATAACATTTCATCTTGAGACCTCTCAAATCCCTATTTCCCACTCATTTGGACCCATACTTTGGTGACGGGCAGGTCCCTGAATTCATTCTGGCAGAGCCATCTATAGTACAAAGAATTTTCGTGATGTTTCTCCCTATCAAAGAGCCAGTAAAGTCCACTGAAAGATGAGATATAGGTTACATAACAATAAAAGGTCTTTGTTCTTCTCCCAAATCCTCAAGATGGATGTATTAGTTGTTACTATATCCAACTTCGCAGTATTGTCTATATATATAATCTCTCTCCCATCATGAAAATGTATTTCCGTATTACCAATAAGCAAGAACAACAAGAATAGAATCGAAACTGATTCCCCATCAACTTACAGTTGCCAATAAATAAGTCAATCTCCACCCCCCTCCTCAAAACCGCGTGTGGTTAGCTGACTGTCAAAATGCCAAAGTTTCAGCCAAGTGTGTTCCAGAACGCCGAAGGGAAGAATTTTGCAGATCCTCACAGCGACCGAAGTGACTACTACTGGGTGACTGTGTTCATCCCAGAATATATGGAGCCGAGATGGTGTACAGATGAGAAGATCCTAGCATATGTTCGCGATCAAATCCGACATTGTCGTTGTAGTATACATGAGAAGGCCATGCATGGTTTGGGGAAGAAATGTATCTCCATACCGATCAGACGCAATGATGAGTATGCTCCTCTGCCTGATTTTTCTCAACAGCCTGCACATCCAGATATCTATCTTGCTATAGATATTGCTGAATTTTGGCGAGAATCAGTTTGGGCGAACAAGATTATGCTTGATAAAGACCTGATCTTCGTTGCAAAACATGGCAAAACATTGAGAATGGAAGACATGGTGGATGTCGGACTTGATATAATGAACATTTGGCGCATCTAAACATTCTGTATATCATTGTCCTTTTAAGTTGGTCTTGGAAGCATGTAGGATTCAATACTATAGACCTGTTACTTGTTAGCCCAAGCTACAAAACCCAGAACCCGGCTTCAAACTATACATGGTGGTCCAGCAATATTGATGTCACCGCCGTCCACTTCAGCAATGTCCTTTAGTCCAATTTCCTCCATGGTCTTTCCATCCTCAATTACAATTCATACATATGTGGAGAATTATAGTCGTTTTGAATGAAACAGCTCTGGTAGCACCCGGCTATACCATGCAAGTCTTCACATTTTCGTACTGGGGACTTTAGATACACCTATCATTATGAACAAAGAGCAAAACCGCTTAGCGATGAGGGTAGGTCCTGCATACAAAGGGACAGTGAAATCAAAGATCATAGAGCACAATGCTCAGAAAAGATCAATGGAGATTCTCGAGCGAGACAAAGAGAATCCCAAGGAATATTTATGCTTGTTCATAGAGAAGGTCATTATGCCAACACGAGAACTTTGTTTTCTTTATGTTACTATTCAACCTCAAGACGGATATATACTGCTGGAGTTCGCAGTATATAAACACCCGATATCATCGTCTCGGTAACTTCATTATCCTCATCGCTTGGAAAAACATCCCCTATTACAAGACCCCTATTGCAAGAAAGCAGCCTTATCCAACAATTACAGATATATTCAACCCGTGAACCGCCATCATGCCTGTTTATCAAGCAAGTGCATTCAAGCCTGCAAATAGTCGGTTCCATTACAAGGACCCCCACAACGATCAACCGGGTTGGTCCTGGGTCACAGTATATATAGGTGAGAACTTCAACCTGGAAAGTAGTGCTGAAACCATTATGATGTGTGTAATCCAGAGCATCAAGGATAACGAAGCAGTCGTGACCACACATGCAATGCACGGCATGGGAGCACGATGTATCTCGTTGCCAATTAAGGAAACTGGACAAGACCTTGCAATGTTCATGGTAATGGCGCAAGCCGTTGCCCTCTGGTGGTTCGAAATGATTTCCCTAGAGCGGGTCACTCTTGACTTGCACATGATCTTCCAGGCCCAGGAACCCCCTACGGACTCTGATTACGATTTGTTAGATGTGCTCCCATCTTGGAACAAGCCGGAATACTCGTGTCTCAACCTTTGGGATGAAGTTGTTCAGGAGCCGTAGATTCTGCGGATGGCAGCGAGCAATAAGACCTGGAGAGGGCTGCGGGTACGGATCTTGCCTAGAACTTTGAGTACATTGATATATACAAGTTATTTAAATGATAAAGAGAATTTGACTGATGAACGAACAGTGTAAACAAGTAAATCGATAGCATGTATGGAATATGCCATAGTAACGCCGGTATAATAATACAACCAGGACCCATAAACAGGTATAGAGTGGTCTGTCAGCGAGACTAAATCCACTTTGACTGTTTCGCCTTTCTCTCACGCTCCTTCTTTTTCTGCATGAGGGTATATCCACATCCGGCACCAGTAACGTACCCACCTAGATGGGCAGCGTGGTCCATCTTGGTCAGCCGAGAGAGGGGCCAAGCGCGGAATAAGAAAGCGGGAGCCACCAAGCTGAAGATCTCAGTGCCGACCAGGCAGCCAAGGAACACCCAGCCGTAGGTCCAAATTTGTTCTTGAAGTCCCTGGGGAAGAATCCACAGGGTGAGTTTGTCGCTAACTAAGGTCAGTACAGGTATCACGGCAAGGAAATAGAACTGCAGTAGAAGACATACTCGAAATGAGACATGCACCATGCGGCGACGATACCGCTGGTCGCAGCACTGGCTCCGAGAGAGGTCATGCCCAGGCGGCCGAGGATAACGCTGCGGGTCAATGAGAAAATAGACCCCATCGCGCCGGAGGCGAAGTAAATGGCCAGGAAGTTTCCACGACCAATTTCATCGTGAACTATGAAGCAAACAAAAGGTTAGCAAGCCTATTTTCTAGTGGCATTGAAAACCAAGATACATACCTCGGGTTCCCATAAGTCCGAGCACCATCATGTTCGTTCCAAGATGTCTCCATGTTTGATGACTGAATGTACTTCCCATCATACCCAGTGCACTGGGGTAAAAGGGAACAATTACAAAGTAACGATTAAGCAATCGCCAAGCAGGGGGTACGTATTTCCATAGAAGAGTGACGGTTAGGTTAGCTGCCACAATGGCACCGACAGTTGCAACAGCAGGAGGTACATCCGGCATAAGGCGGTCCTTCCGTGCTGGGAACTCATACTTTTGAGCAAAAGTGTAGCAAAGCCCAAGGACCGCGATAGTGAAAAGCAGTGGAGCGAGCAGACGTTGAGACTTTCGATTCAAATATGGTTAATAGTCGAACAATTTCACAACCTAGACCTAATACTTACATTGGTGATGTTCATCGACTCAGGGCTCTCGTTGGTTCCAGCAATGTGATGTTTCTGGACCCAAGCGAGGTACGGTCTCTCAATCGGATCCGCACGGGGGCGAGCTAGAAACAAAACAGTCAACGGCAATCACCCAAATACGAATTTTGATGTACATACCCTCAGTAAGCGCTTGCTCTTGATATTGTTGGAGCGAAGTATCCTTCCCAAACTGCTGTTGCAATCGTTCCTGTTCTTCTTTCTCGCCATCGAGCCACTCTTGCCTTTTACGCTCCTGTTCAGCCAACAAGCGCTTTTCATTCCGTTCACGAGCCTCTTTCAGAACACTCTTGCCATAAGGAGAGCCCTCCTCACCGAGCTCGGCATCATAAGAGCCGCTCTGTGGTTTATACAAGCCCAACCTCTCGGCCCGGCGCACAAGCTTCTCTTCCTCGGCGCGATCCTCACGCTCGATGCGGGCGAAAATGGCAGCGTCCTCGTCCACAGGGTACTCGTTTCGCAGCCATTCCATAGCCATATCAACCTGCTGCTGGGTAACGGCACGGACAATTTCAATTGGCAATTCCGCATCGAGCGTGCCGGCCAGACGATGGCCGTGTAGAACGGTTAGGATACGGTTTCCCATCTTTGCGTTAAACTTGGGCTGGCCAAAGATCGTTTTGATCTCGGCCTCGGAGAAAGGCTTTTCACGAAGGATGGCTTTCGAGCAATCTGATTTGGGCTTGGGCTTAGGCTTTGGAGAAGCGGCGGATGTACGTTTGAAGCGGCGGGCGCTAACAGAGACCGGTTTGTATTGTTGCAGGGAAATTGACGTTGGCCGAGACGGGCGAGAGAATAATTGTGAGAGAATACTCGGAGCTGGCAACCCGAATGGGCGCTGTGAGGTGCTGTACATGCGCCATGGGGTAATGCGGAGGTCACGACGAGTAGGGCGGAATGATACCGGGGTTAGTATGGAGGCACGGAGCCCTGGACATGGAGTCCGCCATGCGGCCCAGACCGCGTTGCTCATATCCTGGGACTGGAGAGCGACGCCTGTGAAAGAGCCAGAGAAGATATGGTGGTGGTCAGTTGTTCGGGGAACTTTTTGGTGGTATCTCCAATGAACCTACGGCTGCAGAGTTGTTCCGAGACCGCGATTGTTTGATGCAGTGCGAATGTATCGTCTGGACAAACTAGAATACTAATACTGACAGGTTCAAAGGTCTGTTTCTTTCTAATTGCTAGATATGCGAGTACTCTTAAGGAGAGGCATATCTACATTTCAATCATTTTTTCAATACAGCGACACTTTGCTCCATGTTCAATATCTCCATCAACATCTGATCTACAGACTACCACGTGATGATAACGATAATCCGCCGCATTGATCCCGACCTAGGAAGGCTCGCTTTCATCCATCAGCAACAAAACAACTGACCTCAAAATGTCAACCGAATCTCTCCCCATAACCCCAGGAGCCTTCGCAGAAGCGATCAAAGAGCTCCCCCTCGCAGTTCTCTACAGCAAAGTCTTCGAGCTCACGAACTCTATTGCGCACCTGCAACGCTCGAACACTGAGCTCCGTGCATTCTTAGCAGAAAGCAATGACTCAGAAGAAGACAAAAAAGAACTAGAGGGGTACATCACAGAAAACGACGGTGTGGCCGTATCCATGAATGAGCGGATCTCGTTGCTGAAGATCGAGGTTGAGAATCGTGGGCAGCCATGGATTGAGCTTGATGAGCTTAAGAAGGAGGAGGGGCAGACCTCATTGCCAGATGTGCCGGTGACAAATGGGAATGGACCTGTGACTGAGACTGGGGATGCAGGTGCAACGCAGGACTCCAATGATGGGGGAGATGGGGATGGAGTCTATCTGTGACGAGTTCAATGGATTTCATCTATGCACCATTAGCTTCTTCAAGCTTGCCCAAACCGTTCAATCTTACAAAACGTATTGTCACCAGTGCACCAGTGGCTCGCGGCCACTGTATTTTACGGATGCTTCATTGCATTTGCATGTGGGTCGAAGATCCACCTCTGTCAATTGGCCATGTTTCACAGCACCCATACCTCAGTATGAGCAAGAATCATGACAGCGAACAGGCACCTGGCCAGCCTTGGAGTCATCTTGATGAATGGCCAAGCTTCAAGTCTTGCCCGGGTGAAGACTGCTCGAATCCGATGCAGCGCTTGATACTTAAATCACCAGCCTCAGACAAATAGACGGATATGATCTACAATCTCAGGTCTTACATATACCAATGAATCATGATCAGATAAACGTATTGCAATCAGTTGATAAAAAAACATGTAACGATGACCAGCTGATGCTGGATGAAGATATGCAATACCATCAAGTAGAATAATTCACAGCGCATGCTAAATGCTCAATCAAAGCCCCAGCTCTGTCATATCATAGCAAATTCACCCATCTTTAGAATGGCCGAAGGAGAAAGCAGAACACGAACAAAGTAAGACAGCGCGGCCCAACGCCAGGTTAGAGGACATGTCATGATCGTCAATGTAAAAGAATATGCAACTCCAAACCCGTGGAGCTTAAGTAGCAGCCTGCTGAGCCCAGTGGCCACCATTGAGCGCCTCTGGGGGGACCCGCTGCTGTTTGATGAACAACTCAATCAGGGGCTGCATGGGCTCCATCTCCTTCTCAGACACAAGGCCGTAGTACTTGGAGACTGTCACAAAGTGAACAAAGCACATGTTCAGGACATCGTGCTTATTGAGATGCCAGAAGGGGTTGAGCCAATGGGCATGGTAGAGATGGGCGTAGCAGCGGAACATCTGCTTCATGATTCCCTGGCAGTCCTTGTAGAAAGTTGGCGGGAAACCACTGGACTTGCCAATCCACTCATCTGGGTTGGCGGGATCTGAGGGGGTTGTTGATGCACCGTTGGCTTCTTTGACGGAAGAAGTCTCGGGGATGCCGTTGACGTTTTCGGTAGGGAACATGACAGGGTCATGGATCTTGCTGACAATCCATTTCTCGACACGGTTGATGAACTTCGGGGCGGAAATTTTGGCAGCACGGCCGTCAACAAGCCAGGTGTAGGTCAGCCTTCAAAATCGTTAGCTCGGTTCATGATATACCCCGCCATATCCACATACCGCCCAGCGGACATTGTCGGACAAGTGTTTTCATTGCAAATAGGAAGACCGTTCACGCTGTTCACTTCCTGGATAACCTGAAGCATGCCGTGGAGCAGACGATATTGTTCAACAACTAAGTAGAAACACATTAGCTTCCCCGACACCAAGAGAAGCTTCCATGTTGCTTACTCTGGTGAGCCAGCCACTCGCCCAGCTCCACATTCTTCGGGCAAGCACAGAGGGTCAAAAAGTTGCCCCTCACGTTCAGCGGGGCATACTTCTCCTGAAAGAAGTATTTGGGACCCTCGGGGTCGTTGGCTTGGTTCTCAACCGACAAACTGCTGGAAATCGAGGGAGAGTTCGACATGCTGGCTTGGTGCTGAGGAGCAGAAGCCTGTGCTGGGCTTTTGGGGGGGTTGTTGCTCTTATTGTTTCCTCCCCGACCAAATCCTTGGCGACTGTATTTGAAATAGAGTTAGCAAGCAATTGCGGCGAGAAGTAGATATTTGCGAACGAGATGGGAAGAGCTCAAATAAAGAAGAATTAAGGGGAGTATTAGAAAACAAATCAAGGACGATATTAGACTTTGGGGAACGGAATGTTGCTTTGTACTTGTGGCGCCGGGGTTGTTCGTGCAGTATGAGGGGGGGGGTAAAGATGGAAGGGAGATAAAACAGCCCTTTGCAACATCTCGCGATGGCGCATATCACTTACACACTCTGGAAAAAGGTCGCCATCTTGAGATTGACCTGCGATACTTGTAATCAAGAAAACAATGAGGGATGAGGGACAAGACGGTGAGATGCCCACACGTTGAGGATCCCCTTTTGGTCTGGGCCATCGTGACACTAGTCCCATTTTACTCCGGAACCGGAAAAGCTATGCATCCGGATGTCAGTGAATAATGAGAGCTCCGTCGTGAATGGCCGATATGTAGACAATTGTCAATAGACTATACTACTGTAGTGACGATATACCGGATCGCTTGCTCACCATCCAACATTGAAACCCCTATCAATCTCTTCTCTGTCACCATTTGCACCCCCGGAACTCTGCGATCTTGCAACATCCACAATTAACCCAATACGCCATGTCCTCCGACGAGGAGGGTGTCCGACGCCCCGGCGGTGATGGCAACGAAAGTCCTACACACAGCAATGCTAATGATTCTGTTGCCGATCAAATGGACGAAGGCGATGATCTCTTCGGCTCGGACGGAGAGGGTGGACTCGAAGACACTGAGTACGCACATCATCCCAATGCGACAAGGGCCGGATACTGACAAATTCCTAGGCCCAACCGTGCCTTGGATGATGAACAGCTTGACTCGGGAGATGATGAAAACCGTTACGACCGACGTGCAGACCGAATGGATGACGTGTTCGAGGAGGAGCAGGAAGTGAATGTTGTTGATCATGATCTTGCGCGAGCGCCAGTGCCACTGACCAACGACGGAGAGGTATGCCGAGCTTCTACTTGAAACATTGATCTAAAACTAATATCCTGGCACAGGTCTACACAATGCGTGTCCCCGATTTCCTCTCAATCGAAGGAGAAGAATTCAATCCCGCAACTTATGTTCCGCCGCCTTACCAGACCGCCGCTACCTCGCTTTGCTGGCGCAAGGACCCTGCGGACGAGTCTCTTTTGCAATCAAATGCCCGCATGATCAAATGGGAGGATGGATCAATCACCCTCCAGCTCGCCTCCGCACCCTGCGAACAATACCGCATCGCATCCAAACCTCTCGCACCTCTCACCAAATCTGGCGAATATGACCACAAGCTGGATTCTCACGTTTACCTTGCAGCTGGATTGGAAACTGCTCAAGTCTTTAGACTGACCTCACATCTTACCCAAGGCCTGACTGTTCTCCCAACTACATTGGAGACGGATGACGCCGTTCAGCGACTGCAAGAGCAACTGGCTGCTGCTGCTCGTGGTAGCAAGCAGACCGCAGCTGGAACTGCGCCACGCTATGAGCTCACAGAGGATCCCGAGTTGGCTGGCAGGCGTGCTGAAATGATGGAGAAGGAAGCCATCAAGGCGGAACGTCGCCGCCAGCAGCTTGCCGATCGCGAGGCAGATCGTGGTCGCCGTCATGGCGCTAGTCGTACTGGCCCCGCTGGTCTTAGTGTTGGCGGTCTTGAAGATGGCGGCTTGCACACGACTCGTCCGCGCGCCAAGCCTCGTCGTCAAAACCGTCGCGGTGAGATTTACACCGATGACGAAGAGGATTATCCTCGTGGTGCCCGCAACAGAGAAGATGAATACGACGAGGACGATGGGTTCTTGGTTGGAAGTGACGAAGACCTCGAGGAAGAAGCCGAAGATGAAGAAGAGGAGCTGGAGGATGAAGACATGGACGCTGAAGGTGAAGATGACGAGGAGGCTGCACCTGCAAAGGCCCGCAGCAAGCCAGAACCTCAAGCCCGGGCTGGTACACCTCCTGCCCGAAAGAAGAACCGCTATGTGGTCGATGATGAGGATGACGAGTGAGCTTTCAATTCGTACGTCCTAGGTCATTTTTCTTTTCGCGCTTTCTCTGCAGTTTACTTGTTACATATCCACATGGTCCGGCGTCATCTACATGGACAGGCATTCGAGGGACAATGGGGCTCATTTCACTCAGACTTGATGCTTGTAGAACAAAATTAATGAAATGGTCAACGACACATCAATTCCCATTCTCGTTCCAGCGAAACCATGTATGATTTGTTTTGTATCTGATATTGAATGGTAAATGATGGTTACTGTCGAAGTCGTTTTCTAACCGCTGTTTTGGACATCTTTGAAGTGTGGTATACGCAAAAAAAAACAGAAAACAGGACCCAGCCTATGAATAACAAAAAGGAAATCATGAATCATCTGTTTATCGTTACCTGTAGCCTTCTGCACCCTGATCATTGTTATTGACTGGCTCGACACCCTCAGCATAATCATCAGGTGCAAAATTGAATTTTGTGATCACATTTCTGGCACTTCCAACCACACGAAGGCATAAATACTCGTTTCCATCATTGGTTTCATCTTGGTCCTGTGGCTGATCTGCCTGGGATGGTGGGCTGTATTTTTGGGTCGGATGTTGCCCAGGTTCATGCCAGCGGCGTTGCCGGTTCTCAATTTCCATGATCATAGACAATAGATCTGACTGCTGCTCGGAACAAGTAACTGCAGAATCTGGGTCTAGATAGCCACCAACGACAGCGCGTCGAACAACTTGGTGAAGCCATATTTTCCAGGTTTGTGCTGGATCGGGGCTTTGGAGTACCCGAGCAATGTAATCTGCTGGCGCGGACTGCAATCCTAATTGGGTGGCATCGGTCTTAGAAACGCGCAGCCAAGCATCCGCGGCGACGGTTAAAAGAGTTCCTATGAACATGACATTTTGAACGCCCGTTGCAAAGGCTTTAGGACAGATTTGGCAGCGGATCACGTCTCGTGCTGTTCGTGCAGCGATATATAGGGAGCATAGAGTGTGGTCACTGACAGGAAAGGAGGAAATGGACGTCATGTGGCTGAGACAGAGATATAGATATGATAGACAAGTACAGCTAGATGCTGGAGAATCAGAGGAGACGGAAGTAGAAGGGGATAGCGGAAGGGAGCCCATGGGAGGGAAACTTGTAGGGCTGGGAAATGGCATTGGCATGGCCGTGGCCTCGGAGACGGTTGAGAAATCAGGCCAAGGACTTGATGTTGGGAATACAGGAACACTTGGTTGTTTCAGTTGCTCTGGTCGCCAGCTGTGGTTGTGGTCATCGTAGCCCGATAATAGGTCTGCGGGCTGGGCGTGTGGCGAGTTCGTGCTCGTACCAGGTCGCCAGTAAAGCACCGGGCAAAGATGATCAGTATCTGGGAAGATGGCTGTGGTGGGGCTCATTGTGGAAGGCTGTTGCGAGTCCCCTAGACTGGGCCAGATGTCAGCCTCAGAATGCGCTGGGAAGTCAGGCCCCTCGTCGTCTGCCCGTGTCCTTTTCTTGGGTGGTCGGCCCATCTGTTTTTGTATGGAATAGTTGCAAGGGAATGTCTGCTTATTGCATCGCGAGCAACCTGTCAATTCCCCGGAGCATTTGAGCTTTCGCTTCCCTGTCCAACAGTAAACTGGTCAGTGAGTTTTGTGTTACAACGGCCTGTGAGACTTACTACACTCGTCACATGCTGCATGTCTTTTTGGCCCCAAAGGTTCATTTGTATGAGGCAGAGGGGCCCCTACCTCATGAGTAGACGCGAGCGACATTGCTTGGAAATTTGATAATTTCAAGTTATGATCATGAGGCCTTTCAAACTAATTGGAACTTGGATCGAGAACATGGGCGCTTAAGTCATAGATAGCGATAAGATGGGGATGGTCATGTGGGCGGTGAGGGCCGCGAGAAATTATCTAAAAAAAAATCCATGGATCTACGGTAACAGATCAACACCTGCTGAACGGCATCATGAATCCCAAGGTGGCTTCAAAGAAGCGCAAGGCTGTCACCCGCGATGTGGAGGAGGAAGCTGGTGTCTTTTCTGGTGACGAATTGAGCAAAAACAACCTCGATGGAGCCTTGTCGGACAACGCCAATGATCTTTCGGAGAGCGAAGACGACGACAGCGACTCGGAAATCGAACTGGTCGACGAATTCAGCGACGAAGAGGATGGAGAAGAAGAATTGGACAGCGATGAAATCCCTTCTGATACAGAGGAATTGAAGCCAGCTGCTGGTGAACCCAACTTCCGCATTGTGAAGGACGCCAATGGAAATGATCGCTACCTTTGGGACGAAATCCACCCCGACGATAACTCCGAGCTTTCTGAGGTGGATGAGAATGCTAACACTATTGGCGATATCCCGCTGAAGTTCTACGACGAGTATCCTCACATTGGCTACGACATCAATGGAAAGAAGATTATGCGCCCTGCCAAGGGCGAGGCCCTGGATGCATTGCTGGACAGCATTGAGATCCCCAAGGGCTGGACCGGTCTTACTGACCCCCAAACCGGCAAGCCTCTGAAGCTCAGCCAAGATGAATTGGAACTGCTCCGCAAGGTGCAAATGAACGAGGTCCCCTCCGAGGGTTACGATCCATATGAGCCTTTGGTGGAATGGTTCACCAGCGAGAAGGAGATCATGCCTTTGAGCGCGGCCCCCGAACCCAAGCGCCGCTTCGTCCCATCCAAGCACGAGCAGAAGCGTGTGATGAAACTTGTGAAGGCCATCCGCGAGGGTCGCATTCTGCCTTACAAGGCGCCCGAGGATAGGGAAGACAAGGAGGAGGAGCTCATCAACTACGACCTATGGGCCGACGAAGTTGAGCGACCTGATCACGTTATGCATATCCCGGCGCCCAAACTTCCACCTCCTGGTTACGAAGAGAGTTACCACCCCCTCCTGAGTACCTGCCCGATAACAAGGAGCGCAAGGAATGGGAGCAGACAGATCCCGAAGATCGCGAAAAGGACTTCCTACCCAATGACTTCGGCTCCCTGCGCAGAGTTCCTGGATACGACAACTTTGTCCAGGAGAAGTTCGAGCGTTGCTTGGATCTTTACCTTGCTCCGCGTGTGCGCCGCAGCAAGCTTAACATTGACCCCGAGAGTCTTTTGCCTAAGCTACCTAGCCCCGAGGAATTGAAGCCTTTCCCTACTGCCTGTGCTACGGTGTTCCGCGGCCACAAGGGCCGTGTCCGCTCTGTCAATGTCGATCCTACTGGAATTTGGCTAGCTACTGGTGGCGATGATGGTACTGTCCGTGTTTGGGAACTTCTCACAGGTCGCCAACTCTGGAGCGCGAAGCTAAGCGACGACGAGGCCATCAACACCGTCCGCTGGCGTCCAGGCAAGGATGCAGTCATCCTTGCCGCCACCGCAGGAGACGACATTTTCCTAGCCGTGCCTCCTATCGTTGATCCTGAAATTGAGAAGGCCAGTCTGGATATCCTCGACGCAGGTTGGGGTTTCGCTGCCTCCAAACCGACCCCCAACGCCTCAGAGGAAGGCAAGAAGAGTGCGCCCCCGACCTGGATCCGTCCCTCCGCCGCTCTCCTGGATGCTGGTGTGTGCGTCGTCATTCCCCTCCGCTACGTACCCAAGACGATCTCCTGGCACCGCCGTGGCGATTACTTCGTGACGGTGTGCTCGGGCGCCTCGACACCTGCATCCCTCGCAATCTCTATTCACACAGTCAGCAAGCACCTGACACAATTCCCCTTCCGGCGTCGTCTCAAGGGCGGTGGTCCCCCGCAGACTGCGCACTTCCACCCTTCGAAACCAATCCTGTTCGTGGCAAACCAGCGCTCGATCCGCGCATACGATCTCTCACGCCAGCTCCTTGTCAAGATCCTGCAGCCCGGTGCGCGCTGGATCTCGTCCTTCGACATCCATCCCACCTCATCGAGCGCATCTGGCGGCGACAACATCATTGTCGGCTCGTACGATCGCCGTCTGCTCTGGCACGATCTCGACCTCTCCCAGCGGCCCTACAAGACTCTCCGTTACCACCGCAAGGCCATCCGCGCCGTCAAGTTCCACCCCAGCGGTCGCTACCCGCTTTTCGCGGACGCCTCCGACGACGGATCCCTGCAGATTTTCCATGGCAGCGTTACTGGCGACATGCTCAGCAACGCTACCATTGTGCCGCTCAAGGTTCTCAGGGGTCACAAGATTACTGGAGAGCTGGGTGTGCTGGATATCGACTGGCATCCGCGCGAGGCGTGGGCTGTCAGTGCTGGTGCCGATGGAACATGTCGCTTGTGGATGTAATCTTGAGATGTGGTTGCATGATGTCTGACATTTTTCTGGGCGTTTTTTTCTATTCATTTTGTGTGCATAATTTCCTTTTGTATAGTCATCTTACGAAAAAGTTGTTTTCTGACATTTCAACCTCGTATTCCATGTAGTACATGTAGCTCTTGGAATCTGGCATAGCACAGGGAGTTCGATGATCATCAACCCTAGTCTGTGCTTTAAATGACCCGTTCCACATTTTGAATACTGAGATATGATGATACAAGGCATAGTTATTACCATATGACTCTGGAGACATTTGAAGCCGTATGATCGTGATGGGTTGAAAGCTCGCCTAGTCGAAGATGAAACGAATGATCCAATGTCCAATCAAATTGCAAATGTCCAAGGTATCTATTGTCCACGATCCCAAGCAGAAAAAAAATCAGAAAAAAGCTCTAGATCTGAATATGCCCCAAAGAGGAAGTATATATACAATCACTCCCCAACTCAGACTACACCGCCACTCCAGTCCCTCCTAAGCTTCTCATACTTCTTCAAGTCCGTAACACTAGGCCGGACAAACGACTTAGCAGCAACAAAGTCAACGAACTTGATACTATCACGACGCTTGATAGCAGAGTAACCAGCACGACGCAGTAGACTGCCCAAATCAGCACCACTGAAGCCCTCACACTCCTCCGCAAGTCTGCGCAAATCCTCACTGAAATCAATAGCCAAGTTCCGGACGAGAGTCTGCAGAATATCCACACGCTCGAGGGGCGAAGGCAAATTCACGAAAAGAAGGGTCTCGAGACGACCAGGGCGCAGCATAGCAGGATCAATGATATCGGGCCGGTTAGTAGCGGCGATGACATAGATACCCTGGCGACTGCTACCGAGGCCATCAAGCTCTGTGAGAAGAGTGTTGACGACACGCGCCGAGGCCTCGGAGAGTGTATCGTCGCGGCGAGGTACGAGGGCATCAAGCTCGTCAAAGAAGATGACACAGGGCACAGACGAGCGAGCGCGGACGAAGACCTGGCGAACAGCGCGCTCGGATTCACCGACGAACTTGTTAAGCAGTTCAGGACCCTTGACGCTGATGAAGTTTGCGCGGGATTCGTTGGCGACGGCCTTGGCGAGAAGCGTCTTACCGCAACCAGGGGGACCCCAGAGGAGAACGCCTGTGGGCGCAGTAATACCGACATTTGCGTAGATATCGGGGTTCTTGATGGGTTCAACGATGGCGGTGACAAGCTCGTCACGGATGCCGCCAAGAGCACCAATATCAGCCCAGGTTGTATCGGGAATTGTGGCAAAGCCTTCGCGCTTGGAGGAGGGTTGGATCTTAGGGAGGGCTGTGAAGAAGTCTGCATTGGAGACGAGGACGACTTCGGTTTCTTCACCAATGGGGGTTTCTTTGGCGTGGTTGATTAAACGGCGAAGCTCGCGGACGCGTGGGCTGAGCTCATTTTCCCCTTCAATTTCCATTTCCATTTCTTCGCCGCTGTTGGACTTGAGGATCTCCAGGTACCGCTTGATGGCGGCAGAACCAGCAGTAGACACAAGATCGTTGAGATCGGCGCCTACAAAGCCGGGGGTTCTCTTGGCCAGCGTCTTGAGGTCGATGTCATCTGCCAGACGCAGTTTACGGGTGAGTGCACGTAGGATCTGTTCTCTGACTGGCTCTGAGGGTACTGTCATGTTGATCTCTTTATCGAAACGCCCACCACGACGCAAAGCGGCGTCGAGGCTGTCTGGGCGGTTGGTTGCCGCGAGCACAATGACGGGCTTTCCGTCTGTCTTTTCAAGAGCGATCTCGTCCATGCAGGTCAGGAGCTGGGCGACGATTCGCTTCTCCATCTCTCTTTGTGCGCTCTCACGCTTCGGCGTAATCGCATCAATCTCATCAATGAAGATGAGACAGGGGGCAAGACGCTTTGCCTCTTCGAAGTACTCGCGCAGGGCCTTTTCGGATTCACCCGACATTCCTGAGACGACCGAGGGCGCAGAGATGGAAATGAACGGCACGCCCAGCTCCGCCGCGAAAGCATTCGCAATCAACGTCTTACCACAACCTGGCGGGCCATGTAGCAATACTCCGCGTGGTGGCTGTACGTTTGATGAGAGATAGACTTGCGGCCGGGTCATGGGCAGAATGAGTAGGTCTCCAAGTTCCTGAACAACATCGTCCAGTCCACCCAGATCAGCAAGACTGACATGTGTTGGTGGCGATCGATCCGCAGCCTCAGCTTTGCGTCGCTTAGACAAAGATTCTCCGCCATGCGTTCTTCTCTTGGTGGAGGTGGGTGCCGGGGTACTCGCGGTAGATTCGGACTTTTTGGCCTTCGTTGTTGCCCATGAGCCGACGACGCTCTGGTTCATTCCGTTGCTCTCCTAATATGCCAATCCCAATTAAAATTCTGGGCCATCCCGGAACCAAGTTTGCGCAGTGCATAACATACCGCAGCCGCAGGCTCCTCGAGTCCCTCAAAGTCCCCCGCTACAGAGTCCTCGTCATCGTCACCCATATCAGCCTTCACAACCTCCAACACTCGTTCAAGACTGTCTTCAATCAATCTCTTCGGTTTGCGGTTTAAACTCGAGTTGGATTTTTTAATTGTTTCATAGATTGTTGAGACCGATAGTCGAATGCGACCAGTCTCGGGCTGGTCATCGATAATCTTGCGCACGATCTGGTAGACCTGGTTTCGAGGGTGAGTTGAAGCGAACAAGAGGCCAATGTCAGAATCCCTACCTCACGGTCCAGACCCTGACTGAGGGTTGGCCTGCCTCCTTTCCTAGCAGGCATGATTGCTATGGTTGTTACAACTGCGATAACAAAAAAAAAGCCGAAATTTCGGAGATGAACATTTGAAAGATCGGCTGAAAATTATCTGTAATTTACACTCCCATTACATACTCACGTCATCCATCCGAGGATGTCGGGGGACATCGATGGACCTTCCCTGAGGTCCTCTTCAACAACATGGGGAACTCAAGTAGCTCACAGAAGATCTCTGCCCAGGATCGGTGAGTATGCATTAATATCTAGAATCTTCACGGTGCTTCACTTTGTCTGCAAAAGCCATACTATGCTTCTCCTCACGAGACCCCCTCATCCCCACTCAAGGCGCCCATTCAACAGTGTTGACCTCAACTGACATCTCTTGCTATGTACAGAGCAATCCTCGATCTGAAAAATCAGCGCGACAAACTGCACCAGTATCAGCGACGAATAACTGTCCTTACAGACCGCGAGACGGAAATCGCCAAAGAATGTCTCGCGCGCGATGATCGGCGGCGAGCACTGCTGGCGCTCCGACGCAAGAAATATCAGGAGTCACTTCTCGCCAAGACAGATGGACAGCTCGCCCAGCTGGAGCAATTAACTGGCCAGGTGGAGTTTGCGCTGGTGCAGAAGGATGTACTGTTTGGATTGCAACAGGGGACACAGGTGCTGCAGACCATTAATAAGGAGATGGGGGGTATTGAGGGGGTTGAGAGGCTGATGGGGGAGACCGAGGAGGCGAGGGCTTATCAGGAGGTATGTCCTTCTGTTTTTTTGTCCTATTTCTCTGCGGGATATCATCATTGGCTTGGGATTCAGGCTTGGGATTGCTAACGACTGTTGCAGGAGGTGAGTCAGATGCTGGCAGGTCATCTGACGAATCAAGATGAGGACGAGGTCGAGGATGAGCTAGAAGCGCTTCGGCGGGAAGTTGCTGGCCCTGAAGTCCTGCCTGATCCTGTCATACTGCCGAGTCCGCCTACCGCTGATCTGCCTATTGAAGAGCCGGTGGCGGAATCGACTCCAAGAGTCAAGGCCAAGGCAGAGACTCGGACGGCTTTGCCTGCTTGAATAAGAGCATGTGTTGGATTCCTGTTGCAAGTATCACGCATTGCATTGATTTGAAGCATTTAGTGGCGTTATGGCTTATTGCTATCTTTTTGTTGTCTATATTGCCGGTAGACTCCATGTATCAATGGCGTTGGTGTTCATTTATACTGGCTGTTTTGAATCCGCGGTTCTTGAAATTCGTGAAATGCATAAAGAGGAGATCCTTGACCGTGCAGAGAAGGTTCATAAATATCACTCCATATCAGAGCTCATTTAGCCACGGAAGCAAACCAGTTCCTTGATCGTCATGGTCCATGTCACTTGATTGCCTTTATGTCTCCCTCCCCGAGATTTTACTCAACCTTGGGATTCGTCCCGATTTTGAGAGTAGTTGAGAGAGATCTCTGAGTAGCTCTCTATATTGGACTTGGATTCAAGATAGGCAATGATGTTGGCCAGATATTTCTGGTCTCGCTTTCAATATGTATCGTTATAACTGCCTTTGGACTGTCTGATAGATTGATGTAGGTAGAGTAAACATCAGTCGATATGAATAAAGCCCTGCATGGCGTCTGTTCACCTCCATACTCGACTAGGATTCAGGCTGGAAACGCCATTAAAGGCAAAGAAAAGTCTCTTAGAAGTACATAGCAGCAGGATTGTATTCTCGTAAATCATAACGACCGACCAATCAGTCCCAAATACTACACCAAGTCATGCTCATGGTGCACAAACCAATCTACTGCCCAGGCATGATCTTACCCCCAATGCCACTAACACCAGGAATCGAAACATGATCCTGAGGATTGGCCGCAGCCTCATAGAGGAAGTTGACCGGCTCCCGTGTCAACTTCATAAACTGGCCCTTGAAGCCTACATACCCAACTTTCGTAACATCTTCCTCGCCATCACTCCAATTATCTTCAAAGAAGAGCGTAACAGATGTAGTCGCGTTCCAGTGAGCACGGTTCAATGGCAGTTCAAAAACATCGGCGCCTGGTTGTGGCTGTGGGACCTCGATAGTCTGAGTGGGGTGTAACTCGGATGCAGTTGAGAAGTCCAGATCATCGCGGTTCTTGAACAACTTAACAGTCTTTGGTGCAGCGATTGTAGGCACCGTATACAGGAGAAGCGAGTGGACATTGACTTGGCCGTTGAAGCTATGTTTCGAAGAGAGCCCGGGTTAGCTCTTTAATTTGCGATAACGGTGAGGGGTAAATGGTGGGGGCTTGTTTGTGATTTTTTTACGAGTTGCGAGGGGAGGAACAGTCACTGTAACTCTTCTCCAAAGGCAAAGATGTGTAGGATGGGTGAGTCTCACGGAATGGTCATGAGCAGTTGCTCGTCGGCATCGCTCTCAAGCTCGGGTTTGTCGCTCAGTCGCTCGGCCCAGGTCTTTTGCACGATGGATGCGCCGCAGTTTGGGGTAGTCTCTATCGTATTGCCCAAGATCAGAGCTTGTTACCAGTATTTAGTCAAAGTCTAAAGGCTCATACCGTTCAAGGTTGTAATCAGGTCAAAATTGATCTGAGAGTAGAGAAGAGATTGGATGGCTGGGGTGATATCGTTCGAATGATCGTGATCTTCGCCGTGGCAGTGGCCGTCATGATCATGACGGTGTCCTGACATCTCAAGAGATATCAACGTGGACTCGACGGGTGTATAATGTGAGAATATAAGGATATCCGTGGTCACAAAGATTTGAAGTGGAAGCTCTGTGTTTGGAAAGCTCTCCGCTCCCGTGACGTCGTTTTATTCAAAGGGGACGGTCTCGGAAGAACATAGGGCTTAGGAAAAGCTACCGTTTTGTTTATATATCTATACAGTGCAATATACCTTCGAGCCTACCCAAGTATGCAGTGGCCTGGATTGTTTCTCCTATATAGTTACCTAGGTAGAATACCAGCCAAAATGCGGAGCGGATGCCGTGCTCTATCTCAACTACATATGTATGCATAATCGTTTGAATGCCTGGGGATTATTGCACACAGGCCCTTTAGCTAAGTTCCAGACCCGCGATACTTATATAATGAATGATCATCGAACTTTGTAATATTCAGGGGCATACTCTAGGAGATAACTCTTCTCAATCTTTGTGACATCACGAATGTAGGTCTTTTCACCGGTTTGCATGATCTCATGGAATATGACCCAATCGGCCTTTCGGTTCTATATCCGAGTTAGTAACACCGAACATGAATTGCCCCAGATGGCCTATGAGCACTTACAAACATCAACGAGGAGGGATGGGCATGAAGAGTCAGACCCCCGCTGACAGTCTTGAATGTTCCATCCGGTTGCATCTTCGCTGCATGAGCAAAATAGCCTGTCGTAAGACACCGTCGAATCTGCTCAGGCTGGTTGCTCAAATCGAGTGCGCCCTTGTGGGATGAAAGGGTCTCGTCGACTTGAATACCGAAACGCTCGAGGTATCGCTTCAATTGACCTCGGATACTCACTGCACGTACCAAGGCACGGTAATTCAAGAGATTATCGCGACACCATTTCGACTCTTTTTTCCCCTTAGTCACGAAGGCTTGATATACGTTCAGGTATGTCAAGTGATCGCCCTCCTCAACGGCAAACTTTCGTCGATTGCTCTCAGCAGATCTCTTGTCTCCCACATGCTGAACCCACACCGTCCCCTGAAGGTTGACCATCGCCGCAATTGTGAGAATTTCGCTTAAACAGTTGAAAGATGGAGCGGCGAGCAGAACCTTAGCCATCATAGGATCAAGAGCAATTTCTGCCATTCGGATTCCGAGAGGTTTTGTAAGTTTGGCATAGTCATCCACTGCACCAAGTGAGGAGAGGAGCTCAAATGCACGGATGACAAGTTCTGCCGGCGGAGGCGTCAAAAAGTCAAACCGGACGATATTGTCGATGCCCAGTGCTTTGAGTTGCATAATGACTGGGGCGAGGTTTGACCGCTGGATTTCAGGTATCGTTGCGTCCGCCATTTGTTCGAAGGCTTGTTGAGTGTACAGTCGGAAGCACTTCCCGGGCTTTGTTCTTCCAGCACGACCAGCTCGCTGAGTAGCGGATGCTTTTGATATTGGCACTGCGGTCAATGTCTCAATGCCAGTGCTGGGATTGTATGCTCTGAGCTTGGCAAACCCGGAATCAATCACGTAAACAATGCCATCGATTGTGACTGAAGCTTCCGCAATGTTGGTGGAGACAATGATTTTCCGAGTATTTTCTGGAGTAGGCTCGAAAACGTACATCTGTTGCTCCGTCGTAAGCCCAGCATAAAGTGGTAGCGGAAGCAAAGATGAGGCTTTCGGATGGAGAGTTGTCGCTCTCTCGGATATCAACTGAATGGCAGTATCAATCTCTTCCCGGCCGGTCAAAAAGAGAAGCACGTCGCCTTCTGCTTCTTGGGTATGGATGTCGAAAATTGTCTTGACCGCTCGCTCTATGTAGTCTTCAGCCGGAGACTCAAGGAACAACATGTCAACTGGATACATTCGTCCTTCCAGGCTGATGATCCGGCCAACGCTTCCGCCCAAATCAGCCGGGTCTGCACCAGCATTGTACTCATCGCCGGCGAAGAACCGAAGAAAGTCCTCTGCTTGAAGAGTTGCACTACTGACAATGATGCGAAGTTCGGGGCGCTTCTTGCGTATCTTCTTTAGAGTCCCAAGGAGTACATCGGTACTCAGAGATCTTTCATGTGCCTCGTCAACCATGATCACTGAGTAACGTGAAAGCAAAGGATCCACCAAGGCTTCTCTGAGTAGCATGCCATCTGTCAAGAATTTGATCTTTGTCGCCGGAGATGTCAGATCTTCGAATCGGATAGAGTAGCCCACCTCTTCGCCGAGTTTACATCGCATCTCTTCGGCTACTCGGGTTGCAACCGTTGTAGCAGCTACCCGCCGGGGCTGAGATAACGTCAGTCGCTGCCCAATGGTAATCATCAATGTGTCCATACCTACCTGAGTAACAGCGATCGTCTTTCCATTCTCGCACCATCCTGCTTGGTCTAGGTACTGCGGAAGCTGAGTTGTTTTCCCGCTACCTGTTTGGCCTACCACAATAGTGACAGGATACCTCTCGACCAGATAGAGCAAACTTTTTTTATGCCGTGCAATAGGTAGCAGAGCAGCCGGCTTATACAGGGCTGGAATGAACGAAGTCGAAAGCTCCTGTTCTGAAGCCATTTTAGACTAAATTTTAGCCAAGAACTCGATTTCTGCTGAACCTGAGCCCGGTTGATATCAAGAGAACCCAAATTTATGGGATTGGGCCATTCTGATACTTCAAGCTCTTTGCAAATTGGCAACTTGAAGATCGTCGGAGTTCTCGCAGAAACATCCAGGGCGATCTGTATAAAGCTCGCCCGCTATCACGTGCGCCCCACGTCACTGGGAGCTTCCCCGATATGTTCTGCCCTGTGACATTCTCAGGCAACACTGTTCTTCTGTGTTTCCCCTCAGTCACTTTCTTTATTCTGTTAGTTCTCGAAGAGCTTTCCAAATGCCAGAGGAGGACAAGATGGTATGTATACTTCGCAGCCCGAGCATCATTTGTTGTTATCGCATGAGGCTTATTCGCATACATAGACCACTTCAAGCAGGCCTTTGGCTGCTCTCAACACCCCCAACAGCCCACGACCCGAGTCGCCAACTACTGCGCGCCCTATGGACTTTGATGATGAGCCTCAAGAGAGTGGGGTTATTACTTCCTCCCCTGCCGTTGCGCAGCCAGCTCCCGCCGAGGCAGCCCCGCCAAAGCCGCCCCGGCCCCTGAACCCGAAAGAACAGTCAGAGAACACGCTTAAGGAGGCATTCCCAAGCATTGAGCCAGGAGTTGTCAGGGCGGTTTTGACCGCAAGCAATTGGAATGTCGAGCGAGCATTTAATGCGCTCCTGGGTTCGTGTACAATCCACAACATATGACATGGGTATGAACTGACACTGGCCTTGGCTTACAGGTATGACCGACCCAAAGGCCCAGGAAGAAATGTCGCCACCCCCAAAGCCGCCGCGCCCGACCCAACGAAGCACTGCTGCGCAGCGACAAATGGAAGCCGATGAGATGTACGCACGTCAACTATCTGAACACTATAATGCCGCAGAGCGCCGCGCACCACCCCCGGGCTGGGAGAGTGATCCTCGATACCAGCGACCTAGAGGTAGCGAAGAGTCTGATGAGAGGGAATATAGCTTCTTCGACGGTATGTATAGTTCATGGTGGGGTGCTGAATGAGCTCTTGCTAATTGAATGTTTACAGATGATCTACCTGTGATTCGCGAAAACCTTCGCAAGGGCTTCCTGGAGACACAGAACAAGGTCAACTCATGGGTAACCAATCTCAAGAAGAGAATCGATGGAGAGGATTTGGATGAGGAACCCACTCATAACCAAAGAGAGACTTCGGCCCACGGCCGGCCTCGGCGCAGTGGTGATATGGGTCGTCGGAGTGGAGATCGCGAGCGCTATGATGCAGACCCCCAAGTTCTCGGCGATGATTTCTCTGCACTCGAGCTCAGGGATGGCGAAGGTAAACAACAATCCCAAGTCTAGCACCACTGAGTGTCACTAACTGTGTATAGCTCCCCCGCCTCGCCCTCCTCGCCCGGGCCAATCCTACATGAAACCGTCTGTGTCTCCTTCGCCAGACAGACGCAGAGTATCGTTCCAGGAAGGCCCACCGACCGAGATTGAAAATATTTACGACGCTCCTATACCCTCCAATCGTGCAACCCCAGGGGGCAGCAAATCGAGCAAATGGCAGCCATTATCCACCGTTGAGCCCTCTCCCGTCGCGGAGAATGATCCTTTCAGCCTTGGTGATAGTGACGACGAGAAGGATATCAAGGTTAAGGAGCCGACAACTGCGGAAGCAATGTCTAGCGAAGTGGGTTCCTCTAAGGACCAGGAGACCAAGGGTGCCAGCAAGCCCGAAGAGTCAAAATAATTGCGAATGATTGGAATTTGGATATCCCCATCGTTATCTGCGTGAATCCCCCTTTTGTCTTTCTTCATTGGATCGTTTTCTCCCGGTCTATGATCCTTTTCGTGCCTACCTTGCTCTGCTTCTACCAGCTTACCTTACTATGCGCTACCCGTCTCTCACCTGAGCTTCCGATACCTAGTAGAGGTAGCCCAAGACGGTTTTAACCAGCTCCTATATCAGCATAAACTCAAGAAAAATTGAATCTGTATTTGTACAAGAAACAAGCAATAAACAAAAGGGTATATCTCCGACCGGCCAGTCACAGTAGCAAAAGGCCAACGCCAAAACCAGAACAAACCAACAAACTTCATGACCGATGTCCAATGCACCAGTGACAACCAGTAGTGGATTCCTCTCAAGCTAGACTCCTGGAGCGATTACTCCACTGTGGGAGCGTTGGCTAGGCGCTTTGAGGAACCAGTCTCCTTACGCAAATCCTTGATGACAGTCTATGAGAGCCAAGTCAGCAACCAGCTATACCTTGGTAACCGATGCCGAATGAGGCGCAAAGAGAGGTGGTCTTGAGAATCTTGATCCAACTTCCGTTGGGGGGAAACGCGTACCGCCAAAGCATCGGGGTTGACACCATTTTCGATAAGAGACACGCAAAGCGACAGCTCTGTGCGGTCTAGGTTGGTATTCTGTTTCGGAAGGTGAGTATTTGTTTTTTTTTTCTTTGCTTTTTGCAAAATGTAGACATGGACTACTCAAGTGCTGTCCAATCTAGTCCTGTCTCTGGAGATAGAGGCACGCACCAGCAAGTCGGAAATCTCCTGGAGAATATCGATGACTTCACGCGCGGCTTGGCGCTTGTCATCAACCTGTTCTTGAGATTTCGGTGGCATTGTGGATATGCGACAAAGGGGAGTTTGTAGTAGGGGGGTTGGATACCTGCACTGTTGTTGGAGTTAAGTTGAGATTGTGGGGGAACTTTTCGGTGGATCAACTGTAACGTCTGAAGATTGCCTCCTGCTTTGATCTCTTGACTTCTTACAAAACGCAGAGGATCAGATGGGATGTTAGCTGTATTACGCGTAAAAATATGATTGGAGCTCTATTATTCTTATTCCATTAAATACTCCAACTATTATTAGGTTCCCTATCTCTCCTAGCGCAGCATCGCCTACGGAGTAGATTGGGAAGAGATCCGTAAGGCTTGCGCAATGGCTTAATGATATCATTTCCAGAATACTACAAATTCGACTACCTGTACTAATCACTTTCCACAGAAATATCCTGGTTTAGAGTGGGTTCATATCAAATCCGACATGAGTGGACATGGTCCAGATGGAACGCCTTGAAGATCTTCAAAGAAGTGAAACACAATCGATACAACGTGAATCCTTCAGAATGACATATGTATTATCTCCTCTGGCCGAGGGAAATTATTCAACAGTCTCTACCAGAAATATTTGATCTTTTCCCAGAGCTAGGTACATTTGTATATTTCGCCCTCAGCCCTAACCATGCCGTAGCCCATCCCCACCCAACTAGGACAAGGTGCAATTCGTGCAGCAAGCCTACTCAAATGGAGAAAGTGAAACTGGCATATCTGTCTTTGGACCCCCACTCCCTGACATCAATCTCGAGGATGACAGAACTTCTCAGTATAATGCCATCGTCGGCCCCATATGGGCCTTTGCCGTGCTAGCTGTTGTGTCTCCAAAGATGAACTTCGACTATAAGGGCAGACTCGGCTCGTATCCATACTCTATGAAGTTCTTCATTCTTTTGTCTTTCAACATACCATGGACCTCTCATAATGAAATACCTTGAACACACTATAGGAAATCATGGAACAAGGCACCGATCTTCTCTCGTCTGACGAGGGGAAGACTCCAGAACTCGTGTAAGCCAAGGGGCCGTGAGGTCCGGATTTTCAGATTTGAGAACTCGGTGCATGAGACAGGGTTTGTTTGTAGATTCTCATAGAAGTCCTCTTATCCTCATTGCCTACACAAGCAGCCTGATAGACAAACTTAGTAGCAGCATATAAGGGACTGAGGCCATCAATGACAGTTGAAATTCTTTTGCTCCAATTTAATTGGAAACTGATGCATATTGTCGATAATGATCAAAGCTTGAGGAGCAGCAAACAGACTCTCTGTGGGCACGTCAAGAGTCACAAGCGTCCCCTCCAGGAAGGGTTGTTGCAAAATCATGGTGATAGTGAAAGCAGATGTAGGCGGATGAGAGAAAAGGGCGAAGGCAATTAACCAGATAGTTCGATGAGAGAATATAGAGTATCATATGTAAGATGGGTCAATATGTCGCTGTGCAGGAAGAGGAAGATCGAAAGTGGACATCCACGTGTGTATCACGAGGGTTCGACAACAACAGCTCTCATCCTTGCTCCAATGTCTCAACACTCTGAGCATTCCATGCCAATTGAGGTATTTTGAGACAAATAGACACATATAGTTGTACATATTGAGATTATATTAACAGTTTGAATACAGGCTCACGACCATCAGTTGAACATCACCAACTGCTGCTTCATACTCTAAGACCCATCATGTCTTTCAGATTAAGTGCAGTCGACAGCGACACATCCTACATCATCACGCCCCCGTCCCTATCAGCCTGGCAACGGTTTCGAGAGCAACCTTGTCTCTTCCTCGCTCGCAAGCTCTATTCGTGGCGCCCAATCAATGCACCCCCACCCCCTGCACACCCCGTCTCCATTGTTTGCATCGCGAACACCTATAGAGAGCGACCAGAGATACCGTATGGCGACATTCTGATTCACGCTGGCGATCTGACAACAGAAGGATCCCTCGCTGAGCTCGAAATTACGTTGAGCTGGCTGCACGCCCAGCCACATCCCCTCAAGATCGTGATTGCAGGTAGGTCTGACTGGTATCTTGATCACCTAAAGATAGGCGGTCGTCGCTGGAGACTTGGAGACCGCCCGATGGTACAATGGGGTGACATCATCTATCTGGAGCACCAGCAGATCACAGTGAATTGTGCAGATGGGCGACAAATCCATATCTTTGGAAGTCCATATTCACCCTTGACCACGCCATCCTTGGCTTTCCAATATCCTCGCACTGCAGACATCTGGGAATATGTTCCCGGTGATATTGATGTCTTCGTCACTCATACTCCATCATACACCCATCTCGACTCTCTCAGAGGCTGCCAACACCTCTTGGATCGAATTTGGAAATATCCTCCTCGACTGCATATTTTCGGGTGTTCTCTTGAGAATTATGGCACTGAATGGTTGCACTTTGATGCTCTTCAAAAGGCTATGGAACGCATTGAGGCTGTGGGTGGAGGTTGCTTCAATCTTTTGATGGTCGCCAAAGGTCTGTTGCAGGCCTTTTGGCACCCTGGAATTAAGGCTAAGACCCAGCTTGTGAATGCATGCAGCCATGGAGAACTGGGAAGTCTCGAACATCGCAAGCCGATCAAGATTTACGTTTGATCTGGGCTGGGAAAGACATGTCTCTGAATAACTATGAAATTTGGCTTCGAATTAGGATGTTTTCAAGTCACACCTGCGTAAAATGACATATAAACAGGGGCATAGCGGCATAGGAAAGTCTAATTCATTGGAATCGTACTTTCATGCGGGACTAGAACGCTGGATCTATCTTAGAGGGCACTTAATCATGATATAGTTTATGTATCCCTCTACAACGTATGCGTGGAAGGGACAAGTGTTCTGATTAACAACCCAACTCATCACACTGACCTATTCTACTTGGTTAAAAGCCCTATAGAATTGCCCCTGGAGATATGCATCATAAATCTCGCCGGTCTCAACACTAGATACAATTAGTCGTCTCCCTTGTCATCGTCTCTCTTCTAGTACCCCTCTTTGTACTTAATCACCTCAACAGTCTGCCGAACTAGGCAATGGTTTGCCGCATTCATTCTTGTGGGGTTTGCAGATGGCGCATACTTGTGGAGCATGGGATGCTCTGGAGCGGCCGCTGTCGGCCCATCGTATTTCAAGGTGTGAATCAGTTTGAATGCCGTGTGTTGGCGATAGAGGCAAAGCAAAGATATGAGATATGGCGGTGAGACGTTTTACCTGATCCACGAAGGAAATATCTAGAGCATATGTATATCTTTTGCAGCCTTGGCTTGTTGAGCCTGTACGTCGGTTGCTATAGCCTATTATGTAGGGACTAGCGCGAACCATGATGTGCCTCTGTAGAACGGGTACCTTGTAGATAGATAAAGTACACATGCACCAACCCTCGCGACTATACCACCTAGTCTAATGACAACGACTATATGGTGTGCGACTGTTTTCAGTAATATCCTATCTGCTTGGATGAGGGCTGTCAGGCACAACCACCTACTGTTTAGATCGAATGCGAAAGAGCTAGCAGGTTTGGACCAGCCTTGGTATCTGTAACCCCTCAAAGCCTGGTGCTTATAGATGCAGTTTGATAAAAGGCTAGACGCATGTTTTTGTTCACTTTGAGTACTCATTTTTGGCGACGTGCATGCTACCTACTATATGCTACTCGAGGCCAGCTTCGAGTTTTGCCTATACCTACTGTGACACCGTAGCTGTTGCTTTATCATATTACTATTGTTATCACGGCCTATATTAATTATACACGTCCATGGCACCAGTAGCTCGGTCGATCTAAAAGAGTTGATTTCTAGATGAGTTATGTCGAGGTACCCTTTGTATGTGCATGCAATACAAAAGTAACTTGATTACTAAGAAACCGTGTTCCAACCCGTCCACGGGTCGACCTCAGGTCCAGGTCTTCCGACTCGATTACTGATCTCATCGAGCCTCCTAAGAGCTTCAGCTTCCAATTTACTGCGAGATCTATTTCCGAGGCTGAGTCCTGACGATAGATAAACTCTCAAACCTCAGCATCAACTATGCAGGTATGTAGCCTTATAAATGAAATTGAGCAAGTTGCTATGCCGTGCTTAGAACTGTTATAGATGCGGGTCTTTTAGTTTTCTGCCCGAGTCAAAAAATCCCCCCACATAAGGCAATTCAAGTTCTCATTTACACGCCTACTTAGGCAATTTCACAGTGTTAAATATCGGGAACAGGCGTGTTGAAGCTAGCTGTCAGCCATAATTCGGAATGGCGGCTCAACGCGAAACAGGAAGAATGCCCGGCCTCGCCATCTCGGACATCCATTCCTTGAAGAGGAACGAGGCACTGGAGATTCTTACACAGATTTCACGCGTCGAGAAAAAGACTTTCCCCACCAATGAGGCATTTCCCTTCGGTGAAGATCTGTGGAGGAAAAAGCCCAACACGCGAGTTTTGTACGCGACTCGAGCCAAGGGATCACAATCTGAGCTGATTGCCTACGCGGTCTATGTCCGACAGAAGGGCGTTGCGCTTTTGCACAAAGTCTGTGTCACAGAGTCTAACCGCCGTCAAGGTGTCGGCCAGGAGGTGCTGTCCTACATTCAGCAGCGCCTACAAAAGGAGGGCTGCCAGTATATTCATCTCTGGGTGGACCAGGCCAGGGAGCCTGCACGCGCCCTGTATCGTCGCAGTGGATTCGAGGAGCGTGAGGTAATCCCTGATTACTACGCCCCTGGACGAACAGGCATCAAAATGGTACTCGATTTAGATCGTGCTTGTTGAGCCACTGCCGTCTATGCAGCACCCTACGGGCTTTTCTCCCCTGCCCACTCACCTCTCAAAAATGCACCTTGCCTTGTCGATCCCTTCTAAATAGGCCCGAAGGGCAATACGTGATTGTGGTTGGGCGGATCCGTGCTCCTTGGCTACCGCAGGAGCCACCCTATGGCCCCCTTGCATGGAGCGGGATCTTCGAAACGTGAGCCTGATAGTGATCGCGTCTGCGTCCATTCTCCGCTGTCATTCTGCTACATACTTCCGTGACGTCTAACATATCCAGGTATGGCTTTTTTTGAAAGGGCACGCTTTGAATGTCGCCCTGTCAGGGTGTCCCTTTGGCACGACAGGGACCACGATCCTTTTCTGGATAATATGAGCTATGCGTTGCTATCTTCTGTCTGAACCTACCTCTCTCCATCTTAACTACTCTCATCACCCTTCGCTGTGATAGTGGAAGCCTCATCGGCGATTTAGGTTCTTGGTGAGCTAGCTGTGTTTTTCCAACAACACGCAGTTCTATATCGCTCCCATTTCCTTAACCGACCATGGCGGCCTTTCCCACGATCTTTCTGGCCATTCTGTCAATAGCCAATGCAGCAGCCTTATCTGCCAATTATCCTATCAACGCGCAATTGCCACCTGTCGCTCGAGTTTCACAGCCTTTTCGATTTGTATTCGATCAAAGTACTTTCTCTAATAGCGATGAGGACACCAAATACTCGCTATCAAATGCACCATCATGGCTCGAGTTAGACAGCAGTAGCCGCACTCTCTCGGGAACACCATACTCAGATGACAGCGGAGCTATCAAATTCAAGCTTGTGGCATCGAACGGTTCAGAAAAAGACAGCATGGATGTCACTTTTATCGTGACAGCAGATCAGGGTCCAACTGTAAATAAGCCGCTTATGTCTCAACTGCAGTCATTGGGTCCGGTTTCATACCCTGCCACGCTATTCATCCTCCCGGGTCGGCCATTCTCAATTGAGTTCGACCAGAACACTTTTGACAACACACACCCTTCTACGATATATTACGGAACCTCACCGCACAACGCCCCGCTACCATCCTGGATTAGCTTCGATCCGGCAGCTCTCAAGTTTGCTGGCAATAGCCCTGCTTTCCCAGGCGCAGGACCGCAGACATTCACTTTCCAGCTTGTCGCGTCAGATGTTGCTGGGTACAGTGCGGCCAACATGACCTTTGAACTTTCGATTGCACCTCATATTCTGGCTTTCAACAAAACAGCCCAGGCCTTCAATCTCACCAGAGGAGAATATTTCTCCAGTCCGAAGTTCACAAGCCTCCTGACTATGGATGGCTCACCAGCTTCAAGCAAAGAGCTGGCCAAGGTTGAAGCTGAATTGCCAGGTTGGCTGAAGTTAAATAAGGACAATATCTCGCTGAGCGGTACGCCACCAAAAGATGCCGTGAATCAGAACATCACTATTGCCGTTACCGATTCTTTCCAGGATAAGGCACACTTGATGGTTCGATTGGAGTTTATGGAGTTGTTCCTTGACACCATCGATGGCTGTGAAGCAGCCATTGGCAAAGATTTCAAATTCGTATTCAACCAGTCTATTGTCACCGATGACTCTGTCCAACTCGATGTCGACTTGGGCGATGACCTGTCTTGGCTTACTTATTTCCCGGACAACAAAACACTCTATGGACATGTTCCAGACGACCTGGATCCCAAGAAATTTACCATTCCCCTCATTGCAAAACAAGGATCTACCGAAGACTCAAGAGACTTCATTATCGATGTTTTGAAAGCCTCGGATACGCATTCGAACCCCACAGATCCGTTTACGCATTCCAGCAGCCCCGATAACAAGAAGGCTGGCATCATTGCCATCTCGGTTGTAGTCCCAGTTGCTGTGATTCTGAGTCTATTGACACTCTTCTGTTGCTGGCGTCGCCGCAAAAGCGCATCCACCATCGAAGAGGGTTCCCCCAATACTAAGTTTGCTCCACCACGGCCTATCAGGCCAGATGTGCCCAACTGCCAGCCAGACATGGCGGAAAGGCCTTCTCGCGATGAAAGTTCGGAGGACTGGATGAGTCCTATCTCTCCTTCGTCGATTCCAAAGCTCGAACTGGGGCCGGCATGGAACGTGTCGTCATTTGATAAACAGGAGCATCCGGTTTCCTTCTCCATCCCTGAGCCCATTGTTCCTCCTCGCTCCCCTGCTCGCAACTCTCCCACCCGGGGTGGCTATGTGTTGCGAGACTCTGTCATCGAAGAAGAAAACCCGATTGAAAATGTTTCCCCCTCTAAGAAGCGAAACAATCGCCTTTCATACACGAACAGCCCCATGCGTCGCAGGACCACCAACCGTTCCCGACGCGAACCCCTGAAGACGATTCAGCCACGATCTATGAAGCGAGAGTCTCTTCAATCGTCGAAATCGAAGAGATACTCGAGGCGTTCGAGTGGTATCTCCTCCATTGCATCTGGACTGCCTGTGCGATTCAGTGGAGCCGGCCATGGTGCCGGTGGATTTGGGCCCCCAGGCCACGGTGTTGTGCAAACGTCATGGCAAAATGCGCGAGCATCATTGATGAGCGACGAGAGTAGCTTGACAAATGTGGCGCCAATGTTCCCGCGTCCGCCGGCAGCCGCACGCATGCGCTATAGCATGGCATCTAGCATCCCTGAAAACCATAGACGCATGACCCTTCGCACCGTCGACCCTGATGAATCATTCATATCCGAAGGTGACTCTCTTGAAGCGTTCGTCCACAGCCGGGCCAAGCACCGCAACTCCTCCAACCCTCTGTTCTCCGCGCAAATCAGTCGGCGCCCCTCAGCTGTGCGCGCTCTTGACCGCAAGCGCAGTATCCGCAGCCGTGCCGATACCGTTTCTGTCTCAACCTTCAGCGATGAATACCGCCAATGCATTCAAGAGCGACCCATGTCTACTGCAATCTCGGTCTCTGAATATGGCGATGACAACAGCAACCGCTTCTCCCACTATCAAAGCATTCACCCGGCCGGTCTGTTCCCTCTTGCCGAGGGCAGTGTCAATGGCCAGAGCCAGTTGAGTCTCGCCCAGGACTATCGAGGTGTCATTTCCCCGCTGCCGCGCTTCTGGAGCGAGAATAGCATGGGCAGTGCACAGCAGTTGGAGGGTGGCCAAGCTCAATCTCGGCCTCCCAAAGTGAACGACGAGAACGCTGTGCCGCATAGCTCATCTATGATGTCAGATCTGGATGAGCATCTGACGCGGAAGGTCAGCCCTAACAAAGGCACCATCCAACCGTGGCAGTTATCACCCGTGGAGCCCCCAGCGCCACTGAGGACTGCCAGTAATCGGGGTCTCCCTATAGCCAGCAGCGGCGAGCTGGCATTTGTCTAATTAAGTCTTTCACCTCCGCCAGATTTCCATCTCCATTTGTCTCCCACTTGCCTCTCTTTTTCTATTTATTTATTTGTCACATGATTTTCTTCTCTTTTTGGAGTTCTTGGGCATTGCGAAAATGATATCCATTGGCTTTTCTATGGTTGATCGATTGGGATTTTGGAGCCTGCATGTTTACTACATAGTTGATCTAGTTTTGAGCCTTGCATAGTAATATCACTGCATCATTGCATCTGGGCCTATTGTACAGAGTATGCATCTAGGTAGACGTGGTCAGACCAGTCATGGACACCCATGGAGGGGGAAAGTGGCCATAATTTTATGGTCAAATGAGAGTCACACCCCCTAATCAGAAGAGAGAGAGACCCCTGCTACAGAATGACTTCGTGACAAATAGAACAGTTCTGTGTAGGTTTCCCCAGTGTGAAAAAGGGCCTCGGTCAGACAATGGCGTGACTGTACGGTGACTAGGCAGCCTCAGGTGTGCTTGGTGTGCCCTCACCTCAATCTCAAGTGAATTCACCTCAATACGACTAAATACTCCATGATGAAGTACTCTCTGCTCAGCGATAGGTGTTTCATCTGATTAAACCTCAAATCTTGCAGCTCAACCCCCAGCTACCACCCTCCGAGTGGCTCGTCTGATAGCTGCACGTGACTCTATAGAGCACAGCGTAACAAAAGCGGTAAACGCAATACCAGGAAATCTCTGCTTCAAGATCTTCACTTTCAGAACTCGGACTGTTTCTCTCTGAGTGAGCTCTCTAGAAGTATTCTTTAAATCTCACCTTTCTCCATTCATCTTCTCTCCACTGCGATCCAGCAATCAGCAGCTTGAAGAGGCAAGAAGCTCATCGTCATCCGTTGTTCCCCACTTATCGCGGGACCCAAACGCGCTGAAAGCCCTGCGCCCTCATCTGACCCTTTCCCTCCAGCACCTATTTTCCACACTTCAATCCGGAAACCTCGATCCCACACCTCCCCCGAAACATTCAATCTTTGCCAACATGGGTCAAACCCTATCGGAGCCGGTGGTCGAAAAGGTGAGTGGCCCGATATTTCGCTTTTTCTGTATTTCACATCCCCCCACACTGGCCATTGTGACGCCAATATGGTTTCATGACTTCCACCCTTGCTCGGCTCTTGTTACATAGCTAGCCATGGGCCTATGGTTCAATACTCTCAGTCAGATTTACTAGCTGAACAAATGGCTCGGGCTGTGGCTCGGAGGAATCCTCCTCGGGTTGCCATGCGGGGTCTTGGGTAGTTCAGCTGGAGGGGCGGTAGTGGGGGGAGTCAAGCAACGCAGTCGCAAAACAGCCAGGCCGCCTTGCATATATTTGGGGGAAAATGTATCGAGGCGTAACTAACATATTCTTTTTCGCTTGCAGACATCGTCCGAGGGCGGGGATGACTGCTGCGTGTACGGTGTGTCGGCCATGCAGGGCTGGCGAATCAGCATGGAGGATGCACACGCTACAATCCTTGATCTCCAGGCAAAGTATACCGGCACTAGCGACGACAAACCGACAGATCCGGAACACCGCCTCGCCTTCTTTGGTGTCTACGACGGCCACGGTGGAGACAAGGTGGCATTGTTCACAGGCGAGAATCTCCACAAGATTGTCTCCCGACAGGATGCTTTCGCCAAGGGCGACATTGAACAGGCCATGAAGGATGGTTTCCTGGCAACCGATAGAGCTATTCTGGAAGGTTTGTTCATATCGTGATTTCAAGTTATCAGGTGCCGGATTGCTGACTCGGCGCAGACCCCCGCTATGAGGAGGAGGTGTCTGGCTGTACTGCTTCCACAAGCATTATTTCGAAGAAGAAGATCTGGGTGGTATGTTCTGACTCAAAATAGAATATCAGATTAAAAGGGGCTCGGACTGACTTGTGATAGGCGAACGCTGGTGATTCACGATCCGTGTTGGGAGTCAAGGGCCGCGCAAAGCCGCTTTCATTCGACCACAAGCCTCAGAACGAGGGTAAGTGCATAACTCGTTGCAAATTTTTGAACTAGCTCTAACGAAATGCATCACAGGCGAGAAGGCCCGTATCACCGCTGCCGGTGGCTTCGTCGACTTTGGTCGTGTCAATGGTAACCTCGCACTGTCCCGCGCTATTGGTGACTTCGAATTCAAGAAGAGCCCTGAGCTCTCTCCCGAACAGCAGATTGTCACTGCATACCCCGATGTCACTGTTCACGAGTTGACGAATGATGATGAGTTCCTCGTCATTGCCTGTGACGGTACGTTCTTCTATTACTACGTTCCCCACAAGTCTAACCGCTGATCTCTGTACAGGTATCTGGGATTGCCAGTCCTCTCAGGCCGTGGTTGAATTTGTCCGCAGAGGCATTGCAGCCAAGCAACCCCTTGCCCAGATTTGTGAAAACATGATGGACAACTGCCTGGCCTCTAACAGTGAAACCGGCGGCGTTGGATGTGACAACATGACCATGACCGTCATTGGACTCCTACAAGGCAAGACTAAGGAGGAGTGGTATAACCAGATTGCAGAGCGGGTTGCGAACGGGGATGGACCTTGTGCTCCGCCCGAGTACGGCAAGTCTCCCGAGGAACCCGAAGGCATCCCCACTTCTTCGTGCTGACGGCCAGTTCGTGCAGCCGAGTTCCGCGGCCCCGGAATCCGGAACCAGTTTGAGGATAACCCGGATGAATATGATTTGGAGATGGAGCGTTCCCGTGGCTTTAGTGTCCGCTCGGGCCGCATCATCCTGCTGGGCGATGGCAGTGAGGTCATCCCGGGCCAGGATGAAGAAGAGCTTTTTGACCAGACTGAGGAGGACCAGGACCTTGCCAACCAGGTGCAGCACGAATCAGGCGCCCGAAACGACCGCCAGGCCACCCCAGGTCCCCAGGGGAAACAGGAGAATGCCAGCGGGACTTCTGCTCAAATATCCGAATCCCCGGCCTCCACTGACGCCGAGAAAGAGAAGTCCGCGTCGTAGACTTTTAACTTGAACTTACAAACAGTCTATCGATTGGTCCTCCCTGTTTTGGTTCCAATGTGTTTTTGTTTTTTTTTTCTCCTGCTCGACTGTCAACGACCCTTGCCCCTGATTCTACGATCATTCCACGATCTATGCCCTGTTTTCCCTTTTTCTTTTTCTGCACTTAGTTATCTCTGGGCTCTGGTTCTGAGCCTCGTTACCACCTTTTTCTACTACTTCCTTTGACTTTGAACTGGATATCTCTCAGAGATGGGACGTGTGGCCAAGCGAGCCATACGGAATTGAATGAGATGAAAGGCGTGGGCTTTGAGATTCCATGAAAGGTCGAGGTTGAAAGAAAGCCCTTCGCCGGGAGCCAATGGGCCTCATGAACACGTTTCTTTCTTTATGCCATCACCACAACGAGATACCGCAGACAATGCCCGATATTGACGAGCCATTAACCTACACTTCCATATTCGCTTTTCTTTCCCTCCCCATTTCCCCTTCACTTTCCCTGTCCTAATCCCCTATTCCCCTACCTATGATCTCTGATCTGTGGTCTGGTTCTATACGAGAATGAGTACTTGCTAGGGGCGCAAGCTGGTAGAGCTGGGTATTGATTGAGACTGAGCCAGGACGGGCAATGGCAGTGCTCCACATACCCTATGGCGTATATCCGATGCATTGAGCGTTTTCCGTGTACTCCGGTAGATGTCTTTGTTCTCGTTTCTATTTTAAACCACGGAGTTCTGAGAAAGAAATCTTCATGTATTTTGTAGCAATGGACATGTTATCCCAAAGCATCCAGATACTACATGGGAACTAGCTGACGTCGTATAAGAGTGTCGTGCATCCATGGGATTGATCCAATGATCCCCTGTGCCGCCCTAATCCACACGTGGTCAGTGTAACCAAGACGTGCCAAGACGGAAATTGCAGACTAAACCCCCGATTTACAATTCTCAGTATTGTAATTTTGACACTCCCTACGATTCTGGACTGTGGACCATAGCCGCATCAGCGGAGTTGCGCCCCCACTCTTTTCCCCCATCCGAAAATTACCAGTCTCTCCTAAAACCGGGTTGCCGTCATTCAGGGTTCAACATTAATTCTCTCCCTAATACCTCCTCCATCCCCAATTCCCGTCCCCCCTCGGACGAATCCCCTCTTTGTTCTCCAGGGCATCATGTCGCCATCCACATCTCCCGCCGGCAAGCGCAAGCGCAGCGCCTCCCACCTACCCGCGCCCATTCCCAAGAACGTCACAGCCGACCTCCAGCCATCCTCGCGCGACGCGTCCGGCGAAGAAGGCGGCGACGACTCAACAGGACCCAATTCCAATGCTGAGACCGCCAATGCCACCCGTCACTCTGCGAAGCGAGTCCGAAAGTCTTCCGCCGCGGATGCCGCTGCAAGTCACAGTGAAGTGAACGGCTCCGAGCCCGCCATTAACAAAGAGGACCCCGGCGAGCCATCTGAGACAACTGTCGCCAGCAGCGATATTGAGAGTGGAACCCGGTCGCGCCCCGGATTGCACATCGATCTGCCCAACGACCAACCTGTGGTGGAGGAGCAAATGGCGCCGCCGGTCTTCGGCCGCTTGCAGGATCCTGTCGGTTATCACACTAACCCTCCGCCCACTGGCCGACCGGTGCGTGTGTATGCGGACGGTGTCTTTGATTTGTTCCATCTTGGGTAGGCGCTCCCCAATTAGTGGATTGAGTCCCGCTCACAATCCCGACTTTTGATGCTCGAGGTTACACAATGGAGTAATGGTTGCTGACAAGTTGCTATGATATACAGTCACATGAGACAGCTCGAGCAGGCTAAGAAGGCTTTCCCCGATACTTATCTGATTGTCGGTGTCACCGGCGACGAGGAGACACACTTGCGCAAGGGCCTGACGGTGCTGAGCGGTGCTGAGCGCGCTGAGACTATTCGTCACTGCAAGTGGGTCGATGAGGTTATTCCATGCTGCCCTTGGATTGTCACACCGGAGTTCCTGTCTGAGCACAAGATTGACTATGTTGCTCACGATGATCTGCCCTACGAGGCTGCTGAGGGCGATGACATCTACCAGCCGATCAAGAAGCAGGGCAAGTTCCTGGTAACTCAACGGACGGAGGGCGTTAGCACCACGGGAATCATCACACGGTATGTTCCACCTCACATAGCTCAGCGAATTTCAGACGGAAGCTAATATATTGGTTGTCAGGATCGTCCGCGACTACGATCAATACATCTCTCGCCAATTTAAGCGTGGCGCCTCCCGCCAAGAACTGAACGTGTCATGGCTGAAGAAGAACGAGCTCGAGATCAAGCGCCACGTCGTGGACCTGCGCGACAACATTCGCAACAACTGGACAATGACTGGTCAAGAACTTGGCCGTGAACTGCGCCAGATTTGGCAGAACAGTCGACCCAACAGCCCCGCTCCTACTGCGCGCAACAGCATGGATTGGGGCGTGCGTGGACCTCTCGCTAGCCCGCCTGGCGGCGGCAAGTCACACCTTTCGCGTGTTGGCGGAGAAGTGCCCACTCGTCCAGATAGCCCTATGGGCTCACGCCGGAACGAGGACTTCGCCACTGGGTATAGTCTTGGATTGATTGGGGGTGTGCGTGCTTGGGTAAGTCAAATTTGATATTAGTCTTCTATCAGACACGGCTCTCCTTTTTGTTATCCATGCTAATATTGTTCATACAGATGGCCCGCAGCCGTCAATCCCTCCAGGAACCGCCCAGTGGAATGCACAGTCCCACCGACGAAGACCCGGAATCTGAGCACACCCACGGCTACGAGGAAGAAGTGCGTGGCCGTGCTGGTCACGTCTCTGCACAGTAAATGACCTTGACCTCGGGCCGTTCCAACTTCGAGTCTGCTTTCATCCCTGCTGTGGCGCTTCAAACTCCACCCCCTGTATTACTTTGCATATGTATCCGTCTTTCTCATCTTGCATTCGGTTCGTGTCTTATATTTTTACAAATTGTGCCGTCAGTGGCGGTTTTTCCTATGTCGGGCGCTTGGTGTCTTCATGTGTTTGTGTGTGTCCATTGGCTATATGTCAGAACTTGCCTGGTCCGGCTTCGACTGCGCATGTTCGTGATTTGGGGTTCCAGTTCTTCTTTTGCTTTTTCCATATCATTTATTGCTCTGTCTGGTTCGGCGGTCTCAACGTTCCTTGTCTCTTCTAATACTCCTCCAATGAACTTGTTCCCCGTTTCATGTCTATGACTATGACTTTGGTTGGTGATGGGTGAATGGTATTGTTGATCCGATCTTTTCACCCTACGATGGTACTGATCATCGGTCTTTTATCTTTCCTCCTAAGGTGATTTCTTGACTCCCTATTCGTTTAATTTGTTAATAAAAGCTTGGGTTGGTGGACAGCAGATTGGGCGAGCCATACACACGCTCTCAGTCTGGTTGTTGTCTGTTTGGATTGATTTGTGGCGCATATATAGATTGAGGTTGTTTTTCTGTACTTAGTTTCAGCCTTGGATTCTATTGTGGACGTCAATTGAAACATTGTAGAACACTTGTTGATCAACCAATGAATCTATCATAGATGTAAATGAGACCATGGATCTGAAGTCAAGGAACAACTTATCATTCAAATAAACGACTGATCCTAAGATAATTAGAGAGATTGTACTCCGTACCCATTCATGGCCTATGTATTAGCTCAAATGGCGAAGGCCAATCCCGTCGAGATGTTTCCAAACATGTACCCTTTGTATGAGGGGCCTGTACAAAAGGTACATGGCTTTTTGACCAATGTGGGGTCTCAACCCACCTCAAGCTCTTAACCCTGGAAAGCTTCTGGCACCCAAGTCAACCACTTGAATCTTATGAGCAACTAGATCTAGTTGTATCATAGCTTTGAGATCAAAGCACCGTCCATAAAGGACCCGTCCCTGCTTGTGGTCTGCAGCCATTTATTTGAGTAGCATCCAGCTAGTATGCCTCCATCGGCCAGAACCCCCGACCGCGTGGCCAGCATCATGCTGTCGTGGCACTCACTTGAGCTTGTCTCATGCACGACCCTGCAGACTCTGTGGGCAGGTTACGGCCACATATGTGCCATCACTGTTCGAGCCACCACCGCCGAAGCAGCGGCCCATCTCAACAAATATTGCGAGGTGGAATCAACCGCCGCGAGAACCACTTATCCCCTCATCCTCAAGCTTATCTCTCCGCCAAGGAAAAGCGCTGCCAAGGAGGACGAGGGCCATTTGCGGAAAATGCTGAGCTACGAGGTCGAGCAGCAGTTTTATAGTCAAGTCGTCCCGCAGCTGGGCGACGACATTGGCATTGCCAAATGCATTGCCTCGACGCGGGACATGCATGGCCAAAAGGGAGAGGACGAACTCGCCGGACTTATGGCTACCATCATGGTTGATTTGCGTCAGCGGTTCCCAGTCGCTGGCGAGAAGAGAAGTGTCCTAGACCGCACGCAAGTGCATGGGGCACTGGACTGGCTGGCGAGTTTCCATGCCCGCTCATGGGCTCTGCTACCAGACAGCTTCGACGATTATATCTTGCCTCCTCTTGAAGAGTGCAAGCTAAGACAAACCTCGAAGAAGGATGTTGGTAGTGGACTATGGCTCAACGGAGGGTATACATATCTTGCGACACGACGCAAAGAATATGCTTCTCTCGCTCGAGATACCGATTCTGAGTGGTCAGAGGCTATGTGCAGCACTGTGGAGGGTTCGAAACTCTCTGTGGCTGAGATGGTTGCATTGTTCTTGACCCCATGCGGAAGATCGATTGAGTCGTACATTCATGGGGATGTCAAATCGGAGAATCTCTTTACAACCGTCAAGGGAGACGAAGTGGCCTTCTTTGATTTCCAGTATGTCGGTCTGGGTTTGGGAGTCTGTGACCTTGCCAAACTGTTTACGTGCTCGGTTCCTCTCTACATGCTAGTTGATGATGCTCACGAGATTTTACCCGAGCGGTTGACGATGTGTGATGGTGAGAGACAGCTTCTGGAGCGGTACCGGACAAAGCTTGTCGAGGGCAAAGACTCAGACTTTTACGAGTGGGGAACCTTTAGACGACACTGGGAGACGGCCTTGGTTGACTGGTGTAGATTCCAGGCCTCGTGGGGCTTTTGGGGGAATACGGAATGGCTAGAGGCCCGTGTAAGGTCAATCTTGAGTGATCAGGAGTGGAGGGACTGGCTCCATCGGAGCATCAGCAGTCGGGACCACTGACAGTGAATTGCTGGACGCAGAGCTTCATCCTAATGCTTTCGGTTCTTTGTATATATCAGATCTTCTAGAATAACGTCACATTGTATCGGTTATCATTTGTTATACACATAGAGTCATTTCCTTGAAGACTTGCATCGAAGCTATCTCTCGCTCCCCTGGTAGTAGGCATCATATTGCCGTTATATATATTAGATATACCTAGGTGTATAGGGTCAGTCTCCTGATCTTTATGAGCCCTTATCTTTCCTTTGGCGTATTAGGACTTTGCATGTAGTTTTATACAGCTCAGACATCTCTTTTAGGAACCTTTGCTACCCATGGTATCATTCCACTATCACTTCCAGCATCATGATCATAGAAGCAAGTTCAGTAGTATAGTATAATAACAGTCAATCATTATATACTATATGGCTTCTTGCAGAGAGAAAATGAAGTGTGGACTCTACAAGTAGGCTTGGGTAAACAACACACAAAGTCTTTGGTAAAGCTTCATGATAACGTCCAGCCCACAAAAGGTATTAGCACACAAAAGGTACTAACAAGCTAAAGGTACCTGCAAACTATCCCATATTATGCTCATATCATAAGTAGTACTGAAGTATTAGTACCTTTAGTCTTCCACACAGGAAATACAATAGAAGATATGGGAAACCGTAAATCTTTTCGGAAGTCGAGCCTTCTCAGTCCATCTAGGCTATATAAAGGCCCAGAATGTGAGAATAGCCTTTCTCAATTGAGAAGGTGAACGAAAAATAATAAAAGGGTATCTAAACAAGAAAGAGAAAAGAAACAATCAAGCAGCAGTAATGGCCAATCTTACACCTTTTCTTCTCCTCTCCCTCGGCCCATCCGCACACTCCATATTCCTCTTCATTCCAAATCCAAATCCACCACTCTCCCTAGGTCGACACAAGAGATCTCTTAATCCATCCCTCAAGAGCCCAACATCCCTAACCAATTCGCCTTCAACAACACCCCGCGACATAGGATCACACCTCGCCGTAACCGCCAGATCAAATGACTCCAGTCCCCGAACCTGCAACAACGGCTTCACCCATCCCTCCTCCATCACGAAAGGTATCCTCTGTCCGGAAACCACCGCCTCACCACCATTCCCGACCACACTCGTAAACCGTCCCAAATCCAAACTCAAGCCAAGAACCTTCAACCCCTCCAGACCAGCCACGGAATTCCAAAACTTCACCCACAGCTCATCACTATGCGTATGCGCATAGATCGAACCCTTATGATCGAGCCCAGCCATTGGCGTCCAGACAGGCATCCATTGGACAGTGAGTCTGGAAATAGCACTCCTAGCCGCAGGCGACAGTGACGATGCAAATGCGATGAAAGTGTATAAATCGTCGACATCGAAATGCGAGGCTTTGTACAGGATTGTTTCGGCTTCGCCGTAGATGGAGCGACAGACACGCAGCAGCGCGGTGTTGGAATTGCTCAAAGAGTTTGGGAGATGTTCGTGGGTGTGCGGGTACAGAAGTCTATCGCTGTGGCCTGGTACGCGGCCATCGTAGATGCGCCAGCGGGCTGGGGTTGTTGGGCAACAGTGGCGGTTTTGGGTTAGGGCGGGGTTAGGGGCGTCGCCTTGGGGGTGGATTTTGGTGCAACGGACGTGGCGTATTTTGCCTTTTAGTTGGACGAGGTGGAGGAATTGAGGGAATTGGGTGTTTGGGGTTTCGCAATTGGTGAGGACGTAGGACCAGATCATTTGGCGGAGTTCGGTGGGGAGGCGGAGGAGGGGAGATTGGGATTGGGCATCTTGGAATTGGAATTGGGATTGGGATTGGGATTGGGATTGAAGGTGGGAGGTGGGATAGGTCCACGGGTCTATGGGGGCTGAATTGAGGCTCTTTTCTGGGGCGCAGATTGCGCGCGACTGAATCAGATCTCGGACTGTGTCTCGCCAACGGTGGCCGGTGGGATAGTAGTGCCAGATGGAGTAGGGATCACGGAGGACCCAGGTGTCGAAGTGGCGCATTGTTCTTTGTTATAATTTCAGGGAGTTCCAATGGGAGAGGTATACAGGAGAAGTCAAAAACGGGGGAGTACGGGGTAATTATGGGGCCAGTGGGTTTTTATAAGACAGTTCTATTGAATAGCCCATCTCCGCTGCGACGAACAGAGATCCCAATGCGTTGACGGGAATTCCCGGGGAATGCGCATTGTAACCCGATGACGTCGAGGCAAAGGGCAATTGATTCAATTGAATTGGCTGGACATCCACTCAGAGACATTGCAAGTAGACTTCGAACGACATCAGTTTAGTTGATTCTAAAACATGCGTCGGAGCAGAGTGCTCCAGTGGCCAATCCAATCGAGTTAGTGAGTTTCGACACAAAGAGCACAAACAACGCATGTTTTTGATCGCTGCTATGCATCTGGAGTACAGTGGACTGATCCTATATACGATGTACAGGGTAAGAATCTACACAATGCAAGCCCCAAACTCAATGCCCACATTCTCGCCCTGCAGACGCCTCCGCTCTCTCCTCGTCAGTGGCGTCCTTGTACCCTTCGGAGTCCCGATACTCTTCTTGCACTGGAGTCTCCTCTCTCCGGGGAGCAGGACCTTCCTGCGCAGTAGCCACATAGACTGCACAGGCCAAAATAACCCCAGAGCCAACCCAACTGATAGGACTAAGTGTACTACCCCAGACAACCTTGTCGTAAAAGACCGCGAAAAGCATCTGCGTATACACCATCGACGTAGCACGCGACCCCTGCGACACTGGCTTGCCATTGGAAACCGACGCAGGTGGGACATACGACAAACCCGCCGTCAACAGGAACTGCAACAAGAACCCGCAAACCCCGAGGCCCGTCAGCAACGACCACTCGACCGCCGTGTTAGGCAAGCGGAACGGTACCGAAGGCACCACTGCCATAGCAACGAACGAGATCACAGTAGTGACAGACGAGAAATAGGTGACTGAGACAAGAGGATGCGCCCGACGGCCGATCATACGGATAGAGGTATAAGCGCCAGCGGCGCCGAGCACACCCACAAAGGCGACAATCGTCGCCATGACATGGTGGTAAGAGTCCGTGTCAGAGGGGGTTTCATCAGCCCCCGAGGCCGACAGGCCCAGCATCCAGGTGGCAGCGGCGGTTGGAGTTGCGATAGCGGTGTGCGGCTCACGCTTGCTGAAGGGGCGGGCGATGAGCACGACGCCGGCGAGGGAGACCAGTGCTGCTAGTTGCTGCTTCCGGGAGAAGGTCTCGCCGGGGATGAGCAGCGAACATGCGTAACAGGTCATGATCGGCGCAAGGAAGGTGATCACGGTTGCTTCGGAGAGCGGCAGGTACTGCACAGAGTAGTACAGTCCGTAGACGCCTGTAAAGCCACATACCGCGCGGAGCATGAGGAGGCCCCTAACAGGACGGGTTCCTAGTGGATGGGGTGTTGAGGCCCAGTACATATATAGATAACTTGCGACTGCCGTTATGGACATGCGAGCGAAGAGGATCTGGAGGCAATTGGTTAGTTCTGGACGAAATAGGATACAATGGTAAATTGGGATAGATATGATATAGACCACATCTTCCTTTCTTCACCTGGGTTTGCAATTCTTACCTGGAAAGGATGCATGGCACTATGGATCTCAAGGACTTGTGTCATGACATTCATCGAAGCGGCGAACATCTGCGCCAATAGAACCAGTCCCATTCCCTTATTGCGCAACCACCAAACCTGCCATGCATGGCGGGGTCGGGAAGCTGCAGCAATAGTGTCTTCGTAGTCCTCTATAGGACGAGGCTCAGACTCTGTCAATGGTTCTTGGGTTTCGACTTCACTACCGCTTTCACAATTGTATTCGTGTTGTTCATATTCATATGCATGCTCGCCTCGAGTCTGAATTTGCGGTTGAGTTTGGACGATCGGCAGGGGGGAATCTGGATGATCCTGGTCGCCAGACCGTGAGGCCGAATCACCGTGTGCTGTGAGCATATTGGGATCTGTGCTGGGGTCGTTATTGGAGAGTGATGGTCCCTGCGGGGATTTTGCGGGGGTTGAAGACATTTTGGAAGGGTTTTCTCTCTTTTCTCCAGAGTCCAGCTCTTTTTTTTTTTCTATCGGAAGAATCTTGAATATACAGGGTTGAAATCCTCGAGACGAGGATAAGTGCAAGTCCCGAAAAAAGCCAGTGGGAAGGCTTGGATCTTATAAGATCTCAAAACTGCACTGCCGATCTCGACTCCAGAGATTTCACCTGATGCGCCTGACAGTATAGTGGAGCCGGGGCTGACCGCTAAACGCGGTCTCTGTGTTTTGTGTTTTGGTTCTTTTGTCTCTTTGCTTTTTGTCTTGTACGGAGCACTTTCTATAGGATTATCTACTTTTGTTGCTTTTTCTAGGAGTTCACTCGCACTTGATTGGTATGAATATTCTGATGCCCGATGCCTCCTACAGTGTTCCGTGGGGGACACGGCATATACGAACTAGGTAGCTAAGAGCACTACATATGCAACTAACGGATATTTGTCCGCTCTTGTGATGCTTCGCCTCGGACCGATTCATCTGAATTCTAACACCTCGGTCAATCCTAGAGGTCAGCCTTGGCTTCGAATAACCTCGCTTGCTCATCGCTATTTCGAAACATCGAGGTAGTACCTACGCCGTACATGTAGTCTGCATATGTACCATCCAACTTTTACTTACAAAAGCGTATATGATGAGCTTTGGGCATGTCATTTATCTCTTGGGATCAGACCCCAGGAGGGTACGTGCTTGACTTCAACATCGGGGTCCTGCAATACCTCCCCGTTGCGTGGGGCATAGCTAAAGAGGTGAGTTTATAGACTCCATTAAGTTGAGCCAAATTCCATAGGAATACCCAAATGAAACCTTATCCGCACCTAGCGCAACAGCAGCAATAGAGTATGCCATATGGACAAGAGTACATAACTACCTACATGTAGGTAGTACCTAATGTCATGGGAGATGTAGTGTGGAGCTGATAAACGCGGCGATAAGGACGCAAGTCTGGGGTTTGGATGGCAGATCAACGTCGGTGAGGCAGGCGGTAAGAGGCCGCCATTCGCGCTTTTACTTCATCTTCAACTCGCATCCACTTATGCTCTCCCTTACTGCCAACAATACACATATCGCTACTTATTAATACCTGATCTTGATCCTTTGCTCAACCCAAGTGAATCATGGTTCAAACAAGAAACGCGGATAGGTCCGCGCAGAACGAGGCGAGCCAAGAAAAGACGATTGAGCAACCGACCCAGGATACTGGCGAATCGCCTGTCGCAACTTGCGGAACAGATGCCAGCAACCCACCAGATGAGAAAAAGGATGACAGCGCATCCAAAGCACGCGAGCGAATGGATAGATTCAAAGCCCTGAAGGCCCGAGCTGTAAGTGACCCTTAAGTGACTTGCATGAGGCAACAAGCCTTCCCAGTCCCCCCCGCATCACACAACTAACTCATTAGATAGAAAACTGCAACCGAACGCAACTTGAAAGAGACCGTAGCCGAGTCTCAGCGTCTAACCGCTGATCCGGCCCTGCTCAATACATTGTCCCGCAAGCATGCATTCGCCTCACACAACCTCCTCAAGGCAGACACAGAAGCTGCGGGAGAAGATTTCGAACGCAAGCGCGCATGGGACTGGACAGTCGAGGAATCCGAGAAATGGGATAGGCGCATGGAGAAGAAGCAGCGTCATCGAGATGATGTGGCTTTCAAGGATTACACTCAGGATGCCCGAAAGGTGTACAAGAGACAGTTGAGGGAATTGGCACCGGATTTGGAGGCCTACGAGAAGGAAAAGCTCGCTGCGATCGAGAAGGCAGCCGCAAATGGTGATCTCGAGATTGTGGAGACGGAAGACGGTGAAATGATTGCAGTCGACAAGAACGGTAGCTTCTACTCTACTGCGGACTCGACTGGTTTCACGGAAAGCAAACCAGATCGTGCTGCTGTGGACAGGCTGGTCAACGACATCCACAAGGCAGAGGAGGTGCGCCTGAAGAAACGCAAGGAGCGTCGTGGTGGTGATGATGATGGCGATGTGACATACATCAACGAGAAGAACAGGCAGTTCAACCAGAAACTGGCGCGCTTCTACAACAAGGTCAGTCTTTTCTTCCTAACTCAATTTCCTTGAGATCCTTTCGCTAACGGCTTTATAGTACACCACCGAAATTCGGGACAGCTTTGAACGTGGCACTATGATTTAATGTGAAAATGACACTGATTGCGATATTTTACATGAGTGGAATTGTCGAACCGTGCTTAGAAGCACAAGGCATCAACCGACCAGCAGAGATTCAATCCGTTTTTCCGAATCCCTTTCATCAAAAAAACATATCTTACAAACATACAAGGTGACTTGATCAGCCGACAGACCTAGAGCATCGTCTTTCGCCAGGCTTTTGTTGCAAGTGCCTCAATCTGTTTTGTGCCAACCGCACCCTTAGTGGTTTCATCCTCCAATGCTTCGACTACCGCTTCGCCCACAACATCAGCTTTGAGGGGCTTTTCCGCCATAGACCCGAGGAAACCAAGCCTGTTACCGAGGAACGTGTTGAACTCGGCGGCAACAAAGCCACCCATTGCAATTGGCAGCGTGAACTTCCGGCTCGAGTCGTACATGAAGCCCGGGCGCATGAAGATGCTTCGTAGGCCCGGGAGGTTGGATGTGATAGCTGCCTCTGCTTCTCTTTTGGTACTGATGTACCTGGTCGGCAGAAGCGGGGCCCCGGCCGCGGCAGAGATGTAAACGAAGGCCGGGACATTCTCATTACTGGACTCTTGAGCTAGTGCAATAGCTACATCCCACATGTTAGCTTCCTCAAAACAAAATCCAGCCATCATTAACTTAGGCCCACTATACGCACCTGAATCTCGATTCATCAATTCATAAGTCAATTGCCCATCCTTCTCCTTTGGCTGCAAAGCCTCTCCCTCTTGCCTTGACAGAGGATTTTGGCTTCCAAGCTTAGATGTACTAAAAGCTCGCTGAAGGCCACTGATGATCGGTTCCTTCCCTTGCACAACCCCCTTGTAGTCAGCTTCCAAGAGAATTCCCATGCTGTGAACAACGGCAGAGGCACCGTTCAGATATGGCTTGTAGCTCTCTGGCTTAAGGATGTCGGCCTTGGCCCATTCCACCGAGTTTGCCCAGCTAGGTCGTTCTTTGGAATCTGTAATTGTTTCCCATCGTGGCTCGCCAGATCGACTAGATACAGATTAGCATTGCCATGTGAATATTCATACATGGGTGGCAAAGCTACCTTAATGATGTAACTGTCCATCCCCTTGCCGCTGCAGCTTTACAGATCCTGGATCCTAGAGGAAGTAGTTAGTAAAATAACATAAATATGAAGACTTGCACAAGATAATAATCACATACCCAAGAAGCCGCTTCCTCCGGCGACAACTAGTGTTTTGACGGACATGGTATAGCTTGGGATAGCTCTAGCAAATGATATCACCCAATTTAGCTTGGAATCAAGCAATTGAATATCAGTCTTGAGCTCAAGAGTCCAGGCTTTAGAGCTGAGTCGAAACACGTATTCGGTAGTGCTTTGTTCAAGAAGATGATGTATGTAAAGTGATTGCTCTTGAGCAATAACCTGCAGTTAGCGTCATTCGGTATGGTTTGCCTTCTGGTCGGGACCACATGAGTCTCCGTCTCCGGATTATCCATCTTCCGTGCCTTTCTTGCGCCCTTGCTCTGGACAATCCATACCCATCTATCTCCGCAAGTCAAATTCCAAGATGCCATCTGCGACAGGAAACAAGCGTGTTCGGGTAAGTCTTGAGCTTCGGGAAATTGTGACAACGCCGATCTAATACAAGTCTCGTAGGGTGTCTCAGTATTCCGGCCATTTGGTATGTCCGCAAAGCGCGCATAATAATAGTCGTACGCTAACAAACATAGTCTTTGGCAGTATAGCGCATCCCTTCGACCCCGAACGAAAACCTGCAAACTGCCCTCCCGATCACACTCACAAATGGGAGATATTTGTTAGGGGGATCAACGGCGAAGATATCTCCTACTGGCTCAAGAAGGTCCAATTCAAGCTGCACGAGACATACGCCCACAATGTGCGCTCAATCGAACAACCCCCTTTCGAAGTTACTGAAACTGGCTGGGGTGAATTCGAGATCCAAATCAAGCTCTACTTTGTGCCTGAATCAAACGAAAAGCCTCAGACCCTCTGGCACAGTCTGAAGCTCCACCCGTATGGACCAGATGCAGAGGGAATGAAAGAGCGCCGGGAAGCTGTGATCAGCCAGAATTACGAAGAAATTATCTTCAACGAGCCCATTGAGCCGTTCTACGAGATTCTCACTGGTGGCCCCGGTGGTGCTCAGCCTGGAAAGAGCAAGGGAAAGAATACCAAACAGATTACAAATGGCAGGACAGCAGAGATTCCAATGGCCGATACCCCAGGCAATCCGTACAGTCGGGGCACCGAGCGGAAGGAACTTGATCGAATGGCCGAGGCTACTCAGACAGTTGAACAAATGATCAAGGAAGAGAAGGAACGCCTAATCGAGAGGGAGAAGTACTTGGCGCAGCTGCGAGAAAGTGAGGGTGTGCCCGCCAACACGAAGAAACGGTGATAGCTTTGCATACACCTCTTAATCCAAAACCAAGGTCAGCACCATCAGGTTGTTGGCTTGTGAACTCCCGGCCGAACATTATCTCGTCAGCAATCCTCACCACTCCTGATCCAACACGTTCCTCGGCGCTTGAGGTTTCTCGGTGGGCGCAACATCCGCACAGTCAACTTCCGTGTCTTGATTACTTCCTAGCAATCATCGGACAAAATCTACACCGTCTGTTCTTTCCCGCCTACCAATTACGACTATTGTACGCCATTTCAGCTACGACAAACAACCTTGGAAGCTCGAATAGCTCCATTCTCGAAGGTCAATTTTCAAGAACTACCATGGCTCCATGTCCCAACATTCCCAAGGTGAATTGCTGAAAAACATACTGTTGAGCTAAATGGAATGCGGCTATGCATTGAAACTATCTTCACTTGAATTTGGAGACATGCTACTCCGGGGGTGTGCGTGTCCACTGACCTGGAAAAGGGTAACCACCGTAGCCCAGGGATTCAATTACATGGCTACGAATTTATCTCGGTATCCTAGGATGCATGTCCACGCCAGTTTGTACCTCTTTAGAGGGACATTTTGAGCCATAGCACAGGTGACAAACAAAAAATAACATCAATTCACTATATGAAAACGCAAGTCTATGTAAACCAAACATTCGTTCAACCATCATACATTCATTTGAGCTCCTAGCACTTAGCATTGCGAACATCATCTCTGGTCTCTTTCAGGAAGGGTATCAGGTCAGTGCCCCCAGTACCAGCAAGCTCAGGACTATTTTCTCCTTCCTGTGCCTGGGAGCTAGCGGTGGCCAGATTCAATTTGTTCTTTTCTTGTTTGAAGGGATTGGGCTTCTTCGACATCATGACAACGTACCGTGTGACGATCTGGATGTGTGCATCACGGAAACACTTGAGCTCATTCACCGCCGAATTGTAAGCATCCTTGAGAGATTGCGTTGAGGAACCCGATACAAACGAACGAACATTAGCCTGCGCCGCTAGATCTTCGAGGAAGCGTCTGTGAGGACCAGGCATGTAGCGTCGCATTTCCTAGATTTCTCATGTTAATACTGACTGCACGTGTCCGGGATTGGGGGACGAAAACAATGGTAATCAGCACTGGATATGTCTCTTACCTGGATGAAAATGGGACCGGAAGGATTCTTCCCATCCGATGCAGAATGCTCGACGCCGAGGAAAATATCGAGTGCCTGGATCAATGAGCTCTGGGCATTGCTCCCACCACTCAGTTGCAGCCAATTCTCCGGGTTTTCAGCCCCGTCACTGTCGCCGACATCATAATAGACACCATTGGGAAGGCCCGCATGACCCATGTTCTTGCTACCAGCCAAGAACGGGCGCAGCACATGGTAGAAAACAGCAGGCTCATTATGCTCGTACATTCTCTTCAGAATGTATGCGAGGATACTAACTTCATCTCCGAACTTGCACAAGAGGGCAGCGACAAGTTCTGCGTCCTCGGCAACGACTGCCTTGCAAGCATCGCGCATCAACGAAATGAGTGCACTGCCTTTGGCCTCCACGGCGACTGAGATTAACATGAACCATTCTTCGTCTTTTGTGCCGGTGAAAGATGTCTGGACGTGGAGATTGTCTGGGTTTGTGATGTCTGCATCTGGGTGCGTGGTCTTGTAGTTCCAGAGAACGAGACCTGCATAGGTGGCGCAGGCCGGGAGTTCAAGGTGAGCTGATATCTCGAGGTAAGGCTTCGCGATTGCAGGGGGGAGTCTCTATTTATCTGGGGTGTCAGAGGGTCTTTGATTCTATGGGAAGAGAGAGAAAGAGTGATGGATTATTTACGTCTTTGGGGGTTTCTCCTCCCCAGATATAGGCGTGGGCCAGATATCCCATGATGGAATATGCACGACGCCATTCTGCTTCTGTTTGCAAGTGCTCAGTTGAGCAGATAGGGAAATTATCGATCTTCTCCCGGATCTGACCTGTCTCAATGAGGGTTGGGAGTTGACTGGCTACATCCTCCCAGGCCTCGTAATGGGGGTTTGGGAGTCTAGCAAGCGGTAGGCCATCCGAGAGGAAGCCCTGCTCGGCATAGAATTCGAACAGATTGTTGAAAGCGGTGGTTGGTGATTCGAGCATTGTGAATGGAGAAGCGTGGGAGTGTTGTTGACTCGAGAAGACGAACTCGAGTGGTGTTATATACAGCAATATCAACAAAGACCATCACATCTACTTTCAGGTGTGTACCTGACCAATGATCAAGTTATTTATGGCTTCATACTGACAAGGATCCTGCTATTTCGGTTTGCACCGGGGTCATCTTTGTCAATATCTATACAACCCGGAAGAGACCCGGATGCCCATCCGGGTTCCGCTTCTAATGGTTGTGTACAACATAGAGCGACCCCCCATGGACTGGGCTCGCTTTCCATGCCGAAGTACTCCGTACGTCAGAATATCTGAGATACGTACGGAGTAGTTGTACGGAATGTGGAGTATGGAGTCATATGGGACCAAATTAGCCCTTTTGTTAAATAGAGATCCTCCAAAGAGACAAAGAATGCAGCTCCTTACATAGTGGATGATGCTCCACTGTGACGTTTATCATCAGGGGGAAGCTGGCCCAGACTTGAAACGCCATCTTCAACTATTGAATGATCATCAAATGGCTTGCTGCATACCATGATGCAATGATTAGCACATATAAACAAACAGACGCGGAGGCAATGTCATTCAGGAGATGCATCGTGGACACGGATCGGGGAGGCGGAAGCGGAACAGCATCCGGAGTGACCACTGAAGTTGCATTCCCTCGTCTCCGATTCGACGTCTGTGGATTATAAAAGCAACTACTACATCAGTGAACTAAAATACTCTCTTCGACTCTTTGTAGTAAACCCCCGATTCGGCCCAATTCGTTACGAGACTCAAAACACCATACTCCCATATAACACTGCACGAGAGTATTGGCCGCTAACATGACGGGCACTAAAGCACCCAAGCCAGTGTTCCCCGCAGAGGCAGCATCGCAAGAATATGCCGCGTCTTTGGATGCCGCGGATCCTCTGCGCGGGTTCCGCGAACAGTTCATCATTCCCTCCAAAGCGAACCTAGCAACAAAGAAGCTGGCGAAGCCAGGTGAGAACTAAAACCAGTATCCTGGCGGATGAGAGAAAGAAGCTTTGAAGATTGCTAACAAGCCGATGTAGATCTTTCGTCAGAGCCAAGCACGTACTTCTGTGGTAATTCCTTAGGCATCCAGCCCAAGGCCGTGTCAAAGTACATGGAGGCTCAGTTGGATACTTGGTCATCCATCGGTGTCTGTGGGCATTTTACTACCCTCGAGGATTCTCCTTTGAGTCAGTGGCAATTGCTGGCTGAGCAGGCAGCTGCTTCAATGTCCCGTGTTGTTGGCGCGGCGCCTGAAGAGGTTGCAGCTATGGGCACGTTGACCACGAACCTTCATCTGCTGCTTGCAAGCTTTTATAAGCCGACTGGGAACAAGAGCAAGATCTTGATGGACTGGAAAGCATTCCCTAGTGATCATGTAAGTTGTGATGACAGCAGTTATTGCCCCGAAGTAGCAGTGCGGTAATGTGCTTTTTCTGGGTGCTTCTGATTAACATTGGACACAGTATGCAATCGAATCACACATTGCCTGGCATGATCTCAGCGCAAAGGAGAACATGGTTCTCATTGGGCCAGATGAGGGACAGTATGAAATCTCAACAGAGAAGATTCTGTCGTATATTGATGAGCATGCCGACAGCGCAGCCATGCTTCTTCTCCCCGGTATTCAGTACTATACCGGACAGCTTTTTGATATTCCCACAATTACCAAGTATGCCCAATCCAAGAATCTCGTCGTGGGATGGGATCTGGCGCACGCATATGGAAATGTGGAGCTAAAATTGCACGATTGGAATGTCGACTTCGCTGCCTGGTGCACGTATAAATATGGCAATGCTGGACCTGGAGCGATGGGTGGTCTTTTTGTGCACGAGAAACATGGTCAAGTGGATTATAGTGCTGGTTCTGATGCTCCTAAGTTCCGCCATCGCTTGACCGGGTGGTATGGTGGTGACCGTTCAGTGAGGTTCAAGATGGACAACAGTTAGTTCCTCTGAGACTTGTTGTGCAATGACTACTACAGCATACGCTAACCGCCAGCAGAGTTCAAACCTATCCCGGGGGCTGGAGGTTTCCAAGTTTCCAACCCCTCGGTCATCGATTTGACTTGTCTTTGTGCCGCCTTGTCCGTGTTTGATCAAACCTCCATGGCGGACTTGCGTCAAAAGTCGTTGAAGTTGACAGCATATCTGGAGTTCTTGCTTCTGAAGGATACCGACGAAGAGACCCGCCTGTTTGACATTATCACACCGTCAGATCCACATGCCCGAGGTGCGCAACTCAGCGTGTTGCTCAAGCCTGGCTTGCTGCATAAAGTGTCTGAACGCCTCCAAGATGCAGGTATCATTTGTGACAAGCGAGAGCCAGGTGTTGTCCGTGTAGCGCCGGTACCATTATATAACACCTTCACGGAGGTGTTCAACTTTGTCAAAGAGTTTAAAGGCGCTTTGGCTTCTTGATAGTTAGTCATACTATAGGTGTTCATGTGGAGATGGTAGATGCAGTACTTTTGGATATAATAAACCAATGAAATATCCTAAATACAACATTGTGCTTGGAAAACTATCTATTTGATCAACATCAGACATATGTATAAACAAGATCCATCAGAGCGGGACTATTCGCCAACTAAAATTAGGCACTGGCTGAGTCGCCATATTGCCTAATCGGGTAGGCTGATAGCATCCCCGTCGTCTGTCACTTTGCCCCTCATCAAGAAAGAAAAAAAAAAAAAAGAAAAAAAGAAGTGTCGGTGAATCGCACCCCTGACTGGGATGCTCCTTATGGCCGCGTCTCACAGGCAATCGTCGCATTTAAAGCCATTCGGTTTATGGTCTTCATTGCACAGACATTCGTCCGGACCTAAACACACTAGGCTAACTTCCCAGGATTACTGATTTCACTCCGGATTCTTGTATTTATCCTCACTTCTCACTCCTACAGACTATGAAACTTCCTTTTCTACCTTTTGCTTGTCACTTTTTCTTCGACATTCAACGAGATGGGTGTCCTAAGGACCGTGAGCCTTGCCACATCCAGGTGTTTGTTCCTAGATGCAGCTTCTTTTAGGACTCCTACATATATGCAGCCATACAGATACTACTAGAGCGGCCCGTATTCGCACAGCTGCCCTTATTAATTAATTGAATTAATGATATATTTTATGGCCTCAGGGTCTAGGTTACCATTTATATTATAGGCTGTGCAGGCTTAGATGTACAGATGTTTCCTCCCTAGTCATATACATACCACCAGTTTTCTTCGTCCCTTCGTCTTCTAAATATTCACGCTAAGTGAATATCCATTGCCAGAAAACACTCAACTTGCCCCCGCTCAGAAATTCCCAACACTTTCCCAGTTATCACCACTGCGAAGGAATTCCTGTCCCTGTGAGAAGAAATTCGCAGCAAGAATAGAGAATTCATCATTCGACAATGTCAGCTGTTGCGGTGAGATCAAAGAATTTGCTGGATAGACTTGGCCGGGGAACGCTGCATTAGTACTGTATGATTGAGACTGAATATTTGGAGATGCTTCTTCTTGGGCATTCAATCGGAACGGTGCAGGCAAGAGAGATGTTTGAGATACTTCTGCGCCTGCAGAAGACGCCCCAGCATACAACGATTCTCCGAATAGACGCCGAGCAGATTGAGTGTCGCTGTTGGATGAGTATTCGAGGATTTCCCAGAACCGTGATAGATCGATCAAGAGGCTTTGGTTTTGTGCGCCTGGGTCTGATTGGTAGGTTGATGAGACGGCGTCTTCTAGTCGTTGTAGTCTGTGTGCCTGTCGGTTGCATGAAATGTTAGTCCGTTGATGTGAACTAGAGAGAATCACAGAGTGTAGAGGATCATACCAACCGAGCCATGTGTGGCCACCTTTCCCCCATGGTCTGCACAAACTTAACACACTTAGTGAATCTCTCACGCTTCTGCTCTCTGATTGCCACGTTATCTGTGAAACTAAGCTGCAGCTCAATGGTTGCCACAACAGCCGCACTGTACCCGAGAAACGGATCTGAGACTAGGAGCGACTTCTCTTCCAAATAGTTGATGAAGTGGATGATCCAGGTTGTATGCGAGGAGATCAAATCGGAGGAGTGTTGCAGGAAGATTTCGGGGATAGTACTCCGGAAATTCCGAAGAGTCAATGAGAGCAGAAGTGGATGATTGAGTAAACACAGATTGGTGTGGTACAGGAATTGGTTCAGAAACCACGGGCCCCAGTATTCACGGTGTGCCTGTAATTCCTCAAGGGAGCGTTCGCTGAGGTTTGCGGGCTTAAATCGGTGGAGATATGGCATCCGAGTCTCCATCTCCATTTGCAATGCGAGGATTTTCGAATACTCAGAATGCGGAGACCATGGTGGGAGGTTGCTTGGGCGTCCATGAAGTCGTACATATCGTGATGTTCTTGCAAAAACTTCACTTAGCATAACTACATATGCAATGATTCCTTCATCTTCCGTGTCATTTCTCCGTATTTCGACAACTGATGGCCCCGGGGAGAGAGACTGGGCTGGTCGTGTTGGGCTTAGGGGATACGGAGGGCCTCCAGCTTCGGGCGTATCCAGAATTGAAAAATCACTGCCATGTAGTCGTTTGAGAAGACATATGCTCCAGAAGCAGCGCCTGCGTTCTTCGCGAGCCATGCTACTCGTCAGGGAACGGGGCTCTTGGCCGAGATTGGCGCACTGTGCAAGGTGCATTGCTAAGCTACTATGAATGCTGGCACGGTGTGTGTTGCCGTCTAGTAGAGAATATTAGCACTAAGTTTCAAACATATGAATGTTGGGTGCATACTCGTAAAGTCAACCAAGCTCAATATACAAAGACATTGAAGTGTTGAAAGCTCTACCGGCCCTTCTGAGACTCGTTTCATGACAAGGGCTCGGGCGACTTCGGCATAACCGTTTACCAGGACAGTGAAATCTGACCGGGTCTGATGCGCGTATGAGAAGCGAAAGCCAAGTGCCAATATAGCGAAAAGAAGCTCAGTCTCACGTGTTTGTAGACTGGAAAGAAAGCTGTCTCTGTGAAAAAGAGGCAAGGGCTGAGAGTCGCAGTATAGCAGATATAGCTCTGCAATAGGAATAATTTCCTCCCATGGGGGTAGGTCGACAGAGGAAGTTGGCACTGATAATGTAACAGATGGAACAAGGGTTTCTGTTGACATCTGAGGCTCACCTTTTGAGCTAGATTTGTATTGTTAATAAGTTATACCCCCGGCATGGGTGCTATAGGCTCTTACCCTAGGACATCCAGAACCTTTCCTATCTGACTTTCAAGGTTTCGCAACCTGTCTGCCTATGATATATTCAGCACATGGGAAAATCCCGTGGGGCTTATAGACACAAAAGTGACACACCAGAACCTGAGATGTTTGCGGGTCTGAATCGTTGGGCTTTGGACTTGATTCAGGCAATGGTCGACGTCTTTCATCGGCGTACAGACATTGCTGTCGCAGCCTAGCACACAGAGAGCAAATCGGTTGCTCTCCGGGACATTTAGCTTTCTTACGCCTGAGAGATTGGTCAATGGCAATCTTTTTTAAACAAATCCAACGAGTCTGATACTGACCTGCAAGGCTCACAAGCCTGCCGCACCCGCTTCTTAGATGGCCTCTCGGAATATTGAAAATTTTCGTCTTCCATTATTACATCAATCCGTGGATTTGAATATCAGAACGCACAGCTCTTGACGAGAGCAGTCATTTTAGAAAGAAGGATAAAGCATTCTCGGGCCCCAATCAAACTGTATCAAGATAGATATATGCTTGATATATATGTATATCCCTGCTCTCAAGGAATGAAGCTTCTTTTGCTTGGGAATACAAGCTGCTGTATATGTCCTATGGCCCTAGAACTCAAATCGGTCGACTAGTCGACGTCTCCGAGCCCTCGGCTCCAGGGCTCCCGGCGCCTGCGCAACAGATGAGTAAGCAATTCTAATCCGACTTCAGGGTTTGCATATTTCCAGATACTGCGGGTTGTAGCAACAAGACAACTTGTATGCGGACTAAATCACCTTGGGTCCTTACACCTTACAACTACATGATTTCTCCTTGGAAGATGGGATGGGTCCAGCTACATATCTTCTTCCGAGTGGATGCCTTTTCCGACCTCCCCCGCGATGTCCACAACAGGTCTTAGCCAACATGTCATAAGATTCTTCTGAAACTTGCCTCACATAGGTACCCAATCACGAAGCTCATTGCGTATTTTCATTATCGGAGAGACTCGGAGTTTTTGCTCCTTAGTCAGACCAAAAATAACTTGTTTGCCTCGGATGGAGCATCGGAGAGATCTTATAGATCGTTCACGATTTCCAAGGAGCCCCCGCCAATGGAAGAAAATAACTGCCGATGCGAATCTGGGAGGTAGAAGTTTGCATCGTGATCGAGGAACCAATTTCCAAGGTTGACAGCAGAGCATGCTCACTGTGTCTGTCCATTCACGTCATTCATGTATCCACTCTTTTCCAAAAATTGCCTTGAGAATGTTGGCAAAGATGACTTCTATCCCAAAATTCTTCCAATGTTAGACCTCCTGAGCCTTGTCATCTGTAGTATCAATGTCAATCGGGCCGGGGAACTTTGGGCATGGCTATCACAGGAGATCAAGTTATATCTTCTGTAGAAAAGGATCACGCGTCTTCTGGCATTCAGATCTGCAGCAGGCCCAGATGGAACGGAAATTATCAAGCTTATGGTGATGAGGAAGGTATGTGGCAACATCTCTCGGATTGGCGCTTCAATTTATCATATGTACAGCTCCAAATCTGCGTGGCTACCAACCCATCTAACCCCTTTATGGAGTAGAAATACACCATACACACAAAACAACTGATACCGTAGCTCGAACAACCACAGAACTGAAAGTGGCATCATTTATTTCTGGCAGAACAAGGTTCATGACCTATTGTTTAGATCCAAGTCTTGTGGCCCTGTTAACAAGTTAGCATGTGAACGTCTGAGACCGGTTCCTCGTCCTTCGTGTCGGAACATAAGAAATGGCGGGCTGGGTGAAACTCACAAGGACCATGCGGCACATGGCGTAGGTGGTAGCTATTGTCAATTAGTTATCGATCCGCGGCGGTATGTCGTATCGGAGGGCGGGTTCACTCACCAGCACCGAGGCCGTAGACCGAGATGAGGTAGGGGTACATGATGTAACCGGAGCGGGAGGACTGCGAGACAATTTCAATGTCAATTTCTTGCTGGAGTTTTCGATTAAGGGCGCATGTGCCCCGTCGGGTGTGTACTGACCTTCCACCATTGGCGCTTGCCATCGTGGTTCTGGAAGAGACGCTGGTAGTAGGGCACACGGTTCTCACGGAACATGAAGCTAAGAGAAACCAATCAGTTAGGATATTTTGCAATTGTATGGCGGAAGGGATTGTTCAGGCAGCCGAATCAATCGCAATTGGACGCCGAAGATCGCGGAAGGAAATTCGATGGTCGCACTCGCATGATCGGGTTTGTGTGCGGGGGGCTTTTGGAGCAATTCGAGGGAGACACATACCCAGCCATGCGGGAGCTAGTAGCACGGAACATTTTCGCGGTTGGAAGCGAGGAAGGAGCGGGGATGTGAGGTACGACGTGGGCGAGATGGGGATGTGAAGTTGGTCCGGAATGAGCTGGATATTGTGTCACGTGACAAACATCACCTGATCGAATCAGACGTTGCGCCTGGTCATCATCCCAAACGGGCAAAGCGTCAAAAAAGTGCCCAGACGCGTATCAACTTCTGAATCTCCGATAGCAAATCTTGTGAATCGACGGCGGGAGCTTGCAAAAAGGATGTTTGGTGTTGAGAATTCATCATCAGGACCTCTATTTCTTAATCACTCATGCGCCCGGCGCTTCTGCGACTGTTGAAGAGGCCGTCCGCCGTCTCAATCCTTGACACACTCACAGCAACACCGACCGGAATCGAGCAATTGGGGTCTAGGTACAGGTGCTTACGATGCCATTCGAGAAGTGCCAAACAAGAATCACTCGTTGAACCCGACAACGACCCAGCCAAGTCTCAGCTTGAGGATTCGTGCCGAGGGAAACGGCCATACAGCTTTCCCATCTACGACATCGAGGCCTCAAGTGAATTGAACACCTCCGAACTCATACCTGCTGTGGAGAACCAAAGGCATAATGCCTCTATACAATGTCCTACCAAATTTCTATCGCTTCGACCTGACAAACTTGAATTCGAATCGGACGTGGGCCACCTCAACGACATTGGGACGCGATTAGTGGATAGTCTGGATCATCGAAATAATCTTGATCTGTGGGAGGAGCTTCTTCGGTACCGCCAGCGTCACTACGGAGACAATGGCACACTCGAAATTTGGAAAGGACTGAGGATCCGAGTGGATGGGGTACAGCTCCCAGTTGCAGGCAAGCAAGCGGATTTCTTTTGGCAAAGCTTTGTGGACATGGGACTGAGGCAAGAGATTTTCCTCGAGGAAGTCCTTGACTATGCTATCAATCTATGGAAGCAGCAAGGCACCCGATGGCCACAGTTGTATGAGCGCGTCGTGGGTGGACTTCTTGACCAGGGCATGACAAACCGTGCGGTTGAATGGCACATGAAGCTTCAAACCGCTGATTTAGCTAGTGAAAGTGATGTGCTGCTGATCCTTCCCTCGGCGATCCATTCAACGTCTCTTCCGGCTGGCACGGAATTTGCAACTGTTGCTGATCTCGAGTGGCCATCTTTGCCCCCGGGATTGAAGGCATTCCAGAACATATGCTCTACGAGCCCCGACCGCAACTTTTACGGCCCTGTCATTTCAATACTCATGCAGCAAGGCTACGGAGAAGTGGCGATCTCAATGCACCATTTCTTCACTCAACGCCAAGATCATCCACAAAATCCTAGTGAGATACAGCCATTGCTTGAATACGTGGAGAAATTCGGGCATCGAAAGGAGTTCAATCGACTTCGTGGCTACGTCAAAAAGCGATTCGACACGGAAGCTTCGATTGATCAACCTGGTCCAATTGACACAACTCAGCAGGTCAATAAAAAAGGGCCGCAAGAGGAAAGACCGTTCAAAGATGACATTGGTGCTAAGATGCTTGCCACACGCGCCCTCAATTTCGATATGGTCGTTGGTGGTCTGAAGATGCTCGGTGTATCAGAGATTGGCCACCGGACATTACGGGAGCTAGCCACCAGAGCTCACGGCAACCAAGATCTTCTGGAAAAGCTCAAAATACTGAAGCAATCCGGAATCTCCGTCGGAAACACTGTTTTTTCACGCTTAATCCAGAAACTTGCAGCTCAAAACCGCGACATCCTTCTCTCGGACATCCTCCGCAGCGACCAGCACCCTGAAGTCCTCGAAGACAAGCGCATGCAGGAATCAATGCTGGTATCTTACTATATGGCCAGGGACTGGCGTCTATACAACATGACTCTCGCGGTGTTGACAGAACTTTACCCTGATGCACCGGATCTTCACGACATCCATTTCCGAAAGCATATCGCGGCTTGGGAGTTAAGTGCGGCATCTAAAGTTGCAGATGAGCTAGCTCTCCGTGGCCGAACTCTAGGCGAAGAAAGTATAGATTTTATGGCAGAGCAGATTCTTACCCCCGCCGAATGAACCACCGTCCACCGCCGGGCCAACGCCTGTCTGCCGTCGATGAGGTGGTCTTCATTTTTAAGATTCTCAAACGCGTGGTCCCTGCGGGAGGGTATGTCAGTGCTGCATTCTGGGTTGAGATGCTCAAACGTCTTGGCATGGCAGATGCATGGGCAGACTGGGATAAACTGCGAGATTGCTGTCAGTGGCTCGTCCGTCAATACGCCGAGAGCCCTGGACAGAAGCCTTGGTCGGGCATTCAATCATCGAAACTGCCTCTCGATCCCACCAAGCAGGCCAACGGTCGCGATCGGCGGATGCTTGAATTGGTCTTTACGCCACAAATGCAAGCCGCCATCGTCTCCTGGGGTTTCATGTTCCGAGTGCTTGACACCACCACATCAAAATTTGCCATCGCCTCCCCTAACCCTCAGGCGGATGAGAAGCTCATACCTTGGGTACGAGGATTGATTCTACTTCGAGAACTAGAGAAATCCGGTCTCCGTCTTGACAAGCGATTGATCTCACAGGCAGTCCGACATCGGTTGGCCATGCTTTACAGCCACCACATTCTGTCCGCGCGACGTATGAACCGGATGTTGCGGCGGCGGAACCCCTATCCTTTACAAAAAGTTATGAACGATGTGTTTCAGGCCTGGGGCGACCCATCCCTATTTGATGGGATGGAGCAAAACTTGGAGCAACTAGTGAATCCGCCACGATCCGCCAGAACCAAGCGACGTGCCCCTGGTATCCGTCTGTCGCTCAAAGGACTATGAGCCTCGTGTCAAGAGTCCATGTATATTAGCATTTTCTTGTAAATAATAGAATAGATCATATATAATACCCATACTCCGTACACGTTCATGAGTATCACCGTCCACGTATGTCTGAACCGCCGTGCAGACTTGGCGCTGTCAATGATGAAGCTCGTACGGAGTATTCCGTACAGTACATCGTATTGGAGGCTAATATAATATTCAATAGTAATGCCTAGAAGACCATCTATAATGGGGCTATGTCAGCTTCGTCACAAATATCAGAGCAGCCAGATGGCCCAATGGCAGTGCAGTGCAGATCCACGATCTAAGAATAGTTGAGAGGGCAACGCGGCCTTTGCCATCTAAACATTTTGTTTATCTCGCATGATTCCTCCTTTTGCTTTTTTATCTATTCTGATATATTTACGATTTAATCCCTTTATATTGTTACATTTTGTTACATCTCACATATAATTTGGTTGCCGTCATGCGAGTGTTTAACTTCCTTGCGTTGCTACCGGTGGTCCTTGCGAATCCTCTCCAGACGAAGCGCTCGACGGCTTGCAACAACTCCCCGGATCTTTGCTCCAAGTCCTACGGAGAGATCACACATCTCGGTGCCCACAACAGTCCCTTTGTGCGCGATGAAAGTACCGGCAACTCGCTGGCCGGAAACCAGTATGTTTACCACATCCAGCCAATGAAATGCGACTAACTCGTGCCCGTCAGTTATTACGACACCATCACGCAACTATCAGCCGGTGTCCGACTGGTAACAGCCCAAGTCCACAAAGAGAACTCACAATGGCGTCTATGCCACTCAACGTGCTCCCTACTCGATGCGGGGTTGCTGAGCGCCTGGTTAAAAGATATCAAGTCCTGGTTGGATGATAATCCAAATGAGGGTGAGTTGGGTTCCGCGAAGTATTCCAGATGAAAGATAAGAGACCTAACACGCCCATCAACACAGTGGTCACCATCCTCCTGGTCAACTCCGATAGCGCATCGGCCTCCGATCTAAACACCGAGTTTAAAGCGGCCGACATCGTCGATTATGCCTACGAGCCAACCACCAAAGGCTCCGCGCCGACCAGCTGGCCAACCCTACAATCCATGATCGATGACGGCAAGCGCCTAGTCGTCTTCGTCGCGGGTCTCGAATCCAGCGAAAGCTACCCTTACCTACTGGACGAATGGACCTACGTTTGGGAGAACCCATACGACGTAAGCTCGCCGTCGAACTTCACGTGTGAGCCGGACCGACCGTCGAGCTACAAAGGCAACAGTGCATCCGCACTGGGGGCCAATCTCCTCCCGCTAATGAACCATTTCCTGTACTCGAACATCTTCGACATCCAGTATCCGAACGCCAGCTATGTCGGCACCACGAACGCTGCGTCCGGCGGCATAGGCAATCTGGGCACGGCTGCCACGAACTGCAAGAAGGCCTGGAATGGTCGCCAGCCCACCTTCATTATGGTCGATTTCTTTAACCGGGGGCCCGCGATTGAAACTGTCGATAACCTGAACAATGTGGCCAATGCCGTTGGCCGCAAGTCTGTCTCCACATCATCGGATACATCTAGCGATGCTTCGTCCAACGGCAATGCGTTCAAGGCGCTTGTTGAGCTGGCTGCATTGGCCAAATCGGGGACTTCGGTGTCTATGGGTAATTGGATTTGGACTGGAGGCAACTGGGGCAACCTTCTCGGCGGGGGTGTTGCCTTCTAAGCTGGGTTGTGTTCTTCCCTCCGTCTTTTGTCTACTATTTCTCTTTCGTGTTCATTTTTGAGCGTCTTTACGTTGGATATTTATTTGCGAGTCAGAAGCATGGATTTAGGGCAGTGCTTAGACCTGCTCTCGCTGGACGAAATTTAGCGCAGGGTACAGGCTTTCTTGGTTCTCTTGCACAACAGGCGTTTTTGGCTTAAATTCTGGATGGGATGGGTTGACGAGCGTGTTTCCACCTTTTTTTTATTTTTTTAACTCGGCTATATAGAAACCGACTGTATGCTTAGCCATACAGTGTACGAATGGAATGATTCAAAGGCAACTGCATTCTCTTGATCACGTTTTAGTGGGACTTCACTATTGAACGCCCATTCGATAGTCCACATCTAGTCCGTTGCTTTTTTACTTTTTCAATAGCTGCTCCACCTTGCTTACCTTGTCCTCAAAGGACTGCTGCTTGTCAGTTCTAAAAGAGATAATTAGCAACCGCAAATCGCCGGTGAAACGAGCCAGGAGCCAAGGATCCCACTCACCGCGATCCAGTCCGAATGTCAGTGTGGATCCGAACGATTCCCTTTTGATGGAGAATCGTATGCGCTTGTCCGATGACCTGGTAAACCCGGTCCCAGGGTCCCTCTAGAAAGAGCAGCGATCGTTAGTAAATCAGGTCCCACCACGCTTCGGGCTTCAGGTGTCGGCTCTGTGCCCCTTTCGGATTTTAGTTCCAACTGGGTTGCAGATACAACGTAGAGCGCGAGAGAGGCTCCACACAAACAGGAACCGGAACTGCGCCGGAGCTCCTTGGCATACGCCCATGTATACTCCGTATAGTCCAATGGATATAGGTGCCGGAGGACATACCCAGGGTTGTGCCAGCGGAATGCATGACATATTTCAAGCCGCATGTTTCGATTAGCCGCTGGACATCGGCGATTTGGTCTGAGACCGAGGGCGAGGAGGTGCCGACCTGGGATGCTATTAACGCAAGTGAATAGGCGGATCCTCCAGGACTCTTACCGGGACCAGACAGAAGTCGGCGAGACAGTAGTCAGGGGTTGGAAGGACGGTGGGATTGGGCATTGTCAAGCTTTCACAGCAATGGCGGGGTACAGAGGGGGCAGAGGGGGCAGAGGGGCAAGTATGCAGAGGGGAATAGTCGAGGGCAGGTCCATCAGCAGAGGTTCGAGCCAAGAAAGTGGATGTGGTCAGGGTGACATAACGCCCTATCCGCAGGGCTGAAACTGCTCTTTTGATCCCCCAGTATATGGTCTCTGCACATTGCGTTTCGTCACCCTCGAGCCTCTCACATTTGCTGCAGCCATCTGCTTGTCCACTGACCGCCATTGCCCGATAAATGCGCCTTCGTTCTTCTCCATTTCGATCTCACTTTTCTCAACTTGAAGATCGGGAATCCCATTCCGACACTTTTCTGATTGGCATGATCGACTCCAGGGGTACGGAGTACACCCCGTTGACCACCTCCACTCCGAACCCTGCATTTTTCCCCCGGATTTGGTGATCAAGTGGGTTCTTTGTTTCGGGTTCTCCTTTTTTTCTTGGGATCCTCTCCTTATCCCGAAAAAAAAAAGTCTTGTCCCCTGTAGCCTCATCAGCCGAATCGCCCGCACTGCCCCTCCCGTTCACCTTGATTGGATCTCCAAGTGAGATTTGGCAAACTCGGTTTAGCCCCCCCTCTGGATCGGTTTAAGCATATGCATAGGCGATCCGCTGAGGAGCTTGTTTCACGCAACCAATCGCTCCCTTTCACTGGATTCCAACCGTACAAAATCATCGGCTGATGGATGGCGGGATAAATCAATCCATCGAGAATTAGCGGCTCAAGTCATGATCACAGCGATAACTTGGAATCCCAGTCCAACAGTCTATCCCTCCGACGGATGACCAAGCTCAGTGTCCTTGAACTCCCCCAGGGAGTTCAGCTCGTCTATCTCGCCGAGGGGGAGCAAATGTGGTTTATCGATTTGTCGCGGGAAATCCAGCACTCGCAAGGGACTCCCAACCATCTCTCACGGCAATGGACACAAAGAACCAGAGCAACCTGCCCACCCACCTCAAGGGAAAATTGCTTCGCCTCCGCAAACAGACCGCAGCCAACATCTCCTACCAAGAGATTGTTCGAAACTTCGACACCATCATCCGACCGCGATTCAACCCGGAAGAACTGGTCGATCAAACCCTCATCAGACTTCCGGAGGGTCTACTCACCCGTTGCAACGAGCAGCTCCGGACCGCCGAGCTCAATGATGCACGACCAAAGAAGCGCCACGGCGTCTTCCTCTGCCTAAGCGAACCCTTTGGTTTGCTCATCACCGATATGACGACGGCCGGAGATCCCGGCGCCAGTCTGGCCGAGCTAAAACCCAAATGGCTCAATCAGTCGCCGTCCGCCCCGGCGACAGCGCACAGATGCCGGACATGTGCGCTCAGGGAAATGAAAAACCGCGAGTCATTGCTTCTCGGCCTAAAAGAACAGCGCTCCTTTTGTCCCCTCGACCTGGTATCCGAGCAGTTTGACAATGTGCTGCGGGCGACAGGATTAATCAAGGGCTGCAAGGATCGAGCACGATTAGCTGGTATTTTGTATCGAAACCCGACACTTCGGAAACTGCAGTCTTTGCAGAAGACTGAGAGGGATGTCGGGTTGCAAGGTCCGGCGGCACAGTCTTGGGAGATGTCGCTTGCGATGACTCTGCGAGACTGTACGATGTTTGTCAGGGTGAATTTTTTATCATGATCCTACCAATCGATCCGAATACTGATATCACTGTGATAGATCCCCCACGACGAAAAGTCGCCCGTGCAAATCCGCCTTGGTGACCTCGATCTCAAGACAGGCGCCGGCGGAAAAGCCGATTACTGGCGAGACCTGGAGGCCCAGTTAATTGAAGAAGGCTGGTATCAGGGTATTAATAACACCCAAGCTCTAAGTGAATGTGCCTTGGGCAGCCCGCGAAGAATCTCTTAGTCCCATTCCTCACGAGACGACTATATCAATATCCCCCTGCATTTTTCTTTTTATTCGAGTTATTACTGCATTGCCGTCTCTTGTGCATTGAGCAAGCGGCGGTGAATGCCTCTCCTTTGGTTTGTATAGTACCTTTAATTTGATTCTTCTGGTTATTTTCGGGCAGGTTTCGGGGTCAGTTTTGTTGCGGTCTGGTTTCGGGCACCGGGGGGAGGGGGTCTGGGTTTTCTCGACATATCCCATTTTATTTTTGACGATTGCATATTTGACTATTTGCTTCTACTCATTTGATGTCAACTATTCCAAGGTTATATGATTCTCTTTCGAATAAATACATCTTCCATTATCAATTAACGATTATCAATTATGTACTTTACCAGTGCCATAACGCAGAACCGAAAGACAAGACGAGTTGCAAACCCATCACTTGCTTTTTTTTCGACCAACACAAGGCTCAACCAGTGGCTCAATCGATCTTGGACACAGTGAAACCCGGTTTCTCGGTGTTACTCAGAATGAGGATCCGTCAACGGAGTCGCGTATTTAAGCAGGCCCGCCCATCAAGCCTGCCAGCAGATTTCCCAGCTGCGAGATATCCCCTGAACTAGCAGGGACATTAGCAGGGGAGCCAGCCTGGGCGCTATCAGGAGAGCCAGCCTGGGCATTAGCAGGGAAGCCAGCCTGGGCGTCAGCAGGGGCACTAGCAGGCGGACCAGCAGGGGCATCAGCCTCGGGAGCGGGGGTGGAGACAGGTGTTTGAGAAGGGTAAGCGGATTGGGCGTTTCGTCTCCGCAGGACGGGAGTGGGAGAGCTGGATGCAAGAGGCTGGTTGAGTGGGATAGCCGTGCTAGATGGGTACAGGGCTGGCGAGGCAATTCTTCTGCGCAGGGTACGGACAGGCGTGCCAGATGGGATTGGGGCAATTATTGGGGCCGGTGTGCCCGATGGGCAGGGGGTTGCCGGGGCAAGTCTCCTATGCAGGGTGCGGATCGCCTTGCTGGTTGGGATGGGCGTGTGGATTGAGTCCGGGGTGGGAGTTGGGTGTTGGATAGCGATACTATTGCTGTCACGGATGACGGCGGCTGTGGCATTGGTGCTCAGGGCTGCCAGCGTGGACAGGATCAGGAGGATATTGAATTGCATGGCGTTGGTTGGGGGTGGCGTTGGTGTAGGTTTGGATATGTGCAATCAAGAGATCTGCCAAAGGGGCGAAGCTTTGTCTTGGTCTGATAGTGAACGCTGTCGAAGTATTTTGGGATAGGGTGGGATATAAATATGATGCTAGGTAAGTGAGAAGGGGAGGGGGATTTGTATAGATCAGATCGACCTGTCATGGAATCGGGGAACTGGAGGAAGGATTGCGGTTCGCAGGACGATCATTGTTAATTATTTTCAAAGTTGATATTAGTCCTGCGGCTTCATGTCCCGAGGGTCTGATAGGTTAGGCGTCGATGCAAGGCCCGTTTCTTTTTGTGACGAGATGCTTATACTCCATAGTCCGGTGTACGGAGTCGGTCCGGCAGGACTCGGTGTCAAGCTGAAGATCGCCTCGCATGTATCTGATTCCGGAAATATTTGCTCCATGTCTTTTCAATTCCTGCATACTGACAGAAGATAAAGTACGTCAAGCACTCCGTACGGAGTACTCCGTAGCTCAGGCAGATTCGGTGCCCTTCGGCCGTCGGTTTACCCCGGAGCCATCGAGGTCAAGGTCGGAGATCAGCGGTGTGCCCCTGGACGATGCATTGTCTGTATAATTGGCCCGGTGCAGAGGATGGAGGACTCTGCAGAAAGCACGCTATGAACTGCACGCTACAAAGTGTGTTTCTCACCGATCCACCGGGCAGTGGCTTCTCACCAGGCCCTTGTACTCCGTACAGAGCTAGCGACGAGGATCTGATGGCATGGAGGCCGTAAGTAACATACAAGTGGCTTTGCGAGAGAACCATCAGCTTGGTAGTCCGCAGTCCGCAGTCAAGCAGTCAACCTTGTCGGTGGCTTAGACCTTGGCGAGAGCCGCACGATTTATCTCCCCGCTTCTGATAAATACACTCCCAACGCCTACCACGCTCCATACAACAAAATGAACCCAAGAATTGGAATCGGAGTCTTTGTCCGCAATGCCGAAGGCAAATTCATCATCGGCAAACGTAAGGGCAGTCATGGCGCTGGTATGCATTCCCTTTCCCCCAGATAGGACCCCTCTCCCATGCATATACAAAATCCGTCTTATCACCCAAAAAAAGCAGAGATTTCCAAAAAAAAACAAAAACTAAGCTCTTATTACAGGTACATGGGCGCTCCCAGGTGGACACCTCGAGTTTGGTGAATCCTTCGAAACCTGTGCAGTCCGCGAGACTCTCGAAGAGACAGGTCTCAACATCACGGACGTGCAGTTCCTGACAGCCACGAATTCCGTGATGACAGCTGAGAATAAGCACTACGTGACTATTTTCATGGGTGCGGTGTCCGAGGGAGATATTGATCCACAGGTGAGTTGATCGATCGTTGATTTTTTTTTTCTCTTTCTTTTTTTTTTGCTTTTTCTTTCGTGTCGCCTTCGCATATTCTACAGCCTGGCTGGGTACCTTGCAGCCGGAGAATGCGGACAGGTCGGCTTACCTCTTTTTTTTGGAAGATCCTGGAACCGGAGAAGTGCGAGGGTTGGGAATGGATCTCATGGGATGAACTGCGGGCGTTCGGAGAGGAGGAGCTGAAGACTGGTGTTGCGGTGGAGGGTCGGAAGCTGTTTATGCCTCTCTTGGACTTGTATACACAGTGTCCAGAGTTTAGACTATGAGAACTTCGAGTAGAATTACTCAAGTGTGCTTGGAAATGGGTTCTCGACAATAGGATACAATAGGATACAACAATCAAAGGCTCTGTACAGCATGAACCAGGCGGGCACTTATATTAAATAACATAGGATCTCAGGGGTCGTGTTTTCGCCCCTGACCCCTTAGACCAACATGAGAACTCATTATGTATGTTGCGCTGTCTGTGAGGTCAGGTTAATAACCCCGATCGAATCAAGCAACAGGCGAGTCAGCAACCTTCGCATCAGCAGCTCGTTTATCTCCCACCCGCCAAAGAACCGCTGAGAAGCTTGACCGTAACATCTCTTGTAGCCATAGCGGCAAAGCCCTCAGCGACCCAATCAAGGAACGAGCCCTAGGAAGAATGATCTGACCACTTTGACGAGAGGTTATGTGCTCTATCACTGCCTCTGAAACAGCCTTGGGATTCATCACCGATTGACGGAAGTCGGATTGATAGTCAGTGTAGCCTTTGATCATGGGGGTTTGAACCCAAAGGGGGTGAACGACGCTAGGTATTCTTGAGCATGGGCTTCTTTGTTTTAGATCTAAAAATATATCTCTCACCTCGTTCGGATATTCGGAGCTTTATACCAATGGATCAATTCTTGCCGGAGACCTTCGTGGAAAGCAAGAGCCCCAGCCTTGGTACAGGCATAATGTACCATCTCACCCACGGTGACAAAGCTTGCCACACTGGCGATAGTAACGACATGACCGCTGCCAGCACGGATCATGGCCGGAAGGAACTCTTTCACCGTGAGGAAGTGGGCGACGACGTTGACATCGAACATCCGACGCAGCTTCTTCTCTTCGACGTCGAGGATCGTCGAATAATCGGTAATCCCGGCATTATTCACGAGGACAGTGGGGTCTCCGTGGGTCTTTCGGATAATAGCAGCCGTTTCCGAGATTGATTGGCTGGATGTGATATCTGTTTGATAGAATATGACGTTTTCGGGGAGTTCAAATGTCGGCCGGTTGAGATCGAGGATCACAACGCGTACCTTTTGGCGAGAAAGGTCTTCCGCGATCTGTTGGCCAATGCCGCCGCTGCCGCCAGTTAAAAGGACCAGCTCCTTCTCTGGGTTCCATGCTTCGCTGGGTTGGAAGTTGTTTAGCATGCGCTGTGAAATCTTCCTGTGAAGATAGTAAAGAAATATAGAACCAACCAGCACATTCAGCGAGGATGTGGCGGTCGGGTGGTTTGGAAGATTTGGGAGGTTTGGAAGATTAAACATGTTGTTTCTAGTCTGAATAGTCGTGCAAAGTCGAGAGACAGAACGTGACAAGGGGGGAGTCGAGGACCGCTTATATCACTCCAGGGTCAGTCTGCTTTTAGGCTCGGATCTAGATGTGCTGTCATTTCCCCGACACCGAGCTACACAGTGACGTACGGCGTAAATACATCATAGGACACGGGAAAGAGATGCGTTTAGTGGAGAACAGCCTATTTCAGCCGCTCAGCTAGTCGAGGCCCCGCTGATAGACATTCTCTGTCTCACCTGGGAGTCTAAGATATTCACGGCTGACTATGTATAGAGAACGGGGGGTGTCGCCAAGAACAGAGAATGTCCCAATGTACGTTTGCATTCACATTCCACAGGGTCTCACAACGTGGGGAGTACAGACTACTGGTTGGGCTTGATGGATCAAAGCGGTGCTTATATGCCAATCATTTCCCGACTTTGCAAGGCCTGCTTTGGAATGCTTTCGATTTGCAAGGCTCTGAGGGGCTGTGCAGTCTACGGAATACGAAGTACCTCGTAAGTCGCTGAGTTAGGGAGTTGGTTAAATTAGCTACTATTACGGAGTACGGAGTATATAGGTTCTCTTTTGATTTGCTACGAACTGGGCAGTCGATGCTTTGTGGTTGAGCAATATCCTAGGACCGGCCTAAAATACTCTTGAGACATTGCTCAACACGAACACGGAGCTCCCCGATATCGTCTTAACATAGTGAACAAAGAAGGCCTGTGTAACAGTTTATGGTAGCCCTTCAGAATAAATCCCGCATGTAAATGTAATTCGAAGGCTGAAATTAGGCCCGGATTTCGGCCTACATCGGGGATATCACGGCCTCCATGTAGATCTATTTCCCCAAATGAGATTGACCATAGGGGAACCCAAACCTATCTCCCCGCGCAGTCAAGACTGATCAATGGTTCCCCTTGTCAAATTGGCCTGGATTTCTTCATGCTAGGTATCATCCAGCCTTCCATGGATATATGACTGGGTTCCACATATGCTTCCCATAAAAGTGGCATAAAGGAGAAAGAAATAGGATTCTCCAAAGCAGCTGCACTTGTCGACTTGAAATGTCGACCACCAGACAGCAAAGTACCGAAGCATCGCTTTTGCCATGTCGGGTCTAGAGGCCTTGTGCAATATTCTTTTTCGGTGCGAGAGTGACTCCGTGCCCATGTATCGCTTATATACAGGAACAAGTCATAACCGAGCACATTTTCTTGCACTCCTCGCACTCCCTTGTCACTGGGTGTCCATGTCTATGCCCGATCAGCAGTGCGTCGAGGTACGATAGGCGCACGCTTGCAACCTGACAGGAGGAGCTTTCTCGAAGAGATTGATAGCCACCAGCCCGATGGTGGAAAACCAAGAAGTAACGAGTTGACCGTGGAAAGCATCCGGGCAAGGCAAATGGCTCTTGACTGGCCATGGTCGGAGACATTTGTACTTTGTGGCCTGGGAAGTATTTGCTGTCGGGGAGACCAAGTGTTAACTTTGGCGGGCAAGCCTAATTCTCTAATTCGAGAATGACCGGAATCTCGATGCGATATTTTGAAGAGTCGCCAATGCCAGGTATCTGAGACTCAGAAGGCACCAACCAATCCAGACTAAGAGCAGCCTTGTAGAAGTTTCGCTTCTTTCGCAGCGCAAGAGGCGATGATTCGTTGGTTCGGGAGATGAACACGCCATAGTGGGAGATGGGGTCTTCATTGGCCATCAGCAGCCATCCAGGTCAGCTCATCGAGATCTGCATGACAAAAGAGAAGGATACTCAAGGCCGACTACTCACCAACCCACACATATTCTATATAACATGACGAGAATGAAACTGAGGTTGTTCAGGATAATTCTTGTCGATGACAAAAGCTAATAACCAGAAAAAAAGCCATTTGAAAAAGAAGTTTCCAAGTGAATGAAGCAATAAGAGAAGGGGAAAAGGAGCTGCTCTGTCAACAACGGTCCAGGGTATAAGGCCCATTCCACGGGCAACGAGGTCTGATTTTAGCTTGGGAGGTCTGGCCAAAGAGGAATTCTGATATAGAATGAATGTACTATATATTATAGTAATATAGTAGCATAAAGGAGCATTGGGGGGAGGATCCCCGTATAGCATGCTGTAGGGATATCTTTGTGCCACAAACGCACAGTAGAATATGCTCGCACATTCGCTGAAAGAACATATGCAGATAGAAAATCATCAACTCGTTCAATGTACCTGCCAAGACGGAGACAATAGTCGGAAACACCTTGGCATTTGCTTGATTTGCTTATGCTCAAAACCGAAAAGAAAAGACAAGTCAAAAACGGAGCTCCATCAACTGGAACCAAACACCCAATCGGACACAATCACTGCAACCGTAGCGACCTATGAGAATGTCAGTCTATACCAAGACGATTGAGCCGTGAAACAGATAGGAGACTGACCATTGAGATGTCCACTCCCGGCATTATAATGATATCGAGAGCCGGCCGATATCCCTGCCTTGAGCCTCTCATCAATGCCAGCTTCTCATTATGATGAATGCTTTCCCGGACTTCAGCGACCTTCCTATCCCCATCCACGATATCGAACAGCGCCAGCGCATATCCGTGTCGCTCAACATGCAGAGTGAGCGTTTTCTCATCAACCCGCTTCCCCTCCCACGCCGCCGCATTCTCAAACGAGAGATTGAAATTCCCAAAAGAGGCCTTACCCAAGTTCCATCGCGGAGTGCCAGTAGCTATCGTCGCGGTGTCACACCCGGGCAAGCTAACCGACCAACTATTCGTCCATGACCACTTGCGATGGAGCTCGAAGAGCGGCAGACCCGAGGCATCGCGGAACTCTCGACACGAGCGATCGGTGTATTTGCGACCAGTCACCGTAAATTGCACGGATCCATCCTCTTCGGTAATTTTATATGCGACGGCAGACTGAGGACTACCGAAGGGTCTGAGTACCAGGGTTGTCTTTGTGCAGGCGATGTATTGATTTCGAAAAGCGATATTGCGATCCGGCGAGCGTAGGATTTTGCGAGGTTTGGAGTATGACTGTGATAACCTCGCATTGGAGTAATAGGTGGCAGACATTGCGTGGGGGAGATGGGATGTGGATTGGGTTGCAAAGAGACTGGGATACGCGTGCTTATGAGGGGTGCCTTCTTATACATGAGATTTGGGTATTACTCTGTGCGTCTGTACACTTTCCCTGCGGGATTTGGCTTGGCCAATGCCCAATGATGCCATTGCTGAGCCACAGCCAAGAAACGATACATGAGGTTATCCACCAGGGCTCTCTTGCAACTGGCTTCAGCCAGGGCCTGCAGCGGGGTACTGTAACCATGTGATGTGTGGCTCTCCGGTCTCGGATTGTTCGAGACAAAGGCTTGCCACTGCGCTAACGTGAGACCATCCAAGTCCAAGGAAAAGAACCTCGGCCAAGAACCTCTTCTGAGTCGTCTCCCCCGGACTTCCCCCGCGGCCACTGCTGAGTCATCCCCGCCCTCCCAGGCACCGCAGCTCTACTTCACAGACAACCCGGATCAACATCGTCATTTTATCCATGGCTGGCAAATTTGCCGTCAGGTCTTTAGACCATCTGGTCCTCACAGTCCGCAATATTCCCAAGACCGTGGCATTCTACACAACCTACCTGGGCATGCAGCATGAGATCTTTACCTCGCAAACTAATCAGACGGTGCAGAGGTAACCCCTCTTTTTTTCCCTGGAAATTAGCCGATGTCAAAAATAGACCTTGACCGTAATATAGACATGCCCTTATCTTTGGCTCCCAAAAGATCAATCTCCACCAATCGGGCAAGGAATTCGAACCCAAGGCCCAGGATGTTATGCCAGGGAGCGCCGATTTGTGCTTCTTGACCGACGAGAACGTGGAACAGGTCCTGAAGGTGTTTCAAGATGCTAGGGTTGAAGTCGAGATTCCCCACTCTCCCCACAGAGGCGCATACTGATTTGAACCAGATTTTGGAAGGCGCTAAGGTGGTCGAAAGAACTGGGGCGGTTGGGAAGATCCGCAGTGTCTACGTGAGAGACCCTGATGGCAATCTTATTGAGTAACCTTTCTTTTCCTTGATCTCTTCCTTTCAAGAGGGTTGCGATAACTGATTTTGAAAACAGGGTGTCGAACTATGCATGATGGACTTGTCACCTTGGAATACATACCTATGAACCGCTGTGACATACGGGCATGTGGGCGTTTACTTGCCTTTCGATCCGTGAGTTATATCATATTGAACCCTTATAGACCAGAGTATCAATAACCACAGGAATGATAACTTTCCGTTGGATTACAGCAGGGCCAGTACTCGCTGGAGCGGATGAATGTTGCCATTACCTACTTATGCAAACAGCATCCTCAAATCCAATTCTATGATTTTGATCCCAAAGATCAAATCAACTTCATTAAAGCGATAATTCAGGAGTCAATCAATTTTTGATTACCTTGCAAGAAACGAATGATGCCGAACTGCCGGTAAGATAGATCCAGAGATGATGATTATTCACATTAACGTAGAAGCACACTTCATTCCATATCAATCGCCTCTCGTTATCCTATAACGAGACCTAAAATATCCAAAAAGGGAAAGGCAATTTGTCAAAAGCAAGTGGTAGAGACACTGATTGCAAATCGAAAATCTCAGTCGGCCATGTTGGTCAGTTCGTTTACGACTGGAGAATAGACAGATTGGCCAATATCAGTCACAATTTCAGGTAGCAGGAAGGTTGATTTGTTTGTGCATCCTGACAAAGCTTTTGGCACAAAGAGGGCAATTCACACGAGTAATTTGCCGCGCAAGTACAGCCCATATAGCAAAGTGCCGTTGTGGTTTTGCTCGTCGTTCCAAAGGGGTTTTAGTTCCCCTATTACCATAGGCTCATTGATGATAGGTGAGTACAGTTGGTCTCCTTTGCATCGAGATTTAGACCGCTTCTAGCTTTTGGCCCATTGGGAGTGGACATAGCCCGGATGCGCTGTGATCACTACTCACATAGCCATTTCCTTCTCAACCACTGTCGGATATTGTCAATTGCAACAAAGCTCTCTCGAACATCTGGCCATCGGCAAAGCTATACACCGAAAGTATGTAGCCAGTCTCGTTGAATTTGGGTTTGGATTATCGCTTTGTTCCAAGACCATATGATTGAGGAATTGGTGCTGATGTTTCTTAGTCTCTCTCATAATTTGTCATAGATTCCTCCTCAGAAGCAGGAACGAGTCGGCTGAATGGGTGTTGTATGGTATTTGAACGAGAACATGATTCTCCTTCTCCCACTTGGATTGAAAGCTCGAGTTCGCAAAGCTTTCAGAAACCTGCTTTGACTTTAGATATGAGATTCACGGGCGCATCATAAGCTCCAGATCGTCCATCTATTCCATGTTCGGCCCTCTAATAGCGTTAGCCCACAATACCATATTGCGGGTCTTTTGTAGAGCCAGGTTGGAATATTTCTCGTCCCATTTGAAGTCAAGCCGCGCCTCGCTGTCGTTTTGCTAGTTCCTGGATCCAACCGTGCACACTGGATTAATTCCCAACGCGTGTACGTCGAGGAAGATTTCGACGTCTGCGCGATGGACATAGGGAATGATCCGTTCAGTGAGCACAGTGTGCTGCCATGTCATTTACCAATTGATAAGATCAGATAGCTTGGCTGTAACGGAAGTCCCAACCCTAGTCCAAGCAAATCAGTTTTTTCATCTTTATAACAAATATGAGGGGTTCAAAATACTCAAATATGTCTCCAGTCACATATGGGGACGGAATATTCCGGACTGAAAGCTATATAGGCTGGTTTGTGGTCCGTCATAGCGCAGAGAGAATAACTTGCTCTGTATTATGGTACAGACGATCGTGTTCGTGCAGTACCATTTATAGCAGTAGATCATGGCATTGAAGCTCTAGGAGAGCTGTCCCCCACAATTTGGCGTATGGCAGTCCTTTGCTTGTTCAAAGCTGCCCGGGGGACCGTGTTCATCGCTCAGCTCTACCCGCTGCCGATTGAGATGAGGTGTGGCGTAAGTTCAAGATTGATCATTTTTCTATCGATGATCAGATGTGGTCAGATCTTCCTACACTCTGTGCGAGGTTTGATAACTGATGAATGGGGCCAGAATGGGTGTCATTGCAAATAGTGCCTAGGTTGATTCCGCTTTTTGTCTTTAAGAGGATTAGGATTTAAGTGGATAACTGAGCCCAGGCATCTTTTTCGTCATTCTGCCTTTGAATTCAACATTAAAATCACACATGGAGTCCCTTAATGACTTGGTACTTACCTAAGTGCAGCTGTTGCCTCGTTTCCTGGGGGATTTGCCGGGTTATCAGTGTCCCCAAAGCAGCCGAAGTATCCAGAGGATTTTGCTTCAGCTGCGGAAGCTGGATGAGTGTTGATGCACACGTCAAAACGAATGTAGTCGACTTGAATTGAAACTGGAAGCTAGATAGGGTCTGGTAAAGGCCCATGTCACGGTATCCCCCAAGTTGAGGATCGCCCTTTTCCAATAGCCTCAATTTGGTCGTATCAATGTTGATTGTTGTGTGTTGATCATACCAGGGTAGAGACCGAGGCTTAGATCCTGCTTCAGTCAGTCAGAGGTCACAACCTCTGTTGAAGGGGCAGGTGTACAGTGCAACTCACATGTGGTTTGGTGTGTACTTCACAAGTTGCGTGAAACAGAGGCTGTCTGAGAGCAGGTAGGCTGTTGCAAAAGCCACATGGCATGAGGCTTTGGGTTGATCCACGTGCGTGACAGTCGCCACTGTGTAGCGGGTGACTCAAACGAGTTCTGTCGCTTTCTGGGTTTTAGCTTGTCTTGAGCCAACGTTAGACTGTGTCCCGGACCTCATGAGGGGTTAATAGGGTGTTTTTAAGATGAAGTCTTAGAAGTGGGAATTCTTTTGGGGGTCGAGATGAAGATGAAGGATGACGAGGAGTCAAAAACACCGGGGGGAAGGGAGGATATGGGGAAAGAACGATGCAGAGCCTGAGGCTATCCATGGTCTGATAGTAAAACTTGGTGGTGATTATAGCGGCGGTGAATGTTCATATAAGTTACGGGATCTGGCCTCATTGTCCTGGTTGGCGCTCTAGGTCTTATACCTGTGCTCTGCTTCTTCGGCCGTAGTCAGCTTGGCAAATATTAGTTTGCTAAGCTATAAATGTCATCCCGAAACCTAGTACGGAGTAGTGATGGATTAGTAGCTTTTAGAAGCCCGAGGGCTATTTGTAGTATAGTAGTGGTTTTTACTAACCATAATAGCGATTTGATTAGGCGGTCGTTTTGATTCCATATATTATGGGGGCGCTGAACTGCTCAGAGGCGGTGTTACCCAAATCAATATAGGTAGGGCTTAGGATGTACGCTTGAGATGCCTTTGCTGGTATGTTTGCCCTTTTACAATGTTAGACCCAAGGTATGTGGATAATTGGCCATAAGCCGCCAGGATTGTAGGACTTCACATCGTATACCTATACTGTAACCTCCGTCGTACCTAATATACTATATCACACAAGACCGAAATAGGCTCCTTTGCACTAAAACGCAAAACCCAAGTAATACCTCTTTGTTCAACTAATTACCCAGCATTCATAAGCAAACACCGAAAATTCGGCGTAGAATTATGGGTCCTCGGGAATATCAACGACTATCAGTGACGCCATGGCACTGAAAACAAGTAAAACAGCATAGGGCCACTGCCCTATCGCGTAGCCAGCGGACGTGTATAAAATAGCTGAAAAGGGGGGAGATTATAATCCCTGCAACCTCCAGAGAACAGTGCGAATCTGGCCCAATGCTGGGAAGTGTTTCGAATTTGACCAACTCGAGTCTAGGACCAGTCGTTCGAGATGAAATTTGAAACATGAGATCTGCCAATGCGCGCAGAGGGAGGGTTCTCAACCTCAAGTTTTGATAAACATACACAGGTTCATGGGAGGTATATACCAAAATGGCTTCGAGAAGTCGGGATGCTTCTCCACTCGCCGGAGCTGGTTCAGGTACGCGATACACTTCACTTCCCTTTTCACCTGTTTTTTTCTTTTCTTTTCTTCCAATGGCATGCGGTGATGCTAGTTTATCCGTGGCTTACCATTTATGGTGAAATTTGATACCTTTAATATGTTTCAAGACGGGTCTCTGAGTCTGCCATTTTGACCTTGTGTGGTGCAATTGTCTATCTGTGACCATGCTGACACAAACAAAGTATTTACAATGTAGGCATGTCGGGAGAAGATCGGAATCCATATCTAATGTTCACAACGTTTGGATATCACCTCGACTATATAGCTTCTAACACTTGAAAGTACGACGTCCAATGCTCAAGGTTCAACACCTACACCCCCTCCCTTGCTAGATAGCTGTTGAATAGCTTCATGTATCACATTTCAAGTCATATGCTACCCCTTGCTTTGGAAAGTAATAAATTTGGAAGATCTTACTCAGCCGATAAATTCCTGAAGAATCTCGAGCCTTAAATCCTTTAATCCTTAAATCCGTAATTCCGCCATCTCACGATCTGGCGAAATTGCTTAGCAATTTCCTGATAAGCAACATCGGGACCCACCGGGGCTGAGTATATAAAATTTGAAGCCATCTTCCCTATACCAATCTATATATCTCCAAAGCCATCGCAATGACAGCCCGCCTCCAATCCCTCAGCAGCCTAACCCGCGCCTTAAGATCCAAAAGCCCGCGCTTAGTATCCACCCAATCTCATCTATATCAGCCTTCGGTCCGCGCATTCACCTCCACAGTACCCAAACCATCCCCTGCAGTCATGCCCAACACTCTCATCGAGCTGGCCAAGAACCGGCGCACAATCTACCAGCTCGGCAAGGAGAGTCCAGTCCCTGACTCCAAGATCGAAGAGCTGGTCAATGCCGCTATCCTGCATGTTCCTAGCGCGTTCAACACCCAGTCCACGAGGCTGATCGTGCTTCTGCACGATCAGCATGAGCGGATGTGGGATATTACCATTGAGGCTTTCGAGGAGCTTGTCAAGGCTGGTAAGATCCCGACGGAGTTGTGGAAGAAGCAGACGTTGCCGAAGTTGCTTGGAATGAAGGGAGCGTATGGCACGGTATGTGGAACTTCTCTATTCGGGTTCTTGGAGACTTATGCTCATGTTTGGTTGTGATTATGCAGATCCTTTTCTATGAAGACCCGGCGCATATCAAGCCCATGCAGGAGAAGCTCGCTACCTACAAGGATAACTTCCAACCGTGGGCCGAGCATAGTAATGCTATGCACCAGTACTTCCGTATGTTTTCTTTTCTTTTAGTTTGGTGGTTACTCGGGCTAACCCATATCTTCAGTCTGGACGGGTCTTGAAGCCCTCGGCTTCGGTGCCAACTTGCAGCACTACAGCCCGCTCATCGACGCTGGTGTTGCCAAGCAATGGGATGTGCCTAGTGATTGGCGCCTTATTGCGCAGTTGGTCTTTGGAAGTCCCGAGGCTGCTGCTGGAGAGAAGGAACAGAAGCCTGTTGAGGAGAGGGTTAAGTTCTTTGGAAAGTTGTAGATATACGTGGATATAGATGGCGATAGAATTTGATGTATACATACAGAGATTTGGTAGTGGAAATTATAGAAATGGATCTTCGGTTGATAGCATATACTTGGATTGTCTAACACGACACCTTTATGGAACGTCTTTGCCAAGGCGAAGTCGTAAGCAAGGAACATCTAGGTGCTCTATGCACGAATAACGCTTGACACCTAACACGAAGAACAAACAGTATCGCCGCATGAGAACCAGGCAATAGAACGTGCCTTCCGCCAAGGTCAAACATTTATCGCCCGGTACGATACCAAAGATCAGCCGGGTCTCCAAGACACTCGCCAACGGTAACAGCTGTAAGCCAGAGTCATTAGCACCGACACATATACTCAAAGGAAAGGAACCTACCACTCAGGCCCCTCTGCTCGATCTCCGTAAGCATATTCTCGACCAGAAGTTCAACAGTATACTGATGCGAATCATGCGCCAACACAATCGTTCCCCCGGCATTGACTTCTGCCACAAACTTTTGAAAGCTAACCCAGTTGGTATTCGGGTCGTCATGCTCATAGTCCTTGGTATCAACACTGGCGCTGATGACATGATAGCCAAGATCAGCCATGGCGGTGAGGACGGCCGGGGTAGCCACGAGGTAAGGCGGACGCATGTAGGTCGGGAAGAACCCGAGGATGCGCATGAACGCGTCTTCGAGCTCTGTCATTTGACGCACAATCTCGTCGTATGGAAGCGTGTCAAGAGAGGGATGGTTCCATCTAAACGAATATGGGATTAATAAACGACTGTTTGAGCTTGGCTGTGTCTGTGTGTGGAATTTCGTGGATGGCATGCGTGGTCATGAAGTGATGGGATGTGATGGGACTGGGTTGGGAAAGAGATAGGATCAGTGTCAACATACGTATGCGAAGCCAGCTGATGTCCTTCTTCCCAAGTCCGGTGCACAACCTCTGGGAAGTCATATATGGATCCTCGGTTTTGGCCGTTCAAGAAGAAGGTTGCTCGTGCACCGTGCTGGGCCAGGGTATCCAGGATCTGCGGCGTATACACATACGGGCCATCGTCAAAAGTGAGAGCGATTGTGCCTGGGACCGCACAATGGGTGAGAACGGCTCCGACAGGGACTTGGGAAGCATGGATCTGAGTGATGTTGGCAGTGGTGCCGCTTCTTGTGGGAGCGCCTTGGGTTAGGGCTGCAGCCGAAAGGATAGGCAGAGCTAGGAGCGCTAGGAAATGCATTTCGAGAAATGAATGGATTTGAGATTTAAAGATAATTAGAACGATTGAGGATGTCGGGTTTTTGAAGAGACGAAGTTGGGATGTCGCCCAGGCGAGGTAGCAAGACCGGCTTACTTCGCTGCTTCCTGTCCAGGGGATCCATGGACATTTGAGTCAGGTGGACGCCGATGCAATGAGTTGTGTATGAAATCTGCATTGAATATAACATGGAACATGCGAATATCGCATCTCGGGTCCCGTGGCAGCTTTTATATCGTCCGCAAATATATATGAATACATCAAATTAAAAAGGTATCAAAAAGGGTAGGATAAAACATTCGACTAGCTTCTTTCCGACAAAAAAAGAACGAGACGACAGAATAAAAACCCTCCAGGAAGGACACCGGCTTAACCCTTACGGGTGCTCTTCTTCATCGAACGTCTCTGTTCCTTTTGAGACTCACGGTCGAGGAACTTGCGCTGCTCATCGGCGCTCATGCCACGCAGGAGGCGCTCACGCTCATCCTTCTTGATCTTCTCGGCGGCAAGGCGGCGCTCTTCGGCCTTTTCTTCCTCCTCAACACGGCGCAGTTTCTTGATCTCCTCTTCGCGAACGTTGCGGATCTTGCGCATGACCTCAGTACGGAAGTGGGCAGAGGCGACCAGCTTGTCGGCTAGGCGCAGGAACTGGTTGAACAGGGGGAGAGTTGAGGCGTAGCCAGAGGCGGAAGAGGCGAGGTTGGCAGAGAGCTGGATGCGCTTCTTGGGGACGGTCTCATCAATCCTAAAAACACAATTCTGTTAGCAGCCCATTCCATCATAGTCTCAGACCGAGGCGACTTACTTAGTAGGCTTGTCGACGGGCTGATCAGTCACAATCAAGTACTCAAAGTCATTACCAGCCTGCTCAATGGCCTGAATCAACTCCGGGGTGAGGAGGGTATCGCTAATCTCGGCACTCTCGCTCATCACGGTGACCCACGAGGGAAGCTTGGCGTTATCCTTAGAGAAAGTGATGGAGGCATCGTAGCGGTCGTTGCGGAACTTGCGCATGTGGCTCTTGTGAACAACAGCCCAGATGAAGCCGTCGTAGGTCGAGTTAGGCACCTTGATGGGAGCAGTATCCTTAGCGAGTACGGGGACCAGGTCCTTCTCCTTGCCGTCGAAAGCGTACAGCAGAGCCTCGTATTTCTCAACAGGCGGCTCCCAGCTCTCAAAGAAGAAGCTGAAGGCATACTCCATGATATAAGTGATCGGGTTGTAACGCTTGGGCATCTTGAGGTTGACATCGAGGAAAGCAACATTCTGGCGGCCAGTCGCATATGCGGCGAACTCGCAGGCAGATTTCTCCTTCAGCAAGGACTCAGGATTGGCCAGCTCCACGGTGATTTTCTCACCCTCCTCGGAGGCTGGGCGAGCAATTCCATCAAATCCGACGACGGCAAACTCCTTCTGGAGAGAGGGTCCATGAGCTTGCGCCCAGTCCCTTGCCTTGCGTCTGTTCTTGCGCGAACCCCAGAGGTGAAAGAGGACGATCAGGAGGATAATGGGCATGATCATCGCCTCCTGCTTGAAATCGCTCAATGATGTCCTCTCCCACACGCGGTACCAGGCCGTATAGGGAACGGCATTGGCGGCCAGCGTATTGGCAGCTGGGACAGTGGTTGAGTCGGCGAGGAGGGACGCAGGCGAAGGGTTGGGAGCTTCCACGAAATCGGCGAAGTCTACTTAAGTTAGCCTAGCAATTCAGATAGATCAATTAACATACCATCATCAGGCTTGGCTCCCTGGGAGCCAAATACGCTCTTGAACATGCCCGCCATGTTGAGATTGGTATGATGGGGGGGATGGAAGAGAAAGGAGTGGGAAGGAATCGAGAGATGCCCGGTGCGGAGCTAAGTTCCTCCCGGGTCTAGCGCTGTCTCCAGCTTTTTTACCCGGGCCATCGTACGGCTCCGGGGAAATTGAGATTGAGATTTAGTGAATCTAAATGAGGAAAAGAAGATCTTAGAATTCGAAATCCAGCCCATATCCTTTCTACCCATATGCCACCTTATAACAATACAAAAAATAAAGGCTAATGAGCGTGGTATCCTGTAAAAATGAAGCCCATCCCAAGGACTTAACGCCAACTATACCATAACAGGTCCCCATTTTTGTACAATCCCGCTCCAAATAGCAGAGCTCAAAAAAAAAAAACACACGCAAAAAGAAAGCAAATAGAAAAAAGTAACCCCAAAAAAAGAAACAAGTACAGAAGAAAAAGAAGAAAAAGAAGAACGAGAAGAACAAGAAGAAGAGGAAGAAGAGGAAACAGCGTAGAAAAGGCAACAAAAGGAAATCGTAACGATCATGCTCGAGAATCGCTCGAGTTTATAAACGAAAGGTCAAAGTAATTGCCCTCAGTGGCCATACGCAGGGGGAGGAGCATCTTCGTGCTGACGGCTCCAGAAGCCGCTGCAAGCGCTTGTCATAAGCTTGTCTTCACGCATCCGACGAGCGATCTCACCGGCGAGTCTCTCAACCAGGACAGAGTCAACGCTATCGCCGTTGACCTTTTCATCCTTGGAAAAAGGGAGAACGGTCGCGGGCAACGGCGGCCGCTGATTACTGGATGAGGGTCCAGCTTCAACCTTCTCGTGGGGGTATCCACGCACAGCAGCACGAGGGGTAACCTCCACATCCTCTGCCTTGGGTGCACGGATAGTTTCGTTGGAGTGTGACAAATCCCCATCCCGACGTGCTGAGCGGGACAGACTAGACAGATGTCTTTCGGGAATCACAGGCAAGTGAGAGTCGGCCTCAGGGAAGAAAGGCGGCGTTACTGGGTCATCGGCCTGCTCATTCACAATAGGCAGGGGGGCCGAGGCGATTGAAGGAGGTCGAGACGATTCCGTTATAACGCTCTCATCGCTGACGCTCATGGCGTCATCGGTTGTCTTGGGACGGCGCAGATCCACAACACGCTTCTTTCGTTTCCGAGAATGGGCTTTGGAATGACGTCCGGCACCTAGGCTCAAGCCGTAGGTACTGGAGGTGAATGATTGGCCCGACATAGACGGTCGGCTGTGCATGGAAGCGTTGCTGGCGGTCTCATGCAAAGAAGACATGCTACCGATTTGGGAATGTGTTCGCGAAAGGGTGGGACTCAGTGGAGAGATCACGCTCGAGGGAAATTCGCTGGTGTCGGTAGGAGGAGTCCATGCTCGGTACACTACTTCCTTGATGGATGGCGTAAACAGGGACAGGGTACGTTGTGAGTCTGTCAAAGCGGCCAAACGAAGGAGGTTCTTCTGCGAGAAGAGCGAATGTGTCTCAACAGACGAATCCAAAGAAAGCGAGGCGATTTCGGATTCATTCAAGGCGTTTCCGAGAGAGTCGACGGGATCCTGTGGCGGGCTGGCGAGAGGGTCTTGGCCAGGGCCTTCGCTTCTCGTCTTGGCTGTATTATCCGTCTCGTCGTTCATTTCCTCCCCTGTGCGATATTCGGGAACCCATAACCGGAGTGATAGTCGATGAATTATAGCTGGGAGCTCGTCCATGAACAGTATCCGTAGCTGTGCCTCGATTGCTTTTTGTAGGAAGTCGCGGACGAATGGGATCGAATCAAATGTCGAGGAAACCTTGAGCGATTCAAGTGGATCATTTCGAAACACGAGAGTTATTCCTTTTTGCTTTGAGAAAACCAATATCACGAATCCAGAGAGTTTGAAGTCGGAGAGCGTGATTTGTAGAGGAATGGTGAGCGGGGTACTAACATCGCGTGTTAGTGAAAAAAAAATCTTCGCAGTCGTTTTCTAACACTGGATGAGTGGGATCGATGACTTACGCAGCGGCGAGAGGGACCGGCGACGCGAAAGTTGGTCGTGTGAGGAGGAAGGTGTTTAGTGGATTCGCTTGAACTCGGGTCTTCAATGTGAGAAAAGCATCGCCGGTATAAGACATTTTGAAGATGCCGCGAAAGCGATCTTCGGCGAGGTCTCCAATTTCCAAAATCTCCAACTCGGGCGGGATGGAGCCCAAGTTCAACTCGGTGACGTGAATGTCATCGACGATGATCGGAGGTTTTGGCGACTTATTGAGGGCGGCAGTGAGCAGATCTTGGGCGCGAGTGTAAAAACTCGCGTCCGCCATTAAAGGCGACCAGTTGAAGTTAAACGCCATGCCCGGGCATTGAGAAAGATATCAAAAAAGATGTTAAAACATTGGGATGGCCTGAGAAGAGGCGGGAGGCGAGGAGGAAAACGAGAAAAAACTAGGAAAAAGGCAAATGTGCACCCGAGGCGCGTGCCCCGGCCCTTCGTCCCATTTTTGGCTTCTTTGGCTTCTTTTCTTTCGTTCTCTCTCATTTTTAGTTGGTTTTTTTTTCAGTTTCACAATCTTATTGAATCTATATCATATCAAGGCACTCTCTGTCTTTTTTTCCCTGCTTTTTTTCTGCTTCTTTGACCATTTAATAGATACCCGGCCAATCGTACGTCACAGTGCTGGCAGGGGCCACTTCCGGTCAGCCCCGGCCTGATGTCCACTGTGGGTGGTCGGGGGCCATTCACCGTTCAGCGATACCCGGATTGCATGTATCTAGACTCTTCGACGCGCTATTGTTTGGTCTATTTTTTGACACCTGAAATCCGGAGAAAGGGGGGGGGTCAGGAACACGGGATATATTCCTCTTGCCTTCAACGCATCTACACCATCTACGCCAGAAACAGCCACGGAGCTGTAGATCTTCAAAGGTCCAAGTCCCACGTTCGTTTCATATCAGGGAAGGCCTCGGAAGTACAGACCTTGGTCGAGATATGAAATGAGATTGAAACAAGACCTGGTATCCCTTGATATGTCAAGTCTATCAAGTAGCCCGAAGTAGACATTCCATTCTCCCTTTTCCCCGGACTGCCCAGGTTCTTCCTTGTACCTGAACAGCTACCTCTCCCCCTTTCCCCTAGATGTTGTATCGATACCTCCCACCTTCTTTCCCACGGAAACCATCTAGGTAGGCGCCCTAGTAGATAAATCCGAGACCGAACAAGTAGATAGAAGAGATGATCGAGGCGAACAACCGTTTTTGGTAGGTCACATGCCCTCACTGCAGCAACCCTACGCTAGACCGCATTAGGCTAAAAGTCAACAGCCGTGGATCAACCGCTGCTGGCCCAGTCCATCTTTCACAACTTCCGTCACAGCTATCCAACCCCATAAAGCACCAATAGCGCGTGCCTTGGATAGATATACTGGGTGTATACGTATCTCTCGGCAATGTCAACTCGCTCGCCTTCCCCATTTTCAGGTCACGCGACAATGGAGTCCAAACAATCCAAACCCAAGTCGGTAGCCCAACGAAGAGTGTATGGTAAACGAAGAGCCAATGCCCCCAGAGCTGTGTTCGACCAAGCAAGCCCAGTCAAGAATACCGCATCCAAGAAGATCCAATATGGCGACCCCGTTGAAACCCTTCAAGGGAAACTAGCGCAAGTCACGATTGATGGCGACTCGGCCCCTCAACAACAGACCGATACACAACCATCCCAGCTTGAAAACGAACGGCAACAATCACCGATAGAAATCCCCTCCGATGAATCGAGTTCATCCACGGTAGAAGACACTTCAAACACATCGGCAAGGCAATCCTCCGTCGAATCCTTGCCGGAGTGCAACACAAAACCAAAGCAACCTAAACGGATGGTAGAGGTCCGAATATGCGCAAAGCCTACCCCAAATTTGCCTGTTACCACATCGGAAGATCCAGAAATTATGTCAAATGTCCCTCCCAGTGGGTCAGCGTCTCCAAGCGAGGATCAGGAAAAGTTAAGCACATCGTCCGACAGACGAAGAGCGCCAAGAAAAAAGGTTCCTGCACCCAGACGATCATCAGGGGTTGTTCATGATGCCAAAGCCAGTGATTACGTTCACCCAATTCTTTGCGAGGCACTATCCCCAATTGCTGCACAAGGCATCCAGAAATTCGACTCATGGGCTGCACGGTCAGCAGACATGTTCGACGTCGCAAAGCTCGCTGAAGGATCATATGGCGAGGTCTATAAGCTTCATCTGCGCGAGGAAGCCTGTAGACCAGTGGTGTCAAAATCCAAATTGGCTAGGCTGAAATCATATGGCGATGGGGTCTTCAAGGTCGTGCCTCTACGGGCAAAGAGTGGTCCCGGATCCAAGAAGTTTACCAGCATCGAGGAGATCGTCTCTGAGGTCAAGATGCTGAAGTATCTAGACCCGATTCCCGGATTTGCCCGCTTCAGAGAGATCCATGTTGTCCAAGGTCGATTCCCCGAGTCGTTCCAGAATGCATGGGACCACTATAAGAAGACCAAGGATGATTGCATGAACCCTAACCCTTCCAACAAAAGAGCATACACGGATACGCAGCTCTGGGCAATTGTAGAAATGGACGACGCGGGATGCGAGTTGGAGAAGTTTGCTTGGTCATCCATCTTCCAGATCTATGACATTTTCTGGGGAGTGGCCATGGCTTTGGCCCGAGCTGAGGAATATGCAATGTTTGAACATCGAGATCTTCATTTGGGTAATGTTTGCATTCGTTCTACTCGGGATGATGGTTGCATGGATCCTCCAACGGAGCTTGACATTGCACGCCAGTCATCATCCAGTGGATTCGGATTCAGCGCCCTCGAAACCACCATTATCGATTACTCACTCTCACGGGCGGACCTACTTCTGAGCGACGATCCCACCGGTCTCACCGAAGTGGCATCATCGGATCTAGACAAGAAGCAGTTGTTCGATGCTATCGGCCAAGACGAAGATGAGATTATGCAAAGAGACACTTACCGATAGTATGTTACTCCACACGTGCCCGTGCACTTTTTTTTGGACCAAGTACTAACGTTACATGATCAGTATGCGTGCAACGCTCTATACCGGTATCCCCACTGCAACAGAGAAGGTCCCGGATATCCCTGGCATCTGGGCGGAATACTCCCCACGCACCAACTTGGTCTGGTTACTGTTCCTGCTCCAGAGTCTCTTTAAGAACCGCAAACCTGAGCCCTCCGCTGCGCAGCCACAGCGCAGAGCCCTTGCGCCTTGCTCGCCCAACATGAAGATGACAAGCTCCGAGACACCTAAGGGGAAAGAGCGAACCATGAACGGCTCCGTTGTCAGTGAGCGACAGACCAAGGATATCCAGGCCGGCATTTCTCGTCTCCAACAAACACTAGAGAATAGGCTAAAAGACGTGCTCAAACTTCTCGATCTTGAGCATGGACATGAGGACATGTGTTGCGCCGCAGATCTGGTGGCCTACGCCATGGATTCGCAATGGTTGGGCGAAGAAGACTTTTTCTGATCAATCTCTTGTATACAAAAAGCATTGGTGCACTATGGAGTTGTGTGGATTTGTTAGTTGCATGGCCAGGAGTTATCATTTGTTTACATCTTCAGAGGCCTATGGTTAGAATATGAGGTACACTGGCTTGGAAACAGGGCTTGCATATAGAATATCCTTGCACTGTGAAATTTTACATTCGAAGTACATTATTCCCGTATTCGTTAAATTATGGGGTTCACATTCGTCAATAAATGGTGTTTGTCACAGGCTACCGCTATCACGAACCATCCATGTATCTACATAGTGATCGTCTTAGGGCCAGCAATAGCGTTAGAAGCAAGAATCAGTATGTATTTGCCCCTTTATTTCCCATCTATGTCAAAGATCTTTCCCAATTATTCTTCCTTTTGTAGTCAGGGGCAATAACCCCCGGATAACCGACTCTCGGGGAAAACCAACGCAAACAGGCCAGCTGATTCCCCGAGACATTAGAGGGGAAGAAGTGGAGATTCTTTGCAAACGGTTTTCGGTATGTAGAAGTTATCTCGCCAATGGGATATATCCTTGAAAAAGGACATATCAAAAAACGACGTGCTGTTACATGGCGAGGTTGTAACAACAGTCTCTCAGAAGTGAATATTTACATCTCGGAGTTGGTGCCAGCGCGGAACAGCTTGATCATAAGTTCGGGACGCTTCCAGAGGGAGAAAGTCTTCTGGTCCTTCCAGTTCATGGACTGGGGGAGGAGCTCAAGGTCGAAGTGCCACAAGAACTTGGCGAGGATGAGGCGCATCTCGGCGTTTGCAAGACTGGGGATAAAGCGTTAGCATACATTGTCAGAGGATATTGAGCGAGAAAAAAAATTGAATAGAGACAGGCAGCGAGGTGTGAGCTTACTGTTGACCGAGGCAGTTGCGAGGACCGTAGGAGTAGGGCTGGAAAGCCTCCTTCATATCGGAATCGTACTCGGGCTCGTTCATCCAACGCTCGGGGGCGAAGGTCTCGGGATTCTTGAAGTGGGACGCGGCGTGGAAAGCAGAGTACAAGGAGACAGAGACAGAGACCTGTTTGTAGTTCACAGTTATTAGTATAAAGTCTTCATAAAATGAGAGTTGTTTGTGTTTTGTTTGTGTCTCAGCCATTTGTAAAGCTGAGACAGGCAAACATGGAGTCGGCATATCCAGATCACATAAAAGGCAACACTGTCATCGTGGGAAATACTCACATTGCCAGGCACATAGCGGTCATTGATCATAGCTCCGCCTTGGGGGACAATACGAGGCAGCATCGAGGGGATTGGTGGGTAGATGCGCATGGACTCGGTCAGGACGGCGTTCAGGTAAGGAAGGTCAACAAGGGCCGAAAGCCTGATATCGGAAGCCTTTTTGAAGGCACCACGGATCTCTAGGACAAGACGAGTGTACTTATCACGGTTGCACAGGAGATAATAGGTGCATCCAGAAAGCAGGGCAGCTGTGGTCTCACTACCGGCCAAGACAAACACCGCCGAGTTTGCGTCCATTTCGGATGGAGACATCCCCTTTCCATCCTTAGCATGCTTGAGGATGTAAGATGTGAAGTCGGGGCGAGTGGTTCCCAAGGCAAGACGACGACGGACCTTCTCGACACTGAGCTTGAAGCTAGATTCACGCTTCTCAATAAGATGCTTGGGGACCAGCACCTGCACTAGGGGCAAGAGGAAAGGATAGAACCAAAAGATTTTCAGGTAGGCACTTGCCTTGACAGCATCCAAAATGATGAGAACCCACCAGTGGTATGTGCTGTTCGACAGACATCCGAAGGGTTCTCCAAAAGCGAGGTCGCCAATAAGGTCAAAGGTAGTAAAGTTAAACCACTGAGCAATATCAATATTTTGGGACGCGGCACTGCCAATTAGTCCCTGCAGCTTTTCAATAAACATATCAGCGTAGGTGTGGAGGATCTCCTCCTGCTCGCGCAGGGCCTTGTTTGAAAAGGCGTGTGTCAACAAACGGCGCATGCGAGAGTGGTCATCCTCATTGGCTGTGATGATAGCATTGACGCCGTTGGGAGTGGGTGCATACAGGGCCGGGTCCTTGAGGAAGATCCTCTGACCCTTCTTGCGGTGACCATAGATGTCCTTCCAGGCAGATGCAGCACGATAGGCGAGGGCATTCGGGGCAATGCGGACTACATCGCCGTACTTATCATGAAGCATTTTGATGGTAGAATGCTGCTTGCCTTGAATATCCCAGAGAAGATGAACCATGGGGGTGATAGCGGCCAGTTTGGGTCCAGGGTAGCGGCTAAGAGGATGAAAAAACAGCGTGTAGATAGTCCAGCCAATCATGTAGACAACCAACTATGGATTTCAATGTGAGACGCATATTCTTTGACTATCTGTTCTTCTATCTCAGTACTCACCAGTGTCAGGAGACAGCACAGAAGTTCCCAGAAGGAGTGGACGGTCAGGGCAGAGCTCAATCTGCCCATAACCACGGTATCGAAGATCATTATGGACGTGAAGATAAAGGATAGAATACAAGCCAAAGACAACGCCGAACTTTTTATGAGACAGAACCCCTATGGAAGGACAGACTGGAAAGAGACGAGTCGGGTGGGGTGAAGAAGAAAGAAAGAAGAGAAAAGAAGAGATGGACAAATGTATGGGACGAGGGAGGTTGTTGTGGGAAAACAAGACGACGAGGGTTCAGGGCTTGATTGGGATGTCAAACATTCAGATCTTGCTTGGAGTCCATTTGAGCTGGTCTACGCTCTAACATTAGGTCGTTTGATGTATTTTAAGAGCCAACATGGTCGGTAGAAAGTTGAGGGTGACAACCGGTACACTTCGGCTTGGAGTCCGGAATTAGGGCAAGCTTCTCCTACTCAAACGGCACTCTACATCAAAGGCCAACTCAATTGGCCAGCCAACAAAGAAGCACCCATAGCCAAGTGGTAAAAGTGTATTCGGGACTCGTCATTCGTTATATTGGTGTCTACTATATGAAAAATCAAGTACATGGAAGCCGAAATCAACCGCTGGCAACAGAAAAACTCAACAAGCTCCCAGCAGCCAGTCCAGCCACAAGAATCATGCTCATAAATCCACCAGCAGCTGGTCTTTCATCGGCAGCAACCCAATGACTTGTACCCATCATACAGCTTGTCCCCAGGTACCCGTTAGTTGCTCCAAAGAAGAATTGGACAAGGAGATAGAAAACGTCACTCTGGACAACGGCACCTTCACCGTTGATGTTGCAGAGCTGATACAGGGGAATGAACATAACTCGAGAAATGGCCAGGATGGCAGCCATCTGAGGATGCTTCCCTAAGGACATACCTGGAATAGCCACCCCCATTCTTGCAACTAAGTCACCCAAGTTCCAGACTAAGAATCCTAAGGGAACAAAGACACTAGGATCGTAGATCCGTGAACGGGCAGGGTCGTTGACGGACTGTATTTCCGCTGTGTAAACTGGGAAGACCATCGAAATCATGAAGCAAAAGAACACAGCAAAGACTAGGAACCGCAGCTTGACGAACAACGTCCGGAGGCTAACAGTCTTGGAACCATCGTAGTCCTCTGTAATAGTCTCATCATCATCTCTTAGCAACTTTTGCCTTGAGGCAGGCTGTTGTCTGAGAAGATATACGAATGCCAGCAGAGCAATGGATGAGACACCCGTCGATGTGAGGAAGTAAATAAAAGCCGACCTCGACAAGTCCGTCTGAGGCATGCTGGCACCTTGATCTTGACCATCCCCTTTCGATGGCACAGCCAGCACAGAGAATATTTGAACGATGGCAGGTAGAACGCCTGCGACTCCCTGTCCAGTCATGATAGCCTGGGTATACTCCTCTCTCCCAAAGCTCGAGACGTACGCAAACACGCCGTTTTGGTTGATGCCAGTCGCGAGACTCGTGCCGAAGACCATCACCATCAGGAAACCAAAGTATGCCCGCGGTGATGAGTCAGTCATAACGACTGCCGAAAAGGCCAAAATTGTAAACACGGCACAGTTCATCAGCAGCGAAAGTGTCACTCGACGCGGATAGGACGCGTTCTTCTGTAGCTTTGCCAGGATATAAGCACTCGCGAGATTGGTAACGGTTGATACTGAAAGAATCGAGGATTGATAGTGCGTCCTTGTCCAGTCGTCTGACTGGAACCGGCTGTAGAAATATGGTGCTGCGGCAAGGAACATGTTCCTAGACAATGCACTGCATCAGTTTCATGATTCTTCCAACATATACATCGATGTAGCTTGTTCCACCGGGTCTAGAGACTGGCGAGTTCCACTTACCAAGCCCACAGCATAGATACTCCTAAGAGGAAGAACACCCCATATTGTAATCTCGAAAAGGAGGCTGGCTGTTCTCGCTGGGTATCTCTCGATTCATCGTCATCTCCAGCAGAGTCGTGTAGTCGCTCATACACCGCTGGACGGGCGATAAGATTTCGGATGCGGTCCATTGTCGTCTTACAGGCCACTCCCTCTTGAGTGAATGGGATTTTTGTAGGAAATAAGAGGGTCTCTCACAGCAAAGAGCTGTAATGCGCTGTTTGACGTCGCCGGGGGCATATGACCGATGACTCAGCACCGATAAGCCCTGGCCTCCAGGCCCCACAGGTCATGCCCCGGGCTCCGTCATCGCTGTGATCGACATTCCAGCGAGATCTCACCCCTGTTGGATTGATTGGTTACTATGTGAATATGTACTTGATTGGACTTTATCGAGTCTCTTGTTTGGGTATTTTCTGAAACATTTTGTCGGATATTTATATTCAATCTTTTTTATAGCCATAAATCTTCGAGATCAGGCCGAAGAGGAAAGAGAAAACTAAGATAAAACTTGAAGCATAAAACTAATAACATGATTTGTACACAGTCGCTGCCGACTCAGTATCTATAGTCAAATCCAAGTGCAGAACGTGTATGAAAGTGTGAGAAGAGAGGGCCAGGAGGGGTGAGAATGGATGTAGAAACATGTATTTTAACAAAAGCCTTGGACAAAATGAACAAATACTGTTCTATAAGAGTGATGTTAGGAAAATAGAATGAAAGGGTCGGAAGTGAACGGAGTGATACGGTTAGTCCTTCTTCTTGGACACTTGTTCGTCTACCTCCTCCTCATCCTCCAGCTCAGCTTCGGGCTCCTCCTTTTGGAGCTCCCAGAGCTGATCTACCTCAATAGGCTTAGATGGAGCAGGTTGTGTGTCGCCTCCACTCATTTGCCATTCCATAAGCTTTGTGAAAGCGCCATCTGGGCGAGAGCTGAGATCATCGTAGGAGCCTTGCTCGGCAACCTTGCCGTTGTTTCCAAGGACAATGATTGTGTCAGAGCGCTTGATGGTAGAAAGACGGTGGGCAATGCTAATTGTTGTGTTGTTGCCACGAAGCAGTGCGGCCAATGCGCTGTTAACCAGAGTCTCGGATTCGGCGTCCAAGGCGGAAGTGGCTTCATCCAAAATCAGAATATCGGGCTCCTTGATGAGGGCACGCGCAATGGCGATGCGCTGCTTTTGGCCACCAGACAGTTGTGCTCCACGAGCTCCAACGTGAGTATCGAGGCCATCAGGCTATGGTAGGTTAGCGTGGTTCATGAGAAATAATAGCTAATCGGCAGACTTACGAAATCGCTGATGAATTGGCAGTTGGCCTTGCGTGCGGCAGCAATAATATCTGAGCGCGATGCATGGGGCATGCCGTAGGAGATGTTGTCGGCGATTGTTCCAGAGAAGAGCACGGGTTCCTGGGAAACCACACCAATCTTTCTCCGAAGAGATTTGGCGTTCATTCCGTTGATATCCTTGCCGTTGATCAAAACCCGACCCTCGGTAGGATTATAGAAGCGAAGCAAAAGAGATGCAATGGTAGATTTGCCTCCTCCAGATGGTCCAACGATTGCAACGTTGGTTCCCTGGGGAATCTCGAAATTCAATTGATCGAAGATCTTCACAGCAGGACGGGTAGGGTAGCTGAACGTGAGGTTCTCGAAGCGGATAGGTCCACGTGCGGTCTCAACCCTAAGACCTTTGGTTGGGTGAATAGTAGGCTGACGATCTTGCAACTCGAAAAGCCGACTCGCCGCACCCACGCCTTTCATTAGCTCTGAATAAAAGCTGGAGAGGCCGAACATGCTGGAGCCTGCATATGCAGTGTACATCAAAAATGAGGTCAACTCTCCAATGCTAATTGCGCCAGACTGAACCATCCCGCCACCAACATATAGCAGTGTCAAGATGGTCATGTTTCCCATCAAGCCAGTCTATTCAACAAGTCAGTCAAAGTCGCAAGACACTTCACTAGTATCAAAGGGCAAACTTACCGAGCTGAAGAATGTTGCGCTGATTAAAGACTCCTTTTTGCCGAGTTCAAAAATCTTACGGACTTGTTTATTGTACCTGCTGACTTCGAGAACTTCACCGGCAAATGACTGGCTGGTCTTGACGTTGCCCAGCCGTTCTTCAGCAATCTTAGTCAGAGACCCCAAGTTCTTTTGGATTTTGCGACTAAGGTTTCTGATAGCTCGACCGTAGAACAGAGCACCGAGACCAATGGGAGGAAGCAACACAAGCAAGATAACGGACAGCTTTGCACTGGTATAAGCCATCAGACTGAATCCAGCCGCACCGCTGACAGCAGCACGTAGTCCATCAGACAAGTTCTGTGTGATACTCTTGCCAACAATGATAGTATCAGAGCTGAGGCGCGAGATCAAGTCACCAACCCGGTTTGCATCGAAGAATTCGGCATCTTGGACAAATGTTTGACGGAAAAGCTTAGAGCGTAACCTGGCAACAATTCGTTCACCGACAATCCGAAGGATAATGATGCGCCCATAATTGGCACCAGCGCCGAGAACTAGAATCCCACCAAGAGCAGTGTAGAACATAGGCATGCTGAGACCGAAGAGTTCGCCGCCACCTTCGGCAACGCTCTTGGTCGCACTGTCCATGATTTTGCCGATAGAGAAGGGAACCGCCATTGTGATCGAAGAGGAGATTAGAAGGAAGAAGAAGGCAAAGCCGAGCGCCTTGGACTCAGGGCGCGCGATCTTCAAAAGCCGCCAGATTTCCGCGAATCCGGACTTCTTTCCCGATGCGCCATCCTTGGCCAATCTGGCACTCAAATTGACCTGCGCTGCCTGTGCTGCTCGCTCGGACAATTCAAAGCCTTGTTCCTCTTCCTTTTCTGGCTCTTCCGGAGCTGTCCGGGTAATTGGGCCTTTGGAGATCACGGGTGGTTTCGCTTGGAGAAGGCGCGAGGTCGAGCATAAGAGGCGTGCTTGAGAGACGATGCGAGATGAGTAAGGGGTATATTTAAAGCTGTTATTTCGAAGTAAGAGTGGGTTGGGACCATTCCGGAGTGCGGCCGAGGCGGTTGAATAGAGACGGTTTACCCCATTGTGATCGCCAGAAGAGACGATAGGGGAGATCGATTTAGGGAATAGGTCGTGCGCAAAGGAGGAACATTGCCTCAAGGCCTGCCGCGGGCTGTTGCCCACGGCCAAAGGCACTGGCAGCCTCGCACCGCGCATCTCGGAGTTGAATCGGACGAGGATCGAAACGGAACGGAATTATAATGATGTCACCGATGTAGACCTCGGAATGCCATATCTGATCGGGGAATACTCAAATTGACGACATCACATAGCACATATACAGCTCCTTAGAACATACAGTGAATTGAGAGAGGATGTGTCTGGAGCTTCGTCCGACATCAGCGGCCATCGGCAAAGCGGTTTTCGGGGCCGATTTTGCCTTGGTCGACCGCTTGTGATTTTGCCTTGATTCACCGCCTATGGAAGCCGGTCGAGAGCTTTGGACATTTCGTCTGATCTGAGGCCAGAAGCTTTGTTTATTTCTATTTTACTAGGCTATTCATTTTGAATCGCATTGTTTAACAGCATATATCATTCATTTGCTGGGGCATCACAATCACCAGTGGCACTGATTACCTCCTTTTGCCATTGATATATCCACCCCACCTCACACGTTCACACCGGACAACAGACAAGATGGTGCTTGACTACAGCAAATGGGACTCTCTGGAGCTCTCCGATGATTCAGATATCGAAGTCCACCCGAATGTCGACAAGCGATCCTTCATCCGTGCTAAGCAAGCTCAAATTCATCAGCAGCGAGAACAGCGCCGCCATGAGATCAAAACCCTGAAGTATGAGCGCATTATCAACGATGGATTGCTGTCGCGCATTGATAAACTTCTCGAGTCCCTCAAGAAGCACGAAAACTCGTCCGCATCTCCCGATGAGTTCATTTTTACCACGATAATGGAGTTCGCAAGCAACCCCGCCGAGGACCAGGCCCCTACCCCGCCGGAGGGAGTATACACACACGAGCCGGAACAACCCAAGTTTTCTCAGATGATGAGTTCCTTAGTGGATCAGGTGAAGAAGGAAATTGGAGACTCCAAACCCGAGAACCTCTTCAAGGCATACATTAAGGGCGTGAACGGGCACTTGGAAAAGATCCAGGGGCTCCAAAAAGAATTATTTGCGAAGCTTGCTCAACTTGAGAAGGAGGAAGGTTCTAAGATTACCAGCGATAAGCTACATGAAGGTTTCAACCAGTCGCATGTGACCAAAGCGGCTGAGAAAGAGAAGGGCGTGGCCAAGACAAAGGAGAGCTCTGTCGAGCTCTTGAACCCAGGTGCGGCAAGCTCCGCAACCAAGGCTGATGACGAGGGCGATGATGATGATCCCGCCGATGTCGAGATTAGTCCGCTGGGAAAGAAGTTTGCTCAGCTCAAGCCTGGTGACTACAAGGCCTATCTGCAGTTCATTTCAGCGAACCCGGAAATTGTCGCCGAGAAAGAGACTGATGGTTTGCTTGTTGAGGCATTCAACAGTCAGCTTAAGGGCCAGGAGGATTATGCTCGGCAGTGTGTGCACCAAGGTTTACTTCTACAATATTGTCGTTCGCTCGGTCGAGACGGTATTCAGCTGTTCTTCACTCGGTATGTTGCCACTCTAGGGTCTTATCGGTCAATTGCTAACATATCCACTTTTAGCATCACCACTAAAGATCACCGCGCATCAACCTTGTTCCTCAACGATGTGAATGAGACATACGCCCGCATCAAGTCTCGCTCAGCTGAACTCAGCAAGGATGGCTCCGCATCCAACGATCCTGCGGGTGTAGAGCAGATCCAGCTGCACGCTGTTGACCCCAACACCAAGATTACTATCAACCTCCCTGCCGCCAACAGCGAAGATCCCACCGAGATTGAGGTGCGCAAGATCTTTGATGCTTTCCCCACAGATCTGCAGAAGGCTTTGGAGACCGAGTCCTTGGACGAGGTTAACAAGGTTTTGGGCAGGATGTCTGTCGAGGAGGCGGAGGTTGTTGTGGAGCAATTAGGCAATGGAGGCATGCTCAGCTTGGAGGAAGGCATCGTGGATGCTACGACAGCCGAGGGCCAGAAGAAATTGAAGGAACTGGAAGCAGAAGGAAAGCAGGAAATTGGTGAGCCCGGTGGCGATGTCACCGAACTTGACTAAAGATATCCCCAAAAAAAAAAACAATGATAATCTGAATGGGCGGATGCATGTATCTCTCGTGATCTGAGAAGTTGTTACCAAATACTGTCAACGCTGTTATTTAATTTGACTGTCCATCATGCTATTGTGTCTACACTAAAAAGATCTCCGACTAGAATCCAAGGACCCAAAAAAGGAAATTCGTGGTATTAACGATGCTATCAAATTGAATAGGATACTAATTTACAAAACCCCACAGACTTCGCTGCGTGGAGTGAAATAAAATAAAGAGAACGAGAGATATAGCTGCCAGATGATGCAGGAAGGGGAATGTAGAAAAAACCATATCATATGAATAAATGTCAGAAAACTTGGATACCACGTCCTGACCCGGACTCCAAATTCTCTATCCCCCACGCGCTAAAGCAAATCATCTAGATTCCGCTGGAACCGGGAGCTTCCTGGTCCTTCCGAAGGTCGATCAACAACTCGCGGAAACGCTCCTTTCCGGAGCCGCTGGCACCGCCCGCGGAGCCCTTGCCCGAAACATCAACCAGCTTAGCAATGCGCTCCCAGCTGGTGCCACCAGCGGAGGTATCCTCTCGCTTGGCAAGGAATTCTTCAGCTTCGGTGCGGGCGTGCGAGCGGTTCTTGTCGGCCTTGTTGTTGTAGGAAACGTAGAAATCATCGATGTCCTCCTGTGCCTTTTTGACGGTAGCAGCCTTCTTCTCGGTGGAGACCTCGGCACGGCGTGCGATCTCAGCATCACGCTTCTCGCGCCATTCACTATGAGAATGGAAAGACACAGGTTAGCTGGGTGGTCCGGCTCGAGATATGATGGATGTGGACAACAGGCAATGCGCCCCGTGATCCGGGATCCGCGATTGAACTCACCGAACAGCATCTCCCTCATCCTCGGGTTCCTGGGTGTTTGAGTATCCAGTACTGGGGAAAGGTGAACCGGAGCCGGTGATTGTGCCGCCGGGAGCCACGCGCTGTATAGATGTAACCCCTGGTCAGCATACGGTATGTTTACCACCACCTATCCAATACCCAATTCATACCTCGTTCTGGTTCTGGGTTGCCACTGAAGGGAAAGATGATTCAAATTGACCGATCTCCTCGACGGGCTCGTCGCCTCCGCCGAGCAGGTCATCATCCCCCGCGCCTACATTCTGGCCGGCAACGTGGTCTTGGGAAGTAGCGAATTGGTCGGCGTCTTCACCGAGCGCAGCGCGCTCACGGGCAAGGAAGTCATCATCGGGAGTGCCCTGGGCGTCGGCGACTTCGGTTTGGCCTAAATGCGGGTCATGTTAGCTCCGGCGTAAGGAGAGTAAGTAAGGTGGGTTGAGCGCACCCTCAGAGAAGTCCTCTAGGGAAGGGAAACGGTCAGCCATGCTGAGATTATGATGAAGCTGGTTGTATGATTGAATGAAGATATCTGAATCAAGAAGATGTTGAGAAGAAGAAACAAGGCAATCAGGCTGTTGAGAGTTAAAGGAAGTAGAGGTGTTGACAGGTGTGGCCGGGGTGGGCTCGGCGCCCCGTTGTTCTGCCGTTGCCGGGGCGGTAAGCTTATCCATGTTTCAAGCTTGGGGTACAAACCACTTCGACTTCACTTGTGATAAAGAAAGAACATTCAAGAGTGTGCAGATCTTCGTTTGCTTTGTCTCTTAGCTCTGTCTCAGTGATTGTACTTGATTGTATCTCAAGTGCAGTTCTCTCATCACTAGTGGTGTTCAATTGCTCCCTATTGCCTTTTTGTCTTTCGTGGTGATCGCGGCTCACGCTTCTAAGATAAATTCAGTTCTCACAAGCTTACTATTCAATTCAACAACGCTACTATTTCTCTCGCGATGGCTTTTACAGACGATGCAGTTAAGGCCAAGCTCTCAGCTCTGAATGACTCGCAGGAGAGCATTGTGACTGTCGCGCAGTGGGTCATGTTCCACAGGTACACACCAGGAGTTACTTCACCCTCGAAAGAAACCTACTAATCTTGATTTGTAATTTTAGACGCCATGCGGAACGCACTGGCCAAATCTGGCTTCAGAAGATTCGTGACTCTCCACCTCCCAAGCGACTCAACCTGATCTACCTGGCCAATGGTACCCATGACCCTACACTCAAGCTCTGCTTCATATGCTAATTGCATCTATAGAGGTGGCTCAGCAGTCCAAAGTCCGCGGAAAAGATGATTTCCTCATCGCATTTTCCCCTGTTCGTTTCCTTCTTGGTCTATTCTTCCGACTCGAACTAACAGAGCTGTAGATTATTGTCGATGCTACGTCAGCGGCTTATAAGGGCTCGACAGTTGATTACCAACAAAGGATCCGGCGGGTCGTGGAGGTTTGGAGGCAGCGCAATGTGTTCGATGGAGCTATATTGGATGCTGTGGAAGCTCGGATAGACGGTATGCTGAATCAGTGGGCAAAACATGTTAAGAGTGACTGGTTAATCTAAACATCGCACAGAACTCGACAAAGCTCGCTCCACCACCAAGAAGCAATCTCTCGGAGGTTCCTTTTTCAAGGACACTTCCTCGGGATCCACGCCGACTGAGCTGCAGCCACTGGTCCCATTGCAGGTTGCTCTCAGCAAAGCCGTCATCAAGTCCAACAGCTCCTCCACAACCGCTACTTCGGAGTTTGACAAGCTTCATGACCCTAATGCCCCGAAGCCTACACTCCCCGTTCACGCTGCACGTCTTAGTTCACTTCTCAAGACGCTCGCCAACGCAGAGAACTCCGTTTCTGAGGTAATCAAATCACGCCGCGAGCTGATCGATGGACTTGAGAAGATTCTGCAGACAAACCGTGCAGAACTATCCAAGGAGGAAGCACTCGGTGCAGAGTTCTCCCAGAAAAAGGCCTCTGTCGATAACAAGAAGCGCGAGGTCGAAGATGCGATTATGCGTGGTCTGCCTAGTGAAGAATCGTCTACATATCCCAGCGACAATATTGGACATGGCGACCCGGCCGGCCGCCCAGAAATTGAAGCCTTGACTCCTCCCCCAGTGGAGGCTATCACGCCCGTCGGTTCCCCACAGCCAGAAAAGCAACAGCTCCGGCACGGCCCTTTCACTGAAGAGGCAGATGATGACACCGCAGATTGGAGCCAAATGAACATCCCGGGCATTCAGCAGCCAGGCAATGTAGCTTCCGTCTCTGATGGAACCGCTGCTGTTCTCCCCGGGTATGGCAATGACTTCCATGTCACCGCTAATGGCCATGCGAAGAGGCGCAAGATCTCGCATGGCGAGGAGGACTATGCGGCATTTGCGGGTGGGGATTTGGATGCCGATGTAGCTGACCTGCTTGCCAACCAGGGCAAATAGGAGGCATGTTCGAGATTTGAAGTCATAATTTGTCTCGTCAAGGTGCATCCGGGATGCTTGTTTGTTGTGCTTTATCCTTTCCATTTCCCTCGATTGCATGGCTGTGGATCCATGTTTTGGTTTGATGTCATTGAGTATCTTGTGTATGAAATAACTGAATGTATGAGTTGAAGGATGTAACTTGTGGCCTTGATCGCCTGTAATCCGATTTCCTCGAATTGTCTGTGGGAGTCCCACACAGCATGTAGCTTCTGATATCTAGCTAGACTTGAGATAAACGTTATAAAATCGACGTGAGTATAGGTAGCACCTTAGGAAAACTACCTCTACCACCACTGCCTCATTAAGCCGTTCGGGTAGTAGGTAGGTATATTTCAGCTTCTCTTACGATACATGTAGACACTTCATCCCCATCTAAACTTATTACAATATATAGATGTAAAAAGGATATTCCCTTTCTTCTGGTCACATTAACTATGGACTAATGCTATTTGCAAAGTAAAAGTCATCGGAGTATATCCGGATCCATCCATCGATCTCGTGCAAACCTATTTGACAACTGATGCCTTCGACCTCGGTGAGTTACCATGGAGCGAATATTATTTGAAGACTCATCTTCTGGAGGTGGCGGCGGCGCTGGACTGTGGCCCTTGGGTTTTACAACCAACACAATGATCATTCCTACTACGATGAGGAGAAGCAAAAGCATGATCATGCGCTTGGTGGTGCGTTTTTGGTATCCCGTGGCCTATATGAGTTAGTTTCTCGTCCTCGGAACATCGAATGGAGGGGGGGGAAAGAAAGAAAAAAGCTTGAAATGACAGCGATCGGTAGAGAGGAAACATACCACTTTCAGCTCCTTATCCGCGGCTTTGACCTCAGTGGTCATTCGCTCAATGTTGTAATCTATACGGTCCAGCATGGTTCCTTGGTCGATAATCATGCTCTGTAGTTCCCGGAAAATATCCGAGAGCTCAATGATTCCCTTTGCAATATCGTTGATTTCGCGTTCTCGCTGCGCGATAGCAGCATCATTCTGACCGACTTGCCGTTGCGAAGTCTGCTGTAGCATTGTCTGTGAAAATGACCTATCGGCATCTGATTCCATCATCGATGGATCTGTGTATGGGTTCTGGGCAGGTGTAGGCGCGCCATCGAATGGGGTCGCAATACCCTCAAGATCACGCAACTCTGTAACAAATCACACAGCATTAGCCCAGCTGAACCAAAGCGCCTCCGCTCCGAGAAGAGGACAGGACAAGAACAAAAAAGAAACAAGAGGGGTTTCCCATACTTCGCAAATAAGTACTCTGCTTCTTTCTGAACCTTGCACTAGCCTCCTGTACCCTAGCAGCCAGAGAAATCTGGATGTTCTTCGCCATAGTCTCCTCGCCACTGGTAACACCGCCATGCGCCTTCGATTCGGTAACCATCGTCTCGATGCGCATGATAGAGCGCTGACACTCATGAAAGGAGCGCGTGACATCCTGAGTCAGGCGCTCTATGACACCCTCATCCTGTTTGCGCAGGTCCTCGTCGCCGAAGCCCGGGAGCAGATGTTTCTGGTGCAGCTTATCGAGCTGGGCGGAGTTCTGGGCGATCTCGGACAGCAGTTCGGAGACCTCTTCCTGCACGTCGACCCAGCGCGGCGGGAGGAGGTCCATCTCGATGACCATATCACCATCTTCGTCGTTGTCGGAGATTAGGCGCCGGTTCTCTTCCGGATGCGAGGGTGTGTCGGAGAAGCCATTTATTGGTGTGAAGTGTGGCTTTTTGGCTGGGTGGTGAATTAGGGATTGGCGGTAGGAGAGGAAGCTGTATCAGGGAGGATTGGGTTAGCATGATCGATATCGTAGACTGGGCTTGCTTGGGGGTGTCTTTTTTGTCCTTGTCGGCGCTGATGGTTGTTTGCGGCTGGGGTATGGTATGGGGTGGCATACAGGTTGGTGCGATCCCGCCACATCGTGAGGGCGTTAGGAGGATCGGATCGAGTGGGTTATTTGTATGGTGAGCTTATGGGTATCATGATCCGTTGGGGGTATTATGGTGATTTGAGGTCTCGAGGTACCTAGGTGGATGATATGAGCTCTCCACATGCGCATCCGGAAGGGGTCACGTATGGTATTCATCATGTAATCCGTGGTTTTGTCCACGTGGGGAGTATTTTTGGTATGGGCTTAAGCATGTTGACCTGCAGCCCTATTTCTCGCAGGCGTTATAAATATGATGCTCTCTATCGTGCCATATTGCTTTTATGGGGCAATTATCGCCCTAATCTAGGTATAGGTGCGATTCACCATCGACTGCCGTAATGCGAGTATCTAAGTGAGGTCATGTGGCCACCTGCAGGTCGCATTTTCGAGTACATGATCCTCACGTCCCTGGAGACATGTACGTATATAAGATGTGTGTTGAGGACTTTCCGAATTCATCGGATTGGAGGGTTAACCAATCCCTTCGATGATATTATGATGATATGATCTACCGGTCTCCAGGGCTAGATCTATGATTCCAGTGCCCTGCAAGCTATCACAGCCTTCGGAGCTAGAGAAACCCATATCAAATCGAGCCAAGACCTTGCTAATGCAAATATACTTCGGCCCTGAAGGCCCCCTGGGACTATGTCACTGTTAGCTCGTTCAGCATAGCTTTAGAGCCTCCGGAGATCAAGCTTCGGTCCGCCGGGCGTTACATCCGCATCGGGCAGATATAACCTTGGGGTAAATAAGCAATCACACGAGAGACAGGCCTAGGCTGAATCTAGCAAGAGAACCAAGAACAAAGCAGACAAACAAGCAAGCTGTCAGCTGAGACAGAGTCGGAGTCAGCCCTGGAGGGTCAACTGTCCCCCACCGCCCTGAGGAAACGACGCTGACTGGGCACTTCAGACACGCTATTTTGGTCTCGTAAGGCTATCCCCCCCTACTCTCCTCCATTTAACCCCTCCTTCTTTCTTGCATTTCCCCCCATCTACATTCATCATGGTATGTTCCGCTTATTGCCCCTCAACTTCCCAGGGGAACCTCTGCCATGTCGAGAATCACACCCCCACATTGCGGGGCATCGACACTGATGTTTTGAATCTTACTGACCATCGCAACTACTAGGCTGATTCTTTGACCGAAGAGCAAGTGTCCGAGTACAAGGAGGCCTTCTCCCTGTTTGTGAGTGACTTCGCACGCAGATTGAGGATGTGGAAGGAAAACTTGCTAACTAGGAGGTTGTTTGTTGCGAAATAGGACAAGGATGGCGATGGTGAGTGCGATCGCGCCCGGCAGCCCAGCTGGGCCCATATCCGTGTCTTCTGTGGTCAATTTTTACAATAACCGTATTCTAACGTGGAGTCCCAACAACAGGACAAATCACCACCAAGGAGCTTGGCACCGTCATGCGCTCGCTGGGCCAGAACCCCTCCGAGTCCGAGCTGCAGGATATGATCAACGAGGTTGATGCCGACAACAATGGCACCATCGACTTCCCCGGTAATTTACCTCACCTGAATGATCTAAACAAGATCTACTTACTGATGTGCGACAGAGTTCCTCACCATGATGGCTCGTAAGATGAAGGATACCGATTCTGAAGAGGAGATCCGCGAGGCGTTCAAAGTGTTCGATCGTGACAACAATGGATTCATTTCCGCCGCCGAGCTGCGCCACGTCATGACCTCTATCGGCGAGAAGCTCACCGACGATGAGGTTGATGAGATGATCCGCGAGGCGGATCAGGATGGTGACGGCCGGATCGACTGTATGTTTTGGACACAATCTTGGAGCCTACAGGCAATTGGCCACCAGATGCTAATCTCTCGATTTCCCCGCAGACAACGAGTTCGTCCAGCTCATGATGCAAAAATAAACGCCGCATACAATCATGCGCCTTTGTCCATGCTAGCTGACGTCGCGGTGTTTTTAACGAGAATGTTTCTCCTCCATTTCAATTTTCCAATATCGATTTCCTGTAGTCTATGCTCACTAGGCTATATATCTTGGATGATTTACGATCAAGCGTGTGCTTTGGGATGCGGACGGAATGGACTGGGCGGTACTTTTGGACCTAGAATTCATACATGTAGTCTAGGAATGAACGCTCTCTCCTTGTAACCCTGATGGCGCTGGGCTTTTTTCCAACGTCGCCGCTTCGTTCCAACCTCCAGTCCGCAAAATACCCTAGCAAGTGTATAAGAAGTAGCCATTCATCGCCAAAAAAAAAAAGAGGATAACCAATTAAGTACGCATAGCTACCGATTAAATCTCAAAACCTCCATAAACTGCCTCGCAACATCCGCTCCAGACCACGGATTCGGATCTTCTTCCGCACGTTCACCAACCGCAGAGTCAATCTCATCGGCTCTAGAATCAATCCCAGACCCAGCCTGTTTCCATCGTCTCAACCGATCTTTGACCTCCGTCCCAACACCAGGAATAAGAATCGCCTCCCGGGCCTCAACACCCAACCTAGCCCAAAACTCACGAATCAGCGACGCGGTCGCTGAATACTCAGCATCGATATCCGACTCATCGATTGCAGAAGCTGAGAGGTCAATGCCAGAGTCAGCATCAGCATCAACGCCTCGAGCACCGGGCCCAAATGACCCATCCTCCCGATCCACCGGAATCGCCTCCACAACTGACGGACCCCGCCACTCGATCTCAATAACCGTGCCGCGTACGCGTGCCGTCGGGAACGTCTGACGCACCTCGCCAAGACGGACGCGGAAGTCGCCGACGTCGTAGACTACACCATTTGGCACGGCGAGAGTGAGCCGGTGGCTCCAGAAAGGCTGGCAAGCGTAGGTGAAGTGCTGGAAGAGGGTGCCATAGGATGCAGGGGGGATGGTTGTCATCACCATTGGCAGAGACGTGGAGTGATCTGGAGCAATGCCATTTACGGGACCTGCTTGATTTACCGGTGCGGCTTTCTCTGCTGGCTCCGAGGTGTAAATGAAGCCGTGGGCTGGGTAGTGGGTTAATGAGAGGAATTGCATATAGCGTGGATTGGGAGGTTTCTTGTTGGAATTTGATGAGGCGGGAAGTAGGCCTGGGGTATCCCGTAGGAGCTTTTGCTCTAGACCCCAGCGGCCGATTGGGGTGAGTTCTTCATCTGTGAAGGCGGCACGTAGGCGCTCTGTCACCAGTGAGAGGGCCGTTGAGGCGTTGGGGTTGGAGGGGATGAAGTAGACGCTTTCTGGGGTTAGTTTGGAAGTTTTTTGCCTGGTTTGAAGGGAGCGTTTACCCTGTGATAGGCATGTTTTATATCTTAGGCTCCTGATATCTGACGCAGAAGAAGAGATGGGATTGATGATCACAGCAATGTCGAGCTGAGGGACACCAATTGTAGAATTGGTGAGTTGAGAGGATAGAGTGATAGAATAATCAGGCTCTTTCTCCTCCTATTTGAGCTTTGGTTCGAGTACTCTATAGCAAATATCGACCATGCAATGTAGATTCTGAGGCCGATCAATAAGAATGATGATCGAGGCCAGTGGCAGAAGGAGTGATAGAATTAGATCCCCAAACAGGATGGAAACTTTGCAGTCTATAGCTTAATCAGTATGAGAAGCAACAATAGGAATGATCCAGTACCTTAGGGCAATTTTTATGTATACAGTATTGTAGAGTTGTTCTAAGAATCCGTGTCCTGCAATTCTCCAGAGGAAGGCCGTAACGACCAGGTGCAAACAGAGCAAACACACCGGGGCTCTCGAGGAGCTCCTTTCATCAACACGCTATTATTCCCCAATAAATTATTGCAATCTACAGAAGTAGAGTTTTACACCTTTCTAAATTTACCTGCCCCATCATGCCTTGAAACTAGATATTGATATTGATATGCGGCTCAGAAGTGGACTCACATGTATGGCATTAGGTACGGCATCATACGGTTACCCAAGGCCATGTTCCTAAGCGCAGATCCAGTCCCAACGTACCAAGACAGTCATACATCTATCTAGAACGATGCATGAACATCTGAACAATATCAACAATTCTCCTATGGCATACTCAGGAGCAAGATCCTCGAAGCCCAACGGCTCGAGGCATGTGTTTCAATTTGATCCCCCGGCTCGAAAGCGCTAAGATCGACCAGGGCTGTTACATACCCCATCGGAGTCAGGGGCCGCAGTGGGGTTGGTGGCGCCCTCAAACAGAGCACAGCCCGGAGGAACAGAAGAGCACCTTGGCACTGGTATCCAAGTCTAGACTTGACTATTGTCAACCGCTCTAATAATAACCGCTGGGACCCTGCAGCTTTCAGCCCTCCCTTGTTGCTTGTGAAGGGGTTGCATTCTTAAATTACACCAATCATCAATCGGCTCTGTGGGATATCATGCCTCGCACTAACTTTCAAAAGCCACAGGGACGATCAATGGAGCTCGGCCGCGTCTCATTCTCTCATGAGTAGAGATCTCTCACAATGCATGACGTGCCCTCCACATGGGGTTAAATGTGGCCACTCCCTCCTGAGCGTTGGTTTGGGATTCAGACTGTCAGGGACTTAATTCCCTCCGAAACGCCAATGTCGGCATTTATCACTATTATATCCCATCGTTGACTTATACATCCTTTCATTCCTTATTGGGACTTCCTATGACCACTCCTTTGTCATTTCTGTGATCTTTTTCCAACACTTCATCCGACCGAATCCATTCATTATGTATTACAAGCGCAAAAGCCGACCTATATCAACAGCGCTCTTCCTGATTGTCGCAGCATACGTTTTCTTCTTCTGGTTACCCCAAACACCACTATACCGAGTCCGTCTTCCAAAGCCAATATCCCGAAAGGACAACAGTGTTCGGCATGATGCCATCCGTTTAAACAAAGTCTCTGAGCGATATCCCGTTACAGAATACATCCCGTTGCCCAAAAGTGGTGCGAAGATTCCCCGCATCCAGCATAACTTTCCCGAAGAAACTCGCAGCGAGCGCAAGGCGAGACTCAAGAAGCGGGATGCTGTGAAGGAGGCTTTCCTTCATTCATGGAATGGATATAAAGAGTTTGCATGGATGCGAGACGAGGTGAAACCCCGCACTGGGGGATATCAAGATACATTCAATGGATGGGGTGCCACGCTAGTTGATTCATTGGATGCTCTTATCATTATGGGGCTGGATGATGAGCTGCAGCTGGCTCTTGAGGCTCTGGAGGATATTGACTTCACGACAACTAAGAGCAGACACGTTCCAGTCTTCGAGATCATTATTCGCTATATGGGTGGCTTTATTGCTGCCCATGATCTGACCGAGGGCAAACATCCTATCCTGCTGAGAAAGGCTGTCGAACTGGGCGAGATGATCTTCAATGCATTTGACACGCATAATCGCATGCCTCAAGTGCGCTGGGAATGGACCAGGTAAGCTATACCGCTGCGGGCACTATGCTATATGCACTGAGAGCTCGAGACTGACAATCCGCAGGTCTGCCAAAGGTCAAGAAATCACACCCTCGGCACGTACTAGTTTGGCGGAAATGGGCTCCTTGACAATGGAATTCACTCGCCTGACGCAATTGACTGGAGATCCCAAGTACTACGATGCGGTGCAGCGAATCATGAATGAACTCGAAATCGGACAAGACAAGACCCGTATGCCTGGCATGTGGCCAACATGGATTGACACCGACCGAATGGACTTTGACGACTCTGAATTTACAATTGGTGGATGTGCCGATTCCGCGTACGAGTACTTGCCCAAAGAACACATTCTCTTGGGCGCACAGACGGATAAATATCGCCGGATGTATGAGAAGGCGATTGCGACATTCAATGAGAACCTACTATTCAGAGGGATGACCAAGGATGAAGACCAACATATTCTCTTCACCGCTAACGTAGTTGCGATGAGAGGTGATACGAAGACCTTCCAGTACTCGCCTGATCATCTCAAGTGCTTCATGGGTGGCACTGTGGCTATTGGAGCCAAGGTCTTCGATCGACCGGAGGATATGTATGTTGCCCGTGGACTTACAGACGGGTGTGTCTGGGCATATGATGTTATGCCTACGGGCATAATGCCGGAAGTGTTCAAAGTCAGCCCCTGCAAGTATATCGATGACTGCCCATGGGATGAAGAGCAGTGGATGTCGGATGTGATCTTGCAGTCCATCGATTCTGAGGAGACCCGCGAGAAAGCCGAGGAACGTATCGAGAATGAGCATCTGCCTCCTGGGGTGACTGATGTTAAGGACGCATCGTACAAGCTCAGGTAATATTTCACTCCATCCACACACTGGTGGTGCAGCTCACTAACCTACTACGCATTTAGACCCGAAGCTCTCGAGTCTCTTTTTGTCATGTACCGCATTACTGGCGACAAAACTCTGCAGGATTCTGCATGGCGGATGTTTAAGAACATTGACAAGGCCACCCGCACCAAGTTTGGCCACTCCGCCATCAACGACGTGCGCCATTCAAGACCGAAACACGAGGATAAGATGGAGAGTTTTTGGCTCGCCGAAACATTGAAATATCTCTATTTAATTTTCTCTGAGCCTGATCATATCAGTCTGGACGACTATGTTCTGTATGTTCCAATTTTTTTTTTCGTTTTCGGATTTATTTTCGCGATGTCTTCGCGATGTCCTCGCAAAATTCTCGCAACCAGCTAACAGTCTCATCAGGAGCACCGAAGCCCATCCTTTCAGACGCTCGAAACCCATTGATCCGTGATGCAATAAACGTCGGTTTTGTGTTAAAATTTCGCATCATTTTAGGAATAAGTGGATTCCACTGGACAGGAGCGGCGTTACAGGCATGAGGGTTTTCGTGCATTTGGTGCAGCCATTTTCTGCAATCACCATAGCAAAGGGGATCTTGGGATCCTCCGTTGTTTTATCCATAACAATAATATAGAACCAAGTGGATAATCGAACTATTGGATTTATACAAGGTCAAGAATAAGTAACAAATGGAACGGATGGACGACTATCCTTGTTATACATAAGTAGAAACATCAACAATATGTTTGTCCAAGTCCTCCCGGCTCCTTAGCTCCACCTCATCTTCATATTGAATTGAATACCGGACCTCTTTGTGAATGACCATTCTATCTGCGCCGTCCCCATCATGATCAGTTGCATCGCTCGCATGCCGCATATGCGGCCTCGGCACAAGTTCGATCAAATCAGAGGTCGTCAAAACCGAACTTCCTGATTCCACTTTCGCAGTGTGTTTCTTCCACTTATCCAAGCTTTGGAAGCTCCCTTTCTTACGAGCCACACTAAGCGGAAACAGCGATCGATGCATCGGCCCCCGCACCGTATCCGATTGAACACGATGCTCGTCCCTTTGATAATTTCCTAGCGCTCCATGCGCACGGGCACTAGAATCAAGACACAATTGACCCGACCCCGGGCTATAATTTTTCCAAGGAGAGCTGGAATCACTCCAAGTCGGATAGACGAACGGCCGTGGCTCTGTACCGGCTCTCTTCCTCTGCACGCGTGACTGTGACGCCGACCTCGAAGCCGCATTCGAGTTCGAGCCAGATCCGGACTTCGAGCCTCCTTGTGTGCCGTGCGATCTCGACATGCTACTTTCTAGCGTTGAGTCACCTGCCGTGCCGTAGTTTGTGCTGACGGCTGCCATGAAAGGTCGTAGGCAGAATACGCTGCATGCGATGAGGGCGTAGTGGAGCTCGACTTGCATCCAGACTGTTGGTTCGACAGCGGCGAGGGTTGTATCTTTGCTGTTGAGGGCGGTGCGTAGGGCTGAGATGTGGATTATAGAGAATATTATTAGGCTGGTAGGTTGAGATGAGTCTGAAGTTCTTGGTGATTCTCTTTTGTTAGTGGTTGATGTACTCACGGAAAACGGAACACAAATGCGAATCCGACGGCTAGTTTGCGACGGAGGGACATAAATAAGCCCTTTAAGAGCACCACGGCTAGTAAGAAAAGGATGATTTCGGTAATAACGTCAACTGCTGCGATGAATTGCCATCGCTTTTCCTGTTATTCCCGCGATATGAGAGTCGGTTCCGACGGAAGGTATACTATTGGTGAGGTTACATACCAAGTTGAGGCATCGGCCGCCCTCACTTCGCCACGGTGTGTTCAACTCGCAATTGACCAGGATGATAAATATAGCTGGAATGACCCAGGCGGTGCACAAAGCCAGCGTCGCCCAGGACGCCCGATTGTGTGGCTTTTGTGGAGTAAGGCGAAGATATATCGCCACGACACAACATTTGGAGAGATAGATTATTATAAGAGCGAGAATATCGCTTGTTGCGAGTAACTAGCTGCTCAGTTTGGTGTCACAAAGGCATTAGAGTAGGACGGTGGACACTTACTGCCTGGATCTCATTGAGTCGGCCATCTTTCAGCAGCGAGAGAGATGTCCCGAATCCACGGGAGCAGGCGTAAAACACGAGACTTGATTGCACCACAGCAAATGCCTACGCAGTAGATCAAAATCGAATGTTAGTATTACTGCTTTGGTAGCTCTGTTCATTCAATCCCGAGCCCTAACTCACAGTTGCGCTCAACATAACCCAATCATCGCGCGCAAACGGCGGAATCAGCATTAGGCGCACATAGAGCCGGATCAAAAGGCATGCTAGGGATACAACCAGCCCCAGCGCAGCAGTTATAATCAGCCAGGCTCCATGGTGTAGGTCATCAACGACCTCGAAGGGCGGCGACTGGCCCGGCGGCACATACGGGCCCATGACAGGGAGAAACAGGAACCACCGCAGACTCTGGGACCTACACAATTACCCTGCCTGTATCAACCATGTGTTATGTGCAAGGATGGATACTGCAGCTTGTGTATATATAGCTTGAGCACATCAACACAGACACAGAATAGACTGTGAAAGGCCGAAGGATCGGGAAGCCATGTGGAGTTGAAAAGGCGGGACAGGAATGAAGGAAGGGGGTCCGGTTTGATATTGCTTGTATATACTATTTTGTGCAAAAGTAGGTATGCACGCGAGTCAAGGCTGTGATAACGGCGCTGCGGCTGCGTGGGACACGATTTTGATTGTTGCCAGGTTGCGACATCATATGCCGACAGCCGATAAAGACACGGGCTATCGAGTCCAGGCTTACTCCGTACCGAGTTCAAAGATAGAAATTGTGCAATTCGAGACGAGCAGATGCTACTCCGTACTCTGTAGATAGACTCCCAAAGTGCGTGGCCGCTTTATCCCTTCGTTGGGAAAGGTTCGGGGTACTCCGTGGGGGGCACGCTCGATACCAATTATTAGCATGTTTTTGTAAAAAGAAGAAAAGGCCAAGGCTAGCGAAATGGAATGGCAGTTTGCCTTTTCTCCCTCACGTCGAAGTTCGAGCTTTGCTTTACGGATACGTAGGGCACGGCGGCCCGCTGTAGGATCGTCGATCAACATGCGTCCCTTGAGCATCAGACCATGGGTTTTCGCTAGGCTGTCATCCGATAGGCCATGTGGCTTGTTTTCGATCAAATCAAGCGAGGGGGGTGTGCATCCACCCGGCGCCATTTGATCTGAGGCATGGCGTGTGGCGGGACTGTCTGGGGGATAAGCATCAAGGGAGAGAATTGCGACCAATATACTTTGAGCTCTAGAGGGTGAGATGTAAGTGATGGATCAGAAATGTAACGGGTAGTGGCTGCCAACGCCCGTTCAAGGGTTAGGATTGTACGGAGTACTCCGTACGGAGTAGGTGGGTTTGTTGTTGTACTTAATGATGGCCGATCATTTCGAGGGCCCTCTTCGAGAAAAGAACGTTCCCACACTGCTGTTGAATAACAGAGCATATATCAGATAGGGATTTAAAGTAACATTACAACCCCAATAGTCAGTCTGATTTTCAATATTCCCCCATTTCGAGAGCCCGACGCTAAATGCACAATTGCCCCCTTGGCATGCAAGGTCCCAATAGCCCCATTCCAGGAACAAAGAGAGACAAGGGATAGCAACCTTCCCAAAAAATGAGTTCCAAAAGTCCCATTCCCAATGAAATTAGTTGCAGCACCATCAAACAACGATGTGTCATTCAGAAGATGTTGGAGGGTCCCCTCCCACATGGCCTGCGAGAATTTTCCCCTGGCCATGCCTTGCTCCCACGTCAATACCACGCTTTAATTCCTGCAATGCAGAGGCTGTCATAATTCCAGTCCTTTGGCTTTTCTCCCGATAACTCCTTCTTTTGGCTATAATAAATTTGGTGGACTTTTTGGGCCGTTCTTAAGCCGCGAGGCCCTTTTATACTTCATATCCTGAATCTTCGGAACATCAAGTTGCCAACAGAGACATACAAGAGCTACGGTTTTCTTCCTTTTTGTGGGAAGCCCTATGCCATTTTGAATAGACATCTATCGATCCGTTCACGGGCGCAATTATGGTGGCTTTCAATAAATTTAGGTCTGACTCGCAGCAGACCATGGCTGGTCTTGACGACGAGGAGTATGCGCAGAAAGGACTTGTTGAGCCGCAGTATATGGGCACGCTGGCAGATCAGCGAGATATGAATGCGCTTGGTCGAGTACAAGTTTTGCGAGTAAGTCTAATTGACCTTCTTGTTGTCCACTGGTATTTCCTTTCGGCTGTGCTGACACCACGAAGAGAAACTTTCGGTTTATCTCTATTGTTGGATTTGGGTGCACTTTGATCTGCACATGGGAGGTCATTTTGACGTACGCCTTGCACCCTGCATATTATGATTATGCAACTCACTGACCCCATTTAAAGCTTGCTGTCAGCTGGTTTGACCGACGGGGGGTACAGCTGGCTTGATATGGGGGTTCGTCGGCGTCTCACTGGGGTTTACCCTGGTCTATGCCAGCATCGCGGAGATGGCCTCGATGTACGTAGCTAAGGCTTTACTGTTCTTTGCTGAGTTATTGGTACTGATTGATCATCAAATAGGGCCCCTACTGCTGGTGGGCAGTATCATTGGGTGTCGGAGTTTGCACCCAAGCGGGGACAAAAGTTCCTAAGCTATATCACAGGTAATATAGCTAGTCCATCTGAACGTCGCATCAATTAACACCTCTCATTAGGATGGCTTTCTGCAATGGGATGGCAATGCGCCATCGTATCCATCGCTTACCTTGCTGGCACAATCATCCAGGGCCTCATCGTCTTGAACCAGCCAGACTATGATTTCCAGCGCTGGCATGGCACCATGCTGGTGATTGCCATCTCAACATTCTCAATCCTATTCAACACCTTTCTAGCCAAGAATCTCCCCTTCGTGGAAGGATTAATCTTGATTATCCATGTGGTTGGCTTGTTCGCCATCATCATCCCGTTGTGGGTACTTGCACCGCGCAATAATGCTCACGCAGTCTTCACCACATTCAATAACGGGGGTAGCTGGGATAATTCCGGAACGGCGACACTTGTCGGCTTGTCCACAACTATCACGTCTATGCTTGGTTATGATTGCTCGGTTCACATGTGTAAGAAAGAGCTCTATGAATAAGACCTGGCCTTGGTGATATATCTTGCTGACAATTCGGAAGCCGAAGAAATCAAGGACGCATCAGAAACTCTGCCTAAGGCAATGATGTCCTCCGTCGCTATTAACGCCGTGCTGGGGTTCGTGATGTTAGTCACGCTGTGTTTCACATTAGGCGAAGTCGACAAAGTCCTCGATACCCCCACCGGATTTCCATTTATCCAGATATTCTATAATACCACAGGCAGCATCGCCGCAACAAATGCTATGACAGCCGTATTGGTGGTAACATTGACTGCCAGCACAATCACCGAAGTGGCCACGGCATCACGCCAACTCTGGTCATTTGCGCGTGATGAGGGACTTCCCTTTTCCTCATTTTTCGCATATGTAAGCCAAGTTATCTCCTTTCATTTTATCCTACGTGAAAGTGGATGCAGGATGTTTAGATCGGTGTTAACACATGAGAACTAGGTCACGCCAGGCTGGAATATCCCACTCAATTCGGTGATGGTATCTCTAATCGTTACAATCCTACTATCAATGATCAACATCGGATCGCAGGTCGCCCTGAACGCCGTGATCTCACTAACGATCACATCCCTGCTCTCTGCATACATCGTCTCTATAGCCTGTGTACTTCTGAAACGCCTCCGGGGTGAGCCGCTTCCGCACCACCGATGGTCACTCGGGAGATTTGGCATGGCAGTAAATGCCGGGGCATTGGCATTTCTCTGTCCAATGTTCGTTTTTGCCTTCTTTCCTCTATCGACAAATGTCACGCCTGAAACAATGAATTGGAGCGTGGCAATGTATGTTGGCGTTGTTGGATCAGCGTCGATTTATTATTTGGCCCGGGGCAGGCACCATTTCATCCCGCCTGTGGCTTTAGTTCACCGGGACGAAAATCGCTAAGCTTGGCTTTGATTGGACTGCGGGTTTACTCCTCTTTTTCTTTCTGTTAAACCCTTTTCCCTTTATGTTTATTCTTCCGACGAAAATGGTGTATTTTGATGATGTGATGATGTGACGTATATCGGTACCGGGGTATGGGGTACAATAGGGTGGATTTTCTGTTTATTATTATCTTATTATTATCTTGCTTCCGGCTTCATGCTTCTCGTTTAAACAAACCAATAATAATGACGTGACACCACTATTAATGGTGACGGTTACTCGATTCAGAAGTCTTGGAGACTTTGAGAACAAAGGCACCAGGGCCCATCGGGATCCAAATTGAGTTATCAGATGGAGCCATCAGATGGAGCCATCCACGGTTTAGCTCGTTCTTATGCTGCCGTTCCCCTTATGGCCCGAAAGAGAGAGAGAACAGACCTTTGTGCTCCAATTGATGCAAAACAAACTTTACGCAATCAAGATACCAAGAACTGAATCGGGACAACACACGGCGCCACTAGGTACGGAAGAGTGAGCATGAGCGTGAGAGTGAGACTTGGCATCCTGCGGGTTCGAGACCGATCTAGTCAGCTGACGGGATGCGTGTTCTGTTCTCCGTGTGGAGTACTCCGTACGGAGTACGGAGTACTGCTGTAGGGAATGGTTTCCAGCTATGTGACATTATTGAATCTCTCGCCAGTGAGCCTGCTAGGCCGGAGGCCCCAGGGGCGATCTTCTTTGAATTCTACTTTTCTAGAACTCCCTAGCTCATCCAATATGACCCACTGATTGATCTCGACCGGGCTGGTCTCCCCACTCCGGGACCGGACTGTTGGGAAACTGATGAGCTAGGAGAGCAGCAATGGACCAACAGAATACACAAGGCCAGGTCCGGCTGGTCGGAAAGTGGGGTGGTCGGGAGAAGGATCCATTTTGTGAGAATGGGGCTTGAGGCCTGGGGATTATGATTGCCCTTGTGAGTAATCAATCCCCGGAAAGGGGATTGGGGTTGGGCATACAAGGGAGCAGGTACTACCCAGGTATACCTGCAGGATGTGCTGGCATGCGATGAATGGGGTATGAAGATGTCAAGATGAAATGGGGATTCCCCTGTTATCAGATGGAATGACATACTCCAAAGGGCGGACAAATCCGCGCTCCCGTCTATCTGATTGATCTGATAACCGAGGTATTGTGTATGGTACGGTAATCTTACGGAGATTACTACATTCAACATTTTCAGTCGGTCCACCTCGGAACTGAATTACAATTAAGCAGACCTGTAGGCAATCCCTGCACATCATAAATGTCGGTGTATATCATTTAGGACCGTATGGGATGGTAACCTCCCGGGCTTCCAACCTCTGTATGGCAAGGGATTTCGTGCCGCTGTACAGCCGTGTCTCCGTGGACTCCGACCTCGGCTCCCACGCCACCATGTAACAGATAAAATACTCCGTACGGAGGACAAGCCCTTCATATGCACCGTCGATCTAGATGGATACGATGACCCCAAATGGAGTCAGCGCCATACCCATTAGCCAAGCGCTTAATGCTGCTGACATTTAAGATCCCCCTTAGCTCAATTTTAGGAACAATAGCCTTATAAAGGGCTCGAATCCCCCATCCGGAACCGACCGCGTAGCACCCAAGAATGTGGCGAATCTGATAAATCCCTGTTTCCGATCTCAACGTATTTTCTCCATGAACCCATATTACCGTCATTTTCGCTGATTTGCCGACGTACGGAACTATTGTCCCGACAAGGAATTCCTCGGGTCCACGCTCTCCATTCTCATTCCACTCTTCTCCTTCTGCAGACACATGCTCTATTCATAGAACGAAAAAGGGGTTCTTGCACAATCCTTCACCACAATCACCTCCCGATTCATATACCCTAATCTGCCCTAATCTTCCCTTGTTGCGCCAACTCTTGTGCAACTTTTCCTCAATCAATCCTTCAAGTTTCCCCATGGGTATGCGCATGATCAATCCCAGTCCAGTCATCATGACTCACATTCTGATTCCCTTGACATAGTTCACGCAATTCCACCTACCATGCCGTCGGCGACTTATGCCTCGATGGTGTCCCGCCCCCGCAGAGGCACATATCAAGAGATCCCGGTGTCCTCGACTTCCCACCCAGATAACCCAATCCCGGAAGAGCCCCGAGGCGTGCGCTCGCTCTCAGTGACTGATATCAACTTCAATGTCCTCTCCTCCAGCTCCTCACAAGACACTGAATCGACCGGCTCAGATTCTCCCAATACCCCTCTGACACCACCCAGCGAGTCCAACTTGGAGGAAGAACCTACAGATGAAAAGACTGATGTTCCGCAACGGCGACGAGCCTCGACCGTTCTCATCTCCCAGAATGCGAACGATATGAGAAGGGTGCTGCAGAATGTGGGCGCAACAGGCACTCAGAAGCTTCAATCTCTCTGTTGTGGTGGAGGTTGTTGCAAGGGCCAAGTATTGCGTCCTGTAGATGGACCAATCTCAGGCTTCAATGCTATTGCTGGGCCTATCGGCAACAAGGCTTTCGATAGCCTCAACCTTAACCTGGATCTCCTTACCATGGACAGTGACCTTTCCAACATTGCCCCGCTCCCAGAGAAGACCGTTTCATTCAAGCCGATTCCCGCATCGGCGGTTGATATGACCCTGGGTCCTGCAGACCACCCACCATCATTTGTGCAACCGCATCCACCTTATTCGGTCTACCGTGCGCCTCTGTTCCACGCCCGTGAGTTGACAGGGGCTGGCGCCGAGAAGCGCACCTACCACTTTGATATCGACGTCACTGATTATCCCGCCGAAAGCGGGATGGTCGACTTCGTCGTTGGCGGTGCGATTGGCGTGTGTCCCAAGAACAAGGACTCAGAAGTCGAAGACGTCCTCAATCTTCTGGGTGTGCCAAAGTCCATGCGTGACAAGAAGGTCATCATGCGCACAACCAACGGCCGCTGGCCTACAATTTGGGGCGATGATAAGGCCCGCGAGCTGATCACCACCCGACGTGAAGTCCTCAGCTGGTGCTCCGATATCCAGAGTTACGCCCCCACGAAGCCTCTCTTCCGCCTCCTCGCCGAGCACACCAGCGAGCCAAACGAAAAGAAAATCCTCGAATATCTCTCCTCCGCTCAAGGCCAAGGTGCCTTCTGCGACCTCCGCACAAGCTCCTTCGTCTCCCTCAGCCAACTCCTAACCGCCTTCCCTTCTTCCCAACCACCCCTCGACCACCTCCTCTCCGTCCTCAACACTCTCATGCCCCGCTTCTACTCCCTCTCTCAAGACCCCCAGATCTCCTGCAAATACAAGGGCAACGAATGCCGCCGCCTAGTCGAAGTCGCCGTCACAGTCGCCGAATCCGCCGATTGGCGCGGCGGATCACGCACAGGCGTCAGTTCCGGCTACCTCGAGTCCCTCGCCCGGCAAGCCATTGCCGCCGAAGCCAAGGGCGAGAAACTCGATCTCCACATCCCCATGTTCCGCGGCCTGATGGCCAACCCCCTCGCTACACGTTTCGCGTCCGATGGCCCGATGCTGCTGATCGGTGCGGGCGTTGGTATCGCGCCTTTCCGTGGCTTTGTGCAGCGCCGACTTCAGTCAGCCAACTGCGCCAACAAGGTCTGGGTGCTGCAGGGCGTGCGCGACTCACTGCTTGATGAGCTTTACTCTGGCGAGTGGGGCGTGCATGAGGACAAGGTGCGGACTGTTGTGCAGAGCCGGACGGGCGAAAGTCGATATGTGCAGGAGGAGGTTCGACACCAAGCCGATCTTGTTTGGTTCGTGATCAACTCGCTGGATGGCCGTGTGTTCGTTTGTGGTTCCGGCAAGGGTATGGGTGAAGGTGTCGAGGCTGCTCTTATCGATGTCGCTATGGCGAAGGGAAATCTCAATGCCCAGGAAGCCGATATGTTCTGGCAGCGCAAGAAGGAGGCTGGACAGTACATTGCTGTAAGTTTTTGGTTTTCCGGTTTTTTTTTTTTCAGGGACGCTTTGCTAACTTTCTTCTGCCAGGAAACTTGGTGATTATTTTAATCATAGGTGGTTTGGATTTGACGAATCATGCTATAGCCACATTCCCATGACATCCATCTTGTGCGAAATACGATCTGGGCGCTTTTCTACTTCCCTTGGTCTGCGCGTCCCTACATTTGTCATATCCTACCTACATCTGCAAAAGCTCTTTACACCAAGGCCACCTTGGCTATGCACAATCGACTAGGTTGTCGATTCGATTTTCCACTGTTTTGCAGGCTTTGTACCTGATTCGTGTTCTTTAGCGGGGTTGTTATCCGTTCTGTTTTTTTGTTCCTATTTTGCACTCCTCCTAAGGTATGCCGGTTTTATCCATCGGGCGTTCTGGTACTGATCTTTCAATCACAAATCATACATACATTACTTTCTCAAAATTTCATTTCGATGGACGTTTTACAGTCCTGTTGTTACCTTCCTTTTGCGGTGTTGTAGCCTTGATGTCTGTCGTGTCTTGTCTCTATATATTGGTACACTGGAGCTGATTTTCAAGTGAATCCTCAAATAGGTCCCTGTCTGGGTAGCAGGAGTGGTGATCTTTGCGAAGAAGACGAGGCAGTATAAGCAGTGTGATTGTTGGAGTCTCATTATAATTGTGTCTAACAGAGGGGCAAAGAACGAGGGCGATGCGCAAATATTCCGACCTCTCGCGTTATGCTTAGATGCCAAAAAAATCGTGGGAGGCGATCACCACACAGCGTGGTATATCGGTAGCCCATAGAGTGCAAGTTTGTCATGGACACCACCATCTCCAAACCCGCGCATCCCCAGTCTTCAACAAGACGCAAGCGAAAACCCAGAACCCCATCAAGACAGGAATCGTAGACACTCAAACCGGCGTCTCCCAGAACAAGACACACACTACACTCTAAAACGGCACACATGCTGCAATCCACTTCCGCGAGACCTCATCTCTCACCACAACCGGCTACGTTCTCCGGCCCCGCAGCTAGTCCCCGACTTGGTCCCATGAGTCTTGAGCCTGTATCGTAGTTGCAATAACGCATCAATCGCAAGCCAGCAGTGCCCAGTGGTCGAAATACGCACAGCAGTGGGAGTGCTTGTCATCATGCCAGTCAGCGAACTGACCAGGAAGATATCGTACGTGATTACAATGATGAGGTCGTGAATGAGCTCATCGCCACCACGCAGGTCGTCGTACATCCAGGCAAGAAGCAAAATCAGAGCACATTCATTTCCAATGCCGAGGGCAGCGCTCATGGCAAACACAGCAGGTATGGAACCTAATAGCAGCTGTCTTTTTTGTGCCTGGGTAATGCAGCCTCGTGGAAGAAGTCGCCATGGTTTGTTCTCCAGGTCTTCCTTGACTGATTCTGAGAGTTGTTGATTAGCGAGCTCGAATACGAACACATCGGCCCGGTTGGATAGTAGCATGCGTGGTATACCGTGGATAACGAGTGATCGGAGATTAGGGCTTTGGGTGCCGTCTATCAGTGTGGGAGTTGCTAGTGCTACGAGAAGGCCAAGACGGTATTTGGGAGGACGAAAGTTGGGATATGGCTCTCACTAAACTCCCAGAGAAGGGACACTAGCTCTGCTGGCTGAGGGAAAGGATTGTATCGATATTTTGTTTTTACATAAAACCGACAAAAGGGTCAAGAGATATATAACAGAATCTGCAGGGATAAATGCGGCTGAATGGGCCAACAAAGTTGCTTTCTCGGGAGCATCTCTGATTCAAGATCTACGAGACATAGATCATGGTAGGCGTATTTTCCATTCGCTTTTTAATCGCCTATTCCATGAGATGCACTCTAGGAAGGTAAACTGAGCTTACTGGCTGACGCCAAAATCCACCGTGAGAAGCGTATTTAACACATAGATATCACGCAAGAGCGCCTTCATTGGATTTTGCGAAGCTAAGCCTCCTTTTCCCGAGCTTGTTGCCCAAAGGAAAAGATAATGCGGCTCAAACCGATTGAAACTCAGCTGCGGGCTTCTGCGCATCTCAATGTCTTCTTATTACTGGATTCCCACTTCTTGCATCCAAGACAATGTACACACGATACCACCATTCATTGGGGCGATTGTCGGGTTTGTAGCACACTATGGACTATTCATTCTGGTTTTACATCTGGTTGCCTTCCTATATCTGTCTCTCATGACAGAAACAGCATGGAAGCTTATCTCCAGCTACCTCCTTATGATATTACCCAGCATTTTCATCTACAGAATCTTCTTCCACAGACGGAAACACTTTTCTGCACCGTTCAGGCCTCTACCACCAAGACATGGCATGTCTGGAAATCACACAATTCAAAGAACCATTTTTCGCTCGAACAAATACAGGCAGGATATGGAGACTTTGTCAGAATCGGTATGGTCTTTATCCTAGCTTGCGAAAGGATCCTGACCGTTCTGATCATAAATATAAGCAAGATCACAGTCTTCCATCCAGATGTCTTCATGGGCATAGATGGTCCTTGAAGCAAGTGTATTAAGGCTGAATGATATGACCTACTACATAGTAACAGTGTTGCACGTTGCGCGCACCTGGAAGGGGTTATATCTGAATCGTTGCGGCCCCACCCTTCCATTCCCTCAGTCGGCTATTGGAAGACCTCATTAAATGAGGGCATGAAAATCGTGGGGGCTTACATTCCTCCTGAGACCACAGTGGTAGCCTCCCGATTTGTTATAGGGTGCCGTAAGGCTTCCGCCCGTTATACCACTGCAATCCCAAAGCACGACTGACAGGTGAGATATGCGAGGATTGTTTCGAAGACGCAGAGCAATTCATCCCTGAACGGTGGACGACACGTCCGGGGATAGTGCGTGATAGGGTTGCCTTCAGGCCGTTTGGGACTGTTAGGTGTTTGATCATCCCGACAATAAGGACACGACCCGTTGGGCGGTTTAAATAGCTGCATAGCTGCCCGTTTCTGCAGATGAATAATTACCACCCTCTAGGCTCTAAAAGCTGGATCGGACGAGGCTTGGGGATGAACGACTTGATGCTTGTTACTGCACATATCGTTCATCACTACCAAATGCAATCCCCGCCGCGTGAGACAGAGCAGGCAGTGTTCAATGACCGGAGTCACCCAAGGACGGATTGCACTTGATTTTCGAGATGCGTGCAGACTAACACTATTGGGCCTCTTTCTGCCAGACCTCCTGGCAGTACTTTTGATATCAAGGAGCCTGAAAGAAGCCCGACCATCGCGGCTATCCTATCCAAGACATTCCGTACTTCGTATCGAGTCCTCTGTGCCAGAATGACATGAATCTCAAAATTCAGTCTTCATATATGTTTCTCGCCCGATTTGGTATTGGTCTGGGGTCTTTCCTAGATAAGAAGCTCTTGCCTAAAGGATTCCCCCACGCCGATCAAGCGTGTCTACCGTAGTACTCCCCCCGTGGTGAGTTCTGACATCTCACGCTAACACGAATATAGTAGTGTGACGTTCCCGACATCTCTAAATTTAGGAAGGTAGCAGACAAAGAACGCGTACTATTGACATGGCCTCTAGCGCCGAGTCAGGCACTAGTGCATTGACTGACTAGTGGACTGATCGGCCGTCGGTACGGAGTACATATGTTCACGAGTACCACTCCATCGGGCCCATTTTATTCCAGGTGCCTAACCTAACCCGTTATAGAAAGAGAGGGAACCCCGTCAGAAGAAAGAATGTGTACTTGGGCCAATAGGAAAAACAGAGGTGAATATCACCGCGCATTCTGGCGAGAGATTGGTGGGCTTCGTACGAACTACGCTCTTGGCAGAGATGAATTATGCATGAACTAACGTTGACAGGAGTTTGGGGTAGGGTGTGGCGAGGTGGCAAATAGGATTGCCTGCTTTCTGGGCCAGGTCTATATAGAGAGGTGGGAAATTCAAGGCAATCCTGAAAAAGGGTGAGGCGATGCCTTGCTTGTTCCCATACCGCTTCTCTCACGATCCAGGATCTATCCCTAACTTCGGTGGTTGGCTTTCTCCAAGAAAGAAGAAAAGAAAGAAGAGAAAAAGAAAAAGAAAAAGAAAAGCAACATATCCAGGGAATTATTCTCGAAGTGGCACTCCAGCGCTACCTGGTGAATACCTCTGACCTAGTATAGCCTCCCATGTCCTTAGCGAGGATACGGTTAGACTCCCAAAATTGAGCGGTATTTTATTTTCCATCTGCTCTTCGTACGGTGTATTCTTTTTCTAACGAAAAGAAAAGAATTAGTGCACCCACGAACCGGGAACCCAAGTGACAAATAATGCGACGTATTCCACCGATCTGGAGCAATTCCTCCGGCGCTACGCTAGGGGATGTGGACTGCAGCATATAACCCTCTGTCCATTCCCCGGGCTTTGGAGTGTGAAACCAGGCTGCATGTGAGACCAGTCACTTTCCCAGGGCCGATCCCAGTTCCTGGTCTGCGAGATCCGATGATCTGCATTCCATTTCATGCACGATCTCGGACCAGGTGAATGGGAGTGGCAGGGATGACGATCGAGTGGGATCTGGGTTCGGATACTCCGTATTCCGTAGTCCGTAAGGGTAGGGATTTAATTTATGGAGTATTTCTTTTTTTTTCGTTCTGTACTCCGTAATGGGGCCGGATCTCGAGTGGCCTGAATAGGCTCTAAGCGAAGGGCCAGTGGGAAGGGTCGATTTGGCTGCCAGATCTCTTCGCCCTGAAATGACGGACGAATCACACAGATCCCCGTAGATCCAGGGCATCCACGAGGCTGGTTCCGGAAATGAGATGGAATTGTTTATTGGGTATATTTAAAGAAAGGGAAAAAAAAGCAAGAAAAGAAATAGATTGCATCGAGAGATCGGCTTTGGGATCGAGAAGCCTGTGCTTTTTTTTTTTGTGAATATGGGTCCAGTGGAACAATATAAAATACCTCTGCTAATCAACTTCCGACTGCGATTCCAAATCATTGAAACCTTGGGGACTTCGAGGAAATGAAACAGGAGGGGCCACTCCGTATAGGGCTAGAAGTCCCAAATCTGATCCATAAGATGACACTTTCTTTTTTTCCCTCTTTTTGTACTTAGCCTTGCATGGTGCGGTACAACACAAGACAGCAGCTCACCAATCACGAAAAATCTCTTGGAGCCAAGGGCATTGTTCCGAGGGCTTGATTGGGTGGACCCCACTGGGGACATCAGGATTATTGAGTCAAAAGGCGACTAGTTTCGAGAGCGGGTCGGTTCGGGCTATGGTGTCAAGCTGAGAATCCATACTCCATATACAGCATAGTAGAGAATAGGCGAGAGCAGAGTCCAGGTACCCTAATGTATGGAGTACGGAGGACCTAATGTGCCTAATGTAGTAAGTGTCACATCCCAGGTTCCCTTGAGATATCATATGCGAGTATCGATCCAATCAGCATATCACTTGCCCACTTCATGTGTCGCGTGAGTGGAATGAGCCTTTTCTTTGCTTTTTGACCCCCAAAAATCATGTCAAAAAAAAAGCCAAAGCGGGCACTCCGGATGATCTTTGATCTGACGTACGGAACTAAGAAAAAAGAGGGAACGAGGAAAAAGGAAATAGACCAAAAAGAAAAGAAAGAAAGCAAAAAAAAAAAAGAAAAAGAGCGCCACAGCTCTCGAAGGAAGTGGAGATGAAATTGAAGAACCTCTCTGAACGATCGATGATGGACCAATACCAAACCCTCGTCCCTCGATCTCCCGATGAGAGGCTCCCATCTGAGATCCAAGGGCGTCATGTGCATTGTGATTCGCCTGAACTCACAACCTCTTGTCTCTTGTCTCTTGTCTTTGGATCCTCTGGCACAACCCGGGACACTCGGCGATCTTTTCCTTCGGCATTGTCTAAATGATGCTTTGCTCGTTTCCTCTTTTGTCTTTTCCACTTCCATGGGACTGGTTTCTTCTGCGGTTTTCTTTTCTTTTTTGGGCTCTTTGGCTCTCTTTTTGGCTCTTTTTCTGTTGAAGCTCTGGGAAAAAGCAACGGTTAATTAGATCAATGTCAATTCACTTCGGCCTGAGGCATATCGGGACATCCTGACTCCATCCTGCCTCTCTTCCTTTCTCCAGTTGGATCCTCTGCTGGTATACGGGTACGATTCGGGCTTTCGGAGATCTCGTTTACAGGCTCACGGTTCACTTTGTAGATTAGTGAGGCGGGGGAGGAGGGCAAGGGATCTATTCTGGATTCCTGATCCCAGGGATCCAATGAGACCCCAAGGCCTGGCTCGAGCGTGGGACCCGAGGAGTTCGTGAGATAGATCCTCTAGGAGATTGGCATCTGTCAACCTTTGGATTGACGCCCCCTTCTCCGCTCTGCATTTTGACACGGAGCCCTCGACGCATGTACTCCACCAGCCCACGATCGTCATTTTTCGGTGGCTCCCCCCTGTTCTTGCTTTTCCATGGCTAAAGGGCTTTTTCTTTTTTATTTAATTGACTTTATTATAGATTTGGGGCGATTTTTTTTGGTTTTAATGTACGGGCCCTGCATTATTTGGAACGCATTTCCATTGCGCTCATTCCCCAACCTTGCATATAATCTTGGCCTTTCTGTTCGATGTCAACGTAAAACCACCCTGCTTTCCCTGGTGAGTCGGATTTGACTTTCCCTTGGCATTTCTTCCTAGACTCCTGTCGACAGTCCCCTCCGATCCTTGATCCTAACGAGACTATAGTTCTCTTGATACCTGGTGCTCTCGACGTGTCCGGATCTTTCGAGCTTTGTCCCTAAACACCTTGTCTATGTCACGGTCCCGTGGGATCGACGAAGATACCGATATGGCTATTTCGTATACCACCCAGCCATCCACCGGACACCCTCACCAAACTCTCCCCTCAATCCGCGAGGTAAGGCCAGAAACCTTCGCAACGTGAGAAACCACACTAACCCTCAGTTCCAAGCTTCTCCCCGCTTACCTCCCCGATGGAATTGAATCAACCTCCCCATACTACACCTCTCCCCGCCAACCAGATCGGCCAGGCTCAGGCCACAAAATGGCCGATCCCCGGTCTATCCCATACGGCCCCCAACATACCAAAATGTCATACGACATTCACCGCGAATACACAACCTCCCGAGCCGAGCATTCCCGCATGGCCGACCCAGGTCACCACATGCGGCTATCCGAGACCGCAGCTCGTGGCCCAAGTCCCATCCTCCCCCCAATCCGCGACCTGGACTCTATCCCCGGGCGAGTGATGAATCCCCAGTCCAGAGACGGGTATTTAGATCGGGCATCCGACCATCTCACGGCGGACTATCGCCCACCCGGACCCATGGCAGCACAGATGGACCCCCGCGCGGAGCAGCACTTCGCCGCGCCGATGATGCACCCACAGTCACCATATGGACATCCCGTGTACGAGGAGCAGATGTCGCCGCCGATGATGGCGCATGGGCAGGCGAATTTCGGGATTATGGGTGATCCCATCGATCCCAAGACGAAGCGGCGACGGGGGAATCTCCCGAAGCCGGTGACGGATATCCTGCGGGCTTGGTTTCATGAGCATCTGGATCATCCTTATCCCAGCGAGGAGGATAAGCAGATGTTTATGACGAGGACTGGGCTTTCAATTAGTCAGGTATGCCTTTCTGTTCTTTTGGCTTTTCTGGTTGTGGTTGCTAATGTCTTGGATAGATCAGCAATTGGTTTATCAATGCACGCAGACGACAACTTCCAGCTCTGCGGAATCAAATGCGCAGCGGTGTGGATTCTGAGTCTCAACGACACTCTCCGTTCAGTGACGTTGATGGCTCGGAGCACCTGCCTTCGCCTCACCATTAGAGTGGGATGAACCTGAGTCTAGACGCTCGGGTTTGATAACGGCCTTTTTTTTCCTATTCCTTCTCATTTTTCAACGTTATACGGCATTCGCAACGTCAGCGTCTTATTCATTTCACGATTGGGAGGTTTTTGTTTCTTTTCGTTATTTTGTTTACCATTCACGAGTCCACGGGGTTGAGGATCTGGCGATAGACTGGCATTTTGGTTCCTTTTCTCTATCTGTTTTTTAATGCTGTTCCGCTTTCTTTTTCTCTTCATTCCAGGTCTCTGCGCTTCACACATGTCGCATTGCCGTCCGGTACGGGAGACTTTTGATCAGACACGACACTTTGATACCCTTTTCTCTTTGGTTGCGTTTTATCAAGCGGGAACGTCTTTTGTGACTGGAAATCCAACGGGCACAGGTGGTACACTTGAAACTATACGACATTGAGAATTCGAAATCATTTCTGTGATTACTATACTTTTGTGATCTTTTGTTCTTTGCAGTTTTTTTTTTTTTTATCCATCGCATTGAGGCTGGGACTACTGGACTGAACCCGCGAAAATTGCATTGTCCTGGTGTTTAGAGGAACGCTTTCAAATCTACCTGACATATTTGGTCTCCATATTATTTTTTTCACACTCTATGATGAACAGTTCATTCACGGCCTGAACGGAGTACCCGGTGCCACACTGCGGGTCCTAAATATCAATCGCTACGCAAACAGATCTCAGCTGCCCACCGCACAGTCTCCACCATGGATCCTCGGCTCTGGGTTATCTTATTGCGCGCCGTGGGAACGTCGATCGGCCCTTACCACTGGCTCGGAGTATCCTCTTTTTGTCTTTGCTCCAGCGCGATCTCCGTGTTCTAGATTCCATGCTTTGCATTGTCCATGTTACCGTAGCTTTTTCCTCTTGAGCTGGAGAACCCTAATGTAAGACACTCGGCTTACCGGAAAGATGTATTCCGCCATTTTTAACGAAAGAAAAGGGTTGGTTTTCGGGGAACCATGGAACGGAGGGTCACTAACCGCCGATTTCAATTTCGCCTTTTAGGACCCGTCAGCTCGTTGCCGGATATTACACTTCGTATTCTAGATTGTATTCTAGATTGTATTCTAGATCGTGTTTAGGCATATAGTGTCAGGCATTGACATGATCGCCCCATTTTGACTTTTTGTGCCCTTCATGACGTCGGATATCAATCCCACTCGGCCCCCCCTTTCATCCTGTTGACCGCGCTTATGCGTTAGTCCGCGCGGTTACGGGATGATCGACTCCGTACTCTGATATCATACCAGTTTTTTTTTTTTGCATTGAAAATCGTCCATATGCTGCCCAAACTAAATCCATTTCATACCCAACCAGGGTCCCCAATGACGTGAACTGACAGCTGCATGGAGCCCAGCGTTAAAGTTCAGCTATCCGGGTTCCTCCTAGCCTAAAATCCCGATTCGGCTTTATTCTTTTCTCCTTCTCTTCTACCAAAAGCGCACGGTAGGAACCACTCGAATCCATGGGACGTGAAGTGACTCTAGGTTGTGCCACGTGAATCCTGATCTGGGTTCCAAACGGGGTACGCTCGGGGCTTTTTCTTCTTTTTGCCTCTGACAGCCCGAGTACATATTACATTTTTGATTGAATGTGGATGCTGGATATATTAATTGACATTGACAATCGGTGCTTGCGATACGCTGAGCCACTATTACAATATTGTAATACTGTGGAAAGTAAATTGTTGCTCTGGTTCCAAAGTCTCTTTCAGCTTGGGATTCCGTTCCTGCGCCGAACCATATCCGTATGAAATAGCTTTTATAGAGGATCTTGGTATTCACACGACATTTAGCTAACCGCAAAAGTAGATCGTATACCCGCTGATCGTCTAACATTGACACGAGGGAGTTAAGATTTGTCTTCATTTGGATTTTCCCAGCAACCCCTGAAGTCATCGGGTCCTGACATGGCCCCAAAAATACCCTGACTGCCGATCTTGAGCTTCGGCCATCTTGCTGAGTACGGAGTCGAGACGGGTCCTTCGCAGGGATGGGGATCCAGTCTCCCTCGCCTCAATTTGTTGCTACATTATGAGGTACGAGTTTCTCTAAAATTGAGACCTCCCAGTGAGGGGTCAAATCCACTCTGTATGTTGTAATTGAGCACCGTGAAAGTGATATCACGTACGGAGTACATCCAGAACCAAAAAGCAAAAGAAAAAGAAAAAAAAAGGGAAAACAGGAAAACAGGATTTAGGGTTGCAGTTACGTCTACAAAACTCCGTATACTGCAAAGAAGGACTCCATACGGAGTAAACACTGCATCCCCAACTCCGTACCTCGCAAAAAGCAAGAGAGAAAAAGAAAGAAAAAGCAAGAAACCACCCTCCAACAACCCTCACCTGACGATCGTAACCCAGGTCTACAATGTGGACAGCGGTTATGCAAGCCACGAGCCCAAACTCCAGTCGAAAGGTATCTCCGACGCCCACGACTGGCCCAGCGATCTGAACGCCAATGCACCCAAGTCGTGCAGCGTGCATACATCGAAGAGGCGGGTGGGAGGGGGTGGGAGGGGGTGGGAGGGGGGGTTGATCGAATCACAACGCATGGAAACGTTCATCCCCTGCCTTTCGCTGTCAACCTGGTCTGGTGGCAATGCCCAACCAAACCCCGGCTTTGTTTTTTTAAATTGCCTGGCGATTGCACCCCTTTTCACGAGCTCCCGATCTGGATGTCGGGTACCCGCATCCGACCCGTCATATAGCGGTGAAAATCGGGGTGCGTTGACATCGAACGTGCATACCTTTGGGGGTGAATAATATCACCCTACATATGTAGGTACCTTCGGTGGAAGTGTAATTAACTCTACCTTTCGTCATCAGGTGTATGCGCTTCGCATTCTGCGCTGGCTTTAGGGTCAATGACAACGGAACTGCCAATGCGAGGGTGTGGCGTGTGTGGCGTTGGCTCTATTGGAGCTGTCCACTGCGGGAATATTTGTGAGCTATCTCATGTCAGGGTTTTGGGTTGTGATGATCGTGTAGATCGACGGGTGGCTCGTCCGACCGCGACGTTTCTCACCGTATACTCCGTGGTTTCCTGCTTTCTCGCGAGATGTCTAAGATAGAAAGAATCGAGGGGAGCTATACACCGGGAAGCGGAGTCTATGGGTAATTGGTCCGGAGGACGCGGAAGATCAAGATGTGATATACAATTCCTCTCAGATCGGGTTGTCTTCGCCTTGAAGCGGACATGGAAATATCGATGTTCACTGCCCCTCCTCTTGAATATTAATTATTTCTTTTTTCGGAGGGGGTCCATTTTCCAGACGTTGTCAAACGTCACTTAGCTGTCTACCACGCTTCCCATCCACGGTTCGAGCAGACTATTGAATCTCGCCGTATTAATTCCCAGATGAATGATCGACAGACCCCACCGTTCACTAGAATCAATAGCGTCGCTTAGTCTGTCATTTCTGACAACTGGGTTATTCGCTGTTTTTGGACCTTTATCCGGAGCTTTGTTTTCTTTCCGGTCTAGTGTTGTGTCTGTTAGGCGAGATAGCCGCTTATACCATTCTGTATGAGTATATCTTGTACCTCCAGACCGTCTTTTCGCGATACGTCAGCGTGTGGGTTTTGTCCAGATGCGATCCATGGATGGGAGAGTGTGCAGAACAGGGTCTGGGAGTTGATGTACGGTGGAAACAGGTTTCGATACTGTCAATTATTTGTTCATACTGCACGAATGCTTGGCTAGCCACGTTCTCGAGACATCTCAGATCGGGATGTCGAAGTGGGGATACGGTGACAGCGCAACTGTCTATGCATCTACTCCGTAGTGAGGTGCTTACTTGTTCAGGCTATTCCGACGGAGATGTTTAAATCGGGCCTAGGGACGGAGTACGGAGTGGCTCTTACAGGTGATATAATCATGTTGCACCACTCGGTACTCCTTGCACTGCACATGTCTCTACATCATTTCTCTTTGCGTCCCCAGTCCTGGGTGTCACAATTCTGCAAGGGTGTGACAAGCAGCATAAATCCACATCTAAGAGGTCACTTGTGCACATAAATAGGCGCTTAGATCACTAACTCATGTGTTGTGCTACATAAGAAGCTCCATGAAGAAACATGAAGGTGAGGCAAATTTGATATATCAGACATCAAATGTGACAGCAACTGTATATGTGTCATTTCTCGGGTATATCATGCATGTTCATGCATATCTGATATTGGTGTCATAATGTCTTGGTATCGAGGTGATTCTAAGTAGTTGCCTATATAGGCGATCTTTTCCCTAGGTGTTGTGTCTCAGAGCCTGGCGACTGGACCCCTTCAGGGCTTGTAGATTAATGGTCATGCATGTGGTGTATGTTCCTGAGTAGTATGAAGTAGGGAGTCAGGTTTAAGATCAGTGTGATTCCTATGCTGGTTTAAGTGCTTTTTGTGGATCGATGAATGGCGTCTTCTGTGGATGGATCAGTACGGAGTATTTGGATTTAGCTGGTCTTTGTGCTACAACTATGTCGACACCTAGGCATTATAGATATCTTACTAGTTATCTTTTACGATTGATTGTTGAGACCTACGAAGTGGGACTCAGAAAAGGGAGGAGGGAGAGAGTTGTTTTTAGGAAGGAGACGAAGCTCCCGACTATCTATATAAGAAGGTGATGCCTGTGCATCACGGGACCTCACGGGACCTCTAGTCTCAACATTGATCAGAGACTATGTATCTCTCGCTCCTCTCCAGGGATGTGCGTATCATAGGCGATTGAGGAAATCGGTGGTATATATTGAATAATCTGTTGATTGTCTGTTGTGTTTGGAAATGACTGTTCCAACGGCTCTATTCTATCTTTGTATACTTTGCATACCTTGTATTTGCAATGACAGGGTGTATATGGTGCTATAGAGACTCGTGTTAGTGGCATGGCTATGTGGTTCTAACCCTAGTTCTCTACAAATTGTGAGAAGGAATGACTATGAATGACACTATATTCAACCTACAGTTGTGGAACAAAACTCTACTGCTAGATATACATCGAGCGAGACTTAAGATACGCCGTGTGCATCCTTTCTTCGTGTTTTCGAGCTTGCATCTTGCAGTCTGCGACTGGTCTCCCCGAGTGTGTCCCTTTCGTTCTTTCCTTGGTTCTCTCGGTGTGGTGAAGGTCTACATCAAGGCGGCATTCTTTTGGTTTGGGTGGGCTATTCTAATGTCCTTTCGTCACATAGACGATTAGAACTGCTCGATCATCAAAAAGAAAAGTCTTAGACTTGATGTTTTCGTCGGTCGATGGCAATATATATAGTCCTCGCCCAATACCCGATGTCGCCGAAATCCGACAAAATGGGCACATAACTCGATACCAACTCGATACAAAGTATTTATCATACCAATTCAATGCCAATACTATTCCTTCAAACCTTTTCAAATCGTCTCTGTAGAATTGCATCAATTCTGACATCTCGAAACACGTGCACCCCAAGTGGGTCTAGACGGGTCACATGTTGCCCTCGCTTATAATACACATTCTGGCTACTTCTTCCATCAAGGCCGGCTGGCCCAATGGCAAGGCGCTTGACTACGAATCAAGAGATTGCAGGTTCGATCCCTGCGTCGGTCAATATTTTTGTTTCCTGTTCCTTTCCTTTTGGTCATCACTCTCACTGCATCAATGGGCTACTGAAGTGAGGAGGGTGGGAGAAGCATTCTTTTTACCCCTCATCGGAGGTCGCCGTTACGCCATGCCGTTGCACCGGCATAACGAGAATAACAGGAAAGCCAAGGCCACCCAAGGTCAGAAGGAGAGAGAGGACAGGGGTCCCAGCTCCTAGTTGTATGCATGCTGACCCGGGAAATCCCAATCAAGAAAGTCCTCACACCAGGCACGTCGAAGAGGCTGCATAAACAGTGGCACTTGTGCAGTGCCTAAGCGGCGAAAGGTGGAATGATAAGTCCGCAGTGAACAGACAACACACTTGAAGCGCTCCAGCGGGGCTTTAATCTAAAAGGTACCCTGGGCGCATTTAGGAAACCTAAAAGGAAATGGCTTTTCCCGCAAGCTTCAAAACGCCACTGAACCTTAGGCGATATAGCGATATAGATAGAACGCTCACTACCGAGGCGATGTGCTTCGGGGACTTCGGGGTCCTTGTGATTGTGGGGTCTCCCAGTCCCCTATGATCCCTGTCAATGAAGGACGATTAAATTGGAGATTTTCCGCGAGCTTAAATCCCATGTCCCACGATAGCACGTACAAGGACGGAGTATTTCGGGGCCGCACGGGGGCAAATTATATTAAAGCGTAGAGCGCGTGACTCGTAGTCCTTTGTACGAAGTAAATCAACTCATTTCTAGCGGGATGTACTGATCACATCGGTTGGCTCAACGCGTATCGCCAGAGAAGGCATAAGCATTCAACCATCGAGTTTGGGCTTATCTCTGAAACACGTCTATCGTCGGCTGGGGACTAAATCGAGAGAGAGGGACGCTGTGCGAACGGGCACCAGACCAAAAGTCGCCTAGCCCACGAGCCTTCAGACACGGAGGCGGATGGTTTGTCTAGACTCAGGGCTGTGTGGCTCCATGGCGATTTCTCATTGGAGTGGTCGGACATTTCTGCAGGGAAGATGCAAAGAAGCAATAAGGAAAGAGGTCGGCGGTTTCGAGCTACCAAATACCAATCAGGCGTGCAGTTTGATCTGACTGCATTGCGTTCATGACCCACGTCGATTCATCATTGTTATTGTAAGAGGGGTTGTGGCTTTTTGGTGGCTTTTGTCTACAACGTACGCGCCGTGACTGAAATCGTGCTGCTGCATTGCTGTGTTGCTTAAGAAAGCGGGTACGGATTAATATAGTTGTAGATTGTATGGTACTTTGGTTCTTCTCGCTCTGGGGGCATCATGCGAGGCACGTTGCTGTGATCGGCAGTCTCTAATTTACCTTGCAATATAGTATATTATTCACAGTTGGGGGGGGGTAATCCGAATACGATATGGCTCAGCAACGTATACAACGTATAGAGCGCATATGTACATAAACAACCGTTTTCATTTGTCATAGAGTTCACTTTATATCTCCAAGAAGGAGCGGAGTAATGCGTTCGTGTTCTTATTTCGTTCAAGACGCATCGCCACATCTCTGGGCACATCTTGATCTCCCGGTAAAAATCTTACGCAAGCATAAAGATTAAGCGATGACAGCTCGCATAATGCAGCTCAATCGGGCCGATAGCATCCAAGCCGGCCGCCAGTTGGTTCATTGTCATGGGTTGTGGGCCCAGGGGCCAGCCCACGGTCGATTACCCCAGAATTCAACCAAGCACGCGCAATTCAACAGTTGATGCCCGGGATCATGCGATATTAATGGAATTTCCAAGCTGACCGCTTCGCAGGCCTGAGAAGACTAACCCACACTACACCCAGAATGGCAGGCCGTAAGCCTGTGCATAAAAGTTATATTGCCCTGTTCATGAAGTGGATCCGTTGGGAACAAAAGGCCCAAACCTCGGACGACTGACTCGCTGGCCCGGGCGACTGTTTTATATTCACCCGCCTTGCCACTCGGTATTGCGCGATCAGCATTTCTACAGAACCCAGATTGCTTGCAACGTTGCATCTCGGTTTAGCTTTGAAACCGAAAGCGCTAAGCGATTTTGCCTTCGATTCTCAAACTCCAATTTCGATTCAGGAACTTTGGATCGGCGCTGTCAGTGTGAGCTATCATCCGGGAACATCCACATCCTTCCTCCTTTCACTGCGGAAGGCTGAACATAAAATAAATGAAGGCCCAGTGAATTGCCTTTGCGCATCAGTCAATCCAGCTCAGGCAAATGGGATGGGCGGAAAAAGGGCGATATCAAGGCTGAGGATAAGAGCGAAAGCGAGCTAAAGCGACTAAATCAGCCTAACCGGGCCGCTACTGTAAATGACCGGCAAGAAAATCCGCTGTTAGCCGGGCCTAGAAACCTACAATGTGACATTGGGACCCAGTTCTGATAGCCAGTTTCCCTTTGAGACATTGCACATGTTAGCCAATGAGCCCCGAGTTAGTGCTTCTGGCGGGTCCCTAATCACTGTCCCCTGCCCAATGGTCAGTTCAGCACGATGGCAAATTTAAACTAGTATCGTTTCTTGCTACGGCGTAGACTAAATCCCTAGACCTTGCATATAGGCGGAATCCTCCGAACCTGGGAAATGAAAAGGGAGATAAAATAAAATTAACACAGTCAGGACTAGGAAGCTCACGATAACCTCGGGATTTAAGCGAAGGATCCCAGTCTCCTCCCAAACACAAACAAACAGAGAGAGGGGAAAAAAACGATACCATACTGTAGATCGTGCCACCCCCTCTCTTGACGCTCTCCTACGGTCCACGTCGGGGAAATAGTGCAAGGGTCAATACGACAACCTCCTCGAAACTCTGCCGCCACTACCTTTTCTAGAAGCCGGGAGGCTTTGAGATTGGTGGATGCCCTTGCGATTACCCCAGGTCCGCTATGGTCCGCCAGGTTCCGCCACGAACAGGGTCAAATGTACCTGCGCGGAGGTCGATATCGTCAGTAATCAGTGACTTGTCGCAATTGGTTAGCAGTGGTGCTTCGGTCCAACGACCCGTTTTTATAAGGCTTGCGGACTGTCCCTGATAACGATCTTCATATCCTTTTTGGCTTTTGCATTTTAGAAAAAGGGTCCAACTGTCGATCGACCGTTTCCCCTCCCTCTTCTCTGCCCACTGGACCATCTTTCCCTGTCGATCAGACATAGATCCCCCAAGTACTTCCAGTAACCGTGCCTGACATCCAATGCAATGACGAGAACCAGTCCTCCAAATAATCCCATCTCCTGGGAGACCAAAAGCGTCGAGGATGGCACCAGAATCGACTCGGTCGCGTGTCAAGGTGTGAGGCCCAAGGGCCGCATCCGACGATCAATGACTGCTTGTAATACCTGCCGCAAGCTCAAGACTCGCTGCGATGTTGATCCTCGAGGTCATGCTTGTCGTCGGTGTTTATCTCTCAGGTTAGTTGGGTCCTTTTGATTGACGTTGCGTCCATTACGTACCTGATTCGTGCTTTGTGGAGCCCGTGGATCTATATGCGCTGACCATGGGCATAAAAAAAGGCTTGAATGTGAGCTTCCTGAGACAACGGAGCGCTTCCAAGATAATGCATCCACCTGGTCCGACGCCACCGCCGCAATCCCTTCCATTGAAGAACGACTTGTCTCCCTCGAACGAGGCATGGGGGAGATGATTCACCTGATGCGACAGATGGTGAACCGCTCCCCTAGCATGCCATGCAGCCCTACCTCGCAGCCCAGAAGCAACAGCATAGACGGCAGGGGGTCAACCGATAGCATGTCCCCGTCTTTCTATCCGCTGAAGCCGGCGCAGATCATACGAGATCTGCAAGCCGAATGCTTTGGCGAAAGGGATCACCTCTCCGAAGCCGATATCCTGGGAGACATCGTCACCCAGGGCATCGTAGATTCTAAGCTCTCTATGAAATTGATTGAACTGTGTGTCTGATTATGTGTCTGTCGGCGGACCTTCCTGCTAACGATATCGCCAGTTTCGTGGAATGTTTTGGCCATTGGATCTCAATTAATCATTCGTCCAGTATCCAACGGTCGAATTCCCTCCTGTTCAACACCGCATGTCTTCTGGCTTCGCGCTATCTGCCTGGCCTACCACAGCAGACCGTCCGCGATATCTCCCTCCATGTACAACATGCCGTGGCAAAGATGTTGTGGAGCCCTCCGCCCCTGACAACCGATATGTTGCAGGCGCTGACTTTGCTGTGTCTATACTCTACCTCCATTCACAAAGAAGGACTGATGGATGACTGGTTGCTGAGCGGGATCTCAATCAACCATGCTCTCATCTCATTCAACTTCCTCAATACCTTGCCAGGAGATAACCTTAATCCAGACGATCTACTTGCTCAGTTGCGTCTGTGGAATACACTCTGCGTCACCCAATTACAGTATGTTCCTGCTTTAACCTCACCAGATACCAAGTCTAACATATCAAACCTACTAGTTCCGCACTTGCAAATGGCCGCACTGTCAATATCCAACAACAATATATCGACCAATGTCCCCGGATCCTGGAATACGCAGGCGCCACACAGGAAGACGGAAGAGTCGTTGCTGAAATCCAACTATATCGCATTGCCCTCACACTCCAACACAGCCAGCACCGGCTCCAATTTGCAGAATCAGAATATGAAGAGATCGAGCGCTGGAAAATGGAATGGGCACATCTCCTAAGTACATAACCCCCTCTATATACACCACCCCTGTATATATCAAACCCCCTGAATCTAACAGAATCCCCTCTCAGCCAACGACGACAACTCAACCCTCGAACTTAACCTCTGGTTCTGCCAACTCCTCCTCCACCGAACAGCAACCCGCCTCCAACCCGACGCTGACCGTCTCGTCCCCGAGATCTGCGGCAATGCCCGTCTAATAATCACCAAGTTCCTCCAAACCCGCTTCTCCACCGCCCCCGCCCTAATCGACCACGTCTACTACATCGTCGGCTACGCCGCCCTCACTCTCTGCGACTACAGCATCCCAGACCCCCTCATCAACCAAGTCCGCGGCTTCCTCCTCCACCTCGCCCCGGGCGGCGACAACCTCCCCTACCGCATCGCCTGCATCATCGGCGAAGTCCAGCGCCGCTACTCTGAAGCGGCAGTCGTCAGCGCCTCGCATTCCCAATCGTCATCGCCGGTCGCACCTGAAGGCAAGGCGATGTTCCCGCATCCCCGTCCGGGAATGGATCTCACGCAGTTGATGCCCGCGTCGGAGGTTCTGGATACCCTCGTCGAGGGGTACAATTGTTTGGAGCAGTTGATGCCGTATGTGGCGCAGCAGAGTGGGTTTGAAGCACCGGATTTGTTTCATTCTGCGCCTGCTACGGGGGGCGCTATGCCTGTTGGCCTGGTGCCGAGGGCTTTGCATGATTGGTGATGATATGAGATTTAATTTTGGGATGCGGGATGCGGCACTGGATTGGTTTCTTCTTTCTTCTTTCTTCTTTTTTTGTTTCTCTTTTTCTTGGATATACCTAGATTAATGCAGGATGTGTTGATATGTTGATTTTGAAAGTATGGGTTTGTTATGGGATGTGTTCTCGCGCAGGAACGCGGAATCAACCCCAAAATGGAAATAATCGAGACTTGTTCAACCAGGCTTTCTTGTTTCATGCAATGTAATGTTTCATATTGCTTCAAACTAGTTCGAGATAGGTGCACATGCTTAGCTCGGGATACAGTATAGGTAGTCCCACATGGATTTTCTTGGTAGTTCCTCCGGAATCAGCCCATGTGGTCCCTAGCGCAAGAGATACTCCATAATTAATGGCATGATATATAGTTCCTCCGGAATAGTAAGCCACTAAACGCCTCTCCAAGCCATGGTTCGTTAGATCACAATTCTTTCCCGGTCTTCCGTTCGGCAGGCAAAGTGGCGTCCAAGAGATGAATACATGCAAATGATCTCTATAACTTGAACATCAAATTGAAAAGAACATACTATAAAGCTGAAGCAATAGAAAAAAATAAAAATAGTCACAGACAAAACCATACATTCTTTCTATCGACCCCAAAGCAGAAGCAAGAATCATTGGTACTAACCACGAATCTATCTATCAGACATTCTCGACCAAGACAAGACCAACCTCAAGGCGACCAAACACCCAAATGCGCGAAAGTCTACGCACACAGTTTTGAATCCTTCAGCAAATCGCTGGGATACAGAATCCGCGGCTCGCCACCAGCCATAGGAACGGGCACATTGCCACTATCGTCAACAGTGACGGCTTCACAGGTAATCACCTCAGTCAACTTATCACCAGCCTTGAATCCAGTATCAGGCACCGAAAGGGTGGACGAGTCACCGCCGGACCCGGCGTTCGTCAGAACGGTGATAGTCTGCGATCCGTCGTCGCCCTTGCGCATGGCGAGAGCGTGTTCATCTTTGTAGATGGGGTAGTTCTGGGAAGGGCGTTAGTTTTGTTCATTTTGTGTTTTTTTTCGTTTCCAGAGAGAAACATTGACATACCTGGTAAGTGGTATAGTTATCACCCTTAACAGCCACATTCCTAATTCCATTAGCCTTGGCAATGAGCTTGTAGAGCTCGGCGTCGGTGTCAAAGCCGGAGAGCCACGTGGCCTCGCGATTGGCTGGGTCCTCGCCACCGCTGAAGTGCTGTTCCTGTCCGGCGTAGATGATCGGGATACCGTCTGCCATGATGGTGAAGGTGGCGGCGTTCTTGGCGAGGGCGATATCATCGGTCAGACTGTAGTTTCGGGGATGATGAGCTTCTGCCAATGGAAGAGAAAGAAGAAAGAAGGAATAGGGTACTTACGAGGCAAAGCGTGCGTTATCGTGGTTCTCCAAGAAATTTCCGAGAAGAGTCGAATCCGGGCAGCCGTCCTTCACTGTTTTGATTCCGTTGTATAGACCTGCGATGTCACCGGAGGTGGATTTGAAGGCGTTGAGGAGTGGGTAGTAGCTATTTTTTCCAGATTAGTTTCCTTTCTCTTCGTATATTGCGAATACCGGGGAGTTCTTACATGGGGTAGTTCAACACTCCGTCCATAACCTCCTGGTAGGAACAGGTATATGAGACATCCCCATCGAAGACTTCGCCTACACAGTAGACACCCGCAGCCTTGTTAAATTCGGGCCAGAAATCTTTCTGAACGTGCTTGACAGTGTCGATACGGAGACCGTCGACTGTGTCTCATTAGTACTATGATAATATTTCCTGTGGTAGAATTGCGAAACTTACTCGAGTAGTTGGAAACCAAATCTCCAACCCAGTCATACCAGATCTTCTGGACCTCCTCGCTCTCAGTGTTCAAATCGGGAAGACAGACGTTGTCATCGCCGAGCCAGCAGCCCTCCACGAGTTCTTGGTTGTTGTAATCTGTGACTGGGCAGTAGTCGTGGAAGTACTTTGCGTCGTTGAACGGGGTGAATTTGGAGTAATCCACGTTAGTGCCCGCACCGGCGTAGCCCTTTAAAGAAAGTCAATATTAGCATGTGGCCTAGAACGCTATAACTAATTCGACTTACCAGGTGGTTGGCGACAACATCAACCATGAGATACATGTCGCGCTTGTGCAAGGCATCGGAGAGGGCCTTGAGATCATCTGCTGTTCCGAGGTTTGAGTCGAGAGCATAGCTTGCGTATAGTTAGCGGATTTGTAGTCTCCCAATATCTGCCTTTTGCGACACTCACATATCCTGCTGCCAGTATCCATGATAGGCTGCTCCGTACTTAGTATCCTCGGTTAATTGACTAGTGACCGGAGTGATCCAGATGGCTGTGAAGCCCATTCCCTGGATATAGTCCAACTGAGAACACAGTCAGTTGCGCGGTACATAAAACCGGGATTGAGAAGGTGACCGACCTGATCGATGATTCCTTGCCAGGTTCCGCCGCAGTATTTCTATTTCAATTTCAGTTAGTCTATATTCCCCCCAATTCAGTATCCAAACACCTTACCCTATCCTCGGTATCACAAGCAGCAGTAGTCGAGCCATCGGTTCGGGCAAAGCGATCAGTGAGCAGAAAGTAAACTGACTGCGAGCGCCATTCAGCCGGGGTAGCTGCAAGGGCCGAGCCAACAAGGCCAGCAAGCCAAGCCAAGCGTTGTAGAACCATTTCGTCAAGTACCTCAGAGAAAAGAAGGGCAGAAGTGTGTTTCTCAAATCCCAAGGCAAGACACGGTCTTTATATATTCCGTATTGAAGAAACCATGCATACTCGCAACGGCAGATGCACCAGCCCGGAAACCAATGACCGTTGGGATCGGAGTCCGATGAAGCAGGATGGACTCAAACCAATGAAACATAACAGAATAGAGGAAGATCGTCAGTGATACATTTAGGTAAATCCCCTCTAAATGTCCGCCCCTAGCCCACCGCGGCATCTCGCCTCAACACGATAGAAACGAAACCATTTATGCTGGAAAAGAGTCTGTATGGTCCTCAGAGCGCAAACCATACTCCATAATTGATTAGAATGACATATCGCCACCCCCGGAATAGCAAGCCACAGAACGCCTCTACAAGCCATGATTCGTTAGCCCGCGATCCCTCCACGGTTTTGCGTTCGGCAGGCAGTGTGGCACCCAAGAAGAGATTGATGCATGCACTATCTTGAAGTGACTAGTTTGAGCTGCAAGGTTCCAGGGAAAATATGTCAGAAGTGAAACATCCTTGAGAGGCGATGCCCCTGAACGCGGGGGTTGATCGAATCAGCGGGCGCGGAGAGTTGGACGCCAAATTTGCAGGGGAGACGAGAGAGCAGACCGTGTTGCTGCGGGGGTCATTGGTTAGTTTGAGATGATGTCGATCGTTTTTATTATCTTCGGGCTTTAGTCGGAGGTCATTGTGGGTTGATGTAAATCCCAGCCCTGAAAGGATGATCTTATACACAGAAAACAGGCCAATAGTCGGCCCGAGACAGTTATTTCTTCAGGAGACGGCAACATGCAATTTGGGAATACGATCGGGGGGCTTATGAGGTCATTAATTTGCCCAGCTGAGATGAGGCTGGTATGTACACACTAGACAAGGGGATGTTGTCTGGGAAGTTGGATCACTTGAATGCACCAAGAAGGGCACAACTGCTTCACTACAATCTGAACATAGGCCTGTAGCCATGCTAAAGGGTGAAGGGAAGAATAAATATAGGAATTCATGGACAGATAGCCAAAGCAGGAAGATCCTTCTGTAGCATCGTCGATTGTGCTTCATGTGCGTGGACTAGGGCTAACTGTCATGTCGATCAACCGTAGAAAAACTCAGTGAATGAACCATCCATGTCAAGAAGAATAAACATTAACCCTCCCATTACCAATTCAAAGTCCAGTCCTCACTAAACGCACCCTGCGGTGTCAACTTCTGCAAACCACCCACAGACAACACATGAGAGGTAGCATTATACTGGACTCCAGAGACCGGCACCGTCCTACCATTCAGCTTCACAGATCTGGGCTCCTTGTGCACACCAAGAACAGTCACTCGATCAAGAGGATTTAATTCTTTCCAGTCACCCGTTGCCCTGGCACTCAGAGTCGATCTTCCAACATCGAAAGCAATATTAAGCGTTTCGGACGGAGCATTGCTCTCACCGTCATCGAGATAAAGCTGGCCTGACGCTAAGCCATGACCACTCAGCGCGACAAGTAATGACCAGGGTGTTTCACGCGCCTCCTTGGTAGTCAAAGCTGGTTCCTGCATAGGCAAGACGCTACCGCCGCGCAAAAAGACAGGGATGTGGCCCAGTGGGGCGGGGATGGTGGTGTTGACACCAGGTTCTACGTTCATGGCGGTCTGGGTGTACCAGTCGTACCAGACTTCACCATGCTTGACGCCCGGGAAGACGCCCTTGACGGAGGTGGCTTGGGGCTCAAGCACGGGGACGACCATGATGGATGGGCCAAGGAGAAACTGAGTGTCTACGGCGGCGAGGGAGGGGTCCGTGGGGAACTCCCAAGCCAGAGCGCGCATGACAGTCGAGCCGGTCGTGTGGGCTTCGTGGAAGAGGGTATAGAAGTATGGGAGGATTGCATAGCGGATCTTCATAGCGGCTTTGGCGGCGGCTGTGACAGATTCCCAGACATATGGCTCCTGCGAGATTGCAGAGAGGGTGTTATGATTGCGGTAGAAGGGGAAGAAAGCCGAGAGTTGCATCCAGCGATTGCAGAGCTCTTCATCGGTATTGCCGTTAAAGCCGCAGGTATCGACGCCGAACATGGGAATTCCGAAAAGGGAGAATGACAGGGCTTGGGGAATGGAGAAGAACATGAATGCCCATCTCGAGGCGTTGTCGCCGCCCCAGTGACCGGCCCATTTACCGGATCCTGCGAATGTCGAGCGACCGATGACGAAGGGACGCTTCTTTTCGTCAACCTTCAACAGCCCCTGGTACGTGGCTTTGAGGATTTGATGGCCCCAGAGATTGTGTACATCGTATTCTTGAACACCATCGGAGTGGGTCGCATTCGGAGACACTGCATGGGCGCCGAGAACATGGCCATCCTGATCGTGATTAATGACATATGGTGGATAGTTTATGTTGCGCACTCCTGGGGTGGGTGTAGTTCGCAGATAGGAGGTGGATGAGGGACTCGAGCCACCAGTTGCGCTAGCAGCAGCCTGGATAGAGGCAGCCGCAGACGCGGAGGCAGCCTCGGTCTTGTTGGTCACTTCGAATCCTTCTGGATAGTCGTAAATTATGTTGCCAGCCTCCCCAGGCAGCGAGAATGGAGGGTGGGCTGGGTTCAAGCCGAGGTTACCAGATCCACAGCTACCAACGCAAAAGGAAGACACCTCGTTCATGTCAATCCAAATACCATCGATGGCCATTTTTCTGTGCCAGATGACAATTTCGCTCGCCCAGAACTCGTCCGCCTTCGGGTTGTGCCAGTCGGGGTACACAGTGTAACCAGGCCAGACAGCGCCGATGTATTCGCTTCCATCAGGGTTCTTCAGGAAGACATCGTCCTTGTGACCGCGGGTATAGGTATCATAGCTGAACATGTATTAGCATCTTTCCTTGCATGATAGAACCAGGGAATCTTACGCATCCGAAGCGTTATTGGGGTTCGGAATGTAGATAGCAGAATCTATGATGGGAACATAGTGACGGCCGCTGCTGTGCAGCTTGTCCAGGAATTCCTCTCCCTCGCTATAGGGATAGCGGTATTTATCGTTGTCGAAGTCACGATAACCGTGCATATAATCAATGTCGTTCCTAGTCACGTCAGTACTTTAACTGCCAAACAGTGTGATGAGACAACTCACCAAATCGTCTCCAGCGGGATTCCAAATCTCTCAAAGTTGGAGACAACCTCCTCAAGCTCAGTCCAATTATTGTAGCCCCAGCGGCATTGATGGTAGCCAAAAGTAAAGTATTGCTGCAATGCTGGCAGACCAATAGTGCTCAACTGATAGTTCTTCGTGACATCAGCCTGGCTGGGGCCAGAATAGAAGGTGAGATCAACGCTACCTCCCAGGGTGCGCCACTTCAGACCTTCCGGCTGCATGATAATCTCCTGACCATGGGCATTTCTGAAGAAGACACCGTGCGAGAAGGAAACATATTCCTTGGAATGCTCAGCCTTGTGACTTGCAACGCGGGCGTGATGACCCCTGTCGTTGACCTCGTAATAGCGGGTATCTAGATAAAACGGATGAGACCCGTAAATGTTGCTGGTTGATGTGGTCAGTACTGAGACAGTAAGAATACCCGACTCCATTTTTGGGGGTACTTACTCGTCAATAGGGTCAGCAATATCCGAGGCATAGAGAGTCAAAGTGAGGTTATTCAAGAGACGCAGTTGCTGGATATGTTCCCCGATACCATACAAGTTGTAGTCCTTGGGCAAGGAAGTAAGAAACTCAATAAATTGGTCCTCGAACACCAATACTGAACCAGTGGTATCAAAGATCGCATCACGGGTAGCCTTGCGGGTCACCTTGAAATGGAAAGAGGGCTCATTGCCCCAAGTGATCTCGAGATCGCTGTCTCTCTTTGATCCGTGGGAATCAGAAGTAGGTCTAGGAACGATCTTTTCATCCAAGACAAACCATGAAGAGTTCGAGGAATCCAGATAGGTCGGGACGATTCGAACATTGAGGCGGTCATCGGCAAGGTAGTCAATGGAAAAGTCCAACGAATCTACATCTGTACCATACACATTACATGGCTTGCCTGCGAGGGTCAAGGTGGCATTCAAGCCACGAGCAGACTTCTTTACGTTTGAAGCCTTGTAGCCCGGACAGACAGACTGCGCATCGACGGCATCAGGATCATCAATGTTGGCGATCTGCTGAACACCAGCATCTGTATTACCGGGGATGGTATATTGGGAGTATGCCGAGGAGGAAGTCGACGTGATAGGCTGAGAGTCCACGCTAGAGGCTGAGAGTAAGAAAGCGCTATAGGCTACTGGCAAAAGCCAAGCGGCAGCAAGAAGGTTCTTTACGCCCACCATGACAGGCAGTTTCCTGTTTGGATTCAAGAGGCGGGCGTCTCGTGGCTCTCAGAAAACCATAGCCCGGTTGTTTCTGACAAGTTGGGGTAGCCGGTCTGTTCAACAGGAACTGCAGGTGGCAGGAACCGGTGACCTAATACCGGCACGATGAACCTCAGAAACTCCGTTAGTTTTCCGATGCCGCAGATCAGACCTGGGGCCGAATGGCTGAATGGGACTGCGGGGTTGGTCAAGCTTTGAGCTAACAGATGAGACAAAACAAGGGCTCAGAGACAGAGACGTCCCTTGCGTCAGTCAACCCGTGCGACCCGACTGCATGACCGTGGAATGGAGTACTCCGTAGCGAGTACTCCCTGGAACGGGATATTCTGTACTGAGTACTGATCCTCAGATGCTTCTCAGGGTGAAATCCGCCACATTTGATTCGACATCCAATGATCGTGTCCCAAAGGCGTCAATCCGGCGTGTGCCGCCAGGCAGCCAAAGCAGCCCCCTCTTTTCCATAGCAATTGTGCGAGACGTCAAAGCGATAATGTTCTAAAGTTCCACGCTGTACCTGAAAGAGTAAATAGTGATGATCAAGGCTAGTACTCTAATAGCACTGCGCAACATCCTTGACGATGTGGAATTGCGATGATCACCATCAACACCGCCGATCATATGATTCTAGCCTCTTGATTGGCCAGTTGTCCGACAAATGCCCGTTGGCGGAGTCCAATGTACACTACTGTACACAAGCACAGACTAAAACCCCCCTAAAGAACAGGAAAGAGGAGAGAAAAGGTGAACACAATGTCATCACTGTCCCTAATGTGTCTGCGGTGAGCCCATTTCACTGGAGGATGTAATCGGCTACTCCGTACGGAGTACCTCTGCCGACACCAGGGGAGAAATACTCGGTACAATAAGCTCATTCAAGTACCAGCTTCGGTGAACACGATGAGACTCGACGTCCGAGGTTTGGAGGGATGTCGCAGGGATATCGGATGATTTTGTTAGGCAACAATCCCTGTATAACAACATGATGCCCTTGCCACCCCTCACGATGTACGCAAGAGAAAGTATTGATCTGCTAGGCCCCCTCTGGCACATCTCCTTTCGGGAAGCCGACATGCGAAGATAAATTGATTCCGGTATTTGCGGAAATCCTGGCCAAGAGAACTGGAGAGCCGTGAAGAAACTGATTGGGCCATCGAGACAGCCTGGTCGGATGTGAAGCCTCCGCATAAGCTAGTGTCCACTTCAAATTAAACAGGTTAACTCCAGTCGCAAAATAGCGCACCTTTCGGTCCTAGTGGCCTAACAAGTCATGAAGGATGTCAGACTCCCCTCCCATAGCCGGCTTAGCCATGTCTGGGTACTTTTTGCATGCGGGCCGAGATCCTGAATTCTATGCCAGACTTAGCAACACATCATAAGATAGAAAAGGGGGGGAGTCCCTAGCCAAGTAGATCTACATGATCAAGTTAGCCATGCCATGTGAATCTGGGGAAAAGCTGAGTGGTGAATGCGTGTTGGCTTAAAGTCGGGCCGACAAGAGGACGCCCCCTGATCTAGAAGAAGTTTAGAAGCGAAGGAAGAGTGTCAATGCGAATAAGAGCAGAAAGAAGAAAAGCATAACGCCCAACGCAGGGGCCGTTGCGGGGTTTTGTCTCTTGTCCCCGCGCCCTTCCCCAGGTTTGCCCTCGTTTTCTCTTTTGTTATAATGGCATTCGAAACTCCCCGATGACTCGCATTCTTCTCTACCATGCACCCGCGTCTAGCCCAATCCCCTAGACCACCATGTCCAAGCAACTAAATCCCTCCAAACAAGCATGCGACAACTGTCGCCGTCGCAAGATCAAATGTTCTCGCGAACTGCCCTGCGACAAATGCCAGCGGCTACTTCTTTCCTGTTCATATAGCGATGTCCTCCGTCGCAAGGGGCCCAAATTCCGCACTCTATATCCACTGGCCCCAATTCACCCTCTCTCATCTCGAGTCAAAGTCACCGAGCAGCAATATCCCGACAAAGACAGTGGCGAGATTCCAGATTACCAGTTCAATTCACCCATCTCGCCGGAATTCATCATCCCAGACTCCCAATTCACCGGCCAGGACTTCTCGGATACTTTCTCACACCTTCCACCACCAGAACTTGTCTCTTCACCGGGCTCGACTGACTCAACGGTCGAATCCGCTATCGGCTATGGCTACATTAACCCACAGCCACACCCACGCCGTCTCTCATCACAGATCCTTCTCGCACACGTCAATGTATATCTCAAGTACTTATTCCCCATCATGCCTGTCGTGCGTGGCGAGCAACTCCGGCTAGACTGCCATGCGCCAGAGCATCTGTCACCGCGACGGTATGCCTTTCTAGCATCACTATGTGCTGCGACCCACATCCAGCTGAAGCTGGATGGAACGACGCCAGTGCCGGATCCTGAGCGGCTGCAGAGACTTGGAGCTGGACACTCACTGATGTCTGGAGAAGATCTCCTTTCAGAGGCGGTGCGGGCACGTCGGGAATACGACGTTTTGGAAGAACTTAGCACGGAGTCGCTTTTGACTTCGTTCTTTTTGTTCGCATCGTATGGCAACCTTGATCGACAGGATCAAGCTTGGTTCTATCTATGCCAGGCAACCTCCTTTGCTTTTACGCTTGGCTTACATCGTGAGCCGACGTATGCTGAGTATGAGGTTGAGGAGGCGGAGGAAAGACGCCGTGTATTTTGGCTTTTATTTATCACAGAGAGGTAAGTGGATGAACTCCTTTATGAATGACTTGGACTGGCGCTGATTGATGTTTCTGCAGAGGCTATGCCCTTCAGCAAGCGAAGCCGGTTATGCTACGCAGCTCTATCCATAAACCTCAGGTTCTTTGCTCAGAGGATCCCATCTTGGCCTATGGGTTCATCAACCTGATCAACATCTTTGAGAACCTCACTCCGGGCCTCTATGATTGGGTCTCTGCCGGGAGTGGAGATGGCATCCTGGAGAGGCCGCCTACTTCGGCCATCCAATCGAGTCTTTGCAAGCCTATCTCTCTTGATGGCGTTCTCGAGATCCAACAGGTGGATATCTTGATCACTCAACAATGGCTGCAGGCAATGATGTGGAAGTTGTCTATGAGCCATGCTTCGCAGTCTGGCGCGCGCGATGATGCAGTCTTGCCATTTCACCTCCCCGTGATGGTGGGTAAATCTGTGATGAGCGTGATTGGCGCTGCCTCACAAGGCGCTGTGGATGCCCATGGAATTGGAATGGTAAGTCAACCCCAAAGAAGATTCTTTGTTTGCATACTAATTTGAGTGTCATTATAGGAACAGAAACTTTTTGATCTGGGAGTCTCTGTCGCTGACGTGACAAGATCTCTCGGACCAAAAGCTGTCCACAGACTGGCAGAGTCGATTATTGACCCAAATGAGTTGCTGTGGGGTATTCTTCATACCCTTTCTCAGATTCGGGGCTCCCCCTCGTATCTTTTCCCTACATTGTTGGATCGCTGCAGAACCGTCCTTGGACTCGACTGCACGATCAACACTGGGAACTTCCTTCCTATCCTCGGTGCTGCCGTGCCGGATCAGTTGGCCTCATGGTCTGGTCAACATGTCTGGGATTATACTGGCAGCACTGAGGATCTTGCACTTCACGATGTAGAGAGCCAAGCTGAGGCCTCCCATCCACCGGTATCCCAGGAACTGAGTTTCCAGAATTGCCTCCTGGGGTAACCGGTATATTTTGACCGTTTGTAAGATTGAGATGGATATTGTTTGATGATACCAAGTGGAGTTGTTATAGATGGTTGTTTTTGGGTTTGATGTGATAATAGAACGTGATCAACGAGTGTATGGTTTATGTTCGCATACGATGTCTTGAAATGGCCATGTTTTCCTCGGGGGCTTTCCTATTTCAGCTACCGCTTTTATACAATGCTCCCAGCACAACCCATTGTTCACCGTAGTTATACAGGTACGCTTTTCAATCGCGTGTAGAATCAGGCTGAGCGAGTAGTTTTCAGTCCGGATTTCAATGGAGAAAGAGCAGGTGTCGATCATCATATGTGTCGGTGGGTACAGCGTCATCTGGCTCCATCGATGACCACATTTCTCCATATAAATTTCTGGGATAGGGCCGATGCCCTAGGCTCCAGCAACGTGTATTTAAGAGATCTCAGGGGGATTGGGGTCTGTACCTGAACTCTTCTGAAATTCAGAGGAGATCACCACAGCTGTGGCTAAAAGCTTTGTGGTATATCCTCGCTCAATTCGGGACGCGAATGGAGCAATCTATTCGTTTCTTCTCCAATTGGACCTCTAACTAACAGACAGCGATTGCATGTGAAAAGAAAAGGCAACTTGCTACTCTTCAATGCCATATAACTTACGATGTGGTTTCAGGAACAATGGCATTCGCATGGCCAATGCCCATGTTCCCGTCATCTCCACTTGAGGGAACATTCCGACTGGCTCAGGTAAGAATCGTCTTCTTTTACACCATAATCTCTATGATGATCGACCTCTTCCCTTTCTGCAAACCATTTGTTGAAATTGAGTCAATCTACATTGTTTCAAATTGGTCTCTGAGTTACTACAATTGTCTTCGAGTTTTTATACCGGTGCTTGATTGGGTTATGGCTAACCAATCGTTTTGATCAGACTGTTCACCACCGGGCCTATCCATAAGGCCGATCAATAGGCAGAAGATCAGGATAGATTGATCAGATGAAATTACATATAAAAGAAAAATCATTATACCAGACGGTCATCTACGTATCTGCGAAGTCGCCTTCACATATCGGTACTTCTAGACTGGCATACAGTTTGTTTCTACCTGTGGAATCTGGATTGGAAGTAGCTACTGTAATACCTACATGTAGGTAGCTAGATTGCCCAGGTAGTCCGAATCATACGGATGTCTTATGCAACTGTCTGGCGAATATCTTATTTGGCAGCCTACAACATACAATATTGTAACATTCCGCATTGGGTTGACAAACTCCATACCTTCTACAGACGTCCTCTCTTATTTATTTATTTCTTTTCTATCAACGCCATTAATACTCTTGCACATTCTAACCTGGGGTTTGCTTAAAGCTTACCCTTTCGCCTTTCTTCGCCATCCGAGTCACTCTTCTCTCGCCCACATCGCCCCCATCTCCGTTATCGCTCAGGAGATTCACCCCCATAAGCTATGTTACAAAAGTAATATAGGAGATTGGGACGATAGCAATCTGGGAAAGGCAGAGTGTCCCTGCACGATGGAAATGGAACTTAATAGCTTAGCACGAAAACGCAGATCATTCAAATTGACAGGAAATCCCAAGGTTATATTCTCAGGCAATTTTACAATTCCCATAATGATATAGAAATCTTTGATGATAGTATGTAGAGGTATGTATACAGATCCCCGACACGGTTAGAAGTTGGACAGTCAAACTGTCTTGGCATGTTTGTCTCGAATCTCCAATTTGATGATCAGCTTCATGCGACTTTCTTTTCTTCCCAATTGTTCAAGATAATGCGATACTGGTATGTTCTCAATTGCCTTCAATGCCTCTCAAAAACACCCAATTAACTCCTTCCCACAGATAATCCCCGAGTCTCCGCATCAACCAAAGCTCACCAGAGCATCCAATCCCCCGGAGTTAAATCTCCATTGAACCTCAATTCTCATCCACCACCAATTCCACCACAATGGCCTCCCTCCGACCCCGAGCCATCCCCCTCACTCTCCGAGCCCTCCGCTCAACCCGCCCAACCCCAAGACCCTCATTCCAACTCCTCACACCCACCCAACCCCTCACCCGCCCACACTCAACCTCCTCCGTCTCCGCCGATGAACTCACCCACTTCTCCGCCCTCGCCAGCTCCTGGTGGGATCCCATGGGCCCCTCCCGAATCCTGCACCTAATGAACCCCCTCCGCCACGAATTCATCGCCTCCTGCCTAGCAGAAGGCACATCCTCCTCCGCCCCCTCCACAACCGCAACCCTCAACTACCTCGACGTCGGCTGCGGCGGCGGCATCTTCGCCGAATCCCTCGCGCGCACAATCCCCACCAACCCATCATCCCCAGCCCCAACGCCCACGCGCGCCGCCTCAATGACAGCAATCGACCCCTCAACGAACCTAATCCAGATGGCGCGCGAGCACGCCCGCAAGGACCCAACCGTCGACGACCACCTCCGCACCGGCCGCTTCAAGTACCTCAACACGACGCTGGAGGATGTTCTCGCGTCGGACACTCCGTCGCAGTACGATGTGGTGACGCTCTTCGAAGTCCTCGAACATATCGATCCCAAGACGTCGAGCCCGTTGACTTTCCTGACGAATTGTCTGCGCGCGCTGAAGCCCGGCGGTTGGTTGGTTGGATCGACGATCTCGCGGACTCTGCCGTCCTTCATTCTGAATCAGGTTATTGCTGAGGCGCCGTGGCCGATTGGTGTCGTGCCCCGCGGAACGCATGAGTGGAGCAAGTTTGTGAACCCGCCTGAGGTGAAGGGGTGGTTGCAGGAGGGGTTGATGAGGGTTGCTGATACGGGAGTTTCTAGGGGTGGTAGTGCGCAGGTGGAGGGGATGAACTGGAAGTGTGTGGGTGCGATTTATGTGCCTGGGATTGGGTGGAAGATGGTTCCTGGGAGTGAGGATTGGGGGAATTATTTCTGGGCTGTTAGGAAGGGGGAGTAGATTGATTTCGATGTTGTGTATCTATATTTGCATCTTTGAGCTATTTGTATATTATTAGAACTTTTTTCAAGGCCTGGAGTTTCTGTCGTATTTGCTAAGTATGTGTTTTTCTACTCTGCTGTGTTATACAGAGTTCGTTCATAAGGACATTGATATTCATGGACTCATTTCCACATCGCTATGTACATGCCCCAATACTAATCCCCATTGGGGACTCTAAAGCTTACTCCTCAGTGGAAGAGGAAGCTGGCTATAATCTCACTGAGAGATTTGTAAGGGAGGATAAAAGCATATGATATCTACCGCTTCCCTTTGCCTTTCTTCTTCTTCTTCGAACTAGCAGGCGGATCCGGCACGGAAACAGTCCCCTGTTCAATCTCCTCTCCCTGACCCTGTAGCCTCTGCGAGCCACTGATGAAGAAAGTCAAATCCCGATTCTGCTCCGCGAGATCAGCATTCGAAGTCTTAAGACCCTCAACCTCTTTAGCAAGAAGATCAAGCCGCTGCATCATGTTCTGATTCATAGACTTTTCCTGCTGGAAGTTCTTCTCGAAGGAACGAGCTAGGGCCTCGAATTTCTCTGCGCGTTTCTGCGAGCGGGCGCGGTCATGTTCGAGTGATGGGAGCGTCTCGAGTGTCATGACGTCGTATTTAGATTGAAGCTCTTCAAGACGCGACGAGGCGCTGGAGGCATTGACTTCTGCAATGGCAGCGGCCGCGCTGGCCTGGGATGCTTTGTCAACTGCGCGCTCGACGACTTCTTCAAAGTAGGCGCGTTGGCTTTCCAGTTGGCTGGTAAGGAGATGGGTGTATTCAATACTCATGTTTTCAAGTTTCTCGCGTGGGACGGCATCACCCCAGTCTGGTGGATCCAGGGCACTGTGGTCTGCTGCAGGAAGCTCGAGAAGCTTGCCGTCGGTTTTGTTTTGGATAATACGGTGCACATATGCATCGCCCACGTAGTCCCATACCCGCTGGGAAGTGAGATCCATAGAAAATGCGTGGGTTGTTTCTTTCCAGTGGTCGAATGCATGGGCGCCGTCATAGCGGCCGCAGCCGATGGTTCCGCAAATTAGACAGGCCCAGAGGTTCTCTTCGGTGTGGCAGACGCTGCACTCTTGTGGTTCTTGGTCTGGTTTGAGGCCTGCGTTGCTTTTGCGACAGTCATCTTGCGTGTACCGGCACACAGGACAACCGCTTCCTTCCCACTTTTGCAAACACGTACAGTGGAAAACATGCTGGCAGATGATGGTTAAAAGTCCGGTAGTTTCATCCATTCGCTCTAGGCAAACAGGACAAGTGGGCAATTCGATTAACGCCGGTGTAGGTGGCGCAAGAGGTTTACCAGTGAGAGTCGCCTGTCCAGCAGAGGGCACCGGAGGTCGAGAGGGAGCCGAGAGGCCAGGAGAGAGCGGACCATGCTCAGACGACGGCGTTTCAGCATCCACGACTTGGATCTCCACCGTCTTCACGAAAACCACATGGCAGGTCTCAGGCTCAATGCTATTAAAAACCTTGCCATTCCACTCTTTTTGCCATTCCTTCGCCTTCCGGCCACTCCGGAACTTCATCAAAACCATATATCGATTCGCGCGGGCAGTCCTAATCATTCGGAAATGACTGACTTCATCCATTGTATTCTCACCCATGAACCCCAAAAAGTCTGGGGGCGACAGATAAGACGGCACAGCCAGTATGCATAATGTTGTACAATTCTCGTCGGGGTTCTGCGCAGAGGAGATAGTCTCGGGGAAAGGATATGCCACACTCATCGCACCAGAAGATTGTTTCGCACTACATGCACCAAATAAGCCCTGCCTCAGTTCAGCCTGCTGCTCACCCGGGTGCCGGGCCGCAGCTGCGGAGCCTTTGAGATATGTGGGGTAGTCGTCATCATTTCGGATATAGGGCGTCTCCTGTGTATCGCGATACAGGTGAACAATTCCCCAAACACTGTCGGGAAGTTGATGATCGAGCGGGATATAATGGCCTTTGGTGCGGTGGCCACTTAGGATCTCTGTGCCGATGCCCGCAGCAACAAGGTTCTCCGACTCTGTGATGGAACCACGCTTTGAAGTGCGCTTTGGCGGATCCTTCGAGGTGACCATATCAATGCACTCAATTGAGACAGCGCCGAAGCGCTTGTCTTCTTTCAGCAGGGTAGTGGTGCCAGTGTAGAATACGGTATCGGAGGGGATGCTCGCGGAGTGAATGCTTCGTGGTGGGGTCACTGTAGTGTAGGCGGACAGAGTGGATGTGAGTCTTTGTCGATGGACTAGAGAATCTTCAGAGGCTGGCGAGGTGTGATTATCTCCTGTCGGTGATAGGTAGTTGGAGCTTGAAGACCGGCTCCGTTGCTGAAATGGTTTTAAAGCTTCCCATGCAGATTGTATTGCGATAGATGAGGAATTCGGGAGACTCGAGGTGTTGGGTGAGCCCTGTGAGAGGATTTGCAAGCTAATATGATAGAAATAGGCTGGCATCCCGGGTGATGGCTCACATCCTCTGGAGCTTGCAACTTGAGGTTCAATCGGTCGAAAGAGGAAGTCATGTTATCTGTCAATCGCGATAAGGATCATGATTACCTAATAGTCGATCATCCCGAGGTCCCGCCGTTGAGCGTCTAGGTACGCCACCAGCAGTTCCTGGCACGCGAAGGTGGCAAAGAGGCAAAAGCAAAAAAAATGCAAAGTAAATTACTAAATCTGCGAGGTTTAGGTGGCAAGAAAAGGGGCATGTTGAACGAAATGAGATGCATAGGAAATGAACAACTTTCAAGTAGGATTTGGTTGAGCTGGGCCTCAAGGCGGAATATATAAACAAGTCAGATGAATTCTTTCCTCAGAATCCCAAGCATGTATATAGAATATTTGTTTACAAATACGTGTTACTTCAGTTTACAATGAAATGATATGCTGGGGAAGCAAATGTTGCTAGGGTTGATTGTAGAGAACTATCTATCACATATGGGTGATAATAATAAAGGCCAAGAAAGGAGAGAAGCCGTCCTCATAGATATTGCAAAAGAAGCCTCAGCCTCGAAAAACCGACCAAACGCCATGCAGGTTCATGTAGAACCTATCAAATTGTGAAATAAAGACGTCATTGAATCATTTATTGACCGCCGCGCAGACGCAGGACGAGGTGCAGAGTAGACTCCTTCTGGATGTTGTAATCCGAGAGAGTACGCCCGTCCTCCAGCTGCTTACCAGCGAAGATAAGACGCTGTTGGTCAGGGGGGATACCCTCCTTGTCCTGAATCTTGCTCTTGACGTTATCAATTGTGTCCGATGATTCAACTTCAAGTGTAATGGTCTTTCCGGTCAAAGTCTTAACGAAGATTTGCATACCACCACGCAGACGGAGGACAAGGTGAAGGGTGGATTCTTTCTGAATGTTGTAGTCGGAAAGTGTACGGCCATCTTCAAGCTGCTTGCCTGCGAAAATGAGACGCTGTTGATCGGGAGGGATGCCCTCCTTATCTTGAATCTTGGACTTCACATTGTCGATTGTATCCGATGACTCGACTTCCAGTGTGATAGTCTTGCCAGTGAGGGTCTTTACGAAAATCTGCATACCACCACGAAGGCGGAGGACGAGGTGAAGAGTAGATTCCTTCTGAATGTTGTAATCGGACAGAGTGCGGCCGTCCTCCAGCTGCTTGCCGGCGAAGATAAGACGCTGTTGGTCAGGTGGGATGCCCTCCTTGTCCTGAATCTTGCTCTTAACGTTATCAATAGTATCGGAGGACTCGACCTCAAGGGTGATGGTCTTTCCGGTGAGGGTCTTGACGACTGTGGCGAATAATGTTAGTCAACAGAAACATGTCCAACCATGTAACAGAACACACTTACAAATCTGCATACCACCACGAAGGCGGAGGACCAGGTGGAGAGTGGACTCCTTCTGAATGTTATAGTCGGACAGGGTGCGACCGTCCTCAAGTTGCTTGCCGGCAAAGATCAAACGCTGCTGGTCAGGAGGGATGCCCTCCTTGTCCTGGATCTTAGACTTGACATTGTCGATAGTGTCGGACGACTCGACCTCAAGGGTGATGGTCTTGCCAGTAACTAGAAACAAAGAGATGTTAGCAAAGATTTCAACAGTCAGAGAGGCCAGAGGGCGTGGTGATTCAGGTGGACCCATCTCTCCATCAAGCCCAGAGGCCAGATAAGGGTGTGAACGTACGAGTCTTCACGAAAATCTGCATGATGGGCAAGAGATTCTAGACGGTTTATGTGAATGCAAAGGGATATCTCAAGGGTAAGCAGAAGGCGCTCAGATGTAGTGGTGGTAAAGGAAGAGGAAGGGAGACAGAAGAGGGGAAACAGCCTTATGTAGGAAACCCTGGAAGGATGAGGGGGCGTCTTAGTCAGGTGCCAGTGACGCGAGATGGGTGAAAATGCCAGAAGATGCCGGATGAGTCAAATAGGTGCCTGGGAACAGCCTCTTCTTTGACGCCACCGTTAGGAAAACTCCAACATGTCTTGTCGGCGAGCCCGTATTAGACTATTATTAAGATTATTAAGATTGTACGATCTTCCACAAGATCCGAGAATACGTGTATATCTTACTCCTACTGCCTTTCTACTCCCCAAACTTGGAGTCTACATCAAGAGCAGGGGTGATGACGTTGACTTGCTTATCGCGAAAAGAGGGGGTGGACCTTAACGGAGACGCTAGTGTGGCCAGAAGGTACTTGGTACGGGGCTGTACGCGGCAACTGCTGCGCGCCTCCGCGTACCCTGTACCCGCTTCCAAACTTAGTATCAAAGCCGATTTCCCGCATTCGGGTTCACCGCCACATGCTATGTTATAAAGGGGGCTACTACGGACATCGCAAGGTAAACAAAAACAAAGGTGGATGCTCCGTAGGTAGTGATGAGTTAAAAACTATAATTGAGATATCCAGAGAGCATCAAAACCCAGTGGCAGTATATAAACAAAACGCTCTCAGCGAAAATCCCACCCGACGCCGTTCTCCCCCGGCAAAACAACCATGCGAGGTCACAAAGAATGTGAGTCGGGGATCAGACAGCTTGCACCACCCCCCTGTCTTCAACCACTTTCTTAGGGCCCCTGTTTAACTTGGATTGTCGCCCTCGTGGCGGGTGCCAGGTGCCACAAAATGAAAAACAAAACAATAGAAACACCTTCGGCCGTACACGGTCATGACATTCGTGATCCTCGTTCATCGCTGAAGACAAAGCTATGCGAAGAAAGGTTGACACCAAAGACAAGAGCAAAAAAAAACCAGGACAAAACAAAAAGGAAATATTCCAAAAAAGACAATAATCAAGGGAAAGAGTAAAATATGATAAAGAGACAAAAAAAATCCAAAAAGACGATAGCAGGCTCAGGAAAAAACGAGATCAAAAAAAGGAAAAAGTCGGTTCTCTGGGAAGCACAGTACAAAAAAAGAGCAGAAAAGGCAAAACCTCGATGGGAGGTGTACCTGTCGGATTCTTCGTTAAAGAGTGGAAATGATGCGCTTGCGCATCGTCACGACAATTGTTCGCATAATTCTCATCCAGTTCGTGTGGCGTTAACATCTAGTATTCGAAACGAAAGTCGCGGAACTGTACTCGCTGCTGGAAACGGGAGTCGTGATATTTTCATCATCATAATGCGTTTGTGCATCGGGGTCGTTGCCTAGTTGGCGCGAATGACCAGTCGCGACACAAATTTATTGGAGAGGCAATCGAAATCGCCACGGTTGAATTTGGAGCCACTGCGGCTACGGAGGTAAGTCTCTGTTGGAAGGTTAGCGGTTTGCACATCCATGTGAGAAAAAAAAAAGAAAAAGCAAAAGCGAGAGAAGACGATCTTACCATGTTGCTCAACATGTTGACGGACTTCTGTCATGGTGTTGCAGACATCAGGGTTGGAGTAAAGCAGATGGTGGTGCTTTTGCGAGTCCCACTCAATGAATGGAGGCAGCTTCTGCGAGATGGCCTGGAAGAGTCCGACGATAACGCCCACTGGGGTGGTTTCCATGTCGGTGCAGAACTTATCGACGGCAGCCTGATCCGGTGTGCGGTAGTGGCTGTCGAACTGCATCTCTTCCCATACAGCGAGCAGAATTGAGGCCAGAATGAAGATCGTGGGCCAGTTCTTGAGCTTGTCGCCGCTGTATACACTCGAATAGAGTGCAGAAAGCTCTTCGAGAACATCCTTTTGCAGCTCACGCCACATGCTAGCCATAGCACACTTGATCTGGAAGTTAATCATGACGGGAGCCATGGTCTTGCCGGAGAACTTGGAGCCCATATTTTCGATTTTACCAAGGAATCCCTCCTCCTCGCCGATGCCTTCAACCATAGTGACGTGCATAGTGAGGTTGTAAGCGACAACCAGTTTGAGCGCCTTACGGATAACGGGCATCTTGGTGCGGAAGTAAAAGCGGAAGGCCGTCTTCAACATCTGCGTGAGGAAGGGCGTACCCTCGAAGTAATCGTCAACAAACTTCTCAAAGGTGCCATTGCCGTCGATATGGCGGTCAAGATAGTCTGACAGCATCGCGTGCGAGATGCCCTCCATACCAGCGGAGAGCTTGGCAGTTTCGACCTCATACTGTGTTGGATCACGCTGCATCGATTCGATCCAGTCAACGGTGAAGCACTGCTCGTCACGAACATAAACCTCGCGGGCATTGATGGGCAGAATCTGTCCGTAACCGTGGGTGATGAACAGAGTGCGTTCCTGATCCGAGAATCCGGTAATGTTGCCGACAGAGAAGCCCATGGTAATGTGACGCTCATAATCCGCTTTCCAATCCTTCATGAAATATCCAATCTCCTTGATATCGATACGAGTACATGGCACCTGCCATAACCGTGCGTGCGACGGTTGACATCCAGCACAAGGCTCGCCCTTATCACACGTCTTCTTGAGGAACTTGCACCGCAGACACGCGCGCAACTTCCGTATTTCACTGGCCTGTTTACGTTGATCGGGCTTGAGAGGGCCCTTTCGCTTGCCCACTCGCTTCTCGGTCTCGGGTTTGCCGGTCTGAGACTGCTTGCGAACTTTGGTCTCGGCGGTCTTGGCGGCAATGGGGCTTTTGCGGGACGGTTTGCGGCTTGGTGGTGAAGCAGATGAGGACTGGGAAGACCCAGATGACCGAGCAGGGGATGTTGACTTCTTGATTGGAACTGGGATCGGTCGGACCATTCCGACGGGGCTGACAGCAGATGGTGAGCGAGAACCTTGCGAGGACGGGTTACGGCGGACAACTGCGCTGCTTGTCGGAGAGGCTCCGTGAATTCCAATGGAGCTGCTGTGGCTGTGGCTGTGACTGTGACTGTGACTGTGACTATGGCTATGGCTATGACTATGACTGTGGCCATGGTGAGTATAGCAAGGCAAATCCATATTGTTCTCTGAACCGGGAGAACCGATCGGATTCGTGATATCCACGAAGCTGCCGTATGAAGTGGAATATGAGGATTCCGAAAGGCTGCGGTCGTGCAGAGTCTGTGTGGGGTTGACAAAAACACCCTGTTCGGGGTAACCAAAATCGAGAGAGCGGCGGTGGTCGACTGTACTCCAACCGTTGTCGCTGCTGGACAGGGAACGGACCTCCAAATAAGTATCTGTGGGCGAGCTACTCTCAAGAACGGGGTGCGGGGCATAAGACATATCCGGAAGTCCACTGGGGAACGCCATCAGATCCGCTTGAAAGTCCTGATAGGTGAACGGGACCATGTCGCCTGGTGCTGACATGGGCATAAAGGGACCATCGAGCAAACCGGCGCCCATTTGACCCTGGCCGGACATTAGATCGACGGGCGAGGAGTGCATTGGCATGCCATAACTGGTTGTGAACTGGGGCGCAGACGATGGGTCTTCGGAGGAATATGGAAGGTGTTGAGAGTGATGCAGTGGTTGAAAGTGCCAATCGACCATGAGATTGGGGTCCTGGGTCACCGACTGTTCAAGAGGGTGACCGCTGGTTTGCAACGGGGAAAGACCATGGGCGTCTTCTGACCGTGGGGGCGCTTGATCTACCGCCACAGGCCATGCTTGCTGAAGATAGCCTCTGGAGTCGTAATCGACCCCGATTAGGCCATCACCGGATATATCGACATTGGACATGACTTTTTTTCGAGTCAAAACGACCACGGGGAAGTGAAAGGGAAGGGAGGGAAAGGACCAGCCTGGATGAGAGGACCTTCTTCAGAAGGGTCACACAACCATGAAGAAGAGGGAAAGTGAGGCGGTGGGGGGGACAAAGCAGCGGTGAGCGAGGAAATGCGCTAGGGAGTTGGCTGTGGAGAGTGGAGAGGCTGGCTGATGCGTGGAGGGAACGTTGGTCCAGTCCGGAGCGCTGAATTACTTCCACGGACCGACTAGTTTGCAGTAGTCCAGTGGAGAGGACAGACTTAAGAGTCGGAGACACGGGAGTCGCTGATCCCATGATCTTGAGATTCTATTATTGAATTCTTTCCTAAACGGGGATTCCTAAAGTTGCCTTTTTTTTTTTTCTCCGTCTTTTCTCTTCTTTTTCGGTTATGGATCATTGGATAATCTTTTCATATTGCTCTCTGTTCTTTGACCGGCTTGTAGGTTCTGACTGAGATCCTTATAATGGGACCTTGAAAATCATCGGATCGACCGTGGGACAGTAGCCGGGGAGATCAGTGGGCCAAGAGAAAAAAAAAAACAAAAAAAGGGCCCAACGTTGAGGCAGTGCGTACTCCGTAACCCCGTGGCAATATGAAACCAGATCTGACAGTCGGATCGTGTTGTCCTCTTCCCCAATCAACAGAGTCCTTCCTAATCAGATCCAATCAGCGTGGCCCCTGTCCACCTGAACACCGATCCATATCGGTATTCCCTGAAGCCATACCCTAAAGAGCTTTAGGCCAGTTCGGGATGCTGACAGTGGAGTTCCCGGAATTTCCCTGGCGACAATATTAGAAATATGTCGAGGGAAAATATTGCTCAACTAGGCATAGAGCACTGGAGCCCATACGTGGTGCACTAAATCCTGCCAAGTTAGCATCGTGAACTATGAACCGTGAACCCTGAACGCGCCGGCAGTCCCCGAGCGAAAAAACGGAAGAAAAAGCCCAAAAGAAAAGAGAAAAAAAGGAAGAAAAAAAAAGGAAGAAAAGGAAATCGGACAGGTCAGCTTTTTATCGCCTGGGGCATATGCAGCAAGGGTGCCCCATTTGAGACCAGGTTCTCTCGAAAGGACACCAGCCACCATCGCGTGCATAAATCGAACCCGTCACATCACACATATCGTGGCCATTGGCCTTTCTGACATGCAGAATCTCTTCACGGAGCATATTCAATAGCCCTCTGCACTCGGATATGATATATATACATAAGCGTTGAGGTGTGCTAGCCAAATCGGGATAGGTCCTCGAGGCGACAAGAGAGTACTCCATACGCCATACGCCGTACGCCGTGCGGAATACAGATAAATTTATCCGAGATCCTGTCATCGTACATGGGGACGTTGTACATCAGAGGACCATAGGTGTAGATGGGGGCAAGTCTCGGGAAAAGGAACCCCGCGGTCGAGAGCGGGGAGAAAACAAAGAGCATTTCAACCTTAGACATCCCGAACATTCATGACACGAGAACAATAGCAAGAAACGCAACCCATTTCTTTGTAATCCTGAATACAAAATCACCCCAGCACCCCAGATTGATGCCGCTCATCGGGAAAACTCGAAAAGTGCGATTCCCGAACGCGCAAAACTCGGCCAAGAAAAGTACTCGCGCATCAACCTCAGGACGTCCCAAAACAGACATGATTGAGTCCAGCCAAGCACCGCGCCCGGGGATCCCGGCCTTGTTCACACAGCCGCCGCCCATCCGTGACCCGCTCATCACTGAGACAATCGATCTGCAGAGCGCGACGTTGGAGAAATGCCTGCCGTTCCTCAAAGGCATTCACAGCAGCCAGAAGGAGTTCAATGACCATGGCGTGCCTGCCCTCCAGCGTGATCTTCATGCAAGTTACCTCTATGACTCGCTCGAGGATTATCCCGAGGGCTTTGTCGCCATGGACGCAAGCCGCCCGTGGATCTTGTACTGGGGTTTGGCGGGACTGTCTATGGTGGGAGAAGAGACGACTCGGTTTCGCGAACGGTGAGTGCATACTTTGCTTCCTTGCTTTCATTTCTTTTTTTGGCCCTCTTTCCCCGCCTCGTTCTCCTTTTTTTCTTTGCTTCTTTTTTTATTATATTTTTTTTTATGTGCTTGTGTATCCACAGAATGGAGACGTCAGAGCCGGATGGTACCTCGATTGGAAACGATCGTCCCATCTATACATGAAACATGGAAGAATGTCATTCTAAACCTTCGTCTCTAGTGTGATTGCAACACTCCGGCCGATGCAGAACCCCACCGGGGGCTTTGGGGCGGCCACGGCCAGACATCTCATGTGGCAGGCAGTTATGCCGCCGTCCTAGCCCTGGCGATGGTGGGAGGCGAAGAGGCCTTTGCATTGGTGGATCGACACGCGATGTGAGTTGTCACCGACATGTGCTGCCCTGCATGTGCGTCTAGGATCCTGTGCGTTGCTGACCCGGGTTTCTGGTTTCCTCGCAGGTGGCAATGGCTCGGTCGATTGAAGCAGCCTGATGGTGGATTTCGTGTTTGTGAGGGCGGGGAGGAAGATGTGCGGTAAGTGAACCAGGAACAGTAGGAGCAAGTGGACCTTGCGCACACACACACACACACACACACACCCTGCAGTTCCCCTCCATGCAAGATATGGACGCTGTCTGACATGTCATTACTGTAGCGGCGCATACTGCGCTATGACTCTTATCTCGCTACTGGACCTGCCGCTGGCGCTGGCCCCTGGATCCCAAGCGCGGGAAGCGGGATTGGAAAGTCTGACCAGTGGTCTTCCTGAGTATCTCTCAAGATGTATGAGTTACCAGTGATTCGATTAATATCGGAGTCGAAATGTGCTGACACTCGCTCTTAGGCCAGACATTTGAAGGAGGTATCTCCGGAAGTCCTGGATCGGAAGCCCATGGGGCATACGCCTTTTGTGCACTGGCATGCCTGTCTATCTTGGGAGCTCCCGAGGAGATCTTCAGCAGGTACGAGAATACTACAGATCAGAAAGCCCTCTTTGGTGCTCGTATACTAATGGTATATGGCAGACACATGGACATTCCCATGTTAGTGTCATGGTTATCTGCTCGCCAATCGGCTCCAGAAGGTGGTCTCTCCGGACGGACAAATAAACTGGTGGATGGATGCTACAGTCATTGGGTCGGTGGATGTTGGCCATTGCTCGAGTCCTCTCTGGATGGAAAACCGGGTAGTACCGAGCCACCAGCCAACAGTCTTTTCAGCCGCGAAGGTCTCACCAGATACATTCTTGGATGCTGTCAAGGTATCAATGGTGGTCTCCGTGACAAACCGGGAAAGTATGACAATTCCATCCCCTCTCAAATTCTTTTGCAGATGTAGCTAACCAAGATCGAAGACACGTTGACTCATACCACACATGCTATGTTCTGGCCGGATTGAGTGCGACTCAGAACCATCATTACCGCACAGACTCCAGTCTTTCAAGCGAGAGTTTCTCGTCGTCATTTTCCTGGAAGTCTTCACCGAGCCGCGTGCCAGAAAACGTCTTCTCAAGGGGTGATCGCCTGGAACCTATGCACCCTTTGTACATGATCCCACACAAGGCAGCGGAGAATATGCGGCTCTGGTCCGAGGCCCACCCCCTCACTCACTAGCCGAGAGGGGCGTGACCCGACTGTCAATTGAAAGGGGGAAAAAAGTCTCGAACCAAGGCGCCGCGACGGACGAGCTTGCCGACAAAACTCTTGAGAACACGGTGGATTTACGGCAACAGGGTATCAATGACAATCAGGGGGCTCCGAGCGTATCATGCACGACTGGTCTTAGGTCCTTGCAACTGCAAGCCCCGCGGTCATAGCATGGGAGCCACGAGGGTGACTCTGACCAAAGGCAAGGAAATACTGTGAGTGAGACCGCGACGCAAGGGATCAACTGGGTCTCCGCTGGAAAGAGAGAACCCGGGTGAAACTTTGGTCCAAGTATGACTCTAGGTCATAGCACATAGTACGGAGTACCAATTCCCATCTCGTTTTTTTTTTTGAAGTGTTGGCAGTTTCACCGATTTTTCATGAGAATTCCTCAGAGCTCCGTGACAGAGTGGATCGATCTCAAAGATTTTTTTACTTTTCACATTGCCGCCATAGTCTTGTCGATCAATATGAATTCCCCCTTTACCCCTCGATATGCGTTTGCCACGGAGGAAGTCTGCACGAGGCCCAACAGGGCAAAAGGCAGCGTCAGTAACGCAGTAATCGCTACCAGAATATGCAGATAAATTCCAACGCTTTCCCCCCTCTGCAATGCCAGCTCATCACTGCATCCGAATGCCGAGTAACTTTGTCCTGAGGCCCTTGGGCGCATGCATTTCCCAATCTCCGACATTGGCAGATTCCCGTCCAATTAATCTGAACTAATCTATGTTTCTGGAGGCTTTGCAGGCAATATGAATCCTTTTCAGACGCGTTCTGCACAACATGAACGCCTCCCTTTGTCCTTGGCGCCAATCACTCCTTTACCTCCCTGCATCCCCATTCTATGAAGGGCGGCGAATTCACTTTTCTTTAGTGCGTTTATTGCGGGGCAACTAAAAAAAAGGAGAGGCCATCGGAAAATAAATGGGCGAGTCAACGAGGGGCACCTGAACAATGCATAGTCCAGGATTCGAATCCTGGCAAATTCCCTCGGGGTAATTTGCCTAGGGTTTCCACCCGGGGGCTGCCTGGGTTGGATTCTCTTCAGGTATGACCCCCTCTTTTTTATATAATTGCTCTGCAGCGATTTGCAGTCGTTGCCTGGTGTCCCTTAGTCTCCGAGACTATGTTTATGTTTCGATCGGCGAATTGCAGCACAATCAGACCTCCCTGTCCCGGATGTGCCTCAACTCGGATTTGATTCTACTGGCGACGAGCCATGCCAGCGCATCAGTTTAAACCCGCCGAAAATGACGGAACAAAACACGTCGAAATAATCTCATTTGAGTTACTGTTACCTTCCTCATGAGCGTTTGTATCCATCGACTTGTCCTTGGTTTACATGAAAGAGATAGGCTACCTATACTCCTAGTACCCAAACCCATGCCCTAGGGTCTCGGGTTGGAGTGTGATTTGCTGACTCCGTACGGGTGCTTATTGTTTACTGTGACCCCGATATTTCAACGGTTTGAGAATTGAGGCATTTTGGCTTTTCGTGTTTAATTGTTTTTCTTCTTCAGGTCTTCTGCATTGACATCAAGTCTCTCCTGCGCTGTCGCAATTGCAACCGGTACCCCGACTCGCAGTATGACTTGATATGCAAATACCCCACCTGTTGTTTCCAAAGCAATGCTCTTCTTCCCCTCAATTAAGTCCCTTTTTTTTGTTTTGGGGAGGAGTCTGTATATATCTGTAGAGGATATCTTATATCTTCCGTCAAAAGCCCTTTTTTAAAAAAAATTCTTTTCCTCGCATTGCTCACGCTTTTCCTTTCTCCTTTCTGCTCACGAACTAGACCCTGGCCATTGCCAGTATAATCATTGTGCTTTTGCGCTTTTGTGCTTTTGTCCTTTGGAAACGCCAACACATCCACCCCACCGACAAACAAACGTCCTAGCCGTTGGGCATCACAATCCGCATATTCATCCGCAGCCAAACCACCCCAAGTCCCCAATGCGTCCCGAGTAAACCACCGCAATTCGTTGCATCGACCGTGGAAATCCATCTCCCGTCTCTAGTCTGATTCTCACCGGGGAAAACGCAAAACAATCCTAGTCCAAACCGCAACAATGTACTATATCCTCTACCTAACCAGTACGTGATTCCCTCCTTGATCAATATCACATGCATTATCATTCCAATTCCCACCACACCCGCCAATCCCAAGTCAAAAAGAAAAAAACAAAAGAACCAAAATCAAACTAACACACCCCCAGGCCTCTGCCGCCGCCGCGACTGGCCCGAACCAATCTATAACGCCTACACCAGCGGCACCGGCTACACCTGCACTGTGCGCGTCAACAACCGGGAATACCGAACCGACGCGCTCTGCGCGAGCGCAACGCTAGCCCGCGAAAGCGCCGCTATGCGCGCCTACCTCATCTGTCGCAATTTCTCCGTCAACGACGGCATGTACCCGGCCGGCCATGATGACGGCGGGGTCGTGCAGGGGATGCGGGTGGCCATTGGCACGGGGCGGAAGATTGATGAGGAGGGTTTGTCCGGGTCGAGTGTTAGTGGGAGCTGGAGTGGGGGAAGTAGTCCGGAGAGGAGTGGGTTTGGGGAGATGGGGGTTAGGGTTGGGTTTGGGGGATGACGGTGGGCAGTTTGGATTTGGGGGTTATGATTTATGATGTTTATGACTTCATGTGTTGGGTTTGATAGATGCTGTGGATTGGGCTTTTTGTTAATGATGTTCGGGATGGCTTTCAGTTTCTTTCTAGATGGTGGATTGGGATTGAGTTCCCATTTGTGTTTTTTTTGATGGAGGTTAGCGATTGGTTTGGTGAATTCATTTTGATATTGGATTTGTACACCTTGCGGATTGGGTTCTCAACTCTTAGGGCTGCTTATACAAATCTACGTAGAATCTATGCGAATCGAGCCGGAAATTAACATTTCGGTATAGAGTGCAGAGGTTACAATTCTTGTACAAAAGCAAGACCTGAAAACATAATACTCATCAACTCATTGGCGAGAATCCACCTCCAGTCTGCTTGCATCATCTCTGAACCTCTTTATAGCACTCGCTGTTCTCCCTTCACCGTTATCCATTGACTCGTTATCATAATCATCCAAACCCACCCCTTCGCCCTATACTACCCCTTGAAGAAAGCAACACATATCCACCCGACAAAGCCAAACCCAAACAAACACAGATGAGATAAAACCACCCACTGCAAAGCTCCCTAGCAGTATCTAAGCAGCAGGTTCCGACATGATTTTCATCCACGCAGGATCGTTATGTCGAATATACTTGAGGCGATCATACATATACAACACAACCTCCATCTGATTCGGGACATGAGCCAACACAGACGGAGGTAGCTGCGAGACGATGCGAACGAATCCTGTATATATAGATTCCCTTTGGGCAGCAAACAAATGCTCTGCCCTTTTACCGGAACGGATATGCTTGTTGATAATGGGGACGTAGACTTCGTGGATCATCTTCTCGACTTGTACTTGGGAAATGTGCTTTGGAGAAATACCGCACTTCTCCCAGAGTTGGAAATCTTGTGGAGCCATGGTGGGATTTGTAATTGAAGACGACGCGTTGGAGGGTTTGGATAGTGGTCTGGGCTGAGAGATTTGGGGACTTGGTCGACTATTAAATATCATGGCTGTTGACTAGGGGTTGGAAGTAAAGGCAACTATGGAAAGAGGCTTGGGGGACTCGACATGGTGATGTGTCTTTGTCTGTTGTGGAGAACCAAGCCGAAGGAAGTGTCTAGAGTAAGATGGCGAGCCCTTTTTTTAGAACGAGGTGGTGTGTTCACGATTAAATGCTCGGGAATCTCTTTGTTTTCAATTTCGCATAACAAAGATACCCATGTACGAAGATTTGGAAGTTAAGAATATTTAGTTTCTCTATGCGGATACTAATATGCGTACAAAGCCCGAGGAGAAACAAATCCACAGGGATTGATGGCCCGTCTTTCTAACCAAGAATGAACTGTTGACTGTAAGCTGGAAGTTTCCATTCCATGTGATTACTCCCAAGTTCCCATTGACACCTAATGGTGGGCCTTTGGTCGTTATTCGAGGCAACTTAGTCGTTCGTATGTAGTAGATGCGCGTAGTTCAGATAACGGGCTTGCAAATCTATTTCTAAGCTGAGCCGTTCAATATGAAGATTTTACCTTTTCTACTAATTGAAAGAACTTCCTAGGGTTTAGGTTGAGTATACAGTGCAAAATCTTCTAATTCGATCTAAATCATAGGATATACCGGTCCGCATTATAGAGCTTTTTTCTCACTTCAAGCCCACCATTGCTCAGTGTACTACTTCGCCATACTTGCACAGAACGTAGAAAATTACAAAGTCTAGTAGAATTCATGCTCCTGGAGTGATCATTGATCTATTAGAAATAATATTTATACTAAACCAACCTATAAACCAAAATGAGACTTTAGATCAAATCGACGAGGCGCTTATAGCCCTAAAATGTGTTCCGGGGCTTGTCAGTAAATAAATCTACATGTCATCCCCACCACCGAAGAGCTTTTCATAGTCGGCTTGTTCATCTCCCTCGGGGTCCTCTCCCTCGGGATCACGGGCTGTAAGAGCAGGGTCAGGAAGGGCAGGGAGGACAGGAGGGGCAGGCAGGGGAGCTGGACGAGCAGCGGGAATAGTAGGCCTCTCACCGGGAGGGTTACGAGGGGGATAAAATGCAGTCAGCGTTCGATTAGGAGGGAAGCGGTTCAAAAAGGGAAGGGAAGGAGCAGGATCAGGAGGAATACCACCACCCAACACATAAGGAGTATAGGGAGCAAGAACAGGAGGATGATCAGAAGCAGGATCGGGAGCAGGAGCAGGAGCAGGAGCAGGAGCAGGATCAGGGTCGGGAGCAGCAGTAGGAGCAGGAGCAGGAGCAGGGTCAGGGTCGGGAGCAGCAGTAGGAGCAGGAGTATCAAGGGGAGTAGGAGGAAGAACAGAAGGAAGAACAGGAGGAAAAGCAGGGAGAAGAGCAGGAGGAAGAATAGGAGGAAGAATAGGAGGGAGAGCAGGAGGGAGAGCAGGAGGAAAAACAGGAGGAAGAATAGGAGGAGGAATATGAGGAAGAATAGGAGCAGGAGGAACAACAGGAGGAAGAATAGGAGGAGGAATAGGAGGAAGAATAGGAGCAGGAGCAGGAGCAGGAGGAAGAACAGGAGGAAGAACAGGAGCAGGAATAGGAGGAGGAATAGGAGCAGGAGGAGGAATAGGAGCAGGAGGAGGAATAGGAGCAGGGGCAGGAGGAGGAGCAGGAGCAGGAGCAGGAGCAGGAGCAGGAGCAGGAGCAGGAGCAGGAGCAGGAATAGGAGCAGCCGCAGGGCCAGGAGCGGGGGCAAAGGCAGGAGCAGGAGCAGGGCCAGCACCAGGAGCACCAGGAGCAGGGATTATGGCCATGGGGGCAGACCATCTGATATCGTTGCATCGAAGCACTTTAAGAATGTCATATAAAGCATTAACAACCGTGCCTATATTAGGCCTCGAATTCCTAACAGAAGCGGGTAGCTGATCTATTCTTGCACGGAATTCCCTTTTGATTATGTCGCCATGACTATTGAAACGGAAAAACCTGGCACTAGGCCTACCTATGGCAAGATGTTGATTGTGTAGGGGAGCGTAAATGCTTTGCATCCAGTCCAACACAGGTTGGCGAGCTGATTCTTGCCGGATATTGATTTCCCGCCAGTACCTTTCGATACCTTCGTCAGTCATGTCCCCACGAATTCTGGGTAAGGGCCTTCGGGGTGCCATTTTGAAATACAAAGGTTCGTTATTGTGAATTGTTAGAAAGCAGAGTTTGAATGTTGAATGTTGATTGCTGGACTGTTGGGAGGATGTCTGAAGCTTGAGGTTGATGATTGAGATTTCAGGTGGACGTGTTGCTTCTCTTAAATATTCAGCGAGTTCAGTGCCTCTTTGATTATAAGCCTCCACCTCATGGACTATAGCTTTGAACTCGACCTTTAATATCTTTGTGTATTGTTTTCGATAGGATACAAAGGCACAAACACGAGGACAACGAGGAACCACAAGCAACCCCCATTTAGCATAGGGTTAGAAGAGATCACAGCTCAAGAGGTTCTTTGTTACAGATATAGATTAGAGCAAGAAGAGAGAATTGAGATATCTTACGGAATAACAAAGCGTATTATTCTATACATAGTATGGAAATAGATCATATTTATACTACTCCCAAGTAGACTCGTGTCTTGCTTTCTTGTCTCATCCTCTGTCTACGGTTAAATTCCCAAAACTAGAATATTGTTCGTGTGACTAGAGAATCCCCTTTCATATCTAGATAGTGCAGTGTGCCATAACACTTGCACCCAGGCCATTTGGACTTCATTGTCGAAGTACAGAAAAGGAAAGGCTGAAAGAGAAGGCAGTGAGTAACCCCAAGTAGGCCCCTGTATAGCATGTAATCAGTCACTAATTGGCGATGAAACTTTTATTGAGGAAACTACAAAATAAAGATCCTAAGATTAAACTCGAACAAGAGCTGACATGGACTCGGCTTGCTGGAAGACTCCTCTTGTCCCAAGCTATTTGATTAACTTGTATAGTTTGAGCATTATATTCCACAACCTTTTCTGAAGCCCTAACGTACGACATTCACTCCGCTGCATTTTGAAACTTTCTCCTGGTTTCTTCCAGTGATATGATTTTATGCAAATTTACGTCTAAAAGTTACATTGCGAAAATAGGAAAAATGACAATGGACATGAAAATGGCAAACAGCCGCTTGGAAGTTGAGGCACTGGGTTTCCCATGCCGCTTCTAAGATGACCAGCTTGATGTCCAAAATTAGGGTTACATGAACCCAACAAGCAACCTAGGTGTGAATCATTTGATCTCACAAGAGTAGCCTTCGAGTCGGCAGACACGGTTCGCTCCAGGATACACTTTCCACCATGAGACCGACAAGGCACTTGTAGGAGAATTTATGCAAATGTATCTCTGTAGCGTCATATATGTAATATACATAAGCAAATGACATACTGCTTGAAAAAGACTGGTGGTCTTCGCTATGCTTGTATCGAAATGGAACCATTTACACTGTTTCCAACTAGCGACACATCTCTTATATTCAACCGCGAATAATTGAGCAAGCTGAAGCTTCCTCTTGTCTATTGTCCTACCATGATGAGCTGTCGGGCCTTACTCCCGGAGGAGGAAGTACCTAGGTACTTGATGAGATCGACACTGCAAGTTGTGTACCTACATCGTACAACCTAAATGACCTGATTTTGGCACACAATTCCCTCCTGAGCTACCAAGATGTTCTTGTTTTCAATTTCATCATATGCATGTAATAATAGTAGCAAGATGAATATTCATGATTTACGCCTCTAGGATTCCAAGGAAAAGCCCCACAACAGGCTAGAATGTATACTAATGAACGCTCTATGTTGTAACTTAGTACCCCAAATGGATAAGTGGCTGTCTCATCAAAAAATAACCTTGGAAGTTACCTTGAAAACCTGTACCTTACATCACGAAACTTCTTTGTCATCGACGAGAACAAGTTAATCTCCGTTTACGTGCATCACAAAGCCTTGATTGGCCGATGACGTCAGACTATCAAACCTGCCATCAAACACACCTGCCACTCAACTATAAGAAGCCCTGTCTTAACGGTCGTTCTTTTCGTTTGCTATCCTCATCAACTCTACAACCTTCTACCTCTACAAACTATCAACTTCAAACTAAATTTTATCAACTCCCATTACAACATCATGGAGACCGCCAAGGTTCGCCATATCATCTTTATACATGACTCGCTTGTCTTCAAAGTGCTAATGATGATAACAGAACGCCGTTAACTACGTCTCTGAGTCCATCCAGGGTGGTGGTGCCACTGCATCCAAGGAGGCCAACAAGCACGTTGCAAAGGACTCTGATGCCAGCCTCAGCAGCCGAGCTACTGCCGCAAAGGATGCTGTTGTCGACAAGAAGGACGAGAAGTCCCATGATACCAAGGCTGATGTCCACAAGGGTGAGTTGAAAAAGGCTACAAATGTATCGCGGTGACATAGAATGAGTGCTAATCATCTTCACACAGAGGCCGCTAAGCACTGAACGACCCTGCGAACACTGCAATGCTATGGGATAACGAGATACCAAGTTTGCTATTGCTAGGTACCAGGTGGTAATGAGACAGCTCTACATCTGTGCGCAGACGAATTTATGCCAATTGAACTACATTGAAACTGTCACGATCTCCCTGATAGCACACTACGCTTGAGATAAATGTTTGCCATCTCTCAAAACAACCACGTAATAGGTGGCCTAGTTTCCAGGCTTTTTTCAGTTGTCAAGGAGGCCATATATATCAGGGTGAGAACCCGTTAGACTGTAGGATTTTATGGCAGAACTGCTCCACCTGAGAAAGCTGATGTTTGAGACTGTCAATATTACACTACAAAGTAGATCCTGAACGAAGGGGCTCTCAATTCCTTCCATTACCAATTCCCTATACTCTATGTCTCATATTACATCACTCCAAACCAACCCGCCCGATGGGTTGTATGATAAGCCTAAGGCGGAACTCTTCTAAGTATCATTCCCCCACGGCCATCTTCCAAGCTTTCCTGTGATTGGAACTGGTCATGCTATTATGGGTTTTGTATGTTCAAATCATCGCCGAGTGAGAGTAACATGTAGGTTTACTCAGCCAGCAAGATGTATGTGGGAGACAAAATTCTTGTGCATCCCTCTGAGCATCGAAAGACGGTCTAGTTCTCTACTAGAAGAGGAGGAAGACTGAGCACCGAGGTATCCATTTGAGTTTCTCAACACAAAGATGTCTACAATTGCAGAACAAGAAAAATACTATCAACTACTGAACTACATTGGGGTGACCCTCAGAGTATATAAAAGATTAAGAACACGTAGCTCAGCCTGGGCTCTCACGAATTCTGCATATCGACCAGGATCTTGCAATGCTGATCCCGATGCTCAATTAAAGCCTTGAATCCTTTTTCCACCACCTCGCTCAGTTTTATGGTTGAAGTGACCATCTCATCGGGTTTCAATTGACCTGGAGAGGGATCAATATCTTGGGAACTAGGGTGCAATATCTGAAAGTCCAAACTGACCGTAGCTTATGGCTTTGATCACATCTTTGAAAGATGCCTCATCATAGAGAGCTGCTCCCATATAGTTCAGTTCCTTGTACATTAAGTCATTCACATCAACAGCGGGTTTCTTCTCCCATACTGCAATATTCACGATCGTCCCATGGATACGACATGCTGATATTGCCCCGTCTAGTGCTATCTCCACACCGGCGGTGTCGAAGAGAACATCGGCGCCTATGTCATTGGTCAGTTGATGCACCATCTCCGGGACATCGACTTTCTGGGGATCAAGTAAGTATGTCGCGCCGAGGTCTTGAGCCAATTGCTTGCGGTTTTCCGTGGGCTCAACTACCATGATTGACTTGGCACCTTGTACTTTGAGTACTTGTACAATGCCTATACCGATTGGACCGCCACCCACAATTAGAACATTGTCACCAGGCTTGAAAGGGGAGATGTTGACCGCATGCCAAGCTACTGCGAGAGGCTCCACCAAAGCTGCTGATTCAAGGGAGACGTTGTTTGGAATAGGATAGAAGTGTTCGACGGGAGCGACAATATGCTCGGCCAAACCACCTCCATATCCTTTTAGTAGTTTGTGTTAGCAAGAATTCTGTGGCTGCCTTGTCAATGAGATACGTACCACTTAAACCAATAAACCCAATGTTCTCGCAGCAATGCTCAATCCCCTTTTTGCAGGATGAACAAGTTCGGTCGAAGATGGTCGGTCGAACCACTACCCTTTGACCGGCAGAGAGATAGTTTATATCGTCGCCAACCTCCTCAACAATGCCACTGAATTCATGACCCATAGTGACAGGGTATTTGGAGCCCGTAATGGGATGCGGAGTTTCGGGAATGAGAACAGGACCAGCTGTATACTCGTGGAGGTCTTTCACCATTAGTATGCTACCAAACGTGCACACATATATATGGTACGCTTACCACTACCACAAAGTCCAACAAAGGCTGGTTTCATCTGTGGGGTATGCTGTTAGTTCGGATTCAGGTACTTGTGCGAGAAGCTATGCGACAGGCCCAGACAGATCATGTACCTTGACTTCACCCTTTCCACATTTCGGCTCCTCCACTTTATCGAGGCGAATATCCTCTCGTCCATGGAATCGGGCTGCCAGCATTGTGGCTTCGTTCTTGGGTGTAGCGCAGAAAGATTCATTCAGATTTGTAGTAAAAATAAGATGTGTTTCGAGATTAAGCAAGTTTCAGTAGAATATGTCAAAGACGCGAATATTTCGAATTGCGTCCCTGGGACATATAAAAGATGCGCGATAGAGATGGGAAGCGTGTAGAGAATATGACGCATGCCGAGAAACGACCCGGTATTGCCTAAAAAGGAAAGTTGGTCATTCGCGGGGAAGATCTAGTTTGCGTGTCTAGCTGGATAGTTAACTTCTCAATTCAAGAAATTATGTATCATGTGTTCGAAAATGACTCAGGCTAGGCAGGGATATATCTTGATAATATGGCAATATCAATCTTGGAAGGACATAAGCCTTGCGCAATGCAACATGTAGAATCTGCATTGCCCTCGTCCGTGCGCATTCTTACCATTAAACACATCAGTAACAATTTAAACTTGTTCAGGATCACAACGCGAGATGATCTCAATGTCTTATCTTTGATATCAAAATGGATCATCCGACATTTGACAGGTTGATCTGCCGAGGGGAGCTAATGTCCGATCCATTGTAGATCCACCTGCGGGTTAACTTTGATTCCCCGCCAGACTATGGGGTTTGAAAAATTCATGCCCAATTTGGCTAGCTGATAACTCGTTATAGATGATCAAATGCGCACTCCAGGGGTACGGCAGAAAATTCCCTCGCTAACAATATACTGTGATGGCTTATGGTCTTGATCAGGCACCAAACTTGTAAATAAAACTCCTCCGTTTGCCTCTAGGAGCAGCTCCTTCTGAGCATATAGTCTGTAAACCTGTATTTCTTTATCCATTTCTACTCAATGGCAGGCTTTCGTCTCAGTCTCGCAACTATAACGATGACGTCATAGATATAGATATACCATTCGAATATCGTCTTTAAGAGTCTGCTTATATGTTGTATGCTCTAACCTCTGCTGTAGGATATGATCCTACCTGATCTGAAAGAAATCCTCAAGTCGATTATACTCGTACGTCATCAACGATCACTAAACCGGGGACAGAGCCCTGGAGGCGAAAACAAGAACCCGGGACAACCAATTGTTCCCAATCTTGCTTTGTACCAGTTATACTCACCACTAAGCCACTCTCCATAGATTTTCAATTGTATACAGCCTTCGTCATCACGTCAAACTCTACCTAGTCTTCGTAGAAATACCTGGCCACTGGTTACTAGCTCCCATTTGAAATCCAACCCAATCTCTTTCCATGCATATCTCTACTCTTCACTCTAATCCTCAAACGTGAAAGTTCTTGACGAGCCGATCTCCACAACTATGGCATCGATTATCACTTCCATCAAAGATCTCATTACTTCTGTTTTCGAGGTAATATTCTCAGTGGCCAAGAGCGCGCTGCACACGGTGTATCAGTTCTTCGTCGCTGTCGTTGACTTGTTCGCTGGCATCCCTAAGATGTTGCAGCACTTGGTGAAGGGCACTGTGGAAGCTACAGGTGGGGTTGGGGCATTTCTTGCCAGTGAGTCTCTTCAGCGTTATTTTAGGGATACTACCAGCTAACGATGCCAAAAGGTAACATCGTCGTTATAAGTTTGATTGCGCTTGGCAGTTATGGTTATCTGGTGTATTTGAGGCGTGATAGGCGTCCAGTTCAGGTGGGAAATAAAAAGCTACAGTAGTGGTGGCTTAGCGCCTTGGTCATTCAGAGGAAGGGAGCCGTTGAAGAGACAAAGATCTGATGTCTCTTAAGATGTTGATAGCGCAACACAAGCTATAGCAATGGCGGAATGTCTAGGTTGTTGCTCTCATTTTTCGCTTAATCCTGGCGACTGATAGCATAAACATGTTGTGCTTTGTTGCAAAACTAGGCTGATCCGTTATATATTATGTAGTTTATATGTCGGATTTGACAGCGGTAGCAGCTGTTACAGTGTGAGGAAGGGCTTCAACTATTGACACAGATTGCGGCTAATTGATAAAATTAGGATAGCAAGGCCATTTCTATGATATTTTGGGCCAGCAATTCATCCTTTTCAATATAAAATACAGGCATAAGGCCATTTCACCACCAGCAGAAACATGATGATAGTCATGCGCATTTCTCTCGAATATCACACTGGCTATAAAGTCAAGTCGTGTTCTCATATTTCACTTCATCCGGTGGGTTTTGCTGCGACTGACTGCGCTGCATTTAATCGACTCTCTTCTTGCCGCGAAGAACCTTGCGTCTCTGAGCAATCATGTGGGTGTAGAGGATATACGAGCCTGATGAATAGTCAATACCAGAAGTCCTTGATGATTGATGGGGAGCAACGTACCAGGAACGTAGATGACAAGAATGGCAATCAAAGCGTAACGGAACAGCGGGTTCAGCTCGCCAGCAGGGCCAAGCGCCTGGACGATAAGCGTGCACTCGCTGGAGATACCAATGGGGTAGAGAATGTAGAAAGTGTTGTATCTAAACATGAAGATCGTCAGTACAATGAACGCCGCAGCCACACTAAAAAAAAGATTTTAATAGAAACCTACCGCAACCAAGTCCACCAGCTCGGGACCGCATTTCCAGACAAGGTGATAGCGAAGAAGCCGTAACGGATAACCTCCGTAATACCCCAGGCAGTCACACAACCCAGATACGCATAGTCACCCAGCTGGGTATCGCGGCCGGCGCCGACAATCTCCCCACCGAACTGCGCCATGATGCCCCACACCAACAGCAGCCGACTAGCAACTTGCATGGCAGTTGTCATGAAAGGTGCGCGCACGAGGCCCACCAGGCTGTGCACGACCTCCAACAGGGCGAGGGACTGCGTGGCCAGCAGCAGTGGGGAGAAGGTCAGGTTGAAGACCTTGGGCAGAGTCTTGGTCGAGACATGGGATGGGAGGAGGGAGGCTGTGTAGACGACACAGGTGCCCCAGGCGAAGAGGTTGAGGGTGTTGTAGAGGAAGAGGTATGCTCTTGTGAGGCCTGAAGGGCCAGAGCGCGATGCGCTGGTTGCTTTAGATGAGGCCATTTTTAGGCCAGTGGTGTCTTCAATCTCGTGGCGGCAATTGGCGATCCTGTTGCTCTGTATGTGAAGACCTCAAAAATTTGTGGTTGATTTTGGTTGGGAGCTGCCAACAAAAAAATGGACCGAGGTCCCCGGTTGGTTACTAAGCATTCTGGAAGAGCCCTGGAGCCCCTGGGACCGCGAGATCGGGACGGTTGTGGAGAAAACGCGTGTTTGGGATCCGGGGTATATTCTTGATTTTCGTCATCTCTCGATTTGAACATGCTTTCTCTTCAAGACAGATCTGTCTAGTCGGCTTAGGAGCCATATGCTATTAGGCCAATCATGATTTAGCCATGCAGTCTTCGCCTTCTGCGCCGAGTATAACCCGTAGCCGGGGTGTCGGATCCGGATGCAAATTCTCTGCAAGCCTGGACTTTGTTAACAATTTCAGAAGATCTCTGCCGAGGGGAAGGCATACTGTGATTCGCCTGGGGTTGTCGAGTGCATAGGCTGACAGCTAAGCGGATGGCTTATGGGGGGACGCGCTCTTGGCTGCCAGGGATAAGCCGACCCCGATGGGCATAGCTGTACGATCTAGTCCGCGCTATTGCTCAAGGGTGTCAATAGCGCCTTCCATCTCGTATTGCCTGAGAGGGGACATATGTGGGTTGGTCTAGGTATTTTGGACTTGAGTACGGAGCAGTTTTCAGATAGGTCTGAAAGGCTACATAGGCGAATTACTGAGGGACCGTTGATATTGTTTTCCTTGGGCCCTCGGAGATGGTATGAGTTTGAGGAGTTGCTTCACGTATGTATGTTGTCGCCTTTCAATGAAATGATTGGACGTAGTAGAACCACTTGAACACTACAACATACCCCACAGATGTCAACTATATCTAGGCATGTATAACGGATTTGTAGTTACGCTTTATTGATCCTCGTCAATCCACTTGCCAGACACTTCCTCCGTTGCACACCATGAATTGCCGGAGACAAACTCGAATATTCATTTGTCTCTTGTACAACAAGCATCTTCGTCTTATCGTTGTGCACACGGACCATCGGTACATGGCTCAATGCAAACTGCCCATAGCGTCTCAACCCTCATCTTTATATAGGCATCACTATGGTGTATGTAAGCCTTTGGAGGTGTACCAAGCTCTCCATGGCATTGGAAAAAGCCACCTATGTTCAGAGTATATAGTATTCTAAGCTTTATGCCGCATGACGTGAGCAGAGACCATGAAATGAGAGTGACACCATGCGATGCAGAAATAGTCAACAACTCAGTCCAACTTATGGAGTATACCTCACATTCCCGTATGAAAGGAATGTACTGAGTACTCTGTACACGGTAATGGCTGTAATTTGCCGTTACGCTGGATGACATCAGAGGCTGCGAGTGGGCTGAGTTCCAGGTCCATCGGTGATGTCATGGCTCCCGTCGTGGCTTCTGATTGGTCCACAGGGTACCGGAGCCAACCACTTCGCGCAAAAACCAGACGGTCAAAAGAGAGGCACAAATGTCCCCTATCGCTATATAAACGAAGAGAGCTGCGGGCTCGTGAGAGCGGCCTGAATTGACCTCAATTGCAATTAACATACTGCTTCTACATCGGCGGCTCCCCATGCAAAACTAAAACCAGGTCAAAGAGAGAAAAAAAAAGCAATGACAATCAAACAGAAACACCCAAACATTCATCGTCATCGGTGACAGCATAATCGCTCGTGTCTTAGCCCAGCAATATTGGCCCCCCTTTCTTTCCCCCTCTCGAGCAAAGAAAGGGAAACCATGGAGCCATGTCCTCTCACATTGGTCGTTCAACGCGCTGTCACGGAGTACGTCAGATGAGGAATCCATGCAACACACAATGAGAATGCCAGTGTCCCGAGTTACTAGACACGGTCCTCGGGGGTCCAGACCAACTGGTTCAGGCCCTCATTGCACACTTGGTCCAGGTTGATCGTGCTTCCCTGCTGTGCGAGCCGGCACGATTACGTCTTTTGCCCCCTTGAGCCTTTTTTTTTTTGGTTTTTGGTTTTCGTGGCTAAAATTTCGCCAGGACGCTAATGGTTCCCCCCCTTAGGCTGTTCCTTGTTTTAGAGCAGTGCAGAGCGAGCCTTGGAAACGGAGGATTCTTGGAGTAATGCCACCAGGGACAGGAAAAAAAAAGACACTCGCCTGTTCGCAGTTACGTCCCAAACGGTTCGGCGTGTGACCGTTCGGAGGTTCGTTTGGGAATGACAGGCCCAATGACGTTCCTTGCTGGGGATCGGCGCCCCGATGATGTCGTTTGGCTGGTTTTCCCTTCCGCTGCCAGATCTCCATGGTCTGGTCAATACTATAGGCACGGCCTGATGCGGCCATAAAACGTGTCATTTTTTTCCCGGTATTTTTTGCGCCCTATCGGCATCCACTAAGCATGTACTATTCAGTTCAAAATGCCCACTTGCAGCAGGTCGGCGAGGGGTCAAGCCGTTCATTTCGTTTCTTTTCTCCCCGGTGGACCCAGCAGGAGGAAGTGATCCCACGGTTGTACTCCACTGGGTTACCTGTCTCATTGACAGAGTTCGGATGAATTCGATTAAGGTATCAAGATATATCGTTCGATTGCTCATGGCCGAGAATTCAAGCTCATCGACGATATGTCAAGCAAAGAGCTATAGAGGTTGAAGGTTATTATATCAACGGTGGCCTCGATATCCACTGCGCTTTGAGGCTTTAGCCTAGCGCAAAGACTAACAAATAATCGAAATGAAAAACTGGAAATAACGGAGTCGGTCTCCCAAAAGCCGAAGTCCAATTAGAACCCATATAGATTATAGCGACGTGATACTATACCCAGCGCCTGATTCCCCCGAGCTGCGCCAAGATCAGATTTGAAGAAATAAAATCGCATTTCGATCACATAGGAAATATAATGATTTGGATCGAATGAAATATCCGAAATCCCCAAAGTCCTCCTAAATCCTCCTCACTCCTGTGGTTCGGGGCCATAGATTAGGAAGTGAGAGCCTACCCACCTAACGCCATTCTCCGCCCCTCCGTTTCTCTCTCTCTCTCTTCTTCGCCCCTCCTTGTCTCTTTAACCTTCTCCCCTTCCCCTTTCCGCACGTGTCTTTTTCGTTTGCCTTTTTTTCGGTTCTTCTTTGTCGCTGGATTGTCCTCGAATACCCTTCTTTTGGTGCGGTGATCTCAAGCTCAGAGCCTTGAGAGAAAAAAAAAATAAAGGTGGGATGAACTTTCCGAACCCTCTCCAACTTGCCCCTCTCGGATCTGGGAGATTTTCTTGGATTTTCTTGGATTTTCATTCTTTTTTTATCTCGTTTAATTCCCTTTGCACTGTCAAGTGGGACCCTGGCTTTGGGCTGCAGCTCTTGCTATGCGCTAGTCATGGTGTACACGGTTGTGACTGGATCACGCTCGAGTATATGCTCTGAATGGCCCTGTGTGTCCGGTCTACACCTCTATCACCTCCACATCCGGTCCCTCCTTGGGATATTCCCCCTCCTCGCCCTCTAAATCCCTGCTATATTGCAGCTACCCCTCCCCCTCTGTGATTTGGCTTGGGTTTTCCCGTCTCCTGCCACCTATCACTATTCAGCGTCACTTGATACTTCAATCCTTCAATTTGGTGGCTGTACTTCGCCTCGACCCTCAGCCTCTTGTCCCCTGATCATAGTTACCGGAGCCTCTCACCGTTCCCCCGTTGACAGCTTCCAGCCTACCTTGGTGCCTGGATCCGTAACACCCTGCTGGCTCTGTAAGATGATATATGCGTTGCGTGCAGATCTTTGTTGTGTGCAGACCTCTGCGATTCTGACGTCCTCGTTGTATCATCGTTGAATCTTGCTCTCCGGGACCTCTCGTTTACCATTGATTTGCCACATCTTGTTTCTACTCATCCAAGATCTGGATCGGCAGTGGGATGAAGTGAAGGCTAACTGAGATTTGCAAACAGAGCACCCCTCATTCCATCTGGATTGGCGGAACATCAGATCGGAAATAAACGCCACTTTCACCCCCACCACTGTGACGATCTACGCCTCACACTAGGACCCTCTTCCCTACTCTTTCAACATCTCCTCCATACACATACACAGCAATGGCACCAACCGATACCAAAAAGGCCGACCAGGTAAGCGATTCTTATCCAAGTCGAAAAAGGGTTCTGGGCTGATGTTCGACTCCAGGCCAAGCAGGGTCCCCCCAGACTCTCTGATTACAAGGAAATCCTCGACGAGAGCACATTCGAACAGATCCTCGAGATGGACGATGATGAGGAGGACCGCGACTTCAGCAAGAGCATTGTGTATGGATTCTTCGATCAGGCTGAAAACACCTACAAGAAGATGGAGAAGGAAATGTGAGTGTGCTTACTGCCTGTAGCTGTCCACCGGCAGCCATAATGATAGGATTTCGCTAATCTCTTCTCCCACAGAGATGAGAAGAACCTTGATGAACTCTCTGCACTCGGACACTTCCTCAAGGGCTCATCCGCTACCCTTGGACTGGTGAAGGTGAAGGACGGCTGCGAGAAGATCCAGCACTTCGGCGCCAACAAGGACGAGACTGGCATCATTGACGAACCGGATACCGAGGTCTGCCTCAAGGCCATCCAGAAGACTCTGGATGAAGTCAAGGTCGAATACCGCAAGGTCGAGAAGCTCCTCCGCCGATACTACGGCGAGGAGATTAAGGAGGAAGAGGAGAAGCCCGAAGTGAAGGAAGTGAAGGAGCCGAAGAAGGACGAAAAGCCCCAAGAAGAGCCCAAGGAGCCCAAAGAGGCCAAGGAGGCCAAGGAGGTTAAGGAGGTTAAGGTGGCCAAGGAGGCCAAGGAGGTCAAAGAACCCACGAAGGAGAAGGAGCTCGCCAAGGAGTCTTCGCAATAAGTGGTCATTTGGGCTGGTTGATATCCCTCCTTCCCCTTTTTCTTTTTAGCGACGGATGGAGCATGGCAAATGGCTTTTTTCTTTTTCTTTTTCTCCTTTGCCCATTTTTACCCTTTCCCCTCTGATTTCCCTCGTCCGCCTGGCTTTTTTCCCCCTTTGCTTTGATACGTACATAACAAACTCTCCCTGCCATATCTCCCCCTTCCCGTCCGGACACTGGTGTGGAAACGGATATTCCTGGTCTGTCACGTAAGTGCAGGCGCGAGAATCGTGACGAATCCGAGGAGTCTTGAACAATAGCGACATATGGAAATCCGAGTGCCTTTGGCCTTGTTTCTTTTTGCTCTGAACCTGCGATTCTGTTTGATGATCACATCAGTAGGTATTGCAGATATTCAGACACCGAAATCCCAACAGGTAGCTGCTTTGTACAAGGCCTAATGAAATCCCCATTAAGTCTATCTGGCAAATGTGTATATATAGTAATAAACCCCAACCCTTGAACGCAAGCCCAGATGTGGCGCATAAAAAGCTTTTTTTCACTTCAGCCACTTGCGTGGGCCTCTGGGGTCCCCGGATTAACTTGACTTTGTTCCTGGAGAACCTAATTGCATCCTCGTCCAAACCCCCCCTTTCCCAGGTACTGCCTTCTATGTCATCTAAATGATAGGGAACTTTGCCACCATTTCCGCATTTGCGTCTGCTCATTGCCTCACCGAATGGTCAACTAATACTGGAGTCCTGCAGTATGCGATACTGACAACGCCCAAGCATATTGAAAAGTTTCTGAAGCCGAGTGATAGTATCTTTCATTATCGCTAGCTCCGGAACCGCGCTAACAGTTGAGTTCTTTCGAAGGTACTTCCCAGAAAACTTTGTTTATCCCGGAATCAGACCGGCATAGGAGGTGTAGACACTCATCGGACGTACTTGGCCGTGGCGTTCCCAACCAAATCCCGACCTCCCAACTGTCAGTGCTATGATACAGCGCAGCAGCGGGACTACGCAGTTTCAGTTTCCGAGCCGGGATGCGCAAGGGTTCTGCCTTGATTGGCCCTTTCCTGGCGTGCGGTGTGCCGTCTGTTGTTGGATTCCAGCATCAACGAGGGAAAGCTTCGAGGGGCTGAGATCTGGTCAGTACATAGAACTTTTGCCAAAAGCTGACGCATATCTGCTCTGTATGATATATATCTTTATGATATCACCAGTCGATACTTGTCAAACCAGTTTTCACTTCATAGAGCACCCCACCTCGATGGTTCTCCAGAGCCATCTGTTACGAACGCACCTTGTTGCACGGAAATATCTCTCAACGACAGATCTAGACTCATACCGCCTTACGAAGTAGTAGCTAACACTTTGTCTGTCCCGTTCAACCAACCTTAATCAACAACCAATGCAACTCATCGCATGTGCATCAGTCACAAACGAGAAATTCGGAAACCGAGTCAAAGCAACTTCCAACCGGGTTTCTTGCCCACTGGCAAACGCGGCTACTCGCTCATATAAACGAACATCTTCGTGTGAATTCCCATGCCGACACAGACGCGAGAAACTACGCCGTTTTGGGCCTCGGTCTGTCAGCTTTGCTTGCATTGCATCCTGGGCTGGAATCCGGTCTGGCGGGTCGCACAGCATAGCCAACGAGCGCTTTCCTTTTGTCTGCAGGATGCCCTAACAAGCCGACGGATACGCACAGGTCCCTTATTTGTCTGATTTCCCACTAGTATGTAAGGGTGGAAGGTCGTGGATAATCCAGGTAGTATGGGCTACTTGGTTGGGTTTCAGGGCGCCTCGACGCCAATTTCGACACGTACAGCTATAATGCCCCCTTTCCGGAGCGGCTTTCTCCACACAGCGGCACAGCCGCAGATGCACGTCCTCGGCTGAGGACGCAGCTTTCCAGCATTGGCACTGTTAAGCTAGAGCGGTGTCCATTTTCTTCACGGATGCATACAGGTGCGTGGCAAGGAGGCCAGAAGCTATCCGAGTACGGAGTATCCGGTGCTAATTGGGATCAGGATCTCAACATTTATCCGACTCTTATGTACAACAAACGGACCTCGAAAGATACACCCCTTTCTCCTGCATGCAAGCATACATATATCTCCTACCTGTCTGTCTCGGATAGCAGACTTGACCTCATCAAGCTGTCCTCGATATACAAAAACGCACTTAGCCTGCCATATTCGCGCTCAGTCCTCGACCCGGGAGAGATGGGTCCACGATAACTCTGTTTGTGAGTGTCTCGGTGTATTCGACTTGTCACCCTGACCCGCAATCCTTCTATCGAGAGGCAAGAAAGAGGCAGGGAACAGGAATAGGAGACTTTGTAATACCCCAGTCTGCCTTTCTCCCCAATCCTGGCTGCTGATTTAAACCACGCCATTTCGTTTGTTCATCGTCTCCGCCCACCCAATGGCCCAGCCTACATACTCCCCACTGGGAAAGGCCGTAATACGGCCCGTAGTCCTATTCCCTGAATTCCAACAGCCCCCAACGGTTTTGCATTGACGCGCTTGTTAGCGAACGAACTCCCGCCCGGCTCGCGGTTTGACCTAGTCCGGGGTTGTATATCAACGGGTGTGCAGTGAGACCGTACACACAGTACATTGTACCACTGCCCCGACATCCGCGGATCCTGCAAGATGCACGGTAGCGTTCTATCCCAAAGAAACCAGATTTTCAGCACCGGGGCAGCAAAAGAAAAAAAATAAAACACTACGAGAAGGGAGGAAAAATAGCCAACTGCAGCACTCTTGGCTCGTCCCCTCTTCCTCCCTTTGTTGGTCCTGCACATGCACCAAAGAAACAATAAATAATCCTTCAGGAGATGCGATGTCTTGGTCTCGAGGCAATCAACTTCTTCAGACCCCTGCACCTTTACTCCACATCCTTGCGCTTATGCTATATCGCATCTGATTGCGGGTTTGCGATCTTCCCCCCAAAATTCCCCGCTCAATCCGATTGCTCCTGTTTCTGTTTTCTGTTCTCTTGTCTTGATCCGTTCGCTCTGCTTCGTTCCGGGCGGAGAAGCGTCTCTGATTGTATCGGCTGCCACGGCTTCGGCCCCGTGCAATTCGCAACGGCCGTTGAATGTGTTTTCCACGCCGTTAAGCTCTGTTTGACCATAGCCTTCGAGCGATATAAAGTCTTCCTTTGGCTCGGGCTTCGAGGTTACGTCTTCAGCTTCAGCTTCCTATTCCATCTTCTGTGTCCACTCAATATCAAATCCTCATCTCAACCCAGTTTACCTACATTGTCTGCATCAAACTCCCAGTCATACTCGCAGATCCACCCCCAACAACCCATCTCCATACATCTCAGCACTATACACAACTACACACCATGCCCGTCGGTCCCCGAGTCTCCAAAGAAGAATTCATGCACGCACTGGGTCTAAATCCCCACGACCCCCACCATGAACAATACTACCGCGCTATGCGAGTAAGCACACCCCATGTCAACTACATTACAACGACACTAACCAAATCAGGACGAAGCAATCATGGTCTACAACCGCATGAACCAGGATACCTCTAACCTCCTCGACAACGTGCGCGCAGACCCCGCAACCCGCCCGCCATTCTTCTGGCACCACATCCGGCCAGACTGCCAGCGCTGGGCGATCCAGGAGATCTGGCGGAATGCGGCGCCTCTCACGCGCGGGCTATTCGACCGTGGCGCGACGAATGGGGAGTATGGGCCGAATTGGGTGGCAGGGTGGTTGTTGTATAGTGTCTTCCGGTCGAGGGATGTGAGGAATAATCGGAATCGGAGGAAGGGGGAGGCAGGGGCGTCGGCTCCAGAGGGTGGTATGTATCAATCTTATTGGGCTTGGGCTTATTTGGGTGTGACTTACTGACTGGTGGGACTTATAGATAAACAAAGGAAAGAGGAGACGGCGCCGAAGAAGGGATATTATGATCCTGTGCGGAACGGGACGTTGTGATCTTTGTTTGTGCTTACGGGGATTTTCTTTTTCCGGCTTCATATCCAGTCTGTTTAATATTTATCTTTCTCAATGAACCTGAATATGAAACTGGGATTATCGGAGTAAGACTGAGAAGAATGTAAATGCGCAATGCAAAGTATAGAACGCTTCGTGTACGAGATCAAAGAAAAATGGCAAATAACAAAGATCAGTCCTCGTCCTCACTGTCCTTATCATCTGAGTCCCGGTTCTTCTCCTGCTTCTGTCGACGTTCCGACCTCAGAACCTCCGTCACACGTTTATCCTGCTCATCAGCCCTTTCATTCCACTCAGCATCATACTCCGCAGCGATATTCTTGATCTCCCTCCTTAGCGAGTTCCCCTCATCGATCAAAGTCTCCCACATCTGCAAATCCACGTTATGCAACTGATACAGCTTCTTCTGTCTCGTGCTAATCGTGAAATCCAGCGCTGACTTATACGAAATCTCCCGATTGTGATATAAAAACCACAAATAACCCCCCATCAACGTAGACAAACTGACCAGATACGTCACGGGCTCCATAGTATCCCATCCCAGGTCAGTCTCAAACGTCAACCGGTATACCGTCAACCACCAGATGGCAAGAATCCCAAACCCACCAATCGCAACCCGCTGCGCACCCCGATGCGCCAGCGCATCGCACTCTTCCTTAACATTTGCCATCGTCTGGATACGTCGCGATAGCTTGCGCAGTCTCATGCGCAGGTAGTAAGTCCGTTCATTGAACGACGGCACCGCGACACGAATCTGGTTCAGGCCCGAAGGCGCGCCTTCAATCGTGACAATGAACTCGCGCGCCCGCGCTGCGTCCCGAATAAAGTCGCCCACTTCTGTGGCCTGGGACCAGCGCACGAAGCGCTCTGGTTCGCCGTCTTTGTGATCGCCGCTTGTATTCCGTGGATAGCTGTATGTTTCAACGTCTTCCTGGCGAGACCGGCGGTGTTGAGTGGGTCTGCCGCCGAGGGGTTTGCTGCCGCCGAGGCCATCGTTGCCGGGGACGTAGTCTTTGTCTTTGTTTTGGTTTGAGTCGAGGTCTATTTCGTCCTCGATTCGCTTTTTGGGCTTGATTGCGTTGTCATCATGCTGGAGGGCGATGAATGATATGGCTGGTGGGCGTAGCTTGTCGGTTTCGCCTTTAATTGGTGGCAGTTCGGATTGGATCAGTCGCTCTAGATATGATAGTGGCTGTTGGGGGTGGACGAGGATAGCTATGGGTTCAATTTCTGATATAGGTGTTAGTACGAGGGTCAATCGGTATTTGTTATAGCTCGAGCAAGGATATACCTTTATCGTGGCCCTGGGTACCAATGGTTGTTAAAGGAATGATCAATTTGAAAAGCCGTGAGGGTGTCGTCAGCATTTTTCCTGCTTTCAAAGATTAGCAATTGATATCCGATGGGAAAGAGTTAGGACGACGGCACCTTTGGTCATTCTGTGAGGCCACTTCTCCCCAATGGGAACGTGTTTCCCTTCGCCATCCTCACCAAGCATTGTTCTGTGAGGCCGAGCTTCTTGATTGCGCTCTTGGACACGAAACTTCTCAAGCAGCTCTTCGGCATTTTCATTCTCGCCCGGGACTTGTGAATGGTCTACTTTACTGAACCTCCGGGTCTGCATCCATGTAGGATAATGTCGCGGCAATGCAGCTGGTTCAGCGCATCCAGGTTGTGTTGTCGGTAATGTACCAGAAGCCCTGGGTCCGACACAGTTGCCAATGGCTTTCGGGAAGGAATGAATATGCCTAGTTGAAGCGACTGAGCCATTCCCAACCCAGGTATTCCGCCCTGCAGAGACAAGTCTCCCCAACGAGGCGTACGGGGCCCCGCATTGTGATATTCTCCCTGTCACTGCCGACACAATAGGGGCACAATTCCGAGTTGGAAAACGCATTCTGTGGACAGGTACTAGTGTTGTGCTTTCAATTGCTTATTGTGTCTGTCTAGGTTGCATCGGGAGGGAGACGGGCAAGAGGGCGTAAACTAGATGTATGGATTCAAGGTTTTGGCGGGTGGAAGACTCAAGGCATGACGAAGCGGTGTTCGGGGGCCAGCGAGGAAAGGTGAGGTGTCGAAAGCCAAGGATAGTGCAAGCAATAGGCTAGCCAGGATAGCCCAGGCACAAACCATATCTTATTTCGCAGACTTGGAATATCCTGACGTCATAGACCCGAGTCGATTGGGCCGAGCCGTTGGGAGGCGTGGCGTTGTCTGTGGCTGTGCAGGATCTACATCCATCGTTGATGTCATATATGTTGGAGTCTCTCACAGCATCAGAGGTGTGCAAATCATGTATTTGGAGAAGAATGAGCGATATGAGCTTACCTAGACTGGAAATTTGGTGTTGTTCATAACAAGCCATGTAAGCGCAAACACCCGGACAAGTATATAGCTATCAGCGTATAAAAGTCAATTAGTCATTGACCACTCCAAACACTCCTGGACAGCGGTAGCAGTTTCCTCGTCATGCATTTTGGCCCCCTTGTCTAAGAGCCGTTTAATCACTGCGTTATTGGCACACCGTGCTGCCCACAACAGCGGTGTTCGACCGGAATCGGCTTTTGACTCGAGATCAGCGCCATTCTCAATAAGGACTTCCACCACTACCTCAAACTGATTCTCTGCTAGCCAAGATAGCATAGTTCGATCAGAATCATCTTTCGACATAATGGTAGCACCATTACCAAGCAGCAGTTCAGCCACCCCCTCATATCCATTTTCAACTGCTCACGGTAGCTACTAGCGGTGTCGGACGAGAGTGATTTTTCTAATCGAGATTCGCACCGCTGTCAAGCATCGACTCCAACTTCTCTTATTTGTCAAGCCTAGTCTTCAAATTCAACATTAAAACAGTCTCGATGTTCTAATCTAATGATTCGGCAACCGCAAAGTAGTCTTTGAAAGAACCAACCATAATCCGGAGCTCCTTCATAGAGCGCTCACCGTCGAATTGACTCGGCTGTACAAACTCCAAAAATTCCTTCGCACAAGCCGCAGCGATAGCCGCTGCATATTCCTCCCAGTCAGCGTTGGCTTGTGCGTCAGCATAGTTGCAGATTCCACAGATGACGATACAGGGGAAGTGGTCTATCAATCCTGCGGCCCCCGTTTCGATGCACAAGACATGTCCATCAAAACTCTTGTTCAATTTCTCACGAACCACAGCATCCTTAATCACCTGATCTCCACTCGCGATGAGACCATAATGAACACGTATGTTTCCGGGTCCCCTGTCAGTGTTGTCCAAGCTGGAATTTGCGGTCCTTGCCATCGGGGTTGTTGCAGAACCCCTAGTAAGCATCGCCCGCCCCGACAGACATAAGAAATGAAATAGGACAATCTCCCAAATCCAGGATATAATAGCAACCGAGTGCGAACTGTTCCGGAGATGCGCAGATGTCTGCCCGATGTACGGATCTCTGAGGGAACTCGACCAGGTATATTTCTCCCGCAAATTTGGATATCTTTCTACCATATCATTCAGGTATTGGGATATCTGACTTGCATGCATGTCATGCTTAGACTCAAGCTTTGTCATTGCTGTAAGAAGCGAGTTTGGCAGAGTGTTCAACACGCCAGTTTGCTTGAAGTTCCCATATGCTTCTGCCTTGCCCAAATCCCACTGGACAACTCCAGGGTACACATCGACAGGTGCACTGATCACAACATCTCCAAGTCTAACTTTTGATGGGATACCGCCACCGATACCGACCATAAGGCCGACTTTGATAGACGGGAAAGTGCGCACCATGTGTATCGCAACAGATGCTGCTGAACTGGCGCTGACTTTGCCTTTGGGTAGGCAGGCGATGACGATGTTGTGGCCTCCAATAGATCCCAAGGTATACGCGTTGGTATCATCTTTCGGCTTGGGTAGGTCACAATGAATCTCATCAAGCATCGCCATCGCTGCAGTCTGCTCTTTTGGTAGTGCACAGACCCATCCCACACCATAGTGGTTGTGCGTCAGCACTCTTGGTGAAGGTTTGCTGTGTGTAGAAGTTTGTTTCATCTTGTAGACAGAGTTCCTTTGGTCATGGATTTCGAGGCTTCTTTCCGAAAATTCCGAGTCTCTCGGTGGGATCCAATACCGAGCAGAATGGCCAGCAAGCAGCCCAGTCCAGTCAAATGAGGTATATAATTCCCAGCCTAGTGAGGACCCACGAAGAGAGGTTTAAGAGCGGTGGTCAATGGTATATTCAGGAATTTAAAGACCAGAAGAATTTGCGGACTGCATAAGACGAGAAGCAACGAGAAGAGGAGGCCTTTATATCGCTGCCCATCACCTGCATAGCCATCAATCCGAGACTAATTAGGCGCTAGAGGAGGGGGCGAAGAAAACACGATATACAGACTAGTGGCCAATCAGACCAAGACATGGTGGGAAGAACGACTAAGCGCCGAGGAAATAGCTGCCAGCGTTACGGAGTACTCCGTGCCCAGTGCTGGGATAGATGTTAGGGGGTTCAGGTGGCTACAACTCCCATCCTCAGAGCTTGCTCTGTTCTGATATCTGAAACTCACTATTTGCAGGGGCCCTGTCGACTTGTCGCCAATCGCGTCTTATGGCCTTTTACAGAGGAGGCCCGAATCTCAGGAATAATATCAAATTAGGACAGTTTGATCTGTATGTATCTCGTGCTGATCCGCGCAATGAGTCGACAGAGGGAAAGTAAGAATAGAGTAGCAAATCAATGTAGTGCCGTATGTTATGTGTATTCTATATTCAGTCGAGAGTCTATCTCGATAACAAGGATACTCAAAGCTCGCGCATGAGATCCTGAACAGCTTTCGCAGCAAATCGCTTCCGTTCGCTTTCTGGCAGCTCCGAGCTCATATCTGATAGCCAAGTTAGTATGAAGGCCAATCATAGCAGGAAGGAAATACCAAAGCACACCTCTAATTGCCTGCATGCGCATCATTAGTGCCTCCATGCTCTCAACATCAATTTCATCATCGCCATCATCATGGCCAATGTCTTCTTCATCACCATCGCCACCTCCACGCTCAATGGCCATGCGCAGACCAAACATCTCGCGTTCTAATTGACTGACCTCATCGCCAAATCCGCGAGAACCACCCAGACCTAACAATTGATCCTGAAGATCATCCTCTGAATCCAGTTCCGCATCATCATCAATACCAGAACTGCCCCCAGTCATAGACCAGTCATGAGTCTCCAGGACCTCTTTGATGCGAGGCATACCCTCGCGTTCTAACAACAATAGAAAGTCAGCACCATACCTGCCAACCACAAGATCTCAGTCTAGTAACTCACCTCCATACTGATTCCGCGTTTCAACCTCCTTCCCCTCCTTAGGATCCCACTCAACAACCTCCCACCCCAACAACCCCATATCAAAGAACTGATCCTCCCACCACCCAACCGAGAACGGCACCATCTCACCACCCCCCAAATCATCCTCATCAACACCAAGCCCCAGCTCCGCATCCGGACCCTTAGCCTTCTGCTGACCAGCAGCACTCTTCCTCCCCCCAACCAAAACAAAAACGCCCGGAACATCCCCAACCCCACCACGCTCCTCATCAATGCGGTCCTTAACGGCGCCGATCCCGCGCATCAGGTCACGCAGTGCGCGCACATCGTGTCGCTCAGCGGGGTCCTCCGACTCGGGCGTTGGGGGCGATCCTGTATCATTGGGAGTATGCGCGCACACGACAAGAGCGCCGACAGCCTCGCGCACGATCTCGGCGTCTGTGCTGAGGAAGTCGGTCTTCCATTGCTCGGCTGTTGGGGTGGCTTCGGCTTTGTGGGCGAGAGGGATCTCGTCGACCCAGACGGGTACTTCGGTGGTGTAGTATTTTGTTTCGAGACGGAGGGGGCTGTGGGTTGTGTAGCCGGCGAAGGTGGTTGTTGGTGTTGTTTCGGTTGGTTGTGGCGGGGTTGAGGGGATTTGTTGTTGCGGCGGGTCGATGACGGGCACGCCAGTTAGGGCGTGGAGGAGTGGAGGGATGATCGAGATGGAGTGGGATGTTGGTGTGAGGATTAGGAGGCGCCGTGGGTTGGGGATGTTCTTGACTTTGGGCTTGGGTGCGCCGTCTGATGCGGGCATTGATGAAGCCATGTTAGTGGTCTCTTTTCGGAAATAGGCGGGTTGAGGATCGCTATGTATGGTCTCGAGTAGAAGTAGGCCTGTCTTAATCCATTGAGGGTGTTTCGTGGGAAAAGGTGGTTGTTGGAAAGGCGAGCTGTCCCCCGCATTGAGAAAAAAAGCTGCGGAAGCGGATGCCACTACTTACGTAGGTACGGAGCTAACCTCCAGGGTCGTATATTGGTACTACGGCATAGATCTCATAGCGAGCTAGGTCCTTTATTATCCCCGTGTATGGATCTTTCGCTACGCCTAGCTATAGCAATGTGCCTAGGCTCGCCGACACCCACAACATGCAGCAGATAAGCCATGCCAGGTAGAGCTTGGTGGACAAAGCATAGAGAGGCTATTGACCCCAGGACCAGGAGAAGAATTTCGGGTATTGATTCATGTATTGAGTAGTGATCCGGCAAGGATTCCATAAAATGAGATGCCAGCCGATATTTTAAGACTTCGCGAGATCAAAGAAGCCCGAAAAGAAAATCCCCTAACCAAAAAAACAGCAAAGAAGAACGCCAACCACTCTGAATTTGTGAGGCCTTGAAACTGCGATTTCGTCTCTTTCACATCATATTCAACCACGACCGCGCTGGCCACGTGCACGCTGCACTGTAGCCTTACCACGCGCCAAACCGACACCGCGCCCGCGCTGGCCTCGTGAACGGAACATGGGAGCATTGCTAGAAGAAGAAAGCAAGTTAGTAAACTGATCTGGAGAGGCGACAGTTCCAAAATTGCAACATGCGACCCAAAAGAGGGATATCAGATCCAACGTACCGGAGCATGTCAGGCACAATGAAGAACCGAACGTGGCTGCCGCGAATGTAGACCTGGTCGAGGTGGGAAACACGGCCATCGCGAGCGGTAACGGTAATATCCTTAAGCTGAACGTTCATGTTGTCCTCGGCTGTTTGAAAAAGCACGTCAGTATTGAATCGCGCAAGCCAGACACTTGCCCAAGCTATTTGATCAACTGGCGTTCGAAATTGAACAGCCGCATCCAAACGCTGAGACAACACTGGATCACACACCTTCCAAAAGCTTCCCCCGATACACAACACCAGATGTGATCTCAAGCGTCACGACATGGCCCTATTGAAAAAACAAGGTTAGCTCTCTGCGTCGCGCAATCCACGTTGGTTCCATTCCAACAATTCATTGCATCTTCCTCATCCAGCTATTCATCCAAACCACATAACACAAGGGAATGCAACACACCTGCGCTTCGTTGAGGAGCTTGATCGGGATGCCGATCGTGGAGGTGAGCTTGCCCATTTTGACTATGTGACGGCAGACAAGGATCGAAAGTGATCAGACGAGGTGTAATATAACCACAGATAGCTTCCCTCGCTTAGAAAGAAGGAGGAGAGCAAAGCAATGGGTGGTTGTAAGCGGGGGGATGGTGGGACGGTGATGAGGTCGGAGTCGAGGTTAAGAGAAAGGCGAGTTTTGCGGCTAAGCTCATCCTCTCCGCTTTGGGCTCCGACCAAACAACCTCAAAAATCCCAACAACCTCCGCGCAATGCAATGTCAATAGTCCTTTACGTCTGGAATTCTCCGCACTAATATTCTACTCTCCGGCATGGCCGGTTCACCCAATTCCAACCTGCGCGGGTTCAATCACGCCGTGCAAACCCTCCTCAAACAACCGACTCAATTCCTTCCACACCTCACTATCCCGACTTTCACGCATCTCCCCGAGAACCTAGGACCGCAGCTGGTCAATTCACGAAAGAATGTTCTGGAAGTACCAGACAAGACCCCGCGCACACCTACGATTCGCGCGCTAGTGCTCGACAAAGATAATACTCTCTGCGCCGCAAAGACAACCGTATTCCCCCCGCAGATCCTCGCGAAACTATCCTCTCTCCGCACGTCTCCAACCTCCCCCTTCAATCAGACCACAAACCCAGATTCAATCCTAATTGTCTCCAACCGCGCCGGCAGCCACGCAACCTTCGACGGCGAGGTGCGCGAACTGGAAGAACAGCTCGCGCATTTGCGCATTCCTGTTTTCCGGCTGCCGGCCGGTGCGGAGAAGAAGCCATTCTGTGGTGATGAGGTGGTGCAGTGGTTCCGGGAGCGCGGGGTTGTCGAGTCGTCTCATGAGATTGCCGTTGTTGGGGATCGGTTGGGAACCGATGTGCTTATGGCTGGGATGATGGGGTCGTGGAGTGTATGGTGTAAGGAGGGTGTTTTTGAAATTGGGGAGGCTGGCAAGCCAGAGCGCAATATCCTGGAGAAGATGGAGGTTTGGATTGAACAGTTCCTTCGGGGGACAGGAGGATTTGAAGCACCGTTGCCAAAGGGGTGGGAGAAGGAGAAGCAGTTGTAAGATGTGATGCTGGGTTGAGATTCGATATTAAGATACCCTTGTGTAATACTAGACATTTCCCCCCTTGTACAATACAGGCTGGAGTACAGTGACAATCTAGATGGAACAGGATGCGATATAAAATGAATTGATTTAGAGACTAATGTCAATCCCCCACACTCGTATACCGCCAGACCAGCGCCGTCCTGCTTCAATGATGTTGCGCAGAAGATATTACAACTCTGCGCAACCCACTAGATCGACACTGGCTGGCTGCCAGACCCAAACAGGTGCCGACAAGACAAGCTCATGTGCAAAAAAACGACCCAAGATCCATGCTAAGGAAATGGATCATCGTAACCATAGGAGGAGCGCAGGTCAGCAAAAAAAGGTCTGGCACCACACTCCTCGAATAATCTCAAAGAAGAAAACAAATAAGAAATCCGAGGTGAATGGAGTCGCCGTGCAAGTCGGTCTGTTTGGCATAACCACGTAAATCAAAAATCGAAAATAGACAAAATGATAAAAAAAAGTCCCAGTCAGTGGCTAGAAAGAAAAAAAAATGGTAAATTGACCGGGCAAGAAAAGAAGAAGAAAGTGCCTGTATTCAACTGGGAAATCCAGGAATGCACAAAAATAAAGATCAAAAATCGCTTAGGACCGGCCCCAGAATGGAAAGGGTATTTGAACAACAAGAGACAGGGGTATGTCACGCAAGAAACACATCAAAACCAAGGTAAAATCGCTTCCCTAGCCATCGCCAGCGAGACGAGAATTGTCCAACAAGAGCTGACATCAAAAGCCGGGTTTTCTGCAAGGATAAAAAGGGGGAGCAGAAGCCCGGATTTTGAGCAACAAACTCTCGAAAATTGGACAATTAGAGAAAACTTCCCGAGGTGAAGAATCCAAAGAACCCATCGACAAGCATAAAGCGCCGCATGCACTCGAGAAAAGGCCGTGAAACATCAAGAGACAAAGGAGAAACACAAACTCAAAGACACCGAGGAAGTACCATTCATGAGTGGGTAGGCATCCCCTGCGAGTCGATCTCATCCAAGTTGGTCATGTCATGGGAATAGTCACCCAACCCAGGAGAGTGGTGAATCGGCAGGCCATGCATAGGTAGTTCGAAGCTGGGGCTGTCGTGTGAAACGCCAAAGGTGAGATGATTCTTCGAGTACATATCATTCATCGAGAGACTATCGTCATAACCGGTCTGCTGGTCGTGCGAGAAACCATAGATATCGGACGAAGCGTGTGACATGTTAGACAGAGGCGGCGAGTGATTAGCAATCAATGGGTCTGCAGGGCTCATGCTGGAGTATGGAGATGGTGCGTGGGAGTCCAATGTTGAGGCATCGGTTGACCCCCCAGAAACGAAGGGGATGTTGAACTGAGGGGCCATGCTGGCGACTGGTGTGGACTCGCCCTGACCCGCGGTGCTGTACATCGGACTAGCGAAACCAGGAGGCGAGCCCGTCGCTGACATGGAGTTGGTTCGGAAATCCAGTCCATATCCTTGGGTGTCAATGCGGAGGTCGGTGGGAAGATGGTGCACCGACTGGGGAATGGGCGCGTAAATACCTGCCTCGGTGTGGTTGAAGGGAGGGGGTGGTGGCGGTACGTGGAAGGAAGACATGGGACCCTGGAGTGCAGAGATGTCAACTGCAACAGGTACTGAACGGCTTCGTTGGCGTTTGTGGCCACGAGCAGCTGGCATGTTAAAGCCCAAGTGGTTGCTATCCTGGTACATATTCATATAGGTGGGAGCGGCAAACTGGTTAGGTTGAGATGCGGGACGCTGAATGAACGGCGGGGACATCACAGTTGGTACAGCGAAGCTATTGTTATTATAAGCCAGACGGTTCTGGAAGGACTCCAAGGACACAAGCTTGGCAAGCTGTACGCTCAAGACCTTGGGATGGCCTCCTAGGTGATGAACCATGATCTGGCTAGCTTGCTGCTCCTCGGTGAAATCGCCGCACTGGTAGAACCCCCGGAGTTGGAAGAGTCCATATAGAAGTGCGGCGGGCGGTTCAGTTCAACCACAAGACCACCTGGGCGAGGTGGTGTCCCATTCAACCCAGGGTTTGGGTCACCGGTTTCCAAAGTGATGTTCTTGATGTAGGAGAACGGATATTCAATCTTATAACCGGCCGCGTCATTGTTAATATAGTAGGTCATGCATGCTTTATCGGGGGAATAGAAAACAACCAAATCCATGGCGTTCTGTCCAATGCGTCGCCAGCTGCCGACAGTCAGGGAACGGCAAGTGAAGTGAGAGATCACTAATTCCAGGAGTTAGTCAATTGAACCGATGGCAGAGCTAAAATAGCTATTCAACGTACCAACTTTGCCAGAGGGGTTCGTCTCGTTTGCGTACATGCTAGGCGGGCCGTAAGCACCTGCGCGTCCGAAGGGGTCTCTGGCGCCTGGCTTGTTTGGGTCGAATTGCATTGCGAGGTAGTGTCGCATGGATTCAGGGATGGAATCGCATCCTTCACCGGTCTCGATGCTCTTTTTCGCCAGCATCTTGATTTTCGCGCGACTATATTGGGTCAGTAAACATGAAGTTCCAAACAATGAGCCCGGATGGAGGGTACCTACCGGTTTTGGAACCAGATTTGAACAGAGCGCTCCGTCATGTTGATGTCCGAAGCAATACGTTCTCTGGTAGCCGCAGTGGGAGTTGGGTTCTTGTTGAATTCGACCTCCAAAAGGACAAGCTGATCCTGAGTGGCTCGTTGGCGCTTGTTGTTCTTTTGCTGTTGAGTCAGGGTGCTTTTACGAGGAGGTCGGCGTGCGGAAGAGGAGTGGGCCGTGGTCGCACTCGAGGTCGACGGGGAGGGCGTGGAAGCTGGAGGGGAGGATGACGATGCCGTGGGCGCAATTGCGCCGGTTGGCAGGAAATGCATTTCTGTCAATGAAGACATAGTGTAACGTGGGACGGTAGAAATATATCACACGAAATCGGGATTGTGTTCGAGTTGCTCAATATGCTTTTTTTGGTAGCGTATATAGTTTTGGTCGGAAAGAAAGGGTGCAATGTGTGACGATCCGGCCGACAAATAATGGGATGGGGTGTGATCGTGGTGCGGTAACAGAGTCTTGCAAATCTTATTCTACTCGAAGCAGCCGCTGGCGCCAGAGTCTTGTGGGAAGAGGTAAAAGATGTAAACGAATGGAAGTGTGGCGTAGGGATCGAAATGGCGTTCGAGGATATCCACGTCAGGGACTGGGTGGTTGGGTAAAGGGCGCGTCGCAGAGGCGTCCAGCAAAAAAAAAAGAGAGAGAATAAATAAAATGGCTGGCCTAGGCAGCTGGTAACGAATGGCAGGGGAATCAAATTCGCCCTATAGGAACAAGATAATCCAGATGTTCGATGGAATATGCCTGGGTTGAATCGATCAACGGGGGCGGGGGGGGAACGGGGCGCAAACCGTTCTCGAGGAAACGAAGGCGGAAAGAGTGGCAGAGTCGTCGTGAAAGAATGAAACGAACGACCTAGCGAAACGAACGAAAAGAATGGAGAGAATAAGGAACACGAAAAGGTGAGGCAGAAGCGGGATCAGGAGATGGGATGCTGACTACACATGGGGAACCGGACCGACTTAGTAACTTGGACGACTACGGAGTACGGACTGTTGGGCTAAAAGCGACTGCGACTATTGGCACCTCGTGGGGCCCCCATTGTTTTTCTTCTGTAGGGCCTCGATTTGCCTGTTTCTGTTTTAGTTGATCTTTTACTTAATTTTCTCTATTTTTATGCCTTCGATGGATATCAACCAAATAATGCTATGAACTTGTTATTCACCAGAATCCAGATTATGGAGCCCGAAGAGCAGAAACTGGTTTTTTGGGCCCCTGCGTTGGGACCTGCAGGTGCCCAAGCAGCGTCACCGAGGACTGGAGCAATGAGGGCGCAGACTGAGCCTCCATCGTTTGGGGAGAAGGGGGGGGCAGTTTGCGCCTCCTTTCCCCTTACTGTGACGTTTTGCGCGATGGTCCAACTGCAGTGTTACCTCTCAGGGGCAAACTCCTAACCACCTACTGCAGAAATATGTCATGGAAAACTGGTGGCGTCAAATGAACCACATCCCAACATCCTCATCACCTTGATCGTCGTTAAATGCCGCCGAACGGCATCCACGTGAGATCCGCGGGGAATCTGAAACACCGGCAGTGATGTGATAGTCGCGATCTTGTATACGATATTCTATAGATGTCCATGCGTTTGACACAGCGCTTGACAGGATCCCTCTTTTCCACAGGCTTTTTTCGGTCTTTTTTTTTTTCTTTTCCCCTGGACAAGGTTTCCCCTGACTCGCACACAACCGTGGGCCACTATTGGATATCCACGGTCCCAGGGGCTAATTCAGTGGACCTGGCCAATAAGCATGCAGTTACACGTGCAATTCCGTGGACCGCCCAGAAGAGAAACATTCAGGTACCCGCCCCGGGGTTTGTTATGATTGGCCATCAACACATGACAGGTCATTCCAGACCCCGACCCGTGGGCCGGTTGGCAATTCAGGGACTGTGAACTGTTCCCTCCGGCGCTACGCTATCCGTCGTATCCGGGCCATTTCTTGGAATTCCGATATACGAGTTCGGAGTACGGAGGACTCCGTACAACGTACAGAATAGGAAACAGCGAGATAAAGTACGGATTACGGAGTATAGAACGGAATATGCGGACTACAAACTATATACATCGAACTTTTCTAGGCAACCATGGACAGGACAATATGAGATGAGATGTATGTTGTAACTACCGCCGATGTCTTCAATTCGGGCTCTCCTATACTCCGTAGCCACTCCGTACTCCGATTCAGCCTAATCACCGGCCATCTCGGACTAGCGTTTGTTCACTTTATTTTGCTTCGGCTACTGCATGCAGTAATCTTCCTGTTCACATAGTGCCTCTTCTGCCACAAAGTTATTGTTAGCGAACATGCAAGATCCCGGAGTTCCGGTTCAACTGTATACCCCTGGGGCCATCCATTGTCGCTATACGGAGTACTCCGTACTCCATACGGGACCCAAAAAGATCAAGCCATGAATCATTCGATGGAGACTCGGTGAAACAAAATCTCCTTAGAAGATGAAGAAGCAAGACCCCCTATCGAGCGCTTGGACATAATTATCCACAATTGATAGTCCAGCCCTCGGAGATGCTGAGCCCTCCAGCTCGCGCAGCTTATCCGTTCTTTCCCAGATCTGTTCGATAAGCTCCATTGCCGAGTTCCGCTGCTGTTCCCTATAATAGGCCGTCATCGAGCTATGCTTCTGTCGAACCCATGCACGGTCCTCATGTGACACAGCTTCTCTCGCGGCGATGTAAAACGGCTGAGGGAGTGATGAATCCGGTCCACATCCCGTCGATAGATGATTCATTAAGCCAAAGCATACGCGCACCAAATGCTGCACACGTGGGGAGCATGTCTGGTCTCGAAAGACACGACGGGCGAGTAGTAAATGAGCAGTCCAATAGAAGCATTCGGTGAGGATATCTAGGGGCGTGCGCTCCGGTGCCGCTGCCATTCCAGTATAGCCCGATCCCCAAGCACGAAGCTCGGTGTCGAGTTGGAACGCTTGAAGCAGGATGGCGTTTCCGTCTGTGTCTGTTTCTAGGCTGTCACTCACGTCACAGGCCAGGTATGCTATTCGTACGAGGAAACACATTAGTGGCTGTGGACAACCTGTCATTTTATGGAAGGAGGGCTCGGTAGTATCCCAACGGTTCTGGTCTGGCTTGTGTAGTACGAAATCTTGCGGTGCGTAGGGCCTCCTCTGTCTCGAGATGGCTAACATTACATCGACCATACCGAATCGCTGCACTATCATCCGCGCGATGGAGTTTTGCGGTGTTTCGTGGAAGTAGCCCAGTGCTTCCATGAGCCAAGAGGCGCATTTCACGTGAGGCTCTAACACGCCATCTGCTGTCTGTGCGACAACAATCCCCTGAAGAATCACAGCTGTCAGGAGTGCTTCTCGCTTGTGCCTGTTGCCTGTGATGATTGTCCCTGGATCACAGGGGGCCTTGTCCATGCTGAGCAGCTCTTGTCCAAGGGTTCTTAGCATCCGTTGCTGGCGCTTGGCGGCGAGATCAATGCTGGTTAGGCCGAAGTTGAGCATATGTTCCGATGATATGCAGACGATGGTCTCGAGAAGAATAGGTGATGAGAGGGCGGTGATTGATAGCTGCCGGTAAGGGTTGTCGGGGCCATCTAGAGCGGGAACATTGGATGAAACCAGCCTCACGTCTGTGCAAGGTATTCCAAATTAGATGTAAACATCGAATTTGCATGATAAGAGCTCACCTACAGTATTCCCAAGCACGTTTCTCTTCTGTAGATTCAAAGTATCTCTCCGTAAAAATCCCCGAAGGTTGACTTGGAATGTTTTGTTCAGTCGGTCGACGACGAGGTTTATGCCGTGTCGATATTGATTCTTTAGGTCGAATCCATTTCACACCTGATGGGTATTTGCAGTCGAACGCCCGTGCAGCACAGAAGGAGCAGGCTGGCTGTTGCTCATCACATTTATTATGATGTTTTCGACATTGTAGACAGCCTGATCCACATAAATATCAGCGCCTGCATTCCGCCCTGGACTCAGCTACTATACCAGTCCGCGATCGTGAAAATTTCTCGCCTCGGGGCATATCGACGATGAAGAAATGACACCCCACTCACTAGAGGAAGATCGACAAACAATCACGGCGCGGAGTTGAGGAATAATATATCTCTCTTTCCCCGCAGCCTTATCTATACGACAGTCACCTGACAGAAGGCCAATCAGATGCTTGAAAGAGTGATTCTGATTTAATTAAAGAATGAGATTTCGTAATATGCTCGTACTGAATCATTGATCCCTCGAGCAGAAAGAAAAAGAGGTGGTAATTGAGTCAAGCTAATCGCGACAACTATCCAGGACATGAATCGGTCGCAACCGTTTAACCCAGGACCTCCTGGATAACACCAACGGTCCGGTCAACTATCAAGTCAATCTCCTCACGAGTTGTATTATAAGGCGGTGCTAAGATAATATGATCGCCGTTAACACCATCAATACCCCCACTGCCAGGCATCAATGAAATCGAATGTTCCGGCTTGAGTCCCGTCGTATGCAGAGTCCACGAAAGCGCCTTCGAAGGGGGATACGGCTCTTTCGTTTCTTTATCCTGGACAAATTCAATCTATGACTCGAGTCAGTAACGAAAAACCCCAAAATTGGAAAGGAGCACTGACAGCCCAAAATAGACCCCTGCCGCGAATATCACCGACATGTGGGTGACTATCCAAGCGCTCATGAAGACGCTGGTCCAGATATTCTCCCATAGCCCGCACATTTGGTAGCAGATTATCTTCCTGTAGGATCTGCTGCACCCTATACGCAGCCGCACAAGAGACCGGGTGTCCTTGGTAGGTCTGACTGTGGACGAAAGCGCCCGTTCCTTTGCTCAGAGTGTCGACCACATGCTTGTTGATCAGTAATGCCGCGATCGGGGCATAGCCAGCACCGAGTCCTTTGGCAATGGTTTGAAGATCAGGGACAACATCCTCTTGCTCCCAGGCGTGGAGAGTTCCAGTGCGACCCATGCCGGACATCACCTCGTCTAAGATGAAGAGAGCTCCGTGGCGTTCGCAGACGGCTTTCAAAGCCTTGAGGTAGCCGGGCAATGGGGGAACACATCCAAGTGTCTATATCAAAAAGGTTAGCATGTCTACCATAGCGAAGGCGGTATCATCAATCACGATGCACTCACAGCACCTGGCATAGTCTCTGCCACGAAAGCACAGACTGTATTTGGGCCAAGTCTCTGGAATTCATCTTCCAGTTCTTGTGCCAGTCTAGCAACATATCCCTCAGTGCTTTCGCCGGGATTCATTCCTCGGTATGGATAACACTGAGGCACATGGTGCATATTCTTCGAGAGGACACTCTCATAGATCTTTCGCCGGGCGGCGTGGTGTCCGACGGCCAGTGAACCAAGGGTATTTCCATGGTAGGATGACTTTCGAGAAATGATGTTCACTCGCTGGGGCTCGGGGACCGGTAGCTCTGTGTAGTACTGAATGGCCATCTTCACAGCCGCCTCCACAGCTTCAGTACCTATTGCGATTGATGGCTATCAGACCAAACTCAAGTGTGCAATTATGAATATGTCTCTTACCCGAACTGACAATGAAGGCGCGCGACATCTTGCCTCCAGTGGAATCAACCAGAAGTTTGGACAACTTCTCTGCAGCACTGTTGGTAAAGTATAGAGAATAGCAGTAGGGGATCTTTTTCAGCTGGTCCGATATAGCTTCGTGAACACGCTCATCACTGTGACCTAGACAGGATACAGCGGCGCCGCACGTCGCATCTAAGATTTCCAGACCATTGTCAGTCAGGAGGTAGCTACCGCGACCACCAACAATGTTCAAGGGCTCCCTGCGCAGCTGGTGGTAGAGAACTCCACTGGATGATTTGGCGCCCGTGTCGTCCAGCTGTTTCTCAGATGGGGGAGGCACTGGAACAGCTGCCACTTCTGGTGTATAGTCGCCCATTATGTAGACAGAGAAGGTTCTCCTAAAGAACAATGATCAAATGCTCAACGGGGATGTCGAATTCGAGCGCAGATTGCAAAGATGTGCGGGGTGACTGGGTAACAATATATAGACTTTCCCCATCGGGGCCAAGAAGCACAGTCGCGAGACAGGACAATGATACTTCACAAACGGACTAGAGCTAACGCCGTGATTGGCGAGTCTCGCCTTGTGCAGCTTGAAGCTCATACTTGGGCACGATACGCTATTCCCAAAGAGGAAATCTTTGTCGGACCCACGTTCATCGACAGCTGCGTGGATGTGATAGGTGGGAAAGCTCTGGAAATTGAGCTTGTTGATAAGAAGACGCCTAGCGTGAAGCAATATTATTTCTCCAAATGATTTCATATCAGTTACACGGGTGGATTGGAAATCAAGAGGGGACTCGCCATGACTTGGGAGTCCGAGGGCCGATCACAGAGATGAGATATTATCATGCGAAAAAGTGCTCAATGCCAAGAAAGGAGAACACTTGAGATTAACAAGTGAGAATAAATTGGCACTCAGTCACATCGTCCTTGGTTGATATGCCACTCAATCGTCCTGCGCAATCCCTCTTCCAGCTGAACCACCGGCTCCCAACACAGCACCTCCCTCGCCAACGAGATATCCGGCCGCCGCATCATAGGATCATCCACCAACGGCAGAGAATACACAATAGCGACTTTCGACCGACCAGTCATCTGCGAAACAAGCTCGATCACAAGCTCCGCCAGTTGCTGGATGGTGAATTCTCCGTCATTACCAATATTCACCGGACCTTGGCTATAATCGCTCTGCATGAGTGTATATAGCCCTTTTATACAGTCGGTGACATATTGGAACGAGCGAGTCGTAGTGCCGTCACCAGTAATCTTCAGATCATTTCCTTTCAATGCCGACGTGATAAAGCTAGACACGACCCGGCCATCGCTTGGGCCCATGCGCGGTCCATATGTGTTGAATATTCGAGCGATACGAATATCGACGCCGTGTTGCTCTCGATAGGCGTAGCACAGGGCCTCGGCGGCGCGTTTTCCTTCGTCGTAGCAGGCTCGCGGGCCGAAGGGGTTGACGTTGCCCCAGTAATACTCTGGCTGTGGATGAACTGAGGGATTGCCATAGACTTCTGTTTTTGCCCCAAGGTTCTAGGTCAGATAGGGATTAAAAGGCGATATAGACATGAGTTCTGTGCACAACTGACCTGAAGTGCTTGTGTGAAGAATCCGTATATTCTTTGATCTCGCAAGTTGTAGTAGATTTTGCGTGCCCAGAAAGCAAGTATTTAATGTCGAGACTGGGTCTCTTTGATAATGAATTGGACTTGCTGGGCAAGCTAGATTATAGACCTGGTCTAATCCTTCCAAGTCGGGAAGAGGGTCTTGGATATTGTGCCTGCTTCTCCATCAGTGAGTTCCGGGGTTATTTTGAGCTGAGATGGAATTCACTTGATAAATTCAAACCGAGGATGATCCTTTAGATGATCCAAGACCTGAGACGAGCCATTTTGAAGGTTGTCGAGGCCGATCACTGTATGGCCATGATCGAGTAGGAAATCGACCAGGTTTGATCCGAGAAATCCCGCTGCCTACACATTGAATGAGACATGCGTTAGACACTCGGCATAAACGGGGCTAGAATATTACTTACACCCGTCACAAGTACTTTAAGCGGACTTCCTTTGTTGTCCATAGAGCTCGGTGTCTTGTATGTCTTTCCCACGGTCGTACAAAGCTTGAGATGGGAGACTATCGAATAAACCAAGATCTGTCCTTAGCGTCATCAGAGCAAGAAAGCTCTCTCGGGGGCTGGAAATTGGTGAAGTCGTGCGATATAACCGCGGTATGCCGCACAGGAATCGCACTGTTGAGAATATGGCTGTACATGGCCAATAGAGCCTTGTGTTTTCAACTTTTGTGTGACAAAGTTCTTTATACTTTGTGCAGTCTTGAACGGGAGATGGGAAAACGTGAAATGCGGACATAAAATTGTCAGTCTATATTTTTTGAAATGGCATGAATCTAAATATTGCGCAATATACCCACGGATCCTAGTGACAAATGGTGGTAATGTACAGACGTGGATGGTATATAGACAGATGAACGCGGGACGTTCGATGATAGGTGACAGGTATCCTATATCATGATCGAGAAATGCAAAACGGCGATGGAAAACAAATCTATGGCTCCTCTTCTCGTGGCTCTCCTTCTCTTACAGCCGTGTCACATATCTCCTAAGAAAATTCCATCAGGTCAAGATATCGGAGGACCAGAACGAAAACTCAACATACCTCTCGCCTTTTCTGGAAATCCTCATAGATTCCCAACCAGATCTTCTGAGCGTGGCAATCATCCTCTTTACCAGTTGCCGGATTTAGCTCGCATGGAGGCTGTGAGTCTTCCATCACATCTGGGAGAGGTGTATTCCACGGCTACCGAAAGAAGTCAGTATTGTGAAAGATGCCAAATTGTAAACCGGCCGTACCTTAGGAACAGGCCAATCGGAAAAATGCAAATATTTAGCCTCTCGAAATATTTTCTCTGCATTCCACTTTTCGTGTGCATTCCCCAGATACGCTTTGTGGTCCTTGGAGCGGAATTCACCAGTAAGGAGAATATAAGGTCGATGAGGTATCGTGAGATTAGTGTCTCCGTACATAAGGTTCATAATCTCCATGTCAAACATGCTACAGTTAGCCCGGGAGATTGCATCCATTGTGCGATGAAACCCTGCAACAGAGGGTTGGATGAGAATCATCGCAGATGTAAGTTTTGGCTTTTCGTGTTCCACCCAGTAGGCCAAGGGCATGACGACAGGACTAGATGGTAGAAAGAATAACTCATCCATAGTCTGTAAACGGGGTTAGCCTGCAACAGGTAAGCCGATGACTGCGCTACGCACCCGGAGAATGGTCGCATCTGAATCCAAATTCAGAACGCGATCGTACTCTGTTTGGTTGAATGCGAGTAGCTTCGTGTAGCTTTTCGCCCATGTCTCTGAGATGAAGGATTAGTTTCCAGCTTTATTTCGCAAGCGACCCTGACGGAAAACCCTTGCGACATTTTAGAGGTATAGCTATCTTACTATCGTTGCCCGGTCTCATCTGCACTTCGATTGGCTTAAGCTTGACTGCATAGCGATCCCGCGCATAACGAAGCAGATTACTCTCGTATGTATCGGCATCCTCCGCCATAGACCACTCCGATGAGTACATTAATACGCGATCCGCTTTGCTTCCCAGCCGGTTCAAAGTCTCGAACATCATGACTGAATTGCACAGATAGGGGCGTTCGGTGGCATATTGGGTGTACGCAAACCGCGACCAGTCAATTTGCTTGGCAGGGACGACGAAATCAACTTTGGAGGAACTCGAAGCCGTTGGAAGATACAGCAACATCACTACTCCGAAAAGGATCGACACGCCCACGAGGATGACGCGAAGCGATCTAGAAGACAGTGAAATCCGGCTCAACATGCTTGCGGATCTCCCAGCATCCCACTCAGAGCACAATAGTTAGCTATTTCCAGTTGGTCTGCGAATCGAAACAACCTCCTCGTCTGTCCATGATGCGCTAAAATCCGGATCGTAAGGTGGCTGAAAAGCTTAGGCAGAGAGGCTTGCCAAGAGTCCGGTGGGGATTTTCTCTGTCAAGCGGGTTTCGTTGTCTCTTCTGATTGGGGGCCTCCATTGCTTTTGTCCCTGAAAGCTAGCTCTTCTGCTTGTCTTCGACATTTTGTGTCGAATGATAACGGTATTTGATAGGCGAAGGAGATGGGTTATATGGCGAACGATAGACGTCACCTCGACACTTGACCCGATTAGATCTCGGACAACTAACTCCAAGAATCTCGGGGAGTCATTTCTTTCTTTTCTTTTCCATCTCAACCCCCATCCTGAGTCTATTGCAAACCACTCGAAATATTGACCAAAAGAAAAAAGCCCTACACCTTTACTATCTTGACTTGTGATGTCGGTGATAATCTTCATCCTCTTTTTGTATTACTTGAATCATCAAAACCGATCCGCTCAACATGAACACTGGCATCAGGCAAACAAGCAACAGGAGGCTATAAAAAAGCAACGGGAGACTATAAAACAGCAACAGGTGGCTATAAAAAAGCAACAGGAGGCTATAAAACAGCAACGGGAGACTATAAAAAAGCAACAGGAGGCTATAAAAAAGTGTTACGAGGCCGAAAATCAAAGGCTCAACCATTTAGCAGAACGTCTACACAAGATAAAGGTTCAAATGAAACCAAATGAAGTCGGCCTCCGAGAAGCAGCACGGAACAATACAACACCTCTTGGACAGCCGGGTTTGACGCCGGCGTTCGGGCAGCGAGGAGAAGGCCCATAGCAGCCTAGCTGAGTGATATATGCGAGTTAGCTTTGCGGTGCCCTGATGACAGCAAGCGAGGATGACTGTTGCATCCGAGGTAGATGGGTTCGATTTGCACTTGCTACATCTTACTGTTCCTGATTTTCTGGATAGTGGACAGCCACTGATCCCAATTCGCTGCCTGGATACGTCGCCCTTGAAGCTGGCAGAAAAGGAGAAGACCTAATTGGCTATGCTAACTGGGTACCTAAGGTCCCAGGTTCAATCTTTGGACATTTTATTGGGAAGCAGGCAGACAAAATGAAGCTTCTCATATATTCGGGTACATTTGCGGCCATAGGACATCCTTTTCGTAGTCTTTTGGACTATCTTCTTCAAAGTCCTTTCATGAGTCCTTTTTAGGGCTCTTCTCTCCCCTTCTTAAAATTGCTAGGCAGACGGTAGAAAAAGGCGGGTAATGATTTCATTTATCCAAAGGACATTTCCACACATAAAATTCGACTTTAGCTCGCGATCAATAAATCTTAGAGCAGTCGACGGTCTCAAAGCTAGCACTGTGATATAAATCTATGGGCGAATGAGTGAAACAGTTGTAGGGCTTCAACGACCACAGACGGATCAAAACGAGGATTTGTATGATGCGAATTTCTTCAAGTATGCAAATAGCTTTGAGTAAGGACTACAACCTATAGTACTCAGCAATAAGTGGCGTCAAAAGCGATCAGAACGCGGTGAAAAGTATTCAGGTAGCAAATTCGAGTGCCAGTGGGACCTATGAGCCCTATACACCTTCACAGAAACATGTGTGGTGTAGCTTTATGCTCATAGGATACCAACTGGGACAAAGTATGCTGTGCTCTGATATACTCTTCTCATGTGGAACAAAGTACCCTACATAATATCCGTGCCGTACATGGGATAATGTCCGGGCGCCGCCAAGTGGCGTGAGTCACTCGGGAATAAGCATCAGTCATTATTCCTGGAGAATACGAGATCTGTTCTTTTTCCAAGTCATCCGAGCTACTCGACCTTCCCATCTCAACATCCCATCCCCATCTAGAATGGCAACAGTTTCCGTTTTCCCTTTCTCCGTCAGAGAAGTCTCCAACGAACGCGTCAAACTTATCCCCTTCAACCCAGACCAGCACTGCGAGACCTTCTTCCGTCTATCATCCCCGCCAAACCCAGATATCTACACGCATATACCATTAAGCCCCCCAAGCTCAGCAGCAGAACTCAAATCCCTGTTCTACAGTAATTCCACAAACCATGTCCTCTCATTCGCAAATCCAGAATCATTTTCCTTCGCCATCATCGACAAGACACGGCCACCGTCGGCCGAAGACCCTGAAGGTGAACTAGCTGGCACTGTGAGCTTTATCCACACGTCTACTACGCATCTGTGTACGGAGATCGGGTTTATCGTCATTCTCCCGCCGTATCAGCGAAGCCATGTGGCGACGAATGCTGTTGGGCTTGCTTTGCAGCTTGGATTTGGGTCTCCTGAGGACGGAGGACTGGGCTTACGCAGAGTAGATTGGTTGACTAGCACTATGAATGGTGCTAGTGCTGCGCTTGCGGAGAGGATGGGATTTGAGAGGGTTGGGATCACGCCATGGCATATGCGGTTTGTTAAAGGGAAGATTAATGGGAAAGTGGGGAATGGTAGAGCGCCGCCACCGGGAGGTGATCCGGAGGATCTGTGGAGAGATTCTTTGAGTCTTAGTCTGTCGTGGGATCGGTGGGAAGACGGCACGAAAGAAAGAGTGGAGAAGGAAATGGCGAGATGAACAGATACCATCAAGCCATTATGGAAAGCCATTTCTGTTAGTCTATGAAGATAGTAGCCCTCGTCTAGAGAGTGTGCCTTGAACTTTCTTTGGTTGGATTTCATCACCAAGAATCTAATTTCCGGTTAAAAGGGTAATAAATGAAGCCGCTGTTCAAATGACCTAACAGCCTGTCTATATAATCGATATAGCCCGGAGGGACCTTACAGACGAGTCCACATTCGACCTGAGTCTCTCGCATATTCTAACCAAAGTACTTATCTGCTCAGCTGCTTCGTCGACCATAAGGTTCAAATGGAAAGGCACCAGCAACAATTGCCATCACAATATAAAGAGCGGCGCAAATGTAGATCGGCACCGGAGTGTCAGTCTATTCACAATGTGAGCATTATTCTCCAAAAGAGTGGAGCAGGGCGTTGTACATTCGCAGCTTCACCAACAACAGCACTAACGATGCCCATAATTCGGTTGAGTCCGATGGCAACACCATTCCCTGTGCCGCGATGAGCAGAGGGAAAAACCTATCAGATCAGCATAGAAAGACATATCTAAGCAAAGAGAAAAAGCACTTACCTCCGGCGTGTAAGCATAGAGGGTACCGTAGTACACATTCAAGCAGAATGAGATAGCACACGTGAAGCCCAAATTCTGACTTGCACTTCGCACTTGCGTATAACAGAAGAAGAAAACTATCGTGACCATTGCTCCGATAATCATTGTTCCCCGACGACCCCAAAACCATGGCGAGCGACACATGAAGCCCGCTAGAATAGGACCGAAAATACCGCACGTATTATTGATGGCGTAGTTCCGCCATGTGATATAAGGGCTAGTCTCTCCAAAACTTGCGCCACGCGAGGCAAGATAGATGGGGAGGAACACGTTGTAAAGTGGATATGCGAGGCCGATGAGAAGCCACGAGAACCAAACTAGGATTGTCGATAAAGACATTTTGCGAGTTGCGAAGAGTCCACGGAGATGGAAGAATACTTCACTCGGAGAAATGAGTCGTACGAACCAACTCGATCCGTTTGTTTGGCGACGGGGAATTTGCCCGAATGCTTGGAGGCGCTCAACGGATAAGCTGCATGGGCGGTCATAATGATTGGCGATGTTCCGTAAAACACGCACCGCTTGTTCATCTTTGCCCTCGGAGACTAGGAATTTGGGTGTCTCTTCGAGGCGAATGATGGTTATACGGAGGATGGAGAGAACAAAGACCAAGGCACCAGATGTGTACCATACATAACGCCATCCCTGATTGTTGTCACGAGTGCATGTAGCTGCATCACTGCAAGAATAATTGGGAATGAAGGCCCAGGCAAACAGACCTGCGATGAGCTGACCAAGGCCTTGACTTTACGCGTTAGTTCAAATCTTCGACAGAAGCTTTACTGGGAATCTAGACTCACCCCACCAAGCCGCCATGAGTGTCAGCAGCCACTGGTTCTTGCTGGGAAGGTATTCAAGGAAGACGGTCGTATCCAAGACCAAGTTTCCGCCAGCACCAAAGGCACTCAGACAGACAAACAAACCCAGAGTAATCCAAGAGGGCGCTGCCCCCGCAACGATAGTGAATATCGCCGAGACGAATAAGGAAAAATTGAAAGCGAACCGCCGGCCGATGATGTCCGCCGAGAAACCCCAGAAAATAGCCCCTACCAACATACCCACATAAACCGCAATCGTGAGTCCGGTGGCATACCCCGGGTTGAATTCCAGTCTAGCTTGGGTCGAGATAATGGACTGGATCAGCAGGATCAGCGAGTCAACTGCATATCCGAATCCGTTCAGGCAAAACAGTTTCCAGTGGTAAGGCGTAAATCCAATCTCATCAATAGTCTATACACCAGAAAAAGGCCTTGTTAATTTTATCTCCCATTCATGGTTCGAGGGTAGCATTTCCCCACATCATTGATGAGCATCATTTTAGCAGCGAGGACCTCATCCACCTTCTCCCCTTGCAGTAGATCTTGCTCTCCATGTTGAATCGATCTTTCCTCGGCCTGGAGAGAGCTTGTTGAATGTTTGTCCTTGCCCGATACGCCTGGTGGAGCGATTGAGCTCGCGGAATGTGGGGTATCCATCGACAGCGATGGTGGATATTTCTCCCGACTGATTAAATCCAACTCTTTCGAATAATCAGAATCAAACTTCTATCACGTCGAGTCAATCCGTCAATAGAAGACGAGGAGAGAAAAAAAGTACTCGAGAGATCTTGACGCCACGGAACAGGGGCCAACCCTGAATGCGGGATTGGCGTCGGCACCCATCCGGCTAATATACTTATGGACTGGCTGGGCTCTGACATTTATCAAGATCCATCGCCATTACTCCGCCGGATATGGCGATGAGGATGAACGTAGCCAGCAATAAGCCCATTATTAACCTTGGTCTCATATAGAAACAACCGAGCTTTCAATTCCAACGCCGCAAAAGTCCTTCCAAGGGAAGCCAGTATTGCAACCTAGAGGCTTGGCGCAAGAGCCCCCGCGAAGATGACTCGCCAACCCTCGACTTGAGGGGAGAGGGGAAACGACGCTATTTTCGATTTGCACCCATCTTACCAATGCGCTGGGCATTGGAGATGCGGGGAGTCGGCAAATATTCGGTCTTTGGTTATTCGCCATGTAAATAGGATGTGACTGTAACTGATTCGAGGAATTGCTTCAATTTTCGTCAGACATAAGAGAGGTTGCTGAAGCCCATTTCAGATAGATCGTGCTGTGGCCTCATTATTAAGGCCCTAGCAGTGCCCTGAGCCCTGAGGCATAACAACGAATCCCAGTTGACGGGCAGCAAGGGTCTTGAGTGGCCGTGTCACAAAAAAGAAAAAAGGGAGAAGAAGAGTTAGCAGCATAGGACTCTTGGGGAGACACCAGTAAGTGACTTGATATCAGGGCACCGCGGGTCTATTCGTAAGCATGCGATATAACTCGAGACAAAGGGCCATCCAAATCATCAAGCCCAGAGCAAGGATCATATCCCAGGTAATCGAATGGGGGTGCTCACCCATACCGATCCTATACATTCCGTATTGACCACGCCGATTTTATCTGGAAGGTGATTTAGAGCTCCGGTCAAGTGAGTCGCGCACCTCAAGTCCTACCGGGATTGGCTGTAGACTGTAGTGCTCATACAAAAAAATCGTATCGAACCAATTACCAGCGTCTTACTTCCCGTTGGAAGCGAAAACGTAACATCTCATATACATAGATGGGCCCAGGAAGTCACCTCCTGCGGGGTTCTCACGTTCTCGTGCCTTGCATATATTGACCGCTAAATCGGTTCAGCGTCAACGAGCGCCTATCGTCTCGGACTCCAAACCTCCATCATCAGACCAGCTCTTTGATATTTATCTGCTCTCATCTTAAGATGTCATTATCCTATAAGCATGTCTTGCTCGTTGGCGCCACCTCAGGAATCGGCAGAGCGATGGCCGACCGTTTGATACAGGCTGGCATCAAGGTGACTGCGGTAGGCCGCCGGAAAGAGCGCCTCGATGAGTTCGTTGAGAAGCACGGGAAAGAAAAGGCCGCTGGGATGATCTATGATGTCAGCGACATTGATAAGGCCCCTCAGTTCGCCGCAGAGTGAGTTGGACAACATTTTGATATACGCCCGAACATGAATTTCTAATCTAGGGCTGGGAGCAGTGCGTTCGCTCAATATCCAGACATTGATTGTGTCTTTCTCAATCCTGGCACTCAGCGCAAGTACAACTTGGTTGATCCGAAGGATGGGGATTTGTCGGATTTCAGAGCAGAGATGGATGTCAACTTTACCAGCTATGTCGCTCTCACTCAGGCATTTGTTCCATTTCTGACCTCCAAGTCAGCGTCTACAAGCTTCATATTGTGAGCAAACATTCTCCCGGATGAATCTTTCTATAGAAGTGTTGACCCTTTCTGGACAGTACCACGTCCCTTCTGGCTCTTGTGCCTGCGCCGAGGATCCCGGCCTATTCAGCATCCAAGGCTGCCCTGGGCGCTTTTGTATACTGCCTGCGAGACCAGTTAGATGACTCCAATGTGAAGGTCATCGAGCTAGCGCCCCCTCTTGTTTCAAGTAAGTGGTCATCCCGGCTCGATTAAACTGAAAGGCGAGGGAAGAGGTTCATTGTACTAATCGCACATGTTTGACGCAGCCGAACTACACGACTACTTGGGCGTTGAAAAAGGCCGAAGCATGGGTATGCCGGTTGAGCAGTATGCCGAGGATGCATACCAAGAATTGGAGAAAGGAAGCGACGAAATTATCGGAGGAAGTGTTGGACCCACGGATCTCTTCAAGGGCCTGACTGAAAAGCGCCGCGATATCTTCAATCAGTTTGCACCCTTGCTTCGCCATGCGGATTGAAAGTCATCTCCCCAAGGTGTGATTGATTGTCAGAGCGTGGGAATTTTCCCAGTGGGCAACCCAATGGTCAAGAACGGGAAGTACTTCTCGGAATATAGCTGAAGATATGATATTGGATCAGAATGGTATATTGAACTGCAAAAACATTATATGATAAGGTAGTCATGTTGCTGTTCCGATCCCGGATCCCGAGTCTACAGATGTCAGCCAAGACCAAGTTTCCGGTGAAATAGGAAACTCACAAACCAGACCCAAGAAATATTCGTTTTATCATGTTTCGCTTGTTTCGCTCGTCCGTCCCAGACAGACTTGAGCAGACCAATCGACGTATGGTTATCGACTCCCCCATGGGCTCGGATATGATCAAATCGCAGGAGAACATAATGCCGAGCGTACGGGGACAAAACATCAGCCCCAGCCATAAACAGCGGCATGACCACCAGCTCGATCAGGCGGCAATTGGCGGGTATCTCGGCCAGTGAATTCAAAATTGCTATCACGGAGTTTTGTATTATTGGCGTATCGGCTGGTTGCGCTACATCCAATAAGCGGGATGTATGCAGTATGCATGCGTGGCGGAATGCTTCGGCAACTGCAGACCAGCGTGGATCATCATTTGGATAACTCTCAGGTTTCAAGCGCCAGGAATATAACTCTTGTCGATAGCCTATGAGGAGCCGCTCGTATTCGGATGTTTCTAGCTTTCCTGTGGTGTGCGCCTTGGCGCATTCAATTACGTTGCCCATGATCAGAAACATTTCGCGAGGACAGCCGTTGACCCGCTCAAATTTCAAGTCACTCAAAGTGGCGATAGCTTTTCGAAGCTGAGAAGAGAAGCAAAGTCTCTGTGAATCTGCAAGTGAGCGTATGATATCAAGCCTGATAGGAGATGCGTCAGAACTCAGATCTCGCCTAAAAACGGAATTCTATCACCTGCCATGCTAGATTTCCTAAGAAAAAGATAGCTCTTTCCCCCTCTTGGTCCAAGGTATCACACAAGCGTAATTGATTGCAAATAGACAGGGCACCTGTGATATGAGCTCCATGAGTGGAGATGCCGGATTCGAAAATCTTCAATCATATCTAGTGGTCAGCTTGTCTCCTCAATATTTAGACATTTGGAGGCAGATTTGCCAACTCACATCCTGCAGTAGAAGTATCTGAATTGTGACGAAAATGCCATCGCGTTCATTTTTATCTATTTCCCCAGATATTCCATTTCGAAGTGTTTCTCCAAGCCAGCGTATAGCTCTAACTCGATATTCAACGGCCAATGTTTCTCGGAAATAGATATCGCCGTTTTGTATCCCGAGATGACATGCTGTAAGTCCCAGCACGGCATATAAGAGCCCTACTTGTTCATACGCTAGCGGCAAAACGTAACCTTGGTATGGGTTGTCCATCCCGGTGGCTGGAAGAGCTATTTGATGTGGACATATGATCTGGTCGTCTGAATGTTTGGGTGTTAATCAAGATTCATTAAGCAAAAACATTAGTTCACACCCACAATGCGCCAACAAAAGCTCCGTTCGTTCCAGTATTAATAAATCATCGAGCTCCACACTTCGCCTTCCTGACTGTGGCCAGGGACGGCTATCAATAGACTGCGCGAGATCTCTGTTCTCTCCTTTGCTTGCTACGGCGCTTGAAGAACGGCGATCAGTCTGTCTAGGCTTGGAGTCTGGATGACTTGTTCTGATGCTCGGTTGAGTCGGGGTAATGTGGCCACGGCTCACAGTGGGTATGACCCGGTTCTTCCATTTGCCTCGGGTTGCTAAGCCCGCAAAACGGAACTTGTCCGGATAGCCTTTGCATTCAAGGCCTTTCGTGGTGCATCTTTGGCATACAGGCTTTGTGCGGTCGCATTTGCGACACTTCTCACGGCATGTTATACAAGCTGGGCCTGGGGGAGATCGTCAGAGTCGCTACTTCTTGGTTCGGTGTAACACATACCTCCCGGGGGCATATCGTGTGTCCCTAGAGGACGATAGACAAATTTCAATTTAATTTTTTTTGACAACGTTGAAAGACCACGAATCACGATGGAAGGTGAAAGTAATACGGTCAACCGCAGAAAAGGCTGGAACGCCACGTGGCGGTGTTCAGCACCGGGCAACAAATACCAATTTCTAGTTCCATAGCGGTTTGATGAGACAAAATTTGAGTAGAGTGAGCTTGTATTGCGGATTTGGATGTTATTTCTGCGATTGAAGCCCGACTTTAGTTATGGCCGTAACGAGTGCAATCCCGAGGTTGGCCAACCTTGCCATGTCCAACCGATGTTAATCTTGATTTCTACCTTAAAATATGTGTGGAGCCTTCTGAGGGTCCCCTTTGCCGCGGAGTATTGCGTGTTCAAATAGGATGATGCCACTACGCGCTGGGATTGACTAGCATAGCGGCAAGCGAAACACGGCGCTCATATACGGAGTAAATTTACATGGGATCTCCAGCTACGGAGTAGTGCTTTCGGAGTCAGCTTAGTATTCCAAATATAACATTCTTTCAGACTTTCATAGTAATTTCATCCCGAGAAAGTAGACAGTTCGATAAAAAGATCATGGTTGGATGTTGCGAGGACTGCGCGAAACATGTCAGTGGCCGAGGCGAGGAATTTGCGAGGACAGCATTCTGACAATTCGAGGACAACGCGCAGACGTGGGGCAACTAGACAAAGACAGCGCGAGGACTTGGCGAGGACTTTCTCCGTTTTGGCCCCACAGCCACCAAATTAGCCGCCAGACTCCAGTGCGACCAGTCTTCCGTGCAGTTTCATGATATGCACCTAGTGACTAGCAAAGCTATATTGAGAGAGCCCTAGCAGCAAAGGCTCAATCACTCCTGCTTTTTCTCTCCTTTTTTAGGAATGGGTATGACTATGCGTGTGATTCATGACGCCCAAGAGCCTCTGGTGCCTCGAGATCAGTCCACTGACCCGAGTCTGGCGCGAGTTGTTCAATCGGCGCGATTTAAGTATCCTGGCGCTTGTGCTCAAATACTGATGTCCAGCCCAGTGACTTGTAAATACCAATGCATTCGTCTTGATCTGAGCGCGGCTGTTGGTCCTTTCCCTCCATTCCTGGTGCAACGCAGGTATACGTGTACGACAACTCTATTTGGCGTTGTCTCTAAACCATGCCATTCTTTCAATCCTCCCGTCAATCCAAACAGCTACTTGTCTCGTCGAAAAGCGCAGAAGACCATGACACTCAACTACGCCCACCATCCAATTCCTGGATCGAGCACCTCCTATTCTGCCTCCTCGTTGTTCCCTTAGCTCTAAGCATGCTTCTGTTATATAGCGATGCCAGCAGCTGGCACCTTCCCGACAACTTATACGTTTTTGTGAACACAAATCGAACTTCTGTCCAGACGGCAGTTCAGATCTTCGGTGCCATTCTGGCAGCCATCGAAGTCTTCGCACTCTGTCGCTTGATCAACTTGACAACTCGGATTCGGTTCACGCAAGCTCCAGTGTCCCTCAACGTGCTTGGATTCTGGTCCGCACTGTCCACTCCCACGAACAACTTCTGCCTCCCTTTCTGGATGATTGTCATCACCGTGGTGTTCGGAAACCTATCTGCTGTCATCTCAGCACTATGGACAGGTGCTTTAACGCCAGCAGACTCTGTCGGAATCCAGCATTCCACTCTCTTAATTCCAGACTGGTCGGACCTCAATCTAATCAAAGAATACCCGGGCCAGATCGACAAGACTGGGTTGACCATCCGTGAGACAAAGGGTTACTTCACCTATTCAGTCGGCCTAGGCCTGTTGGGATCCCTGTTATCATCGGTCAACTCCGCCTCTCCAATCCACGGCGGCGTTCGAGATCACCCTAAACTCGATAACACCCGATACAACTACCACGGTCGTTCTTACGGAGTTGGCGCAAGTGCCGGCCTATCAGATGAAACCCTCGTCTCCATTCCTCATGCACAAAACTATACCTTCAACGAAATCGGCCTGGATGCATCCGTCGACTGCATTTATAATAGAAGCTCTATGTTTATCCTCCAAATGCTTCCACAAACCACGCTCCACGCAGCTCGCGGGTTGCTCCCCGACAGCAACCTCAGTGCGCCGGAATACTCAGTGTACATCGGTCGGGGCAACGATACGATAGTGGCAATGGGTGTTGCGGCAGATCCAGTCGCATACACCGCAAAACGGTACGTGGCCGTCACAGCAGGGAGCTACTACGATAATATCAATCAAGTCCAATGTGCGGTGACGTTCAACCCGGCACTGTTCAATGTCTCGGTCGATACCCAAGCGAGGAATATAAGTGTTAGCAAAGTGAATGTCTCCCAGTCAAATACCACGGCGATCCATGATATCGATCCGCATCACAATATAACCCATGTCGTCATGCGCCAACTCGAACTGATCGCCAATGACTTGACCAGTTACTATCGCTCGACGCTCGGTGATGCCTTCAACGCTAGCATTAGTGATTACCGTACTTCCGTCACTGGAGGTAATTTCTCAGAAACACAGATTGTCATGAAGGGAATGGAGAATGCAGTGACGTCGTTGGTCGACGATATCCTGGTAGCGTATGCTTCAGCGCAATTGGTAGTCGGCGAATTCAGCACGTCCGCACCTGCAATAGTTCAAATTGCTACTCTTCGTGTCGGATCGCGAGCGTATATTGTTGCGAGTGCGGTAATCAGTGGTCTGATTGCGCTTCTGGTGCTTGGGGAGGGCGCTCGCATGAGATGGTGGAAGGAGCTTCCTTCTTTTGATTATCATGATAATCGAGCGTTGATTGTTAGTGCGTCCAGGGGAGGGAAGGGAGTTGCCGAGTATGCGGAACAGCTAGAATGTAAGGATCTTGGTAGAGTGCCAGTGATTTGGAAGAGGGGACCTGAAACCTGGGACCATGGCGAGATTGTGTTCGAAGCCATGCTGGACGACATGAAGGATGATATTCGGGAGACAGAGTCTGGTCGAACTTCGGCCACTTGGATATGAGACCAAGCTTATACAGAAGGATCGAATGTTGACTGGTAGCATGCATGTTGTAGATAGCCAGTTCATTGAATTTGTAGAATTATCTCTCTCCTGGAATCTGCCTGAGTCAACTGTACGGAGTAATATCAGCATGTCTCTTCCAGCTGCATGACGATACTCATATTCCCATCTCGTCCCGCATGGACACAGAGCCGGTGGAGCCTTTGCTTGAGCGTGTTTTATATAAATTAGCTACCCACATGCCAGCAGTGCTATCGGGCTCTATCATATACGATGTATTAATATGATTTCTCCGAAGGAATACCATCAAAAAGGTCTTCGGGAGTTCTTCGATATAGTCTCATGAGTCCAAGGTCTATTCATCAAAGGAGAACTACTCATCGAACCAGGGATCATCTAGAATCTCTCTTGCCGATGCTCTCGCAGACGGTTCAAACTTCAACAGCCTTCCAATGATCTGACCAAGCTTGAGTATATCATCTCTGGTAAGATCAGGGCTTTGGCAGCCATCGAAGTACACCTCTTCCAACCATTCCTGCAAGTTATGCCCAGTGCTTTCCGTATTTGTATCGTCGCCTGTGTTCATCTCATTCCATTTCTGTTGCCATCTTGCCGGTAAATCGTCACTTGCCATTTCCCGCATTTGAGCCACGAGAATTGCACGTGTGATCATGAAAGTATCGAAAGGCGGTTGTCCCGTAAAGAGTTCAAAAAGCTATTATCAATATCAGTTCACCTATATGGCGATTCGCTTTGGATGAGGCTACTTACCATACACCCCATGCTCCATAGGTCAACCTGATAATCAATACGGTCTTCAAAGATCACTTCGGGTGCCCGGACCGGTAAAGGTGTGTGTAGTGTTTGGGGGATTGTAGTGCGTAGAAACGATTCCCCAAAGTCGATTATTTTGATCGATTGGGCCGAATCCCAAGATTGCGTTGGATATGGGGTTGGCTTAACCATATAGCTAGGCACATTAGCCTCCAGTCCTTGTCCATCAAGCCTTCGGACTAAGCCTAGTTCTGGTTTCCCCAGTATGTCGGTAAACTCTTTCTCGTGAAGGCTATCCATACAAGGTGTGGTAAAGGCCAAGTTGCGGGTATGGAGATCTACATAAGGTGAGACTGTTGAGAACCATGCCTGAGGCAGGATTCTCTCATCCGCAGGATTATCAACGCTACGCCCTTTTTGTCTTTTCTGCCGAAAAGCTCACCTTTGGGGGCCAAATTGAGGACTCCGATCCTCGGCACACAAAGGGGTATAAATAGCAGGAAAAGGCAGATATTATCCAGATCTTTAGACAACTCAATACTTCCATGAGAGACCCTATTCCTAGTATCATTTGAACCCATTGTTGAACCCTACATGCTGTATCATACCTCTGTATCTTCAACAGAGACTTATTTTATATATTTTCCGACGTAGGTGATCTACCTCCATGTCCAATATTCTGTTGGTGCAATTCATTAAGCCCGATCAAAACTTGCTTCGCAATTCTTTTGGCGAGCTTCCCTGGGAGCCTTCCTATAGGGAAGTGTGCATCAATTATATCCGGGATATTCGGCCCTAGAAGCTCATATACTAAGCATCGATGCATTCCGTTTGGGCCGTTCAATTCAAATGTATCCAAAATAGAGATTATATGTTTCCGATAACGGCAATGAGATGCCAATTTTTTCAGAGTCTGAAGCTCTCGTGTGCCCTTCTCATGATTCGTTTCCGAAATAGAGATCTTGATAGCAACATAAACTCGTTTTCTAAAAACAGCCACTTTCGTAATTAGCCAAGGTCACTGTGTGTCACATAGGCATATACAACCTTTGATCTCTCGCCGCCCAAACTGTCGAGTAACCTCCCCATCCTAGTTTATGCAGCACCTTATACCTCCCAGCTCGAAGGTGTTGCCCTAGCGTGATGGGGTGATAGCCGCCCTTCCGATAGCGTTGAAGTGACTCTCCTTCAACAGGAGACATATATCGGGGCTGGCCCCCCTGACTGTTGTCTGCATGGGTAGAAATAGACCCGACCAGACAGGGGCGTAAGTTGTTCCTCGGGGTGATAATGCGCCTTGATGGTATCGAGATGGTTTTCATTGACAGGAGGTGAGCTTCCTTGCCTATCATGTCAAGCAATTTGAGCTTAAGCAGTCTTGACTTGGTACTAAATGCCCGACGCGCTATGTCAACACAAACTATTATCAGTCACATGATCTACACAGGTGTGCAATATACGATCATCCTGCTTGTAAATGTGCTATAACAGACTTGGAACGAATATCACATTACTATACTCGGTGATACAATCCACGATGACTTGTTCCTATTATTTTACTACCAAATGCAACAGGCCTAACAAATTACAAGTATTTACACTTACGCACCAAGAGACCTAAGTAAAGACCAACAAGCAATATAGACAAGACTGTCAAGTCTCCAGATTAAAAACTAACGAGGCGAGAGAAAAGATATATATACTGCATCCTCAACCAAAGAACGGGGGAATCACATACGTCCGCAATGCGAACTTAATAACGCGTAAAAACCAGACTCACGAGTCGGGGTATCCTGAACTGACACGACTGTGCAAGACAAAAGAGGGAGAAAAAAACAGGAAAATAGAAAGGGGAAAAAGCCAAACCAACGCCTTCCTATGCTCACAGTGATCGCATAAGGGAATGAAAGACGCAATCGCTATGAGAGACGTTGAAAACAAAATTGAGAACGCAAAAAAAAGAAGGGAAAATCGAATCATTTAAGCTGACCTCTCCGGACACTTCCAAAGCCTCGGCTGAACAGTTGATGGATCTCAACGGAAGGTCGACGGCCATTCGCGTCTTCCGGGGAGAGATGGCCCGGGCTACTAGCATCGCCGAGGTGGCTCGGTACGCTGCCGTTATGGCTATTTGTCGCGCTGGCACTGGTATAGCCATCGATCTCGACTTCCTGCGTGGCGGGTTTATCCACCATAATGCGAGGACGGGCGAGGAGCTCGCGGACGTGGCGTTCGCGGGCGTCCATTTCAGCGAGTTCGGCGGTCTCTCGCGCGATCTCGAAGCTGGATTTCTTGGTGCCGTGGTCCCAGCCCTGCTGGAGTTCTGCGGCGGCGGCTTCTTCGAAGCGTTTGCGGATGTCGAGGTCTTGTTCATATTCTTGGAAGAGGTCGACGTCGGTTGGGAAGAAGAGGACGCGTAAGGTGGAGACGGTGAATTCGAAGAGGACGACTGCCATTACGGATAGTAGGAGGATGGCCCAGAAGAGGAGGTTGCGGCCGGAGTGGTTGATGAAATTGCCCGGGACGAAGTAGATGCCCTTGCCGGAGCCCATGGTGTATTCGCGGTCGAGGATCAAATCCCAGACGAACCAGCCGCCGACGGAGATTATTATCACGATGAGTGACATGTAGGTCTTGTTGTGGACTTCCAGGACTTGGAGTTTGAGGTTTATGATGATGATGCATGCGGAGAACGTCAGGAGACCCATGGAGAAGATGTCATTGCCGCTGGGATTGACGTTGGCAAGACCGTAAAGACTCCACATTGTGAAGAAGACGATGACTGCTTCACAAGTTGCCATGAATGTCCAACCTAGGTATAGCGAGATATTGAAGCCGCCATGCTTTTGACCCTTGGTGTAGAGCTCCGGCACAGCCAGCAGTGTCGATGCTGCTAGGTCTTTGGTGAAGATGCCCAGGAAGATAACAGCAAGCGAGGTGAACAGCGTGTTGAACATACTCAAACTCCACGGCTCGTACAAACTGGTGCCAGTGTAGCCGTTCCAGCGCTGGTAAAACGCCTGAGTCAGGTAGAACAACATTTCCTTCCAGAAAGTGCCTAGCGTATACTTGCATGCACGCATGTAGTTCCAACGACCGTGCACCAAAAGCAACTTGAGAAGGAAGCGGAACTGTCCGATCGAGTAATCCGAAATACGAGCTGCCTGCAATCCCTCTTTACCAGCGATACCAATACCCACATGAGCCTCCTGGATCATTGCGATATCATTAGCGCCGTCTCCAATAGCAAGAGTGATGGCATCGTTGACATGTTTGCGAATTGTTTTCACCAAAAACGCTTTCTGCTTCGGGCTTGCACGGCAACAGATGACCGAGTCCGCCTTGACGGCCAGTTGGAAGAACTGCTCGCGCACAATCTCATCGGCCTCGATAGTCGAGAGCGTCTGACCATCGACTACGACCACAGAATGTGCCACGCGACCCCGAGTAATCTCCCCAATGAGATGGACGATCGTTTGTTCAACGTCGCCATTCTCTTGGTCGAGAATAGTCAGAGTCGAGTATTCCTTGACAAGACGACACGAGTGACCGACATTGATAGCAGTCTCACGCTTGTCACCAGTCAACATCCACATCTTAATATTGGCTCGGCGCAATTTTTCAATAGCCTCCGGCACGCCCTTCTGCAGCTTATCCTCAATAGCAGTGGCACCTGTGAGCTCCAGCTGCTGCTCGATCTGCTCGCCAGCCTGCTCGATTTTCTGCTGTCGATCAACAAGACTTGTGCATGCCTCGTTGTAGGAAGTTTTCCAACTCGTGTAGGTCGCTTCATCCAAAAATCGGTGGCCATACAATAAAGTCCGCAGGCCGTCGGTGGCAAAGTCATTCAGGTGCTGGAAGCAGCGCTCGAAAATAGCTGTCTCATTAACAACCAGCGCCTCCTCCACAAGATCTTCTTCTTCCTCGCCGTTCGTTGAGCTTCCAGAATCAGAGATCGCAGCCGAGGGTCGTCCCATCTGCGCCGAGGGGCGAGGACTGTAGTACTCGCTATCGGCTTCTCGGTTTAGCATACCGCCATCAGTCTCCCGATCGTGCAGCCAGGCATCTATACTGGCGCGAAGAGCGGAACCCTGCTGTCCGGTAATTGACGAGCGCCGATGAGTGAAGCTAGGACGAGTCATACTGTTCCGAACACCACTGTTCTTTCGACTGTGGTGCTCGCTGTTACGCCGTATGACCTGGTCCGCCTCGGCATTCTTGCGTTTGCTGGCACGTCGCTCGATTTCAATGGCTTTCTCGTGAGCCAGCGCAGCTTGCTTGAGGAGACGCATCAGCGTGGTATCGGCACCTTTGCAGAATAGGCAAATTCGTTGATCGGGCATGCGGACGACGACTGACATGCGCTTTCGCGCGCTTGAGAATTCGATCACGTCCATTATTTCGTAGATCTCGTCGGTAGTGGCTTCATCAGGCCCGTTAGGATGTGTGCGGATGGTCAAGGTGTTTGACTGGCGATCCACTACAAGATAACCAAGTTCCTGGGCAGCAAGGACAAGGGCCAACTCGTCCGGCGAGGCAGCTTGGAACGTGGTGTTTCCGTGTTCATCTTTTTCGGGAATGCAAGTATGACAAAGTGCCATAGACAAAATGAAAAGCTTGGCCTTTCGAGCAAAGATAGTATAAGGCTTGCGTTGGATGTAGTCGAGCATCTCTTCGGTACGGTAAGTTGTGGCAGACCTGCCAGGGCGTATACCATCAAGAGCTCCCGAGACATTAGACGGACGGGGCATCTGGACCTCGGAAACATTCGACTTGCGGCCTAGGGCCTTTTTCCCTTTGCGCTTCGCTTCTTATGAATCAACTTGGTCTGGTCACCTTCACGGGCAGCCTCTTCTTGGAGGTCCGCGTCATGCAGCCAGGCAGTTCCAGCCACGCTCATCTTGCGGAAGCGCATGGAGTTATTTGTCAGGGTACCAGTCTTGTCAGAGAAGATATAGCTGATTTGACCAAGTTCCTCGTTGATGGTAGACGTGTGCGCTTCGAGCGGGGTGTCGGTTTCGGGATCATACATGTCGATATCATTGAGAAGCAGCATCTGTGCAACCTTGACAATTTCCATACTGACGTAAAGCGAGATGGGAATCATGGTATTGAACATGATCAGGAACGAGGTGAAGATGGGGCCGTAGTCGACGGTGGCATCTTCAAGATACCAGGACGATTGCTCCACATCTTGAGACCAGTACTTGTAGGCTACAGTGCAGACAACGGCCAAGATCACGACCAGCAGCACGATAATCATAACGACGCGGTTAACCTTGCCCTGCAAAGCAGGTCTCTTAATTCGCGGGTTCTTGTTGGCGTTCATGCGAATCTTGCACTCCTCGCCGGTGTAAATCACCATACCCAGAGCACGGTCAGTGTTGCGAAGAATACTACCACGGTACACGATCTCGTTGTTGGTCAAGGGCAGCTTCTCCTGGGCATTGACTGTGACGTGACCGTCAAACTTGTAAAGGTCCAGATTCGGGTCTTCGACGACGAAATGCAGTGAGTTGCTGGTAATATCATCCACGGTCGAGCAAACCTTGGACACGGGCCGGCAAGGCTGCTTGTTCTTCAAGTTAGTCTCACCATCCAGGGCCATAGTCTCAATATAAGCGACACCATTGGGTCCGCTGGCATGAATAAGAGCAATATCGGCAGGAATCGGCTGGTCACGTTCAAGTTTCAGAACATCGCCCACCCGGATTTCATCCCACTTGATCCGCACCCAATCCTGAGCGTTGCTTATAATAGAAGCGCCATCTTGCATTGTTCCATGCCCCGGGCGGAGCACCCAAGCATCACGATTGTTCTCCTCCTTATCCAAACGATATCGGCGCCAATCATCGAACCCTTCCTTGCCCATTGAGATACCAACGAAGATCAAAAGCGGCACGATAGTCGTATATGTACCAGTTGTACTCAAGCCAGGAATCATTTGCAAGATAGCGACGATCAAGAAATAGAAATTGGCGACTTTCGTGAATTGGGCGAAGAATTGGCGGGGGAAGAAACTCCAGAGACTATAACGGCTAGAACGAATGGAGTTACTGACATATGGCTTCCCGGTGCGCTCATCAAGCATAGTATCCACCATAGAGGGATTGAGGTCAATATGACGCCCATCCTGAGTAGGTGGAATGTCCTTGATTCGCAGAACAAATTTCTGGATAGTTGTCATGATCGCCTCGAAGCGCGCAACAGCCGCAGCAGTAGTCGCCTTCCGGCGCAGCCATTTCTCATGAGCCACAGACATAGAAAACTGTTTCTTGAGGGGCTCAGAGGAGAGATAAGTGGTCGAGTCCTCCTTGTGAGTCGAGTCGATCGTCGCCGTCGGCGCGACACTCAGCGCATTCTTTTCATCAGCGGAGCTGAGCGTCTCAGCAGCCGCAACCGGAGTCTGGGTCACATCTGACGACGGCTCCCTGACCTCGCCCAGCTCAGCCAAGGCGAGGTCATCCTTCTCCGTCGTCGAATTGATTGCCTTATTAAATATAGTGCGACGTAGCGAGTATCCACGGTTTCGCGACCGGGACCGGCCGGCGGGCTCAGGATTTGTCGGGGACAGAGGGGAGAGAGTCGCATTCTGGGCAGCATTGGGAGGCGACAGCGGAGAAGTTGGCGAAGGCGCAGGTCGAACTGATGGAGGCGCCAGCGCAGTGTCGACAGTCAAGCCGCGAGGATTGGGACGTCGATCCCAGTTGGTCTGTCTTTGTTCCTCAACCGACTCGCGATCGAGATCGGTTGAGAAACGTACATGTTGGAAGGAGCTCCGTCGCCCGGCATCGGAGCCCGTCCGTGACGACACGAGGGAGGGTCGTCGTATAACATCGCTCTGCCTGGGTTGGATTTCCTCTGTAGGTTCAGTAGATCTGTCGTTGGGGGACATGACGACCGTCGAATTCCTTGCACAAGTGCGCGGGACAGACCCCGACGATCTTGGTACTTTTTTATTCCTCTAAGGCTATCACAATCTGTCTTTGCAAGCTTTCTCTGTCGGGTGGTACTGAAATGATTCGATTCGATTGATCACACTGATCAGATCATTCTTCTGTTCAGCGGGGGAGACGTGATTTCCCCTGGCGCAAAGCGAAAGTATTGGTCGAGGGCCTAGGAAACGAGGGGACGCCCGTCGAAGCAAGGATCGAAAGCGATAAAAACGAAGGGCGCAGTAATCCTCAATAATAAAAAAATGAAAAATGAAACAAGGCTAAGAGAATAAGAGAATAAGCAAGAAAAGAAAGGGAGTCCAAGTGTGCAAGCCAAGACCCAATTTGGACAGAACGGTACTGAGCCCAAAACGGCCTAGTGTGTCCAACTTGCGATCTTCACGATGTTTCGAGGCAATGCCATGATAGGCAGAGAAAAACGGGGAGGAATGGGGAAAAACTGGAGTCAAGTGGGCAAGTCGGAAAAAAAAATCCAACATGTCCGACACAATCCCCAATGACAAGCATATCCGTTCGTCGGAGAGTTCTGGGCAAACGCGTAAGACGCAACCATCTACGGAGTACGTGCGTTGTGTTATGCCTACAGGCACAGCCCCCAAGTTAATTTAAGAAAGTCAGGCTGAGTCCCTTGGGGGCCAAAGGCCCGCTGAACCCAGAACTGCGACTGGTTTCATTGGCCACTCGCCCACATTCCCCGGGTCCACCTATTTGCGGACTGGCTGAAAGTGGCAATCTCGACTTCTCGTGTTGAGCGCACGTTCTATGGGTGGTACGGTGTACGGAGTAAGCTGTAGAATGCAGCGTCGAACAACTGAGTCCGACCCTAGGTACTCACTCAACTTGACAGCTCTGGAATATCCCCTTGAACTGGCCTATCTACATACTCCGTACATACGTACTTTCGAGTTTTTTTAGTGGAGTCCTGCCGATCGCAACCAGGGAAGCAGACCTTCCAGGGCCCAGGCATCGCTCAAAAAGGCTGAAACGGAAAAGAATAGAATTTGAGTTGAAGTTGGATTGGTTCACAACGTTCGCAAATCGTGACTATGTGGAGTACAAGGTAAGAGATCCAACCCTCAAAGTCGCATGGCAAAAAAAAAAAAAAGCAAAACACACGTAATTCATGCCAAGACGTGAAGGCCTATGACGTCAATCCCCGCTATCAATAGCGTGGCTGCTGTCCATATGGCGGCTGCTGGTATCCAGATCCAGACCCGTATGGCTGCTGAGGTGGGGGACGGCCATAGCTACCCGATCCCTGGTACGGGGCCTGACCAGGAGGGGGCCCTGACGGCGGGGCATATTGACCACCTTGTGGTGCCTGACCAGGAGGGGGTCCTGCAGGCGGGGCATATTGACCACCTTGTGGTGCCTGACCAGGAGGGGGCCCTGCAGGCGGGGCATATTGACCACCCTGTGGTGCATAACCAGACTGGGAACCGTACTGGCTGGGAGGAGCGCCGGGAGGCGCACCGTATGGAGGCTGGGCTTGACCTTGGGATTGGGGAGGCTGGCCGTAGCCGCCGCCGCTTCCGTACTGAGCTACCGATGAGGGCGGGGGAGCCGCACGACGTGCGTTGTCGCGCTCATCCTTGGTGTCGTAGGAGGAATCGATAGCACCAAGCATCAGTTTGGCACACTAAAGCAATCAGTAAAGTGATCAACGATACATAACAAAATCCGGAACTTACCCAAAGCTCACGGGTGAGATGCACTGGCGGATTAGCACGAGACATCTCATCTTGCTCAACCTCAAAGTCTGGAACACCATGTTAGCTGTATCCACTATGGACGCCATGTAGAAACATACTGGAAGTGCAGTCGATCAAGTGGCCAATGTGGGGATCCTCGTCCAGAGAGGACAGGAAGTCGCGAGCCCGCGAATCAGTGCCCACCTGCGAGAACTGGAATGCCACGGCACCGGGGCCATAACGGGTCCGCGTGGTCTCCTCCACTGCGTAGCGAATGACATCACCCACAGTACCGTGAGACTCACCAGCTGGCTGTCCGTCGGTGATGGTAATTACCAGCACAGGCTTCTCCAGGCGGTTGGCTCGGGCGGGCTGAACAATCATGGGTTCAACAACCTTGGACCGGAGGCTAGTGCCCAGAGGGGTCAGTCCAGAGAAACGGACACGGGAGACAAGACGTTCAACATCTTCCGCGTCACGGATACCATCGCCCTGTTCGCTGGAGTTCATGAATCGAACGGAGATACCATCCTGATCGAAGGTAGAGGCTGCAGTAGCCACGATACCAAGAATCTGTCTGAGCTGATCCTTTCGGAGTCCCTTCTCCTCGAACTCGATCGATCCACTGTCATCGACGTAGAGGATTACATCATACAGCGCCAGTTTCATGACATCGGTCGCAACCTCCATGGGCACCGCCCATTCGCCGATCAGCTTGTTAAGCTTGCCCGGTGCTTCGGCAGCAAGTGTCTGAACAAGTCGGTCCAGTCGCTCCGGGGGTAGAAACTTTGGATATTCTTCTCTTGGATCGTGGAAATCAAAAGCGATCGGTAGGCTGCAATCTGTTGCTGTGTGGCCGGGGGCGCTCCACCCTGAGGCGCACCCTGAGGGGCGCCACCAGGTGCGCCATACTGGCCCTGCGGTGGTCCGCTTGGTGGTCCAGGTGACGGTCCAGCACGGCCCTGGCCACCGGGGTAAGGAGCTCCCTGAGGAGGGTAGGATGGCGCCTGGTTCTATTTCCCGTTAGCATTCATCCTTCCACTATCGCAAGTTTAACGAAACCCCCAAAACAAAAGCGAGAGAAGAAAACAAAGTGATAATTGAGGGCATGGGGAAATTTGTACATATGACGGCTGCTGTCCAGGGTATTGCTGTCCAGGGTACCCTTGAGGAGCTTGCTGTTGACCAGGATAGGGCGACTGGGGGGGCTGCTGTCCGGGGTAAGGAGACTGCGGAGGCTGCTGTCCTGGATAAGGCGAGGAAGGAGAAGCATAACCCTGTCCCGGGCGCTGGCCTGGATACGGCGAACTAGCGGAGGCATAGGGCTGGCCTTGTGGTGGGGGTGGAGGCGCGCGGCCATAGGCCTGAGGTTGAGATGCGGGGTAAGGCGTAGGCTGCTGCGATGGCGGCCTGCCATATGATGCAGGAGATGGGGATGCGTTGTAAGACTGTTGAAATGAGCCGCCGTATGGAGAATAGCCTTGATATCCTTGGTAGGGTCCCGACATGATGGTTTTGTTCCAGAACCAGGTGTTGGAGGGGTAAAACGTGAAGACGGGGAAACGGAGAAACACGGATAAAAGGCAAAATTTAAGGAAAATGGCTTACCGATCCCTGAGGGGCTGGGGATCCTGGATAAGCCTGGTACTGCGATTGTTGACTCTGCGAAGAATTAGCACTTTTCTCCCTCAAATGACGTCGCGGAACAAGCGAAGAGATGAAGTGACTTACGGATCCACCAGCCTGCAATGAGGAAGGAGGGCCTCCAGTATACCCCGAGGGAGGTGCCCCTCCGTACGTGCCACTATTAGCCATCGTCTGGCTGTTCTGAGCTGCAGCGATTTTCTGAGCAAACTGGAAAAAAATGAGGGGTTAGATTGAGGGGATTTCGTCGGGGTTGTGGTGAAAGGGAAGAACGCGGCCGACTTACACCCATGATAAACTTGAGAAACCAAGAGAAAAGGCAAGATACAGGCAGAAGTGAAAGTCTCACGAGGTGAGAAATCAATGACGTTGGCTGATGTGGATAGCGCCCCTCTTCTTCTGAGGCTGACCTGGACCTGTATATGGCAGGTACCTCGAGGTACCTGCTGGCTCGCTTATCTCCCCTAGCAACCGAGGTACTTTAAAGTACCTTTGAATGAAGTCACCGGATTCAGCTATGTGCTTTTACTCTGTACAACATACGGAGTATACCGATTGGGACTTTGTACTCTGTACGAGTACAATACGATCATTATCTAAAACGCAGAGAACCACACTCTTCCAGCGTGAGTATACGAAGCTCAGTCGCCTCCAATCGGCCTTTCTCGCTTGTTTTCGGGGACAGTGGGCTGGTGCTATCCAGTTGCGATATCATTTTTGCCTCTTAGGTCGATAGTACGAACTAGCAAAGCCGCCATTTTGTGCTAACCATAATGAACTTGGCATCCAATCTATCTCTCTTCCTAGTCCTCGCGTCTCTGCGGGACAAAAAAGCCAACGGCTCCGGTCGTCTTTCCCCGTGGCCAACGGCCCACATCCATCCGATGCTTCCAGAAGCACACACGCTGCAAGTCATTAAATTACCTCACAGATAGCTGCAGGCACGGTTTTGCCTAAATGATTCCACGGATATTAATTTCTGCGTGGCATGGTGATAGCTTTGCCTAGGCAACCACTCGAGCCGAAATATCAGCAAATCCTGCAAGTGGACATCGAGTGTTAGTCATACGCCAAGTTGCAGCGGTCAACGTACGACCTAATCCCTGTCATACCATTGCCCATCGATTTGCTACGGAGTCCTCCGTACATTACACCAAGTGTTGGTTCTATGTAGGTAATCCAGTGAGTTCCCTGAACGTAGACAAAATTATTGCAATTCTATTAAATGGGGACAGAAAATCTAATACACGCTGTATGCGACTGTACAAAATGCACGCTAAGATAGTCTTTTGCTTCATGATTCTTCAAGCGTCATATAGCTTTCATAATCTAGAATCGGATTAGCAATGCATCCAACTGAACACGAGGCCGGGGCAAACATACCTACTCGAGCTTCTTGCACTCGAGGTACTTCTCGCCACGACGGCAAGGAGCATCGGCCAGGACCTGGCAGCACTTCTCGCCAGCCTTGGAGGCGCACTCATCAGCACCGTCCATGGAGACAGCGAGGACCTTGCTGCCGCTGGGCAGCTCGTGGCCGGCCTTGAAGGGGGAGCGGCCGCAGTAGTCAGAGCCGGAACTGTGCTCGGGGGCGATCCAGTCGCAGGCCCAGCCGGCGTAGACGCAGTCGAAGGTATCGGCGGCCTTCACACCGGGAGTACCGGAAGCGACGGCCACAGAGGTGGAGGAGGCAATGAAGGAGCTGGTAGCAGCAACCGAGGAAGACTTAGGAGTACGGCTGGGGCGGATAGAGAGAGAAGAAGGGGTGGCGGAGGAGGAGACAATCTTGGAAGAAGAGGCGATCACGGACGAAGAGGCGACGGCAGAGGAAGTGGAAGTGGAAGTGGCAGTGGCAGCGGAGGTGATGGTGGTGGCCGAGACCAGACCAGCCAGGAGGGAGACAGCGGCGAAGGTGTACTGCATTGTGAAAAAATTTTTGAAGTATTTGCTTGAGGAGAAAAGTTCATGAGACGGGGAAAATTGGTAGATATAGGACCTCGCGAGGAATATGATGTACAGAATAGGTATAGCTAAAGAACCTTCGACGTACCCCGTAATGAATTAGCTTCTCAACAAATAACAGAGCTAGCTGTGCCGTACCCAACGCAAAAAAACACCAGAACTATCTAGATCGGCGGCGATCACGGCGAATTGAGCTAGCTGAGCCAATAGTCCAGTGGAGTGAGAAGCCTTGGTGGAGCACGGCCGGCTTAGCCCTAACGTCAAGCGGAAAGAGATCCCACGAAGACGGACGCCGGGCTATCTCGGATCCGAATTTAGTATAATCGGGCCTGGATCTACGGAGTACATACATCGATGCATGCCGTACGGAGTATTCCAGGAGCCGATCGACACCTCGGGGTGCAGGAGGTACCCCGAAGTTACGAAGGGAATACTGGGGACACATGCATTGGGGTGGAGCAGGCTGACGGGAATCAGCCAGCCAATGATCCTGCAGGAAGAGGGCTCCTTTCAAACATAAGATGCATTTCGTAGCTCATGGATCCGTATCATCATGCCACGGCATCTGGTCTTGAGAGCCGAGAAGCACACCACTCACTATGTACAGGGGATAGTGTTTGATGAAGCATGGTCCATAGGTTTACTATGCTGTTTTTATGTACATATCTGACGAGGCATACACATGGGAACCCGAGGAAAGCCGAAAAGGCTTTGGAGCCGACCAAGCCGAGCAGCTAATCAGATGCCTGCATATTCCATACAACATATGAATAAATCCACCGAGTAGCAACGGGTCTTATAGCTCCGGTCCATAGTGTACCGATTACATCTCTCCGGGTATCACTCTGTGATCACTTTCTTGATTGGTTCCAATTCTCTTGTCCAATCAGCTCTCTCGAACGTCAACGTATATTGTCTCGAGATTCTATATTACTAAAAAAAAAGGCTAGGTCTAAAGGGGCATGAACCAGCCAGACTTCACAATTTCACAGGTTTGGCACGCAAAATCGACTGCTGCGTCATGGAAGCTACCAAGTTCCCCTCATCATCCCACAGTTTGGCCTCGGTGTATGTACGACCATGGCCAGCGCGCTGGTTAATGATTTCCCTCAGATGCCATTCATCCATCTTAGGGTGCGGCACAAATATGCGCAGTGCAAAGTCTAAACTGGAGCACGCCCCAACATCATCGAAAAACATGTGATTATGAGCCAAAGGTAAGAAGGCCAGGATACCATCCATGAGGAACCCAAGACCGGCCATCTGTTCTGCTTCGGTCCGAAGCGGGTGTTTCACCTTCACCCAATCTGCGGACGCTTTTTCCGTAGGAGACAATCCGTCCTGTGTGGTTTTGGCGGTCTTGGCAAACCCCAGCATGTTTTGAGTAGTGATACCTTCTGGACAGGGACGACCGTCATAAAGGTCCCGGGACAGTTTGAATAACGTGTTGAAGATATTGGCCTGTTTCTCGGTGATCTTGCCAGGTTTGAGCCAATTCTCCTCCACCACGCTCTCCCAGGTGGCACAGTCCCGCCAGTGAGGATAGCTTCTACTGGGAGAAGCTGAGTGTGTGAGAACAGAAGGTTCATCCTTGTGGAAATCGGCTGATAGCTCCATACACAGGATCAGGTTGCCAGTCGATGGATCTTTCTGTTCAACATTAACCCGATAGGTTATGAAACCTCTCGACTTCCGGAGTTGTATAGGCGTGCATATCAGTTTGATCTCTGTGCTGACAGGGCGAAGATAGTGTCCGAGGACCGAATGAAGATGAAACCCATCGGGAACGCTCTTGTACGCAGCATGAATCGCGAGAGCGATAGCGTAACCACCATATGCAATGCTTGCCGGGTTTCCCAACCTCTGAGGAAGATGCCTGGAGATATAATGATCCTGGAATTTTTCCAACGATATATGTTCCGCTAATGTGGTTGCCATGGCTGTGTCGAATGATTGGGTTGAGTGGTTTATCTCAGAGCGAGTCTAATGTATGTGGAAGACACAGGGGAAATTAGAGACGATACAATGTCCCTGAATGGCTGGTATGGAGAGAAAGGCGTAGGATATAAAAGTCGACATTTCTCTGGAAGTGAAAACGGTAGACCTCGGCTCGGCAGTTGGGTTACCCTTAATAATACGCGATGCGAACTTGGGGCTCTTTGCGGCTCACTAGACTCAATCAGTCACTGTGAGATGCATGATGATGTAGGTAGGATCTTTTGATAAGAATGACATGTTTCTAGATGAGTCTGTTCCAGGTTTCGGAGACATGTACTCGGTAGAGTGGGTTGCTATGATTCCATTTGGAGCACGGAGTACAGTCTTGGGGATTCGAATTGCACACGGCAGTTTGCAATGTTTGAGAGCCGGCCCGACCTCGAGTTCGGCCCACTGCGTCGGTGTCCACCGAACAGAAATCACATGGGAACTCACATGGGAACTCACATGGGAGATAACTACGGAGTCCATATGCTCAATTAATTCTGCGAGTCGATCTAGATTATGACCTTAGAACACTTGTTTGGATTTAACATTGGATAGGGGGGTGGAAAGGAACGCTTCCCTCTTCCCACGCGAATCCCTCTAGGATCTCGAATATCAAACTACATACTGTCCACTTGCACTGGCAATTAGGGGAATATCCAAAGGCATCTGACTTGGGTAAGAAATGGCTCAGTAATCCAGGTATCATCTCGAAGTTTCCCAGTCGACATGACATGTAATAAGCATTGACGCGGACCGCCTGTTCTTCCTTTGCGCATATCGCTGCCGTATTCATACCATCGCCACCCATACGCAGGTAATATAGACACATTTAACCCCTGGTATCTAGATATGTGCTAGGAACATTCGATTTCTGTCGAAGGGAACCGTGGCTCCAAGGTTGGCGGCCCGCATCTCCACCTATCCGCCCTTCCAGAAGATCTAAAGCCGCTTAAGTATAGATGATGTTTGTGTACTATTCGTTTGTTACCCATCTATTGAGATGTCTCAAGGTATTATGCTTCCAGGATGTAAACAGCTGAGGCCGATAGACATGTACGTTGTAGGTGTGTCGCTATACTATTGGCTATCGCATCCTTGATGTTTCCAGCCCTGTATACACAGCCTAACCTAGATCTATACAGGATCGACCATCTATCTGCAGCTGTCGATATCCGGTGCATCAGATCTGGGTATCTATGGATCAAACCCGGGGTAAGGCTCAGGCTGAACCATAGAGTCTGAGAGCTGGTCCAGTGAACAATGATGTCACAAAGTTGGCATATGCTCCATCCATGTGCCTTTCTTTGAGCATGGTAGTACACAACTCACAAGGGCAGTGCCCTCTTTCATTTCTCTGATCCTTTTCAAGTTACTACAAGAAAGCATTCCTTTCTTCTCGCATTTTACTCTCACATACCAAACATCCACAGTCCCTGAGTTCCCGAGTTATCCTTCATTCCCCCAGTAACTCACCACGCTCAAGTGATCTACAAAGGACTCGATCGTTCTTTTTTCCTTCCTTCGTCTGTAACCATTGGATCTGCAACACCCAGTCTCTCCACCAACATGGTCACCCCTGTCCTGCGCCTGGGCATCCTCGGCGCCACAAACGCCGTCCAAGCCACCTACCTCCCGGTCCTGCAGTCCCTCAAAACACACTTCACCCTCACAGCCATCTACGACCCCAACGAAGAGGTCGCAAAGCAATGTCAATCCCGCTTCGATATCACACACAGCACCACAATCGCCGAGGATGTCCTTCGCCATAAAGAAGTGGACGTGGTCCTCAACCTACTCCCAATGGAATACCACGAGCAATACACCGTGATAGCCCTCGAAGCCGGCAAAAACGTAATGGTCGAAGTCCCACTCACAATGAGCGTCCCAAGCCTACGCCGCATCCGCGACGCAATCAAAAAGGGCAAAGCCACACGATCCCTCGACGGCATCAACGAATCCGAAGGCCCAAAGGTCTTCGTCGGATGTGCGCGCCGCTACGCCCCATGCTTCACAGAAGTCTTCAAGAAGGAGCTCGCCAATATAGGCCGGGTGTACTACGCGCGCTGTCGACACATCGCCGGTCCCATGAACAGCATCCGGTCACCATCATCGAAGGATATTATCCCGCCGATGAAAGCACAAAATAACCCGGAACAGTTCCGCGCGCTGCTGGAAGATGTCTTCGGGACTGAGGACGAGCTCACTCCGGACAGGATAGCCTTTTGTCGGTACCTGGGAATGCTGGGTTGTCATGATCTTTCGGTGATGCGTGAGTCCCTGGGTTTCCCAGATGCAGTGTCGAACGTCGCAATCACAGATCCTTTCTACTCTGCTATCTTCCACTACACGAATTCCGAGAAGGGCGATAAACACCCGTTCACCCTGCTTTACGAGGCGGGCGTTGATGCCATTCCCCGATGTGATGCTCATTTAACCGTTTATGGAGCGCATAAGACCCTCACCGTTGAATACGATTTCCCTCGTCCAGGTGAGAAGATCAGCACGGGCACTTATGTGCGGGTTATCGTTGAGGAAGCGGATGAGAACGTGGATGTTGATAAGGTTAATGACAACCAGATCAACGAGACGGAGAATGCTGTCCCCCATCCCCGAGTGAAGAGGACTGAGACTGTTAGTACCTGCGACGAGGCATATGAGCACGAATTCTTGGCTCTGCATTCGTATCTCGTTGGTGGGCAATTGGCGGCGAAGACGACGACTGAGGATGCTGTGATGGATCTGAGACTGCTGCTCATGATCTTTGAGCAATATAACCGGCAATGTGGTACCATCAGCACTCCACTGGGTTGATCTCTGGGTTGTCGGTATACGGATTGATAGCGGCAGGGGTGGATTTCGTCCGGTGTTACTCGAGGGGTGTTACTCGAGGAAGTGCTTTATCATTTGAGCTAGCTCTGCGAGAATTGTTATCTGGTCATTGCTATGGACGGCGTCTGGGGTGTGTCAAGTCTTCGGAGAAATCAGAAGGCACTTGCTAGCAATTTACTTATACTATCCGTCTAAGTTTTGTTCCCGAGTTACATGCACTGCATCGTAGCAATTAAATTCTGTATGTGTAGCGAGGACTAGATTACCGCTTGCCCTTCTTCTTATTCTTCTTAGCATTAGAGCCTCCACTGGGCTTTTGCTGCTGTTGAGGAGCAGACTCCTCTGCCTTCTCGTTGACGGGGCCACCCTGTGTAAGAGCTGCAGCACGCTGCTTGCCCTTCTTGCCTTTGGGCCTGTAAGAAGAGCGGTCACGAATAGGGAGCCAACGCTCGGGATCCACCTTCTTGGCGGGATCGAAGTCCTTGGGGAGACGGGACTTGCGGACACGCTTGTTAGCGCGGTCGCCAGCGCTAGCTGCAGTGCGCTTGCGGGCACCTGCGAAAGCGGCAGCTGCTGCGGCAGCAGAAGACGCAGATGGAGAGACGCCAGCGGATTCCAGAGCTGCGACATCGATATCGGCAATCAAGTCACTGACTGCGGGAAGACTGTCGAGTTGAGACTCGACCTGCGCGTAATCGAGGGTTGCTTGTGAGGCGACATAGCCGGCGATGGCGATGGTGTCGTTGGGATCTTGCTGTTGCAGGTAGCGGAACAGCTCACCAGCTGTAGCGAGGTCAGAGCGGTTTTCGGAGTGGAGAAGGGAAGCAGCTGCTGCGCGGAGGAGAGACACGGAAGGCTCGGGTTGTGTGCGCCAGTAGGAGGCGGCTTGTGCGAGGGTGGTCCGAATCTGAACCCTGCGGCCTTCGAGCTGGTACAGGGAGACGAGAACACTGAGGAGACCTGGGTTGAAGCGGACTGAGTTGTTTGAATCCTCCAGGATGCGGAGCGTTCGCTCCATGGCTGTGATGGCAGAGGTGGTGTTACCGCCGCTAACATAGAGTTGCACGACTGTCAGGAGCAGTCCGATGTCTGTGGGCCGTCGCTCCAGCAATGGAGCAATGTGGTTAATGGCTTTGGAGTCTGTTAGGCCTTTGGCATGGGCTGCTGCGTTGGATACAGATAGGAGGTTAGGGATAGCGTCTGTGGACGGGCTTGGGCGCTTTGACAGCGCCTTGGATGTGGACCGGATTATGCCATCGTATTTTTGGACCAGAAGGTCTGCGGCATGCGAGTTGCCGATCAGATCACGGTCTTGATATTCGAACAGCCTATCGTTGTTGGTGGCATCTGGGGTGTCATGAAGGGCCTTGTATAGAATGTAGGGGTTGACAGCGGTTGGGCGAGCGAGAACGATATTGTTGCGGGCGATCTTTTTGGTCGATAACTCGGAAATTCTGATGTACGTAAGTAATTGAGGCTTGGGATAGCATTGTTTTCAACGTACTCTTCCACAGAGATGTCTTTCAGAACCGCCTCGGCCTCTTCCAATTTTCCAAGTCGGATCAGGACATAAAGTTGCTGCACTGCAATTGGTAGTAGCTCTGCGGTCTTGTCTTCTGGTGAGAGATCCTCCGATGTCCGGCAAATGTCTATACAACACATCAGTTTGAGTTCCAGTCCTGAGTAACACAACAAGGTACTGACCTCGAGCTCTGTTAAGCAACACTTCGCCCTGCTTCAATGCGCCCTTTGCAATGTTCAGGCAAGCTGCGTTGTAGGTTATTTCGAATGATTCCAAATCCTCCCGCGACAATCGGTCGTGGCGCACGAATTCCGGCTCTCCTTTCCATTGGAGCTGTGCATCAGTGGCCCACGAGTTGATGTTCAGGTCGTTAACCTCGTGGCTGTAAGATGTATCCTTCGACAATTCTTCGTAGATTTCAGCTGCGCGTCTGAAATTCTCGGCACGATACCGCTATCATGACATATCAATCAACAATGGTCCTCGGGCATCAGAGCACATGGGGGTATCATACCACTTGAGCCTCGAGGTGGCTAGTGCCACGCCCAGAAGCAGCACGAGTTACAGCTTCCGTAGCTTCTTCAAGCTTTCCGCATTTGTATGATGCATAGGCGTATTCCAAGCCTGCGCTCTTCTTTAGGGCATCACCTCCAGCTTGGAATGTCTTGAGAGCTTCTTCGTAGCGGTCGAGTTTCAAAAGAGCAACGACTTTAATATGTTGCGCCTTCAGATCTGACTTCGACTTGGCGAGTGCTGCATTGCAAGACTGAAGGACTTCCTCGTGATCGTCAATCGACGCTCGCTGCAATAGCGAGGCCAGCGATTGCGCAACCATAGCGGGGGTTGATCGCTGAAGATTTTCGGCGGGGTATCAGGTATCGATAAAGATGGCAGGTCGGCGATATCTGATCGGGGATCAAATAATGGGAATTTTATAAAGAACACGGTTGCTTCCCCAGATCAGCTGTTATCAAACTCCAATGTGCGGAACTGGTCTTCCCCATCGGGGGTTTCTGCACTTTATGCCGTCTGCGCCACCGTAGCTCACGTGGCAGATCCATAGATCCCATCTTCAACGGTGTTGTCACCCTCGATCACTGAATGGTATTATGAATTTTCTTTGAATCTCGATTAAAATAAGAGTATGTATTTGTTGTGCTGCTGATTGGGCTCGGATGGTGCTCCGGGATATAATTCCGCTCAATAGGGTGTATATCGGTGTGGACAATATCAATATACAAATACTACTCCGTACGCAAAATCAATTCCGATCTCCAGGAATAAGATCAGCCTTTTTTCTACGTTCCTACGGGATTTTATAGTCGAAAATTAATAAAAGTCTTCAAACTCTTCGTCTGACTATATCCCGTGAAAACAATATATTCGGACTATGAGCAGGAGTTCCTAGGTACTCCGTACCGGTAAATATGTTTCTAATAAAGGAAGAGAGGTAAATAATCTAAGCAAGGTAAACAAGATTCTATTTTAACATACGTAGGGAGTAGGAAGTCTAGAGCATAAAGATGTGGTATTTTAACTGTATCAAAGGCAGAATTCATTGACGTGCTACAAATAGAACCTTTATATACAAGCTAGGGGTAAATACATGCATGTACTCCGTACAGAACTTCGGTATCCTATCATGCCTTTGTCATAAAGTACATAACAAATGTATAATAATGCATACGGAGTACATATAGAGTTATCCGTACTCCGTACAATATATTTATCTCAAACGTCGCATATGAGATGCAAAAGCCGAAAGAACGCCTCATTCCTTTGGCCAGCAGGGGCCAGACCTCGGGGCTTGGGGCTGTGCTCTGCACCTGACACATCATGGGAATTAAATTGGATACAATTGACACAAGAACTACGGAGGACTCCGTACGGAGTACCCATATACAAGGTACGGTGTACATGTTAATGGACATCACTCCCTTCAGATTGGACCCTGAGAGCCTCTGATGAACCAAGCTTTTGTTAGTCAGAAGCAAAAGACTTCTATCCCATAATAAAACACTGTGTGGATTCAGGGAGATCCAGTTAGCGATATGAATTTAGCTGTCAACAGGGGCAGATCGACACAGGCATTGCCTAAAATAAAATCTTCAGGCGGGAGGAAGCATAAAATAATCCGTCGCCCAAGCTCTCATGGAAAGTCGCAGCATTTTTATATCAAGAAATGAGCCATCACGATATATTGCGATGAGTACTATTCCGTATGCCTTTCGGATATCACTCGGTTGTGGTACTTGTGTAGGGCGGTAGTGCCTTGGCTGCTGAAGCCATCTGGACCACGCGAGCAATTAGACAGCTGCAATCGGGACTGGCGACGCGCGGACGTGGAGACCGAAGGGATCGCTGACAAGTGAGAGGATGAGCATTGCTTAGGAGGTCTTGGCGTTGGCAGGGTTGTAGATAACTCGTATATACTGCTCTGAGATGGAATTACCACGTTGAATCCTACAATTCAAGTGGATGGAATGTTCGGATATAGCGAATGGATGCTGGTCACATTTCTTGCAAGTAGTGAACGAGTGAAATTGCCATCGATTCAATGGCCGAGACAGCTCTACGAGTGCTCACGTGACCTCCACCGAAAGGCCCCGGGGGCTGCACGTCATTGATCATCCCTCAGGCCCCTTGAGTCAAGAAATGACCTTGCCATTTTCATACCATGGAACCATGATCGTCCCTGGACCTTGTTCTTCCCGTCTCTTCTCATTTCCCTCCTCTGCCTCCTCTCCATCCCCATCCAAGACCATCCGGGCACCACTATAAATCACTTTCATCCGCCTGCGATCGTGGGCCCGTGATTGTGTTCTAGCCCGAACCCTTGTCTCCGCAATGCGGTAGAACCCGACACAATTTTATAACACGAAAAATGCTATTCAGCGCCCGGGACGGGTCTCTTCCAGGAGCATCATGGGCGTGGAAAAAGGTGCTGCGGTTTGGAGTCGCGTTCTTGTTCGTGATAGGATTCGCTGCGGTACTTTGGCCTAAGGTTGAGCCAGTGAAGTTGCCACTGGAAACAGTGTCCAACATCACCATCTCTCCCAATGTCAAATGCGAACTCGATCATGAAAGATTGGTTGCCCTCGATGTGCTCAAAATTGCCCATTATACCCGCCGCGAAATTGTGCTCGATATGACGGAGGAACCCGTGCCGTACAAGCAGCGGCTTGAACAGCCGTTCTTCCGAGCCGCGAAGGATACGGAGGGAGCCGCGGACGGATGCACAATCTCCGGTCCAGTGTCTCTGAAAGTCCCCCAGCCGCCGAAATTGGCGGATGCATCGCACATCGATTTTGGAGTTGCGACCAGTGTGGAGAGGTTGAATCAGTCTCTTGATGCATTCGCGCACTGGGCTGGATACACGCGCACCCGCATGTTTGCACTGATCGAAACGGATCGCTCGGAGAATGGAATTCGTGACGTCAAGGCCAAAGCTGATGCTCTAGGGATTAATCTCCACATCACGGAGTCGGACGACGACTATCTGCACCGATACTTTGCACTTATTCCTCTGTTGAACGAAAACGCTCGGGAAAATACCCAATGGGGCTGTATCATCGATGACGATACATTTTTCTTGTCGATGCCCAGACTGGTGGACGCGCTCGGTAAATACGACCACACCGCGTCCATGTATATTGGCGGGCTGTCAGAGTCTATCCCGCAGATTGCGACATTCGGAATGATTGGATTCGGAGGCGCGGGCGTCTTCTTATCGAAACCCCTAATGAATGAAATCACAAACGTGTATGATCAGTGCTCTGCGATGGATTTCACCGGAGATCGCCGCATCGCCATCTGCGTCTACCGCTATACCCAAACCCGGCTGACGGTCGATCACCGCCTGCGCCAGTTGGATTTGATGCACGATGCCTCCGGATTCTTCGAGTCTGGCCGCGAGCCCCCGCTCACAGTCCACCACTGGAAGTCCTGGTTCCATGCAGACATGCCGAAGCTATCTGTGATCGCTGAGTTATGCGGCGACAGCTGCCTCCTCCGTCAATGGCACTTTGGCGACGGCTGGATCCTGACGAATGGGTTCTCGGTGATCAAATACCACGCAGACCCGGATGCGAACGATATTGCCATGGAGCAGACCTGGGACGCGCACAACGGCGCCAACGACGAATCCTACCTGCACGAACTGGGCCCTCTCCGCCGCAAGGACGAGAACAAGAAGAGCTACCGGTTGGTCGACGCCGTGGTTGTGGACAGCAATCATGTCATTCAGTGGTATGTCATGCGGGATTCAAAGAACGGCGATCAAGTCTTGGAGCTGTCATGGCGCAAGAAGTAAATATTCTCCTTCTTTGTCTGGTACATGTACAGATCTTGTACAGGCCTTCTTTATATTGTCTCTAGACCCTGGCGGTCTGTTGGATCAATAAGCCTATTCCGGCGCATGGGTTAAAGATAGCCACTTTGCATGGAGTTCTGTTGTTTATAGATCAGAGATACACCTTCTGTCTTCTCTAATGAGTCGAATAATGTGACATGGATGTTTTGCCTTACCTGTGATGCTTCAATCTGCGTATTTATCGACATTGTTGAGGTGCCCAAGCGAGTGCCTCAATGGCTAGGGGTTCTCCTTTCTTCATAGCAATCCCAGGAATGTGAGTCTTCCAGGGGGGATGGGTGCCTGAGATATCTCGTTCAAACGGTCTCCTAGATTCCGAGTAGTTGATGAATCTTAGTGAAAGATGTCCCAGCAATGGCTTCATCGTCGATTTCATTCCGGGTACCTGACTTGGCAGAATGTTTGGAACAGCTTTAGCTATGTAGAACAGTGTTGCCTAGAGCTCACCCGCCGATAGTATTCCGCATCCGTCTACTGGTGCAACCTTGGAAGTCAGGCAGCCATATTTAACCCCATAGTGCACAGATAGAGCTCATGCCGTACCATGGAACCTATGCACATGTTTGGCTCTTGCATATACCTACATGTATATAGTATCATCTACTCCTTCATGGCCTGTAGTTAGCTGTCACAAATAGACCTGATCATCCTCTCCAACATCTGAACCAAACATCCCACCTGCCTCCCTTTCAATGTAAGCTTTTGTGATATATAATTGTCAGAACCCAATCTCGATCATGATATTCAATGGAGTGGAAAATACCGCCTCCACTGTGTGGCTCAACAGCCCCAAGACTTCAAAGCGTTCTCAAATATATCTGAGAGTTACTATGGGCACCCCTTTTTACTACGGGCACCCCTCCCGCTAAACCCTTTACGATTTCCTTCTAGCTGGCCACTGCCCTTACCACCCCCCGTATTACTGATCTGGTTCCCCCCCAGTATTACCTATTATCATCACATGATTAAATTACTGCCCTTATCCCCCAGAAATATCATATTCCCACATTCGCTTAATTTCATGAAGCTATTCCGCAGTCGTTTAGGTTCATGAAGCTATTCCAAACTATAGGGTACTAGATAGAGATCATATAGATATGATATTTTCAATCCAATTGAAATAGCTAATGCTAATCTAGGTCACAAATGAAGCCAAAAATTACTGATTTCCGTAGAAATGAGGGTGTAGAGTTTTCGAAAAGGGGGGTTATATGACCTCAAAATAGATGCTAATTTTCAAAAGTAGTGCCAAACGACTATTTAGCTCCTAGTGTATATACGCCTACTACGCAAGGTATAATACTCATCCTACTATTTAATTATACCTACTCCGTACTAACTTTGGGTATAGTATATAGTTTACCCTTAATATGGAGCCCCCTACACCTAGTCTCCCTAACACTACGCCCCCCTTTCAAATCGTCGAAACCGCCACGCTATCTATTAAGGAGTCCCGAAGGTAGGCGCTTAAAACCCTTAACTAATGGGCTCTTCTACTAGGCTTCTTAGTCGTGACAATACGCAGTAAGCCTCGCGCAATATAGTTCGAGTGTAGCCTTAGTCGTAGTTATCGCACTGATCGAGCCCTAGTGATACGGAAACGTCTACGCTAGAGCCGCTTAATAGGCTATATATTTATTAGGAGACTTCGGCTTATCGCGAGTAATATATAGTAGCTAGAGATCGCTAATACTAGCTATAATTATAGTTTAGTTACGTCCTCTACTTCCGTTATTACTCGCCGAGTTAAAACTAAGTATATACTATCTACTATCGAGAGTTAGATAGCTAACTAGATATCGACTCGTTAGATTACGGGTATAATATAGGAGGAGGTAGAGTTATAAGGGCGATAGTCTTACTTACGGCCCCGTAATATTACTAATCGGCGGGCTAAGATAAAGCTTTAACGGTTAGCTAGACGTACCCTAATATAGGCACTTCTTATAGATCTCCCTAAAGATAGTAGCTAGATCATTCGATATAAGGTTAATACCGTTAATAACTCCCTTACTACCCTCTTTATAGTCTATAAAACTAGTCTCTAGCTCCTATATGCTAATCTATATATCCTATAGATAGACTATACGTATAAAACTAATAAATAGAAGATACCCCTTCTTAATATTATAGGGGCTTCTTTAGTTAGGAGGACCTTTTATATCGTATATAGCTTCCTTACTAGCGAGAAGGAAGCTTTATATTATAGGGTCCTCTACTAGTTAAGGGAGATCTATACTACTATTTATATAGGAGCTAGTATACTAATGCTAGCTCGTGCTACTATAGCTAAGTCCCCTAATCTCCTTATAACTAATCTCCCTATAACTGATCTCCCTATAACTAAGCTTCCTATAACTAAGCTTCCTATAACTAAGCTTCCTATAACTAAGCTTCCTATAACTGATCTCCCTATAACTAAGCTTCCTATAACTAAGCTTCCTATAACTAAGCTTCCTACGATAATTCCCTAAGCCTAGCTAGAAAGCCTCTATCTAATACGCTTTACGTTAATATATAATTTTCCGCTAGGGCCTATACCCCTTATTACGCTCCCTTAAAATAGTCCACTAACTATTTTAACGGATAAGGAGTAGGCTATTCGTAATACTATCGGAAGGGTAAGATAATCTATTATTATAATATCTAGTTTACTAATAATCCTATATCTAATAGGCTTTCCTAGCTACGAATACGATACTATACTCCTAGTATATAACCTATAATATCGAGTACTACGCTAGGCCCTATATCCGTCGCTAAGTCCTCCGGGTTTTAGCCGAAAAGGCTAATAACTTTACTAGATCTACTACCGAAGAGATTTAACGTAAGATCACTATATAATAGGCTATAATAAAGGGTGACTAGTATTAAATCGTCTTCGTACGGGAGGTTTACGAGATAGAGACTTAATAGGCTACTTTTAAAGAGAAGTATTAACACTTCCTAGCTCTACTATAATATATTAATAGAGAGTAGATTCGTGGTTATAGCCCCTACTTCTTACGGTACTATACCCGTAGGTTTTTATATCTTAATAAGACTTTAACCTTACGGGTAGAAGCCGCGTACCGCTATTTTAAACTCGATATCTAGACTAGAACTAAGGATCTCTTAGCTCTTAGTGCTAAGTTTAAACGTACGACTAAGCGACTTACTACTTAGATCCACTAGGAGCTTACTATATAACGGGGGGTATAGGAGATTAGTAGTAGTATATTATTTACTAAAGTTAAGACTTTAGTTACTACCTATATAATTAAAAAGGTATAAGTAGTGTTTAATTACTATCTACCCGCTAATAGTAATAAGCCTATAATTCCACTAGTATACTTAGGCGAGTCTATAAACACTCGGGGGTATCTATATATTCACTATATTAACGAAGCCTAAATAAGAGGTCAGAGCCTTACCTAGGCTTAATTCTATCTATAGTATTAGATCTAAGTAACACTAGAGGCTAGTCACCGTAGGGTACTCGAGCTCTAGATACAAAACCCCTTAGTTATATAAGGACGTAGTCGGCTAACAATATCCTTATAGCAGTCCTCGTAGTAGTCCTTATAGCAGTCCTCGTAGTAGTCCTTATAGCAGTCCTTTATCCCGCTATCACGGGTATTATAGCGTTTCGAAAACTTAGTCCGCCGGGAGCTATCATAATTTAAGATTATACGCGTATAGGAGGAAGAAATTATCCGACGATTAGGACGGCGGAGACCGGTGAATCAAAGGCATAATAATAATTAGACCATATAGGGGGAGATAACTAAGTCTAATGATTAGATCGCGGTTAGCGGTATCATAACTAGGAGAGTTAGGGGACGGGGTAGGGGGAGAGGTAGGGGACGAGGCAGAGCTTAGTGAGATTCATATCTGATTTGTATAGTAAAGAATGACAGAGTTTGATATTTAAGGGGTTCTGAGCTAGTAGGGGCACTAGGAGCTAAATAGTCGTTTTGCACTACTTTTGAAAATCAGCATCTGTTTTGAGGTCATATGATCATCCCCTTCGAAAACTCTGCACCCTCATTTTCACCCAGATCAGCACCCTGCACCCTCATTTCTACGGGACTGCGGGAATAGCTTCATGAAATTAAGCGAATGTGGGAATATGATATTTCTGGGGGATAAGGGCAGTAATTTAATCATGTGATGATAATAGGTAATACTGGGGGGAAACCAGATCAGTAATACGGGGGGTGGTAAGGGCAGTGGCCAGCTAGAAGGAAATCATAAAGGGTTTAGCGGGAGGGGTGCCCGTAGTAAAAAGGGGTGCCCATAGTAACTCTCATATATCTGACCTCCAAAAGCCACAAAATTGGGAAAACCACAATGCCCCTCCCGCGGATGTACACTTGAACTCCGTGAACACACGGGGTACTATCCGGCCACCCTCTACCTGAGACATTAATAACTCGTAGCAACGCCTCAGCACGGAGTACGGAGTAGGGGTAGACCTACCGGCGAAGATCCTATGGAACCCCTGAAGATCGATCGGCGTTGAATGTCGATCAAGATATAACGGATGCGAGTGTGGAGAACGGCAGTTATGGCTAGGACAATCCGGAGAACGGAGTATTTTCTTCGGTTAGGAGGCGGGTGGGCTACGATGCATATACGAAGTGCTTAGGTACACGAGAGACATCAAGCCCGGAACGAGCTCCGCCCAGACACTCAATTATGGGTCTCTCCTAAGAACACCAGTTCAGACTGGAACGATCGAAGGGGAAACTCGTAAAAGTTTTGTTTCAGTCCGTAATATCTTTTTTCATATCCCGCCCATCCAAACACCGTACAATATACGGAGTACGGAGTATGGTATCCCGAGGGTTCCCCCCAGTGGACCCCGAGCACAGTGCAACGCAACGCCTGAGGGTCCATGTGGCATTAGCGTCTACGCCACTGGTAAGATACGATTCCAGATATATTGGCAGATGGTCGGCAGTTCAGTTCACAGCGGCTAGCGCTGAGCGAAACGGCCTATTTCCATTGGTGTGATGACTTGGGCACATTGGCGGGAGGCCAGTGCACCCTTTCCCCAGGAGAAAAGGTGACATCAGAGTGGGATCGGCGACAGCAAAAGACAGAAAAATGGACCTTTTGGTCAAAGCGTTGGCGGCTGTTCCTGAGTTTGGTGGAGATTTGTTTTTATTTCTACTGCAAAAGGAAAAGAGGAGGCCGTTGAACGGAGTAGACTGTGAGATGTTGGAGGGGGCTTATTCGGAAACCAGCCTTGTAGCCCTAAAACACACCACTAACTGACCTGTACTCCGTACTCCGTACAGCAAAACCCATTCCCAGGGGCTCCGTAGAGTCTGCTAACGTTCTACTAATAGAAAAACGGAGCCTAGCGTGGGACATGATACAACAAGACACGTCTCAGCCACAACCATGTGGGAATCGCCCCGTGTCGAGCCATCCAATCTGCGTCGGATCCGCGGTAGTTCGATTCATTTATTTTTGGGGTTATTTTCGTTGACTTAGACGCAAAAACAGGGAAAAAAGTTAGGGTTGAAACCAAATCATCTCGCCGGTCATTGGTTCATCAACAGCCAAAAAGCAAGACAACACCTCGGTTCTACACGGAGGAGATAATCTCCGCAACTCCCCGCAGGACTTGAGAAACCTGGCATGTGCATGCAGAAGGAGTGTCGTCACTTTCGTCACGGGTGTCAGGGATGCGGCGTTAGCTTGGGAGGGGATAAGAGCATCATGTGGTGTGAGAGGTGATCAGAATAGAATAGGGATGACATGACTGGACCAGTCATTCTGGGTGCCTAACCCCCCTTTTTTTTTATTGCTATTATTTGTGCTCCGGAGTAAACGCAGGGCCTTCGTATTTAATTTTCGGATGTGAAGGGTATAGCGCACAGGCTCAGGATCTCCTGGTAAGGCTCCGCACCGTGCAGGATGGGGGCCGCGCATTGGTTTTTCTCCTTCTTCGACGGCTTCGACGGCTTCGACGGATGTTCGAAAATCCTTCTGGTGGCCTTCCAGAAGGTCAGGAGAAGGCTTGGCAAGAGCCATCCGTGCCGTCTTTTGCGGCGGTGGGGTTCCTGGAGGCTGAAGCCAGCCGGTGCCCTCTAGTGCCCCGGCAAGGGAAAAGGGGCGAGATGTAATTACCGATGCACACCGGATTGGGCTCCACTCGAGGATCGTCTTAAGGCGAGAGAGCCCAGTCAGAAAAAGTAGAGTACCAGACGCTTAAGGGGGCATGAGAACAGAAACGTCCCAAAGCTCCCCGTCCTACCCAGTGTAACGCATATTATGCTCCGTGTACGGAGCACAGGAAAGACATCGTGATAGTGGATGCATCAAACCTTCTAGAAGGAATGCAAATCTCCATTTTAGCCTTCCACCGTCTTTCGGCTAACAATAGTCGGGACAGACTATCGAGATGGTGAGGCAATCTCCGCCCTCTGCACATCCAATCGTATATCAGAAAATAAAAATAAGTATATCACTCAACTTATGTGTCGCACCATGAGAAACCTGCATGTCATCAAGGTTGATCACCGAATGTTTTTTTTTCCCTTTTTTTCCCTTTTTCTTTCCCATTTTTTTCCCTGTTCTCGAAGCCGGGTAATGCATGGATTCCTTTTTTAGCTTCAGGGGTCGTTCGGCCAGTGTCTTCCCCCTTTCATGCTAACTGAGAATGGGACCTGATTAACGCCTTCGTACATTAGTTCCCTCTTAGCCCGATATCTTTTGCGTCATGGGATTAGGGGAATAGACTTGCGTCACACTAGATATCCACAGCGTTCGGGAATCTCCTAGCAGGGATACAATATGGGACAATAATGAAGAGGAAATTCAGGTTCGGATCGGCCTGTGGGATCCATTTTCGCACGGGGAGAGAGGCACGTTGTGGATCCAATGCTGACGGGGGCCTTCTGGTGCGGCCGGGTTTGCTTCTAGCGGGCTTCGCTGGGTCCAACTAGAGAGAACTAGCCTTTTTGGAAAGGGTGTTGGGTTTAGGAGACCGCTGGGGAGGGTGTTTTCTCGATGTGATATATGGATATCAAGCATGGGTTCTGCCCAACCTGTGTAGTATGATGTGAGATTTAAAATTGGCAATAACCCAATCCGAATATCAGAATCCAAGCAGAGAAAAATCACGAATAATAGGCCCAAAAAGAAAGGGCCAAAAAAAAGAAGTAAATAATGATGTAGTATGCAGACAGTAGCACCTACCACACCTAAATTACCTACATAATAACATAATATTCCCCCCCCTCTCCCCTTTCTTCCTTATTCTTCTCTGACTTTTTAACCCTGTGCTTTCCTTTCTTATTCCTTCACTTCATCGTTCTCATCATCTTCCACTGTTCGTACTCTCCCCCACTTGGGCTTTTGCGCAAATTCCTCGCAACTTCCCTTTCGCCTCCTTCCCTCGACTTTTGTCCATCAAATCCATCGACTGTTTCTTACAGAAACCTTGAGCTTCTTGAAGGTATGTGGTTACTTTACTTTCTGTCTTCACCGCGGTTTGCCAGTGATGACGCATCCCGCTTATTCGCCTTGGCTGCCCAACCCTCTTCACTCGCACGGGAGCTTGGGTTTCATGACGGACATTTCCTCCATATGTGCTGGTTTTGCAATCTTATCTGTTTCTAACAATCCGCGTGTCACTGGCCTATCACGTCGAGCACCGTGGCGCAGAGGCGAGAAGATCACAAGCTTACGACTAAGCGCTCTGGGGGAAATGAATCGGAATCGAAACCATCATTGTGATTTTTGTATGATGCTGACCATCGATTTTGCGCATAGGAACTTTAACAGGGATAGTTGATCTATCTTTCTTTCACCTACACCGATAAAAGATCACGCGTTCCGCCTTGAGCCGACCACAACATTATTCCTGGAGGCGAGCTTGGTTTTTTTTTTTGGCAGAAACCGAGCCCATCATTGCCTGGTACCTCTTACGCAACCTTGCATTCCACTGCAGGGAAGTGGAGAATCTACCCCGTTCTCATTCTTCGTTGAGGAGCGAATTGTTCGATAAAGAACCGTGTAATACAGGTTCAAGCAAGGTGAGTTACCGCTCGAGGTCTCCCCACGCGCCGCGCACTCCTTGCGGAGTTTTTGCCACAACATCGAATCCGATCTATCATACCGGAAAACTGGTTCTGACTATCTCTTGACTGGCAGAATTTGTTATCTGTGACCGACTTGAATTTCTCAGTGATCAACCCAACGGCCGACATCTTTCAAATCCACCGGTCTTCACGCGTGAAAGACTTCGAATCCCGAATCGAGCCATCGAACGTTGTGGGAATACTGGTTGCGAAAGGTCTACCGAAGGACCTCTTCGAACGCAGTCCTTGACTGCGGTCCCTTGGCTACTTGCTGGGTCGGGTCATGGACTTCACGACCATCCTGAACAGGAAAAACTCCGCTGCTGCAGCTGCCGCCGCTGAAGCGCAGTTACAACAACAGTACTTTCAACAGAGTGCACAGTTACACACCGGAGCTTCGCCCACCATGAAGAGCGAATCAGGTGGCTCGGACCACCCTGTCAACGCATACCCTCCTCACGGTCCCCCACCCATGCAAATGGACGCCGGGCTTCCCGATGGCTTCTATTATGCACAGCCCACGGGCTCAACTCCCCGAAACATGGCATATGCTCCTGCGGGATACGCTGGCGATCCCCAGATGCAGCAGGACCCTGTCGCGCAGGGAAGGGCGGGCATCGAACCGCCACCCAAGACTTTCCACTGCTCAACCTGCAACAAGGGCTTCGCACGGCGTAGTGACCTTGCTCGGCACGGTATTTATATTTCCGAGGTTTCTAAGCGCATCTGCTGACGTTTTATTAGAGCGTATCCATACCGGAGTTAGACCTCATGCCTGTGAGTGGCCTGGTTGTGGAAAACAGTTTATTCAACGCTCGGCCTTGACAGTACACTCTCGTGTACACACTGGAGAGAAACCCCATATGTGCGAAAGATGTGGCAAGGTACGTATCTCTCCTTTTGCTGCCTAGAACTAGAGCTAACAGCTAGACAGCCTTTCAGTGACTCGTCTTCGCTGGCTAGACATCGCCGCATTCATTCCGGAAAGCGACCCTACAAATGCCCATACGCGAACTGCCAAAAGACTTTCACGCGCCGTACGACGCTGACACGACACCAAAACCATCATACTGGGACCATTGAAGAGGCTGCCGCCGAGACAGAGGCCCAGTTGCGGCAAAACAAGGATCGTGGACGACCCGGCGAGGGAATGTTTTCCGAGCACGCTTCCATCCACTCTACACCGTCCCCCGCACAGCATCCCTCTATGTCCCCTGGTGGAGAGCTCCCGCCGCTGAACATGCACCGCTCTGCTGGCGATTACTACATGGGTACCGGTCCCATCCCGCCTCACGTGCGTGGGGATTTCACCCAAGGCAGCCCTCGGGCTTCCCCAACTGCGACATCTCCATCGTTGTCCAGCTACGGCAGTGCGCCCCATGCTCGCCCATCGATGACCTCGCATCCCTACGCTCCTCCCCAACCTCTTGAGCCTCCGGCCAACAGCGACCATCGACCTAACAGCGTGAACGGCAGTCCACACATGACCAGCCTCGGTTGGGCCTCACCATCTCACGGTAGCATGCCATCGCCCGGGTCGGCCAATGACTTTACCTACCCCGAGCCCACTGGCCCAGCGTATCCGACATCGATGCCACCGCACATGTACTTCCCCAACTCGACCATCCGTCGACCCACCAGCACCGAGCCGGAGAACTATGAAATGAAGCCTCGAGGCGAACATTCATGGTCCACTGCTGTATGATGCGATTCAACGATCAACGTGTTTCGCAACAGCTTCAATTTCCATTTGTTTTTCCACTTGTTTCCTTTGTTGAATAAGTTCATTGCATAAGCCCCTTGATTCCCACGAGAGAATACACCAATGCACTCTCAATTGATTTCATATTTCCTTTGTTTTTTTCATGCATTTTCTTATCCCCTTGTACTTATATTAACGGGAAACCAGCGCACTGGAAGGAGTCGGGAACGGTCTGATCGTGTTTCCATGTTTATTGTTTTGTTTCAAGATGTCATCTCGCCCTTGCACCTCCGCTTTTCTTTTGTCAAATGCGTGCGGATGACATGGCTTACCGAGACACGATCAGATGAGGAACTGCATCCATGGAATAGATAGAGGGTTCGGACTAGGGATTGTCTTGGGTATCAAATGGATGGGTTCGGGCAAGGGTTCTGCGTTTATTTTAGGGTGACTCCTGATGCGGTGTCTGGGTTTTTTTAGTTATAGTGATGTCTTTTCCTTTTGCTTGATCCTTTCGCTATCTTTTTTTATTGTCGCATACGTCTAATTTTATTGCTTTTTGATTGCCTTTGCTGTCCTTTACGGCGTCTTTTGCTTTTTGCTGCTTCATATGAATGTCTCCTAGAGGTCGGTCATCGGCGTTTGGGTGATAGAACCATGATCATAGACGGAGTCATTGAAATTGCTTTATTGTGAATGATACATTTACAGCGCTGAACACATAGTGTAAAGACCACAATGCTACATGCTAGGTATACTTATCATCTATGATGGCGCTGGACGTACACCCTCGACGAGACAGCAAAAACTCGGATGTCTTTAAAATGAGCTACACCAGTCTGGTTAGCTCTCTGTTTCTTTGTGTGTGATTGCAGGGTACATGGTGTATCCAGAACTTGCTAGTCAAGCAGTCTAGGAGAGTTGATCATCCAACCGAAGCTTTGCATGATACTCCATTTTCGGCAACGATTAATTGGAGAGATAAAGACTTCTGAATAAAGCGAAAAGGGCTAGTCGTTTCATAGAAGCATCATGAGTGAATAACAGGCTCCTACCTAGGTACGCGTTGATGAGCGACTTGCCACAATGGGGTTAGCTCAGTATCTACATCTCGTAATGGAAGTGTTGCAAACTCGGGATGCTTCAGCCCAGCCATCATCAATTCCTCCTAGTTGCCATCCATCTCCCACCTCAACCATCCGTCCTGCCGGCAAGCACACATTTCTTCCTCACTTGGTACTCTAACGCCAAATCTGGACGTGGGACTCAAGTCAGCCTAATTGTGGAATACGTCGCCGTTGGTTGAGTCCTGGATGCCTATTAGGTGGGCTTGGATGGACTGAGTCAATGCGGGTCTTCCATGCTTCTCTAGAAGTTTGTTTGTGGATAGAGTGACCATGCCCTCGGAGTTCATGAGAAGTCCGTCCATGTCGAAGATGCAGGCGCGGACTGCGGGGAAGCTGGGGGTTCTTTTTGTTAGTTTTGGGCCTTGCAGGGAATCTCGTGTTGACGACCAAGAGTTTCCTAAGGATCATGATCAGGTTTTGTGATTGTACTTACTCTGTCTTTGGAGCAGCCATCGGTGCTCGCTTCGGATTGGTGGCACCGTGATCAATATGAGGGATAGGTTTCGAGGAAGGTGTGGTGTGAAGTTGAAGTTTACCCCGACCCTCGCGCCCCAGAGCGATTTTGGGGGTCGTGGAAGTTGCAGGGGTAAGTAAACTGTGGGATACGTGCTTTTAGGTGCTATTCGTGTGATCTTGTCAAAGGATACAACACTCAATGAACCTTCGATGCCTCACTACTCAGGTGTTCAGAATTGTGTACAGTGTGCCTGGATTCATTACCACGGTGTGTTTTGCTCCCTTAAATATAAGATCCAGTCCCAATCCTCTAGCCTTTTGGCGTTAGGTTACGTGGTTAACCTGACGCCAAGAGGTTTTGCTGGCCTGTTGATCGTTTCCGGCCATTGTCGTCTTTTTTTTATATCTCATCTCCCATCTTGTTTATCTATTGGAGCTGATGTTTGGCTCCTAAGGCTCATCACTCATTGGCGGTCATGTCCCTCTTAGAACAAAAGTGCCTTCCTCATTTGAGGCAGGGGTGGTGAGTGTCAGACCTTGCTGCTAGTGACTTCTTGATCTATGGCCCTACAGTTGGATCAGAAGTCTGCGTGATATAGCGCAACCATCAAGACAAGATTGGAGCTTCGACGGCTACTCATTCATTTGAATCCCATACCAGGGCTCTTTCTATTCTTTTTTACATCTTCTGCTTCGCTAGTTCTTCCCTTGCTTGTCTTTCTCTTTTACTCCGATTCTTGCCATGCGTTCTTCCGCTCTGTAGCAGGACTGAAGAAACAGCAATTAAGCTTTTGCCAGTAAATAGCGTCGAACGCAAGATTCTTCTGTGCTGCATACGAGAACCTAAGATCCCCGCTTTGCTGATTCTCCTGCATGGGCTGGAACGTCTTTGCTTCTTTGTCATCCATTCAGAGCTTAGGGGCGTATCTTCACGCCCAATCAGAACCCCGAGGAAGGCTTGTATCATTTTCCTACACACACCAGGGCAGGTACCAGGACCATCGGGTCAGGACTCTGGTTGCTCAAATTTCAGCCACTAAGGCGGCGTGAAGGAGAATACGACCGGTACAGCCTGCGTGAACTCCTAGTCTATGACCCCTCCAATCTGCACATTCACATTCGGAAGCACGTTTGAGGGCCGAAGATCTTTACAACAAAGCTTGCAGGGCTATCAAATTCCATATACAGGGTAATATGGTCGAATCGGGTTAGTCCTTTTGAGTTTAATAAATCAAGGACTAGGAGGGTTTCGGGAGCATATTATAAGAGCTCTAATGTCATAAAGACATCTGTGTGGCCCAATGTACTTTACCTGCCACATGATAACATTATTTGGACAAGCTCTGAAGATATATCATTGTATTTGAAGTATGCAATCTTAGCGTCCTCCGTGACTTCATGTGCTGTATACTGTGATTGGTGCATGGCAGATTAAATGGGCACAATATCATCAAGTGTACGGGTGTTAACGGGTCAGATCGAGCAATTCGTTTATAGGAATCCACATGATTTTACCGCATCGATGATCGACAAGATATCCATGGCTCTCAGTTGGTCATAAGTGAAACACAAATTCTGAAGCGCTGGTTTACACGCGTTCCTCGACGAAAAGTAATGCTGAAGACATTAATAGTAGCGTTGGTGTCATATGATTGCGCATTGCCGAGAATTATTTGATTAATACAGATACAGCCATTGACGGTGAATCCTGGAAGGATTAAGCTGGAGCCGGATTCCTTATCCCCCGAATGACCTCCGAGGCCACTATTCTTGCCTCGGATGATGTATTGACTAGGGGGACATGTGCCAATCAATTTGGATAAGACCCTAGGCCTGGATAAAATATGCTATTTCCGTACTTTGACAAACTTGATAGACTTGAAGTCAAATGGTCCACATCCGAGGAATGAAAAGGGGAATGATCAATTCCAAGCAACACCTTTTCAGTCAAGGTCGTCCAGCAATATAGTGACCTAACAAAATGGACCAAAGCCAGTGAACCTAAATTGAATGGCAAACAATGTCTCACCTCAACGCCAATCGAAATTGAGTGCATGCGAAACCTCGTGTCGGTCCTCGTATTCCTGTGACGTTGACGAACATCGACCGTGGTTAGAGTTGACAAGAAGATCTGGGGAAGCTGCAAACGGTCTGAGCTTGGAACATTTTTCTGGCCATCTGATGTAGAAGGCTTCGTATCAAGTCATCTGGTCGTCTATTTACGCAAGATTTGAGGGGTTGAGTATTTGCAAATCTTGGAGTGTGATGTATATATAGACACCAGGGCCAGCGTGAGACCCAACGCTCTATCCCAAATCAATTGAGTAACTCCGATAATCGATCGACCCCACCTTGCTCTTGTGTAATTGATATCTACTGATCGAGGACAGAAAGATGCATCGATACAAAGCTCTTGCTCTTCTTCTCGCTCACTTTACTCTGAGTCGTATGTTAAACATCACTTGCATTGGATCCAGCCAGCTAACTACGGTCTCCAAAACAGAAGCAGCAGCGTGTCCAGCCGGAGGATGTGGCACTGCTCCGGCCTGCGTTCTCACCGACACCTGCACAACAGCGACATTTGTTTCGCCCTCGACAACCACTATTACAACTTGCGTCCCAACACCCACCTGCATGGGGGTCTACTGTAAGATTCGAAGGACCCCACCTAAGGTCTATTAGCCATACTTTGTTCTAATCGTTACCAGCCTCCTGTGAATTCGGTAACCCAGCCAAGAAATGCTGCTCGGGGTATTGCGCTGCCAGCAAATGTCGATCAACAGACGATACATGGCCGTTTTGCAGCGAGGATAATGGGCCCTGCGTTGTCGATGACCATTGCTGTTATGGGAACATTTGCGTTAACGGGATCTGTAGTCGACCATGATTTGCGGGCCTCTGGTATACGAAGCGGTCTGTTATAGGCGAAATCATGCCATGGATTTATATTGGAGTAAGATCAGAGAGCTTATTTATTGGCTGCATGGCTCTGTCAAGGTTTCAAACGCCAAACACGTTGATTGAAACAGGGACCGTAATGATCTAGCAAAGCTAGGAATATATCTTATGACTCACAATGCCAACACTTGCTCTGCCTGATCATTGAACGCTTTCATAGCAGTTCGCCACAGCTCCGGCCCAACACTAACGCGCGCGACACCCAATGCCCGAATCTCCTGGACTCCTAGGTATCCATCTGTCAGGTTCATTTTCACGTTCACCATACCTCCAAGTGCATCCACCAATCTCCTGATCTCCTCGCCCGAAACACCTCTCCCGCTCGGTCCACCCCACACAAATACCGTAGTAGCCCCAGCCTCTAGGAAAGTAGAAAAGCCCTGCCGCGCTCAATCGCCAGATCAATAGTCCCATCCCCCGCGAACAACACATCCGTCCTGGCATTAATCACAAAGTCTGGAACGCCGGCCTCAGCCGCCGGACAACAACCGCAACCCGGGCCGTTGCCTCAGCCACCGACCGCAACGCGCCCTTTGCGTCCATATCTTCAATATTATACCCGACAGCGCCTAGTGTGATGACCTGCTTAATAGTATCTGATAGATCAGCCTCATCACCATAACCATCTTGTAAATCCACGGTTAGTGGTTTGGGTTGATGGCGCGGCACTAGCGATGGCGGCTATGGCGGTCAAGTTCTGGGCCTTTTGTCAGGGCGCTATCATCGACGCCGATCGTTGCCGCGATCGCGTAGGAGGCTGTGACGATGGCTGGTGCGGTTGGCAGCGCGGCGAGAGTGGAGGCTGTTGCAGCATCATAGACGCTTGTTAGGATGAGGGGCTCGCCGGGTTGGTGGAGGGTGCGGAGGGTTTTGGCGATGTCATTTTGGGTTGGCATTTATTAGTTTTGTACCCAGGTGTGGGAGTGTGCATTTGTTTGTTTTTTCTTTCTTTCTAAAGGCAGGACTCTAAAGGCAGAGCTCGATATTTATCAACTGTGAATACGAGAGACCTGGAGCACTTGAATACATCTCCCATAGAAGTCCAGACTCAACGCCTGAGGCTGCTTTTGAGTGATTGGATACGAGGGTATCGCGGAAGTCACCGATGACGCGGATTTCGGGGCCGAATGGTTCTGCAGCCTTTGACCGATCCACATGCAGATCAGAGAGCAAGGCAGACTGTACTCCGTACTGGACCAACCCCCCTGTCTCAGACTAGCTGTACATCGGCGTACAACGTTAGTTGGATTGTGGCACAAGCCGAATGGCGCAAGGGATCCCACGGTATGGAACCTCCTCTTCGGAGTAGCGAAACACGTCTACGTGGTTTACCATCTAGGTCATTACATGTACTCTGTACTACGTACAGCGCATCGAGCCTGTACCAGAGAATTGGTTTCGCCACCGCGAAACCGAGGTCTGTAAGAATGTTGATCGGGATCTGACCGAGATCGCCTCGAATTGATCCAACTTCGATGAGGAAAAGAAACCGAAAAGGAGAAACCCAAAGGCTGTAATACAATATACATGGATGTACGGAGTACACCCCGGAGCCTGACGGGTTGCTCTCCATTGCTCCATTCGGATGCATGAATGGACCTTCCATGCAGCAGTGAAACCGAAGATCCAATAAGCACGAAAAGGACCTGGGGTTTTCTTACCCTCGAAATGTCCTGACAACGCTACTTGCCCCGGCGAATGGGTTGCAAGCCACACCGATCCAGGCGAATAGCACACTTCCATTGTGATGAAGAACCTTGGAACACATCTGGGGTCCAGGAGAAATAGGAGCCCGATACCATGTGGTACGAGCAATTAGCCCCGTCCTCGCTAGCCTATCGAAAGGAGTCAGAGTCCGTCGTGAGTCCACTAGTCGGACGTAGGGCGAAGTATTGAAACCCCGGTAATACTCCTCGGGTTGGATCTCCGTGCCTGGGTGCATGAACGAGGGGCAAACAGAGCTGTGGCATTCCTCAGGGAAAAATCGAAGTCATTAGGAGAGAGCGAATACAGCTGACCTGTTGGAATGTACTCCGTAGCCGGTCTCTGCGTTTCAGATGTTCTTTTTATAACTCGTACCAGGGCATTCAGTTGTTCAATGCCCTGGTCCACGGAACTTCCAACAATAGAACCGTCTCTATGACAATAAACACCAAGACCTTAGAAGACCCCGATTGCACCCGCTTTAAGCGGAAAACAAGTCTGGACTCGGGAAGCCCCGTTTTTTGATGGAGCATTGGTTTTCTCCTCACGGTATTGCCAATGTATGGGACTCCGGAGTATGTACGCCCTGTATCTAGCCCCATTGGTATAGATGTACATGTGCTTTTGCCTAGGTGCATTTGGACATTGAGGAATAGATTGTCTTAGGGTGAAGATCCCCAGGGGAGGTACCCATGGATGTACCTGGAACCTTGGGGGTGTACAGAGCACTCCGTACGGGGGACAGCATTACAACCATCGGTTACTGAGGGAACAAAGCGTGAGTGGAACTAAAAAAAAAAAGAAAAAAGAAACGAGCACGTAGGAACAAATGACTGTACAAATAAGACTTGAGCTTGAAACAAAGGGCCCTGAGAATAGAAAGACGGATACGGGGACGATACTCCGATACGGCATCGTTAGGGACCTTACATATAGTAACGAGCCACACCGAAGGAAAGACTTAGATAGCTTCGAATCAAGGATAGTCATTAAGAACTATAACTGTGGAGTTAGCTAGTTACTATTGATTGATCCGAGGAAATCATAAAATGCTCCGTATTCCTTGTAAACGTCTCGAAATTAATTTAGCAAAAAAAACCCCCATCGGGAATCCCCTGTAATCTTACGCCGTCAGCTCTCTCTCTCTCTCTCTCTCTCTCTCTCCCCACTCCGACACTTCGCCTTGCTCGTCATTCTCTCTCTCGACTTTCTCCTCATCTTCGTTTGACTCTCTCTGTCCATAACCCTTCATTTGCATGTTATATTTTGCATTGCATAGGAACCACATTATAACGCCCTCGATCTTATGGCGTATGGTTATACCTCACTCCCTCGTGCAGTTGGCCGCCTGACCTGCAGCTCTCACGCTGCCATCCGACCCTGCTCACAATCTCGAAGTCCTCTCTCTTTCCTACCTTGACCTCTCCTCTACCTTCTACAATGTCGACCGCTTTAGAAATTCCTCAGACCGGGCTGTCTCTCCACCTCGGAGACCAGTCCGGTGATCCTTCTGTGAAGCCGAGTCAGATCATGCGGTTGAATCTGGTGCAGAGCACCCTCGATGATCTGATTCAGAGCCTACGGAAGGATCAACCGGCTCGAGTCCGGCTGGGAAAACACCCATCACTGCACTATGGGGGCAAGTCACAGTCCTTCCATGCGTATCCCGAAACACACCGATCCGAGATCTACCATAGCTCCTCCGATAAAGAGACTTTGTATTTCACAGGGGTTCTGAGCCATAGTCTGGAAGTTGAAAAGGCTAAAAATGCCACGGCAGCTACCGATCAGGCACTGGCAGAATTAGAAGAAAAATTGAATGCTCACGAGAGGGGGAAGGAGTCAAAGAAAACTCACATAATCTCACACCCCGATGAGTTAATGGGCTTCCGAGGCAGCAAAGCAGGCTACAGAGGTCCCACGACGAAAGTCGAGCGTGAAAAGGACCGTTTTCTCAAAACTGCTGCCAACCGCTCTCTCACTGCAAGTCCCACCTTGGGTGCTCCCAAATCTCCTTCTCTTGCACCTTCTTTCGCAATGACTCCAACCTCAGTTCCAATGTCGCAGAGTAAGGATCGTGAGAGGCTTGAGGCCCTCAAGGTTCCCTTCATTCACCTTCTCGCCGTTCGTGCTGTTTCAGCCAAATTCCTCGCCCGCCAAACTCGCTCCACCATTGAGGACTGCACCGCCCTCGGCGAGAAATTCGGAGTCGTCAACAGAATCAATCCCGAGAAATACAATCTCAAGGACAAAGTCTACAAAGACCTTGACTTGTTCGGCTTCAATTACACTCCAGAGGACCGCAAGGAAGCCATTGAGAATTCTATCTCTGCCTTTGATCGCATGCGCATCTCTAAGTCGGACAAAATCTGGCAGCAGCTTCTTCCAAAGGCGGAACGAGGCAAAGGAAAATGTCTATCTCGGTTGAACCTCAATACTCGCCCATCCCAGAAACCTGCCGCCCCGGGCAAAGCCAACGGGGAGGACTCGGGTAAGGACAATGACACCGACCGCGCCTCGAAGGCATCTGCGACTGCGACCAAGTCTACATCGACCTCACAGAAGGCTCGTGACAGAGATATCACCAAGCGACCCAACAAGGCCAAGTCTACCAACAGCACTCTCACTGGACGGGTCACGAAGAAGACTGTCGGGAAAGCCCCAATCAAAGCCGATAGCAAGATCAAGTCTGCGGAGTTCATTCACAGTTCCGACGAAGAAGATGATACCGACATGGTTGATGTGCCCACTGCCACTCCTGCCGCTCCTGTCCCTGCTTCCGCTCCCGCTCCCGCTCCGGTGCCTGCGCCCAAGACGCAATCAAAGGAGCACAAGCGGACTCCATCCAACACAAAGATCCAGGCACCAAAGGCTAAGCCACTGGTGAAGCCTCGTACCACCGAGACTACTGTTACTTCCTCTGGTTCTGTTTCCAAGGTCAAGCCTGATGTGTCGAAGCCTAAGCTCGAACCAACCAAGCCAGTCGCTGGGGCCACTGCTTCCAAGCGTCCTCCCTCTCGACCCTCGACTTCCCCGCAGAAGCCCTCTCCACTTGGCTCCTCTCCTCCCGCCAATGCCTCTGATGCTGCCAGTCGCAAACGAGCTGACAGTAACAACCAATCCTCTGGCTCATCTTCTTCTTCGCCTCTTATTACCCAGCTCCCCAAAGTCAACAAGGTTAGCCGCCCAACCGCTGTTTCTGCCAAATCCGGCAAAACTGTTCCCCAGACAAACCGTGTTGCCAAGCCCACTGCCACTGTCAATCCTCTGAAACGCAAGGCTGAGTCCGACCACTTATCTGCGCCCCAGGCTGGACGTCCAGCTGGAGACCTGGATGTCAAGCGACGCCGAGCAGTTAGCTCCTCGAGCGGAGGCAGCACCGGCAGTGCATCCCCACCCATGAGCTACGACCTTCTGCGACAGCGCCTGCGTGAGAAATCCCAGAAGTTCAAGAACTTCTACACAAAGTACCGCAGACTGCATGACTCCCTTGCTGGGCTCGCCGACCCACCCCAGGTGGACCTCGACAAGCTGCAGAAGCAGCACGCTCATCTCCAGAGCATGAAGGAGGAGATCTGGGAGGAAGATCGTCGACTTCGTGACGGCCTTCACTCGTAATTTAATTCGTGTTATTTTTTTCCTTTATCAATCCACATGAGCATGTCGCATTCGACATTGAGAAATGAGCCTACGGGCCGGGCGTTTTTATCTTTTTTTACCAGCCGTTTTACTCGAACTTGACAATTGATATTCTGATTCCCAATCTTCCGACTCTACGTTGTAACTTGTATAGATCACTTGCGCATCACATAGCTCACCTAGAATCTCAACCTTTCCTCCATCGGTACGGAATATCCAGGATAAAAAACCGGGGTAGGTGTATTTTCACGTGATCAACTCAGTGGACGTCATTTTTATTACAGAACAGACTAGTCCCGATTAGGCTTAAACTCTAAGCCAATCGAACTTGCTGGCTCCGAGCATCATACATAGCTGGTTACACATACAGACGATTGTTTCTCCCGTGTTCCAGGACATAATCCAAGAAAATTATCCCCAAAGCGCTTAATCAAGCGCCCATTCTAAGCTCGTTTGACAATGACGCCCCCAGCCCGCGGACGGGGGACTAGCCAACGCAGCCCGACCGTCTTGGTGGGACCGACCACCAACTGTATTAACGAAGCTCGACTAACACGCATTTTCAATCTAGGTAACAGACTCCCGCGACCAGCAACCACCCCCAACAGTTCGTCGTCGACGCTCGCCTGCAACCCGCTTCATCACCGTCGACAACGTCCTCCAATACGCCTCCGACGTCCCTTCAATGCAGCAGCGCGGCCCACCACCGAATTCACGGACACGCCGCCTGGCGTCTGCAGCAGGTGGTCTTATGACCAGTGCTAGCAGCGGGAGCTCAAGTGCGGTGGCAGGATCCGGCGGCACGATCGGCCGACTAGCCGCGCAACCACGCCTCCCGCCTCGAACGACGAAAGTCAGCGAGAAGCTGGTGCTCTTGCCTGATACCGGTGAGATCGAGGAAGGCGAAGAGGACGAGGATGAGGAAGACAACGATGTCGAAGGTGGAAATCTGGTGGACGAGGAGCTTGTTGCACGCCTGGCTAAGGAGAAGAATGTCGATCCGGAAATGATCAGACACCAACTACTTATATCTAAGCGGCTTGGCAGTGACTTCGGCGTCGATAATGATCTTGCTCCTCTACTTGCCGAAGAAGAAACCTTAAGGAAACGCCGTGTGGCGCCTGAGCGTGCGAAGAGTTATGCTGAGCGGCTGCCGAAGGCGAGGCGGACGGAGAAGCTTGCTCGTGTCACGGCGTATTGTACGGCCCAGGCTTATAAGATGGGCTCGCTTGCTGCTTTCGTTAAGGAACAGCATGGTGGTCGGACGAAGCTCTATGATGATTGCCTGTATACGGCGTATCACCTGCCTCTTTTGCCCGGGCATGAGGGATATCGTCTGCGGAGTAGTCCCGTGTTGAAATATCCCGGTGGAAAGTCGTTGTTGGATGAGGAGATTGAAAGAAATGAGCTTCGCGATCACCACGATGATTTTATGGTCGAGCTGGAGGAGCATTCAGTTGGCGGGCACAATCGCCCCGAGGATGAGCACCATTACGAAGAGTTGGCGCGCGATTCCAATGATCATAACCCCCGGGAGGAAAATCGGGAAGAATTCCTGAATCGAATCACCGAGGCAGCCCGTGATCACCTCCCCGATGAGCATGAACATGCTGCCAGCTCCGGTGAAAGCGTCGAAAGATTACAGCATATCCCACAGCATATCCCGCAGCTTCCCCAACCCGACAGCAACGATGAAAATCGGCAACCCTCGCCCGAACCTGCTGTCCGCCGTCGAAGACATAGCACAGACGATACTCACGCTCTGGTTCGAGACCGTCCTTCCCCGCCAGTCCCTACAACATCTTCATCCTCGAGAGCACAAGCTCCAGCTCGTACATTATACAATGTTGCCGAGATGTTCGTGTTTAGCTACGGCGTTGTCGTGTTTTGGAATTTCACAGAGCGACAGGAGAAAGACCTGCTTGCAGATCTTGCCTTTGCTACATCATCTGCAACCGGCATTCCTATCCCTCTGGCGACGATGCCTCTTGACGAGGAAGACTTCGAGACGGAGGAGTTCCATTTCGAATACTCTACCGAAATCTCGCGCCCTCGAGTCTACAATGATATGATCACTCTTCGCAGTGGTGACCACATGATCAAGCTGGCTATCAGCCATGGCATTTCCCAGAGTACCAAGTTGTGCTTCTTCGAGGAAGTCATGGCCCGCCAAATGACAGACGCGAAAGATGTTCCCCGACGACTCGCCACCACCGGTCAATTAGGCATGAAGCGCGAAGAGGTTTTCCGAATCTTGGGTCGATTGTTCAAGAGTCGCGTTGAGGTCAATCTTTGTAAGTTTCCAGACTACCCCGACAGAAACCCTCACTTCTTCCAGTGACATCTCGGATGCTGCCCTGGTTGGTGTAAACGGATCCAGTACTAACACTTTTTCACCAGCATCTAACATGCTTGATGTTCCCAACTTCTTCTGGGAGAGCGAGCCGACTCTCTACCCGCTTTACATCGCTGTGCGAGAATACCTGGAAATCAAACCGCGTATTCAAGTGCTCAACGAGAGATGCCGCGTATTCCTTGATCTTGCAGAGATTTTATCCGACTCAATTGCCGACAACCGTACTTCCCGTATGTCTCGTCATTCTTTTTGATCACTAGCCCCTTAACTAACCCCGATCTAGATCAAACTTGGATCATCATTGTCCTCATCATTATTTCCATTATTGTCACTACCTTCGAAGTTTTCCTCCGCTTCGGTCTTCTCCATGCCAGCCAGGATCCCAATGGCACACCTGCCAGTATCTTCGCCCGTTTCATGGGACGATCTGTGACCCCCTCTCCATCCTCAGGATGGCCCCCCTACTCTCCTGCCAACGCACCACCAGGCTGTATCTGTCCATCTCTTGGCCCTGGCAGTGGAGGCTCAGAAATGGGCGTTAGTGGGATGCTAGGATACTAATTAGCTTGGTTCTTTCAAAAAGTGCTGGTAATACGGCGTCTTTGGTGTTATGGGGTGGAGCGTATTGGAACAAATATCGCTTCAATATTGTTAGGCTTATAATACATCTTGACTACCAAAATCTACCTCGCGTATATTGGTAAACCTAGGCTCTGGCTCATAGTCTCTTTCTATCTTGTTCCATGACGTGTATAACCTACATACGGGTCTTCACCCGCCACAGTCCTAAACTTGCCCTTTGATTGGGAAGATGTATTGCCTCTCATGTCGATTTTGTCTCCTAGACTGAACTCCGTAAGGATGGACGGGCAGAACAACAGGAGCATATGCTAGCCTTTAATCATGATGAAGAGGACTGGAACTGGCTAGGTGAAACCATAAAATAATGAAGCAGGAAGTATGAGAGATATCAACAAATATGAGTAAACCCCATGTGTACTGTTAGACATCTTGTTCACTCTGTAGCTCCAACGCAGTCTCAATTCTCTTGTGTCTGTACCACTATGTGATCTATGATCCTGCCTGCTGCCCGGCAAGGTATTAAAGCCGCGTTGAAGAGATAAACCCATTCACATCCACCATTAAAAAGCCGTTGACAGATCAGATGGCCCATAGACGACAAAACAGTAGGATTTCTCACAAACCAGCCAAAGGGAAACCAGTGATTGCAGGTGATTGTGAGTATGTTTTAGGGAAGATTGAGAAGACGATTATGACAACGAACGATATACAGATGATACGGACCAGTCAAGAGCAAAGTGATGTTTAGAACTACAAGAAAAGAACGAAATAGAGAACAAATCCAAAATCCCCGTTAAGACGGACAGTGCCGAACCATGCTAAATATGAAACAGAGACATTAGATATCAGTACAAAAGGGCCCGGTGTTCTAAAGCACCAGAAAAGACCCAGTTTATCTCCCCACAGTCATTTTATCGTATATCCTTCAAAATTTCCCTTCTAAGTGGTTTTAGATTTATCCGGTGATCTTGAAGATGGACTCGGCGAGTCTCTCGACGTTGCCGGAGGTGATACCGGCGACGGAGATACGGCCGTCCTTGGTGGCGTAGACGGAGTGCTGGAAATTTGTTAGATATCGTACAGGAGAAAAAGGGATTGGAAGACGAGACTTACCTCCTTGGCAAGGATGTCCATCTGCTCGGGAGTCAGGCCAGTGTAGGCGAACATGCCGATCTAGATATCATGTTAGTGAGTTGTATCATAATAAGTCTGGGGGTTGGAATCTCACCTGGCTAGTGATGTGGGACCAGTCGTGCTTGCTGCCGAGCTTCTCGAGGTTGGTGCGGAGCAGAGAGCGCATCTCGATGATGCGGTCAGCCATGCCCTTGACCTCACCGAGCCACTGCTGGTTGAGAGCAGGGTCGTTCATGATGGCGGAGGCAACACGGGCACCGTGGATGGGAGGGTTAGAGTAGAAAGGACGAATGAGGATCTTGACCTGGGACTCGACACGCTTCTTCTCCTCGGCGTTCTCGCAAACAAGGGAGAAGGCACCGACACGCTCGCCGTAGAGACCCATGTTCTTGGCGAAACTCTGGCACAGAGCGATGTTGTGGCCCTCCTTGACGAAGTGGCGGGGAGCGAAGGCATCCTGGTCAGCGTTGCCGCTGGCGAAGCCCTGGTAGGCCATATCGAAGAAAGCGAAGTGCTTCTTCTCCTTCATGACATCGCTGATCTTGCGCCACTGATCCTGGGTAGGGTCGACACCGGTGGGGTTGTGAGCGCAAGCGTGGAGCAGGATGATGCTGCCCTCGGGGGCGGCCTTGATATCAGCGATCAGACCCTCGAAGTCGAGGCCAATGGTCTCCTTGTTGTAGTAGCTGTACTGAGCGACCTCGAGACCGGAGTCGGAGAAGACGGCCTTGTGGTTGGCCCAGCTGGGGTTGGGGAGGTAGATCTTCTTAGCACCGGGGTAGAACTGCTTGAGGAAAGCACCACCAATGCGCAGGGCACCGGTACCGGAGATGGTCTGGGTGATGACCAGGCGGTTCTCGGTGATGGCGGAGGAGTCAGCACCGTAGGCGAGCTCGGCGGCGGCGGCGGTGAAAGCAGGAATACCGGTGATACCGGCGTACTCCTTGTCGTGGCGCAATGCGACAATCTTGTCCTCAGCGGCGCGGACGGAGGGCAGAACGTAAGGCTTGCCCTTGTCGTCACCTGAAAAAGCGCGCATAGCTCGTTAGCAACCCAATCCATTGCGCACCAGGGCGATTGTTTAGGTCAAGGGCTTACGGTAGGCGCCAACACCCAGGTTGATCTTTTCCTTGAAGGAATCGGCCTTGAAAGCTTCGGTGATACCGAGAATGGCGTCCTATTTGCCCAGCTACGTCAGACATGGCCTTCCCAAGCACATTCGCTATAATAGCAAGCTCCTTGAAAAGCTTACAGGGGGACCCTGGGGCACATTGGCCCAGGCGGAGGCGTATCTAGCTCCGATCATGACGGTGCGCATGTTAGCCTCGCGGGCAGCAGCCGACCGGCTGGCGACTCTGAGAGTGGAAAGCATGGTGAATGGCGGAGGAGATAGAGAAAAAAAAATTCAGAAGGAACCTAAACCTCCAAGATTTGGGATGGAAAGGGAAGAGAATGATCGGAAGAGAAATAATAAAGGATCGGAGCCCTTCGGTGTTTTTGCCCTGACTCATGTGATAGCGGTATCGGGTACCTGCCACTTGGTATGTCACTCCGCCTCGGTCGAAGTACCAGGTACGTCCAACCCTTCCCACCCCCGGCTTCATGTGCAATTGGGATTGGCTGTTTCCTCCGCACGGTCAAATTGCTTGAATACGTGTACAGAGTGCAGGGGTTGGGAGCAGGGCTTGCATGAGATCCAATTCCCGTTACGAGTTCTTACGATCTGGTTGTTAGATCTGGTATACCTAGGTAGCTCCCAGTTGGTCTTCCTCTGGAATGTGCAATGAAACAATCTCATCTAGGTCCAGGAACCTCAATGTGTTCCCAACGAGTCCATCCTCTACACAGTAGATCAGCCCATCTCCAAATTTCGCTCGGAAACAAACGCCCCGGTGAACTGATCGAGGCTGTCGGACTCCACACCGTTTCCCCTCACAGAATTGGGGTAGCCCTTGGATCCTCCGACTCCCCCCATTGTGCGTATTAATAGGGGCAGCTCTACGGAGGATGCCCGATGCATATAGTCGTTGATTCGGTTAAATTTGCGGAATTTGCTATCAGCACCCGGTATTTCCCCCAGAGATCCAAAAACGTTGCCTGATCAACAAGCCCTAAGATCCTCCCTGCAGAAGAACACGTCTACTTTGGAATGTTGGACTGGACTTCAGAGTACGGAGTACATGGTATGGATATCGTAAATTTGGTATTTGGTTCTGTACATACAAAAGAAGCCTCAGCCTAGGCGTACACCGGCCTGGCGATTCTTACGCGCAGCAGTACCTACGGCATTGTTCATGCCGGAGTGTTGGCTGCTGTCCACGCTGCTCATAGCCTCGCGCTTCCTTTCCTCGTCGATTTTCTTCAAACGCTTCTCGGTCTTCATCTTTCCACTGCCCTTGCCGTGGAATTGGTGACTGAGTTGCTTGAATGCTTCCTTCTGGTTCATGTTGCGACCGAATTCATCGACATACCGCAGACGGACGTCGGGCTTGTATTCGCGGTTGAACACCTCGGCCATATGACGCGCCTCCTGCTGGTCACGCTGCTTGTTCTCCCAGCGTGCGTGCTCCTCCCGCTCACGGGCCGACATGCGCTCAAGCTTGCCTGAGGTACGGTCTCGCTCACGCTGCTGCCGGGCACGTCGCTCGATCTCGGACTCGCGGTGCGATTTCTCGATCAGGAAGTCTTCGCGATCGCGCAGGAGGTCGCCATGAGTGGCACTACCGGTATCTTTGACTAGTCCGCGCGACTTCAACATTGCCAGAGTAGCTCCAAGACCTTGGTCCAAACTAGATTCCTCCTCCAGACCCGTGCCGGTGAGCTGTTGTGGTTGAGCCTGGGGTGCTTGGTCGCGCTTGATGCGTGCGGCCAACTCTTCTTCATCTTCAATATCACCGTAACGGTCCATATCAATTTCGACGCCTTCTCCCTCCGGCTCTGCACTGGGAGACACAGGCGCCTCAACCGCAGTGTGTGCATGCCTTTCTTCCTGCTCGAGGAGTGTAGGCTTGTGTAGATTAGATACGAATTCTGATGTTTCATCGATCACAAGGCCAGGTTCGTCAGCCTCATTATCCGAGTTTTCGATTTCCATCGGGGTTCGCAACTCCTCTTCTCTAAGTTGCCTGGCAAGTTCCTCGGGGGTCATCTTCTTGCGCTTCTTAAAGGCTGCGCGTCGTTGCAGTGCAAGAGAGGCTTGGAGATCATCGTCATCCACGAAAGAGATCTCTTCATTAACAGGTTTGCGGCGAGCAGGGACTGGGACTCCACCCTTTGAATCAATGTCCATCGCTGAAGATCCTTGTGCGTCGGTCGAATCCTCAACTGGAGCAAAGTCATCGGCGTCTATCAGAGTCCTTTGTCTTGTAGCCTTCGCCTTCTTCTTCTTGGGTTTCTTAATTTTGATTTCGCTGATATCCATGTAATCGGAAGACGGGACCTCCGGTTCAAGGTCGAGACTAATGATGTTCTTCTTCAACTGATTGGAGATTTCTTGTCGTTTGGCCTCACGCTCTTCGGTCGAACCTTGAGCGTCAAGTGTAAATCTCTTTCGCTTTTTGCCGTCAATTTCCTCGTCGTATTGAGAAAGAATACCCTCGTGCTCCGCCGTAGGATCGTAGACCGGCTTCTTTTTCTTGAGCTCCAGCTTCTCTTGAGTTCTTTCCTTCTCGGCCAGTTCGATATTTTCGAGCTCATCGCCCTCCTCCTCATCGTCCACCGCGGCATCCTTCAGTGTCAAAATTTGGTCTTCAGCGTCATCGAAATCAGCCGCGGAGTGTCCGACTTTAATACCAGCCAGATCGGCGGCGGTGTATTCGATGGCTGCGGCGCGCTCTCGTTCCTCGAGTTCCTCAGCTAGCTGGCGGGCGCGCGCCTGCTCAATCTTCTTCGAGCGCTTCTTGTTTTGTGAGAGCCAGGATTTTGTATCGAGTTCATCGCCATCCGCTTCGCCTAGGGTGGCGCCTTGAAGCTGCAGATTCCGTTGGGCGATATCGCGCGCCCGCTTGATGGCAGCGTTCTTTTCGTCTCGCTTTCGTTTCGATTCGGTGGCATCTTGAATCTTCTGCCAGTTTTCGTAGCTTTGCGCCTGTCGCGACTCGAGGGTGCTCGCTGCTTCTTCTCCCTCCTCGCCGGAGTCACTGTCGTCTTCTCTGAATTCGGGCCCGGCGCCGGGCACGGGGAGAGGCTTGAGGCCAAGAGCCACTCGAATTTTGTTATTCTGTTCGATGGATAGAGCGTCCGCCATTTTGACGGGCGTATGGAGCGACAGCAAAGAGATGGAAAGGTAATGGTCATCAGCGCAACACCTGGTTTCCTGATAACCGCAATCTAATCACATGACCGTTCTATCTTACACTAGTCCCCATGTGGTCTAGTGGGCTAAAATCTTAGCGGCCCCACCCTGCGACATAAATAAGAGGCTTGCCGCTCTTTTCTTCTTCTTTTCTTCTTCACCTATACACGGATCTGTGTCCAGATTTCCTGTCCACGGATTCCAGTTTGACTGGTTTCTGTGTGGTGGTTGAGAGCTGGGCAGTTCGACGAGCTTGGAGCCATCATTTTTTGCGTGGATGGCCTTTACGGTTTCCGGTCGACAGATTCCAGATTAAATGTCTGTGCCTTGTGTTGCGGGTCTTGAGCTCCCACTGGTGAGCTCGGCTTGACAGCTTGGTTTCGGACGGCGTCATATTTCATGTCTCTTTGCCGATTGGCCGTTGGCCGCTGAGGTTAGGGAATAACCATGACTTGCCAACATCTCTTACATAGAACTCGTAATTTCTTGTAGAGCCTTCTATGGATGCATAAAAACTCTGCTCCTGCAGGACTGAGTTAACGAGGAAACGCATTACACTGTACACGTCTCTGTGCGCGCGCATGTGAAAATGGTCCGAAAATGCCTTGCTGTTGTCGGTCACGATCAACGCAATGAATTTTGTATTGAAGCGCTCGTCATTGAGGTCATGATCTTCATTGCCTAAACCCAACGAGAGGGCATATACATGTGTAATTTACAACAGCTTCAAGTGTCCGGTCACTCCATCAACGACACTCTTGGGGCCTAAGATTCCAAGCACGGTCTTGCTGCCACTGGCGATCTGAGTGCGTCCAGCATCCTGGATAACGCGCGCGCAAAGCCCAAGGCTCATAGCCTGAGCCTGCATGACTAGCAGCTCCTCCTCGGATCTAACCTGCAGCGCGATCTTGGCCTGACCGTAGCGCTCCCATCTTTTGAGGACAGGCGAGTTGGGCGCGTGTTCGAGGAAGTATTTGTAGCAAGAGAGGGTGGCGTGGCCACATTGGGCGGCGATTTTGCCTAGAAAGAAGAGAAGACTGTAAGCGCTTGAACCAGGAAGGCGAACAACATAAAAGCTGTCGAGGCCGTGTTTGTAGATCGCATACCTTTGGTCATGCCCAGGTCCATACGGACGACCAGCACCAGCTTCACCTCGTCGGTGTTGTCCTTGAAGCTGGACAATTCTTCACCGTTGCCCTCCTCCTCCTCGTCGCTCTCTTCCTCTTCGGAGTCCTCGGAGTCTTCCTCGTCAGAAGAGTGGCTGTGGACCTTCACATCGTAGCTGTTGGGCCAGCCTTCCTTTTCTTTGAAGAGGCTGATGGAAGAACCTTGTCCGATGAAGTATCCGGTCACGCCTGCGAGGATAGCTGTCGCGATGACATAGGCGGCTGTTGTAGGGGGTATGCGGTCTAGCGGTACTGGAGCGGCCATTTTGACTTGTTGGGTGGTGGTTGAAGATCTCGGCGTTGCGAAATAAATTTTGGAGCGAAGCTCTACCGCCCGGGATATCTTCACCTGTTGTCCCACCGCGTTCAACGCTTGCCTTTACGCCGAGAAACTCTTCGGGCAAAAATATTTTTGGGGATGAGATACATGAGGATAAAGCTAGATATTCGGGTCTCTTGAACTCTTTAAATCAGACGTGCCCATGTTTGGCTGTCTAATAAATTGCTCATGATCCCACTACTATACACCCGCCTCTAATGCGATTGCTAACGTAGCCCTCATTTTAGACATCCAATCGCTGCATAAGGCCCAGCTCTGGGGCGCACAAGTAAATTGTGGGTATGGCTATGTGCTTTGAAGACTCAGTTTCCGTTCCCATGTTCAGTTCTCATGTTCAGTTCTCAGTTTCCGTTCTCATGTTCAGCCTGCCAGTTCTCGTTTCCACCCAAGTACCGGAACACAATGCGCGAGTCCAAGTCCTTGCAGCGCTCATCCTCGCTAGCCTCTTTGTAAGTCTTCAAGCCTGCATCTCCCAGCACATTGGTTGATTCAACACGACGAGCCATATCCAGAGCCAACGACATGTCCTTCCTCATAAGCTGGACTTTGAATCCGTGCTGGTATCCGTTAGAGGATGGCGCATCAGGATGAATTCCAGGAACAGGGTTGAAACGGTCGCAGATTGCGTTTTGGGCAGTGCCTGCTGCAAAAACCTGAGCCAGGACGCGTGGGTCCACTCCGGATTTCATTCCCATGTCCATGGCCTCTGAGCAGGCAATGGCGATGATACCGGACAAATAGTTGTTGGAAAGTTTAGCTGCGAGTCCGAGGGAGGGACCGCCACATGGAATAACTTTGTTACCCATCAGACTGAAGAGTTGCTTGAGCTCGTCCATGTCCTTGGTGCTATCTTTGGCACAGCCGAGGAAGAATGCAATGGTTCCTTTCTTCGCTCCGATCACGCCCCCAGTCACCGGGGCATCATAGAAAGAGGCGGATGGAAAGTTCTTGGTGATATGCTCCTTGATCTCCAGAAAGCTTGCGGTGTCAATGGTCGAGCAGTCGACAAGGAGCTTATTGCCAATGTCGCTGGAGCAGATTCCATCTGGTCCCATGTAAACTGCCTTGACGTGCTTTCCCTCAGGCAGCATGGTGATGATGATATCCTGGTATGAAATAAAGGGCATTAGTCTCTTTTTCCGAACAAGGCAAAGTGACGCGAGAATGCATACGGATTTGTCTGCGACATCTTTCGGGTCAGAGCAACCCACAATCCTCTCCAGATAGTTGGCGCAAAGATCATCCACGAGAGCTGGGACGATATCAAAAACCCGAAGCTTTGAATTGGCTGGAAGCTTGTCAGCTAGATTGGTTGCCATCCAGAAACCCATGTTTCCAAGGCCGACGATACCAATGGTCTTTGCTTGGTCAGTCGTCATCTTGGAGATCCTATTAGTGCTATGTTGACGGGAAGTATCGGATCTTTTGCGTCAGTTGATGGAAGATGAAGTTCAAAGCCGAGGTGCTCTGAAGAGGAAGACGAGAGACACAGAGAAAGGGTTGGAGAGAAGGGGAGAGGAAGAAGAATGAGGATGAGACGAGGCCGAGGTCGAGGCGGAGGCGGAGCAGGGATACAGAAGAGATACGACACTTTCTAACTTCCAAGGTTGGACTCAATGATATACTATCGAGGCTATTCATGAATGGTTCTCCGCTACTCCAATGTTGGGGTATACTGGGGTTATCCCCGCTCATCAATTTCCCCGCCCAGGGTGAATATGGAGCCAGAGTTATCATAAGAACAAATTGGAATGATCATATCCATCATATTCTTTTCCTCACAAACCCATTGATCCATACATGTGCCTGTGATGGCATCTGTGCCTGTTGATAATGAAGCTTATGTGCGGGTGCACGCTCTCAGGGCTGGCCACTTCACTCTGCCAGAACATCTTTTTGTGCACCCTTCGTCAGACACCGCCAGACAAACAGTACCTTCGTTATCCTTTCTGATAGAGCATGTCAGTCTGGAGTCAAAGAAAACCACCCGAATTGTCTTCGACCTCGGTCTCCGTCATCCATCCACTAATTACCCAACTCCAATCCAAGCTCACTTGGCGACACGACGTCCTATGAGTACTGAGCCCAATGTTGTACAGAGTCTAGCAGCTGGTGGACTATCAACAGAGGATGTTGACTACGTTGTATACTCACATGTATGTATCCCCGGGAACTAACCGTGTCGAGAACGAACCCAGCTAAACTGATATTCTACAAAGGTTCACTGGGACCACATCGGGGACCCCAAAGCGTTTGACAAGAGCACCTTCGTTGTTGGTCCTGGCACACTGGCTCTACTGAATGACAATTCTGCTTTTCGCGGGAGTCATTCTTTCTTCGAGCCCGATCTCCTGCCTCTATCGCGAACTATCGAGCTCCCTCCAACAACGGAAGCCAAGGAGAGTAGTTCTTCCATTGAACTACCTGACCCAAACGCAGTGACACCAATGTTCACGCTGCCATGGGCACCGCATGGCTCTCTCCCTCGAGTGATGGATATCTTCCAAGACGGAAGCGTGATGCTGGTCGATGCGCCCGGTCATCTCCCTGGGCATATCAATCTTCTCGCTCGCACAGGTCCGAGCAAGTATAATTATCTGGCCGGAGATGCATGTCATGATCGACGTATCTTGAGTGGAGAAAGGACAATTGGAGAATGGAGTGATGAACATGGTCACATCTGTTGTGTCCATGCGGATAAAAGACAGGCTGAGCGGACGATTGCGATGATTCAGCAGCTTGAGACCGATGGAGTTGAAGTTATACTTGCTCATGATTATAAATGGGAAGAGAAGGCAGAGAATCAAGGTAGGTTTTTGGGGGCTTGTAAGTAAGCCACTACTACTAGCGATGGATTCTAGAGGTCGTAATGGGACCTAGCGAAGTTGATAGAGTTGATAGTTTGGGATTTTTGGAATTGAAGAAACAGCCTGTGCAGCATGTCGAACATTAGGTATCTGGGTATTGATCTATGATTCCTTTGCCCTAGGTTTGAAGCAAAGCTGATTGTAAAGTGTCTCGCTCGAGATGTGGGTGAGTGAACGAGTGATCCCCTGTTGTAATAGCCATGTCCTCTCCGGGGACCTTGCCTCCGGGAAGGTTTGCTTCGGGGAGGTTGTCTCCGGGGGATTTATATTGATGGACGCTTCTTACTGCCCACTTTAAGCGGGGGAATTGCATTAAGGTTTCTGGGGAAATTTAGATCAAGATGATTGGATCTGATCTCGAATAAAGAATGGCTGTTGGACATAGCAGCTGGCCTTTATAAGCCCCCTCCCTTCTTACCAAGTGTTCAATGAACTAAGATCCTGACTTTCATCCTTGGGGATTACTACGAATGCAATATGTCGGAAGCAGAGAATCGCGATTCAAAGGCTGATATTGCCATGATTGAATTTGTCCAAGCGGGACAGAATCGCGATGAGGATTTCCGAAAGAAGAATTCTCGTCTTGTGCGGAAGTTGGACTTGTATATCGCGCCGGTCATGATGCTCTTAATGCTCATCAGCTACCTTGACCGGGGAAACATTGGATTTGCGGCAACTCAAGGCATGGCTGATGATATTGGTCTGCATGGGACACAGTTGAATGTAAGACAATTCCAGGGAGAAGATTGTAGCGCCCTTGCTGACCAAAACCCAGACTGCCATTTCTATATTCTACATCTTTTATGTTCTTGCAGAGGTACGTTGCACTATTTCCGTGCCAATAAACATCAGAATGACTATGTCAAATCCATTCGAGCCATGGGCTAACAGAAACAACACAGTTCCCAGTCTCCTTGCTCGTGAAGCGGCTGCAATTCAATCGCGTTATTCCAGCCGCTACCGTTGCCTGGGGCCTTGTATGCATGTGCAATGGCTTTATCAACAACTTCGCCGGACTCTGTGTCTGTCGCCTCATTTTAGGGCTCTTTGAAGGATGTCTCTTTCCCTCGTTGACCCTTTTCATGGCAAATTGGTATCTGAGGGAGGAATTGGCCATCCGGATCTCTTACCTGATGAGTGAGTAGAATCCTTTGCTATTTGCTGACTTGTCGACTCACACGTATTCCAAGTTGCATCTGCTCTAGCTGGTGCTTTTGGTGGACTCATCGCATTTGGAATTCTATATATGGATGGTATTGCTGGATATCCCGGATGGAGGTGGTGAGTCCCTTATTCTCTTAAATTCACCACTGAGTTTGCGCGAGTCTCACAGAGAAGCCCAGGCTTTATATTCTTGAAGGCCTTGCCACAATAGTTATTGGATGCGTCTGCATATATCTCGTGCCAAAGGACCCTGAGACAGCATACTTCCTTAACGCGGAAGAGAAAGCGCTCATGAGATACCGCGCAGAGCAATCAAAGGATTACAGTGGCGGCGAAGGCCACTACAAGATGGCAGATGTCAAGCTTGCAACCAAAGATATCAAGACCTGGGTCCATGCCATCACGCAAATCTGTGTAGTGACTATCTTATACGGTAGGGAAATCCCCACCCGCTACTTTTTGAGGTCGTTCTGACAATGGTTCAATCGCAGGATTCGGCACTTTCCTCCCGATTATCTTGAAGAATGGCTTCCATTATTCAACGAAGCAAGCCCAGTATCTCACAATCCCAGGTACGTATTCTTGAGACGAACAAAGTCGTGTTACTAACTGAGCACTTCAATATTAGTGAACCTTTGGGGAGCCCTTGTCTACGCTATCGGTGCCGTACTTGCAGACAAGTATAATGTTCGCTACCTCATGATTTTTGTCTGCATTCCCTTTGGCATTGCAGGATACGCCATACTTTTGGCTTTCGACGTCCCAGTTGGGGTGCTATACCTCGGAACATTCTTGATCGCTACCCCATGCTTCTTGTCTAACGGAAGCAACATTGCATGGCTTTCGAGTAACTGTGCGCCGGATGGGAAACGAGCGGCCAGTTTGGGGATCCAGCTCACATTGACTAATCTCGGAGGCATTGTGGCAGGGCAGATCTATCAGAGTAATTCTGCGCCGAGATTTGTGCTTGGTCACTCTTGGAGCCTTGGTTCTCTGGTGGTTGCTTTTATTGGGTGTACTTTCTTAAGAATAGTTTATCACCGGAGGGAGAACTGGAAAGCTCAAGCCAGGGAGAATCTAGAGCAGGGGAGAAGCTCTGGCGTCCCCGAATTGTGGGGGCCTACGGATCGTGGGCTCAACTTCAAATACTTGATTTGAAGGGGTGGCGGTGGATGTTTGACTGCTGTGCTCTGTTCCCAGGCTGTCAAAATGCTGTAACTTGTGTTGCTTTTCAATTTGAGAGTGGCTGTTGCTTTGTTCTGTCATATCTGCTGTGTAATTCTATAAACAGTCCGAAAGATAGTTGGCGAAGATCAAAATAGGCATTGGAAATGGGCAGTAAGACACCCTTCTCTTGAATACAAGCCCCATACAACTAGACAACATCCGCCAATATGCTCGAAGTTGAAAGTGACGATTTTCCTCGTCCTAACTTGCAGCAGACTACGGAGTAATGAGCAACGGCGTATACACGTAATTATAGGAAATATCAAGGGCCCTCTTAGTAGTAGAAGAAGGCATATATCCATTCTCTTGTCCAACAAGTGAGACAAAGAGTCTCTCGGGCACTTATTCCCCGACTTCTCCAACGTTGGGGAAAGGGCATTAGTTGCGGGGTTGAGCATTTCCCCGAGTTCGGGATTGGGAACTATGAGACAGATAGTATATTAGTAGATCAAGGATACCCCAAGCTCACGATCATAAATCAAACCCGTGTTTCCCTCTCCCTTAAACCTATATCTCGTCCTTGTGCTCATCCAATCCACCTCTTTTTTCTACCCTCACAACTCCATACCCAAGATGTCAACAGATCCCAAACTCAAAGACCTACACAAGCAACTCTTCGAAGAAGGCCTCAAAGTCCGACGTGAAGTCGTCGGAGACACGTACGTTGATCGAGCCCTCGCAAACGGATCGACCGAGTTCTCCCGTCCAGGCCAGGAACTCGTTACTGAGTGGTGCTGGGGGTACGCATGGACTCGACCTGGACTTGAACGACGCGACCGCAGTCTTCTCAACATCGGCATGTTGATGGCTCTCAACCGTGCACCAGAGCTGGCCGTTCATATTCGAGGAGCTCGCAATAACGGCCTGAGCGAGGTTGAGATCCGCGAGGCTATCTTGCATGCGACTACATACTGCGGAGTTCCGGCTGGTGTGGATGCGATGAAGGTTGCGGAGAAGACTTTGAATGAGATGGCTGAGAACGGGGAGAAAGAACGGGAATTGGCAGCTAAGGCTCAGGTGTGATACGCCTGGAATCTTGGATTTAGAGCGTTTCATTTGTTTTCATTTGTTAGGGTCAATGGCAGGGTATCTCTGCACTCTGGGAATGAATTAAGGCAAGAGCCTAGATAAATTTCATAATATCGCGAACAATTCATCAAGAGCCGTCTAATTGTGTTCAACCAAGTCTGCACATAGCTCTAAGGAGACTCGCACGACATCTACTATGGCCCAAACTTGTGCCGGTCCATGAAACACCTTTGCCCAGACTCGCAAGACATTGGCAGATAGCAACTTCATTCCAGCGGGTGATTCAATGGTGAAGGCCACAGGAATCGCAAAGTCTGTTTCATCCAACATTGTTTTCACCAGCATCACCATCTTATGCTCGCCCGGAGTGATGGTCTGAGTTCCTGCAACGGACGATAACGCTTCGAGCCATTTACTCAACAAAAAAGCACACTCAAGAGTAGCCAGAGAGTGTTGAATAGACCACCTGAAGGTTTGCGTCTGTGCGACAAGATGCACGCCAATGCGAATAGGGATACTTAAGGCGTGCGCAGCATGTAACACAGCGCGGAGAAGCCTTGGTGTTCTCGATATTATTTGAGCATTGAGAAATGCATTGGAGATTTGCGTCGGATTACGCGTGTGGAGCGCACGTCCAGGCCCAATGTCTGCATTGAGTCGGATATACGCTATCCGTAGGAGAGCAGTTGAGTTGAAGGACACAGGGCCCGCAGGTTCTGAAGGGTCGATGCTAGAATCCGGGGTATGTTTCCACATTGATTTCCAGTTTCGAAGTGCAGTCTCGATGGATGCGATATCTTCTTCTGGTATGTCTTTTCGACGATGGCGGGAGATTTCACGGACGAGGTAAATGTGCTGGATCAATGCGTGGGCGAGAATGTAGTTGCCCAGTGTAGAATTCGGCACAGTTTGGGCAGTGTTGAGGTTTGCCTCAAACAGGCTGGAGAATGCGTCTCTGAACCAGATGTCATGTTCGTTATCTTTCAGATTGAACCATTTTTCTTCAGATGTTGCTCGAAATGTTGCAACATAGCACGGCAGTAGCATCCCGTCAACATCGGAGCTTAGGATGGGAGATGGGATATTGTAGACAATGGTGTGCAAGTTGAAGAAGCAGAATAAAATCCATTTTGTTCTCTTAGTGCTTTCATATGCTGCCCAGTCTTCCCACGTAGCATTTGGTGACAGTGGTATATTTCTAAGACCATCATCGCGAACTAGAGTGGCCAGAATACTCTGGATAGCAAGAGCTTCACGCAAAATTGTCTGATGGTTGGACCACGTTGCCTCGGCCATGAGTAGCAACAGGGCTTGCGCGGTTTGTATTGCATCTTGTTCATATTGAACCGAATGATGGTTAATCATGTCCCCAGATCCATCAAGGCGAGCACTCTTTGAATAGGGCACCGAGAAAGCATCTCGTCTCCTGATACGTTCTCTTGCAATGGCATGACTTACCTGGAATAGTTGGACTGTTTTATCAGGTTCAAAGCAATACTGCGCCCCGATTGAGGCAATGGCCAATACAAGTTCGATAGCACAACCCTCCCCTGAAATAGTAGGAATGTGAAGGAAAGGCATGTGCTCATGAAACCCCTTGACATAGGCCGTCAAGTATCGCGACAAAGCTAGTCTGGATGGCAGTTGAAACATTTCGGGCACCACTGAGGTGAATTCCTCCATCTTGGCAACGAGGATATCCCGAGTCTGGGTACTGATTCTCTCAAACAAATTGACCCCACAAGCTATTCGCGAGGCCCGTGGTACTCTTTCTTCTGGTTGTAAAGATGGTAATCGAGAGCCAAGTCTTGAGAATGTGTCCGCCTCGCCTACCTTCAACTCTAGTCCAAGAAGTGAGCTAGTGGATACTGGATCCATATTCGGATCTACCCAAGCGAGCCCTTGCGGCGGGGAGATGAATGAAGCAAAGTCTTCTGTGAATGGAGTGTGATTATCCATGAAAGCTGCAAGATCTTGAAATGAATCACTCAACAAAGTTTCAGTGAATTGGGCTTGACCTTGAGTAGAGAAACAGGCAGAGATGCCGTCGGCATTATCGAACTGCGCTCCATTGGCAGTTCTTTGGTTGACGGGTGCGGGTAGATTATTGATGTGTCCCAGATTGATCCTATTGGGTTCAGCTGCTTGAGTTGCGCCACCATAAACGGGTTCAAGATATCGATTGCCGACTTCTTTCGCGGATGCGTCCGCGTCATCCAAAGGGTGTGGCTCACACAAGTTAACATTCGGTTCTCTGTCGTTGTGTGCCCAGTTTTGATGACTATCAGAATGTCGCAATCGTTTTGACTGGCGCATGTCTTCTTTCTCGTGTCGATCATCCACTCCAGGATGACTGAGTCTCTCATGTCGAACCAACAAGTCACTTCGGTGTATTAGCCATGGCCACTTCCGGTAATTTGCCGAGGTGGTCACCTTCTAGAAAATTTACGCTCACATTGGGAGCAGCTGAATGGTTTCTCATGCGTATCTGCAGGGCATCAGTACGTAAGTCGGCTATTTGAACGTCATGACTCACGAGTTCTCTCATGTCGTTGCAGGTGTTCTAGTCGAGCAAAGCGCCGATCACAATGCTCACATCGAAACCGCTTGTTTTGGCGTGAAGCATGACCAGATCTAATCTTTGGGGATGCGCCTTCTAGGTCGGGAGCCATAGCTGGCTGAAATTAATATACGGGGGAAGCGGGGGCCGTGAAGGATGATGATACAAGAGGATAAATCAACAAACAAGAGGTATGTTGTTCTCCAGAGACGATATTTTCAGGCGAAATGGGGAAATAGTTGTAAAAAATCAAAGGCATCTAGGAAAGCAAAGGAAATCCTTAGCCGACTACCGACGGCACCAGTGACCCTTCCGATGACTTGGAAATACTTCCCCTCTCGCATCCAAATCTCGCCAAATGGGACTGATCAACTATCTCAATGTAAACACATAGAAGGTAAATGGAAGATATCTCCTATGCGACCTGTCCAACGGGTCTTGGCCAATTGAGGCCTTCGAGGAATACCTGGATTGAGACATCCTAACACGCAGTTAGCCATTATTTAATCTCATCTGAACCTAATAACGAGCATCATCATCCTCATAAAACTGCCTCTATCCTTTTGAGAATTTAGACTGAATGTAATCAACGTTGTAACAATATTATCATTCTGCCATCATGACTGTGCGATGGCAACTTCCTCCATTTTCTTAGTATGACATGTATCCCCAAAACAAACAACCTTGGAATATCGATGGCAAATCTCAAATACGAAGTCAAAGTTCACGGCATTGCAGTACCACCGGGGAAGAATCTAGATATCACGTCTCGGGATGAATGCGCGTCTATTACTCTGAAGAATGGAGAGCGACAGCTTTGATTTCCTTCCCAACACTCACAATCGTTAGTGGCCAGCGGCTCAAGGCCGGCAAGTCTTTTTTATCAAGTTCACCACTTACAACACCTCACGGACTAATTAGAAAGCTTGTGATACATGACAGGCTTGATTGGAAAGGCAAATCAGTTGAGACACACTTCGAGTTCCCCGGTGCTGCCATGGAGGTTGAATGTGGCATTAACGTCACTATTGGGGTGGATTCGGGCAGGCCTCCTCCTCAAATTGATATTATTAGGCGAGGTATTGCTTTTTATTGATGAGAGATTCTTTTTTTATCCATGTCTACAGAAGCCCGATATAATGCCCTAAAATTTGGGGTCTTGCAATTAGAGAGCGTTAAGAGGAAAGACATGGGAGCACTGAGCACAAGTATGTAATAGGATATCAGACTATATTGCATCTGAGATCCTCGAGCAGATGTCTGAAACTACTGGTGACAATGACTTTGGTTCCACATTCTACGTGTCAACCCGTGCTTTGTGTCCATAATGATCACTCACTTCCTGTACGGAGTACTCCGTATAGGTCTAGACTTCGAATCGGACAATGGCGACGATCTCCAATGAGATCGCCTGAACTGGGCAGCAAAGCATGGGCAAGGGTTCCAGATGCACGAGACGAGCCAGCTGGCAAGCACCTATCGCGGATTCATGACCTACCGAAAAGATTTTGCTGTTTAGGCACAAAACAATGCATTTGATGAATCGGTTCCAAAAATCCCTCTAGATGTCCGGGACAAGTTGATTAAAAAAGTAGCTAGAAAAAAAGCCTTAGATGAAAGAGGCCCTATCCCCGCCAGATATCTGCCCAACAAAGAGCACAAGCCAACCCAAGTATATTGGTTTCCAATATACTATCGCTGTTTATATACAACCCAGAGCACCAGCATAGACCAAAAGGGACTATTTAGTTTGCGCCACCAGCAGGAGCAGCACGAGGGGCATTTCCAGTAGGACCCATGCGACGGCCCCTAGTTGAGTTGTTAGCGGTGTAATAAAATAAGTCCAAATGAGGTGTACTTACATCATGGTACGGCTGAAGAAACTGATACCAATCATGAACAACCAGCTGGGAACAGCACCGAGACCCCAGATCACGTAACCCATGGGGATGCTGAGCTGGTACTTGGCGACCCAGCCGTCGATGGGGTGGAGAGCGCCCTCGTAAGCGGGGAACTTCTCGTAGTTCTTCTCGGCGTGAAGGTTGTAGATGGTATCGGCGGTGACTGTAGTGCTGTTCAAGTACAGGTTGTGAAGAGGAGTAGGGGCACGCTCCTCGCCGGCGGGCTGCTCCTTGGGGACCTGGTAGTACATGACGGAGGGAGCGCTGGCAGACCAGGCGGCGCACAGGACCTGGTTGGCTTCGCAGTCCAACAATCCGAGGTTAGGAGAGGTAGGATCGGCAGAGAACAGAAGGACGGATTCCTAGAAATTTCAAACACAATGTTAGGAGCTGACTCGGCGGAAAAGACGCGTCGGGGGTAAACAGTCAACTCACCTTGAATGCCTGGTCTGCGGTTCCGCAGCGACCGAAGCAGGTCTTGTTACCACCGGTGGTGTAGATAAACCAGTTCTCCGGCTCAGGGCCCGGGGAGAGGATGGACTGCCAGTTTTCCATTGTCACTGGAGTGACGTTCTTCTCGGTGACCTTCTCCGCCAGCTTCTCGACAGGGGCAACTGGGACTGCTGTCGGCACGAAGGACTTGACCTGGTTGAACCAGCCCTGCACGCGATCAGCGAGAGGAGCCTGCTCCTGGGCCATGGCCAGGGCAGGAAGCAGGGTGACGAGCGACGTGAAACGCATCTTGAGGGCTACCGCGCGGATCGAATTAGTGAAACAGGTTTAGGAAATAATGAGACATTCGAGTCTAATATAAGATCAAAATAGATAAAGACACTCACCTATGACTGAAAGGCGCGATGGCAACGATAGGAATTGACACAGTCAAGAGACAAAGGGAAGAAGGGTGTCCCGAGGGGAGATGGCCTGTTGGAACGACAGCTGGCCTGAGCGTCAACCAACCACATCGCTTTAATTCCCTCCGCGCCTCCTTTCCTCTGCACCAGTGGCGCCATCACTAGGCAATCAATTCGGAGAATATTCTAGATCCTCTAGATTGATCCTAGTTATCTTTTGACTTTGATTTTATTGCATTACAATCATACCCCGAGTTTTCTCTGTGGGAATCACCCCGGTCCATGTGGATTCTGACTTGCATGAAGCTCCCGACCCCACAATTACAATTCTACGACTCTTGAGACATGGACTAGCCATTAATTGCCTGATCTGGTGTTGGTTATCGGTATGGCTTGTCTTGTACGCTTCAATTGGATAACTCAAGGTTTCTAGGACACTGAATACCTGGCTATCATGGCCAAAACATGCAATTATATATCCTCAAACTTCCCCCTATAGAACCAAGCCATATCAATCCTAACACAAACCTTAACAATCGTTTGACTGTGAGTTCCTTCCATCCAGCGCATCTGCATATGGCCCATCAAATCACAGCAACAAGTATCAGGGCCAATCGACCAACCTATCACCATCTTCACGCCTTGGCAATCCTTTTGAGTTCCCCTGAGCCGAGCCACTATTATCATCATTGGAAATCTGGACAGTCGACTCATCATGAACATCAATGGGCATAACGTTCCCAAAAGGTCCCAGGCATTGAGCAGATCTGTTAGATTATCGGGTACTCTACTGCAGTATAGTTGTGCGTACCGCTCCTCCAGCATTCTTTCTGAGTTGGAAACCTGCCTGGAATTCTGCCCCCTCAAACCTCTCATAGAAGATAGCCATGGTAAAGACGACAGCCCACGAGCAAGGTGAGTGATAATAAAGTAAGAGTTCTCCACAATTGATCTCCCACTTACTCCGTACCGTGAGCAGCGATGTAGGGATTGGCAAAAACCAATACATAAGATGACAGACTTAGGCTAAGCCACAATGGATATTAAGAGAACATGAAACTAGTCATAATATCCAATGGCGAAAGGAAGTAAAGAACACTATTGCACTGGGATCTTAGATCGACCCACAAAAGGGTCATATAGGGAAAGACACCCAACCCCTTTACACGAAAATTGATCTGCATGGCATTCAGACAATGTTTCAGAGGAAGTAACTACTGGCTACAGCGTAGGTATATAGCGAGAGAGAAATAGATTATCAACGCTTAGATCAGAATAATGCTTGACCATGGAGCACAGTGGGTTCCCACATACTACCTTGCAGAAGTAAGTTAACTTTTTCTAGTATGAAAGCCTAGAGAGCCCCATCACTATGACACATGGTCTAAACCTACCTAGGTATACGTCTCGAACACTGTTTTTATCAATGGCAATCTTTTGAAGGCAACTTGAGCTCAAGCTTACGATCAAAATGGTCCAAATCATGCATGTAAATTTGAGCTCGTTCTTCTGCCCTCTCAGCCATTGTAATATGTGGATAATGAACATGCCGAAGAATGTATACTGCCATATCAGCCTAACAATTTAGGATTAAAGTTTGCATATTGCCCCTGATCAGGGCATATCCACATGAAGGACCTCGGGAGTCGGGACGGATAACCTCAACTTGGAGCTCCCGGGTTACCTATTGCAGCTATATACGTATGCCGTGCATGAGAATTGAGGGACAAGCATTATTTGAACCATCTACTTGGATAGCACGTACGATGTAAATTTGACGGCCTAGTATGGAGAGCTATTAGGCGTGTACCCATCGAAGGGGCAGCTCAAATAGCCAAGCGCAATATGCAAGGTGGATTTATGTAAACACCGATTTCAACGTCTAAATTGCTCACTACTTCTGTTATAGGGATTCATGTTTGCACCCTGCCCCACAAGATACTCACAACATTACATTGTCTCTCACATGCTTAATTTTAATTTGGGAACCATGTACGGAGTCAGCCCTTAGGACCTGTGCCAGCCAACTAGGACGCTGATGATTGGGATGACATCATCACTCCAATCACCTATGGACGTCGGCGGATGTGTAAACATTGACGAGTCACTGGTCTCAGGTCCACATGGGAACATCCGTATGCCCCGAGAATCCAGAACGAGAGGACTATCCATACAGTAATTACCGTTTATCAATTGGGAGTGAGGTGAATATATGAGTCAGACCCCCACCGCTAAGGTCCGATGTCGGTTTCAACAAAAAGGTAAATTACCACTCTGGCGCCCATGCTTTTTTTTCACTTGGAAACAAAAGCCAGAGGACCGAAATCCCGGAAAGCAGGAATCGGCAATGATAGACATGGAGCCATCCAATGGCAGGGGTCCTGTGTAGGGGGGGGGAAGATGCAGCGATCCTTTCGTCCAACATCCTATCATATACTCCACGTATGACTCCCCCACAGTGAAATTTTTCGTTTTGCCGCCGAGGGGCGATTACTACGCCAGGGTTCACCGCCCACTGCATTGGCGCTACGAAAGGTTATGACTCTTATTTCTTTTTTTTCCTGTGAAAAGGATCTTAAATAGCTATCTGGTCTTCCAAGGTTGCATCTTGATCTTGAGCTAGCTTTTCTTCATTTCCGTTGCTTCCTACTCTTCCATCCTTGCTCTACTTCCCACCCCCATACTTAACCCCACTTTCTACATACAATGTGTCCCGGTGCCGACCCTGAGCCCATTGGGCAAGTTAACGGCCAAGCTGCTGGTGCCAGTATGTCATTGGAAGATTCCCCATGAAGAATTGCTCGTTGACCTTTCATTCTCAGATGGCGATCATGAAGGTTTCACTGGCATTGAAACCCGCCAAAACCCCCACCCCTCCGCATCCCGTAACCCTTACGGCCACAACGTTGGCGTCACCGATTTCCTGAGCAATGTCTCCCGCTTCAAGATCATCGAGTCTACATTGCGCGAGGGTGAGCAGTTCGCCAACGCCTTCTTTGACACCGCGAAGAAGATTGAGATCGCTAAGGCTCTCGATGATTTCGGTGTGGACTACGTGAGTCATTGTGGCAACATGTTCCATGAATCGCGGCTAACAGAAGTGGTTCCATAGATTGAGCTCACCAGTCCCTGTGCTTCCGAGCAGTCTCGTGCTGACTGCGAGGCCATCTGCAAGCTCGGCTTGAAGGCTAAGGTACGTTAAGGATGCCCTCGGAGGTCGTATGGTAATTGGCACCTAATCAATTCTCTAGATTCTCACTCACATTCGCTGCCACATGGATGATGCCCGGATTGCAGTCGAGACCGGCGTTGACGGAGTGTGAGTCATGAAACGTCTCCACATTTCGTTGAATGAGAACTAACTATTTTTAGCGATGTTGTCATTGGTACCTCCTCCTACCTTCGTGAGCACTCTCACGGAAAGGACATGACCTACATTAAGAACACTGCCATTGAAGTCATTGAGTTCGTCAAGTCCAAGGGTATTGAGATCCGTTTCTCCAGCGAGGACTCCTTCCGTTCCGATCTGGTGGATCTTCTGTCAATCTACTCCGCAGTGGATAAGGTCGGCGTAAACCGTGTCGGTATTGCCGATACCGTTGGTTGCGCTTCTCCCCGCCAAGTTTACGAGCTCGTCCGTGTCCTGCGCGGTGTTGTTGGCTGTGACATCGAGACTCACTTCCATAATGATACCGGCTGTGCCATCGCTAATGCCTACTGTGCCCTCGAGGCCGGTGCCACTCACATCGATACCTCTGTTCTCGGTATCGGCGAGCGTAACGGTATCACCCCTCTCGGTGGCTTGATGGCCCGCATGATGGTCGCCGACCCCGAGTACGTTAAGGGCAAGTACCGCCTTGAGAAGCTCAAGGAGATCGAGGATCTCGTCGCCGAGGCCGTTGAGGTCAACATTCCCTTCAACAACTACATCACTGGTTTCTGTGCCTTCACCCACAAGGCTGGTATCCACGCCAAGGCCATCCTCAACAACCCCAGCACCTACGAGATCCTCAACCCTGCCGATTTCGGCATGACCCGCTACGTTCACTTCGCCTCTCGTCTGACCGGCTGGAACGCCATCAAGTCTCGTGCTCAGCAGCTCAAGCTTGAGATGACTGACGCTCAATACAAGGAGTGCACTGCCAAGATTAAGGCCATGGCTGACATTCGTCCTATTGCCGTCGATGATGCCGACAGCATCATCCGCGCCTACCACCGCAACCTGAAGTCTGGCGAGAACAAGCCTCTTCTTGACCTGACCGCCGAGGAGCAGGCGGCTTTCGCTGCCAAGGAGAAGGAGCTCCTTGAGGCTCAGGCTGCCGGTGTTGTCGTATAAGCGATTTCTTGTGACCAATGAATATATTGCACCCGCATACCACCTCCTAGCGGCGTATGCATGATTCTGGTGCTGGCTTTCCTGATGACTTGATGTTTTTTTTTCATTTGTTTGGGACATTTTTTTCCATTTAAGGGTTTGAAAAGTCTTTATCTTCTTTTTTTTCCTTTTTGTTAGTCGAAGACCCAAAAGCACAATTTGTGTTAGAAGAGAGAGTTTTCTCTATATAATTTGTATATAAGCGCTGAAGAGGCAGTCAATTATTCTTCAAACTTTCAAAATCTTTGTCGGGGCCTGCACACTTGTCATTTCCTGAGCTTTAGTCTGATTTAGATTAAGAGTGCTATAGATATTTGAGCTTTAATAGTGTAGATGATCTCCTGATCTTTTTCGAATCGTGCGTTGTTCTGAGATTGTCTCCATTTAGACGGGAGTTTTACCACACCGTTGCTCCAGACCTCCTTGGGAGTCTGGATCAGTTACGTCAGAATAGAATGAGCTGGGCAAAACACATTAGACAGTCGAAGAGAAAGACATATAAAAGAACACATAATTACTCCATTTATTTATAGTCTATGGCGATTCTCCACATTATCCGTTGCAGCGTTGTAACCGGACAGCGCCTACTTCATGTGGCAGCCGAGGCACGCTAGACTCAACCAGTCCAAATGTGCCGGGTTCCAACTTCCCCATCGCCACAACCCATTTTCATTCCAGGATTAATCCTAGAGGGCATCATGAGCTCCTCAATGCTGCCAGTCGCCCTGCAAAACAAGCTGGTCGGCTACGGCCGAGTTTCCAGCGCGCATCTATCCGCCTTGAACCTGGACCTGTAAGTTGAGCTTCCAATCCCCGCGGAATCAACCCCAGAACCAGAGACAACGTCGATCACCACTGACACATTTTGCTTTTGGTCTAGTCTCAAAAACATCATATTTATCCTTTTCGTCCTCCGATACACGCGCAAAACCTTCTACTCTGTCCGCGGCTACGGCATCCTCGGCAGCGTCCGTAACATTTACATCTCACTCCGTCTATTCTGCTACGGCATCTTCCTGCGCACTCCTGGTGTTCGCGGCCAGGTCGATAAACAAGTGAATACTGCGATCACGAATCTTGAGTCCAAGTTGGTCAAGACCGGGCCAGATGTCACACGGTATCTTTCGCTTCCCAAGGAGGGTTGGTCGCCAGAGCAGGTTCGCGCAGAGCTTGATAAGCTGGCCGGGCTTGAACACACACGCTGGGAAGATGGTCGCGTTAGTGGAGCCGTTTATCATGGAGGTCAGGAATTGTTGAAGCTTCAGGCCGACGCCTTCGGGCAGTTCGGTGTCGCGAACCCGATTCACCCGGATGTTTTCCCTGGTGTTCGCAAGATGGAGGCTGAGGTGGTTGCCATGGTATGTTCGGTGTTCTCATGTCGGAGATAGGATACGTATAGAGCTCTTGTGACTAACACATACTTTAGGTTCTGGCTCTCTTCAACGCCCCTACGGATGGTGCCGGTGTAACCACCAGTGGTGGTACAGAGTCTATTCTCATGGCTTGCTTAGCTGCTCGCCAGAAGGCGTTTTTGGAGCGCGGTGTCACTGAGCCTGAGATGTAAGCTGGCGCATGATTGTTATATTGAGCAGCAGAACTGACCAGTCACCGCAGGATTATTCCCGATACGGCCCACGCAGCATTCATCAAGGCTTGCAACTACTTCAAGATCAAGCTGCACCGAGTGCCTTGTCCAGAGCCTGAGTTCAAGGTTGATGTACACGCTGTTCGCCGTTTGATCAACCCGAACACTGTTCTTCTTGTCGGTTCAGCGCCTAACTTCCCCCATGGCATCGTTGATGATATTCCCGGCCTATCGCAGCTGGCCACCAAGTACAAGATTCCTCTTCACGTTGACTGCTGTTTGGGATCTTTCGTCGTTGCGCTCCTCAAGAAAGCCGGCTTCCCGTCGCCCTACGAGGAGGAGGGTGGCTTTGATTTCCGCCAACCCGGTGTGACCAGCATCAGTGTTGACACCCACAAGTACGGGTTTGCGCCCAAGGGCAACTCGGTTTTGATCTACCGCAATAAGTCATACCGAAACAATCAGTACTTTATCTATCCCGACTGGTCCGGCGGTGTCTACGCCTCTCCCTCTGTGGCTGGCTCCCGCCCTGGCGCTCTGATCGCCGGTTGCTGGGCCAGTCTGATGAGCGTTGGCGAAACCGGATACATTAACAGCTGCACTGAGATCATCAATGCGGCACGGAAGTTCGAGACTGCTGTTCGGACCGATTCAACGATCTCCTTGCACATGGAAGTCATTGGTAATCCTATTGTGAGTGTGGTTGCTATCCGCAGCAAGAACGGTGCCATTGATATCTACGACATTGCCGATGACCTATCCGCCAAGGGCTGGCATCTCAACGCCCTGCAATCTCCCCCCGCTATCCACTGCGCCTTCACCATTCCCACTGCCAAAGCCGTCGACCAGCTCATCGCTGATCTCACCGAAGTCATCGGCAAAGAGCTTGAAAAAGCTGAGCAGCGTAAGCGCGAGGGCAAGTCATATATCCTCAAACGAGGTGATACCTCCGCTTTGTACGGGGTGGCTGGCAGCATTCCCGATAAGAGCGTTGTCAGCCGTCTGGCAGAGGGATTCTTGGACACTTTATACAAAGCTTGAGTCTTGGAACGAACAGGTTCTCTTCTTCGTATCTTCTTTGCTCAACCTGTCCAGACTGCCCCTTTAGGGCATGGTCCTGGCTCCTAGCTGTTCTAGCTGTTCTTTACCTAAATTAATGGTGCAGTGGCGTTATCATTATAGGTCTTTTCAAATTGCACATATTTGTTTCGAGTGTCGGATCCCACAAGACGTTGATAATGCATATAATACATAGTTTGCCAGAAAGACATCTGTCCGATAGATGAGAACATGGAGTACACATAACCAAAAGGATAAAAAAAAAGCAACCCGCTCCATGCAAGCAAAGCCAAAACAGTAAAACAGAGGACGTGATCAACCAATCATCCATCCAAGAATGATGCCATTCAACAGGTTCAGACTGAAACTCGACCGTCGAGACCAGCTAGATCGAACCAATTCGAAAAGCATCCCATTCCATGAAGAGCTGAAGAACAATCACTGGCCAGCAAGCTCCCCCGCTGCTCCGAAGAGCTCTTCTCGGTGTAGTATCCTGGATCGGGCTTGCGCTCAAGGTGGACCTCTTGCTTTGTAAGACGGTACTGGCACTCCTCGACCTGGACAAGTTCCTTGACTTTCATGATTTGACCCGCGACGGAGGGCGAGACTCTGTGGAAGACTGTGGCCATACGCTTCTTCAAGCCGAGCGCCTTGAGGACATCTGTTGAGCGGCGGGGCAGTCCAATCGCGGAGCGAATGAGGGTGATGCGGAAGTAGGACATGTTGGGAGATGGTGAGGATCTTGAGATTCGGGATGTTTGTTCTTTTTGATTTGGAAGATGGTCCCGGTGGGATTGGGCTCGGAACAGGCGTGGTTGTGGTTGGTAGGGTTTGATTGGATACCGGGGGTATCAATGGATGAAAATTGCAGCTGCGCAATTTCCTTTGGTGTCTTTGGCGGAGAAATGTCGCGGACTTGCAGATGATCGCGATCCCGCAAATTCCATTAAAGGGCGGTATGTCACGTGTACCGTTTCTGCCGGTGTCTGATGACAGCAGCGACGACAATCCCGCGGCCTCGATATTGTTGATTATAGTATTCCAATATTTTGAAGCCAGAGACTATAGGCTGCGGTCTCCTAGGCGTGACAGTATCCGGAATTGAGTTATAGTTTTTGTTACTCCGTACGACTATCACGAACTCGTCTCATGCACGCTGGTTGACACCTCACCCCTCGACCTAGCTTCGAGCGATTGAGCCGGAACAACGAAATCACGAGATATTTGATACCCTACCGTAACCATGGCGCAAGCCAGCAACATCGATACCACAGTCGCGCTACCCCGGCTCGAAGACCTTCTCCGGCACCCAGAAGATCTAGACAAGATCAGTGGACTGAAGGCGGAATACCTGCGGAAGAAGACGGCAGTCGATTCACGACTACGAGAAGGTCTCCGAGACCAGCTAGAGGCAGTACAGCGCAGCATTGCTGCTCTCACCGAAGGCCAGCGACAAGTTTCGAAAACAAAAGATGAGCTTCAGGGCATCGATAAGCTATGCGCGGAGTCGCAACATAGCGTGGAGGACTTTGCGCAGATTGACAAACTCGCTCGCATTCAACGGCATTTTGATGCTACACTCATGATGAAACGGGGACTTGAAAACTTTGGTGCGGATATTCAGGAAGTGGAAGATTTGCTCAAGGAAGATGATGACGATATGGAGAATCAGCCCAATATGCTACGGGCTCATATGCAGATCTCGCGGTTACGGGATTTCCGTGATGAGGCTATGGATCAGATTAGCAAGGCCCATGACCAGAGTTCTGAAGAGACTTTAATCGAATACTTCGAGGGGTTGGATTCTGTTATTGAGTGGTTCGATGATCACCTTGGCACGGCTTGCATGAACCTCATTCCTCTGGTGCAGGCGGATAATAAGAGCATGGTTGTTCGGCTTGCTGTCGTTGTGATGAATGAGGAGAAGAATGATGATACAGTTCGCGCATTGCAAGAGGCTCAGAAAGACCATAAAGACCTCGCAAGTCGCTTCAAGTCCATGAATATCGGCCCCAAAACTGTGCGTGGATACAAGGACAAGTTTATTCAAGCCATCGAACTCTACGCCCAGAGTCAATTTGAAGAGACCCTTCAAGTCTTCCTTGGAGATCCAGAAAATCTGGAAAAGAATTTCCGGTGGTACTTCAATGATCTATTCACGGTCAAGCAAGGCATGCAGAGTCTTGTACCGAAGAAATGGAAAATTTTCAAGACATACACCGACATCTACCATCGGATGATGCATGACTTCTTGCTCAGCATGATCGACGACACCGAGCTCCCGGCGGACAATCTGCTCACCATCATTCACTGGAGCGACAAGTATTACAAAAGATGAAGAAGCTGGGCTGGACAGTAACAGATCTTCAGCCCAACATTCTGGACGATCGCGAGCCAGAACTCGTTCGCAAATGGCAGAGCGTCATTATCAACGCTGTGGAAGACTGGATGGACCGCATTTTCAACGCGGACAGAACTTCGCTCCTCGATAAGGTCTCAGATGCTTTAGACAACAATGCAGAGGGCCACTTCCGCACCAAAACATTGGCTGACATGTGGCGCATGCTTCACGAACAAGTCATGGCATCAGCGGCATCGGACCGCGCTGATCTAGTAGAGGGTGTAATCGACGCCATGTTCCGGGCACTGAAGGGCCGACAGAGCTCATGGCAAGCATTAATCGACGAGCAAACAGCCCAATATCAAACCACTGGCGCGGACCAAGAAGGCGTCCAGTTGCTGCAGGACTGGATGATCGGTGTCGCCAACGACCAGATTTCTTGCATCGATGATAACGAGGAGACAGGCCAGTTCGGCTACCTGACGCGGTTCAAGGCCGATTTCGAGTCGATGGTTACACCGAAGTACATGGGCACTACGGCAGCCATCGAGCTGGAGGCGCTGCGCGATGGCTATGTCGATCTGAGCACGCACTGCCTCGCAAAGTTCGTGAGCCTCCTCTTCACAGTTGATCTGGATTCCGTGCTACCAGATCTCTTCACGTCCCGGTGGTACGGCGAGTTCGCCATGAAGCGTATCACCTCAACCTTTGAAGACTACATGGCGGACTACGGCCCCGTGTTACACCCCTCTCTAGCCGAAATCTTGATCGAGGAACTCTCAGACGAGCTGTTGGTGCGGTACTTATCTGCTGTGCGCAACAAGGGCGTCAAATTCCGCCGTCACATCGACCCCTTCACAGACAAGTTCAAGGACGATGTCCTCACTGTCTTTGCATTCTTTGAGAACTACCCTGATTCATTCGAGGGGACTATCAAGCAGAAGTGGCGACTGGTTGATTGGCTTGTTCGCCTCCTTGCTACGGAGAAGGGTCCCGGGCTTGTGGAAGTTTATGAGGCCTTCAAGCTTGAATACTGGGACTTGCAGCTCTCATGGGTTGAGGCCGTGCTGCGCACCCGTGATGACTTCGAGCGCAGCATGATCACCCAGATCAAGGCGAAGGCTGCGGAGTTGTCTGTCGAGCGCGGACAGGAGACTATCATGAGTCGATTACGATGATTTTAGGGGACTTCAGCATACGAATACTTCCCACTAAAGGCATTCCCACATCTTGTTTCAGCTCTGTATGCCATTTGGCACACTCGGTTTCATTCATCACATCGTCATGAACCCCAGATTGACTTGTTCGCTGTCTGGACTCCATTGGTCTCTCAAACCATAACAGACTTCAAAGTGAGGCCAAGCGGAACTCTAAGGGCAAGTCACAACCACATATACCATCCGCAACCCAAGCAGGCTTGGGATCTAGTTTACTTATTAATACTACTAGGAATGCAGCAATGTAAGCAAACCTGTTGACCAATTTCTTTTTCATTCGATGATTATAATCAGATTACGCACAACATAACTCTGTAGAGATCTTTCTAAATACTTATTAGTCAGGGGAAGCGATGTTATCTAAGCACTTGCGGTGTTTCCGACAAGGGACATGGCTATATTGGAAGCAGACTCCGTTCCGCAACGACCGTGTATTGCTCACCGAGGCGCTCGTTCAAGCCGTGACCGTCATTCACACCGGGATGCAATTTCCTTGCCCCCATTTCACAGATGGAAATAGTATCCAGAGGAATCTCCTTTGCCCAAATGAAGGGGTAGGTGGGTGACGGTGGAAGAGAAGGAACTGCGAGGTTTTCGTGGTTCTCGGGGTTGAGCTGCTCAATGCTTTCTTCCGTAGTGCCTTCGCCGGAATTTGATTGACTCGCAATGCGACGATCTGTTTTTATGTCTGCAGAAGAGCCAATAGGTAGTGTGTGCAAAACAGTCCGGTTGTCATCCGAGTAGTAATGGCGGTACTGTGAAACTAGACTGCGAGCATCAAATGTCATGCGTTTCGAGGGGCTGTTACCCGATGGGTCTTTGCCTTGTGAATTCTGGATATTATGCCTTCCACGAACATAGATTGTGTTGACAAGAGTTGCATGCAGAAGAAGCGGTCGCGGTTTTGGCTTCCGGGCTTGTGGAACTATAGATGGGCTCGGGTTCTCTGTCAAGCCTGAGGTCTCAGGAAGGATTTGCTGTTCTTCTGGGCGGAAAGCCGAATTACCAGGAAGTGCACTGGACTCGGAGAATGAAGGATTTCCTTGCGTCAAAGCATTATATGAATTCTGACTGCCTGGTTTTGTCTCCGGCTCATTTTGGATAAAGCCAGCCTCGATGAATTTGTCACGCAACTTCACGCAGAATGGAAGCAGACGGCCCGTGGGATCTATTGGAGATGCATGCAAGACAGTTGCTGATTTCGGGCGTGGCAGAGCATGCAATGACTCAAGAGAGATAGTGAAAGGTGAAGGTTGATGGCTTGCGTTTTCTTCTTGTGCTGGAGTTGACACTTGTTCCACCTCCCTTATCATCGCTGCCAAGTCGAGGGATTGAAAAAAGGCAATAGCTTGATTGAGGCGCTCCTTGCTGGGAAGGCTCATCACCCCAAGCGTAAGGTGAAGTGTGCCAAGTGGCCGGAACGCTTTGCCGGGGAGACATAAACGGGAGGTATCTGCATGCTCCTTGGAGGTTTGCTGGGGAGTTAGCCCCGGTCGAAGCAGGTGAGCTGTCTTAAACGTTGCGAGCGATGACTCTAGCTGAGGTATTGATGCAGTGTTCACCAGAGGAAAACAGAGAAAGTGAGTCAGCGGCGGCCGTTTCGGGCGGCGCGGTTTGCGAGATTGATGTTTCGAAAAGACTGTAGCCTCCGTCATTATGCATCTAGGTTTGCATAAACTTGGCAGAGGCGTTAAATGCGTGGGTTTTACACAGCACAGCTTCATGGAGCCAGTTGAAGGACCTGAATGTTTGTGGGGACCGGGTACCGGGATGTCCGAAGTCATCCTCGGAACGCGCACGGACCATATGTGATCCACAACCTTATGTCAACGTTTCTGGGGCATATCCAGGATGTTTATACTGTTACTAATATGATAGATTATGGATAAAAATCAAGAAAAGTGAGAAAATCACAACAAATAGAAATTAAAAAGAACAAAAGAATCAGAAATTGTAAAATACGATGAAGGGGGAAAAAAAAAAAAAAAGAAGTGTCGGGGAATCGCACCCCTGACTGGGATGCTCCTTATGGCCGCGTCTCACAGGCAATCGTCGCATTTAAAGTCATTCGGTTTATGGTCTTCATTGCACAGACATTCGTCCGGACCTAAGCACACTAGGCTAACTTCCCAGGATTACTGATTTCAGTCCGGATTCTTATATTTATCCCCACTGGTTACCATTTCTGTCACGAACTCACACATTCATATGTAGTCACCCTACCGGACTAGCAACCTTGTTTACATACTTATCCCCTTGACAATAGATGAACCTAGAGATACTTAGTTTCCCCTCTCCCATCTTACACTGCTGATCGGTATGTTTAATCGCCATAGTCCTACTCTATCACACACAATCATTGTTTGTATCCCACCATCGCCTATCATGCGGCGTCACTCCGAGACTTTGATTGCACGAGCCTCTCCTATATATCCCAGACTTGCGCTCGCTGAATGACACCTTCCCCTAGACCTGTACATAGTTGTTTCTTTTTTTGGTACTCTCTTCAAATCGCTCATGACCGGCTTGTGTCTTTTCTTTGGCGTGTCGATCCTATTTTTTAATGCATGTTTACATGTCAAAGAGTCTGATGCTTACCGGGTCGTATATTGCAGTAGCAAGGTAAATGTGTATTGGTCACAAATTGCACCTCGACAGCCTGGCAGCACGGCCCACTTAAAGACTCCGAGCGGACAGGACTGGCTTAGATCAGTTATACATCGTTGCACAGAGGCAATATAGACTAGCCTCCCTGTTACTGAGCAAGAATTAACATCTAGCATGGGGTTTGGCATCTCTATCCGAATTCACCACAGCCCTTGCGTTGAGTGAAGTTTCCTGTTTTGAACACCAGCTACAAAGCCCCCTGGGTCTCACTGCTAACCATTAGTGTGTACGCAGAGGCTCATTACCAACGATTAACATGGCCCATGTGTCTTATGATGTTCATAACTCGTGCACAATAAGGTGCCCCGTTCCGTGTCATTCCATTGCTCTGCATTCCCTAGTTGTGATATAATGCCCTGATACTCTAGCCAATAGATGATTGAATTTAACTCTAGAGTGATCATCCTAGCCTAAGCAGCGAAATTTACGGGCAGATGAGAAGAAAGACCTACATCCTCAACCTTGGTTCATCCGCTCGGGGGCAACAGCGGATCGCTCGGAAAGTCTGACGGGATGCTGGTAAAGTCGGGAAGTCGGGAAGCCGAGAGGTGCTTCCAAGGTTGCGAAGTCTACTACGCGTAGATCCAATGGAATAGCTCTGTTTTCCACCATAAGAGAGACCACACAACTGCCAATGTTCTTGTAAATAAATATGCCCCACTTGCATACTCTCTTTTGCCATAACTCACCGACATCTTGCCGCCCGGAGCCGGCGCTCAAGGGGTCGAGTTTCATTCGTGCGTGTCTACTCTGGCGCTGATTTAATTGATTGAGCCCGTCCAGGACTACTTGACGCTTGTTCGAGCTACTTATTGGTATCTTTATCGCTCTAGGTTGCTATAAGCACCTGTATCTCCAAAGATGGAATCTTTACATGTGTCCTTTTGGGGCCCTCCAACATCCTACCTGAAGTATGTATTGCGATCTACACCAAAATTGGTTAAGATGGTGAAATGATATCCGAAAACTGACTAGAACTAGTTTCTGCGAAGAGGTTTGATTTCCGCTATGAGAGTTGTTTCTATCTCCTGGCCCCGACTAACCACTCGCTTCTTTAAAAAAGGATTTTGTAATCACGCGATTTGTCGGCGAGTTCATAAACACGCTCAGCAGCCTTGTCTTTGGTAACCCGGTCCTCTCTCGGCTTTCGGGGGGAAAATACCAATGCTAATATCTTGCCCTAGTTGGTTACGGAATCTATGGTCTATTGCAACTCCATCGCAAAAAGCAGACTGGATACCGGTCAATCTCATACCTCGGATTGATAGGAGTCGGAGTCTGCTCGGCCAGCTACCATATGACCCTTAAATATCACACACAGATGTGTAAGTCATAGTAGCTCACCCGGTTCCAAAGTTGGCTGTCTTGCTGACCTTTTCTTCCTAGCGGATGAACTCTCGATGCATCTTCTCACAACACCTCTCCTCTATCGCATTCTGACATTCCAGGCTAGCCCGCAGCGTACGAAGATAGTAGGAATCGTACTCTCTACTCTGTTTACCATTGTGATGGTCACTCACATGGTGATGGATGAGTTCCTTCTGCATGCGACGACTTTCGGTCTGGCAGTTTATCTGATTGCAACACGCATGTTGAAAATCATTCCTGACCAAGTTCCGGACCCTAAAATCCGGAGAACCCTGCGGAACCTGACATTCTTTGGATGCTGTATGTGTGCCCTCTGGTCAATGTCTGGTTCGAACTTTGCTAAATGATGGTAGTCTCCTTTGTCTTTGGCTATTTCGTGTGGCTGATTGATGACTGGGCTTGTGGACTCCTAACTCAAACCCGACACGCGGTTGGTGTGCCCTTGGCGTTCTTATTCGAACTGCATGGCTGGTGAGTGATCACTTGTGTTTGAGCTCGCTTGAAAAGAAGGACCACTGACCGAACTTTTAGGTGGCATGTGTTCACCGCCATTGGTGGTTATGTCGCAGTTGCACTAGTGGATATGATCACCTCTGGTGAGGTGAACGAGAACCCCACTGGTGATTTTGCCTGGCCCCTTGCTCCCGCAGCAAAAATCATCGACAGATTGACAGCACCTACGAAAAAGGATTAAGTGATGTGAAAGAAAAGCTAGCCGTGGGCGTGGCTCACCTTGAGGTGAAAAATAGTCGGGTAGTAGTGATGCAGCATATCTTAACACCTTCAATTTAGTAGTCGACATGTGCTGGAGGATTGTGACTGCATCGCAAGTCTCAATTCCCGGTTAAGCTCATTTTGTATGAGCGAAAGAGAGAATGGATTCACAGAAAATGGTGCAACACACGGACATACTCCAACTCACAAGTTTGGGGATAAACCCTTGTTCGTCATCGGGTCAGGCGGTTTACGCTGCAGGGGAGAGCCATGGGAGACTCAATTTCTTGAGTTTCAAAAAGGTTGATTCAGGACGGTGTGTGTCTGGGTAGGTTGACCGTCTGTGAGATAATCCCCAGACAGCTTGATAGATTTGATGGTAGCAACAGCATACATCAATCTCTATCGCAACTTCTTCAATATTTCTATTCATTCTCATTGAGCTAGCGAAATAACAAAGATTGAAACCGCAGACTACCTGCATAATCCTCGAGTATAGCCTACTCCATCTGTGAACCATAGACAATAGACATCGGTGTGATCATTTTTGAAGTATTGCTTGCCGGATCGAATGTGTTTCATTGATCTTCTAGACCTCGGAGTGGAGTCTAGGTCTTGTGGTGGTGACAGCCCTAATGGTCCTGGAGTTGTCGACTCTCGGCCGGGGAAGTGTTGAAAATGCTAGAGAATGTGCGGGCGTTTCGGTCGACTGGGATCCCTTCCAAGTGAGTTTATACCGTGCAGGTGACCAGATGTATTCATGGATCGCTGCAAATCTGCTAGATGACTCTACGTATACATTACCAGGGCCATGTATACCCGGCCCTAGACGCAATTGTTGATATCAATATCTCTATGTCCAGGATGTCGAATTCCATGGGTCCTCATAGACATGACATCCCGTGCTCTAGTGTGCTTCCGCCTCTACTGAATGAATGGGAGTATCACTTTCCCCAATTAGGTCAAGTAACAGGATATCTACTTTTCCTAATTGGGCCAAACAATGGGATGCGCATCTATTGACTGAATGGGATTGTTACTTTCCCCAATCAGGTCAAGCAATGAGAGTCTTACTTTCCCTAATTGGGCCGGACAATGGGATATCGAGTTTCCCTAAAACGGAAGGAACCACCCTCACTGCCCATCGGCTCAAGCATAAATACCCTCTCCCCCTCCATTTCCTTGTTTTCCCTCCTCCATCCATCTTCCTTTCTTTCCCATCGCAGTTTCCCACCCCCCATTAGGGGGCTGAACTGTTTCTCATCATTACGACCTTCATGACCATCTCCTCTTGACCACACTCTCGTTTTCTGCATCTTTACGACCCATCCGGCCTATGGTCTTCTTGGTGTCCTCTGGTCATGTCGCCCAAGTTGGTTCCCGGGGTCGACTGATGCCATATTTGAGGTAAGTACCTAGGCACCGCATCATTTGTTCCTTCCCTTCAATGCCTCTACCCTGGTCCTTGTCCTCCCACTACACCCCCACCAACCTGCTGGCGATCATTTGTTTTATACCGTGTCTTCTCGACCCATCTAACGGACTGCAGATACTCTAAAACGGGCCCGTGCTTGTGTACAGGTTGACCCTCTTTCATATTCTCCGTCCATCCATGTGCACCATGGAATGAGTGGTGATTTTGCATATTTCAGGTGAGAACTCCAGCGATATCAAACCCCCAGGTTCTTTTGACTCGCGACCACGAGTGGAAGACCTCACCAGTCCATTGGCTGAGAGCAGACCCTTTTTGTCCTCTGCTTTTTAGATATTCTGTGATTTTCAATCTCTGGTTGTCACCATGCTCTGCCCGGAGGATCTTCTGGATTCATATTAGGTGAGAACTCTAGCAATAGCTCTATCATTCCTCCTCCTCTACTCCTTTTCCCACCATGGGTTATTTGCGAGAATGAGTGGAAGACCTCACCAGTCCACCGGCTGACGGGAGACCCTTTGGTCTCCCCTTCTTTAGGTATTCCATGATTTTGAGTCTTTGCCTACCACCGTGAGCAGACTGTTCTGCCCTGGCAGCCTTCTATATTGATATCAGGTGAGAACTCTAGCATTAGCTCTATCATTCCTCCTCCTCTACTTCTTTCCCACCATGGGTTATTTGCGAGGATGAGTGGAAGGCCTTACCAGTCCACCGGCTGACGGGAGACCCTTGGGTCTCCCCCTTCTTTAGGTATTCCGTGATTTTCATTGTTTACCTGTCATCGTGAGCAGTCTTCTCTGCCCCAAAGGCATTCTACATGGATATCAGGTGAGAACTCTAGCATTAGCTCTATTATCCATCCTCCTCTACTTCTTTCCCACTGTGGGCTATTTGCGAGTATGAGTGGAAGACCTTACCAGTCCACTGGCTGACGGGAGACCCTTTGGTCTCCCCCCTCTTTAGGTATTCTATCTGTCACCAATATCAGTCTGCTCTACCCTAGAGGCATTCTACATGGATACCAGGTGAGAACTCTAGCATTAGCTCTATCATCCCTCCTCCTCTACTTCTTTCCCACTGTGGGCTATTTGCGAGTATGAGTGGTAGACCTTACCAGTTCACCGGCTGACGGGAGACCCTTTGGTCTCCCCCTTCTTTAGGTATTCCGTGATTTTCATTCTTTACCTGTCATCGTGAGCATTCTTCTCTGCCCCAAAGGTCTTCTACATTCATATCAGGTGAGAACTCTAGCATCAATACCATGATCCTCTTCCTCTCCTCTCCTCTTCGTTCTTCCTATGGGTAATTTGCGAGACTGAGTGGAAGTCCTCGCCAGTCCAGTGGCTGATAGGAGACCCTTTTCTCCTCTGCTCTTAGGTATTCTGCCTGATCCGACGTATGGTTGCCGCCTGTTATTTCTCCCTCTGTTCTACAACAGAGTGGCCGTTATCCATGACACCATGGGTTGTGTTTCCGTATAGGTGAGAACTCTAGCGAAATCCAAACCTCCAGGTTCTTGGCTCGTGTCCACGAGTGGAAGACCTCATCAGACCATTGGCTGAGAGCAGACCGTTCTTTTTTCCTCTGCTTTTAGGGACTCCAATTTTCACCTCCTCTCTACTACGATGAACGGCCCTCTTGCCTCCATGGATTTTCTCGCACCGCTGCCGGGAACTTGTGTTCTGCAGCACAAAGCTCACAGGCTATGTGCTGTGACAACTCTCTGCGTCACGGGCAACAACAACACCGCTGAGGGACAGAAGACAACAGCATGGACGCACGAGTTTCACAACATAGGTAAGGTTCCCAGAGCGAACACACCGAGGGAAAGGAGGTTGAACCTCCCCCTCCCACAACCTCCTTTGGATAGTTAGATAGAGTTCTGCGATGATGGGTCCTTACCAGCTTTGGCTGACGTCCTATTGAATTTTTCCAGGTCTTCCCATCCACGCAACTCCGCAGCGAGCAAGACCATTCAATCTGCGCTGGCTTGCTATTCAGTCCTTCTACTCACATCGCATTTGGGTCGGTATTAATCTGGTAGTATGTCACCGTCCGGGCTTTCAAATTTGTACAAGAGGCTGATAATTCCCAAGTCCAGTACTCCATCTTCGGAATTCTCTCGACGACGCTTGAATCGGCCTACTGCTCCGCCTTTGTTTACAAACTAGCTTCCAGCTTTTACTATCCTACGACTATCTGGTCTTTTTCCGACTGATAGCGCTCAGGCGGTGATTGCTTTCTGCTTTTTACTCTGACGCCGCAGTTTCATTCCAGAGACATTTCCCAATCAGCTCGTTTCGCCATTCATGAGGACAATCTCGATGGGCAGTGGGGTGAGTTCCCGAGGATGGTTGGAAGGGTGGAGCTCATCATCAGTCTCTTACGAAATTGATATAACTGCCCGCGAGACTGGTCTTGTGATAAACTGGGTGGATTATCAGGAGATGGCTTCATGCTGCTTCTTGGAAATTACTCGGGGTGTTTCAGATAGTGATAGGAGATGTCTTCTGGGGTATCGCTGTGGTTGTCATCTGAGGGTTCGATGGGTTCAACAGGGAGTGATTGTTCTGGTCTGAATATCGGGCATCCTTCAGAAAGATTGCATCCATCTATTTCCAAAGGAAGCCTCTCAATCTGCAATTCAATTCGTTACAATCAAGCACCATTTTTATGAAACCAAATGGCAGAAAAGGAAAGATGAGGTGCGGCAACATCTACATTCTCAACTATGGTTGAGCAAAGGCTTGCTTCAGATCATATTCTTCATAAAACCTACACATGGAAAAGGGGTTCTTACACTTGCATGATCCTTGACTACTCGAACCGCCCTCCTTGGAAGATATTATTTCTCAGTCGCCCAAATCTGACGATAGGATGCTTGCATCTGAATTGGCTTCCTTGGTATCCATTGGCTGATGGACGCTCCTTCACGAAATACTCGACATTTGCCACCAAATTCAGGCGCATCATCAAAAGCCAGGCAATCAAAGAATATGGGCTTCACATGAATATTTCAAGTTCCTTATCGGCTCTACGTGTGATAATGGTCTTTTTACCGTGGTTCACAAGTGATCAACTCGAAGTTGTTTCCACCGGCATCGACTCTCATCTGCATTCTGGGTCTACTCTTACATGGATTGTTCGGTCTGTTCAACAGCAGCAAGAACATGGAAATGGTTTCTTGATAGAATGTGTCTTTCACATTGACCATGAAAATCGTGTCTAGAGAAAGCATCCGGCTACAACAAAATGAAAATCGAAGGAATGGCGGGTTATATGGCAATCCCAATCCGGAATTCAGGAAAAAAAGGAAGAAAATACCAGGACAGATATCTAGCGAGAATCGAGAGAAAGAGTACTCATACAATTTTGTAAAAGATCGAAGATATCCTCCGCGAAGCTGAGTAAGTTAATGTATAGCATATTACATAGGGTATCAAATAGCTCCAAGGAAGCTCGATTTCGTAAAAGAACTTGCATGTAGAAGAGACAGAGTAGCGTCGGAAACAATGACACTCATGAAGACTCCTTTTTACGACCCTCCACAACACGCATAATATCAGCAGCGCTATCTTTGTCGCCCTTCTTCTTCTTGGGACCACGCTTCCTCTTTTTCCCACCTCGTTGGTCGTCGTCAAAGTCTAGCAAGGCACCATCGTCCTCCTCCTCCCCGTCCTCGTTGCGACTTCCGCCGAATCCCATATCCATATCTGCGGCGTCCATGGCCTCCCGGCGGCGTGCCTCCTCGATGAAGCGCTTGTGGCGAAGGGCTGTCTCGGCAGACTGGCCTTCCTCGCCCTCGGCTGAAGGAGAAGCCTGTCGGAGAGCTGCAGCTCGTTTGAGGGCAGCGAGGATAGTAGGATCCTTGATGAGAGGGTTGGATCGGTCTGCAGGTTCCTCTTCTGTGGTCGAGGTTCCAGTCGCAAAGTAGTTCCTCGGTTTAACAGGTGCTGTTTCAGTAGCAGCAGGCTTCTCGTCCTCCTCGGTGACAGAAGCCTTTTCGGGTTTCCGGATTGCCGAAGCTGCCAATTCACCATCCTCGTCGGAGGATGAATCGTCGTCTTCGATTCCAGCGAGGGGGTTATAATCATTACCGACACCGGCAAAGATGTCGTCATCATCATCTTCATGTGCTAATTGTGAAGCCGCACGGGCAGCAATCTCAGCTGGGACTTCCATCCCAAGAGGTTTGGCACTTTTATCAGGCATAAGAAGGTCTCCTGCAGCAGGGACAGGCGCCTCGACCGGCTTATCAAGCCACCTAGTCTTCCGCTTGGTATTTCCTTGCGCGTCCGTGATAAGAAGCACCTCCCGCCGCCGCCCGGTCTCATCACGCTCCACAAAGCGCTTCTTCTGTGGCTTTCCATCACTCAGCTTCTTGAACTTCGAGCCAAGCGTGGACTCCGGCGGAGGAGGCGGCGCGGCAGCGGCAGCTCGGCTTGCTCTTAGTTCACGAAGAATTTCATCCCTGGTCTTTGGCTTGGGAGGTGGTGGCGCCATGATCCCCTTCTTTTTCTCTTTCTGTTCCTTCGGGGCAGCAACAATCTCCTCGAGTCCTTTCTCTTCCATCAAACGCTCGAATTCCTCGTCCGCGTTCTCTGCTTCTGGGGGCGGCGCAGCTTTCTCGGGAACTTGCGATACATCTTCGCCCGCTCTGACCCTTCTCAACAGGTCCATATCCAATCCTTTGACCATATGCGTGCTTCCGATGTCACCTCCAACACCAAGGTCCCGACGGAGTTTATCGAATGTGGCCTGATCGATTTGTCCCAGTTTCACCATATCCTCCAGAGCCTTGATGCGCTCCTCCATACTGTCGCCGCCCTTGGTCTCTCCGTCTGCATTGCGCAATTTCGCACGATCCTGATAACCAGTTGGTAGAGCGGTACCTTTCGGGGCGGCAGAGGACTTGAATCGCTTGGATGGTCGATCGCCTTCGCGACGTTGCTCGTAAAGCTGGCGGGAAAAATCTACACCGGTGACCGAGCGCCTGTGATCATTCCCCATCTGTTAGCTTTCTATGCAATCAAAGTCATCTGTAAAAAATAAGTGACGTACGGAGTCATGGGAATACTGGATCGCATTCGCGACCCCAGTGACCCGCCCGGGGTTGCGCCGCCACGCGCTGCATCGCGACCAGGTGTTGAGCTTTGGTCCTTCGGTTTTGAGGATGACTGATCGGCCAGTAGCCGACGAAACTGCTCGTTATTCATGGTTTGTAGACTCGAGTGGCTCAAGTTCGAAGTTGAAAAAGGCTCATGTTAAGAGGTGAAGCTCCGTCTTGGCATCAGCTGTGGTAGCAAATAGCGGTCAACGGGCATTTAATCCGCAGCTCACCGGCATCAAGGTGGATTGATGAGTTATGTCCAACCTGGTCGCTGTTCATGTCTGTACACCGATAAGATAAGACTATCGCTCATCGAGATCACTTTTGGGGATTTACCCTAAAAGGACAGGCAACCCATCGTGAAGGCGGGTTTAGTTTGATCATTTGTAGACTACGCTCTAATATCATCGAAAGCAAATGCCCTTGATGTTTAGGGCATCCACTGCGTGAGTAGGTATTCATACTTGTCGATATAATATATGTAGAAATGGGATACATATATCTGAGAATCCTCTCATATCGCATCAAAAGGAATAGTTTGCTACTGTCTGTTGAGAATCCCAATAGGCTAAAAAGCCTACACATGCAGTGAGTGACCTTGGATCTTTCTAGCAATTTCAACACTGTAGGCTATTAAAGAATAAAGGAAGAGCAAAAGGCCAACTACGTATAAGAAAAGACATGGAAGAGAAGCAGAAATATCAAAACCAGCATGATCTGCTAGTAGCAACCAGATAGAAACCAAAATGTTACATCCAGAAGCAAACCAAAAATCGAGTCGAATAAGCCTGGTATTTGAATCATAACTACCTAGGTAACTGAATCACGAAAAGGAATGTCCGATATACAGCCAAAAAATGAAGATATAAGAATGCACAGTGACGAAGAGAAATGGGGAGAAGAGTGAAAGGAATAACTGCAAACTCGTCGAAATTCAAAAGTGAAAAGTCTAGTTGCACACATCAAAAAAACCTCTTTTGGTGTTCATTAAATAGTCTCCCAGCCACCGTTGTTAATCTCCGATTCCAGCTTGCGACTGATAGTCGCAGGAATCGAGTGTGACAGCCAGACATCACGCAGGAGCCGGTCGTACCGCTTCTGGTTGAGGATGAGTTGGCGGTTACGGCGGAGACCGGGGTCGACTTCGCCGTGACGGTCGAGATAGGGAGCGTAGTGCCAGGATCCATTCGTGTTGTGTAGGTAGAGAACCGTACACTTGCGAATGTTGATGAAAAGACCGATGTTCTTGCCGCATCTGTTTTGGTAAAATGGTTGGTTAATTAATCATTGAAACAAATTAGAGGATAACCTTACTTTTGAAGATGCTGGTTGCAGCCTCCAAGCTTATTGCTCATGCAGCATACTGCCTGTGAGCAGAAAATGTCCCCACAGAACAGACAGATGCTGGGATCGGTAAGCTCCTTCTTGGAATTCGGGCAACGGCGTCGGTTTGCCTCTTCGATGAGGCTGTCGAAGTACTCGGGCAGGCCGACAAGCTCGAAGATAGCAGGGTGCGACAGACTGGGCCAGAGTCGGTGGTCTTCGAACCGAATTCCTGAGCGCGAGGCATTCCAGTGGAAGATCCATCCTGAAATAACGGCGTCAAAGGAACTGTTGGTCTCGCGCGCGGGCTTGATAGACATGAGAATCTCATCAATCGAGGGTAATTGAAGTGCTTTGGTCAAACGCTCAAGCTCAGATGCCTCCACATCGGCGAATCCTGTATTGGGGAACTCAACACCGTGCTGGACGTGAAGAAGAATGACTGCCTTGCGCAGGAATGCCAAACCATAGCTTGTGATTAGGCGCCGGACGGCAGTAATGATGCTCGGGGTGGCGGTTTCCTCTCCATCCTTCACGTAGCCACTCTCAGCAGGGAATGAGGAGCCTTCAGCACGACCGACCGAGTTAGCCTTGAGCTCAGCAACGATGGAGTCGAAGAACTGCTTGGTCACCACGAATTGCTCTTCAGTTATATCAGAGAGAGAATGGTCCTCGGGATGACTGGCGAGTTCCTCCTTCAAGCCTAGTGGCCAAAGGATGAAAGTGACAGCGACCTTAACAATCTCAGCAACGAAGCACATCCGCACGAGGTGACGGATGTCAATGTTAAGGACTGGAAGCAGTGACAACGAAGACTCTGCGAGGAACACAAATGTATCCACGGCGAGAAGAGGCTCAATGTTGCGAACATCATTAAGCAAAGGTGTGCCTCCCAAACAAGGGTGTCCGACAAGTAGTTGACAAATCTTTTGACGGTGCATCTCCTGGAACTCATTTACAGGACGACTCTTTGATGGCCCCGCTGATTGAAGGCACCCAACAGCAGCATATGTCAATGCTGTCTCCGAGAGCACACGCAGATGGGTGAGCATCAAGGGAGGAATCTTGTCGAGCAAGGTCGAGCCAGGCTCTGATTCAACACCACGCTGCGCGATCTCCACTGCAGCGATACTGAAACCAAAGCTGCGGATCAAAGAATCAGTATGTACAAGATCGTCATTGTTATTCGCTTCGGAAGTGTTATTGAATGTCGAATTGACGTGGTTTATATTGATCGTCTTCTTGAGCCGCCTGTAGATCTCAAGCAGTTCCGACATAGGGCTGTCCGAGGGACTGGACACCTGTTGAAGTGGGCTGGAAGGCGCGTGATCTTCGGTAGCAGGGAAGATTCCAGGCATGGGCAGACGACTCGAGGCAATGTATTGAGCAGTAGCAGTTGCCGGGAAAGACGAGGCCATCAGTTGATCAATCTTAGTTGAGAGAGGGGGAACTAGGGTCTTAGAGAGGTAGTCGATGAATATATCGTTGTATACCTGAGGATAGGCCTTCTCTTTCTCCATCAGAACCGGGAAGTTGTGCTGCTGGGTTAGGGCATGCTTGAGCCCAGATTGCATCCACTGTTCGAAAGATTCGGAGGGACCGAGTGGAACAAGGGGAGACTCCTCCTTGCCCTTCCAGGTGATAGGGAAGAATGCATTTCCAAGAGCCTTGCATAGAGGACACACAAACTCCTTGAGATTGGTGTTCTCAGGATGATTGCGTGCAATCTGTTGGGTGTGTCGCCGCTGCGTTGCTCCGTAGTACTGCTCAAAGCAAGAGTAGTGCATAATGTGCCCACAGCCAGTAGTCACGGGACCGCGAAGAGTACTCTTCGCGTTGAATCCTTTGCTCAGTCCGACCTTTTCGCTGATGACTTCACCGCCGGAGGAGTCAAGACGCTTGATGGTTGTATGATTCTCTCCGGACACACCGAATGGACGCACTTCTTCAGCAGATCTGTCCAAACTCGAGGGTGTCTTGAGCACCTCTCGAATCCTATCGGAGTCTCTGATATCGGTCTGTCGCAAAATTGTGCTGTCTTGAACCAAGGCAAAAGTACCATAGAGCCTTGAGTCGTTGGTCTCCTCTTGGCACAATATACAAGTTCCACTAGGATACTTCCAGACCTTCTTTTCGGGGGCAACGTCTGTGTCGGACTCGAGATCGCTGAAATCTTCATCGCCCCAATCAATGTTGCCTTGGGTGTTCAAGAATTGCTGCTGCTGTTGCTGGAATTGAGCCATCACCTTGGCTTGTCTCTCCAGAGCCTGCTTCTTCTTGACCTCCTTGTCATTGTCGGCGTCAATTGCAGGAGAGTTGGTGTCAATTCGATCGAAGGGGAATTTGAGAGACGCAGTTTCGGACGAGTAAGTGCGAGGGCGCTTTTGCCACAGACGTTTGAGGATGTGTCGTATTTTAGGGCCAGATGCGGTGAATTCGGGGGTGACAGATATCCTTTCCAATAGACCGACAATAGTCAAGTGACCCGCCTTGATCTCTCGGGTCTTTGACAAGGCATTCCAGTTGAATGAATTGGAATGCTCTTCTACCATATCGGTTTCTTCAGAATCATCTTCTAGTACGGCTGCCAATATAAGGTGTAGAATGACTTGGAGGAAAGTTTCCACACGTGTAGGTGGGATAGTTGGTGTGCACTCTTTCGATGAGATGACATATTCCAAGCATTGGTGTACAATCTGTGCGAACAGCATGGTTCCGGCGAATCGGGGTAGATCGGAGAAGACGCCAAAGCTGATGGGTCGAAGTTTTGGCTCGAAGACAATGTCTGAGGCAGTCTTGCCTGTTTTCTTGGCCATCCATTCCTTATAAATATTCTCTGCTTCGTCCCGTTGGTTCTTTGTATAATGCGCACTATATGGATCAATGAGATCGATATGTTCGGGCTTCAATTCGAAGGTACCGGAGTCGCTCAAGCCCTCGGGCGGACGGAAGTTCGCGACCTCTTCCAATACATCTTGGAACATGTCCGAGTCTAGAAGCTTGTCACTAAGACGAGTCGAGAGGTCAGAGAAAGAGAGCGGCTTGAAGCACAAAACATGTGCAATGTCGCGTTTGATATTTTCGTGAGTGAGGTGAGTGCTGTCATCAATGGCAGTCAACGAGGTTCGGTCTGTCAACAAAATCACCAGCAAATGGACAAATTCTTCTGCCACATCCACAATCTGGGCATCTTCGTAGCCCGGACGGGGCAAATAGTTTCGAGCCATCCAGTCAACCATGCCAAATCGGTGTGCAATGGAAGCAAGAACCCTGCTAGGATCGCAAGTCACCATGGCAGTCTGGAGAAGGAAGATGTCTCTATAGTAGGCAAAGTCACGAGAGGAGACTCCGCGATATTGAGACATTTGATGACGAAGACTGAGACCATTGCGAACCCACATGCCAGCCTTCATTTGCGCCAGCCAAGCGCACACCCGAAGTGGGTAGTCGAACATAGCCAAAAGCAGATCCTCCGGCCCAAGAGTAAGCAAAGCATCATCAATACTGTTCGGTTTAGCGACCTTGGTGGCATGGATTTGGTCTCTCGCTACATTGGCAGCGTCGAAGAGAACGTCGCGCATGGTTTCACTGCTGATATTTCTTCCGCATTCAACAAGCCATGACAGTGTGTAGTGAAGGGCATGGTGGAAACTGATGGATCCACGTTCAACCACGAACTCAACTACACGGTGGCAAGGAATTTGGCCAGAGGCACCGATTTCAAAGTCGAAAGGTGCCAGCAGCTTGAATTTCAATTCGTCCTTGATTTCTGCTTGGTCGAATCGCTTGCGTTCAATGCCAGTTGAATGCATAATGGCAGTGATAGTAGTGGTCTCGATGGCCCTCAACAGATTGTTGCCGTTGTCGATCTCAGGATTGCGGAAAGACTCACAGAATTGGCGGCAGAGTCGGTTGATCTCCCGCATGAGAATTGAAGCACTGATCCAAGCGTCCGTTTCATATTCGACGTGTTCACCAACAGCGCGAACATTAGGGCAAATACCCTGTGATAGCTTGACAAGGTCAAGGAATTGAGGAAGATATTGCTCTTCCGTGCGCACACGATGCTGGACATATTCGGACTGGAGAAGGTATCGGAGGTCAAGGAAGAAATGGTAGAGGCGTCTGTTCGTGACGGAGCCAGCATCAAATGCTAATGTTGCGCTGGGGTTGACGGATTGTGGTTCACCGACTTGCCTCGTTGTCAAGAAGGTGTAGAGAATAGACATCACCTTTGTGAGGAAATTGCCTCGGAGCACAATCTCTTCTGTGATGGATGGGGTTGTGAGAAGTTGCAATGAAAGGTTGACAATCGAGTGGTCCGGTTCTCGATCCGCAATTAGATATAGTTGGGCCAGCGCCGTATACAATGCAGACAACCGCAAGCCCATGATACGCTTGAACTGAGGAACATTGACCACAGTGCTGATATATAGATCGCGCAAGTCCGTTCGCGTCTTCTTCCATAATCTCAGGTCATAGAGCACCAACCAGTCTAGACGAGTACGGTGCCACAAGTCCTCGTATGGAGGCACCTTCTCACCCGGGGCGGGGACTGGTGGCTGAACTTGCCAGTGGCTTTCTGTGCGCGATGGTCTCTGCCTGCTCGATCCAGGTGTTTTGGGAATGGGGATGTAGCCGGTGGGACCGGATTCAGGACTAGGACTTTGTGATCCGGATCGGTCTCGATCCACGGAAGACCGATCTGCTGGTTGAACCTGTGCCGGGCGAGGAAGTGGGGGCTGAGTGCCATTGAGTCCGGCAAGAATACGCTCGGCTAGGGCAAGTTCCTCATCTGCACCAGCCAAGTCCATATCTTCGTCCTCATCTTGATCACGGGTAAGTTCGATATCCATCTCGTAATCATCCTCGTCATCGGCATCGTGAGCCTCGACATAGTCTTCATCTTCATCGTCATCTCCGTCAATAACATCATCATCAAGAATATCGTCTTCGTCGTCGTCCGCGGTCAAGATGACCTGGCCATGGTTAGGCAAATTGATCATGAGTGTACGGCCTGGAAGGTTCTCGGTTCTTTGATGGTCATCGATGCCCTTCATGCCGATGTCTTCGTTGTAACCATCACTGCCCTTCTTCCAGGGACTAAGCATTTCCTCGCAGATGATTTGTCTGAAAATTTCATTGTCTTCGAGAATCTCGCAGCCAGCAATGTCAGCAAACCATTCCACTATGGTTGCGCACATTTGCTCGCGGAAAGTATCACGGGCAGAGCGCACTGTGACGGTGACCTTAATTTCCTCGATTATCTTAGAGACACCCAGTAGTCTGTTTAGATCCTTCGAATACTTGATCACGCTGCGGCCAATGTCATTGGTCTCATGGGCTCGGGCAACGCCAAAGCTATCTCGTTCGCGACAAGCACGCGTGACTTGGTGGGAGACATCACGAATTGTATGCTTTTCGTCATTCCACAGCAGGACGGCGAATTCAGGCTCTTCTTCTTCTTCATCGCCCGCACCATACCAGCTCGGGCGCAGTCGGGAAGCCTCTTCATCCTGCCTAATGCCTTCGGCAGTCTTGGGCAGCCGCAATTGTTCCGGGGAGCAGGAGATGACATCACAAAAGTAATCGAGCGCACGGGAGATAGTCAAGCGAATCGAAGCCACGAGCTCGGACGGCAATTCTCGCTGCGCTCGCTCCTTACCTTTGGCATTTCCACTATCCGTGTGAATTGCACAGAAAAGCGGGAGACGCCATGCCTCGTCATCACCACAATCACAGCAGCCACAGTTCCCGGAAGAAAGTGAGATCTGATATTGGTGTCCGGTGTGATCGGACGAATCGAAGCATCGACTGCACAACACGCAGGTATCGTCTGCAGCACAAGTCACACATCGGTATGTGGCTTCTCCAGCACGGAAGATATGCCCGCAGCGCTTGCCCCGCGCTGCCTCACTGTACTCAGCTCCTTCCCGGGCGCCTCGGGCTTCTGCCAGCTTCCATGGTCCTGCCGGAGGGCCTTCTGGAAACAACTGGTGCACGAGGTCGTTATTGTGTCCGACAAGCGACCGGAAAAGGAGCTCTAGCAGGTCTCTTTCGGCGGCGGGACCATAGCGGTAGTTGTGTTTTTTGGGTAGGCGGAGAAGACCATCGCCGAGCAGCTTCTCACATTCCCCAAGCATAAGCATGGTTTGTGATGTTGGCCGGGTTATCCTAGCGGCCGCTCGGGCTATCACAAGTGAGTGATGGAACGGAGCGCCGTTGTCGCAACAATGCGCGTGAGGTGGTAATGGTCCGACGCAGGAGGGTTTTCACGGATACGTAGGAGGGATAGGGATTTTCGGGTGAAAATTCGAAATAGGGACTGGGTTAAATCGGTTTTAGGGCTCTCAGATCTAGCTCAAGGTTGCTCACACACTGATACTTTGTGGTGGGGGAAGACAAGACCGACGGGTGAGGTGGACCAATGCAGGCAAAGCAAATCAACGCAAAAACAGTGAAGTCATACGCAATTCGAATTTGAAGGTGGAGCTGAAGGTAAAATGCCCGAAATACAAGATCAAAGGGCAATGGAAAATAGATGTTCGAAGAGACCGGAGCGAAGAAGCATTTTTCCTTATGACATCGATGGAACCGGCGGTCTCTCTGTGAACGCCACACCGGTCCACGCTACGGCCTGATCACCTACGACAGCAAACATCCCACGTTGGGAGTTCTAAAGCTCTGGAGATTGTAAGTCAAAAATACAGATTTCCATCTATCGCGTACAAGCCCACTTGTGGGATGAAAAATAACAGGCACTGGCTTCACTGGCTTTTCCATGCCCCTTTACCCACGGTAAACACCCATCGTTTCGGGAATCCATTTACTCGTCATCCTCCTCCTCCTTAACCACGTAACGGTGCTTGATGTCCTTCCATTGACGCTGGAAGATGAGAAAAATAGTCAGTATGGGTATTCTCGGGTATTGTCGACGGCCTATCGGGAATAGAAGGAGGTTCACGTACGCCCTGGTTCCAGCTGTCCCAGATCTTGTTGGAGGTGATGTCAAAGCCACTGAATTGAGATTGCATGGTCAGTGTTCTGTAGAAAATGCGTAGAGCATGTATGACATGCTCGAGGACTGGATGTCACTCACAGCTCGAAAGCGAAAGCGCCGGCAAAAGCAGTGGTCAAGAGAACAGTGTTCTTGCGGATGAAGGTCCTAAATACAGCAAAGAGTCGCTCGGTTAGATTTTAATTGAATGGGTGCGATCGCGATCGTAGGATCCAGGGAGGGGAGACGTGCGAGTAGATAGCGTTTGCGAGCTGTCATGCAAGAGGTCAGTCAGTACTGGATACGGCGGTGGAAATAGAAACATCGGGGGAGAGGATAGACATACGCCAGCCATTGTGAGAGATTGGGGTGTTTGCACACGACCGAAAGGAAAGGATTCGACAAGAGGATGGGGCGACGAGAGTTGAGGTTGCGAGGTTGAAGTTGCCAAAGGTTGAATCTGCGGGAATTGCCGGTCCGCTGATTGGCCGAGCCTCCGGCCTTCCGCACTCAACTTTCAATGTTCGCATTGTTTTTCTCTTTAGATCTTCAGAGATATTCCTCTTGGTCTGGGAGCTTGACTCTGTCAAGTTGATATCGATTCTCTTATATTTTGCTTACTTATTTTTCAAATTCGATCTCAGACTATACCAACTTCCACCATGTCCAACGTCGCCCGGTCCGGCATCACCACTGATGCCCAAACCGGCGAACGATACATCCCCTCCTCAATCCGCGCCGACGGATCCAGGCGCAAGGAGATTCGTGTGCGTCCTGGCTACAAGCCCCCCGAGGATGTCGAGCTATACAAGAACCGGGCAGCAGCAGCATGGAAAACCCGTGCAAAAGGCGGGGTCCCGGGCGCCGAACCATTGAGCAGCGAAGACGACAAGCTCAAGACAGCAGTAAAGATCGGAGCTACAGCTGCTAGCAACAAGAACGCCAAACGCCGCGAAGCCAAGCGAACTGCGAAGGAAACCGATGAAGCCGGTGTCCCCACTGAGGGCAAGGGCGTGGAGTCGAACAATTGGCGTGCCCCCGCACCCGCACCTAAAAGGGAAGAAAAGCCCGCGGAAGAACCAGTTGATCTCGAAGCCGAAAAGGAGAAGAAAGCACGCAATTTGAAGAAGAAGCTCCGCCAGGCGCGGGATCTCCGTGATAAGAAGCAGCAGGGTGAGGCCCTGTTGCCCGAGCAGTTGGAGAAGGTCATCAAAATCCAAGAACTTGTCCGCCAATTGGACGTGCTAGGCTTTGATTCCAATGGAGACAAGAAACCAGATCACAACAATGGCAAGGCCTGAATGTCTTGAAGATCCTCTTAAGCACGGATCAGATGGGATTCAATAATCCCATTTCCATGTGCCGAGTATATGCACATTTTTGCAATCCGGGCTTACTGCCAGTGCCCGGGGACGTCTGTTAGGCCAAACAGATTATCCTTCATCATTGTGGCATGTGGTGGAAGTGAAATATGAGGAAATATACCTACCTATACGGCAGGGCACACCGCAACCAAGCGGTTCCAACCTTCCAGTCACCTGTCGCTCCTTTGATGAGGAACGGATGCTGCCACATCTCTCCGCAGTTCCTCCAATTGAGGTTCCGGGCGCTCTCGCCATGCTCCCGCCCTTGATCCTGAATTGGCATCGCTGCTGCGCATGACAATAAACGTAGCCAATGGATCAAATCCAACCCTTTTTTTGGACCGACCATGGACTAGCAGTGAATTAGACGTCAGAAATCACAAATTGTATATTTGATATCAAGCCAACACCGTAGATTTACATTCCCAAGAAGAAAGACATTGTTACAAAGATACATTTACTGTATCGGCTTAGGGTTTCCAAGTTATCCGCGTAAGTCCACAGTGACATGGCCTTAGTGTTCGGAGTCAACCAGACGAACAGGGGCCATGGTAACACCACCCTTGAGAGGCCAGTCTTCATAATCATAAGCAGTCCACGGATGCTCAGCACCGAACTCACCACTGAGCTCGCATCTTCCAATGCCGTAGGTAGCGGACAGAATTCCCTGCTTAACACAGTCACCCACGCCTACTCCATTATACCAGTTGCCTGCGAGAACAAGCGAGCCATTGTACTCTTCGCGTGCTGCTTTCGAGAGACGATACATGCGGTTCAGGTGGCCGACTGTATACTGAGGGATAGCATTCTTCTGAAGACGAGTCCGTGCCACAGTTAGGGTGTCGGTGATGTTCAGGTGTCTTTTGAGCATGTCACAGGCCATTTTCACTGCTTTGTCGTGGTCTGGATACTCTTGGAAGCCATCCCAGTAATGCCCGCCTAGCATGATGGTAAGTTTTGTTCCAGGTGCGGAATCTTGTTTGAGTGTAGGCGACGAAGGGTCCGTTCCCTTGCCCACACTGGAGGATGAGGCAAAGATGACCCCAAGTCCACATTCTGGGTTCTGTTCGTAGGGGATAGAACGTGGGATGAGATATCCAAAGCCTTCCTCCACGGGTAGAAGATCTGGGTTCGGGTAGTAGAGATTGACGACCATTACTGTTACAGCGTAGTTTTGTTGGCGTAGTAGAGATGGGGTCAGCCCTGGCGGCTTCGACCCCAGGGTGTCAAATGAGCGCATGGTCTCAGCAAGTGCCACTGGGGGAATGGTGGAGATGACATGGTCAAAATCACACCATGTGTCAGTTTCCTTATTCGGTTCCTTCGTTGAGAGCTATAGATAATCAGCATCAGGTCCGAGACTCAGGGATACCACATACGGAAATTTTAGAACCGCCACGCTGAGCGCTCAAGCCTTTAATCTGCGTGTTGATCATGATTTCAACCTTGTCGGATGCTCTCAACGAAGCACCTAATGCTTCAGCAAGTTGTCCGACACCTCTCTTGAAGGTAAAAGTACTAGCGTTCGAGACGTGAGAATGCAGATCCCGCATCCGCTCCTTTGACTCGGAGCTTTTAGCCATGGCAAGCGGGACCATGAAATCATCCATGCTCCTAGTCTTGATTTTGGAGATCGCGCGGGAGATCATGGATCCCGTAACTCCACCAGAAACAAATCCACCAATGCCACCAATGCCACCTTCAAGGTTGCGGACGCCACCCATCAAGGTCTGGGCACTCAATTGGTCAATGTCTCCAGCATAGATTCCATGTAAAACAGCGGAAACAAGATTCTCTGCAACATTGGGACCAAAGCGACGTCCAATAAAGTCCGCGACAGACTCATCCTTCGCCCATTCAGAGGGGTGCCGAGGTGGAGTGAAGACATCCTTGACTATCCCAGAAACAACTTTGTCGAACAAGGGTTCCTTCAAGGTATTCACCAAATTCTCAATGTTCTCCACCAAAGAAAGTGTACTCTTCGGCGTCGGTATGCGAACAAGACGGTCCGGATAGTAGACATAGCGATTCTGGGCTGCAGGACTTGACTTCGGGGTAAGAATGAGATCTTCATGTAGGCCTAGGGCTGAAGCCTTTGAAAATAGTCAGCTTGCAAATCCATCTGACCCTGAAAATGTGCATGCGAGCAGTTCTCACCAGGGAAAGCAGAGGCAGTGACTCTGGCACTGAGCTCCTTAATGTCCGAGGTCCATACTCGAACACGACATTGCCACCCTCGACGGGAATTGTCTCAGAGTCAATCCAGCCACCAAGCCTGTTCGATTTCTCATAAAGCACTACTCGCTCGCATTCGGGATCCTGCGCCAGTTGCCAGGTGGATGTGAGGCCTGTGATACCACCGCCAAGCACAGCGGCCGTATAAGCGCGCTTTTGGCCATTGAGGAGACAATTCAATTGCCTTTGGCCTGGTCTTAGCGCTCTAGAGATCCGCGCTAGCCGCATCTCTGCGGGGGTTTACAACCAGGTTTTGTTTGTGGTCGAGGAGTTGAAGGTCCAAAGGTTGGTCCCCGGGAACGTTCCGTTCTTACTTAAGCGGGGAGCTGCACCTGAACCTGCCGGCGATCGGGCCACCCGACGGGAGCTTTCTGGGACCCTGGAGCCTGGGATAGTCGGTGCCCAGTCTCCGAGGGTACTTACTACGCAATGCGAATTTCCATGCTTCAGACATTCGCGAACCTATCGTCGCTTTCATATTATTCTTTTGAAGACGGGGGAATCTATGAACAAAACAGATAAAATTTATCTGAGACAAAAGCAAATGCATAAAGAATATCAACGCCATTCCCTCCAGCCATTCCTCGTTCATTGATCAAGATTGCATTGTACATGGTATTCTTCGCTTGGGAAACAGACTCGGTGAGATATTTGTTTTTTCCCTGGGGTTTCGAACTTTCAAAAATGATTTGGGGGTTCGAGTCATATCAGGCGAAGTCACGCGGTCAGTTCATGGCTCTGAGGGTTCTCCTCGGTCTCCGGCTTGATCAACTCGGGTCCTTCTCCTTCTGCAACAAACTTGCGCTCGCTCACATGCTCTCCGGAGTGTGGAGTCCACACCTTGTCGGTGAAAGCACCACGTTGGCCCTCGACATGCTTGTAGGAACACTTAGGGTTCAGACAGGGGTTGAACTTGCAGGCGATCTCGACATGTGTAAACTTGCATCCCTCGGTCTTGCAGTCCGCTCCGTTGCGGCAGACTGGCATGCTCGGGTGCTTGAAGTGACAGGATGGGTTGGTACAGTTAGGGAAGAAGCGGCACATAGCCTCTGCTTGGTGGGCGGATCGCACTGCTGGCGAGGGGTGACGACCAGTGCATTTCTTGTTCTTGCATGCGGCGCCGAATGAGCAAGTATCAGAAGGATCAATTGAAGTGCCTTCGGGAGCGGCGGGTGACTGGTGGGCGAACGGACAATCCTGGCGCGTGCATCGTTGATTGAAGCGACAAACACTGTTGGGGTTGCTTTCGTCTTGCGCACCACCCATTGTGCTGTCCATATCAACATCTGCTCCGTCTCTTGGCTTGTTGTAGCCACGCTTTCCTCCACGCTGGCCTCCTCGCTCGACCCGGTTGAAAAGAGAACGGTTTTGATGGGACCCATTCTGACCATTTTGGAAAGCAGGGTTGACGGCCGGTGGCATGAAGCCAGGCATGAATTGAGACATCATCCGGGCTTGTTCTTCCAACATTGACATGAGTTGCATCTGGTTCTCGGCAGACATCTGCATCATAGGGCTGCCTGGCATGCCCATTCCACGGCCACCGCGACCATTTTGATGTCCGGCACCTCTCATTTGACCCCGATTGTTGTGACCAATACGTCCATTTCCTTGTCCGCGTACGCGATGCAGGGTTGCGTCCGAGCCACGATCCAAGTTTCTGTTGATCTGATTCAACATTCTTCCCTTGCCACCTCTGTTGTTGCGCATCGCTTTCGGTCCGGTGGGACTATTGCATAACCATTGTCAGCGACCTGTAAAAATTGGCAAAAAGCCATGGGTTAAACTTACATTGTGTCGTTTCCGGCGTCACCCATCTCAGCATCTTGGCCGTTGGCATTTCCAGAGTTGTCGAATTCCATCGCAGACGGGTTCAAGTTGCTCATGGGAGCACCGGTTGAAGCTGGGGCCGCACCGTTGATTTGTTGATTGAGTATGTCGACTTGAGTGAAAAGCCATTTTGAGAACTCAAGAGCTGCAGTGTCACCTTCATCAAGGCCGAGGAAGTCGTTGGAAAGTTCGGTGGCGATTTGTTCTTGGGTCTTGCCGTTGACCAGCATGAGGACGATGTATTCGATCAACGGTGATTCTTGGCCGTCGCTCCAACCCATCTCCACTAATTTCGGCTGAATGACATTTGCAACTGCCTGCGCAAGAGGCGACTCCAAAGTGATTTGAGGCAGCATGGCGATGGTAATGATGGAGTCAGGCGAAAGTGATAGGTTGGTGAAGATTCACAAAGAGAGGAGGACTGATAAAAGAATGATTCTGCGCCACCCGATAAAGGCGGTTCAGATCTGTTCGGCGCAACAAACGATGAAGTTGCGATGAAAACAATATCAGGTAGGGTGGTGAGCTGTGAGTGAGTTTGACAGATCAGAAACGGTTTTTGTAGACGAAGCAAGGCTTTAACAGGTAGATTCGCGTGAAGCTAAAGACCCGATGATCGTAATGGATGTTTGGTCACGTGTGAGTGGCGTGTAGGCGGTGAAGTGGAGCAGTACAGCGGTGCAACAACCCAGTTGGGATCGGCTCGAATCTTGACCACAAAGTCGTTGTTTCTGTGCTTGACCAGAAGTTTCGAAGTATCGGATTAAAGTAAGAGGAATGTTGAGAACGTTGAAAGAGCTAGAAAGAATTGAAGTCTATAATTACAGGGGTTTAGGGTTTATATATTCACAATACGCATTGTTCATGCTATGAAGTTATTGAGCTATTGTTGGCAATGGTGGAAACTGGGTGAATCGTTTCTAAACAAAGAAGAGCATCCGAACAAAGCACCATCAGTCAGGTGACATTTCGAAAAGAGGCATAGTAACTGTTTGACTCGTTGTGGCCTCAGGCCTTCTGCATATGTTTTTTTTTTGAGGGACATGGTATGGTTTATGTGGCTGCTATGGGGTTAGGTATAAGTCAACCACACAGAGACTGTCAATCTTCTTTCTCGGAATCATATGCAGCCCCCTCTTATGCACTCCCCTGTCTTGCCGAGGTGTCATTCCTCTACCATGTGGGACGTCTTCCCCAGATCGTCGGTATCTCCACAATCCATCAGCGTGAAACCGAAATCACAGTGGAATACCCGTGGAGATCCCTGTTTACCTTACCCCAGACAACCAAGGGACTAACCAAATGAGCCAACCCAAGGCTGAACAAAAACATAGAATGACAATAGTGAGGTCATTCAATGCGGGGCTCGCAAGCATGGGTCGTTTAGGCCGTCTTCCTGTCCCCATTTGGTAAGGACACACTTGGTACGAGCTATAGTATGGAGAGCCAGAGTGTCCATGCCCCCGATCGATAAATGCTATTATCTAAATGGTTTATTATTCCACCATACCCCAGGTTTATAAGCCAGCCTTCGCTGCTATATTATATACAACACATCGAGTCTCTGTATCATGCATGTGGTCTGAACATGCCCAGCCAAAGCCCAAATACCGACTAGACCCAATCTGATACACTCCAACGGCAACATGATTGAAGACCTGCTCACGGAGTTGACACCCAGTCGGGCGGTACTATGCGTTCTAGGGCTCTTTGTTACAGGCTGCGTCTTCCGGAAGCTCCAAACTTCAGCACAAATTGCCCGTCTCGGCGCCAGAGCCCCCAAAATCCGGTTCCGTCTTCCATACGCTATCGACTTTATCTACAAAGGCTATCAAGCCAATCAAGCCCACCAAGATGCCGAATTCTGGGATCAAGTCATCATGCACGCAGACGGCCGGACTAATGTGAAGACCGCCGAACTCGACGCTGGCATTTCTACCCGCATGATCTTAACAAAGGACCCAGAAAACATCAAAGCACTTCTTACTGGCCAATTTGCCGACTACGGCAAGGGTGAGTCTTTCCACCATGAGTGGAAAGAGTTCCTGGGCGACAGCATCTTCGCCACAGATGGGGAACTATGGTCCCGCTCTCGCCAGCTCATTCGCCCTATGTTTGTGCGTGAACGCATCGTCAGCACGGAGACCTTTGAGAAGCATGTCCAGAAGCTCATACCGCTTCTCGGCGGCAGTGACTCGCCCAACAGCAGCAAGGTGGTAGACATTGGACCACTCTTTTTCCGATACACCCTCGATACGGCAACAGAATATCTGCTGGGCAAGGGTACAGACAGCCTGGAGAACCCAGAAACGAGCTTTGCCGAAGCATTCAGATATGTGCAACAACGCCAGGCGGAGTATTTCCGTTTCGGGTGAGTTGAATCCGATCTTTTGGCAGCACAACGTGTTCTTAAGGGAACGCAAAAGCTAATCTCCAATTTTGAAACAGTGTCTTCGCCTCTTTGATGTCACGCACGGAATTCCGCAAGAACCTAAAGATAATGGACGAGTTTATCCAGCCCTACATCCAGACCGTCCTTGCCCTCTCCAGCGGTGAACTTAACGAGAAGCTTTCCAAGCGCGAGACCTTCCTCGATGCCCTAGCCCGCTTCACTCGCGACCCCCGCATTCTTCGAGATCAGCTCGTAGCAGTCCTCCTCGCAGGCCGTGACACAACTGCCGGCACATTATCATTCTGCCTTTTCGAACTATCCCGCAACCCTGAAGTCGTGGCCAAGCTGCGCGAAGAGATTCGCAAGCAAGTTGGCGTCGGCGCTGACAGCCAGAAACCTAGCTACGCCGATCTAAAAGAAATGAAATATCTCAGTGCAGTGCTAAACGAGACCATGCGTGTATATCCAGTCGTCCCATTCAACGTGCGTTACTCGCTTCACGACACGACTCTTCCACGCGGCGGTGGCCCAGATGGACTCGATCCTGTAGGTGTACGCGGAGGATCGCGAGTCATCTATTCGACGATGCTGATGCAGCGGGATCCTGATCTGTACGATGGGCCGGACTCAAAGAACTACTTTGATCCCGGAAAGTGGATTCCCGAGCGATGGGTTTCGGGTTGGGCGCCGAAACCGTGGCAGTTTATCCCGTTTAATGGGGGTCCACGGATTTGTATCGGGCAACAGTTTGCTACTGTTGAGATGGGGTACACCCTGATTCGGATTTTGCAGACTTATGAAAAGGTTCTTGCGCTGCCGGTGAATGGGAAGGATCGCGTTGAGGATCCTGTGCTTCGATTTGAAGTTACGATTAGTCCTGGCTCTGAGCTGAACTGTGTTTTCCTTAAGGAGGGTGAAGAGATTGCAAGCAGTGCCTCTTAATGGAAGTGTTACTTGATCTGGTTGGACTCTGAAATGATACCTTTGAGTGATGACTTTATAGCTTTTATCTTTGAAAATGAGAGAATTAATTTTAGCTTGGTTTGCTTTGGTTTGCCCAAATTATTTAACATATGTTGTCCCAAGCCGGGGTAGCTCTATAAGCCCTGTCACTATTCTGACTCGCTAAGAGAGAGAACAGAGAGGAAGCTGGCCATAGACCACGGGAACTCTTAACACCACCCCAGTGGATATTTTCGCCATATTTCTTTTTCTTTACCCACCCGATTAGAATGCTCATGCAATTTCTCTCGCTCTCTTCTCCAATGGTGCAAAATCTGCTCACTTTGTTATCTTTATACCTACAGGAAACACAGACTAGAAGGGCACAATCATCCATGTGACTGGGAATCCAGCCACCGGGTTTACCTTCAGTTCACGCGCAACTACAGTTTGGCCACGGAATTACGCCGCTACCAAATCATCCCTTGCGGATACTGATAATCAATATATAAGGGGTACTCCCGGCGGAAAAGAAACAGAGGATACGACAGCTCGTGATCGTCTGGAATCAGCTACGTCCCAATCCCTTTGGTCCATCAATATGGCATTTAAGACTCATAGACTAATATCTCTCCTAATTGACTTGCTATGCACCAAACTGCCAAGATTGGATGAAGAATTACCTCCAACACCCTTTACGGAGTAAACGAGGGTTATATGACTAGCAGCGCGGTTTCGGTTGTCCAAAATGCTCCGAAACTGATGTGGCCTCGATCATCTCAATACTTCCTATAGTCTATCTTACACAGCAAACATATGCATCTACACACTCAATATCAATTTATGCGTTCCATAAGAAATCTTCCGAGGTCTTATCCATGTTGAAAACAGACCACAATCTTACTCGCGCGAAGGAAACAATATCTGTCTGTCCAAGCCCACGATACCAGCTCAAAACGCCAGACATCCCAATCCTAATTCACATCCACACCATACCCATACCCATCACATTCAAACAAAAAATCAGATTGTAATCAGTAGCAAGTTGTCTGGCGCTTCCGCAACTTCTTCAGCTTCTGTAAGATTTCCACTTTCCGCAGCTCCAAGAACAAATCCTCTTCATCTGCATCATCCAAGTCACCCAGCATACTTAGCAATCCCCTCTTTGCAGATGGGACTTCAATCTCCTTGATCGAAACATGAGTTGTCTTTTTAACAGACGCGGTGAAAGCAGGAGTATTAACCACTTCTGAGACCACATTCTCGGGGCTGTGAATGATCTTTGGCGGGGAAACAGCATGTTTCGTAACCGGCGTATACGTCACATTCGTCGCGCCATTGACTTTTTTCTGTTCGGGACGTTCGTTTTCCATCCATCCTTTACTCATTTCCACGGCCTTTTCCCATTCTGAGAACTTCAAAGCACTTTCTTGTCGTGAGACTTGGGGCTCGAAGACAGCGCCGCCGGAACGGTTGATATCGCGTAGCTCGGCGGAATTGCGCCAGAGTCCAACGGCGAGACCGGCTGCAATTGCTGCACCGAGGGCTGTGGTCTCGCGCATCTTGGGGCGGTAGACGGGGATGGAAATTAGGTCTGCTTGGGTCTAGGTGATAAAATTAGACTTGAATTCATACAGATCAGTGATTTCTGAGAAAATTAAGTAACTTGCCTGCATTGCCAAATCCGAGTTGCTCATGCCTCCATCTACGGCTAGTTCAGAGAGTGTATGGCCGCTGTCTTTCTCCATTGCATCCAGAATCGCTTTGGTCTGGAAGCAGGTTGCCTCTAAGGTTGCACGTGCAATATGGCCCTTTTGGGTGTATTGGGTGATTCCAACTGTGTCCACGGTCAGATAAAAGCAATAGTCGAGTGGTAAGATACACTCACAGATTGTCCCTTTGGCATCATCAATCCAATAAGGTGCGAAAAGTCCACTGAAGGCAGTGACAAACACACAGCCACCGTTATCTTCCACCGAGTAAGCAAGGTCATTAACCTCCTTGGACTCTTGGAAGAAAGTCAAGTTATTCTGCAAGAACTTGATCCCTGAGCCAGCGACAGCAATACTCCCCTCAAGAGCATAGATAGGCTTCCCACCAAAGTGGTACGCCACCGTCGCCAGCAATCCATGCGTGGAGAACACCGGCTTGTCGCCAACATTATACAGAAGAAAGCATCCCGTACCGTAAGTATTCTTCGCCATTCCGGGCGAGAACCCCTTCTGCCCAACCAGCGCAGCAGACTGATCTCCCAAACATCCCATAATCGGAACCTGAGCCAAGGCTCCCGAAGCAATAACACCATACGCCCTCTCATCCGACGAAGGAACAATCCTCGGCAAATGAACCTTCCCCCTAATCCCAAAGAAATCCAACAACGCATCATCATACCGCAAAGTCTCCAAATTCACAAACATAGTCCGCGAAGCGTTTGTCGAATCCGAGACAAAGACGTTGGCAGTCACGCCACCGTTCAAACGGTATACGAGCCAAGTGTCGACGGTACCAAACGCCAGCGTCCCGCGGTCAAATGCATCCTTCACTCTGGGGACATGCGCCAGCATCCAGAGCAACTTCGTCGCCGAGGAGTAAGTTGACAGCGGCAACCCACAGAGAGCCTGGAGCTGCCCAGCCCCTGGTCTCTGTTTCAGCTCGGCGACAATCGCCTGCGAGCGCGTATCTGTCCAGACAATGGCATTGTACAGGGGTTCGCCGGTCTCATGGTCCCAGACTATCGTTGTTTCGCGCTGGTTGGTTATTCCGATGCTTTTGATGCTGCTTCGGGTGTAGCCTTGGGCTTCGAATTTAGTGACAGCTTCTTCGATGCAGGTTTCTACTGAGATTACGATCTCGAGGGGGTCGTGTTCGTGCCAGCTGAGAATTGTTAGGGCTGGGTGGTGAGGTCTTTTTCGGTCCTCTGGACTTACCCCGGATGTGGATAGATTTGGCTGAACTCAACCTGATGCGATGCTACTGGCTCGCCTTCACGATTGAAAATTAGGAATCTGGTGCTGGTTGTGCCTTGATCGATTGATCCCACGAAGGTCTCTGAGGGCTGCATTTTGTACAGAGCAATCTACGAGAAAATAGATCTATTCAGGAGCGAGGGAATACAGAGGAACACAGCCCCAGGGGACCCCCTCCTAAATAAAAAGCCATTGTAATAGCTTCACGGTCGTACAGCGGGGGTTTCTAATTCGAGGAATGAGGGGGAAAGACACGGCGAGAAGGGATTGGTGGGATTTGACCCCTGGCCGTGAGAGTGAGAACGGCCTGTGTGCCACCATCGTATTGGCGCTTCGAGATGGCTTGGGACTGAAATGTGCCATTAGCCAAGTGTCAATGCATTTGGATTAACAATGAAAGGATGTGCTCGGAGGTTTTCATCCCGAAGTGTCTTCTCATCCCTGTCAGCATCGACATATTGTGGGGGGAGATCAGCAGGCGATGGACGACTCGGTTGCGTTAACGACGTCTCAGATCCCAAGGAGTGGGGAAATCGTGCACTGACTCGGTCTTTTATTCCATTGTCATATATCCAGCATCAGAGGTCCTGGACAGCACCAGACTCTCTACTCCGTGCTGCGCTCTACCCCTAAAATGACTTTGGTCCAAACTGCAACTGCGCGCCCAGTTGGAATTACAATATTCTGTCTGCAGATCTGACGGGACCAAGTTCTACCTCGGTGACTACTGCTGACTGCGGCGATAGCCGACACGGAGGACAAGAGATCACTTCTACCACCACACCGGCAGACAGAGTCATATCCGGACAACCCCGGTCATGGTGATGCTACCTCCAGCGTAGATGGTCACACGAACAGCGGCCAATTGTGCCACTACCGAGGCGAAGCGAAGGTCGACTGAATACTACCCTCAGTATCAGCAAGGAAGACAACCAATCTCTTCCCGCCATTCTCGTCTCCTGTGGAAAAAACAACGGTCTCTGTCGCAGTAACACAGTTTGGACTTTCTAGAAAGAAAATTCCAATTAGGCCTGCGTGCAGTCTTGCACCCGACGACTTGAAGATGAGTAACAGAAGACACGGAAGCTTCTCCTACAGTCATGGGGGGAAAAACCGGTCAGCGGGAGGTATACCCAACATTGCGGTGTCCAAGAACTACCCAGAAAAGAGAGGAAACAACCCAGCCGGAATCGGACAGTGACTTCCGTCTGCCCAGATCCAAACGGCATATCCTACAAACGAACCCTAAAGTAAACTATCAACAAAGATGCGGATGCAGATGCGCTGTCACAAAATTCCGCTCTCTGTGGGAACCAAAAAAGCGCCACGGGGAATGAAACATGAGAAAAAGGGGGAGAACAATGGCCAGTCCGGCCAGCTCAATAAAAGGCATGTGTGCACTTGATCATTCCGAGTCTGTCCGGATTTGACTTCAGCTGATAACTTCCCTGCAAGCTTGCACGCCCCTTCTGGAGCTTGGAACCAGGAGGACAAGAACACAGACACAACGCTATCTCTCTGTATCCAGGACAAGACCCTGCATCAGCCAATCGAGCCACGAGCTTGTTCTTGGAATAGCGCAAATTTTATTGCAAAGGAGGGGGGTTACACGGGTCGATCCCTTCTGCGCCGTTGATATACCGAAGGGACAACAATACTCATTTCGTGTGGGTTGGCGAGACTTTTTCCTTCCGGGATGGTTGTACTATATCAACTCGAAGCCCCATCTCGCTCGGATATGGCCACCTGGAAAGAGCTTGAGCTTGGTGCAATGTCCAAAGTTCATCACGAGACTCTCTCCTCTGCTAGTCATGATAGTGGCTGTGGCTCGGTGTGTATGGGGGACAAGAATGAGTCTGCTATTCATCACATCAACCCGGAAGTCGAAAGTCCTTACACTCGCCCTCTCCTCTGGTTCAAAGTGAGGGAGTACTGCCGTGATGCGTTCTCGGAGTTCTTTGGGACAATGATCCTCATCTTGTTTGGAGATGGGGTCGTTGCCCAGGTGCTGCTCAGTCACGGTCAGAAGGGGGACTACCAATCTATCTCTTGGGGATGGGGGTAAGAGTCTTCAACTCCCTTTATAACATTTATTTGCCCAACCCCACTGACCAGACCTTTTGATAGACTCGGAGTTATGCTCGGGGTATACGCCAGCGGACCATCAGGAGGACACATCAACCCAGCCGTGACGTTTGCAAACTGCGTCTTTCGCGGGTTCCCCTGGCGCAAACTGCCCATCTACGTACTCGCCCAGATCCTCGGCGCAATATGCGGTTCTGCGATTGTGTACGGCAACTATAAATCAGCCATCAACATTTACGAAGGTGGGCCAAATATTCGCACAGTACCTGGGTACTCGACGACAGCAACAGCCGGCATATTCTGCACCTATCCAGCAGAATTCATGACCAAGACGGGTCAATTCTTTTCTGAATTTATCGCCAGCACGATCCTGATGTTCATGATCTTCGCCCTGAAAGATGATTCCAATCTCGGCGCCGGGCCACTAGTTCCCCTGGGACTATTCTTCGTTGTCTTCGGCATTGGCGCTTGCTTTGGATGGGAAACTGGATATGCGATCAACCTGGCCCGAGATTTCGGACCTCGACTGACGTCCTATATGCTTGGATATGGGCGTGAAGTGTGGTATGCAGGTGGCTATTACTTCTGGGTAAGTCTTAGATGAAGATGACATGAAGCAGATTACTTACCGACTTTTCTTTTTCAGGTCCCGATGGTAGCACCAATCCTAGGCTGCACTTTCGGTGGATGGCTCTATGATGTATTCTTGTATACGGGGATGGATAGTCCGATCAATACACCGTGGATGGGTATCAAGAGGTTATTTGGACCCCTCAATCAAAGGCGAGTCACACTGCAGAGTCCAGTCTGACACGATCCTTACGCATGACATTCCTGAATGTAGGGTTGGGGGGTGAGCACTGCAGCGGATTTATTCTACTTCATCCTGCTCATGGTTTTTTCATGATCCTGTGTGTAAAAAAAGGTGGGAGGGACTTACTATGATTGTCATGATATGCATTTTACGTTTGTTTAGCCAGCCTTGCAGCGTTGATTCAATAGCGCGCTTTTCCATAATCCATTTGATACCTGATCTTTTGTTAGTATTGTCTATTTCTATCTATGTAATCAGTCATGAGATCTATAAGAGATTGAGGACTATACCTCGATTTCCAAAGTGATTCATCGTACCGTGCTTATTCTTTTAGTCAATACAGATGTATTGCGTCGTGCAATGTCCATCTGGACTGCATCATTCCAGAAGCAATCACTGCATCTGCAGTTGGCTTGCTTTTCAACTAGCACATGACGTGCGATTGTTTGTTATCTCTTTTCTTGTCTGAAAATGCAAGGAAGTTCGAAGAAATACATGGCGTGTTGGACTTGACTTAGGCAGTTTATGCGACATCGCTCTTCCCAGTCAATGACCATCGCAACGCATTTTAAACAACAGTAGACCCAGGTAGCAGCTTCGAACTATATATTTATATCTACATGTGGGTAGGAATTCCCGTTCGTTCTTCCCTTTAATGACCCGATTGCCATCAGGAGCAGTTGATCACCGCAAATCCTTTGTGTGGGCTGAAAAGCGAGAGAGCAAAAAAAGACGTTGATTAATACCAAAAATAAAAAAAGGGAGCGTAAATTGATATAGTACATCTATACGTAGATAGCAGTCCAGAGCTTAGTATATAAATTGACTTACTCTGAAGTGATACTGCGGACATGTAAATCATCACTCGTCCCACTAGAGTATACTGAATACTTTAATGTTAGGGCTGTCGTGAAGAATCTCGATAGTATGTCATATTCTCCATATTTGGTCCGGTGCTGCCCCTCGTCCAGCATATAGTCCTTGAGATTGCCACTCATATCACGACAACTAGGGAATGACACGCGTGAGAGAAAGCAAGGAGTCACCACACCAGATGTCACACCGGTATTGAGGGATGTCAATACTGAGATGTTACACTTTCTGATAGGTGAGAACTTCGCCCGCGTTCCAAAGAGATTCACGGATCTCCTCTATATCGCGATGGCGATCTTCAAGCTGAAGGTGTAGAGGTCTCATTTCGGGCACAGAACGCTTTCTGATCGTCAACAGAGTTGCAGAGAGGATGCTTAGATAAATCAATTTGGTGACTTTAGATGAATGGAAACTGGGTGAGATTGTTTGAAAGGACAAGCGAAGACGCTCCTAAACGCTGCTCCGTGTTTTCTTTATACTTCGGATCGACCGAAATAGGCTTAGTTCGTTTTACGTTCGGTGGGGGCCTTAGGCCACACATTCGCAGCACTGGGTAAGACCTTCTCACACACGAGTATCATATCGAGAAGTACTTATAATCAATCATATTAGCTTTCAATGATTATGGAAATGCATCAGCTCTTACTTATTCCGGCTCTGTACGAGGCTGAGTGGAAGCTACATCGTAGAATATTAACATGCGAACGAGACTCAACATCCATTGATCGGCGGATGGCGAAGACAAGCGAGTACAAACAGGCGTGTCGATTCAATGAGCGAAGAACAAAAAGGTGCAAGTGGGATATAGCGTTTCTTTAACTGATTCCACGTGGAATAAAAAGAAGGGTTGAGCAAATCAGAATCATTATCCATGCTGCTACAAGTATGATAGTAATGTTGGTACATAGACTCGCCAACGAACATGACACGTATTTCACAGTAGAAACAACAGATCCGGGCTCAAATAGCCAAAAGAACAACCAAGAGATGTTCATGCACACCATTAGCGCTTGCCCTTCTTGCGGGGAGCGACAACCTTGAACGCGGAGGTGGCAGCCTCTTCCTCGCGCTGGGCAGCAGCCGCAATGGTGGCAGCAGAGCCCTTCTTGGCAACTTCGCTCCAACCACCGCCGCTCTTCTGCTCACCGAAAGCACTGGGAGAGACGGGATCAACAATGCCCTTGTCGGCCAGCTTACGGCGGCGGATGAATTCCTCGGAGAAGCGGCGGCCATCCAGGGTCTGGGAGTTGGCGTAGACGGAATCGGAGATGATCTCGGCCTCGGCGGGCAGGAAGAGCAATTGCTGGACAAAGTCGTCGACTAGAGGTAGGACGTTAGTATGAAACTACTGGGAGACGAATAGATAGAAGCTTACCATTGATGCTGCTGTTCAACCCCTTGCTCAGGGCCAAAGTAGCCCACTTGGTGAACTCCTCCATGGCCTGGTTGGGGTTGGACTGGGGGGTGCTGCTTGTCACAGTACGAGTAGTGGTAGCAGGGCGAGGCTTAGCAATGACAGGAGAGATCGGGACAGTCCCGGTGGTAGCACGAGGTCCGAGGGGAGCAGTGGGCACACCCTTGACCTTGCCGCTGGCACCGACAGTAGTCCAGGCACTGGAAGAGGTCTGACCAGCGGGGCTGACGGGTGCAGGACCCTTGCTGGCGAGATCAGCATAGCGCTTGCCGGCAGAGGAGGGAACAGGAGGGCTGGGGGTCGCAGCCATGGCGGCAGCGGCAGCAGCCGCCGCGCGGTTCTTGCGGGCCTCTTCCTCCTTCTGGATTTGAGCGAGGGTCTTCTTAGCGGTAGTGGCGACAGGTGCGGGTTGGGACTTGTTGGCCCAAGGGGAACCAGCCGAGGCAGGGGTAGCCGGAGATCCAGCGCTGGCCCAGTTGGCCGACGAGGGAAGACCGGGAGCGGCCTGCGCCTGCGCTTGGCTGAGACGCTCTTGTTCGGCAAGGAACTGAGCACGGCGGGCAGCAGCGGCAACTTCTTCACGCTGGGCAGCGGTACGAGCCTCGGCTTCTTGGATTTCCTTGAGAGAAGGACCCTTAGGCAGGTCATTGGCCTCCTTGGCCCAGGGCGCAACGGAGGTGGGGGCGGCGTCAACAGGAGTCTGAGTCTGGGAGCGGGATCCAGTAGCAAGGGACTCGGCGACGTTTTGGCGGTTACGCTGGGCAGTAGGTGCCGGCAGAGGCGAGGCGGAGGGGGGGGGAGGGAAGGGCTGAGGCATAGCGCTGTCAACCTTGTTGCCCCAGACCGACTCAGTGGGGCCATGGGTGTTCTCGTGTTCCTGCTGCTGGCGCTGAGCAGAAGCGGCCTTGTGAACTTGCTGGGACAGAGTAAGAGGTTCGGCGCCCGTGACGGAGTCCGTCAGCTGCTGAGCTGCTTCCTCCATCTCGGCAGCAACCTCTGCTTCGAGTTGCTGGGATGCAGCGACAGGGTGAGTAGGCAGTCCTTCAGCGGTGCGCATACCCAACTCGCCTTCCTGAGCCCGAAGGGCATGGAACTGACGAAGACGTTCTTCGCGGGCGTGCTGGTCGAAGGGATCATCCTCATGAGCCTTGTCGAAGTCTTCCTGCTCTTGCTGAAGCTGAGCACGATCCTGAAGCATTTGGGTAACTTGCTGGGACTGCAAGAAGTTGTCAGGCTGGCGACCAGCGAAGGAACCAGCACTGCCAAAGGCAAATGGATCCTGGCGGCCGACATTCAGGCGATCAAGTAGTGCAGGGAGCTGATCCTGGCTGCCGAAATCGGTTCCTAGCATTCCGGGTCCCACGTTGGACAAGCCACCCTGTCTTGGTGCAACGCCATCGAAGAAGCCGGGAACACCCTGGGATTGCTGCTGCATGGGAGCTTGGATGGGAGATGGCTGGTAGCCAACAGGGGAGGTGATGCTGGAGAAGCTGGGCTGGCTCTGAAGGCTGTGAGCGCTGGATTGGTGCTGCAGAGGGGGGTTCATCGAAGAGGAGGGAGCACCAGGAGGAGCCATCTGCTTCATGATAGCCTGCTGTTGAGCAAGATGCTCCTTCTGGCGAGCCATCAGGTACTGTTCTTCCTGCTTGCGTCGCTCAAGCGCATTTTGCTGTTCGGCGGTCAAGGTGGTGCCGAAGCTCGGGAAGCTGCCTGGGAATGGAGGCTGAGCAGAGCCGGCGGTAGTGTTGGTCCACTGGGCAACAGTGGGTTCCGGGCCATGGGGAAGGCCAATCTGGGGCACAAGGAATGGCTCGCGGGAGTTCCCAATGCGTCTCACTAGCTGCGCCAGTGGCTCGAATTCGGTGTCCTCGAGCTTCTTGATCTGCAAGTCGGGGCTGAAGAAGCCGGCCTTGAACCAATCATGCATCTCGAGCCCAGTCCATGGGCCCTGGATGTTGCCTTGAGGATCCCGGTAGATCCAACGCATCCTATCCGGCATAACCATGGTGCGCTGCTGAGAGGCAGGGATGGCCGAGCCAGGAGTCTGACTGGTAGGAATATCATGGCCACCCAGGTTAGGAATAGAGCCAACGGCCGAAACGGGCGTTTGAGAAGCAGGGGTTGAACCTGGGTGGCTCGCCTGGCCCGCCTTATCAGTTTGCGAAGGGTCGAGTCCATCCAAGCCCACAGAGTCGGGCCTGCCCTGCTCGTCCTGCATGGAAGAGAACAGAGCACCCAACTTGCTGGAGCGACCGATGCTTCCGGTGCCGGTCATACCGGTGTGGGGACTGAAGAGACCGCCACCACCGAGAGTTGACAGGCTTGGAGACTGAAGATCGCCCATAGAGCCAAAAATGGGATCACCGAAGCCACCACCAAAGGCAGATCGCTCACGAGTGGGCGTGCCGACGGCAGCTCCAGATGACCAAGTCGAGGCTCCACCCAGGGAAGACAGACCACCCAATCCACCGAGACCAGAGAAAGTGCGGTTGGCATTCACACTAGAATTCTGGCTGCGGTCCACTGCTGGGAGATCCATTCCTGAGCCGACCCGTCTCATCGAGCCAAAGGGGTTGGAGGAATCCCGAAGTCCGCTGAGTCCAGGATGCTGGGCCTGCTGGATATCCGATCCATCAGTATCAACATCCTCGGGTTCTGCGCGATCACCGTGACGATCGCCATGCGGGCTCTGGTAGGGATTGGTATTGGTCGGGCTGGTCGGTTCATGGCCCTGGAGAAGGCTGGGGGTTGGGTGCCGCGAGTTCTCCTGGCTTTGCATCAACTCGCGGAAGCCAGGAATGCTGGAGGTCATGCCGAATGCGCCAAATCCGAGGTCAGACTGAGCAGGACCTTCAACATCCTGAGACCCACCAAGAGCGGCACTGCCACTGCGAGGCTCGTCAAATGGATTGGTTTCACTTCGGTTGACACGAGTTTTGACAGCATCCCCCCAGGGCGACTGTGAGCGCCCATCGCTATCATTTTCAGCAAGGCGTTCAAGGTTGCTCATGGGCTTTTCCTTAGCGGAGCCAGCAATATCTTCGGAGCTATCCTTGGATAGCAAACCCTTAAATCTGCTTTCGCCCCGAAGACTTCCATAACCCGGTTTCTTTTCGGCCGTAGGTGTGCCGGAACCGGAGCCCAGGGAGAAAGCTCCAAAGGCGCCCATCGGGGAGAAATTAGCATTATGCGAAGCCGAGCCCCAAGGGGAGCTTGGTCCACTAACACCCGTATTGATGGGATTGGTGGTGCTGCGCTTGAGAGAGCCGAAGGGAGACGCAGGATCATCCCTGCTATCCTTGGGCTTCTCATCCACTCGGGGATTCGGGTCGCGGAAATCAGTTTTGCGACGCAACAGTGCCGGTGGGGGAGTAGAGGTGTTGCCCTCGTCGCGGAAGAATCGGGAATTGGAACCGGTAGGCGACATAGGATTGCCCATCGAGTCACCCGTTTCCCGGCGTCGAGGACCCGGGCGGCCGGCGGTGGGGGAGGAGGTGGTATAGTTATTGATATGGCCCTGAGGATAAGAGATGGAAGACTTGCGACCTCCGGTTCCTGGAATGACATTTTCCTTTGCGGCGTTGGTGGGCGGGGGCTTCAGAGGGGAATTGACCGAGGCGGCGAACATCTGTTAAGGTTTTTAGCAAGAGTATTCACGCAGACCAACAATATGATACAACACCGACCTCTCGCTCGTTCTCCGTCATACCCGTGATCCCGAGAGGTTCCACCTGGCCACCGTGATCCCAGCAAACCTCGGGCCCCGCGGAGTTGTTCTTGTGGTCATCCCGCTTCCCCCACGCTCCATTCACAGGAGCAGACACTGTGTGGGGATCCCAGTCGGCCACAAAATATTCCCCCACGTTCTTACTCAAAGATCCATCCTCCCGCTGCGATTTATACAGCTCTAGGAGTTCATCCTTGGAGTACCGGGCGTCCCCATTCCGTGCAATGCTAGAAGTACTTGAGCTCATGTGTGGAGGGATGTACGCGCCGCCGGCCGTCGGTGTCGAGGCAGATACAGGCTGGCTACTGTCCCGGTGGTGGGAAGGGTTGGTAGCAACAGAAGGACGACGGAAGGTCTGCGTAGCTCCGTTCATGCGGGTTCGGGACCTAGTGGGCATCGAACGTTAGCGTCGGAGATCTGGAGCTCAAAACATGGATGATCTCAATAGCTCGCAATGATATTGAGCCGATGCTATCGAGTAGCAGCTGACGGAGGGCGCTGGGTATACGGGACAGTGTTTGCGTACCATTCTCCGCCAGTCGAACCATCCCCTCTCCGGCTGGGGTCCTGGGTGTTGCCGGCAGCGGCCGAAGCGAAACTCGATGGAAGTGGTGTAGGCATTGTGGTAGAGAGGCTATTATGGTCGGATGTTGATCCCCCACGTAATAACCGATTCAAAGATAGTATGTCGCGAAACCTGTGGCGGGCTTGCAAGAGAATGTGTGATGCGAACGGGTAGGTCGCAGGACACGATGGAAAATTGGGTAGAGTTGGAGGCTGACAGCTAGAAGCTAGTCAATCGATAAAGTGGAGAGCTGTAAGAGAGGTAATGCAGATATGCGAGCGCCAGACTAACAAGGTCGAGAAGAGAGAGATCGAGTTTCGATTTCGCTTGGGAAGTTTCCTGGAGCAAAAATGATTAAGCGGCGCCGTGGCAATACGCGTGCCTTGCTCGTAAATACCAGGTACCAGATTTCTGATAATCGCGTGATTTGCGGCCTGGAGCCGCTCCAGCGCTGTGTATTGCAATAACCAAACTTACATACCGCCAAGAGCTGGGTACTGGATACACGCACAACACTGTGTCTTCACGCTCGCCCAATTGAACGTGCTACCTCTTTGGCTCAGACTCTACCCAACTCCAAGCCAATCGAGAACCAAATTAAGACACTTTGTATATGAACCTACAAAGACAAGAACAGAGGCTTCAATAAATTGGAAGAATCTTTGAGCCTGAATCTGACTTTCCCATCCTTCAAAGCCTAAAAAGCTATAGATAGGACCTACGTATGCAGGACTTGGGCGGCTTGACGCAAACAGAATGGAGTGGAAGTAACGAAGATAGACATGTATCCCCACTACCACCACGCTCCCCCTATGATTGGGAGGTCAGCTGCTTTCAACCAATTCACCGAACGAGCACTATGTGTGATTGGATTGCTACCGGCTTCTTAAGTCTCTTTCACAATACAAAGACCGTCTAAAAGTTCCACAAATGCAAGAGAGGGGGTGTTGCAGTGCATCCAATACTATCCCTTTCTACCCAACCTCTGCAATGCTAGGCAAACATCCCCTAGCTCCAAAACATTCAACGTTTTTGATGTCTTGAGATTTGGCCTAGAGTCCGGTTGATTTAAGAATCCCATTATCGGCTGTGCCTGTCAATAGGGCTAGAACATTGTCTCATTCTTTGTAGAGCTCTAAGCCTCTGCATACTACCTAACCCCCAATGTTTGCTCTACAGATACTTCATTTCTATACCGACTACAATGCGTTTTTCCCCTGGCCTTTGACTGGTTTCAGTAACGCAGAGACACCACAAAATAACACAATGAATGTCTCGGTCCAAATTATCATGATGGGCGGCTCAGTGTCACAGCTTCATAGAGATCATCAAGACTCTATAAAAGTCGCCTACTTCTCTCCGGCAATTTCCTCTTTGCGCTCTTTCGCTTCAAGACAGTCTAGGTACTTGGGTTTCTATGAACTTTAAGTGACATTGCACCACAAAAGTCATCTCTTTGTCATTTTTCCAAATATCCAAGAGCTCGTGACATCTGTTCAAAGAGAATGAGGCGGTCCCGATTCACCGGACGGTCCAAACCCAAAGATACACAATTTGGATGGTACTTTGCTGGCGAGCCGATGGACAAAAAACATCCGGGAAGGGGCCAAATCAGACTGGTACGCTATGGGCCCGAAATGGAAACTTGCGCCCATAGTCGATGCCCGTCTCCATCTCCCACTCCAGAAAAGGCACGTTGTTCCTGCCCTCACTGTGAGATTCATTCCAATGCAACACGCTCTCCTTCGCCAAGCAACAGTGAATTCTCTGGCTATGACCCAGCCAAGACCTGTTGCGGTGGATGCCACGCTATCAAACGGGATCCCGAGCCCTCTTCACATGCGGAGAAAGCACATTGCTCCTGTAACCAGCAGTGTCAGCTTCACCCAAACGAGACACGCCCATTCACACCAAGCAGCAGTGAATATTCCGACTCGGAATCTACCACACAATGCCATGGCAGCTGTCATCGGTGGAAAAGCGAGCGTTATTTCACCGACACACGTCCCACCACGGTAAACAGCGGCCACTTTTCGGATCAAGAGCCGATCAGAAAGCGCCGCAGTGGTCATCCCACTTCAAAACGGGAGCCAGAACACTCTCCACGGGTGGAGCAGTGTCAATGCGAAGCCCATGCATCTCCCAACATACCTGCTGTATCAAATCCCAGATTCACTTCTCCGCGTGCATCAGCCATGGCAGCACCACGCCCAGCCTCGACGGGTACCCCTCACCACCAATGTCGCAAGGCATCTTATTGCGAAACCCACCCAGAGACTTGCCAAGCGTTAAGGTCTGCTCATGTCTCAAGGGTGAGGTCGATGCCAATACCGGCACGCTCTCCCGAGATTGGTGAAGCCCGGCCGAATGAAAAGCCCCGGCGCAGCCGCCGGGCTGAAACTGTTCAGCCAGAATGCACCTGCAGACGTTCCCCATCTCCGGCCAAGCAAGCGCCTCCCTTGAGACCTGTGTCTGCCTCTAAGCCTGGATCTCTGAGGCCCGATAGTCTGCATTGCAACTGCCACATGGATGGGTATTATGCCGATGACTCTGGATACTACACTACTTATGATGATGACACTGTATCTGATGCCGATGCCTCGATCCAAGCAACGAGTGGTCATCTCAGAACGGATGATGAGTCAAATGAGTCAAACTGTGTTTATTATCACCGTTGTCGTCCGAAGTTTGAGTGCGGTATTGGTTGGGTATGCGGAAGGAAGTGAACGTTGTCTGCTTCTGTGACTTGCTTTTTCTTTTTCATTCTAGAAAAGACAGGTTATCTGTGTTAGTTTCCTATTGATGCTTCGCTCTTGTTTCTGATGTGTTGTACTAAACTTTCGATTTTGCTTAAATGTCTAGAAAAGCTCAAAATTTTCCTTTGTTATGACTCCAAACTACCACAATGGGATAAAATAGCCTGATAAGATATAGATGCAAGTTTGATGATGTTTTTTTTAGCATACGTATAGTACCTGCTTTGTGGTCTTGTTGTGGTCTTTTCAGCCCTGTTGTCTCTATTCATGGGATAACCAGATGCAGATTGTATTTATGGAATATTAATAACAATCCAGCTATACTGGGCAGGTATGGGTTGTTACTGTAGGCACTTGAGATGCACGTCACACTTGTATATATCACTATCGGAACTCACTCCCCTTCGAGAGATTGATAAAAGAGGTCTTATGTTTACTTTCTGCCACCCCCGATGAAGTTAAATGTAGGAGAACGGGACTACTATTCCTGGGGTCATAAGTAGGCGCTGAGCTCAACTAGGTAGAGAAAAGCCTAGCAATGAGGCAGCTTAGTGCCGTGGGTAGGATCCCATAAGTGAGAGCAATTTATTCTCCCGCTGAAATCATAGTTTGAATTAGTTCCATGATATTGATAGCCCAGCACCTGTTTATCTTTTGTTCGAGAGTTGTTGGTGTGTCGCTCGGAGCTATATTTATGGAAGATGGAGAACTAGATAGCCGACGACACATTCAAAAGATTCCAAACCCTCTCTCCTCATCCAACGGTAAACCGAGAAACATACAGGCTCAATATTTACTCAACGGAAGGATAGAACCACAGCTTTCATCCATAGTAAATATCCTTGAGTGCATGTGGTTTCGGGGATTCGGCCACACAGTCGCGTAATCAAGAGACCTCGGTCCCGGGGCCCCGGGATTGATAAGCGGCTCCTCTCCCCGCACGAGATTGTCCGGGTTGAACTCATTGAGCTCAATCGATTTCGACAAAACCTCTTTATCTGAAGTATTAAAAAAAGATGTCTAAAGCAATTTTCATAGACCCAATTGATGGCAAACCTGGCAAGCCAGGCCAAGTCTATTACCCGCTGTCCCTACGCACCCAGCCTATGCCTTCCCCGCAAGGGAGTGAGCTACTGGTGAAATTGACTGCCGCAGCACTCAACCACCGCGACCTTTTCCTCCGTCAACACCTCTACCCCGGCGTGACCTTCGATGTGCCCCTGCTAGCAGATGGAGTGGGAATTGTGGTCGGAACTGGGCCTAACGTGCCCACCCCAGACAAATGGCACGGCAAGCGAGTGATCTTGAACCCTGGTCATGGTTGGAAGGATTCCCCCGATGGACCGGAGGCGGTGGGTGGATACAAGATTTTGGGAGGCACAAAGTTCTTGAATAAGGGGACGTTGCAGGAGTATATCACCATCGATTACTTGGAGGTTGAAGAGGCCCCTGAGCACCTCTCGAATGCTGAGGCGGCGGCTCTACCCCTGACGGGCTTGACCGGCTGGAGAGCTCTGGTTACCAAAGCCGGTGAAAGGAACTCTGGCAACGGCGCTGCTATCTTGGTCACCGGAATTGGTGGCGGTGTGGCTTTGATGGTGCTGCGCTTTGCTGTTGCCCGAGGTGCGCATGTCTTCGTGACGAGCTCAAGCCAGGAGAAGATTCGACAGGCTGTTGAGCTTGGTGCGGCTGGTGGTGTCAATTATAAAGAAGAAGGCTGGGAAACGAAATTGTTGAAAATGCTCCCGAGCGGGAAGACAAAGTTTGATGCTATTATCGATGGTGCCGGTGGTGATTCTGTTGAGAAATCCATCAAGTTGCTGAAGGTGAGTGCCACAACAAGACGTATCATTGAATGCGGATTCAAGTACTTACTTCCATAGAATGGCGGTATTCTCTCTGTCTATGGTATGACTGTGTCGCCTAAGATGCCATTCACAATGCCGGCTGTCCTTAAGAATATCGAGGTCCGCGGTTCCACCATGGGCTCCCGCAAGGAATTCAATGAGATGATTGCATTCGTCAATGCTAAGAAGATTCACCCCGTGGTGTCGCGAGTGCTGCAGACCGAACTGGACGATTTGTCTGCGATCGACGGGTTGTTTGAGGAGATGAAGAATGGCACACAGTTTGGTAAATTGGTGATTGAGTTTGGCAAGTCCACGGGCAGTAAGCTTTGAACATATCCTTGCTACGATTCCCATGAAATCATGATGCCTATATCCTTATCTATACACATATACGACATCAAATGAGATAGACTGAACAGCAACCACGAGGTTATTCGTACCTTCCCAACATAACACCACAAGATTGGATCATCTGAGGTTGCATTCAAACGGTCTCAACATGCTCTCGTCAATTTCACTTCCCATCTTCTGTTATCTCACATCCGATCGAGTAATCGAAACTCGAATTCGCTCATTGTATAACCATCCGTCCATTCATTTTCGACTCAACCTCCGTCATGAATTCGAAAAAAGATCATATATCCGCTCGACGAGTCTCTCGCTCCGTTCCATGCGGTCATGACCATATGTTTCATGTGTCGGACACCCGCCCTATCCTAGACGAGACGTGGAATGAAGACAGCTTCCAGGTATCGCCACAGAATGAAACGTTGATGCTATCGGACGTCCTCTCGGCGCTAACTATCAATGTAGTCCTTTGATGCCACTCACTATGCTCTGCAATCTCTGAACAAACACATTGAACGAAGACTGGCAAAGTTGCAAGCCAATACCGTCCGCTTGAAGCGTGAACTGTGGCTGCTCCAGCGACATGTCAAGGAATTCCGCCATCCTCTTTTTGAGAACTGGGAAGCCGACATGCTTACCCGTCTCATCGAGGTTGCACACGCCAACCAGTATCAGAAGCTACCTGGCGGCATCGTGATCGGACAGCCCTCGTTTGCTGAGCGTGAACAACTCACCCATGCGTATAGCACTGTGGCAAAAGGTATCCGTATGCACACTCTTCGCAAGCTCGGTCTATCGGAAAAGTATCACCAGGCTCTGCAGCGATATCCAGAAGTAAGTCGCCGCTGTGTTCATCTTAGTCCAATGTATTTTGGTTAAGACCCGTTAACATGGATTAGATCGCTCCCTACCGAAGCCCGAACCCGTATATGACAGAGTTCGCATTCGCCAAATGGCTGATCGAGGAGAAGGACAACAGACCAGAACTATATGGGTTCTGGTCCAAGTTGTTCCCCATCTGCTATAACCGCAGCGTCCAAGAGAGCGCCTCCATTTTCTAGGGGATAAAAAGATCATCTCATCACTCTGTTCATCCCTTCCCGATATAACTTCCTTCTCGCGCTGGTCGTGGAGATAGAATATTCCCAATGGGTTGTTTGGTGGGTACACCAGTACTTTGTTCTTGATGCAGGTTCTCTTTCTAAGAGTCCGCGGGTCACTGCTCAACATTCCGGTCTGCCGTGTACGGCTATGGTCACGAAGTCTCATCTCAGCTTACACATTGGCATCAGCCCTATCCTTACTTCTGGCAAATTAGAATGCAATGCTTTTTGGGTCTATGCCCTTGATGCATATCATAGGTTCCAGACACAGCCCTAATCGATTGAGCTGGTAGATGATCACTAAACTAAGATCATAGGTATCATGATCGACGGCTTGCATGTCACCCATTAGTCGAAGGATTACTACGGTTGCATTAGGACCTTGTGAAAGTAGCCAATGGAGCTAGTATTTAGCGGCACAAATCATCATATCCCACCATCCATCTCGGCACAATCTCATATCATTGGCAAATACTGCGTATCAACCCCAGCCCGCCCTAGCCGTGTGCGGCTGGGACAGCCCGTCTCAACAATCTCTACTCCGTAACGGGCTAAGCGCTAGACCAGCAGAGCCCCTTTGATCGACTAAATAGTCAAATGGTGGCCTAACGACATCCAAAGATAACCAGCAACACACAATTATCACCAAATGCTCCATCCAGTGAGAGTTAACGTTAACGTCAAATCGCAGTCCCTGCTCCGTATGCACACCACGTTTTCGCTCGGCAACAATCGCACTTTCCATTTGCCATGTTAAAACGGTTTACACTTGCGCCACTTGCTTTTGACGGCTCGACTTGGCGGATAGTTGGTTAACGGGCTTCAGGGTCTACCAAACCTTGGTTCACCCCGACTTGGGTGTTCCGAGAGGCCTAAATTATGGGCTTTTAATGGGGCGTTGGCTTTTACTGCGACTGTGACTATGTGGGACTAGGCTGGTAGTGTGCTTTCGGTCGCACTGCTACTGTGCCTTTTTGGATTTGCCTCTATAGGGCATTTGTAAGAAAGAGATTTTCAATGTGTGATGTTTTGGTGCTGCAGATACAAGTTTCTTCTTTCCTCCTTTTCTGTTTTTTTCTTTGCGCTAGTTCAGATGCAGTTTACTAGCTTCACTCCACGGTGTTAGGTGCCTAGGTGATACCTACGTTTTGTGTTGTACATAATGTACGGAGTACCCAGGAAAGAGGGTCACTATGTACCATCTTAGCTTAACTCTCAATACTCAATCAAGCCAAACTTAACAGCCCATAAGCACATTAGGGGAAAAAAAATCAAGTTATATACCGGACCGTCAGATAGGAACTACCGAGGCTCGCCCAATATGGTTGCTGCCTACCTTGGCAGATATCCATAACCCATGTCCACATTGGGTGAGGGGGACCCATTTGGAGTACTCCCCTTCGAGATAGCGCATGGAATATAAAAGAAGAAAAAAAAAGTGGAGGACGACGGGCACAAAACTACCCCCCAACGCAGGGTTCAGTCGGATCCGAGGATATCCTGATGGGGTTGCATCCCAAACTATCTAGCCACTAAGGGTGGCAAACTTCATTTGGATTGGTATGCGTATAGGTGAAAGCTGGCAAGGTTCTTTTGACTTGTTAAAAGGTCAAATAAAAACACGTGCTCGGAAGGAAATGGGTCCCGACATGTCGCGCTAAGAAGAAATAATATGCTTGCGCGTGGTGATTGGGTGTGGTGTGGTGCTCCATTCGGTTCACCGAGGTGTTCTAGCGTGGCAGCTCGGTGGTATATGGGGTTGGAGAGAGTTGGATTCTTGACATATGCTTGGAGTTGGATGAGGCAGTGATCAGAATAGACTTGGAGCTTGGGAGATAAGATGTTTCATGGTGTTGGGGTGTGGATTTGGTAGACGCGATCGGGGTGCGATCATCAACCTGAAACGCTCATACTTCGCGCGATGGTTTCAATCTCGTTACTGGACTGGGGGTCTAGCTTTGATTGACCTTGATATGGAATATAGCTTTCAGAGTGCTGGGGCCGGAGAGTTTCGATTCCAGTGGGAATCTCGATTCGTTGTGGTGATTTATACAACTTAGGTACTAAGTCTACAACAAGCACAACCACACCAAGAATAGCAACCACAATCCATCCCAGTCTCTTATATGTATATTTGCATCTAGAGGAATGATACTCCGTATATCTAATTGCTTATACTGTAATTTTCACATGAATTATCGCGAATACCAAAACGCCATGATCTCACCTCCAACTTCTCCCGGCCATGTTTCAAGAAGCCCAATTTGGATCGTCATGTTTCAAGAAGAGGATGAAGAAATGTCTCAGCCCCCGAATCGTCTGTAGCAAATAGCTTCACCAGGTACGGAGTAAGAAAGTCCACTTTCTTCACACTGATAAAAATAAACCTAGTGTGAGAACGTAGTTTCACCTAAAGTTGGGTGATGTGGGGAAGAACGAACAAAGATAGCAGAGCTCAAATTACCTGTGGGCATCTTGCCTTAGGTCTAAGACATCAGATAAGATTTACAGCAGAACGTCTGGAATAGAGGCATTTATCACCTACACCGTAGGTCATATATACATGCAACAGACACAAAAGAAATGGAGAACCACCCAACTTAGCATACGATCAACAGAGTCGAAGCGGAGGGATTCCTCGTATCGCACTGGAGATGTCTTTGATAAAAAAAAGAGGTGAGACAAGCCCATCCATCCTCTCCCCTCTTTCCACACTGAAACATACGAGCTTCAGATGAGTGGCTTCGACTCAGATGCCACGGGAAGAAGCATCGCTGACGATGCCCTCTTGACCAAGCATCTGTCCTCCCCGGACTGTGTCAGTAGACGATAGATATTATTAGCCTGATCCCCTGTTGCACATTGAAACCTGACCGCCAGTCTCCGCAATCATTGACACCGTAGCAAGAACGACGCGAGCCTCGTGTCCACTTGTGGTTCCTCATACGGAGTAGTGGTGTGCCCATTACCATTATGGCAATCCAGACAAGCTTCAACGTCCAAATGACCAAGAACGACGCACTGGCTTCGGACAAGAACGGCCGCTAGCACCCTCACCGCCCGAGGTGAAATAGTGCGCCACCGCGCCCATTTCCACTTATTGGGATACATTCACTGGAGGACGCTAGATACTTAATTGCCTCGGGGAAGGAACCGAATTGCATTTAGCGTTCAGTCATAGGTTAGTCTCCCCGGAGCCGGGAACGATATACGGAGTACGGAGTACCCAGTGCACTAGCTAATTTTGCTCCGTAACAAGCTAAGCAGGTTAGAGGTTAGAGCTAGCAACGACGGCTGCCACCGGCGTAGCAGTCCCTGTGAGTGGGTAGCAAGGACGGGGCCAATGACAGGGGTTCTCATCACTGCGATGAGAGGATTATTAGCGAATGAGGCTGGTCAGCCGGGGGCGATCGTGGTTGTAGGGGGGTTAAAATGAGTCGGAGACATGCAGGTGATTTCCGGACTATGATTCGTGTTTTTTTGGTGTTTTCAATCCACCATTCAGCGAGGACAGTGGCCAATAAATCCACTCAAAAGCCAACAGACACGGATCCGCTCGTTGCATATGGCCCCCAAAAAACGTGCCTCTTCCATAACGATCGACACATGTACAGATACAGATACATATGTATTTCTCTCTCCTCTCCGGAGTACTCCGCAGAACAAAATGAGAAGTGCTCCGTAGCCAAGCAACCGAGCCAACTCCCAATCTCCAAAGTGGGTCCATCTCACATTCCTCACGATGCAGGCCAAACACACATCGACAAAGCCAAGAACTGCTTCCCACGCGACACAAAATTAACCCATCGAGGATCACCGTTTGCTCTCCCCCTTTCCACAAAAAAAAAATCAAACAGAAGAAGCTGAGAGGAAAATGTAAGGGTGGCTCCAGGGCATAAAGGATCAAAGAAAATCTGGGTGACCGTCGTCTCTAGTGATGTTTCACTCCCCGAGAATTTCCCTAATCCACGCACCAATCCCATCCCATGATACAGCAAGGTCCCTGCACCCTTCCCTAAGATTAACCAGAGAGCTGAAGCTGTGGAAATCAGTCCCAATAATTTCAATAGTCCTTCCTCAACTCGTGCATGCAAGTATGGCTCCACACGTAGAGAGGCACAGGGCACGAGTGGCGAGATCACGGACATCTTATGGACAGATACCGAGTAGACAGACAGGCAATAGGGCGGCCGTACCTGCATTGAATACAGGGGGTTTTTTCCCTAGGGTTCTGAGGTCAAGGGAGGACTCGGCCAAGTCGACGTAGGAACTACATATGTACGGAGTAATATCGTCAATGGTTCCATTTAAACTTCGGGATCCGCGGGGGGTTTTGCCAGGCGAAATGATACGGAGTAACGGAGTAACGGATAAAGGGTTAAAACGGAGAACATCAACTAATAAAAATAAATGAAAAACGGAAAGCCCCGATGGTATCCGAAGCCCTAGATATCCATCATAATAAAAATGGATCTCTGGGTCCTCTTCCAATAATAGTGCACCAGGACCCAACGGAGCATCCAAACGGAGCAGGCGTCAAACAAGGTTGAAGGTCCGATGGCCTACGGAGGATCCACTTTTTATTTGGAAGCATGGAAGCTTGGAAGATCCCTTGAAGCGAACGGTCCTAAACGCTAGTGAGACGGAGATTGGTCAAATGGGGAAGACTATAAGCTCTGCTCCCTGCGTTCTATTGGTTTTTGCGTTCGGATCTTTTCTTGTTTGGGGAGTTGGGTTTTCGATGTGGGGACTCGAAGATGCTTCCGAAGATTGGCCGATCGAAGATGCAAACGCACCTGCAGATTGGGGGAAATGGGTTGTAAACGAAATTATCTACGGAGGACTCCGTACTCCGAATTGGTGTGGGAGTTTCCAAAGGGATAATTACCATATTAGAAAAGTCCTTGGATTATCCCGCACAGGTTCCTTGCTCTGTTAGTTGTTCAGGGTGGTTGGGAGGTGGCTGGGAGTACTCCGTACACATGGATATGAACATTTGGATAGGCGTGAATGGTCGTACTGAATAGGGAACATCATTAAGTAGATAGTATGAAATAGCAAGGACTAAAGTGGAAGGCACTGAATAAGAGTACACATCAAGAGATCTGAAAAACCCCGTTTCGGACGTGATCGCTGAATTGAAGCTTCGTGGACAGATCGCTGATCATGGCGCGCTCCACCGCCGCTCAACCCCGAAATTGAAAGTTAATGTATGGTACATACCAATGGGGCCCTGTTGTTAATTTTGGCGAGTCTTGACACATTATGTCTATTTTGGTGATTCACTTGTCCACTACTCCATACGGAGTGTATATCGTCCTCATACCCCAAGCATACAATTATGTTCACAATTGTGCCTCGGGATGTCTTCAACGTGGCAAAATCGCGGAGTTTACCGACATTCCATATCTTATCGATTTACCCCCCCCAAGACGCACCTGTAAGTCCTCCGTACGGAGTAACAACAAATACATTTCATCCCCCCTGTTTGCCGCTTTCCTCCATTGGTGGCTGATTCTGCACGAAATAATAAACAAGAACGACAGCTGTGCAGCCAGACCGTTAAGGGGTCTCATTAGGGTTAGCGCGGTCTTTCAACAGCATCTTCATTTAGAAATAACTGCTTTCCAATAAATGCTGCATAGCTTACACTCTTACACGTATGATATTATCTTGGTGACCAAATTGGAAGAGACCCTTGCCCCAGAACTTAACGCAGGCCATTGATGGTACGTTTCCATTTGCATCCAGACTCGCCTTTGCATCTGTAACAATAACATGGTTGAGGTTGTTACGGAACGGCAGACATTAATGCACCATTCAGGTCATCAACTGGAGAACAATGATCTCCTGTGCGTTGTTTAAAGATTGACTTGATCGACAGGGCCTGAGTCCGTGGCCTGGGGGTCGTTGGGCTGGGAACTGCATACCTACATACGGGGTATCCGTACTCCGTACTCCGTAGAGGTACTTTTACTCCAACAAATGACGTGGATTAGTAGATGATCACCAATCAACTAGTCATCGGCATCTCCATATTGCATATTAATTAAATAAGCTCGCAGACTGCATGAATAATATATTATAAGCTCGATCCCCGAGTTAGCGTCAATGATCCCAAGGCAACGGCAGTTAGGGCTAACAAGGTCACAAGGGCAGAGCGATGATAGATGTCACCTCGGGTGCTCGGGTCCTAAAGTTGATCCCCCGATCGGGTTTAGAGGAGGGCACTGGCAGAACCAATCACAGCCCGGGACCCTTACATAGTCAGGCCACCGAGTCACCTGAAAACTGCAAGGTGTGCTATACTTAGACCTTCGTGTTCAGGCTCTCGTTTCTGGAAACCTTAGCTTGGTTTGGTGAGATGGCCAAGGCGAATGGGTTACTTTGGTATTTTGCCTTATCTTTTCGATTTCTATTTGCATCAGATGACGGATACACACCAATTGATCATGCATTCCACGATGTCGAGAGTTTCTGGCAAGATCTGGGGACTGCGTTCGCGCACCTGTGGGAGGAACTTGTCATGGAAGTTTTGTACACTTACATACATGGTGCAGCCTCGTGTCGGGGTAAGAAGGGAATTATCATATTGACCGGCATGACGACACGAGCCCCGAGCTTCACGGACCCTGTGTGAAAGGAGATCGGGAGTGGAGCATCTGGAGAAAATAGAGGTGCGCCCTTGAAGTTCTTCCACTGGTTTGGTTTGACACGGGTGACCCAAGGGTCGGTGCAAGGAAGGATTCCGACAAAGGGGGTCCTGAGATCTTACATCGCATATGGAGTATGGAGGACGGACGACCTACAAATTTACGGAGTATGCAGTACGGAGTACGGAAGACACAGTAAGGGAACGTGTCATTGGATCAAAAAAAGGTTCCGCAGATGAATAAAAAAAAAAAGTACCCGAGGCTCAGGAAGCTGAGGTAGGGGGGCTAATTATACCCAGGAGAGAAGCAAAAGGAAGAAAGAAAAAAAGAAAAAAAGAACATAACAAGGCTGTCGGTGAAGCTTTCTGATTGGCAGGGATATAGTAAGAGAGGAGCCCGCTCGGAGAGAGTGCTCGTTATAGACACAATTCCTGATTGGCTAGACCTTGGCTTTGACATGGATCTTGTTCAGGGTTACAGTCCTCTCCCCTTTCGGAAAACAATCAGTGAGGCTATGCTCGTGAAGTCACCGGGTAGAAAAAAACAACACACAACGGCGGATGGAGTACGGAGGACAAGGGTAACCCTCGGACTAAATCCTATAAGGCAATTCTTGTTCTGCAGACATATCTTTTTCCCTAATTTCTCCACTTTTCTCTAGCGCAGACCAGATGGAGGCCCCGAGGACATTACCACGTTTCTATTCCTGCCCGATCTTATGCCTCGCAGAAATGGTCACTCGGTAGGTTCCAAGGAGTTCAACCCAGGAGAGAAAAAAAAAAAACCAAGATCCGGCTAAGAAAAGAATATGGTGGATCTGACCGGTCGGACACCCCGGAAAGCATAACAGTCGGCTTCTAGTGGCTTCCGAGGGTGTAATCCCTTCAGTGCTCAAGACTCGAGACTCGAGATAATTATAACCAGAGCGTGTACCGTGGTACTCTGTACCACGTACCTTGCACATTGTACATTGTCCTCCGTACATCGTAAGGTAATATCCAATTGATGCCAAGTTCTCCCCCCTCTGTGCATCCCCCGCCACGATTTCCCACTAGTCCCTTAGTCTGCCCATTTCGAGGGCGCAATTTAAATGAATTTGGGGCCCGAAATACTATTATTCATAATTCTGAATTAATCCATTTATAAGAGGGAATAAATAATTAAAAAAAAAACCAGGAAAAAGCGGAAAAAGAGGAAAAAAATCTCCACACTTGACTTTCTACAGTTAGGCCCGTAAACGATTGTACTCTGGGCTAATAATAATCCTCTATAATCCTCAATCCTCGTTGCTTTTAACCCTTCTGGTCCCATTTTCCTTGCATCCCACTTGGATCTCTTTCTCCTCTTCCCCCCCTTCTTGATTTATCATGACTTTTTAGTCACACATTCGCTCAACCACGTTCGCTCTTACGCTCGCTTACCTGCTGCTACGAGAACCACGTTCGCTACGTTTGAATAAACCTGCAGAAATCCCGGAAATAAAATTCGCCAATAGTTATAATCCTTAATTTCGGGTCGCCTTGCTGGGAAAAAAAACCCTTTTCGATTTCTTTGGGGCTTTCGAAAACCCTGATTCGGATCTAAGGGAGAGTGTGTCGTGTTATTCGTCCGACACTGCGTTTGCGCAGATATCTCTGTAGATCCCGTTTGTTCGGTCCCGTCTTGAACCTCCAACGTTCAATATCGAGAGAGAGAGAGAGGGAGAGAAAAAAAAGGACCTGTTGTCTATCGCATCGACTTTGTACTGGCGGCCATTTTCCCCCGGAACCTGAAATTGAACCAATCGTCCGTCTTGTCTCGGCTGAAGACACCAGTCGATCCAGCATCTGGTGGAAACGCTACCCTCTGTTTGGAAGGGTGTCAGAGTCATTTAGTGCAATATTGCCAAAGGCCATACGATTGAGGAACTATTCTGGCAGATCAGTTCATCAGCTTAAGGTTAGTGTCAATGGCTCCACTCCCTCCCTTTGCCCACGGTCTCACTTGTTTCCCCTCGTGCCTTGCATGCGCCCTCTTTCGGCCTCTTGTTCTGTGATCTCCTTGCAGCCGGAGGGTTGTATCATCTGGAATATACCAACGACTGGAAACGATGTCGTCGGAAAGCCCCGTGCCGCTCTCGTCTCCCCGGCAAGTGTTTGTTGTTGACATTCGACCCTCTGTTTTCAGGTTTGATGACCCTCGGATCTTGCATATTATCTGGAAGTCAACAGCAGAATTTGGTCTCAGTTCAGAGCTTCCTTTTACTTTCTTCTGACACATCTCGGTGAGTTCATTCCCCTAGCTGAGAAAAGCCTATGCACCGATCCGGTTCCCATAGTCTGGAAACGTTTCTCGTATACTCATTTCGTTGAGTAGCCTATCATCGTGATCGTGGTTCATTGTCGTCCAATCTGCTTGAAGTTTTCCCGAAACACCTCGCGGATCAAGGAAAGAAAGAAAAGCGAAACCTACCCAGTCCGGACTCATTGCTTGTCCTCCGTCAGTCAATCTCGCCTCTTTCCGTCACAATTGGCGGTGGAGATTTCCTGGACATCGCCTGCTAAGCGACTTCTTTGGGCTCTTTATGAACTTGTGGGCACTACGGTCGAGATCTGAGTCTATTTCTGCAGCCTGCCGTTCCTAGTCTCAGTATTAGTCGTTGATTGCTGGATGGTGATTCGAGGCCTTTTGTTGCCGCCATTTTTGTGAGACTGACAGCAGCTTCAATCTCGTCGCTCGTTCTGTCTCGGAGAGCACTCCATTATTGCTTGTGCTTTTCGACCTACAATCGTTTAGAATAAATTCCCAGTCATTCGCTTCAGAAGGTTCTGTCTCGTTGCACTTGCTGCAACATCTTCAAGCTGGCTTACTCGAAGACACACGGTGTTTTGGTAAGAATCCCCAGTCCAGTGACTTGTCTCTCTTCTTCACTTGTGGATGCCCGCATGTTTTGCCCGCTTCTTCCAATCCCAGCCCAGAATCCTGTTTGAACCTTCTCAACCCTTGCCCCATCAACCTGTTCCTGTGCACAAGAAACCTTCCGGCTGACCTGTCTCTTCTTGTTCCGTTACAGTTCGACCCAGATTTTCAAACGCCTCTCATACTCGGCGAGTCGTTGGATCTGTCGGACTCAGAAGAGTCGCAATTTGTCGGTGCATTTTCGGACGGCCTGTGGGCCAAGTCTGAACCCATATTGTCCATGTCTGCTTTCCAGAAGCCCGCAGCTGGCGCCATTATAGGTAAGTGGTGTCTGAAGCATCTTTCTTTTTTTTAAAAAAAGAAATCGTGTGTTGGAGACATCCCATGCTAAGACCAAACGCAGATTACGGTTCCACACGATCTCTGCAGGATGCTGCTTCTTACTCGAACTACGGTCAATCGCCTTATGTGACGACCCCGATGGTTCCCTCGCCCATGGCCGACCAGGCAAGTCAGATCTCGGACTGTGTGCCGTATCTGCCCAATGAGTATGCAAGCTCCTACGAAGAGTCTCAGTCACCCATGCTGGGTGCACGCAACCGCCAGCTGCCCGAGATTGTGACGTACAGCCCCCAACGGGGAAGTGAAGGAACCCGGGTGATGGTCCAGATCCAGTGCCCCTATGACCTCCACACTTCCACATACGCCGCCTTGTACGTGGTTTTCGGCACCAAAAAGTGTGAATCGCTTCCGCACTTCCTCGGTTTCCAGGGCTCTGCGTTCCAGTACGGTCTCTCCGCTGATGTACCTGCATTTCTCTCTACTGGATCCCCATCTTTCGCTGTTCCCCTCTCCGTCTCAATGGAGAGCCAGGACGACTGCCCTCCTACTTCCCTGCAGGTCGGTGTATACACCTATGAGCAGGCTTCCCAGCCTTCGCCGCCGATGGATTCCCGCAAGAGAAAATTCTCCTCCTACTCCGATGTCACTGTGGCACCCTCCGCCAAGCGCCACAACGGATCTGTGATTCCCAAAGTTGAGCACCACGAGGGCTATCACAGTCGCTCCGTATCCGCATCTTACTCCCCCTACCTGCAGCCTCTCCCCGCCATGGCCGGATTTGTCGCACCATACCACGCCGCATCCTCGCCTCAACCTGGCCCTGGCCAATACACTACTGTGTCTGCCACTCCTCAACCCGCCCTCCGTGTCCCCTCTCCGATCACCCCAGCCTGGAGTCCTTCCTACGTCTCTGTGAACGGTGATGGTCGTAACGCAGGCCTCGCGCTGTCACACGGTGTAGCTCAACACAAGGGCCCTTCCCAACGTGGATCTTCAAACCCCACTCTCATCCGTACTTCCACCATTCAAACCAGCACCATCTCCCACAACGCAACCTTCAACCCTTACGCGATGTACCCCACCAAGGCTATTCTCAAGCTTAATGGTGACCTGGATACCATGACACAAGGCTGGTCGAAGGAAGAGCGTATCTGTCAGCGCCGCCTGGTTCAATTCACCCGCTCTCAAAGTGGCAGCACCATCCAGGGTGAATTCAAGGCCGTTACTCCAGAGGATCGCGCGCCGAGCAGCATCTGCATCAGCTGCATTTCCTGGGACGATAAGGATGAGTGCTATGTCACCAGTGTGGATACCATCTACCTGCTTGAGTCTCTTGTTGCTGTGCGCTTCACTGTTGAAGAGAAGAACCGTATCCGTCGCAACCTCGAGGGCTTCCGTCCCCTGACCGTCTCCAAGGCGAAGGCTGACAGCGAAGAGTTCTTCAAGCTCATCATGGGCTTCCCTGCTCCCAAGCCCCGCAACATCGAGAAAGATGTCAAGGTCTTCCCCTGGAAGGTCTTGAGCCATGCACTCAAGAAGATCATCGGGAAATACGTATGTTTAGGAAAACCCGCGACTCGTTATGATAAATTACTAACTTTTGCTTTCTGTCTAGTCTGCCAGCTACTCCTCTACCGCTGGTGCCCTCCCCACTCCCATTACCTCGAACTACGCCAGCCATGGTACTGGTTCTGATTCCGGTACCGAGCCTCATGCCAATTCCCCACAGTCCATCTCCGACACTGGTGCCGGGAACACATACACTGCCATGTCTGTTCAGGCATACTCCCAGGCAGATCACTCCTCCTCTCACTTGTCTTCGGCCCCTGATCTCCGGTCCATGGCTGCAGTGACTCAACCCTATACATCTGTGGGTGCATACTCGTACCCAGCCAATTGCCACCCCCACAATGGCCACGGCCTGGTAGCCTCAGCTCCCCGTCCATCTTGGGATATGCACACTCTCGGCCCCAATACCCCTCACACTGGCGCCCCAGGCAACGGTGCATGCTACACCTACCTGGACCCTGGGTACTCCATGCATGATGCGGCTCACGGCCATTGATCATCTCCTGGCTGGACCCGCAATTGATTTTGGACTGCGTTCTTCTTCCCTTCTATATTCATACTTCCCTACCTTTTTTTCTTGCAGATACGATTTTTCTTCCCCTGTCGCTCCTTCTCAAGCCCAGATACCGGGCTGCCAGCCCACCACTCGGAACGTCTCTCCTGACCCGAAAGGGTCGGAAAGAGTCCTCTGTCTGGTGGACCTCGCACCCTGCACATTGATGATTTTACGTCCCTCCTTACACCTACAGAATTTTGACGCCTAATGCCCTCCCCCACCCAAGCTCCAAGCTTTGCATATTTGTTTTTGATTGTTTTCATGGACTAAGATCCATTTTGAGACCTGTTACTCGCATCTAGACGGTGTCTTATTCATTCCTTCCTTGGGTTGCATATTTGTACGTGCCGGGCATTGCGGCTTCCACTCCCTTTCGCGCGCAAAAAGATACACTCTGGGCTTTTGTACTACTATTCAGCATAGCGGGCACTTGCTGTCATTCCTTCTGCATTTGCGGTTCTTGTTTCGGATTGGAAACGGGATAGATTTGGGAATCCTTTTACTTCTTTTGTGGGATATCTTGGCGCCTTTGTCCATATCCGATTTTGTGCTGGTACATCTTGGACGGTTCGTGGACAAGCATGATTGGCTGACATGATGGAGTTTCCATCGTAGCGGAGATCATTCTTTGTCCTGTCCTCGTCTAATTTGGCATTTTTTTGTTTGAACTTTTCTTCTGGCGTTGATTTTGATACTTTTTACTTCTTGTTATTTGAGCTGAGGGTTGTTGTTGTTACTTATCACCTATTGCATTGTTGTGGCGTTTGGGACCTGAATGGTTGGTCTGTTTATCAGAATTTTATGCCTTAATCTTGCCTGCTTCGAATCTTACCCATCCATTGGATTTTGTCATATTACTGTTACCTTTGTCTTCGTAAATGAGTAAATGAGTCTTGTATGTGACATCATGTAGTAGTATCTGAAGGGGTTAGGACTGATCTTTCTTTGTCTCCTCGGGACCGTCATTCTGATCCCGCATGAAGTGAAGTCTCAAGTATAGCTTTACGTATGTACATGTACCTATCGGAACTGTACAGGTGCCCAGTTGCAGTGTATAAGACGGCATCCCCATACGGAGTGCACGTGATACAATAGCCCTTCTTCCAATAAGCTCAGCTGACCCTCTATCTTATCAACACACGTGATATCTTATCGACCCCCTTAACACGTGACACGTGGGGCCCATTGAAACCGGCATCAAAAAAGGTATGTGCCATTGACTCATAGAAGCAAGTTTGCTGTTGTAACATCAGCTCATCCCATACCCCGGACTTGAGTTTGCTCTCACGCGTTTATACCCTTACTCTCTGCATACAAATCGAGATTGTTTATCTCCCATTGTCTTTTCCTTTCTTCTTATCACCTTCTTTTGCCCCGCCATCTTTGCATTGCTTTAGATATGGACGCCATCAAGCAGACCTTTGCCAAGTGCAAGGAGCAGAAGCGCGCAGCTCTTGTGGCATATGTCACTGCTGGTTACCCCAGTGCTGAGGAGGCCGTTGATATCATTCTCGGTCTCGAGAACGGCGGAGCCGGTAATTCAATCCCAAACTCAGATGGCCCCGCGGGATAGTCTGTACTGATACCTTCGGTTGTCTTATAGATATTATCGAGCTCGGAATTCCCTTCACAGATCCCATCGCCGATGGCCCTACTATTCAGACTGCCAACACCAAGGCTCTTGAGAATGGTGTTACTCTCACTACCGTCTTGGAGATGGTCCGCACCGCCCGGAGCCGCGGCCTGAAGGCTCCCGTTATGCTCATGGGCTATTACAACCCTGTCCTTAAGTATGGTGAGGAGCGCATGCTGCGTGACTGCAGAGAGGTCGGTGTCAACGGTTTCATCATGGTTGACTTGCCTCCCGAGGAGGCCGTTCGTTTCCGCGATCTCTGCGCCAGCGCTGGGTAAGACTGTTTCCCCCACCCTTACCATTTAACATATGATCCAGTTTGCTTACCGATCACCAGTCTCTCATACGTCCCTCTTATCGCTCCTGCCACCTCTGACTCTCGCATGCGCCTCCTCTGCAAGATCGCCGACAGCTTCATCTACGTCGTTTCCCGCATGGGTGTGACCGGTGCTACCGGCTCACTCAGCTCCAACATCCCCGAGCTTTTGAGCCGGGTTCACGAATACTCTGGAAATGTTCCTGCCGCTTTGGGATTCGGTATTAGCACCCGTGAGCACTTCCTGTCTGTTCAGCAGCAGGCTGAGGGTGTGGTCATTGGCAGCCAGATCATCACTGTTGTTGGTAAGGCCCCTGCTGGCCAGGCTGCTAAGGCCGCTGAGGAGTACATCTCCAGCATCACTGGACGCAAGCTCGAGCGTGATGCTTCAGGTGCATTCACTCGCGAGATCAATGTTCTCGAGGCTATTGAGAAGGCCCTGCCCCCCACCGATCCCAAGCCCACCAAGGTCATCACTGATGCCGATACTCCTGCCGGACCTGGCCTTGCTGACCAGCTTGAGGCTCTTAACGTGACAAATGATGTCTCTGCTCAACCTTCCCGCTTCGGCGAGTTCGGTGGACAGTATGTTCCCGAATCCCTCATGGACTGCTTGGCTGAGCTTGAGAAGGGATTCGAGGAGGCCAACAATGACCCTAAGTTCTGGGAAGAATTCCGATCATTCTATCCCTACATGGGTCGCCCCAGCAGCCTTCACAAGGCCCAGCGTTTGACCGACCACGTTGGTGGTGCCAACATCTGGTTGAAGCGTGAGGATCTGAACCACACTGGTAGTCACAAGATCAACAACGCTCTCGGTCAGATTCTTGTTGCCCGCCGCCTGGGCAAGACCCGCATTATTGCTGAGACTGGTGCCGGCCAGCACGGTGTTGCCACGGCCACAGTTTGTGCCAAGTTCGGCATGAAGTGCACTGTCTTCATGGGTGCTGAAGATGTTCGCCGCCAGGGTCTCAATGTGTTCCGCATGAAGCTCCTCGGTGCCTCCGTCGTCGCTGTTGAGGCTGGTACCCGTACTCTGCGTGATGCTGTCAACGAGGCCCTCCGCGCCTGGATTGTCGAGCTCGATACCACCCACTACATCATCGGTTCCGCCATCGGTCCCCACCCCTTCCCCACTATCGTCCGTACCTTCCAATCTGTGATCGGAAACGAGACCAAGCAGCAGATGCAGGCCCAGATCGGCAAGCTTCCCGATGCCGTCGTTGCCTGTGTCGGCGGTGGTAGCAACGCCGTTGGCATGTTCTACCCATTCTCCAATGATCCTAGTGTCAAGCTCATTGGTGTTGAGGCTGCCGGTGATGGTATCGATACCAACCGCCACTCCGCCACCCTCTCCGGCGGCTCGCACGGTGTCCTGCACGGTGTCCGCACCTACGTCCTGCAGAACGAGCACGGTCAGATCGCAGAGACTCACTCCATCTCCGCTGGTCTCGACTACCCCGGTGTCGGCCCCGAGCTGAGCAACTGGAAGGACACCAACCGCGCCACCTACATCTCCGCCGACGACAGCCAAGCTCTCGCCGGCTTCCGCGCTCTTGCCCAGCACGAGGGTATCATCCCCGCCCTGGAGTCCTCACACGCCGTCTGGGGAATTATGCAGATCGCCAAGACCATGGATAAGGACCAGAACATCGTTCTTTGCCTGAGCGGTCGTGGTGACAAGGATGTGCAACAAGTCGCCGACGAGCTGCCTCGTCTGGGTCCCAAGATCGACTGGGATCTGCGTTTCTAGATCTCTTCTTTCTTTCTGATTTCTCTGCTTTTGCGTGAGAATCTTTCATTGTTTCATATCTCTTTTCCGGCTCTTCGTTGCGAGGGATTTCTGATTCCCTCGTATGCTTCTATGCTTTGTGACATTGCGGGGAAGGGAAAAGCGTCTTCTTTTTATGGCATTTCAGTTTTCTTATCGGGGTTTATTCTTTTTGGGTAGTAAATCAATAAGAAATAGATTGATATCCCTCTTTTCGGTTTATTTTCTTATCCTGGTACTCTTAATTTGTAGTGATTGTAAGTTGTAGATTGCGGTAATAGTCTACAGTCTATGAAAGACCACACCACCTACACCACCATGCGTAGACCAATGTGCACCGTACATCATAGGGTCTAGTATATAGAAGCCTGTATGAGAAGAACTTATCCTCGGCATTTAATTCTAAGCTAACAGATATGTTCACCACCAGAGAGCAAGGAAGAAAAGGACGAGAATGAGTCGGGATGAACTAGGGCATTAAACTGATATGAGGCCATAGGCCCATGACAAACGGGGTATCCATACGCGTTAAATAGAGAAGACAGCGAGGAACCAGATAAAAATAAAGCAACGAACGCTGCGCAAGATAATAGCCTCCCATGAAAATGCAAGCCGGAGAAGAATCACAGAGCAAAAGATCAATCCACTTTGGCTTGGGAAAGGCTCTTGGGGGTAATTAGATTATTGGAAAGACGCACGTTTGCGGTGCCTTTTAGCTTGTCTTTCCGGGTGTGCCTTTTCAGTTTCCGGCGGGCGACCATTACGGGGACGGAGGAGTTGGAAAGGAGGTAGTTGGAAAATGATCCGAGGAGGACACTATGGGTAAGGTCAGTATTGGTTCTGGCAGTGGGAAATCGAATTCGGAAATCCGGTCTCAGTGTGTAACTCACCCCTTCAGAGCACTTTGGCCTCGAGCACCCACAATAACGAGCGTTGGCTCAAGTTCATCAATCTAAGAAACAGTGTAAGTTCGAGTCAGGGGAGATTGAAGGCAGGAGAACCACTTACAGCCTCTGTAATCATAGACTTCGGGTTCTTGCAGTGGATTACCTCCACAGCAATACGAACCTGCAAGAGGGTCTTCCGCAACAACTTCACACACGTTTGAGACACAGTTTCAACTGCCCTCACTCGTTCCGCCTCGGCAATGGAGGATCCTCGGGAATCTGCAGAATGTGTCTTGCTGGCAGTACCAGTGCCGAGCCGACCCAAGATCGTCCGAGATCCAGAATTCTGGTTTGCTTCCTTCGTCTGGGACCCAACAATGGCCGTTGCATCTTTCATAACTCGGGCTCCCTCGCCAACCTGCACTGCCGACGCAGTGGAGGAGTCCTCGTTCATGACGTATATAGCGAAAATTGTGTCTCCGTCTCTTAGAACCGTGCCGATAGTCCATTCAAGAGCATATACCGACTCTTCACTCAGATCGGTTGCGATCAAATATTTCCGTCGGCGGCGACGGGTACCATCGCCTTGATCCTGTAGACTTGAAAAGTTCCCACGGACAATCGTGCGGATAGATCGGTTGTGAACACCATTATCAATTGCTGACATGGAGATGCTGAGCTTCTGTGCACGATGGATATCACCAATTTCGGCTTCATCCTCTGAGCCGTATGGCGTGCCAGCTACTGACTGAATACGAGGGGTGGGGATGTCGAAACTAGTCTGCGGATGCACGACAGCTTTCAGAGCAGATTTTCGCGGCCTTTTCTCTTGTGGTCGACTTGGCTTCGCGGAAACTTTTTCTGTACGTTTTCAAGTCAGTAATTTGAGATCTTCAATGTATTAGAAGACCCGAGAATGCCAACGTACGTTCTGCGGGTTGGTTGGAATTGTCACCTTTGGATTTCTCGAAATCACTCGGCGTGATAGATGTGATATCCGAGTCTTTCTTTTTCTTGCGTCCCCGTACATCATCGAGAGTGTTATCTTCATCGCTCGAGGTGTCGTTGGCTTCATCCTCGCTGCTCTCAATCATGTTCTTATCGCTATCGAACACATCCTTAGCCAGTCGCTCCCCTTCCTCCTCCACGGCTGCCGGCTTGACATAATCGGGCAGGCTCCCGTGGGGCTTGACTAAAGCTTCGTCTGATTTGTTGAATGCATCGTGCATCCTGAGTGGCTTCCCCTTCCCCGAACCAGCAGGGGTCGACGTCAAAGTTTCCACATGCTCAGAATGACTGCCAGAGGTGCTCGAGCGACCACGATCCGGGGATGGAGTAGCACTGGAGTCCAGAGATGATCCGCGATGGGAAGATCCCCGTGATGAGTCTCTCTCTCTGCCACGGGAAAAGCTTCTTGGGAAGAGACGGCCAGACATCATGGCCGCCATACTTTTCCGGCCTTGGGACCGATCTCGAGCTTGTAAAAAGCGCTTTTTAACATATGAATGCTCCACAGGATTCGAGGAGGCATCAGATTTTGCATCATCGTTAATGTCGAGGCTACCCGTTGTTCGACCAGCCTCAACGGCATGGTCAGATGATCTACGGGGAACAGCGTTGGGATCAGCTGTGGGCCTCTCTGGCGAACTTGGAGCAGATGCCATGGCCGAAGAAATGATGCGCAAAGGCGAGGATACGAGTGGCTCGACTGGACTGCGGGTTCCGCTTGTTCTGGGCAAATAGCTCCCGCCCGCACTCTTAGACTGCGGGGCAATCAGCAGGTTCTGCAGGGCGCGGTGGAGACCCGGTGTTCTCTCGCTGATTAGAGTCGTCGAGATTGTTGGAGATTGCCGGCCCAAGCTTTTGAGCTGTTCGGTGTCAGGTATAGGAGAAGTTGACGAGTGGTACGACATGGTGCGGCACCGCCTCCGGGCTGTGGGGAACTCAGCGCTCGTCCAACAGCGCCGCCAAGCGCTGAGGAATGTGGAGCTGATCGCACTGAGACGACGCTGCCGGGAATGGCCTGGGATTATCTGCAACTGGTCAGTAAGGGGAATAGCTTGTGAAATCATGTCCGCGTACTGAGTCAGAAAAAGGTCCGAAATCGAGGTCATTTCTGGGAGTCGTAGGGTGTAATTGATATTCAGCGAGCTGATTCTGAGCAAGCCGATTGATTCTGGCGGGTTAACGAAAGAGTCAAACACAAAGACGTACGGAGTCAAGAGGAAGCAAAGATTGGGAGAAGGAGCCCAAGGTGAGGCTTCTTGCTGCAGCCACGCCGAGTGGCTGCATGCCCACGGAGCACAAGCTTGGACATAATGCCCGATTATAGTAGATTAGTCTAGATTGATTGGTATATTTAGAATGGGAGAAGCCCCTGACTACTTTGCCGGATTTATAGACTCCTATTCCGTACGGGGTATGGAGGGAACGTGCCGGGTTTGATAGATCGACAGCATCACCTCGAGATACCCAATTGAGGTGCCTTGGTATACTCCCAAAGAAAGCTGCCGACCTTTGATCTTCCAAAGTATCCTACAAGGCCATTGAATGTATACAGAGTCATTGGAACACATTGAAACCATGCCATATGCCAAGAAATAATTCCCAGGGGAAAAGTCACATTTTCAACTCGCCCAGATGCAATAACAAAACTCCTATAGAACAGTTAAACCTACCTTAATGATAAACGCTTGGACATGACACATGAATGCAAGAACAGTTGGACCCAAAGTCTCCGAATCAAGCCTTAGCCCTCTTCGACTTGGGCTTCGTGGCCTTCCGTGCCCCGACAGCAGCAAATGCTTCCTCAGGAGGCTCATCATCCACACCACGCTTTTTGCCAGGCTGCGCATACTTCTCCTCCAAACGAGCAAGGAAACCTGCACCCCGATCCTGTTGACGCTTGGTTATAATAGCTAGAAGATCATCCTCGTTGGCCGCAGCCTTCGACCCCTTCGAAGCTTTCTTCTTCTTCTTATCCTCTATCTCCTTCCCCAACTTCTCCGCCTCCCGAGCCTCCTTCTGAGCCTTTTTCACACGCTGCTGTTTCTTCTTCTCCGACTCCTTGGAGTATCGCTCAAAGTCCTCAACTTCCTCGTCGGCAATGGCCTGGTCAATTATAGCCCGGAAACGTTCGTCATCATCGAGCACATTGGACAGCATCACGGTATCATAGATAGCATCCATGTTGCCCTCGTGCGTCTCATATGCAGCAAGCAGATCCTTCTTCTCCTCGTCCGAGTGCTGGTATTTCTTCTGGAAGTCCGAGATCGCGCGCGAGTCCAGCATTGCCGATAGTTGTTCGCGGTAGAAGTCCATCCAGTTGAAGTCGCCATCTTCGCCAAAGGCTTCGTCCGTGCTGCCCGTGCGATCGTACACGCTTCGTCGACGCGCATCGGATAGAACACCATATGCCAGTGCGATACGCTGGAACTTGGCGTTTGCTTCTGCGCGAGCATCTTCGCTCACTTTGTCTGTTTGGAGGTTAGTGTCTTGTATGAATTCGGGCCTGCGGTGGAAGATCGCATACCAGGATGGTTTCGCAGAGCGCTCTTTTTGTATGCAGTTTTGATTGCTTCTGGGGTGGCATCAGATGCAATGCCCAACACTTTGTAGAGGTCTTCCTCGACGGACGGCATTTCTGCATCTGAGGCATGGTTTTCGGCTTTGGCGTTTTTCGCCATGGTGGAATTTTGATGACCGGGCTGGCTTTTTTTTGGGATTGGACGAGAAACAAGCGAAAAGACTGGGTTCAATTCAGATATATCAAACAGAATAAGGATCCAATCGACAAAAGAAAATAAATGTGGCAACGACACGGGCAGGCGTACGGAACGCGATTTGGACGCGACGGAGCCATTTCGTCATTTTGCTACCTCTCCCCGCCTTTCATAGCAACCCACTTTCAAGACTCCAGGCGCATCAGACCCCGCCACTTCATTCTCTTTGAAGTCGGAAAGTAGCAGAGACTATCTGGCTCCAATCTTAACAGGACTGCATCCCAGAGAACTCTTCCACACGTCCTCCAACACAAACGCAAAACAAAACAATCGCCTTTAACATCACTCACCATGACGACAAACACCTCCCCTCACCTCCCTTACCTAAAACAATGCCTTTCCCTCGCCGAACAATCACCTCCAAGACCAACCAATTTCCGAGTTGGCGCACTTCTTCTCTCTCGCAAAGACAACGATGCCAACTTCACAGATGATCGGATCCTCTCAACGGGCTATACAATGGAACTAGCGGGCAACACACACGCCGAGCAATGCTGCTTCTCCAACTACGCCGCGGTGCACAAAGTGACTGACGAGCAAGTTGGCGAAGTGCTGCCCGTTGAGCCTGGCCGAAAACTCGTCATGTACGTGACTATGGAGCCGTGTGGAAAGCGGCTGTCTGGGAATGCGCCGTGTGTGCAGCGCATTACGCAGACGAGGGAGGGTGGTCGGGAGGGAATACATAAGGTGTATTTTGGTGTTAAAGAACCTGGTACTTTTGTTGGCGAGTCAGAGGGGTGTCAGATGTTGACGAAGGCCGGCATTGAGTGGGAGCATGTTGGTGGGTTGGAAAGGGAAATTTTGACGGTTGCTTTTGCGGGACATGAGAATGGGGAGGAAGAGGTCAATGCTGCGTTGAAGGGAAAGGAGGCTAATGCTGATAGAACCTCTGGGGAGGGGCAGCAGCAGAGACAGAGGAATCCGCTAAAGAGAATGATGGAGGGGGAAACACAAATCTTTGTATAAGAAATGTGGGACACGATATGGAGATTTTTCCAAAGTAATGACACAAAGACAGAAACCACTAATTAAGCGTTTGATCTCGCTATTAGCTGGGTCATATTCCTCATGCGACTCAGCAGTAATGAGCAATATTAAGGCACAGCCTTGTATTAGAGGATTGCTGAAGTGCATCCCTACAACATGCTCCATGCCACTTTTTTGCTCGAGTTATACTGTTATATGAGAGTAAACCCAGAAATAAGAAGCACAAACTAATCCAACAACAAGGTAGATATTTCCCTGAAACAAGTTCAACGCAACTCGATAGGAAAGCGCCCGCCAATTTATATACAACCACGTGACACCAGTCCGACTTTCAACGCGTAGTCTCAACCAGTCCATCATGCAACTCTGACTTCAATTTCGATATCTCCAAAGCAATAACGCATCAAGATCAAAGATGACGCAATGGCAACATCCGACAATGAGAATCTCACTTTCTACCCCGCGTTCTGCTTCAAAGCATCGCCAACGCACTTTACCTGGGTGAAAATGGGTGCAGCCGATGTGCACCGTCTCCAAAGATCGAGTAACTTTTTTGGTTAGTTGTTCTTTTTGGATCCCATCTTTCCCCCATTTGACCTGTCATCATTTCTTTGGTTGGAGATCGACGTGCCTAATGCGCTTGTGTCTATCCTCGGGTTCTCTAGCGCGGAACTCGAAAAAAGAGGCGTTCGTGAAGAAGTTACTTTGGTATCTTCCGCATATCATTTATACTTGCTTTTGCTGCTACTTGTTACCTATGCTCTTGTCCAAACAATACTATCCTTTTTCAGGATATCCAAACATACCCTGTCTTTCTATCCCCCGGTTTACCCGTCTCGTCCAAAATCCAGCCAAGGCGATCTATATGTTTTGGGAACAAGGATATAACTAACCAACCCCCACAGGCCAAAACTTGTTTTTCTACAATAACCACCCAATCCAGTTCGTCAGCCTAGTAGGCGTGATAGTTGCACGAACTGAGATCACGCGGCGCACACTCTTAACACTAGACGACAGCAGCGGCGCAACCATCGACATAGCCGTCATGCAAAAGACCGCGCCAAAGGACGCAAAAAAAGACGAAGAAATCCAGGAAGACATCACAGATCAAAAGCCAGATCCAGAACTTCCTGCGTGGATCGGATTCTCCCTCACAGCGCCAACAACTGGCTTCACAAAAATTGTACATATCACTTCAAAAGATCGCGACGAGATTGATATCTCTGCTCTCCAGCCTGGAACAGTGGTTCGGATAAAGGGGACTTTATCAATGTTCCGCTCGCGCATGCAGTTGAATCTGGAGAGGTTTTGGTTGGTTGGTGATACGAATGCTGAAATGCGGTTCTTGGATGACCGGTTGCGGTTTTTGATTGAGGTGCTGTCTGTGCCGTGGGTGCTGAGTGATGAGGAGGTTGAGGCGCTGCGTCTGGATGCTGAGAGGGGGGATGAGCGCTTGTTGGAGGATAAGAGGCGGGCGGAGAGGGTGGCGCGGAAAAGGGTTGAGCGGGAGGAAAGGCATGCTAGGGCTATTGCGCATCGATATGAGCGTGAGGAGAAAGAGAGGGAGAAGGAGCTTAGAGCTTTGCGGGAGGATGGGGAGAGAGTTATGAGGAAGTTCGGGTTTGGGTAGCAGGACGACATGAGTTGATGGGGTTAAGCAGTTTCGATACAATTTGCATAGCGTTGGTGTTGTGTTTTCCTGGTGTTTTACGTGTGCCAACAATTTTATCAAAATTAAGTATACATTACAACTTTTGCCATTGTCATTGATGTATTAAATATCACGTTCATTCGAAACAAAGCGTTGATCATGACGTATCGTCAATCATGTCCCCCCAGTAAGAGGGGGTATCTTCATATAAAACGCCGAGCTTGAAAACAATCAGCGTCATAATCGGAGTCAAGCTGACGATTAAGGGAGAGCAGAGGGAGTTGACTAACATAAAAACAGACGTACAAGCCAACTCCCGAGGTCAGCCATAATATTTATCAAATCCATGCCCAGGTCCCACACCACGATAATAATCATCGTCAACCCAACTATCATGACTGCCACGGCGATACCTACGCCCATCATCATCAGACCGATTGAAAGTAGGCGACTCGGTATAGTGTAAATCATGAGCCGACAGCCCCGCGTATCGCGGCGCATCGCGGCCAAGGATATCATTTTCCGAGCGCCTATATTCACCAGGGGAGTTCATATTCCGCGAGGCGGTGCGGAAGTTGTGCGGCAACCGCTGGTCAAGAGAAGCACCCGATCCCGAGCGTGGGTAGTGCGAACCGCGGTCATAGGACTCGGACATGCGATGGATTGGAGGATCGTTGTCTTTGTAGGCAGAGTCTGAAGGCCGGGATGTTGAGATGGAGGCCGCGTGGGTGCGACTCGAACCAGATTCATCGTACACTTTTCCGCCGCCTGGATTGGCGCTGTAGGGCTTGCGCTCGCGCTCGATGGGGACTGAGCGGATGGGTTCCTCTTCTTCGTCGTCTGTGACCATGGAGACGGGTCTGGGTTTTGTTCGTGTTGATGGTGAGCTTGGCGCAGGGGGCCGGGGGCGGCCTCGCTCGTATGAATGCGTTCGTTCTGTTGGTGAAGCCGTTGAGGTTGAAGATCGGCCCGGTCGGCTGGCCTGGTTGCGTTCTTCGTCTGTGATATAGGGCATATCGACGCCGCAGTGTACCATCATGCGGTTCTCCAGGTCTTCTCTGATTTCTATATTGGAGATTTGTGGGAAAAGACGGCGGGGGATCTCTTTGGGGAAACGCTCTTTCCTGTCATCCGGATTGTTGATTGGCATATCTCGGACGGCTTTCTGGAGTCGCTGGTATTCCCGCTCTGGATTGGCGAGTATCAATAATGTGGCCCATGTCTCGAAGCCTTTGGGTGTTAGGCCGGGGGTATCTGGGCGTGCTTTCAAATCGTTCTGGATTAGATGATGCTCGACACTGATTTCGCGGAACAATCGAGAAAGTGAGGATGTCTTGTCGTCGAAGATATCTAGAAATATATCATGTCAGAATATGCGATACAAAGATTAGAATCGACCAAACTACAAACCTTGCCATAGATAAGGATCATTTGGGCAATGTGTATCGCGATAGAACTTTTGCATCTTATAAGGAGGAATGACAATAGTGTTTCCAGGCGGATAATCCTCAATCTACTCAAATCAGCCATTCATCCTAAGTATATGGTATTAACGGAAGACAGCCACTTACTAGATGAACTGCGATGCCCCGCAAGAATTGACCAAGCCTTTTTGTAGCCTTGCCATCTTCAAACAATTTCCCCCAATATCGCTCAAAGGTGGTCATCTCCACAACAGTGGCCTCCCGGTCCGGAGGTCTCGGACGCTCGGGTTTATGGGAACTGTATTGGCTGTGTTCACTGCTCTGACTTGAAAAAGAACTACTACCCACACTGGCAGTATCTGCAGAGGGACACGGAGTCGGTTTCAGATCGGGAGGGCCATCACTGGCGAATCCAGAGGGGACGTATGGCGGGAAACTTCCGGCATGGGTATTGTCAGAGAATGAACTGGGCGGGGGTATTGAACTGCTTCGCTGCGGGGGCTCAATAGGCGGAGACTGATTCACTAGCCCCTGCAGGTAGGAATCTGTTTGCCATGATGGCTGCTGCGACTGCGAGCGGGGCGGGGGCGCACTAGATCCTTGTAGGTTGTCCAGCCCCGTTGTTTTGAGCTGTTGAATGACCGTTGCGGTGATTTGCGACAGGACTTCTGGGGTCAGATATCCTGTGGGCCCACTGTTATGAACAGCAGAATTCACTGCATCATCGAAGTTTCCAGTATTCGTGCTGGATGGTCGCTGGGGCTGCGGGTAGATGTATGGCTCTGCATTCAAATCTGAGGCTGGCGAACCGGTTTGCGGCACCTGCGGCTGCCGCATATTGAGATGGTCCATCTCATGGTAGGATGAATATGGAGGGCTGGGTGAATACCCATGCCCTTTGTTTGGATTTGGGCTCATATCTCCTGCTTGATACGTATTGTTGGCGTAATTCGCATCATAGTCCATACAGATTTCGGAAGTTTTAGATACACGGGTTGCGTTGCAATGTAGGGCTCGTCAAACAAAGACGGGTCAGCCAGCTCCTTGTTGCAGATAAACAGTTTCGGCCGAGGATTTGAAGGAGTCCTAGGAAGAAGAAACTGAAATGACGAATTACGAATAAATTGTGTGGGATTTGCTGGTGGTGGGGAGGCAAGTGAAACGTTGTGGCGATCGCATCGTGACCAACGAGACGGCTTCGAATCCCTTCTCTTCGTACTCCCTCGACGTCACATTATGTGGTAGGTCTTTTAAATATTAGCCCTTTAATATATTAGAGTCCCACAGATATTCTGTCATATTGCTAGCCTGAGCTGGAGTGTCACGATCGTCAGTCTATCTTCAATGCATCTTCCATGCGAAGGGTGCGTTACACTTTCTCTTCGCGCCTATCAGAGCTACGGAGAACCCTTTTGCTGAAGAGCAAGCTATGTCATTACTAAATGTCAGCTAGAAATCGACAATCAGAATTCTGATCAGGAGACTAAAAAGATATGGTGGCTTGTCTATATATTGTTCAGGGCTGCATGTCCTACACACTTCCCCGCGTTGATTTGATATCATTATCCGAAAAAAGCTGACAGGGATTAGTATCAAAGACCCGAATGCAAGCCCACGTCTGGTTTCTTCCTCAAGCCTTCCCATCTACTCCATACTGAGGATAGGTAGAACGCCTTAAGTATGACTGCAACTGGTAGTCTATTTTTAGTTGTGGGGGCCAACGGAACCACTGATGTCATGACCATGGAATCGGGTTGAGCTTCACAAGGAAAGATGTCAACCTGGAGTGGAGTTGTCTAGAACTGGATAAAAAAATAACCCTAGGAACCCACCAAAGACAGCCTTAACTAGAAAAGCAAGGCTGCATGTGTATCAGACGTGGACTCAAGTCGGCCGTAGTTAGAAGCGTTCTCATTGCCCGTAAAAGGACACAAGGCATAAGCCTGGAAAGGCCAAATCGACTCCTCGCCTAAAATTGCTAAAGAGGAAAGGACAGAAAAAAAAGCAAAAAGAAAAAAGAAAAAAGCAGTCTGCAGCTAGAAGTCAAGTAAGCCGAGAATGAAGAACGCAGATACACTGCAATAGCAATAGCAGGCACTGAATGAAAGCCAAACTGTGGGGAATCGTCGATCATACCATGAAGTTGTTTGTAGAAAAAGCACATGTGTGGGGCCGCAGAGGATTAGAGGAACCGTGCTCCTCTGAACGGTTTGCCGTCATCAGCCTTCCGAGTACCAGGGGCCCATCCTGGGGCAGGTTCAGGCTCAGGAACAGGTGTCTGATGAGAACGGTGGGCCTATACGAGAGTTCATAAGATATCTGTCTCAGGAGAAATAGGAGCTCTGTTAATGGAATCACTTACCTTGACTCTGGCGAAGCCACTCGTATTTCCTGTAATCTCAAGGCCAGCAGAATCATCGCGCAGGACGAGGGCATTCTCGGAGCTTCCATTGACGCTCCACTTCGTTGTTAAAGAAAGCATAAGTATCCCATACTTGTCCATCGTAGATAAGAGTTGCAACCACTTACCGAGCTCTGTCCCTCCAGCTGGCTCATAGAACCAGAATCAGAATAAGTTATAGATCCAGCATTGGGCTCTTCGTCCTCGTCTTCATCGTGAGCAGCTTCAATTGCAAGAGGTTGATCGTTTGGATCAAGAGAGAGCTGGTAGTTCATGCAAGGCTGGCAAATCTGTATCAAACCACATCTAGTGTTAGGAACAACCAGATTTCTCGTTTCGAAGAGACTTACCGGGCTCTCGCGACTGCGCTGATTCCTGGCAAACTGATCGATGGCACGATAGTGGCCGCAACGATGGCACATCTCTTCACAGACCTGGGCATTGGCACAGGGGCCGCACTTGGCGACTGATTGATTGTGAACGTGGCTGTAGCCAATTTCAAACATTGCCTGGCGAAGATAGTTGAGCTGGTTGTTCGAGTACTGGGACTTCGGGCGACGCCGCTTGCATACACAACATTTGATCCTGTGAAAGTGAGTAAATGAAGGTCCTGGTAGTATAAGAATACTGACTCGTTGGGGATGGGCATTCGGTCCAGACTATCAAGACTCTGTTAGCAAATTCTTCCGAACCTGGTTTTGGATCAGTTTACAGACGCTTCTCTCATTTGTGGTGTGTAGCCCCGCGTATACGAATTCATAAAAGACCGTCTTCTTCTCTGAGGCATGGTCAAATTGGCGACTGTAAGATCAAAGGTCTAGAAAGGCAGTAGATTCGGGTGAGAGATCCGGCACAAGAAGGCTAGAGATGATGAAAGAAGAAAGGAAGAAGGAAGAAGGAAGGTAAACAGTTGGATTTATATTTGCAAGAGCAAGATGCGGAAGCTGCGTGGATTGCTCTTGCCAAAAGTGAGGGTTTTGCGCCGGCGATTTCGATCACCTCGGATTCGCTCTCACATCACGCGGCCGCCTTTGTCATTTCATCTGGCTTCACTGGTTTAATGGGGATCGTCAGGAAGACACGCCGTAGAGAAAGATGATTCCAGAGAACGAAGGTAATGAGCTTAGGTCAATCTGTGATTATATTACCATCATCTCTGAAGTAGATATAAAAGAGAAGCGAGCAGAATAGGGTATAGATATGGATACATGTGCAGACACCGTGCAGAGAAAGCAAATGATCAAAACGTTATCAATCAATTGACGCCCAGAAATACTAGGCAAAAAGCAAACACGATAATATGAATGGATGCCACCGCTATACTCCATACACCGAGCTTATTCCGTGGTGCCTAAGGAAGATATCAAACTGACCTTGGCGAGACCGGCAAAAAAGGCACATTTCAAGAGGATCACCTCAATACACCGACATTTGAGGCCACGCTAGTTTTCCTTCCAGAAAGCCTTAGAACAAGCGGAGCATGATCCCCAATTAGCTGCACGGCTGATAGCCTTTGCATGGTTAGGGGCAATATCTCCCTTCAACAGGGGCTAGTTTAAAAACCAACCAGCCGGAGATTTCTGTCGCACGTTCCGGGAGAAGCTAACTGGAAATGATAGACAGCCAGACCCATTTTGGGCATAACAGAAAAGAGGGGCATTAATTATTTCATAATGCATTGCGAAAGTATTCCGTACGTCAGGCATCAGGCATCTTTGAGCTGACGATCTAAATATACCGGCGGAGTCAGGCTTCGCAAAGAGAAACTATGACATGCAGTAAGCGACACAGCCATTGCATTACACTAAGTATATTAAGGGCTAGTGCTAGGTAACTACATACTCCATACGGAGTACCGAGTACCGAGTATGTAAATATGCAATTAGCAGACTGTGAATTGGGGTGATTGTGCTGGAGACACCTTCCCGATACGCAAAGGCTTCATATCGATGGGAGTTAAAATGTAAGGGTTACTGGAGTGACGGTGGAACCACTTTAATGAAAGCAACCAAAGACCGACACTCTAATCTAATTGAGGCCCCCTCGTGCGAAGAATGAGATAATCCACTGTTTCGATCTGACATTCCTAACAATCAAGGGGATGTTCTTCCCATGGCTTCCATGGGTTCTGGAAATTGACATCAATTCTCGGCGTTTGGTGTGGGCCAAGGTGGCGTAGTATTGAAGATAGTGTACTTCGTATGTTGTAGAAAGTTCGACGGTCTTCACCAATGTAAATCCGAATCTCTAATTTGAGTACTCCATAATTTGCCAGGCCTTTGGGAGTGCGGAACGAACATCCTTTGGATTGTTCATTGCTTGTGATCTAGCTCTCCAGAGAAGGGGGCTGTTCGGGGGCGCAATGAGGCAAAAGATTGGCCAAGGCTCATTCGCCCCTCTCCGAAATATTCTCGCTTTTTGGGGTCTGAGGTCCATGCAAGCATGACCCCATTCCAAGGCAAGATAGTCATTCGGGAAACGTTGAGATATAATGGATATCTGACGGTCACATCATCAGGAACTGCCTTCTCGAAGGCCAAAAGAACATGACGGCGCCTTCCCGACAGTTTGGGAAATAAATAGTTTGTTGACCAAGTGGCGACATCACGATTCTCCCCCTATCGCGGCCCTCCGCGGGTAGTAGGGACGGGCCTGGACGAGGCCCACGGTGGAGACTTCCGTAGTCCCCCGAATCGACGGTGCGTCACTAGGCGTTTGTGAGGGACGAAAGGAGTCTGAATGGTCGAAACCCACAACAAATGAATTAAGTGGGCTGTTTCTGGGGTTGGAGCCAATGACATTGTTGGCGCATAGACTCCATCGCACTACCGATCTTTGGCCGGCGATTATTGGTGGGAGTCTGATACGCGGAGTTCCTGGTTCCACTGCGCCACGAATCATAACGATTCACGCATCGTATGTGGGATCCAGTGGGAATGGTCTGCGGAGTATCGTCTCTTTTTGGTATTCTGTGTATATCGTACTCCGTACGCGGTGTGTACAAGCACTCCACGTCGCGTCTCTCCCCCATTGTTTTGCTTTCCCGAATGGTTAGCCCCAAATATGGTGTGCAGCGGTCTGGAGGAATGGAGATACCATGCGACTGAAGATGGCCCACAGAGTGTTTTGAACCTTGGTTTCTCCTCGGTCCGGCCCTCGGAGGATTTGCGTGCTTTCCACACAGACACATCTATTCTTCAAAGATCCGATAGGGAATGAATGCCGAGAATTGAAACAATGGATGTTATGGATAGATGGGGCTGGAGAAGGCTTATGAGTCCTCTGGAGCTGTCAACATCATAATATACTGGTCAATCCAGTATCAAATCAGCCGTGGATGCAATAATCTGGGATCCTTGCGGGCCATAACGGTTGCCCCAGGGTTCGTTCATCTGACAGGTGCATTCTATCCCGCGTCCTGCAGGTAATTACCTCTCTTTACCCTCAGACTCGGGCTCCATTGATTGGTGATCGCCTCTACTCCGTATGGTTTTCCACGTCTGTGTTCTCGGGACCGCGAACGTCGCTTGGCCTTGGTCCTCAGTGGAGAAACCGGGATGGCGCGGTAGAAGACTTCCCGCAAATTGACTATGTTCTGTTATGATTTTACAGTCATTCTTTTGATTGGAGTACACTATGTTGTATAACTATACCGTACTCCGTTCTTGATACATCGGTGTAAATCGATCTAATCTCAATACGTCAACATGTCCGGCATCCATGGCAACAGACATTAACGGTGAGTCTTTTTGAGCGGGACAAACAACAAAGGGCAAGCAGGGACATGAATCCTACGCTGTTCCCAATTGGATGCGGAAGATACCAGCCATATTGATCTCCCCAGCATACGCCAGCATACGGGCCCAGACCGCATACTTTGGAACAAAGAGAGCGAAAAAGAACCCGTCATATGCAACCCTTAGCCCACCACGGCTTAAGTTCACCTGCCTTTCTGTTCCGTGAACCTCTCCATCCACCCGGGAACCTAGTTTATTAATTTTCTCCCACATGGCAATGCCAGGCTCCTGCCCCAATATATGATTGGCCCATCCCCTCGGAGGATCAGTCAGAAAAAAGACAGCGAGATACATCTCCTCTTCAAAGCCCGGATACATCAGGAGATCGGGTGGCGGGAAAGTGAGGCACGACATGTCCGGTCAATACCGGAAAAAGTTGACAGGCCAACATCAACTACTCCGTAGGTATACTGTCTTATATACGGAGTATGGAGTACTCCATATGTGAGATACTAGGTAAGAAACAAGGATGGCCCGTTAGCTGCCGAATAAGACTGTCGGTGTTTTGAATGATTCGTGCAGGATTGCGACTGGTAGAGAACAGAAAGCCGAAGGTAGGACATGACATAACCAGACGTGAGATTAGCGAGCAACCTTGGAAGAGGATCCTCCTTGCTGTTCTCAGTCTGCGAGCTGTGCCTGCGGTAGTACGGAGTACATCTTGCCTACATCTGGTACATCTACGGAGAAAGCTGGGTACGTCTCCGCTGGAAGTGACTCGTACAAAGATGGGGTCATAGAGTGGGTTAGTGTGTACTCCGTACTCCGTACTTTTGTAGGAGTACATCGGACTCGAGACCAGATGTCTTTGTCTGTATATCCAGAGGATCGCAGATGATAGTCTCGGGAACGGTTTGAAGGCGGCCAATTCTAGTGCTCGAGTCATAATAAATTACCAACACGGCCCAACCCCTTCCGAGACTCTCCAAACAGTGCAGACTAGGGCTGCGTGGGCAACGATCACAGGCTGCACACAATTATTGTATGCCCAACCTCCCCAATTATTAGGCGCCGTGCATCCACAGCGGTCAGATGATAAATACACGCTGAACATATCGAGAAGAATGATATTGTGCAATAATTTAAGATCTATGTCGTAGATATCATGTGTAATATGTAATATATGAGATTTTAATTAATGACAGAGACATATTTTCGTTTCTTTTTTTTTCTCTTTCTTTTTCTCTGATTTCATTTTTCCTCAAAAAAGAAGCAAATGTTTTAGCTCGGGGACTTGTACGGTAAAATAAGGTACCCGTTTCCACTCGGAAGGTCCCATTGGATGAGACGGGAGGAACCCGTCAATTGGGAGGTGCTGATTGGTTGTAATGCGTGGATCTGGATTTAATTTGGGGGCATTTTGAAAATTAGTTTATTTTTTCTTTTTTTCGCCTAGTATTGCGATTTCCGTACACAGTACTCCCCGTATTGGACCTCATTATACCCAGACCCCTCTATGCGCTTTATGCGTGCGATGTCTCTTTTCATCTTCTTTGATTCCCTTTCTCTGATTCTTTTGTTCTCTTTTTCTCGTATACACGGACATTCTTATATACACTCAGGGCTCCTCGATCCCATTCTCCCAGTGACCTCATTCTTTGGCCGTATTTCGCCACGGTGGACTGATCTGCAACGACCTAAAGTCGTTAATTTACCGTCTCCACGGCCCCGTCTAGGAGCTCAAGCTGTCACCGCGTCAGGGGCTCACCCTCGGTCCTCCGATCCCTCCAGTTTCCACCAGGACGGGTCTCCTCCTATTCTGGATTCTGATTTTCTTTTTATTGCATCGTGCCCGGTCCTCACTCCTTCCAGATCGCCCACTACATGACCACCGTCGCTCCCCCTCCAACTGCCTCGTCACTCCTTACTTTTCGTCAATGGGAAATCAATCCTCTAGCTCGCACTGAATCTCGGACATGATCACCTGTTGCAATTGATCTCCCATAAACATACACATTCACCTGGGGCAACCTACGAAATATTCCCCTCCCCCCTCTACATAATAGTAAGGACATCTGATCTGATATTCCGAGAATGTCGAAGCTGACCTGAAACCCCCTCTCATCAGACCCCCTCCCGCCACATTCCTCTTCAATCTGCTGGCAGACCTGAAGAGACATCACCATGACCGTCACATACGATACTCCCCCTCGTGGGTCACATGGCTCCATGGCAAGCCTCGAGGACCGATTCGAAGTGATCAAGGAGATTGGCGATGGAAGCTTCGGTAGTGTTGCCGTTGCTCGTGTACGGACCGCCGGTGCCCATATCGCCCGGAGAGGAACCATGGTATGGAATGGCAGGATTAGCGGTGTGCTGCAGTCTCGCTGACTCATTGGGTTAGGTTGCGATCAAAACAATGAAGAAGACATTCGATTCATTGGGTCCTTGTCTGGACCTACGAGAGGTCATTTTCCTCCGAACATTACCAATTCACCCTCACCTCGTCCCTGCCCTCGACATCTTCCTCGACCCTCACTCCCGCAAGCTTCACATCTGCATGGAATACATGGACGGCAACCTATATCAGTTGATGAAGGCCCGTGATCACAAATATTTTGAAGGCAAGCATGTCAAGAGCATTCTCTACCAGATCTTATCGGGTCTAGATCACATACATGCACACGACTTCTTCCACCGCGACATCAAGCCCGAGAACATCCTGGTGTCAACTTCCGCCCCCAACGACTCCGCATTTAGCCGCTACTCTAACCTTGTTACTCCCCCTTCTACTCCTCCTGTCTACACGGTCAAGATCGCCGACTTCGGTCTTGCACGTGAGACTCACTCCAAACAACCATACACAACATATGTCTCTACCCGCTGGTACCGCGCACCTGAGGTGCTTCTACGAGCCGGAGAATATTCTGCTCCAGTCGATATGTGGGCAATGGGCGCTATGGCAGTTGAAATCGCTACCTTGAAGCCCTTATTCCCCGGAGGCAATGAAGTTGATCAGGTCTGGCGTGTGTGTGAGATCATGGGCAGTCCAGGAAACTGGTACAGCAAGTCAGGTGCAAAGATTGGTGGAGGTGAATGGCGTGAAGGATCACGCCTAGCCCACAAGTTGGGTTTCACATTCCCCAAGATGGCACCCCACGCAATGGAATCTGTACTTCAGCCCCCTATGTGGCCTGCCGCATTTAGCGAGTTTGTCACATGGTGTCTCATGTGGGATCCCAAGAACCGTCCCACCTCGACCCAGGCGTTGAACCACGAGTACTTTGCCGATGCAGTTGATCCTGTGCGGCCTAAGTCCTCCACCTCGTCCCGACTGCTCGGTCGTAAGCAGTCCGAGAAGAGCTTCAAGTCCCCAACTCTTACCCCTGGTGACTCTCCTACATTGTCATCCAAGCCCTCGTGGTTCCGGCGATCATTAATCGTTCGTTCAGACAGCCCTGCACCTACTGTTGAGGAGACTCCTGCTCGGCCAACCCCGGTTACCCAGGTCACTGTGCCTGAGATCCAGCCTGTCAAGCCGCGTCCCGTGAACGCTAAAAGGGCCACCTGGGCAAACGGTGCGCCTATGCCAATTCTTCCTTCTATTCGCCCTGTCTCCCCCCTCTCCAACTCCGTCACTGCCCAGGCAAATGCTACTGTGGCACACAGCCAATCCTCCAAGTCCTCCAATACTTCAGCTAGCTCAAAGATCGGGCGTCAATTGTCCGTCAACTCCAATGGGAACCACTACTCAGATGCCAATCGCCAAGAAGCCGAAAGGATGCTCAATGGCTCCGGAAGCAATACTCCCACCACAAAGGAGAGCTTCTTCTCGCACCTGCGCAAGCGGGCTCGCAGATTGTCTGGTCGAAACCAATCGGCACCTTCGGATGACGTCGAAGCCAACGCAGGATGTATTCCTTGGTCTAACCGTTCCTCCATGGCATTCGATGGACCTACCAGTGACCCAAAGCAAGGTTCCGACTTGAGTGAGCTGGACAAGGCTCTTCAAAGTGTCAAGTACACACTGGACTCATCGACACTGGGCAACGTTCCAGTGCATTTGCACAACGGCGCTGATAGCAACTCTGTTAAACGTCAATCAATGCCACAAGCAACCGGCAACAACGTCGCTCCGATCTCCAGCAGGACTCGCCGTGCTATGCAAATGTCTACACACCCGGTTCACCGGTACGAGACTCCCGAAGAGGAAGATGAGTTGCTCGACGAGGTGCTTCACTCCGCTAGCAAGGCGGCTAGGCGCCTCGCCCAGTCCCAGTCAACGAGTGCAGACTCTCTTAATGCTGCGCATCGCCGGTCAGCGAACTCTCATTCACCGCAGCATCCCTATCCTACACCGTCACCAACAGCCAAGGAAAGTGCGGCGTTTGGCCAGCAATCGACACCTCACAAGTTGAACATGCACAAGATTGATCCCGCAGCCAATCGTCATTGGCCGACACCTCCCTATGAAGAGGCCGAATATCACAATAAGAAGTCTGACTACTTCGCTCGTGGATCCAACTTTATCTAAGTGATCCAACCACTTTTTTGAACACATCACATCATTTTTCAGTTGCCACAAGCACAAAAGTCTGGCGAAATTGCGCAACAATGGAACAACTATCGAGCGACCTCGCTCAAGGCGTTTGGATTTGGTATTGCTTTATTTTCTCAACAAGGTCTGGCCATTTCGGAGGGTGTTTGATCTATTTTTTTGGGTTTTTTTTTTGGTTTTCACATATGGGCATTGGCTTGTTCGCCCTTCCGCAAACTTTTCATTTCCCCTACTTCATACCCCCACAGGCTGTTTTATAGATGGATCCGGGCCTCGTTTCTTTTTGTCCTTTTCATGGAGTCCTTTCGTTTTCGTGATTCATTACCATTTCCAGGGGCGTGATTTCTTTCATTGACATTTGATACCATATGCGCGAGACGCATCTTATACTGCATATCCCCCAACCTTATAAGGTTATCCTCCCACCCTCTCTTTATCCGACAAACCTGATATCGGATCTGCATCATTCTCGATGGATATTGCGCTCTTTTTCTTTTGTTTATATTAATTGATCTCTCACCCCTTCCCCCCATATAGCACCCACATGTACATTGTCCGGCTACTGCCATCCCCATCTATATTCTTCTTGTCTATCATTTTCCATTATTTATCCATATATTTACATACTCCTGTCCCCATCACTGCCCTTCCCCTGCTTCGCTTTCTTGTACCATTTGCCCCCTCCCCCACCCCCTCTCATCTGCTGGCTTGGATCCAGTACTCTATACTTTTGTAATATACCTCCGCCTTTGGCCGTTGTGCCATGCCCATACATACACCCTACAACATATGCAATGAATCTGCTCAACCTTACACCGTCTGCTCTTCGTCAATCATATCATTAATCACTGGCTTTCTTGGTCAGTTTCTTTCAATTTCTCATTGAATCTTCAGACCAGTGTACCTAAGTGGGCGGCCATGGAAGATAGCGTACAGGAACCAAAGGTCGAGGGCTATCCAAAAAAAAGGTACTACACGTAAGATTAAGCTGAGAGATGAAATATCTCCGAGACTGTATACCGGAGGAAGGTACTCTATCCCGACTTTGCACATTTAATGTGAAAAAGAAGGACATTGCACCAATTGCCTCTCAAGACTGGACCGATATCAGCGGAACAATGATCATCCGTTACCCATCAAGATTTCCTGATTGAGACTGCTCTGCTCTGCTCTACCAACTTTTTTTTCTTCCTCCTCAATTGCTTACCAGCACTACTTGATCAGTCGACGCTAGATTGGTTGCAGCTTGCAGATTGAGCTACTAATTCATTAGCCATCCAACCAGCGCCCCGACAAGCAGTTCTCACAAATCGCGGGCCGATCACCACACAAAATCGAATCACCCGCCGATAGCTGCGACATAACCCTCGCGCAACCGATCACAGCTGGGGATTACAGACTACAGAGACAAACTACCTGTATCTATTATTATCACCTCATCTGCCAAAATGTCCAACCAAAGACAAGCCTCCTCCGCTTCCCAAGTCCCCCACCTTTCACCCGCCGAACTCTCCTACCTCTATACCTCCCTCAGCCTGCCTAAGAACCCAATTCGACCAGATGGACGTTCTCCCACACAGTTCCGCCCTCTCTCTGCAGAGACAAACATCCTACCTGGCACCAACGGCAGTGCGCGCATCGGATTCGCAGATGGCACACAAGCGATCGTTGGAGTGAAAGCCGAAGTTGAGAAGACCGTCCTTGCAGCTGACACGCTCGACTCTCGGAGTCTGGCGCAGCACGGCGACGCACTGAACCGTGAAGGCGAGCAAGGCTCTGCGGCTGTTTCCGGGCACGGCGAGTGGGTGCAGATGTCGATTGAGATTCCCGGATTCCGGGACGATGATGCGCTGCCTGTGTTCTTGAGTGAGATGATGCGGGAGAGTCTTGTTGGTTCCGTTTCCAATGAGAACGGATCGAAAGAGATGGCCGGTGGATTGAAAGGGAGGCTCGTTATTAACAAGCGGTGGCATTGGCGCTTGTATATTGATGTTAGTACACTTGCAACTCAACAATCTGGGTTTGGATTTGGATTTGCGAATCGACAGATTAGATTGGATTAACGGCTAACATGACATATTAGGTCTTGCTTCTCTCCCAGCCACTCTCATACCCCCTCCCCCTCCTCTCGCTCACGACCCATCTCGCCCTCCTCAACACCAAGCTCCCCAAACTCAAGTCTACAGGTGAAGAAGATCCTTTCTTCGATGATGACTGGGCTGCTGCTGAGTACCTTTACCCGCGCTCCAACAAAAAATCTTCTCTCTCTGCTGCACCATCACACCCCGTCCGCCCACCTGTAACGCTGCTCGTGATCTCCGTTGGCGAAAATGTCATCTTCGATCCCAACCGCGAGGAGATCGCTGTCGCAGATGCTGTGTTGGCCATTTCAATTACGCGCAGCAACGATTCTGATACCTTGAGATTGCTCTCTATCCGCTCTATCGACCCTCCCTCCCGCCTCACCCAGCCTGGTATCCCCAATTCTGAGAATGTGAATATGCTCGGTGCTACAGCTGGGCCTGGCGAGGAAAGTGGTGGCCAGGAGGAAGTCAATGGTGTCTGGCGGCCCCGCCGAGGTGGGATTCAGCGCAGTATCATTGCTCGTATGGTTAAGACTGTTCTCGGCAAGGGAGGTGTTGGCGAGGAGGTTCTTGAGGGCCTTGAGGGAGTTGAAGTGCAATGATTCTTATTTTGATTCTCGTGGCCATGTATGAATAATCAAGTACAGCATTATTTCGAAAGTTGTGACTTGGATATCTGATATGACGAGTCGCTTCTTTCCAGGAGTTTGGAGAAAAGCGTTGTTTTCTTTTGAATAAATCATTTTCGTTCATCGTTCATCGATTGGAGATTAAATGACTCCCCTATCGTAGCTGGATCAAAAATCCATTTATAATGTACACAATGAGGTCGAACTCCGTCGAGATAGACATATCTCGCTCATATACGACCCATCGAATCCTCCCGCCATAACACACATACACACACACACACACACACACACACACACCTCGGCCTCCTTGCCCTACCTATGTAGCTATATCATCGGTTGACACAAACCATAGGCCAAATCACCAAATACCCAACCACTTCTTAACAGGCTTCCTATTTCCCTCCCAATCAACAAACTCCGGCGTACCCTCCTTGCCCTCGACAGCAACAGGCGACTGCGTATCAATCTCAACATCCTTCTTCTCCTGCTCCGCCTCCTCAAGTCCATGCGCAATACGATACTGCTTGCGCTTCTCCGCATCCTCGATACGGCGATGACGCTGCTCGCGCACACGCATCGAGTTGTGCTGCACATGCATACGCCAGACCGCGAACGCCTGCGAGATCGTGTCGATAGGCGACGTCAACAGACCTGACCAGGAAGGCAGCAGGTGTGCGAAGGGCGAGGTTGCTTTGAAGTTTGTGGTGAAGGTGAATCCCGCGCAGGAGATGAGCACGCTCTGTAAATGAATTAGTCCAATGATTCCGTAGAAGCCAAGTAGCGTAGCTTACCATCGCAATCCAGATATGGATCCACTTGCTCGTCAGGAACTTGAACATCACTGTCCCCTCAGGCGGGAACATGTTCGGGTACTGCGTCTTGGTCTGCTGGATGCGCTCTTTCTCGGTGGTGCGCGGGCCATACTCGAAGGGTTGCCCCGGAGGTGCGCTCTTCGGGGATGGGGCTACATAGCGCTGGGGGTGCGAGGGTGGGCGGAATCGGTCGGGTTTGGCGAGGACGCGGGGCTTAGTACTAGCGTTGGCTTTCTTCAATGCGGCGCTGGTGGAGGTGAAACTGCGTCGCGCGCTTTGGCGTTGGAGGGCGCGCAGAGTCAGCGCTGAGGGGGTCCTCGGGGGAGGAGGAAGCCGGGGATCGGAGTGGGCATGTTGAAAATGGCCCTTTATTTTTCCTCTGCTTGTTTCTCGCAGGAGGGGTTCTGAGTGAGCTTGCTGACTATCTAGATGTGGAACCATAGATGCAATTTTTGGAGAAGGTTTTATATCACGTGACTCGGGACATCGGAAGCCGATTTGGAGTCGAGACGGTCCCGGTTGACCGCACCTTCTGGACTCTTTGGAGAAAAAACGTGAGACGCACCTGACAGTGAGAAATATTCACATCACTTGGCATCTTCTCTCGCATTTTCTAGCTATCAATTGGAATATCATGTCTAATAATAGGATTGTAATACAAATTACTCCATACTCCGTACTGTTTCAGCTACTTTCCACTAAACCCAGCGAAAAGGTCATTGTCCATGTCTACTGCAACCTCGGCAACAGGCTAAACTGCATTTGCTGCCGAGAAAGAGTCGAGAATAAACCGTTTCTGCCTCAGGATCCACAGCATCGGACCACCTTCTCAGATTGGGCGAATGACAGTTCAGGCATTTCGAAGCCACGGTGGATCGCGAAGTTGCTCCCGTTCTCCAGGGGGAAGGGGGTGAACGCGCAATGTGAGATATGACCCATCGCCATGGGCAACTAGGTCATAGGTGAAAGAAGATTGTATGTTTCAGTGCATTGGCGCGTATGCAGAAGCAAGTCGTGTGAGGAACCCACCGCCATATTTACCTAAAGTAATGCTCTGAGCTACCCAAGTGATGATGAGCTATGAGATCATGAGGCGGGCTATGGACCAAAGGGTGCTGGTTCTTCGCCACAACACATGTGTACCAGCTTCCCGGCCAGTCCTTGCCAGGCGCACGAACAAGTTAGAATGCAAGATATCAGAAGTTCAGAAGCCAACAATCGTATCCGGGGAGTGGTAAACAGCCACACCGACGTTCCCGGTTGCGCCCGTCCGCCTGAATCATCTGCACGCTGATTGGCGGAAAGGCAGATTACGAGAGGCCGTCGGGGCCAAGTACAAATAACCAGATTTTCTTCTCTCCCTTCTCAGACTTTTTTGTTCATACAGTGTCTTAATAATTCCTCATTATTATTCTTTCATAATACTTCACAATGCCTCCCAAGAAGCAAGAATCTTTCGCCCCTGGTAAGCTATCCTATCTTCCCTATCTTGAGAGGTTGAGCCGGGGAGGCGCAATGAAAGGAAAGAAGTGCTAGCATCCGACTTCCTAAATGGCGACTATACAAGCTGTCACATGGTTGGCTTCACTCTCTCACCTGTCATCGCATCTGCGACTCAACCTCAAGATCAATATCTCAATTGCGACCACCGCTACGTTCTCCTCCATACATCATACCTCAATGATTCAACATGATTACCTTCGATGTGTTCTGTATCTTGATGGCCATCGAGATGCGCGAGGCAGAACTCGCAGAAGCCACCATGGTTGAAGGAGCCAAAAACAAGATGTCGACCGGATCGCTAATCAGAACTTCAATCCAGGTGACGCCGCCAAGGGTGCCAAGCTCTTCCAGGTAAGCCAGTTCTTTCAATCGCAAACAAAGAATCAAAAACCTAATAGCTCTTTTCTTTCAGACCCGTTGCGCTCAGTGCCACACCACCGAGGCTGGCGGTGCCCACAAGGTTGGCCCCAACCTCCACGGTCTTTTCGGCCGTAAGACCGGCTCCTCCGAGGGTTACGCCTACACCGACGCCAACAAGCAGGCCGGTGTTGAGTGGAACGAGGACACTCTGGTAAGCGACTATCAACCTTAGTTCTCGCCCTCGATCATTCGCTAACCATGCGCGCCTATAGTTCTCTTACCTCGAGAACCCCAAGAAGTTCATCCCCGGTACCAAGATGGCCTTCGGTGGTCTCAAGAAGACCAAGGAGCGCAACGACCTCATCACGTACGTTCTACCCGCAACTCCGTTCCTGACGCACACAAACTCACATATCTTCCTAGTTGGCTCAAGGATAACACCGCATAAACGACCTGATGTCTCTTTTTTATTCCCCGGCTTTTTTTCTGTTTCTCCCCCTCTGGGCACAAAAGTCTGGGGTTGGTTATGGCGCCGTGAGCTGAATACCGGGTACCCTATGGACCGGGCATGTACTTTTATTACAATTTCCATGGTGATCCACAATAGATTTGATCTTCTCCGCTTCATCTCCAAATGTTTAAACCGCAAGAATTATACAAAGAATCAGATGGCCTGACCTTCTCCTGATTAAACGTCCCAGTCTGTTTAATGATTGGATGCTTATGTGCATGTTGTCGATTGGGCAAACATGGGCGGTCAGGCACGGAGGTACCTGATGGGTACTTGAGAAGTACTTGGACGCTAACGCAGGCCCCACTCAGACAGGCGGTATCTCCTCTGTACCTTGCAGGTATCTGATGTGTACACGCCATGCTGGTCTCGAGTCTCAGCACATGACCACGCAGGGGTAGGCTGATTGGCCCAACCTCCTGGACTTGGATACAAGTGAGGGGACGCATGTTCTTTCGTCTTCTTATTCCTGACTCCCGCATTGCTCAACGAGGCGTTTCGATCCCAGATCCATATTAATCTCCAGCGCTTGTCCCGACCGCATCTTGTCCAACATCAAGTATCGAATGCGCCTGTTTCGGAGATATCCTGTGTCGCCGTTTAGAATCCACAACCTGCCTTGTCGCATCGCATCGCATCATACCTTATCGCATCGTTGTCGCGGGGTTGATAGTCCAGATATCTTCTGTAACGGGTAGCGCAGGAGACAGTATCCCAGCGCATATACTAACCCCCTCGATTTTACCAAAGAAACCAAGCGGTTCCACCGCAAGTAATAGCCTCTCATAGGCATTGATCTGCGCTCTGTCGCTGAAATCTGCAGTGCCTCTCCTTCTGAGGCGCAACTTTTGCCAAACGCCATCCGGAATGCTGGATGAGCTAGACAACGTCTTCGACGACCATCCATCCCTGGACGCGTCGCTCGAAGACTTCGAGAGCAATACACATCCTCACAGATCCCCAATGTTTGGCCTGCCATCTCAACACTCCGGATTCCGGTCTGAAGACTCGGACGGAGAAGACGGCGAGATTGAAGATCCCGCCCAGGAACGCTGGTCTCCCCCCGGTTTCCACCCACCTGACTATGTCCATGGTAGTGGATGGTACCGTCACCAGCCCTATCTGCGCAAAGGTAACTCCAACACGGATCGCTTGCAGCTCAAGCCCACCGTCGGCCTTAGCGTTTCCCCATCCCAGTCGCGCGAGCCAAGCCCACAGTATGAGGATGCGCTCGAAGGCCCAACAAAGAGTAGACAAAGCGATCGCGCCACCCCGGGCGACATCTCCGTCGCGGCCAACGTGCCTTTACCGGCGGGTGCAGATACCCCCTCCACGGTCGATCCCCAAGTCCCCCTCCGGCTCCAAGTACAGGACGCACACCTTGCCGCAGCCCCGAGGACGAAGGGGTGGGCTTTGGTGCGGAGAATCTGAGCAACTGTAGGCCCTGTCTGATCTGGATTTCAGCTGCAGGCGCGGGTATACTAACAACTTATTGCGAATGGATAAAGACATTCGCTTTGCAGTGCGTGCAGAAGTCCAGCACCGAGAACCTATTGCCGCGATGTTTGGCTATCTGCGCTCCAAGTTTGAGCGCATGACCAGCTCCAAGTCTAACACTACTTTATCTGTGATAATCCTTCTACTCTCAGTCGCCTTTATGCGCGCCCTGGTCCTTCCAGGCCTCCCCCAATCGATCCCCGACCTCGTAAAGCTATCTGGCTTCGCCCGTTCCTTCGAACCGCTAATCTATTACTCCGAGAATGGTGTGCAGCAAATCGGCACGCTCCAAGAAACCGGCGTCGCAGTATGGGATCTGAGCGAGTCCGTCCGTGGGACAAACATGACCAGCGCACCCATCATCGTCCGACAACTCGACGAGCTCTCCGACTCCCTCAAATCCCTCTCCCTCGAGCTAACCCGTTTCTTCGCCAACGTCGACTCCGACATCGACTCCATCCTAATAGTAATGGACTGGGCTAAGCGCGAGCTCGAAACCCTCTCTGCGCAACCACCAAGCTCCCTCCCAACCATCATCTTTGACAACATGCACAACATGCTTTCCCGTCTCGGCGCCCTTGAACGCTCCTCCCAAGTCTCCGACGGCGGCGTCACCGCAACCTCGACAACAACAACACCCCTTGGCCATCTCGTGATGGCCGTCTTTGGCCCGACCTCTGCACAGCGCACGCGCACAACCCTCACCCGGACCTTCACAGAGTTCCTCTCCGTCCTGGAAGAATCGATCAACAGCGAGCTGACACACTCCACGGCCCTCTTTGCGCTCTTCGAATCCATAGACCGACAATTCCTTAATCTGCAGCGCACGGTGGTCCGCGAATCTGACGCCCAGGAACGCGCTGAGGGGGAGATGCTCTCATCGCTCTGGACAAGAGTGCTTGGGCCGGATGCAGCGGCTGTGCGCAAGTACGAGAAGAACAAGAAACTACTTGCGAATGTGCGCAGTCGAACCGTCGCCAATAAACACCTCCTTGTCGACCACCGTGGCCGACTGCTGACGCTGAAGGTCAATCTCGAGACTCTGCGCAGGAAGCTGGTCAGTCCGCTTGTGCGGCGAAATGACTCGGTCAGCTTTGTCGGCTCGATTGATGGCGGTGGGGCTGGCGGTGGAGGGAACGGGCATGGAGGATCTGCAGGCCGCATGCTTGGGCCTGTTGAGGCAGTTATTGATGGGCAGATCCGCGGGTTGGAAGGGACATATGATTATCTACGCACTGTCCGTGAGAGACAGAAAGCGAAGCTCCTGGAGTTGGTCTATGGGGCGGGGAGGAAACCGAATCGGCCTATGATTGATGGGTTAGAAGGGAGGGAGGATGATGACTGAGGGACTTTCAGTCTTGATCTCGTCCTTTGGTCTTGCCTTTTCCTCTGATTCTCATCTTGGCATAGCGTCATGTTTCGGGTTGGGAGTCTTGCTTTTCCTGTTTTCTTGTTTTCTCGCTCTATCTGGCGTTCTAGGGCATATGTTGCAGGGCATCAGCGGCTGCGGGCTTTTTGGTGCGACTATTGGTGGTTACCTGCTGTGCCTCTTTGGATGTCTGCTTTGGATTTTCTGTGGTGATTTCGTGGCGAACAGGCAGGATTGCGAGGAAAAGGAATAGAAATATGTGGCGCCAGCTGGTCTGATTTAACTCAATGGAGCCATTCAGTTCTGGGTTCTCTTTTCTGTTCATGTACGAATGAATCGGCTCGTTCATGTTCGTTGGGTCACTTTATATCATATATCATGCTTTTACTGGTCGAATTTCAGGTTGCTTAAGCTACGTGGGTTTTGGTCATAGTAGCATAATGCAAGATAGGAAAAGAACATGCAGTAGCACTGGACTTATTGATGTCTATTATAGCTAATCTATGACCTGCGCAACCAACCCAAGTTTTTAGCCCTGAGAAGGGATAGAACGTACTACATATACCACCTGTTGCGCCACCAGAGGCCCTACAAATACATCCATCATATCTACCCTGTATCTGAACTTCGAACAAGGACTAAAGTCATGAGAGGAATGTCAGGGAACTGAGTCTGGATATATTCAATTGCTAAGGCGTCTGATTTGAGGGCAAACGCTGCAATTTCCTGATCATTAAAGCCTCATTTACCCGATCAAAGAACCCCGAGAGACACATTGGAGAACTTCGAAGCAAATCAGCTTCAATGAAGATCAAGAGTCACTTTTGGGTTACTATAAAGGACTGAGAGGTAGCCCAGAAGCATTTTATATCCCAAAGACCACCGGCTCATCCCAACGGGTCCGCTTCCTCAGCCGCAAAGCAGGAATCTCCACGTGTGGGCTGATAGCCTTGCATTTGATGACATGTTGACGTATATACTCAACACAAACCTCATGATTTGCATTGAATAAGGAGTGCATCAAGTCAAAACGACGGAAGGATATAAGAAGAGTCGGAACGTGGCTTCGAAGGGTTGTGATGAGTTGGTAACCTTGGATGTGGATGTAAACTCGTTGCGTGGTGTCATGGATATTGCTACATATCAAATCCATATGCAAGGCCAGAAAATATCCCACTGAAGAATATAGTATAATCGATATTCCGAGCAGGAGGCAGGACGTGGTTTCGCATTAGCCATAACTCTGATCGACTAGAGGATGGCTTTGAAACCCGCAATGAAAAGTCTGTAGTTTTACCAGCATGAACTACGCTGCAAGCTTTCCGTTTCCGACTTGGACGAAAGGCTTGGTGAATACCTCCCGTATCAAGAGTAGTACAAGGTCTGTTCTCTTGACAGTCAGAGCAGATATAGCTATCAGTGTCAGAAGGTACATCTGAGGCTAGGTCTGTACATTCTGTGTGTGACCAGGTATAGCACATCGAGCAGTAGATCCCAGGGACATCCGATGTATATCGCTTGCAGCAACATGGTATCGAGAGAGCGAAGTTTTGTGTCCTTAGACCACACAATTGAGGGATCGAAGAGTAATACCATTTCTCAACCAAAAAGGAAGCCTGGGCCATTGAGACCAGATCTCTTGGCGTTGATCTCTTGAGTACCATATCGAAAATCTCCGGTGGTAGATTAATCCCCCAGTGTTCCTTAGCGAAAGCTGAAGGTCCCTTCCAGGGATTTGAAGTGAATATATAAGCCAATATTCTGAATCCAGGGGAGCAACACAGTGCTGAAGTATTCGTTACAAGAGGAATAGGTGGAGAATGGGTTATATCGCCATTGCAAATCTCGAAAAGTTCGATATGTCGTATGGAAATAGCTATCCCATGAACAGGCTTTGTGTGAATGTTGCCATGGGATATAAAACGTTTTGCTTTTGCCGCCAGAGATGTGCCGATTTGGTCAGTGTTGCAGAACACGATCAGATATTTATGGAACCAAAATATGTCATCAGCAGGTGCCTTCCACGCTGGAAGGGAGGAAAACGTGATCGGGAGGTCTTCTATATCCTTACCCCTGACCTCAAAGTCCCATGCGGCGATGCGTAGTAATCCAATAGCAAGGGCAGCAAAAAGGGGAAAGGAGCGTTCCCAGGTAGAAATATTGTCGAAATAGAACCGCCACGTGAAGACAAAGTCCGTAAAGAGCTGGAATTGTAGCTCGTTCAGTTGTGCGGGGATCCTGGGCGTGATTCCAAACGAATTCAATAGCTTTTGCACATCAGTTGCATCATTCAAATCACTCTGTAAGTGATCAGCAGACTCAGACACAGCCACCCCGTCATCAAGCAGTGTCACTAATGTACTGAGCGATGTCTCTCGGATACTGGCCAATGTCGCCTGTCGGACTCCCGGGTAGAGCGTCCCTTCCACGCTTGTCCACTGGGTGACGGTGAAAAGGCCCGCATCTTCATCAATGGTATAGACATAATCGAGTTGAAAATGAAGCGGTGTTGGAAATGGGATACTCTCCCATTTGAGTCTGTCCGATCTTGAGAGAATTTGTTGGACGGTTTTCAGTATCATTGGCGTGTCTGGGGATGAAGATGCTCCACGGGGAGGATGGAACCAGCGGTACCATTTCCCTACGACGAGGTCAACGATGCTCAGACAGTTATCTACAAGCCATACCGTTGACATGCAAGTTCCAAAGTCCTCTCGTTACCATTATAATGGGCTGTGGGCCAAGTTGGGGGGAAAGACAAATAGTAGAAAGCCGACGGAATTACACGGAGGCGGTCGAGTGGGGGGTCAGGCACGACGTGCAGGTGGGCCCCTAAATGAGAACATACGGTGTATAGCCCCAAACGCACATATCTAAGATCTTTACTCCGTACAGGTGCATTCTTAGGATATCTCTTATATTCGGGTCTCTGAACGTCCCGAGTCTCTAGTCGCAGAGGTGAAATGGCACAGAAATACTTTCCAAAGACCTAAAAAGAGGTCCCGTACCAACACTTTCATGATGTCAGATGAGCCTCACACGTACAGCACGAGTTTCCATACACGAGTGGAGGTTAAAGCCAAGAAAGAGAGATTATAAAGAAGCCCCAAGAGTCGGATCAGACGAGATTCCTGCCGCCCAATTAATTTAAGACTCTATTCCCTTCATTTCACCTCAGTTGATCTCTTCATAGTGGAGGATAGAAAACACCCATCAAAAATCATCTTGGATTAGCCAAACAAGTCCACTGCACTGTTGCGGACTACTTTAGGGCCTAGCACGGCTGCTAATTCAGCAATTATACCCTTGATAGACATTGGTGAAGTCATAGACATGGTTTCCCATTTGACCAAATCCTGAAAGGAGTGAGTAAGAACGTCTCTTGCGTTTATTTGGACGGAAACAAGAGACACATACCTTCATATGAACAAGATTGTTCTTAACAAACAGCAACCAATGATCCAGGTCTAGTTCTTCCACCTGGGAGAGGGTAAGAATGCCAGGCATCCCAATCTCAAAGAGTGAGACGTCATCTGCATCGGCGTTGGTCTCGTTCTCCGAGACTAGAGGCGCAGGGGAGGAAGCCCGGTCCCGAGACAAGGATACGTAAGAACGAGAATTAAGCTTCTCCGCCAGTTCTCCATCAAGCGGATCCCAGTCGCCGGATTCAGGGTCTGCGTTACAAAACAACTGGTCAGATGTGCTGCACAAATTTCATGTAGTACAAGTGGTATGTACTAAGACATGCTAAGACATGAATGGAACATACCAAGGATGTACTGGGGGCGGAAATTGGCCTTGTACCGCATTTTCTGACAGGAGTGAATGTAGTACCCTATACGTCGAGTGTCAGATTTGCACGCTAGTATAAGCGATTATCGTGATGGCAACTTACCCATGTAGTAGTACGGATATTGGTTCTCGACCGAGAAGGCAATTTCGCGCATAGCACTCAGCTTACCGATTTCCCATTGCTCGTAGGCCGGATCATAACTGTATGATATCGGCCGTCAGCTTATCTTATTTCATGTTTCGGAAACAGGAGCTCAGCTTACAAGACGTAGACAGAGCTGACGCCGCTGGGCACCAGGTCGAGGACCGCAACGGCAATGAGCTCGCCATCGAGACGATAGCACTGATGCCATGAACCGACTTTCTTCTCAGAGGCGTTGTTGGCTGCTAGCGGGTTCGGTGATCGCTTGATCCCTGTGCATAGGAAGCGTTGGAAATCCTTGGGTTTCCAGTGAGAGACATCCTCTTTATGGATGGCAGTTTGGTATTTAACGAACAGCTCAAACTTTGCCTGGGACACAGAGTCTCCTTCGATGGTGACTTCGAAGCGGTGTGCCGGCTCAATGGGACGCTTAGTGGCAGGGTCGATGGGCCGTTTGACATTGTCATACTCGCTCAGATGGACAGCTGACACAAGGTCAAAGTTGCACTTGCGGTGCTTTTTCTCTCTAGATGATGGTAAGCGATAATCTGATAACAAGAAGAAAAGGAATTGCATACTCGCGAGTTCGCGGGCAGAGGCGGGCAGCCTTGCGCATATACTCCGGACCTAGGATGAACTTGTTCCATTTGTTGATGGCCTTGCGTTGATCGCGGCGGGGGCGATAGGCCGTAGCCTCTAGCCTTAAAGTGTAATGAGGACAACAAGATTGCAGCAAATTTTGTTTGTAGTAGAGGTTCCCCGATCTGATATCGTTAGTATAAAGGGCCTATTAGGGGAAGCAAACCAAGAGGTCATACCGCCGCCAACCGCCATTGATTAGGTCCTCGTAATGTTCCGGGTGTACGGAGGTCGAGTTAGCGTAGTACGATGCACCTAGTACATGTCAATATCCCTTTCTTAGCATGAAAAACAAGGCGACACAAAGGAGTAAGGGCAACAAACTTCCATGTTCGGACTTGCAGTAACCACACGAGTTCTTTTGGTAGCCTGACAGTATCACATCACATCAGTCTTTGCGTACAAGGGATTGGACGATCCACGAGCTGCAGGATGGCGTTGATATCCCCGCTCTATTTCCCCAACCGGTAGCGCCCTGGGCCAGTGGAAGCGCCACGGGGTAACAGATGTCTATCTCAGTGGTTCCCTGCATGGAAGTGGGACATACCCAGGGGGCGGAACAGCGACAGCTCGCTCGCGCGTTTGGCGTCAACTCGTTGCATTCTCGGTTGTGTGTGTTGGCGTGCAGCGACTAAGTGGGATGTTGTATTGGAGGGGAAGAGAGTGGGATCTGAAGTCGGGACTCGGCGGGGTGATCAATACGGCTTTCTAAGTATACGGCAAGGGGCTTTTATAGCTGTACATGTAGGCAGACTACTCCATACAGCTGCATTTATTATTTAATGAGCGCTATGGCATGAAATTAAGAAAGCCTCATGCGATCGGCCGATCTCTGATCAAATCGCTCCGATTTTCCCCCCTCGGTACCAAACCCCGTAGCCCTGGAGGTCTGATGGAGAGGCTCATTACGCGACGTGAGAACACACAATCGATGTCGATGACCGTGAGAGAGGCGGAGAATGGTGATTCCAAAGTTACCATCCCCAGCTACGACCTCAGAAACGAAACCAGAGGCCCCATTGAACTCTTCGACGCATTTGGAGATGGGTCACATGACCAACTATAGAGCTGGACGAGGCCAAAAAAAAAAGACACGCAGAAAGGAGGTGAGATATTCTTAGAAAACGGTCTAGGAACTCTTCAGAGCTATAGGATCTGGAACAATGCATCAATAACGTACTCCGTAAAAAAAAAACAAAGAGAAAATAGGACCAAAAAAAGGAGATGTACCTTAATTCTCCCGGACTGCGCCGCCGGTGCCCCTCCATTCCCACTTCTCTTCCCTTTTTCTCATTCCTCAATAACCTCCATTTCTCAGATCTTCTTCCGAAACCATGCCTATTTCCACTTATCATTCCAATCCCCCGTCGGGCATGAACGGGAAAACCTGATCTCCATTGCCTCTCTCCGCAATAAAAAGGGAAAAAAAATTTCCTTCTCCGACCGCCCTCGCGTTGTATTCCCGCTCCTCTACAGTCCGGACACCTGGAGCTTCGTCACCTCAGAGACCTGACAGGCTCCGAGGGAGCTTGCGAGAGCACCATCTTACTCCTGGATTTCCCTGACCTACTTGATATTCTTGGTCTTTCCGCTCTTTCTTCCCCTTCTTCTTTACCTCCCGGTGACTTTCGACAGTCCCAATTTTTCGAGTAAATCGAATCCGGATATTCGATTGGCAATTACAATGGCTCAAATCCGGTCCATGGAAGCCCGCGTTGGGCGAAAAAACCAACGTGAGTATTGCTGGCGTTGCTTTGCGGTTGCGCACGTGGGGGATCATCCCCCTTACGTCTACCGCCCTTGTGCTCCCTGACGCTAACGGCTTGTCATAGGCTACGGCTCAAAAGGCGAGAGACTGGTAGCCGGCGTCGTTCCTATTTCCGCCGACAAGACCAAAGTCCTCATGATCCAGTCCGCAGGTCCCGGAGGCTGGGTGCTCCCCAAGGGTGGATGGGAGCTTGATGAAAAAACCCCTGAGCAGGCCGCGTGTCGCGAGGCTTGGGAGGAAGCTGGTGTCATATGCATCGTGAGCAGAGATCTGGGACTTATCCCAGATATGAGGCCGTCCGGCCATCTGACGGTGCAAGCGCCCAAAGCTTCATACCAATTTTTTGAAGTCACTGTCGAGCGCGAGGAAACCGAGTGGCCTGAGATGCACAAGCGGAAACGCCAATGGGTTCCGTACGCACAGGCGGCCACTGCCCTCGCAAACCGGCCCGAGTTGCTTGAAGCGTTGAATCGCAGCTCGTTGAAGCGATAGCCCCTATCGCTATGCACATTCACCTCTCTCCTGCACATCGAACACTCTCCTCTCCTCAACCCTCACCCTTTCACCTTTCACCTTTATGTGCATCGCTTTTTCTGAAAGAACTACTTTCTGATAATGACTCGACATGACCAACTCCAAAAAACGGTGGCTTCGTCGCTTCTACTATTGGCTTTGTCTACCTTCCTCCCTTTTTTTTGCATCTTTCTAACGGTCGGGCTGCTGCTACCCGTCCATAGTTTCATTTGTGAATGAACAACTTGAGTCTGTGCTTTCTGCTTGGTCTCGCTTCGATAGACACATTTCGCAAACAGGCTCAGGGCTTTGAAGCATTCTACTTGCATTGGTACTGGAGGATCCTCGCTGTTTCGGCTGTGGCAACAGACTATTTTATCTGAATCCATTGCTTGTCTCATTCCAGTTACCAGATTTGAGCTGAGAGCACATTTTGCTTAGTTCTAGATACCACTCTATTTGAGGACTTTTTAGATGCTGAAACAAGTGTCATTACCCAGCAACTGAATCAAAGCTGAATTGAATTATCTCTTTCACTCTCCGTGCGAGAAATAGAAGCATAAGAGAACACAGTTGAATCTGAATCTATGTCATTAAACCAATGTAAAGTCCAAAATACAAAGCCCGATTCATACTTGGTGTTAGCAATCAATTGGTGTCCCGAATAGGCAAAGCGTAAAAAGCTGCGGAGGGAGCAAATCCGCGTCGACCTGAGCCTACGACCTCGCGCCCCGGTCATCTACCACAGCATTCTTCATTAACTCGATCTTGCCCCTCAAACCCGCACTTTATTGCCTGTCTTCTAGTCTTATAACCTGCGAATAATCATTTTCAGCTCCAGACAAAGGAGGCGGCCATCAGCGCTGCCGCATACATAGCAATATGGACTACGAGATGGACCTCGAGCCCACAGGGCCCCAAGTAACTGTCCGCGAAGTAAGCCGAGCAGTCTAAAGAGCAGCAGGGTGAAGAAACTCATCAACTTCACAGGCGGAACCTTACCGTGTCGACTTCAGATTGACCGCAGTGGACCTCGCATTCGCCAACTCCCTCCGCCGCACCATTCTCGCCGAGGTGCCCACCCTCGCACTCGATCTCATCGAAATTGAAAGCAACACCTCTGTTCTCCCTGATGAATTCCTCGCACACCGCCTCGGCATGATCCCCTTGAATTCGTACAACTGCGACCAGGATCTGGATTACACACGAGACTGCGACTGTGAAGACCACTGTGTGCGCTGCAGCGTGACGCTGTCACTGCATGCGCGTTGTGGCAGCGGCATAATGTCTGTCTATGCGCGAGACTTGATCGTTGTGGGCGAGCGGATCAACGAGAAGATCGGTGACCCGGTTACCACTGACCCCGAGAACAAGGGACCGTTGATTTGCAAGCTGCGCAAGGGTCAGGAGATTAAGATGACTTGTCTGGCAAAGAAAGGAACTGCCAAAGAGCATGCGAAATGGGCACCCACTGCGGCCGTCGGGTTTGAATATGACCCCAACAACAACTTGCGTCATGTGGACTACTGGTATGAGCAGGACGCGGCGAAGGAATGGTACGTATTCTGACTTTTCATTGGGTGATTTAGATCGTTGCCTGGATATGTCTGCTGACACACTTTACAGGCCTGTCTCTGAGAACGCTGCCTGGGAACCAGTCGCGAACCCCGACCAGCCCTTTGATTACGATGCCGAGCCCAATTGCTTCTACCTGGATGTAGAGAGCATTGGTAATCTCGAACCCGATACAATCATTCAGCAGGGTATTGTCTCTCTCCAGCGCAAGCTCGCAGCTACTGTGTCTGTCCTGCTGGGTGAAGGTGAGGGTGGCAATGGACACGCCGAAGATGCTGACATGATGGGTGCCAATGACCCTGATGCATACGAGCCGCCCGAGGGTATCGATGGCAACATGACTTCATACGGGAACGGTGCCGCCAGTGCTTGGGGTGCCAGCGCGCAGACACCGTACGGTGCTACGCCTTATGGCCAGAGCAGCTATGGGTTCTAATCGTGTTTGGCCGCAGAAGCAGACAAAAAAAATAGAGCTTCAAGCATGATTAATGGAGTTTTGATTTCCTGGTGATTTGGGGCGCTTTCTGGAGTTTTCCCTTCTTTGTCACCTTATGATACTGGGGACGGTCTTCTGGGTACAGAAAATGACTGATCTCTGCACCACAAATATCTTTTGCCTCGTCGGTTCAGTGAACCAGAAAATATTGAATACAATGCCCAGGTGGGAACCTTGCTAAATGCAATCAATAATCTTCTTAGGTCGATTGCGAGAATGCAGTAACTTCAAAACGACATCGCCGGGTGATCAGGTGGCCCATGGATATCATATGCTACACAGGTTGAGTCAGAGGCTAGAAATCATCTACCTATTCATGTGCCTGGGGATATTCTTTCCCTTCTGGGCCATACAGAGCGTTCGATGAAGCCGAGAATGTATTCCCCACCGCGGATACTTAGTGAAATAGGTATCATAAACACCGTCAAAGATCATATGTACGGACAACCCTCACGATGCTAGTCCCGTCCACCAGGGTCTCTTTCTCTTCTTCAAGTGTATAGCCTCCCCAGTGTGGCAGTAGCACCGTCCAAACATACCAATAGAGAACCCCGAAGAGTAAACTGTCTGGATTAGCAATGCAGCCCTTAAGCAACGACATTAACACTCACATTCCAATGCCTACAAGCGCATAGGTAGCATAAAAGAAATCAACGTCTCCTTGCCAATTCGGCGGTGGGATGAATGGCGCCACTAACAGGATCAAGCATACCCCAACGCGCAGCCAGACAGCCGGTAGCCACGCCTTGAAGGGTCGTGGAAGATGAGGCTCCCGATATCGCAGTATCAACAGACCGACCGTGATTGCTAATGAGAATATCACTCCAGGATATCCCTCCAAATCCAGGATGAAGTTATAGACATCTCCTTGTGGCGGTAGAGCGATGACCAAGACAGACGGGATATAATGGACAATAAGTCCACCCAGTGGAGTGCCGAATGGCCGAGAAGACGAGAGAACATTTTGCCACGGGAGAAAGCCTTGTCGGGCTATTTCTTGGTTCAAACGTGCCTGCAATAATAGCAGCATGTTAGTATTCATGAGTCTCGCTTTTCATGGATTTGGAAAAGCGTACCAGGGCAAATGTCACCACCATCACATTCCCAGCAGCTGAGATGGCAATAGCAAGTGGAAAGAATATTCTTCCAACGTGGTCTCCAAAGAGTTTCTCGAATAGCAATGCGCCGACCAATTCCCCGCTGTTCTTGATGTCTTCGACTGGAATGACGAGGAAGTAGGAGAGATTCGCAAGAAAATATAGACCACCCGCCGTGAGCAATGCCGTGGGACAAACAGTTTTGATTATCCCAATCGGATCATCAACCTCATTGAGGACATAGTTCACATTGCTCAATCCGGCGTAGGAATAGTAGACCTTGAACAAAGCTGTCGAAAGCAAACTCCAACTCCAATTCGATCCTTCCCACATCGCGTCCCACGAAATCGAACTGCTGACCATCGACCCTGGAGTGGTATTATCAGTATCGCCATGTAAATGAAGGAAGACAACCCATATCCCTGTCAGAGACATGGCGCCAATGAGAAAGATCTTCACCCAACCCAGAACATTCTGGACAAAGATCCCCGTCTTCAAGAAACAGCCATGAACGATAGTAATGGCAGTCAAGAGCCCAACAGCAAGAATCTTATGCTGAATCTCCGTTGGCTCAATACTCAGCGCAAAGAGCGTATACTTGGAAAAGATAATGCAATTGCTCGCCGTGAAGCCCAGGAGCACTGCCTGGGTAGTTATCAAGCTCGATGCGAGAAACCGCGGTCGGGGATAGGTATACTCGAGGTACACCTATAAAATCCAGCAGAACGAGACTTTAGCTGGGCTGTTTTGCTTTTTCTCTGCGGTACTTGTCTGTTTCTTTTACCTTGTCTCCTCCTGAGCGAGGGAGCATGCACCCGAATTCCATCGACACAGCTAGACCGCAGCCTGATAATATCGTCCCGACTAGCCATACTAGTAGAGTCAAGCCGATGCTCCCGGCAGATCGGACTATTGAACCTGGTGTTGCGAAGATACCGCTGCCAATCACTCGTGACACTACCAAGATGTATGCGCTTGACCAGTTGAGGTTCTTTCTGTAGTTTGATCCTGGTAGGGTATTGTAGGGAGGGAGAGTTTCCCCAGATGAAAAACTGGGGTTTTCATGAGAGTTGGTAGATAAATTAGAGTGAACTGATGGGTTCAAAAGAGGCTGTCTTTCCTGGAGATCCATAGTGGGTTTGTGTGGAGTGGGAGTATAGAGAAACAATGCTCTGAGTATAGGTCTATTGGGGTAACCATCGGGGCAAATATTCCACGCGCAAAGGTTTTCCGAGCAGAACAGGCAGCGGATGGTTTCAGTAGGAGACAAGGTGCTTATAAGGCCTGGAGACGTTGCTTGGAAATCATGATCTCGACTCGCACGTCATTCAGGCCGAATGTTGTGTATCCGGTCCTTGCTCCTCGCTGGGCTACGCAATAGGCATGGGGTCGGGCAACTCAAAGCAAGCCTACAAGCATATAGACCTATAGGATTCTGGGATTTGAGACCATTGTGAAATCGCGACCAGAATTAGTTCATTTGGGACAGCGCGTATGATGACCTGTTCTATATACTAGGTAGTGTTGCATCACATGTAACTAGTATCACCTAGTCACTACCCCGGGGATTGCTTCTGAGGATTTGGTTTTTGTTCGAATGATATAGGAACACACAAAAGGGCGAAAGAGATATCAGGGAGATGCTAAAGTGCAACGCATTATGTCGCCCACGGTAAAACTCCCCGCAGCTTCAACCGAAGATTGAATTTACCCAGAGGTTGAGATCAACCCTTCAAAGTACATATCGGCTGTTCTCAATCAGTATAAAATCATAGACCTATAGATCAGTCATTGAAAACTTACAAAGTCAAGTTCTCTCTATCAGTCAAATCCAATTGACTATTGTCCACGACACGAGCCACTTTGCTCCCGTCCGAATCAACAGTCTCGACAACACCATTGCTTGTAACTTGGTTAGACTCCTTCAGCTTGTCGCGACGCTTGTTTTCTCGACTTAGGTAAATCCGAAGAACGATGATAATAATCGAGGGAAGAATCGCGGCGACCTGGAGAATCGTAAGTCGAATGTCCCAGTAGATTTACGCAAATAAGACCTACCACCAGTAAAATAATCCACGTCGGCTTATATCGAGGCTGAAAAAGTACTGTTAGTATATTGGAAACCTCTATCTAAGCAAGAAACTCACCTTCCACTCTGGTCGGAACAGTTGCGGAGAGATGATATTCCCCAGTCCATATCCAATGTGATAAAGCGCAATGACGGTAGTCTTCTTCGTATGACCTGCTGATGCATTGGCAGCCCAGATCATCACAACAGCGTACGGAATGCCGGTTGTAGATCGGATCCAGATTCCAACGATGAGACCCCATCGATTTGACCAGGGTAGAGCTATTAGAAAGATAATAAGTAATAGGCCATTCCAAAGAGATGATGTTACTCACCAAGTAGTAGAATGCTTGAGAGAGCACCTGGAATGTATGCGATGAGTGATACCCATGCTCGCCAGTTCTAAAATCCTTTAGTTCATATTCGTGTTCGATTGTCCGGGTTTGGTTTACCTTGGTGTAATACAACGTGAGCGCTGCTGATGCAAGAGAAAAAAATGACACTATGCCCGTTACAGTTCCGAGTAGTGTTGTTTGAAGAATGCTGAATCCAAAGGAGTTGATGATCAGGGAATATTGATTTGATATTCCATTTGCTGTTTCCTGTGACCAGGCATGTAGGAAGAACAGCCATGTTTTAGGATCTTGAATCGCTTCCATAAACCTAAGTGTCTCGGTCAGTTTCTGCATGTCCACTATATTGATTGAGCAAAAGACTGACTGATATTTTTTGAAGAGCTTTTGCTCAATTCCTGAATGGTTGTCTTTGATCCGCAGAATTGCCTTTGCACGCTCCTCGTGGGTCAAGAAGTTGGCATGCACGGGGCTATCAGGGAAGAAGAGATAGACGCAAACACCGAAAATGATAGTGAGGACACCGGTGATAACTAGTAAAGAGGTCAACCGCCTGAAAGTTTTTATTAGGGGAACAGATACATACCCATGAACCATTTCCAAGGAGAAAAACTGCCAGATTTGATCCAAAGTACGCCATATGATAATAAGCCTGACGTTATAGGGCTTGCGTTGCCGATTGACCACATCACTGGCATCATAACAGCCTGTTCATCATAGGTGAAGAACATGGACATGCAAAGAAGGAATGCAGGAACGATAGATGCTTCTGCTGCCCCGAGAAAAAAGCGGACAACAAAAAGAGATGCAAAGTTGTTGCAAGGTACATGCAAGATGGTGATTCCGCCCCTATACAACCGGAGTCAGCGATATACCAGCCATGCAAGTGTATGATTCTAGAATAAAGGAAGAACTCACCATACTATCAAATTACCAGCCAGCCATTTTCCAATAGGAAATCTCTGCAACGCCCAATTTTGCGGCCATTCAGCTAAGAGATACCCGAAATAGAAGATCGAAGAGAGCCAGTTATATTGATTCGAATCAAGATGTGCATCCTCCATGATGCCCAGAATGGCAGAACTTCCAAGCTACCGACATGTTATGAGTGAACTCGCGAATCTGAATCGAATCTGGAACATACCGTCTGTTTATCGACATACATCAGATGGTATCCTATACAAAGAAAGGGTAGAATTCGCCATAGACATTTATCCCGAATCTGCTTCGCTTCTTCGGGGGTTGGGTCTGTGACTTGGATTTTCGAGAAGAGCTTGAAACTCTCGTCGGCAAATTGATCGGGGAGTTTTGGTGCGCCATCGAGGTCGCTATCGCTGTTCTCGTTAGCTTGTGTTTCTACAGCGAAGCTAAGCTTTTGGTTTTCTATTCCCATATTGCGTGTCATGTGGAATAGGAACTATATCAACGTGTAAAGTCTCATTGAAAGATAATTCTAGTTATCACAGGTACTTATGATATCTACTAAACTAGTAGATAATTGCGCAATGCTCCTTCACATCGTCGTTCTCACACTAAGGAGATATTGGGGTATAGTTGAAGGATGTAGGCTGCGGGGTCTACAAACATCATTTCCTATTTTGGAAAGTCATGCCAGGGTATGTCACTTGGCGACAGGCATTTAGTCATTTCCTTATCAAAACGCCATCACAACCTATACACACGCGAGCCAGATTTCAAAGCACGTTCGAAGTCGCCATTGCAGGGTTGCGTCACCGCTGCATGGTTGGCGTGCTTACAGGTTTGGCGACATCTCGAGAACAAAAAAACATCCATCTCCGCCAAAAGTAGGCTATTGTCGAAACTATCCGCTGAAGTGAACTTTTATTGCGCCAAGATGACAGAACAAAATCCACCGCTTCGAGTCTTGATTGCCGGTGCAGGAATTGCAGGTCTTGCGACTGCTATATCCCTAACACGGATATCATCTCTTCCAAATCTGGACATCCAGCTATATGAACAAGCTTCTGAGCTTTTGGAAATTGGAGCCAGCATTGCCCTCAGTCCAAATGTAAGTACCCTTCTCGGTCGTTCAAGGATTAGACAATCTAACGGTAAATTTAAATCACCAGGGCATGCGCACGCTGGAGAGGCTCGGCGTACAAAATGCCCTGAGTGACGAGATCGGGTTTAGAGGCCCAAGTGGGATCCCACAGATTTTCCGGTATTGGCGTCATCCCAATAATTGGTCTGGTACTGCTGAGTGTGCTGACTGACAGTAAATAGTCATTGGAAGACAGACCAAGTGGTGTCTATTGATACTCACACTAATGTCCCGGATCATCGTCATCATACTACTCGCTTCCACCGGGCCCATGTGCATTCTGGTCTCCTCGAGCATGTTCCCAAAGAGTCAATTCACCTGGGCAAAAAGATTGCACGCGCGGAAGCAAATCAGCATGGTGTATCGTTGTATTTCGAGGATGGGGGCAGTGCCCATGGGGATATTCTCATTGGTGCAGATGGAATTCGATCGGTGTGTGTTGTAAACTTGGCTAGAGATACAATCGACTGACTCGCACTCAGAGAGTCAGACAATCGTTCATGCCGGATTATAAGCTTCGTTTCAGTGGGAAGGTGTTTATGAGAGCGACATTCGATGCTGAGTTGGTAGAGGGCAAGATCCCGGATTTGCCTGTTGATTCGATGCATTGGGTATGTTAGCACTATGCCAAGTTGTTTCAAACTTGCTGACCATGCTGGCAGTGGGGCCCAAAAGACAACTTCTTTGCATCTCGGCTTGGTAGGTAGCAAATTATATCCATCCGGTGGTGACACAGAGCTGACAGGGCCCAGGCAGGAACCAATACACCACCGTTGGTGCGTATGATGATCCACGCTCGGTGGAAGAAGTTGAGAAAAGTATTGCGTGGGACCAACTTGGCAATGTTGGATTTTTGAGAGAAAGATACAGGGTACTATGTTGTCAATCGATCTGCGCCGAAGCCGGTTGACTAACGGCATCTAGGACTGGAATCCCACTGTCAAAGCGCTGGCCGAGCTGACTCCATCCACAAATCTATACCCCAATTTTGCCGGGGACCCTCTCCCAACCTGGGTCTTTGGATCGCGAGTAACGTTAGTCGGCGATGCAGCACATGCCCACGGTGGTGCGTTTGCAGCCGGAGGTTCACTGGCGCTCGATGACTCTCTTGCTCTTGGGTTGGCATTGAAGCATGTGTTCTCTTCACCGAAGCTGGCAAATTTCTCAGCTAGAAACATCAGCAAGGCCTTGGGGCTGTACGCCAAAACCAGGCAGCCACATACAGCTCGTTTGCTGCGTATTGTGCATATTCAGATCGACAAGAAGACAACTGTATCTGCAACATGCGAAGAAGAAGACGCTGCGCTTATTGCGCGAATGAAAAACAGGCCAGACACGGAGTGGCTATCCGAACATGATGTTGAAGCTGCGTTCAATGCTGTCGTGTCACAATTGGGCAAGGCGCAGCGAGAGGAACGCCCTGTCGAGCTGGCAAGAGAAACAGCTGGGGCGATACGGCTCCAGGAAAGCAAGTTATAGAGCAGATCATAGATGGCCTCATTTTCAATTTCACCCTATTACGTCGGTGTATTAAAATCATCGGAAGATTCGGGTCTATGATAGGTTGCCACATCGTCTTGGCACCTGTGGTGACTGCAAGCACATCTCGATATTTATTTACTCCGTACTGTTCATTCGAATCCACGTACACAAGGAAATTCTGCAATATTGGCCCGAGGCAAGGCTGTATCTGATGTACTACTGACTGTGGGACAAGTGGCCTTAATCCCGCACGCACGAGGCTTGTTCATTGGGATGGCACAAGGATCAGAGCCAATGCCATAGCCTTGCTTTGCTTTCGCCGTGCCCCAGACATCAATATAGTATATGCATATGCTCTGAAAATAAGTAATTGAGTAGCCTTGCAGCTCAATTAAATGCCGTCCAATCCATTCAATCCCCTTGTTATAAGCCCTGAATTAGGGATCCCACGTCCCAAGATAGTGCAGGTGGCGATGCTCGGGCCAACAACGTGTACTTCGTAGGCAGAATGATAAGGACACGAAGCAGGGCTTAGGCAAGGCTAGGGATGATTGTATAGCACCTCGGACAACGTTGTCTGTTCGGCGGACTGTCCATACTCGGCTTCTGGATCCGGGAACAAAGGGGCGGAGTATCGGTCAGATCACGGGATGTGGCTAGTGCACGTTAAGGGGCCAAACCGAATCCAACGGGCTTGTGTGGCGCATGCCAACCACTCTGACCGGGAACGTCATAGTAAATGAGGAATGAATTATGCGAAATTACTCCGTAAAAGGATCCGATCTAGACAAGTTAGACTTTCTCACGGTGCAGCCGGAAGCAGGGTGGATCGCCAGGGACGTGGAGGCGTGGAATGTCCGCTGTAAGAGGCAGTGCAGGGATCCAGATGGCAATACCGAGAGGCGCAGTATTCATTTGACTCAATCGCAAATTGCCGGATTCTCTATTAAAGCAAGCGGCAATCCAGGTCAAAGTTTTCTTCTCCAGTTCCAACAATCTCCTCTTCGCCATCTGACCAAAATTCCATTGGAAATTCTAGAACAGTTGTTCTTATCCGGTGGCAACCTCTATCTTCTCTTATCCAACTTCCTCCGCTTCTTCTAAACACCCAATCTACACACACACAATGGCTGCTTTGGCTTCACCTCAGTCGTTGACTTCATCGCCTGCATCCAATATGTCTTCCCGCTCCTCGTCGCGACCATCACTGTCGCTCGATGTTGCCAACCTTCCCCCACTTTCCCAGCCAACACCCCCCTCAAACACTCTCCTTATCACCGACCTCCACGATCTACTGGTCTTCCAACCTCCGGCTCTGGAAGAAATCCGCAAGCAAATCACAGCCGTGGCTCCTCTAAACTCTTTTTCGCCGTTGCCGTCCATGCGCCGCATTGTCTGCTCTTTCCACAATGATGAAGCCGCCATCGCGATCCGCAAACTACTTGACGGCAAGCAACTCCTCAATCGGAACGTGCATCCACGAATCTACTTCGGCGAGCCAACCCCGATCCTCGATGGTGGCCGGCCCAAGCTCCTTGAGGCCCCGCAAGCCTCCAAGATGTTCTTCATCTCCCCGCCTCCCAGCCCACCCCACGGCTGGACTATGCGTAACGAGGACCCGCCCAACAAGGAAGTCCACGCCTCGGATCTGGCACATGCCCTGTCCATGCTGAAGACCGATCACATCCAGTCTGCTCAGTCTGCGATCAACCCCGAAATCCCTGCCACCCCCGCCACACCCGCTTCTGCCGCCTCCAACAAGCGCACACCCAGCTGGCCTCTTGCGGGCCCCCAGCAGCGTAGCCGGAGCAGCACTATCATCTACAACCCCTCGGACCACGGCGGTAGCCCCGATCTCCCTGCTGTTATGGTCGAGGATATGACTTTGAACATTGATGATGTGGACATGGATCTGGACATGAGCCCAATCGAAATGTCCGTGAAACAAATGCCTCCTAAGACTTCTCGTCCCCCGGTCGAGCTTATGGAGTAATTTGTTTTTACGCATGATCTTATTTCTTCTACGAGTTTTTAGCGAGGTCTGTCATGGTTCTTATTGCGCACAGCCATTGCATATGTGGCATGCTATCCACAAGGCGTTGGGAAAGCATATCATCAGCTGTTTTAATATTTTCTTTTCATGAGATTTAAGTCTTGCTTTAATTTTTCATTGATCATTTTATGGAGATAGGTAGTCAAATTAAACATTGTCTTGTGATCATATCCGATCTTTTAGTATCTGCCCATAATCCACGATAATCTTAAGTGCGTCTAATTTGACCTTCCCGTAAATATTGCTTCCAGACAGGAGCTCGTGATCATTTCTATATATAACTTTTAGTCCTAGCTTCGGTGGTATGTTGGGGTTGTGTTAGCCACCAATTACCTAGGTACCTCCCCCAGCCCCTGCTCGGAATTACAGCAGAGTGAATTGAGAACCGAGGAATAAAACCAGATTCTTAGGTAGAATTGTGGTGCCTCGCCAAAGTGATTCCAGCGTCAATATCCATACATCAATGAGTTCAAATACCATTCATGTATATACCGTTTTCTAGGCAGCCATACGCTCACCACGAAGCTGCAGCACCTTGACCAAATTCTACACCAGCCTTGGTAGACTCGTCAAAACTCTCATCTGGCAAGTCAAGCTGCTCAGTCTGCGCCCTCGCCGAAAGATCAGCAGAACCGTCATTGTAAAACCCCTTGCGTACAGCAACTTGGCAACACCAGCCATGTTGCCCACTTTCACCTGCGCCAGGCCGTCCTCGTATCGCTTCTTGGTATCCTCGTGGGTAATCGTCCAGTCAGCGTCTGTGATGCTGGTGACACGCTTAACGCTCTCAGACATATCTTTTTAGCTGATCACAAAGCTCTTAACGTACACGCCCTTATTGAGGAACGTCGACAGAGTAAGGCTCCTAACATTTTCATCTTCGGGAAGCTCATTGACGCTCAGGACCTTGGCCACGGCACGCCCAACTTGCATTAACGTCAAGTTTGATGTCGTCAATGTCGGCGCCATACCCGTTAGGCAGGACGTAGGGGATACCGGCTTTAGCGGCTGCCTGGGAAAGCTTGCTGTGGGTGTCCTGGGGTGCGGTATGCGCCATAGTTGTGATCAGGAATTGCTAGCCCCTTGACTCTTGAGGGCGGCAACAATGGTGAACTCGTCATTGTAGTCGACTGAGGCGAGTAGGACGCCCTCGGGGAGTTTGTTGCTGCTGTCTTTGCGGGAAAGGGCCGTGACGGTATGTCTTCCGGTCTGTAGAAGGGCTTTAGGAATGTGTGATGCAATGGTCCCTCCGGCCTAAGTGTTTGTTAGTTTTGTTATATATGGGGATGTTGAGTTTGTTCACTCACGCCGACAACGGCGACTCTCTCGATGGCGTTTAGAAGTCGCCGGGCTGGTCTTTGGCGTACTTGGGAAATGTGGTTAGGTTGATTATTGTCAGTATATGAACTGCTGATAGTATGGTCGAACAAGGCGTTTGTGTTTAAGCTTGTGAGGGCGTGGTAAATGTCTGACTATCTCTCTCTGGAGCAGGAAAGACCAGTCCGGGTCTTTATATATTTCAGACCATGTATCGAGTGCTATAGTTCTCTGAGATTCTATCCGTCTTAGCCTCGTCATTTCTCATCATACTAGAGAGTCTTAGGCAAAAGGTCTTCACATTTTGGAATATATCCAAATTGATTCTCCCGGAGACAACGACACCAAAAAAGAAGCAGATACAGCAAGCGAAGCCAGCCAAACGAAACAGGCGACGGTGTGAGGCCGATAAGCCCTTGTTGCTCTGCCGCAGCAGCCGCGCAGGATGCCCTGGTGCACGGCATTGATTATTCATCTACCGACTGACGGATTAATGGAGCTTCGAGCATGTCTTCGCCCTCCAGAAATTCATGGATAAGAGAACTTCGAATTTACATGTACTCTATTACGCCTCGCAGGGCGGCATATGTCTACCCGCTCTCTACCCGATCAATGAGAACAAAGGGAATCCGGCAGCATCGTTGCCTAGTCGTGCGTAGGGTATAAATAGCGCCTTGATCCCTCCCTTTCCCTTCCTGGTAGTTCGAAATCCATAAGTCAATCATGAAGCCTCACAATCTTTGTTATAGGACCTTCGTACGAAGCTCTGTAGAAGATGCTTGCTATGCTGCGCGGGAGTCTGCCAACTCTCACCGACCTTGACGAAACATGTATATACTAACTACCTTAGGAGAACTTCTCTCAACGAACCCTTCTTGTTCTTAAAACCTGCCTACATCGTACGATTGGGCTCGTTTCCTAACAGTTATACGCTAGAAGTCTATTTATCTGGTTTACACTATATCAGGGCCCTAATAGGTTACCTAGTGGGTTTTAGGTTATTAGCTCTATAACCCAAATCCCATTTTGGGTTAGGTTGGTCCGGGTTAGAGTGGGTTATGCCGAAGTCTAACCAGAAATGTGGACTCTGACCGCGTAGCTGATGATACGAAATATCGAATTCCCGCGCCAATTTAGCGATATTAGGCTTAGTTGTTGCGTAGAAGGCTTCAAGTGCTGTCTGGATTCGCCTTCCCGTTTTTTTTTATTTGATCTGACATCTGGTGTAGGATGGAAATGTATGAAATGATGATAAAAAGAGGAAAACTTTGCATCTTGTGGGTAATTTGCATCTAGTGGGGCGCACCAACACAGGGGGTGTGTGCTGGGCGCTTGGCACAATTATAGCTTAATGTGCTTTAATTATCCACTATCTAGTTATAATGCCCCTGACAGTGTTAGCCAGTGACTAGTTAGAAGTCAATATAGGCCTCGGCTAGAATCAGAGGTGTGGCTGACGGGCGTTATGGACTAGACTGTCGAGGACAACCGACCATGGCCGTCATTAGTCTTATATCAAGAAAACTCTTCAACTTGTTTTTGTTTTAAAACTGACAATAACCATATAAGAAAGAGTAAGTGGAGGATATTAATCCATGTTTCGTAAAAATAGCTTTTTATAAAAAAAGCAAAACAAAGAAAAACGAAGGAAAATAAAAACAGAGGCGAAGCAACCGATCATCCGCCATGGATGAACTGGGATATGCCGGTGACGCTAAAGATAGAAACAGAAAAACGAAGTAAAATAAAAACAGAGGCGAAGCAACCGATCATCCTTCATGGATGAACTGGGACATCCCGGTGACGCCAAAGATTGAAACTAGCTCAGGGTTGAGGGACGTCACTTGCACTCCACCGAGGTCGTCAATCGCCTCAAAGTCCACAAGGGTCACCTTCCCACTCATGCGGTCGTAGAGGATATTGTGCCTTCCGGAATCTAATAGCCGAATGGAGATTGACCGGAGAGTCTGAATGGCACTACTGCACTCACTGAACACATGGGCCTTCTCAGCAAACGGCAGACTGTTCCAGATACCGAATAGTTGTTCTCCTGGAACCTTCTCCAGGAGAAGGATCCTGCCTTCGGGGAACTTTGCCGAGCAGATTATGTCACCGGAGAACACAAGGCGGGTGAAATATTCGAAGCCACTTGGTCGAAGCTCGTGTAGACTTTCGTACACTTCGAATTCATTAGAAGCGCTATGTTTTTAATGGTCTTCTTAGTATTCTAGGACTCGCAGGTCATGGACAAGACATACCTTTCACGGCGATCGTGGGACCAGCATTTCGCGATATAGCGGACGCCACCAGACTCCACCTCAAACACTGCCTTCTGATGTCCCAACCGAGGGGATGACAGGAGCTCAACGCAATTCACAATATGGCTTGCAACCCCGTCGGAGCCAATGAGCATGGACTCTGTTGTAATGGGAGGGATGGGCGAGTCTGTAGAGTCGCTTAGCCTACTGCGGTACGCAGATGCTCGAGGGGAAGAGACAAAACCGGGCTGTCGCGACGAGTGGAGCTGTTTTCTCTGATCAATATCTGCATACTCGATAGAAAAGGAGACTTACAAGTCTTGTATCAATTCTTGTATTTTCCTCGTAGACGGGGTCATGCGCGGCGATGGCTGCAAACCCAGCGAAGCATTCTCTCAGAGAGGGATTGGTGGCGTCTTCGCTTATGGGCATCGACAAACGGAAGCAGAAATCATCTTCTCTCTTTATGAAAACTGTGGACTTGTATGTGGAGAGAAAAGAATAACGCAGTTTGAATCTCCTCATGTAAGTGACAGCCTGGCCTATGGTTTGTTAGAAAAGCAATTTACGCAAGCGGACTTTGAATGACGCACCGATAAAAGGTTCAAGGTATCTCCGCACGTCCAAATCAGACGTCACGGTTATCTCCTCAAGGTCGACGGTCCACCATGTCTTGAGTTCCCCAGCTGCAATGAGCCGATCTGGATTAGACCCAAGGATAGCCAAGGAGACATCAGGGATAATCAAGGGGTTCTGACGGATCGCCTGCATGTCTCCGAACTGCAATGGTAGATTTGACACGGACAAAGCTTTTGAGACAGCATCACATACGTGTCGCGCAAACCGAGTAGTCAGCCCTAGCTCACTACCGACAAAGTATAAATCACCCTCGGGTGAATCTGTAACGCTGACGTCCCCGGTGAAAGTTATGGAATTGCAAGCTTCCAGTGCCTGTTGTTGGAAATCGGGCCAGATACGCATATAACTTGCACACAGTCTTTCACGCGAAACCGAGAGCTCAGTGGTTCCCCCAAGTTGTGTCAGAGTGGGAAGCCGTCTTGCCAGAAGGGTCCGGGGATTTTCCATGGTTAATGGGAATAAATCTGCAATTCCGTGTGAATCGAAAGGACAGAAGTGATAGATGAAACAGTGATGGATGGAACAGCGGTAGATGAAAGAGAGATAGAAGAAAGGAAGCTTGACAAAAGTCTAACTAACAAGGCCACGGGCCACTACATGTAGGCATTGTTCATCTGAACAAAGAAAGTCATTTGCTACTAAGCCTATTTAGGAAGTATAGATTCGGCTTGAACAAAGACTGAATAAAGAGAGGTACCTATTTGCTATCATCCCAACTGTTAAACCTCTTATATTTCATCCCCTCCTTAGGTTCGAACTCGTAGACGCCCGACCCGCGCTATTTCGCTACTAGTAGGGACCTATCCCTGGTTGAAGCGGGCCCCAAACGCGCCTCGAATCGATCTACCGCACTATAATCTCTAATAGATACTAGTGGTTCCTATATATATTCTAAGTAGCCAGTCTAGCGGATAAGCACTTCTCGCCTAGTGTAACGGGCTAAGGCCACATTGAAACAGTAGACTTCGCCATAACGCACTCTAACCCGGACCCAACCCAAAATGGGGTTTGGGTCCTTATATGTACAAAGCTGACCGTCATTGAACCATCATAGAATATCACACCATATTTCAATATCCAACGACACCCATGTCATGATAACTGGACGTCAGGTCCGAATAGGAATAGACATGGTTCGAAGAAGAATTGATCCCAGTCCATCGTCCAATCTATGTCTGGCACCGCGGTGTTGACCTCGGGTACCGGCGGGCAAGTGCTTCTTGCACAAGCTGTAATTTAGGGATTTCCTGGAGTATGTTCATATGTTCGCCTAGAGGTGCGACGGTTAGTAACTACAGGGCTCGACATGTTCCCTCGGGGCTGTCGATAGGGAGAGAGGATATTGGCAAGATGAGGAAATATATCACTCGAACTATACTAGAGATTCTTGGTCATGCCGACATCACGCCAATTTCCGGGGTCAGGTCTGATCCACATACCCCTCCTCTTGAATATATGTGCCTGCAGCTACTGGCTAGATAAATCAAATTGATTGAGCCACCGTGGGGTGCTTGTTGCTTCCCGAGTCGGGTTTTGGATCTACTCATAGACCAAGAATCCGCTGGTCGTATGGGATGATACCGGAAAAGCCCGCCGGGTAGAAGGAGGATATCCCTTGGATTATCTTTTTGCGTTATTTATTGATAGCGTGTTGGCACGGTGTGCTCTTTGCTAATATCTCCTCCGATAACAAATTTTGTGTCCTCATGGAACTAAATACTCACGACCACAGGCCATATTTTTTCAAGCTCGCCAATATAGCGAATCTACCTACGGAGCAGGTTTCTACATTCTTTCGGGTGTTGTATTCAGTAGTTCTCCTAGTGAATACATCGCAATGTCTCATATAAATGCAACATGGCAGTCTTCGTAGTGGAACGACGGAGGGTCTCAGTCCCTTCCAACTTATGCGCCGAGAAGGCGTACCATGATCACTTGAGAAGAGGATGTGAATGAATTTGAGAGTACCCTAAGGGTTTCTTGTCTTGTGTGCTATGCTTGGAGCAACAGGTCCAGATATCTGTCAAGTCAGGAAGGAAGGGTACGGTCAATCAGTATAACATAAACGTGTTTTCCCTCGTCGATGTTGTTGTGTTGCTCTTGTCTCGCCCTTAGATCCCAGGCCACCAGTCAGTAGGTCGCCCCCGACAACTCAGTCCTCAAAAGAAGTGTTCTCTTTTTTTCATCTCATAAACTCCCTTGTTCTTCTCTGCACTGGGCCGCCATATCATTCACTGTATTCCCATCTGCCCGATGTGAATTCTTTTCCATACTGACTAGGAATCACATCAGCCCTCTGACAACGTGCACCACCATCTACCGCAAATGAGTGATGACTACCTTGGGTGGGGGCCCGTCTCTCACTCCAATACTGATCCGGATATAACCAATTCCCCAACAGCTCACGAAACTCGAATTCTGGAGGAATTTCTTGATCATTATGGCACCCCAGACGCTATTCCGACAGCCGAAGCAGCCCGTCAGCTCATGTCCCTCTGCAACGACAGCCGCCAGGGAATCGTGGCCGCTGTTGACAAAGGCGAGAGTGTTTCATGGTTACTGTGGGGTACTGGGACGGAGATGCCTCGTCATCAGCCTGCGATACTGAGGTTGTTAGAGGCCATTCGAGCGCTTCCGGAGTTGGAGATGACCGATGAGCAGAGGCTCATGTGGTGGTGCAAGGACAGGTTCGAACAGTGGAGAGACTTGCGAGCATTTGATATTCTTTGGTTCGAGTCTTGGGAAAGTGAGTCCTACCAAAGTTCGTTTCATCCGTTGTTCCAATTTGTTTGCGAACTACGCTGTGCATCTTTGTTGGCCAGTGGCTGATATCTCCATTACAGCCTGTTTTGTACTCAGATATGGCCGAGGCCGTAACATGGAGGCCAGTAATATGTTTCGCCGCATCAACGCTTTCAATGCGCATCATCTTGCAATGTATCCACCAGATTGTGTCATTTCAAACGAACTCAGCAGGGCATTTCAGGTCCTCGTTGTCACATTAGAGCAGGATCCATGGAACCACGGGCCACCGACACAACCGGTCACCTCGTTGAATGTGAGTTGAGGATAATTTATACTGGCTCTTCGAATTATTGACTTGGGAGATTAGGTTGATGTGCATGCTCTGGTCCCTTTTCTTGAGATTTCCGGCGACGTCATCTTCAGCCTGATGGATCAGTGTGACCTCTCTATGGTTGAACTACCAAAATCATCCGATCACAACCTGTGGAATGGAGATTCTAATTTCTCAATGGCTCGCTGGGAGTTCTGGAAGGAGCGGCTACGATGGATAGGCGAGCAGAATGAGCTGATGGAGATGACACGGTATGAAGCTCATAGGATGGTACAATTGATGCACGATATTGAGCAACGGGGCTCAGCTTGAACATGATTTGTTGAGATATTGGGAAACAGTGAAAAGTTATCAGCTCCAATCAGACTTGCATGGCAACCCAATGGACTTTCAAGGGTGACATATTCCGATGTTTCATCATCAGCATCATAGTATGTTCTGCGCATGTCTCAATCCTCTCCCGAGCTTCGAAACCTATTAGTTTCCCTTACAAAGGGTCCATCGGGTTCTTCTGGCGCCTAGGTGTTGGAGATGTTTCTATGCCTGTGCATGGTCTATCATGGAATTCGACATAGCCCAATTATTGATTCAATTTTCCCCCCAATGTGTTTGCCAAGAGTCAATTATGAGAGAATTGGAGTCCATGACACATAGTCTCCTGATTACTCTTCGCCAAGCTGCGGACAAAGGGCTGGCTGAATCACAACAAAGCTCACAATGATGAGATTCTGTAGCATTCAGTGGTGTTTCCTACCTATGAGTTCAGTTCACAACATACAAAATATCATGTACTATACGACAAGAAATAGATGAGTAGTTTATATGCCCTTCGAAGGTTCAATGCAGGACGTCGATCAGCGGTAATCTGATAGAAAGCAGAAGAAGGTCCCTTCGGCCCAGCGTTGTTCCATACCAAGGCGGTCAGGTGATTCCAGATGAATTTTGTCCGAGGGCCATGATTCCGGTTCAAGTTCCCAGAGTCCCCATTCCCAATTCCACATCTCACTATTCATAATGTTCCAACGAACCATCCTTCGACAGGCTCAGGCCGCCCGCTCCATCCTCTCCACCTCCACTTCCTCCACCGCACCGCTGGCGCTGCGATGGACACAACAATCGCGTGTGCCGGCTTTCCGGCAATTCGCTCCCCAGTCTGCCCGCCTCTACTCGACAGAGAACAAGGAAACCCCCGAAGCCGAGAAGGCTGAAAACGCCGAGGCTGAGGACCCCGTCAAGAAGGAGCTCGAACAGAAGACAAAGGAAGCTATTGAGTTCAAGGTATGTCATTTCCCCATATTTACTGCCATGGGTAGCTCCGCATGTCCTTCACAGACAAATCCTAATCCGCGCTCCTATTAGGACAAATGGCTCCGCGCTGTGGCCGACTCTCGCAACGTTGTTGAGCGCAACAAGCGCGAAATGGACGGTGCCCGCAAGTTCGCTATCCAGGGTTTCGCCAAGGACCTCCTCGACAGCATCGACAACTTTGACCGCGCGCTGCTGGCCGTGCCCGCGGACAAGATCGCCGCTCCCAAGACTGAAGAGAACAAGGACCTCCAGGAGCTCGTCGCCGGTCTCAAGATGACCCAGAACATCCTCCTGAGCACCCTCCAGAAGCACGGTCTCGAGCGCTTCGACCCCGGCGAGCAGATCGACGGCAAGGCCCAGAAGTTCGATGCTAACTTGCACGAGGCTACATTCATGGCCCCTGCTGCCGGCCTTGAGGATGGTGATGTTATGCACGTCCAGAGCAAGGGTTTCCGTCTTAACGGCCGCGTTCTGCGGGTGAGTTCTACCACTTAACGAGATTCTAAGCGTGATCTGGTGACTGACTATTTTCTTCTAGGCTGCTAAGGTTGGTGTCGTCAAGAACGCCTAAATTGTCGGCAATGACTCCGATTCTTAATCCTTCGATCTTCTATGATTCTTTCCGCATTTTCACTCCTCTTTACTTCTCTCTGTACTATATGTCATATATCATGATCACGATAGGGTTTTGCGCTCGGAAACGGCTGGCTTTTGGACCCAGGAAAAACTCTCTTGCTATATCTCTGCTTGTCTCTTGGATTCAGCTGTATGATACACCCTTGTTGCATGTGCCTGGAGGCGTACGGATTGTCTCGTGTTGTTGGTGTCTTTCCACTTTTTTCGTGACATCTGGGTCTCCATGTCCCCTGATAACTCTCTCCTCCTCTTCTGTATAATACACTTTTCTTCGGGGCACAAAAATAGCCTCCGACGTCTCCATTCGGGCTTCACCTCGTAATTCTAAATTATGCTCTAATCAAATGTCAAAATGGCTTACGATGCAATGTCTATCATATCTGATTCTATACCTACGCTATGCTGTTGTATAAGATTGACTAAAAATACAAGTAATCAGATCATAGATTGATCTTGGCTGAGAGAGGAATGCTATATCTTACATATTCTCCGTAATGATGGCAATATAGTACAAAACACGACGTCTTCTTTACCTGAGCTCAACTCCAAGCTCTCCTACCAACTTTTCCCGGACCTTGAGATGCATCTCATTGGTCTCCTCATTCGTCAAAGTCCGCTCCAAGCTACGATAGTTGATGCGATAGCACATGCTCTTGCGCGAAGTCTTAGGGTGCGTAAACTCATCAATGAGAGTAACATCCTCAACAAGATCGCCACCAATGCCACGAACAATCTCCATAACATCATTCTCGTGGAAGGGCACAGCCCCACCCGCAGCACTGCTACCACCAGTCACAGCAGCAGGGGGCAGCCAGAAAGCTACATCCTTATAGCAAGCGGGGTGCTTGGAGAAGGGCTCGAAGCGCGCAATATGTCCAGCCTTGAACTGGGACAAGAACCGCTCATCACGCGACCAGAACAGGCGGATATCAGGGATGTTGAAAAGAAGCATCGCAATACGCTCAATGCCCAGTCCAAACGCCCATCCAACGCGGTCCGGCACGTCTGAGTTGATCAGCAGATCCTGCTTGATGACACCGCATCCCAAGATCTCAAGCCAATCGCCTTGCCAGAAGACCTCCAACTCCCAGGACGGGCTGGTGAACGGGAAGTAAGCCTCGACCCAACGGACCTTGAGCGGCTCTTGCTCCGCACCACCGCTGCTGGCTGCGGCAGCCTTGCTGGCTTCCGTGAAGACCTTGATCACCATGCGCTCAAGCGAGCGCTTGAGGTGCGCACCTATAGCTTCAACCTCCTCGGCGCTGTGGTGCTCCGCCTGCAACGGGTTGCGCTGCGCGTGGATAGTGGGGTTGGGGTCTTCAACGACGACATCATGGCGCGGGATCTTCTCCACATCAGCCATGATCTTAGCTGCTGTTTCGGCAGATGCCGCTAGCGGGTTCGTCGCTGGGCGCTTCCACAGCATCGCGCCCTCCATCTGGTGGAAGACCGGGTAGTGGCTGCGATCGATCGCATCGCGACGGTACACATCGGCGATGACGGTGTAACCGACCTCCTCTGGGCGGGTCTTCTCATTGCGGGCAATTTGCTGGAAATAGGCTTGCTGATGCGCGCTGGTGTGGGTGCGCAGCACGGTCTTATCGTTCACGTAGTAGGTATCTGTGCGGCTACGGCCCGGGTGGTCCGGGGGAAGCCGAGGACGTCGAAGTTCTTTCTTGTTGAGACGACTGGGTTCTTCTCTGAGTAATTGCCGTAGCTTGGGCCGGCGAATTGGCTCTCGATGAGTTTCCGGGTAATAGCGAGTGGGTGGTTCTCGTCGAGGTAAAGTCGTCGGCCAACATGGGACAGGATTGTATCAGGAGTATTTGTCCACTCGTCGGTTTTATAAGCGTCCCCTTCAATCTTGAGGGTCGATTGCTGCTTGGGTGTGGTAGAAGTAGTGGCGGGTTTCTGTTCGCTTGTTCGGCGAGCTGTGGTTGAGCTCCATTCGCGGTTGCGGGTGAGGATGGGCTTCAATTGGAGGGAGCGTGGGATGACGGTTTGGGGTCGGGTCGATGCAATTGACCAGCGGCCACTGCTCGCACGCAGGGCTCGACCAGTAGCGAAGAGCCTCATTGTTAGGTGAGGTATTTGGTCAATGCGAGAATTGTCTGTAATAATCGTTGCTATCAACAGATGTTCGGGCCGGCGAAATTAGTCCCCGAAGTACATTCATCGCCCAGCACAATTGAAAAATATATAAAGCTGAGTATACACCTATTGCTGGAAGAAAGATCTTAAATGAATGGGATTCGGAATCTCTGTATTGCCTTCAGCTGGACAATCCGATCATTCAACTTTTAGACAACTAAATTGAGGGTTGGTTCACTCTCTACTATGGGGTACCATTTAGTATGACTTCCAAGGTTCTCTTCGAGCAAACAGGGACAATATATTGGAGGTATACCTGGTAGTCTCCGTAGTTATCTAGGTAGGCAATAGATTTGAGTATTAATTAGGCAGACAGTTACCTTTAAGTGATATTTATCATGATTTACTATTATTTTGCTCTTGGTTACGTTATAAGAGCTGCAAATATATACATAGCACCCTTGTGCATGCACAAGGACCCTTTGAGAAACAACATCCTTAAACCAGACTAAACCCCAGTTCAATGATGAACATGCCCTAAACTCCATTACATCACTTATAACCATAATGTTGATCTACATTGTACGTAGCCTGCATATCTCATGCCCCTCAGTGCTCGGTAATCCGAAGCCAACCGGCCAATATCCGTGAAATCTCCGAAGATCCCCATGATAGCCGGATCCTAGCAGATGAGCGTCACAGATAAAGCCTTTATAGCGGCTGTATGTGCGATCATACCCTCGGCATCCATTTCAACGACCGAAAAAAGGCGGGCAGATGATATCCAGGAATCTAGACCAGGGCTGTATCTCCATTACAGGTTGTTATCACGATGCCTCACGCAAAAGAAAGACCGGAGAACCGAGGCTCTGATTGGTGCAGATCGGAAGAACCCATCAAGGCACTCAATGTGATTGGCTCCCTTTTTCAGTCGGCTGGGGTTGCCGAGTGGCTTCGGAGGTCTGATTTGTCTCCGTTGGTATTTGGAGGCCAAAATTACGTCAAAAAGTCACGTTCGAAAAAGCCGAGAAAAAAGGTCGAAATGTAAATTACGTTTCCCTACAACCACTCTCCCCTCCTTTCTTTTTGCATATTTAGGGGTCTTGTTTTTCGACAAGATGGTAGACAGCGGCAAGATGCTGGTCGCTCCCCGGGTCGTGCCCGTTCAGACGCCCGCGCAGTCAAAACCGAACAAGGTGCATTACCCGTTCTGGTTTGGAGGTTCGGCCTCATGCTTTGCGGCAGCCGTGACACATCCATTGGACTTGGGTATGTTTCCCCCTTCCCACTGTAACATGTGCTGTAGGCTAACCTTACTGTAGTAAAGGTAATCGCAAGCTCCCAGCCGTTGGACTGACACCGGTCATGCATGGCCACGAATTCGAGCTCCGACGCTGATATACGCCCACCGCATAATAGGTTCGGTTACAGACACGTGCCCCCGATGCACCCAAGACTATGGTGGGAACATTCGGACACATTGTGAAAAATGCTGGCGTCACAGGGTTATACAGCGGTGTATGTGATTTCAGAACCCCGGTCTATAGCGAAAGCCTAGGACCATCAACAAACGTGCGAAGTGGGCTAATCAAAGACGGATTGGATGCGGAACTATAGTTGTCAGCCGCGATGCTGCGTCAGATCACATACTCCACAACCCGATTCGGTATCTACGAAGAATTGAAGTCGCGCGCTTCCTCGTCCTCAGAGACCGGCACACCAAGTATGCTCGCGCTCATCGGTATCGCCTGTACCTCCGGCTTCATTGGCGGTTGGGCAGGTAACCCGGCCGATGTGATGAACGTCCGTATGCAACATGACGCTTCCCTCCCTGCCGCTCAACGACGCAACTACCGAAACGCATTCCACGGCATTGCTCAGATGACCAAGACAGAGGGATTCAAGTCTCTCTTCCGTGGCGTGTGGCCTAACTCGACTCGCGCAATCCTCATGACTGCTTCCCAACTCGCTTCCTACGATACCTTCAAGCGCCTGTGCATGGAGAAGGCCGGCATGGCTGATAACATGGGCACACACTTCACCGCCTCCTTTATGGCAGGCTTCGTCGCAACCACTGTCTGCAGCCCCGTGGACGTGATCAAGACTCGCATTATGACCGCCTCCCATGCAGATGGCCACCACCATAGCATCGTCAGCCTTCTGCGTGATATTTGCCGCAAGGAAGGTCTGGGCTGGACTTTCCGTGGTTGGGTGCCTAGCTTCATCCGCCTCGGCCCTCATACTATTGCCACTTTCATCTTCCTTGAGGAGCACAAGAAGCTCTACCGCAAGATTAAGGGCATCTAAAAGGCCAAAGAGTGACCATTCCTTTTTGCCTCCCTTGATTTCTCCCCCCAGTTTTCATATCTTCTAACTTCAAACATCCAACATCATTTACGCCTTCTGTCCGATATGTTCTCGGTATATACGATTTGTTGTCATTTTCTCTGATTTTCTGTTTGGGTGGTGTATTTTGGAGCTCACGCGCAAAATTTTGGCTTGTATATAGCTTGCATTGTTTCGGATGTTTCTTTCATTAGAGATTCGAACGAGGCCGAGGAGGGCCATGGAGCATATCTCAAACTAGGTCCTATGACCCTGTACAGTGTGCTGGGGCATACTTTTTTTCCGTCGGAGATTGGGACAACATAGAATTAGATGCACACTGAATTGCATTTAAAGCATTTCCCCCAAGGACAAATAATATGGGTTTTGCTTGAAATTTCAACCTGTCTCCACCATCACTGGTTTGCAGTATTGAGTCCATCTATTGATGAAAGAAAAGGGACAGCTCATATCCCGGGAGTGAGAACTAGCACCGGCTCACAAAACAATTCTCTTTACATTACGTCGAGTCTATAGACATCCTTTCTTGCCTTAAGTGGACGGAGCGAAATAGGAAAGAGAGGGCTTGTATCCTCGCGTGACCCAGTAGAGTACATTGGAACTTGTCGATACATAAAAAATTTGACACGGCTCACTCAACCAACCCAAAACAGCTGCTGATCATCTATTTCTCAAGGTTGGCGGGGAAGTTACCAGCCTCTGTTAACAAAGGTTAGTATACATAAACATAATTCAGGGAAAACCCATTTGATACGTACCGCGCTGGCCGTCCCAACGGTCGGTCCAGGCCTTGGGGCAAAGAGAGCGGAAGGAGTGGTAGAACTGTAGAGAGGTCAGTGAAAGCCCATTGGATTTCTGATATATTGTTAGGGTCGAAATTACCTGCTTGCAAGGGCGGAAATCCTCGCCCTTGGCGGTGGTGCACTTGTAGTAGTCCACATAGTTCTGCCAGCAGTGCTTGGTCCTGCCGAGCGAATCAACGTTAGCTGGGGAATAATGAAACGGCAAGTGATAGGTATCGCGTACTGGTTCTGCTGGGGGAAACGGGCATCGTAGCCTGCGATTCAGTCGAAAATTGTCAATTTCACCATCCATCAGCCGATCGGGGGGACATCGCTCCACACGCATGCGACAAGCGCAAAAAGCGAATGAATATCGGAAGTATACGTACCAGCTGCGATCGAATTAGCCATTGACTCTTCAATGGGGTTCCTGGCCCCGGTTTTCGCGGGAGGGGGGAGTGGACTTACCAGTCACGAACTTGAAGGGCTTTGTCTCGAGGACCTCATCGGGGTCGGCTTCCGGAATGGCACCCATATTTGCGATGTGTAGCTTCGAGAGAAACGACACACAAGAGAAAGGATTGGAGTGGAGTGGTAACAGAGGAGGGGGAGAAAGAGAGCCGGGAAGAGCGACGTTGGGTGATTGAAGCTGTGAAGTGCCGGGTATGACCGCGGGCGGTCAAGCGAGAGCCACTGAGCGTCTCGCTTTTACACCCGAGCCAGTCACGTTCTTGGAAAGCTGGTGTTCCAACCTCGTCCTCATCCCACTCTTCTTCTGCTACCCCAGGGTTGAACTACGAGATCTGTCGCCATGTATCCCACTCGCATGCTGCGGATGCAGCCCACTCGGGCCTTCCGTTTCCCTACTCCTGTATGTGATTCCCTTCCTGTACGGTATGATCATACGATCACCTCGGTTACTAATTCGTGTCTGCAGAAGGAGCCCCAGAGCGGTATGCATCTTTGAGATCACTACGTTTGGTGATCAATAGAGCCATGTGGAAGGGCTTTAAATTTATGGGAATTGCCATTGAACTAACTCTGCGACTATAGCCCACACCATCTCCCAGCGTCTGCGCCAGCTCAAGCGTGTTCCCCCCGAGTTGCTCCCTATCGGTATGTGCCATGTTTGTGACTTTGCGCAGCAAATTTGAACTAACGGATTGTTTGATATGTAGGCTTCGTTCTCGCGTATGTCTCTACCTCTCTTCTACTACCTGCCGCTTGATTCCGGAAGCCATTCCCGAATTTTCCACCCCTTATGTTCCTTCACTACCAATCAAGCTCCTAATTTCCTGATACTAACCTGTGATTTCTAGCGTTGCCATTGGCGCTGCTGTCTACTCCTGCAGCAAGAAGCTGATGACCGACAAGACTCTGCGTCTCTACCGCAACAGCCCCGAGAGCCGTGAGCACTAAATGTACCACTATGTTTCTTTGAGCTCTCAGAATGCAATCCGCAGTTTTTTGGATTCTTTCCGTTTGTATTGTTGATTAGGAGAATTTGAAGCCATTGGGCATGATTTGAGAAAAGCCAGTGAAGAAAAAAAGAGGGACGGGCTCCAAAATGGAGCTCGTGTACATAGTCCGGCTTCCCGAGCTCGAAACTTGATGGTGTAGTAGGCAATTGTACTGTCATGTTGACTTGTGTATTTTTTGGTCATATTCGTCGTAGCTATCGTAAAGTGTAGCATGCTTCACTCGGGCTTCGGCCCGGCAACATCTAATTGTTCCAAACCCTGCATCGGATCTTGCGGACGACTGCTTGAAGCCTGAGCCTCCTCCGCTGCTAACCGATCCTCCTCGCTGACGGCATGTTTAGCCAAATATCCCTCCTGTAGGCCATGTTAGTATAGAGTGCAGTTACATAGGTTAAATCCCAACCCACCTGTTCCCAGATGGCAGTCTTGCTGCCTAGTCCCTCGTTGGCATCCTTCTGCGGCTTTGCGGCGGCGACCTTGATTGTGCGCCCATAGATCTCGCTGCCATCCATGTTGTCGATTGCCTCTTTGGCATCTTGCGGCAGATCGAATTCCACATATCCAAACCCGCGGTGGACCTCGTTTGAGTTAGGCTGCTCGGGTTTGGGCAGGGAGATGTCAACAACTTCGCCGAATGGAACGAAAGCTTCAGCAAGTGTGTGTGCAGTAACTCCCTGGTCAAGTCCTCCCACGTAGACTGTGCTCTTCAGGCGCGTAGTTTCACTCATGATGTAAAGTTGCAGGCTGGCTCAATGGACAGATATCTTTAATGTGGATATCAATGTGCTGGGATTGTGCGGAATTGTCGAGAAAGCAGAGACAAAGGTGCGCACGACAGCAAAGAAAATCCCTGTATTTGAGACCTTGAATCGAAGCTGTATCTTGCTACCAGCTCAGAATGGAAGATTGATATCACGTGCATCTGACCTCGGAGTGTTTTGGCGAGTCCCAAAGCGGTCTAGCGCGAGTTCCCCGGTCCCTCCAAGTCCAGGAGGCCACTTGGTTTACTGGTATACTTGGAACATCTAGAGCATCACCCCATTGTCAATTATTCATAGGGGGTGCTTCTTGTTCACTTTTTCTCATCATTATTTGAGTTTTGTTGTTCCTTGGAGAATTACTTCCCCCCACCCTTCTGGTCTCGATCGTCACCAAAACATATATCCCCTACCATCAGCATGGTACGTCTGAGGGAAATCCCCAGGACGGCCACCTTCGCCTGGTCGCCTGGCGCCGCATCGCCATTGATCGCCACCGGAACTCGCGCTGGAGCCGTTGACGCCGACTTCTCCAACAAAACATGCCTCGAGCTGTGGGATCTGGGCCTTGACCGCGAAGATGCCAGTGAAGAGCTGAAGCCGCTAGCTAAGCTCGATACAGACTCAGGGTAAGTGGGTCTATAATAATTGGAGAAGGATTAACTGTTAACTGAACTGTCTGGCTAGTTTCAATGATTTGGCCTGGACCACATCCGAAGATAACAAACGAGGTGTGATTGCGGGCGGTTTGGAGGATGGTTCATTGGAGTTGTGGGATGCCGACAAGCTACTTGCGGGATCTAGGTTAGTCGAAGCTATGCAGATACCTCCGAATAAATTACTGACCGTCCAATACCAGTGATGCATTGATCTCAAGAACCACCAAACACACTGGCGCCATCAAAGCCCTTCAGTTTAACCCGAAACACCCGAACCTCCTAGCAACCGGTGGCGCAAAGGGAGAGGTAGGCTCCGATTCTAGGACACCGTGTTAGATATGTGGCTAACAGCTGGGTAGCTGTTCATTTGGGATCTCAACAACATCGAGAACCCATTCCGATTGGGCAACAACGCCGCCCGCACAGACGATATCGACTGCCTGGATTGGAACAAGAAGGTCCCTCACATTCTGGTCACTGGTAGCAGCTCTGGCTTTGTGACGGTCTGGGATGTCAAGACGAAAAAAGAGAGTCTCACTCTCAACAACAAGGGTCGGAAAGCTGTCAGCGCAGTCGCATGGGACCCAGAGAGGGTACGTCGACATACTCTACAGGTCGACTGCAGTCCTGCTAACTAATTTTTGTCTCTAGCCCACAAAGCTCATCACATCGTCACCGCTCGAGTCAGACCCAGTGCTCTATGTCTGGGATCTGCGCAACTCGCATGCTCCCGAGCGGGTATGTCCTACTTCATAACCTGGGCGTGACCTCGTACTGATATGGTTTATATAGACACTCACAGGCCACGAGTCCGGTGTGCTTTCACTTTCTTGGTGCGAGCACGATCCAGATCTCCTCCTGTCCGCCGGCAAAGATAATCGCAATATTTGCTGGAACCCGCAAACCGGCCAAGCCTACGGAGAGTTCCCCGTTGTCACAAACTGGACCTTCCAGACCCGCTGGAACCCCCACAACCCGAACTTCTTCGCCACTGCGTCGTTTGATGGAAAGATTTGTGTCCAAACTCTACAGAACACGAAGACCGATAATGCTCAGGCTATCGCTGATCACAACCAAGCTTTGGATGGCGAAGATTTCTTTGCCAAGGCGCAGACTCAACCTCAGGTCTCCAAGTTCTCACTCCCGAAGGCTCCTCGCTGGCTTGAGCGGCCTTGCGGCGCTACGTTCGGATTTGGAGGTCGGGTCGTTTCCTTCGGTCTAAACGAGAAGGGCTCTCGTGTGTCTACCATTAAAGTCACGCCGTTCGAGGTGGATGAGAGCATTGGCAATGCCACCGAGAGCTTCGAGACTGCATTGAAAGAAGGTGATATTCATACCCTTTGTGAATCGAGGGCTTCGGGTGCCTCCGATGAGGCAGAGAAGGCGGACTGGAAGGTTATGCAGGCTCTGATCTCCGAAAACCCACGCAAAGGCTTGGTGGAGTACCTAGGATTTGCCGATCAGGCTGATGAGGCAGCGGATGGTCTAGCGAACCTTGATTTGGACAAGAAGGAAGGCGAAGAGGCGAATGCCCTGGCCGCCAAACCGGCTCGTGCTAAGAAGCACAAGCGTCTGCAATCTATGTTCGATGCCAACCCTGAAGGTGACAGCTTCCTTTCCGAACTGGCTGCGTCAAAGGGTGCGCAAACCAACAACCCCTTCCAAATTTTCAACGGCTCTGAGAGCCTGGCGGAGCAGCAGATTACCCGAGCTTTGCTCCTTGGAGAATTTGACAAGGCTCTGGATGTTGCCCTTCGAGAGGATAAGATGTCAGACGCTTTCATGATTGCTATTTGCGGTGGCCCGAAATGCGTTGAGAAGGCTCAGGAGTATTACTTCTCCAAGCAGGCGAATGGACCGAACTATATGCGCTTGCTTGCATCTATTGTGGGTAAGAACCTGTGGGATGTGGTACACAATGCCGACCTGTCCAATTGGAAAGAAGTCATGGCTGCCTTGTGCACTTTCGCCGACGAGAAGGAATTCCCTGATCTCTGTGATGCTCTCGGTGACCGTCTGGAGGAGGAGGTTCGGAACAGCGAGGATAAGAGCGCCCGAAAGGATGCCTCTTTCTGCTTCTTGGCAGGCTCGAAGCTGGAGAAGGTGGTCGCCATCTGGGTCGAGGAGCTCCGCGAGAATGAGCAGAAGGGGATCGAAAGCAATGCCGACAACAACTCCTTCTCCATCCATGTCCGTGCTCTCCAAGGCCTGATCGAGAAGGTTACCATCTTCCGTCAAGTCACCAAGTTCCAGGATACCGAGCGGAACAAGGACTCAGATTGGCGCTTGAGCGTCTTGTATGACAAGTATATCGAATATGCCGATGTCGTAGCTACCCATGGACGCCTGCAAATTGCTCAGAAGTACCTCGACCTGGTGCCTGAGAAGCACCCTGAAGCCGAGGTGGCACGCAACCGCATCAAGCTTGCCACAAGACAGGCACCCCAGCAGGCACAGGCCGCTGCTGGGGCCATTTCTGGCTCCAAGGCGCTCCCGCAACAGCCCAAATCGTACCAGCCGCCAACTTACAAATCTCCTGCTTTAACAACTCCCCCCTATCCAACGATGACTCCACCGCCAGTTCAGGCTGCTCAGCCTGCCAATCCCTTTGCTGCGATGTCGACTGGAGGGGCCTATGTTCCAGCAGGTGGATATCAGCCAACTCAGGGCATGAGGCCTACGGCATATGCCCCGCCATCTGCGTTCGGCGGACAGCAGCCCACACCCGCTGGTATCCCTCCCCCTCCTCGTGCGTCGTCTAACCAGTCGCCGGCCAACACTATCACAACATACACCACGGCCACCGGCCTTCCTGCATGGAATGATCTGCCAGAGGGCTTCGCCAAGGCTCCAGCACCCCGTCGGGCGACCCCCGCTGCTGCTGCTGCACCCATCGCCTCCCCGTTCCCCAATCAGTCACCTACTCTGACTCAAGGACCTCCCCCAGTTGGCGCACCGCGAGCACCATCTGTGCCTCCCCCACCAAAGGTCGGCACTGTGCCTCCGCCCCGCATGATGTCGCCGCTATCGGGTGGCCAGTCTGTATCTCACATCCCTGGACCTTCCCCACCGCCACCTGCCAACCCATACGCTTCTCTCCCACAGTCCCCTCCTCTCGCCCAGGGGTCAACTATGGCTCCTCCGGCATCGATTCCTCGGGGACCTTCGCCCTACAATGCTCCTCCTAGCATGCCACCGGTAATGAACCGGTACGCACCAAGCCCAGCTGCCCAGGCTGCGAGCCCGCAACTGCAGGCTCGTGGCCCGGTCCCTCCACCCCCTCAGGCCGCTGCTTCGCCATACGCCCCGCAAGCAGTATCACAACCGCCTGCGGCAAACCCGTATGGGCCCACCACGCCCATTGCTACACAGGCTCCGCCTATGGCACAGGCTGTTGCACCGCCCCCTCAAGTATCTCAACCTTTAGCAGCTCAATCACAGCGGCCCACTCCCCCGGCTCCAAAGTATCGTAAGTTTCATCCCATTTAGTGATGATTGATTACAGCCAATTAACCTTTCTCACAGCCCCTGGTGACCGTTCCCACATCCCTGCGAATGCCCAGCCTGTCTTCGAAATTCTCTCGACAGATATGCAGCGCGTCAAGGCCCGAGCCCCTGGGGCTTTCAAGGCACAGGTCGATGATGCGGAGCGCCGTTTGAACATCCTCTTCGATCACCTCAACAACGAAGATCTGCTCAAGCCTAACACAATTGAGGATATGGCCAATTTGGCTCGTGCAATCCAACAGCGCGATTTCAACAGCGCCCTCGCTATTCACGTTGACATCATGACCAACCGTACTGATGAATGTGGCAACTGGATGGTTAGTGAACGCTGATACTGTCTCGTAATCTTTTGGATTGTTACTAACGATTATAATCACAGGTCGGTGTCAAGCGACTGATTAGTATGAGCCGTGCGACCCCGTAAATGAGCACTTCGTCCCTTAACGAGTGAAGGGAATGCCCGAGGCTTGGTATACTGTGTACTATTTCTGGCCTTGTTTTCCCTATACTTCAGCGTTTCTCTTAACTTCTTTTCTGTGTTCTCTCTTCATTGTTCATTTATAATTAATTTCTTGCGTATCTCCTTCCCTTCCTGTTCTCTTCCGAGGACATAGGTTTTGTTCATGAGCACAGCAAAAATTTCTCCATGTTGGCCCCGTGCAGTTGGTAGTGTTCACTGCACAGGCGCTTTTACTAGCTAGACTGCGCAATAGACACTGGTCAATGATGATGTATAGTTTGTTTCTTTCTATGAATGAAAAAGCTCCATGCAAACGTTACATATATACTTCGGTAGGTCATGATTTCGTACGGCGCAATGAAACATGAATATCGTACCTTATATGCCTATACACATGCGCAATATGTTCTGTTTATGTACAATCATCAAATCGCATCAAAACCACTCCTCGGCTTTCAACTATCACCGTGTACCGACAGGAATCCCACTTCCGAGACGTCCACCGCGACTAGCAGGGAAATTACGTGCACTCAAAAGTGCACCCTTCACACCACGAATATCGGCCCGGAATCCAGCAATAGCTTCCTCCTCAGGCTTGCCCAAACCAGAGTGTCCATTCAAGCCAGAGTTATTAGTCGAATTCCAGACACCGTAGGTCGACCCGGAAGAGTAGGTCGGAGAACTATAGATCAAGCCATCACAATAATGATGCAGATCTGTGAGGCGTGTGCGCATCGAGTCATCCAGTGTACTGGCGTCCTTCTCCGAGTCAATGATCTCGCGCAGCTTCGAGGTAATTGACTCAACACGGCTGATGTGGTTGTTCACCGCCGTCGAGGGAGAGATAGCCACGACGTCTGCCGAGTTCGCAACGCTGACGGGATGGAGTGCGGGAGTGACTTCTGGACTCGTTTGCGTCGCGACATCCCGGTGGAACAGCTCTGTTGGGTCTGAGGTGATCGACACGACGTCGTCGTCTTGCTCTTCATCGGAGGGCTTGGTCTTGCGAGCTGTTAATACCGGAGGAATCACGCTCACTGTCTTCTCCAGTTTCTCGTTTAGCTTGTGCAGATTCGTCTCTGCTGTGCTGGCTAGCTCGTGCCGTGCGCTGTTTAGAGTTGCGATCATCGGTTTCACGATGTACTCGCTTGCGCCGTAGAGACTTGCTCCTAGACCGGCGGCGCCATATAATGTATAGAGGACGCTGCGCATTGTCACTAGAGGCGGTGGCTTGTTTGACTCAAATAGGAACTCGGGGTAGGTGATTATTGGGGCGACATCGCGGGGGGCATTGGGTGACGTTGGCGGGTGCGATTGAGGCATAGTGTTGGAAGGTGGGGAGGGAATGGGAGACGAAGGGGTGGCTTCAGTTTGAGTGAGTGAGGGAGATGGTGTCTCTTCCTGTGTCTTGGCCTCGGCTGTGGTTGAGCTGCTGCTCGCCTCTGCATTTCGGGGGACGGCGAGGACTTGTTGGACCTCGTCCGAGCTGAGGCCTTTTGACTCGAGGAATGAGACTTTGCGCTCTGTTGGTGCATCCCGAATTGACTCGTCCTCTAGAAATTTGGATGCTTGGTCTAGGAGAGCTTTTCGGGGTGTGGAGGGTGTAGTTGCGGGCGCATCCTCGGAGGCCGACGACGATGATGGCGATGGCGATGGCGACTCATCGGCCGTTTTATTTGGCTTCTGCCATGCGGGAATAGATGCTGATTTGGGGGAGTTATCAGACATGATGAGAAATTCCCTGCATTTGCCAAAGAAGGAGAAAGCAAAAGCGTCGGGAGTGTTGCGAGGAGAGGGAACCTTTCCCCGGACTTGGAGCCATGTGAGCCCGACCTCGGCTGTTGCAACGTCCCGGTGACGCCTGAGGCATCAACGTCGACGATGTACTTCGTATATTCCCATACGGGTGGCAGATATACCTACCTAGGTAGGTATTATATGGGACTATTTTCGACCAATGAGAACATTCTTTTCATTCAGACCACCTTATATGAATCACTAGGACCGAATTAAAAAAAATACGTGCCTGATTGTTCTATACCGAAACTAGGCTGTAGGTGAGACGAATCCATACCACCCCAGGACTCGATTGAAAACCATAGAGTCCTATACACAATTCTATCTTCCGAGCAATAGAGCAAATAGCCAATCCCAATCCCAATCCCAATCTCATTCATAGCAAATGCAAATGGGCTCCCATATATAGAGACCGCCCGGCAGAATGGACCGCGCAGTACTTCATTCGTTCATTCGGCGTCAGCGACTGGACACCTGAAGAATCCGAAACTTTAGAAAAGTACCTGTGAGTGATGGCGTTTCCCCCGGTTTTGACGTGTATTGTCTGTTCTTGTCTATCTGGCCCCAATGCTTGCGGGGCATATAGAGCCGAACGCCAAAGGAAGAAGCCAGGAGAAACATCTCCCCAAGCCTGATCCCCTGTAATGCGCTTTGTTCGCAGAAACGTCTCTTAGAAGCTGTGCCTTCCCGGTTTGCAACTCCGCCTCGCACGCAGTGGATGAGGTGATTGGGGGATATCTTCTCTTTCTTTCCAGCGCCTTAATGGCCTAGTCCATACTGCCACACACTTGCCTAATTCCCCTATCCCGCGTCTTTTTCCCTCAGCTCTGCCTTTTTTTGTACTTTCGCTTTTCTCCTTCTGTCACACTTCATAAAACCGCCACTATGTCACTCCGTCGATCTCGTCGATCGCGAGGGACACGAGATGACTCTCCGGAACCCGATGCTAACATGACCACCAGGTCTACAAGGCAAACTCGTGCTGCTGCTGCTGCTTCTGCGCCGACATCTGCTTTAGTTTCAGTCTCCAGATCTTCTTTGAATTCCGGAGATCGGAAGAGATCGCTCCGTCTTACGGTCAAAATGCCTTCCAGCAAATTGCGGGAAGCCACGGGCACTGGTCGCGCCGCTGGACGGCGCTCAGTCAATGTGTTCCGGGAAGACCCCATTGTTTCGGGACCCCGCTCCAGTCGGAACCGAAAGAAGATTGTAGAAGTTGCTACCAGCGACGAAGAGGAGCTCGACGACCAGGAGGAAGACGAGGTCGACGACGAAGATGCCCATGGGGATGACGATGAAGATGCTGATGCTGACGCTGATGGCGACATCGATATGGACGACATCCCCCCTCAAGCACCTGCCAGGCGCGGTAAGGCGGCTCCTCCGTCTCGCGCCAAGCCGCCCAAGAGCGTGGAGGCCAAGGAGATGGAAATGGATGAGGATGAGGATGAAGAAGATGAAGATGAAGAAGAGCCCATCTCCGACACCGATGAAGATGCCGAAGCCGAGGGCGATGAGCATGACGAAAGCGCAATTCCAGACGTCAATGTTGATGATCTAGATGAACTTGACGAAGAGGATGAATTAGACGACGATATGGACAGTGATGCTCATGCTATGCAAAGCGGCAAAACGACCAAGCGCCAGCGAGGAAATCTGGGAAATGATTTCTTGCAACTTCCTATGGGTAAGAAATTATTGTTGATCTACAATCTATGAAGAAAACGGAGCTAACTTCAAAACAGAACCTCAGGTCAAGAAACATTTGACCGCCGAAGAGCGTCAAATGCGCCGCGCAGAGATGGCTCGGAGGAGGAAGAACTTGAGCGAAAAGCGAAATGAAGAGGAAAAGGCAAGTCCATGAAGTTGCTCTAATGGTTAATCAGAGAATTGCCGCTAACATTGAAAACTAGATGGACACAATCAATCGCCTGCTCAAGAAGCAAGCTCCTAAGCGGCGTGGTCGAGCGGCGGCGGCGGAGGCCCCTGATGGTACTCCCGGCCAAGAAACCAAGGAGCCCGAGAAACCAGATCCTACCCTGGTGCGGTGGATCAGTGGAGCGAATGGTTGTAGAGTCAATGTGCCAGAAGAATGGCTGGGTACACCTGCCGGGCGTGTTTTCAGCGCACCTACAGTTCCCGCCACGGGGAAAATGGTTGAGGAACTTTGATGCAACTTGCAGAAACTACAATGGATTGGCGCTTATGGAAGGATTTTCTGATACGGTATTCGGGAATGGACTGCATCATCTGCAAGGAACTGGGGTTGACTTTCTGCTCGTGCTTCGAACGGCGTTTATAACATGTCTTTTCCATAGTTCAAGTTTTACAAGTCATTCAATACATTGACTGTGTCCAATGTTACCAGATTATCGTTACATGTGCCGATAAGACCGGCTCTTATACTCAATTAGTTATAAATTCTCACCAGTAACCGGAATTGCTGATCCTAGGTCATCATTCAGTACTCTACTCTCAGGTACTTCACGCATGGTCGTTTCATGAACCCCATATGTACAATGGCCTCCAGGGCTGGTCATAAGACTCGACCATCCAGGCACAACAGGACCTGTGGTGCCGTATGCGCCGGAGCCTCGGAGCGCGGGGGAGAGCGCAATATCCAATCTAGCATATTGTGCCAAGAACAGCTTATTGGCATAATAATGACTGGTGACACTCAGGCCACTTCAATTTCCAAGAATGCCGATTCTAGGGAAGTGTTGGAGATCGTCACTGAGTCGTCGGCTTGGGATCTTGCTCAAAGGTGGCTTTGGGGAAATCATCGGTATTCTGCTTAGGAGCAAACGACCCAGACGGGGGTGTGGTCTTCTGCGAGTGGTCTTTCTCATATTGCAGTTGCTGGAATGTGGGCTGGAAGGTGTAGTAGCCTACAGATAGAAAAATTGGAGATTAGGACCTGGGTCAAGAAATTGGGCATTCTGGCAGTAGGGTAGATATACCGGTGAAAACACCCACGCCAATAGCGAGGAGAGCAGGAACAAAATTGCGACTCATTTTGGAGAATTCGAGGCTGACGTTGAGACTGAATTGCGGTGTTGGCGGTTGGAGGTCCGGAGGTGATGCCGGAGATCGGTTATCAGTTGGCTGATTAGCAGCCGGCGCGTCTGCTAAATTGCTCCGTTGGCACGCGTCAGAATCGTCAAATTCCTTACCTCAGGACTGTCTGGATATTGTTTGACGTCTGATTACTTTGTATCTCGCGAATTTCAAGCCGAGAGTTACTTGGCTTTCAACTGTGTTCCCCGGGATCACCCAATGACTGTCTAGAGACATGGGCGATTCCCGCCTAGGATGCAAATGGAATCATGGCGACAACGAGGATATGTCCCCGACTCGGACGACGAAGATGGGTTTGACTCCCTAGAGACGAAAAAGGGAAATATCGAAAATAGCACCGATTTCGGAAATCTCGAGTATATTGACCCTTCTTCCTCGGCGCCGAAGGAAGGGACGAGAAATACCACGAATGGACAACGCGAGCATCATAGGGACGAGGATGGCTCGATTACGCTCTCGGACAGGGAGGAGCTCGCCCTTCAAGAAAAAAAGCGTACGGGATCTGCAATCTTGCAAAATAAGGAGGGGAAGGCCGTGGGGAGAGGAGGTTCTGTTCGAAGTACACGATCTCCCCAACACACTGCAGATGGAGGAGATGCCCCCTCAACAATCGGTTCGGATGAAGAAACGACGCCAAAACAACGAAAGGTACGCAGGACTTATGGGCATCGGTCATCGACTACGAAATCAACGAATCGCCGCAGCAGCGAGCTCCGCAATCTCAATACTCCCTCAAAGAACACGGACAGCATATACGATTTCCCAACCTCATCACAGGAGAATGGCAGGCCTCAATCGAACCGTTCGAGTAGCCAGACTACACCGAAGCCCTTGAAAACCGGCCAACCATCCCATTCACCAAGTATAGCGAAACAGCATATTCCCGAGACGAACATACATGATGAAACCTCAAGCACTGGAAGCTCCTCGCCCGACGAGTTAGTATTGATCACTCAGTCAATTCGGAATAAAACCGTGGAAAAGCATGTTCAGGCCATAAACGCGCCATCATTACCAGCACCGCTGCAGGAGGGTTCGGATGATGACTCTCCGTTATCATCTGTACCATCAATACTTGGCTCTCCGCCCGCCAACAATGTCACTGAAACGCGTGCAATCGGCGGGGAAGAGGTAGAACTGGAAACACGGGCCGATGATGAGATAGATCCGCGGAAAGCAGTGCCCGCTGAACTCGATGCCAACCCAGACGATGTATTGCCTCACCTTGATATCCCCGAAGAAGTGTTGCGAGAATTGCCACATGCTACGCAGCGAACCTTCAGAAAGCGCAATGCTATCCAAATGCATCCGTACCACCTGGAACAGCTCAAGTTCGCTCAGCAACTGCAAGCGCGGGGCGTCAAGCCTTTTGGTCGTCCCCCGACGCAGAAACAGCAACTTACTGACGAAAGCCAAGGACAAGACTCATATGACCCGGATATACTTCCTTCCAGTCCTCCCCTGGAAGAATATCTTCCACCAACAAGACACGAACGTCGGGGGTCGCCCGAATCTGCTGAGCAAGAACGGACAAATAAAGATTCCGAGGACCGTCGGCACTTGCAAGGCCGTATAGCAAAGCGTCAGAAAATCTCTCATTCTGGAACTCCTACCAATCGACGAAATCTGCACAAACCATCCAAACCTCGCGGCGTGAGAGACAAAAACACAGCTCCCGAGAACCAACATGGTGTAACAATTTACGACCTATCATCTAGCCCCCCACACGCAGGTCGTTTCTCTTCAACATCAAGAACCCCTCGTGCCTCAGAAGGAGGATTTCGATTTCCTCGTGGATGGTCGCCACCAAAAGAAGCTGCGACTTCCCGAGCACAGGAGCCAGAACCCACCGGCGAGGTTGATTCGCCTAATGGCGGAGAAGAAGACGATGATGATCGGGAGGTACAGTCAATTTCGTCCAACAGCCAGCAAAGTGATTCTGAACAAAATGAGTCGGATGCCGAAGAACGTGAAATACGACGATTTCAACGAATGATTCGAGGAGCACTGCCGGCTTCACATGCGCGGCTTCATCAAAAGCAAAATGCAGACAAAGAAAAAGCTTCACAATTGGAACGTCAAGCTGCTTTGCAACGACCAGATGGAAAAGGTGTTGCGCGGAAGCTCATCCGAAGGGGTGATCGCTCAACGCAACCAGCAACGCAACGATCACGAGGTCTATTTGATCTCGGAGATTCTGACGAGGACGATGAAGACAACCATAACGACGTTCGTCAAAGCGGCTCTATCACCAATGAGTCTAGCCAGAGATTGCCGGGCACTCATAACCCTGAGGACCCCTTCGCGTTCGAAGGGGGTGATATCTCTGAGGACAATCGTATCGACTACATGCTTGCACCTGTTCCACGCAACTCAGCAGGACCTCGGCGCAGCACAAGCACATTGAAACGACCGAAATCGAAACAAAGTCTGTTCAACGTGGAAAGACAGCCGAAGAGACCCCGGCAAACCCGAATGACGGATGCTTCGTACGGAGCAAGACGAACCAAAAAGTCCTCAACTGTCCAGCGACCAAGGATAGGTATTCTAGATGCACCAGATGTTGCCACGAAATCCCGCACTGAGCAACCGCGATTCCTCAGGATAGCCACAAGACAACCGCGAACACGCAAAGACCGAGGCAGACAGAGTCCCACTCAGAAGTTCGTGAAACTGGCCTCAAGAGAAGACACAGTGGATGCAAATGAGTCCTTGCGAGACTGGAAGAGAGGAGCTATCCGGCAGGCCAAGATTAGTCCTCCTCAGCCTAAAGCTCGGCGGAACCAGCATTGGACAACAAAGCTGTCGATTCTCAGTTCTCGGGCTCGTTCGAAGTCCAAAAATGGCCGGATTCCGCACCAATTCCTTGAAGCGGAGACTGACAACACAACCCTCAATACAAATACTGTTCGGTCGGAACAGGCGCCGCCTGAATCTGATACAGTGCCAGCCATGCCAAACCAAGAATTTGGGACCGAGTCTTCCTCCCAGCGAAAACCAGAGCATCACGGTCATACATGGGTTGTTCCTAGGAATGTTGATCCTAAGTCTTTGTCAAGAAACACCATTCGGCCCGCTGCAACGAGTTTAGCGGGCACCGGTAGAAACCAAAAGATGGGCCCGGTGATGTTTCACCAGTCATTGTCTGTTATCAATCGACATTATCGGAACCAGCGCACCTCCCAATCTTACAAACCCAGCTTGACTTTGGATCGATATGTCTATGAGAATGGATTGTCGAGCCCTGGGGGAAACCCTTTGCCCAAAAGTCCTGCTGTAGCTCCAGCCAAACGAAGTGATCAGAACTCAACACCAAAAGCTGTTATACCTCGACGGCGGCCGAAAAAGCATACCCCCAACCGACTCAACCTTGATGCCGACGAGTTTTGTCAGGATTCAGGTCCTGCTACAATACTTTCTGACGACTCCGAACCTCCGGTAATAACGAATGCCGGGTCTGCCCCTACCTCTTCTTTTAGTGTGGGCGGGCTTTTCAACTGGCAACGTTTCTATCCAGTGGACTTCGGAATACCATCTTTACGTGACAACACATTCTTCCATCAAGCCACATTTATTGGAAGTGGAGAATTTTCTCGCTCCTTAGATATCACAAAGCGGGACTTGGATAGAGATGCTGGTCTATTCTCAATCCAAGTCAGAGACGAGAAATTCCAATGGGGCTGTTGGAACGATACAGTATCATCTGAGATGGGCCGGGTCTTCGATGTAATAGTCGATAATGTGGAACGGAATGCTGCTAGCTCTCCAGAGACAGGCATCACGGCTGCTTTAGGCGTGGCATCGCAAATATACAGGTCATTTATCAAGTACATCACGGAAAATCTGGTGTTCATTGACCCTGTTGATCGCAGTGGCTTCCTCACTAGAGCAGTTGGGCTGGTCTCCCAGGTAAGAGACCCTTTGACTGCTTTCCTAACTGGCGATGGATACAACAAGAACGGTCTCGTCAGAATTGCTTGCTTCAACATGGTGTTCTCACACCAGATCTATCAAGTGGCTTCTCATCAACTCGTCAGCCCAGCTCTGGCAAACGAAGCATTAGATCTTGTAAAAACATCTGCCAAAGATGTTGCGGCATTGATTACCTCAAAGGTTGGGTCTTCCGAGTTCAAAAAGCTGTTCAAAGAAAACAACGAGCCTGAACGTCGCGAGTCAGGAATTCGCGATGATTTTCCATCTGTGGAGGCCTATGTCATTACCAAGCATCTCCTCCGCAGCTCAGATCATTACAAGGGCTGTTTTGAAGATCTTCAGGTTGAGATATTCAACAGTGACATTATTCGCAATGAAAAGGATGTGGGCAGCCTAGAGGATGGATGGCGTGGCATGTTCACAGTCTTGCCTTTCAACCAGATAGATCCGCTTGGACTTGCTCGACCTGGTTACCATTTGACGGCCGCCAATGACAACTGGGCACTAGCAAAACGGCTACTTGCTCCAGCACTTGATTACTTCGACTCCAACTCTGCAGCACAGCCAATCTCATACAATAACTACTGTCGAACTTTGTTCCTTCGATGTCATCGACTTATCAATTTCTGGGGATGGCGAGAATGCAAGCCCGTCCTGGACACGCTATTCGACTTCTTCGCCAAGAATACCCTGCATAATCTGAAACTTGAAGAAGCTCGCGGCTCACCTTCATTCCTCGATGAACTTGATAACAACCCTTCTCTGGATGCCCGAATTGGAGAACCGTGCTTCCATACATTCCTCAAAATTGTGGCAAGCGGTCTGCGCTTCTTAGTGAAGAGGTACGACAAGAAGAAGATTCGAAACTTCGCCTGGCGTCTATTGCCCAATCATGGCCGTGTGTACCCGAAAGAACAGCCGCTGCAGCATGAAGACCTCGATGCATTGAGAAACCATCACGATCTTCTGAGTACTCTGTACTGGGCTGTTCCTGATGGGTGCCGCCCCCGTCTCGAGACAATACGCAATCTAGTCCATCCCGCCACTTCACACCGTGAAGCATGCACCATCAATTTGCGATCATGGTCAAGGCTTGTTCGATTCAAGCTCTCTACCGATGAAGAGGTGTCGGGGCTGGACCCGTTTGGAGACTGGTACGGCTATTTCTTGACAGAACTGTATCAACAACACTCGGTTGCGCGCAAAGAGATCGAGTCTCAGAATACCGGCGACAACCGTGTTTCTCAACAACTTGTTGAACGCACAATATCCCAGAACCAGCGACAGATCGAAACCCTGTTGAGTACCGCCCTTAATGGGCTGCGGATTGCCATACAATTGGCTCCGAGTTTGGAACATGCACACCGGCTTGTTTTGAAAACTCCATTTGAGTCTATCTTAACCCTTTTCAATCCCAAGCTTCCGCGCGTGAACGTCGTCGTATCCGAGGCACTGCACGTCCTGGTAGCGTATACCCAAAAGGACATTCCAGTTATCTCTGCAGTAGATGCTCCTGCAGCGGTGACCACTGATGAGGATAGTCAGGAGTTCGGCGACTGGGATGCAATTCAGGCGGTTTGGGACCAACAGTCTTCCCCTAGCGAAGGTGTCGAACATGTAGAGAAGACTTTCCATCCGATCGTGTCTCGTCTTGTTTCCAATTGCTTCGGCGAAGATCACTGTCCAGAGGATGCCATCCTCTTGAGTGTTGTTGAATGCTGGACTGCAGTCGCCCGGGTTCTGATACGTCATGGGCTCCGAACATGGGATAATTATCTGAGCGAGTTTGGCAATGATTCCTGGACGCGGCTTCGACAGACAGTTCAAACAAGGAAGTTTGCACCATTGTTCCTTGCAGCATGCATCGAAAAGGACGCGCAAATCGTCTCTGACTGCCGAATCCAGGTCATGAGCATGTGGATGTCATCGCTGGTTGAGCGTTCCTCGATGTTGAAATTCCAACATCGTCTCACGGAGGCGCTTCTTAATGGAAGTTCCACGGATCCCTTGCTTGGCAATCTTCCATTTTCTAAAGATCCGAAGATCGACCGGTATACAGTCACATTGGAGGAAATCAGTTCCCGGCGACTAGCTCTCCTCTCGAGCTTATCGTCCAATATGCGTGAGCAGCTCCAGGCCATGGAACTCACCGGCAACCGGAACTTCTCTGTGACGAAACAAGAGTATTCTGAAATGCTTCAGCGGGTGATGACATCCATGAAAGACAACTACCAAGAGCTAGGAAACGGGACAGCGCAAGCTGCTCAAGGAGCATACGTCGAGTTCGTGCAGCGCGTTATCGGTTTCCTTCAGCAGCACACGAGCGATATCAAATCCATCGACCCCTTCTTCACAGACCCTGCTTCTTTCCCTCTACCGTCTACTGACCCACGCTACATTGTGGCGAAACTTAAACGCTACGAGTCGAAGTTGTCTTCCAGCAAAGAGATTCAGACCTTGACTGGATTCGTCCAGAGCATTTCCGAGCGGGCCCTTATCGATGGTCAACAGAGCTACCTGGTTGAACAATTGCATACATCGATGAAGAACACTTACGAAGCCGGAATCCTTGACAAACCCACCCTCCGCACCGTTCTCCTACAATGTGTGTTCCCGACCTATCTTGAAGCGACACTTCCCAACCGCGCCGCCTGGCTCATCAGCCGACCCTTCATCGAGACCATCACGCTTGAGTTCAAAAATTTGCTATGCAACATCAACACTTTCGATCCCGCCTGTGTGTCATCCGTCATCGAAATGATCGACGTAGTATGCCGGGCCACCTGCCAAGCACTGGCTGTGATCGCCTCCCGCCGCCATCGTCTGCAAAGTCCTCCAACCTTGTCCATGATTGGGGCCTTTCTGGACATGATCTCCGCTGTCCTGCCCGTGGTAGATTACATCGATCGTACCACTAACACAGCAGAGGATATTCTAACGCACCTCAACTGGATCTACGACTTCGCCAAAGCCGTCAGCACATGTCTCCACAGCACAGACCTAGATGCAGACTCGCCATCGAGCAATGACCGTGTGCAATTCCCTAACGCGCCACCATCCTCTGGTAGCAGGAAAACGGAGCTCTTTGCCACGGCCCACCAGCTTGCCTCGAGTGATCTTCAGATCTATCTCAGGAAGTGGTCTTATCATCAGGGCAAGTACTACTTCACTCGCCCGGGTCATCAGTCACAGGAGATCACGATCGAGCCTCATATTGCTGCTCTAGTGGCTAGCCAAAATGAAGCGCAGAAGGCGTTTGAGAATGCGGCGGGAAATTTCGTTCATCGAGCAAGGGCGTTGGAGTTGTTGTATTGATATGGTTTTCTGCTGTTTATATCAATTTTTGCTGGAAGAATTAACGTGTCACGACTATCTAGCATCAGAACCAAGCATGTGTTTAATGTAAATATGTACTATTTCTATGGGAATACGGGACTGACTTTATTCGCTTTACTTATTTCTTTCTTCTCAATCGCAAACACAGCATGGAGTTGTATACACGAGTATCCGGCGCTACAAATCATCATTTGGCACAAAATATAAGTGTTACTCTCATCTAGCAAAAGAAGCACAGCATTGTATACATATAAATGACCAAACTCCCGAGGAGACGGGCGCATGACCTTGGATGCTATCACCATCCCACGGCGACGAAGAACAATCGGCATAGCACTTTTCACGTACCGCACTCCGAGCATAGACCAGTTGAAGATCAAGACTGAAGTCACAAATATGCCTGGAATGCTTTTCGTGGAAGCCAGGGCCCCGTAAAACCATTCATGCGGCCTTGGTTTCATGGTGCGGATGCACCAGTCTTGCCATAGGAATAGCCGTTCTCGCCACTGGAATTCGCGCCTTAAACGCCCTCTCAATCTCAGCCAAAGATTTCCCTTTAGTTTCCACCATATAGAAGAAACTGACAATCGTTGCAACCGCAGTGCAGCCACCAAACAAAAAGTAGGCACTTGGCACACTTTTATCCAGCAGAATCGGGCACACAAAAGCGACGAAAAAGTTGCAGACCCAATTTGCGCCTATCCGAAGTTAGTCACAGGAGAAACAAAAAGAATACTAAGGGTACAAGACAAACCATATGCGAGACTGGTTGCCTGGGCGCGTGTATGCTGGGGCTGGATCTCCGGAGCCCACACCTTGATACTAATGCCCCAGGTCGTGGCCTGCACCATGCAATAGAGATAGATGGATACAATCACCACCCAACGACCAGCGCCTTGCGTAGAGAAAACCGCATGGCCAGCATAAAGACTGCCGATCAATATCATGAGCACTGTCAAGCCAACTCCGCCTACCAGTGTGCTGGTGCGACGACCCCATTTGTCGGCTAGCAGAGTTGCAGGAATACTAGTCACGACTATCAAAATGGCAGAAACACCAGATGCCTGTGTGATAAGTAGCGTCAGCTCCGTATGACCGCTTGGGAGAAACGTAGAATGCAGATACTCACCAAGAATGATGCTTCTTGGGATTCTAAACCAGCCTGCTGAAATAGTAACGGAGCATACTAGATATCAAAGGTCAGATGGTTGGTACAAATCATAAAAACATGAATAGAAGTGCCTACATATAGGACAGCATCGATACCACAAAGCTGGAGGAAACCCATCAAAAACACTGCCAGGAATGTCTGCTTCCGCACGTCCCGAGTCCATAGACTACGGAAGTTGACAGGCTTTTTACCTTCTTGTCCGGGTGAATTTGATTGCAGTGCGGTTGCTATTGGGTCCTCAGAGGTTGATGTACCACTGTCGACTTCCCGGTCTTCCTGCTTGACTTCAAGCTCGTCCCACACTTTCTCAGCCGTGCGAATATCCCGATGTCTAATCAACCATCGCGGAGACTCCGGTAAGAAGTAAAGATTGGTTATCAGATAAAACAAAGCCATCACAGAAATAATGATAAATGGGAGGCGCCAAGACAACGAGCCAGATATCTTCACTGTACCATAACTGATAAAATAGCCCACCACCAATGCCACGCAAGCCATGAACTGCGGGCCCGAGGTAAGTGGCCCCCGGGCTTTCGTTGGTGATATCTCACAGATGTAAACGGTCTGTGTGCTGAAGTAGAGACCATAACTGATAGACAGGACCAGACTCTACGCTACGAAGAGAGAGAGAGACTGGAAATCCTGTATTCGTCTGCGGAAGAGAAGAAGGGAAGGAAACTATCTAGAAGAAGGAGCTTCTTATAGCACGGCGAGGAAGGAGGAGTCACCTAACTCCAAACACCCCCCATGAGCCATGCGAAGAAGCCAAAAAAACCCCCTATAAGCTAAGAAACCCCCCATAAACTCTTAGGATCAAAACCAGTCTTTTTCTTTTTGAACGTAGTAATAAAGAACCTCCTAGGTCAGCTTATGCAAATAGCTTTTTCCTATCAGCTAAGCCTAGCTGACTGATCCAGCGTTGAAACATGACCTTTGTAAGAGGCTTCGTTATACTATCTGCAGCCATCTTTACTATAGGAATCTTCTTAAAATTAATTCTTCCCGTATTAACTTCCTCACGGAGCTTATAATATCTTACCCCGATATACTTAGTATTAGTATAGAATTCCGGGTTGCTAGTTAGTGTAATTGCACTATTGTTGTCTACGTATATAGGAATAGGCTTTTTAATAAGACCCTTAATACCTAGTTCCGTTAAAAGCTATAATAGCTAGATTGCTTCTTAAACCGTAAGAGCTTCTACGATATACTTACTTTTAGTGCTAGAAAGGGTAACGTAGGCTTACTTTTTCGAGGTCTACGAGATTAGTCCTCTAGCGAGCTTAAAAATAAAACCCGAGGTAGATAGTCCCTTTTCGGAATATAGGCTAGCCTAGTTAGTATTATAAAAATCTAGTAGTTTTATAGAACTAAGATTAATATTAAGATTAGGACTAAAATTAGGATTAGTAGAACGTAAAGCGTACGTAATAACTATATCCTTAGTGCCTATAAGATAGCGGAAAATTCTCTTAAGAGTAGTCTCGTGTTATCTACCTAGATTTTTTATATAACGAGCTAGCTTTATAGTCGTAAAGGCGATATTAGGACGTATTAAAATTATTAACTAGACTAACGTGCCGATCCTTATCTAGTAGAACTATATTTTAATTATAGTTATAACACCCTTATTTTTAGTACGAGGAATAAGAATTTCTTTCTTATAAAAGGGAGTTAGAATAGGATTATAGTCTATTATACCGAAGCGTATAAGGTTCTTTTTAATATAATATTTCTAAGAGAGAGAGATAGAGCTATTAGGATTACGTATAATATTAATTCCTAGATATCTATCTATAGGACCTTTATCTAAAATATTAAAATATATAGAAATATCCTTTTTAAATTAGCTAATTAGATCCTTAGAAGGGCTTAAAATTAAGAGATTATCTATATAGATTAGTATAAATAAGCGATCTTTTATAAAAACGGAGTGATTAGCCTAAAGTTTCTAAAAACCTATAGCTATTAAGGTATCTCGTAGTAAAATATACTATTCTCGAGGGCTCTACTTTAGTCTATATAGCGTTTTTATTAGTAAACCGCACTTTCCTAGATACTTATCTCGTATAATTTTAGGAAGTTCTATTTTAATAGGTTCTCTAATTTCCGTATTAAGGAAGGTAGTAATAATATTAAGATAGTATATCGGCTAGCCTTTTAATATAGTAATAGTAATAAAGACTTTAAAAGATATTAGCTTCGTAATAATAGCGTAAACCTTATAAAAATCTTAACCCTCGACTTATCGAAAACTACGTACTACTAGGCGAGCCTTATAGCGACTATTATATTTAATAGTCTATACCTAGCGAAGAGTGAGGGGTTTACGACGCTTTTTCGATCTTTTAATAACTCTCTAGGTGCTATTAATAATATACTAAGAGATCTCTTAGTATATAGTAACTAACTATTTATCTTTATCCTTATAATTTATAGCTTACTCCTATATTTTAGGTATATATCTAGATTCGGAGGGAGACTTATTAGACTATTACTTTTTAGACGTAGCGTATATATAAAGAGTTTCTAGGATATCTATATTCTTAGTAAGAAGCGTAGTAATACTTATATTATAAAGAGTATAAAAATCTAGGCTTTCTAGATAAGCGCGAGAAGGCTTCCTAATCCTAGTTAAACGGCGTAATTAAGGTTAATTAGTCTAATCCGATTATTATATATCTAATTCTCTAGGCTACCGGGAAGCTACCTAAGGTTCTACGAGAACCCCTAGTTTATCTACGTTAAAATAAATACTATATTCCTCCTTACTTTATACCTCTATACTATTTCTAAAACTACCCTTTATTTTAATAGGTTCGAGAATCGATCGAGTCGGAGAATCCTTAGACGGAAAAAAGCTTTTATCTATAACTTCTTCTATAGTTAGCGAGAGAGGAGAGGAGGGTCGGCGAAAGAACGAGAACTAATAAGATACCGGACGAGGTAACGTAGAGCCTATTAGTATAGGAATAGGATAAGCTAGATCTAAAGGCACGCCTTTAGTATAGAATTAAGGAGAACTAGTATTAGTATAATTAGGTATAGACTTATATCTACGTACTAACTATAAAAAATTAATAGGAATAAACCTTTTAGATAACGGGTTATTATAAGATCTCTTATATTAATCACTATAATACTATTAAGTAAGATCTAGCTTATAAGCCGGAGTAGGTAAAATAGTCGGAGACGGAGACTTATTAAAAATAATATTACGAGATCTATCTAACTTCTTAGTACGTATATTATATAAAACGTAATATCCTCTCTTATTATAGCTTACTAGTCTTACTTCCTCTATATAAGGATCGAGCTTAGTATTACGTTTTTCTTTCGGAATTAGAAACTAATATTAGTAGCCTAAGGCTCGTAGGTTTAAAAGATTAGGCTTTCTACTAAAAAGGGCTTCGTAAGGAGTTATCTAAACCCTACTATAAAATAGACGGTTTATCGTATAGTTAATATCTTTTAGTAGTAGACCCTATAGGTATTTAGGTAGCTAATATTCCGCTATAATTATAATAAGAGGTTTAATAAGATAGCGATTCTTAATTTTAGCTATACTATTTAGCTACTTAGTATAAGGAGGAGTCGGATCCTAAATAACCCCCTAGTTTACTAGGTATTCGGCGAGTGGTTTATACTTAGCCGTATTATCACTATAAACTCTCTTAACTATATAGTTAAGTTAAGTCCGTAGGTAGGTCTCGATCTATATATAGTATTCTATAATCTCTAAACGAGACTTAAGTAAGAAAGTCTATATAAAGCGGGATATATTATCTATAAAAGTTATAAAATAGCGCTCTCCTCCGTATAAAGTAATAGAAATTAGACCCTAAATATTAATATAGAGTATATCCCTAGGTTTAGTGTGAATAGCCCTTTCTTTCCTAAAGGGGAGGGTATATCCTTTTCCTTTAATATACGGTATATAAGGGTAAATCACTTCTATACCTAGAATTAGGCGTATACTCTTAGCCGAGGTTTCTATCTTTCTTACCTTAGCCTCGCCGGTATAATAGGCGCGGTAATAAGCTAAGTTAATAATAATAGGTTTCGTATAACGAGAAATAGAAACTATAGATATAGATACCGGAATAGTATATTAAATTAGATTCACTTCTAGTATAGTATTAAGCCTTTCTATACTAAGATAATTTAGCTAATAATACTCGCCCTTAATACTAGTATACGTAATCTTAATTCCTTAGCTTAGTAGTTTTATAACCCCTTTTTTAAATAGAGTAGTAATACTATTTTTATCGAGATCTAAGATAGAAATTAAGCTAGACTTTAGAGCTAGAGTAAGCTACACTTTTTTAAGACGAAGAGTGCCTAGACGCTTATTTATACTTATAGAACTTAATTATACGATTATATTACTATAGCCTTTAGTATAAAAAATATTACTAGTCGTAGTTCGTATAGGAAGTATATATTTACGAAAGCTATTAAATATAGACCGATAAGGTATTATATAAGTAGAAGTACTAGAATTAAGTATCTAACGAGTAGGATTATTTCTATTAGAAGTGTATTAACCTTCCTAAGAAATAGTTAAACTAATAGTATTAGAAAAAAGGTTATTATACTTAAAAATAGGATCACTAGGTAGTATAGAAGGTCTAGGTAGTACCGAAGGTCTAGGTTATATAAATATAGTATTTACCTAAGGTCTCTACTACTATTAAGGAGGAATTATAACTATCTAACCCTAACTATTAACTATACTAATTATCTAACTAGGTATAGGTATAGGAACTTATTAAGTTTACTATAATTACGTAGGTTATTATATTTATATAGTATTTAACGAGGTAGGTCTTAAAGGATATCTCTTAGTAAAATAATCACCTATAGTATTATAATATTTATAATAAATAATATTCTTACGCTTATATTATTATTAACCTTACTATTTTCTATCCTTTTTCTTACCCTTATTATTATTCCTAGAACCCTATATATTCTTATCCTTATTACTAGCCTTATTATCCTACTTCTTACCGTTATTAGAATTACTAGACGAGGACTTATTATCTTTTAAAGTAGAATTAGCTAAGTGCGAAGCCTTAATACTAATCTTATAAGCCCTAATAGTATTCTTAGACTATATAAACTCTCGATAAATCCGATCTATCGAGCTATTAGAGATAATTATATTCTAGATAAAAGCACTATAATAAGGGTTTTCCGAGATTATAGAAAGGAAGAAGTAAAACTTATACTATTTATAAATATTACCCGTAAATTCCTTTAGTTTACGGAGGGCTTCCCGGAAACGTCGTATAAAATCTTACGTATTATTCCCTCGGTATCGAAGTTAAGTAAGCCTCTACTACTATATAAAGATAGTTTAATAAGAGATAATAGAGTAGTTTTTTTCTAGAACGTCTATAATTTCTTAGGTATCTAAAATATACGAAACTAGAGATAGTAGAATAGATTTAAGGGTTAATCTAATATATAGATAGATACTAGAATTCGTCCTATCCTAGATATCTTTCTCTTTATTATATTCCTATAGTATTAGAGTATTCGAACGTTTAACTACTCTAATCTTCTCCTTCACTAAGTTACTAGGAACCTCCTCCGGTTTAAACTTAGAACTAAACGTAAGTATTTAGCGAATTACTATTTTAGAAGCGTCGAGGAGATCGGGAGCTATAGGTTTAGGAATAGACCCTTTAAGAAACAAAATATAACCGGAGTTAATAGTCCTAAGAGCCTTAAGAATGTTAAATTTCTATACCGAGAAGTTACTCTTACCCTTAAGCTTAATAATAACTTTAGAAATGCGGAACTCCTTTTCCTTATTAGAAGTGGCCTTAAGGAGATCTATGTTATCGACTTAGCTAGGAGGCTTATTATTAATAATAAAAGAATGATTATATAACGGGGAAGGCGATATAATTAATAGAAAGAAGATAAAGTCGTTAACCTAGTAGAAAAACTTACTGTTAACACGTAAAGACTATCGACTTAGCATAAAGGCTTATCGTCGAGAGTAAAAAATATCGACTTAGTAGGAGCTTGTTGTTAACGAGAAAGAGATACCGACTTAGCGAAAAGCTTGTTGTTAGCAGAAAAGAGATGCCGACTCAGCGAAAAGCTTGTTGTTAGTAGAAAAGAGGTGTTGTCGACTTAGCGAAAAGCTTGTTATCAACTGAAAAAATTGCTGGTAGACGAAGCCAGCAGAAGGGGTGCATACGGACCGTAAGATCACAAGATGTGCGAAGCAAGGTGCTTATAACCTGATAGACAGGACCAGACTCTACGCTACGAAGAGAGAGAGAGACTGGAAATCCTGTATTCGTCTGCGGAAGAGAAGAAGGGAAGGAAACTATCTAGAAGAAGGAGCTTCTTATAGCACGGCGAGGAAGGAGGAGTCACCTGACTCCAAACAATAACCAAGACCCTCAATCACGCGGCCTACAGCGAACATCGAAAGCTTTACCGCAGCGGCCTCTAAGATGGTCCCCACGAGAAATACTCCTGCCCCAAATGCCATGGCTTTTGGACGGCCGAGTCGGTCTGCGAGTGTGCCAGCAAATAGAGAGCCCAGGGCGGCGCAAAGAAGAATGCAGGATACTAGGATTCCATGGATGGCGGAAGAGTGCTTTCCAAATTGCCTGGTGAAGCTGTCCATGATGGTGACCGGCCCGATGACACTAGTGTCCATTCTGCGAATGTGAAAGTCTGTTAATATATTGTTTGTCGAACTTGTCGTAATGGAATTGCCAGGTCAACAGACCCTAGTAAGAAACCCCCGAAGGAGCAGAGCATGCTTGCAGTTGTGTACTTCGCAGGACGAAACCGAGCCCATGTAGGCATTCCAGCCCTGAGAGTCATTCTGGTAGTTTAATGAACGCCTTTCACCTCGATCAAAAGAAATGTTATCGAAAACTGGTAGCGCGTTCGTGAATCCCAAGTAATAGTGCTTGATCATAGTCAAGAAATCTTAGATACTCAAGGCGGGGACGATATTTATACTGCATTCTTTGTCTTTCGCCAATGAAGGATGTTAGTAGCAAACATGTCTGACAAATGCTGATTTACTTCATCCAAAGTATCATTTGGGCCTCAATTGACAACGCTGGAGCATCAGGTTTTACACGCGTGTGGCGAGCCATTTTGGGAGATGGCATTGGACTAGTCTTAGGCTAGCGCGTATCTTTTGCCCTTTTCGGATGCGGCACGTATTCTATTCCTTTTCGAGACGTCTACTTCATGCATCAAGTAGCCTCGAAGGTCTTGTATATGAGACTGTTGCATCTTAAGAAATTAGTGAGATGGCTTTCTATCTCTGACCTCGCCTCTCTTTTGTCAACCACTCACCTGCCCTCCTTTCTGTGATTCATTTTCGTAATTCTAGACCCGTGTTCATGACTTGCTCTCGTTTGTCTTAGTTTGGTAGGATACCTTCTGCGCTGTTGACGTCGGTCTACTGCATAATCTGTTCTAGAGATCGTATCTTGTCCTGCGTGCGGTATCCAGTCTCTCTCTCCAGAGCACTCAAAAGTGCATAGCAGCGCATCCTTCTCGAAACATCATGAATGTGTTTCCCCGCTTAATATTGTTAGCAGAAATAGGCTAATGACGATCATGTCCAGTCATCGACCGACTTACCAAGATATATTGGTGTGATAGCAAAGCAGCGAGTACTGGAAGGCAGCTCAGAAGAGGCAATGTTGATGACGGATGTAGCATTTTTCTGCACCGCAATACTCTACAGAAGGTTGGTTAGCGAATCCTGAGAAGTGAGCAATGCCCCTTACCCAACAGTCATTTGACAATTCACGTGTGTTCCCTTCTGCATGAAGCAGGATCTGGGCTGCATGAAACCATAGCATTGCAGCGGCTGTTTTGTTGTTAGCATGCAAAGCCGTCGACTATATGCATTTTGTAGCTTACCTGAAGCAGGCAGAGGAAAGAAGATTTTTTGAATTCCATCATCCGATACTTCACCATATGCTATACCGCGGAATTCTTCCGTGGTAGCTTCATACCACTCCTCGATCTGATCTTTCAGATTTTTTCGGTCTGATGGCGACCCATCACTCATGTATACAAGGTTTACAATATGGCCAATCAACAGCATCAAATAGTTTGCGAGGTGATCTTCCCTGGCTCTTGCGCCTGGTTTCGAAATGTTCCATCTTTTGGGGTCAAATTGAAGGGACTTCTCGTTGCTTAGAGCGATGGTGATCTCATGGCGCATATAAACGAAAAAGTTGGCTTTGTCTAATCCATGAGAGCTGGCTGAGATTCCCCGGGTGATGATCAAATTCATGGCACCTTTATAATGGGATTGGTGGGATGTTCGGGATGCCCCTAGAGCTTCATAGCTACTCAATAGCATAGCCGCAGTCAGCGCATCATTATCTGGCTCTTCACAGCGTAGCGCCGCAATCATAAAATTCAATGCCTAGAGATATTGGTTAGCAAGGGGACGTGAAGGCGGATTCAAGAGGTACGATGGAAGGTACTTCACCATAGTATCGGGAGGCGATCGGGAGCCAGACTTCGCCCGAGGCTAGGAGTGACAGATGGCGGGCTGTAAAGGCGCAAATGCAGTGGAGCAAGAGATCCGAGTGTAAAGCACGTCTAGTAACCACTCTTTCGTATGTTTTATCGAAATCGAAGACGTCCATCCATGTCGCTAAGCCGGCACGGAAGGTGTTGAGCAAGAAGACTACCTCATCGTTCAATTCAACCGATATACCAGTACTGACTAAAGTTAGATTCGATGACCGAGATGACAGGGGTGCCTCAGTGTCCAGATTGAATGGTGTTAAGGAGCGGGACAGCTCGCTTGCACTCCCGTTGGATGTAGCCGACGGCAGCAGGATCTTGGAGGTTGGCGCCGAATCGGATTCAGGCCTATCTCCGGGTGTTGAATTCATAGAAATCATGTTGCTCCATGCTGACTGGGTGATCAATTCGGACGGATGGCATTGGAGACCGAGTCGCTCACAATTTGAACACACTGGGGATTTTTCGTCGCACCGAGTGTGCCTGGCTTTGCAGGTCGCACTGCCTTTTGTCAGTAACATTCTGCAGCCTTATGGCGACTAAACCACGCCACTGACCACCCTGAGTTTGCCCGTCAATCAGCTCGTCATGATTCATCCCGTAAATGAAGGATCGCGAACCTGTCTTCTTCCGAGGGCCACCACGCCTACTGCGGCTTGTACGACCTCTACTTCTCGAATTCATCTTCTGCTTTGCCGGGTTCGCAGTCAAACTGGTTGTCTGCTCCTAGTTATGACAAAGAAGTATCGAGGCTCTGATTTGGCAGAGACGAGACGAGGCAGGGAATCTTCCCCGCTTCCCCAGGATCTACCTGACACCTCAGCCTGAGGTGTCTATCTCTTTTGATTCAACCTCTGATTTTCCCCTTTCGTGACAATCTTCATTACTAGAGGCCATTACCTTGTCTAAATATTGGCCAGTGATCGCATGAACTCCTCCCAACCCCCTTTTAATTGGGCCAGCCACTTGAAACAGTGGCACATATCCCCTTGACCAGGTTCATCGTCCAAAGTGCCGCGTGAAATCTAATCTTAGACTTAGGAGTCATCTCTTTTACGGTACTCTGGGGGATAGTAACGCGTCGACTTAAACGAAGAACGGGCATTACTGTCGACAAAGGGAGAATTTTCGGACGAACTGGAATCGACTCATACCCAAATGATGTGGATGAGTCTTGATCCATGGAAGAGGCGAAAAAGAAGTCAATATGAGCCGATAGGATCCATGTTTCAAGCAGCTGTCACGCCCGTCAGTGTGCATTTTCACATGGCTTTGATGCAACGAAGCTATTGCCCCGGTGTTACGATCCAAGTACTCCGGACAGAAGGAAACCAAGTTTATACTCGCCGATTGAGCTTTCACAAATGGGTAGTATGAGTATTGCATTTGTGCCTTGTTTGCCAGGAATGTAATTAGAGTGTGGGAAGTATAATCTTGATTCTGGTAGACGTGCGCTATATTAACCCCTTGATGGAGCTCTGAGCCCCATTGCCAATGAGCGATTTTGTCAACTGAATATTGATGCACAGGACGACCAGTTATGATTTGGAAGACCCTCTTGAGTTTTGTGGCCGTATTGGCACATACCTTCTCAGCTCTAGCTACTCCAACGCTCGACCTTGAGCGATCGAATCAATCAAGCGACAGATATGTCTTCGCTCATTTTATGGTAAGTCTCCCAGCACAAAAGGCCCATCAAAATCGGCAATTCCCTAAATAAATGTATACAGGTCGGCATAGTAGGAAACTACCAACTCGACGACTGGAAAGAAGACATGACAATCGCACAGTCTATCGGCATCGACGCATTTGCTCTTAACTGTGCAAGCATAGACAACTACACGCCAACCCAGCTAGCACTCGCCTACGAAGCGGCCGAGCAAGTAGGTTTCAAAGTCTTTATATCTTTCGACTTCGCCTATTGGAACAACGGCGACACGGCAAAAATCACCGAATACATGCGGCTGTACGCCGGCCACCCGGCGCAAATGCAGTATAGAGGAGGTGCGGTCGTGAGTACATTTGTCGGAGACAGTTTCAATTGGGATGCCGTGAGACAGGGCACGCCACATCCAATTTATGCTTTGCCGAATCTTCAAGATCCAGCGGAGGCGTCTACGGGTGCTGCTCGGAGTGCGGATGGGGCGTTTTCGTGGTTAGCTTGGCCGACGGATGGGGGAAATAGTATCATTCCTGGGCCGATGACGACAATTTGGGACGATCGATTCGTGCATTTCCTTGCTGGGAAGACTTATATGGCCCGTGAGAACTTCCTAATCTGGTCCTGGGTATCTGATCGTGTTATGAACTAACTTGACGACAGCCGTGTCACCCTGGTTCTCGACACATTTCAATGTCAAAAATTGGGTGTTTGTCTGCGAGAATCTGCCGACTCTGCGATGGGAGCAAATGCTGGCTCTTCAGCCAGACCTAGTAGAAATAATCTCGTGGAATGGTAAGCCAATGGGAGCTTTCATTTAAATTGTGGAGACTAACAAGTAAATACGGAGTAGATTATGGCGAATCCCACTACATCGGCCCATACTCGGCCCACCATAGCGACGACGGCTCTTCTCAGTGGGCAACTGGAATGCCCCACGATGCCTGGCGCAACCTGTTCAAACCATATATCGCAGCCTATAAATCCGGAGCCAAGACTCCTACCGTGGTAGCAGACGAACTAGTATATTGGTATCGACCAACCCCAAAGAATGTGTGGTGCAGGGGCGATTCTCTCTCTGCACCAATGGGCATCAGCATGCTCAGCGACAGCATCTTCGTCGCAACTATGTTGACAAGCCCGGCTGTGTTGACCGTGCAGAGTGGATACAACGCGCCCGTTAGCATTACTGTTCCAGCGGGGATCGTGACCTCAAATGTGAGCATGGGCATCGGTACTCCGTCTTTCACGGTGACTCGTGATGGACAGACGATTTTGAGTGGTCAAGGTGGACTGGATGTTAAGGATAGCTGCGTTCATTACAATTTCAATGTTTATGTTGGATCGATCACGAGTGGGATTTATGGTGAGAGTAACTCGACTGTGAGTGCTTAGACAGCTTTTGTCAGAGGATGAAATTGGCCGATGTCATTGTCGGGTATTTTCATGAGAAAATGTTAGTGCTCACTGCCCACAGTATGTTTTTCACTTAAGGCTTCGTGATAGTCCCCGTTGTGTATAACCTATAAATCCTTCGCATGAGCCTACTATGATAAAAAGGCACACAATTGAGCGGATGATTGTGCCCGGAATGATCGGCATAATTAGGGATAAAACTAAAGAGAGTTCTCGCTTAAGTGGAGTTCAGTACGGAGTAAGAATTTTCCAGTTGGTTCGCTAGAAACATCGTTATTCTATAAATAACCTTGGTAGATAGAGCGACTTGAACTTCAACTATGTACCTTGTCGATACAGTCCCCCCCCCCCCCCCCCCCCCCCCTCCCCCCATGGTGTCGTTCAATTATGGTGCATAGACAGCTCCGAAGAAAAGGAAAAGAGAGCTTGTCTTTTTAATAATGATATCTACAGGTAGTTTCATATAGTCTCTAATGTTATAACTGACACATAGCTCGGTAGTTGCCTGTATATTGGCAAAACACTAATGATATTAAATTCTATCAAAGACGTCTCGCAGAAGAAGGGTTGTCGCCCCTCTTCCTAGAAACCAAAAGGTGGCCACGTGAGGCTCATAGAGAACACAATAATAAGACACAAAAGCAGCCTGGAGAAATACTCGCAGGCATGGGAGTAGCGCCCAGCTGGAATGTTGGGTTGACTCAAATTTCAGCCATCAGAGCGGCACAGCGCTCGGCAGTGTCCTTGGTGCTAACGTAAGACATACCGGCGACATTGTTCAGACCAATCTCGGCGAGAGTCGAGCCTAAAAAGAAAATGTTAGAAGAAAATGATCTTGATCGAATATATCTGAACGTACCCTCGGAATCATAGGTTGGCCATCCCAGAGTGGTCAGTCCGCTCTGGGGATTAGCAATGAATGCGGCCCAAGCCGAACGCATCTTAGCCTGCAACTGGAGTTGGACATCAGACTCGGGAATGCCGGTGATCTCGGCAGATTCTCCGAAGATCATGTTGAACTCGACGCCGTGGTAGGCTCCACTAGTGGGGTAGAGACGGGTGTTATCCCAGTCGGCGTTGTATTGGAATCGCCAAACAGGGGTGCCACGGTCAGCTCGGTGTTCGGCTTCAAGGTTGGATGGGCAGAAGAAGGTTTGCATGTTGAAGTTATCCCATGCCTCGTCTGTCAAGATCGATCCCTGGGCGTAGCTGGAAACCTTGTAGAATCCTGCTTCATTGGCGCCGTGTCCGACCAAGTAGGGCTATTTAGGGAAAGGGGTTAGCAGCTACATCGGAATATCGAGTACGCCCAAAAGGCAGGAGAGTCTACTCACAATACGGGCGAATCTTCCCTGCTCCGAAAGAAGAGTGTAGTCCTCAAAGACGGTGCTGCCGTCGACAGTGGGCTGGAAAGCGGGAGCCTTTCTTGCGGGGTTGGTGACAGGAACCTTCACGGAACTAGCAGCGGTGAGAACGTCAGTGGCAGTCTGCTCTCTCATGCAGGGCAGGACATCTCCTGAAGACCCGCAGCCCAACTTCTCCGAGACAGTGTACCAGTGCTCTGATGCGGTTGTCTGGTTATTAGTGGGGAAGCTGAGGGCTGTGCCGGAGTGCGAGATGATGCCGGCGACGAGGGGATCGGTCTCGTGGGCGAAGGCCCAGTAATCAACAGAAGCACTGCCGCAGGACTGGCCAGAGATCACAATGCGGTCCGGGTCACCTCCGAAGCCCTTAATGTTTGCCTTGACCCACTCAACGGCCAGACGTTGGTCCATGAGACCAAGGTTAGGAGGGTTATTAGGGAGGCCAGGGAATCCAAAGATGTTCATACGGTAGTTGGCCGTCACAACGATTACATCCTCTGCGTCAGCGAAATCGCCTCCATAGTAGAAGGGGGTGTTGGTGGCACCGTTTGTCCATCCTGGGTCATGCATTAGAACCATGTGGGAAATTCAAGGCTCGAGATCATCCACAATGAAAGGGGTAAGTGAACACTTACTACCACCGTGGAAATGAACATAGACGGGCTTGAGCTGAGTTGATTTTTTGGACCACACATTCAGAGTCAAACAATCTTCACTCTGAGTGTCATTGTTAATAGCACCGAAAGCCTCAAAGATGCTGTCAAACTGTGCAGTCTTGTCGGGATAGTCGACCAACTTCGACACCGAGTACATGCAGTTGCTGTCGAGTGTTAATTCCAAGATGCAGCACAACCTGAAACTTTACTCACTTTCCCTAGATTGAGATTAGGTTAGAGTATTGCACTAGAGACGCACTTGCAGGGGTATGTGATGTCGTACATATTCCGAGGCGATCTGAACACCGTTGGGGGTGTTGAGCCGGGGCGGCGCGAATCGCAATTGGCCAACGGGGGCTGGGCGTAGGGGATCCCCAGCCACTCGGTGACTCCCGCGTTCTTCGCTTCGTGGCCCTCAATCACTGCATCCGACCCAACAAGGGCCTGTTGCGCAGCAGCAACCGCTGCAAAGGCTAAGAAAGTGGCCTTCATGTTCTCCTTTGTTCCGAAATACAGAGAAAAACGAAGGAAGGAAAGTGGGAGAGACCGGAGATTAAAAATCAATAGACGCCTCCAAGCTAACTAATATTGCGATAGGAGAGAACCAAGTGGGGCGTAACGCGTAGAAGCCAAACGGAGTTCTGCAAAGACGTTTTGTGAATCCATTCATGTCCATTCAGGTCCATTCAGGTCCACTATCGCGAGTTGTTTAGCCCCCAATGGGCTAAAATCTCAATCGCCAAGAGGGATCCTGCAATTCTTCGATCACACGAGGGGGGAGAGAGACTTCCCCTGTTCCACGATTCAATAAATGCACATAGTCAATAATATTTTCGATTCAATCACAACCGGACGATGCTAAGTAGAAAATGGTATTCTATGGCCAGACAATCGATGGGATCCCAGATAGGGGCCACTCACTTTTCGTTACCGCACTGGTGATGCTGCTGATTGCAGCCCTCTTCGTCGCTATTCGGTTGGCAACGAGGTATTATATGAAGAAGTTTGGCTGGGATGACTTCTTTCTTGTCATTGCTCTAGTGGCATCGACCATGACAACGGTTGCTATCAATCTAGGTAAGTCAAACGATCATCTGGGGGAAGCGGCGATCTTTTTTCCCCACCAGCTGATCTTCGATCTCCAGCGGTGGTGAATGGATATGGCAGACACAAGGCGGAGATGGGAGAAAATGCACAATTAGCTTTCAAGGTATGTGCGCGGATGGTATCTCTGGCTGTTTTCAAATTCTCACAGTCCGGCAGTGGTTTTTTGTTGCCCAAATCCCCTACAAAATTGCTCTTGGCTGTACGAAAGCCTCGATATTGCTTCTGTATATTCGAATCTTCATCACCAAAAATTTTCAACTTCTGGCAAAGGTGTGTCTGGGTGTCGTTGGCGCTTGGACAGTCGCATCAGTCCTCGTCACAGCTTTTCAGTGTACCCCAGTCGAGGCTTCTTGGAACAAAACGATCAAAGACAAACGATGCATCCATAAGAATGCCTGGTGGTATTCATTTGCCTCGATCAGCACTTTTACCGACATCGTGATCGCCATTCTCCCTATCAATCCGGTTCGGCAGTTGAAGCTGTCGAAGCGCAACCGCATTGGGTTGTATTTTGTTTTCGCAGTTGGAGGGTTGTATGTTTTCACCTCACTTGATTTGCCCCTTGAACTGACCAAAATCTAATCTGCGATGAATAGTGTTTGTGTCACTAGTATCATCCGAATGGTTGCGGTAACGAAAACATCCACTGCGCTAGATCAGAGCTGTGAGTATTTACCTTGAACCCCGCAAGGACTCACTGGACAGAGAACAATCGCTGACAAGGCGACACAGGGGACTTCATCCCCCGTTCAACCTGGACTCTCGTCGAATGTAATATGGGGATTATCTGCGCGTGTCTCCCTCTGATGCGCCGGCCACTAAACTATGTGTGTCCGTGGCTTTTCAGGGGCTCGACTCGGGGCGAGTCAGAAAAATTCAGCTATCCCACCATTGAGTTGAGAAGTACAAAACGCCAAATGCATCTCCACGAGAGTCAAAGCCAAGAAGACATCTTACGATCGCCGGTGCGAGGCGAAGCGGTTTCTGTCGAGGATCGAGATCCGTATAACATCTCCATTACGACAGAGATTCACCAGAACGATGCGAGTAGTGGGAACGAGAGCTTGAAGGGACCTGATGGCCCGGTCGGAAAGCCGGAAGCCCATTTGGGGGTGGGATGGGTCGAGAGAAAGCCCGAGTATTGATTTGGACTCTGCAAGATGTGATTTGGTTTTATTTTCATTGGCCACCGCTGCAGGGATACTGTTCAAGGGCTCTGCAAGACATCCCCAACCTCCCACTCCTTGGCTCCTTGGCTACCCAATCTGGTAGAAAAGAATTTATATAAAATTAAAAATAATAATGTGATGCAGCCTGAGGTATGAGCCCTTCTCTTAAACAATTCAAGATGCCTAGGGCTCCAGGGCTCTAGGGCTTCATTCCAGCTTAGATCTCCTTCCCAATGTTTTGTCACTCGAGTCGGTCGCGCGTTCGTCGATACGCTTGGGCTGAATGGGAGTTGTGGTGCCCCGATGACCCACCAAGGATTCACGGAGCAAAACATTGATCAACTCGTTCGACAATTGGAATAACAAAAAGGCCAGAGTCAAGGATGGAGATCGATCTGAGGAACCTTTATCGCCTATCTTCCTTCCTCTCTCTGTCGCCCCACAAACTTTCCGATTTACTTCGGTCTCGGTCTCCCTTCCTATGAGTGGAAATGAAGTGGTTTGCACGAGCTATTGTGAGCCTGAGCCAGGAGAGCTGCGGGTGATCAAAAGGTCCTCTCTACCTGAGCTATAATAGCCATAAAGTAGATGCTCTACATAGGTTCTCTTCAGTTGTCAATCTCTGGGCGGCAGGGAAGATGAATCTCCCTACACATTTGAGACAGTTGACGCCGATGCGCACGGACCATGTGCTCAGGTACGGCGGGAAAGCTTGGCAATATCTCACATCAACTGTAGTGTCATGATGCTTTTGGTGTAGTTATGCTACGATTGGACGGGATCTGTCAATTCAAGAGTTATACAGCATAGAAACACCTCAGATCAGTCATACGCTGGAAATAGTTGCAGTCTGTGTAGTATGGTGGAGGCACTTTGAATCCATCAAAGTTTCGATTTGCAAGCGTTGGAACCATCAAGATGTGTTACTGTTTTTGTGAACGAAAAGCCATTCATGAGAGGTGGTATTCTCAATTTAGCGAGTACAAGCTTTGGAATTGGGATAGGATGTCTCAATACACAATGACTTGGAGTGAGGCAGTCGTGCATGGATTGTCAAGAGGATGAGTAAACAGGGTCGCTAGTCCGGTAGGCCGAGAGCTAGAGAGGGAGTTGGGAAATTGCAATGTGTGAGTTCGTGACAGAAATGGTAACAAGTGGGGATAAATATAAGAATCTGGAGTGAAATCAGTAATCCTGGGAAGTTAGCCTAGTGTGTTTAGGTCCGGACGAATGTCTGTGCAATTAAGACCATAAACCGAATGACTTTAAATGCGACGATTGCCTGTGAGACGCGGCCATAAGGAGCATCCCAGTCAGGGGTGTGATTCCCCGACACTTCTTTTTTTTTTTACTTTTTTTTAAAAATCTTGGTTTTTTTTTTTTTTTCTTTCTACCTATTGCAATATACGGAGTACTGGTATAGCTTATACCGTATATCATCCAGTTTGATATATGTAAGTACCTTTTTGCAACCACGTACATTTACTTTGCTTACTTTAACACGCATCGTTGCCCAGGTGGAGTGTCTATCCCCAGACCTGCAGGTGTCTCCGCATCCCCGCTCCTTCCCCACCATTCGGAACCCCGTCCCAGCATCATTTGACGTGCTTTAACTGTCACTCTAATCGTACTTTTACCAATACCCGGTAACATACAGCCAAGACAAAAGAACTTCAACACATGCGCATTTTGTCATTCGCATCCACCAAGACTCTCTCACCTATGGAGTACAGTGTACTGAAACCAATTATCTATCGACCTACATCCAGCCGATTTGGCGTGCACGCTGGCGCTTGGGCGGCTATCACAATCCTGTTTGAAGGCAGTCTGTCACGCTAGCGAGAGTTTGAGTGAACTCAACTTGGGTCTCACAAGGGATCCTGGAAATCCATCTCAAACTTCTGGCGACAACTTGGAATTCTGCAGACATACCCGAGAGACTTACCGTGGTACAAGATGATCAAAGAGTGTGGTACGAATCACCTCGTCCAAGGTCTCGTCGGCTACTCACTCCGCACAGTCGTCTCGTCCACAGCAAGGTCCCGCGTTCATAAACAGAGTTTAGCCACCGGTAAAATGGCCTCCAACGCATTGACTACACGCCTCCATGAAATGAAGACTTAGAGAGAAGACATCACAAAGAACCCCCAAAGCATGTGTTTGCACAGGGCATTTTTTCGAATTGCCAGCTCTAAGTTTGATGAGTATACTTGCTTGCAGTTCCATACCGGGGGAGTTCATGTACGGCAATTTCGAGACTTATCTGAGTCCTTCACCCATCCCTTTGAAGTGGAGAACCACATCTCAGAATCCTTGGTTCTATTATCTGCGTCAGCAAGCTAAGAGACCTGGAGGCCAACGGCGGGGGGACTCACTGATATTTGCAAGTGGGGCTAAAGGTAGCACCCGCCCTAGAGCTGCCCGTCTTGCGGCTTGAGCCACCAGGATACTTATAGGATGGATAGAGGCGCTTGACCTCACAATTGTTCTTGTTACCAAATCCGGGGCCGCCACGGTCTTTGTCGTCACCCCGGCTCGCTCTTCAAGAGCCTCAAAGTCCGGATCAGCGTCTGCAACAGGTGTTGCTAGAGCTATATTGGCGGTAAGGGAAAGAATTACAGCAAGAATATAAGATGGTGACTTCATGTTGAAACGAAATGATCAAAATGTTGCGAATCTTGTAATATTTACATATACTGCGGCGGTCTTGGAGTACGAGCTACATCTACTCAATACGAAAATCTAAGTCTGAGAAGCTATCTAGAGATCTGTCTTGAATTCTGATATTCTTCTTATAGATCAGTGGTCATAATATCAACGCTCTAAGCGCAGTCGAGCAGAAATACTTTTGTAAATCAGAACTCCGGCCTTATCGACCTACGCCAAGACCTGCCAAGCCTTGCCGGGGGCGGGGCGATTAAGGTGCATAGCCCACGGTCTCCCCGGGCCGGGACCGGGAGCTGATCGCTATTGCTACCGGTGATATCCTCGCAACTGCTGTCACCGATTGAGATATACTATATCCAGGGAATGTATGCGTGTATCTCTCTGCTTTCGGGGTAGATAATAGGTATATCGGAGTATGAACAGCCTGGCAACGTCCACCGCTTGAGATGGGGGCGGTTTTTGTGTGTGGGGGGCGAGGAAGATCAGGGAAGGCTGGGAGGGATAGACAACAAATGGAACATGGCAGCAGCATGCTAAGTACGGATTAAAGGTATCAGAAACTCACATTACAGCATGTTCAATACGAACATCTGAAGTTGATACAATTCAAGTCCTGGGATGCCCAGCCAGGCACTGTCCGGGGCAGGACCTGGGGATAGGAAGCTGGCTCCACTTAAAGAGTTGCCCCTCCCGGGGTGCCTCGCTACGAAAAAGGGCATGTCGTTCCGAGCTACACGTCTTCGAAGTGGAGTAGAAGGATTGCGAGATATAAGAGTCAGCCCATGTCTCGAAACCCGCAGAAAACAACTCTGTATAAAATCCTCTTGAAAATGGAAGTCGCAATTATTGGCTCCGGCGTCATCGGCTTGTTGTCTGCTCTCACTCTCACCGATTCGGGATACAAAGTGACCATTGTTGCCCGGGATGTGTTAGGTGATGATAATCAAGACTGGGCGAGTCCTTGGTATGTACATTGACTTTCCCTGGGCTATATTTCCCAGAATTTAAGAAAGAAGAAGACTAATTGATTTGACTCAGGGCTGGTGCGGCGATTTTCCCCCATCCCGATGTCAAAGGCCGGGATCTGCAGGTGGAGACGTTCAAATATTTCTGGGCGCTGGCGCACAGGGATCCTACAAGTGGTGTACAGGTGAGTCTCACACTGATCAATTCTCGTTCCTGCAAACCAAGTCTCATCCATCTTCAGGTATTAAAAGCAAACGAATACTACGATGACCGAGACGACGACTCCACCATCTGGTACAAGACCCTTGTTCCTCGGTATCGGCGATTCTCCACAGAAGAGCTGCCCAAGGGCGCAAAGATGGGCTTTGAATTCCTCTCCATGACGGTCAACCCAGTATACTATCTCCCCTGGGTGAAAAAGGAGCTCGACCGTCGCGGCGTGCGATTTATCAAGAAAGAGGTTGAGTCCATCGAGGCCGCGAGACAAATCACCGGCTGTAAGGTTGTCGTCAATGCCTCAGGACTTGGTGCTTTCGAGCTTGCTGGTGATAAGGATGTGATCCCCGTTCGTGGCCAGACGATGTTTATCGACACGGATATCGATTTCCTTACGATGTGGCAGGGCTCGCACTACACTTATGTCATTCCACGGATGTACTCCGGTGGTGCGATTGTTGGAGGTGTGAGTCAGTCGGGAAATACGGATCGGGCTGTTGATGAGGAGCTGCGGCCGGATATTATGCGTCGGGCGAAGATGCTGCTCCAGGGATCTGCTGATGCATTGGACCCGAAGAAGGTGAAGGAAGATATTGTTGCGTTCCGGCCTTACAGGAAAGGAGGGTATCGTTTGGAAGCCGAGGGAGATGTTGTACACGCATACGGATTTGGTAGCTTGGGATATACGTATTGCTTTGGGGCTGCCGAGAAAGTCCGGGATTTGGTCAAGTCCTTGGATAAACCATCCAGACCAAGCCGACTTTGATTGAACGTGAAAATGGCCTGGTGTTAAGACTCAATAACCAGAATGAATTTGATGCCGAGACTGGGACTTCTAAACAATATTCTATCGACTCCTCAACCCCAATCTACATATACACTGGATACACACACAAGCATAGGTCAATCCATCAGTAAGTTGGCGCCGAAAGAGGAACGACAGGCTTATCCTACTGTGTCGAATTGCCTCAAATCACAAATTGATCGATATTCATTCATTGTGCAACACTAGGAAGTAAATCAAACACCAGCATGTCCAGATTATGAACATGCAAGAAGACACACCAAACGAACCCCCCCCCCAAACAGACTCCAAGGACAACGCAGCCAGATGAATGGATCGCTTCTGATGAACACTGGCGTTGATGACTATGCAATTACTTACGGTAGATAGCTGGAAATACGGAAGCCGTTCTGTTTCTAAGCCGTCGAACCAGGAGCACCGGCTCCGTGTCCAGTATCCTGACTGCCAGAGGCACGGCGGTGGAACGAGTGTGCTCCGAATTGGAAGACTTTCTTCACAGCATTGGTGATGCTGTTCTTCCTCCTACCCTGTGGTGGTGCCTCCTCGGAGGGCTCGGGCTTCTTGGGCACAGAGGCATCGTCAGCAAGAACGATCGACGTCACAGCTGGCTTTGGCGGCCACTGTCCGTCTGCTTTCCAGCCCTGGACCATGGCCTTGGTCAAATGGGCGAGGTTGACGGGTACGGTGGGTGTCATCCCTTGCACAACAACCTTCGTGTAGATTGAAGGGTAAATCGCAGTGTTGATCGTTGCACGAACCGGGTTGTCATTCGAAATGAAGGGGGAGCAACGGGGATGAGTGGCTCATCAAGCTCATCTTCTTCCTTCTCCTCTTCTGTTTGGTCCTCCACTGCCGAGAGAGTTGTAAGTCGCGTAGGATCGACTGCGGCTGATTTGCGATTCGGCTCTGTGATGTTGGTTTCCGACGAAGCCTTCCGTTTCGCTTCCTCCTCTGGTGCGGTAGATAGCGATTCCTCTTGGTCGGCCTGCTGTCCCGAAGTCATGTCCGCTCGGTGCTGGAGGCTCTCACTCTTCCCCCGGTCGGCGATAGAGAGGGATGTCTCAGTCTGAACAGCCAAGTCGGAGGCACCAGTGCCATCACTGCGTCGACCAGATGCAGTTCCAGACAAGGATGTTCCAGGCGATATCACGCCACTGTCTTCCGATTCCGTGCCATTGAGCTGGGCGGTTGTGTCCATCTGTTCACCGATCGCACGCTTTTCATTCTCCGCCCGAATCTGTCGCCGGGTCTTCGCGCCACACCACGCATCGCGCCTGGCCATCCACAAGCGAAGTCCTTCGTTCCAAGCCATTTCATCGTCCTGCTGGCGACGGCGTTTGCGACGGCGCTCGATGCCCGCATCTCCAGAAGGGGGTGTCATTACTGCCGACGTGTGATAATCATCCTCGCTGTCTGAGTTTGGTGGCTCGAGCTCTGAGGTCGGCATGTCGAATTCTCGGACTCGCCATTCGCACACTTCGCGGTTGTGACAAAGAGTGCCGCTGGCTGAGGATGGGGATGGGACACCAGTCTCAAAATCCCAGTCATTGCGAACGACTTCCTTGACAAAGAGTTTGGCCTCACGAACTGAGGCGTCACGCGACCCTGTGGCCATCATTTTCGCGATCTCGTCTGGGTGAATGTGGGGGAATTCTCTCGGCGGGTGGGAAAGTGGGGAGCTTTGTAGCAAGGTTTTCTTGCCTCGCCCGTGCGCTGCCGGTCTGATCAACCGATCCACAGTACGGAGTAATCGATGCGGATTTGGAACAAAGGAGATAACAAATCAAGGAAAGTGGAAGATCCTCAGGATGATCACAGTGGCGGGATGATCAGACTCAATGTCATCTGGCACGTGCCCTGATGCGGAGATACAAGCCTTGACTCTCCGCCTTTGGCAGTCAGACCATCTGCATTGTCACCGCCCATCATTCTGGACATCATAGCCGAGACACCAGCGTATCGGCTTTGGATGTGTCGAATTTGGAATTCCAATATTCGCTGATGCGATGCGAACCTTCGAAATGTTGAGATTCAAGATCAACAAGGTGGTGCCATTTCACTAAGAAGATGGGGTTCTAAGACCACCTCTGTTTTAAGCCCATCTTCCAGGGCTGAACATTCTGGTACCTGCTTACGTATAACCTCATCTGAAGCTTCTTTTGCCTAAGGGGCAGATCAATAGTTCCGGATCCCCGAGGCCATGTTAGTGCCAATGCTCTGTCAGTGAGCATATATCTTCCGGGACTGGCCAAACTATATCCTAAGATGCTGTCCTCTGCACTGTCTTTCCCGGATGTCTGCTCCATGGTCTCCGGATGAAAAATCGGATTGTCAGTACAAAGTACGGAGTAGACCTGGGGTTGAGGGGGATGTGGCAACACACGGACCTCCAGTCAACAAAGAAGCACTGTCACTTACAGGCGATCCGAGCGTTGCGTGTAATGTACATCACCATTCCTGTCTCCAATCTTCTCCTTCCTGCTCTAGAACAAAGCTTCGATCTCCCGTAGCCATCACATAAAAACCAAGTCGTACATCGGCGTTCCCTACTAGCATACAAGTTGAATGATTGTATTGAGGATTTACATTCGCTACCGTGTGGCGGTATAGGTCGAGCGTAGGAACCGGCACTAGCACCTATACCGGAGCTTTTATAGCTGCCTATATTATTAGAACCCAGGTCCCCTGGTTTTCTGCCGGCCTTATCGCCTCAGCTACCACGGTCCCATAACATAGATGTGCCAACCCTTGGGGCTATGTCCGCGACCTGTTTGCGATTGAGGAAGGGTATGATCAGCTCACGAAAGTTGGTAATGCTCAACCACTATTTTGTCTTTCCGGGGACCTATGGGCTGAGTTATTTGTACGAAGAATTCGTATTCTCCTTCTTATTTATCGATTCTTCGCTAACTTTCTACGAGGATTCCTAACGGGAAATGGAGGATAGACCTCCGCAACAGCCCACAAAGCTCAAGGCCCAACCCGCCCCAACCCACAAATGGGCTGGGCTTTGGGCCTGTTCCCTGGGCCCATCGAGGGGCTATGGGCCTAGGGTAGAAGCCCACTGGGATTTTATGGGGCCTTATGGGCCCCCACTACTAATGGGCCGTGGGCTTAGTTGGGCTTCGAAGGTAGGGTCCAACCAATCTGATTATGCAGACCATGATTGAGAAGAAACTTGCCCTTGATCCCGCCTACATGATGGAGGATCCAGAGGACTTGAGGATGAACCACATCGTTTCGTGAGTAACCCGCCCTTCGTCAGTCCGGAGCATGCAGCTAACATACTTGCAGTCTGGAGGCTTGTTTTGTCAGTGCTCGAACGGGCGCCGAGCGCTTCAAAGCTGCGCTAGACCGTGCGGCAGATATTGTCAAGACTATTATTCAGACTGGCCAGGCATAAAGGATTTGGATGGGATTGTAATCCCGGTACGGGAAAATGTGGACATGAACTGAAAACTTATGACAAGTATCGTTCAGGATGAGGCCTACACCGACTGGCGTCTTCCGAGGCATACCGGTGTGTTATATCCAAAGGGTGATATATTTTTAATATTACTTTTATCTGTGGCTCCTAATTCTAGTATAACAACTCCTAATACTCGAGGGCTTTATTCTCTCTTATTCTATAAGGCAATCATAACCTGGTTGATATTCAATTATATCGTTTCTATAGTATCAAACTGTGTTAGTAGTGCAGACTCTATAGATTTATTCACCCATACCTATCCACTGACATACAACCTCATACCCATGTCCTAGTGTGTTTTATATTGGCATTTGCACATTGGTACCAACCGAAGCTACCTAGGTACCTATACATGATAATGCGGGTAATCTTGAGGACAACTAAATAAGAATCAAGATAATCAACATTCTCCAAAAATGCCTCATCTACTACTACTTTATTGTGACACATATGCGCAGAGATTCGCCTCCGATCAGCTTCTATGCTTTACCCCCACTAACCTCCTTCAGGACAACCGTCCATTCAAGTTCATCCAGACTGTCTGCATGAACCGAGGCCTGCACAGCGATAGCCCTTTTCAACGGCGCCATACTACAAGCATACAGCATGCACAGCTGCCAATGTAAGTCAGCACTCTGTGACACGAACAAACACGATCTAGAAGACAATCTTACCTTGAGAGGCGCATGACAAGGGCCCCAATGAATAAAGACGATCTTGGATCTGCACAAATAGAGTTAGAAATCTAATATTCCGCCCTAATTGACATAAAGAATCTCTTACCGTTTACCTTCGCTGCCAAGGTCATACTCCATGTCGTAGACGGCATACCGCGGGGCCAGGTTCCCATCTTTGTCGACTGCACTGGTCAGTTTCTGGCATAGGACCTTGTAGTCAGTCTCGGTAGAAGATTCCTCGACTATAATACGCTGGTTATCGTCGGAGATCTTGTAGATGATGAAATTGGGTTTGGTGGCTTTAGGTCCTGATCGGAGCTCGTTGAATGCATCGATGCATTCATCTGCAATAGAGACACTGGTATAGGTTAGTTGAAATATTTCATGATCGTTTTTTTCTTGGGCTGGAGACACACCCCGACGGGTTCTGCAGAAAGTAAGAGGTTAGCACTTGGTGATCTGCGTATACTAGGGAGGATGTACATACCGACATGTTCAAGTCTAGCAGTTACCAAAACTAAAAGAGAAGAAGGTATGGCAGAAAATAAGAAGCAACTCTAGTATATTTATCTCTTTTTATCCTTCATTCTAGGTGTTTCTTTATATGCTGCCTGACTAGGCTGATGAATTCTACAAAAATATGTAATAGGCAGAATATCTTATGAGGGTAAAACTAGGAGCCTGGTAGAAGTGCAACGCTACGAAAAAAATCATATCTGCCTGCAGTTATACCAAATAAAGAATCGCTGGGACAGAAGACTAAAGCTATGTAGTAACCGGGGGTAACAAAGAACTGAACACTGTTAGGCAGGTTGAAGGAACAAAGATGCAATTAGTAAAAGAGAGAAGCGAGCAAACTCTACTGCTCAAATGGTAGCAGTATATACGTTTCAATAATGGTACAGGTCTATCATATCGCTAAAATTACATATAGGGAAACCCCCAATTTCCTCCAATCCGCAGGAAATAACCCGGTATACAAGGTCTTGAAACAAAAAACACAAGACTAAAAAACAATCATGTCCGGACACGTGCGGAATCAACCGAAGCTTCACCACTGGGACCAGGAATGAATCCCCAGCCAGGGCTTTTTTGGCGACGACCTTTCCTGTCACCATACTGCTCGTCGAACTTCCGAATGGCCGACAACGAAGACATGTCTTCACTGATGGAGGCGCTTATCTCTTCCATTCCCCGTTCGAAGTGCGTACGCGTCAGAACACGACGCTCCGGGTAGCTGTACGGCTCGTCACCGGTGTGCTTGGCTGCTGCCTCGTTCTCTTCCCGAACACAGGCCAGTGCAGCCGCGACCGATAAGTTCTTCAGATCGGAACCAGAATACAGTGGCGTGCGTCGGGCTAGTTCAGCGAGGTCGACGGCGTCGTCGAGCTGCTCCTCTTTCAGGTGGATCTTCAAGACTGCGTGGCGGTCTTCTTCGGTCGGCAGATCGACGAGTAGGCGGCGGGGAAGACGGCGGAGGACAGCATCGTCCAGATCGAAGGGTCGGTTGGTGGCAACCATGATGAATGCTGAAAGGTCGTTCATTCCGTCCCACTCGCGCAGGAACTGGTTGATCAGTTCGCGATGGGAGGTGCGGCTGCTGGCTCCGGTGCGGGAGCAGAAGATAGCATCCGCTTCGTCGATGAAGACGACGCAGGGACTGAGCTTCTTGGCGAGGGTGAAGATCGCTTTCACGTTCTTCTCGCCTTCGCCGACGTACATGTCGTACACCTCAGACCCGCTAACCTCGAGAACGGTTGCGCCGCTTTCACGGGCTACTGCTTTGGCGAGGAGCGTTTTACCAGTTCCGGGAGGTCCATACAGGAGAAGACCAGGAATCTTGTCGGTGGCGAGGACGCCATATGTGAATGCCTCGGGGCGGATGAGTGAGAGCGAGGTCAGGGTCTTCAGGGCATCAATGGTCTCGGGAGGCACATGCACATCATTAAATGTGGTGCGGATGCTCTTGGCGTCAACGACACCATTAAGCAGCTTCTTCTCGTGCGTGTTGCAGGTTTTGCGCAGAGAGCTTATCAGCTGCTCGCGAGTTTGCCCAGCCTCTGAGTCTTTCTGCTTGGGAGACTTCTCTTTCAGCCATTCATTGGTGACTCGGTCGCTTCTGTCCATCAGCTCAATTCCTCGTCGGATGTGCTCAAAGCCAAGGGGCTCGGTAGCTTCTGCGCATCCAAGTGCAAGAGTCGCGATCCAGTGCACTTGGTTATATGACCAATAGCGGTCCTCGATTCCGGATTCCTTGATACTTGAAGGCTCCAGCGGCCAAGCGCGATCGCTCAGAATATTATCTTTCACGGGCAAAGCTTGTTCGTGTAGTCGGAACCGAATCATGCTCTGCAGGTGACGGATGTTGATATCCATGGTGCGCTTCTTTCGGTCCTCCATGAATACCTTTTCTGCGGCCTTCGAGCTCATCGCCGGGGTGATGATCAAGGTCTTGGAGAATTGGTCATCAAGAACATTTTGCAGAAGACCAGCACCATCTTGCGAGGACGAGTGATGAATTTCTTGCGAGGTAGTTCCGATCAACAAAATCTTGGATCCTTCCGCTCTCCGGTCTTGGATAACTTTGTGCAGGAGTGAAATGAATTTCGAACCCTCTCGGGTGTTTTGAATGTCACGATAGTCCTGTATGTGCATAATGATATCACGAGCTGGTAAAGACTTGCTGATGTTCGGTTCGGCCTTTTCTGTTGACTCTTTGGGAATTGGCAACGATAGTTGACTAGGTGATCCAAGAAGCTCGTTCACTAATTGAATCCATCGATTCTCCGCGCGTGTACCACTTCGTGAAGCTCCGACTCCAGGATCCGCGTCTATCTGACCATTGATCGACCCTCCCAGGAGAGTCTTCAGTCCAAGCCAGTTGGGGAGGGGGATGTCACCCGCCTCTTTGCTGCTCTCAATTGTGATAAATCGAGGTGGGCCAACATCACCGCGCATACCTCGGGGGGCACCAGTAATTTCAGTCACGTCATCCTCTCCGTCTCCCTCGGGGTCTTCAATTTCGGACCATGAGGGCGTGACGGAAGTTCTATATACATCATAGCCGAGGGATCGAATGGGCGATGTTACCCCGACGTCTGCGAGATCTTGCTCGCTGAACAATTGTGCGATGTCTTGGGCATTCAGGGTTACCAGATCGGCACCCAACTCGTGGGCAAGCTTTTTCACCACCGCGTCTAGGAATGGTATGCCATCATTTCCAGGGTAGTGCAGAGCCAGATGCGATTTCTTCACCGATGGCTCCTTGGCATATTTTGCAGCTGGTAACCGCAAGCCTGCCTTGACAGACGCCCGTAGCTCTTCCCATGTTTCCTCGGCCACCGTGTACCGATTCTCATCTCTTGATTCCGATGACTCAGTGGATGTAGAGGGATCAGAATCTCCTCCGGACGCCAGACTCTCGGCCTGAGTCTCCTCCAATCCCCGTTGTAACCCTGATTTCGCTATCCTGACCTGTTGTAGCGATTGAATAGCACGGTCTTCACGGCCGTGGGATAACATATTGTGTTCATAAAACCATGCCGGAACGGTTGCCGTTGATTTAGCCGCCTGCTGCGATGATCTTCGGTTTCGCATAGCTCTGCGTACAGCAGACCCGTAGGTTTTGGTGATTGGCTTGGCCGCCTCGGGGGAGGGAGATGACGCCGGCGGGCCATTGTCTGAAGTATTTTCGGTTTTGAGGGAAGGTTCTTCTACGACATTTCCTGGCACGGCGTTATCGGCGTCGTGCGGGTCTTGAGACGGTGATGCGAACCATGTTCGTGACAAGTGGAATCGTCGTGCGGATAGCGGTGCGGAATAATGTCGGCGAGCGACGAATCGACAAGGGCGTGCAACGGACAGCCGGGCCTGTTGCATTGACGAATACATCCGGGACAGTATCACCGGAACTTTATGTGATATCGCCGAAAGTAGATATATGCCTCCAACTCGAGTGGCGTAGCGTCCCTATCGGTCCCTGCGAAGGAGAAATGCTCAATCACGTGACTGGATATCTTCTACAATGCGTCAATGGAGTTCACCTCTCGATGTTCGTATATTCTAATCGCCAAAATGTTAATTGGGTTTCTCTGTTTACCAGATGACTCAATATCTGATGATAAAAGAAATGGGCGCATATGCATTGGCGATGGAACCTCTCTGTTGCCCCTAAATCCCCTACAGATGTGTATGCTACATATTCAGTGGTATACAACCCTCCAAAATGACAAAGTTGACAATTTCAAAGGACCCGAGCTTTCAAGTCAAATTCCTCAGCCCGCCTTTAACTTGGACCTAAATACCGCACAGCATTACAACCCTCGTCCATAGTATCTATTGGGTAATCAAGGACCCTCGACCAGAACTGTTCATTTCGCTCAGCCGAGTGGCCCCAAGAAAAGCCACGGCAAGCCATTCCACAGTATCGGGATGTATTCGATTATCCCATATACAGCAGCTGTGCTCGTCCAGCCAAAGCATCTTGATCAGGCCCGTTTCAATAGCCTCGCGGTCCAGTAGGTATACCACGACCTGAAACTCTAGCTCTTTGAGGGCTAAGGATCTGTCTTCCTCATTCTCTAGCTCCTCACATTGGGCCCGGACCTCATCAATATTCTGGCACGACCGGTATTCGAGGAAACCTCTTTCTTCATCAATACCCATCAAGTCCGTGATACCTGGTACTCGGGTGAGGACCTGGCGCCAATGATCTGGCGTCCCATCGTCAAAGGCGTAGCGGCTACTATCGTCGAGATACCGATTAGAACCTATGTCAGCCTCGATCGTGCCCTCGGCCTTCATGTCTTCGTATTTTTCGCTTAAGTCCTTATCGTAGCAAGTCCGAAGCCAGACTGTCTGCATGCTACCTGCTTGACTTGCGCAAATATTTCGCTCGTGGATTGACTGGTGAGTATTCAAAATTTCGATCTGCTCCTCTGTAAAACCAGAGGAGTTTATCTGAGCAAGGACCATATGTGCTCTATCATGATAGCTCTGATTGAAGATCAGTATAAAGTCGCAGGATAGTAAACGGGTGGGAAGCCAGACAAATCGAGCGATAAGCGACAACTCTTGGTATTTCCAGGCTAGTTGCTCCCATTTCTGAGGGCTCTCCTTTATTCCCTCGGGCCAATGTTCCTGTTTATCATTAGTTGATATAAAGCCTGCTTGTGGGGGAGGGAGTGGGCATACGATCACATAGTAATCAAATGGCAAGGCACCGTACTGGGCTTCGTCCTCCAAGTCTTCCATTGTGAAAACTACCTTGCCGGTAAATCTTTTGGCCAAACAAGAGTATATCTCAAGGTAAATGAGTGTGTAACGCGGATTAAAGGAAAAGGACGAACCTCGCGCTAATGAGTTCCAAGTTCTAACGCGGGCAAGTCTTGGCAGTATAATGTCGCTTGGTTGAAAGATGCTGGACCTCGACCACTGCATGTGGAGGCTTGTTGGTCGAATTGAACCCTCTATAAAAGCTAGGTGCGAAGGACAGTTTTCCGGGTTCCTAGGGCTTCGACTTCTATTTGGCTCGAAGTTTAGGACTTTGGTAATGCAGCTTCGTAGGCTCCTGCGCCAAGGGCTTCCAGGAGCTCATCGGAGTTTTGCCATCAATAGTTTGTCTTCGGCTTACAGGTTATCTTGAAAAATGTAGCAATGGCGAGCAAGACATGGACATTATACGCTCAGGCAAGCCTTCGGCTCGCGCGCTCATGGACCGGGTAAGATTCAAGTGATGTACTATATGATTGTGGAATCGGTTACATATAATGATGGAGTCAGGGCTTGTGACAGTGTGAACAGAATCAACTAAGAGCTTGTAAGTTCACCCATGTACTTGATGACCTAGGTATCTATGTATATAAATAATTCAAGATACTTCCGTCTAAAATCTGTTGCATCCTAGACTCTCTGTGTTGTTGATAGCCAGAGGCGTCATAGTGCCAAAGTACCTAATAAGCTTCTCACTTGGATATGAAAAAGTACAGGGCATCGTACTGTCTCTTTTGACTCGTTTGGAAACATGACCTCAAAACACTCATAGCTCTAGCAACAAGAGGAGAATACCTAGATTAGGTTAACATATGTGGCACTACGGAAACACTTCACTTGGGCGTTCGTAGCTCGCCTACCTGTGATTAGAGCCATACTGAGTATTTGACCAATGGGAGTTTCCACTAGACCAACAGCCTCAAAAGGCAGGTTCAATCGGGTGCAATCAAGCTGTGCGAAGTGAATGACAGGGTGTGCCAGCAGATTGGTTCCATATATTACATGTACGTTACGATGTTGACGATGAAAGAGACAGATATTGAAGAAAAAATTTCTTTGTATTCAGTATGAAGTATCCCACAGCTATGTATCCCGGTAACACACAATTGTAATGGCGAATTGATCATCAGAAGGAAGGCAACGGAAATCTCTACACGGTTTTGCGCATTCAGAACAGGTCTGTGAGTTTACATCCGAAAATTTTTCATCACTTGATCAATTGGCCATTACAACGAGCAAAAGCGCATTGCGTATCAGGATTCGTGTTTTATAATCTAGACTGAGAGCGATATTAGCGAAAGCTCAAAACAAGACATGATAAAGATGCATTGCAATAGAAGTGTTCTCAGACAAGATATACTGGCAAGTAGCAGACCGACCGGGAAGGAAGGTCCGAATTGTCTCCGCATTGTCGATTTGGAGGGTAAAGAAGTAAAAGGTTTTGTCATCCTTGAACGGATCGGAATTGCAAATGCAGACAAGGAGCAGGGGGATAGGATCTAAACTCACGTTAAGCATTATGTGCTCGCACCTGACCTATCAGGTTAGTGGGGAGATCGAAGCATCGTAAGTTGCTATTGGAATCACGTCATGCTACCGTTGGGAGTCAGGTGCGCTCAGCATCATGAGAGCATCTGAACCCCAACGGGCATAGAGCCATAAAGCCAAATGCAGATAGATTATCAATGAGGGCTGTGAGTAGCCATTGTTGTAGGCTTCACAGATGCCCAAGAAAAAGGGAGATACACGCCGGAGTGTGAAAAAGAGAAGGAATGAACAATCCGACTAGTCTTCACAGGCGTGCACCATAGAATGGAAGAATGAAAGACAAAGAAGAAGATGAAGAGAAGGAAAGAAAAAAAAAAGTTGTGAAGAAAAGGACGCGAAACCGCCCACGTGACCTCCCCATTGGGGATAGCGCGTGATTGGAATCAGAACAGAAGAGGAGCGAAGGAAAAAAAGCCTCAACAGAGGGAGATATCGTGTGGAAGATGGAGCTTATACTTTAAATCTCTACACCATCCCCTATCTTATTGTAGCCCTCTCTCTTTTTCTACTATTCTCTTGATTGATCGCGTTGTCGTCTCGGTTAGATCCTCCACCTACGGACCCGGATCCTCCGTCCCCAGTTCCTCTCTCCCACCGGGCGATCATCCTTAATTCATGACTTGGCCGCTCGCAACACCTTTAGCCCCTAATATCTGAATCCTTAAGAGAATATTTGATACTTGTGAGTGGTGTCTGTATGGTATTTTGAATGCCGCTTGGAGCCCAGCCCCTCCACGCTGGTTGCTCCCCTAACTACCTGCCCCGTCACTTTTAGTCTTCACCCCGACATCTTCTCTCTTATCAAACCCCCCACTGACACCACCTGTTCTTTCTCAGAAAGAAAAGATTCATCGCGTGGGTGAGTGACTTGGCCAGGAGGCCCCCGATCGACATTTCAGCATCTCGCGTCTGCTGAATACCGGTCCAAGTCGCTCGCTACGTCTTGGCCCACCCCGAACGCTAAAAGCGGCCTGTTGTCTTCCACTCCAGTCGCGTTCCTCGCCACGTTTCTCACATCACCTGTTTGACATCGCGAGAGATCACTTTGAAGTCTCCCATCTGTGGTGACTTCGTCGCTTAGCAATGATGATGACGCAGCCGTTCCCTGCCCACCAAGGCATGCCGCAGCATGGGTTTCCCCCGGCCACCCAATGGCTGCGCAACACCCAAATGGACATCCAGGAGCTGGAATGGTACAGCAAATGCACCCTGGTGTATCTGCACCAGGAGGACCTCAGGTTAGCCAAGCGGGCCCGATGATGGGTGGCATGCCCCCGGGCGCTGGGACAGCTGGTCCTGGTGGCCCCGGCCCAAATGCTCATGCTATGTCCCACCTGAATCCCGCGCAGGCGCATATGCTTCAGGGCCCTCAATTCCAGCAAAATTGTTAGTATACAACCCTTTATTTTCTGGATGGAATAGATTGCGAGGTTTTATGCGAACGGGACATGCGATCGTCGCACTCTGCGGCGATGAATCTCCCCCACTGTACCCGGATCTCTCCCAGCCGTCGTATGCGATCGAATACTAACATCCTTGATCAATATATAGTCGCAAACAATCCCCATCTATTACATCAGCACCAACAACAACAACAGCAACAGCAATTAATGCGGCAACGAATGATGCTTCACCAGCAGCAGCAGCAGCAACAACAACATCATCAGCAGCAGCAACAGCAGCAACAGCAACAGCAACAGCATGGCCTCCCCGTGTCAATGCCGAATGGTACACAAGGACTCAATGCGGCTCAATTGGCTGCAATGCAGGCGAATCCTGGAATGCGACCAGTCAACATGGTGCATCTTCAGCAACAAATGCAACATGGCCAGCCGCCAAGTCTCCAGCAGCAGCAACAATTCTACGCTATTCAGCAAGCACAGCAGCAGGCCCAGCAGGCCCAGCAAGCCCAACACGCTCAACAACAGGCAAATAATGGACAATCAGGCCAGCATACCCCACAACGAGCATCGGCACAACCACCAAATATGCACGAACAAAGTGCTACGCCACAGTCGCAGCATGGTGGACCGCCGCCAGGAAGCGGCACGCCACAACCTTCTCAACCTCCTCAACCACCTTCTACGCAACCTCAGCAATCGCAGGGCCCACCACAAGGCCAAGCAACCCCTAATCCTCCGTCGCAGCAATTACCGCAACCTCAGCAGCCAGGTCAACAGGGACAAGCTGGCCAACAGCAGCAACCACCACAGACTGCGCAGGGCCAACCAGGCCAGCAGCCAGTTCCAAATCAACAGATGACGCCGCAAGAGGCTCAACTGAAAGCACAGCAGCACCAGAACGCTCTCATGATGCAGCAGCAACAGCAGCAGCAACAGCAACAGCAAAGAAAGACCAACGCAATTCTAGCACTTCATGCCTACTCCGAGCATCTTGGCAACTTTCAGTCTCGCAATGAAGCACAGGATCTTCAATATTGGCAAATGTTCGTCGAGCGCTTCTATTCCCCCGGCGGTGTGTTGCGGCAGGGTGTCTGGAACAACTCAAGTGGTTCTAAACAATTTGAAATTGCGACTCCTGCACTGGCACGGTATTACTTGACTCAGTTCACCAGTGGAATCAATCAAATTCAAATGATGGTGGAAGGTACTCGTGAGCGGGAATCTCCCAATGGAGGTCATTGCGTCGAAGCATCCAAATGTTCATTCATTTATTGGTTCAAGAATGAGTGCCAGGTAAATCGCCCGTTACATAACATTTATTCTGCCGCCTTGCTAATACGCCTCGTTTTCTTCCTGTATAGCTCTTTACGAACGGCACACTGCGCGCACATTTCGACATGAACAACAAACTGGAGATGCTTGATCTTAATGTTATCAGCCACAATGAGTTCATTCCGCGGTCTTTATTATTGTCCATGGAGGCGGATTCTCAGAAGCAAAGCCCTAAGGTTCCAAAGAACTCAAAACGTGCCCAGTCAAAGCCGGCACCATCATTAGCGTTGCCCGAATCTATGGTCACTGCCATGGGCGTGCCTACTGCAGTCATGAGTTTCATGGAGGTAGCTGAGACAATTGCCACGATGCAAATGTTGTTCCAATATTCTCAAACAAACCCGCAGCTGTCGCCCCCAGATGCTTTGCGAAATCTCGTCGGCGGTCTCCATGTGCAAAACCCCAATAATCCTGGTTTCGCGTCAACCCCCATGCCCATGAATCCAGGTATGAACCCAGGCATGAACCCGGGTATGAATCCCGGAATGAATCCAAACATGAACCCGGGCATGAACCCAAATATGGGCATGAATCCGGGTATGAATCCCGGAATGAGCCCGAATATGAACCCGGGTATGAATCCAAATATGAATATGGGCATGAATCCTGGGATGCAACCCATGCAGAATGTCCGAGGACATAGCATGGGGGCTCCATCCCAATTCGCCTCGCCAGCCATGGCGCATCTTGGTCTCCCTGGACAGCAAGGCTCGCCTCATCTGACTGGTTCAGCACATGCGAGCCCGGCCCAAAGCAATCTTGCAGGGCCCACAGGAATGCAACCGCCAATGCATCCGTCTCCCGCCGGCGTGAATAACAGTCCAAATGTAGGTGGCACCAAACGTCGCCGAGCGAGCACTGTCAAGATGGAATCCGAAGACGGTGGAGTCGAGGCTAACGGCGCTCCGCAGGGCTCAGCGAAAGTAAAGGCTAGCCCTCGGGTGCAGAAGCGACAAAAGGGCGCCGCCTAATTATGCTGGAAGTTTGTTTCCCTTCCACATTTGTCATGGGCCATGGAACTGGCGTACGACTGGATACCTAGGCGAGGCACATTGCGCTTCGTGTTTGTTAACCCTTTATTAGGGTGTTTTTATTCCCCCCTGAAAGATCTATCCTGCCTTTCGGCATATGACAACTCAATTCACAATCGACGGGATTTAATCGGTGCTTGCGGCCCCTCCCACCTGGCTTGGAAGTGGCATCAGGTCTCATCAATCCTGCTCAACTCCGACTTAATGTACTCTATTCTCCTTTCAGCGTTCCCTTAGTTGGTCCGGGATTACCGTCTGACTTTGCATGTTTACCATCTGTTTTCCGTTCGGTTTTCTTCCTGGTCCTTTTGCCATGTCTGGGATTTGACAATTTTTGGATTGGTCTTTGCCCAGGCTTTTGCCCATTCCTCGCTGTCTGTTTCTTTTTTTTCCTTCTCATGAACAGACATAACTATTGATATCCGTGTTTGGCGACTGATATGGCGTTCGGTTCTTTTTATATTTTCTTTGGGGACTGCGTCTGCGTGCATTGGGGTGTTCCATATTCCATTTGGCTTGACATCTCTCCCTCCGGGGCTTATTCTCTCTCTGCCGCTGTTTGACGAATCCATAAACACCTGCTTTCCAACCATTCCGATGCATTGTACTTGGTACGCTTGGAGATACGTAGAAATATGCCTCTCGGGCTGTCCATACAACAAAGATCAAACATGTATGAAGCATAAGTGCCAATGACATTGTTAATTTCCCGGGTATGACCGATGCTGTCTCCAGCAACTATAAATCTGCGAATCAGCGTCTCTGCAAAAGAACCGAAGAAATCTTCAAAAAACAAGCCGACCGGCGAACTCCGTTCGGCATCGGCCAACTGATTAAATCCAAGCTCGGCATTTGTTATCATATCAGTTCCCCACCGGACTCAGGACACTTGCCCCTCATCTTTACTTTCCTCTCCATCGCATTGATATTGGAATTTGCTGTATATTTATATATAATGGCGCACTCTCACTCCCACGATGCCGGCATCGATCACACCCACGATGATCCCTTCAACGGCCACGGCCACTCACACGATATCCTCGATGGCCCTGGCTCCTACGTCAACCGCGAGATGCCTTTGATCGAGGGCCGGGACTGGAAGGATCGTGCCTTCACGATTGGTATCGGCGGGTATGTATACATCTGTTCCAGCCCAGCGTCCCCATACGTATTCAGATCCCCACCCATAAATGAATAACCAGCCACTAACATGCGAGTTCATGCACACAGACCCGTAGGATCCGGCAAAACAGCCCTGATGCTAGCGCTATCTCGCGCCCTTCGAGACGAGTATAACATCGCCGCAGTGACGAACGATATCTTCACGAAGTAAGGGAAATCTTCCCAACCCCGCAAACTCCCCCGCATCAGACGCGATCGGGCTGATATACATGTCTATATACGCTCTGCAAGTTCGAGACTAACCATCCCGAACGAAACAGAGAAGACGCCGAATTCCTGACCCGGCACAAGGCCCTAGCGCCGTCCCGCATCCGCGCCATCGAGACGGGCGGGTGCCCGCACGCTGCGGTGCGCGAAGATATCAGCGCAAACCTGCTTGCGCTGCAGAAGCTGCAGAAACAATTCTCGACGGATCTGCTGCTGATTGAGTCCGGGGGTGATAACCTGGCGGCGAATTACTCGCGCGAGCTGGCGGATTTCATTATCTATGTGATTGACGTTGCGGGCGGTGATAAGGTGCCTCGTAAGGGTGGGCCGGGAATCACCGGGTCTGACCTGCTAGTCGTGAACAAGATTGATCTTGCGGAGGCTGTTGGGGCGGATCTGGGTGTTATGGAGAGGGATGCTGCGAAGATGCGGGAGGGTGGTCCGACGGTCTTTGCGGTTGTTAAGCATGGCAAGGGGATGGATCATATTGTTAATTTGATTATTAGTGCTTGGAAGGGCAGTGGGGCTTATGAGGTTAGTTTGCAGCGGTGGAAGGATGGGGCTGTTAGGGGGTCTGGTAGTGTGGATGAGTAGATGGGTTTTAGACATGTGTTTTTGTTTAGATTGGATAACGGAAGATTGGAAATAAGTGAGTTGGATTGGAAATGCATTTATGAAGTTCAATATATTCATTGTCGTGTTGAAAGTAGATGGTACACATTCGTAAATGACTGCTTTTGTTTCCCTCCGAATACAAAATTCCCCGAGAACGCCTGGAATGCAGCTGTCGCCAAATCTCCAATATGTCACAGAAGCCGCGTGAGGGCTGGGTATCTGGGTGCTTTTGGGCAGATGGGGTTGTTCCTCGACTGCTCCACGAGATGTCACACAAGCAACAGTCTCATTTGGCGAATCGGGACAGAGCGGGTCCCAGATCCAGACGTTCCTGCTTGAGCTTGTCCTTTGTACGAGCGGCATACTCTTTGCGCAACGTCTCGGCCTTGACGCGCTTCTCGTCGATGACATTCTTGCCACCCTTCTTGCGGAGGTACTTGCGCAGAGCACTGTTGCGACCACGACCCCGATTCTTGATCTTCTCCATCTGATCTTCGGGCTGACGGTCTGGGTTGCGCTGCTCCTGGTACTTCTGGTCGTTGACAGTATCGAGCTTTCCGATAATGTTGGGATCGAGAGAGATCATATCCGGCTGCAACTTGGTGAGCAGCGAGTGAACCTCGTGCTCTTGGCGCTGTCGTACGTTCTCGTAGGGGTTGGCTTCCAATGAATCGAAGTTGGGCTCGCCTGCACCGGGAACGATGACGCTGGCGAATCCTTGGTCGTGTCCTACACCAAGAACATCCTCGTAAGGGCACCAGCGCACGTTCTCGATGCGCTGGCCATCGCCACCCCAGGCCATGTATGGGCTCTGCACTTTGCCTTGATCGGCTGCGGCTGCGTCGAAGAGACCTCGCCATACGCTCATTTGGGTGCCCCAGCCGACTGCGGTCAGGCCGCGGTCACTGATGGCTACAGATGCACCGGGCTGGTAGCATGAGTATGAGTGCACCTCGCGGTACATACGGATATCCCACACGTTCATCTTTTGGTCCTGGCCTGTGGAGACCATGTACCGGCCTTGGCGATCAATTGCCAATGACCGAACAGGTCCCTGGTGCACAAGTGCCTTTACAAGATGAGTCTGAGAGTTGGGTGACCAGAGAGTTACTGTTCCATTCTGGTGTCCGACATGGAGGATGGCATTCCATGGGTTTTGGGCGAGAGCAGTTGGTTTACCCAACCGTGTAGGCAGCTCAGCAACGGTCTGGCCAGTAGAGGTATCGGTGTATTTGAGATGTCCGCTCATTTGCTATAGAATAATCCGGTTAGTGGTGGAACTGGGTTTTCAAGAATTGACGACACTCACAGCGCTTGCAAGAAGGAAATGATATGGCAGGAACTCCAGGAACAGCGGTTCCACGTGCTTGTTCAAGCAGTGAATCTCAGTTCCCTGGTGATCGTAGATATAAGTGTGCTTCTTCTGTGCCACGGCAAAGAACTGGTTGTTATGCAGCCAGCGGGCATCTCGAACAGTCTCATTTAACTGCAACTCGCAGCCCAATTTGCCCTCGCGCCAGTCCATCGTCGCAACATGTCCCTTTCTTCCGGCCAGCAGCAGGTCACGTCCGTTCCGCGAGTAGTCCATACGGTAGGGGCCCATATCTGGAAGCTTCAATTCGAATCCCTTCTTTGCTGTCTCGATTCCGACGCTTTCCCGAATCTCATCTTGGCGGACCTTGTATGTCCGCTCGAGTTCACCTTCGGGTTCGAGGAATCCCTCTGAGTGTTCGAGCAGAATCTCTGCATCCTTCGCTTGAAGAACGGCCTCCTTGTGCTTAAATTCTTGTCTCTTGAGGTTTGCGCGCAACTTCTTGTCCCGCGCACTCTTCGCATTGACGCCTTTGCCTCGTCCGTAGGTTTGCTCGGCTTCTGCGAGTCTCATCTTCGCTTGGCGGTCGTCCTTGGCGACAGCCATAGTGTGGGCTGAATCGGCCATTTTCTGGCAATTTGTCGAGCTCGTTTGTGAAAGAACTCGAGCAGCTAATAAGGCGGACGAAAAGCGTAGCTCCAAGAAAAAAAGTGTTTTGCCCAAAATTTCGCCAAGAACTGCGCTCACCGCTCGCTTATCCTCCACTGGCGAATTTTGTTTTCTTATCGTTGCCATTTTTTTTTCCGACGAGAGGCACTTTGAATTTTTTTGCCTGTTTGCCAGTGGTAAATTGCTCTGACTGGATATTTTTGAAGTAATTTTGCACTTGCTTCAATCTGGACTCTCTCCCTTATCGTTTTAAAGGGTCCAAGGCCAGTATGCCTGCCCAGCCGGTGCACCACCACCGCTCCACCACCAAGGTTTCCCACAAGCCCTACAAGAGCAAGCATGCTTCCAAAGGCGCCTTGAAAGATCTAGCCAAAGGTAATGCTTTTTGAACCCTCCAAAAAAATATTTGATATGCAATTCTAACACTTACATCTTTATAGGCAAAATCGAAGGTGATGAGCGGGGCGGTCGTAAGACACCCCACCAACAGCTCAAGTCAAAACTCGATCGCCGCAATACCGCTCGCCAGAGACAGGCTCTGAAGCACCAGGAACGTTCCCAAGCCACAAGCATCTTCGCCGGCCAGAGTGGTGCTCCCCGACATGTCGCAATTGTGCCGTTGACCGCCGATATTGATACCGCCGCCGCTATCTCTTCTATCAACGAGAGTGTTGATGTGTTGACCGATGTCTCGCCCGATGGACCTACCCGTGTGCGCATTGATCGATTCCGCCAAAGTGTGCAGTATGTTCCCGCCAAGTACGATTTGTTGAGCGCTCTGGATGTCTGCCGTATGGCCGATTTCGTTGTGTTGGTGCTGTCATCTCAGGTTGAGGTTGATGAGCAGGGAGAGATGCTGTTGCGCTCGATTCAGGGCCAGGGTATCTCTAATGTGTTGACTGTCGTACAAGGTCTCGACAGGATCGACCCCCCTAAGAAGCGGCCTCAGGTGGCTGCTTCCTTGAAGTCTTTCATTAATCACTTCTTCCCCACTATCGAGAAGGTTATGTCACTCGACTCTCGACAGGAATCTTCCAATGCTATCCGATCCATCTGCACTGCTACCCCCAAGGGTATCCGCTGGCGTGATGACCGCAGCTGGATGTTCGTTGAGAATGTTCAGTGGCCAGAGTCTAACCTGGAGGTGGTCGATGACGTTGTCATCACTGGTGTTGTTCGCGGAAAGGGCTTGAAGGCAGACCGCATCGTTCACCTTCCCGGATGGGGTGATTTCCAGATCGATTCAATCACAGCAGCGCCGCTTACAACCGCAAAGGGTAAGCGGGACGATGCAATGGCCGTTGATGCCGATGATGCTACACAAATCCTGGACGCCCCTACTGCGGATCAGGACGACATGGCAGCTGTTGCCCCTGAAGAGATTGAGATGGTGGATGACGACATGATTTCCATGGCTGAGACAGAGAAGAAGGGTGTTCTGCTGGACGACTACCACTACTTCTCGGATGATGATTCACACATTCCGCCAGTACCCAAGAAGTTGCCCAAGGGTACTTCAAATTACCAGTCTGCTTGGTATCTCGAAGATGTCTCAGACTCTGGATCTGACATGGACGATGACGATGAGCCTATGCAGATGGATACCGCTGGAGCACCCGAGGATGGTGTGTTCCCAGACCACTTGGATGCGATGACCGAGGGTGGTCCTTCAGAATACCCGCAATCTGAGATGTTCCTCGACCCCTCCCCAGAGGATGAGGCCCAGGAATTGGCCGACTACCGTGCCAGCCGTAAGACCGAAGCCGAGGAGGACCTGGAGTTCCCCGATGAGATTGAATTGCACCCCAACGTGCTTGCCAGAGAACGTCTGGCCCGATTCCGTGGGTTGAAGAACCTGAAGCTCAGCCACTGGGAAACATCCGAGGATCGTCCTTATGAGCCCGAGGATTGGCGCCGACTGCTGCAATTTGCCGATCACCGTGGTTCCAAGAACCGCATCATGAGAGAGGCTCTCGTGGGCGGTGTTAACCCCGGTACTCGAGTGGATATCCACCTTCGCGCAGTCCCCTCCATTCTGCGCAACAGCAGCAAGCCGATTTCACTCTTCTCTCTGCTCCGCCACGAGCACAAGCAGACTGTAGTCAACGTCAGCATGACCCTGAGCTCCAGCGTGGAGAAGCCTCTCAGGGCTAAGGAGCAACTTGTCGTCCAGTGTGGTGCCCGCCGCATGATCGTCAACCCCATCTTCTCCTCGGCTGATAACACACCGAACAACGTTCACAAATACGACCGTTTCTTGCACCCCGGTCGTAGCGCTATCGCATCCTGGATTGGACCCATGACCTGGGGCTCTGTTCCCATCCTCGTCTTCAAGAGCAAGCAAGCCGAGGAGGAGGACGGCGACGAGGCAATGGATACCGCCGAAGCCAAGGACGAGCCGATTGCCCTTGACCAGCTCGAGCTGATCGGTACCGGTACCGTTGTTGCACCCGATCAGAAGCGCGTGGTTGCCAAGCGTGCCATCCTTACCGGTCACCCTTACAAGATCCACAAGAAGGTCGTTACCATCCGGTACATGTTCTTCAACGCCGAGGATATCCAATGGTTCAAGGCCCTCCAGCTGTGGACCCGCCGTGGCCGCAGTGGATACTTCAAGGAGAGTCTTGGTACACACGGATACTTCAAGGCTACCTTCGATGCCAAGATCAACCCGCAAGACTCCGTGGGTGTCAGTTTGTACAAGCGTGTCTTCCCTCGCAAGGCTAAGGCTTTGGAGGCTATTGCTGCGTAAGCTGTTGGTGACAATGGCACTGGTGAGGGGGATGATATGATACCATTTGACTGAACTGATTATATGATGAGGGTAGCTCTCCTGATTCTGGAGGGAGCATGTTACACCCCAAAAGTACATATAGACCTGAAGCATCTTTAAATGATGAATTACGAATCTTTTGCACTTGAAGTCCGTATCTACTAGTAGTTGTCTGGATGTAGCTTATTGCCGCTGTATGAAGATATCGAGGTCGCGATTGCCTCTGAGGGAAGTCTTGACGAGATGCAGTTTCCCACTTTCACGTGGAAACATGTCCCTTTCTTGCTTCCCTTCTTTCGTATTCCTTTCCCAAGGTCCCCGGTTGGTGCTTCGGATTTGTCCCAAGCTCACAGCAGCCATCTTGCTCGTATTTCTCTTATATACGGGGTATGTGGACTTCATTATGATGCCTGGGCTAAAGCCTTGCTTGGCAAATTGTCAAGACGAGAGGGACTTTTCTACACAGTGAGCCATACACAATAATCTTCCGTCAGATATCTCGACTGGGCGTCTTTTGTAGTGACCGACCTATACTTCGACCGCTAGAGGCTTAGGTATAAGCAAAACCTTAGACCTCCTTGCGGACCTCGAGACAGATACGGAGCGCTCAGTACATGGCACGCTGTAGGTAATACGAGGCATTGGATAATTTTTCTTTCAAATGTTATAGTATTGGTGGTAGAGATAATAAATGCATCGATCTGTTTTCATCTCCAGACCAGTTACATTGAACATGAGCAAGCAAAACAAGAAGCCAAAAACTTGAGGGTGAGTATTCTCTAGACATCACGCACGGGGAATCACCGAAGAAATCAATCGCCATTTACGAGAAGTCCTCCTCGGCCTCCTCAATGTTATTCTTGATCCGCAAGAGCAGGGTGGTCTTCCACTTGTCCAGCTTGCTGAGCTGGTCATATTGGAACAGCTTGTCAGCGAAGGCCTCCTGGTCACCACCCTCAACAGCCTGGGCGAGGTCCACAAGTAGCTGGTGCTCCCGTGTAGAATTAAAGCTAGGATCAAGTTCACGGTATGATTCCAGTGCACGGTTGGTCTCAACCAAATCCTAAACAAAGGCGCAATTGAAATTAATATCCAGCCACGGGTGAAGAATAAGATAAGAGCGACATACTTTCGTGGCAAGGTGGCAGATGCCTGCCTTCAGGAGATAGTCCTTCACAGACCATCTCATCAGGCTGTTGTTAATAGAACTCCGGCCAATGCGCTCATAGTTGGTGATGGACTTGTAGTAGTCGCCTTCCAAGGCGGCCAGATCGGCTACCTTAAGATAGTGCTTGCTTGCAAGGCTGCATATGAATGATATGTCAGCTCGGTTGTGTTCTCGAGTGTATCCCGACAAGAGAAGTTCAGGGGTCCATACGCTTCAGCATTATCACCCTCGAACCACTCGGCGGCCTTCTCATAAGATTCCAGCGCCTTCTTCATATCTCCAAGCTCCACCTCATAGACCTCAGCCAGATATTGCTGCTGCGTCGCCGCACGGCGCAAGTTTCCTCGTAGAACGTAGTGCTCAATAGCACTGGAAAGTACGCGGGCAGCATCCTCGGGGTCTGACTTGCGGTAGACCTTGAACGCCTCCTGGAGGGTGTTGGCTGCGTCGTCGGGTTCGTTGAGGTTCTGGGTTTGGATAGAGGCGGCCTTCTCAAAAGCCTGGCCGGCCTCCTTGTCTATCGGATCGAATCACATGTGAGTTGTCGATTTAGGCAGAATAAGGCGATAGAACGGGCACGCGGCGGGGTATCTCACTCATCTTCTGTACTCGGAACGCATTTGCAGCCTGGCTGTATAGGTCTGCGGCAGCCTCGTACTTCTCTGCGCGTCCTCCAAACCAGCTAAAGCCGCCAGAGGCGCTAGATAGCGCTTTGTCGGCCTAAATCAGCGCAACGAGCGAGGTCTAGTCAGCTATGCGCACTATCGTCATCGCTTATGCAAACAAGACGGGGAAGTATGCATACTTTTTGGATTAGGACACGAGGATCTTGAGTCATTTTGAGTAGATGTGTCTATCTTTCCTGCAATAGGCAATAGTCCGCAAATAATCGAAGTGAAGTAGCAGGAGTGTGGCCAACAGGATGTCTATCGATGAGAGCATCGATCGGCGGTCCCGTGGAGGCGGTGTCCTTTATTTTTCGGCCTCCGCCTGAGCTCCCCGGTTGTTGACCTGCACCAGTTTTAACTACATACTTCTACTTTTACGCCGAACAGCTTATTTTAGACTGTTTCTCTATCTAATCGATTGCGATATCGACTCTTCACGGGCAAGCTTCTCGTTTCCCAAATGTCTAAAATGTTCTCTCTTCGCACTGGTGTTCGACTGGCCAAGTCATTGCGCCCAGCACCAGTCCGGCAGCACATGGCTTTCTCTCGCTCCTATTCCGAAAAGTCCGATTACGCAGATATCGAGACTATACTTGGCGCACCGAACTGGTCTGTTCGGTCACTGCTTCCCAACCCAGCTTCAAAACCGCCACCATCCGTCACGCCGAAACAACTCCACCATCTACTGCGCATCTCGGCTCTTCCCCAGCCTGCCAACCAAGAAGAGGAGCAGTCAATGCTCGATACACTGGAGTCTCAGATTCATTTTGTGAAGGAGATTCAACTTGTTGATACTACTGGGGTCGCGCCGTTGCCCCGGATTCGCGATGAAAGCCCTGCTGCTCTAGAGGAGGCCACAATCGGGATTGAACGACTTAGGGAAGCTATAGCTAAGGAGAAGGTGTCCGGACGACGCGGAAAGATCCAGCGTGTCCCAGGCGAAAAGAACGATACTCCGGATGGAACAGCTTGGGATGGGAATGTGCTAGGATCCGCGACAAAGACGAAGGGGAAATACTTTATGGTTGAAATTGGCAATTGAGTTATTCTCTCTTTCTCTGCAGCATTGGACCCATTGGAAACATGCCGACTCGACATGAAGGCAAGTAGAGTGATATCAACACCTGTGTCTTTCTTGAGGTCACCTGAGGTGTAATATCTGAGTCAGCAGTTTCCAGGGCCAACCCCCGGGGAGCTATGACAGCATCGCCCCTCTCCAACAACATTTGCCATTGGCTTCTGCCTGTTTGCTTCAAAAATTTGTCACCTCATTTCACTTTGATTCAGCAGGGATGTTCAAAAATCTCAAAGAAAAACGTGCTGCATTGTTTGAATCCAAGTCATCCAATGCTTCCGAAAGCGACCGCGGTCAAGATCTATCGTCGATCTTGGACCGGTCGCAGCGTGCTGACTTGACTGTCCTCGTTGCTGAGGTTGCTGAGTCAATGCGCGTTGGAATTCTAGAGCTCTTTGAAAAGACCAATCCCAAGGATGAGTCTCCCAGTCGCTCCAGCCCACAATCCTCCCGGGAGGTGGATCCCGTGGAAGACTTGCCGCCCTTACCAGCGAGACCACATGGCAATGCTGCAGCAGGGAACAGCGGAAGTCCACACCAAGGCTCTCCGGTCAAGGCGTTGAGCACTCAATCCAAAGTCACTGCCCTCTCCAGTTTTGAGGACTGGAGAGATTCCGTGTTGTTACGGGTCGGCACAGTTGTCAATAAAGATGATGACGACCAGCAACAAAAACAAGGCCAAGAAGAACTGAAAGATGCTGCCAGCTCTGATGATCTGCCACTGGACGAGGATAAAGCTAGACTGGCCAAATTACAAGAAATCTATCATCCCGTGGAAACGCCATTGGTTAATCTCCCCAAAGCAAAGAAACTGCTCATTCTTCACTCTCTTCTTCTTTTGATGCTCAGTTTAGAGCACTACAGCGCTTATTCGAGGGTCTTGATGTTGAATGTCGCATCAAGCCTAAACATAGATATCAACATTCTTAATCAAGACGAAATCAAGGTTGCTCGAGGGCTGCTACAAACGGCCTTGGCGCTCTCGGCAGACCAAGACACAAAAGAGCAACCGAAAAAAAAGGATGATATGAGAAAATGGAAGGTCGGCCTTGCATCTGTGGCTGGGGCAGCTTTGATCGGTCTCACTGGTGGACTCGCAGCTCCATTGGTAGCTGCGGGTCTTGGAACAGTTATGGGCGGATTAGGTCTTGGTGCTACTGCTGCTGCCGGGCTTCTGGGTACATTGGCTGGCAGTAGTGTTGTTGTCGGTGGCCTGTTTGGCGCCTATGGCGGCCGTATGACAGGTCGCATGATGGAAAAGTACGCTCGTGAAGTGGACGATTTTGCCTTTATTCCGATTCGAGGAGAGCGCCGCCGTAATGTTAAAGAAAAGGAGTCTGCCGAGCAAGATCATCGTTTACGAGTTACCATTGGTGTCACCGGCTGGGTCAAGGAGGAGTCGGACTTCATGATCCCATGGCGAGTGATTGGTGCCGACTCCGAAGTGTTCGGGCTTCGCTGGGAGATGGAGCCCTTGATGAAGTTGGGTAATGCGATTTCAGCACTTGTGACTAGCGCAGCATGGTCAGTCGCTGGACGCGAGGTCTTGTCTCGTACATTCTTCCACGCGATCATGAGCGCGGTGATGCTCCCCCTAGGTCTCCTGAAAGTTGCCGGCATCGTCGACAACCCGTTCAGCGTGGCCAAAGCCCGTGCCGATAAAGCGGGTGAAGTTCTCGCCGACGCCCTAATCAACAAGGCCCAGGGAGAACGGCCTGTGACCTTGATTGGGTATTCCCTTGGATCTCGACTGATCTTCTCTTGCCTCCAAAGTTTGGAAAAGAGAAATGCCTACGGCTTGGTCGAGTCGGTCATTATGATGGGATCGCCCACTCCTTCCAACACGGAGCACTGGCAAAAGATTCGTAGTGTCGTGAGCGGACGTGTTGTGAACGTATTTTCTGAGAACGATTCGGTCCTCGCATTCCTCTACCGAACCAGCAGTCTCCAACTTGGTGTCGCCGGTTTGCAGCCAATTGAAGGTGTTCCAGGCGTCGAAAATATCAATGTCAGCGAAATGATTAGCGGCCACTTGCGATACCAGTACCTGCTCGGCAGAATTCTTACCCTCACTGGGCTGCAAGATCTTGATGCCACTGAAATTGAACGTGAAGAAGCCGCCCTCGCCGCCGAGGATAAGCGACTGGAGGAGGAGCTGCGGGAGAATCAGCGCGAGGCCGGTGTTAAAGACCCGCACTCATCTGATGCTCGCGAGACCTTGAATAGCCAAGATGGCTTTGGGGAAGACACACGATTGCAGAATAAGGTTGAGGCGCAGACTCAGGAAAACATGATCAGTCACAGGATTGAGATGCTTGATATGGACGACGATGACTATTCGGCGCCTTTGAAGGAAGACCCCTCCAAGCATTCTGCGCTCTAGGCTTTAAATTTGAAATGAGAGGTTGGCGTTTGTAGATCGGCTCAGTTTCGGGTTACATTTCAGATAAAGCTCATTGAATACAAATCATTGTCAATTCTTATATCAAAACTAACACGGCCCCCTTAGCTTGCTCTCCGATCGCTCCAGTATCTTTTAGTCCAAAAATAGTTGCAATCACTGGCTTCTCTTAATTACCACTTGATACTCCAATCATATCTGACTATGAGTATCCCGCCTGTGCTGCCTGATTGGCACATCACCCCGTACGAGAAAGAAATCTAGCTCTTCATCCCTGGATTCCCAAGGATGCTTTTCAGCTAACCACCTCGCATACCAATGGAATATCTGGCAGTATTCAGGGTGGCACCGCAGCCTCAACAGATGATCACGTAGTACGCTGACGTTCGGAAGGCCAGCCAAGCACATTCCCGACCAAAGCTGCGAACTCCATATCACTCTCATGGACCCGTTTGATATTGTCAGCGGTACTCGATTGAATACCAACAGGGTGAAATAAAACAGCATGAGAACGCTGTATCTCAGGCCCATTCTCGCCAGCCAGGGATCCATCTTCAAGACAGCACACGGACAGACCGATAATTTCTCGGCGACCTTTTCCTCATACGGCGATATGCAGCTTTGTCCGTCCTTGAACCAGTGTTTGAATCGCTCCAGTCGAAGGAAAGCTGCTGTTATACCGGGTAGCTCGTCGAGGGAGTTATCCAGGAAAACATCTGTTTCAATGATTGTTCTTTCGATTTGGAAAACCGCTGTTTCCTTTCTGAGGCAGTGGAGGGTGTTGAATCTATGATTGAACCCTTTTTGGTTGAATAAGGACGATAGGTGGTGATGTAAAATGTTAAACTCGTCGTCTGACAGCGCGGGAACGTCGATATGTGGGTTCTTGAACCATAGGCCCAGACGAAGAAATGGTAGCAGGGCGATATCTTGGTCTGGGTGGTATGTATATGGAGAACTAATTGTCTCCTGCAAGCCTCCCATCTCGAAAAAATCACTTCTTCGTCCTTGCCAATGAGTTGGTGGGTCTATTGATTCCCATGATCCCACCGTACACACTCTCACCTGCTGTGTCGAAGTCGTGGGAATAAGAAGATCGACCAGTGCCGTCGTCTTCTGCCACATCAATACTACTTGACCCGGGTCCATCGAAGATGGGGGTGCCAAGTAGACCACCATGTTGGTTCTGTGATGCGGAAAGGTCTGGAAATGTGTCTTGGCCTCTTCGTTGTTCTTAAAAATCAGGTCCACATTCACGGTTCGGGATTGTAGACGGACTTTCATCCATTCGTGCTTGTCATATTCTGGGTCCAGCACAATATGCTGAGTGCATTCGTGATAGAGATGAGAGGAAATCTCATTGTAAAGGTACCCACTGGCGCAGAGGATAGATAGAGGATTGGCGCTGTACGTGGTGTGATTTGGCAGTTGGGTGTGAATAGTATCAAGGAGGTAATCCCAGATGAGCAAGCGGATCTCTGTAGGAAGCTTGGAAAGTGTACCTAGAGAAGGGAGTATTGGGACCTCCATAATGGGTGAAGCAAGGCGTGGAAAAAATGAGAACAAAGTGGTGTTAGAGATGTTGAAGGAAGAGGATATCAGTTCGACTCAACTGTCGACTCATATGCCGAGTACATCGTCGAGTTTACGTCGGAAATTCATACTACTATGCCTTTCTGGGACTTGATAACTACATGTATGTAGTTGATTTCCCGATTTGGCGCGGACTACTAGAGTCGCCCCAAGACCCCTTAGAGTTTCCACGACTGCCCCTAAATCCATGGAACTCCAAAGATAAATGCGAATGTCAGTGTTTAAAAATAGTGTTTTGGTATATTATTACATATAGATATCTAGAAAGGCTAGGTCAATGCAGAGTTTTGGGAGAAAGCTATGTCTTATTGAACTAGCTAGAGGGAGAAGGACAGAAAGAAAGAGAGAGAGGAGAGGGAAGAGGAGGAAGAAGGAACTAATTATCTGATGGGTTATGTCGGCCTGGAGCAGCAAGGCCTCAACAAGATATCTTTCGTCCAGATCATGGCTTAGCCACATGCACAACGATCTTTCCCCTGGCACGGCCAGAGCGAAGCTTCTCAAATGCCTGAATAGCATCCTCAAATTCGAAGGCAGTATCTAGCTGGACTTTGACAGCCCCCTTCTGCACCCATTCACCAATCTTCACAAGATCTTCACGAGTATTCTTGAAGAAGAAGATAACATACTTCCTCCTTCCACCTCCCAAGAACCCAGGCCAAACCAACCTATCAACAAAAGTCGTCATAGCGGACGCACCAACCTGGACAAATGCCTTGCCAGGTGCCAAGAAGTGATGCGACTCACGATAGAGCGGTGCAGGCTGTCCAATATGATCAACAATATGATCAAAAACAACCCCACGATCACGCAGCGTAGCGACCAAGTCCTTCTCAACGGAGTAGTCAATAACTTCATCAGCACCTAGTCCACGACAAAACTCCACATTCTTCGTCGAGCAGGTAGTCGTGACATGGCATCCCATCTCTTTGGCAATCTGAATCGCGTAAATACCACATCCTCCAGAACCAGCATTGATAAACACCTTATCGCCGGCATTGACGTACCCAGCCAGAGCCTGGTACGCCGTTTGGCCTGCAATGCCAATAGCAGCAGCGTGGTCTATTTCCACGCCCTCCGGCAGATGTGCAAGAAGACTTGCTGATGCGATGAGGTACTCGCCCAGCGAGCCAAACTGTGAGGGTCTGCTAAGACAGCCATAGACGAGCTGGCCTGGAGAAAACTCGGTCGCGTTATCGCCAGCGACAACGACCCGGCCGCAGAAATCCATTCCTGGGGATGCCGGTGTGCCAATTACGAGTTTGCGCGCGACAAGTCCCATTTCGGGGACTTTGAAATCGGCTGGATTGAGTGAGGCGGAGAGAACCTTCACCAGGACATTGTTGCCATGGACGGCTGGTGGTGCGCGTGCTGACGCGTCGAAATTGAGGTTCTTTTCTAGTCCATTTGTGGTGCTGGAGTAGAGCCAGGCTTTCATTTCTGAAGGAGGTGACTGCGCAGAGGCCATTTTAGATGTGTGTCTTTGTTTGGAAGTGGTGCTGTTGAGAGGTGTACATACGTCGCCACTTTTTTGGGGAGGGCGATCGCCGATGACCTCACCCGCACCAGGGTCAGTTTATTGTGTGGCCATCAACGAGGAAACCAATGTTTGAATATTTAGACATATTTAGAATTGTGAGACTAATCGTATATCTGCTCATTTTTGTTTCTTCAAGAATGTCAGGGCTCCAAGTGCAATAGCATCCACGCCCGTGCGCAACGTAGGTTGGATAACCGGCGCAAAGAACGGCGAGTGGTTACTCGGCAGCTCATCAACTGTGCCCTTCGCGACTGCATCTTCCCAGGTCTGAGAATCAGTTCCACCAAACATCCAAATAACATAAGGTGCGCCCGCAGCAGTCGCCAGTAGAGAAAAGTCCTCACTAGCAGTCGGGGGCTCCATATCAACCAAATCATCTCCGAAATACGGCTGGAAAGTCTCACGGAGAGCATCAATAGTGCGTCCATCATTGATAGTCGACGGACTCGAAGAAACAAGCTTAATCTCCGGCTTCTGTACAGCACCAGCAGCCTTACACTCAGCCTCAATAATACGATGAATCGAAGCACAAATGCGTTTTCGCAAATTTTCATCATAAGTCCGCACATTGAGCTGTAGATCAAGATATGCTGGGATGATATTCGGCGAGCTGCCAGCATGGATACTACCACAGGTAACAACCGCCAGCTTGCCCGGCGTGACTTCGCGCGAGACAATAGTCTGCAAGCGAGTGACGATGGATGCACCGATAACGATAGGATCTATTGTCGTATGCGGTGCTGATCCATGACCCCCGCGGCCGAAGACGCGGACATCGAAAGAGTCCGCGGCTGTGAGGAACGGACCTGCGCGGAGATTGATTGTGCCAGCACGCATCCGCGTCACATGCTGCGCGAGAACAACGTCCGGCTTGGGGATTCTGTCGTACAGCCCGTCGTTTAGCATCGCTTGTGCGCCGTTGAGATGTTCCTCGGCAGGTTGGAAGATGCAGATCAAGGTACCGCTCCAATGCTTGCGAGCGGATTGCAGGAGTGTAGCGGCTGCCATTAGCGTTGCGACATGGGAATCGTGTCCGCAGGCGTGCATAACAGGCTTCTTGGATCCGTCGACGTCCTTAACATGTTTTGTGCTGGCGTATGGTAGACCGGTTTGTTCTTCTACGGGCAATGCGTCCATATCCGCCCGTAGGAGGATTGTTGGGCCATTGCCATTGCGAAGGATTCCTGCTACGCCATGGCCACCGATTTTCGTGTGCACTTCGAATCCTGCTGCTTTGAGATGATCAGATGCTATCTTGGCGGTTTGCTCCTCTTGGCCTGATAGTTCGGGTTCGGTATGTAGGTGTCGATAGACATCTTCGAAGGGTTTTAGATCTGGGCGATGGCGGCTGATAATTTCACCCAGGTCTTGATTTATGTTCTCTTTATAGGTGAGCAGTTGTATTGTTTGTTTGATTATAGCAGTTCATACCTCGTAGTTGCATATTGCGGTGCTATGAAGGTCGCGAGATATCAGGTTGTGACAAATTTAAAATGGAAATCGGTTCCCTCGGCCATGATGGACCGGGGTTTTTATACCCAGACAAACTGGACGAGCAATAGACTTCGTCACTTGCCTTTGGTTCCGACGACGTTGCCGATGAGAAGAGACGACGGGTAAACACCCCCGCGTCGGCAAACCCCTCGAATCACCTTCCCCGCAGGTGCAAGTCCACGGCATGAACACCCCGGTTCCCTCGCCAATTGCGACCAGTCGCTGTTTCATTCTTTTTATTCTTATCAGGGCATAAGATCATAATAAACAGTCACTTTTGGCAGTCTAGCTTCCCACTATGGCATTTCTAGGCGGAGCTGGTGCTGGCACCTTCTCGCGGTGTCCTCGTTTGTCCCCGCTTGTCCTCGCCTTCAGGTATCTGTCCCCAGTTATCCTCGCATGTCCTCGCTCTATTGCTGCATTGCGCCATGCAACCCGTTGAAGATATCCTCTAGCCTAGCAATCTGGTTCCAACGAACTGCAGCACATAGGATCCAAAATTTAATTATTTAATAGCCCGATACTCGGCGAATGTGCACGCTAATACTCCCGAAGCAAAGGGAAATTGTCACCTGATCGTGAGGCTGAGAATATCCCCCGCTGTCCGACTCCTGAGGGCCTTCACCAACACCTTCATACCATCATACAACGCGCCGCCTACCGACTATGAATCAAATCTCGTTTGGAAACCACAGCTCGGGGCCTCAGTTTGGGATAAATCACGGAGTAATCAATGTTTTATCCGGTACGACTTTGCAGGCGTCAACCAAGCCGCGCTTAGCTGACTGAAAGCCTCTTTTGGACCAGACCGAACTGAAGACCCACAGCAGAAGGTAGACAATGGTTCGCTCCACCCCGTATAGGTTTAAGGGATTGTAGCTTACTATAGTGGTAGAGATACTTGGGTTACTGGCATTTCCGCGGATGCTAGACCGGAGAGAGAATGTCGAGCCATGTCATAGCAATACCTGCCAATGGATTTTGGAGTTGGAAAAGTACCAATCCTGGAGCAGCAAACCGCGTGGCCTACTATGGATCAAGGGCAAGCCGGGTGCGGGCAAATCGACATTGATGGCATTCCTACACGACAAACTCAAGAGTTCACAGAACGACGACCAGGGCATTCAGCTCGACTTTTTCTTTAGTGCCCGAGGCACAGATATGCAACGCACACCACTAGGCATGCTTCGGTCTTTACTGAACCAAATATTTGACCGCGATGTGACCGTACGGCCTCAGGTACGCGAGGCCTATGAACAACGATCTAGGCAGTTTGGGTACGGTGAAGGCAAGTGGGAATGGCCACAAGTGGTGCTAGAAGAGTTACTGGCAGTTGCCATCCTAGCATCCGCTAGTCGACAACGTGTGACGGTTTTTGTCGATGCCCTAGATGAGACGGGAGCCGAGTCTGCTCAAAAGCTCGCAGGGTATTTCCATCGACTTATTGACCGAGCAGAAAAGAAAAACGCTGCTATTCGAATCTGCATTTCATGTCGACACTATCCTATCGTAGGAAGTGCCCAGACTATGGAGATACATGTCGAACAGCATAATCACAACGACATCGCTACATATATTACAGACATACTTGCCGAGACAGAACTTGAGGACAGCCCTAGCGAAGACATAGGACCAGTGCTGCTAGAAAAACTGATCCAGCAAGCCAATGGTGTGTTCCAATGGGCTTGTCTCATCATGCCTCTTGCCCGACAGAGAATTCTTGAAGGGGAATCACTCGACGACATCCGTTTCTGGTTACGCGAAGTCCCAGCCGGCCTGGAAGAGGTGTATATGTATATTCTGAACGACGTGATAGAAGTGCAGAACTTGAAGCAATCGTTCGTACTGTTTCAATGGGTCTGTCTGGCCGAGCGACCACTGACTGTGATGGAAATGCGGTATGCCTTGGCAGCTGAGAATGCCGAGGTAACGTGTGCCCCAAAAGCCTGGGAGAAGATCCATGGTTTCGTTGAAAGCGACGAGCGCATGAAGCGAAAGATCAAAGCTATTTCTGGCGGATTAGTGGAAGTCGTCTCAAACTGGGCTTCCGATGAGACTGTTCAGGTTGTACACCAGTCAGTCAATGACTTCTTGCGCGCGAAAGGTCTAGCTGCTTTGAGTGATAATATCGGCGCCAGCAGTTCAGTCCTGGAAGAAGCGAATATCCTCTTACAATGTCAGGCAGATCTCTACCGACATTGTCTTGTTTATCTGGCCTCGCTCCGCATAGAGGGATATACTTCAAGTGATCCCCAAGTGAGGAGAGATGAGCTTATCCGGAGCCACCCATTACTTGCTTACGCCACTATAAATCTTTTCATTCATGCGGAGAAATCTGCTAACGCCCGTGTGCTCATGATACTGGATGAACAAGATATCCTACAGCAAGTGATAGATCAGTGGGTCCAGATTTATCGGATTCTCGACCCTCATAACCCAGCGTGCCCGTCGGAAAACATTGCAATCATTCATATGGCGGCAGCTGCAAATCTCGTTGATCTCATGGAACGTGTATCTTTGAACAGCGATGACATGGCGAGAAAAGACGGAGACGGAAATACAGCGCTCCATTTAGCAGCGCGATACGGTCATAAAACAGGGGCAAGGATTTTGCGCGAGAAAGGAGCGGACTGCGAAGCGAAGAATAGGAGAGGAAACACACCATTGAGTGAGGCGGCTAGCTATGGGCATGCGACACTTGTCGAATGGCTTCTGCACGAAGGTGCGAACATTGAAGGAACAATGGGTACAGACGGAAGTGTTCTACAAGCGGCTTCATTGGGAGGACATCAGAACATTGTTGGAATTTTGCTTGGAGCTGGGGCAGAGGTGAATGAACAGGGTGGTGAATACGGCAATGCCCTGCAAGCAGCTGCGTATGGGGAAAGCAGTGGGATCGTACAGATGCTCCTCGACGCTGGCGCCGATGTCAACGCCCAGGCTGGTAAATACGGCAATGCCCTGCAGGCTGCTGTATACAGTGGAAGTAGTGAGATCGTGCAGATGCTCCTCGACGCTGGCGCCGATGTCAACTCCCAGGGTGGTGAATACGGCAATGCCCTGCAGGCTGCTGTATACAGTGGAAGCAGTGAGATAGTGCAGATGCTCCTCGACGCTGGCGCCGATGTCGACGCCCAGGGTGGTAAATACGGCAATGCCCTACAGGCTGCTGCATACGAGGAAGACTATCAGATCGTGGCGATACTCCTCGAAGCTAGCGCCGATATCAATATCCAGGGCGGTGAATACGGCAATGCCCTACAGGCTACTGCGTATAGGAAAAGCGAGTTGATTCTGCAGATGCTCCTCGTCGCTGGCGCCGATGTCAACGCCCAGGGTGGTAAATATGGTAACGCCCTGCAAGCTGCTGCATACAGTGAAAGCAGTGAGATCGTGCAGATGCTCCTCGAAGCTGGCGCCGATGTTAACGCCGAGGGTGGTGAATACGGTAATGCCCTACAGGCTGCTGCATACAGAAAAAACAGTGAGATCATACAGATGCTCCTCGATGCTAGCGCCGATGTCAACGCCCAGGGTGGTAAATACAGCAATCCCCTACAGGCTGCTATATGCCGGGCTTGGGATAAAAGCGCCAAGGTCGTGGAGATGCTCCTCATCGCTGGCGCCGATATCAATGCCCCGCGTAGTGAATACAGCAATGCCCTACAGGCTGCTGCATTTTGGGGAAGCGTTGAGATCGTGCAGTTGCTTCTCGCGGTTGGTGCCGACATCAACGCCCAGAGTGGTCAACACGGCAATGCCCTGGAAATTGCTATATGCAGCGACCGTAGTGAGATCGTGCAGATATTCCTTTATGCTGGAGCCGATGTTAACGCCCAGAGTGGTCAATACGGCAATGTCCTACAGGTTGCTGTATGTTGGGGAAGCAGTGAGGTCGTGCAGATGCTCCTCGACGCTGGCGCCGATGTTAACGCCCGCATCGATATCAATGTTAACGGTGGTAAATACGGCAATGCACTACAGGCTGCTGTCGATAGGGAGCGTAGAGATATTATACAGATACTCCTCGATGCTGGCGCCGAGGTTAACGCCGAGGGTGGTGAACATAGTAATGCCCTACAGGCTGCTATATGGACGAATCGCAGTGAAATCGTGCAGATACTCCTCGACGCTGGTGCTAATATCAACGCCCCAGGTGGTAAATACGGCAATACCCTAAAGGCCGCTATATACACGAGAAATAGGGTGATAGTGCAGATGCTCATCGATGCTGGCGCCGATGTTAACGCCCGCATCGATATCAACGTCGCGGGTACAGAATACGACAATGCCCTACAGGTTGCTATATACTGTGAAAACAGTGAGATTGTGCAGATGCTCCTCGACGCTGGCGCCGATGTCAACGCCCAGGGTGGTAAATACGGCAATGCTCTACAGGCTGCTGTAAATACGGAAAGCAGTGAGATCGTGCAGATGCTCCTCGATGCTGGCGCCGATGTCCACACTCAGGGTGGCCAATACGGCAATGCCCTGCGGGCTGCTATATGTCACGATTACCGCCAGCCTGTTTCCTACCAGAAAAGGGGTGAGATCTTGCAGATGCTCCTCGACGCTGGCGCCGATATCGACCCCCAGGGTAGCGGATACGGCGATGTCTTACAAGCTGCTACATATAATGCTTCCCGATACCCTGCTTCCTACGGGAAAAGCAGTCAGGTCGTGCAGGTGCTCCTCGATGCTGGTGCCGACATGAACGCCCAGGGTGGTGAATTCGGCAATGCTCTATGTATTGCTGCATACTGGGAAAGTAGTGAGATTGTGCAGGTGCTCCTCGACGCTGGCGCCGATCCCAACGCACAAGGTGGTGAATACGGCAATTCCCTACAGGCTGCTATATGTAACGATGACGGACAGTCTGCTCCATACGGGAGAAGCACCGAGGTTGTGCGTATGCTTCTTAACGCTGGCGCCGATGTCAACGCTCGGGGTGGTAGATATGGATCATCTATCTTGGCAGCGATTCATCAGGGCAAAGCTGATCAAGTTCAGACGCTCCTTCACGCTGGTGCAAATCCATGGCTTGCAAATGAACTTGACCAGACTCCTCTTCATATTGCCGCTTCGAAAAATGAGGTCAGCTTTCTCCAACAGTTCCCGGACCTTCTCTGCTCTATCAATGTGCGGGACAAGCTTTTGCAAACCCCACTTCATTTGGCTATTTGTCTCGGTCATATCGATTTTGCCACACGTCTCTTCCATCTTGATGCCAATCCTTCTCTTCGAGATGGTTATGGCAGAAATATCCTTGACTGGGTAAATGGAAATGAAAGCCTGATGCACCAAATTCAAACCCACTTCCCTTCAATTGTTGCGACCCCTGATTCTGCCCAAGAGCTTGCTGTTCGCCAATCCATCCTTCACATCTCAGATACGCTTCTTCAGTCTCAGTTGCACTTCCCCTGGCCCCTTGTGAATCAACTAGGGCGGTATCTGTTGTTTATCGGCGACCTAGACAATGCCCAATATCTATTTCAGCTGCATTTGTCTCAGGATACCTTTATTGGGACCCCCTCATACAAGCCTGATTGTGACAGTTGTAGACAGCCCATCGACGGCTCTCGCTTTGTGTGTAAAACCTGTGCCCATGTGGATCTATGCTCGCACTGCGTGCAGAATTATCCCTTCCACAGTCCATTACACCCAAATCAAAAGCATGAGACCTTTGAGGTGTCACTTGTGCTTGATGAAAAATTTGTGTCCACTGCTTCGACATCAGAGACGTTGAGAAACCTTCTTGAAGAGCTTTCTGCGTCAAATACCCACGGAAGCGGGAAGGGGCCATCACATGATTCCGTGGCTTGTCTGCCATCCACAGTCACGGTACCCAAAAGGACAGCTGTGACTTCAATGGCTCTCCTAGGTCCAAGCTCGACGTTCTGGCTTCTTTCGTTTGGGCTTATGGCAGTGTCGCTTACATACTGGTATACCTTGATCTGATTGAATATATTCCTCGCTTTCGCTGTCTCTAGCTTGTCATTATTAAAGAACGATCGCTCTAGTATACTGTTACCACACCCTGGACTATCATCTTCTGTGTGGCTTTCGTACGAAATATCCCTTAGCTTTATCCTATTATCCAAACTGGCGAAAACGCTATATCCCGACCTGCGACTAGTGCTTCTGATATCCAGTATCTCGGGGTTCTTAACAGCATTCGCCTCCTAGCTTTCCTGGCAACTATTCCGTTGTCCTCTCCCCGACGACTTGAATAGTACTATCCGATTTGGGGACATTTGGCACAATCCAAGTGAAGCCAATGTAGGCTGGGCCATAATCTTGTCATATCAATAAAGTAAAATGGAATGTTAGGGTTAGACATACAGTTCTTCTGTGTCGTATCTGGTACATGTGACTCCCGGTCGTCTTGTCCACTTTTAATTAAGTTGACCAACTTGACTGGGTTGTAATTCTCTATTGTAATGCTATAAGAAATAGGATTACCGTCCTTCTTTATTATCTCAGTTGATTTAGGCAGCCACAGCAAAGGGAGGGGACGGTGCCATGCTGATTTGCAATATTGAATTGAAAGTACATAGCAACCAGCTTTGAAAGTAGGCAGACAAAGATAGTGAGGGGTAGAAACTTTGAAACAAGCCATATCACATTGCTTCAATCAGCCTAGGTGGCAAATTTTGTCGATGGGTTACATTCTAGGCTCAAGTGTGAAGTGCATACTACCAAATGAGAGAGGGAGGGCATTCGATGCGGGCTAGAACATCGGCTTGGGAATATTGGTAATTGGCATAATCGAATAAAATGATTGGAAATCATACGCAGGAACCCTATTTAAGTATGGGTGCACGATAAAAAACCGGCACGATAGGTGCAGCTATTGTATTCCATAGTCATGTTGAGGATATATATATTACGGAGCCCGGGTGTTTATTTTGAAAAGTCCAAAATGAAAAGTTTGGACGTCCAATCACAATAAAGATGACGATGTGATTCCCCAGGAAACTATATTGAAATTGCATGCCTAGGTGAATAATATGCACTAGACCTGTTGCGATAATCCTTGTCCAGCTGAGCGACGAACTTTATCAAGTCTTCATTGAAACAAGGCGTTCTCTGCCTTGCGCTCGGGCCAGGCAAAGCCACAAGTGTCAGACAGGGTTTATTCATGATTGTTATGCTGAACAGATTTCTTGCTGCCTGCAGATTCAGCAATTTGAGGGTTACAATTCGTTTGTTTTTGCCCTGTCAAGCAAAACATACACCTGTGCGTAATCCGTCGCATGTCGGCTGCTTGCAGTTCGTCAGCATCGGCCCGGGCCCACTAGTGGACCCTCGATGGTTCCTCAGCCACTCATCTTGGAGTACGCGATGGAGAGCCAGCTGAATTTTTCATCGACCAAAAAAAAGAAATCTTGAGGTGTTTTTGTAGGAATAGCCGAACGCGGGGGTCGAACCCGCAGCCTTAAGATTAAGAGTCTTACGCTCTACCGATTGAGCTAGCCCGGCCGGGCTGTTGTAGAACGTTGCATGAACACAATTGATATTGGCATACTGCCAGGCTCCGGTTAGGCCTTGACTTGGTCAATAGTTAGTATGGGGGTAGCAAACAAATAACGCAAGGGGCTGAACGTTGAGGTGAGAGATATTCCATCATGGCAAGGGTGGATTGGGGTATGATGGAATCCTCGAATGACAAAAGAGAACAATCTGTCCCTTCGAGGTTGTCGCGCGCGACGGGAGGACAGGTGTCCTGGTATAAGCAATGTGACTCGCTGGTGCCTGGGGAGGCAGCGATAAAAAAAAAGCATTGAACGAAAAAACGAAATCTGACGTGCGCGTCAAGCGACGCGAATTGTCAGACGAGGAAAGCAATCAAGAGTCTGGTCATAATCGAAAAAGGATCCTTGGCCTGAGCACTGGCCTAGCTAGCACGGACAATTTGGGGAACGGAACCCCATAAGAAGAGATCAGTGGCTGGTGTATCGAATCATGAATGAGAGATAGAGAAAACGGTGGCGGAGGCTCAGCATCATTCCAAACTGGGAATAAGCTGGAAAAAGCACTGGATGAGAGGCTTCGTTCGGAGTGTAGAGGCTGGTGGCTTGCGGCTGAGGGCACAGGTTGAGGCTAGTGACAATCCCCAGATACGGGGGGGCCAAGATGAATCCGAGATCGCACGCTATTCTTGGAGAATCTGAAACGTTCTAGTATCCCCAAATATGGAACAAGCGAACAATGCTCAAAGCATGATGTGATTTAGGCACTGCCAGAGCTGTCTCAGTAGACGCTGATAGAGATGGCGGCCGTGGGGGGCCTATGAGTGTAAGGAATGTGCGGGCAAGAACCCCTTCCATCGAACATCCGTGAATGTAATGGTGTGGTCAAATCTTCAAATTCTATTTCCAAGGTGAGAAACCAAAGGGCGCAAATGACATCGACCTGAGGCCATTTCTCAGGGGGGACACGAGACCCTTGTCATAGCGCAGGAACACGAGAATCAGAAGCCACACGACATCCTTGAATGGATCGGACCGATGATGACCTGCGTAATGAGATTACCGTGTCAAATACTTGATGTCATGAGGTTATGGCTTCAAAAAATCATTAGTGCCTTTGTGAAATTGCGGTCGGGAACCCAAAGGGCACTGGTGGAAGATGCATGACATTGAGAGCGTCTAGAGGCAGACCGTTCATTAGGCGGATTGGGCCAATCAGAGGGTCGGCTGGCGTAAATACGGCGGTGTTCGAAGCCAAGGCACAGCCTCCCTAGCCACAGACAGTCGAGATAGGCCGGTACGAGGAAAGTACCTGGTGCGTGCTTGATTTAGTGTGAAGCGCCAAGTACTATGAAGGTAGTGCAGATCTCCCAGGCTCCACAGACGCCATACCCTCCAGGCTCCAGGGCAGCATCTATAGCCCGCATGAGACCTGCATACTATATAACGGCGCTCTCCCCCCTCCCTTTCCACTAGAACATCTGCCTCAAACCACATACATTTGACATACATTGGAACATTCCAAATCTATTGTCACACTTAAATCTCAGTTAACTCCCGGATCATCTACATACGGTGGTCATCTACCATCTTCGCGTGACACCCCATACATCAGTCACAGTGTCGCCCTATCGCTCCACCTCGTACTTCGTGGATCCTTCGACTCTCTCGACACGAGAAAGATCTCCTCCCCGTCTAAATCTGAGACGACGTCTACTTGGACTACGGCGCACCAACAGCATGCCTGCTCCTATTGAGATAACAGAACCCGTCGTTGTGGTACGCGAGCTTCACGACGACGAAAAGCTGGTCGTCACTGACTTCGAACGTCATGCCAAACGCTGCCGCGACTGCTCTGATGCTGTCCAGACACACAGGGATGGCCGCACACTCTGCGAGTCAGGAAGCACCCGCGCCCGCGATGTCACCAACTACCTCTACAGCCGCAACGGGAAGCACTTCTCGACTGTGGATTACGAGAACGGCAAATACACTCGAGTGAAGCTGCCCCGGGAGGACTTCGCTGTCCGCAACCTTCTCACAGCCTTGGAACAGGGTATGCGTCTTCGCCCAAAGCCCGCCCTTGTCCAGCCTGTCCAGCCCGTCCAGCCCGTCCAGCCCACCGAAACTGTCAGCTACGACCCTACCTACCTCGTTCCAGCTCGCCGCGTCAGCGGCAGGCAGGTTCGTCCTCGCTCCACATCCCCTGAGACCTATCAGATCATCGAGAGATCTCCTCGCAATTCCCGCTCTCCTACTTCGATCCTGTACCGCTCCCCCGGTGGCTCCTCCAGCCGCCCATCATCTAGCCGTGGATCGCTGTACAGCACCGACCAACTGGAACGTGTGGAGCGTCAGTATGAGACCCCTCGCCGCTACGTTGAGAGCTCTTCCAAGTATCACCGTTGAGCGTATACGTGGCAGCAATTTTCAACTCTGGTTTATCGAAATACGGTTATACGACTACAACCCACCCCAATCGCTTTGAAGAAACTTCAATTCGTTCATGATGGGCATTGATTGCCCCCTTTAGACCGCGAGACGGTCTTTGCCGGTAATGTGCAAGTAGCACATTACTGGCCCCCACCCAGTCTTTGAAGACCTGGATTGATTGGGCTTGCCTGGATGCGCCCTCGGAAATTCACTTTCCTGCTTTTTTTCCAGCTTTGATTTCTGACTCGAGCCCACGGGGTCCCTAGATTTGGGGGCTTTCCCCAGTCTGGGACCCCGACTTCAATGTGACTCGAGAATTGACTTGACTGCACACAGTAATCTGCAAGCTTGGCCTCGCCCCATTACTGGTGCACTCTTCCGGGAAGGATGTGCGTGTGGGGGCTGAGCCAATGACAGATGCAGAAAGTCGACGATGTTCATGCGTGTTGTTTTGTTTTGTCTCCTGCTGCACGTTTTATTGGCTATCGTTACTGTGACTCATGATTTATGCGGAGAAGCTTGTCTTTCGCGATGATTTTACCATTTTCCTTTGTTTGATGATTGGAATGTGTCCTTGGGCACAAGGCTGTCAACCTTTACACTCTTTAGAACAGCCCCCGCTCATGAGAATGAATATGCTGTACGGGTTATGAAACATTGAATATTTTTTGGAACTGTCTTTCATGTTTGAAAATAGGAAATTTAAAATAGACAAGTGCTAGGCAGCGAGACATCGGCATCTGTTCTCAAGCATAGCACATTGGTCGGCGATCTAGACATGGAATAACCCCACGTTGGCCAAGGCGCGATGATCATGAAATCCACTCACACTCTTTCTCGCCATTCACATTACTCTTCTCGAGGCCGTTACCAGTTCCATACGTGACTCACTGCGGGGTTGTGGCTGAGGCCTCTGGAATGACAGATTCTGCCTGAGGCGAGAAAGCAGGTCCCGTTCATATGCATGAATGCATCTCTACAGATCCACGAATAAGGACATGTGAATCTCGATGATGATGTCGAACAGCATGTCAAAGAGTGACAGACAATGTGTCACCAGGTGAACAAGCGACAGTGACCAGCGATACTATCTCTAGTAAACTCTGTGTGATTATTTCTCAAGTCACGATACCAAGTCAAACCGCTTAAATTAGTCACGGATAGGGCATGAATATTGCTGTGCTAAGTAATTCCCAGAATAGATAAATCGCGTATTTCTTAGTTATAATAATTCGGCACTTTCAGTCCCTTGAACTCGAACGACGTGTTTTCCCGCCGGTCAATGACAGTCCTATGGTGGACATCCCGAACCCGCGCTCGAACGTATTCAGTCCCCGTAGCAGCAGGCTGACTCTGGTCTTTATCTTCTTCCGAGAGCAAGCCCAGACGCTCAAGCACAGGCGATGGCACTGTCCTCATAACAGTATGATCTCCTGGTCGACAGAAATAGAGTAATCCAAGACGAGGGATACTGATCTGATCTCTGGGGGGTGTCACAACACGATGGATTGTGGATTTGATGAAACCTGTTGTCCTGTTAGCTGCAGCCCGGCTATCATGCTTTAGGCACTTACCATTGGTAAGGAATGATAACGTGTCAGCAGCATTGCACGTAATCCCACCCTCGACCGGCTTCACGTATTTCCAATCTCCATCAGACGTGCGGATCTGCAAGCCCGCAACATGTTGAGAGAAAAGCAGCGTCAAGCTACCAAAGTCCGTGTGACCACCTTTGGTATAGCCCTGTGCCTTGTCCCACTCTTCTTGGGTGCGGGTGTTGTAAATCATATATCGCAAATGGTCATCAGAGCGCTTGTTATATGCATGGGCATCAACGAGGAAATTTTCCGGCAATTCTAGGATAATCGCCATAAGGACGAATAACTTCCTGATAACCTTGTCAAAAAGATCGCGGTGGAAGTCCGCAATCTCATCGTAGTTCTGACGAACAACCCGGTGTTTAGGAACATCATCCCACTCAGGGATGGCTTTGGGAACATTAAGCTGCATAAGTTAGCGCTTATCCTCGATCATGAATTTAGCAAGGTAGGTACGTTACCATTTCTACGTTATCTTTGACACCCGTCTCTCCAATCCACCTCGAGTTCTCCCGATAGCCGAAATACTCACCCTCGGAGAAATTGCATTCAAAGCTTCGTTTCTCCTCCAGGGACTCTTTGAAAAATGCATCTCCGATACTGAATTGGCGTAGGACTTGCTCGTCGCCAAGCCCGTGGCCTACCACCACCCAAAACCCGACTCGGGTCACCGCATCGTATAGTTGTTTTGCGAGCTCTTCCTTTCCGCCGGGCTCGTCGAAACGAGATAGATCAATTTCAACAAGTGGAGCCCAATCAAGCTTCTCTTCTGTGGGTGAGGGACGAACCCATGGCTTGATTGGGACTTTTTCGGTTGGGGGTTGGTCTACTAAAGCGGCGGGAGCCATTTTGCTCTTGAAATAGACAGTCGCAATGACAGATGTGAAAGAGAATTAGGATGTAAAATCAATCTGTCTAAATATTGGAGATCAGCTGGTGATTCACTGTATACTCCGGAGTGTTTTCGGAGGTTTCTTTCGGTGATATACATCCCATTGCTTGGAAGGATGCGGGGTCTTATGGTATCATGCTGGCCTTGGATTGCGCTATATATGACGACTTTTGTATGCCGTGAACTAACTATATGTTGAATAGTGTTTGGCAGACTGAGCTTCTTTGCCAGTACTCCCTGGCCTATAAGGCTCCAGTTTTCCCAGTTCTGAGAATCATAGTTTCTTCTCCTTCTCTCTCTCTCTCGCCTGTAGTCCGAAGAGTGATGAGCCCTCTTTGCTAGTCTAGGATCACTAGCACTTCCCAGACCTTTCTAGATTTCTCCTACAGACTACCGAGCCCCGCAAGGCAAGCCGAGTGGTCACTCGACAGATCAACACCACATTTACCCCATTTTCGTCCGAACAGAGACGTCAACATGGCTGATCCAGCCCGTGATAGTCTGAGATAGGCGCTCGGACCTGTTACGCAGGGAACTGATACCGTGCCTGACGCACAGCCAGATTCCGGGTCCAACGACGACCAAGGTGGGTTGGATCAAGCTGATGAGATGTATGTCGTTAGTCAAGGCTTGACCCTCCCGAAACCTCTCTTGCAAAGATCTAGATGATTAGTGAGTTGAAAAGAATAACGAAAAACGTCAAGGCCTGTCATGCTAAAATAGTATACAATCGGTGCAACTAAATCATTAGGTGTTCGAACGAAGTTGGAGTTAGGAAAGTCAAGAGGCTACCACCTTCGTCTGAACTGGTGTAAGAGCGATAGAAAGGATGGAAACATGTTTAAGGGAAACAAATCAGCTTGAGTGTGGATGGAGATATGAGATGAAGATGATTAACACTGAGCGTCGTTATAAAACTAATATACTTGCTAAAAGCCCCCTAGGGGCGCATGCATATCCAAGATTAAAACGATGATGTACCAATGCAATCGGCCAGGGGAAGAGAGAAAAAGAAAAAGAAAAATTTAATATATTTTTTATTTGGACTGTTGCAAAAGAGAGATTGTTGAAAGTCAAAGGATCTCAATCCTTCAGTACATCCATGAACCAATCACTGCGCAGCGACTCCCCAGGGCAGCTCCCCGTTAAATTTAGGCTGCCCCTTGCTCTCAGGCGCAGCAACATCAAAGTCCCAACGATCCGGTACCTCCAATCCACCTTCAAAATGATGCCTGACGAAGAGCAAGGAAACACCATCCCGGTACAGCCAAGCGTCTTCCGTCCGGCGCTGCCACTGCTCCAGAGTAGTCCTCATCTCCTCGAGAATGGTCTGATACTCGGGGTCCTTTGCAAGATTGCGAATCTCGTTTGGATCCGCTTGAATATCATAAAGTTCTTCAGCTGGACGGAAGAAGTAATCCTTCAAAGGCCTGGACCCAATCATCTTAGGACTGGTATCGGCATTTCGAATCTCCTCCCATGTCAATGAGCCGTAGATGTCAGCAGCGAAGGGAAAATCTAGTCGCCAGGCGATGTTGCGGTGGTACTTGTATCGACGGTTGCGCATCATGCGCGTAGGCCAGTAATTGGTGGCCTCGTGGAATGTGTGCGATCCAAAGACCTGCCCCCAGTCCTCGAGGGGGGATGCTTCACTGAGAATTGGGAGGATCGAACGGCCGATCCGGTCTGGGTGCTCGGGGCTAGGATGCTTGGCATAATCGAGAAGTGTAGGCAGAATATCGATATATGAAACCATGTTTGGGTTGGTGATGCCAGCAGCTGAGCCAGGGCATTTCATGATCAATGGTAGACTGACACCGGCGTCATAGAGGGTTGTTTTGGAGTTGATGAACGGAGGCCCATTGTCACTTAGGAAGATGACTAGAGTATCATCCTCTAGCCCGGAATTCTTCAGTCCCTCTAGCACCATACCGACACCTTGATCCAATCGGGAGATAGACTTGTAATATTCCGCAAATTCATAGCGCACACCGGGCAGATCATTGACAAATGGTGGAACTTCCACGTCGTCCGGGGAGTAATCGACCTTCTTCACACGTGCATCATATTCGCCATCATTCCCAAATCCAGAACGGGTCCAGTCCCGGTGCGGATCAATGAACGCGACAGTCAAGAAGAATGGCTTGTCGTCTGCACGAGACTTGTCAAAGAATGCGGAAGCCTGATCAGCAACTGCTGCCACATCACGACTATCACTCTCTGCGCACATCTCCCATGGGTAAACATTCGACGGACCAACATGGAGCTTTCCAATCAAGCCAGTGGAGTACCCGTGTTTTGAGAAGAGAGCAGGTGCAGTCTCGACATGGTCGAAGGTCGTGAAATGGTGTCGGCCATTGTGCAGGCCATATTGCCCATTTTGGTGAGTGTGCAGGCCAGTATAGACGACGGAGCGACTGGCACTGCAAGAAGCAGTTGATGTAAAAGCCTGATCGAACTTCGTTCCCTCGGAGGCTAGCTTGTCCAGGTTTGGGGTTTGAATCTTGCTATTCCCGTAACAGCCAAGTTGTTTTCCCAGATCATCGGCGATCATGAGGAGGATGTTGCGTTTAGCCATGTTTGATGTGAGAATCAATTATCTTCTACAACGGAGATGTGTGAGTTGATTTTTGGGAACTGGTGACTGGGATCCGCGCCATAATATTCTTTAGTTCTGCGATAAACGGATGTCGGTTTGTTTATCGTGGCAACGTGGGGGCCAGACCTATTGCGCGGATGTCGGTCGGATCTCGCGTAGGAATAGATTGCTGGCCCCATTTGGTTCTGATGGGGCTTCTCGCGCAATCTCGTGAGTTAATGTCGTGATATAATATGTCTAGAGAACCTAAAACACACGAAGTGATAGAGCTATCAGAATGAGCTAACCATGTCTTCCGTGCCTAGGTGGCTAGAAATGGACGATGGGAGGGGAGAGGGGAGCGCAAGATGAAAACGCCCCTGGACATTTGTGCTCTATCTGCCTGGGGCGCTCAGGCACCGAGGCCTTCAACATGTTGATTTTAGTTGCTTTCACCGAGGTTTGGTCTACAGTAGCAAAGATGTAGCAAAAGATTCGAAAAATCACGAAAAGGCGGAGGACATATGGAATATCTTCATTCTCCATCGCAAATAACCATTCTAGTCTACAGATTGTAGCTTACCGCGATGCCAGCGTTGAGGGTCAACTTGAGACTACCGAAGAATAGCGAGAAGATGGGAAAGATGAGAAAATATGGGAAGCATAAACCAATTCTAGCTATCTGGAAAACCAGGAAAACAGATGCATTCGTGTATAATATCCTGAAGATCAACAAAACTCTTTCTAGGATATACATCGGTTTGCACAAACAAATAAGTCAAAGCAAGTCGAAGACATCCTAGCACCTACTATTAATTAAAAGATTGTATATATCGAACTACTATCTACTCCTTCGACTCTTTGACGGTGGTCACTCCCACTTTTCCCGCATTCAACTGCTCCTTCGCCTGCTCAATATCGGTAATAAACCGACTGGGTTCGGATTTGGCTTTGAACGCCCAGATGCTTTGGTTATTGAACACATCGTCGATCTCCTCGAGTGACTTGCCACAGGTCTCTGGGAAGAAAAGGAAGACGTGGACTGCGGCAGCCATACAAGTACTTCCGAACACGCAGTACATCTAGCGAAGTCAGTGATATCCTATATAACTTTAACAGTTATTGAACGCACCTTCCATTGAATATGCTGGAATCCAGGTGGGGAGAAGAATGTCAAAGCAAAGTTGCAGACCCAGTTGAAGCATGTCGCCAGAGAAACTGATTTGCTGCGGATGTAGAGGGGAATGATCTCGGGGGGATAGGCCCTGTTAGAGCAAAGTTAGTTATTGTAGTCAGCAGAAATTCCTGCAAGTGATTGAACATACCATCCTAAAGGTCTTCAAGGGAGAAAAAGGTTAGCTAGCAGACTTTTGCAATCCATATGACAGAGAGTACTCACCCCCAAGTAGGCGCATAGACCGCAATGAACAGGTAAGAACAGGCAATAATTGCCTTTGACGCCCGGCCATTGTTGACCATCCACGTAACTGTAGGAGAACCCTTAAGGCCACCTGGAACAGCCTCGCCGTATGTTTTCATAAGCCCTCCCTGAGTGAACTGAAGGATTGACATGCCGATAGCACCTGCAATGAACAAACGGCGGCGTGGAAGACGATCAATGAAGAGTAGTGCGGGAAGTGTCATGACAACATTGATAATGTATTGGATCGTCGCGGACAGAAGTGCGTTGTTGCCTGACAGTCCAGCCATCTGCAGATATGTTAGTCCAATATTCACATCGGATGGCATTGCACGCGGTTCTTACTTGGAAAATGTAGACAATGTAATACATCATAGCATTTGTACCGCTGAATTGAGACCAAACATGGGTGAAAATGCCACAGTGTACGCGAACAATATTTCGGGAGTTGAACACCTCCGACCAGGAGGTGCTCTGATATTGGCGCTCAAGTCTGGGGCTCGGTCAGTAACAGCAAAGGAATCAGTTGGAAAATAGATATCGACTGCTTACTCAAGCTTCTCTCTAATTTCAGTGACTTGCGCTACCACGAGGGGATCAAGGGTATCGCCCTTGGCGTGTAGTCGGGCAATGATCTCTGTAGCCTCCTCCCATCGGTCCTGTGTGGCCAGCCAGCGAGGGGACCTTGGCATCATGGGCAGAACGGACAGAAGGATAATAGCTGGTATCATCTGGAGACCCCAGGGAAGACGGAACACCGCGGTAGTTTTCAAGAACGTCGATCCGTATGATATGAAGTACATAATGAGGATCTGAGACAGCATTAGCCACGCGCAATCGAAGAGACATGAATTGAGCACATACACCCCAAGTAATCATCCACTGCTGCAAGCTAAGAAGTCTACCGCGCTGGTGCGGAAGACTGATCTCAGCAATCAAAATGGGACTGGAGATGATGTTAGTGGCGGTGACAAGTTCAGCATAGCGCACATCTTACCCTTGGCTGGTAAGTATTCCAACGGAGAATCCATTGATAATGCGCGAGGCAATCAGCATGGCAGTGTTTTGCACCGCACACATCAAAATCGAGCCGATCAACCACAAAATACACGCAATCACCATCGAGTCGCGTCGACCATATCGATCACTTGTCCAAGACGAAAAGAGCGCACCAAGCAGCGAACCACCGGCCATACTGGCTGTGATACCACCTTGTGCAACTGAATCCGGCTTGTTGAAGTAGGTCTTATATTGATCGGTGCCAATGATTCCAGACATGCTCGAAACATCGAAGCCCTGGATGAGACCGCCAATGGTCGCCAGCCCACTGACGAGGTAGACATTGCTGAACTGAGGTATTTTGCCCATTGTGACGAGCTTGAATCACAATTTGACGCAGAGAAAAGGTCACAGCATATAGAAAGGTGTTATATGGTCTGGGACCCCGGACTTTTATGTCGCTCCACTCATTGGAACCACCTGGGCCGATCTCCACGACTTCGTTCACTGGCCAATGAAATCCGGTTTCAGGCCGATATCCGTGTTTCTTACCGGGACCCGATATTTTGAGTGCGAACGTCAAGTGGGTAAGGTATGGTGAAATCGTGGCTTGAGGAGCTAGCAAATATACGAGGATAATGGGGCAAAATCAATATGTCCTTTTTGGACGTGGTTCAATCGCTTAGATCGGTATGGTGCAAAGTTCTTGCACCAAGACCCCAAGCAAAGTCCGCGAATGACTCTGTGTTCAGACATCTTACCATCGTCGAACTCAGTCCAACCCATACTATCATTCTTTAGCAGGCAATCAGAAATATCAAGAGCAGCGTTGCTCAGCTTAAGCTTAATCGACAGCTTTGCCGCGGTCCACCGCCATTGCCGACATCGGGCGAGATCCGGTCCCCGCTTCTTCTCTTTATTGTACCCTCTCTCTCTCTTTCTCTTTCTCTGTGCTTTCAGTTGTACGCCGGAAGTCGGCATGTTATCATGGAGTGGAGATATGGAATCCGCGAGGGACCCAGCATCGCGGCAATCAGTCGCACCTTCAACCACTCGCAGATCTCGATCAGGTTAGCTCCCTCCTTGCCAAGACATATAAAATGTCCAGGCTTAACAATCCTAGGATGTTTGCTGTGTCGCGCGCGTAAGGTAAAATGTGATGAGCGCTGGCCAACATGTTCGAATTGCGAGCGTCTCAGGTTGGACTGTCCTGGCCATCCAGGTCAGGTCGGCTTCGTTCCCAGGATCCACAGAAGCGCGAGGCGGGACGCCACACTAACACAAGCCGGTACAACACGACATCGAGTATCTAAATCATGTCATTGCTGTCGCCTTGCAAAGGCACGGTGTTCAGGGGGAGAAAGATGTACTAGGTGCATCCGACGAGACATTGAGTGTACGTATGGAGCGGGTCGTGTGGAACAGAATCAAAGCAAATCGGATTCTGAATCTTATTCGGGTGTTCATGACCATTCTTCGAGCTCGATCCCTATAACAAATGCGCCTCAAAGAATTCAACAAGTCCTCGAAACACCTGCTGGAAGCACGCCTAGCTCTATGTCATGGTATATTGGTCTGTTTATTGTGCCAGCCGATCCAAAGACTAACTTGGCCAGGCTTCATTCCCCACAATTACCCGACAAAGAGCGGATTATTATGCTCGTCGAAGAGTATTTTGCTCATGTTCACCCCTTACGTTGCTTTGGATTTGTGCATAAGCCTTCCTTCATGCAGCGATTGGACGAAGATCTAGAATCTTGCTGCAATGATGAATCACTGCTTCATATTATCTGTGCGCTGGGAGCAAAGTAAGCCTCCAAACCCATATCTGACGATTGAATGCAATCCTTACGATGGACAGGTTCTTCGCTCTTGATTATGCTTCCCAATTTCCCCCGGAATTAATACTTACTGCCGGTAATCAGTGGGCGAAAATCGCCAAGGCTCGAGTATTTGCGGACTTGGATGATCTGTGTCTGGAAAAGTTAATGGTATGCTCTTTTAATCAGACTACACGAATTGACCGGAGGCTATTGTGACTGACGATTGCTCATCAAGTCTGCAATTCTGCTGTATGATCATGACCTTCGAGTTGGAAGCTATGCAAGTGCGTTCATTCTTAGTGGCATCACTGCCAGGATATCACAAGCATTGCAGCTCAATCTTGAGAGTTCTGCCGATATTCTTTGTACTCGCCCGAACTCCAACTCTCCGATTACGAATGAATCTAAGCGGCGTCTGATGTGGAGCTGTTATGTCATGGACAGTTGGGTAGGCAGCGGTGTCAATCAGCTTACTCTCCTTGAAGACAAAGATTTGGAGATTCAGCTCCCTTGTCACAGCCACAACTTTTCTTTGGGAATTCCCTGCATCACCGAAATTTTAGATGTGGGAAAGATTCTGGCGTTCATTCCGAGAGAACAGATTTATTTTCAAGCAGCGCAGAATATGGGCATAGAAGCTTATTTTATTCGCCTTGTGGGCATTCGAAAAAGAGTTCTTCGGTAGGCTATTTGGGCTCTGACTTGGTCATATATGTGTCGCTTACCCCATATCGTCTAAAGATATGTCAAACAGCTTGATAGCACGAAACCCCCCTGGGAAACTGATTCCGAATTCCAACAATTATCGACCGAAATCGGAAGCTGGCGAGAACATCTCCCACATAGTCTCAAGTGGCACTCTGGTGCAATTTGGGCCCGCAAAGAAGCTTCACAACTAGGCGCATTGACACTGCTTTGGTGCACCTATCACCAAACGTCGGTCGATCTATATCGGATTGGTATGCCAATACTTTTCCGCATCAGACGACATGTTGAGTTTCCATCAGATCAGAAAGCACTTTTGGACAATTGTTGCAGATTATGCTTTAACAGCGCTCGAGAAGTTTCTAAGACTATTGCCGAAGCCTCGAAACATGGGATCAAAGCTTTGGCTGATACCTGGCTTTGCATCATTGCACATGATAGCATTAAGGTCATGCTTTATTATTTGAGACATATCACTGACTCATCGGTTACTTTGAGCGCATCTGAGTCGGAGGAAACGATGATGCTGGCGAAGAGTAATTTAGATGCCCTCATGCAAATGAGACCTCTTGTTGCAACAGCTGAGCATTGTGTATGTCCCCCTTTTCGGCCCAACAAACAACTCTATCCACGATCCCCACTGATTATCGTTATTTAGTATCTTTCTGCTGTCAAGATGATGACTTCAACAGACCCACAATCCTATCCTTCACATAATTCTATAAGTGAGCGAGATCTAGAAGGAAATGGGGAAATGTAAGGCTTCCAACTCAATCTCCATCCGCATCTTACTGACGTTGCCTCTAGATCTTCCCTTCCAGACTCACCTGTTCAAGAATCTCCGGAGGCTGTGTTGAACCCACTAGCAATTTATCGCATGGCGCGAACAGCTTTACGTGGCAAAGATACACGAGGGTCAAATTCGGGTTCTCCTTCGACCACTCATAGCGTCTCGTCTGAAATACCGCAATCCACAAGGAGTCTTCTACGGGCGACGAAGTGTGCCGCCTGTTCATAACCCTCTGATTAGATAATATTGCCAGGCAGTATTTTAGTCATCTAAGGTCAAATGCCTCATTTTGCATATTTTATGCCTGAATATGCCTGAATTTCGACTAGCATAAATCAAGATACCAGGGCTGAATCAACGGGCGGGTGGGCATGACAGAGGGATTAATAAGCAAAGTGTTTTTCCAGGATGATTGGAAGTTCAAAAAGATGAAGCTATTCCCACTACACAAATGCCCGCATACACCTATTTCCTAGCGTTAAAGCCTTTTCACTACGTAATCGTCTCCTACTGTCTAGCTTCTCCCCACTCTTCTCCTCCCCTCCTCTAAGGGAAGTACACTTCCATAAAACTAGGAAAAATAATGGTAGAGTATTTACCAAAAGAGCCATTATAATAATTAACTAGTTATCATATTAGGTTTCTCACTTAAATACCCCTACCTTAAATGCACAAATATAGGATAAGACGTACCCTCCAGCTTAATCCTTAGGTCGTGACATAAGGCGTCTCCTTATTGTAAGGGATGCAATAGTGAGGCCATACGCATCGCGTAGACTGATATACATAGCATTTAGAGATACGCCGCTTTAGAAAAGAGAGATAATATCATCTTTATGGGCTTTAAGATCAATGCTTAGTCGCACCATTGTGGAGTATGTTGGTATAGAAATAAAAGAGAAATTGAAATTGTATACATAAGGCTTCGAAAAGGCGGTGATAAGTGCGGGAATACAGCGGTGAAAGGATTATCCAATCAGAGAGTTGTGAACAGGCGGCATACTTCGTCGCCCGTAGTCTTCGACAATCTCATCTACATTCGAATATCTCCACATTAAATCCTAGACGGCAGCAATCGCAACAGCCATACTCATCCCACATTGATGCAGGATCCACCATGCTACAGACTTTCGAATCCGCGCCTTCTCTGACGAGACCGGAAAACCCGTCGCTGGTTTCTAATAATTTCCCACAATTCTCATCCTTCAGTACCGCCGGATTGTGGGATCCTACTGAGATGGGTGTGATAAACATACTGGCCGATGGAACGGCCCCTTGGGCTGTGGAGTATTTGACTAATGGCCAGTCAAGTGTCGATCCATTTCTGTTTCCGTTTTAGACTGGTTATCGTGGGCAATCGGGGCTGGCTCCAAGGTTTCGTCGACCGACATAGCATAGTGCTGAGTGGATTTCCATCTAATATATTTGATCAGAGCGATGGCGTGATTTATACGAGTTTTCTTTCGTATTTTATTATGACGACTGGAGCCCTGAAGCCCTGGACCCCTGGAGCCCACCTCCGGCAGCCGATTTCTGATGACTAATTTGCCGGTTCCCTTGGGGCGGTGAGGCCACATGGCCCGTGACCCAAACTCGATCGTCTTCAGGTCGCTTCGGCTCGCTTCGGACGTCAAAGCGACATCCGCGATCACGTCAAAGCTACTAAAGATTGCGGGGAAAGCATTGCGGCATGTAGCCAGCCGTGCAAAATGCGCCAACCCCAGGAACTATGCGCTTGGCGTCTTGGAAAACACGTGGAGAGCCGGCTATCGCTTCAACCCTGAGTACGAACAATAGATTGCAGAATCCTGATTCCTGATGCAAGATGCGTAATATTCTCTCCATATCTCGCCATCCGGTCGTAGGCTACTTAAATGACAGGAAGGCTTTCAGTTAAACATCCTCCAGTCTTACCTCAATCATCTATTGTTTGCCCGATATGAAGGTTGCTCAATATCTTGCAATTCTTCCGCAACTTTGCGCGGCAGCTAGCTATTATTTCGATGGCTCTGCTGCAACGAACGGGGAAGGCACTGAAGCAAAACCATTCAACACGCTGTCTTCGATCCCAAGTCTGTCACTCTCTCCAGGCGATAACATTTTGCTCAAACGAGGCACCACTTTCACCGGTCCACTATCACTTGACAGCAGTGGATCCGCCGGATCGGTCATCACAATCGGTGCTTATGGCGACGCCTCAAAGTCGAAGCCAATTGTTCAGGCAGGCGACAGTTTGAGTTCGGTCTTGATCAAAGGAAGCTCCTTTGTCACTGTTCAAGATCTTAACATCACCAATCCGGGAGACAATTCGTCACCGCGCCGTGGTGTGTACGTGTATGCATCGGATGCTGGACGAGTCCAAGAAATTACCCTCCAGCGTCTCTATATTCATGATGTACGAGGCTGGATGCCTTCAACGACAACTTCTGGGGCTGGTACTGGAAAGTACGCGAATGCTTCCGGTGCCATTGTGGTTGAAGCCGCGGGCTCCGTAACTCCAACCTATTTTGATCGCGTCACAATCCAAGACAATGAAATCCGTTCCGTGGACCGGCAGGGAATCTACACTTGGACTAATTGGTGCCGGAGAGACGCGCTCGCTGCGTTCTGGAATAGCCTTTGCACCAAACCATGGGCGGCGTCCTCTGGATTGGTGATTCAAAGGAACCGTCTGTATGATATTGGTGGCGATGGAATCGTTGTCAAGGGCAACAATGATGCCCTTGTCCTCAGTAACACCGTTGTGGGCTTCAATCGGCGGTCTGAGTCCTTCAATGTTGGAATTTGGACCGCTAACAGCGATGGGTCTATCTTCCGGTATAACACTGTATCAGGTGGCAAGACAGAATATGATGGTATGTTTTCGCAGTTTCAGAAATTCCGCGAACGAAGCTAACTCATGATTAGGAATGTCATATGATGTGGACCATTCAACCTCGGGTACTCTGTTCGAATACAATCTTTCCCACAACAACGAGGGTGGATTCTTCCTACTTTGCCCTTACGACAAGCCAACTCGAAATTTCACAATCAGATACAACCTTTCAGTCAATGATCGGGCAAGGATCTTCAACATTTGCAGCGGATCCCTCGTTGATGGACAGATCTACAAAAACACCATTTATATTGGAGCTGGTCTCTCGCCTAATATCGTGAATGAAGGCACTTCTGCAAGCCTTGATGTCGTATTTTCAAACAACATCATCAGAAAGGAAGGTGCCGGTACGGCCAAGTGGGTTTTGGATGACGCTTCCTTCATTGTGGACAACAACGCGTTCTACGGATCTATCGACACTTATTCCAAAGCCACCAAGTCCATCACCGGGATGCCCGGTCTGGCAGCTCCTGGATTGAGGGATCCCAAAGCGTATCTGCTAGCAAGCGGTTTCGCCACCTTGGATGCTGCAACTGTCGTAGAAAATGATGCGAGCGTGGACTTCTTCAATAATCCTACAAGCGCGCACCGGAATCTCGGATTTTACTCTGGTCCTGGAACAAAGACACCGACATGGATCAGTCGCTTTGATGATTCGACTCTCTCCGGTTGGACCGCAAACGGAGGAGCCTCCATCGTGGCAGACCCAGCCGGCGACCTCGGTAACTCGGTTTCACTATCCTCTGGTGCTTCGATTACCAGAGACATCTCTCTGAAAGCTCCGTTCCGCGTTAATCTGAGGATCTGGATTCCAGCTGGTAGCGATGCTTCAGCATCAGTTGAAATCCAGGGGGCCTCCAAGTCTGTCACTGTGCAGTTCTCTAATGCTTCACCCTACAGACTGGGCGAATGGCAAATCCTGGAAGTTTCGTTTTCCGACAGTGGGTCGAGCGCCACGGTTGACGGAGAATCGGTGTCTATTGGAGAGAAAGCCAATGCAGGCACCACTTCATTCGTTAAGATCAACGGTGGCTCGTCTGGTTTGATTGCCGATGAAGTGTTTGTTACAGGAGTGTAAATGTTGTTCTGTGGGGATTCCACCTCCAGAGTTTGATTGATGTATCTATTTGCGGAATAGATAGCTCCAATATTTGTCCCGTTTATAAAGGTATCTGCTTGGGATATTTTATCTCATCTTATCACGTATTCACAAATAGTTCGTAGTGCTTTGTCCCAAATTTTCGGTTACCAAAACGGCGAAAGACTTTGGATTTACCTCTACCGAGCAATGGGCGTGTTCTGACATATTAGACAGCCATCCTATGAACTACTGATGAGGGCTACGAAGTAAAGCTCAATTGTGAGGGCTCGATTAGGAGGGAGAGAGTTTTGTTAGGAAGAGAGAGCCAGAGACTACTCCAGTCTACGAGGCAGGATGCCTACGGCATCTAATACCCACTCAATATTGTAGTGGAGATCCAGGTCCTCACTACTGTCAGATCTCGATCCTGAACTTTGCACATTTGCGTTCTCGTCAGATAAGAATCATGGGAATAGGTATATGTAACTAGCAGGTAAATACAGATTGACAATACACACACCTACAACTCTTTGATTTGACTCCATGGACTACCCTCCATACCCTACTATTCTCTACGGCAGTTGGTAAGTTGTTGGATGCTGCTACTGAATCGAGCCGTGTACTGGAGAATGCACTGCCACCGAGCGTTTCCCTTTTCAACATGTACTAGGTATCTCAACACATCTCCCAGGCATCAAACTACCCGAGCGACACCTCAAGTTACTAGTAAAAACTGCATGTTTTCGTCATCATCCATGTTTCCTTTCATATCCCAAGAATACCTAGGTTTTACCATCTCCTTGTGAACTCGGAGAAATGAAACAAGAGCGAGAAAGACTCTGCGAATCAGAAACCGAGGGATTATGCAGTCGGATTATGATTTGCACGTGGGTAGTGTTTCACGAGTCAATCATAGTATCCAATCATGTAGGCCCGGTGAAAATATATTCATCTGGTTTAATGCATGAATCAAAAGACCACCGATGTTGTACCCAGTGTTTAGCAACGTCCGCGGAATCTTCAACCCCAAACCTTAAATAGACCGTATATCTCTCTGTACGCACTTAATAAGTACATATAGCTAAATGGGATTGAAACAAGTCTCTAAACTGGAATGTTCATAGAAGTGAAATAATCAAGCATCAATTCGAAATATATATTTTCGCACATTCAACCTTCCACGTTCTATAACAGTTCACCTATCAAACCACTACTTATTTCTTGTATATAGTTGGCTTTCCAGAATTTTTATGCCGCAATGCGGAGAGATAAATGAGCAACAAGCATACAAGCAACGCACTTACTATTCGGAGCATTATGCGGAGTGTTTTGTAGATATCTGGACACTATGACTGGAAACCCCATGTCGTGATCCGGACTATCATGACACCTTGCCCTAAGATCCCGTTTCGCCAAGAAGGAGGGACCCAGGCACAAGCGCACCGTATACACTTGGATTGCATTATAAGGAAAGAATTCTTCTATTTTTTTGTTGAGTAGGTGAGGTTACTCATACTAAACATCCATCGAACGGCAGAGGAAATATGGCGTCCAGTAAAGGTGATAAAGAAATAATTACTACTAGCGTCCCTCCATCCCCAACCAATGACACCAACCACAAGGATATAGACAATGGATATCAAGCCCAACTCGAAAAAAGGGTGATGCGAAAAATCGACTTCTGGCTCGTTGGGTTTTACTCGATTGTGTACATCTTCCGAGTCATCGACTCAAACAACTACTCAAACGCCGCCATCATCAATCTGGAAGCCGGCACCGGAATCAAGAAAGAGTTGGGGTTTAGCGCCTCCGAGTGGGCGTGGACACAGTCCATCTTCTCCTACAGCTATCTCTTCTTCGAGCCCACAAATACCATCCTCCTCAAATACTTCACGCCTTCCCGATGGATGTTCATTCTGATTTTGTCCTGGGGGATTTGTGCATGCGCTGCTGGTGCTGCCCAGGACTTCCCGGGAATGATGTGCGTGAGATTCGCAATTGGGGTGGCTGAAGCTGGATTCTACCCGTCTGTGCTCTACCATATGGCATTCTGGTACAAGCCATCCGAGCTGCGCTGGAGAATAGCGCTCTTTTACTCTCTTGGTCAGGTATCCGGTGCATTGAGTGGGCTGCTTGCCTACGCAATCAGCTTCATGAATGGAGCCGCTGGACTGTCAGGTTGGCGTTGGCTGTTTATCATCGAAGGTCTTCCGGCGATATTACTCGCTTTTGTGGCCTTTTTTGGTTTGCCAGACTACCCTGAAACTGCCCGCATGTTGACGGAGGAAGAGCGAGATTTCCTCAAGGGTCGTCTATCATCTGCAGCACCCTCAGGAAAAGATAAAAACTGGAGCTGGGCCGATTGCAAAGCACTCTTTTCCAGCCCCACACTGTACACGTTCACTGTATACTGGATCGGACACGGGATTGGCGGATTTGGAGTGAACTACGCTTTGCCTACGGTCATCTATGAGCTTGGGTTCACTTCGACAGCCTTGTCACAGTTGATGAATATCGTGAGTTGGGACCATTTAAAAACGAAATCCATGAGTCAAGGGGACTTATTAACTAACTCGACATTTATAGCCTCCATATGTTGCATGCTTTTTCTTCTTGAATACTCTAGGGTATTTGCTACACAAAGGATGGATCAGGCCCTGGACTACTGCAGTCGCAAGTAAGCATTCCGTGACAGATTATACATGGACCCCTTCTGACAAGAGAAACAGTTGAAAGCACTATTATCATCTGCTATATCATTTTGATTACAGTATCCAATTCGATTGTCAAATATGTCGCCTTAATTGTTGCCACCGCTTGTGCCGGGTCCGCATATCCTGTTATTTGGCCAGAGCGTATTCGTGCGCTCGAAGGCACAGTAGCTGTGGGTGTCGGTATCGGACTGACAAATGCCATGGCGCAGTTCAGTGGGATTGCTGGGCCTCATGTCTACAGTTCGGTATTCGGACCGACGTATCGAGTTTCATATATCATTTGCCTTTGTTTCCTGTGCGCGGCTATCTCGGGCATCTTGGCTTCGTGGTGGCTTGTGTGGAGGAAGGATAGAAAGAATGAGTTGGTCACGAGTGGGAGCGAGGAAGACGCATGATAGTTGATGAGTTGGCATACAGATCCAGATAATTGAAGCACAAATATTTGATATTCCATATGATACATGAGGCTAGTACCAGAGAAAGAGATGAATTCCTAGGAGAGAGCAATATTCGGTAGGAGCTTCGAATGAAATCACTCGAGAAAAGGAATTGTGAAGTTGCAGGGCCTGAACAGCGTGACTTGGTTGCTCAGCTGTCTCATTTCAACCCCAGTTTCCACCAAACCTTTGCTCAACCCATCTTCTCAACAACCATTCCGGCTTACATTTGTCAACCAGTGCTCAGGCATTGCGAAGAAATCTGCATCATTGAAACAAACTAGCTGCATATTGCCTGGCTCCCTACATCTTGATAATCATGCCGCACCACAGTCCCATGGGGTTTCAGGCCCTCATCCTGTGTGGCCCTGGGGGTTCACTGAATACGTTCACCTCCAGACCCGAGGAATACCCGAAATGTCTCATGAAAGTTGCAAACAGGCCAATGATCTTTTATGCAATTGATTTTTGCAAACGATCAGGGATCACTGGTATGTCCGACTCTCATATCTGTCTCGACCCATATACCCTTCATTGAACCGACGTGGCTAACACTATCCTAGATATCACATTGATCACCCCTCCGCTAGCGTTCCCCCCTCTTCGAGCTGCACTTGACCAAAACCCATATCTCACATTGCCCTCTTTACCCTCGGTCTCACTTATAGCGCCGAAACACCTCGAGATGACAATGGGAACTGCCGAGCTGCTCCGTCTGCCTGAGGTACAGAAGTGTATCAAGTCTGATTTCCTCCTTCTCCCATGTGATATCATCTGTGACTTGCCAGCTGAATCTATCCTCGAGGCGTGGATCGCTACCCAGGGTGCCATCCAAGATACCAGCAATTCCGAGAAGAATCGCGACACTCAAGGCCCGACTACTTCGTATTTCGACATTCAGCAACAAGTGCGCCGAGGTGGCCTTGCCGTTTACTACCAAACGGACAACAGAGAGGAGAGTGTACCACAAGAAGCCACTGATTTTGTGGCCATTGGACCGCTCGACCAGGACACCACACGGGTTGTGCCACCCCCACAGGGACCAGCGCGGCCACGCTTCGCACTGTCTAAGCTCCTCATGACAATGCCCATGGATACTATCAAAGAAAAGATGAAAGCGGACAAAGCCCTTCTTCTGCGCTATTCACTAGTCCAGAGTTGTGGGCAGGTCAAGTTACTCACCACCTTTCGTGATGCGCATATTTACGCTCTTCCACTCTGGGTCAAGGATCTAGTTCAGTATCAGAGAAAGCTGGAGTCGGTCAGCGAGGACTTGATTGGCAACTGGGCCAAATCAGGATGGCAGAAAGGTCTCGGTGATAAGATGGGTTTGACCAAGATCTTTGGCCAGGATGATTATGACCCGCAGGAGCCTTCCACTCCGGATAGCAGCTACTTTGGCGCATTTATTGACAAAGATGTCGATCTCCGCCGCATGACTACTACCAAATCTTGCCTGGGTCCAGAAAGCCCTGGGTTCAAGTCTTGTTTCAGGACCCCCAGGTCAGCAGCCGCTATCGAAGCTTGCCACACTACTGAACTGCCACAGATGCTAGCCTATGTCCACAGAGGATCAACTCCATTTATTCGACGCGTAGACAGCTCTGCTATTTTGCTTTCGACATCACTTCTTCTAGCCAAGTTGCCATCCATTGAGGAGGTTGGTCGCAAGGCAGCGTCTCCATTCGCTCACGTCAAGAAAATCTCCTATCCCGAAGGCATTGCCTCGCCTTCCGCAATCACAGCGAAGGATTGTCTGCTCGATGATAACGTGATTGTTGAACCCACTGTGGTTATTAAGGAGAGTGTGATAGGCGCAAAATGCCATATTTCCAGAGGCGCACGCCTCATTCGTTGCGTTGTGATGGACGAGGCGGTAATTGAATCTAGGGCTGAGTTGACCGGGTGTGTGATTGGCCACCGAGCCCGAATCGGCCGCGAATGCGTCTTGAGAAATTGTGAAGTGCAGGATGCCTATGTCATTCCTAGAGGCACAACTGCTAGGGACGAGAAACTTATGGTCTATGTGACTTTGAGCGAGTAGGGCAATGGCATCTAGATGCCGGGCTTACTATGTGCTTTCTCCAGATGTAACTGATACTTACTAGCGTTAACCAATGTTATTATTATTCTTCAAAAGAGCCATGAAGTCTGACCCCTTTGTAAGATAAAAGGCACCACACTCTAATGAGCTGTCTTTGAAAGTACGGCATTTTACATATACCCCAGAGTATTAGAGTAGATGCTAAAAATCTCTAGATATCGTGAACAGTACATGGGGACACTTATGATTCTCTATGTGCCTTTTCTGACAGGCATCAGCAACCATAATACAAGGCACAGTTGGGCGTAGGATATCACAAAATGGGGGAGGTAGAGTTCGGGGTATCTACTAGATACTAGCGCAATTTATACGCCTTATTAGGCGCATCCCTAGGTAGGCGAGCGTTGAGTCCTACCACGCTGCCCCTCGTTAGCTCGCATTAAAGCCTAAGGATATTGCAAAGATCCAAATATGGGTCAGGACAGATGCAGGTCAGCAATGGATATTTGGCTTGTGGATTCAAGGGAGTGTGGCGACAAACCTCCATGAACATAACCTTGCGAATGCGTATATGTAATCGCTAGAGTGAGGTCACAACAGAGAGCACAAGTGACTTTAATAGGAAAGAGCTGGCAAAAGGAGACATCTCTAAGATTGCATTGTGCAGAAGGCATGGTATAGCATTGATGTGTCCCGTTCGGGCCACTAATTTCAAATTCATCAAGAGGGAGAGATATCGCATCGCGACCTGGATTCTCACTAGATGAGGCATGGTGCTGGGCAAGTGCTCGAAGAATCTTTGTCTCATGGGGAGGCGCACTGGCAATGCCGACTTTAACAGCGACGTAGCGCTCGGAACAAGTGTCATGGGCAAGCCCAACGGTCGAATAGCCCCATAACCCAAATTGTCAAAAATATGGTATCAATTATGTAGTACATCAGCAATCATGATAGGATGATACCCGCCTGGTTGATGATTTTCAAGGGTATCTGCGCCATCGATCCAGTTGTATTTGAGGTGATGTTCCCCGGGGGCTCCCTTAAAACGTATGCAGAGTAGCCCATTGGCCCAGCGCATCTGCCACCTGCTTCGGCTGTCCGATGTAACTACTCTCCAGCTCGGCATCGCCGACAAACACAAGCATCTTGATCTTGTCAATAAAAGACTCCACATTTTACGGCTTGATCTGTGTGAAGAAGTCAGAGCCTTAGAGGGCGAGTGCGTGTGGAACGCCCACAGGGCTTGGTCGATACCCCCGGCGGTGCCGGTAGGAAATTTTCCGGCGACGCGAGCTGAGAGGAGAACGTCGTCAAATTGCGAGTAGTTGCCCGCCCAGTAAATTTCCAAGATTTACGATGACGGGTCCCTTGGACCATTACTATAATTTAAATCACATACCATTATCCACAGTGTATCCTGAGAATAAGAAGAAGAAGAAGAAGAAGAAGAAGAAGGCGAGGATATCTGTGAGAGTAACTTCTAAATAGGCCTATAAAAAAGACCACCAAAACGACAACTGAATGGCCCTAAATGCGGCCGAGAATATGGACGGCTCCAGCTTTTCTGTTTTCCAAGGTTGGGTCTAGGTGCCCTGACTAGGCATTTATTAAAGTCCCTCTGTCGTAGTGATACAGGTATTCTAGTTTTCCGCCAGCTTGAACCCAGGCATATCCAAACAACAAACTCGATTTCAATTGAAACCATTCCCTGAGGACTATACGCCTTCGTACTCCTATTGACAATAAGTGAATTGTATATAGGCTTTCCCCACTGATAGATCAGTACATACGACCATAGGGTGTGGAAAACAGGGCTTCCCGTCCGCTCAGCCGTACTTAAGCCACACGCCGGTGAGTTAGTAGTTGGGTGGGTGACCACCAGCGAATCCTCACTGTTGTATGTTTTTGTTTTTGCTTTTTTGTTCTATTCTTTGCTATGGGAGCGAGGCTGAGTATTTTGAAGATAGGTGTTGTAGGTGCTAACAGCGGTATGTTTTGAAAGAACCTTGGAAGGCGTTGAAAATCGGTACCTGCAGAACCCCGTAATTTATATAGCTAGGGCTTAGCTGAAATTTTAGTGCCGTGGCATAATTTACCGGTAAGCTCACCCTAGTTTGCACCCTGTAACCCCTTCTATACACTCATAGTACTCATAATATGATTTCAGCTAGTGTAGCATCTAATACATACGACCATAGGGTGTGGAAAATAGGGCTTCCCGTCCGCTCAGCCGTACTCAAGCCACACGCCGGTGAGTTAGTAGTTGGGTGGGTGACCACCAGCGAATCCTCACTGTTGTATGTTTTTTCTTTTTGCTTGTCTTGTTCCAGTGATAGGTGGTCATGTGTTTTGAAAGTCAGATCGTAAATTTCATCAGTATTGTGACGATCTGACGTCATGTGTTGTTTTACACTCTGGTTTGCACCTTCTCCCAGACTGTTTTCTTCATCTAGGAAAATATGACTGAACCTAGTTAGAATGTGCAAGATTGATAGGTATGTATGAGCTGGGTATACAAGGCTTCCTCATCTGCAGATCTCTCTTTCTCGTTTATTTCGCCCTATCTACCAATCTTTACCTCATCCAGAAATGGCCTAGAAGGCACCCACGCTTCATATGCACCAGAATGGGATTTACAACTCAGCAATATACATGTTCCTGAACCTGTATTTACCGAGGGTGCTATATTCGGCATATATTTCCTTGTCACTGGTTAGGTTCTAACGGTTTGGTATTTCTCCCAATTGCTAAGTTATATTTTCTTACAAATCGTGAAAACCCTTGTGGATAAAAGTCACAGAGGTGCTTCTCGTTCCAAGATGCTCTCTTCCATTACAATAAAGCCCCAGCATGCATGATTAGATTTGAGCTAATATAATGGATGCCCAACTCACATGTCTAGGAGCCCTGAGAATTAGCTGCAGCAGTAATGAGAGTTCAATGGATTGAGTAATCAATGCGAGTTGAGAATCTAAGGTCCCAATTTTCAATTTACTCTTTGGCTTTATGCTTGTTCTGGCCGAAATTGGGTTTTATTTTCGTTTTCTATCAACAGTTTGATATGACACAATAATCAATTTGGGTCAGCCACTTCATTCAGATACTAACTGTTCGCCCAATACGGATACAACGCAGCTGTATATAGAGTAGGCAGAAGTGTGGCTAGAGTATTCACTAGTGGATAAAATTCACCGGGAAGCTAAATTAACCAAACCGGAGCCGGAACCCTAAGATTATAACAACAGGTTCGTAATGGGAACGTATTTGACTTTGTTTAAGCTCTAGGCTTCAAAGAGAGCCTTCATCTTTCTATCGTCTCATCCTATCTTTTGAATCAGTTGGTCTTCTGAAAATATTATAGTATTTACCAGGACCCGAGTTCAATATGCCTACTGGTAATCACGATTGCTCACTTTCGACATCCATTTTGTCCTCGATGATCGGGCTAGTCATTGGTGGATTCGTCGGTCTTTTATTGGCTGCTGCAATTCAAGCCATCAAGAGCTTTATCAAATGGCGACGAGGCCCAGGCGTGGATACAGGTACATACGATGGAAGCAATTTACCTCAAGATCTGCGTAATAGTCTTCCCATTTTTGCCGACATCCCACCCATCACAACCCCAAAGACTATACCGGGACACGCTTTTTCTGATATGGATCGAGATATTGAGGCGCAAATCGCAAATTGTCATGAGTTACAGGAACTTGAGCCCGCAGTACATTGGAAGCACGCCGTCTGATCTTATCTGACGTATAGATACAGTTAAGACTATTGAGCTGTCAGGATTATAAGGGTGATGATCTGCATGATGTCACGTACCAGAGGTGCTAGAAACTGTCTAATGCCTCTGTCAGATCTCTCCCTCTTTCCATAGCTCAGCTTGTCTTCTACCTCAATCAAAATCTCCATGATGCATTTCGACGTCTCTCTCAGTAGACTCTGACAGCCTCTCTTGCTGGCTTGCTAGATTTCGGGGGAAATTAGAGGCGTGCATGGCTTATATAAAGTAGTGACTCTATCACCCCATATGCATGTTCAAGCCCTTCCACTTCTCATACTGTGACGGTGGTGATTTTTCAACATGCAGAGAAGGCGGTGTTGGCTTCAATTTATTGCTCGCCTTCTTTACCGTCTCTATCATCTCCAATTGAGTACTTATCATTTCGAGGCTTGGCTTGTCACAATCAGTTTCTTGATCATGCGGAGCTATTATGCTATTCATATCTCTCACCAAGTGTACCACAAGAAGGTAGATGAACTCAGTTACATGAGACTTCTGGCTCATATTTATACCTATCCTCATAGAAGTCATTCTGCTTCTAGAGCCTTATTTAAGACTAGTGCTATCTTTCAACAGTCCGAGTCCCGTCTGCAGCAGCTGAAAAAGCCCTTTAACTCATTGAAAAGGATTCCTCACAGCAAAGTACGTATGCTATAATTTTCTTCACTGATCTTACCTAGTATAACAGGGAATCCAACACGGAGAAACGGTGTGATTTGCCATGGGACACCGATGTGTATATAATTTCACTATCTAAGTAGTTAGAATAGAAACTTACAGAACTTCTATTATCACCCCTAGATATCTGCTCTCATATATTAGATCAACTCTTTGCTTATACATCCTATGTTTCCTTTTCGTTAATCTATTTGAAAGCCTTCTAATTAGCATCGATGACTTTCATGATCGTAATATTCTATATCAATGCTAGTTCTCAAGTTCCCCTCCCTAAAGTGTTGTGTGACAAAGAGACGATACTAGGAAGGATCCATTAGTTCGAGCCTCTTCAGCTCCCTTGCTGGTCGATAAATTAGCATTAGTAAGGAAACCTATATCCCAATATACATATTCCTAGGTCTAGTCATATAGTCATATCAAGATATGCTACTAGCTAAACTAGGAACTGAATATAGTAAAAATCAGTTAGATTAAGCCTTACTAGTACCACTCCTACGATTAGTGCAGGGTGTCATAACAGTTACTAGGCATCAAGATGCCCCTCAGTACCTATTTTTTCAGGATTCCGTTCGTGCAGACTGCGCCCCTTAACAGTTATTTGCTAGCTTAGAGGCCATAAAGCCTCCAGCTTTCCCAGAGATAAAAGAATAAGAAATTCCTCCTTCTCCCTCTTCCTCAGTGGCGTCAAGACTGAGTATTGGGACAGCCCGCAAGCTGTAGGTCTAGTATCTCTCAAGAATCTAATCACTTCAATTGTCTCCTTACTTCCTCGCCACCCTTTTTTATCAGCCTAGATAGATCGTTTTCAACCTTTTTCTCTCCAATCGACATATCTTCAGGAACATGCTTACCTCACATTGACCATACTAAGAGACGTTCTTAGTATACTACGCTGATACGACAAACTTGAACGGAAAAAATCGCCTTCAACTAGGGTGGACTGCTTGTTGTGCTTATCAGAGATTTGAACAAGACAACAAATTATAGAATACATCTAACTTAAAAAAGCCTGCAGCTAACGCCCCTCGATAAATTCAACGCTATTCCCATTTCAGAGCGAAGCTTTAAATACATTTGGGCTTGTCTTGGCTTTGCCCGAAGGCTACTGGTCACCAGCACTGCGAAGAAGTGCAAGCCCATCGCTGGTGGCCCCCACTCCCACAATCAAGATTAGCTGTCTCGAAGGTAAGAGCTTTGGATGGGGGTGTTGCACTACACCATGCATTCACCACTTGACTCTGATCAATGGCTTCAGCAGACTCTGTGATCTATCATCGCATCGCTCAAGATCGGGAGTTCGTCTCGGATCAGTCTCCGGCAAAAGTCGTCCCCAACACGCCCAAAGCAGGGCGCAGACAAACATCCATAGTCTCTTGAGTGATCGCTTTACGAACGACCAGGTCAAGATGGCGAGTACAGCCATTACTAGACAATTTGTTAGAGTCGACTTCCAATCAAAGTCCCCATAATGAAAGAGAAAAGGGAGGTAGAGAAAGGGGAACAAAGTTAAAGAAAAACAAGAGTACTTAGCTTAGAGAGAGGTCGCTTGATGTTGAGGCACGCACGAAGCAATAGTTCAACCAAAAGCGATTTGAATAGAGGAGAAATGCCCCAATGCGATTCAAGGCAGATAAATGACGTTTCTTCTTGTACATCTCTAGGAAGGTGCAGGTAGCTCCTCCATTGATAAACATTCAAGATGAAGAAGGAGCAACTAGAATTGGGGAACTAGAGCAAGTAGTATGCTTAGCAGGTAAGTTAGAACAAGGGAAAGTGCAGTGTGGATATTGATACACGTATATACAGCATCATGCTCCTAGGTATTTACTCATGTAACGTCAACTTACAATCAAAGCTCCCTTGAGTGTTGTAAGTAGAAAAGAAAAATTGATATCAGAGCTAGGCAATTCGAGATTAAGTGGCAACAAGTAAACGAAACTGACAGGCCGAGCATGGTTGACACAATCTATGGTGAAATTGTTCACTAATGAGGGCTATCAAGATCCTAAATGAAATAATTGGAAATAATCGAAGATAGATAGCTGATGTGAAAATGAAATTTGAGTGAGGTGTCATCAGCTGTTCATGAGGATCAAGGGTGGAGCATTGGAGTGTGAGGCTTATTCGCTAGGGTAAATACTATACTCTCGATAGTCAAGCTATCACCAGTCGGGTTTATCTAATAAACAGAAAAAAGGGGGGAGGGGTGTGAAGGGCAAGTAAAAGCAACTTGGGCAAATAGACGCCTCGAAGGAAACCAATGGAGATTAAAATGACCATGACCAGTACACGGTGACCATATGCTGGCAACTTTGGGGCATGCCGTCCAGGAAACCCTAAAGATGAGGTCAAAAAAGTGTCTGGCAGTCAAATAGGTAGCACAATTGGAAACTCTAGAGCGACTAGGTCAACACGAAGATAGGAAGAAACCATGTAGTACTGAGCTAAGCTAGAAAGAAGAGGATGGGGGAAAAAAGAGAGAGAGAGAGGAAGAAGGATATATCTAAGATAGGGCCTGCCGGCCTGAGGCATATGCCTTAATATCCTCTATATAGGGCCTAATTCCACTATCTCAAATCTTCCTGATATTAGGCCCCGATGATAGATAATTCGCCAGAGAAACAAATGAGTCGAGCACTACGACATCAGAGTCTATAGATTTTATGAAGGAAAATGAACTTTCTAGTTAAACATACGGTGTAAATGGAGTAAATGCATGTAAATCCCCGGTTGCACACGCACATATACGTATGATGTACATAGTTAATACCTACTCTGACTGTAGAAATTGAAGAAACCGCCGAGGAGCAAGATAGATTGGCATTTTCACCCGAGAAAACTCGATGATGATGTACTTACCACTACACTGTATAAGCTCTATCGGGAAAACAACACATTATATAGTTGCTAAGTGACCTGGAGCCCCAGAAGAGGGAACTACATCAACATAAAGAGAGGAAGAAAAGAGGGTTGGATTTACTTATAATTATACTTGGATAATTATTTTCATAGACAAACAATATAAGCTCCTAAGGCTGAACTTGAGGAACTATGCCTGTGTATATATACATGATGATTGTGTAGATTATATCGACCTGGATGGAGAACAGCTAGCCCCTAGTCCATAGTCGAACTAGAGGTGAGACCTACTGATATTTTCATAATCTAGGTGATCACTGCCATTGATCATCCTTCCTAGAATTCTACAAATTTATACTGGGCCTTTTTACATCTAAACTCTGGGGAGTGAGCTTCAGAATCTCTACTGATATAGGATGTCCAAATTAGTTAGTAATACATCGATTATAACTACACAAGGAATCATCTGTTTTACGGAAATTTGCTTATATGATCGCTCTTTTTAGAGCAATAAACCAACTTTCATGGTCGATCATGGAGCACATCATCCATAGGTAAGATATTTATTTGATATGACTGTGATTAAGAGTGGTTCACAGTGTCGGACGAAAGTAGAACATTGGACGCAATAAGTCACGATTATCGTGGTCCATCAGAGGAGTATTGAAAGCAATATGACAACCAGTAGGTGTATATAGATTATATAGATAGACATGGAACGAGGGATACCTGAAAGGCAAGCAAGTGGTAAGCATTTGAAGACACGTAACATGTGATTCTATAGACCCGGAGCTTTTTGTACAATAGGGTTCACCAATGCGCATTCTTTTGTAGATATAGGCGCGCTGTGTCTCAAGGCTGTGGTCACATTTTGAGGGCAAATCCGACACATATATGTACATTTCAACAACGGGACCTGTAAATATAGCAATATATACCCAATCTTGCTTTGCTCTCTTTTTTCCCGGGTTTGAACTTGGTTGTAGAATTTGCTGTTTTTCCTTCTTTATATTTCTAACTCTTCTAATAGTCATCACATACGACCATAGGGTGTGGAAAACAGGGCTTCCCGTCCGCTCAGCCGTACTTAAGCCACACGCCGGTGAGTTAGTAGTTGGGTGGGTGACCACCAGCGAATCCTCACTGTTGTATGTTTTTGTTTTCTCTTTTTGTTCACCTTTTCCTATGGGAGCAAGGCCGAGTGTTTTGAAAATAGGTGTTGTAGGTGCTAGCTAATAGCGGTATGTTTTAAAAGAAGGCGTCGAAAAACGGTACCTGTAGAACGCTGCAGTTTATATAGCTAGGGCTTGGCTGGAATTTTTAGTGCCATGGCATAATTTACGGGTAAGCTCACCCTAATCCGCACTCTGTAGCCCCTGCTATAAACTCATAATATGATCTTAGCTAGTGTAGCATCTAATACATACGACCATAGGGTGTGGAAAATAGGGCTTCCCGTCCGCTCAGCCGTACTCAAGCCACACGCCGGTGAGTTAGTAGTTGGGTGGGTGACCACCAGCGAATCCTCACTGTTGTATGTTTTTCTTTTTGCTTTATCTGCCTCCTCGCACTTGCGATGGAAGTGTGGAAGTGTTGAAAATCAGCCGTGTAGGGACTGAAAGCTGTACCTAAGAGATAGGCAGCCAATCATCTCCCTAGTCGATAAACTATATATGCCGTGATATGATTCACGGGTGAATCTCCCCTAACTTGTACCTTATAAACTCTTCTATACCCTTGCAACACGATTATCATCAACGTAAACAGGATGTGGACTACAGGGCTTTCCTTCCGCTCAGCTATGCTCAAGGGGCAGCTCTGTCCAGGTACAGACCTCCGACACTCCTTCGTACTCGAGAAAATCTGATTTGAGACCCAGATTTCCAAGGCTTGTTCGATATGGGGTCAACGTTATTTAGGTATTGTTGTCACCTACAATATCAAGCTGCGCTTGGTTCTAAAATGGGCATAGCCCATTCCGCAAGGAAAAACCGTTGCAAAGGTCCCAAGGATTTGTGAAGCTGTTATCTCGTTTTGCTATTTTGAGGTTGAACTGGAGATACTGATCGAAAACAAGCTATAACTTACGGAGTATAACCGGATTGGATTCGTAATGGTACACCTGGATCGAGTTCATGGTTAGTTCTCTTCAAAATCAACAATATTGGCTACATGATTTGGACGGACTCGGGGATACAGTCAAACCCTCGAGTGTGGACGCGGGCCATGCAGAAATGAGAGATGAAGGGGGAGACGAGCATGAGAGGGGTTCGGCACCCGAACGTAAGGGACTGCCCAAACGTAACATTTGCATATCTTCCCATTGTATCCTCAACTCAGTCACTCATACATAGGAACACGAGCCTTTTATACAGTAAGCCAGCGAGTTCCGTACTAGTTTACATAAATTCCAGCGCGAAGATCGTTCCCTATTTCGTTTGCATACGCCTATGCCTTGTAGCCTGGGTAAGCACGTGTGACCATTTACGTTTCCGCTTCGCAATATCAACCCTCTGAGTGGATTTATACACATTTCGCCTAACTCCCTTTAGCTGGTGCTTATTGATAGTACCAGATATCGGAGCTCGGCGTCGAGAGGCATCATACTGTGCGTGGCGAGCATTCAAGATCGCCTTTGTATCATCAAACTCTCGCTGTAATCGATCTGCCAAGAAGGCCTGGGTTTCAGCCCCCCTTTTAAGCTCATCCAAGGCCTTTTGAAACCGAGAGCAGTGATCTTCATAAGACCGAAGGTATGCTTCTAGCTCGTCGACCTTTTCAGTGGTTTCCGGGGTGCTCAAATCCGTAGATTCATCGACTGCGCGGGTTCTTTCGACGCCAAGGGCTTTCCCGTGTGTTCCATCGTATTTGCTGTTTCGCTTAAGAAAGCGCTTCAGCCAATGCTCGCCGATTTGGGGGGTTTTGTAGAGGGGTCGGTGTGAGATTTCTCGAGGATCGAATTGGCAGCATCAGTGATTTGTGCACGGGTGACAGGGGCGTCAGCTTGATCAAAGGAGTCGATAAACCGGCATAAAGCAGCTTCTTGTGTAAAACTGAGTTTGCGACCGTTGGGCTGGCGTTGAAAAAGCGACTTTCCACCCTTCCAGCGCCGCCGAAGCCTGCTTTCAGGCACCGCGAATTCACGCGCAGTCTTCGAGATATTGGGCTTTGATTGATCAGATAGAGAAGCTATAGCTTTGGAAATTTGAGCCTCGATTTCAGCATTGGTATTCGGCATTTTGAGGGGGGAAAATAGAGATGTAAAGAAGGCTGGGTGCAATATGGGAAGAAGTTACGTCTGGGTGGCGGACCCTTGTTAGCGATGGTCCGTATTTTTGGCGGAAAATAAAGGGGCCGGTTAGTACGTAACTTGTGATCAAAACAGAGGGGAAAAGATCTCTTACAGCTTCGATCAGAACGGAGACATGTATCATTTGCTAAACGGCTTAAAGATCCAGGTGAATGATATGTGGATAGCAAGATATTTGTCCGTCCTGAGCAGGGTGGATTAGAGCGGCGAGGCACCTTCAGGGCTGTATCTAAACCGTAGGTGCTGGGGGACTACCCCCTCAGGTGTACTGTATCCTTTTCTCTTTTTCTCTTTCTTTGATTCTTGGTTGTAACTCTTCTGATAGATATTCCAATCCTCTTTACCTACACGTAGGATACTCTAAGTACAAAGGGTCTCTTGTCATGGTTGATTCCTCATCCAACTACTGGAACAAGTTTCAGAACAAACAACGACAATCATAGGGCAAAATCTCTCTGCAGCGTGGAATAACAGATGAACTGACTAGCAGTATTCAACCCAGGCATCGAGGTTCATGTTCTTGATAACAGTGGAGAACTTGTCGGCACTGGCCGCGTTGCAGGCGGATGTCTTCAATGCAGATGAAAGGACGGCTCGAGCTCGGAGTTTATGATGACCATGTCCTTGTCTGTGCTCATGATTGCCACTTGGGCGCACATCATCTTTGATGTCTTTAGCTCTTTTGTCTTCTTTATCATTCATGATATCATGATGATATTCTTCCTCGTCCTCGTCCTCGTCCTCCTCTTGCTCTTCCTCCTCGTCCTCGTCCTCGTCCTCCTCTTGCTCTTCCTCCTCGTCCTCGTCCTCGTCCTCTTCGTAATCCACATCATCAGTGTCATCCGCGTCAGTGGTATTATCGGTGCTGTTGGTCTCAGGAGCAGGGGCAGTGGAAGAAGAAGTGGAAGCAGGGGCAGGTGTGCCAGTGATGGTATCATCACTGTCGGTATCGGTTGTGGTATTAGTGGTAATACTGATCTCAGTATCGATGGTATCAGAAGACTTAGGAGAACTGTCGGACTCGATAGTTTGACCAGAATACTCAATGTGGAAAACAGGCTTGTTGACTTCCGTGAAGGCAGCATAGACATCACATTCATCATACTGAGCACACTGCTCATTGACGGACCATTGCATCTTATCAATGACAGAACCAATGATATCACCACCATTCTTCAGCCCGATAGACATGCCACGAGAGTGAGACTCCGCCGCAAGGAACGTCAAAAAGTCAATCGAGTCGGCCTCGGTCAGACCGAGACCATTTTCATTGCCATACGCATCAATATTGTCGGGGTCCACACCATCGCAGCCCTTCTGCTTTGCCATGTCCAGACGAGATGCCATGATTGAGCGAATGCTGGCGGACTTGATATTTAGCCAGCGCTCGCCTGGCCACTCGTCCAGGTTGCTGCCGAAGTCGGCGGGGTCGAACTTGCTGACATCCGGACGCCAGTCTTCGTATGTTCCGGCGGAGAAGTAGCAGATGACCTTGTGGCCTTTGCTCTGGAGAGTGGAGATAGTTTCGGCGGTGTTGTCGAAAAGGTCGATATCCCAGATGTCGGCATCCACGGAGGTGTCTTCGACGGCATCAATTAGCTGGATCTGCCATTTGACTCCGGCGGCCGGCTGCCAGATAGCAGCATCTCCGGAGCTGGTGGTGTCGCGCTTCAGCATCTTCTTCTGGTTGTGTCCAGCTCCGAGCTCAGCTCGGAGGTCCATCCCGATGGCAAAGAAGAAGAGGCCCAAAACGCAGGACACCAGGAGCTTTTTTGGGGTCGCTAGGACCTGCCAGCGTGCAACATTGGGAGAATTCATCTTTTTTTGAGGTAAAAAGGTATATTGTTCAAAGGAGTGTAAGAAATGAATGAGTTTGTAGAAAGGAATGGATAGACAACTTGAGTCCAGCAAGTGTCACAGAAAGGAAAGACTGAAGGATGGTGAAGATGGAACAATGGACACCATGAGTAGATGCCTAGTACTTATATCTCCGGACATGCCATCGAGAAGTACAAATTTTATACCCTGCACGAAGGCGTTTCAGAATCGCCCAAGCTCACACAGAATCGGAGGTATAGGGCTGTCAGACTCTTGGAAGTGGGGGTTACGGGTCGCGGGCCTCAAGGACCGAACCACTAGCGAGGGAGTCTAAACGAGCCCAGGCAAATGCAAACCCATCACTCCGCAGATAGTTCCAGTCAAAGCGAGAACTCAAGGCAGTGGACCAAATCCGCGGCAAGTCAGACCGGGGGAGTATGAGATAGATGAAACACCTGCCAAGAAACGCCTTTGCGGTAGATGTAGTCCGTTCATTTGCCACGGTCCTTTCGCCTTCTTGCTCTTTTTATATGAAGTCATGCGATCCGAGAGGCCTATTGATCTAGTCTAGAATGTAGTTTCACTAGCGTTAAGATGTTCCAATCGGAATGTCTGGGAAGGTCGTTCGAATGGTCTCTAATTAATTTGACACACATTGAGATCAACACAGCGCCATAACAATTGGGTCACATCTTGGACACATCTAACATTTGGGATGGAATATGAATGTGATCTAGAGAGATTATCTCGGAGACTTTCGAAATCCAAACGTCCAGTGGCATGGAATAGGCAGAACGCCCGGCAGAGGGATTCGTACAAAATACCCGATCTCAACGGCATTAGCCCCAAGCCTCATTCAAATCGGGCCAATAGCATCAAATTGCCCCTGGCCACATGGCTTCTGGCCTTTGGGGTCCCTGTACGGAGCAATAGCGTCAATTAGGGGCCTTGATATCTCCGGGTTCCCTTGGCACATTGCTAGTGGCGCTTACTTGCTTTGACACAAACATGTCCTCATTTCAGACACGTCTCACGTACAAGAGAAAGAACACCTGGGCATCTTTGTTAGACTTCTTTGTACGGAGGTCCATATCAAAAGTTATTTCCCACCCAGCATAATTGCTTTTTCTATAAAAAACTAGCTTGGTATGAGCATTGTAAGCCATATACGTAGTACGGGGTACACTTCACCTAATTATCAAAATATCATTCAACCCTGCTATCTACGAGTGGGGAAAAGGCGTAGGAAAAACTGCCGTAAGAATAGATACAGAGTTGGATTGAGAGGGTTCCCTGCCATATTAACAGGATCATTGAACTTGAAGGTGGAAATGAGCATGAAGAGGGGGAGGGGATAACTGGGGGCTATTGGGGGCTACTAGAGGCTGCTGGGGGCTGCTAGGGAGTGCTTATGGGTGCTTTTGGGTGCTCTAGATATTACCTAGAGACGGGGAGATGATAGGGGGGAAAGCCGAGAAAGTAAGAAATTGAAAACAGCTCTCGTACTGAGTTTAAAACCACTTTGCCCAAATTGGACGAATATATTACTAGCGTACATTTACGTGGGAAATAACTTTTGATATGGACCTCCGTAGTTCTTGAGCATTCCTGTTCTGTTACTATGTCTTCATTCTTTAGATCGGAGCGTAGAAACCAGAACACAAAGCGAGGGTGTAAAAGATTAACCGCAGCGTACATAAAAGTCGTTATTTCTAACATTATCTTTATGTACGGAGTACTCCGTACCTAAGCAGTCGTTTGCATCTTTGTACATAATGTTTGTTTCAAATAAGACCCATCCAATCTAAACCCTAAGGTCTCGGAAGATTGTTTGCCATCATACACCTCACATCCGTGATCCTTTCTGACATGGTCATCTCTCCAACGCTTTCGGCCAAGGGGTATACAGCTCGGTAGGGTCCAGAATTTTCTCCGTAGGACTCAGAAACCTATTATGTCAGCCTTGAATTCTGACCCCCTATAAAGGGTGGAACCTAAGTAGGACTCAGAACTTATCAATTATGTAATTAGATTTAATTATAAATTCTTTTATTTAACTTTTTTCCTATACACTACGTACCGACACCCCTATCTATACCTACCTACCCTTATCTCTTACTATAATCCTACTAACTCTATACTATCTAATACTTTAACTATAGATCCTTTACCTATATCCTCTATATAACGTCACGAGTCTCTATCTCTCCCTATTATAGACCTATAAGCTAGAAATAGGGCTAATACGGATACCTAACTTTAATAAATTATCTTTCCTTTAACCTATATTAGTTACCTAATCTTATTTTCTTTTTTATTTAAATATATATTTAATATATACTAACTTAATTTTATTAACTAGAGCGGTTAAAGCGAACGTGCTAGCGTCTAATATTTATTAAGGTAATCTAGTAGGAACTAAGAGAATCTTAATTACCTAGAGGGTTATATTATACTCCTATCTATAGTATACGATATAGAAGATAGAATCCTAATTAACGGAACTAAGAGGATACTTATCGAGATTATAGAAATCTAAGACTACCTTACGTTCCTAGACTACCTTAATATTACTTATAATAGTATTCTATATATTATTTATGTACGAAAGAATCCTCTTTACGATAAGGAGTATACCGCGGCGAATATTAATATAGTATTTAAAGAAATTATATCTAGTATATACTTAATATATACTTAATATATACTAGATATAAGGCTAACTAAAATCGTATAGTGCTAATTCTCGATTACGATAAATAGAACTTTAATACGCGTAATCTATATAACCTTTCTTAGAAATACCCTAAAGGATCCCGCGTTAAAATTATATTATAGAGCCTATACTTACTCTAGTATTCGGTGCTATACTTAAGCTTACCGGGATATTACCGCTCTACGTAATAAGTATAACCGGGTTAAGCTAAAGATATTTACTAAACTTCGGGCTAAAGCTATAAAGCCTTACTATAAAAGTACCGCGTCTAAGGATCTCTATAAGAAAATAAGGAAGTAAGCTCTACCTCGTTTATACCTTCTCTCTACTAAGTATATACTAAACTTATATTTAACTTAGATTTTTCTTTAGTTTTCTAATAGTATAGAATATATACCCCGCTCCTTATAAGTTATCTAAAACTAAGAGAACTTATAAGGATACTAGCCTAACTATATAGGTGACTAATAGTACTATATATATTAGTTATCCCTTTAAAACCGTAGTATACTATTAGTATATATCCTACTAGGTTCCTATAGCTATCACGTAGGTTAATAAGTACTACTTAGAAGTTCTCTATAGAATACTAGATCGTAAGATAAGTAACGTTAGTAAAAATAACTATTATTTCGTCTAGTATTAGGTAAGAAGAACTAATATTTATAGTATAGTTCTCTTTCTATATACTTAATATATACTAACTATATACTAGACTCTATCTACTCTAATAGTATAGGTAGGCTAAAGGTAGTTCCTTATAAGGCTAGGTTTAATCTCTATATACTAGTCTTATAGGATTAATACCTATATTATCTCCTTATTAATCGAGGATATTATTATTATTTCCTACCGCTACTAATAAAGTTATTATCTTATATCGCTTAAGAGATTATATCTATACTTCTTTTATAGGATATCCTAAATATTACGCCTTATATATATTACTTTCCTCTAATCCTAGTATTTACTAACGATAATAGGTAAATTTATATAATCCTTATAATTTAGGTAGCTTACTCTTCGAGATACTAGATCTTTAAGTAAGACTATCTATAGCTATCTTAATATTACCGATCGGATCGCTACTTTAATTCTTAAGTAGAAGATCCTTTATTTTCTTAGAGGAACTTACTTAGCTAGTATATATTATAAATTCGAACTCGATAAGACTAAGGATATAGATAAGTAGTTTATTCGTGAAATCTATATACTAGATAAGGATAAAGGCTACTTTCTTATTATATACTATATATATAGATAAGCTAAGCTTTTCTAACGTATATAGTATATTAAAATAGATCTTACTTTTAAAATAGTATAGGGGTAGACTAAGGTCTTCTCTCTTATTAGATAGAACGAGGTAGCTAAACGTAAGTAGAAACTTCTATATCGATTATAGTTAATTAAGTTATTAATTTTTTTAGTAATTAAAATATATACTTAGATTCTAATTAACGCCGAAAGCTATAAATACTATCGGATTCTTTTTAAGAAGCTTTTTAAGATCCTTAGAAATATAGGATAAAGGCCTATCCGATAGTTATATTAATATAATTCTTAGAATTATACTAGCGAAGGTATTCGGACTATTACTATTAATATATATTTAAAGTAAGCCCTAGGTATATTATTTATACGCTATATATTTACTAATTCCTAATTTATTCTATTAAGGTTTAGCGATTACCTTATAGGTCTTAACTCTCGTTAGATATAGTTAGAGTATTTATAATATATACTTATTATATACTATATATATATAAAACGCGCGTTTATATAGAGATACCCTAATTATATAGTATCTATTATAATCGATCGTATCTATAAGTCACCTTCGAAGTAGGAAGCCTTTAAAATTATAGAGGAAGCTAAGAAAATATAGCTAGAGACTAAGTATTAGTTTAACTATAAATTAACCGGCTAGGTTTTTATAGGTATATTACCTAAGGCTTTAAGAATTCCTATCTATTAGTAGCTAAATACTAGACGCTATACTAGGATCTATAAAAATAGCTATTATTAGGAGAATAAAGTAGTAGGTTAAAAGTAAGTATTATTACTTATAATCCTTAAGTAAGTTTATATTCTTTATATAGTTTATATAAGGCTAATATATTAGTTAGATTAAGGTAATACACTATTAATATTAAGGATAAGATTTATATTAAGACTATTTAGGGCCTTCCTACCTTATAGAGGAACTAGAACCCAGCTAAGAAAATTATAAAGGGTATTTTAAGAAAAGGTTTATTAAATATATATCTAGTATATAATAAATATATACTAACTATTATTTAGATAAACGAAATCGCGTAGCTATAGAGAGGCGTATTAAGAATTTATACTTCTAGTATAATCCTTATAATAGCTATAATTAACGCTATCCTCTAATATAGCCGCTAAACCGTACTATACTATCTCGGGCTTCTTCGGTCTATTTAACTAAAGGAAGTAAGTATACTATACTACGTACCGCGCGGTCTAGCACTCGAGCTCTATCTCCTAGGGATTCTTAGACGCTAACTCTATAAGTATCTTATTAAACCCCGATACCTAGTATTAAAGAGACTCGAGAGAAAGAGCTAGAATAGGAACTTATAACTTTAAGGAGGCGTACTAGAATTTAAGCTATAGAAAAGGAGAAAGAAATACTACGTCTATAGCTAGGCGAGGGTAGCTAATTTAGAAATTTCCTCTATATATTAAAATATCACACTTATTTTAATCTTATTTTAACCTTATACTCTATATACACTTAGTAGATCTAATATAAATATCTACTTAGTATATATTTAGTATATACCGAGTAGATATTAAATAATATAAGTATATAGTTTAAAATCTACTAATTCTTTACCCTTTTTTTCGGTCTTCTTTCCTCCTCCTCTTCCTTCTCCTCTTCCTCTTCCTCCTCCTCTTCTCCCTCCTCTTCTCCCTCCTCTTCTCCCTCCTCCTCCTCCTCCTCCTCCTCCTCCTCTTCCTCTTCTCTACCTCTCTTTTTACCTCTAGGTCCTAGGGTAGGCGTAATAGGTATAGTAGGTATAGTAGCTACCTTAGGCGTAGGGGTAGTTATAGGGGTAGCTAGTACTAGTATAGGGGGTACTAGTACGAGGGGTGCTAGTATAGGGGGTACTAGTACGGGGGGTGCTAGTATAGGGGGTGCTAGTATAGGGGGTGCTAGTACGGGGGGTACTAGTACGGGGGGTACTATAAGAGCGGTAGTTATAGCACTAAACCTAGGAAAAGGGACTAGGGGGATATCCGCCTTACGCTATATAGATTATTAGTAAATATTAAATAAATATAGGAGGGTTATATACTTACTCTACGTCGGCGTTAACTAGATCTTAGGGTAGGCGGTATTAGAAACCGATAGAAACATTAACTAAATCGAGCCGTAAATTAAGTATTAGTCGCACTATTTATATAGTTAGTATATATCCTTATAAATAGAAATTATATCTTAACTTACGTAATACGCTCTAAAGCGTTACACTAATATCTAACTAAACTATTCTTAGGGCCGCGGCTAGGCTTATAGAGATAACTTACCTATTACTAACTATAAGTAAGAACCTATCGCTTAATTATATTTTATACGGTAATCATTTAGTCCTAAGTCTTCTATCGGCGGTTAGGTATAGTAGCTATATTAATAAAGGTTAGTATATACTAAGTATATATAAAAGAAATAACTTACTTACACTAGAATAATCTTAACGTAAATATCGGCGTATAGCCGGGCTATCTAGGAATATTAACCTATATATCTACTATCTATTTATAGTAATATTATATATACCGATATTCTCTTTATTTAGTATAATAGCTTAGTTTAGGGGAGGGGTAGCTTAGATATCCGCTATTTTAATATTATATCTTAGGACACTAGTAGCTATTATAGTATAATACGCTACTAGCTTCTAGCCTAGGTTATTATCGGGGATTAGTCCTATATATAGTTAGTATATATTTAAAGTATATTAAATATAGAATAAACCTACTATAAGTATATCTAAATATTAGGTAAAGGTTTACCGCTATAGCGACTTAAGGGTTATTAAATAAACCTCGGGTTAGTCTATATACGTAGGGGTTATTAGCTATTTTTCTAATAATAATTATAGGATAGTAATAATAGTAAGATAGAATAGTTATTTAAACTATAGTATTTAATAGTATCTAATAGGGATAGGATAGACCTTTTATATAGTTATAGTTAGGGTTATACTTAATACTTCTTACTTTATATATAAAGGGGTATTATTATTACTTTATATATAAAAGGGTATTATTATTACCTATATAAAAAAGGGTATTACTATTACTTTATATATAAAAGAGTATTATTATTCCTTTATATATAAAAGGGTATTATTATCCCCTATATAATAAAGGGTATTATTATTACTTTATATATAAAAGGCCTTTAATCTATATATTTACGGTATATTATATATATAAACTATACTTATTAGGTCTATAAGGTTTAAATATATTAGATATTAGATATATTTCGATTTTTTCTAGTATTTTAGGCGTTTTTTATTATATATTAAGTATATATATTAAGGCTATAAGGTTAAAATCTATTAAATATTAGATATATTTTAATTTTTTTAACGATTTTAGCGTTTTTTATTATATATTAAGTATATTAAAATCATATTTAAGACTTAAAGTAAAGGCTATAGTAATATATATATCGATTAGGCTAAGTCGTCCTCGCTATTAGACTCGGGCTTAGACTCCTTATCCTCTCCCTCGGACTCTTCCTTATATTCCTTATCCTCTCCCTTAGACTCTTCCTTATATTCCTTATCTTCTTTATCTTCCTTCTACCCCTTATATTCTTTATATTCTTTATATTCCTCCTCTCTAACTTTAGGGGCCTCTTTAACTTTATCGGTAGTTCGGACGACCGCGCTAAATCTATAGAAGGGAATAGGGTTTATAGGGGGTTTAGGGCCACGCTATATATATTTAGTATATATTATACTTATATTAGGGCTATTAACTTACTCGACGGCTACGATAGCTAGATCTAGGGGTATTAGGCTATATATAGCGATAGAAGCGGGTACTATACTTAACGGTAAAGTTAGGATCTTAGCTCTTATATAAGGTTAGTATATAATTAATATATCTAAGGTTATATTTATTTACGCGATCCGCTCGAGGGTATCGTATTAGTAGCCTACTTTCCTATCTACTAGTCTACGGCTAGGCTTATATATATACCTAGCTTATTACTATCCTTTTATTAGGATCTATCGCTTAATTATATTCTCCTTAGCGGCGATTTCTAGCGTTATCTTCTAGTGGCGAGTAGGCGTAATAGCTATAATAAAAAGTTTATTAGTATATATTAAGTATATATCTTATATAGATATATACTAGCCCTAAGATATTCTTATCGGAGGTAATAGCGTAGCGCGGGACTCTTTAGAAGGATTATCCTATATATCTACTATCTATTAATAGCGATATCGTAGATACCGATATTCTCTTTATTAAGAATATACGTAGTATTAGGGGGTATATTAGTAACTATATTACCCGCTTTAATATCGTATCGCTTATTACCCGCTACTATAACTCTATACTAGGTATAGGGCCTCTATCTAGGGTTAGGATCTTATATAGGGCCTATATAAGTTAAGTATATATAATATACGTCGGAATCAGAATATAGGCTTTCGCGTACTATAGGCCTAGCTAGTTACGGGATACGGATTCGGGGTATAGAGAACTTCTAGGTTATCGAAGTCCTATCGAGTTAGTCTTAGTCTAAGGTTAATTAATAGAGATATAATGATTATATATTAAGTATATATAAAGAAAAAATAGATATAACGGGAAATAATAGAGGAAGAAGAAGATATTAATATAGAAAATGTAAATAAATAAAATTTTAGCTAATATTATTAAGGAAGGAGCACTAGTGTTCTACGTTAGGTAAGAGTAAATATATATTATATTAAGTATATATTCTAAAGCTATATAATAGATATTTCGACTTAAATTTAATTTATGGTAGTAGGGGAATATATATTAAATTATTTAAATTATTTTTCTAGTAGGTATATATTTAAATATAGTAGTAAATATAAGGTTTTTTTATAGTGATAGAGAATTGTATAGACAGTAGGTGCGCTTTTTCGTAGTGTGATTGGTTGAAGAAGATGAGATAATCAATGAATTCTGAGCCCCCCGGGAGCTAATCAGGTGGCAGAATTCGCGGATAATCTTCTGGGTCCTACGGAGAAAATTCTGAACCCTTCCGAGCTGGAACCCGTCGGCCAAGCAACAGAAATTATCTCACATTGTGTCGCTTTTGTTTGATGGTGCATGTACAGAGTACCATTCAACTCCTCAGACTCGATAATTAGATCTCTGTGACGCCCTCAAATGTACTCGATGTCTGGACATACCCCAAAGCACTGCCCTGAAAGGTCCACGACGGTGCTTCGAACCCAACGACCAGAGTACCGAGCCCAGCAATCTTTATATGCTTACCGATAACTTTTTGGCATATACCCAGACAAATTGGAAGTTTGATAAAAGAGTGTATTGATGGTGGGAATGGACACGAGCGTTGGCATGTACATCTTGACAGCCAAGTGGATCTATCAAGATCGAATTGGCTAAGATTTAGGCACACTACTACAGAGTAAGCTCGGAGAAAAGTGCAACCCATGCCTCTTCGCTAGCAATTTCCATCGTCTTACGAATCTTCGCTTGCGTTTCACGTCCAAATAACAAACACTTTCCCTGCTTTGGAATCATGGCCGAGCTTCGCATCCTGTTTGTCGGTGGCTTCGATGTTGAAGTTTGGATGCAGGGTGATGGATCCAATACGAAAATTTCCTCTCCGTGTTTGACGCCGAATGCCACGCGCTGCTGGTGATATTTCGACCTGGAAGAGAACGAGGCCTTGATCTGATGATCTCACCGATGAATTGAAAAGCAATTTGCCCAGGCTCCCAGTGAGTTTATGGCAATCTCTAGGGAATAAGAAAAGTTATTTCCTCTGTCTGTGAGATATTGTAGTAGAATTCATATCTAATTTTCAAAAATAGGATCAAAAGGCGATGTGCGATCCTCCATGGTCTCAGTGACATCCCACAAGTGCGTCTCAGCGTGCACCAGAAGAGCCAAGTCGAATCGATTGTTCAAAAAGGTCTAGTCGTCGTGGAAGAAAGCAGCACCGTTGCTAAGCTCGTGCATTTTACAGCTCAAGTCTATCTAAAGTGCATGTACGGAGTAGGGAATTTCTTCCCAGCGCCCGAATGCCCCAGTCGTCTGACATTGCATGATGCAATCGCCGCTGACATTCCGATGCCTGTCTAGACATATCAACACCAGGGAGTTGCACCTCCGGGGAATGTAAGGACTGCCCGATCATCATTCCAAAGGACGGCACTTCCGGAGGCACCGTCACCTGCTGTGGCCACTGTGTGACGGAGATAAGAGCTTGTCTACAGAGTATTGTGCGTCGAGTATTACGGAGTATGCCATGGAGATTTCTGATTTAAAGATGATTGTCCTTGAAACTTTGGATTCCAATGTTATTGTACAATTCGCAGAGCTATGTATTAGACATGAGCATGCAGTATCGTGACACGTACATCTCTAAAGGGGAAACATCTCAGCAAGCTAGGTATATACAGCCCGAGCAGTAGCCTGAACCCCCAGGCTCTATTGATGGCCCTGTCCTCTTTGACTCGACGTCAAGTTATATACTGGGTTCGAATTAAGCATCAGCACACTTTCCTCTCTTGCAGACCATCTCCCCGTCGCCTTCGCTCCGTTTGCTGCAAGAATCGCCTGGGCAGTTTAAGAAAAAAGATCTTTCTCACTGAGCCGGTGTCCTTTCAACGATCACTCATCCAGTTCGGGATCGACGGCACACTTTCCACTGATGCAGGTCCAGTTGTTGTCGCATGAGCCCTCACCGCTGCAAGAGTCGCCTGAAAATGAATTAATAAACGTCCACCACATTAGCAAGGGATCTTCCTTACCGAGACAGTGTCCTTCCCAGGTGCAAGGCTCTTCGTCCTCCAGTTCGGGATCGACGGCACATTTTCCACTAATGCAGGCCCAGTTATTATCGCATGAGTCCTCGCCGCTGCAAGAGTCGCCTAAAAATGGATTAACAAACGTCCAATACATCAAAAATGGTTCTTCCTTACCGAGGCAGTGTCCTTCCCAGGTGCAAGGCTCTGCGTCTTCCAAATCGGGATCGGCGGCGCATTTTCCGTTGATGCAGGTCCATGGATCATCGCAGTCGTTTCCGTCGGTGCAAGAGGCACCTAGAAAATCGTTTGGTAAAGAGCCAGGATGCTGAGAGTGGAAAGGGTCTTACCGAGACAGTGTCCCTCCCAAGAGCAAGACCCTCCAGTAGGGGAAGAGCCACTGGAAGAAGTGGTTGAAGTGGGCTTAGAGCCACTAGCGGAAGTGGTCAAGGTAGTGGAAGGTCCTCCAGAGCTCAGGTTAAGGTTCTTTGCGAGAGCGGTCATCAGCTTGTCGCCCATAGAGCGCAAGGTGCTGAAGTTGGTGATGTAGTTCTCGTTGAGAGCACTGCTGGGAAGCACCGAGTCCTTGCCAGTGAAGAGAATGTCTGCGTGGATTAGCCAGTTGTCATAACAGAATGTGCACTATTCTCAAACTCACAGGTCACATCGGGATCAACGTGGCCGCTGTTTCCATTCAGGTCATCGTTGGGGAAGCAGGTTCGGGCCATCAACCACGAGGCCTCGCCGATGACTTGAGGAGTGTCGCCATCGGAGTCTCCGAAGATGCCGTAGAACATCTTTCCGTCACTGGAATTTGTTAATAATACATAAGTGAAATTACCAGGAAGAATCATACCAGATGACGGCACCGACGTTGTTTCCAGGAAGAACCTTCTCGTAAGTGGTTGCGAACCTGTCTGGAATCACGATGAAGGGCACTTCATAGGCTGCCAGAGCACCGAAGTTGGTCTCGGGGAGGCCATCAGGGTTTCCCTGTTCGAGTCAGTAATGCGTCATGCCGATATGGATATCCTCGGCATACCTCGCACTCGTAGTCAAGGCCATCACAGTCGACATCCATGTCGGCAATCCAAACGAATGCGGCACCCTATAAGCATGTAATCAGTATATGGTTCTTTTGGATGGTGCCGAGGAGAATATCTACCTCGCTGAAGGACGACCAATCCTTGTGGATAGTGGACTTCGCAGCACCCTTATCGAAATTGATAGGATAGGTTGCATCCGAAGCAGCACTGCTGGCCTTAGCAGCAGCACTCTTCAAAGCAGCCACCGGGATAGTACTGGAAGCAGTGAACCAGCTTGCCGGGGGGCCACCGTTAGGGCTATCATAATCAGAGCCATCCACGGTTTGGGCCAACGCAGTGCCCAACGAGGCCAGGAGGGCAATAGGGATTGAAGCGTATTTCACCATGATTTTTTCACAGATGGATCTCAAGCCGAAGGGTTAGGAAAAAAGGAGTGATGGCTTTACATTGGGGGCCGAACCTCGTGCTTTAAGTAGTCTTCAGGGCTAGCTCGCTATGGATCCATCTTCGACGAAAATAAAAACCGCCCCGAGCTAGTCACCACCAAATTGATGTTCTCCATCATCGTGCGTCGTAGATATTGGCTCACTGGCCTATTTCGGCCATGCAGAGATTGCCTGAGTTTTGCAAAAGTGAGACAAGGCTAAACTCAGGAGAGCGGAGATACGACTCTCCCATGGCCCGATCAGGCAATAGGTCAAACTGCCATTATTGCTCTTCACGAGGACCTCGTGGCTGAAGGATCGCAATCATGGGGGAATTATAGGCCCAGACCCCTGCATAACGTCGCACCGTGGCTCATTCAATATACGCGAAAAGCTTGTGAGCCATCCCCGAAGCTTCGTAGCTGCAGGTTGTGGCAGCCAGGAGCTCATTTTTGCGGAGGGCCATTTACTGATTCGTCGAATAAGATTGCAGATACCCAGGGAGCCCTACGCTAGCTGCTTACTTGTGCTAGAGCAATATCTTCATGCCCTCTAAGGGGCTTAGTCTCAGCACTAACGCCTCGCACTGTGGATGTCAGGGAATGAATGGAACAACCAAGCTACGGAGTATGCCCGACGACAATATTCCACGAGAACACTCATAATGGGTGTGACTTAAAACTCTCGACTTTGTACGAGGTACGGAGTACTCCGTATGTAGTAGGCTCATAGGCTTTGATCCGTGGGGTCCATATCTTAAGCGGTAAGGATCTACCAACTAGAGGAACCATCACAATCGTTTATACTTCGCACGAGACTAGTTTCAAAGCTACCAGCAACAACACTTGAGACATTGAATCCTCCGGCGAAGCCGGCAAATCACCACGTCCGGCCCGGAGGGTGTGAGAAACCCCGGTGTCGGGGTTCCGAGGCCTAGACGAGTACGGAGTATCTGAGGGGCACCTGGGCATGTGAGCGGATTGACTAAGCAGGCACGTGACCATCGGGAAGGCATCAACTCCGACCTTCAATTTGTTTCGGAGCGATAACTCGACCAAGCACCTTGAGACGCCCGCCCAAAATGGCCAAGAAAGGTATGTGGAATTAAAACCCCTGATACTCCAATATGATCCACCCAACTTCCCCACATCCGGCCACGATGGCGCAGAATTGGCACGAGAACCGTGATGCCACTGAGACCGAAAACTCCCCGGATTTGTTGCGGTCGATTTGCTAACATCGTCTTTTTCCTCGACACAGCAAAGTCCCGTACCATTGCCGTCCGGCTGATCTCTATGGCCATGACGGGCTACTACCGCACGTTGATCCGGCCCCGTGCGCACCGTCCTCTCAGCATGATGAAGTACGACCCTGTCGTCAAGAAGCAGGTGCTTTTCCTCGAGGCGACCAAGGGTGGAAAGAACAAATAAGCAAGTGCTCTTGCGATTTGTGATTAGAGCGCCGGGGTCTGTCAAATCTCCGAACTCGATCGTTGTGCCATGTTGGGAAGGCAATCTTTCAACCTCAAACTCGACCTCTTCTTTTCCTCCAGCCGAATCTCCCTTTTCTATCTGCAATCGCTATTCAAACACGCCCAACAAACGATACCCACCCATTTTGTGCGGCAATGCGATGAGGGTATCAGGGGAACGAGCCCTGTGTGTATATTATTTACTGGCGGCAGCCGGGAAATTGTCATTTCCCCGGTTCACCAGATATTTTGCGGTAAATCTCCTTTTGTCGGAGCATTCTTTTTGGCGTTGAGAGCAATACAGCTTTGGATACATCAATGAAAATAAAATAAATTTCCCAGTTCAGGTTTCTGTGTTATCGAACCTTCGTGAACCCACTTGCTCCCGGGCTTCTTTCTTTCATTCATCCATCATGACGAGCACAATTTTCCTGTATCAATATTTGAGCATCAACCGGCCACATCTTCTGGTAAAAATAACCTCGAAAGTCGGCTAAATATGAGCAGATCATAACAATGAAAAGGATAATCTGTCGCGACATCCTCTAGGGTACGTTTGCTTAGCCTGCTTCTTGGTTGAAGCGCTGATCATATCGGTCTCCTTCGTACCGTTAGCGCGGCCTGCTGCTGAAAAAGATCAGATAACCATACCTCGAGTGCGGCGCTTACCCCGGCCCCGCGTACCACTGATTTGATCGGCGGCGTTGCTTCTGCTACTGCCGGAAGCTAAACCCTGCGGGCTTAATCGCCGACCCGGGTCATGGGCTTCATTGCGTGGTCTCTTCGGCGGTCTTGGGTTTGATCTAGAAGAGTGGTTTGCTTTGTTGATTGTGCCCCGTTGAGATTTTTCCTCCAATGTTTTTTTGCCACGCTGCACATCTGTGGTGGTTTCAATTGAAGACTCTTCCTGTGCCACAGACTGTCGAAGGCGGCTGTAAGTACGTTTCTGCGTTTTCTTTAGTGCCGCACTCTCTGATTCTCTTCCAGAGCTGTTGTCCGTTGCGTCTGACATTCGCCTAGCTCTGCCAACCTCTGTTTCGGTGAAAATGCGTGTTCCCTCGAAACTAACCACTTTGCGTTTGGTTTTGGGTAGTTCCGTCCTGGCAGATGCATCAATGGATGAATTTTCAAACTTCTCAATGGTCGAGGGAGGCATTGCGCTTTCATTTCCCGATGGTTGCTTTTTGAGGGCAGGATTTGATAGATTGTGCTCTCGACTCGTTGTTTGAGAATCTACTGGAACCATTTGGGGCTCTTGGGCTCCCTTGAGGGTGTCTCCCTGCATTAGTCCTCCCTGGAAATCGGGAGTCGACATAAAAAGCATTTCAAGCTCGGCTGGATCATTGAAAAGTGACAGACTATCCTCGCGCGAAAGCCTGTCATGGACACTCGAAAACGGGACGATATGGCCGAGACCAGGAGGGCGTTTTGGCGGGGAATCAACACTATGACCATGTTTCAAAGCCTTTGAGGGGCTGCCAATCTTTGGCGATAAGTTTCCAGCAGCCGGACCCACACCCTTGTCTGACTGATCAATCTCAACGGCATGATCATCTTTGCCTTTCAGCTTGTCTAAGGGAATATTGACCTTTTGAGTCGCTTCTGTGCTGTCCGTGTGTTGGAGCTTGGCGCAGGACGCATCATGGGCGATGAGAGACCGAGCGAGCGAAGACTGAAGCATGTCTTCCAGTTTCTGCCATGTTTGCTCGAAAGGCTCGTCTGGCTGGACATCGATCACCTTTGCGAATCCTTCTCTGATTGTTGCTTGCCAGCTTTCAGCTTCTTGGGCCCGCCGGAGCAGCGAAACAATCTCAGCATCCGCTTCCTCCCCGACTTTCTCCAGCGCTGATGACCGTGATTTGAGCATGGCGAGACTCTCAGTCATTGCTTTAAGCTCACCGGTTGCCTGAGCTGCTTCTAGCTCAAGCAGATTGGCCTTGGTTTCTGCTTCTTGTGCTGCTTTCGCTTTCAGGGTCTCAGACTCGGTCTTTTTTGCCAGAATCGCTTCCAGCTCGGTGGTCTTTCCTTTCACCCGCTGGAGTTGTTCAAGAAGGCTGTCATTCTCTTTCCTCAGACTTGCTCCAGAATCTCTCAGCAGTTTGGACTCGGCCTCATTGGCTTTGGCCTCTGCGATATATTTTGAGCAAGAATCGTTAAGCGTCTCCATCCGCTTCTTTGATTCCTCGAGCTGCGCTTATCAGCAAGGCACATGAAAATATAATCTCCGCATCGCTTACCATGGAGTCCTGTCTCATTCGCTGACCCTCGGCTGTCTTTTCGGTTTCAGCCTTCATACTATTAGCCGGCCATCTTCCCATTCGTTAAGTCATGATCTTACCAGAGAGTTTTGGACATTTTCGAGCTGAAGCTGAAGGTGATCGCAATCTCTTTTCAGCTTGGTCTTCTCTCTCTCAAGATCGTGCACCTGCTCTGTAAATCTAGCGTTCATCTGATCCTGCAATTTCATGCTTGCGATACCAAGCTCTTCTCGGATTCTTTGTTCGAGCAACTGAAGCTCCCCCCGCAAGGCCGTTTTTTCAATTTCCAGCCGGGAGATCTGACTTTTGGATGCTTGTTCTTTAGTAACGGTCTCAGTCAACGTATGTTGAAGATGTTGGTTCTCGGATGATCTCGTGGCAAGTTGCTTTCGAAGGGACTCGACCTGAGTAGTGCTTTCTTGCAGTTGAAGTTGCAACTGTGTATTCTCGGCAAATTTGTTAGAAATCTCCATCTCCAGAACAGGATTTCCGGCAGGGATTCGAGCCTCAGAAAGCTTTTGCCCAAACATTTCTAAACCTCGCATCAGGTCTATCTCTGTGGTTTCAATGGCCTTGACAGAATTGCCGAGAGTGCCGAGCATCGGCTCAGCGACCTCCAGCTGTCGCTGCAAATTCCCATAGCAACTCTCGGTATTAGCAAGCTGTTTGAAAATTGAAGAACATGGACCGAGGTTAGCTTCAATTGCTTGGAGCGCTTCTTGAAGCGCTTGGAAGACGCTTTTGTTGATTTCCGTGCCCCTATCCACGTCCCTCGCAACTTGTTCCGCCAGCGAGTTCAAACTATTCGTAATCAATCAACACTTATTCCCTTTCCAGCTCTTCGCACAACTTACCCAAAGCTTGCTTGCTCGACGCTTTTGGTAAAGTCTTGGACGTTGATAGCCTCGGTAACGCACTGGTTCTGCAGCTTTTGGACTGAGTCGACACATTGCTCAAGTTTCGGACTCAATTTTGACAGGATGACATCCTGAGATTTGACACACGATGTAATGAACAGCTCACACGCAGAGTCAAATTTCTCAGCCATCTTTCGCTGATCATTTCTGACAAGAGCCAAGTATCGTGCCTGGCTCTGAGACTCATTCTGGATGTAGTTCTCTAGAGTAGCAATTCGCCTTTTCTCATTGGATAGCTGGGCCTTGATCAGTTCGCCCCTTTTCTCCGAGTGGTTCAATGCTTCCTTCAATCTGGAAACAGTCGTTTCGGAATTCAAGAGTTTGTCGCGTTGGCCTTGAATTTTCTCTGCATAGTTCGAGACTTGCAGCTTAATATCGACCAAATTCTGTTGGATTTCGCTTTTCTCTTTAGCAAGAGAGACAGTGGTTTCTTTCAGTACCTTGGAGTGTTCTCTGACTACGCCATATTCACGTCCAAGCTCGTTCAGGATACCTTTGAACATGCCGAGTTTCTCCTTCCACTTGTCTATTTGAGCACGTTGAGCTCTCGACTCAGACGATGTTTTAGCGAGCTGGCCTTGGCATTTCTTGAGCCGGTCTTGCAAGACAAGGTTCTGCTCCTTCAAGGCCGAGTTCTCATTCTTGACTTGCCGTTGGATAAGTGTTGCAGCATGTTCGGTCTCCTCTCGCTGTTTCATCCTTTTAATGAGAAGCTCAAAAAGATCATCCTCGCTGAGTTGAACACTGTGCTTCGTACCAATGAGTGCCGCCTGACTCTTGGTATTGGATTCCTTCTCAGAGGCACGGTATCGTTTCAACGCCTGAAGTTGATTATGTATAGGCTTGAGTGGCACGCGAGGGACCTGATTCTCTGCAGTTTCTTGCCTTTCTCTGTGGGAATGCTGGATCGCTGGCTCGGGTAAGGCAGAACTTGCCTCGCTCGTTCCCTCGATCTCATCAACACCATGCTGAACCAGCACCGCTCCTTTCCCTGCAGGGCCGATATTCTGTCTGGGGGTATTGACTCTGGTAGGCTCACTCGGCTGGGCCACAACACTTACCTGGCTCTGTCCAAAAGCCGCTTTTTCTATGGCAGATCCACCGCACATTTCTTTGCTAGAGCCAGCAGTCATCGAGCGCCTTCTTATTGGTTGATGAAGCAACGATTGCCTAGCTGGATTTTGACCATCGGTAGTGGCCTTTTCTTTTGAGTGAGCAGTGTTGAGCATGCTATGTCACACGGGCAGTGTTAGTCGTGATAGTGATTTTCATCAATGGGATCCTGGGTCATCTACGAACGTAGCTGGTTGAGCCAGTTGAAGACTAATACCTGTCCCCTCTCCGGTCTGTTCTCCCGAAGGTTGCGTATCATCGATCTGAGGATGGGTTATTGGAGCCTGCTTGGGCATATTTCGCAAAGAGAATGGCTTGTGCGAGGCAGGCTTCCCAAAAGAGAAATCAACAACATCAATAGCAGAACTTTCTGGGCGCCGAAGAAGCGGCCGGAGCTTTTCTGAGCTCTCCATGATGAGTTATAGATGGGGCCGATGAGAAGGATCGTGCAGTTGAAGAACTGAAGTCCAAGCAGGGGTGGCATGGATGTCAAGCAAAACAATTCTAGGAAGGAGCAAACCCGTGACCGGAATGCCATCTCTATCTCACCTTGTGTAGTTCCAACATCGGATGTTTTGACACCTACGCTTTCTTAGAGACGAATTCTAGTTAAAATATGAGGTATCGAAGCGCAGGCGAGAATTGTCGAACATCACAACTTACTCAAGGCATAAATTTGTAAAAACAAAAAGCGCCGCTTGAGATTTCCCGTAGATGTGTAGTCACACACTTTTACTGGAGCATTATCCAGTAAGCATCACTAGATGTGGAGCTTGATAACAAAATATATACAGAAGTATGCTGGGCTCTATTTAGAAAAAGAATCGAGGTAAATGGTACGCAAAAACTACATAAATATTCGACTCTCAATGATATATATTCCTTCCATTTTAAAAATGCGCACGGATATCCATCACGAGGTTTGTATGCCAATGATTTAATTATTCCCATAGTCTACTCCGTATAAACATGACCATTATGAAGTTCAATCTCCATTCCAAGCATGGTTCCATGCGGACCTGGTCGAACAATCAATATATATGGAAAGGTTGCAGCCTAGGACTTGAAACATGTTCTTCTGTGCGAAGTGTTCATGAAGGGACAAAACATGCACTGGGAAAGGACACGGCTAAATATGCCAAAGGCAAGAGACCTCGGCAAGACAAACATAGGAGTTTTACTCCGTAGTCCGTACATGCTTGGTCGATTTCGGTGTTTCCGAAACTCATTCTACGCAAGTAGCTTATCCGTCCACACCCTCATCCCAGTTCAAGAATCATAAATCAGGTTTCTTTCTATTATGATGATGATATGATTATTATTATTTCAAAAAAAGTTAAAACAGCCAGCTGAAACAGCCAGTTTCAATCTGAGCACATCTTGTTCGTTATCCGGCATATCTTACATGACAAGATACCCCAGAAAATGCCCAGTCGACAAGGGTTGCCTGTTGAATCCAATCGATAAGCTTAGCCTGCGCCTTCTGAGGCTTTGAGAACCCTGTGGCGGTCACACTAACCAGCTGACTGCGCCGGTATCGAGTTCGGTGGAACCAATAGTGCTCCGTTCGACAACATCAAGAGACAAACGTACGTGTTCAGCATAGGGGTGGAACGAGAACGAAAAGACCCGCCTAGAATCGGCAGCCGACCCAAGTGCCTAAAATCCCGCATGTGAGGGATCATATCGGACTTCGCGTCGAATCTTCCACACGCATTCCAGAGATGTTCTGTGCAACAAACAGTTGCCGAGATAACCTGGATGTGTTTGGTTGAATAACGTGGCAGCCACGAGAAGGCGGGATAAATAGGGTATATCACATGCGAGATGAACAGTGATCAGTCAAGTGCAGTTGGATGCTTCAAGCCTACTTCCTGGTTGGTTTCATCAGGCGAAAATCGAACTATATCGCAGTGCTTACGATTCGGGGATATTTCCACTGGAACAAGAACTCAAACACTTGGACATGAGAACACAGAGTCAGATTCACTTCAAGTGTTACAGAGTTTCACACAAGAAATCTCGCAGGGCGTAGGGCAGAGACACTAACTAAATAGCGATCTGCTGGAGACATCTCGCAATCTCCAGTGGTCCCTAACGCCATACGAGACCTTTTGTTTCAAATTGAATTTTGATCGCCAGGATGTTCGTCTAGGATCATAATTGACAAGTCACTGGGTGGGTTAGCAAAGTCTGTGCTTTTTTATTTTATTTTTTTTAGCGGATATCATAGCCTCCGCTCATTAGTTTGAGCGGGCCCCGGTCGAACTGGCCTTATCTCTCCACCTAGCCTTGCTCATCGCCTGTTAGAGTCAGATGTTTGGAGAACACCGTGGGTCTCAGGGATATCTCCTGAAGCCTTACGCCGTATTGTGTCACGGTTCCAGTCATATGTGTGCGAGAGTGAAAACGGAGATCCCTAGGAAACGCCCTGCAATATCTTGCCCCCCCAAAGCGACTAGTCTGGAAGAGTAGCTGTAGGGTGTAGATCCCACGGCATCAAAGGCCAGAATCAGCATAGGTGCAAAAGGAAAAAAAGAGGGCCCGTTTCTTTGATTCCCCCTTTCCCCATTTTGTTGCGCGTCACGCGTGATTGGCCCGCGGGTTACTGCCATTTCTGCCAGACCGCTCACCCGCTTCATCCCCTTTCTTTCATCTGCTTCAACTTCCCGAGGAGTGGACGGGCAATTCTTGGTATTGCTGTCATTTGACACGGTCTTTATTTTCCGCATTCTGTCCCCCTTTTTTCTTGAGTGGTTCCGTATCAAAGAGTTGGTGCGACTCCGATACCTGGAGCTCCCCGGGCCTTCACGTTTTCTTGGTATACATATTCTGGCTTAGAACTTGAGATCTTCAATATTTCTTCTGCAGACATCCGGTCGACTTTTTTTCTCTTCTTTTTGGCAAATCTCTTCAAATCCGTGAATTTATATCTGGACTTGCATCGATAATCTGGCGCCAACTTGAAATATTCGACCCCCGCTCGGCGAATCTACCTTCGGAATTCGGTCACCTCATGGACGTTGCGATCTGAGCTCGATATTCGCCGAAAATCTCGTTCCTCCCCCGCTTGTCGCCCGTGCGCGCTATCTTTCTTCGATCAAAGTTTCTCGAGACAAGTGTGATGTTGCTAGGAAGATACTAGCTCAATTTGAATACTTCGGCTATCGCTCTGACCCAACAAAATGGGAAACACCCAGGGCAAACCGGTGTCTTGCAACGATGCTGGTAGGTTGATCAAATTCCAATTGATATGAGTGGAAGTCTTGAGGACTTCCGGGGTCGTTGCCGAGGATTCGAACAAGTCGCTGATATCGCTTTTCTTCTACTAGTCAACCTCAATCATTTCCGACTCCTGCGAGTCGTTGGAAAAGGTGCATTCGGAAAAGTCCGAATTGTCGAGAGGAAGGACACAGGTCTTACGTTCGCATTGAAATACATTCGTAAAGAGGAAGGTTCGTGGGAGTTCCCAGGCTCTTGAGCCATAAAAGCCATAGCTGACCGGACGCCCAGTGGTTCGCTCGGAAAGTGTACGAAACATTATTCGTGAACGGAGAATGCTCGAACACCTGAACCATCCATTCCTGTGCAATTTGCGTTACAGTTTTCAGGACATGGAATACATGTGAGTACACTGGGCTCGATCCTTATCCTTCATTACTGACTACATTACAGCTATATTGTGGTTGATTTAATGAATGGTGGCGATCTCCGATTCCATATCTCCCGAAAATGCTTCACAGAGGATGCGGTGAGGTTTTGGATGGCTGAACTGGGCTGCGCTCTGAAGTATATCCATTCGCAGGGCATCATCCACCGCGATCTAAAACCAGACAATGTGCTTTTAGATTCTGATGGACACGTTCACTTGGCTGACTTTGTACGTTCCAATAGCCCGAATTGTATTTGAGTGGACTTCAAGCTAACGTTGATGCATTAGAACGTGGCATCGGATTTCCGACCGGGAAAGCCCCTCACAAGCAAGTCAGGAACGCTAGCATACCTTGCGCCGGAAGTCTATGAAGGGACGGGTTACACCTTTGAGGTCGATTGGTGGTCATTAGGTGTGACTTTTTACGAGTGCATCTACAATAAGGTATGGGCGATCTGCCTGTCGTTTCATTTCCAGTCTAACCTTGAATGCAGCGACCATTCGAAGGTCGGAGTCAAGAGACCTTGAGTGAAAACATTAAAAAAGCACAGCCAAAATATTATGTTACCAATCCCGCTGTTTCAGTACCTTGTTTGCGGGCACTGGGCGCATTGATGCAAAAAGATCGCAGTCAACGCATTGGTGCCATCGGGTTCGAGACATACACCTCACACATGTTCTTCGCCGATATCGACTTTGATGCACTCGAGCGCAAACAGATCCCGCCAGTGTTCCGCCCCTCGAGCGATAAAACAAACTTCGATGCGACGTATGATCTGGAGGAGTTGCTCCTCGAAGAAGCACCCCTGGAAGCTAGAGCGCGCCGGCAAAAGCCACGTGCTGAGCTAAGGGAGGATGCTACTGCGAAAGAAATCCGGGATGATGAACTCCACCGTCTTATTGAGACGATGTTTGAGCCATTTGATTACACTTTGACTAGCTACCAAGGTAATGCAGCGGACGCTATTGCTGCCTCCACGTGAGCTTTCCCTTTCCATCAAAAGCATTGGACCGTTGCACTTACAATTTTTACCAGCAATCCCGAGGATTGTCTTCCTACCGCCACAAACACCGCAGGAAACACTACAACGCCAGCAAACCCAACTGTACACGCCCGTCAATTCTCACAGCCCGATCATAGAAATACACCATCTCAAATCGATGGCATATACTATCGTGCTCCGACGAGCGAAAACATGACTACAGTGAGCGAAACACTCGATCCTAATGACCCTGCAAGCGGCCCAATTTCACCTGCTCCCTCGAACCGCATGTCAGGTTCACCACCACCTGCACCATCGTTCCACCGACCGCTACCCCATAATCAACGCCACCGCGGTGCCACTCGCCAAATGAGCAAAAGTGGTGGCGTCCAAATGGTTCTGAACGAACATGGTAGCTGGAGTGAACTGGCAAATAGCGCTGCTATCCCTGCAGAGGGAATAGAGAGTGGTGACGACAAAAGCAAGCCGGCCAATGGAATGCTTTCGTTCTTCAGTCGAAAAAAGGGCCGTGACCGTAGCCCCAAGCCAACCGAGCCAGGTGTTCTGGGCAAAGAGGGAGCCAGGCAGATCATTAGCTGAAAGTCTTGCCTCTGGTGAAAACCAATTGGCGCTTGTGCCGGTGGCGCTGTCAACGCTGACACTATATCCGCACAATCTTGGGCTTTTGAGCCAACCTGCGTGATCTCTACTCGTATTCGAGCTCGACACCACGACCCGCAGACCATTGCTACTAATATTAGCACCCGCCAAGGTCGGCAATCCAATGTCAGGTCCTACTCCTTGGCTTAGTTGCCAGTACCTTCACACTTCCGGCTCCCATCGGGACCTACCGGAGGGAGACAGCCTCGCTGATGCTGTCTGATTCCATTCTGCATGACAACTACATCATTCTGCATTGATATCTGCAGCAAGAGGCGTAGTGCTTGAGGCTCCACATCCTGAAGCATCCCACCTCTTACATTCTACTAGATTCCCCGGGCACAGCGAGAATTCATTTACATACTTCATTTTCATATCATATCACCTCTCATCGCCGTCTCTTTTTCTCGCATTTGTACAGATACTCAGGGCAAACACCCATGACCAGAACCGCGCTTGTCCTATATATTTTCTTTTGACCACCTGTCACTTGGTAGGCGCACTTTATTTCTCTTTTATTGGGACCTTTTCTCTTCTCTGTGATGTTTTCTATCCTATTATTGTGCGTTTTTTTTGGAGTTTGCATACCCCGATTCGTTGATGAACCTGAACGTTCTTTATTTTCTGTATTCTGTGTATAGAATGGACTGGAGCTTCCCTGGTTACGGTGGGTGATTTATTTTTAGTCCTCATCTGCATTGAAATATACCAAATGTGTTGATTCTTGACATCGATCCTTACCTACCCAGTGATTTTTTTTTCCTTGCTTAAGAACAGCACACACAACATACCTAGGTAGGTAAGGAAGTAAACATGGGCCCGATAACGATCGACTCCAAACGCTGTCCATAAATAGGACAGAGTGTCGATACCATTACTCCGCAACTGTCCCCGTACTGTATCATAGTATAATAGTAGGGGGCAATTCAACTAAAATCCATCACCAGCAACCCCATACTCCAGTGTACGGAATCGAGGGTACTCCGTATGTCGTCCAAGGGGCTCAGGGGCACTATCACGTAGCCTTAGCCAACGCCCCACTGACCGTGTGGGGAAAAAGCAAAACAAAGCCTAACCAGCGTCTCGCCAGAACGTCGGAGAAAACAATGTGATTTTATGACATCCCCCAGCCACAACCTAAACCCACGTGCATCTTGTTCCCCAGCCTCGACAACATCACAATCCAACCTCCTCGAACTCATAACTCGGCCATCGCGCACACATTCCACATAGATCGGCGCACACGAAACATCCAAATTCCCACCTGGCATGCCAAGCCAATCCCGCAGCCGCGACCGTCCCGAGAGGAGGGACCGTGATCGCGATCGTCCACGCGATACAGAGCGCTCGTATCGTCGGGACCGGGACCGCGACGAGTATACCCGTGGCCGCTACGAAGACCCAGATGAAACGCCCAGCCCCACCAACGCGCGCAGTGCTAAGTACCGCTTCCGCGGGGAATCAGGGTACGAGTCGAATTCGCATGATAATCTGGAGCGGGATGAGTATGAGGAAGATCGCGAGCGACGCAGAGAGCGGAGACGCAGACGGAGGGAGGAAGAGGAGGCGCTGGCTTATGGATCGCCTGATGAAAGACGGAGAGATAGAGAGCGGGAGAGGGGTGGTTCTAGACCCAAGGAATCGGCGTCACGACGGGACCGGGAGCGAGACCATGAAGGACGACGCTATCGCGGGTACGAAAGTGGGAGTCCGATGAGGGAGAGACGGACTCGGGATGTTGATGTTGATGCTGAGGCTGAGGCCCGTCGGCGACGACGACGGGAAAGGCAGAAAGAAAGAGATAGACAGATGGAGCTGGATGCTGCGGCTGCGGCGCCGGCGAGGAAGCATCACAGTACTGAGTCTTCGAGCAGTGCTTCACATCTCTTGAGTGTTGATGCTATGGCGCGTCTTGCGGCTGAACATGAGGACGCTGATCGTTTGGAACGGGCACGTGAAGAGGAGGAATTGCGTAGGGAACGTCGGCGGCAGCGCAAGCGGGCTGCTATGGAGGAAGCTATGGCTCGTGAGGTTCCAAAGGGCCGATCACGCCATAAAGCTGGAGCGCGAGTTGTGTCTGGTGCTTATCTGGAAGAAGGACACAGTTCTGATGCTCGAGTACGACATCGTGGCGGTGGTGGGTATGCTGGGCATGACCACTGGAAAGGGGAGGACAACTGGGAAGGCAGCTATGATAGCCGCGGAGGGCCACCGGCCTGGAAATTTTGGTCTAACTGGTCCAGGAAAAAGCGCATCTGGATGGGATGCCTACTGGCAGTCATCCTGTTGCTTGCCATCATCATTCCTGTTGCTCTTGTTGTGTCGAAGAAGAAAGGCTCGGATTCCGACTCGACGACGACGAGTTCCTCTGATTCCGACTCTGACGACCCCAAGTCTAATTTGGACAAAATCGACCGCGACAGCATTCCAGTAAGTCCTGAATATGTTATATTGATGAGACCCGCTAATAACCGTGCGCCAGGCTTATGCCCAAGGCACTGTCTTGGATCCATTCAGTTGGTATGAGACAAATGGATTTAACCTTACCTTCACTAATGACACTGTGGGTGGTCTTTCCCTCATGGGCATCAACTCGAAATGGGATGATTCAGCCCGACCTAATGACGATGTCCCTCCTCTCAACAAGCCATTTCCGTATGGTTCACGGCCCATCCGCGGAGTCAATATAGGTGGATGGTTGTCCATCGAACCATTTATCACCCCTTCTTTGTTCGAAAAATGGCCAGCCAAGGCTGGTATCATCGATGAATATACTTTGACCAGAAAGCTGGGAAGCTCTGCAGCAAACACCATTGAGAAACACTACGCCACCTTCATTTCAGAGTCAGATATCAAGGAAATCAGAGATGCCGGGCTAGATCACGTTCGCATTCCATACGCCTACTGGGCGGTAACTACATATGAGGGCGATCCATACGTCGCTAAGATCTCATGGCGTTATCTTCTACGTGCGATCGAGTGGTGTCGCAAGTACGGACTGCGCATCAAACTCGATCTCCACGCGCTTCCCGGTAGTCAAAATGGGTGGAACCACAGTGGCCGACAAGGTAGCATCAACTGGCTGGCCGGCTCATACGGCGACGTCAATCGCAAGCGATCACTTGAAGTCCACGACCAGCTCTCAAAGTTCTTCGCCCAAGATCGGTACAAGAATGTAGTGACGATCTACGGCCTTGTGAACGAGCCACTGATGCTATCTCTGCCCGTCGAGAAGGTGCTCGATTGGACCAAGGAGGCGGCAGAACTCGTCCGCGGAAACGGCGTCTCTGCAACTCTTGTTTTGCATGATGGATTCCTAAATCTTGCTAAATGGGATGGCATGTTCCAATCACGCCCGGATAATATGTATCTTGATACACATCAGTATACAACCTTTAACACCGGCGAGATCGCACTGAACCACTCTGCGAAGGTCAATACCATCTGTGTGAACTGGTACTCCATGCTGAAGGAGATCAACACCACAACTTCTGGGTAAGTTCCATTCCTCGTTGCTTATAACTATATGTGCTAACACACTATCAGATGGGGCCCGACTATGTGCGGCGAATGGTCTCAAGCTGACACCGACTGCGCAAAGTATGTCAACAACGTCGGCCGTGGTACTCGCTGGGAAGGAACCTACGATACCAAGTCATCAACAGCCTATTGTCCGACCGCGGATCAAGGAACATGCAGCTGCGACGACGCGAACATGGATCCGGCCAAGTACACAGATACCTATAAAAAGTTCCTCCAAACCTATGCGGAGGCCCAAATGTCCGCCTTTGAAACCGCCATGGGATGGTTCTATTGGACCTGGAAGACCGAGTCCGCTGCGCAGTGGAGTTACCGAACTGCCTGGAAGAACGGATTCATGCCGAGCAAGGCATATTCCCCATCCTTCAAGTGCGGCGACACAGTGCCAGACTTCTCTGAAGCAGCCGAGAGCTTTTGATCTTTTACGAAACTGCTGTATTGTTTCTTTTTTTTTGCATTTTGCATTTTGGACTTTGCGTTTCATTTATTTTAGATACCACGAGATTTAGTTTAGAAATTCCCTGCATATGTATCATTGCAATGCCCTAGTCTGAATGTGATATGTGCAATGCCCTCCGGAACGCCAGTAACGTGATAGAAAAAAAAGGCATCCAGCCAACCAGACTCCCAATAAGAAAAGCAGCTTCTCGGCTTCAATGCGATGCAACTCATCTATTCCTCGAACCAGCCTGCTCCTTCTCCCCATTTTCCAGGTTGGTAAACGCGTTCCTTCCGCACCCACAGAAGTCTGACGCCTCCAAGCAGACGGTCAACCCTCTGGAAATCAATAGGTTTCATGACCCAGCCGTCGAAGCCAGATTCCCGGTACGTCTGGATCCGCTTCTCAGTCAAGGAAGCTGAGACCGCGAAGATGGGAATATGAAGATCATCCCTGATTCCATCCCCTCGTTGCTGCCTCTCGAAATCACGAATCATCGTTGCTCCGAAGTAACCATCGGCGATAGGCATCTGCGGAAGAGTCCCAATGTTAGTATATTGATCTAGCGGTGGATCATGGGGGCACATACCTGGAGATCCATCAGCACTGCATGGAAGCGAGCTGGATCTGCCATGTAGACTGAAGCGCATTCTTTGCCGTTGGTTGTCAGGTAGACTGAGTGGCCGAACTTCTCGAGACGCTTTTGGAGGATTGCGCTATTCGTCGGATCATCCTCCGCGATGAGCACGTTCAAATTCCAGTCCATGGTTGGTGACGCACTTCGTTGAGATGTATCTGGATCGTGGTCAATTGATGAGTTGTTGATTGGCGAACTGGAGATGGGTTCGTTGGTGTGAGGTTCAAATCCTTCCGGGAAGTGTGTATGGTCAGGAGTTCGGCGGGATGAGTTCAGGCTATCTGAGTGGGTGGTATTGTCGAGCCGTTGGCTAGCCAGCGAAAGATTGCTTGATTCGCCGGTGTTCAAGCTTACATCGGCCTTCACGATAGATGGTCCTGATTCAAATTCGGAAGTTTGACCACATTCACACGGAATGTCATCTTCCTTTCGTTGCTTCACACAACTTTCGTCTGTGAGATCGCGCTTTGTACCCTGTTTGTCTTCTTGCTCTGGCAGATTCGCCTTTGATGCAATATGCGGGCCCGGTTTCTGGCCGTTTTGTTCGTCCGGGAGTGGGAACTCAAGCCGAATCTTGAAGCAGCTCCCTTCGCCTTCTTCGGACTTCAAGCTTAGCTGTCCGTTCATATTGCGCACGATTCGGGCAACCAGTGCTAGGCCCAGCCCGAGTACGCTTTCGGTTTCCAACACTTGGTCACTCAAATTGCCCTCATAGGACTTGGGAGGCTGCATATATCCCTTGTTAGAGACTTGTTCGAGCTCACAAAACAGAGTTTCGACTGTCTCTTGAGACATGCCAGACCCGGTATCGTGTATTGCTATTTCGACGGAGATGTGTCCAGGTTCCAAAAGCTCTGGTATGATACGTGACTCAATTGTAAGTGCTCCACTTGGGGTGTGCTGTATAGCATTGCTGATCAGATTCGTGATGACTTGGCGTACTCTTCGTTGATCTCCAAGAACTGGAGGCAGAGCTGCATGTTGGACTACCTGTAGATCGACGTGCTTCTGTCTTGCTTCTTCCCAAAATATATCCGTCGCCTCGGTAAGGGTTTCGGAGAGATTGAAAACCTCATCTTTTATCAACCGTTGTCCGTTCTCGGCGTTTGTGAGATCGAGAAGGTCATTGATGATATATACCAATGACTTCGAAGCGGAGTGAGACCTGGAGATGTGATCTCGTGTTTCTTGATCCAGAGACCCATCGAGAGCAATCTCCAGGTAATTGATGATCGCATTGAGAGGAGTTCTAAACTCGTGCGCGGAGTTGGCGAGCAAAAGCCTCATCAGCTGGTTGTTTTGCATTGTCGCCTCTTTCTCTTGCCATATATCGGTGAAGGTGCGATATAGCAAGGACAAAATAGATGCTTTCCCGAAATCTGCGGATGACCACTCATGTTGCCGACTCGACTTCTCCGGATCAGATGCCGTGTTATTTTTCTCTGAAACTGCCCGGAAGAAGATGATGAAATCACGCCCATCAATCGAGAGAGGGATGTAGAGCAAGCCAGAAAGATGATGAAAGCCACGCGAATAGTTGAGATCTTGGAAGTCGGCCGCAATGTCAGCGGACCAAAATACGGTATCATTCTCTTTCGCTTTCATATATTCAAACAAGGCGAGGACTTCCTGCGAATCGGATGGTTTTCCCAAAATCTTGGCCTCACCCATTATCGACGCCGCGGCATAATCAGCCCCAAACAGACTCAGAAGATTGCTAGAAGGGGTCTTGATGGCCTGCGGTATGTTTGACTTATTCATGGAGACGGTTGGCTCTCGAAACTGAAAGGGCAGTGTGTAGGACAAGCGCTCGATGTTACTGGAAACTGCCTCTGCCATGAACCAACAGACCTTCTGGATAAGAGGATGAATGTATTGACTGCCATCGTAAGATTGGCACGACACAAGACCCCAAAGCTTGCCAAACACATTGATTTGAATGGACAAACAGGTCTCAACAGGGTTGTCTGTATACGGTGTTGGGAGCGCCGTGGCTACGGACAGATACGTGTTTGACATGTCGAGGGGGCGTTTGTTGGTGGAGGCCCGGTACACAAGCCTTGCAGTTCCTTGGCTTCCAGAAAAGGACGAACACACAGTGTTGCGCGTGTATAGCTTTTTCAAGGCTTCAGGGAATGTAGATTCCGGGAAATCCATGCCCTCATATGAAGCTAACCCCGATGTGGGATCCACTGCATCGGCGACCACGATACCGTTACGATCACTGTCAAAATGATAAATAGTCGTTCGGTCGAACCGAAGAAGGTTTTGCAATGTGGTGATGGTGCTTTGAACGAGCGCCTCCAACGTTTGAGCGTTTCCGAGTTGCTGAAGAACTCGGGGGATGGTGTTGAGAAGGGCGGATGAGTCTGGCATACCGCTGTCGCTATTTGAATCAAGGTTCTTTTCTGGGGCAGTACAATTCTCAACGAACACCCCAGACGTCAAATCTAAGCTCCGATTCTCTGTTTGGATTTCATGGTTCTCAACCTCGGAGTGGTCATTGTTACATTGAGCCTCCGGCTGGAGCTCGCAGTATATATAATTCTTATATATACTGCTCGTATGCATGGTACACCACATACTCTGCGAATCACCATTGGATGATAAGATATACAGGGGGAATACCTCGGGTCCCGAACGCTCAACAGCATAATCATCGCTTGAGACGAATTGAGCACGCCCAAGGAAGTTGCTTTGACCCGAAGAGGGCAGTATATCGCGGAATGATTCGAGCTGGAACAGTTCGTCGGGCGAATATCCAAGGATCTGCTTGGAGTTGTCGCTCGCTATTTGCACCTCAAAGTTGCCGTTGTTTTCAGTCATCACAACAAGTGCCCCAACTGAATGAATATGAATGTCCTCTTCATCCTCGGGGGAGTACTGTATCCCCTTCGTTGTTTTGTGGAAGTCAAGAATGTCGCCGCCATTCCGCACGAGAGTTCGCAACTGCGCCAAAAGCTCCGGATTAGGGCTGGAAATAGATTTTTCTTTGGGAACTGATGAAAACCCGCTTCCGCCATAACTCTTTTGGTGCAGCTGAGTGAGGTGATCTGGTCTCTTTGAAGCATCATTTTCAGCATTCATGCCGTTGCCCGGCGGACTTCTTTGCTGACAGCTCGTTTGTTCATTCGTGGAGGTTGCAGTCCACGTGTCCGAAAAGGGGGATATTGGAGTTTCGAGCTTGTCTAGGGAAGGTGTCTGCAGGGCAGATGAGGGGGTGGAATCAAATGACACAACCGAGCGAACTGGAAAGACTCTTTCTGCTGATTCAGTGCCCAATTGAGGCAATTTCAATCTCGGTGAGAGTAGCTCGGCTACTGTTGATACCTCGGTCTTGTTGTCAGACAAGATGCACATGCTCTTTGGTATAGACAGCGTCCGGGCGAGTGTTTGTCTTCTGTCAGCTAGTCTTTCTTCCTTCTTGGAACTGTGGTCATCGCTGTTTTGGTCATCGTAAATGACGGTCCAGTCGCCATAGTCTTTGACCTCGGATGGCGAAGACATAGCTGGGTCTTCAACCTTCGGTGCAGACGACAATCGCTAGTATCCTGGAACAGCGAGATAAGGAGGATTAGCAGCATATTTGGCGGCCATGATCACCTGAGAAGCTTACAGAAGGACAAGGGAGGGGAATCTATGCGGTCAACACACTGCTCACAAAAGCGAATTCATCATGCCTTTGAGATAGTTTGGACACCATAGACAATGCACGAATAGAGAAGAATAAAAAGAAAGAGAAACTGCAGGGTACATGGAGCGAGATCGAGACATCTCCACGAAATTTGTACTCTAACCGGGGTTACCAAAGCCTATGTTTCCCAGCTCCAGCTTTCTCCTGAGGTTTCAACCTATCAAAACATGAGCCGCCGAGGACAAGCTTTCTCCCTGAAGGGCATGTCCTCGGTTCCCTTGTCCGGTTCGCCGGAAACTACCAGTTGGACGTAGCGCGCAATCCTTGAACCAGAAGGTAGGTTCCATGGTCTGAGATTCGGCAGATGGTAGGGTCGATTAGGTGGCCGTGTCTTGGACCTCGTAAGCAGAGGTAACTTTGAGAATTAGGCATCGGTTGTGGTCTGATCTCGCAACATTCGATAGATCCGTCGAATAGCGCTCCTTGATCATTTTACTGCACGGCCAATATATCTCAGACATTGCGGACAATCGAGCCAGGGCAGCCGAAGGCGACATTCGGCAATGCCGGACCAGAACCTTAGAATTTGATATGAGGGTACCTGTCTCGGCCCATCGAGAATGAGTGTAGTTGGAGCAGAGAATAATCCACATATTCCACAAAAGATGAGTGGTCTGATCAGCCAGAATGAAAGACATGTTGGGATGACGATGGTTCGTTGCCGACTGGTCTCGCAACTTGCTCCATTCCAATTGTTTATTCCAAATAGACACGATTGGAATTCCTCGCAAAGTCGAATAGGTTCATATACCAATGTCCGGTATAGACGGCCATAGGTAGCTCCAGAAATACTCCACTATAACAAAGAAGCTCGATAAACGGGTATTAAGGTATGCATTGGAGCAGTATCTGCCGAGATAGCAATCTCCACTAGCAGGTATCCCAGTCGGACCACAATCCCGGACTCCAGCGCGAAGTCGCCTTATCTATAATTGGACTGGAATTTGACTCGCGGGCATGCTTTCCGAAGACACGGGAGGCGGGAGGCCGGCTTTGATCTTTCCAAGGTTCCGTTGTCGGCCTGAAGCAACGCGATGCTGGTCAGCTGAAACAGATGTTCAAACATAGGAAGTCATTGGGTACAAATATACGAAATGAAGCAATAAGGAAATTTAAATATGAACATGACTCAGAAAACATGTTGGATCTACAATCCAAACTCCATATAAAATCCTTGCGCCAACCAAGAATCCCCGAAATCTCCCGTCTTATTAACATTTCATAATTTCATAACACGCTATTCACCAGCGTCGACCATAAACCGAGTCTTCAGTTCGCGGCCGGTGATGCTGGGACTCACGCCCCCGACTACGTGGGTCAGACTGTGTTGACTCCCGAGAGGATGAAGGAGCAGGCTCAGGCTCATCATTATTCAACAGTCGGGTGGGCTGGTTGAAGTCAAGGGTGTTCTGGGTGTCTGTGTATCTGGATTCCGCGTCACGGCCGAAAAGCGCCATCATGTCGCGCACAGTCAGCTTGCCTGCACCAGCCTTGCCTTCGATTGTGGCATTGGCTAGTTCGCGCTTGCGGTCCTGAAGGGCGACAATGCGTTCCTCCACCGTGCCTTTGATGACCATCTTGTAAATTTTGACGTCAATAGTCTGGTTCAGACGGTGGACACGATCAATAGCTTGCTCCTCGACAAACTAGATTTAGGGTTAGCACAATTTACAATGAACTGTAGGGGCTGGGACTTACGGGATTCCAGAAGGGCTCCAGAATGACGACACGACTAGCGGCTGTCAGATTAAGACCCAATGCACCAGCACGAAGACTGCAGAGCAGCACACGAGTGCCACTGTGGTTTCGAAGTTTTTCAAGACTAGCCTCGCGGTGATTGTTTGCCATTCCACCGTCGTAGCGAGCGAAGCCAATGTTGGCCCGCTTCAAGAAGGGCTCGATCTTATCGAGCATAGAGGTGAAAACGGAGAAAACAATAAACTTGAAGTCCGGTGCCTCACGATTGAGAATCCGCATAAGGTGGCGGATCTTGGTGGACGGCAGGTCTCCGTTCTCCCCTTCATCGTTGTAGATATCTTCCGCCTCAGAATCGGATTCATCCTCGGAATCGCTCAAGATAATGGGTTTGCTCTTCCTTCTAGAGGGGGAATCAATCTCATCATCTGTATCATCATCTGTCTCATCCTCCGAGTTAAGCCATTCACCACCCCCCTCGGCATTTTCGTCGTCCAGACCACCTGCCTTGCCGAGATTGGGCATCTTGCGCTGGTCTTCAGGAACGACCCAATCGCCTTCTTCGCCTTCTTCGTCTTCATCGTCACTATCAAGGACGACTCGTCGGTTCTTGCGAGAGCGCGCAATCTGTGCGTCTGATTTGCGGGCTGACGGGGAATCTGGAACACTGCGATGGCTCTTCTTCGACTTCTTTTTCTTTTTCTTGTCTGTGCCCATGACATTGATGTTCAGGTCGGCTTCACATTCACCGCATCGACTGCCACCAGACTTAATTTCACTTTGGCTGAGATCCGTTTGGCAAACGTCGCACTTCTTTGCGACAACGCTCATTGCCCCGAAAAGATCAGCTATGCTGTCGAGATCATCCGGCTTTGACTGTGTCGACTGGCTATTTGTACTGCCATTTTGCAAAAGAATATCCTTATCCTTTGCCAAATCCCCTTTGACCAGATCTGGGTGGTTGCAGGCTTGACGAAGACGCAAAAGTAGGACCAAGGCTCCAGCATAATCAACCTTGCCACCACCCATCATCTTCCCAAGAGTATTATCTGTGCGTTGTTCAAGACGTTTGTAAAAGTTCAACTCGCCAGGCATAAAGTCGGGAACAACCTTGATGACCTCGCGTTTCTTAATTTGGAACCCATTAGATGACTTCTTTGGCTCGCCGTCCGATCCCTCTTCGCCAGAGTTCTCGTCGTTGAGCCTGAGAACATCCTTCGTGCGTCGCTTCATGAAGGCCTTCAGATAGACTTGAAGTCGCTGAATAGCGAGACCGCCACGGCCATTATTCAAAGGACGGGTGATTTGATCTCTCCAGGCAGCCAAATCGTCATATGGCTTCACTCGAAGGAACTTGATCAAGCTCTGCAACTCATCGAGGTTATTCTGCAATGGCGTTCCTGTCAAGCACCAACGATATTGGGCATCCAAAGCATATGCTGACTGTGTAGCCTTGGCGTTACGATTCTTAATTGTGTGTGCTTCATCAAGAATAATACGGTACCAATGAACCGCAAAGATTCCGGCCTTTTTAGCCTTGTCAGATGCCGACGAGTTGAATTCAGAAGTAAGGGTTCCATATGTTGTGATCACAACATCGTATTTGTCCAAAGAAGTCGAAGTTTTAGCGCGCGTTGTGCCGTGGTAGAGACAGACACGTAACTTGTGGGACGGCTCAACCTTGTCCTTAATTTCTGATTCCCATTGCTTGATCAGTGCAAGGGGTGCAATGACCAGAGTAGAGGGAATGCAATTCGGGGGCAACTGAGTAGTCTTGCCCTCCTTTTCGTCACTGTTATCACTATTTTCGTGGTCGGACATGGGATTTTTAAGAAGCAGAGCAATTGCTTGCACTGTTTTACCCAAACCCATATCATCTGCAAGAATTCCGCCTTTAGGAAAAATCCCTTTGGTTGTCTTTCGACCGGTCTCCTTGTCACACATCCATCTCACACCCTCGATTTGATGCGGGAGTAGAGTGACTTTCAAACCTTCAACGACACCGTCATCTTCGTCATCATCGTCGTCGTCCTCATCCTCTTCTTCTTCATCTTCTTGTGCTGCATCATCATCTTCGTCACCTTGCTGGGTAACCTTGTCGACATCCTCACCCTTGGCGGATGGTTTTTGTTCAGATGCATCAGTGTCCTTCGAGTCATCGACTGTGACGCTTTGAAGCTGAGCAGCAAGATCGTCAAGATCGTCGATCGCTTCTTCCTTCTTTGTGTCCTTTGTCTCCTTCGAGGATGTTTTCTTACTCTTCTTCTTCCCACCCTTCTTCTTGCCTTTGCGCTTTGTCTTGGGCTTCTCTTCTTCTTCCTCAAACGCACCCTCAAGCAAGGCCTTGATATTCTCGTTTGCCATAGCTGTATCAACATAGCCATTCATATCCACGGCTCCAAATTCTGATGCATAAGCCGATGCCCTTGGAACAGGATCGGTGTCATCTCTTGTAAGGTCCATAAATTTCTGGATGTTCTTCGATGCACCTGTCATCTTCGGTGGAAGGGGCTTGGATTGATAGATTGGCCTAGCAGCCCGAGGAGTTGTCCAAGTAACATTTTCAGGGCGCTTGATGCTCACTGCACCATGTGGGAACCCCCCACGAGGGTTGTTGTAGGCGGATGGAGCCACCGGCTTGAATGGATCCCATGGTTCGCTTCGTTTTGCTGACGGGGTAGCAAAAGGAGCACCCGAAGAAACTGATGGGCGATAGCTTTGGGGAGTGGCACTTGGATGGCCTTGATGGCGTTGTTGTGGCTGGCCGTGAGGCTGTGGTCGAGGTGCGGGTCGATGATGTTCAGCACGGGATTGATTCGCTTTCGGAATGTTGAACAAATGGTTTGATCTTTGTGAGGGGCCGATCGGCGAGGGTTTTCCAAACTCGGGTTCCTGGATATGGGCGGGGCGAGGCTGAATATTCGGCTTGCCAGCGGGAGTGAGCGGCTCCGTTGGAGCGTTGCTTTCTCTGGCCATGGTGTTTCAAGGAGCGGTGTGTTTTTCGAGGGTTGGATGGAGGTTGTCGAATGGTTGGAAGCGTTCTTCAAGAAGCTTATTTCAGGGCTAGAAGGTTCTAATTGATCCAATTTCTATGCATCTAGTCGACGCGGAAAAGAATTTGATCAGAACGCTAGAATGCAAGGTCAGTGTTTGTCTTTTTTGTGTGCGAGTGTCCTCGAGCCATCCAGTGAGTCAGGATTCGTGAAATGGAAAATGGGCTCAGATTTTGATCCAGGAAAATGACACGAGTGCTACACAAGGAACTGACCTCGAAGCATGTCAGGATAAATCCGAAGTGGTGGGTTGTCGATGGTGGGGGTTTGCAAATGTTCAAAGACAGCGCGTTATCGATATCGGTTTTGTTTTGCTCCTTCCCCTAGCAACGAGGGATGCCTCAGGCAACAGCCACAACATCGTAAAAGGATCTTGTTCATTGAGGTAAGATATGTATATCTCTCTAGCATGTATGAGGTTTAACAAGCTTTCGTTTGATAATTGGCCACAACAAAGAAATTATAGAAAAAAAGGGTATGAAAAATGATCTCTGTTGGTCACATTGGCTAATCATGAAGGTTAGGGTCTGAATCCAAAGGAATCCTCTACTTAATCGACTGAGATCCTTATCTGAAATCTTAGGCTGCAGAAATGATGAGAGGATTATGTACAAATAACTAGAGTTCGAGGCTATCTAGGCATGGTTATTGCGTTCAGAGCTCGCCAATCGTGGCCCGTGTCCACTCTGTACGGTTAAATATAGGCAGGGAGAGATACACTTACCACTAGCATGTATCAGCCAAATTTCATAGGCCTTCGTTTAGAGATCATTGCCTTCCCTTCAACTTGAACTCTTTATTGATTGATTTGAAATCTGGGACATGGATAATATCCTTGCCATTGCACTGTCATCCTCAGGTAAAGCGCTGAGGCAATGAAGGCCTCCTTTTCGTTGCAAGATTCCTCTAGCTCTCCTTCCAAATTGACGGGACACTAAGGATAAAAATGATCTTGTCAGTTGGAGTAATTTCAGGGCCAAGTTTTCTACTCACGAAACCTCGATCACAGCACACTTTCCACCTTGGACAACCTCTGTTGCCTCCTTAATCGCAGGATCAAGGTCACTTTGTTTAGCAACTGTTGCACCCCATGCCTTACCAGCTGCAGCAGCAATGCCGGGGTAATCAGGCGAAGGATCAAACGAGATATTGAGATCTGCCCTAAATCAGCCTCCATGTACAAACCATCTGATGAAAATTTGACTCACCTCGCCTGTTTGACCTCGATGATAGCCCGTCCTTATGAACCAGAAGTGCAGACACTTTTGGAGCATTCCATCCACCGTTGTTGAGCACAATGAGGAGGAACGGAATATCGTAACGTCTGGCGATCCAGTATACGCTCTCCATCTGTGAGAATAGATATACGCCATCACCGACGCTAGATCTATTATTAGCTTCTATAATTGGAATTTTGAAGTCTCGGGAACTCACATAGCGCAAATAAATGACCCAGGCTTGCCTAGTTTCACTCCGAGTGCTGCACCACCTCCCCACCCGAGACCACCGGCGCCGCTTGCAACGAGACTTCCCGGCTAAAAGGATATAAGTATCGACCAATTGATATTGCAGGATTACACACCTTGGTTAGATTCAAGTGGTGGATGAGATGTCCCGAATTGGTGACAGCCTCCAAGACGTAGATCGTGTTCTCGGGGAGAGAATCGCGCAATCTTGATGCCAAGTATGGCACACTAACTACACCATCTTCTGATGGTGACTCGAGCCCTTGTAGAGTACTTCGCCAGGCTTTGTAGTCAACTGACCGCCGCTCAAACTCCAGGGAATACCGAGCCCGATCAATGTTTTGTTTGTCCAGGAAGGCATTGATTTGCTCAAGCGCGATCCCACAGCCAACTTTGAGCCGGCGCGTGGCGTTGATTGAGAAGACTGACCCAGGAATGTTAAGCAAAGGACAGGAAAGGTCAACAGCTCTCTAATAGATTGGAGTGCTTACGTGGCATTTGTTGCTTCAGGGGATCGACATCTAGATGGAACACCTTTGTGCCTGCAAAGCCCGTCAGGAAAATATCAAAGCACGACCTTTCGGTTATACTTACCGGCTCGGGGCTTCCCAGCGGTAGGAATCCAAGGCACATCGCAATCGAGAATGAGAATAACGTCTGCTTCAAGAACTTCCGGGTGAGTAGTCACTGTAACACCGCGATATGCTTCATGGTCACTCCTTAGAGATACATCGGAGCCGACCATTTCCACCACGGTAATTGGAAGCTTGTCGCAGAGCTCGGTTAATAGAGCGGGTGCTTTGTGATTCCGACCAAGATAGCTTGTAATGATGAGCGGTCGCTTTGCATCCATGAGCGATTTAGCAATTAGTTCCACCTCTGTTTGCGTCAGTTATCTGAAGTTAGCGTTTGAATGAATGATACGCTACCTTGCTCTGGCAGTGCACTTGGGGCAACTGAACAGAGAATTTCTCCGTCCAGGCATTCTTCTCCCACACGCTGCATGACATATTATGTTAGTGATGGTTCTAGGTATCTTGATGCTTCGCGAATGCTTACTTCCTCGAGGACTTCTCTTGCAGCCATCAAATATGCCGGGCCTTTGGGATCGGATGTAGCAAACTGCAAGGCTCGCGAGACCATCTGCTTAATGTTACGGCCAGTCTTGATCTCACCTGTGTATCTGCAGTATTGTCGGACAATCGCGGCTTGGTCCGGTACATCTTGCAGCCAGTGAATGAACCTGTAACAGTGTTAGATGGTTTCTTATTAAATCCCCTAGATTTGCTGACTCTGTTCGTGAACCCAATAGTTCGCCATTTTGAGTAAAGGGACTCAAGCCGGCGAAGCACAGTACAGGAACTCTGCTAACAGAAGCGTTGTGTACCGACTGCCCTAGGGCGAGAGTCCCGCAGTCGACATGGACAATGACACATTGCTGACCAGGAATTAGTAAAAGGCAATTGATATGATGGGCGGATTCACCTACTGGAATTCCCGTGGTTTGAGCATATCCCAATGCTGCTGATAGTGCAACCAGCTCGGAGGGGCATGTAATGATATCTGGGAAATTGGGTTTGTTCTCTATATCAAGTCAGCCCTGATCATCCACATGCACCCTCGATCACTTGCCTTGCTTTGCCTTGATCATCGCTTCCAACATTGCGGGATGGTCGCTTCCTCTATTAAACTGGTCAAAAGACATCGAAGAGGCGATGGCCACAGGAACTCACAAATTGACAAAGCAGTGCGTAATACCAGCCTCAGCTAGAAGGGGTATTAGCTGTTGTCATATTTCTTCCATCCTTGATCCCATACATAGCGCCTCAAAGAAATTCTCGGCGGCAGTTGTCAGCTTGCCATCCTTGAGGATCTCATCTTCGTTCTTCTCTTCCTTCTTCCGTTTCTGCGGTACTATAGTTGTTGCCTTCATAGTGAGAATATGTCTTGAATATTGTAGGATCTCAATTGGTAGTGGTAATAGGGGGCGTCTAAGTTTAAATGCCAATCCCGAACCTCCATGCGCCTATACGAACCCCGCATCCAAACACCGCCATTTTCAGAATTCACGTACACCAATCATTGCCAACAATATGGCATCTCATCATTCCGCTCTGGAGCCGGGGGAATCATTTCCGCAACGATCCATATATGGAACTCTAATATTGTATAGCCGAGGTCTGATCGTCATTCCTGGGGCGTTAGTGTCTCGGAATCTATACGATTGGCCCACGTTGACCAGGGTGAATGAGATCACTGGGGGTCACAAACACCATATCAATGAAAAGATGGGACAAATACTTGCCAATTCAAGGATCTTTTCAATTCTCCAACAAATTAGGTCTATGTAAAATGACATCTTCAGCAAGGTAGATCGTCGACGGGTCGAAGTTGCACCTAGCTATTCCTGAATGCGAAGCCCGCTCTAAGCTACCTATAATCATAACACCAATGTCCCGACAATCGCCAAGTAATGCAAAAATCAATATTGAATTAGCCCTGCTCATCTCAAACCCCTAATGGGATTCAGACTTCGCCAATGATACTTTTCAGAATCTCAGGGACAACTTCCCCAGCGTCTCCCTGGAAGAACCAATCGCCATAATGAAGCTCGCCGGGTGTATCATTGGGGTCCATATTGCAGACTGCAACTCGGGCACCTTGCGAACGAGCTTCATGAACATAGCCCGCAGCCGGGAATACCCGCGCGCTGGTTCCAATAACGATGCATAGGTCAATTGGACCCGCACCGATCCACTTATCAACAGCTTTCATCGTCTTCTCGGGGAGGGCTTCTCCGAACCAGACAACTCCCGGTCGAAGCAAGCCTTCTTTGCATTTCGGACATTGGGGAAGGTCTTTTTCGGCTAGTTCAGGGATGGGATTACTGGCGTCCGAGATATCAACCTCGTTCGTCGGGCTTCCGAGTGCTTCAACAATAGCTTCCGATGCTTCTTCGCCAGTTTTGTCGGACTCGGAGGGATGAAGGCCCGAGCTCTTTTTGGGGATGTCGAGGGCCGGAACGATGGGATCTGTGTAGTTTTCTTCACTATAGTCACAATAGAAATTGGTGCATCTCACGTTGAACAGAGTGCCGTGCAGCATATGGAGCTGTTTTGAGGGATGGTTTGCGCGCTGAGAGAGACCTAGGAAATACGAGATAACTAGATTAGTATGTATGAAGTGAAATCAGCCATTGAATAACTTTACCGTCAACGTTTTGTGTTAACGTAATGAAGTCTTCATTTCTTCGGGATAGCTCTGCCAGCGCGTAGTGCGCCCTGTTAGGATCGGCCTGTAAAGCCATGTGTCGCCGGTAGCTGTAGAACTGCCAGACAAGACCAGGTGTATTTTCAAAAGCCTCAGTGGTCGCAAGAGCGGTCGCATCGTGCGAACGCCAGAGTCCGCCCGCACCGCGAAAGGTGGGCAAGCCTGAAGAGGCGGATACCCCCGCACCAAGAAGAGCGAGGATGCGCTTGCAACCTCCAAGATATTCAGTGAATGACTGCAGATCAGCGGCAGGTATAATATTTTTTGCAGCGGAAGCCATGATGTATGAGTCACAATATAAAAATCTGTCGAGATGGGAAGCTCTTCTCCAAAGCAACTTTCAGCCGCAAAGTAGATGCGGGGAATATACCCCTTTGGCGCCTGATCTGTGAGGCGCCAGTCTGGGTCTTTGCTAGACATTGATCCATCACCCAAGACATAAGTTTCCGAAATGCTGTTTTTTGAGATTGTCTCAGTTCTGCTTGTTCTTTGAAAAAGAGAATTGAAGGAAATATAGCAGATGTCCTGTTGGGTCCCCAATTCTATAGTGTAGCTCACATCTAGTACTTTACCAGGAAGGACCATTAATCCAGTATGGAAAGACTGTAATCCATTGAAGACACAATAAAATAGAAATATTTATGAAACTCTTTGTTGGAATAACAATGCACAATAGCGGAAACATGCAAATAAAGCCCAAGAGAGACACTCTTCACCAACCAATTGCTACATTTCGAAAGCAAGAGCCTCTAAGCCACTTACACAGGTACCCAAAGAGACAATGAAAAAGATTGAGAGCATATCCATTCGAGGAATAAGCGGCCCATACATCGGCATCCAATCACTCACAGATTAGATCATGTGCAAGTCAAACTCAACCCGTTGTACTGCCCGTTGCATTCCTCTTGAGCCACTCTAGGCAGGAGGCTGTCACACTTAAAGCACTACCCACCTGTGAAGCGGCATTGAAGGCTGTAAAGCCATAGCCCCCTGCTCCTGTACATTGGCGTATGCCAAATAGCCTGTTGGCCGCAACATTCCCTATTAAGCTTTGGATTCCAGTAGCATATGAGCCTATTTGTAAATCTGGGGAGTTAATCAAGTTCCAAGCGGGACACATATAGAGCTTGGGCTATTATGCTCAGAGGGCACAAATACCTGTGGTGACATCAGCGCAGTTCAAGCCCAGATTTGATAGCAACAGGCTTGTTACTAGCGCTGGAGCAGCTACAATGGCCATTCCCCCAGCCCCCAGTACTCCACAGGCGGCTAAACCAGGATTGTCGAGCATCCAATCACCTACCTGTCTCATTTGGAAAATTAGTCATGAGCTGCTTCACCATATTGAGGAGAGAGTAGAGTATATATACCTGGGTCGTGAAATTGGCAGCTTGTTCTGTATTGAGGATCATGATGAAGTAAAGATGTTGAATATCGTTGAGTTTAGTAATCGAGAAGACTAATATTGTGATCAGGAAAAGGAAGAGGATTTTTGCTCTATACCTGGAAACATCTTGGATTTTATATTCCCGACAACTCCATATGACAAGTAGTATATCAAACAACCGTGGAGGTTGATTCACTTTGTTATATCGCCTCTTTATTTACCTTTTTTGTTTGACTCGCAGGACCAGGCCACAGCCGCTTGCTGGGAAACTAATTGTCCTTTTGACAGTGTACTTGTGTCAAACCTCAATATTTCTCTCGCCGATTCTCTCTAGATAACTGTAGAACATGCAAGTTTTGACCTAGAACAAGATGGGAGGCTCGGAGAAGAGAAGAACAAAAGGTGAGCTAGCATTGCGAACTAGAACGCTGTGCCTACATGTCGTCTGCTAGACGAGACGAGGGATAATTGCGCCAACTCAGCTTCATTACTTCATCCTAATTCCTGCCTCGGAATATACTCTGGAGGTCATGGGCAGTGGTCCCGAGAGAAAACGAGTGACGGAGATCTATGTCAAAGACAAACATGATAACAATCAACACAAAGATGAAAGTACAAACGGCAAGACCAAATTAAAGACTCAGATAGATATCAAAGAGAACAATTATGGCGATGTTTGGCCCCCAAAGAGCCAATACTCTGGGCGTAGATTTTGGTGGCTGTGCATGCATGCGCCTAAAGATGCACTCTGGTGTATGGTTTATTATCCGAACATTGAATCTCCAAGCAATTCATCGCAATACATCTTTTGTGTCAATCTTTGAGATGGCCTTTTTAAATCGGGGCCGGTCAGATTCCAAGCGACTCAGTTTCCGAAAGAAGGGTCGACTTCACAATGCCGATTTGAGCGAACCCCGCCCCAGGCCATTGACTCCTCCGTTGCCAGAAGATACAGATTCCAAACCCCAGGCACCCTCAGGTAGTCGCAGATGGCGATTATCACTTTCAAAGTGGCGGGAACAACGACATACATTCGAACAAGCCCAGTCTCCTCTGTTCGCATATCTGCCCGCCGAAGTCCGCCTTCTGATCTGGGAACATTATTTCTGTAGCCATTTGCTACATATCATACGGCCAAACCAGCGTAAATGGAAACGATCCGAAGATCTAATAATTGGCATTCTTTGTACTGAGAACCACGGATTGTGTCCGTGTAGCCATTCTTGTTGGGGATATGCAGGTCGTCGACCTGCAGGGAACTGCGTTGCAACTACACAACACGAGTCATATTACCACAAGGACTCTGAATGGGCATCTGACTCAAGGAGGGTGGACTTTGTACCTTTGTTACAAACATGTCGCAAGTTGTAAGTCTTCCTCCTTTTCGCGGTGGAAGTACGCATCTAATCTCCCGCCATGGCAGATATTCGGAAGCCATTGATATGATTTATCAAAAGAATACCTTCCTGTTCAACCATACATATACAATTATTGATTTCTCGCATACACTTCTGTCACAAAGAGTCAGCTTGATACGCACAGTGCAGCTCAGCTTTCCAGATCATGGCGGACCGACTTGGGATATATGTTGCCAGGTCCTGGCTACTAAGATGCCTCATCTGAAGCGCCTGACTATCCATTTATATCCTCACGTCACAAATCACCTGGATGATTGGCTTATACCGTTGCATGAGATTCGACAACCCACAGACTTTGAGGTATTGCTCATAAAGCCGTGGTATTTGGATCCACAATGGGAGAAGTCGCTTGGGCTTGTTGATGCGCCATTTCGATTTGCGATTGTTGATCTAGATAAGCGCATATTTCTGCACCCAGGGCTGCCATTCGAGGATAGTACTCATATATAGAGATCATATACACAATACACTGGCAATCTATCAAGCCAATCCCGCTATTCCATGCTCACTTTGGGCGAATCATGTTTTCTATTGCGGTTGGACCAACTAAAAGCAAAAGCAATTTGATTTGTTTTCCTCAGGGTAGTCATACATCTGACTGGAATTATCTCAAACAGTTCATTGTAAATTGCAACCATTTCAACCAAGCACCCAGCCCCAGGCAAATCGATCTTCCGCAAGTACAAACTCACATACCCAACCTATCCCATTCCTGTTTCAACCAATCCAAATCACGCGGCCGACTCGTGCCCTGTCCAACACATCTCTGTCCCCGAAACTCCAACCAACCGCTGCAGTTAATCTCCCCTTCAATCTCACCGTCGCCCAAAAAGCGGATCCAGCCTTCGTTTGCACTTGCAAATCTTGAAACCCCATCACCATCCTGGCCACGCCACTTAAATGAGTGCTTCTCCATGGAGGCGTATCTGGGACGTTGCGTCATGTATATTATTCCATGAAACGTACCGAAGTCGTATTCTCCCCAGATCTTGTTGCCCTCCATACAAAGCGCCAAGTTGAAGCCACCCGGGGGTATCTCCTCTGGCCAATCTTCAAAGTCGTCGGAGAAAATGTCGTACTCTCCATTTAACAGGCCCAATCTTCCCTTCGTTGGCTGACTAGTGGAACTAGTGGAACATTGGTTGGAGTTTATATCCGGCATGTAGTCATATCTGCGGTAGTCATCCAGAGGGTCGGCAACTGGGGGGATCAAAGGTCCGGAAGGTAGCTGTGGGTCCTAATCACTTTGGTTAGATCTACATATGCGTATTGCTTTGTCTATTGACCGTGAAACAATGCTTACCCTGGGATAAGAGGTGGCCTGAAACGAGGAAGCCACAGTGTGTCGTTGGGCGTGATGGAAGATTCTGTTTGGAGCTGGCCGCTGATGTTCATCGACCATGGATGTGGAGATAACTCTGGGTAGAGCGCCACTGTGTGGGTTGGCACTGCGTAAGTTCGCACCGAGAGGAACTTGCACGTTGGTACCACTACCTTCCGCATAACTTCTGGCAGTATTGACCAAACGAAGCCTCGATCCTTCTGTGTTGAGTCTCCTTTTCTTGTTCTGAGCAGAGGACGGGGGTATGTTGGTTCGTTGGGGTTGCACGCTGGCCAAAACACTGGGCCCGTCAACAACGGCAGAGCAAAAGACAGTTTCCTGACCATCATCCAATGATCTCTTCGGGATGCCACGATCAACTGGCACAGTCATCGTAGTGTTCAAAGTGCTAGAGAGTGAAAGTTGGATTGCGGAACCCCGAAAACGAGTCTCCAAGTCATGTTTGGTCCATTCATTCCTCAGATCCTTTTCGATCTTGCGTATTCCTTCTGGCACATCTAGATGACCCTCCTGTAGTGCCTCCAGCAATCTGACCTTGGCTGTCGCTTTGCTTTTCGTCGGTGTTAGTCCATAGTGGAGAACCTGCGCTTCATACCAATGACCCAAGTGGTCGGGGTTGCTGTTTCGGTCTCGGATAATTGTGCTAAAGATAGCATCCAGTTCTGAGCGAGAAGCACGTGGATGAATGTGACCACCAGATGTAGTGACATAGAACGTGTCCACGTTGAAAGAGAAATGACCATGATAGACAGGTGCCATGATGGGCTGTGTGAAAAGGAAATACCTAGGTAGATGATGAATGGAAAGAAGACAAACGTCCCAAGAGTTGCTAGGTCAAGTAGGCCATCATGACCAGCCGATGACAGTTCTGCGGAGACATCGGAGTGAAGGCATTACCGCCAATGTCATACGCACTTGCCAATTTGGCATAGTCACCCCAGCATCCATGGATGTGTCGACCACCAAGATTACGTTATTCGACTGCTTCCAAGGTTTATCTGAAGTACTTCGTACATAGCATCTCCCACTATATTGATATGTGTTTTATCTGCCAAGTCTTCATACATTCACATGCGGCATATTCCGATCCATCTAGCATAGCATTCTCATGTACCTTGCGGGATGGAAGCTTCACGCAATGTCTTCCCGGGTTAGGTCTCAGGCTTCTATCCTCAGATTTTATCAAAGAACATCATTCAAAATACATCTTCCACCGCCCAATGCAATCGAATATGACCCTACGCCAAATTATGCTCTTCTAGTTGAGCTTCTGAATATACCGATACCAATCAGGTCCTTGATTAAAGTAAGTCAAGACCAGCGGTGAGCAGCCCCTTCCATCAGCTTTTAGGAAATACCTCTTTCCCACTGAATAGCTCCGCTCTAAATTCTTCGAAGCCGCGCTGCAAGTAGGCGAATAGCTGAATAGCTGAATAGGAGAAGGAAGATGCCCATTATAGCCATGATTCTGGGGGTAAGTGAAGCGGGGTATATGGGCAACAGAGTCCGATGTGATGGACATATGAGGATCAAATAGTTAAGATTCCATCAAATATAGTTGATTTCCATTGTTGATATGCAGAGGCAGATGTAGAATGCCCAGGGGGGTTAGTGGCTTGTCCCACGTTCCACAGGCGACGGCCCGAACTTTAAGCGCGTTAAGGTCCCCGCTGTCAACCTCAACTTCCAACTCCCAACTACTACCGTCGTCGCCATCAAATCTACCAGCTTGGTGATCCTGGGCATCATGAATCCCTCATCTCCTTCTGCGAATTCTGCACAGAGCTCTCCAAGTCCGAATCCACAGTCAAGCACACTCAGTCATCGCCCGAGTCAGCGCCAGTCCCAAAGCTCAGGCACACCGTCCCCAAACCCTGCAAATGCCCCCATCCCTGATGACGACCATGGCGCGGACCTGCCCATGAATATGTCCGCGTCGGTCATGCTGACAAACTTACCCCGGGATGCACACCAGGCTCTGGCAGATGTTGAGAGTATTGATGCGGGAAAAGGTAATGTTCCCCCTTCCCTGGCGAGCTTCTGGTCAGATAAACAACTGTAATTTCGATAATCGGAATTCATTCCAAAGCGTGAAGTTTGCCTAACTTTGAGCTAGTCACTGTTCGTTTCCAGCCTCTTCCATCTGCCCCGATTTTGAAAAACCGGGTGTTCAAGGTCAGCGCTTCACAGAAGTTCGAGACAGTTGTCAAATTCCTGCGCAAAAAGCTAGACTGCAAAGAGACAGATTCCGTCTTTTGTTATGTCAATAGTGTATTTGCGCCCGGACTAGATGAAGGCATGGGCGGACTATGGCGGGTGAGTACAAGTTTAACGTCCTACTCATGCTAGAGTCAGTAATTGATATGCTGACTTTGTGACAGTGCTTCAAAACAGACGATCAATTGATTGTCGCTTATTCAATGACGCCAGCATTTGGCTGAGTGGGCTATGGACAGTCAGTTCAAACTGACAAAGATGCTATGTACAGATGATGATGCTTGATACAGAACATGCGAAAAATGGCCATGAAAAAATTAAAATGCCAACAAAATGAAATCATGAACTCGGGAAGACTTCGTCCACCGTTTTCTGGAATCCAGCAAGCTCATCCTTCGGAATTGGGTATGTGTATTCCTCGGAAGGGAATGCTCGACTCTTCACCTCGTCGCGATACAGCGTAATGCCGCGAGCAGCCTCACTCCAGACATCTGCATACTGCTTAACAAACTTCGGCACAAATCGACCAGGCTGGAAGTTGCCAGTCATGTCAACCTGCACGAGCACCTGAGCCGAGCAGCCGTTTCCAGCGCCAATTCCGATAGTCGGGATCTGCAGCTTTTGCGTAATGATCGTGGCAACCTCCGACGGCATTGCCTCAAGTACAAGCATGAACGCGCCAGCCTCTTGCATCGCCAGCGCATCGCGCAGCAGCTTCATCGCACTCTCCGACGTCTTACCCTGGACGCGGAAGCCGCCCAGCGCATTCTGTCGCTGAGGTGTGAGGCCGACGTGGCCTACTACCGGCACGCCCGCTTGTGTGATGCGCTTTATTGTTGGCGCGAGTTCCTCGCCACCCTCAATTTTGACGCTGTGTACGCGGCCCTCTTTGACGAGCCGCAAGGATGACTCAATAGCCTGCTCGGGGGACACTTCATATGAGCCCATAGGTAGATCTCCAACCTGGGAAAGCATTGTTGTTAGTCGATGGCACTACGGAGCCACGTATCGGACAGAAAGACTCACGATAAACGCAGCTTTCGTTGCCCGTGCTACACTCCGACAATGCAGAATCATCTCTTCCATTACGACCTCGGTCGTGTTATCCAGTCCAAGCGCTACCATTCCCAAGCTATCCCCCACCAAAACCATGTCCATCCCCGACGCATCAGCCACATGGGCACTTGGGAAGTCATGCGCTGTGAGCATAGTAATCGGCTCGCCCTTTTTGTACAAATTCCGAAGCGTCTGGATCGTGACCTTCTTGCGGGCCTTTTCGTTCCCACTTGGCGTTGGCGCAGAATAGGAACTATGTCGGGTTTGGGAGAGGGAATGTGGCGTCGGCGTGGTAAAAGGAAGTGCGGAACATCGAGAGACAAGAGGTGTATGCGCAGCATGCACTCGAGTCATAGGAACCGCTCTTCTTAGAAGCGTGGAAGCAGCGAGCGCTGTGCGCCGCATTGCGGGGCCCGGCGCGGCCATTGTGGTATGATCGAGAAACGAAACACGGAAGCACCCGTCGTCACACAAAGGAAATCCCGAAACTTTCTGCGAGCAATGAGTATGTACCCCGAGTAATCAATATATGTACAAAACTGTATTATCTCAAGCTGTAGAAACGGTGATAACAAAGCAACGGCAAATGACCTCAGCGGCGAAATGAAGCTTGGAAAAGCCGGTCGAACCGCACCTGGAGCTGCTTGGATGAGATACAGAGCAAGCTTCGAAAATTCTAATTCGTATGTTTTTCACCGGATGCTGCGGATTTGTACGTTCATAGATCCTTCTGTCCGGACTAACGTGCTGGGTTATGCGGCGTAGACGGGAGCATCAAAAATTTGAAGTTCGAGATCTTTACTGCCGATGATTACGGGACCGAATGCCGAGGTGGTTTGCGGGGGTATATGGGATTATGGGAGTCGCACATTCAGGTTAAAATGGAAGAGTCAATTCGTTTTGGACTTCTATATGCAAACATACTCCTTCAAAGCTCCTCAGGACATGCATGTCCATTGAGAACAACCATGGTTGGAAGCTCCTCTCTGCACATGGATCTTGTTTCCTTCTCACCGCCCACAACTAGGGCGTCACCGCCTGCAGTTTACGACTCGCCGAGGTGATTACCGCATTGGGTTAAGTGAGAGCCTGGTGTTTCTCTACGATATTTCACGGTCTATTGTGATATGGTCAAGGAAAAATTAGATAGTAGACAATTCAATTAGCACGATACAAGCTGCATACAGATCATCGAGTCGAATAAATGCGTGTTCGGGTAAGTAATGTCACGAGAATCGAAGAGTCTCAACAGACACTCGGCCGCATGCGCTGGACAATAAGCCACAGCTATAAGTGAACAAGTCACCACCAGTGAGAAGACATAAGGAAAAAGAAAACTGGTTAAGAGAGAAAAGATGGTCCCGTAGGTCCAAAAAGGGGGATAAAGTGGGGATGGAATGGAGTGCAATGCAAGGTTCGGAAGCCTTGGGGTCATGCTAAATCGTCCATTATACCATCGGTCTATCGTAACTGACCGGGTTCATGTCCAAAACGCATGCTTGGGTGACAAACAGCGTCGGCAATGGGATCTTTTTTTGGGGGGCAACATGAGGAATTCAGGTATCCAAAAGTGCCTTTGGCTGATGATCGAGGTCGGGTCACGACTTCGACGGTGATGCTGGTGTAAATTTGAATATTCAATACAGTTGGAAGAAGTGAAAAGGCGGATAAACGAGTGGACGACCTCGATCAAGGTCAGGGAAAGCAGGCCAGGGGCGTCGGAGACGAGCTGATTGCCGGTAGTGCTGATGCAAGATAAGACAAAATAAAAAACGAACACCACTATGCATGTGTGTCGATGCCGAGGGTATGATTATGTGGGTGGTTTCTGATCCAAGTCGGGCATGACGGGCGAAAATAGAGATTGCGACGAGGCAATAGAAGGATAAGTGGAAAATAAAAGGAACCTCGACCTGCATCAGGATGCAAAGAGAGGTTCAGGCCGAGATCCAGTATGGAAGAAAAAGGAAATCTAGTCATCATAATCGTATTCGTCCTTCAAGGGACGTTGAATTTCAAAGAGCAGCGCATCAAGTTCGGCCCAGTTTGTCGAGTTAGCTGCGAACCGGCGATGTTTCCGAGTCAAAGTATGCTAAAGAACGGTTAGTATCGAGGAGATGCAAGTCACCGGAAATTTTAGTCCATACTTCTTCAAAATCGTCAAACTTGTCTCGGCAGTTCTCACAATATCCAGGTTTGGGATCTCTGCGCCGTTCGGGTTTCTTTTGCTGTTCTTTTTCATCCCTTTGACGCTTCGAGCCAGCTCCTTCAGACTGCTTTGTTTGATCTTCTTTGTGTCGGGTGTTGGATTTTCCAGGGGGTTCAGATTGTTCTTCATGGCCACGGTTGTAGATCCATCACGACGTTGAGGAGCAGCCATCGACCCTACGGTAAACCCACCGGTCCCCTTCTCAAGAACCTTCCGCTGTAGGCCGTGAACCTCCTTGCTGAGCCCAGCTTTTGCACCAGGTGCTGCAGCAGTAGATGAGATCATCTGTGACCGAATTGCGGATGTCATGTTGGACGGCTGAACGCCCGAGGCCGCAGGCTCATTGCCAGTGTAAAAAGGCCCAGTACGAGGGAAGTGAGGAGGAATGAAGCTTTCAGAACTTTTCCGTTCATGATTCGTTTCATCACAGGATGGCTTTCCGCACTCGACCTGAGTTGGAGGCGAAACACGCTCTTCCTCTCTGATCGATGGCTTGGAGGGAGCAGTCTCAGCTGTGGTATCAGCTTCGGTGGTTTCTTGGGTGGGTACAGTGGCCTTTGGCTTGGTATCATGCTTTCCATCAGCCTTACGAGAGGAAGCCTTCTTCTCTTTGTGGTGACGCGATCTGTGTCGATCATATTCTTTCCTACTCGGTGGCTCATCGATGAATGGGCACTTTCCTAGAGGAGCGCTTCTGAACTGTGGCCAAGACCCATCCTGGCGTTTGGCGACTCGGGAATATTCTCGCACCATAGTTGGTTTGCTTTTCTCATTCATGTCGTGAATGTAGATGAACGGTCCTTTGAACATCAACATTTCCATCGATGCCAATGGATCACGATCAGATGGTCCATTGAGAAGCTCCTGGCGAAGCACCCGCGATAGGTCGTTCTCTCCCTTGCCGTTGGCAGCAATACCACCGGCGGCTTTGGCACGAGCAGCTTCATACTGAGCCCCTATATCGCTATCATTGATAGTAGCGATCATCCGCTGAAGCTTTTCCAGCGCCCAGATCTTCATGCCCATTTGGCGAGCCCTTTGCAGAATGTCCATATTTCCCTGATCACGACGCGCCTCGGTTTTTAATGAGACATGCAAATGAGGCTCGCCATTCCGCTCAAGGAGTGAGGGATTCACGGTTTGAACGTTTCCATCCCCGTGCGTGTTGTCAGCTGTTGCTTCTGGTTCTGCCGGAGTGGTGGCTTCCGGGGGGATAGGACGCGAAGTGACGACGTGAGTAACCAGACGAGAGAAAAATTTCTCCTCGCGCTATAAAAGATTGGATTAGAGACTGTCAGGCCAATGGGAGGCTTTGAATGAGGGGAAAAGGTTGATATCAGATGTAATATATGATGTTGAGGCTAGCTGGAATGTGATTAACGGGGGATCAGAACTCACAGCCCCAAGAGCATTGACCTGGCGAGAGCATCGCCGTCGAAGATCTTCAGGAATGCTATCAAAGTAGAAGACAAATTGAGGGAATGCCTTGCGATAGTGCCGTTGCCACTGTCGAATTGAATCCATAGTATCTGCTGGGGCCTTTTCAGTCTTGACGTGCTTGACTGACGGCTGGCGTTCTTTTTCCCTGGCTGCAACAAGCTTCCTCTCAAATGCGCTTGGATTGGTGTTGTTCGAACGTCGTGCAAAGAGTTTCGAGTCCGTGTTCGTCGTCTGACAGGTGACAGGACGACTTTCGTTTCCAATCTTTTCCATGGATTGTTTCTTCGGCGGTGGTTGCCCGTACGGCATCTCTATTTGGGTTGATCGAGCTCGTTTAGCTGGCAGTACGCCAGTCCGGTGTGGGGAGTTGGTTGCATTCGGCACGTTTGCAAGTGGCCGGCGAGTCGCCATGGTCAGGGAGTTTCGTGGCGAGGGAGGTACGAATACGGTTGCCATTGGGGAACAGTTTCCCAGGGCTGAGAACGCGTCTAGATGTTTTTGTAGAGTGACTATGATCAACGACCAAAGAGGGGTACTCGAGGCAAAGCACGCGACGTGCTACACGTCTTTTCGGTGTTTGCAAGGAATCAGAGGATGCACATTGTACCACGAATGACAACAGGAAGTAGTTAAGGGAGGGAAGAGCAATTCAAAGTGGTCGAGGGTGGGGAGGGAAGAGAAAGACGAGGTGGAAGACCTAGAAGAAGAGGAAGAAAGACGAGCAAAGCAAGTCGTGTGGTGTGGAGCTCAGTTTGTTTTGAGCGGAGGCCCGACAACCAACGGCAGCGCGTGAAGCATGAACATCAACATTGCATTCTTGGACCGCGACTGAGATTCTTTTCGACTTCTTTCCCTTTTTTATTTCATTCTCGATCTCATTTTTGCGAATGGCAATTTTGCCAAATGAGTCTCTTCTTAACATACACCTAGTAAAATCGCCAATCGTCTCCAACCCCCCGAACCAGCCCCCCAAACGAGCCCCCCAAACGAGCCCCAGACCAGCCACCCCAAAGTAATCTAGGCAGGGCTAACTCGGACAATATACTCCGTAGAATCTACTCAGGAAGGAACAAATGAATGGGGGGAAAAGGGGCTCAGGCATGATTTATCTGAAGCCTTATGCTATTGTACATGAGTTTTCGAGGGTATCTGGCAGCGACCGGATACATCATATCTAACTACGTAATGCCTCAATGTCCTCAACCTATCATAAATTAGTAACCACCCAATTGAATGGACATAAGATGGACATACCTCCTTGACAGCTTCTGGGGTCAAAACGATCGGATGTTCATCTCCGACGCAAACACTATCCTCGATGCGAATTCCGATCCCACGGAAGTGGGCGGGCCATCGCTCATCGTTGGGAACATAGATACCCCTGGCATGGGTCAGCTTGTTTCAAACCTGAGATTTTGGGGGTGACTGGAGACGAACGGTTCAATTGTTATACATTGACCTGCCTTCAGGTCGTAACCTCTGGAATACCCAGGGCAGTCGTGCACATCAAGGCCGACATAGTGTCCCAAATGGTGTGGGAAGAGAGTGCTCAATGCCTAGCTGGGGTTAGTTGCGTGCTCCACGGGGGAATGGTTGAGAGACATACATTGCCCGAAACATCAAAGCCAAGCGACTTCAGCTCGTCTTTTAATCCATTTTCGGCGATACCATGCAGCTTGTCTAACGAGAGGTTGGAGGTCTCGCGGCACAGGGAAAGACAGGTTCGGTGTACCTTAAGTACAGCATTATACAGATCACGCTGAGGATCGGAGAACTTGCCATTGACAGGCCACGTTCTAGTAATGTCGGAGATATAGCTTCCCCATTCCTATGATTTGGTTAGTGGCCCGGGAGTGTGAAGCTTCTCTCGGGTTGAATAAACTTACACCACCGCCATCAACGAGAACCAAATCACCATCCCTGAGATAAAGTGTAAGCATAGTCCTATAATTTATGAGTGAGAGAATACAAACTTCAATACGTCGTCATTTCGAGTGTAGTGAATGGCCAGGGCATTCTAAATTCGTCAGTATGCGATCCAGTTGGGAGTGATCAAAATGCTCACCTGGCCACCAGCGACGACCGGGACAAATGCGTTGGTATCACATCCATTCACCTTGAATTGATACTCCAGGAATGAATAGAGATCTTTCTCTCGGGTAAAATCCTGTCGCATAGCCTCGGTGAAAGATCTACCTGACGCTTGTCCCAATCGGCGCATCTGCACAACCTCGTTTTCGCTCTTGAATACCCTCATTTCATTGAGGAGATGCTTCAACGGCTTGACCCGGCGGTGATCGACAACTTTCTTCAGCTTCTCTGACGCAACTGTTGGCCCATACAGGTATCTATTTAGAGAGGATCGTGATCCATCAAATGTGGGGATGTCCGAGTAAACTTCCGTTGCTCCCTGCACAATGCTCGGGAGAATATCTCCAATGCGTTCGATATTTCCTGTCTGTTTTCAATGTCAGCTTAGAGATTTACTTCATCCCCAAGCCAGGATTCCGCACCTCATCCGCATTGAAGACGTCCACGGCAGCTTGAGTGCCGGAGCGTGCCCCGTCCCAGAGTTCTGCCTTGGGGTCCTTTTCCCGCACATATAAATGGAAGATATGATTGTCACCGGAGCCGTCATTGCCGATAATTGCTAGTGCGTTCGGTTCGTTGAATCCTATCCAGCGCGCAAACAGTTAGCAGGTGACCTCCGCAACACTCACCAGTGTATCAAGCAAACTTACCCGTCAAGTAAAAGAAATTGGAATCTTGGCGGTACTCAGTGAAGATTCCCTGCGCGCGGTACTTGACCTCCGAGGCGGCCAGGACTGCAATTGCGCCTTTGGGGAGCTTGTTGGCGAGTTTAGATCGACGTTGCGCATATTCAAGGGCGGTGATTCCGGGCGTGACTGGGCAAAACACGATCAGTTAAATCAACACGACGCAACTGAAAGAGATAATGACCCACGTTCGCCTGGGCTTAGGATGTGGGGGTGCGTCTCATGCAATGGCTGGCCAAATTTGAGTTCGGCGGCGGCCACCGAAGTAGCATAACTGCGAGGCAGATGGTTGCATCTAGGGAATTGGCGCAACGAATGACTTAAAGGTCGCGATGATGAGCGCAGCTGAGCAGCACATTGGCGAACGAGAAACCTGCACGTCGCCATGCTGAGGGATCTAAGAATTGGGTGATAAGAGTAAACTGTAGAAGGAGTTGTTATCTCCAGGTTTACGGATCCCGAGTCGGCGGTGTGGGCCAATCACCTCGGACACGTTTGACATCGGAGGAGCTTCTCTTGTCCACTCCACCCTGTCACATTAATCTGCGATCGATCTGTGCGCAGGCTGACATCCATTGTCAGCCGGTCTAGCCTTTGTGGGGAAGACTTGCGCGGATGGACCTGCCAGAAAGGGCATTTGGAGGCGTGCCCTACAACTTACATCCATTGATGCACAGAGTAGTCCACCAGATTACTTATCTTGATCTAACATCTACCTACTATAAATGCTTGTTTCGTCGTCGCTTATTTCTTGCTTCTTTAGACAGGCTCTCTACCATCTACATACCTGGTAGATTACCATACAGCCATACATCATGGGACGAACTCTGGCCTACCCCAAGCGGGTTTCCAACACCGCCAACCGGTACAAGCACCGAGGTATGGCGGTACTATGAAAGTACACCGAAGCCAACTAATAATGGCATATTCTAGCCACATATGATCTGGGTCCGATCCATTCAATCATCAATGACTCCCAGGTCCTCCATGTCTCATTCAACCCGGGACCAGAAGACCCATTTCCTGCCATTCTACCAATGATTGGGCAAATGGGCTCATTCGAGTTTCCCTCTGCGGGCATCGATGAGCCTCTAGAGTGTTATCTCCACGGCTACGTCAGCTCACGAATTATGAACCTAGCTCGCAACTGCGGCGAAGGCGAGGGACTTCCCATCTGCATCGCAACGAGCAAAGTAGACGGTTTGATCCTGTCACTCACACCCAACTCGCACAGTTATAACTATCGCTCTGCCATCCTGCATGGCTATGCAAATCTCGTCACAGACGAAGCAGAAAAGCTGTGGGCCATGAAAATGATCACAGATTCAGTTCTCGCGGACCGCTGGGATCATTCACGTGTTCCACCGGACCGTGCGGAGATGCAGTCGACTGTCATTCTTAAGGTCAAGATTGTGGATGGCAGCGGCAAGATTCGTGATGGTGGTGTTTCGGATGAGCGTAAGGACTCGGGCAACGAGCAAGTTACTGGTAGTGTCTGGACTGGCGTTGTTCCGGTCTGGGAAACCTTTGGAACGCCTGTTCCAAGTGGTGATAGTAAGGTTGCTGATGTACCCGATTATATCAATTCTTACATTGCTCGTAAGAACATCCAGAACAAAGCTTTGGCGGAGAATGCAGTGAACATCAAACTACCACCCGAGGAGCAGCACTGAGGTGAGGACTAGACACAGGCTGGCACGGTTAGTTAGGACATAAATATTCATCCATTACATCTCTTGTTTGATCCAAAGTACTTGCCCAAGTTCTTCCTATCAGACCTTCATTTCCTTGTGATTTATTTTAACATCATAATGGGAGAGTTCAGAGCCGGTCGTTGGATTTCCTGTGATCCTCGCCTGTTGACTTCTCCGCTTTACTACTAGTGATATATAACTATTATAATAGAGCTTTTGCGCCAAGATTCCCACCTGAGATCAGTTCTAAATGTTCTTTATAACTCAAGATCCATGTATCCCCATACAAGGGAGAGATCCACAGAGGTACGAATATCTACAACATTCCAAGGTTCCTTTAGAGGACCATACAGTTTTTGGCTTCTACCCCAAAATTTATCCATGCTTCCTACAATTGGTGATTGACATATCTATAACGGAGATGAAGGTATGTTACCAGAGTACAAAAACTAGGATTGCGCCACATAGATCTAGAAATATATGCACAACCTTTCACCATGAGTTCTCGTGTCCTTTGTATCTACATACTCCCTCAATTTGTCGGCTGGAAGGTAGATTATGGTGTCTTGCATTTTATGTCGCCTGATAATGGGGCAGTCAAGCACAACGACTGCAACAGTAATAATATTCTATTCCAATAAGGCTCAGGCGCTTCAACATCGCATTATAATGCCCAACGAGCTTACCTTTACCTCACCCACTGATGCCAACGCATCCCAAGCGTAAACTCAAAGGATGCAACTATATCAATCAGGTTCCAGTAGTTATTGTAGTTGTCTATTCGTAGGTTTGTATTTTGGTCTCTTTTACAAATGGCAGACTCTAGCTGGATTGTGTATAATCACCGAGAAAGGTCTTAAGAATACCTGTACTCGTTTTCTCTTTTTTCAATCCAGATAGGTCCATTGTTCATAAAGCTCAGATTCATAATCCTAGATCTGCACCGAGCCATTTCTGTAAGCTTTTCTGAGCTAAGTGCGTTTTCCTTGTTCCCGCAAGTATATGTAGCAACTGGGTAGTACGAAGTGAAGACAGCATTGTTGACTTCTGTCTTGCCTCCAAAATCAAATCGCCAAAACGTGACATCAATTGAATCAATGCAGGCAACAGTGTGGAAACGTAGCCTCTTTCAACAGGTTTCGACAGAGTGGGCAAATCTGTAAATCATCGCCATAAACCCAAGGCCAGACAATGCGATTCCGATGATCATGAAACCCTCTCCGCCCAGATTTGAGCGGTGCGCCAATTCGCCTGCATTGCGATAGAGCAAAATAGGCCCGGAAACCCACAAAAGCCGTACAATGGACACAGTGCCGCTTCCTAGTTTCGCGACTTCGTGATGTTGATAGAATGATGTTGATAGAATTGAAACGGCAAGATGACCCCTATGATGGGGATGCCTCGCGGAGGTAGCACTCACGGCCATATTTCCAAGACTCTGTGACTGCAAGAGCTTCGGGGACCGGGAATCCATATTTTTCCACTAATATATTTGCGAGGTAGGCTCGGATCTGGTTTGGTATAGCATGCCGCGAAGGGTAAGTCATGATGAAAAAGAAGGCGTGGTGGAGGCGAAAAGTCAAATTTCACTCTATAGTTCAAATCTTGAAATGTAGGAGAATAGGTTAAAGAGTGAACAGCCCTGGAGTGTTAGTGCGTTGCTGACGATAGTCTTGTCGCAAAGAGGAAAGCAGGCGCGGACCCTGAACGTTGGCAAGTGCTCTCGAGGTCCACGAATCCATTTGAACTTGCTCCATAGCTACATGTAGGAGGCATATTCACCTCTGATTTATGCTTCTTTGGAGCTATAGAACAGAGAACAGGCGGACAATGCAAATAGATAGATTAAACCCAATTTGGTCTGCTTCTTTGTTGATATATACCTTGCCTGTGAGTTAGATTGGAACTATATCATCACAACGAATTAGCGAACACAAGAAGCATAGTGGCAGGGTTCAAATGTCAATGCAAGATCATCATATATCAATACCAACATAGATAGCTAGAAATCATTGATATATTGATCAAGTCCAACGGCCCCAAAATCAAGTCATTTGATTGAAGGTATCATGGCGAAAATATCCCTTGTTTAGGCTTGTTGTAGGGCATTTGCTTTGATTCAACTTGCCTGCCTATAATGCGAGCGGGCGTGCTAGAGATGAGAAATACATATAGTCCAAGAGTCACTAGCATCTGCAGACGTTGCCTGCCATTCAAAGCTTTTCTATATATCGTTGAAGACATTGTTCAAAAGAGGCGAGACAAAATTTAGCTTCGAGGTGCTAGAAAGATAATTCTCCGATCATTTAGAAAGCTAATAAGATTTATAGCCAATTCTTCATAGATCCCTGTATCATTGCCCAATCAGGCATCTGTGCTTGAAAACCTGGTTGTTTTCGATGGACAGGAAGAGGCATTGCAAAATATGGGAGACGAAACTGACTAAATGTTAAGTTTAAGCAAAAATTATATAGATTGACAGCCTTTAAATGAACGAGAGAATTCTCACAGCAATGCCGACAACCATTTAGGAGAGGTGGTTGAAGAAGGGCCCTGGGGCCGATAGACCTGCCCCGGCCCCCCGGCCGGTAAGGAAGCTGACTCATCGGCCCATGCCCCGGTGCCCGATCTTATCGTTCGGGACCTCATCCTCCCCTCTTCTTTATTTCCTTTGCTCTACTCTGAGAAGTAATTTGAAGGCCTTTCTGACACTTGCTAGTCCTGCTAATCGCCTATCTCTTACTCTTTGATCCCCCCCAACTGCTCAACATCCTCTATTACAAAGTCCATCGACGCCCCGCCTATTACTTCCCCGCTCCGATTCCGGGAACATCTGCTTTAGTGAACCACGCCACCCTGACTCTGCTGGGCCTATATTCTCAGTGATAGCCCGAGAACGATACACCTCACAACATTCCAAACTCTGCTTCCAGGAAATATCCCATTACATCGCCAATATGAGTAGCCCCAAGCGCAGAATCGAGACAGATGTAAGTGATGTCATGGGGAGTCCGATGATCCCCCACTTGTACCTAGAGATTCTAATAACTGTTGCGTTTCACTTAATAGGTCATGAAGTATGCCTCGCAAGCTTGGAAATACTTCTAGCACGACCACTAACTTTGAAATAGGATGTACGGCTGATAATCCCCGAACCCTTTCGATTTGGCTTCCGTCTTTCGCAACCCCTCGGTTCACCTCGGCGAGCATACTTCGTTTCTGGAGTTAGTCTGACAATGTTTCTAGGCTCATGAGTGATTATGAAGTGACTCTGGTCAACGATAACAGTAAGTTCTACCTTTTCTTAGTTACAGTTAATATATGCTGACTCTGAGAATCTAGTGTATGTACTTTTCACGCACCCTCACCAAACCATTTGAAGATCCCCCATACCAATTTTATAACAGGCAGGAATTCTACGTTCGATTCAAGGGACCAGAAGAAAGTATGCTTTGAACACATGCGACCAGAATTGCATCATACTAACCTTTATAGCACCATTCACCGGAGGTCACTGGAAAATCCACGTTGAATTGCCCGATCAATACCCATACAAGAGCCCAAGCATCGGATTCGTCAACCGGATATTCCACCCAAATATCGACGAGCTGTAAGTCAAAGTCGTTCCAATATCAGCGGGGAATTTCAAGAGTTAATATCCATTTCCACCACAGGTCAGGCTCGGTATGCCTTGATGTGATCAACCAAACATGGTCCCCGATGTACGACATGCTCAACATCTTCGAGGTTTTCCTACCCCAACTCCTCCGCTATCCCAATCCATCGGATCCCCTCAACGGTGAGGCCGCCGCCTTGATGATGAGGGAGCCCAAAGCATACGAGGCAAAGGTAAAAGGTATGCTATAATACAAATATTCTCTACATTTGCCTTTGCATCATATTGATATTTTATCCTTAGAATACGTCGCCAAATATGCCAGCAAGGAAGCCGTAGATGAAGCAGGTGAAGACACCGAGTCTGAAGACGAGTTGAGCTCCGCAGGGAGCTATGATTCTGGCGGTGAAGAGCCAGCGGGCACGATGGACGATGTCTGATCGACTTGAGTGCGACAGATTCCGTCAAGTCCGAGAGCGGCTCGGCACATATTGCATCACTCAACTCTATTCTATATCCATGCTGGAACAGGATCAGCGGGCGTTTTCGTTCTTTGTTTTGTTATAGGGGAGTTGTTATGTTCATTCAATTTTCGTTTCGTCCTGTGAACCTCATTTTGTTGTTTTCCTCATTTATTATTACCTATTCCGGTGCATCCACAAGGCATTGTGACGGGGCAAGCAATCGGTGCTGACTTCCTCCAAGGCATGAGGAGTGATATGGGGTTTCTCCTTCGTCTCCATGATTCCCCAATTGTACAGTGAGCTTGAAATCACATTTACATAGTAGACTCCCCTATCCAAGTCAAAATACTTACCTAGTATGCTTAGTCTACACCTCCATCAGGGAGACCAATAATCTAGAACTCATGTTCATTATGTGGATTTGACACAAGCCACATGGGAATGAAGTTCAAATTGAGTGTCTATGCAAAGAAGGGATGCAGCCCAACACTTAAAGACTATGCAAGTAAGCACACGTCAGGCAAGTTGATGTGACGACAAAGGAACAAATGAACAAATTTTCCAAACGCGCCAGGAAGAATTGAAATCAGAATAGAACAGAAAATAAGATCTGATACAAAGGAAAAAGCCTGCGCCACGGGGTATATCAGACCAGGAAAGGAAAAGAATGGACATGTATGTGCGAAAAAAAACCAGTCGACCTGCGATCAATGCAAGAAACAAATCCCCCAAATGATAGTGTAGCGCAAGAAAAAATAATAAGACGGGTCTTCCAGTACCCTTATCTGCATCTCTGAATTGGATTCTCACAATCCGCACCTTGTTGTCGTGTACATCGTAATCGTCAATGTGCAGCGATGCTTTAAAGGCCCACCTTAGGTAACGTTCAGTACTCCAAACACATCATGACTGGATTTAGTATCAGTCTTGATGTCGGCACGAGACCGTTTCTTGTTTGGGTTGATGACAACCTCGCCCCAGTGTTTTGGGACATTGCCTGACGCACCGGAGGTGGGGCGGCTTGGCGGCGATGTGCGGTGGGTAGATGTCACAGGAGTTGTCCCGCCTGTCCTTTGTGACAGAGCAGGGGATGCAGAAATGGGAGTGTGGAGGGTTGCGTGGGGTTGAAGGTGTGGTTGTGGTTGAAGGGACCAGATATCGATGACGGAGCTGCAAGGGATTGTTAGTATGAGTTTAATGATGACTAGTGCGGAGTTCTCTGTATGATGAACACTTTGTGACAAAGACGGTATACTAACTCAGATGTCCGCTGGCAAATGGATTCCAGCGCTTCTCTCTCACGCCTCACATATTCCGGGTCGGGCTGGCTGGCCTGCTGAGCATGGTTGAGGGCTCCATAGCCATATCCGGCCTGATAAGGATCCTCTTCAAGCAGACGCGAAGATTCGGGCTGCAACAAAGAGATGTTAGCAGGCTGCGAGTGACGACATGCATCCCATGCATCTCGCATCAAACCGAGGCAATGCGCGTTGAACATGGTAGCCGTGAGACCGGTTGGGGTTCTTGGGACTCACCTCAGGAGACTCGTGGCGATTCCCGCCGAGGCAAGAGGCACAGATACCCATTTATGTATTGGGATTGGGATCGGATATCAGGATCGAGGATGTTTCGGGCTGCACGTTTGCGCTATGCGATGGGCACGAGGCATTAATCACCCCAATGGTCGAGGTGAATATGCTGGGGTGGAACAACGGGTGAGGGATTATCGGAGATTAAAGAGTGTGGAGTATGCAGAAAACAGATATGAAATGAAACAAATGGCGCAGTATTGCGAGAGTCACACTGTAGTCAAAAGGACTTCGAGAAGTCGGGAGTTGAGGCTGGGGGGTTAAGTCACAGGTGGCCGCTATACGTTGAAGGGCCCGTGCCATGTCATCAGGCCGTGGCCGCAGCCGTGGAAACACCGTTTTTCTTGAAATTGGCTCTTGGATCTGGTTCTCTCCCCACACCACACACAATGTTCGATCTACCTAATGCTAAGCGGTATGTATTAAAACAATTCACTGAAGTCTTCTCGATCTGGTAGCTAAACTGGCCTACACAGCATCCGCCGCGATGAGATCCATTCTCCGACATCCTCCCGAACACCATCACCCGCACCAGATGACGCCGCCGCCCAGGCCGCATACGCCCGTCTAGGAAAATTACTCAATCTCGATCAATTGGATACCGCACCAGAACCCACCAGTCAAGACAATGATCCCTCTGCGGAGAACGAGGATGAGGAACAAGAATTCGAATTCCGGCTGTTCAGTGCCCCCGCCAAATCAACAGAACAAGCCAAAGAGAAGTCCGAAAATGATACAAATGCGAACGACGCAGAGTCAAAGCCCGCCGCAGCTACACAAAAACTGAGAATTCGGCTACACTCACCCACACCGGGATCTGGAGATAGCACAGAGGGACGATTTGTGAAAGCCTCGCGCGGATGGGATTATTACTTCTCTACACCTTCTCTCCAGGGCACCAGTCGCGGAGAGCCCACAGCGGAGGAATCAAGTCAGATAGCGGAAAAGAAGAAACAATTTGAGGACATGGCTGTCAGTGGACAGCACATGATGACATGGGCACAGTCACTAGTCTGGGTGAGTATATCGTTTCTCGTGTCTTACTTATTTGGCTGGGACCCCTGCCACTAACATAGCATATAGCCCGGTTGCCATCTGCCCTGGCGCGTCATTCATTTAAAGCGACACCAGACCAAAACGCCCCCGTGCACCCAACAGTCTTCCTGTATACGTAGTAGAAGGCGTACCTCTATCGAAGAGTCCACTTACACGCAAGAAGCCAGGTAAGAAGCGCCGGGTGCAGTTGCGCAAGCGGACTGCAGCGGCAGAGGCCGCTAAGGTGTCCGAAGCGGAGAAGCGCACTCGCAAGAACCGCGAGAGGAAACTCAAGCGCAGACAGAAAGCCAGGGAGCAAAAGGCTGCAGCGGCGGGCGTTAGTGTTGAGGATCTACCGGCTGATGCTGATGAGGGTGCTTCCTCGGGAGGCGAGGAATGAATCTATCTAGGAACATGATACAATTCCAATGTGATACCCACAGGAGTAATGTCTTCCCGATCCATCGTCACTAATAAGACCTGTATTGACATGAAATACCGAACTACAACACGGCCGTTTTCCTACTTCTCGAAGTTGAGGGAGTGAATGAAAAGAGCTTTGAATGGTATTGAATGGCCTGACCAAAGGTCGACACAGAAAGAAGAAGAAAAGCATGCAATGCATCGCTTCGTGAAACAATGAATAATATACAACGCCGAGGGTATGAAAAAAAAAAAAAAAACATTGAGCGGCCAAACAAAAGACTCGCGAGTGGGATCAGATCCGCAAACTCACATCTGATTCTCGCAAGCTGGGTTGAGAATGATAATTCTACTTAGCGAGCGCATCTGATAGCCTTGTTAGCATCATCTTTTACTTTGTTGCGAGAAAAGACATACCAGTCTTGGCAGCAGGTTCCTCAGGCTTAGCGGCGGGCTCCTCAGTCTGAGTACCAGGGGCCTCAGGTGCAGCAGCAGGGGCTTCAGTCTGAGCAACGGGCTCCACAGGCTGAGCGGCAGCCTCCTCAGGCTTAGCAGCAGGCGCAGCTTCAGCAGCGGGAGCAGGCGCAGCCTCTAAATGGGTTTCGACAGGGCCAGCTGTAGCGCTCATCTCCGGGGAGGCGACAGGCTCCGCGGGCTTCGTCTCCTTTACCTCAGCAGATTCGGGTGCGATGGTGGTATCTATAGTAAATCAATGGATCAGTTGACGGCCAAAAACAAGACGATGGAAATTCTGATATATCAACTCTATATCAACTCTGGTAGAGAGGGGCGTACCGGGTTGAGGGGCAGCGGGGGCGGCGGGTGTCGCAGCGGCCGCTGCACCTGCAGCACCTGCTACAGGTGCAGTGGTAGCAGCATTGGTCGCAGGAGCTTCAGCAGGGGCCTCGGTCTTCTTAGCTGCCTTCTTGCGGCTGCTGAAGAAGCGCTTGAAGCCCTTCTTGACTTGCGCAAAAGCGTTAGGTGCTAGGGAATGTTAGTGCTGTGATTGGCGAGTGGTCCAACGAGGACTATATGTTGAGCTAGAAGTATAGCAGTTAGTAGGGTCACTTACGAACACCAGGCATATTGATTAAAGGGATTGAGATTGGAATAAGCAGTTGCTAGAGAATGCGAACTGAGATGCGACAAGCAGCGCGTTGCGAAACGAAAAGGAGAAGCGCGCAGTCGATCTATTTACTCCCACGTGACACACCATCTATGGCTTTTCGACTTTCCCTTTTTAGTTTTTTTTCCTTTCAAATTACCTTCTCGTATGCTAGTCGTGAATGCGTAGAACACGGGCTGTTATTGGCTGTTTGCGATATAACTGGGTCCAATTCCGCAGCTTAGCTTGGCCTTGACAGCTATCGTGGCTGTGCTGGCGCTAATTTGCGACACTCATTTTATTTTGATTTTGAAACACCCTTATAGCTATTAGTAAGTGTTTCAAAGTGGTCATACCTATAGCGCGGAAGGGAGATTCACGGGGCCCTTGGAGTAATTGGCAAGAAAACTAAATTGGTCTATTGCTGCAGATCTAATTGTAGTGGATATTGTACCTAACCATATATGGCGTAAGGATATAACATGGCCCCGGGGCACGTAGAGATAGAAAATTAAATAAGATGAAATGAAAAGAAATGAGGTAGGACCGGGTATCCAAGATAACTGGTTCGCAAATTAATGCTCAGGCGTGGAGTATAACTAAACGAATTTAAAGATGGCGAGAGCAACCGAATGCCCTAATTTCCCGAAGTCAGCACATTGGTTTCAGGGGACCTCTGATTGTGAGGCTTGCACATACCTAGAATGAGAAAGATCAAAGCAATTGCAATCCTGAGGTTCTGGGCTGCGATAGCCATGAGAAGAATAGCGCAGAGAGACCACGGAGAGAATCCGCCAATACCGAACCCCGGCCCACTTTTGAACTTGAATGCTGCATCTTCGATGGTGGATTGTAAATTGGAAGCAGCAACGCTAGCCTTGCCCAGCAAAGCTTGCGACACCTGCGCGTGGAATTTAATGGCCTCCTGCGCCCGCGACTGTGCAGAAAGAGCTTCCGTTTGTTGATCCTGGGCCCTTTGAAGCTCATTTGCTCTTGATTCGGATTGTTGCATGAAGCTTTCCATAGTTTGAAGTCGCTGGAAATGTCAGCAAGAGAATCAATAGCTGTAAAATGCTCTCTTACCTCTGTAATTCTGATTTCCTGCTCAAGAATCATGTTCATTCGGCTGGTCAGCCATTCCTGCAAATAGTCAGCCTTGAATTACATATCAAAAGGGGCAGCAAATGTGACACACCATGGCAGCATCAAACTTCTGCATGCCTCTGTACATTCTGTCCATATCTGACTCGAGAAGCGACTCGAGCGACATGTGTAAAGAAGATACGAGATCTTTCTGAGCGACAGCATTTGTTTGTTGAACTAGCAATGTCTCCTGGCTCCTAGCCATTGCGTCTTGATGCGCGTTTTGTAGAGCTTGCTGAAGAGCTCCTACTTGGGTCGATGCATTCTGAATATCCTACTCCGCGTTAGAAATGTTATAAGCCCGACTCACATGTTCAAGCCATACCTTTTCAAGGACGCTTGTTCCGATCTGCACATTTGAAAGTGCCGTAGAGATAGAGTCCTGGAGAGATCGGATTCCGGTTTCGATTTCTCTCAGAAATTTGCCGAACGTTCGCTTGAAAACCGAGTCCGTCGCTTCCATGTCGGTTACGATTTTCTCTTGCAGCGACTGAACGGCTTGCATAAATGCTTGTTGCTGTGCCGACTGTGCGGCTGCATCTTGCAAAGCCTCCTGGAGTCCATTGTTTAGCTTCAGACTGCTCTTGGAGATGGATCGATGCAGGTTGAGGAGTTCCTCCTTTTCCATCTCCATTCGCGAGGCGTGGCAGATCACAAGGGCATTCTGTCGACTATTGCTATATGAGGTCCACCACTGAGGCCGTGACTCGAGCGTCCTGAGACATTGCTCCAATAGCTCCCTCCGAACTTCATCTGATGCAGTGTCAGAGCCTCTGTGCCGAGTCACAAAGCCAAATCGGTTCTTCTGCGGAGGTGGTGATACGGTGACAGGAAGACATGTGGAAGGGATTGAGGTGCCAGCACCGTCAATCTCACATAATGCTAGACGTGCTGCATAAACGGATCGAAGAAGGTCAAGAGTCTCTGGGCTGTCTGTCTGCATGCCATCGTGGCTATCGCTGAATGTTTGACACGAAGTTACCAGTCGTGTTGCTGCGATTCGATTACATGAAGGTGAAGATCCCATTGAGTCCAGGATCTTGACGGCTTCATTGAATATGCTGTCTTGGTCGTGCGTTCGGGAACCGAGGAAAGAAATCGCGTCGATGCCCGGTAGTTTGGGGGCAGGGACTGGCACATCACCTTCTTAAGTCAGCGGAGTAGATTGAGATATGTTAGCAGAACTATATTACCTTTATGGGAGATACTTGCTTGGCTGACGTGTGCAAGTGCCAGGAGAATATATGGAAGCACCTGAAAGCTATTGACTGCCCTCATCGTGTACTTGGTCTGGCTGGTCTGGTTCATGAATGTGGCTTTGGAAAAGCCCTGGATAGCTATCGATCATTGAGCTATATGGTAGAGATGAAGCTGTATCGGAAATATCATGAGATGGATTGTATAAGATGGAAAGAAACAGATGGGAGATGATCTCGAAAGTGAGACTTGATGTCCAAGTTGTTTGAGTCAAACCCAACATTTCTTGGTTTACTTTTCTCTGATTATTCGAATTTTGCACTTAACACATAGCTGTTTGCCAGATTCCCTATGTCAATTATTTTTCAACTCAATAACTATCATAGTTGTTCAGATATGTTTGGAATGTAAGAGGAGACGGCTCGGAAAGACATTTCATAGCAGCACCATCAACCGACAGCTGCCGTAAGATAATAGACGCTGTCCATATATCTTGATCATTATGATACGATTCATTACAATCATCCGATTCCAATCAAATAGGAGAAGAATCTACTCCCAAAAAAAGAAAAAAAAAAAAAAAAAGAATGATATAGATCATCACGTGCACGCTAAACCCCATCGAGGTAACTCATCTGGGACAAAATCGAAAGTCCGCAACACAGCATCCGACTCAACACACGCAATCATCATGTCGTGCTCCATACCCCAACGCTGCGCCCGCCAGCTTCTCCGCGAGCCCTTCCAGCGCGGTTCCCTACCCATTTTCCTCGCGCCCGCATTCTCCCCACGCACACAATGCTTCTCGACCACATCCCCGGCGCAGTCCCGAGTCGGAGGTGCCTCGATCTCCATCCCCCCGGAGGTGTCATTCAAGCTCGTCGACCTTCCTAAGACTCTCAGCCGGACACGCGGAAAGGATATCCCTAAGTTTGCCGCCGAGATTAAGGGCCCCAAGGGTATGTGTGGTTACCAAAATATGGCACCGGCGGATGGATGCTAACTGATCTGGTTCATAGGCGAGATGACCCTGAACATCCCCTCGTTCGTCACCGTCACTCGGGACGAGGAAGCCCAGAAGGCTACATTGTCGGTCTTGGATCAGTCGGTCCCTCACCAGCGTGCTATGTGGGGTATGTTCTCCTGTCATTTCTCTTCTATGGCTGTCAAGTCTGCGCGATAATCCATTGTTGTCTAACATTTGCTTTTCTTTTTAGGAACCATCCGTGCGCTCCTGCAGAACCACATCCTCGGCGTCTCGGAAGGTCATGTTTGTATCTTGAGTATGGTTGGTGTCGGTTACAGGGCCACCATCGAGGACAAGGCGACTACCGTCGAACCCACCTACCCCGGCCAGAAGTTTGTCTCCCTCAAGGTCGGCTTTTCCCACCCTATCGAATTGGGTATTCCCCAAGGCATCCAGGCTAGCACTCCCCAGCCCACCAGAATTCTGCTGGAGGGTGTCGACAAGCGGATTGTGACCCAATTTGCAGCCGAGATCAGAGACTGGAGACGCCCCGAGCCCTACAAGGGCAAGGGTATCTTCGTCAACGGAGAGACCATCAAGCTCAAGGCGAAGAAGATCAAATAGACGGGAGGCGCATTTCTTTTCCAGTTACGCGGGACATTTTTTGTTTGGTTCCGTGTCTTGTACTCTTATCGTCACATATGTATTTTTTTATTCCTCTGACAAGCGATGGTATCACAAATCTACTTCGGACTGATTCTGCTCCCCGGGACATCCAGTGCAGTGCACGAGATGGCGAAATTAAGACAGATATAGAATCCATTACAGCTTCAAAACGTTCTTGACGGCAGCAATAACCTGGTCCTGGTGGGCCTTGGGAGCAGCCACGACACCCTTGTTGACAGCCAAGGTCCGGCCCTTGCTGAAGTCCAATCGGTTGCCGTAGATGTCGGTCACCTGGCCACCAGCCTCGCGCACAATCAGGTCACCAGCAGCGTGATCCCAGATCTTCTCTTGGTAGTCCTTCTTGACGGGGAGGCGCAGGTAGACATCACCAGCACCACGGGCAATGGAGCAGTACTTAGCCTGCGAGTCCAATCGCACACTGGGGGCGGTGATTCCAAGAAGCTGTGCAACGGCGGCATTGTCACCCTGGGCAGAGTGTGCAGCCTCAACACCCTCACAGAAGACAGCGTCTGAGATCTTAGCGACGGGACGCATGGAGATGGGCTTGCTGGTAGCAAGAGTACCGCTAGCCAGAGGACGGCTGGTGGCACCTTCTCCTTGGACAGCGGAGAACAAGACGCCATTGCCGGCAGTAGCAGCCTGTTGGGCACCGATGCTAGCGTCGAGGGTGGCAGCATCATCGACGGGAAGGTTGGGAGTGCCGATAGCACCGACCTTGACATCGCCGTCGACCATCAGGCCGAGGCACACGGCGTACTGTCCACCACGAAGGAATCCCTTGGTGCCGTCGATGGGATCAAGAGCCCAGATGCGGCCCTTGGCACCACCAGCACTGTTGCCGCTATCAATGATGTCCAGCATACTCTGCTCACTTGCCAAAGGTCCACCCAGAATGTCATCGCTCTCCTCATCGTCCAACTTGATGTCCTTAACCAAGCGCCAGATCTCAGCGCTAAGGTCCTTGTCCTCACGCAGAGTGCTAGCCTCCTCCTCGGCGACGATCTCATCATTGGGGAAGTTCTTGCGGATGGCCGAGATGATCAAGGCCTGAGCGCCGAAGTCGCCAATGGTGACGGGAGACTTGTCATCCTTGGAAACAGTGCCCTTGGCCTTCTCGAAGAAGACCTTCTGGGTCAGAAGACATGCCCGCTGGACAGCCAACTCGGCAATGTAGCGTTCCTGTTGATAAGACATGATTGTTTTATGGTTGGAGGAGAGGTGGGGGAGGAGGAGGGAGAGACGAGAGCGGGACTTGAGAGCCACACTGACAGCCAGAATGAGGGTGGAGCAGATCACGAAACGGGTCAGTACGCGTAATATATTAGACCATGGAGATGAGCCTGACTGGTATGTGGACTTTTGCGTCATTCGAGATCAATTGACCAAAACTGTAACTCGAATTGACTACTCTCAGGCACTTTCTCGATGCTGTGTTGATTCCCTTACGTCTTCGGTGACCTCTCTCCGATATTCGGCCTCAGGCCCGGAGCCCCGCACTAATCCCCATTGGGCCGGGAGAGTCACGAGCCGATAAGCTTAAACTGTCTCGGCCTTGTTTCGTCTCTCCTTTCCCCTGAAATAAGGCCGTTTTGCAATATTTATACCCTGTGGAGTACATTGGGTTCCCCTGGATACATGCTCTGCCACCCTTCCCTAGGCTGATCAGACTAACGGGCGCTAAGTCCCCCTGGGACATCCGACGTCACCAACACCACGTGAAGGTATCCCAAAAGTTGCCTAGGTTCTTTGTGTCGTGTTTCAGGCTGTTAATTCCTGTTTGGCATTGTTTTTAGCGAATCGTCCCCATTCCTATCACCGCCGATACCCCATACAAACCCACGCCCTGCGAAACCTTTGTGTAAACAAAGCCGTGCGGGGTTATCTTTATACCGACATTGCAACGCGGGGTGACTGCGGGCTGTTCAATAAGAGCAACAATTTGGGATTCCCCTGACCTGTTCCTACCCAAATCAAGCATCCCCCTGCTGTAGAGGGTATACTTTTTTTACTAGGCCATCATGTTTCAATCCTCCGTAAGTCGTTGGGTGGAGACTATACATATTATCCAGCGCTAATTGATGTGGCCTTATATAGAAGCCGTATTCGGCTGTGACCGTACAAATCGAAGTCCTTACGAGCGAACAATATGAGGTGGAAGATTCCAGCGGTATTGTCGATCTAGTGGAGGTAGTTCGCATTCAAGCCAGTGGCCCAACAGAAGCAAGTCGGGCTCTTCGCAAGAAGCTGTGAGTCCAGAGGCCTATCAAAAGGCTGCAGCAAAAACTGACAGGTCCAGAAAATATGGCAATCTCCACCGACAACTACGCGCGCTTACTATTCTCGACTTCTTGGTGCAAAATGCTGGAGAACGCTTCTTGCGCGATTTCGCCGATGAAGCATTGCTCGAACGTCTGCGCATCGCAGCTACTGATTCTGTTTCAGATCCGCTCGTGAAACAAAAATGCAAACAGATTTTCGGACAATGGGCAGCTACTTATAAGGACACTCCTGGTATGGCGAAAGTTACCGCGCTATACAAGCAAGTGCCCAAGCGAAAGCAGCCTGCGACGCAGGCGAAAGCCAAGGTTCTGCGAGAGGGCTCGAATCTGAACTCAAACGAGCCCCCAATGGGTCATGTCGTCTCGGTCTCGGCGGGTACTGGGCCATCCACTGTGCTGACCAGCCCGAAACAAAAGACCAAGTCCAAAAAGGTCAAGAAAGATAAGAAACTGTCAATTAGCAGCAGGAGGTTTGATATTGAAAAAGAGCGACCAGAGATCTTGCAGACACTCGCTGCCTCATCTGTGGCCAGCACGAACTTGTTGAATGCCCTGAAACTCGTCAATCGTGAGACGCACCGGGTGAGTGAGGATGCCGAATGCATCAGCCGGTTCGAAACATGCAAAGATCTTCGGCATGGAATTCTTCGATTCATTCAGTATATCGAAACGGAAGAGTTCCTAGGCGGTCTCATTCATGCAAATGAGGAGCTGGTGGATGCGCTGATGGCATTCGAGGTGCTCGATAAGAGCGTGGACTATGACAGTGATAGTGAGGATGATATTTTGGAACACAGTTGGAAGCAACGACATGGCCTTGGTCTACAAGACAGTGGCGTGAGTGATGGGATTGCTGGACTTAATATCAATTCATCCAAGCCGCCACGGCCGAGCCGCCCTGATGGTCTGCCTCTTGCATCTTCATCGCAACACACGCGCCCAATCTTTGAGAGTGACAGTGAGACTGAGAGTGAAGAGGAGGATGATGATAACCCCTTCGGCGACAGAAACGCTATCAAGACCCCTGGCATTGAGAAGATTGGACATACTTGGTAAGTCATTCTTCCTCTTTAAAGTATCCCAAACCACTAACAGCTTACAGGAAAGAGGTCTGAATCATTTGGTTACAATACCGAAATTTGGACGTGATTTGCTCTTGCTGTTTGCGATTTAGGTTCCTTTGATACATTGTCTGCTACTTTGCTTGATCGGTATACCCAAGGCCACTGGCCATCGTGTTACTGAAAATGAATGTCCTCTTTGATCATTGGTGTGTATGTTTATGTATTCTTCCACGGGCAGTCCTATGCATAGCTATTCTTATGATTTGTCCTAGATCCTGCTGATGCTCCAAGATATATTCCTCCCGTACTCCAAAAGAGAATACTTAAGCTTCTAGCAAGATTAAAAGTAAAGCACAACCACCCTAGAGAGCAACCATGCGAGCGATTCTCCGTGTGCATGAAGCACATATAACCTTGGGAGCAAATGACCAATCATAAAAATGGCGCTGGGGGTGAGACGCGTCCGGCAGCGGCCTAATGAAGTCGGACCGTAGGTAAACCAGAGTAATCGCAAACATAATATGAGAAAACACCCGCCACTGCGCGATTCGGAATAAAATAGAACATAATTCATTGCCTCGAACTAAGTCCCCAAACATCCAAACATAAGACACAATGGCCGTAACCGAACTCGCACTCCTCCGCCTTAAGACTCAAGACCCCTCACCGTCTACGAAAAGCACTCTCCTACAAGCCCAGAAGTTACAATCAGAGTACTCAGGTTATCAGGTAACCTATCTACACCAAATCGAAGATCCGGCCTCATTTTACCTACTGGGTGGCTGGGAGTCTATCGAGAAACATACAGGCGGGGGACAGTGGACTTCATCCGAGGCGAACCAGAAACTGCTTGCGCAGTTGAAGGACAGTCTTGATGTGAGCTGGGTAATTCATTTGGGTGTTGATGTGAGCTATTCCGTTTCTTTGGTGTTGGATTATACTCACGAGCATCGGCGAGTTTGATAATAAGAATGCCGAGCTGACAAAATGCTGCAGCCATCTGCATCCCAAATCCCACTGGATGCGCCTGTTCTCGTTGTAGGTAGGCTCTTTGTCGAGAAAAGCAGGAAAGACATGTTTGAAGCTGCTTTCCAGGCTGTAGAGTCTGATTTGGGGGCACAGACGGCGCCGTTCTCGTACTGCGGTGGTTGGCGCATTGATCAAGAGGGGGAGGATGAAGAGTTTGTTCTCTTCACTGGGTGGAAATCGGTTAAGGACCATAAGGCTTTTGCGGAGTCTGAGGCTTCAAAGGGGCTACTGAAGTTGACGGAGCTGGTGAAGGATGCAGAGGCTTGCCATGCACATGTTGAAAAGTGGGAGTAGGCTACTATGTGTACATTCATTCATCTATCTGTTATTTCGGGGGTATTGTGTTTTGGGCATGGTTGTGCCTTTGAGGATGAACTCCACCATCGCTTTTCTGCCATCCAATTTAAGAGGTGCCTCTATGTGCATGGCGCCGAGGACGTTCTTCGTCTCGATCTCTAAGCCTAGAGAGTCCGCATGCTTGTGCAATTGCTCAGGTACGTATGATGGGATGACTTCATCCTTTTCGGCAGAGAGAAGAAATATCGGGGGAAGCGAGCGAGGTATTGACCCGGTGGCTTCAGCGTTGGGCGACTGTGAGCTGGCCTGGTTCATCCATGTGGCCATTTGTCGCATGCTTGATTTGATATCCCAGGTATTCCAAGAGAAGGGCCAGAGATATCTATATGGAAGCCATTTTTGAGGATACAGGCTGATGAGCATATCTTTAATGCTGGACGTTGGTGCTTCCAGAATGAGTTTGGAAATGGGTGCCAGAGGCTTCTCACTACTTGTGTCAGAGGACATTTGCCTCTGATGCTGGCGGGGAAGATAAGTAGCTACTGCTGAGCTTGCTACAGCCGCACCCAGGCTGTGCCCCCATATCACAATCTCAAGATCGGTTTCTGGTGTCGCATAGGTTTCTGACACCCAAGCCAACAACGCCTGAGCATCCTTTTCAATGCCAGATTGTGTGGCGCGACCAGAAGATGTCCAATAGCCACGGTATGATAGAGCCGCGACAGTATATTTAGTGACGTCAGAGTCAGTTGCAGCAGATGAAGTTGACCTTGATGTATCCGCAATTGCGCGCAAGATATGAGAAAGTATAGGGAGTCGCATAGGGGTTGACCCCCATTGCCTTGCAAGTAACAGATCACAACTGACTTTTTCCGTTTCGCGGGCATTTTCCCTTGATCATTTGGTTTGCGAGCATCAGAGTTCGATAAGGATTTCTTATCCTTGTGATGAATGGGAATATGGCCTTCACAGAGAGCCAGTTTAGTCCCATCCAGACTACGGATCTGTTTTTCCTCCCACCGCACTGGCCGGCACTCAGCTTCATAATCTGAAATGGCCTCAGATCGTGTGAATGGAGGCAGCCATGATAGGTAGAGAAGCTTGTTCTGCATGACGATGATCCAGAAGCATTTCCAGGTCCACAGGCCGAGTAGGAGCCCAATGAACATAAGAGGCGGTATCGCGACGGTCGGAATAGCGTCCGTCATGAGACCTCGTGATCGCAGACTGTGTTGTACATTCTGGGTGACACTCTTTCTTTTTCTTGTGATGTTGTGGCTGCCATTGATACCATTCGATGGGACAATTTTGTAATAAAAGCTCTGGGATAGCTGTCTCATGAACGATGTCGCTCTTGGACCTGACCTAGGCAGCGCGTGCCGCAGCACTCGGCGCGCCAGCATTACATGTGGTTGAACTTGAATTGGCAAGGTACTGGGTTGGATGTTGTTGGATCGCCAACGACGGGTGGACCCCGACTCCCCGAGCTGAGGCTTGACTCAGCAAAATCATGCGGCTCATAGCCGAGTATAGCGACGCGACTGCAGAAAACAATAGATCTGACTATTGCACTTAGTGGGCCATGCTTTTTACATATAGAACATCATCTGATATGCTACATACAGACAGCGGCTCTGAGAATCGGTTATACCTAATTCGCTTTCTCACTCGGGATCCGCGGTTGACTATGTATACCAGGTAGGTAGGTACATAAGGTAGGCTCGACGTCTGGCTTTGGGCCCACCATACATTATGTGGCAAATCTACAGAGAACTACAACGAGGAATATTCCAATCCGATTGGTTCCTCAAACAAGTTGTAAAAAGAATAGATTCAAGTCGAATTAAATCCAAAAAAGATATGTCCCAGCAGAGCTCCAGAACCAAAATCGAAGCTCCACACAATGTAAGTGACAGTATGGCAAATATTCAAATGGGTATTATGGGTCGTGATCATCTGGAGTCGTGATATGAAAGGAGAATAACAAAGCGCAACCGCAGGAACAACAAAGTATGGATGCATTCCAAAGTCCCTTTCCAAGACGCCAAAAAAGGTCAAACCCCGAAACTATGCAGTGATGCGAACTTTCAAAGAACCTTCGATCTCATCCATTCACTGGTGCCGACACCAAGGTTAAGCCCATTCCGCTGCCACCACCGCCGAACGCGGCCTTCGGCGCCTGATGAGGGATCCGCATCCTCAAGCGCTTCTTCGATGTCACAGGTTTTGAACTCGACGCGCATACCGCAGGATTTCCACCACTGTAGGACATGGTCGTGGCCATTTTTCGTGGGGCCCACTAGGACCTGGTTATCGAAGATCATCTTCGGTCCTTTAAGTTTATACCAGAATTCAAGGACGTGCACATGACCATGTGTGCTAGCGATCCGAGCCACGTTCTCGGCATGACTGTAAGGGATCCCCGATGCATCCCACCAAGCGAGGGATGCGGTGCGGCCCGATTGGGCGGCTAGCAGAACAGACTTGCCGACTTTGAGGGGTAGAGGTTTGTGTAGTGGGGCATTCTCGGAGGCGGTTTTCCACCACTCTAGCACGGCGACTCGGCCTTCGGCGCTAGCGGCTTCGAGGGCTCGCTCGCTGTATCGTAGTGGGAGGCCCGAGTGGAGCCACCAATCTAGTACATCGATGAGCCCGGCTCGAGAGGCGCCGTCCATGGCGTCCGCCATGTATTCTTTGTTCGGCAGAGCTGGCGCATCGCGCCACCATGTCAGAACGTTCGGGTTGCCGTAGATTGCAGATGCCCGGTATGGAATGTTTGTGAGTCGAGAGGTTGTCCAGAGGAGATCCAGGTGGTTTTCTGTAAGATAGGAAAGGATGTCGGTGCGAGAGAATTTGACAATGAGGTGGCAGGCGAGGTCGGAGAGGGGTTTCCATCGAGGTAGTGCCTCTATGTGTGTTTTTTATTGCGGCGAAGGATCCTCGCAAGATAGTGTATTCGAGTGAAGCTGGGGTGGACATTTTGAGTAGATGGCTCTGCCATTCTTGAGGGACAGGAAGATGTGTCGGAATACCGACGGCTTTCGCTGTTTCCCAGTCTCCCAGTTGATCCTCGAAGACGTTCAGCCATATTTCAAGTGGTAAATAATCTGCATTCCCTTGTTTCGTTTGCGGTGTGGACCCACTGGCATTTCCAGATGTCGATGATGGGTAAATGGATTTCGATGCAGTCTTAGACGGGACCGCGGTGCCATGGGGGTTCGCCCTGGTCGACAAGGTCGTTTCCCATGGCGGCACTATTAATGTCTTCTCCAATGTTGTATGTAATTCCTTGAGGCCGTCCCACGGTAGTATGGTCAGTTCTTCGGGCCCATTTGACTTCCAGAGCACGGGCTTGACAATGCGAATCCACGGCCAATAACGGCTGATCTCATCAAGTTGCCGGGTACTGAGGGGATGATCCCATTCCGACACAGTCATTCCTGGAATGAGGACTACAGGTTTTTTCGAGACCCAGCCGCGAAGGAGTGCCAACGTCAATGTATTCGTCAAGCCAGCTAACATCGCCCCCAAAGCCCCCGCATCGATAGGCGCTACCAACAGCATGTCCGCCCATTCACACAGCTCCACTGTCTTCGCCTTGAGCCATTTTCGCGCGCCGGTTTTCTTATCGAAGGTTTGGCTGTCGACTGTATCCATGTAATGCGGGATTTTGTTCGTGCCCGTGAGCAAAGCGGAGGGTTCGTCGGTGATTAGTCGCAGTTCGATGTAGGGGTTCTGAACGAGGGAAGGAAGAATAATGTCGGCGAAAGCACTATCGGTCGACAAAAGCAATCGGCGGCGCCGAGGATGTGATGATTTCACATCTTGCACTGCTTTGTCGGCGCATCGCCGATGATCTTCTTGGATTCCGATCACTGTTTCCTCGCAGTCGCCATCCACCTCCATCTCACTTGACCACGGCCCCTTTGCAGTGCTATTGCTTGTTATAATAGTTGAATTATCAGGGCGAAATTCCACTGCCATGCCAAAATAACTTGAAAAAAAAAATTTCGGCAAGCCGTTGTGTTCCTGGGTGGAGACAAAGCAGTCGAATGTCGAATGAAAGAAATCTCGGGGAATCCTGGTATAGGTTAGGGTCGCTAGAGTCGAGGTGCGATGAAAAAAAAAGGAGATCAATGCCTCTTTCTCCGTGCTATGAAAATTAACAGAGCATAGATCAGACGGATGGTCCGATCAAAATATGATCATGCAACACGGAATTCCATTTGAGACTGGCGTTTTGATGTACAGCGACGATCAACCGGTCTCTCGAGCGGTGAGGCAGTTGCGTTGTCTCGCCACGTCTTTGCCACTCCCGTCCTGATGAGCGAAATGCGAGAAAACGCCGAGATTTTGGGAGGAAAAATTCACCAATGATAGTCGACGGAATTGTTGATTCGAGGGTGTTTGGAGGTTGAAGGCGGCCGTGCACAAAAAGATTAGATTAATGAGTTGCTGGGTAGTTCTGCTTTCACCCGGGAGTGATCAATGTCTGAAGTCATCCCCTTTGTAGCATCTACTCTTTGCACTTCTTAAAATTTTGTATTCTTCTGGTCATCTACAAGGCTCGAGACCGAATGGTTCAAAGAAGGCTTGTTCTAGTCTGAATCATTAACACCCATAGCAGCCAAGGTTGCTATACCAGGTACTTTGGGATGTGTACACAGTCTATGTATGTATATAGTGGATATTGGTACTTTTCTTCTACTGATGCCCGACGAACTGCTCTCTCTATCGTCTGGCCAGGTTGTTGTGTAGCTTGTGCTCTCTCATAGCGAGACTCGCCAATGCGCCCAACACAGTAAGGCCCAACAATGTCACAAACACCGCCCGAAGGGAGTCCATGTATGCATCAAGCACTCCAGGTGTCCAGTCTGCGGGAACCTTCCAAATTTCGTCTAAGCTATCACGAAGACGTCCTATCACCTCCTTGGCGTCATCGCGCCCACCAAATCGAGACCAAAGCCCAAGGTTCAGGGTGTTCTGGAAGACAGCCGAAGCCACCGTGATACCAAGAGTGCTTCCAGTGCTGCGGAACGCGTACGAAGCCGAAGTCACAACTGCATGGTGCTGGTGATCTACAGCAGAAATGAGTGCCACCAAGGTGATGGTCAGCATACTGCCGTAGGCTGCACCGCCCAAGAAGAAATAGAAGAACGGTAGCCCAACAGGCGTGTGGAGATTTAAAGTGCAGATGAGGGCAGCGGAGAGAACTTGCAGCGCCATGACAACATAACTGAGAAAGGTATACCGACCGCTAGCACGCATGATGATGCCCGACCCCAAAGAGCCAATCGAGGTGCCGATAGCCTGCGGGATGAGCCGTGCACCCGCCGCAGTTGCGGAAAATCCCTGCACCTGGAAGAAAACTGGCAAATAGAAAAGCATGCCGAAAACGGCCATCGTTGTGAACCAATTGGTCAAGCAAGCAGCTGCCACGGTGCGATCCAGCAGCAGGCGCACAGGAATAACGGGCTCGGAAGCAACTCGAGCTTCCACGTAGATGAACAGACCCAGGAAAATAGCAGATGCTACCAGCGATCCCACCACCAGCGGATGGGTCCAAGGCACTTGGTTTCCGCCAGTGTTGAGGCCAAGCAACAATGTCACCAGTGTCAAAACGAGGGTGATGGCGCCCAGGAAGTCAACGCGCTTGATACGAGCGGTATCGGATTCTTTCACAGGGATATTGACTTTCACTGCAACCAGAATGCACGAGACAACCAGGAATGGAACCTGGAGCAAGAACGCCCATCTCCATCCCAGAGTATCGTTGATCCACCCGCCAAACACACCCCCAAGTCCCATGCCTGCACCATAGCAGATGTTTCCAATGCCCTGCCAGATGCCTCGCTTACGGAGAGGAATCAGATCCGAAGTGACGAAAGTGGAGATTGCGGTAAGACCGCCTCCTCCGACACCAGCCACGACGCGACCAAGAATGATTACCCATTGGGCTCTTGCCAGACCGCAGATCAGATTGCCAATAGCAAAGAAGATGTTGGAAAAGACAAGTCCCCAACGACGGGAGTAGATATCGGTTAAACGGCCGCTGAGGGGTTGGCAGGCAGCATTGGAGATTAAATAAGAGGTAGCAAGCCAAGAAAGCAGCGAGAATGAATTGAAAGACGAAGAGATGGGCGCAGAGAGTGTCGCGACGATTGTTGTATCTGCAATCAAACCGTGTTAATATTTATTCTACTGAAGACCCAATAATCGACATTCATACCGAGGGCAGCCAGGAAGACACCGACCCAGATGCTTCCCAGAATCCAAATCAGCTCCTTGGTGCTAGGTTCCTGAGGGAGCGGGGTGGTCTCGTTGGCATCGCCGTCTGGCGCGTCCCGAAGGAGAGGCGTCTGCTCAGATACGGGCTCTCCGGTAGACTCGTCTATAGCCATGGTGTAACATGTATCGTTCAAAACTGAAACAAAATTTCTCCGACGAGATTGGCAATGACGTGCTCGGCGACTCGGGAAGGCGGCGAGTGCGGAGATGTGGAGACGGGCCCAGATCCCGAGTCTGTGTGTTTACATCTAGTCCTAATCCGGCACTTGGCACATACTCTGTCAACCTTGTATATTGAAGAAACAAAGAAAGTGATGGTGACAGCTTGACTAGCATGGCCCTCTTAGCAGCCCTAGACATTTAATTTGCTGTCATACTTCAACCCTTGCAGGCCGTGGGGGTGTTCGGACGGCCTCCCTGTAAGATAAACAGAAACCTACTTCCCAACTAACCATCCGAAAAATATTGTGCTATAAGCAACTTGTTTGATAATGGCACCCCAGACTATGCCATTTACAACCAAATTTCTCATTATTGGCGGGGGAACAGCCGGATTGGTGGTTGCATGCCGTCTTTCAGAGGATCCAAAGACTCATGTTGTTGTTCTGGAGACCGGCCCTGATGCTTCCACTGATCCTCGAGTCCAAAACCCCGGAGCCTGGAGCTCATTGATCGGATCGGAGCTAGACTGGAAACTAAAAATAGCCCCGCAGGTTCGTTAGCTCTGTGGTTCAATCTAGCTAGAGGTTTAGCTCACCTTGATGCTGTTCAAGTATGGCTTCAACGACCGAGAACTCGATCATCCAGCGGGCAGGGTTCTTGGTGGTTCCTCGGCCATCAATGGAATGGCTTATACTCCCCCGTCGCCGGCCGGAATCGATGCTTGGGCGCAACTGGGAAACCCGAGATGGAACTGGCAGTCTTTACGACCTTATCTTCGCAAGTCCCATACTCTGAATCTGCCACAGTCGGATAGTTCCACAGGCGAGAGAGAAAACTATTCTTCTCACGGGCCAATTGAAGTTGTATTTCCTGCCTTGAACGACGAGAAAAGCTTTCCCCTTGCAAACGCATGGAAAGAAGCATTCCGAGCCCAGGGATACGAGCATAGCATCGACGCTTTTCCAGAGAACAGGACAATTGGCACTCGAGATTATATGGCTACCATAAACCCAGTTTCAGGACATCACAGCAGTGGAGACAGCGAGTATGGCAGACTGGCAGCCCAACGCGCCAACGTGATTATAATCACTAGTGCGACAGTCCATCGCATTATCTTTTCCTCCAGCTCAGATACTCTTGTCGCAACTGGGGCGGAGTTTGAACGTTATGGTGCGACCATGAAGATCCAGGCAACCAAGGAAGTTATCCTAGCGGCAGGTGCCTTCAATACGCCGAAGCTATTAGAGCTGTCAGGGATCGGCGGCGCAGACAGACTAGATCACCTCGGTATTAAACCATTAATTGATCAACCCGCGGTGGGCGAGAACCTTCAGAACCATCTGACGAGCATGGTCACAGTACCCCTCAAGACTCACCCTGATATTGATGGAATATCACCCGGAGTCAAAGGTGTGGCATTTGCACGTCTTGACCCTGAAGAGCAAACGAACCTCTTCTGGGGAGGTCCCAAGCCCACGAGTCCATCCGACTGGGTCATTCGGTCACTCTTGCACAGCCGTGATGAGGCATCAGCGGTCTTTCTTATGGCGGTAATACCGGGGAACATGGTTATTCTGGGCGTTATCGCGAGTTTCCCATTTTCACGAGGGCATTGTCACATCAAATCGGCGGACCCAAATGATATGTCCACCATTGACGGACAGTATTTCAGTCATGATCTGGATATAGAGATCCTGGCTCGTCATGTGCAGACCTTGCACCATTTGACGAAAGATCCAGCTCTGCAGGAATTCCTTCAGCCCAGTACAGCCTTGACGGATCTAGAAACGATAAAGACACAACTGCGAGAGGAAACCGCATCGTCTTGCCACCATGGATGCGGCACTGCCGCGATGCTCCCCCAGGAAGCAGGGGGAGTAGTAGATCAAGATTTGAAGGTATATGGGACGAAGAACTTGCGGATTGTGGACGCAAGTATCTTCCCGCTTATCACGAATGCGAACCCTATTACAACGGTGTATGCCGTGGCTGAACGGGCTGCCGATATCATTCGCAGTAAGTGATAGGGTCAGTCAGGTAGGTAGATTTGACTATAGGAGGAGCAAAGTGAGTCGTTTGGATATCTCTCAGTGGCATATTTCGGGTTAGCACACACCGATTAGATCAATTTATAATCCTTTCATTCTATCATTCGAGTGACACGGGCAATAATCTAAAATAACATACCTGAGAGGCTAGAATTTCTCATAGATTTTGGTGTGAACTGCTCATGGAAATTTCAAGAGCACTGGGATCTTTGCTCCGTAACAAAGTCAAAGGTTAGAAAGGTGTGGAGTGTCGAGAAATGCGAGGATCTTGGACACCCCAAGAAAGTAACGAACCATCTCTTTCTCATCTTTTCCAATCCAACACTCTCACTCCATCATCCGTCATCTACCATCCACTTTCTTTCGTCCATGGACACCTTAACTCTTCTCGTTTTGTCACCAATTATCGTTGTGCCGATTATTCCCTGGGTAGCAGCATGGGTTCGGCACTTCTTCAACAAGTTCTGGGATTGGTTGTCCATCCGGAAGCTAAATGCGATGATGGGGCAAATTGAGACACAAATTGAGAGAATGATTCATTTACGCACCAGAATGCGCGCTCTTAACGACAGTATCGACATCATCGCGGAGAGATTCGAGGCTTGGACACTTCGAATGGATGCCACACTACAAGACACACCAATTCCTGAGAAGGCGAAGATGGTTTCCATCGAAGCAGCTAGGTGGAGAGCCCAGAAATGCGAATGGGAGGAGGAATATTTCACTTGCCAGGAGGAACTTGACGATATGGAGGTGCAACTTACGATTCAACTCGAGAGACTGAGGGCTTTAAGGCAAACGTTGCTCCATGGGCGGTATGTATATCACACCTAACTATCTGCCTGAGTATTGCTTGATACTAAACACACTAGCGGTTAGAAATTGATCGTCTCGCCAACACAGCCGAGCTACATATGGGAAGATGCTGATGGGGTCATTCATTGCAGTTTGAATCTACCCTGGCCCTCCCACATCGCGTGAAGCTGGCTCCCCAGTGACACCAAAGGATCTATTTCTAAGAAAAGCCAGATGACTCCGGACTCGTGGTTTGTGAATTCAAATGCATAGCTAGGAAAAATTAAGTTATGCTGATTAACAATATCCATACGCATCTGTGCAAGTGAAAATTCAGTAGGGATGATAGGTTTTGGAAGTGGGATGGGGAGTGTGTACACATCCTTGTGAAGACACAGCTATTGAACCGGGTTGCAACGCCTTGAAATAGCATCTCGGTACATCCTGAAACACAAGGACAAACAAGTTCGAAATCGAAAATGGTCATGGTCGCTACCACGCGCTAAACTAAGGTTGTTCTCCGCAATTGTGGAGATCCCCAGGTTTCTCCCTCTTCGCCGGGCATCCTTACATACAGCAGTCTACTAAGGCCAGAATGCCATTTCATATTTCGCTTGTATTATATGTCACCGCCCCTGTTTTAATAATTCCACCCCTGCTATTCCAATAAGTTCACGAGTACGACAACTAGGAGACTAGGGGCTGGTATCAAGGCGCGGATCCGCTGCTCAGGTTAGTTTGCAGATGCTTGTCATCGTATATGAATTAACACTGGTGCAATACTAGCAGTGTCATCAATATGACTCGACTTAAGAGATTGCCTCTGGTGGCTCTGGCCTCGCTTGCTCTGGCCAGCCAGGATGCCTTCCAATCCAAATGTGCCGGGTTTGGTGCCCAAATTGACATTCCTGATGTCAAGGTCAACTTTGTAGAGTTTGTGCAGGGAGGCACCGATGTGTCTTTGGCTGGCAATCCCCCGAGCTGTGGTAGATTGAGCCAGGCGGTCTCGGTAGATCTGTGCCGAGTCGCCATGGCCGTGTCAACTTCCAACAGTGGCGAGATCACGTTAGAGGCCTGGTTTCCTCGTGAGTACCAGAGTCGTTTCTTGAGCACTGGAAACGGCGGTATTGCTGGGTGTGAGTTCCAATGATGAATCTCAAATGACAGTTTAATACTAATCTTGACATAGGCATTCAATACTTTGATCTCGCGTATACCGCACAGTTAGGCTTTGCCGCGGTCGGCACGAACAACGGACACAATGGTACCTCAGGAGAGGCTTTCTACCATAACCCCGAAGTGATCAAAGACTACGCATACCGTGCTCTCCACACTGGAGTGGTTGTGGGCAAGCAACTCACCAAGCAATTCTATGATCAGGGTTTCAAGAAGAGCTATTTTCTCGGATGTTCGACTGGTGGCCGCCAAGGTTGGAAGTCTATTCAGAAATATCCCAATGACTTTGACGGGGTAGTTGCTGGTGCTCCGGCTATCAACTTTGTCAACCTGTCTTCATGGAGGGCAAGGTTCTACCCTATCACCGGTCCACCGTCTTCAGAAACGTTCCTGTCGACAGCTGAATGGAAGATTGTCCATGAGGAAATCCTCCGTCAGTGTGATGCCATCGATGGCGCCGAGGATGGAATCATCGAAGACCCAGATCTCTGCCGTCCTGTCCTAGAATCCTTGACTTGTGACCCCAGTGTGCCGAACAAGACAAGCTGCCTTACTAGCGCCCAAGTCAATACTGTGGAGCAAGTGCTGTCGCCATTCTATGGACTCGACGGCACTATTCTATATCCACGCATGCAACCTGGCTCTGAAGTTCTCACGGCAACTACTTTATACAATGGCAAACCGTTCCAATACAGCCAAGACTGGTTCCGGTACGTTGTATACAATGATTTGTCTTGGAGCGGAGAAAGCTTCACAATACAAGACGCCGCGGTTGCTCTCGCTCAGAACCCATACAACATCCAGACCTGGGAAGGGGATATATCATCTTTCAAGAATGCCGGTGGTAAGGTCCTACACTATCATGGCCTCCAGGACCCAAAGATCAGCTCCGAGATCTCCAAGATGTACTACTCCCACGTGTCGAACACCATGAAGCTACCTCCCTCAAAGTTGGATGAGTTCTATCGCTTCTTTCAAATCAGCGGCATGGGCCATTGCGGCGATGGCGACGGCGCCAATGGTATTGGGCATGGCACCAATACATACAATGGAGTTCACCCAGAGGACAATGTTCTTATGGCCATGGTACAGTGGGTCGAGGATGGCAAGGCACCAGATACTGTTCGGGGTGCGAAATTTTCCAATGGCCCTGGTTCGAAGATTGAATATGAGCGCAGACACTGCCGTTGGCCACGCCGTAATGTCTTCACGGGCCCCGGGGACTACAAAGATGAGAATGCTTGGGCGTGCATTTAGATGTTCCCGCCACCCGCTATAGACACTTTCCGACGGTACGATCAAGAGATTTTGCAATGTCAGACACATCAAACATAAACTACCTCGTGAATCTCCTCTGACTTTATATATTTCCCCCCATTTTCACAATGACCTGCTGGAGACCCACAAGGCAAACGTGAAATATGTAAGTCATATCTCCTCCGATCCTCTCGACCCAACCCATGAAGTCAGCGAATGCACAGAGCAGCGTCAACTGACGGGACGTCATGTGGGCAGAAAAGGGGCGGTGTTCCCCGGCAGGACAATACCCTCCGCAGCCAAGAAGGGTAGACCGCCCAGCGGACTGGCTCCGACTGGGTTGCAGATCAGTTGAGCTGTGCCACCACTATAATTCCGCTGAATTATTCATTTTTTATATCAATCCCGTATATCATTTATTGTGGAGTTCGAAACTCTTCCTATATATCACCACCCCTACGAGCTGGCGCACGGATCATCATTTACGGCCCCCAATTCAAGCTACCCCTCGGATCGCGTATATAGCGGCGTCAATCCCGCGACAACATCGTGCCTCGTGTTTATAGGCCACCTTTGTCATTTTCGACCCATCAACAACAAACTTGCATCCAATCATAATGGCAGACCCGGAGATGGATCAGTTCGCGCAAACTCGCGGCGCCGACGACCTATTCGACGACGAGATTATCCCCGTCTCCGCAGAGCAGCAGCAGGCGCAGACGAAGGTCATTGCCGCTGAGCCAGAGCCAGAGCCGCAGGAAGTAAGTTTACCCGAGAAGTCAGCTGCCGAGCCGATTCAACGCGGGGAGACTCCGCAGCGGGGCCGTGGCGGAGAACGAGGTCGTGGCCGACGAAGGGGGAAGGGAGGGCGTGGTGGACGAGATTCGGAGCAAAAGCGCTCGGAAAGCTCGTCGCGGAAGAAGACATCCACTACTGCGTCTGTGGCTGATGCGCGCGAGGCAGGCGCGAAGCCTGACAAGCCTGAGCCTAAGGAGCCGGCAGGCGCAGGTGAGGATGGTGATGGGGAGGAAGCAGTGAATGGAGCTGAGTCACAGCGTGTGCCAGCTGTTCGCGGTGATCGAAGTGCTACTGGTGGTCTGAGAAAGGTAGGCCAGTCATGTTTCCCTGATGTAAAGAGAGCAGCATGCTGACAGTTTTCTCCTAGCCTAAACTCACCGAAGAAGAATTATCCAAAAGAATCGCTGCGGCGAAAGAGAATGCCGTGAAGAAGGCAGCTGCGCATGCTCGCGCGGAAGCTGATCAGGCTTCTTTCATGGAGCGTGAGCAGGAGGCCGCGAAGAAGCGGCGCGAAGAGCTTGCGCACCGGCGCGTGATGGATAATGAGCGCGAGAAGAATAGACAACGCAAGCTCAAAGCCCAGACCGGACGTGAATGGGACTCACAAAAACGCGAGGAAGATTATAATCCTCGTGGCGGAGGTAGTCAATTCCGGCGAGGTATGCATGGGGGCGTATCTGGCCACGTGCGACGTGACTTTGAAGAAAGCCGTTCAGAAGATGTTGCCGAACAACCCAGCAGCCACCGGGGTCGTGGACGAGGTGGACGAGGTGGACGTGAACGAGGATCTCCGCGTGCCACAACAGGAGAGAAACCCCGCAAGGGCCTGGCTGATAGTATATACGCAACGCCGAGTCCCGCTGCACCAGGTCTGGATGATAAAAATGCCTTCCCAGCTTTACCCGAAAGACCTAAGAAGGCCGAGGTAAAAGCCAACTCTGAATCGGAGACCAAGCTGAAGGCAGTGACCAAAGTCGAGACCGAATCTGTCCCTGCTCCAGCGAAGTCACCAGCAACGATGGACAAGTTGGATTCCACGTTCTCACCCATCACTGGAACTTGGGCGGACCAGTTCGATGATGACGAGTAACGAACACTATTATTGGTCTGGCTCGCTTTGTAATTGTTTTTGTTTACGCTGGCTTTTAACGATTTTTCTTTCTGCATTTCACGATATTAAAAGACTCCCGTTTCTTTCACTTGCAATTTGATATCCCGCCCGTCTGAACCCTTGATTGTGGCTCAGGCTGCTCAGATGCAAAAGTTTTGCAATACTACATATCACATATTGACTACATGGCGCACGCTGTCTTCACTTTGCGATCTCTATGCTTCTGCTTCTCGTATACCTTTTGGCTCGTGCTGTTACTTTGCAGTTAATACAACCATTATTTACTCGCAGTTTTCACACCAGATGATGATATATCGTTATATATCACCGACCCATCTTTATCTTTCGAAGTCATCAGCGCAATACAGTTATGAAACGCCCCAAATGCTTCTGTTGGTGCTCCTCATAGGAGAACTCCCGTTCCAAAGAGCTATATGAAGGCCGTCATACAACTGTCAGCAATTAGAAGCACCGAATTGACTTGAACCTGTACTGATCATAACACGGCCTTTTTCCCAGCCTTCACTATGGCCATCGAGGTAATCGGATGCAGATTCAAAGGCAACTCAAATGTCCAGTGTTGGCTTGAAACATCGAGTGAAGTTGGCAGCCCCAAGCATTCCGGGAGTATGGTCACAAAGTGGCGGCAAGAGCGACGGTGACAAGCTAGTATATTGGAACGAGATATTGTTGTATAGTGGAATGACCAGTATGGTCTTGTAAAATCATTGGTCAAATGTGACGCTTTCGAACAAGTCCAAATAGATAAGCCCATTTCTGATCTCTATTGCTCATATATAGCGTGGTAAATAGTATGCCGTTGTCCTAATTCCGAGATAATGTGATTGGTTCCGGGGCACGTCAATTGGCGTTGAATGGGAGCATGCAGCCAATAAATTCTCCGAGGACACAATATTTGTAACGGACGAATGCACGTAGGATTGAAATTCACATGCGCAGTTTCAAGAGAATGTAGCATGTAGAAATAGCTGCTCCGTCGATGTAGATAGGTTGATATAGATTTCCGGAAACGGTGGGCCACGTGCCGAGGCAGGGAAGCCCAAAGGAAAAACGGAATCTCCCCGGAGACTGGCACGTCCCCAATTTGGAGAATCCGCACTGGACGAGAGCGAACAAGCATCCTAGTCTAGTCTCCAGGGCTCTGACCCAATCGAATCGGCAGAGCTCGGTAACTGAGGTGCCGAAGAGGGCCGTGACTAATGGAAACCCCAGCTTTCTCCACTGTGGAGTGTCGTAAAGAAAAGGTCTCTCGTTTTTATAATTGACTTGATCTTTTGAAATGGCAAACAATCACCGAAATGGAGTCGAAGGAGAAGACCAGAACTGATGGCGCCCAACCCAGAACGCCCAGCAACTTGGCGCCCGACAGTGAACATGAAACAGAACTTGGACTCCCCGCAAAAACAGTCAATGGGGGCCTAAACGCATGGTTAACTGTCCTTGCAGGCTTTTGTGTCTTTGTAAACTCTTGGTTAGTTATATTCCTGCGGTCGAAATATGATTCTGTCCATCTAATCGTTGTTTTAGGGGCCTTTTGACAACTTATGGCGCTTTTCAAGAGTACTATCAGACAGAGCTTCTCTCTGATGAATCGCCGTCGACGATCTCATGGGTTGGCAGTGTTCAGGCCACTTTAATCCCCATGGTCGGTCTGGCTACCGGTCCATTAGTTGATGCCGGATATCTGCGTCCTCTAATTGTATGTGGAAGTTTCTTGACTGTATTCGGAATGATGATGACCAGTCTTGCCACTTCATATTACCAGGTAAGTCTACATCGTTAGCAACATCACATCACAGGTCATCTTCTAACATGAGCAGATATTGCTTGCACAAGGATTCTGCGTGGGTATGGGAGGCGGTATATCCTACATCCCAGCGCTAGTCGTGATCTCCACGAATTTCACCACAAGGCGCCCCATTGCCATCGGCTGTGCATCGATTGGATCCAGCGTGGGAGCTGTCATTTTCCCCATCATGTTCCGCCAACTAGAACCCAAGATTGGGTTTCCATGGGCAGTCCGTTGCATCGGATTCATCTCTTTACTCCTCGCCGTTGTGGCTTGTCTGATCTTGTGTCGGCAACCAGGCCACAGAGCCCGCGCAAGAGATTTGATTGACTGGAAAGCCTTCCGCGAACCCTCATTCATGATGTTCTCGCTTTCACTCACATTTGTTATGCTTGCATTCTACGTCCCGATCTTCTATGTCGCCTCTTATGCCCGCACCGTTGTGCATACTGTCAACCTCAGCTTTTACATGGTTGCTATTGTCAACGGCTCATCGGCCATCGGCCGTGTTGTTCCTTATCTGCTTGTCGCGTATATCAAGCCCATGGGAATCCTCATTTTGTCTGTCGCAGCATCAGCCCTCGCTATGTTTACTTGGATCGCGGCTACCGATTCAGCTGGATTTATTGTTTGGGCGTGCTACTGGGGAGCTCTCAGTGGTGTACTGGTCACGGCGCCGACTTCTATTGTCTCACATCCGATCTTCTGTCCGGATGTCAGCTTTTTGGGGACGCGTTTGGGCATGATGTGGGGTATATCCTCTTTCGGGTCGCTTGCTGGCACTCCCATTGCGGGTGCGTTGGTCAATCTTGAGACTGCTGAATTCTTGCATGCTCAGATCTTTGCGGGGTGTATGATGGTAGGCGCTGTCTTCTTACAGGTCTGGCCAACTTGGAAGGTGATTCAATATGACCGGGAGCAGTCTAGCAAAAGTTGACGCATCCACGAGAGATCGAAGGTCAAGGTCGACATTACTTGTCAACTAATTTTATATAATACCTGGCAGATATCATAACATTCCTCTTTGTACAGGATATGACACAATAATTGATATACTTGAAATCAAAAAGTAATAGATCTACTAGCTGGTGCCGAGGTATCATTTACGCAGAAGCATCCACCTATTCAGATATACACATCTGACATCATCCTCCGAAAGAGTACTGTTCTATCAGACGGCAGCCAAAGTCCAACAAAAATAAAACCGGGTGAGAGGCGATGTGAAGGCGCTCCACGTGACCGCATCAACAACCAATCACACTGAGTGATCTATACTCATCATGACTTCATCCGGGGTCGTGGCAAGCAGTCAAGGCGATAGAATCTGGAGATATAAATGGGGATCATTTCGCGGTGGGTCGGCCGATTTTCATATTTCTTCTCTTTAGGCAATTTCCATAACAAAAATTTGCAGGTTTCAACCACCATTTTACTAAAACATACTCCGTGTCGAGGTTAGTGTATCAATACTCATACACTTTGGCCCACAGATTGTTATATTTGGACGCTCTCTGGCCTTTGATCTCTCCAGCTATATAGCTAACGGGTATAAGATACAGCTTAAACTGAAACCAAGACTACAATGGGTAGTGACAGCGATAACAACCGTCAAACGAGCGCAGTCGAAGGAGACACCAGTGCCACACCCACCCCAGCTAACGATGTTGGCTCGCCAGCTGGACAAGGATGGGGTGACAGGCTCTGGAAGGGTGGTATGAATGAGGGACCAGGACACGCAACTGTACGTGATTCAGTGTTGACAGCCCAGCACCATAACACGTGGTTCTAATCTCTCTCACAGGCTCCCAACCCTAGAGCAACCATGGGAGAGTTCCTTGGTTTATATGACCAGAAATCGCGTGCTGAGCAGAAATATCTCCATCGTGAAACTTTAGCCGATCCCAATGTCAGAGCTACGACCGAGCAAGGAGAGCCGACGTGCGTGACTGAAGATCACAGTTTCATGGGCCATAAGGCCGGTGATCCTGATACTTTACCTGGATGGAATACATTCAAGAAGTTTATTGCCCCCTGAGTGATCCCTGTTTATTGTGGAGAGATGTGTGACCGCTTATGAATGAAAGGACTGTCATGGATTCTCCAAGGGCAGTCAAGATAATATACTTCTTCAGATGACATGAGGCTTAAGATGTATCATTCAATACATTATTCCGGGATGCTTTTATGATTTGTACTAGCAATATCAAACTGTCTATAACTTCACCACTGGAGACATGATATTCTCATGTAGTATATGTAGTTCAGTCTGAAATAGTCATTATTCCACTGTTCATCTCGTGTATAACTGCCCGACTTCCAAATCCTTTTGCCTCCGTTTAAGATAATATTGTTAAATGATATATAGAACCAAAGTCCCTAGTTCTATAATAAGCACTTTGTGGCTCTAACCCTCCTCCAGAGAAATGATTTGACGACCTGAAGCTTTTCAAGTTGATCCAATGCACACTCAACCGCATTCACTGCCATGCCATACCCGTCCTGGAAGCATGTTCCTCCCGCACCGTAATTGTGAACCACGAGAATCTTTCCCTTGGAATCATCTACCTTCACAACTTCGCCGGCGACACAAGCAACTCCTCTATATTAGCAACTCAATTACGGCAAAGGCCTAGCTTGACAATTGAACGACTCACATCCTTTACATAGCTGACCATGGAGTCGAGCATACTGCGCGATGGCATTTCATCCCAGTACTCCGTCGAGGGGATTAACAGTTCCGAATTACGGAGTAGACGAGAGCGCCTATCTCGGAGGCGATCGATTTGAGGCCCGTGGACCTCCCCAAAGCTCATAAATGGGGGCCCAAGGCCCACCCAGCAGTGGGTCATGGGCTGTGAGGGGCTATCGATGGGGGCCCATAATAGCCTATCATACATAGCCCAGTGAGGGGGTCTTGGCGCTTACGAGCTGGGGTCTTGTAATCGCTGAATTCTGGCCTTCCACTGATCCATAGAGTTCAAATTTGGAATCTAGAGTCACATAGCTGTAGAAGTATGTCAGTTTAATCAAACCCCAACTAGTGGAGGTTGAGATATCACGAAACGATATTAATATTGATGTCCTGATGTTATGTAGATGATATTTAGGATTCATGCGGGAGTACCACCATTTTCTAAGAGAACCTCTGTAATTCAAAACTTATCTAAATAACGCGTCTTCTAGCGCATTGAAACTTGACATATAGATTTCACTAACTATGAACTACGTTTCAATTAAAATCATAGAATATTACCCCGATATGAGGTCTAGAAACGGGATCTAAAGATAAGGTAATTAATTTTGCAAAATGGTTGCACTGTTTAGTGCCAATTGGGCCTAGTAGGCCCCCATCAAGGGTCTAATGGGCCGGCCCTTGCCCGGGCCCATCGCCCAGCCCATTTGCGGGTTGGGTTGGGTCTTGGGGGCCACGCCGATTGGCGGCATTCACTTGTGGTGGCCAGGCGGAATAGCTTCTGACTGGTGCCCGTAATTCCAGATTTGGTCCACGGGTTGGAGTCTAAATCGATATCTCAGTAAACGTTACGATACAGCTCTGGAGAAGGTGGATACTAGGGGTCGGATGCAAGCTGGCTGTCTCACTTAGCACGATCGCCACCGTTCCGATGTCTTATCGACGATGATAATGGGGAATGTCCAAGAAAACAAAAAGGAAAGGGAATCATTGGCAATCAAAGGGGGAAATATGGTGCTATTATTGCCGATCTCTCTACATGTAACTTGGAGAGACATTGCCAAGAGAGTATGGCCAGTTGCTAAGATCGTTTCCAGGATGCTGGGATTTTCCTAGGATCTTCTTGGATTTCCAAAGTAAAAGGGCAAAGTAGCCAGCATAATCAACTATGGATGACGATTTAAGAACAAAATAATAACCAACATATAGATGTCCCGAGAGACCCATATAGAGATAGACATATGCATGACTATGTAACTTGAAGCGAAATTGATAGATATGGATGTAACTGTTAGGTACACTGAGATGACCATCTAATTCGAACTTACCACATAGGTATGTTTATGCCTAAGTTATGATGTACGAAGAGCTCGCAAAAAAGGGAAGACTGAGGTGTAAAAGGAGATTCATTCTGAACGCTAATATCAACAAAGAGGTCCTAAACTTCATTAGACTTGCTATGATCAACAATTCCCATGGCTTGTTGACCGTTTCCTTCAACTGGGATTCCTTCAACGAGTCCCATATCAATCGAATCAGCCTTTTCACTCTTCCTAAAGCAAAAGTAGAACACACATCCGGCCACAGTTGCCACAATTGCCAGCGATGCATACATCCAGACAAGGTAGGGGTCTTGTGATACCGGGCTCAGACCAATACAAATTGCAGCGGCGATGCCGATCATGACCCAGAAAAGTGCAGAGATAACAGATCTCAAACTAAGTCAAGATAGCGTTAGTATGGGGTGTACAACTTTGAGGACACGGGTGACTTACTTTTTTGGGGCATGTGTGAATGCGAGTTCCAACCCAGTGATGATGATAAAGGCCTCGGAGAAAGCGACAAGGACATACGCAGGACCTTGAATCCACACGTGGATGCTTCTCTCCGGGGAGTTGTAGATGTAGTGCTGTAGCACGCTGCAGTAAGCCATAGAGAGTGCGACAAGCACGAACCCAGCGAAGATCCGACGGACAGGGCTAAAGTCGATATTGTACTTGCGAAGGAGGGGGTAAATTCCCACTAAAAATCAAACTCGTAAGCGGATATTCGTTCTAGACTTTTGTGGCGAAACGTACAGTCAAGCAGTGGAATAAAGACACACAGAGCAATCGGATCCAAGTTTTGCAGGAGATCGTTGGGCGTTCCATGCAATGCCATTTGTCCCGCTTGTGAGATAAGATTGTTCCAAATCTGAACCCAGCAGACAAAGTAGAATGGGAAAAACACAAACATCTAGAACCTATGTAAGCATATTTCAACACGGAAATGTGGGAGGTTGACTTACCCTACAGCTTCTAAACCCTCGACGGACATCTTCGACGTACTGGTCCGTGTATTGCGGCGCAGAAGCAAATGCGTAGTTACTCAGTCGACCGGATGCCTCTAGAGCCGAGGGCTTTGCGCTGTTGAAATGCTTTTCTTGTCGCACAATGTTCAAGACTTTGCATGCATCAAGAATGGCGGATCCCTGTGGAGGAATCTTGACGTATCGCTTTTGACCATACAGGAAGACCATAGCCGAAAGAATGATCGCGCTATAACTTGTCAGCATGTGTCTTTCTTCTATTTAACTTTTCTAGACTCACATCAATGGGATCAAATATGCAAGCCAGAAAGAATGGTGGGCCTCAACATTGACTGTGATCAAAGGTGAGAGGGCACCCACATTGATAACCCAATAGAACCACATGAAGAGGGTCTGGATAGTCAATTCAGGGTCAACAACCACACGTTCGCCAGACTTGAGGGTCTTCAAGACTGGCTCTGCGTTTTGGTACTGTTCGGCACACATGGGTGTTACGTTTGCCTTGATTCCACCTGTTCCCAAGCCAACGATGGCCATGGAAGCAATCAAGCCACCGAAACCAGCATCTGCATTCAGGCCGGCTGGCGTAGACGTGCCAACCAGGAGGGTCAATCCGATGATATAAATACATAGCGCGATAGAGATAGCCTTGAACTTTCCGACATATTGATCTGATGGACGATTAGCAAAAATATAGCAAGCTTTGGAAAGCCTGAACCGTACCTGCAACTATGGCACCAATGACTGTGGAGGCATAGGCCCAAAATTTGAAGAAGTTTCCGAGGGCAGAGGCAACTGATTGACCTTTTCCTAATGCGCCGGGAAGATCTGACCCAGGATTGTATGGGTTACTATATTGGGAAAGATGTTAGAACATAGCTCCAAGTATATATTCGTATGGGAAATACCGTACTTGATGTAATTCTGCAAAGGACCGCTAAGGCCGAAGTAAGTGAATCGTTCGCCAAGCTATTAGTATGTCAATGTTAGTGAGCGATTATGACTGTTAACCCGTAGTGGTGGGGTAACGAACCTCAACAACAAGAATCAGTAGGATGACAGATGGGAACTTGTCAGGAACACGTCGAAGACCAGCAAAGGGGTCAACAGGGGCTTGGTCCGGCTTCTTCAGATCCTCTGAAAATCGTCCCCGATCATCGGCTAAGACTGAATCCATCTTGACGGAGCAAGATGTATATATGCGGTGTGGGTTATGAAAGTGATATGAGAGAAAGAAATAACAGCTCTCTACCGCACGTTGGACTCGAGGAATGGCATCTTAATTTAAACATCGCGCCGGACAGCGGAACGTCCCACGTTGAGGACGGAATCTGGGGTACAAGGCCCACTTTCCCCGCGCCCCCACAACCCGATGCCTATCAGCCCCTTGATCGGAGCCGCTGTGGGATCAATGCCGCCAACCAAAGCCCTGCAGCTTATCCGACGATATCAAAGGGCCTTGTGACTAGATTATTCACACTGTGGCGATTTTGTCATGACTGATTTCAAATATAGATATAAGATTGTCCATTAGTCAGTTTCCATTTCTCAATTTCGCTTTATCGCTCAGTTTTGACCCACAATAATGTTTCCAAATACACACACCACCGTCGTGGCAGACGAGAAAAAGCCGCGATTGTCTATACCAGAAAGGCTCTTGAGTGAATTGGACCCTGAATGGGTAGATCTATGGGAAAAGCACGGCAGCTCCATGGTGAGAGCTGACGAGGTATCTCTTGAAGAATTTCGCAAAAGTCCCGCTACATACAGCTTCACGTATCCAACATGCGCCGGTAAGTCTTAAGTGTGGACTTGGGTCGTTGCAATCGTGGCTGCAAATCTACCCTCGAAAAAGGCAAAACTAACTGCTGTCAAGGCCCCGACGTCTTTCATGTTGAGGACATTGAGATCCCAGTCACACAACCAGCTGGAAAAATCTTGATCAGGGTCTATACACCGGAAGGTCCAGGGCCATTCCCTGTTCATTTGAACTTCCATGGAGGTACTTACTCGGTAATGCAATTGCGTCTCTCAATATCGACTTGCTGACTCTTCCATCTTGCCTCTAGGCGGCTGGGTCCTTGGAAATCTCAATTCTGAAGCTGCTTGGTGCCGTCACATGTGCAACAAAGCCCAGATTAAAGTGATTGATGTCGATTATCGACTTGCTCCGGAGTTCCCTTATCCAACTAGTATCTACGACTCATGGGATTCCGTGAAATGGGTAAGTATCAAGCCCAGTGGAGTGGTAAATTCGCTTCGTTAACATGTTCAATGTGAATAGACGATTGCCAATTCAGCTAGTCTCAATATTGATCCTTCGAGTGTTTCTATCGGAGGTCTCTCTGCGGGAGGCCAAATGACTGCAGTGATGTCGCATTTTGCCCGGGACGAGGGCATTGATCTGAAACTTCAGCTGATTATTGTCCCAGCAACCGATATGCGCTATTGTCTCAGAGACAGGGGGCTGAACGAGACCACTTGTCCTTATGAGAGTGTCTTGCTCTACCATGATGTGCCTTGGGGACCACTCGGCAGAGAGCAATGGTTCTTAAAGTATTGGCTCGGAGATGACGATGGTAAGTCCTTCAGCTCTCAATCGCTTTTGAAGCATCTGGACTCATACAGTTTTAGCTACCCAAGAGAGAATTTTGACAAAGGAGTGGATCTGCACACCTGTACTTGCTCCTTCCTTCAAAAACCTTGCGAGGGCGCACATAATCACAGCCGAGTTTGATCTTGAGCGAGATGAAGGAGAGTACTATGGTCAACTTTTGCAAGAGGCTGGAAATCAAGTCACAATGAAGAGGTACCCTGGTGTGCCTCATGCATTCGGGCACTTCAACCATCCAGAAAGAGGACTCTCGCAAAGCTTCGTGTATATCGAAGATACAAGTCGGCTTCTTCGTGAGGTGCATTTTGGCACGGTCAAGCTTTAGACCTAAATAATAAATATCCCGAATAAGAAGAAACGAATATGTATTGTCAATTTATACGACTAAACCTACGCGAACGAAACGATGCATAGTTGTACAGAGTGGTCAATGTCTGACTGCCCCCTTAAACCACACAATTCCACACGATGAAATATCAAAATTATAAATAAGTGAATCATCTCGGGTTACGTTTAGTTGGGCTGGGGGTTGTTGTGACCAACGTGAATTAAAACTTTAGGGTTATTGCTCCCGATGACCTTGTTCCCGCATCTGGGGCCGAAAGAAACTGAGATTGGTCATGGAATTTATGATCATTCCGATCTGATTTACGGGGAACCTTTTGCTCGGGCTATATCAAAAACCAAAAAGTAAAGAGGATAGGAGAGGTTGGGGACTCTTTGGCAGATTGTTGCCGGGATTCCTAATATCCTTATCAAGTGCATTCTCCAGTAACCCTGATTAATTATTATTAAATATCCTATTCAAATCTGTGCTGCGGAAGTGAACATAACAGAAACTAGACCATGAAAAATTCCATCGATTGACAATCAGGACTGAGATGCGTCCAGGGCCGCATCTTCCTGTTCGTCTTGGCATTTTGGAACAAACGATCCCGACCTGTTTCATGGTGGTAGCCCAAGGTCAAAGTCTCGAGATACAGAATCATTGGCCAAAAAAGAGACATTGTGAGTATCACAGCTCAGAATGTTCAATTGAGTGAGCCCCGAGGTGTTCAATCATATTTTCCCACCGAGGACTCGCTTACTCTGGTGACGGGCTCGGAGTCGTAGATAGCCTGAAGGTGTTCGCAGACTCTCCAGGACTTTCGACAAAACACAATTGATGTTCTTCACCCGCCGCATGCTCATCCATCAGCTTGATTTGAAAGTCTTCCGTGATATCCTCAATTGTAGCAACTAAATCGTCCGTTGCTTGTACGTCAGAGCCGACAACGGTGAGCTTTGCGATCCCCTGTGTTTGCTTCCGGTGGCTCCTAGGGCTCAAGGGTGTTGAGAAAGCAAGTCCAACCACGGGGCCATGTTGAATCGGGAGAACTATTGGTCTTGTATCTCCGAATGAAAGAAAGCGAGGAGTTGGCCCTCGAGGCGAGGTTTTTGCAACCATCTCTTTGGCAATCTCGTCAACCGAAACCAGTCGTTTTCCTTGATTTTGGCGGCTGTGTACGAGTTGACAGAATCGCTGTGCACATTTGATTCCATTGGCTCTAGGTTTGGGAATCTTGCCTGGCTCACAAGCTGCAAGTATCTGCATAGCTCGCGGTCCTTGAAAGCGAGATGGGCTCATGCTCCCATGACAGCAATCTAGTAACACGAAGCTGTCCATTTCGTTCAAATTAGAGTCAGAGCTAAACACCGTCTCTGCGAGTAGGTTCCAGCGAAATGACATGTTGTTCATGGAGGAGAACACAAGATCTCCATGTGCATTGGTTGCACCCTGGCCGATATAGGCAAAGAAAAAAAGGGTGGACCTTGTCGTGGAGTGGTTTTCCCGAATCATATTTGTAATATTCTCCAGCAGAGTCCACCCTGGATATTCATCGTTGGTCTGAAGCTCGAGTAGAACGGGTGTGATTCCCAAACAGTCCGTTAAAGTATTGGCTAATGTCGCTGCATCGTTCGAGGCACCGGTGCTGTCTGCTTGCCACCACACAATTACTGCCAGTCTTTGGGTATATGCCGTCCCTCGACTTTCAATTGACTTTGGCACTGCTCGGTGTAGTCCAGGGGTAGATAATCGGGTTTTGGATGGCGTAGACCGGATAGGGATCTTTGACATTTTGTCAAACGAGGTTGTTGCGGGTGAGAACTCATCGGCTATTGCGAGGTATGGGAGTTTAAGCCTGGTATATGACCACCAAATCCGCAAAGATAATAAAGTAGACGTAGGTTCAAGGCGATGTGATGAGTTGAGGTCGAAAGGGGAGTTGAAGTGAAGTAGCGGAAATTTCCAGAATTCGGTACGTTCGATGAAAGTAAGGTAAGATTTTTCAAGGTGTATCAAGGGATTTATCTACTTTTCATACGGAGTAGACATCCTATACTCCACCCTGCTCTGTAGTTGCATCAATGGTGTGGTCGAGGCTCGCCTCAATACGTCTGCCCTAATAAAGGGGACTCGTTGGGACTATCACAACAACCCATCTGCAGGCTGAACTGGGTCTCCTCCCCCCAATCTTCGCCCATCTACCTGTCACATGTGATATATATTCTCGATCTCGATTCTAAAAGAAAACACACAGTCACGTGGCAGGCATCAGGTAGAACACAGGTAGGCTCATCCATTGCCCTGATTTCAAAATGATGCTCGTCACATGATGCTTACTAACCAGCATCCGGTTCCAAGGTTCCCTGGGTAGGTAAATACAACATCCTCAGCACAAACCTACATTCACATTATTTTTCCTTTTTATTAGGCGCTCTCTAATAGTATTTAGCCTCAGGTATCAAAGGTCTCGGGTACATATTGATGAGTATGTAAGCTATTAGAAATATGTCTTAGTTTTCTTACAAGATTTAGCTGTATGTAAAGGTTTTTAGACGAGGTAGTAACATGTATGTTATCAAAGCATCGCAAGAGATATTTATTAGTAGATATTTGAAGAATAGTCTATGATCTTAATTAATTATGTAGTATGAATGAAAATGCTTTTTAAAATAGGATTGACTTGGTAATCTCCAGACGTGAGCTCACCTACAAACCGCACTAAGTGGTAATAGGTGAGCTTGGCATTTGCCTCATAGGTGAGCCCACCTACCAGCTGGCATCTATTAGGCCCAGAGGAGTCTGGCCGCTCATATCCCTGCAAGTCGACGACTTAACGACTTCTCCATGTATTAATATGAGTATTCCCATTGCAAGCATGTCGGGCAGAGCTCGCAGATACATGAGTAAGCGAAACCGCGCTTGTGACTCCTGTCGAGCCAGGAAGGCAGCTTGTCGCATTGATCGAGCACCTCCTTGTTATCTTTGCACAATTCATGGGAAAGAATGCACATTCTTGCAGCCGAGCTCAAGGCTGCGCCAACCTTTACCCGAGGTGATTCAACCGCAGGTTCCCCAAGTGGCTGCGATATCCATTCCACGCTTAGAACTTCATGAGCTTTCACCAATTGTTGACTCGGTTTCCTACGATTTTCTGAAGTCTGTTGATGGGAGTGAGATAGACCACCATCCACTTCCCGCTGCACCTGAAGTCTTTGACCATTTTTTTGACGGAGCTGGAGTCTCGCTGTCAAGTGACTTTGGGGATAACGTATGGCCGACTGGGTTTACTCCAGCGAGCTTCATGTATGGATCCCCACAGCTGCCAAGAACTGGAAATTCCGAGGATGGAGACTCCTCACAGGCTGCTGGCGTATCTTTGTCCGGTCAAAATATCGACTCCGCAACCTGGCTTGATACCCAAGGCTTCATGGCACCACAATTGCTTGGCAGCAGTGGGGATATGAGCCCTTTGCTGATGAACCGCTATCAGTATGACGCGTCGGGAGCTTTATGTTTCAAAAACCACAATATTCAATCCGTCTCATCGGGGTCCGACCCTGTGCAATTTTTACTGTCAGATTCATCCATATTTGCTTCCAGCAGGGAAGAAAATGGATGTATTGACGTTTCCACCATTAATTTGAGGCAAGAACTCGAATCTTTGGTTCCGACAGATACTGGTATCAGACTGATCAATCTATTCGAGAGAATTGTCGCACCGGATTATCCGATACTTGGTCCTCCTGGCCAACTAAACCCCAGCACGAGCCCGCCATACCTCCTCGCGAGTGTATATCTAATAGTCGAGCCCTTCACTAAATTCGACGATAGACTTTGCATTGATCTCGCTTATGGCAAGCCCTCTAATGCAGCGCTCTACGAAATCATCAACAAAGCGCTTCCATACGAGATACATGCACCAAAACTTTGTATCGTACAGACGATGCTTCTCCTGGTCATTCGACCTTATCCAGATCCTATTGTATTGGACAGTGGTTTCAAGTGGTCCCAATTAGCCATCCTTATTGCCTGCTCTCACACACTTGGGCTCCATCTGGACCCAAGGTCATGGCGAATACCCTCGTCACAAATTTCTCTGCGACGTTGTTTGTCTTACTTCATTTATTCGACCGACAAGTGGCTTGCATTGAGTCTTGGACGCCCACCTTTACTGCATTATGATAATTGGCTCGTGACAACTCCAAGCCAAGAAGACCGTGCCGCCACTGGTCTTGACCCTCTAGCTTGGTCGAACGTCATGCAGCGAGCGGAGCTTGATGGATTGCTCAATCGTGTGATAACCAAATTATAGTAAGTCTGTACATCCGATTTCTCACGGTAACGTGCAACTAAACGCGATTAGCTCTCCTCGGGCCATGAACACCCTCTCGGCCGATTATGAGAAGACCATTGCCACGACGGAATCCCTCCTTGAGGATCTCCTGTCATGGCACAGACAGGCATGTACACCGAAAGATTCCAGATCATCTGATCACGACAGACCAGGGAGACTACCGAGAACCCTCGAAATGAACTACCATTACATTCATTTGAGTATCTGCAAAGCTATGTTGAGACCATTTCTTCACCCCGCTGCTGATGTGGATGATGCAAATTATATACTGGCGCGTGGACAAGCACGAATCCGAGCAAAAACCTGCATTTCGGCCGCGGCTGAGTTTGTTTACGATTTACAACCTGAAGATCTTGAAATTTTATGGCCTGCCTGGAGTGCAAGTGCATTCTCGACTGTCTGTTTCCAAATCTTACAAATGGCTGCAAGCTCTGTTGATAGGAATGAGGCAGACAAATGGGTCAATTGTCTACAGAAAGTGCGCAGAGACATGCGTCTGAAAGCTGATGTCTTGCCTTGTCTCCATTTGGGTCTTATACGGATCGACTCTATGTTCTGGAAAGGAGTTGATAATGTGTTGCATTTGGAAGAACATGTCCGACAGGCTTTTGCGGAGGGATCTAGTATGGGTCGGCCTGTTGCCATGAACAGTCTGGCCAGATGATCGTGTTTTGAAATGATGCGCATGCTGAACGACTGTAAATAATGAACATACAAGCATTTTTGCATAAACCCCAGGTAAGGTGGTCTGGCGATAGAAAACTGCGTGCGGCATTACCCATCTTCGGCATGAGTCTCGTCACTTTCTATGTATAGGCGTAAAAATCCCTAGCAATATTGAAACCTGGGGTGAATACCTACGAGTTCGTTCAGGACTAGATAATCGCTAAAAATTGAAATGTTGATTATTACTTGCAGATGTGAACTATTCCACTTTGGTCTCCTTGCCACGGAATCGATCACGAATGGCGACCAATTTCCCGAATAACCGGCCTTTCATAGTCTGGGCGGCAAGTGCGGCGGCCTCATCTAGAGAGACCACTCGTCGGACCAAGATATTGAAGATGGTTCCGAAGGCCAGTGCGATTACGGTACTAGTGAGGATGATCACATTGTACGGCATACTGAAATCCGGGGTTGGGAGTTGAAGAAGCAAACTCGTGGAACGGATATAGACCGGCGCACTGTGAGTGCTGTCCAAGATCCGAATGACGGCAGGTGCAACGTTGAAGCCGCGATTAGCATCAGGGGGATACTCAGTGTACCGAAGAATAGCCTTTTCGAAATCGTAAGTCAAGGTAACGGTCGATGCAGCGGGAACAGAGAGCACTAGCTCTAATTGTGTTCCACGCTCGCGATCAATAGCGGGGCGGTAGTATGTCTCCTTGACGATTTCGGAGACGGGGACCTCACGCGGAACTCCGTCGAGCCCTGTGATTGTTGCATACAATGTATGTATATATGGTCGCAAGAACCACGGGAGAGACTCGAAGTAAATGAAATCAACTGCGCTCGTATCGGATGGATTGCCGAAGATGATGCGCATTCCACCGCGCTCCTGGCCGTGGCCAACAATGGTTCGCTCGGCGTGTAAAACGGGCTCATCCAGCGGGACTTGCGTATTCACTGGCTGCTGCTGAATTGAGAGATCAAAAGAAGCCGATGGCGCCAAGTTGAAACAACGCGTGAAGCCGTCGTCTTTCTTGATCTCATCGGCTTCTCCAGATATGAAGACTTCCCGCTCGTGGGGAACGCGAAGGCAGACACTTTGATCGCTAGATTCATCGGAGTCTGCAAGGGGACAAACACCATTCAAACTTCGCCCGAAGATTTCTGTTAGACTCCATGACTTGTCGCTTGCGTTTTCAAGAGGGTAGCAGGTATCTTCTGCATTGTAAGGCTTGGAAGTGTCACAAACAAGCTGCTCATTAGGCACGGGCCGAGGAATTGGATTCGCTAGAGCCCCATTAGCGATTTTAAGATAGACGAAACCAAGGGAAAAAATACGCACAGCGAGATCGCTTGGATCGCTCAATATCCAAGACCATGTCCACAGTTTGCTCGATTTGGACTACACAGTCTCCGTCTGCATTGCAGACTGGCTGAATGTCTACTGACATACTCTGCCATGCAGCATCGAACAGTTTGTGTCCATCAAATAGAGAGGAGATCCCAGCCTTGCCTTTGCATGGAAGCAGCTTCAAAAAGGGGGTCAAGTTCTCCGTGCAGACTACCTCTCCGGGGAGAGTACCGTGCAGAAGATGCAATTGATCAGCAGCCGAGTGGTCCCCGGCCGGCTGGAAAGAAACCACAGGACGAGTGGTCCGGGTAGAGTCCACGAAGTTCAACGAGGCGCAGAACAAACCAGAGAGGGACTGCGTCAGGGTGATCCATTTAGCAAACGCCCTAAATAAAGTTAATAACTGTATCTTCCAAGGCGTAATGCAGATAGATAGCATACTCCTCATCGTCCGGCGCATCGATCCAGGCCCAAAGCTCCACTCCAGTACCTCCTTCTTTGCTGCCGTTCCATGGCCGTTGGCCCCAGCTTTCAGCATCCCATCTTCCTGTGGTGAAGCGGAGATGTAACTCTTTGGTGTGTGCGTGTTGTAATATTTGACCAAGAGCGCGAGGCAAATATCTAAAATGCTGCTGGTCGAATGATTGTTGCGATGTATTGCTTCGGAAGTTGAATGAAGCTAGTAGGGAGGACTGCGGGAGGGGTTGTAGGAGAAGGCTTTCGTGATAGTCCGGCGACGCGGAGACCGAGGAGCTCCAAAACGAGAGAAAAAGCGCGACGAAAGGAAGTGAGAATAGTGACAGGACCGTCATGACTTCATGCTTGCCGGAGCTCGGTCTTCGTCCATGCGATTATGATGGTCACTTGACAGGATAGGGGTATCAACGAAGCGATAGGCCTATTCGTAAGCTCTAGCCCCGGATAATCAGTCCTAACGAATCACCGGATCAACAGAAATGCTCCGCATGAATAAAAGATCGAAGCCGGACTCCAAGCCCCAAAGGCGCCCATCTGGTCTGTTGACTGTGGAGCCTCACCGCCTTCCTTGGCGGCAAAAGCATCAAAAACGAAAGACTTCGTCGTTTGCCGGCAATCAGTACGTTAACACAATTTTGACTTCTTTTTTCTTTGGAGCCTAGTGTAGAAGCTACAAGCATGGCGGCTGAACAGAGAAAGCTGCTCGAGCAGCTTATGGGAGGTATGTTGGTCTTTTTGTGTCTCATAAAATCCCCAAGCTCCAGCCTACCCCGACAAGTCTGCAAATTGAGCTAACATTGTCTCACTAAATAGCTGACCAGCTCATTGGAACTGGCGCACAGGGTCGCAATGCCCAACTATCTATTACAGACAACAAAGTTTGCCGTTCCTACCTCGCTGGCACCTGCCCGCACGACCTCTTCACGAACACCAAGCAAGACCTCGGACCTTGCCCTAAGGTTCACAGTGAAGGTCTGAAGACAGAATATGACACCGCATCCTCCTCCGAGAAAGCAAAATGGGGATTCGACTTCGACTACATGCGCGACATGCAGAAGTACATTGACGACTGTGACCGCCGAATCGACACTGCGCAGCGCCGACTGGAAAAGACCCCGGATGAGATTCGGCAGACAAATGACCTAGTACGTTAAATTTTGTTTATCCTCAAGGCCTCACGAGGGAACTCCAGTAGTCATTACTAACATTTTGTATAGCTTAAACAAATCGCGGATCTCGCCAACACGATCAACTCCGGCCTCCTTGAAGTCTCAATTCTAGGCGAGACAGGCTCTGTCGCACTGGCACTTACTGAGATGCACAAGGTCCGCACGTCCAAGCACCAGAAGGAAAGTCTAGAGCGCGACCTCAAGAACCTTCAAGATACCTCTGGTCCCTCCGGCCACCAGAAGCTGCAAGTGTGCGACGTTTGTGGTGCCTACTTGTCTCGGCTCGACAATGACCGCCGTTTGGCCGATCATTTCTTCGGAAAGATGCACATGGGCTACTCGGACATGCGTAAGAATTGCAAGAAGCTGAGCTCTGAGCTAAAGGGCCGAGCTCCCCCAGTGCGTCACCACGAAGAAGATGATAACCCTTACACCTCTGGTGGCCGCCCCGGTGCTGGTCGGGGTCCTCGCTACGGCGGTGGTGGTGGTGGTGGCGGCGGCGGTGGCGGCAATTATCGGCGCCGCGGAGGTGGAAGATGGTGATTTTCGTTATCTTCTCTTTGCTCTTGAGTCTTGGGCTCTAGTTACGTTGCATAGCGCAGGCGTTTTTACTTACTATCTGGTGTATGATGCTCGGACCACGGTTAGGGAGGTCATAGGATAAGTGCTCAATATCCATTTCATTTTTGATTCTTGTTTTACCTTCGATATGTTAAAACCCTTTTAGATGCAACGGGCCGTATAGTATCCATAATCATACCTTCCCAGGCAAAAGAAGCACCTCATTTGCATTTGCAGCTGTCTGAAAACGGGGTTTAGCGTCATCCTTGATGAACTCCTAATGTGTGACTCGCTCCCATTTATTTCTTTTCAACTACAAAACCATGAGATACTGGATCAAGACACAACTAGAGGTGGTGGTTCCATTTTTGCGAGTAGAGACCTAAATAGCAGGCATAACATTTGAAAACATTCGGCGGTGGGTATTCCACTTCCCTAAAACAACCCCTTTTCCAGACCTAAGTCCCGAACACCAGACTGGCATAACGCAGCCTTGTAAAAGGAAATACATAAATGAGATAAACTGTACAGAGAAGGGGTATGGCTAACGTGGGCATAACTCAATTAAACACCCTGCTGAGGCACGTGGCCGTTGGCTTGGGTCTCGAACAAAGCCTGCATCAAGGTATCGTAATGAGTAGCGGCAGCAGGTTGTCGCGCCAGGATATCGCGGACGACACTGAGCTGGGCCATGTCCACGTTGGGTGCAGTCTTCAGAAGTTGTTGGATGGCCGGGGCATCAACCTGTGCGCCAAGGACTTGCAGCGCAGCAGGGAGCCCGGTCAGAGCAGGCTGATGTTGAGGAATAGGCTGGCTTTGTTGTGCAGGGACCTGGACGTATGCGGCAGGATTCGGGTTGAATCCAGCAAAATGAGAGGGAGGAGTCGGCGCCATCCCAGCGTTGAACTGAGGTTGCTGGGGAGTTGGGGCAACTGTGAGCGGGCTCGCATAAACAGGTGGCTCTTGGCTGGCATGGTGGGATGGCGGCTGAACAGATGAAGGGTTGGAATCGCTTGTCTTGACGACGAAAATGGTAAGAAGTAGGCGTTGGGTGATGGGTCCCTCCAATGAAATGTTCTCCAGAAGCTCGATGAACTCGGGCATCGTCGTGGTGCCTATCTCCATAGGGACAATGTATGTATCCTTCACGGCGGGCAACGGGTGCTTCCCGATAACACCATAGCGGCCACGACTATGGAAGTAGTCAAACATTTTATCAAACCCTGCTCGTTCCTCGGACTGTTCAGGACTGCTGACTGCGATCACGGACACATCGGTGGACTTGCTGAACTGAAGGCCACAGAGATAATCGGTTGCCCGTCTGATGTCAATACGGCCATCAACAACCAAAGTGGACGGCGCCAGTTGACTCCATGGGATCCGTCCGCTTAGGTCCGCACCTCCCACATGCTTTGCGGTAGAAGAGAATTCTCCAATAGGAGGCATGGTTACTTTGCCACGCCAGATGATTCCGTCGTCGTGGAAGTCCTTCGGGGAGTAGGGAGGTGAATAAGGTTCATCGTCACGTAAGAGCTGATCGATCTCAGCATCTGCTTGAACCCTACCGCTGGGCACTGGCTCGTGGATGCTGCTGGGGATTTCCACTTCCGGGAAGACATGATCATGGTGAGCGCCTTCAGGGGAAAGTCCTCGTGCAAAGGCATCGGCCTTCGCCTGGTGTGGTCCCATCGGGGTCGTCGGACTTTTGTTGGTAGGACTCTCATCCTCGCCTGCAACACGGCGGGGCCCACGAGAGAAAACGGACTCGTTCGCGCCATGGTTTTCATCCTCGATCAACTCCTCTCCTTTATGAGTGCGCCGAATCCGAGGGCCTTGTTCCTGAATAATAGTGCGTTGTCGGTCTGCCTCTCGCTTGATCTCCGCGTCTTTCTGCTGCAATTCCTCGCTGGCCATCTCCCCCGATGTCATCAAAGACAGCACCTTAGGGGAGAGACTACCTACGAGTAAACGATCTCGCAGAGAAGCATTCTTCTTTACGTTAAACATGATCGACCGCAATTGAGCCTTATATGATTCACTTGGCTCGCCTGACCGTCCACAGATACTCTCATACATGGCATCTTCGATCGATAGACCGAGCCGCCGAGCCATATCCTCCACTGATTGCTTTCCGGGCAATGTAAAGGATCCAGCTTTCAGGGCTGCGGTGATTTGGTCTACAAACAACTTGATGAGGTGTGTGGCCACACTCTTGCGAGCAGGCATGAGCTCCTCCAGCGTTCCAATGGCAGGTGTCTCAGGGATATTGTCTGTCTTGATTTGGGGTGGAGATCCCTCTGGGATAGCAGCAGGGATTGCCTGTGGGGATACCCGTTGCTGCTTGACCTGCGGACCCTATAGATAACGAAGTTAGCATTCAAAATCTTGTCAGTGTATACAATGTAAGGACTTACGTTGTCTGCCTCCACCGTCTCTTCAAGCTTGCGCTTGTTGGTGCTGGACCGCCGAGAATCAACCACATGGCCATTCTTCTCCGGTTCCACTGACACAGACATGGATGCGGCGGGTGCGGGAGAACCGCTGGGGCCAGGAACCGGCGTGATAGATGGTGCTGTACGAGCGGGTGTGCCAGCATCTGTCCTGCTCTCACTGGTTCGTCCTTTACGGCCACCCTTCTTGCCCTTCTTTCGCTTGGACTTTTTCTCCTCGGCTTCTTGACGACGTTTCTCAGCAACTTCTTCCCAGGGTTTCTCGCCTGCATTGATCTTCGCCAGGAGAACCTTGTGATTCTCAGGCCGACATCGTTCACAAAAGTATTGATCCGGTTCCTGGCCTTTCATAAATGTGAGGCCCATACAGTCATTATGTTGCCATGCCGAACATTGATCACAGCAGATCATGTCGCGCTCCACATCCTCTTCCTCCTCATATTCACCACAGATACATCGAATGATTTCTTCTTCTTCTCCCTCGCCTTCACTGGGACCTGGTGTGGGTTCGGCCGACAATTTCGTGCTCTTCTCTTTCGGACTTTTGCTCTTGCCCTTCTTGCCGGGGTCGTCTGGTAGTTCGAGGTTCTTGTGTTGGCCCTTGGTGGCTCGGCCGGAGCGTCGGGGTTCATCTGATCTCATTGTTAGCTTGTCTTCTGGCGGATGGCCCACATTGCAGACTTGGGGTTGCCCTATCACTCGCGCGTGGTCGGATAGCAACGTCTGTAGCGATGGTGTACGAAAGCTTACCGGCCATGATAATAGTGTCGCGGTGATTTGGCGCGTACTACAGCGCGTGAGAGAATAATAGGTCTTTTCTTCACTTGCTCGCAATTTGGGTGTTACCCCGGGTTGACAAAAGTCTCTACGAGCTCAAGGCGCTAAGGTAATACACAAGACGGCACAACAGCGATACTGTCTGCCCCACAGTTTTGCTTGATCGAAAAATAAAACCCGATCTAGACTCTGCGCAATATTTCTGGGACTGACAGGCAGTAATGAAGAACGCGCTGAAGTGGGTGTTATGGTGGATTAAGCAATCCCTTGCTGCGCGTCAAACCGACACTTGGCGCTAAGCGGGGTCGCGTGAAATGATTTGAATCCGAATCGCGCACTTTCTGTAGTCAGGAGTGGCACTGGAAGATTTAGTCGAGACTAGGGCAGTTCTAGTCCGGTAAGTCTCAGATGGCGAAAGTGATAGCGCCAAAGAGAGATGGTGAAAGATAGAAAAGAGATGCAATGCGATGCGAGGAGAAGAGCAGCCTGGCCCTCCAGGGAGAGATAGATGAATAAGGTGGCTTGGCTTTCATGTTTGTCAGCGATATCATGTGATGTTTCTCACCAGCCACAGGTTCGCGGCGGAAGTCCCTTAGGTAAATCTTAAGATTGAGCTTCTCCAGATTCCCCACTCTTCATCACAGGCTCTTCTATTCCCAAAGTTATTCTCAATACTACCATCTCACTTGTTACTCGTATTCCTCATCCTACAAGCTTTCCCCAGTCTAGAGATTATGGCCGACGTGCGATCGCTTCTGCGCAGCGAACTAGCTTCCCGCAAGGGTACATCCCAACCAAATACAACAGGAAATCGGATTACCAAGAAGCGCAAGGTCGACAGCGGCGATGGAGTAATGCGAAAAAAGATCCGTGCCGCTGAAATCGATGTGCTTCATCATACCTCCGGTGCAACAAGCACCGATCAACCCATCGAGGAAGAGGTTTCGGAGCAAGTTGAGGCTGATGTCGCTGGCCCAGAACCTCCACTTGATAACCAACAAGAGATTACCGGGTCAGCTGTAGACCTTGCAGAAGACTCATCGAAGCAGCCGCTTCAGAATCCACCTGCGACGATTGACGAAGATGAATGGGCGGCATTTGAACGAGAGGTTGCCGCGCCCTCGCGTTTACCACATGCACCGGCGGCTGTTGCAGCCGAGGCTACGATATCGGCAGCCCCAATGACAACGGCAGAACTCGCTGCGCAACAAGAGAGGGCGAAGGTGCCGACTGCTCGCACCCGTGAAGCGGAGATGGAAGGGGAGCGGGAGGATGCCGCGCGGTTTTTGGAGGAAGAGTTTGATGAAATGGATCAGTTGGAGGAGCGGGTGCGAAGACTCAAGCAAAAACGCGAGGAGCTTCGAAAGGCCCGCATCCAAGATCAGACACATGATGAGCCGATGGGCTCTGCCGCAATGCAGCAAGATGCTGCTGACAGCGAGAGTGACGATGATGATGATGATGACGACGAGGACTGGGATGATTGGAGATTAAAATGATTGAATCGACGGCGAAATGACGATTCGCCTACGTGCAGGGAGATTGTTTCCCTTGTCTAAAGTGATACCCTCCGGAACTGAATGGCATTGGCATGCGCAAACTGCCTCATGATGTACAATATGAACTCAGTTGTCTTGATTTTGACAAAAGTGATATGTAATATTTTGTGACCAACTATCTATTGACTCGGCTTCTGTTCCTCACCTTCCACTTGATCAACATCCATGTAACTCCGTAGACCGTCCTTGCTAACGCGCATTGCCTGTTCAATCTCGGCTTCGCCTTCCCGGAGGAGATGCTTTCCGCGGATAAGATCTGCTCGCTGTCTTCGTTTCTCTTCCTCCACCCGCTTCTTCCGATCTGCGAGAGCCTTCTCACGTTTTTCCCGTTCTGTTCGTTTTCGGTCAAGTTCTGCTAGCTCTTCTGCAGTCATTTGTACCTCTGGAGGTGGCGACAAGGTCGATATGTATGCCTCAATTAATGGTGTTCGCACCTCAGGAGCGAGTCCGATATAACGAACATCGGTGATGATCACAGTAGGAAGAGCTTCTGGGTTTGATGACCGATGTAATAAGTCCAGTGGAACGGATTTGAGAAGGGCGGACAGGTCAGACTTGCGAGTGCTTTCAGGCTGTTTGAGACGCGAGATGTGGTCCCGGTAGAATTTCTCTCGCTCTTTATCCGCAAGTTGGGGATCCTTCATTTCAGGCTCTTTTCGGAATTTGCGCTTGAACTCCGGCCAATAAAGCTTGACGGTGGCATGTTCTTGTAGGAATTCCAGATACTTAATGCGGGGATCGGTCTTTTCCTGCTTTGCCTTTTGTTCTCTGACATGTTGGATTCTCTCCGTGCTCCATCTGGAGAAGATCTCGCGTCGCGTCTTCATGTTCGGGGCTGCGGTATAGCGGGTGTCCTGGATGATTCGGCCATCTTCAATGACACCTTCCCATGTCCCGAATGGGTTAATTTGGAAATCATCCAGCAAGTCGCGGAAGAGAGCCTCGGCATCGGCCTCTGTCAGTGGCAGGCCCTCGGCGCCCTCTTCCCAATCTTCTTCACCGGCCTCGCCGTATTCCCCAGGATCAAGTCCATATTCTTCACCCATGGCTGCGAGTTGGTATTCCATGTCTTCTTCGTTAAATTCTAGCGGTTGGTCGATGGCACCCTCGCTTTCAGTACGTGCGCGCTTTGACGGTTGATCCTCTTCTCCTTCGCTATCTGTAACCTCAACCTCCTCATACTCGTCATCGGAGTAACTGCGCGTCGCTTCTTGCGGCACCTCTTGTGTTTTTGTGTGATCATCCTTTTGCATAGACGGTTCATTTTCGGCTGGCGCTTCGGGCTCACCGCGCTCTTTTCTCTCCTTTTTCTCGCGCTCGAGGCGATCGAATTCGATGACACCCTTCAAGACCGATTCCGGAAATTTCCAAAAACTCTCGTTCGTTTCCGGATTGTGCACAAATCTCCTCCCAAGCTTGGTCCTGACTAATAGCCATGGGGCGCAGTCGGGAATAGTATGCTTCGCTTTTGGCCGATCTTCAGGTCCTCTGCGTCCACGATCATGATAACCTTTTCCGCCGCGGAATCCTCCCCGACCGCGGAAGCTTTGCGGTGGACTAGATTGCGCCTGTCCAGGGCCGAAACCTGCCGGTCCATAGGGTGTTGAAGAAAATGAAGGTAGTGTCTCGGGATTGTATATCGTTTGTGAGATATCAGGAGCGGGCTGGTTCAGTTGAGGAGTCGGTTCTTGAGGGCGGGTGTATGTGGATTTTCCTGTTGTAGAGTTATAATAGTACAAGTGTCCTAATTCAACAGTTAGAATGGTCGAAACTTTTCAAAATGAATTGAGCGCAAGACCAACCCGTGGGCGCTCTATGTTGTGTCCACCCTGCGGGCAAAGGGGGAGGAGCGGAGTATGTTGATCTGAGCATGGTGATCGAAAGAAATCAATTGGACGGCAGAGTAAGAGGGCAACCCGGCCTTGCTGTCCGTCCTTGTAGATCAAAGTGGTGAAATTGTCGCAACGAAGCTTTGGTGTGGTGAAGTGGTCCGAGCTTGGCGGATGACAGAGAGGACGCGCCAGGGCGAGTTGCCTGGAGCTTCTACGTCTTCACCACCGACCTTCCCCATCCCGCACCACCTCCCTTCCACAATCAACCTTTACCTTTGGATCTTTTTTGAGTTTTTGTTGCTTTATTTTATTCATACACGATGTCTCGGAGATACGATTCGAGGGTTTGTGCACACCGTCATTTCTTTTGTTCAGCTCCAGCTAACCTATGACGCCGTTGGACAGACTACTATCTTCTCCCCGGAGGGTCGACTTTATCAGGTCGAATATGCGCTTGAGGCTATTTCTCATGCCGGTACAGCCCTTGGCATCTTAGCCAAGGATGGAATTGTCCTCGCTGCTGAGAGAAAAGTGACCAGTAAGCTGCTGGAGCAGGATACCTCCGCCGAGAAGCTTTACACAATCAACGAGTATGAATCCCCTCCCGTCTCAATTTAGGACAGCCAGACTGGTTATCCTTGACCTTGGAGTAAAGAGCTTACACTTTCCAGTAACATGATTTGCGCCGTCGCTGGTATGAATGCCGATGCCAACATCCTGATCAACTATGCTCGCCAAAATGCCCAACGGTATCTCCTCACGTACAACGAAGACATCCCATGTGAACAGCTTGTCCGCCGGCTGTGTGATCTGAAGCAAGGATATACCCAACACGGTGGTCTCCGTCCCTTTGGTGTCTCCTTCATCTACGCTGGATACGACCATCTCCGTCAGTTCCAGTTGTACCAGAGCAACCCCAGTGGAAATTATGGAGGCTGGAAAGCCACGAGCGTCGGTGCAAACAATGCAAGTGCACAGAGTCTTCTCAAGCAAGATTACAAGGAAGACTGTGATCTGAAGGAAGCTTGTGCTATGGCCGTCAAGGTGCTAAGCAAGACTATGGACTCTACGAAGCTCAGCAGTGAAAAGAGTAAGCTTCTCCTGTGTTACCTTGCAAGGTATTCCATTGTACTGACATTTCTAACCCTCGCAGTCGAGTTCGCAACGGTGGGCAAGACCAAGGATGGCAAGATTTACCACCACCTATGGACTGCAGATGAGATTGATTCCCTTCTTCGGGAACAAGGGCTGGCCAAGGTTGATGATGAGCCCGAGGCTGGTGACATAAAATAGATTAAATCCTTTCATGCTGCTTTTTCCGCTTCAGATACTCGAATCCAATACTTTGACCATAATCATCCAGTTGCAATTTACATACTAGCATCTCCTCATGTCCATACAGAACATTGGTGTCTTATTTGCCCAGCGTGCTTTTGTTTATGGCTGCATCCGGTGTTGTTCTCCTGTGACGTGGCATGCACATCGGCCCAGTCTCAGCGCTCTCCTTCATTTCTACGTCCCAATTTGACGCTGTCCATCTTGAAGATATTCAAGCAAATAGGTACACGTAGGCTGAAGAGACGTGGGTCGGTTTAGGCGCATGCAAGCTCTAGCCAACCCAGGCCAATTCTCCGACTATAGCGCTGTGATATATAGTTCGTAGGACGCCGCGGCGGGATCTCCAGCTCAAAGTATCTCACCCTTTCCTTTTATTTTGCTTTTCAATAATGCCGCCCGGGAGAAGTGTTGCTAGATCCTGGTCATATTGTTCAACAAACTATCATCTCAGGGTTAAGTTGAAGTTATAAAAAGTCAATGTTTGTCCACGGATATTGAGCATAGGAAGTGGAACCCACCCAGCCCTACCTTCTCTCCCCCCACCGTCCAGCAACATCACTTCTACCTACTTCTAACCTCTTTTTCATGATCTCTCTTAGGCTTTCCCTTCTTCGTGACATTCAACCATGTCTTCGAAGATTCCGAGGTTATCTTGCTATGTCATATAAGCAAGGGTAACCGGGCATCAATTGCGACTATCACGTGCAGGGGATGTGATGAGGGGCAGTCTGTTTCACACTGAGTATGGAACTCTTGCTCTGACACTATTGCTCTCATTTCTGGTATCTTCTCGAACCTGGATGGCCATTCAATCTTCTTCAGGCCCCAATGGCTTTTCCATCTGGTTTTAGCAGGTGCCACCTCTCGCCCTGTGAGACTCGATCTGTCTCAGCGAACCGCTCGCCCAGGGAACCAGGGCGCTTATGACATGGCTAGTCCTCATTGACATTTTTTGGGAGCTTAACAGCCTATGAACAGGGAAAAATATGGAGTTTGAACCAATTAAATTTCTCGTCAATCTCTTCAAAGGCGATGTGGTCCTCCCATCACCTTGCAGAAACTCGATTCGGACTTAATGTCACGGACAGATGGTGAAACATGAAACTCGCTGCAAATCCACTCCAAGAAACAATGACAAGAAAAAAACAAACAAGACCATGATTAGCCAATAAACTCGAACTAGGTCAACACAATTGCTCTTGACCTCTGAGGGAAAAGGGAAGAAACGAAAAACACTGGTTTTGCAAAATACCAAGCCAACCCTATCTTGAAAGAGTGCCCCTTCGGTCATCCCGCTCCCGTTGCAATGTGCGGATCTCTTTTTCCAACTCCATAATGATCTTGTGAGATCGATCCATTGAGGCTACAAGTGTGGCACCTTCTCGTTTCCACCGGTCCAGACGGTCGACTTCGGCGCTACGCCTGCGATATTTGGTTTCGATTTTCTCGCATAGACGGCAATTGGTCTTCTCATTCTCGGTCATGTTGACGAGTCTCATGCCGCATGTTTCGCCGGTACGATACTCGTAGTTGCATCGGTGAGCAAAGCTGGTCCAGCTCCAGTCTCCACACGCAAATCTCTTTTGGTTGTAAAAACACATGCCTATCAGATCTGTCAGTGCTGCTCAATCTGCAAGTGCGACATAACCCACTTGCTCACGGGTCTCCGTCTTTGTTTCAGCTTCAATGCCGAGTTTCTATTGGTTGCACCTGACAGTACACCCGAACTTATCGGATTTGATAGGTCGGCCTTCGTCCGAGTTTTTAAAGGGCCCGTCGAGCTTAACAAAGTTGAAACGAAAGTTGAATGAGATCGTTCTCGTGAAGAATATCTATTGGGCTGCCTTGGAGATTTCAGACTTGAATTATGAAACTTGGGCGGATGGTTGAGAACTTCACGATATCTGGGGCATTGACAGGTTTATTTATGTTTCGGACGAAGTTTCTATGCCACAGCTCTGTTCTTCCATGTTTGCGTCGTCCAACTGTTGATCGACGTTTGTCAGTGCCCGATGGCTTATCGTCCGTGGATCCAGTCCGTGAATTTCACATTGCACCTGCCTGACGGTTGATCCGGTTGGCTGTGAGCAGTTCTCCGAGCAGTGGGGACGACGGTATGATGGCCATGGTATCTCGAATGGAGCCACTATGAAGAGCCGGTTGCTTCATGGATGCATGCAACCCTCAGTCGTGGCAATTTCCTCCTCATGGTGATGTACGAGGGGTGAAAATCCCTCAGCCCATGGCTGCAATTCTCCAGTTTCCAGATTCGACTACTGCAATTATTCCACCTCCAGCTGGCTCTCCCCGCTTTCATGTGGATGCTGTTCGCATGGACTCGCACTCTGTGATTCTCTTGCATTTTGCATGGCTGATCCTGCATGGCCGAGTCGGTCTCGGCATTTGCCAGCTGTCGTATTGATGCAATAATCAGGCTTTCATACCCAGGGATAACCCTGTCCTTGTGCAAGAGAAAAGCTACTGCCTTCGTGAGTGTGATGGGACTCTGCACGCCACTTGTGACTCCACTATAATGGGATGTTCTATCTTGATACAATTTTGCGACGGCAGCGGATCTTGATTGGGTCAATGCCTGATCTACGATGAGTCTTGACACGGGATTCTGACCGAACACCATGTTCTATCCACAGAAGTGTCTATCCGATATTGCTGTCTGTGTGATTGCATACGCATGCACATCCCGAGTTATTGCCTTCGCTCCTCTTCATGTCTCTTGCGTGTCCTGCACTTGGGCAATAATGAAAGTCCATATTGGGTCTCAGCATGTGGTTGCAATCATCAACCCCTGTCTTTTTGCATTCTTCCTGCCGAGCCTTACTCGTCAGTCTATCAAAATTAAACTTGACCTTCATTCCACGCCAGCCGCAACTTTCCGTTCCGTGGGTTTCAGCCAATAGATCTCAATCGAGTGGCGATACTACGGTCTTTGAGGCTCTATCATTGGCACCCAGGCTCGAGGACACGGACCATGGACTTGCAATTTCTACTGCGAGGCCCGAAAGATTTAGGGATGCAGGCCAGATAGTTCCATTTTCGTTCAGCTGATCTCTCACTCCTGCAAAGAGGGATCCTGCATTTGCCCCCGCTCATGTGTGTGTTCGTCGTCATTCACTTACTCTTTTTTGGCGGAAATGATAGGATCGGATTGCTGTACAGCGCTCGTCGCGGACACGAACCGTGACACCTTCCACATATTGCCGAACCACATGCAGCTGCACCAATACTCAGAGACTCTGACGTGGCACGTTACTTCTGGCTCGTTGCGTGAATTCCTGGTAGCGAGGGCTGTGTCGAAGGCCGTGGGTCGCCGTTTAGGGATTCCATGCACGCTCCATCGGGGATCCAGATGCAATTTACGTTATTAACAATGACGAAAATATGCCGACTGTCAATATGGAATGGAAAACACTGCAGACTTCCGTGCTTGCCGTTCTGAGCCATTGTACTGGGAAGGTCACCAATACGACAAGTGATCGCCGGAAAACGCCGCTCAATCACGCCCGGAACCGTACCCAGGAAGATGATCCATGACAAGATGTTGAGTTGGCAACTGACATCCCTGATAATGGCTCACAGCCTCGAAGTAGCCGTCACACTCGGTGGATCACTTCTTTGCTCGTCGAGCGGATTGCATCTAGCCCAAAAAGCCCTCGAATTAACTTCCGAAGCCCCCTGCTTTTTTGCCTCTTGCTCCATCTTACCACCAAGTTACCTTGCACATTCTTGGTGTACCAATCTTTCCCCTGACAAGGATCAGGCCTAGAGTGTGGGAGAAGTATGGTTATTGTTTCTACCCAACAAGCGGAGTTGCCGGGTGGATTACCAAGAGACATTGACACTCATTAGAACCACTTCGGGCTGATTTCGAGTGCTATGTACCTGGGGAAACCGTGCCTTAACGTTGGAATTGAATTCCTGGACCCGCATACATGCTCCCACAGCGTCGGGCTCTTGTGATCCCGTGATCTTAAAGTGAACGGAGGCTCCCGCACCCTCCACACGCCTGCCTCTGACCTGCGACAAATGGTTGATGGTAACCCTACCTTCGGTGTTGGAAAGCAAAAATTCCACCGCCTACAATTTCTCTCGATGGACGGGGATTGGTCTGCCGAAGTACTTATCCTCACCTGCAGCCGGGCTAATCGTCCAATGGCAATCGTCAGCCGGGATGCCAGTCATATGCAACTAACAGTACATTTCCCCACCCATCCTGCATCAAAGAGGTATGTGCATCTCATCAGCACTTGCGTGAGTAAGACCGAGGCCTATTGCTCATTGGTAGATCGTGGCTGTCTCGGCGCGGGCCCTCGCATTCGCTTGTTCCCCGATGTCATCTTCCCACTGAGTGACTAGACTTCACCCGTGAGACACATCGCATACGGAGTACAGAACAACAACTTACGTTCCATGGGGTTTCTTTGCTTTTCTCCTGGTATTGATTTTCTGTATGCCAAGAATGATGCTGCATCGGTCTAGCCCTTGCCACCAACGCCCTCGATACATCGACAGCTGGCTGCAACGGCGAAACATCGGTCTATCTCAAAATGGTTGTTATGTGGTGTATCTGTGAACTGATGTTGATAAATTGGATCCCTGACAGTTAATCTATTCAATATTCGTCTATCACAACTTGAGATCCTGGAGTGAGAGGGAATCGACGACACCCTAGACCCTCATGTGGCAAATAACCCACAAAGTAACATTCAATCCCGCGCAGAAATATCAAACTGATGCAAAACCGGAAATCCTCAACTTGTTTTGGTTTCTTTCTTTTGTATGAAGCCAGTTGATTAGGGCAAGCTCATTACCAAGTTGGGTTAGCCTGGGTGTTTCTGACCAAGTGACGTCAACATGATCCCAGTGTCCAGAGAACAAGGCAGACCGAAAAGAATGGCAGACTTAAATACAATTGCACTTTCAACGCTTCGCTCTAGTAGTACTCAACAACGCACAATCCCTGTCTATTCAATTGCTTTTCGCCAATTCATTCTAGCTTAAAATCTCGATCATTGATCGTATACTGGACGAGATCTTCCAACAAACCACTCGAATCTTCATCTTGAATCATATTCAGACATCCATATTCATATTTCACATCATGTGGAAACCCATCCTTATCTCTGGCCAGCAAATCACCCGATTCAGCTGCGCCAACCTCTCGAAAACAACTCTGTCACTTGCTACCGCAACAGCAACAAGAACACCCTTCAGCACAGCTCCACGTTCTCAAATCGAAAATGACCAGGATCCCCTAGACCGCCGGGCCCTGAACCCAGAGCGCTCAGAGACCGCCAAATCCGGCACAGACGCCGAAGTGGCCAAGCATCCTTCCGCATTCGATCCGGCGAACACAGCACCCGAGAACGAGCTCGCAGCTACCGAAGAAGAAAGCAAGAGAGAGGGCAAGAGAGAAAGCCCCCTAAATATGAGCCCAGCCAACAAGGATGTAAGCTCTTGGAGGCGTCCAACTGAGGGAGGGCCTGATCGCAATCGGGATCGCGAGGCTTCCAGCTCTCGCGGGGCGACGAAGAAGGGCCGTGGTGTTCATGTCAAGGAGGATGGGACTCATGTTTCGTACCGGGATTGAACGGTCTATTTTTGTTTATAGTTCAGCGGTTGATGGCTCAAATGTGATCTAGGGAAGTTAGCATTTCCAAAAATTCATGTCACGTTAAGTTTCGATCAATGCTATCGAGTGATACTTTTTTTCAGATTCCAAAGCGTAAACATTACTTATCTAGAAAGTTATTCACATATATACTCAAATCCAATGCATCGGGGCATTTAGGACGAGTCTTCCTTGGCATATTTGATAATATCGCTACCAGTCAAGGTCCAAACCTTCTCACTGCCTTCAGGAACATCGCCTTTAAGCGCCTTCAGACCAGCATTGACAGCAGCTTTGCCAATTACATCTGCCTCTTGAGCCCACCCATCCTTCAGACCAGAGTGTAGCTTGCCCACCCAACTTGCGAGGAAACGAGCCCCAGCCTCAAGGGGCCGGCTTTCTTCACGAGTACCAGCAATCAATCCAGGGCGCAGAATGACCGTGCGCTCAAAACCAAGCTTCTTAATCTCCTCCTCGATCTCTCCCTTCATGCGCGGGTAGGCAAAATTGGAATCCTTGTTGGCGCCGCTAGACGAGATCAATACGTAGACCTGGGTGCCAGCTTCACGCGCGGCCTTGGCCATCTCGACGTTCAGTCCATGCTCGATCTTATATTGGTTGTCAAAACCACCTGCGGCGGCTCTTGTGGTTGCGAAGGCGGAGATGAAAATGTTGGGAGTCGGGCTCAGGGAGGAGAGTTGGCTGGCCCAGGTGGCGGTATCGCCGGATACAAAGTTGGTGAGCTTGGCTGGGGGTGTGCCACTAGCTACTGGTGGGGTGCGGCGGGAGATAGTATCCACGCGGGTTACAGAGGTGTTGGCAATTAGACTGGTGAGGATGTGGGAGCCCTGTCAAGCTTGTGATTTAGTTTTGAGGTCTAGACCTGGGGGGCATTTGTTTTGAAAGTCTTCAAATAATGAGTAGACTAGATTGAGCAGCTTTTGTAGGTCTCACACTTACCACCATACCCGTACCACCAATCAATGCAATGTTTGCCATGTTCCGTATGTGAATTTGTACTTGATATGAGTAGTTGTAGATGCTACGAGGGGAGCGCAAATCCTCCAACTGGCAGGGCTCTTTCGTCATTCCGCGGTCGACCTAAGCTGAATTGGGTTAAGCTCTGTTTCTAGCAGCACGGCCTTTTCTACTTAACCACACGGCTTCTGTGTCATCCTCTGTGTGTTCTCTTCCAGAGTGGCAGTTAAATATCGTCCGTCGAAATTATTAGTATATACAATAATATAATTACGGGGTTGTAGTGACAACGTGAGTTTCTGGTAGAAATCGAAGAATAATGTTAATCATTGCACAAGCCAGTAGAGCTTGCTTACCATTAATGAGGAATATATATCCTGAGTATCACCCATAACTACACTGAAATGGCCACAATTCTTCTACATGTTTACTATCTAGGTAAGTAGTAGAGAATACTGTAAATTTAGATACGGGAAAATATCATAAAATTAATGAGGTCTTGTTGAAACATGCCGGGCCATTTTTAGAAACCCTAGAGATCCAAACAACAAACGGGTGGACTGATATTCATTACGTGCAATTTGACTTCAGCACATTTATATTGCATTTATACTCTTTTATGTGACCCAACTCATTCCTATGATCTGGCTTTGACCTGGTTTGAAGATGGCTCTCGATTCCTTGCCCTTAGAACTTATCTGTCTCATTGCATCCAATCTACAAGAGTACAAAGACAGATTATCACTTCTGCGTGGAAATCAAAAGCTTCATGACAAAGTCATTTATGCCCTTTACAAGCAAGACCAGGATACCGCGCTCGACGTGTTGCGATGGCTGGTAGGAAAGGGATTTGAACAAGGGCTACAGCATTTGATATTGCGCAACAATCTCGACGTGAATGTCCCAATCGGCCCAAGGTCTGACTTCATCAACACGCCATTACTTATCGCCATTCACTGGAGCCATGAGAAAGTCGTGGAAACTCTCCTACGCAATGGGGCCCACGTAAATTTCGGAACTGATGTTTCTGCCTTGGAGCTCGCTGCAACTCTAGGAGATTATCACATCACCAGCCTGCTCCTACAATATGGCGCCCATATTGACCTTATCGGCGAAGGAACGCGTTTCAGCGCGTTGGCATCTGCTACAAAACTTGGTTATACCCCCAGACCATACAGCATGTCATCGCAGGGCGAGAGATGGCTCGATCCACCGATGTACAAAAGCCAAGTCGAGTTTGCTGCTGTAATCCAACTGCTGCTTGATCACGGGGCAGACCCAAATTGTAGATTCCATCCAAATGGCTTCACTCCACTACACCACATCCCTGAGACTCCATGGGCATCAACAAAGGAAGTGATGACCCTATTTGTCGAACGTGGAGCGGATTTGGACACACAAACCTTTGATGGAGACACTCCTCTTCATGCTGCTCTCAGATCCGAAGCATTTTTAGGAGATACCAGAGCTCAAAAGGAGGGGGTGATGTTGCTGTTGAGGTCTGGGGCTGATGTCAATAAAAGGAACACACAAAACGAGCTTCCATTTGGTACCACAATTGAGAATGCAGAGATCCTGAAATTTCTCTCGGAACAAGGAACTAGTGTTTCCTGTGAAGCTGAAGGGGGAGCCAAACTTCTTTCAAAGCTTTTGGGAGTTCCCCTAAAGAAGCCAAGAGGCAAGAAGCGAGGAAGGACCAAGAACCACGCGATCAATATCTTGATTGAGCTACTCGTGGAGCACGGGCTTCAGCCAGACCAAACCAGCAGTGAGAGAAGCCCGCTAGACATGTATGCGGCAAGATTTTATCCGGTGTTGAATAGCATGATTCGAGAAAAGAAGTTGGAGAAAAAGTTGATTTCAACAAAGTCTCTCCCAGCGACGTCCGAGAAGGCTGTGGGAACTACGTTGATAACAGAATCCACAACGCAACCGAGAGTACTACCTTCTAGGAAATGTGCACAAAGAAAACAAGGCTTGAAAAGGCGCCAAAAAACCAGGATTTTGCCCCCGAGGAAATGTGCGCGGGTATGAAGATCCAATTTCGCCGAGCTTTTACAGAGACCGACGCTGCTCACTATTTTGCTGCCGGGAGGAGTACATTGCTACCCAGGTGATTTGTATCAGATAATGGTACACTTCCTTCGAAAATTAATGAAGAGATAGCTTTTCAGTGCAAATTGTACGAAGTTGATTATACGGATAGCTCGTGTATTTGGCTAGGAGGAACTTGACGAAGCCATATTGAGCTACCTCAAGACAAATAGATGTAGCGTAGTGTGTGTTACAAGCTTTCTGGATGCCTAACATGTTGAATCAACACTCTTTCTCGCTCGGTTGTAATATATTGTCGCTTGGCACGTTGGAATTCCAAGGTTAGAACATGAAAAGCCCAAGTAAGGAATGTAACTCCGGTCAAAGATCAGGATTGTACACATGGTCCAATCAAATCTTGGACCTTTGTGAGAGCTTCTTCTCTTCAGATTGATACAGCTTGACCAATTGACGTACAGACAGGTCGAGTAACACATCCTCCGACCCACCGGGAATACGGGCGCCGGGAACATCGCGAAGAATGGCTAGTAGGGACACCTTGTTAGCTTATTTCTGCACGTAGACCAATGATTCAATGGACATACCTTCGACCAGTTCACCCTGACCAGTTTTGGTAAATCCATTGCCTCCAAACAAGAGCACGGCTGTCTGCGCGCATTCATTTAAAACCATCGCAGACTTTGCTTTGGCCAATGCTGTCAAGCCACCAAGCTGACGATCACTTTCTTCCTTGCTGAGGTGAGTCAATTGGTACAAAATCTGTTCCACCCACGCCCACATGGATTCAAGCTCCGCACCTGCCTTGGCTAGACGGTGGCGGACTACAGGCTGGTCCATGAGTGGTTTCCCGAAGGCTTCGCGCTTGAGGCAGTAGGCGAAAGCGGCAGAAAGAGCTACACGAGCCTGGCGAGTGACTCCAACAGCGATGACGAGTCTCTCGTGGTTGAAGTTGGTCATAATGATACGCATGCCATCACCCTCCTTACCGATAATGTTCGACACCGGAACTTTGACATCGTCGAGCTCGATGTACGTGGTTCCGCCGGTGACCTGACCAGAGACTTTCAGTCGGCGCATTGTGACACCAGGGTAGCCCTTGAGAGGTACAACTAATACGGAGAGACCTGGAGCTCCGGGTCCACCGGTTCGAACTGCCATAGTGGCGTAATCCGACCAGATGCCGTTTGTGATCCTGATTGGAAATGTCAGTCTGCATATTGAGCAGTATCATGGAGTTTTTGCCTCACCATTTCTTGCTTCCGTTCACGATATAGTGCTGTCCATCGGCACTCTTGACAGCGGTTGTAGCGATATTGGCGACATCACTACCAGCCCCAGGCTCAGTGATGGCGATGCAACCTCGCTTCCTACCTGTGAGCAGCTCGGGCAAGAATCGCTCTTGCAGCTCAATACTACCAAACTTGTAGATTGGTGCAATACCAAAAGCAAAGCCAGCGTTCAGAGAGCCACCTGGACCACTCAGACCAGAACGGGCCAACTATTCTCCAAATTATTCGTTAGTCAACTTCTAAATGAGATATATCATACATCTCACGAGATACCTCATCACAGTAAATTCCAGTGTATATGTAGTCCCAGTCCTCAACCTTGACACCCAGAATGTCATTGATCCCCAGGCGCTTTAGCCATTCCACGGGCAAGGGGGCCGGCAAGTTTGGCAGTAACATGTTATGTTTACAGAATGTGTCAAACACATGCAGAGGGACTGTTCCCTCACGTTCCCATTCCAGTGCATGCTGAAGTAGGTTTTCCGTCGCGAATTTGCGGCATGCTTGTTGAAAACGGCGGTGGGCTGGCGTGATGTAGGGAGAAGGAAGGCCACGAAGATAAGGTGGCTCAGAGAAAGGGATGGGGTTAGGTGAATTTGATTCCATTATTGCAGATTCAATTCGCTGTCAGATGTTCTGTTTGAGTAAAAAGATTGGTCTGAATGTATGTTTATGAATCCGATTGATCTATGAGGGGATGGCGCCTCCAGGGTCTGGGGTAAAAGTGGGCTACCGAGGTTCGGTGATTTGTGCAGACCCATGCTGTGCACACCCCGCTCGCCCAGTGCACAAGGTCATTGACACCTCGGGCAGCAAGTGCTGACAAATCGATGAGTCATGCTCCGAGAGCGGCCAGGAGATGGCCGGCGCCACTGTCCACACCGCCTTTGAAAAGTCTTATCGCCCGATAACAAGCACGCAATTGCCACTTAACCGCTTTGGGCGAAATGCCGGGGGATTTTACTATAAGCAAGCTATGGGGAGGGGAGATTCTCTTTCTCCCCACCTTCTTCTTCGTCTTTTGTCTTCAGGGGATATCGGTCTTATACCCGGTGTCAAGAAGAAGTCATGGGTTCAACAACTCCTACTCTGTCAGCCTTGAATGGCCCGACATATGTTACAGCCCAGACGCTGATCCAGCAAGTTGCATACGTGCTCAGTGACAAGATCTTCTCCTACTCACCGGAGACTTTTGATCTTGATGCTGCACTTAAGGAATGGACCTTGAAGGGTGAGACCAATGCCAATGGTGAATCTCCCGCTGTCAAGGCTCTGGAAACCCGCCAGGGTGCCGGTAACTTGGCATTGGGTTATCTCTTCTCCCAGGATTTCGACTTGAAGAAGCGCCACATTCCTCAGGGAATTGTTGCTTCATCGGCAACTCTTCCTTATATGCGCGCCGCATTGGAGCAACTCTCTTTGCTCTACTCTGTCGCTAGCCCAGTAGCTGCGCACGTCGCCGCCGTTGACTACGCCGGTGAGGATGGCCTGGTCTCCGACTATGCCTCCGCCCTCTCTCTGACCGAGGATCTCGGTCTGGGTTTGGTCTCTAGTGGCTCTGCCCACGAGTCCCAGCACATGGCTCTCTTCACCACTTTGCTCTCTTCGATTCTTCCCTCAATCCACATCTATGATGGTGTCCGCGTTGGTCGTGATACCACCCGCGTCATTGATGTTCTCGACAAGGATGGTCTGACTCGCACTTATGAGACCGTCCGTAAGACTCTCGATGAGTCCCGAAACCGCCACCTTGATGCCCAAGGCAAGGTTCTTGACCTACTGAAGACACTGAACGGCGAGCTCGGAACCGAGTACGGTGCTTTCGAGTACCACGGTCACACTGAGCCCACCTCTGTCCTGGTCGTCTTCGGCACCGTGGAGGCAACCCTCACTGCCCAGATCGCTCGCTCTCTTGCAAAGGATGGCGTCCGTGTCGGTGTTGTCAATGTCCGTGTCTACCGACCCTTCATTGAGGAGGAGTTCTTGCGCGTTCTTCCCCAGTCCACCAAGACCGTTGCCGTTCTCGGACAAGTCACCTCTGAGCTGGCTGTTCAGGAAGAAGGCATTCACTCTGCTCTCTACGAGGATGTTCTTGCGGCCTTGACTTTCGCCACTGGCCGTGAACATAACCCGGGTTGTGTTGAGATCAAATACCCTCGCTCCCAGCGCTGGGATCTCATCTCTACCGCTGCTGCATTCCAGCGTATTTATGACCAGCCTATCCTCGCTGCCAACGGCGAGACCAACGAGTCCCTGCAGTTGCTGGACCCTGCTTCTGTGCAAGAGTACACCTTCTGGGATGTTGACACTTCGGTCACTGAGGCTGCTGCTCAGACTTTGGGCCAGGCTCTTGGCGCCGACTCAGCGAGCAACGTCACCACCAGCAAGACCTATGACAACCTGATTCAGGGAGGTGCCATTCGTGTCGATATTCGTAAGAGCTCCAAGATTGTTGACGCTCCTTACGCCGTCACCGCTGCCGAGGTTTCATATGTCGGCAACACCGCGCTGCTGAATGACGTTGATGTCTTGGCTTCTGTCAAGGATAATGGAAAGGTCATTATCAACGCCCCAGGAATCAAGGATGAGGACTTGGAGAAGAAGCTTCCCGCTGCCTTCAGACAGGCTGTCGCTCAGCGTGGTATCTCCGTCTTCGTTGTCGATGGATCTGCCATTGATGACTCGTCTCTGGATGCCCTCGTTCTCCAGGCCTCATTCGTGCGTGTCGCTCTGCCCACTCAGGAGGGTCTGGCCACCAAGAAGCTTTCTGCGATCACTGGAAATGCTGAGGCCCTTGAAAATGTCGCTAAGGATCTTGAGAAGGTTCTCCGCCAGATTGAGGTTCCCGAGTCCTGGAAGGAGCCCGAGGGTGTTAGCGAGGCTGTTCAGCTCCCCAAGGACATCATCGCCAACAGCTTTGCCTCGTTCGATAAGAATGAGTCTGAGCCCGCTACTCTCCTGAAGGACTGGGAGACTGCTGCTCGTGGCCTTGCATTCAAGGAGGCCTATGGCACCACGAATGCCCTCCGTCCTGACCTGGCTCACAAAACTTTCACTGTCCACGTCAAGGAGAACCGCCGTCTTACCCCTACCACCTATGACCGCAATATCTTCCACATCGAGTTCGATCTCGGTGAGACTGGTCTCAAGTACGACATTGGCGAGGCCCTTGGTATCCACGCCGAGAACGATCCCGAGGACATCAAGAACTTCATTGCGTTCTACGGCTTGGACCCCGATGCCATTGTTGAGGTCCCCAGTCGCGAGAACCCAGCCGTTTTGGAGAATCGTACTGTCTACCAGGCTCTGATCCAAAACGTCGACATCTATGGTCGTCCTCCTAAGCGCTTCTACGAGGCCCTTGCCGAGTTCGCCTCTGACGAGAAGGAGAAGACTGCCTTGCTCACCCTGGGTGGCCCCGATGGTGCCACTGAGTTCAAGCGTCGCGCCGAGGTTGATACTGTCACCTTCGCCGATATTCTGCTCGAATACCCCTCTGCCCACCCCGAATTCCACGACATCGTCCGCATCGTTGGTCCCCTGAAGCGCCGTGAGTACTCGATTGCCTCATGCCAGAAGGTTACCCCCACCACGGTCGCTCTGATGATCGTTGCCGTGAACTGGACCGACCCCAACGGTCGTGACCGCTTCGGTCTCGCTACTCGCTACCTGAGCCGCCTGCAAGTCGGCTCCCCGATCACTGTCAGCGTCAAGTCCAGTGTCATGAAGCTGCCCCCCAAGTCCACTCAGCCCCTCATCATGGCCGGTCTGGGTACTGGTCTGGCACCATTCCGTGCCTTCGTTCAGCACCGCGCCCTCGAGAAGGCTCAGGGCAAGGAGATCGGTGCTGTTCTGCTGTACATGGGCTCTCGTCACCAGCGCGAGGAGTACTGCTACGGCGAGGAGTGGGAGGCTTACCAGGAGGCTGGTGTCATCACTCTTCTCGGCGCTGCCTTCTCTCGTGATCAGCCCGAGAAGATTTATATTCAGGATCGCATGCGCCAGACCCTGCCCGAGATCATCCAGGCTTATATTCGCGAGGAGGGTGCTTTCTACCTCTGCGGTCCCACTTGGCCCGTGCCCGACGTCACCGCTGTTCTGGAGGAGGCCATTGCCACCGAAGCCAAGAACAATGGCAAGAAGGTCGACACTCGCAAGGAGATTGAGAAGCTGAAGGATGAGGAGCGCTATGTTCTGGAGGTATACTAGACTGTTCTGCTTTGTTTCGCGATAGCATGGTGATACGATTGGCATTTGCTTTTTATTCCCCCTCATTGTATTTAGACCGTCTTAATTCGGGCTAGCGCGTTAGCTTCAAGAGACTCCAAAATGCACTTAGAATGTGATGATTTTCAAGCAATCCAGCCGAGTGATTCAAGTAGATTCAAGTAGATATAATGCAATAGAATGTATTGGGGTATCTGCTTCGAAGACAATGCCTCCCTAGCATGAACCTTGTAAATGCTATGTCGTCTCTAGGTCGTCTATACATACAAACTTTTTCTTAAATCTCATGTAATGGGCTATCAAACTTGACTGGGCAGACCATACTTGGTTTTTCCATATGCACCGCCCTTCTCCTTCCTCAACTCCAAAGCCCGACGATACGGGGGTGCAGTGGGTGGCTGGACAGGATCCAAATTAACATAGTCTGGAGGCAGAGTGTATGATGCATCGGAATCCCAAGCGGAAAGGTCACCACATGCAATGAAAGAAGGGATCCACCGGTTCTCAACGGAAAACTTGTTGGAAAGTTTCTGAGGTCGGGGCTGATCTTCTGATGAGGTTGTGGTCTGAAGATGACGGACTTCGGTAGTATGATTTGGCGCAGCAGTGTTATCGGCAACAGGCTGGACTACGGTATCCCGGACTTGCATGTCCTGATCGATTTGCTCGCGCACCTCGACACCAACATTGCCATCTTGCGATACAGCAACCGGGGCAGCGGCACCGCCGAAGAGGGGATTCTTCAATGCGGCCATGCCGACCACTCCGCTGTCACTGACGGGAGGAATGAAACCTTCGCAGACCACGAAAGCTTCCAAGCTACTAGCGCGACTACTGCGCGGCTTCGCGACGCTCACGCGCTCGAAGACAGTCCGCAGCTGCGCGTAGAGAAGGTCCACATCGCGCCCGCGGAAGATTTTGGCAACGAACTTGCCACCAGGTCGGAGAACGCCCATGGCGAGGTTTAGTGCGGCGTAGAGAAGTTGTGATTGAATGTAGATATCTAGATCGTGGAGGCCTGTTACATCGGGAGCACCATCGGAAATAACCAGATCGACGGGATGGGGTTGTCTGATAGCTTCTGTGACTGGCGATTGAGTGTCGGAGGGGTTGGAGGATTGTTCGTATGCTTCGGGGTCCAGAGCACGCAAGAGAAGAGGAATCGTGGAGGGGTGTGTGATGTCGGCTTTCAGGGTCGTAATGCCTTCGAGTGGCGCCATAGGTTGCAAGTCGATGGAGACGATCTTGACATTCTTCCGAGGCTTTAGTTCGGCGCTTGGGCAAGGCTGAGTGTAGTCCATTTTATCTTCATCGGCTGTTGTTTCTGCGTCCAACCCTTCTTGTTCTTTGCGCTTTTTCTCGAGCCATGCCCGACGGCCGAAGCTCTCGCCCTTGATCAACACACGGCTGAGTACTTGACTCCAGCTGCCAGGTGCAGCGCACAAATCCACGACTCTCGTCACATTGTCCGGGTTCTCGTGCTCGAATAGGTCGAATCTCTCGTCGATCTGGATAAGTTTGAAGGCGGAACGGGCGCGCCAATTTTGTTCCTTGGCGAGACGGTAGTAAGCATCGCGCTTGTCTTTAGATGACTTGCCCATCTTGAAAACAGGCTCCTCAGGCGCAATTGGCAATCGTAGTGTGTTAAAGTGGGTTAATTTTGCGGCCAACGTGGGGAACGAAAAGATAAGATTCCAAAGGCGGACTGAAATTTCTGCCGCTTTTTTTCTTTGCGAATCTTCCCCGACGGTGTATTTGCATCCTACCTAAACACACTGTTATACTCAAGCGTCACTCATTTCAAAATGGGCCAAAAGCGAGGACGCGATCCCAAAGCCCAGGGGGCTGAGGCGAACAAACGCAAGAAGGCAGCGAAATCCAACGGAGCCTCAAATGAGGATAATCGCCCTATCGCTATTGAGGAACTTAACTGGAAAGAAGTTGCAATGCCAGATCGAATGGAAGATGCAGAAGGTTTCTTCGGACTGGAAGAGATTGAGGGTGTGGAGATTATTAAACAGAGTGGTGGAGAGGTTCAGTTCAAGGTATGAGGCTACACGCTTTAATCAATCATGCGAACTGATCGCTAATCTATACGCCTGGTGGATAGGCCAAGTCTGGCAAGCCTAGAAAGTCGATTCTTAAAGCGCCATCCGAGGAGGATGGTGAGGAATGGGCTGGGTTCAGCGACGAAGACTCGTCCGACAAAACTCCTGCCACCGAGGCGACTCCCGCTGCAACTGAAGTGAAGGAAGATAAGAAGTCGAAGAAAGACAAGAAGAAGGAGCAAAACAAAGCTAAGAAAGAAGAACAAAAGTCCAAGGAACAAAAGCCCAAAGAGCAGAAGCCTAAGGATTCCAAACCCGCTCAGGACAAGAGCATCAAGGCCGGGTTATCTTTCGCGGCTCTCGATGATGTTGAAGAAGATGATGGAGTGGACGTATCAGCTTGGGACGGCCTCAACCTTTCACCTGAGACCTTCACAGCACTTTCCAAAATGAAGTTCAGCTCTCCATCGGCCATTCAAAAGGCCAGTATTCCGGCCATTCTTGATGGACACGATGTCGTTGGAAAGGCATCTACAGGTTCCGGTAAAACCCTGGCATTCGGTATTCCGATCATCGAACACTATTTGGACAAGCGAGGCAGACAGGGAGAACAGTCTGACAAGTCCGACAAGACCAAGACTCCGATTGCCTTGATTCTATCTCCTACCCGTGAGCTGGCGCACCAGCTAGGAAAGCATCTTGGAGAGCTTATCGCCAATTCCCCGGATACCAATGCCCGTATCGCTCTCGTGACTGGTGGTCTGTCCATTCAGAAGCAGCAGAGACAGCTTGCCACAGCTGATATTGTTGTTGGAACCCCTGGCCGTGTGTGGGAGATTCTCAGCACAGGAACGGGATTGATCCGCAAAATGCAGAAGATCCAGTTCCTGGTTGTTGACGAGGCGGACAGACTTCTGAGTGAAGGTCATTTCAAGGAAGTTGAGGACATCCTCGGTGCACTAGACAAAAAGCAAGCCGGAGATATTGCCGATATGGATAAGGAAGAGGACGAGGAAGAAGAGCCAAGCCACAGACAGACTCTTGTCTTCTCGGCCACCTTCCACAAGGATCTTCAGCAAAAATTAGCAGGCAAAAGCCGCTGGACCAGTGGTGATATGTTGGACAACAAAGAGTCTATGGAATATCTTCTCAAGAAGCTGAACTTCCGCGAAGAGAAGCCCAAGTTCATTGATGTGAACCCAGAGTCACAGATGGCCGTAGGACTCAAGGAAGGAATTGTTGAATGTCCTGCTATGGAAAAGGTAAAAAAACCGGTCTCGATCCACTCAAATTTTGATGCTAACCCTCATAATTAGGACCTCTATCTCTACTCGGTCCTCCTTTACTACCCCAAGCATCGCACAATCGTGTTCACAAATTCCATCTCCGCCGTCCGCCGCATCACTCAGCTTTTGCAATCCCTTCAGCTCCCTGTGTTTGCACTCCACTCGAACATGGCCCAAAAAGCCCGACTCCGTTCCATCGAACGTTTCTCATCTCCTACTGCCAACCCCAGCTCCATCCTTGTCGCCACCGACGTCGCTGCTCGTGGTTTAGATATCAAGGGTATTAACTGCGTCATCCACTACCACGTTCCTCGCACAGCAGACGCCTATGTCCACCGATCCGGTCGTACTGCCCGTGCTGGTGAGTCCGGAAAGAGTATTCTCATCTGTGCCCCAGAAGAGGTTGTCGGCGTTGCCCGTCTCGCTGCGAAGATCCACTCCAAAAAGGCTAAGAAGGCGGGCGAATCCGACGCACCTAGCAAGAAACTTCCTCTCGAGTCTCTTGACATTGATCGCCGAGTGGTGGCTCGTCTCCGCCCCCGCATGGGTCTCGCCAAGCGGATCACCGACTCCACCATCGCCAAAGAGAAGGTCAACACGGAGGACAACTGGCTTCGCGCTGCGGCCGATGATCTCGGTGTGGAGTACGACAGTGATGAGTTCGATCAGTCTAAGGGTAGAGGCCGTGGCCGTGGTGGTGGCCGCGAAAGGCGTGACAAGGAGGCTAGCGAGTTGAGCAAGAGCGAGATGGCCAGCCTTCGTGCAGAGTTGAAACAGCAGCTCTCCCAACGAGTGAACATCGGTGTCAGCGAGAAGTATCTTACAGCCGGTCGCATTGACATCGATGCCCTTCTTCGTGGAGAGGGCAACGATGCATTCCTGGGCCACCTTGACCCTTTGTCCTTCTAATTGTGCTTTTACCTACGGGAAGCATTGGTTTTGTAAAAAGCATTTTGTGATTTAGTCTATACCAAAACAATGAAACCTTTGGATATTTGACTCGGAATCCTTCGCAAGTGCCCATCGTGGCCTCATCGGACTAGCCCGACGATGGCAGATAAGATACCCCCCAAAGCGATAAGTGACAAAGAAGATACTACGTAGGATTGGCGAGCCATTTCGATGCCTAAAGCTGCCCTAGTCCTCTCGGCCTGCAGGCGATTTACATAAGTGCATTTCTTCCCCCGCCTTCCCAGCGTTTGTACTAAACTCCCTTGGCTTCCTCTTCTGTAGCCTTTATTTCAATCATCTCAATCATGGATCCTCAAATTGAAGAACTGTTAGGCCTAGAAGCCGTCCGTACACGAGCCCATGCTGTCCTCAAACTCGCTGAGCAGGGTCGTCTGAACCATTTCAACTACCACCCCGAACGAATGGAAGAGGCCACCGACTATGTACTGAAACTGATTCAGGTAGGACACCTAACATCAAGAGCATGACACATCAGAATACTCACTCTTTCTCATAGCGCGACTTCGGCCCTGACAAGTATGATACGATCCCACCCCATGGACGCTGGCAGCATTTCGAAGTCGGCGGGGTTCCCCGCATAGCCACGCTCCAGGCTCAATGGGATGCGGAGAAATGCGACACCACCGAAAAGACTCGCCGGCTGATAGATCTTTTCTTCGTCTCCGTCCTTTTAGATGCTGGCGCTGGAGATTTCTGGAAATTTCAGGAACCGGAAACTGGCCACATTCTCAATCGGAGTGAGGGCATTGCTGTGTCTGCCCTACACATGTTCCTGAACGGCGATTTTGCTGGTCAGGATTCCTCGGTGAAACACACTGCCAACGGTAAGCATATCGGAAGTTTTCGGGGATACGACAGTGGCTAATTATAGTAGGTGAGGCATTGCGCAATATCAATGTAGAAATTCTATCCCGTGGCCTGCAGGTTAGTGACTCCAACCCCATGGTCGGAGTACCTGCGCGTGCGGACATTCTCCGTAAGCTTGGCGAGTCCTTGGTGAACAACAAAGATATCTTTGGCCCCTCTGGCCGTCCCGGTAATCTCGTTGGTAAGGTCGTCCCCGCTCATCGCGAGCCAACTGATCTTGGGTCATCCCAGAAATAACTAACCAATTCCTTAAATTTCCAGACTACCTCATTGCCAAATCCAAGGATGGAAAGCTCGACTATAAGGACCTTTGGAACGTCCTACAACGCCTTCTGATTCCCATCTGGCCGTCTGATCGTACTCACGTGAATGGACAGCCCATCGGCGATGCATGGCCCCTGCGAGCACTTGAGCAGCAAGAGGGAGCTGCTTCCAAGCCCTACTCGAATATCCAACCCTTCCATAAACTTACCCAGTGGCTAGCATACTCGCTGATGGTGCCTTTTACTCGCCTGCTCTCGGTCACATGGTCCAACACCCACCTTGGCACCGGCCTGCCGGAATATCGTAACGGAGGCATGCTGGTCGATATGGGAGTTCTGGAACTGAAGCCAGAGGCACTGGCGCGAGGCCTGAGCCTTTCGGGTGGTAGCTTGCCGTCCTTTGGTGCTGGTGATGATGAAATCGTGGAATGGCGAGCTATGACTGTGGCCCTCCTCGATGAACTGCATGTTAAGATTCTTGCTCGCTTAGATGGCGTCCAGCTGTCTCTGCCCCAGGTGCTGGAGGCGGGTTCTTGGAAAGCTGGTCGTGAACTTGCAGCGGCTAAACGTCCCGATACGAAGTGTAGCCCTATCCTTAACTTCGGCGATGGCACCTTATTCTAGTTATCTCATATAGCAATGAATACAGGGCTGTGTTTCGAGACATAATTTATTCGGTGGGATGTTCGTTTAGTAGAGGGTAAATTCGGCCTACTGCAACACAGGATAGGGATGGAAATTGCCTCACAATGTAATTTGATTTATACTGTTTGGTCGGGCATCCAACACGACTCTGTGTGCGAGTCTCGAATTCACTTTCTGTACACAAAAATAGGCGAGGACCTGTCGAGGGTCTATTGCTATGAAACTAGGAAATACAAGTTCAACAAGTTGCTTTAATCATGAAGCTATTCATCTTCTGCAAGGGCTGAAGAGCTTCGTTTCACATCCGCATGTTGAGAGGCTTTAGCAGGATGAATGGTCCAAACATGGACGTAGACCTATGGCGGCTGGATCTCCGTGTGTGGGATGGGCTCAGACGGTTCCACATCGTCGCCGTAATGGAGTAAATGGAGTACCGTGGTCCTGAGGCAAGGTTGAGAGCTGTGTGGGCTTGTGGTCGGTCTCACATATGAATATAAATACTTGCCAATTGGGAGATGACAAATTCACATCGTCGTATCGTCGACTCGTTGTGGTTTGGGAGATAGCTTGCGAAAGACACGGGCGAGCGACGGAACTCATCTGGTGCACCGAAAAGGTCGGGAAACGAGTTTCGTATTGTCGTATTGTCGCGATCGTAATGGGATCAGCGCTCGTATAGATCACCTCCTGAGACAATCGACAGCTGACAACGTTGACTTCTTCCAACAACTCCTGGCACATCATCATCCTCGTCTTCATCAACATCCTTTTTTTTATGGACCTTTTGAAACTGATTCCGCCATCATCGGCCGGCATGAGGAGCTTGGGGTACCACCCGCAGCGGTGCAGCATTAGAAGGAAATGCAGAGGGAGAGGAGAACCGAAATCCTTTGGCAGATGATCCGCTCAACTCAAACATAGTTGTGGGACATGCGAACCCAAACAAAGAGACAAACAGATTACAGCTGTCACCCCACGCCGGAGGATAAGCAGCACACTGTACAAGGCACACGGCGTCGCCGAGCAAACATGACGTCCCCTTGCAGGATACGTCGGCAAGAACATGTATGCCCCACTCTTTCCCTCCTCTCCTCCACGATCCCTCATCACTAAGATCGATGTGTTCCACCACGCTTGAGGTCAGCCGTGGTAGAAGCATGGCAAGGCCGAGGAAACCTCAAGGGAGGCCGCTACTCTCCCCGTCGGGACCTATATGAAGATGAAATGTATTAGCAACAGACTTAATACAAGGCTGAAGTCAAGCGAGGATAGGACGAAAGACACTGGGATCAAAAGGGGAAAACGAAAGGTGAGTGACATACCTTGCAATCAAGAACGAATGTACCTGATTCATGCCTCATCCAGGTCGGCGTCCTCTTCGCCAACGCTGGACTCATCAGCGAGGTACCCCTCCTCGTCATCCATGTCGAAGCCAGATTGCCTGGTCTCCGAGGAGGTGCCTTCCGCGAGGATAGCATCTAGACTGGCATAAAGGGCCGAGCTAGCCTCCGGGTTGTCAGAATTAGAGGAGGGGGGACGGTACAACGGGTTGAAATCCGTTGGTCGAGGACCGCGGGACCCGATGCCGTTGGGAAGGCCGTTGGCCATTCCGTTGACCGCGCCATTGGCGCGGTAGGCTGCAGCAGCGGCAGCGAAAGGGTTGGCAGCGGCTGGGGCGACGTGGTTGGCGAAGGCCGGGGCCTGAGAACGAAGAGCGGCGAAAGGGTTCGCCGGGGCCGGGGCCGGGGCCGAAGCCCTTCCAGCAGCAACGCCGAAAGGATTGGTGGCGGCCAGGCCAGGGCCAGTGCCACTACCCCGTCCGAAGGGGTTGACGATAATCTGGGGAGCGGCTGCCCCACCAGAAGGACGAGGGTTGGTGCCCGAAGGCGAGGAGGAGGAGGAGGAGGAAGAGGAGGAGGAGGAGGAGGAGGTTGTGGTGGTGGTCTGGGGGCCGGAGCCTGCACCAGAGCCGGGAAGAGAAGGAAGGTGGCTCATCTTTGAAGATGAGCGAGCAGACGAGGTGAAAAGGAAGCAAATGAAAGATGAATACCAACCAAATTTGATTGGTATTGGATGGTGAGGATGAAGAGAGAGAGAAGAGAAGAGAAGGTGAAGGTGAGGATATTCCAAAATATACCCAGAGTACGTGACCCTCGTGGCAACAGCTACCCCGTCGAAACCCCCAGATCACCATTGCTTCGTCCGACGCTATACCATGCTACTCGGATACCTGATCTATAGATCTATAGATCTGCGGGTATCTTATCTCGGCATGCCGAAGTGGCGTCTTGGCACTCCGGCCGATGTTCGGCTGCTGAAGACCCACAATTGGGTCCGACAGGAGAAAAATCGGCTTGAAAAACAGATTTCAAAGGTGTGGCGGGTCTTTCTTTCAATTGCACTTCCTGACATCCATTTGCACTAGTGGGTATATTTGTGGTATACTCTTTATACTCTATATACTTCATTTTGTTGAGTCCAAGCTTCCGAGGCTGAAGAAGATCGACAAACTCAACTACAGAGCCGACCGACGCATCTGAGCCGATTCTGCAGTATGTGACCCGATCGGACACTAAACAAAGCCATCTAACAGCACTGCAGCTCCCATCAACATATACTCTTTATTGGCTTTCTTTTATACTTCCCAGGATGTCAAGCATTTCACACAGCGTTCGTCGTCTTCTGCGACCGGCAAACAAGTTTGCTTTCAACAAATACTCGCCTGCAGCACCCATTGCCCGGCTGCACCAACAGGGCCCATCCCGTTCAGCCGTCGTTCATGAACAAGCACTTCCCCACAGTCAAACAGAGGGAGCAGCATTCCTCTCTCAAACCCAGCCCCTAACACCTCTGCACCATGGTTCAGCAAACCTCGATTCCCTCGTTTCCCAAATTCCCCTGGTCCAGAATCTCCGCGATACCCACAGCACCTACAAGGAAACCCGTCCTCACCTCGCAATTCCCCCTATTATAAGACAACACCACCTGGTCGGCGGCAGCTTGTCTGGTCCAGGAAAGCTTGCATTTGCACCCTACATGTGGCTCTCCACCGGAAAGCCCGGAGCAGAGGCCAACAGCAGTGAGCGCGCTAGCCGCGTTGTCTCAGTATTCCACATTGGCCAAGATCTCTGCGGACATCCCGGCTTTGTGCACGGTGGCCTCCTCACTGTACTCTTTGATGAGGTGTTTGCTCGCTGTGTTTCTGCAGCTTTCCCCAGCGGGCTGGGTATGACGGCAAACCTGAATGTGGATTTCCGCAAGCCTGGTCTTCCCGACCGGATGTATGTGCTGCGCACTGAAACGGTTAAGGTTGAGGGCCGCAAGGCTTGGGTTGAGGGTCGCATGACCTACCTTCCTATGAACTTGCCTGCGGACTCTCAAGGCATTGTGCCTGATGTTAGTTTGCTACAGGAGGAGAGCGAGGGAGCCGTAATGGTTGCTGAGGCCAAGGCTTTGTTTGTGGAGCCTAAGTTTGCGGATGTGAGTTATCCTTTCCTTTCTTCATTTATGCATTTAGATGTAGTACATTTGGCTAACAGATTTCGCAGTCTATGGTGTCCATCTATGGGAACTGAAGTTCTGTTGTGAGAAGTTGGCGTTATATCCCCCTGCATACATTATAGATTATAGAGACATAGAGACATAGAGCTTTTTGATAGACTATTAGAATGATACATTTTTCCAATTTTTGCAATGGCTTTCGGACAACCTTTGGACTTTTGGGCTTTTGGGCTTTTGGATATAGCCAATTTCACCTACATACATAAGCGACCTGGGTCCTGGACACCCGTGGACCTATAAGAGGACCATAACCCTCAACAAACAATAAAATGCATCTAAACTCCCAACATTATTCAATAAAACTTAGAACTCCTACGCTCCCTCATCCCAATGATATCCGAGCACATCCACTACTTTGGCGGAGATAACCACACAAACTAACGCGATAATATCATGTCACTTGTCGTATGTCACAAAAGAGCTAGATCATGCAAGGTCGGCGCCACAGCCCCATATATTATTCTGTCAAAACACTATCTGGATATCTATATACCTACTAAAATAAATGCACGGAATTTGGTCACCGTTGATACACATCCCACAACTGTAGAGAACATCACAACATATTTTTCCACTTCCGCGAATCTAGTTGTCTAAGAAGTTCTTAACACAGTAGCTATTGTGGCTGTGAATAGGATCTAGGATTTTCATGATATAAAGCGCCTCCTTACATTCTCAATGTACATTTGCAAAACAAAGCCCTTCAATATACAACGGATTGTATATACACCCATGAGGCACTAGGTACCTAGATATCGTTTCTGTGTAAGAGACACAAGCAGTACATCTGGTATATCCAGCTGGAGATTATAATAAGCTTTTATGCTATAGTGGACATATCACATTTTGCCCTTGACGGGACTCCTGGTATCGAGGCTAATTTCGACGACCTCCGCCGGCGTGAGAAAGTCAAAGATCGTCTGGTTGAAGATACCCATCTCAGACGATAGGAAGTCGATTCCATCGTGGGTTTGATGATTGTCCGTTGTGAACATGACCAGGCTCAGATCACTGTCCAAGCATTTCTGGGCATGCCCTGTGATCAGGGCCTGCAATTCTTCTGAGGGTGCCATGCCATAGTGCTTCACGGCGCTGGTAGCGGAAAGGTAGAAACAGAAAATTTTTGCGAAATGCATCTTCGTCGTTTGTTTTGGAGTGGATTTTGTCAGTTCCGAGGGAAAGAGTCTGTATATGTGCAACGCTGTAGCCCGGGGCTCGTAGAGAAGGTCTCAATGAAGAATGAGGAGGAGAGTTCACAGGAGTATAATGCTCATACTTTAAGCAATGTTTCCCCATGAGATTCTCCCTGTTAAAATATCTGCTCATGAAGTGCCTGAGTAATATCTAGCATCGGTCTTCGAACTCGCCCCCGCTCAAGACACGTACCTGATTCTGTCCCGCGTTTCCAAGGTGCACACATTTTTCCAGATCAAGGTTGGCTGGATTAGGCTGGCTCATCCTGATGTCCTTGCTGTCTGATCCCACATTGCATCAGGGACGGGATGACAGTCCCGGTCCATTGTAGTGTCGCCTTCTACACAATGCGACACAGGCTCGAGTGAGAACCTGCAGGGGTATGTATATGCACGGTATTGCCCATATTGCATTTAATGAAACCGCATTACAGTGTGTGGTTCGAAATGCGGCACTAATCCGAGTTAGAAGTGCTGGTACCACACGCTAATGCATGGCGTATGCAGGGGCGCTTGTGGCGTTTTATTTGGCGGTAGGGTATAAGCACCATTTAATTCCCTTATGCGTCTACTCTTTAAACATAGTTAGCCCTAGGTCATTGAAAAGAGAATGGAAGTCGACTATTTCCAAGAATATAGGCTCACGATCAAATGCTTGTATTTGACACTGTGCTGGATTCGAAGGAAGATCGGCTATATGCCTAGATGGGGCTTATGTGAATGCGCCCTCCAGGGCCCCATGCGGCAATTGATGGAGTTGGATTCCAAGGTTTGGTTGGGGGCGGGGCGGAAAGGCCCGCTACTTGGTATATGGCTTTCAAGTTTGATAGACGGTGTCTCTACTCCATAGGGCATTACTGATTCAGTTGATCTCCAGGGCCAAGTGTGCTAAGTGGATAAATTCATTTACTTATTGCAAGGCTGCCGTTTTCATTTACTAATACATACTTCAATAAACGGCTTTCTCTAACTCTGAATGTTGAAGAAAAACTGCAATTGAGGATGTATGTCCACAGGATCCGATCATATCTGGCTATCGTGCCCGGGAGCCTTTTTGTGCCCCAAGAGAATGGAATAAGTTGAGAAGCAGAAGTTGGACGTTTCTAGTGCACCGAAATTGGACATAAAAAAGCCGAGTACTGATCTGCGGCCCCCATTTGGAGATCTGCTCTGAAATGTAACCCTGTAGATTGGATCAATCCATAGCACATAGTACTTTCCATGCGAGCTGCATTGAAACTTTGCCCGGTCAAAACAAGTAAAGAACACTGTTGACTGATTCAATCATGAGAAATGTACGGGCTGACCGGAGGAATGGCCCTCACATGTCCCAAGATCACGGTTTTGCGACTCCTCTAGACGCACGGGGACTCCAGGGCTAGATGATCACAGGGTGGTCTTATAGATCAGTTATAAATGTAAATTCGCAGCGCTAGCTGCAGTTAGGCCTTCAGAATGTCAGTATGTCAGTCAACTGGGGTCTTCGATCCTGATATCAGACATGTAATATGTCACTTGAGTCTAACTGTCTAAATTTCACGTCCTGTTCTCATTCCCCATGATTAAGCCAGTCTTATATTTCCATCTATTAGTTAAATCCTAATTACCTAGGCACAATGAATGTGTTTTCGTTTGGCCGATAGCCGTGCTGCCTTGTTCAAATGGGGTATTTTGCTCGCACTTTATTTAGGCCGACACTTAGGGGGCGAACGGACACGTGCGGGGATAGAAAGGTCCCTATATATTCCGACCCTGGCCCGCTTGCTAGTTGCCTCTATGCCCAAACAATATCTTATTTAACCCTATCAACATCATATTCCTCCACCCCCTATGGTGTCTCAATAGAAGCCGTCATCTTTCACTCTGCACACCACCCACTCAGACTACAGTTTAAATACTTGTTGGACAGGTAGGATAAGTCTATTCTTCAACCCGAATTAATATACACTCAGTTGACAAACCACTGCTTGACATTGTACATCAGTTATGTTGCATTATCATGGATACCAACCCGAAGACTGAAGATAGAGACACCTCAAAACCTCCCCCTCCCAAGGCCAACACGACTAGAACGTTTATCGAAGGGGTCGTGATTTCGTCTTTGACCCTCTTGAGCACCAGTATCTTTGAAAATACCTTCTTCACACAGGTTGACAATCACTCCCTCCTTCATTACGGTGTATTTGCATCATTTTATGTATTATTTTATCACTCGTACGAGAAGTACAAGTCATCATAGGTACATAATCTTTTGAAGGTATGTGAAGCTTTGTCTATACCTATGATGGCAACTACCTGATATTCGGGATTTTCTTTAGCTGTTTTTACTTCTTATAATAGTTTATCTCCTCACCCCATTGGCCAAAGGTGACCCTAGGAGGATCTAGTTTCAATCAGCTAGGAACTTCAGATCTTTTGACAAACTCCAATTCGGCGAAGTCATCGGGAATTAATCGCATCCCTCCATCTATGGACGTTAATATGCCATGCTGCTACCTTTTTTGGTCAAATAATTCCATTAGGTCCGACAGAAAACGGTATAAGGGGATTTGCCTAGGTAGTTGGCCGTGGCCCTCTACACTGGCTACATACAACATACGATGCCAAGAATTGGGCTGTATTTTTGGCTGGCGCCACCCTCGTGGGCCCGGGAGCGGCGTTTTATAGTTTTATGGTTAATTCTTCGGAAGAGAGAACTTGTATAAGAATAGATACCAGTATGGGCTCAGGATATGGCTGGTTTGAATAATATATAGCATTTTATACGAGCTTTGATAGAGACTAGGCTATAAGCACCGTTGAGGGTCTATCTTTCCTACGCGAAATGGTGCCATGCTATATTCCCAATATTGGATTCATCCGTACCGGGATCATATTATCGAGCCGGATCAGAGAAGGATATCCGCCCGCACTTGTGAATTAGAATTTTGCGTTTTTTAGCAACACTGGAGGAGGAGAAATCATAACTCATATTACTGCCGACGTAACCTGGATTCGAGGGCTAGGCTATACTGGGTTCGTCCCAATGTATCGAATGTGGTCCATATCGAACCAACGCCTTTCAATCCTTGGACAAGTATTCCCAAAAAAGGAGATACACGTAGCGTCGGAGTATCAATTACTTACAAAATCAAACACAAGTTTCCCACAGATATATTGTCCCTTTGTTGTCATGACCACCACTCGACGAGAGAAATAGCGCACTTCCCCGATCATTTCAAATCCCCAGATCTGCATTTCGACTCAGTTTATATAAAACAAACCATACAGATCGCAACACATACCTGTTCTGCTGTCCATCCAGCCTTCACATTCTTCTCAGAAGTGTGTACCCAGAGACCAGGACCCTTTTCAGGCATCTCGCTTTGTTCCTCAACGAGAAACCCGGCTGATTTGCTTCCATCCACCTCAATTTCCCCACGCAAATACTGCTTGATCTGGTCATTGACCTCGGAAGTCAGAAGCTCAAAGTCCGGTCTTATAATTCCATCGTGATCAGTAACGCCATGGACGAATTCGCACTGGCCCTGAACCACACCGAAGAAGTAGTCTTCGTGATCGGCTATTTTCCAATCGAGCACACGCTCTTCTTTAGTTCCAGCCAGACCTGCCGAGGCCGTCTGTGTAAAATCGATTCTCGTTGCGGGGTCTGTGTCAGAGGCTGGCTTTGACTGTGAGATTTGGAGGTATATAGTTGCCAATCCGAACGCTTTGCGGAGTAACCAGGATACCTTTTGCTAAATACAATAATTCTTAGCTTTGAAATTGTAAGATAAACCGGCAGCGAATCGAACCAGTTTGAGGATAGGATCCGTTTCGCTGGTTAGTGCCTTGTTCTGTAGACAGGTGTACGATCAGCATTTTGCTGCACCGTGGAAAGAGGAGCACCAAGTACCAATATCCATTCACCGCTAAGGTGTTCGATGGTAACTCGTGGAGGAGCAGCCATGGGGAAGGCAGGTTATGGAACTGATCGCTTGATTTGAGCAAGTCTTTGGGCAGGAAGGTAGATGTAGGTGGAATACATTGCATCCTTGATTCATTCGCTGATGCAATTCTCGGAGGGAAAGGGAAAAGCCACTTTGTTCAATAGTGCTACAGTACATTTGCACAAACTTAGAGGAGTCTGTCACTTAGAGCACCGACATCTACATTATGCGAAGCTAGATTTCAATAGGAAGTCACCATTGCTATCTAGGTAATACCACTATCGTGAGGAACCCCCGCCATGACGCCTTTCGACCCAGGCATATGAAAAAGGAAAAAAACAAGAAAAACAACGAAACAGCCCGTCCGAAAACTTGGGAATTTGAGGTGGAAGGGATAATCACAAACAGGTCGTCGTCACATCATGAGTGGATACTCGTCCTGGTTGAGAAAGACGGAAGCGAGCAAAAGAGAGGAGAGGGAGAGAGCGGGTAAGGAGAGTAGGTCGGGTTGGGAGTGAATATTTGTCCACAGGACTAGGAGAGATGGAATGCTCCTTGGCCTTCCTTGATGGCTACCGAGAGGCGTTGTTTGAGGACGTTAAGGTCGCTATAATCGGGCAACTTGAGGTAGTTGACGCAAGTCATCACACTGGGGAGATAATCGTCGGGAGTATATGGATGTTCGCTTGGGCGGCACACCACAGTGAATATTGGCGTGAGACTCTTGAAACCTATGTCGACTGTGTTAGAATATTCCAATTGGGAATGTATGATTGAGTGCAAAATGGAATTAACATACCTCCAATGGGGAGCTTAGGGCTACCAGTGACGAACTGGAGGAAATCTCGGCGTTGCTGGTTGTCCAGCTCGCTCATGGTTTGAAGCAGGTTGCGAACACTGCGGCTGTCCATGTTGAATCCGTGATCGGCCTTGATAGAGTCCATCAATGTCTCGATGGACCAATCTTCCTTAGCCTGTCCGAAAAGCATGACAAGTTCGCTTGGAGTGAAAGCTCGAAGAGAAGAGAATGGGAAGACCTGCGAGAATCCAGCCCGGAATGCATCGACTTGACGCCGGACACCGCTGCCCAGAGTCATATCGATGACCCTTTCAATATAAACATCAACATTTTCGATTGTCAGCGGGATGTCGGTGCCGTCAGGAATCAACTCGATAGCGGGATAGCCAGGAAGAGTGAAATCCAAGCCTAGATCGTCAACCCTTGCACCCTGGACCGTGATATTTTGCAGTGCCTCGGTTTTCTGGGCTGGCGAAAGAGATTTGTCTTGTTCAATCGCGTTCTTGGCGCTGACAAATTGCTTCAGCATAATCAACGAGTTCGCCAGATCTTGGTCAACAAGCTTGACAGTGCCCAGTGATGGTGCTACTGACGACAAAGTATCTGCGATACGGAAGAACGCTGGATTGAACGAGATGTCGATGATCCTGGAGTCAAGCATCGAGCGGGCCACGAACTTTCCAAGTACCTTGAAAAGATTTAGTTGCTTCTTGCCGTAGTCGTGGGCTGCTTGCTCATCACTCATGGGCGCTGGGAAGAGGCCGCGCTTGCCGAATGCGTATTCCGCGGAAGAGCTACCATCTGCATCTCTCCAGATCTTGAGCTTCTTCTTTGAGAACTCCTTGGATACTGTGGAGTAGAATTCAAGAGTAGGTCCCAATCCAGTACCAACTTCCTCAAAGTACTCAACTTCAAGAATACTGGGGGAAGAGCCATAGAGTTCCATGACCTTCAATGCAGAATCAAGAATGCGAGAGCGAGAGATCCGCACCTTTTGGCGCTGGAGCCGGCCAAGGAATGGTCGATCGTCGCGGCGCATGTCCCGTCGGCTGTCCTCGCCACTTTGGGAGTTTTGCCATCTCATCATTGCCCGCGAGTACCCGAATGCAGTCGATTGCAGGAACAGGTGTCTTGTCTCGAATGGGAACAAGAAGGAGAAAAGCCTGGCCAGGTCTTCACTCCAATTTGGAAGACAATCGCTTGCCACAATCAATGGCTCCTCGAGTTGTCGATTAAGCTTGGCTGTAAGCTTGGTATTGATGAACTGGGCCAAGGGCTCCGACGTGATGGCGGAGTCCTTGTTATCGGTCAGGATATCGTCAATTGTTGCGTTCATTTCATGCAAGACACGGAGCAAACGAATGATGGATGAAGTGGTGGGGTCTTTATCGAGAGATGCCGGGATAACGAGGGTATCTCCCTCAGAGGAAGCACCCTGTGTGGTTGAGGCGAGGGTGGAGGGCTCTGGGGGTGGAGGACCAGAAACGCGTTTGAATGTGATGGTGTGGACTGCTGACCAGACATTCTTGGCACTACTCTCGTCCAAATCCTCACGGTCGTGGTGAACACCACGGTAGATGGTTGTCTCGTTGGTAACAGGCTTTCCGTCTACAAAGAACTCAAGGTGCCAGTCCTGGGGAACCGAAGCTGTTGCAGCGGCGTAAGATGAGAACGGACGTCCTGCAGTGGCGAGCGAGGCGTTACGCGTACGGTTGGGGGTAGCGGAAGGAGTTGACGATGAAGGTTTGGATGCAGTAGTCTGTGATGGAGTCCCAACTCGGGTACCATCCTCTTTGCGAGCTGTGACCTTGCCCGAGGATCCCACCTCCATATTGACAGCCGAGGGATCGGAGACGTGATCATTTTCCATATCCTCATCAAGATCATCAACAATTGCGTTGAGCTCTTCGTCTTCATCGTCTTCGCCACCGTCTTCTTCCTCATCGGTCAATTGTCTTTCGTCGGCACATTCAAGCGGTTCATCATCGTGGTCATCGTCTTCTTCTTGAACGCGATTAGATCGATGACTCCGCGTATGGCCCGTCGTAGGATCATAAGTGCCATCGGTACCATGTGGCCCTCCTGCGGCGCCCGGAAGATTTAATCCTGACCCGGAAGCAATCTGGTCACGAAGCCGGGCTGCATTGGCAATTTGAGAAAGAATCGAGTCCCTGGTTCGTGATGAGCGAGGCTTTTCCGCCATAGCGATTCGTGGATGAAGGAAGTCATCCAATGCCTTGAACGTAGCAATAGCATGGATTGATACCATAATGTTGCGGTAGGGACGAGGAATTTCGGACTCATCATCAGCTACAAGCTTCAGTCGAAGTTGTTTGCTCAGCATATAGGCGGCATTGCTGCGAGTGTTCTCGAGGGAATTGTGGCTGATGGTGAGAACTTCGAAGTGTTCTGTTCTACTGAGTAGATCTTGCAATTTTCGGATCAGAACACTGAAGGGCGTGGTGGCAGTACTTTGACTTTGAGCCTTGTCCGAGATTGAAACGCCCATGAACGCCTGCAAGAAGGCGGCCCTCGATTCACGAATAGAAGGGGCTTGGTAGTTACCCAGGACAGTGAGGAGGACTTGGATAATGCCAGAGTTCAATAATTCAGAACTGGTAATGCTCTCCAAGGCCTCACCACCAAAGTACGATGCAAGCTGTTTAAACAGGAGGTGACCGTTCTGACCGCCATGAGCGTAACGGGACTTGATTTCCGAGGCGAGAGACTTGAGTGCTGTCAAGATCCTCAGAGCCTCTGCTCGGACTGTTTCGCCATGAGTCGCTTCATAGACCTCCAAGAAAGCTTGAGCATCTCGAATGACTACGTCATTGAGTGCATTATCCATCTTTTGAAGACTACGTGGGCCGGACATGGAGTCATCCTCGGAATCAGACATATCATGGTCATCGTCCTCGTCGTCATAGTCATCGACTTCATCATCTTCATTTTCGTCCTCGTCATCTCCATTATTTGCGACGGCCCGGTTGGCGCCGCGAGATGGATCTGTAGTTGTGTCCATATTCGTGGAATCAACTAGATCAGGGATCTCCTTGTCACCCGATAGAGAGCCTTCGGATAGTTTGATGATCTCAGAGATCACTCCCTCGCGATGGAATTGATGCTGATACACATGTTCAAGGCGCTGGAACAATAGCTCTGCACAGCGAAGAGCCAAAGATACAAGAGATGGGTGATCTTTTTGGGAGAGAATTGCAGCCAGGAATGAGGCATACGGAACTGTACGTAGGGCGTCTTCAATCAAAGACGGCTCGAGAATGTGCAGCATTTTAAGCTGTGCAATCAGGACTTTTTGACGGACGTGCAAGTTGACTGTGCTCGAGTAGGCATCGGTCAAAGTTGGGAAGAGGATCATTGCGAAACGCTTCAGTTCAGCCTTGCAGTCGACGAGCAACGATCGCCTTTCCTCCACTGCCTCCTTTGTTTTGGGTGATCTCAAGCCAATAGACATGTGGCTATCGAAGTATGAGCTCAGCAAATTGTCTGTCTTCGAGGCGTCGCGGCTGGGAACACCAGGCAGTAGCTCGCAGATGACATTGAGCGTCTCAAATACCTGCTCGCGAGGACGATGAATTAAAGCTTGCATAACTAGCACGCTGTCCATCTTAACAGCCGTATTATCCACATCTTGCGGTGGTGACACGCCGGTCAGTATTTGGTAGAGTGTATCTACTACATCCATTTTGAGAAGTTCGTTCGATAGCCGGGGGCTAGTTTTGGATACGATTGCCAAAACCCTGAGGAATTGCGTGTGGATATGAGGCCCGATCAGGTTCGTCGTTCCCGGCAGGAGGAGCCGAATAACAGCCTTGAGCATCGCGGGGTCAATCAACTCCTCCAGATTCTCGGGACGGTGCTTGAAGCTCTCGACGATCCGTGATACACACAGGCACGCTTGCTCCACGACCTTGGGGTCATTGCTAGCCAACACATTGAGTAGTGTGGGCATTACATCCCGTACCACAGGGAACGAGTCATGAGGGAGATTACGGCAGCAGTTGGCCGCCGTGGTGACTGCGGTGCGTTGAGTGCTTGTGGGGAAGAAATCCAAATATGTGAGGCACGCAGTCAATCCACCTTCCCGCACAATGGAGGCAGGAAAATCAACCGAAATCTTGGCCAATGTACTTAACGCCTGTTCGGCTAGGTCGATAAACTGTATATCAAGCAACTTTTGACAAAGGATGGGTACAGCACCACCATATACAACATTTGCTACGGAGCCTCGCAGGGCCTCCATAAGGTTGGCGAGAGAACGGCATGCAAGAAGCATGATCTCGGGGTTCTCTTCGCCGAACTGGTTTGGCTGCATCAAGGCCACAAGCTCCTTCACATAGGGGTCAGGCGAGAACTGACCAGAGAGGTTGTCCTCGTTCGAGACAAGCAGGAGATCCGATAATTCCTGGAGAGCAATTAGCTGCAGAGAAGGATCATCCTTTGCTCTCAGGTTGCAGAGAATGTCTCGAAGGCGTGAAGACATGCCAGTCATCATGCCAGTGAGCGCACGGAGAGTGCTCTGGAGCCCCATTGGAGTTCGACCACCGAACAGACTGCTGTGGAATGGATCCATATCATCGTCATCGAACGCCGAGGGGTTAGTGCCATCGTTGCTCTCCCCCGTTTGGGATCCTTGATGCTCTTCGTGTTCCTCATCTTGCTCAAGCTCCTCCTCCTCCGCATCACGCATCACGACATCGGGATTAGATTTGACGGACCGCTTTTTCGAGCGTCGGGGTGGGGGAGATTGTGTTGTCCCTGGTCGATCTATGTACAAACATCAATGCATCAGTAACCATTGGACTTAGACATCAATGCCTTATGTGACCGCAGATATTCATCCATTGATCTTACCATTACGACTAGACTTTCGCCTTGTTGGTTGTGGTGAGATTGCCGACTTGGATGATTCTTCGGAGGGCCGAGACGGTCTACACCAGCAGATCAGGTCAGCTTGAAACTCGCATCTCGCCGTTACTTAGCGCTTACCCTGGTTGTGACATAGCTGCGCGGCTGCGGGCGCCTCGCCGAGGTGCAGCAGCAACAGGACCAGTGGACGGAGCTGCCTGGGGTGCTGCGGTGCGTGTTCGCTTGGTCTTTCTTTGTGGCGAAGGCGGTGCTGGAGCGTCTGCTTGCCGGTCGTGGCGGGAAGATGCCTTGCGTTTCCGTGACGAGGTTGAGCCGGTGGATTGTAGCGGTGTACCGGACTCAGGGGGTTCTGTGGCGAGTCTCGCAGAGGAGCGAGTTATTCTGGATGACATGAGAAAGTGATCTTTTTGGATTTATGGGTGACGATTAAAAGGGCGTGAAGAAAGAGAAAGAGAAAAGAAGAAGGAGATGACCGGGATGGTCCAAGCGATAGGCAGGTAGTTGGGTAGACAGATGACGAATCTAGAAGTGTAGAATCGATGATGATCTTAGGACTGCTAGCGAACCATCCACCCAAGAACAGCCGAAGGGACAAACGGAGCACGCTCAGGGATCATCGACCAGATTCTGGCCAGTGAAAGTTCACGGAGGGGAAATCTGATCCTCCAGTGTATTTGAAGGCGGAGAGAACGGGTGGGAAACTACCTCAGGGAAGAAGAGGCCGTGGAAGTGCCTGCGGGGGAAACGGGATAATCCTCGAGAGGGTCCTGGCGGTTGGCGGAGGGCCTTTGCCTGGCCATAAGTTATCGGATATGGGAAGCTCGATTGAGTATTCGTCGTCGCCGTTTTTAACCCGCCATCCGCATATACCGCTATTCAAGGCTAGCCGAGAGAGCGAGCTGGGCGAGAACGATGGGGGGAATGTTCGGGTAGCTGTCACTATTGCCGCTCAAGCTATGAGATCACCTCAAGAAAAGATTGCTGGAGCCCGTCACACGATAATTAATTTTTTGGGAGATGGGGGTGGGGGAAAGAAGGAAGAAAAAAAAATAGGAGGTAAATGGGAAAGAGGGAGGGTTTGATGTGGTGGTTGTGATGGGATTCGGGGAGCGTCAGGCGGCGGAAGTGCAACATTTCGATGATCTAACCACATACTTGTGCCCTGCTATATCCAAGTATATTGATTGTTTTGGTTTACTGCGTTCTTATGATCATAATCCTTCTACACCACCTAGGCAAATGGCTCATCGGTTCTTTATTTCTCGGCGTTTATCGCAAATTTACATCTTGCCCGGGTTAGACAGCTATTGGGCACGGAGGGCCCGAGACCTGTCTGACAGTGGCAATAAATATCTCAAGGGATCCTGCTCTTTGCTACAGAGTGGTGAGAATAGGTTGGGCGCATATGGTTAGCAGTTAGATATGGACGGCCAAAACAATCCAAAAGAAAACAGACATGGCCTATGAGAACAAAGCCCTTGAGAGCTAAGAGAACTTTATTTAGTTGGCCGTTAACTCCATAACTCCTTACGATGGAGTCCAGCGGCGTTCCGGACTGCGGATCACGGAGACAAGACGAGATCTCGATTGACTCACCGAGGTAGCAAGTTATTAATCACGACATCTGGACCCTGGGATATATTCAGCCAAAAAAAAAAGCAAAAACATACCTCTCTCTCGCACCTTTCAGTTCGCCTCTCCGGCGCATTCTCTTGCCGCCTTCGGCTCGCCCCCCCGCCATTCGCAATTCACAGAATTCTTCACTTCTCATCTCCCCGCTTTATAGCCCCATAACCCTTTTCTTCATCTTCCCCGGAATTCGAGGTTTCGTAAGGGAAATATATTCTTTTCTCCCTCTCAATCTCCAACATGACAATTGAAATGGTTGGTGGGCAGAGCGACGATGTCCACCAGGCACCCGCCGACATCACCCCCGCTCCGATGGGCGACTACACCTTCCCGGAGTTGCGCCTCAAGCGCACAATGACTGACCCAGAAAAGACCCCTCTATTGCTGGTCGCCTGTGGTTCCTTCTCCCCAATTACCTATCTACACTTGCGCATGTTTGAGATGGCCGCCGACCACGTCCGGTTTAGCTCCAATTATGAGCTCATTGGCGGGTATCTGTCGCCGGTGTCGGATGCCTATCGCAAGGCTGGTCTAGCTAGTGCGGAGCATCGGTAAGGCATTTTGGATGTCCATGCGGACTGATTCCGTCATTTTCCGAAGGCTAACCGCGTTGGTTTTATTATACAGGGTTGCGATGTGCCAACTCGCTGTGGATCAAACATCCGACTGGTTGATGGTGGATACATGGGAGCCGACTCAGAAGGCCTACCAACCTACGGCTGTGGTATTAGATCACTTCGATCACGAAATCAACGTTGTTCGTGAAGGAGTGGACGCCGGAAACGGAACTCGGAAGCCCGTTCGGATTGCTCTGCTCGCGGGTGCAGATCTCATTCATACCATGTCCACACCCGGTGTGTGGAGCCAGAAGGATTTGGATCACATTCTAGGCAAATATGGGGTAAGTGCTATTCCGGATCTCTTCGATGTCATTCTCGAGAAATTAGCCGCTAACAGGGTTCTCAGTCCTTCATCGTGGAGCGCAGTGGAACGGATATTGATGAAGCCCTAGCCAGTCTGCAACCCTGGAAGGATAACATCCATGTTATCCAACAGCTTATTCAAAATGATGTCAGCAGCACAAAGATTCGACTCTTCTTGAGGCGTGAGATGAGCGTGCGCTACCTTATCCCTGTGCCCGTGATTCATTACATCGAGCAACATCACCTCTATGAGGATGATGGCACGGGGGAGAAGGGTAAAGAGAGGCAGGAGGGGCGATCAGGATGATCCGGTGTTTTAATACTGCCTCCTGAGGCATGCCTATAATGACCCCCCAGCGACGCGACATCCTGATGCGATACCCCTGCCATCTGTCCCTTGCTGTGCGACGGATGATGAGTTTTCTTGGAGTTTGTGGAGTTACTTTTTGAACGGGTTTGTTGGCCTTTTCCTTAGCAGCTATGACGAGTGGGGGAGTCTGGCAAGTATCCCGCTCCAGCTGAAATAGCCACCTAGATGTACATATTATTTCGGAGCGGTTTCGTTGTTTTCCCCCTTGGCATACCCTTTGTACATATGAGGACGCAATAAACCTCTTGGGTTAGACTATAGCTAAATTTCATCGCAGTTGACATTACAAATCATCTTTTCTGTTCCAAGAACCGGCCTCGGTGGATACTCGATTAGGCAAGTAGATCGATCGCCTCCACATTCACCATTGTAACAATGAATGACACCATCACATAAAAGGACTGTGTATACGTGTGCATAATGTACTCTGTAGTCAGGATTCAATTCCGAGTATGCAAGTAAGAAATAAAGTAAGCCCCAATTCCCATTTCACAAATCACAGAATTCCCCCGTTTCGCACGAAAATTGGAAGCCGATCCGATCGCCCACTCGCTATCTTCCGTTATCGATCCTGCTTTGATCTCGGCCACAATTTACCAGCGCCCAGGCGTGCGAAAGACTTACTCCATCCACTCCTTTTATCCTCCAATTCCTCTCACTATGCGCTAGCAAATATTCAGCATTCCCGCCATGACCTTATCCGATGAATCCGCCCACGGCCACCCTCTGTGGCCGCTCACCCCTCCTAGTTCCTCCGACCCGCCAGCACCCAAAGATGTCTCATCGGTCGTCACGGCGATTCATGTGATCTCGACCGAGCGAGCGGCCCTCGCTCACCTCGAGCATATCTACCAGACCGATGCGCGCGCGCAGCACGATCTCGCCCGCGCCGTGGACCAGATCGCGCAGAGCGTGCGCGGGGGTGGGAAATTGGTCGTTTGCGGGGTGGGGAAGAGTGGAAAGGTCGGACGCAAAATCGAGGCTACGATGAATAGTCTCGGTGTGTACAGTGCGTTCCTGCATCCGACTGAGGCTTTGCATGGCGATCTGGGATTGGTTCGGTCGGTAAGAAAGAGCCCCTCTACGCCTGCAGGACGGTGCTTTTGTGATAGTACTTTTTGGGACATTTGTGACTGACCTCGTGTTAGAATGATACTGTTCTTCTTATCTCGTTTTCTGGTCGTTCGCCGGAACTTTTGTCGCTGCTTCCGCATCTGCCGGCTACTGTCCCGGTCATCGCGTTGACTTCGCATACACATCCGTCGACATGTCCGCTCCTCGCGCTGCATGGCGCTTCGGGGATGGGGATTCTTTTGCCGGCTCCAATCCATGAGGATGAGGAGACGTCCTTTGGCGTGAGCGCGCCGACGTCTTCGACGACGGTCGCCTTGTCGCTGGGTGATGCGCTGGCTATTGCTACGGCTAGGAAACTGCACTCTGCGACAGGGAAGAGTCCGGCCGAGGTCTTCCGAGGCTTCCATCCTGGTGGTGCTATCGGGGCTGCGGCAGCAGCGACACCCTTGACTACGCCGTCGAGTGGCATGTCGACGAGGACATTTGACTCTCCCACGTCGTCCGTGTCTCTTCCGTGGGAGGATATCACTAATACTCCGTCGATTCCTCCTTTCACTTTGCAGTCGCTGCCGGAGCAGCGGCTCGTCTCTCGAGACATGCTGGTTTCGCTTGATCAGATTCCGACGGTCTCTGCATCTTCATCGCGCTTGCCTGGCGACGTGCGGCTTCTCGATGTCCTCCTCACAGCCATTCAGCACCCCAATGCTAAATCTTGGGTGTTTCTGTCTCCCTCTGAGATCATCCCTCCACGGCGCATTCGTTCTCTGCTTTCTTCTGGTGGAGATATGGACATGCGTGTTTCTGAGGTTGACACTAAGAGCCTTGGTTCTCAATTTGTTGTACCTCGAAGCAACTGGCTCTTAGTCCCGGAATCCACACCTCTCGCTGAGATTCGGACTATTGTCTCCGAGTCCCAAGGTGGCTCAAACCCAGCCTCTGTCATTGCCGTCATGAAAGACCGGAATGCCCCTGGCAGTTGCATAGGGGTGATAGAGGCAGAGGATCTATTGGATGTTTGACATGCCTGAAAAGTTACCCAGTATCTTTTTCTCTTTGCCTATCCTGCACATACTTGATTTTATACATCGTTTGCATCATGCATCCGGTTGACGATGTCACGCCATACAGCTTTGTTTTTTCCTCCTATAAATTATTTTTTTCCTCGATGCACAATGCACCTTTACATTCAGAGCCCGAGCCTTAAGGCAAAGGCAGTTCATACACGATGCAAATCAACGCCAATAATATTTCATGGTAATACAATCAGTATGCAAATGTCAAACCAAATATAGTACAAAACAACACAAGTCCCCCCAAATCAAGCCTTAACAATGGGCTTGATACCCTTGTGAATAGCAGCAATACCACCAGTAAGGTTCTCAAAGCCCTGACCAGGAATCATAAACCCAGCCTTCTGAATCATACCCCTAAACTCCTCCTGGCTGGGGAACCGCTCAATACTCTCAACCAGATACTGGTAGCTATCACGGTCTCCGGCAACAACCTGTCCAATAAGGGGGATAGCACCGAAGTTCCAGCGCTTATAAATCCCATCCAGGATGGGGTTATCAACCTTGCTGAACTCCATGCAGGCAAAGACACCACCGGGCTTGAGCACACGGTACGCCTCGTTCAGCGCAGCCTGCTTATCCGTGAAATTGCGGATACCGAAGACAACCGTGTAGAGATCGACCGAGGCGTCGGGGATGTGAGGCATGTGCTCGGCGTTGGCCTCGACAAAGTCCAGCCGGGAGGTGTTGTAGTAGGGGGTGTCGAGAGAGCGCTTGCGGCCCTCGGCGAGCATGTCGGCGTTGATGTCGCTGATGGTCACGCGCGTCTCCATGTCGTGGTTGATGTTCGTGGCGTGGTCCAGCATCCGGAACGCGATGTCGCCGGTCCCGCCGGCAATGTCGAGGATGTTCCAGCCGCGCTGGTCGGCGGTCATGGCGGGGAGGCAGGCGCCTGGGTTGAGGGAGCGCACGAAGTGGTCTTTCCACAGGCGGTGGATGCCAAGGGACATTAGGTCGTTCATGCGGTCGTAGGAGGCTGCTACGGAGCTGAAGACGGCGCCGACTGTAGGGGGGATGGTTAGCGGGTTTCGGGTTTGGTCAATTGAGGTGATGCTCAATTGGAGAAGGTGTGGTGAGAGCATTACCTCGCTGCTCCTTCTCGGATTCGGGCACATTGGTGAAGCCGAAGTGTGTCATGCGGTCATTTTCTGCTTTCTGGTCCTGGGCGCGGTTGGCACAGGAGAAACAGCGGTAGGGAGTGGTGGGCTGGAAAGCGCGACGCTTTGCACTGTAGTGCAGGGCTCGCCAGGCGGAGCGGGTGGACATGGTGGACATGGTGGAATTGATGTTGTTGGTCTGGAGAAGCTGGAACGGGCAACTTTTCTTTTCCTGTTCCGGTCTCCACTGGTGCGTGCCCTTAAGCATCACCCGCACCAGCCAATCAGAGTGTATAGTTTGTGGGGAGTCCAGTACGACTCTTGTGCTCACTTTCGTAGGGAATTTCTTTTTCAAAAGACTGTCAGGTTTGAGATTGCAATTGGAAATAGATTCTACCTCTCTCAAGCTCTACTTATCCCCTGTCATGAGATCAGTAGGTAGAAAGCCCGTCATGCTGGAATCTATACTTCATACACAACCAACTATTTCGAGATCTGATCTACCAAGTATGCCTAAGACAATCTCTTGAAGTTGGAAAGGAGATCCGCAGAAACAAAACCTCGATAACCGAGCTCAAGCGTTCCCTGGAGTTTGTAGCCCCTAGAATCAGTATTAACTTTGACTTGACAACTAGGTAATTAGTCCGATTCAACCGAAGCACAATTGGGATCAAAACGAAGAATAAATAGTAAAATTGGTATATATATGATAAAAAATCGAGCAATAGAGCAATCACCACATCTTCTCCCATGCCCGCCGGACCCAGTTCATCTGAGCCAGCTCCTCCTTCCTTCGTTCATCCCAATCGCCATCTTCCCAGATCCTGCACTCTTCATCGATCTCCGCCTTCCCACTGTACAAATCCGCCAATGCAACGCTCACAAACGAACTGCGATGATAAACCTTCCAGAAAGTAAACATCACCACCCAGAACGCAAGACCGAAATACGAAGTGACGAAGCCCTGCACACTGAAAGGCTTGAAGACGGAAAATCCGTTGAAAAGAGCCGTCAAGGAGCCGATAATGATAGCAAGAATAGCGCCGTATGGCTGGAAAGGGGCAACCCAGGGGACGAATGTTTGGCGATCAATCCCTTGCGCTTTCATAGCGCGGTACCACGCGATGAACACGCAGACCATGCCCGTGTAGGTGAGCACAAAGGCGATGGTTGTTAGATCGACGAACCAGTAGAATACCTCGATGGAGGAGGTATTAGACACGAGAAAGGTGACGCAAGTAATTAAAGATACTGTGATGACACAGTTGATGGGAATACCGGCTGCGGTGCATCGTAAGAGGAACTTCGGCGCTTGGCCCTTACGAGCAAGGGAGTAGAGTGTTCGACTGGAGCTGTAGAGGTAGGCATTGCCACATGACCAACCAGAAAGCAGGATCATCAAGTTGATCAAATCAGGCAACCCGCTGATACCTAGGTTCTCGATTCCAATCACCCAAGGTGAGGCAGCGGAGCCAGAAGCACCGTCAGTGATGGCGGACATAAGCCGTGGATCGCGCGGGTTGCAGATGATGCCTACACCTAGTACTCCGAAGACATAGAATCCCACAATACGCCAGAAAGTCATTTTAGCCACTCGGGGGATGGTTGCACGCGGGTGCTGGATCTCTCCTGCAGCGAGGGCTGGGATATCGGGGCCTGCGATAGAGAAGGCTGCGTAGACCATGACGGAGAAAAAGCCCAAGAATCGGCCCGTTGAGCCGTCGGTATAATACTCAAACATCACACCGTCGGTCCAATTCCGGAAGCCATAGACATCATGCTTCGGATTGCCGCCCACCATCGTGATAAATGTGAGAAGCACGAGGCCGACGAGAAGGAGGATTTTTGTTGATGCTAGGATAAACTCGCTCTCGCCATACCATTTCACGGCGACAAGGTTGAGAAACGTGCATATGACTAGCGCCATGGCTACCCAAACGGCAGGATTGATGCTTGTGTTCCAGTATTGCATGATCGTTGCCACTGAGGAGTACTCCGTACATACGAACATTACACCACCATAGAAATATACCCAGCCCCTAAAGCCGTTAGTATCCGGGACTAAAAAGGAAAGTAACCGGAGGCAAGACAGGACTCACATGGCGAACCCGAAAGCCGGGTCGATAAACCGAGCAGCAAGCTCAAAGATCGATCCACGGATAGGAAGGTATGCAGCCATCTCTCCAACACACAGATTGACAGGTAGAATAAACAGACATCCCCAAACAAGAAACCCGAGGAACAGTGACAGTGGACCAGTATCCCGGAGATAGGATCCAATACCGACGAACAGCCCCGTACCAACCGAACCTCCAATGGCCATCAGTTGCACATGTCGAGATGTCAGCCCACGCTGTGTTTCTCGGTAGGGGTAAACATTTCCTTCGCTGGTATCCTTTTCTCCGGTATCATTTGGGACAGAAACGTCTGTGGGTTCTTCCTTCTTCTCCATGATGGAATGCTACTTGAGCCTGAAGTCACTCCACCAGCACCGGAAGCGGGGAACACAGTCTTTTATACTCTTCGTGCGCACCGGCATTAGGGTCAATCCGCTCTGTATAGACTGTACTGCGTAGATCCGGTGCGGAGAGAGAGAACGCCAAGGACGACATAGATACAGAGTACGTAGAGACACGGCATGCTAATCAGGCAATATCGGGCAGTGACAGTAGCCACACAGTCAAGGACACGGACCGGTTCTGCATTAGAGCCAACTCCAACCACTCATAAGAGACATAATGACTAGGGTCCGAGAGGGTATCAGGGTTCTCCCAAACGAGGGAAGGGAAGGCGAGGCTAAGATCTGCCAAGTGATAAGCTTATCAGGCTGAATGGACCAGTTAAGACCAATTTGAGATCGGCAGTCAGACGCTTGATAGGACAAGCTGTCTTCCGAAGAGAAAGCCCACCCGTGTGGGGGTAACTTCTTGGCCAAAGCCTTGATATCGGAACTTGGCCGGCAGATGTCGATGGACCAACATGAGCATCAGATTGACAGCCAAAGTGTCACCAAATAATTACGGTCGATACCACTCTACTAGTTCCATGTGCCTGCTCACTACTACATGCATATCGACCTTGTTCTTTTAGGACACCCTAGAATCTACGAAAGCTTGACAACTCGGCCAAAACTGAAGCCAAGATGTATACCCCACGTTCTAAGCAGGGGTCTACGCTCGGGGGCGCTAAATATGTGGCTAGTTAGACGCCGAAACCGGTGTTGTTCATATTTCTTTGCCTATGGTCAATGTTGGCAGGTCCAGCCGAGCGAATGACTGCTTCCACTCATCCGGTATTACTCTGTAGAGCATCGGGAATTGAATTCCAGAGTCGTCGACTAAATAGAAACAAAAAAACGAGAATAGGAAGAAGCAAGCAACGCCGGCCTTTATGGCTTCCGTCTCCACCATATGGGCACCCCGCCACCCTTAAATACCAACATGTAGATGGTCATCACGCTAAACGTGGAAGTTCTTCGCTCAAGACATATATATTCATGTGATTCTTTGTGTACTGGTGAAATGGCAAATCTAAAAGACTATAAAAAAAACCTTCAGAAAAGAGGGCAATTTTAGGACCATCAAGGGTAAATATAGCTTGAACCACTAAAATTATATAAACCTCAAGGAATAAAGTGATACCAAATCTGACCATCTCGGGCATCGTGAGAAATCAATATAAACGAATGATTATATACACGGATGCTGCTCTACTCTACAAATGGGATGATCAAACAAAACGCCTGCAACTCCGTGGGAAACCCCCACCCCATTACGTATCATTCAAAGGCCAGCGGCAGGAAACCTTCCGAATGGGCATTATCCAATGGCCACGGCCAATCCGATAACAACTCCGGCGGGAGCTGGAACTGCATCATTGGCTCGCCCATCCCTGTGGGCGGGCCAACTGCCGGACCAGGCCCACTGCGAGGAATGTATGGCGCGGAAGGCATAGGCAGCTCGGGTTTGACCTCGACGGGCATAGTATTATGATGGAGCGGTGGATGCATGGGTGGTTGTGTGACTATGGGGTTCACCAGCCGGGATGTCCGCATGTACCCGTCGATGCGATCTACCTGCGACCGTAGTCGTGCACTAGCGCCTGAGGCGCGCTGGAGACCTGTTTCGAGGCGGCCGAGGAGATCGGCCATTTCGAGTCTGTGGTAATGATCATTAACACGGGTTGAGGTGTTTTGGATGATAGGAGGTACTTACAGTAGGGTGCGGACTCGCTGATAGGATGCTTCTGATAAACTTCCTTCCATTACAGAGCCGAGGATATAACCGATTCCACCAAGATGGTGGAGCTGGAATTGTTAGTTTTGGGCCACAGAGAATCAAAGACGAAAGACATACTAAAGGAGAGCTGATGGCATTCAAGTACTCCACTGGTACTTTGCTGAATACGCTGAGAAGTTCTCCAGCCACATCACATTTCCGGTCTACGCCAAGCTCCTCCGCTGACAAGAGTACCATCCGGAGGAGCTGCAGCGTTGCCTGGATATTCGCAGACTGGAACCCGAACAGATCCTTGGCCATATCGCCTGTTGTGGGCGGAGTTTCTTTGAATTGTGATGGCAATGCGGCGTACATGGATAATACTCGCTCCATAACTGCTGGTTCTGACATGGATGCCGGGGCGAACAGAGACCATACTTGTGAAGTTCCGTTGGCTGACGAAAAGCGACGCCGATTACCATCAACGACGTATTCCAGAATCCGATACAGATCTGTGGTGAAGTTCCAGCCCCGGAGCCATGCTACGGGCTGCCGTGACACGACTGTCACATTACCTGGGCTGACCACCCCCGATTCTGGAGAGAAGGGCGGCAGGCCGTAGCCATGTGCAGTGATAAACTCATCATCGACTTCACTCGGATATCTGACCAAAGAATGCGCTTCACGATAGCGAATCACGCCTCCCCACACAATGGTGGAATATATATCCAACGTATAGATAGACCAAAACTTGAGACCCATGAATTAGCAGAAAGAATAGTCGTAAGATAAACGAATGCATACCAGTCTTCGACGCTCCTCTATTTCGATAGGACTCAAATGCTTCGGCCAGAGTTTCTCATCATGAAGGCCTTCCATGCTAGTTAAAGTATGGTACATGCCGGAGTACTTCTGCATGTTTTTGATCTGGCCATTCTGGATACTGGCGATTGCGAGGATAGCGCATGCACGCATATAGTTTATTCCCTTCGCTGCGGCAAGATCTCGGGGAATCGAGTCCTTGGCAGCAGCATAAAATGCTTCAGATGGAGTTTCTGTAAGTTCATCCCGATGCCATCTATTAGTGAACAGCGCGCCGTCTCGTGCGCGCCCGGAAACCAAGGCGCAAACTGCCATGGTTGAAGCAAACAGCCCCGGGTTCCGGAGATGCTCTTGATTATTTACTCTCTCGATGAAAGATTGCTTGTGGAAAAGCGGGAAGCTAGAAAATAGATCAGCCATCGAACCGAATAAACAGAAAGTAAGATTAATTTGTACATTGGATAGACAATCTCGAAATACACCTGCACAAGATTGCGAATTTGGCAATCACTCGCAATGGCAAATGCATTCCAAGAGTTTCGCAATGCGCCATCATCATCATACCCTTCCGTTGCCACGCCGGCAGCATGAAAGGTAGACCATGGATCTCCAGTCAACGAGGGGCGGTGGGTTGACTCAGCATAATATGAGCTTCTAGAAGCGGAGGAATTAGATGTCCTCCCCATGACCGGTGCAGCATGCGTTGCAGGGGGAACATTCTCAACGCCAGTCGTGTTCACCAACGTCTCTCGCGCAGGTGTAGCCCTGGTGCCAGCCTTGACGCCCCGGCGTTTCGCCGGACGATCAAAGGTGCATGGAACATCAAAGTCCGCACAATTCTGACATCTGCCTAGCGGATCTTCACATCTGCCGCACTTGATGCTGCGCCTATTGCAGAAGTCGCCTGTGAATGCAAGTGTGAGTGAGCTGTTTCTACTGCGATATGGGGCAATCTTCGCCAAGAGTGGAGCATAAGATTGAACGCGGGGGACTGACAGGCCTTGGAGACGCGTTGGAGCTTGCGGGGTTTTTGCGACATTCAATTCATTAGTTCATTCCAACCCCTGGAAGATGTCTTGGGCGCAAAGGATGCGGGAATTCGTGGGCCCCGAGTTTCGGTCGAAAAGCGGGATTCGGGGTCTGCAGGGATACGGGTTGTGCTGAGTTCCTGGGGTGTGGGGTATAGAATGGGCAAAAGGCACGCGAAAAAAATATTGACAGGTATTCCCAAGCAGCAATTGTCTCCGATGATATCGATGCGCAATTCAATCAATGGACGTGGTGTCCGCAGATAAAAGTCGGCGTTAGAGTTGCAGAAGAAGCTGACTCAGCAGCGTGTCATCCCGAAAGCAGTGGAGATTCCGACGATCGTCTATGTCGACGGCGTCTAGGAGGAAGAATAGATTAAAGTGATTTATATATTTATAGTGTGTAGCAATTGAGAGGAAGTTAGATGAGATAGTGGGTATATACATGTGCAAGTATGTTATCTCTGCCCTCGTATAGGACTAAACGAAGACTTTACTTGGAAAATGATGAAGAGCCGGGAGTCAAACAAAAGCGAAGTGAGATAGCCGAGTGTCGAATATCTATATAATACATTAAAGGAGGTGCAAGTCTTTTGTCGCATGATCTTATACATGTGATGTGCATGCTGCAGGTATAACAAAATCAACGCGCTCTATATGTCATGTCGTAGATAGTCGATCATCATTCAAACCGAGCTGGAGAGGTTTTCAAATGTCGTCTGGTCGGCTTTGCCCTCGCCGAGAGCCTCTCTCTTGTTGACTCCGTGTTCAGCAAGGACATCGCCATGGAGTTTGTACGCCTCTTCCATCTTCCAGTGGAAGGGGCTAGAAGTCGAGAAAAGAGCGTCAATGGACTCAAGGGACCGGTTTCGGGTTTCGGGATAAACTGTGAGAAATATCAAGTTAGCCCAATGAGACCACGACTGATCCAAATGTGATCAAAAACATACAAAGGTAGACGATCGGGATCCATAGAAGATTAAGGCCAGCAAACAGGAAGTATGTACGGCTCTGAGATATTGTCAGTATGGAGATGCAAAAATGACAGGGGAGAAACTCACGGTCATGACATCAAACATGATCGGGTTAACCAAAGTGGTCATACCCACACCAATGGCCCACCCTGTGATGCCGAATCCATTGCCTTGGGCTCGCAGATCACTGGGGAAGATCTCGGTGGGGACTAAGAAAGCAACCGTGCCCCATGTTGCAGCATAGCTAGTGACAATCACATTAGGATGGAAAAAAGGTTATCGCAGTCTCATGTAGACGACTTACCCCAGATTAAACAGAAATAGCATGGTCACCGCACCAGGCGCATACTGAGATGCCTTCGCGGGATTATGTATCGAGCCCTCGTAAACAGCTCCGGCCTATAGAACCGTCAGAAGAAAGCACGTCGATGCGCAGAAGAACAACCCACAATAAGATTGACGGCGAACAACACAGCTGCTCCGCCCATTAAACAAACACGTCGGCCCAAGCGATCGATAATTTGTGCACTGATAATAGTACCGATGATTCCAATTGTGTTGATTCCTCCAGCAAGACCATTCTGCTTTATATCGCTATAACCTGCCTGGGCAAGTAGGGTTGGAGAATAGGCAGTCACAGCCTAGGGTCATTATCAGCACTCTCGCACTTTTAAGGTTGTTTATAGTGAGCAACCCGTCACTTACTGTAATACCTGTCCAGGATGCCATTATTTGAAGCCACACACAGAGCCAAGCGCGTCGGCCAAGATTGAGCCCCGGCTTCCCACCCTTTCCAAACAAGATTTTTACAAACTCGACGGGGGAGCTGGGCTTGCTTCCCCGCGCAATAGTTATGATTTCAAGGTATTCTTGATCGATATCCTCCTGAGAAGCTCGGTCTTTGCGGATCCGGTTCAAAAGATCTCGGGCTTCCTCGTTCCGCCCCACCGAGGCCAAATAGCGGGGGCTATCGGGCAACATTTTGATAAACGCGACGAGGAGCAATGCCGGGAAGCACTGGAAGGCGAGTAAGAAACGCCATCGTACGTCTGAATAACCATTATTGACGAACGCGAGGCCGAACGAGATCCAATACGCGACGGAGATTCCTAAATCTTGAAAAACGACGTCAGTAACGGTCCCCACAGTGGGTATAGCGGATGGACGGCTCACAATTTGCAATGAAGACATAGCCCAAGAAACCACCTCGATGGTTTGCGGAAGAGGTCTCCGCCACCAACACCGGAGTGATGCCTGTCAGAGCTGTAACAAAAAAATAATAACAAATCAGCATGGCTTTCTTAGGCCCCAAGCTAAGGCAGTGCTAGCAGGGATCCTCACCGCCGGTCCCAACGCCAGTGACCACTCTAGCACACAACATGAAGTTCGAGTTCTGGGCAGCCGCTTGCAGGGCGCCACCAACCAATGCGAACAATGATCCAGCGAGTAGGCCATTGATCCGGCCGACTCGATCTGCAAGCCACCCGCCGGCAAAACAGCCGAAGATCGCGCCCAAGTAATAAACACTGACAATGCCACCCTGGTGTGTGGTGTCGGTCACCGTGCCATCAGATTCACCAATTCCAACCTCTGTCATATATGTTGGTGAACTGTTGACGCCACCCATCACACCTTGGTCATAGCCTTCGAAGAAGATCGAAATCAGCGAAAACGTCTGAATGGCCACGTTCAGCTGACGTGGCGAAAGGCGCTTCCATAGTGTGGTGTAGCCCATGGTGAGCAGCCCCAGATCGTAATAACGAAGCGATCCAGAGGCAACTAGTGATTCTTGTTATGGGTCCCGCCCGCAGTATCTGAATGAAGAATCTGCCTAGCTCACAAAAGTCCGGGGGCGCAATATGGAGCTGTTCATGCGGGGAGGCCTAAGCCCCAATCTCAAGCCGCGTAGCCATTTAGCATTCGGATTTTTTTCTCGTAAATAGGCGTTTTGCCGATCATTCCTTCTGCCCTTGTTCAGCCTGATCTATCAGAAACATGGAGAATGCGAGAAACCACATTTTCCGTCGCCACCATTCACCGGCTAGCTCACTATGGCTGAAAGATTCGGGTTTGTTAAATAGGGCCTCGGTCCTCGGATTGAGAAAGCTTCCCCCGAGTTGTTGTTCTGATAGCTTCGATACTATTTACGACTTGGAATATGGCTGCCAACTCCGCCAATGGCACTACCAGCCATGCGTTGGATCTCACAGTTTTGGGCTTAAACAGTGGTACATCCATGGTATGTGGCTATCTACAATACACTCGACACTGTAAAAGCACCAGACTCATCATCATAGGATGGCATCGACTGTGCTCTCTGTCGATTTCGCCAGGAGACCCCCGAATCACCTATGCACTTCGAACTACTCAAGGCAAGTACCCGAGACAGCACTTCACGGGATAGACATGTTGACCAATGTCACAGTATGGCGAAATCCCACTTGAGCCCGTAATCAAGAAGCGCGTGATGAACATGATCCTGCACAACAAGACTTCCCCATCTGAGCTGTCCGAAGTAAACGTAATCCTAGGCGAGACCTTCGCTTCAGCCGTACACCAGTTCTGCGCGGATTACAAAGTGGATATCAAATCAATCGACGTCCTCGGATCCCATGGCCAAACCATCTGGTTACTCTCAATGCCGGAAGCTGGCGAGACCCGCAGCGCTCTAACAATGGCCGAGGGCACATTCCTCGCATCCCGCACAGGCATCACCTCTGTCACAGACTTCCGGGTAAGCGACCAGGCCGCTGGTAGGCAAGGAGCACCCCTGATTGCCTTCTTCGACGCACTGGTGCTACACCACCCCACCAAGCTACGCGCGTGCCAGAACATCGGCGGCATCGCGAACGTCTGCTTCGTTCTACCAGATAGCCATGGCGGCGTCGACGCCTGCTATGATTTCGACACTGGACCGGGAAACGTCTTCATCGATGCCGTCGTGCGCCACTATACCAACGGCAAGCGCGAGTACGACCAAGATGGGGAAATGGGAGCCCGCGGTACTGTCGACCAGAAGCTTGTCGACGATTTCCTAACACATCCTTATTTCGCCCTTGAGCCACCCAAGACTACGGGTCGTGAGGTCTTCCGCGATACCCTCGCCCACGAGTTTATCGTCAAGGCCGAGACCAAGGGTCTCAAGCCGGATGATGTCGTCGCTAGTATTACCCGCGTCACTGCCCAGGCCATCGTCGACCATTACCGTCGCTACGCGCCTAAGGATCTTGAGATCGCTGAGATCTTCATGTGTGGCGGTGGCGCCTATAATCCGAATATCGCTGCTTTCATTCAGTTAAATTACCCCAACACTCGCATTATGATGCTAGATGAGGCTGGCATCCCTGGCGGCGCCAAGGAGGCCATTACATTCGCGTGGCAAGGGATGGAGGCTGTGGTTGGCCGCTCCATCCCTGTCCCTACTCGTGTTGAGACTCGCCAGGAATATGTCCTTGGGAAGGTGTCTCCGGGTAAGAACTACCGCAAGGTCTTGCGCCAGGGCATGATGTTTGGCGCTGGTCACGACCACCTTGCTCCAGTCAAGGAGTTGGTTAACTATATTGATGGTAAGCCGTTTGATAATAAATGGTGATTGTGGGGGATTCTGTACAAAGTCCTTTGCATAACGGCTTTGGGATGCTATTTACGTACATTGTTTGTTGTCTCCTTTTTTTACTTTCCTATTTTTGGCGCGGTCTTAGAATGAGTATATGCACATGATGAAACGACGAGCGCAATATATAGACGTCCTTAGCTATCCTGTTTCCTCGTCGATCACTCTCTGGGGTTGGTGTAGATATTGGATGTTCTATGTATCGAGATCGACTCGAATATAAGATGATCTACAACACTAGCCTAGTTACATTGATCACCTCACGCAAGTAGCATGCACGGAATATTGTAAATATCCATTGGCCATTGTAGCAATTCAAAAGAAATCAAAACAGGAATGACAGATCAAAGTTAACACTATCTGAGATACGAAAGCCGGCACGTTATACTCTTCAACTGGTAGTCTGATCTCACAGACTACGTACAGTAACACCATCCACCCACTTACCACTAGTTTCATCATTCTGTACAACGAATCTCAGAATCCGTTTCTCGCCAGGAAGTGTTGTGAACGCGTTATCCTCAAAGTAGCCCACAGTGCCAGCGGGATAGTCAAGCCATGTGTACAGCGAGACGGCAGTCTGAGCTTCGACAGTAAATGTACCGGTCTGGGCATCGTGAGACAGCTTCAGTTGGGGATCTTTCACTTTCAGATCTTTAGGAATGACCGGAGTGAAATGGTTACGATGGGTGAAAGTAGTCAAAGCCTTGTCTTCAGTATTTGGAGGGCGGCCCTCAGCAGCCAGATCCATGATCAGTATAGCATCTTGAGTATTGGACAGAGAGAGGTTTGCCACGTTGATATTGTAGATACTGGTTGTATTAAGTGCTCCAACGGAAAACTGTTTGGTCTTGGGGCTGCCAGCATTATCTAGGATCGGCTTTCCGGACAGGTCTACCCAGGTGAAATTCACCAAGCCGTTCGCAGTCTCCCAAAGGTCGGAAGTCACATAAACAGACAACTCTCCAGTAGATGGGGTCCAGAATGGCGAAACAATGATAGGCTGGAAGATGTCGCGGGCGACGTAGTGAAGAACCTTCCAGCGGCCGTCATACTCAATACCAGCCCACGTTGGGGCCTGCCAGATATCTTCCAGTTGCCAGTACAAGGATCCGAGCTGGTGCTCTGGCATTCCACTGCCGCGGCGATAGAACTGTATTTCGGACTTGTACATATCCGCCTGGAAAAGCTGTGTCGCGTGACACCAGGCACTGAAGTTGGCAATGGAGTCTTGCTTGTTGGGGATCGGGTAGTATCTCTCGACGGCAAGAGTCATTTCGGCCATGCCCTTTGACGAGTTCTTATAGTTGTGGGTGTCTTGATTGTTCGATGGGTAGTGGTGATTTCGTAGCATGATAGTACTGCTATTGAAGTGGAGGTCTTCATCGTTTATGGCTTGCTGCCATGTCTGTAGACTCGGCATGCTGTGGTAGCCGAATTCATTGGCGAAGCGGCCAACTGGATAGCCTGAAAATTCAAACGCCACATTGCTATTATAGTTGTAGTAGTCGGTATCACCGTAGTAATGTCCCTCTGCCTTTGTGCCGTTGTCGTAGCGCTCGGCCATGGGAACCGGAGCAGAGACATCAACTTCCAGGAAGCCGTTATTAGTGCTACTGGGCATGTATGAGATTGATCGTGAGTTCTCATATACGAGCGGAAGAATCAATGTGATAAACAGATGTTCGTAGTCTCCAATCAAGCGGTCATAGGATGTAGGATCGCGTTGCTTAGCCGTTGGTAGCATCAAACTTTCGATCTCATTTCCACCAGCCCATAAGGCTAACGATGGATGGTGATTTACTCGTCTCACGTTGTAAACAACCTCGGCAGCTACATTGTCTAAGAAAGGCTGGTCTGTTGGATATAGCGCATCGCTGAATTGAAATTCGCTCCACAATAGTACTCCGCGTTCGTCGGCAAGATTGTACATAAAGTCCGGAAGGTAAGCACTCGATGCCCAGACTCGGAGCATATTCTGATTTCCAGCAACAACTGCATCGAAAAGTCGCTGCATTTTGGCCTCTGTGACTCGCGGCCAGAATGCATCTGGCGGGATGAGATTTGAACCCTTCGCATAGAACTCATGGCCATTAACTTCGAAATGCCAATTGGCACCTGGTGCAATACCTTGCTCCAATTGTGCCTCGGTGATATTGGACCGGTTCAGGAAAATAGTGCGGAAGCCTGTTCGCTTGGTTACGCTGGCAAGCTCATGGTCTTTGTTCTGTATGATGACTGTGATGTTGTACAGGCTTTGCTTACCCATCCCCATCGGCCACCAGAGTCGAGGTGCATCTGCATCGACGACAGTGGTGCCAGTGATGGTTTTACCAGTCACAACGACGTTATCAAGCGACCCAGACTTCAATACTTTGCCCGAATCCAGGTCTTTGATCTCAATCGTCATAGACGGTTCCCGAGGAAGAAAACCGAGATAGTCAATACTTGCATTCACGATCCAAGGCTGACTCTGATCGGGAGCAAGATGGTTAATTTGGCCCTTTCGATAAACATCGAAGCCCGTGTTGACAACATATACACTTTCTTCGTCTTCAGATTGCACGAGGTAGATATTTTGCCATGGGCCAGCAGGCGAGAACGCCGGTCCCCAATCCCAGCCGAAGTCGGACTGTTCTTTGCGAATGTACCAGCGATTAGGAAATTCGAAGACTCCTTGAATCCCGGAAGCCCATTCTGCCGATAGTGTCAGACATATATACCGGTCTGTTTCCTAAGCACTTACTTTGTGAATTTGGATCAGCAGCGATGGCATCTGCAATCTTCGTAGCACTTCCAAACTCTAGAGAAAGTGTCGGGGAATCATTGCAATGGCTGAGCGTATCCGATATATCGAAGGTGTACTGCCGAAATTGGTTATCTGTAGCGCCTATAAACTTACCACAAAATTCAACTGTTGTAAAAGTGTCGAGGCCGTTGAACACCAGCCAAGAGGATTTAGAGTTGCTTAAGCTTTTAACAGAATCAGCAGTGATCACAGTTAAATAGCGAGGGACACATACAATCCGTCGATTGGCTGGCTCGTGTAGGTCCAATTGCTGTCCCCGATCCAACGCAAGTTGAAATTATTTAACCCATGGTAGCTTCGGTGTGATTCGAGTCAGCATGAAACAAATGTCAGCACATAGGACTTTGACTGACGGATCATCTGCTTTTATTAGACCTATCAATATTCTAAAGCAGTGAGAACTCACCGATGACGCTCGCAGCAAGAAGATCCAAATGCACCTGGGAGGGGACCTGGCCAGGGACACTGATATTCAACGCCTTGCTAGTGACAGTCCAACCATCGCCACTAAGATCCAAAATATTCTGCGCAGAAGTCTTCGGTGAAAGCCCCGCTAGTATAAGCTGCTTCCAGATATGCATAGTGTCAAGGGAAAAGGACAAAGAGGTAGGTTTTGAGCGCCGAGTGGCCTGGTGAGATAAGTACGTCCGACTTATCCTTTAATATACAGTTGAATGAACCGATGTGACACCTTCTCTACGAAGAGGGACTCAGCTTCAGCAAGTACCCCCTCGCGTAGAGGGGGAAGCAACGGTAGGAGCGGTGAGTTACGAGTCACGCCAGTCCTTGAGAGGCCGGAGGATTAAGTCACAAGTTGCGATTCTGGACTCTGCAGTATATAGGGATGATCGACGTTGGCGTGTCTATGCGGAGGTGGGGAGGGTCAGTGCAGAAGCCATCGACTGGGGTCTGAAGGCTTGCTTTAGCCTCTCAGCATGGACTTGTCACTCTCAAATCCCTGGATACACGTAGGCAGACACAGATTTGGGTTTTCATTTATTCTCAGGCAGATATAGCAGAGAGTTCTATTATATGAGAGTGAGCCCCTGATTCCAAGCAATAGTGCTGACTTGCATTAAAACGATGAATGTAATCTCATTCCGAAACTCTCAATATAGTGGTGTATATACTATACAGGCTTATCTATGTTTGTACACTATCTGCTGTTCACTAAGACGTCAGGTTCTTGCGCATCACCGACACATCACTCGGCAAGAACCCAAGTCTATCAGTGAGGTAGCTCTCGACGCCGTTCACATAGGTGCGCTCGAATGCTTTCAAAAATGCAGCCATGGCATGAGGTCGAACACCACACATTTCCAGCATACCAAGTGCCTCCGGACTCAACTGGTTGATTTCAACTTCATCCGGTCCCATATTTACAGCGCATGCCTCCATAAGGTTCTCTCGGGCGCTTTCCACCTCAACTCGAGTGAGGATGTAATCGTGGATGATCTTTTCATGAGGGCAGTTAATGAGGAGCAGGATGAGAGCGGCCAAGACGCCTGTGCGATCCTTGCCGGCTATAGACGGGGAACGTATGGTCAGTATTCGATTGATCAAGGAGGGACGGGGTAGTTGCACGACATCCCATAGAAATGAAGCACGAGAAGAAACACGATAGAGTAATACGGATGAAACTCACCTGAGCAATGGAAGATGAACGGATCGTCCGGATTATCTCTGATATGTCTGAATACCGCGGTGAAACCTGGGGCAGCCGCTTCGAGAATGCCCGAGTACATCTTCACGTATCCTGTGGCACCTTTATCTTCGCCTGTGAAGTCGCGAAGGCTCAAGGTAGCCGGTCGCGCTCCATATGGCACCCATATCGTATTGACTCCTGGGATAGACAATGCAGGGGCTTTTTGTCGCTCGCTTTCGTTGCGGAGATCGAAGATGGTGGTTATTCCCAATTCGGTTGCGATGATGGATTTCCCGGAATCCACGATACCTGACAAGTTTCCAGACCGATAGACGTATCCCGGGCGCAGTTTATTGTTATCATGGCTTAAGTCGCGGAAATTGGAGACTCCTGGTAAAGGAATAAATGGTGGCAGCGATTTAATCTTGTTCACCAGCGCTTCGGGGATTGGGGTTCTGATGTCGGTATTTAATACCTCGTGGATCTGATCAGATTTAAACATTGTTTGTATCACACCGTGGCAGAGGATGAAGATGGAAGGGAGATTCTTCCAGTCCAACTATGTCATCTCCAAAGAGTGGAGACTCCGAATCCTGTAGGCACAATGTCATCATCGTCGATGACGAACATCCAGATCGTCAGCTCTTTTCCAGGAACAATCTTGTTTCAGCAATTGTTTACCTTTTTATAGGAATGCTAAGCTACGTGGTTGTCGTCGACCTCGCCCTAATTGGCTCATAAGGATCTTCCAACATCCATCTAGGGCCTCATCTTCCACCTGGAATAGGCCCGTAATGTTTCCTTTTTTCTCCAAGGCAATCGTCTCTCATTCTCTGAGTCAAAGAAAATGAGTTAGTATTCACTTCTGAATCAAAGATCTCAGTAATGTCAAACGACAAACAGCAAATAACAAACTATATATAGGTTCAACAATCTAATTGGTGACCCTGTCACCATTTCATCTATCAATCAAATTCACTTCTATCTTCTGATCATATGTCTAACTACTCCATTTGAGAATGGAAAACATAAAAGTTAGTACAAAAATCCAAGACCTAGCCCCTAACAAGCAGTGGCACATCAGCGCAGCGATCTTCCGATGGGAAGGGCAACCCGCCCACTATAGCGTCCTGCTTCTAAGGCGCGCCAACAGTGAGACCCTGCTTGGTATCTGGGAACTTCCAACAGGCCCAGTCCGAGTCACCGACGTGAACATCGCCGGTGCTATCAAGCGCCAGGTCCTCGAAGACACCGGTCTCCCTGTGACCAGCATTATGGCTCAGGTCGAACCATTAAGATGGGAATCCGACTTCCAGTCCCATCGGCAAATCAACTACGGGATCCTTGATGAATCTCACCAAATGGTGAGAATCAATCACGAAAAGCATTCGGATTACCGGTGGGTGCAGTTGAAACATCTTCGCGCGTTTGACATTCCCCCGGCGACAAAGGAGGTGATTCGGGATGCCTTCAAGATTCACACCTTCTGGCATTGAGTGGTACACCAATCATCAATTCCTCAATTAGAGCAGAGATCTGAGATATTGGCCAAGAGGAATTCCATGCAATTTAGTCTGCTCCGTGCTCTGTTACCTGTACAGTTCCGTAGATTAACTCCCCCGCGTCGGAGACTCGGTTGGCCGCGGAGTGACGTGAAATGCCGACGCCAACCGCTCTCCGCACTCCCCGGATTGGCATTCAAAGAGCACAACATCTCGCATTCTCCTCATTGACACAAATCAAATCCATGTTGATAACAAGAGAATCGAAAATGTCTCTAAGGCTTCTGACTCGGAGCGGTTTCCGCAGTCAGTCTGGAACTACAGCGCGCATCGCCCCCGCACGGAGGTGGAGTAGTTCCATCTCGCAGCGGCCGGGTTCAGATAGGTGAGATGCCTTTGAGATCGAGTTTTTTGGGGAAAGATCTGACCAGATAATGTGCTTAGCGTTCGGTTCCCCGGTGCTGTGAACAGCAAGTTCACCACACAGATGGCTTTCCTCAAAGCATCGGATCTCCCTGCCATCCCTACCTACAGAGTGATGGATTCGGACGGAGAATTGGTTGATAAGACAAGATCTGCGCCTGATGTTACAAACGAGGAGGTGTTGACATGGTATAAGAACATGCTGTCAGGTTCGTCTCGTGATACCCAACGTGTTGTGAGATCATGAAGCTGACTACGGATTTGTAGTGAGCATCATGGACGTGGTCATGTTCGAGGCACAACGGCAAGGTCGTTTAAGTTTCTACATGGTATGTTATAGCTACGACAAGAGAAGGGAGCAGAAAAGAACACAACCCAACTAACTCGCTACAGGTTTCCGCCGGCGAGGAAGGTATCACAGTTGGATCCGCCGCCGCCTTGACACCGGACGATGTAGTGTTCGCACAGTACCGCGAGGCCGGCGTATTCCAACAACGAGGATTCACATTGAAGAACTTTATGAGTCAGCTCTTCGCCAATTGCAACGATAGCGGCCGTGGCCGGAATATGCCAGTCCACTACGGGCAAAATTATCCTCGCATGGTTAGTACCATCCATTTCTGGTCCCAATACGCTTCTCCAAGCTCACAAACCCACAGCACACAATTTCATCCCCATTAGCCACCCAGATCCCTCAAGCTGCAGGAGCAGCCTATGCCTTGAAACTACAAGATTCCCAAAATCCAAACCGGGACCCACGCATTGTGGCCTGCTACTTCGGCGAAGGAGCAGCCAGCGAAGGTGACTTCCACGCTGCGCTCAATATTGCTGCAACACGGTCCTGCCCTGTTGTGTTCTTATGCAGAAACAATGGCTACGCCATCTCAACGCCGACCCTAGAGCAGTACCGCGGCGACGGAATCGCCAGCCGCGGTGTGGGTTACGGAATCGACACGATCCGCGTCGACGGCAACGACGTCTTCGCTGTGAACGAAGCAATGAAAGAGGCGCGCCGACTTGCGCTCAGTGAGGGCGGACGGCCTGTGCTGATTGAAGCCATGAGCTACCGTGTCTCACATCACAGCACCAGCGATGACAGCTTTGCGTACCGTGCTCGTGTCGAGGTTGAGGATTGGAAGAGACGTGATAATCCCATTATCCGGCTACGGAAATGGCTCGAGAACCAGGGGCTTTGGAGTGAAGAGCAGGAGAAGCAGACAAGAGATGAAATGCGGAAAGCGGTGTTGAAGGAGTTCGGCGAGGCTGAGCGTGAGAAGAAGCCGTCGCTTAGGGAGGCATTTGTCGATGTCTATGAAGAGATCACCGAGGAGCAAAGGGAGCAGATGAATGAGCTCAAGCGGATATTGGAAACTTATCCCGATGAGTATGATCTGCGGCCATATAAGGATGGAATTAATGGTCTGAATTAAGCGAATTTGTTTGAAAAAAAGAATATACAGATCTTTCTTTGGCCAACAGAGCTTTACAATAAAATATCTTTGCATATCTCTCAATCTTCATCGATATAGCAAAAGTTGTTCCATCATATTATTTGTTCATTGATGATGGCATAGATGTGTACCAAATCCACCAGCTATACCCGATAGCATAGCAATGATCAACCCAGAGCATGAGGCTCGGGTTCAGTATCTATTGCGCCCTGCTCCTAACACGTCGATCTTGGGCAACAGCAACAGCAATCTTCGGCACCGTAGCAAGACTCATATAACTATCATCGTAAGTCAGATGGATAGCCCCGAGACCCATACCCTTCGCCATCTTCACCACAGAATCAATGTCCGCATCCTCAGGCGTCTGATTCAAGATCATAGCATCCTTGCCATAGTTTTCCGGTGTCGAGAAGTGCTCGGTGGGAGCCAACGCAACCCAGTTGGCATAAGTATCCTCATACTCCACAATGAAGTCTGCGGCCTCAAACCACTTCTCAACATCAGCCACAATTTTGACACCAGGATTGAAGATCACGGTGTTCAAGCCGCTTTCCTTCGTGGTCTGGGACAAGTGCTGGAAATATGCGAGGTGGCTCGGGTCTCCGCCACTAGGAGCTTCGTCGAAGAAAATACCGGTGAGACCGATATTCTGCGATTTGTAGCTAGACCATTTAGCGTAGACGGCAATGTCCTTTTCGACTTCGGCGCGTGCGCGGCTGCCATATTCCGTGTGGGTATAGCCCAGGACTCTGGTGTTGGAGTAGCTGTTTAGCTTTGCGATTGCGGTGATGTAGGCGTCTTCTGGGTACTCTCCGGCGCCAGGGCCATTTTCTGGGTTGATGATAAGGTAGAATCGGACTGATGGATGGGCGGCAATTGAGTCATAGATGGTATTCCAGGCATTTGTGCCAGGCCAGGAGTATAGTGGTACTAGCAGGCCTGTCGATACAACAGTTGAAGCTAGGGCGAGCACAGTAGCCACGAAATGAAGGAATTGGATCATACTCGATCCCAATTTCGTATATGGTGGTTTGCAAATGAGTCGGTTCAGTAAGCAATGGAATGTAAGAACCACTGGGACCAACGATCTCTAAACCAATGTAAAGAAAGATGGAGGTACTGAGACTGCGCAAAAGGCGATAGTCAGTGAGTTAAGTGCACTTTATACATGCCAGACGAAAGACTCTTCAAACAATACAGTCCTTATGGCAAGAACAGCTTCGAAGAACGGCGAGATGGTCACTGAGAACCCTCAGTCATTATTGAATACAAGCCAAAAGTAGGCAAGGGCCTGGAATAACAAAAGCTGGCTGCATGTTTCAAGACGCAGACCGCGGTCACCTTCAACACGGAGTGACCAAAGGGTCCTTTCACCCAAGCCTGGAACACACATAGGCATCGTGTGATATTGCCAGGACCAGGGAGAGGCTGTAAAGAATGCGCTAATGCCGGAGCTCTCGGAGGAATGAAGCCTCATCAAATGCCTGGCCTGTATTGAAATGAGTGGGAGGAATGTGCAAGGAGACCAAGCGCTGACGGGAAACAAGGGGACGATTATTGATCCAGTACGGCTCTGGTTGACACAAATTCCATCCTTTCAGCTTGAAATACTATCCGATAAGTTTGAGCTCCATGAGTTGGAGTGTAGGAACTCAGAGGCCATTGTCTGTGACTTGCGGGCGCCTGTGTCTCGGGAGGTTGGGCGGACCAAATCGCATCTGGTCAACGCCACAGGGAGTCAGCCCCTGACTCGATGGACTTTAATCCCCGGTTTCAGATCTGCAGACCATAGGAGAGGAATTGATTGAGGCGTTTGTAATATCTCAAATCTCGGATGCGTGGGAAATTTGGTGGTCAGAGTTTCGCGTCACAGATGTGTACTTTGGATTGAGTGTCCACAAATATAAACAAGGAGGAAGGCATCCACTCTCTCATCTTAGAGATAGTCCAGTCGCCAAGTAGAATGGGAGGTTTCGAATTCTGTAGGAGAAAAGCGTTGGAGGAGCTGTTAAGAAAAGGAAAAGTATTTGCTCTTGCCTACGGGCGACTAAGTATGCCTCGCGGGACATAACCCTCTAATTGGATATTACCCTACGGTCTTTCTCACCGCACTCTCGAAGCTTGTATGCTAATTTCAATTTCTCTTTTATTTCTATGCCTGTATACCCGTTAATGGTGCGACTATTCATTGATCTTGAACCTTGAAATGATGAAATTATCTCTCTTTTGCAAAGAGAAATACTATGGGCACACCTTTTTGACTACCGGCACACCTTTAGTAATTAATTCTATAGTGGACACTATTACCAAAGTCACTGTATTATTAAACCTAGTTTTCGCCTGGTATGATGATCAATAGTCATATGATTAAATATTACCGCCCCCCCTAAAAAAGGATCACCTCATACCGCTGCCTCTCCATTTTATAAAGCTATTCCCAGAACCCGCACTATCGCTAGTATTATTGATTCTATATACAAATAATATTGAAAATTCTTAATTTTAGTAGTATTAAATAGCAAATTCAATTTAATATCATATATATATTTTTGATTTAGTTAAAATCATGATTATTGAGTCAAAAATGACGCCGAAAATAATAGGTTTATAGGGAGGGAGAGGGAAGGGGGGAGGATGTAGGGTTTGTAGGGTTTTTATAGTCATATAACTTCAAAATAGGGGCTGATTTTTAAATACACTACTAAACGACTTTTTAGCACTTAGCTCTCTATTTCTCTTTATTATACGGTATAAACTAGAGATTAATAATCACCGTCCTCGAGTCCCTCCCCTAGCCTACCCCCTCCTATTTCTAGTAGTAATACTACTAACTACGAGCTAATTATTAGAGTCTATTATCTCCCCCTATATAGTCTAATTATTATTATACCTCCTATTCCCTCGCCTATTTCGCCCTAATCGACGTATAATTCCGGCCTCCTACGATTATATAATTTCGAATTACGATAGTTCTCGACGACTTAAGTTCTTAAAGCGCTATAAAGCCCGCGATAAGAGTATAGAGGACTACTAGGAGGACTACTAGGAGGACTACTAGGAGGACTACTAGGAGGACTACTAGGAGGATCTTACTAGGGGACTACACGCCCGGATAATATACGGGTTTTATACCTAGAGCTCTATTACCCGTAGGTAAGTAGCTACTAGGTCTAGCTATAGCTAGTAATAACGGTAAAAATTAGCCTAGGTAAGGCTTATACCTCCTACCTAGGCTTTATAAATACGGTAGATATATAGATACCCTCTAGTAGATATAGACTAACCTAAGTATAAAACTAGAATAGGTAGCTTATCCGGATCACTTAGTAGATAGTGATTAAATATTACCTATACCTTTTTAATTATATAATCTATAACTAAAGTTTCTACTATAGCGAATAAAGGGTTACCGCTAATCTACTATACTCCTTATTAAGATATAAGCTCTTAGCTAATCTCTACTATAAGCCGCTTAATAGTATACTCTATTATAGTACTAAAAGCTAGTAGATTACGGGTCCTATTTTAGCTATTAAGCTTTAGGTAGCGATATACTACCTCTATATAAGACGTTAAGGTCTTATCTAGGTAGAGAAATCTACTAATATAGTAGTGTAGAAAATACTAACTATAGCTACGAAACCACTCCCGGTCGATATACTATAGTATATCGGGGAAATACTAATATTTCCTTTAGAAATTAGCCTAATAAGCCTCTATTTCTTTATTTATCTATACGTAAATTATATAGTACTAATAATCTTTTATACTACTCCACTAAGAGTTAATTTTACGCTAATTTTCGTCGATAGTACGAGGGGTATTAGGATCGGTATAGAGGACTTACTAGCGAATATAAGATCTAGTATAAGACTTAATATTATAAGTAATATACTAGATATAAAGTATTATATTTATAGTCGGGAAGACCTATATATATAAGTAAAGATCTAAAGTGAAAGAATATAACTTACTAAATTAATTATATTACGTATTACCTATTCCTTATTAGTTAAGATCGTCTAGGGACTATAGATTAAAGGCTTATCTCTAGGGAGGCTAATAGGGGTAGTAATAGTAGTCCGAATAAGTAGTAGAATATCCGTACCCGTACTAATAGCTATATATAATTCCCGGAGCTAACTAAGTACCCTTTTATATAAATCCTCTTTCTTAAAGCTAAGAAATACCTACCTAACGTAAAAAGTCTTACTAACTAGAGATACGCCTATAATATTTAGTAGGGATATCTTCTATCTATTAGTCTTATACGTATAGTCTATCTATAGAATATATAGATAAGTACGTAGAAGCTAGAGACTAACTTTATAGACTATAAAAAGGGTACTAAGTCTATTATCCGTAGTATCTATAACGTATCGGATAATCTATATCCTATCCTTTAGAAGATCTATAAGAAGGGCTTATACCGGGGTCCGGCTAGCTAGCCGCTAGAGCTCCCCTCGGGCGCGGATATTAGCGATATTACGCCTTCGGAGATATAACTATACTCCCCGACTCTCGGTATCCTACCGTAAAGCACCTAAAATATACCGAGATTATATCTAGTATACGAGTTAGCTAGTAATAGTCTAGAGGACTTCTATAGTTTTACGCCGCCGAGGGATAATTAAGGTCGATAGATCTACGAGTCTATAATTATAATAAGGAATTAGGTTAACGATCTTCTAATTTTGCCTAGTAGAATTAAGTCGGAGTCTACTAGTAAATATATAGGCCGTTAATCGATACTTCCGGGGTCGCTAGCGCCTAATAGGCTAGCGATTATACCGATATAGATAGACGAGGGAGTAGTAAAACTAGATAGTAGTAGGCTTTAAGCGCTTACTTACGATTAAAAAGCTAAGAGGTAACGACTAGGTATTAAGTATATCGAGCCCCGCTACTCTTATAGCTTTTTTTTCCTCGGGAGTTATAAGTAGACCGCTGATTTCGATAGTTTCGAAAGGGGGGTACGAGTCTAGGATCACTTAATCCATAATATCAGATAGTATAGAGAGATAGTATAGAAAGGAGAGTTAGGTGCTAAAAAGTCGTTTAGCAGTATATTTGAAAATCAGCCCCTATTTTAAAGTCACATAACTATAAAAACCCTACAAACCCTACATCCTCCCCCCTTCCCTCTCCCTCCCTATAAACCTATTGTTTTCGGCGTCATTTTTGACTCAATAATCATGATTTCAACTAAATCAAAAATATGTATATGATATCAAATTGAATTTGCTATTTAATACTACCAAAATTGAGAATTTTCAATATTATTTGTATATGGAATCAATAATACTAGCGATAGTGCGGGTTCTGGGAATAGCTTTATAAAATGGAGAGGTAGCGGTATGAGGTGATCCTTTTTTAGGGGGGGGGGGGGGCGGTAATATTTAATCATATGACTATTGATCATCATACCAGGCGAAAACTAGGTTTAATAATACAGTGACTTTGGTAATAGTGTCCACTATAGAATTAATTACTAAAGGTGTGCCGGTAGTCGAAAAGGTGTGCCCATAGTATCTCTCTTTGCAAATTGGGGTATATTACACCTCCGGAGGCTGGACGCACCCCGGAGTCTCCGAATATAGTTCTTTTCTTTGCCTTACAGAAATAAATAAATATATTATTTTTTTCCGTTATCAGCTTTATGATTTCTACCTACCGACAAAATGTTATTAAAGAATAAGAGAGAGGGACGATTACATAGTGAAAAGGCCTTAACACCGAGAAATAGGTGTATACGGGCATTTATATAACGTATATATAGGAATGGCTTTATTTATTTGAACTTTAATGCCTTCTCATTAAGCCATCCATCATCGTAATTCAGGTATTTTAAATTAATGCCAGTCTGAACTAAGGTAGAATCTAGGCGTATTAAGGTAAGGCATAAATCCTACAAAATGGGACATTCTAGCCCTGGAGTGAACCTTAGAAGGTTCCAAGGACGGGTTGACCTTTAGATGACTAAAATACTGCCAGGCAATACTATCCAATAAGAGCGTTATGTCCCGCGAGGCATACTTAGTCGCCCGTACTTGCCAAGTGCAAGATTGAGGATGAGCCCAGAAGGTGCATGGATTGACTCCGAACACCGCATGCCTGTGTAAGAGATTTGGCACAGCAATTACTACGAGATTTACACGGACAAATATAACAATATCATACAAGATCCATTCATGCTAAGATACTCCATACAGAATGGGCTTAAACGCCATGAGAAAACCACCGTCCGGGTATCATGCGAGTCCATATGTAGATGAACAGAAATGTCAAGTCAGCCCAATAATTTCTGATTCCCAAGGAGCCTGAAAGCTCCGATCCCGACCTGAAAAGTAGAGAAGTGATTACAGTTCCGAACCAGCAGCAAAGTTCAATGCTTGCTGCTGAAGTTTCTTGTTGCGTCGAAGAAGGGCTGCGAATTTCTTGTCCAGCGCATCCATCTCCTTCCGGGTGACCTCAAGGTCCTTCTGAGAACGACCCGAGAGATCCTTGAGTTCCTCGTTGGTCAAGCCAGCAACGTCGTCAAGAGTAGGGTTGGCACCCAGTATGCCTGGGTTGCCCAGCATGTGCTGAGCGGTTACTGCGGCAAATGAACGAACGGCCGCAGGAGTAGTATTGAGAAATTCTGCCGAGTTTGCGACAGCCCAGTCGTGGTTGCGGGTGCTGTCTGCTTCCATGGCGGAGAGCACGTTCGGCGGGATTACAGACTCTGCTGCTTCAAGAGAAGAGGATGGGGATGTGGCGCCCAGGCGAGTGGGCATATCATCAACCCAACAGATATTGAACTTTTCGGGATTCGCGAAAAGGGCTTCCAGACCGCCACTGGGGTTGCTTGCATCGTCTCCAATCATGAATGGATCGGAAATACCAGCCATGTTCTTCTCTAGTTGAAGGTAACGATCCTCCTCCTCGGGCTCGAGGTGACGCATGACACAACCGCGGGGCGTGATCAAGCATCGGGTCTTGAGAGCCTGACCCCCGATTCGAACGGGTTCACCGCGGAGCAGGGCTTTGCGATTCTCTTCGGTCAGTTCGGTGGGGCGCTGGAGAAGATCATAATCCTCCGCAGTGCATTTCATGTCGGTGCGCTGACTGAGATTGCTAGGGTTGAAGAGTGAACTCTTGTTGAGGTCCAGTTCGCCAGATTTATGCATCTCAGCGAGCAGCTCATGCAGAGGTTTGGTTCTTTCCACGAAAAGATCCTTGATTGTTTTCCCGGAGGTCTCGGCATCCCTAACCAATTGCCCGACGGTGTTGTTGGAACGCCATGGCTCCACAGGAACTTCCTGCGGGATGGGTAGCTGTTCGACAGGAGGAGGACTAGGTTCCTTCACAGGCTTGGCTTCCTTGACTTTCGCCTTCTTCGTGGTATCCGCCTTCGCTTCAGCCTTGACTGGAGAGGCGCTGGTAGTTTTGATAGGGCTGGACTTTTCAGGACCACTAGCAGCGGGTGCATTGGCTGTGCTCACAGTGGGTGTGGGTGCCTTCTTGGTCTTGCGCTTTCGCCCCATGATTGGTGCCTGAACAGGTTCCTCATTCACAGTTAGAATTTCGACCTTCTTCGCCTCGGCTTCCTTCGCCTTCTGCTTACGTTCCTTCTTAACCTGGCTTTTGGTCATAGAGCGAACGGGGGCAGAGCCGATACGAGAAGATGCGGGAGGGGAGTTTGCACGAGAAGCGGATGTGGAAGCATAGTAATCGGCTTCAGATCCGACATCAGCAGGAGTATCGGGAATGCTAATGGATGATATGCTCTGTCTCCTGGAGCGAGACTTGGTACCTCCAACCACGGACGCGGGAACAGATGGGGGAGCCATAAGGGGAGGAGTTTCGGTTTTAGGTGTGTCTACAACACGGAGAATGCGGGTTTGACGAGGAGCAGGGGAGTCAGAGGGGCGGGAAGCGATAGTTTGGGGTGTGTCTGGACGTGACCCGATTGCAGAAACAGAGCTGGGACGCAGTACCTGCTCGTTCTTGGCAGAAGTAGCAAGGGTGATGTCCAACTCGAGTGGACTGCCTTTCGCGACGGAGGAGCTAGCTTGTGACTGGTTCACCGTCCTGGAAGGAGAATCTTTGAAATCCGCCCCAATGTTGAACTCGTTCTTGCGCTGAGTGCGAGCTTTGCTTGCAGTCTTTTGAACGGGTGACCCAAAGGAAATCTGTGAAGCGTCCTTCACACGGTTAGAAGTGAGAGGACCCCCGACAGTGAGTTCAGGAGTCAAGGGACAAGAGGGACTATTGATGCGGCTCTGAGATGGACTATTGAGTCGCGAAATACCGGCTGTCAAACCAGGCGGTAACATTGGCGCAGGAGAAGACGGTTTAGAAGAACTGAGTTGTTCCTGAAAAACAGCAGACGAAGGATGAGCGTGGGGTAAGGGAAGTCCAGGTGGTAGAGTTGGAGTTCCTGCACGCGCTGATGACTCGCTGGGCAACTGAGACTTCAGAAAGCCAAAGCTGTCAACGGTGCGCCGATCCTTCGTTTGATCTCCAAGAGGAGGGAATTCTTCGTTCACTAGAAGAGCTCTGAGTCAGCGAATGTCCGGGAAATCAGGATGTGGCGATGTGGATGGGTAGGTGGTGAAGGACGTAAAAATCATATCAAAATCCCCCAGGCGAGCAATAAAGACTAAGGATAAAGCATCGCAACTAAGAGAAGATACAGAAAAAGCACGAGTTAATTACATGCAGTGATCTCCCAGACCAGGAACATCGCAGGACAGGGCTTCTATGTAAACGGCGGCTGTGAGGAAACTGATTTCGAATAAGACCCTTTTCGGCTTGTGGTATCAGGGTAGGGAGATCTTAACGTACATTAATCCATGTTCACCATCGCTGTCATCAAGACGCGGCGGATTGTATGATGGAAGTCCGGATGCAAAAAATTGAACAAAAAAAGGTAGAAAGTGGATACACAGCCGCCGAACACATAGAGAGCCTCGCAGACATGCCGGTATGTCCATGAAATGCAAAGACACCTGGGGAGAGCGAGAGAAAACATGCAAGAAACAGATATCATGACAGCGGGTGAATGAAACAAAGGAAAACCCTTAGTACGCCATGTGCAACCCAGCCATTTGCATGAATCAGAACTGCTGATTTGAACAAAAATAGGATAAACATCAAATGCAAGTCCTCCATATGGAAGTAACAACAAAAACAGAATTGATATCATGTCATCAGGATAAAGCAGGCCCATCAAGGGAACAACGTCATAGCGAAAAGCGGGCAGGAAAATGCAAAAATTAAACCACAAGAACTGGTGAGAAGTTAAGGGGAAACCATAGCCCTTCACCACCGACCACCATACACCATCGAGGAGTTGTACCCACCTTGACCCTGACTCCCGTACAACGCTTGCCCAGCAGTAGCATTGGCACCGATCTGATGCATCCTCGCTTGCAAAATGCTCGGGTCCGCAAGATCTACTACACCACCTCCGCCGGAGGAAGTGTTAGCGTGTCTGTGCTTCTTCCCCTTCTTCTTCTGCTTCTGTGGACCTCCAGAATCAGGCATTACACCTGCTGGGGGACCATAGAAGGAGCCGAGAAGGCCATTGGCAGGAGTCATGGGGGGCGGGGTATTGTGCTGTTGAAGGAAAGGAAACATGAACTCACGCTTAGCCGCCTCCTGGCCCTGTAAACCTCCGATATTCGTGCCAGTTCGTCCACGCAATAGCTCACGCATGAGTTCCGGAGTCGGGTCCTGCTTTCCTCCATTGACACTGAGCCCAGATGTGAAACCATGTCCCTGAGCGAACATTCCACCACCGCTGATCGAAGGAGTGCCACCCGTCTTCAGGCCAGGTGGGGGACCCTGAACACCACTGGCATAGAAACCGCTTGCTGCAAGACTATGTTGAGGACTTGGGGCAGAAAGAGCGTTGGGAGATGCTGATTGCATCTGTCCCAGCATGCGTGCGTTGGGCATGTTCTTGGAACCGGCATCATTGGCGAAAGAGAATCGGGAAGACTGTCGGTTCTGTGCTGCCTGCAGCGCATTGAACTGTGCTATCTGACTGTGCACAAGGCCTTGGCGAACTTGGGCGGCTTGGTCGAGAGCGGCAGAGCTCAGAGGATCAGCCAGACCAGCCTGTTGATTACCAGCGGACTTGAGTAGCATCAACTGTTGTTGCTGCAGGGGTGTTAAGCTTCGCCCGGCTAGGTTTAAGCCTTGGAATTGATGGCTATTCGCAGAGACAGGGGATCCGACAGTTGAATTCTCTGCAGTGTCCTGCTGTGAAGGGGGTTGGATAGCACCGTGAGACTCCCGGGTCTGGCGACTGCGCGGAGGGTTGATTTCTTCGGGCTCACCACCAAGTTGGAGACTACCAGCCTCACGGCTATCCTCCTCAGCAGCAACCGACTGGAGCAACTCCTGCTCGCGGCTCACACGCTCTTGCTCGACCTTCTCGCGCATAGCTCTGCGCTTGACGCCACCATATGGATCAATGAAAGAGGGGTAATCTTTGATTGATTTGGCTTCCTCAGTGGTCAGTTCAGCTGTACTGAATGAGAACCTAAAATCGGAGGAGTTGATATCCTTGAGCAGGCTCTCAAATGGTGATGGTGGCTTAGGAGGTTGAGGCACACGGCGGGGTCGTGGCTGCGGGGCAGGAGATTCAGGTTGGACTTGGGCGACGGGTTGCTGGGCTTCTTGGGAAACTGGCGAAGGCTTTTCTACTCGTTTCGGTTCTTCAAAGGATGTAGCAACATTGACACTGGCGGGTCGTGGGCTACTGATAGACGCTTGGCTGCCAGTCAGACTAGTCCTTCTAGCTCGGTGGATAGCGGCATCCTTGTTGGCCCAACTGGCAGATGACGGGAGAGCGGGGCCGTCTGGTATGCCTGAGCGACCACTAATCGAGTCATCCTTGCTAGGTTGCCGGCGCATAGGATGGGCGATGGGTTGAGCAGATCTCACGTGAGATGGGGTGGGTGGGACGCTCGGGCGTTGGGTCGAAATGGTGTTCATAGACGAGAGGTCCTGGCGACTGTAGCTATCACTATCCTCCCCAGTCTCGTGCAAGAAAGTGCAGTTCCGATTGTTGCACTGCTCATTCCGAAGGAAGGAGGAGCAATATTTGGTTGTTCCGTATTGCGCCCTGAGAACTCGATCGCCATTTCCGGAACCATCCACGGCGTTAATGCACATCGCGGCATCGCCCTTGCGTGAAAAAGTCACATAAACACCAATTCCTTGGTTGGGGTTGCCACCGGGCTTGGCCTTGCTGACCACAATTTTCTCAATTTCGCCATATTGACCGAAATATTCGCGTCCACGGAGGGTTTGAAGCAGTTGATTCTCGTCTCGGATCGTAGGATTCAGGCCGATAACGTAGACCAAGTTCTTTTGGACCACACGGACACCGGCTAAATTCTTTCGGCTGGAGGCCTCGATTTCACGCTTTTCGGCTTCCTTCTTTTTGGCTGCGGCTGCTTTGCGGTGTTTCAAAGCCAGATCTGCTTTGAATCTATTAAGGGTAGGTTAGTTGGGATGTGGCGACCATCCGTTGGGCATCAGGTGACTCACTCCTCAACGTCAGGGATCTTGTACTGAATCGTACTCTCATCATATTTTCGCCGACAGTTAGGACATTTCCCTTCTTCATTCTGTGTCTTAATATTGTTATAGCAGAATTGGCAAATCTAGAAATATCACATGTTAGATCTAGGGCGGGAAGACAAAGAGAAGCCACTTATTCCGTGACAACAAAACTTAGTCTGGCAAGGAAGCGTTGGAGGATATCATTATACATACCTGATATCCACAAGGACACGGTTTGAAGTTCTTATCGGAGAGATCGAACTCTTCAATGCACAGGGGGCTGTGGGGTGATTAGGACATAGATCGCGCGGGTTGAACAACGTTGGAATACATACCAAAACTCATCATCATCATCGATGACGGAGTCGATCAATGAAATGCTAGACATGATCGCGGGGAAGACGGTGACGACTGAAGAGGGACACGAGATCTCAAACGCCAACACCCGATTGAATACGATGGGAGAACCGTGGAAATAAAAAGGAAACGCGCTGCCCCGTAAAGTGAAGGAAGAGAAGCGGTGATTAGATAGTGTGGGAGGAGCGAGAGGAAGAGAGGGCGGAAGAAAAAGCGGAGATGATTGATAGGATGGAGGAGAGGAAGGAATGAAATTGTGAAGCGCGGCTTCATTTTGCTGGCATTGCCCGATTGCGCTTAGCGCGTCCATATCACGTGACCAAAGTGCTCGACCACTCTAAACCTTCACAATCCGACTTACGTGCCTCCGTCCCCTCCTCCCGTTGTATCTGCCATTGCTCCTTCTACACAATGGCCTCCGCACGATCCTTGATGCGCCTGGGTTCTGGACGCTCCGTGGCATCTGCCACGAGGTCCATGGCCGCCCGCACCTTTTCCTCGGCCTCCCTTCAGTGTGCCCCCAAGGCCTCGACGCAACCAGGCCCGGAACCTGAGAACATGCGCCACGCACAGCGCCCTCGTATGTGCAATGGACTAATGGATAGTTACAACGCAATTGAGCTAACCGAACTGTGTTCTACCAGCCTCGGGACCTCTGCGCGCCCCCGTCGTCAACCCTACCGACAAGTACCAGCCCATGGCTGACAGCCTGCACACCTATGGACAGTACATTATGTCCTGCCTGCCCAAATACATCCAGCAGTTCACCGTGTGGAAGGATGAGCTCACCGTCTACACCGCTCCCGCCGGCGTCGTTCCCGTCATGAGCTTCCTGAAGAACCACACTGCCGCCGAGTTCACCCAGATCTCCGATATCACCGGTGTCGATTTCCCCACTCGCGACCAGCGCTTCGAGGTCGTCTACAACTTGCTCAGCGTTCGCTTCAACTCCCGTATCCGTGTTAAGACCTACGCGGATGAGGCTACCCCCGTGCCCAGTGTCACTGGTCTCTTCGAGGGTGCTCTCTGGTACGAGCGTGAGGTCTATGACATGTTCGGTGTGTTCTTCTCCGGTCACCCCGATCTGCGCCGTATCATGACCGATTACGGTTTCGACGGCCACCCTCTTCGCAAGGACTTCCCCTTGACCGGTTACACCGAGCTGCGCTACGACGAGGAGAAGAAGCGCATCGTTATTGAGCCCCTCGAGCTCACTCAGGCTTTCCGCAACTTCGAGAGCGGCTCTACCGCTTGGGAGCCTGTTGGTGCGGGTCAGAACCGCACCCCCGAGTCCGTAAGTTATAACCCCTCCTCTCTCCGCTCCTGGTTGCTTAACAAGCATAATGCTAACCCACTCCACTATAGTTCAAGCTTCCTACCCCCAAGCCTGAAGAGAAGCAGGAAGAAAAGAAATAGAAAGTTTCTGTATGCGTATCATTTTCTTTGCCATGTCTGTATGTACATATCCGTCAGTGTTAATCGATGGTCTTTTTTTGTCCAACCAAATATATCAACGCTTGTAGCCAACGTAAGAGTCAAAATGGACATGCTCTGCTTGGTCCCCAGCCGATGTCCCTCTGAATTAATACATATTAATCAGAAAATTTTCTATAAAAAAAATTATCCATCAAAGTATATACCCTGACAATCGATTTCCAATGGCCGTAGCCAGCGTCTGTCTTGGCACCGGGCTCCGCCCAAGAAAAAAAAATTAAGCTACGGCAACATTTGACGATCAACACGACTCTCAAAACCGCCCTCATTCTGTTTTTAGACGACACACCACAATCTTGATTGATTTTTCTCAACACAATCTATCTTCATACACTCACACTCGCAACAAAATGCCCAAACGCAAGCTCGACGAGGTCAGCGGCCCCGCGCGGTCGAGCGACACCCGCAAAATGTCCATCCACGGCACTCGGCTGACGCAGATGTTCGAGAACGGCGTGCTGATGATATCGCGCGGCCTGAGGACATCGCGCGGCTTTGAGCGACAGAAGCTCAGTCGCCGAGAGAAGACCGCGAAAGCGCAGAAGGACGATAAGGCGTTGGCGCGACTAAAGGAAGAAATCGAGACTTTGAAGGTATGCGGTTATATATGTCTTTGGGTGGGGTTTCATTCTACAGAACTTGGTTGCTGATGAATTACTTTACCAGAGTCTCGATTACCAAGTCACATCTGAGCGATACTTATACAAGCAATTGATCAAGACGAAGCGGATTGCAGAGACGAAGACGTTCGGGGAGTTTCAGGCAGTCAAGAAAGTGTCTCAGGAAGGCCCGAAGAGCACTGCCGAAGCCAATATTCTAGCGCGACTATTCAAATCCACACCTGTGCAGAAAGAAATCCCAGGCATCATGGCTGGTATTCGGAAACTACTGAGGATCGACGACGCGCCTGGGAAAGGCAAAGAAGACAAGAAGAAGGATGCGGCACCGAAGACACGGAAAGAAAAGAGCGGATCGGAGTCTGAATCAGAGGAACGGACGACGAAATCTAGGCGCGGCGAGCAGGTCTCCCGCCCCGAGATTGATATGGATATCTCTGGCTCAGACGAATCCGGAGACGAAGATCTCTCACAGTTCGACTCACGACTTGCGCCTGATTCCGACGCTGACTCGGAATCTGACGAGGAGGATCTCGCCGCAGACGACATCTCCGACTCTATCTCCCGCTCTCCCTCCCCCTCCTTCTCTGCTGAAGATTCTCCACCGCCCAAGAAAGCAAAGGGAGTCAAGGGCTCTTCCGCACCGGTGCAAAGTACTACATTCTTGCCGTCTCTCATGCACGGTGGTTACTGGTCTGGCTCGGAAGAAGCTACTGATGAGGAAGATGCTGGTGCCAAGCCTGTTCGGAAGAACCGCATGGGTCAACAAGCACGTCGGGCTTTGTGGGAGAAGAAGTTCGGAGCCAGTGCAAACCACGTTAAGCAGGAACAGATAGCTGCGAAGTATGGTGGTAGAGATAATGGGTGGGACACGAAGCGCGGTGCAGTTGAGGGTTCGAGAGGAGGAAGAGGTGGCAGACGTGGTGGTTTCGGGGGTGGATTTGGGCGTCCTCAGAACAGGGATGGTCCTGCTGGTGCTCACACTGGTGGTAAGCCTAAAGGTCCACCCAAGGATGAAGGCCCGCTGCATCCCTCTTGGGAGGCCAAGCGGAAAGCCAAGGAGCAGACTGCAGCAACTTTCTCTGGAACGAAAGTTACTTTCGATTAGGGTTATTGTCCTTGTGTATACATATGTCTCTGTCAATCAATGGTCAAATTTTCGATTCAAGCAAATGTGTAGATATAGAAGTATTTTGGTGTATATATTCTCCGATTACCCAACCTTAGCTCAGACGGAGTAAAATATTGATTGTAGATAATGTTGATTGCTCGCGCATGCTACTACTCTGTGTAATTTAAACAAGTTACCAGCCCTCGCGTAAAAGATGGCACAAAGAAACATAAATAAGTCGCAGGATGGTATACCAAAACGAAAAACAAGGCCAGAAAATGCAACCCAATATATGTTGTGTAGACGAAACCTGAAATGAGGAAAAGGGATCATAGAAAGAAATGATGATCAATCCCTCAGGAACTGCAACCAGTGAGGGTCAGCTCCACCACCTGGCGGCTTCATTTCAGCACCGCTCAGACCACTAGATTGAGTCTGAGCATCGGGTTCGAAACAAGGGATGGCCGTGAATTCGCCCAACTCTTGTGGGAAGTTCGAAACAAAGTGATCGAAACCAAAGTGAGGCATCTGCGAGAGGGGCTGTTGAGCAATGGAGAAAGTCTGCGGATGACCATTACCCGGGACCACGCCTTCTGGAATGCCCTGATCAGGGCCTCCGGGTGTTGAGACAGAAGGTCTCGCGCCAACCATAGCTAAGGAAGGTGACAGGGACATTCCATGAAGAACAGTCGAAGGACCCGCCACTCCCGAGGCGTGGGAATGTACACTTGGCGGAACATTGTGTTCACTAGAAGCATAAGGTTCCTGTTGCTGCCATGCGAGGGTAGACGGGGAGATAGGTCCTGCCTTCCAAAGCATTTCCCAATTTTTGAATCTGTCATAGGCAGATTCAACGGCGCCCCCGTTGCTCATATCCGGTTGTGTCTCGCTCCATGTTTCAAGGCGGCGAATGGCACGCTCCAGTGCCTCAATAACACTGACAGCTGAACGGGCTGAGCCAACACCCATAGACATGATTTTAATCAATGAAATACCCTGTTCGAGGGCTGCACCGAGCCTTTCGGTTCGTTTAGTCAATCCCTGGGCTAGAATGACGAGTAAAGCGGCGCGGCATGAACTAAATTCAGTGAAAGAAGCACGCGCCAGACCCGTCTCATCACGGAGCAGGCGGCATAAATCGATGATTTCCAGAGCTGCTTCCACGCAATCTGTAACAAGGGTTGCACGACTCTTCGCCAAACTAGAAGCCACTTTGTATGACGAACCTTGAGAAGGGGTCTGAGACACCTGCATGCCCTTAAAGTTACTGAACAGGAAAGGACGTCCGATGAAAATGCGGGTCAGACAGTAGTCTAGCTTGAGGTGTACGTTGGACCTGAAAAGTGGTCCTCCGGGGTTCAGATCACGACACACAATCTCTTCTGGTAGAGTCGACCACCAATCAACGAGATGTTTCCGGAAATGGAGTAGTCGGTCAAGACGGTCTTGCTGTTGGTCTTTGCGGTATTTGCGTAACGATGTAATTTCGTTTGAAACCTCGCCAAGTTTCAAAGTTAACGTAATAAGTGTAACCATGTTCGTGTGATTTGAGATTTGAGAGGCGGGCATGAGCTCGGGGAAATCGACTGGTAGAGGACCATCGACATCTGGGTCTGACAGCGATGACGGTCGGCCGTGGAGGATGCTTATCCGTTTTTCAATGGTAAAAGCTGTCCAGAAAACCCGATTTCGCATTTCGATCATTCGCGGAGAGAGGCCTTCGCCGTGATATCTCCGGTGCATGCCATTCTGGATAGCCAATTTCAATGCCAGACCGAAGTATGTGTAGCATAATCCTGAAGTATCCAATGGAAGCAAGTATGTCCCGATAAGCAAACAGGCCTGAACACTTCGAATAGATGCGGTGGCGATGAGATCCGGTAAAAGTCTCGAAGCAAATTGGTAGAATGTCAAGCCCACCTCGTCTTCCGAAAAGTGATGATCCTGATTTGCTGCAGAGCCTGCGGGTAAACAGTTCACGGGCGTGGATGACTCCATATGTGCGAATTGAGTGCCCACAGCTAGAACCATAAGAATACAGGCCACTGCGCCTGCATCGTCGAATGACAAACTTCCAGGATCCGTGTAACAAATGCCCAATTTTTCGAGTAACCAGTCTTCCTCAACGTAGAAATTGTTCGTTTGTGCGTACTTGAAGAAAATCTGGACAAGGAAATCGGCCACATATCGGGGTGGAAGACATGTAATTGAGGCGGAAACTTGAGGTGATGCGGACTGGAGTTGTGTGCTTCGCCATCGTTCTTCAAAAGGCTCTACTTCTGAAGTTGCCTGTGGGGGTTGCGAGTTAGCATATGTGAATTCGTTCATCGACAATGCTCGGAACCTACATCCGGTGCAGCTGTCTTCATCCACTCATCGATTTTCTTCCGGATCTTCATTGTGAAATTCAGGTATGAAAATTCCCCGGAATATTCTGCAAAATAATTGTAAATTATAAATCTCCAAACGATCTTCACAGCTAGACATACGGGTTGTATTGTCAGGCATAGCCTTAATTGTAAAATCCTCATCGTCAATCGCGAGATCCTCCAAGTCATTGGGGTCTTCTCGGGTCGAAATCGCATCTGACTCAGAGTCGCGCTGTTTGTTTTTCAGGTCTTCCGCAGTCTGGCGCAGAGACTGAATATCAAAGGTGATGTTGGGTACATAATGCGACAAGATACGCTCCATGAGGCGCACCCGTTCAGCCTCGGCAATGTCATGTCGACTCAGTGCGGCTGCTCGGTCCAAAAGTCTAAAATTCACACATCGCGCAATTAGCGGTCTGGAGGATGCTAGAGTGAGGGTCACACGGCTAACTCACGAGACAGACGTTCCCCGAGTTTTCTCATTGGGATCAATGTGAGTAAAATTGCACTGGCGACGATATCGCAGACATCTGCGACATGGTACACCTCCTTCGCATTTTTCTTTCACCCGGCGGCAACCATCGCACCTGCACAAAACCGCTACGTTAGAGGATCTGATGGACGATTCGACAGAAGAGGGCCATAGCATACGCTCGAACAGCTCGCTTGCGATTTTCTTCGGCCACACGAGGACGTTTTTGCTGGACGGGCGTCGAGGTCGAGTCGTCCATTGCCGGCAATGTCAGCGAGCTAGTCAGGACATTGTCCGGGGATAGGGGAGAATGGTAGAGAGAAATTGGGATAACGCCACACCGAATTCAGGGGAGGAGTGTAAAAATGAGGAGAAAAAGAAGTCGGAGACTATCGATAAAGCACGACACCCCCGCATCTCGGTTCCGCTCCGCTCATCGGCTCTGGCCAATGCTTCTACGGCATCGCTAGCTCTCTTTCTGATTTACTATTATTATCTGCTGTCTACAATAGTGCTGATAGATATGCGATATCATCCCTGCCTTGACTAAAGAACTTTGGGCTTAGTGCCCCCATTGGTTTCATCTACCCGTTCCTACTGGCTAATGCATTTTCTCGTGACCTTCACCCCAACAGGGATTCTATAAATGAAGTCGCTTACTCCGTACGGAGTACGGGGTGCATACCGTCGATATCTAACGGCTCCTTGCTTAAATCTGGAAGTCATCTGAGTACTTTTCGTGTGGGGAGTTCCACATAGGCATACTTATCCGAGGACTTTTGTCGCATCACGAGACAGCCATGTGTGTATTATATGGACAGAAAGGCAAGGAATTGACATCTCCTCCCGCTCTCTAGCAGTGGTTTAGCAGAGGCTACAATAATCTCGGTGTATTTCCACGAAATTTAAAACCTAGTCGCCATGAGGACATGATGGGGAAAAGATGCATACACATCATTTCATCCTAACCTTGTAACGAGGAAGATAAAGGGCATTGCCAGCATTATTTTGCATTAGACTCTCGCTGCGGTAAAGTGCCTGGTTTGGTTATATTGTTCCGAGACATTGGCATGGCCCTACTTTGGGTATGATTCATATCCTTTATCGCAGGCGCCGGATGTCACTAAAGAATAGAAGATAAGATCAATCAAGTATATCTCAAGCCATTCCTTGAGCTAAGATCTATCAATGCGCCAAGAAATGAACAGAAAACACCCTCTAGAACCCATCAACATGAGTTCCAAGGCCCATCTCCACACCAACATCAAGCACCTTTTTCCCAACAGCAAGATCCATCAATCCCATACCAACACACTTGTAAATAACATTAGATCCAGCCGGAACATCGAGATTTCCCTCCGCAATGCCATCCGCCCCCAAAAGATCTCCCATCTCAATCAAGTCCTCCTCCCCAAGACCCGCAGTGATCAACTCCCCAGCCTCCTCAAGACATGCGGACTTAGTATCAACATAAACCTTGCCACCGGAAAGCAAAGTCTCGGTATCAATCTCATGCATATTAGGCTTATACGAGCCGATAAGCGAAATAAATCGCTGCTTGGGGTTCACCTGCAAAGCCGCATATCCAAAGTTCGGCTCAGTGGCAGGTGTGCAGCTGAAGATAACATCTGCTGCAGCAAGTTCCTCCCCAAGGCGCTTCTCGTAGTCTGAGACGCCCTCCTTGGCGAGCGTGTTAAAGATGACACCGGGATAGGTCACGCGCAATTCGGCAATGACATCCTTCTCCATCTCCTGCAGTCTCTTGGCACCGCGGTTCACAAAGGTGACCCGGCGCACTTGCTCAGGGTAGAGCAAGAGTGCGAGGCGTGCGTGCCACTCTGCCTGACGACCGCTGCCAAGGACGAGCACGTTATCCTTGCGGATGGTTGTGCAGCGCACGAAGAGGGTCATTGTTGCCAAGGCAGTGCGGAAGGCTGTTACTTCAGCTGCGGCAAGGAGGCCCTGGAGCCGGCCTTCTGGGTTGAAGATGTTGATCACGCCTAGGATTCCGGTAGAGCTGGCGGTTACTACTTTGATACCGGTGGATGCGGTGTCCGATACCGGCATGAAGATGCAGGTGTTGTCATTGCTGGTTGTGAAGACAGTGCGAAGAGGTTGGTGGATTTTTTTGGAGGATGCTGGGGTTGTTGGCTTTGATTCATTGGTTATGCTGACCAGGGCATTGCTCAGTACTGAGATGAAGCTGTGGCATTGTTCTTGTGTCAGACCGCGGAAGATCTTTGACACATCGGGTTCAGAGAGGATGTGCATTTTGGTTGATTGTGGGCCTGAGGGATGATTGTGTATTTGAGAGAAATGTCACGTCAGGTTTCTCTTATTTAAATAGGTCGAGTGGGATGTTTTCGGGGCAATGGACTCAACATATGGGGGAGGCCGTTTATCGGCTGGGCCTTCCGACGACTTGACTGAGGGGCAAGTTACCCCGGTGGGGGGCTGCGTTCGATATACCTCAAACACATGGGTTGAGTTGGCATTACATGTTTCTATTATCTCGCCGATATTGATTCATCCTCTATAACGAGGCAATGAATGAGCTAGTGACTAAGAGTATTCTCAATTTTATCTTCAAGATTTATTTCATTGATCATTATCCAAATGGAACTTCTAAAAAACACAGCAACGCCAATCAACAGATGCACGAGAGCTAGACGCAAAGAAAATGCAGCAAAACAGCCCGTAGGCTGGAAAGAATAGGCCAAAAGAACTGGCTAGCCTCCAAAAATAGCAAAAGAAACCCAGGAGCGACCCAAGGATTACTTGCTGCTGCTGAAAACATTGGCGCAGCGACGCTTCAGCTCGGCAAACATCGCGATCTGCGAATCCTTGGTACGGCCGACAGCCTCGGTGTTCTCAACGGCGCGGCGGAGCAAGAAACCCATGCACTCCTGTACGGAGCCCCAGGTCAACAGCTTGAAGACGTTGGGAGCCTCCATGGGGGTAGCGCCAACACCGTTCTCGGCGCTCTCGAATCCTTGGAGAAGCTCCAGGCTGACCTCATCAGCCATACCCTGGAGCTGAGCGTAGCTAACATCGACACCGTAGTCCTCGCCACGGGTGGCCTGCTGCATGCGCAAAGCGTGGGCCTTGTGAACGGACTCGCGGTTGTGGGTAGCAATGATGACATTGACGGGCGGGAGCTCGGTGGGGGTATCCTTGGAGGGTGCCTGGAGCATGGAGTTGTACTTGCGAGTGAGAAGTGCCGCGACGACTTCATCGTAGCACTTGTCAGTCTCCTCCTTCTCGGCCCAGATGACGTGGCGGGGCTCAGTCTTCAGGTAGGCACCACGGACAAGCTTGACACCGAGTGTGTATCCCTCGGCACGAGCAATCTCAAGGTGACGGGCCAGAGTGGCGGGAGTAGAGCGCAGGTAAGCCTGGTAAGTTCCATAGAAGATGGCACGGCCGGGGGTCTGCGAGTTGCAGTACTTCTGATACTTCATAATCCAGGCCTCAATGCCGGGCTGCACGGCCTGCTCTTCGGCATCGACCAGCAGGCGGACACCACGAGAAATGGCAAGATCGCAAACCTTTTGGATAGAGGCATCCATGATCTCCGAGGGCATTGTCTCCGATTGCAAGAGGCGAAGGGCTTCGTGGCCCATTCCAGTGAATCTATAGTAGTCAATTAGTCCCTGTCGCAAATTAAGAATGAAGTAAATTTCGGGATCAGACATACTTCAGAGCAACGAAGTCGCCGGGCTGAGCCATGTCAACTGTCTGCAAGGTGCCATCCATCCACATTTGGATTTCAGCCAGAGCAGCCTTTGCATCGGATGGGGCATTGGAGTCTTCTCCAACGAGAACCTCTCGGGCATATCCGAGAAGCACACCCCGGCATCCGAGTCCTTTGATATTGTTGATAGCGGCTTGCACCTCGGCCTTGTTTTCGCCAGCGTTGAACTGCTTGTAGATGGTGTGCTTGATGAGCGTGTTCAACAACGGGTTCTTAGAGACATCCCAGAAGGCGTTGCGGGGATGAGCCAGCAAAGACAAAGTGTAAATGCATGGCTTAAGCAGTAGTTTAGATGATGACACAGACAGGATGAGCAACGAGCGCAGAACCGATGAGAGGGGCAGTTTGGCCAGAGGTGCTGCTAGATCCTTTCGCAGCTTTCGGGGTGAGGCCTGTGCTTGGGTTTGCCATGTGTTGGTGGCGGAAACGGCGGCGACTGAAGATCGGGAGTTGCTGGTGCCGCTGACGAGTCTGCTGTTACGAGCAGCAGCCTTCAGAGGCCCGCGCGCGGAAGGTGCAACTTTCATGGTCGTGAGATGATGTGTTGCGTGATGAGTACTTCTGATGAGATCGGGAGAAGAAGCTCGAGGGTGAAGTTGGAGGGAATAACAAAGGATAAAAGGGCGAAGTGGCACACTTGAAGGCGACCTTTTTAGATATGGCGATTATATCGGTGAAAATTATCGGATGTGATCCGGTGGCAACCACTAGGTACCGGTACGGGTTGTCATACATACGGGTACCTCTTACATAGGAATATGTACCTTGACGGGCCGGCTCCGGGGTAGACCGTTTTCGAGTTTCTATGAGATATCCATTTGTAAATACTTTCGTGGAACCTTGGGACTACGGCAGACTTCTCCCATGTTTCTAGAAGGCGATGAAGAACTATCAGGTACGCTCAGGCACGACCAGGTTAAGGGAGATCATCGTCCGAGCGAGACAATGAGGCTCTCGTATTCGTCTGTACCTTTGCAATCTGCAGCCACCAGTCGTTCGCAGATTCCACGATGCCGAAAGGTCACGGGCCGGTTTGATATCGGGCACGGGCCACCGATAAGCGATAAGCAGGTGACCGGGCCGGTGACTGGGGCCGCGTGACCTCGGTGCCCGGTTACATTCGGTCTACCACTTCACAGGATGTCCCCAATGTTTTTGTCGGGCCACTCCGCCAGCTCTGGCGATTTATGTCTGACTCCAGGGTTTTAGTCAACCTAATCCATTATGGATACCGCTTATTATACCCCAGATTCTTCCCCAGACTGGCTCCACGTGACCCTGGTGGCAAGTAAGTCGAACAACCAAAGTCAATTCCGCATCAATCCCGCACGCCAAGCACCAATCGCAAGCTATTCGGCGGCCATAGAGTTCGGGCTAAAGCCTCAAAAGACCACTAGATGCTTAGGAGAATATAGCGCAGGGTACTCCGTACCTGGTATCGGAGGCGAGATACCAATTACCTACAACATATTATTGTGAAACCAAACTTATGATAAGAAAAGGGGATACGAACCTCACCAGGCCATTCAGGCTGGAAATCAGACCCCAACGTGGGTCGACACAGCCGATCTTCTCCAGAAATTCCCTCGTTGCCCCCACCTGGGGTCGTCCACTGGATCGTTTTCGACCGTTGGGCATACACTTACACGGCCACTGTGGATGGATTGTGGAGGAATTGCCTCGTGAAGCGCCGACTAACGGAGAGAAACCCCGGACCCCGCGACTTGATCAACCCACTTAGTCTTTTGTCGATGTCCTGCTTGGAGCCTAACTCTCTAATCGGATAGTAGACACTACCGAGGTGTTTGAACGGTTTCAGCTAATCTAAACAGATAACGCCTTTGGGGGCTAGCCTCTGCGTAGAATAAAACACTTGCATTTCCCTGGCATATTAGTCTGGAAATTTCTGTCTTCACACTTTTCTTCTCTGTCCTTTGACAGTTTATGTAGATTGGCTCATACTGTTTTTGCTCCTCATTCGCCCGTCATGCAAGACTCATCTAAGGGTCTCGAGGCGGATATTCGTCCTGAGTCCCCATATGAAGATCTCAAAGCCGAACGGGGTGAGATCTCAGGTCCTAATACAGAAACCCACAGAGGATTGAGCTCGCGCCATGTTCAATTTTTGGCATTGGGTGGTTGTATCGGCACTGGTCTCTTTGTCGGCAGTGGCTCGGCGCTGTCGACTGTTGGACCTGGTGAGAATCAATCTTCCGAAAAGACGCATAACATTGTGGCTAACATGTAGTAGCTCCTTTGCTCATGGGTTACATTGTCATGTCAAGTATTGTGTACTTTGTCATGAACATGCTTGGTGAAATGACTACCTATCTCCCTGTTCAAGGAGTTTCTGTGCCTTATTTCATCAATCGGTTCACGGAGCCCAGTCTTGGATTTGCCGTCGGTAAGTCGAGTCCGTTTCGGGAGATTTAGGATGCATGCTGATTGAAACCCCCATAGGATACAACTATTGGTACTTATGCCGTTCTTGCAAGTTCCCCAATGAATCGAACTAACAGATACAAACAGGTATTCTTTTTCTATGTTACTGGCAACAGAAGTCACTGCATCTGCCCTCGTAATCGAGTATTGGGAGTCACCAGTCAATGTGGGAGTATGGATTGCAATCATTCTAGTTGGTCAGTATTTCTCCGATACAGGAAGATTCCTCCACTAGTATCTTCTAACCCAATCACCGTGCATATAGTTATCCTCCTCTTGAACATTGTCGCGGTAGCATGGTATGGTGAAGCTGAGTTCTGGTTCGCATCACTCAAGATCCTTGCAATCCTCGGTCTCATTGTCCTCGGTGTCATCCTGTTCTTCGGCGGCGGCCCTAACCACGATCGCCTCGGTTTCCGATACTGGCAATCACCAGGTGCATTCAAAGAACCCTACTTGGTTTCGAACATCAACACAGGCCGTTTCCTGGCATTCTGGACTGCTATGATTAAGTCTGGATTCTCCTTCATCTTCTCTCCGGAACTGATCACCACAGCTGCCGGTGAGGCTGTCGCGCCGCGCCGCAACATCCCCAAGGCAACTAAGCGGTTCATCTACCGTTTGTTTGCATTCTATATCCTGGGCAGCTTGGTGATCGGTGTGACAGTCGCATACAACGACAAGAGTCTCCTGCAGGGTGTCGCAAGCGGCGGCGCTGGTGCCGGTGCCAGTCCGTTCGTTGTTGGTATTCAGAATGCTGGTATTTCGGGGTTGAACCATGTCATCAACGCTGCGATTTTGATCTCTGCCTTTTCATCCGGCAACTCTTGGGTCTTTGCTGGGTCCCGTACACTTTACTCGCTCGCAGCGGAGGGCCAAGCTCCCAAGTTCTTCCTTCGCTGCACCAAGAGCGGTGTCCCATGGATTGCTGTACTCGTCACTTGGTCCATTGGTTTACTTTCCTTCCTGAACTTGTCTGCCTCGGGTGAAACTGTGTTCTTCTGGTTTACCAACATCACCACGATTGGGGGTTTCCTCTCCTGGATTATTGTGGGAATCGCATATCTGGTATGTCGCATCGCCTTCTTTCTGATGTGTCTTGGTTCATTTTACTAACACAATATCCGTAGCGTTTCCGCAGCGCCTTGTCATTCCACGGGCTCCTCGATTCCCGGCCTTTCATTACCCCCTTGCAGCCGTATGGAACCTACTACGCCATGGGCTTTATCGGTCTGCTGGCCCTGACCAATGGCTATACCATCTTCTTCCCGGGCTCATTCACAGCCTCGGACTTCCTTGTCTCCTACATCGTCTTCGTGATCTTCTTCGTACTATACATTGGACATAAGATTGTCTACAGGACCCCATGGATGGTCAAGGCGTCGGAGCTTGACATTTTCACCGGCAAGGATGAGATTGATCGACTCGAAGAAGAAGATGTTGTACCACAACCCCGAAATTGGCTGGAGCGCGTCTGGTGGTGGATTGCATAGACGATTTTGACCCTGCCGGTTATTGTTTTTTCTTGGAGATGTTTCTATCTAGATGATGCTTCGATCATGTACATGATACCATGGGACAGATATATAGATGGTACCTAGATTGACAATAATGATACACATAATTATCAGCGCTTATTTGTCCATGCCTTTGTGCCAAGTAGTTTTGCGTAAGTTGTATGTGCTTAATGTCGGCATCGTCAGCCATAAAAAACGAGGATCCTCCTTCCCTTGAGACCACGAAACAAATTTTCATCTGTTCTTTGTTTCTGTCGGACACATCCAATGGATTTCGAACATTGGAAAAAAAATATGAAAGGCATCAATATGGAATATGGCTCACGCCACTTCCTGACCTTGTATATATTTAGTGCCGATTGAAAGTGGATGTTGATCTTGTTCCCCAGGTTTTTTGTACGAACTTCAACGTGGCAAATGAATCAACAAGTTAGATCTTATCAGCATCTGTGGGGAGGACGAATTGATATCTCTTGACTAATGCATCTGTTTACATAGGGTATCTCCTACGATAGAGTCAGGGCCCGGTGAATATCTCGGAGGAGGAAGCCGTGTTGACCCCGGCCCGGTTGGATCCACCGGGACAAATACCGGCGCCTGCTGATTGGCTGACGCGGTTAGCCCGTCCCACATCCCGCTCCACTCGGCGGTACCCCAACAGCAGGAGCTCTGACCGGTAGTAGCCGGCCCTTCCATAGTTCTTCCCCGCGTCTACTTTTTCTTCTCCAAGTCTTCCTTTTTTTCAGTGGAAGATTTGATTCATTGCATTCATCTCAATCAAAATGCTGTCCTCCATTGTACGCGCCCGCGCGCCCATCTCGCGCCTCACATGTCGCATCCCGACCACCAGCACTCGTGCTATGGGCACATACGCTACATTCAAGGTGCCCCAGGTCAACAATGAACCTAACGTGAGCTCTCCTTGACAATTTCAGTTGCTGGATTTCTTAGACTAATGATATGCTTTAGAAACACTACGCTCCTGGTTCACCTGATCGCAAGGGCCTTGAGGAGGCTTTGGCAAACTACAAGCAGCAGGGTGCCTTGAACGTGCCTCTCGTCGTTGCGGGCAAGGAGGTAAGATATAATGGAGCTCTATTTGTTTGCTGAGATTGCATTTTCTAACAAATATCACAGCTCAAGGGATATGAGACTTTCACTCAGACTAACCCTGCGACCCACGCTCCTGTGGCAACTTACTCGAATGCCACCAAGGCCGATGTCCAGTCCGCGATTGATTCGGCCCTCGCCGCTCGCAAGTCCTGGGCTGATACTCCTTTCGCCGAGCGTGCCAGCATTTTCCTGAAGGCCGCTGATTTGATCTCGACCAAGTACCGCTACGATATTATGGCCCTGACCATGAACGGACAGGGCAAGAACGCATGGCAAGCTGAGATTGATTCCGCTGCTGAGCTTTGCGACTTCCTCCGCTTCGGTGTCAAGTATGCCCAGGAGATTTACGCCCAACAGCCTTCTCACAACTCTCCTGGTGTGTGGAACCGTCTTGAGTACCGCCCCCTTGAGGGCTTCGTGTACGCAATCAGCCCCTTCAACTTCACCGCGATTGGTGGAAACCTGGCTGGTGCGCCCGCTCTGATGGGTAACGTCGTGATCTGGAAGCCCTCTCCCTCTGCGATTGCCTCCAACTGGCTTGTGCACCAGATCCTGCTTGAGGCCGGTCTGCCCAAGGATGTTATTCAGTTTGTTCCTGGTGAGGCTGAGGAGGTCACTAGCACCGTTCTCGAAAGCCGCGATTTCGCTGCTCTTCACTTCACCGGAAGCACTGATGTGTTCCGCATGCTGTACGGCAAGATCTCCCAGGGTGTTGCTGACGGCAAATACCGCAGCTACCCTCGTATTGTCGGTGAGACTGGTGGCAAGAACTTCCACTTGGTCCACAAGTCGGCCGATATCCGCAACGCCGCAGTCCAGACCGTTCGCGGTGCTTTCGAGTTCCAGGGCCAGAAGTGCAGCGCCACCTCCCGTGCCTACATTGCCTCTTCGATCGCCGAGGACTTCACCCAGCAGGTTGTTGCTGAGGTCCAGAAGATCAACGTTGGCGAGCCTTCTGAGTTCACCAACTTCTGCGGTCCTGTCATCCACGAGGCTTCGTTCAACAAGCTCTCCGGAGTTATCGATGAGGCTAAGAACGACCCCGAGCTTGAGCTCCTCGTCGGTGGAAGCTACGACTCTTCCAAGGGCTGGTACATTCAGCCTACCGTTTACCGTACCACCAACCCAGACCACCCTCTGCTCTCACGCGAGCTTTTCGGTCCCGTTCTGGTCATCCACTCCTACAACGATGCCACTGAGGCCGACTTCGCCAAGATCTGTGAGAAGATCGATAGCACCAGCACCTACGCCTTGACCGGCTCCGTGTTCGCGCAGGATCGCGCTGCTGTCCAGGCTGCTGATGAGGCTCTGCGCAACGCCGCCGGTAACTTCTACATCAACTGCAAGAGCACTGGTGCCGTTGTTGGCCAGCAGCCCTTCGGTGGTGCCCGCGCTAGCGGTACCAACGACAAGGCCGGAAGCGCCAACTTGATGGCCCGTTTCGTCAGCCTGCGCTCCATCAAGGAGGAGTTCACTCCCACATACACCGTTGCTTACCCTAGCAACGCCAACTAAGGGATATTGGACCCATCTCCAATAATTTCCTGTTGGTCTTGTATGCTTTATGATATCATTGGCGTCAATCTTGCATCCCACCCCGGCGTTCTATAAAATTGTTTCCAGGAGGGTCTCTAGAATCCTCAAACTATGTATTTATTCAAAATCGAAAAATATAATATTTCAAATATCTCAGATCCAACTCCTCCGGAATCGTAGCTGCTGATAAAGACTAAGGAATTCCCGAAGTCGCTGCCCTTAATCCGTCGCACAATTCTTCAAGAACTTCTGCATACTATCCATAGCCCTTGCCGCAAAAGGTCCCATCTCATACTTCTTCCCAGAACCCTGCGGTCCACTATCAAAGATCTCCATCGAAAACCAACCCCGGAACCCCGTCCTCAGTACCGCCTTCGCAACATCCTCAATCGGCAAATACCCGCCATCATACGGCATAGGCCTATAATCATGACTCCAGCGACCCCGGGCCCTCAAACCATCAATGGTTTTATCTTGCAACGGCGGTGAGACCTTATAGGCATCCGAAATCTGAAGAAGATAAATCTTATCGGCGGGCACACTGGTTGCAAGCTCTTCCATACTTGCATCAAATCGCTTCCGCAACTCGGACTGCGAGACTGATTCAATCAAACCAGATTCAGTGGTCGGATCACCCCATTCACTGCCCGCAGTCTGGAACGTATCCAAACATAATCCGCAATTCGGACGATCAACAGCTTTCACTATCTCCCAAACATCCTTCCAACCCGGCGCATGGGTCGACCAGCACCAGTTCTCGTACGCAAGGCGGTAGTTGCGTTTTGCGAGGATGTCGGATAACGCTCGCAGGTCGGAGACGATGGCTTCTCGCTCGCAGCTGATTAATCCTTCTGGTGTGTCTGTTGCTCCGACCTTTTATATCGGTTTTAGTATTCTTGCTCCCACATTCCCCATGTGAGGCTCAGTATATATCGGGCTACCATACCTGTAATAGATCCGTACCTACGACATTCATAATCTCCATCCAACCTGTCGCTCTAGCAAACGCCTCTTCCCGTTCGACAGAGCCTTTAACCCAGCCTTCAAAGTTGGCGAATGGCTGCAGCATCATGATCTTCAGTCCGTTTTCTTCACATAGCTTGCGGATCTGCGATGCCACGTTCAAGATTTCGCCGTAGTTGTCCGGCGCAATTTTTTGGCCTGTAATTTGCTCGCCGTAGTCCGTAATATCGGGGAATGAGAGTTCAATTGCGCTGAAGCCCGCTTCGCTGATTGCTTGGAGACGAAGTGGTAATGTGTCACTTGGTCCACAACCGATTGAACAAGAGGCGTATGAGAGAGGGATCTTTTTGAGACTTGAATGTGGAATTGACATTTTCGGTATATTCTTTCCTTTGGGCCAATCGAGGTGATTTTAGCGTTTGTGATGTGTGGTGGTGCGGACCTGTGTTGTTGATATTGGTGAGTATATACAACGCATTCAACCTTCGGATGAAGAAGTTCTATGAAGGATTGCCATACTTGTCAGATTTGCTCAATGTTTGCCTCAATTCATATTTTTCGCCTATTCATTCTTCATCCTGTGTCCATTATGATGTAATTCTGGATGTGGATTTGGAACAGTGCTTGTATCGTCATCGGTGCATCATATCAGTTCAGCTCAACCTCAACCAGTTTCACAATATTATACATTCTACAGCAACTCATTTTTGCCCCGTTTGCCGCTTTCGTGGAGCCTGTTTGTCGAGAAAGAAGAAAATCACCTCCAATCACTGGTTCGTGGCGCCTCTGATTGAATATTGACAATTTCCCGGATTGTAGATCCGATTGCCACAGGCTCCTTGTTGAAGAAGAGTGAAAACCGTAAAATGTAGCCTCATCCCATATTTCTCTCCTTTTGATTTGCATCAATTCTTTTATACGTGACCGCCGAATGATCTAGCCCTATACAGAGCCAAGATTGTCAATTCACAATGCCGGCAACCATCAAGAGCATCGGCGTTGTCGGAGCCGGCAACATGGGCTCCATGATGACCCTTCGCTTTGCGGAACTCGGTCTTCTAGTGTCAGTCTGGGATATCGAAAAGAAAAATGTCGATGAGGTACTGAAATATGCGAGAGAAGATAAGGGCATTACAGGCCGAGTCCAAGGCTTTTATAACATCAACGAATTCGCCCAAAGTCTCGAGGGCAAGTCCGACCGGAAATTATTCATGTTTTCCATCACCCACGGCAAGCCCGCAGATGAAGTTCTCCGCATGCTCAAGCCCGATCTGAAAGAGGGCGATATCATCCTGGACGGCGGAAACGAGAACTACCGCAACACCGAGCGGCGCCAGAAAGAGTGCGCCGATATTGGCGTTTCCTGGATCGGAATGGGTGTTTCGGGTGGATATCAGTCCGCGCGACGAGGCCCTAGTCTGTCACCAGGTGGGGACGCCAAAGCGATTGAGCGTGTTATGCCATTCCTAGAGTCATATGCCGCCAAGGATCGCAAGACTGGGACGCCGTGCGTGAAGCGCATGGGGCCCGGTGGATCCGGACATTACATCAAGATGGTTCACAACGGTATTGAAGGTGGAATGCTCTCGGTACTTGCGGAAACTTGGCAATACATGCATGATGGGCTGGGTATGGAGCATTGCAAGATCGGGGATGTCTTCGATAGATGGAATGAATCCGGCGAACTGAAAGGAAATTTCTTGATTCGTATTGGTGCCAAGATTCTACATACGCGGAGAACTCCCCAGGGTGATCGCAAGGGTGAAGGAGCGAATCGGGATGATGGATATGTGCTTGACGATGTGCTTGACAAGGTTGTTCAGGATGACGATGACACCGAAGGAACCCCGCTCTGGTGTCTCATGGAGTCTGCAGCTCGTCATGTCTCTTGTCCAACATTAGCGGCTGCTCATTACATGCGAATTGCGAGCGGAAACCGCCCTGAACGCGTTCGTGCTGCCAAAAAGATGGAAATGCCTATGCCGAAACCAATCGAGGGAAAGGGAGATCACGCAAAGACCATTGAGAACCTACGAAAAGCCGTGTACTGCTCATTCCTAGCGTCCTTCTGCCAGGGGCTAGAGCTAATTTCCCGTACCTCGATGGATGAGGGCTGGAATGTCAATTTGGGTGACTGTCTCCAAATTTGGCGGGCGGGATGTATCATTCAGTCTGATCATATCGCGGATCTTCTCCAGCCGCCACTCGCAGTCTCCAATCAATTGACTAACACCAAGTTCGTGGATTCGGTCGCGCATGAGCTGCACCAGAATTTCCAGGCTCTCAAGCATGTTGTATTGGAGGGAACTATGTTTGATCAGTATATTCCAGCGCTCTCAGCCACGTTGGAATACCTCAAGTATGAGGGTGGACTGGGATTGCCGACCAAGTTTATGGAGGCACAGATGGACTACTTCGGTTCTCACAATTATAACAAGCCAGGTATTCCCGGCGAAGATCCAGGACCAGTTCACAAGGGCCCTCATCATTATGAGTGGTTGCCGGCTTAAATTGATTTTGGCTTGTATCTATCATACCAGATTGTACATTTAATTCATCTACATACACAATATTGAGGTCCTGACCGACCCCTACAAACATAATCATGACAGTTAGGTCCCTACATAGAAGTTAGTCTTCAAGTAACAATTTAGAGTTTTATAGATGGCCCAAAAAGGCAGGTGGCGGCCTCAGGAACTTGCGGCACGTGGGTCGGAAAGAGCCAATCGGAGAAGAGGAGGTTGGCCGCAGTCGAAGAGATTTGAAGATGGCGCAAGATGCGCTGGATTTTGGGATTGCGTTCAGTTTCTTCTATATCGAAACCATTTCGTCGAATTGAATCCGCGAAACAACTCGCTCGCAGAATGGCTTCCCTCCCCACCACCTACGACGGTGCGTATGCTTCTTTCCTCCCCCATATTATTGCCCCTCACACCCCCACTTCGATAGAAAGCTGACGATAGTGAATCTGACAGGGCCTGTCGCAATTGCTGTCATCGGCGGCACCGGTCTGCGTGAGTTGCCTGGCTTCACCCAGGTTGCTTCGCTGGATGTCTCAACTCCCTGGGGCGCTCCCTCCTCGCCCATCACCATCCTGCACCACGAGTGCAAGCACAACGGCAAGGTCGTTGCCGTCGCCTTCCTGAGCCGTCACGGTCTGCACCACCAGATCGCTCCTCACGAGGTTCCCGCCCGTGCCAACATCGCCGCCCTCCGCTCCATCGGTGTCCGCAGTATCATTGCTTTCTCCGCCGTCGGCAGTTTGCAGGAGGAGATCAAGCCCCGCGACTTCGTCATCCCCGACCAGGTCATTGACCGCACCAAGGGTGTCCGCCCGTGGACTTTCTTCGAGGGCGGTGTTGTGGCCCACGTCCCCTTCGGCGATCCCTTCGATGAGGGTATTGCCAAGGTTGTCCGCGAGTGCGGACACAGCCTGGAGGGTGACGGTGTCGTCCTGCACGACCGTGGCACTCTGATCTGCATGGGTACGTGAAAATCCCACACCTCCAAATAGAAAGATATGCTAATGATTGATTTCTCACAATTCAGAGGGCCCCCAGTTCTCCACTCGCGCTGAGAGCAAGATGTACCGTTCATGGGGCGGCAGCGTCATCAACATGTCCGCCCTTCCCGAGGCCAAGTTGGCCCGCGAGGCCGAGATTGCCTACCAGATGATTTGCATGTCCACCGATTACGACTGCTGGCACGAGGGTACCGCCGATGTGACTGTCGAGATGGTCATGGGCAACATGAAGTCCAACGCCGACAACGCTCGCCGTTTCGTGACTGCTGTTCTCGATGCCCTCGCCAGCGAGGAACACACTGACCTGGTCAATGCTAAGCACCTGGCTGGTGGTATTAAGTTCGGTGTCAGCACCCCCCAGACTAACTGGAAGCCTGAGGCCAAGGAGAAGCTCGACTGGCTTTTCCCTGGGTACTGGTAGATTTAGAGTGTCTTGAGTCCAGCACATAACCTTTGCTGTGACACTTGATGTATATCTGATATAGCATACATGGATTGTAGCTTTGAGATACCTATATGAACGGCATGATTTGCATGTTGAGTTGGAATGAAATGACTTCACGTTTATAACCTGCGCTCGCTATAGAAAACCGAAGACGGCTCAACCAGTAACACAACAAGCTTTCAGACAGTCGATATTCTCGTCAAGCGAGAGAGCTACTGGGAATTCAACTAGCACAGATCTATCATACTTTCAAGGCCATTTCGATTCGTAAGCTACAGCAATGGAATGCTTCCCCTCAGTATCCCTTGTAAAAAATAGCAATCATTGTGTAAAGAGCAAGTTGGGACTCCAGCATTTCACGCAGCTGCATCCTCTGCCTTCTCAAAATCTCGCAAAGCCAACACAATTCGCACATGCTCATAATTCAGTCCACATTCCTCTTCTTGCGCCAGCAAATGCGCAGTTTTGAGAACATTTTTGATTTGTCGGCCATTGAGTTCCAGATTTGAGACGTAATCAAGTTCATCTTCTGAGAAAGGTTTGATTTCCCTGTTGGCCATGAATTGACTCCAAATCTGACGTCTCGCTGCTGGGGTGAGCTCTGGATAACGGATAGAAAGGTGGATTCGTGATTCAAAGGCAGGGTCGATAATCTCCGCACGATTGGTCGTAAGAAACAAGATTCCCTGAATGTGACTTGTTAGTTCATTGACTTGACTGCTTTAGGGGTTGCTGTACCTCATAATATTCCAGTAGTCTCAGGAATATGGAGACTAGCTCGTTTCTTTGGAGGTCGACTGTATTACGAGCCTCCATGAAAACATCTGCTTCATCGAGTAGGATGATGGCTCCCCAGCGAGGGATCATGGTCATAATATTTCTCAACTTATCCTCGACTGCCGAAGCGGTTATACCAAGGTCTGCTGCGCTGAGGATGTAAAGTGGTACTTTCATCACTTCTGCGACACTCTCTGCGGTTAGGGTTTTACCCACTCCAGGGGGACCTTTCAAAAGCATGATAACTCCCCGTCCCTTGCCCTGAATCACATCGTCGAAAGTGTCACGACGGCTAGACTGAGCCCGAGCGAATCCAAGGATTAGCCGCTTCAAATCCTGTTGCGCATGAGGCAGTACCAAAGAGTCGAAGGCCTTGGTATCCCAGACGATTTCCTTCACATTGTCAACAAAAATCTCCATCCATTGTTTCTCTTTAAGGGCATAGCCTCGAAGAACTGGGGTTGCCATGAGCCGTTGGTCATCAGACAGCCCTTGAGTTATTTCATCTGAAACCGAGAAGTCACACTCTGGAGCGAAGGTTTTGTACGCTTCCGTATCGATGATGATCCGACCCTGAATGTTGAGTTTAATCTCACGGTTCATCAGAGGAAGATAGGCTTTCGCGGGACCATCGTAGTATTTGTAGTGATACCCTTGATAGCTTTCCCAAAGCTTACCACGCGCAGTGAGTTCTTCTCTGAGGCGCTTTTGGTCAGTATGATAGGCGAGAGGGATCACTGGCAACCCCATGATAGGCGATGTCCCTTCGTAAGCCAGAATGTAGAGACACTGGCTTGAATATCCGAAGTACTCTCCATCCCAGTCCACATACTTTGATTCGATCTCAAAATTACCCTTCGAATCGATATCTGCAGACTTGAATTGGAAGACACGTTGGACGCCATCAAGAACTTCACAAAATACCAGACAGTCAGGCTCGAAAATGGCCCATAACAGGTCATGTGTCACCACGTTGCTTTTGATGAGGTCGTTCTTTCGAGAAATCGTATCCTTCAACTCCTCGTCTAGGATATCGTAAAGCAACTTCGCATGGTTCGAGGTCGTAGGATCTTGCTCATCCGCGAGAGCTTCGCTGAACTGCGTCCATCGGTGGACAAAGGGCTTAAACGGCTTGCTGAATTCAATCCGATTGAGAGTCAAGGTGAGACCAGGATAGCCGGCCATGACGCCAACGAGAAATTTCTTAAGGGGTGCACTTTGCACAATGATGGAATGGATCTCGAGGCTCTTTCTTCCATCATAGCATTTGATCTTTCTCACAAGCAATGCGTATTTGCTAGAAAGTGAGTTCTCGCTGGGCGCAACCAAGCCCCTTTGCCACTCGTGCGTCCATGAACTGTAGCCTCTTTCATCGGGGGGTGTTTGATAGAGCTTGTGGGCTTCGCAGACTGAACCAGGGGTAGCCTGTTCGGCTTTCTCGGGCATACGGCCTAGAAAGGTCAGTCTTTGGCCAGTGCTTTGGTCCATGAATAAGATTCATACCATTATGATGAGAGGCCATGTCTTTTGAGTAGATCGGGTTCAATTTGGATAAGACGGTGGTCGGTGGTCGGTGGGGGGAGGGAGGGGTGGTAGGATTCGCTATGATCTGAGATTGTGAATATGGTTCAAATCAGATATTCTACATCCAGAGATAGCCACTTGTGTGGTAGCAACGATAGCCACATATGTAGATGAAGTGGGAGTGGTTGATACCGAAGAGAGTGTATTGTGATTATGCAACATCAATGAGCAGCAAAACACCGGAACGGACAACCTGGGAAACCACGTCAAACTTGCGTTTGAAAAGGGCCTAGCCCTGGAGGCTGATTTTGTCGAGTGATACGACCGTCCTAGTGGTCAGCCTTGTCGCTCTCAGCTCAGCGCTTGGGGGCAAGGCAGGGCCACACGGTTGATCGAATAAGGCCGCAAGCAGAAGCTGTCAATAAAGAGCCAGACGAGGAGTCTGAGGTGATAAACAAAGAGAATATCTCTTCATCAATCATTTGGCGCTAGTCCTAAGAATGGGCTTTTTGTGATGGTTTCCCCGTCGTATTTGTCAACAAAAGCAGCAATAGTCCATAAGGCAAAAGCATTCACGAAGACGACAACTGCCAGTCAGGCTGACGAAGGTGCATTCATCATGTCTAAAGAACAGCCCACGAGTAATTAGGCTGCAGGAACAAAAAAGCAAGTCAAAGATTCAGCGTTCCCTTACTTATACTTCATTTCTGACAATGGTAGATTTGGACCATAACCCACACATATGTAATGCCTAAATAAGGTAAAGTATCTATGTTCAATCTAACCTCCCCTTGGAACGCACATATTTGCTTTCTCTCTTCAATCCCTGTCTCTTCTCTATCCTACCTTCTTTCCCCTCTTCTACAGCCTGATGCATGTATTTCTTCTCGGGAATCTTGCAATCCTAATTGTGACAAGAACCATAACAACAAAAGCGAAGGAAAATGAAAGTTTTCTATATTATCAAGACGACGATCTTGTCTTTAAAGCGCCCGATTCATGGACAAGGTTCGTTTCTGAGCTGGTAACCAGCCACGAGGAGTTCTTTCTGACCCGGTGTAATGGAGTCGATCCAGCAGAATCCGATCCCTGTTGGGGAGGTGATATATTGTCGTAATTTCTATTCGAGGGCGCGCCGAAGACCGATGGGAAAAGATTCTTCAGCAGGGAGGGCAGCGAAGGCATACACGCGCAGATAATCGCAACGTCGCACTCCACTACACTCCAATAGATTGCTGGAGTATTGTCATCTGGAGAAAACATATTAGACGTGGTTGGACTGGATTCGACAGGGGGCAACCCACATGTTGTATTGGAAGACTTTGCGAATTTGACAAGAGATTGTAATCGCAGGCAGCTTACCACAGTAATCCTGAAATCCAGTGAGCATAAGAAGTACTGATTGAGTAGGAAACAAGCTTACAGAAAGCCTGTACAGAACATCAAGACGATCAGTAGCTTTTTCCTATCGCTGAGGGATACTCGGATGAGCGGCCCGATTGGGAGACTGATGATCGAAATATCCATTGCAATCTGCATTGCTGCTTTGTACCACGAATAGCTGTTGATGTCGATGCAGCTGCCCTCGTATTCGCCGGTCCACCCGGACCAGAAAAATGGCACAGGAATGCACTGGAAAATCATGACGAAGGTGTTGGAGATTCCAAAGCAGACCGATAGGCCCATCAGGAAGTATGTGATTCGATGGAACTTTTCAGAAGGGAAGATGCGAAGGTAAAATGTGAGGAAGGATAGTTGTGTTAACGCTTCAGCGGCCATGTAGCAGATCTCCGCGATGTAAAGCAGCTGTGGGAACAGTGAGCTGATGGAGAAAATAAATCCTCGAAGGCCACGCTTACCTCCAATTGTTTCGTGATATGATCAAAGGGTATTGTCCAAATATTCGTACCCAGTCCAAACTTTCGCACTACACCTAAGTTAGAATCGAGAGAAGTAGACCAAGACATCGGGGTCCTTACTTGGGAACATCAAGCAATTTAAAGGTGCTGCACAAATCAAAGCCGCGACGATAAGGCCATCGTCGTACCCAAATAGTCGATTAAAAGCGGACCGTTGTACCAAGCGCATAATTACCATTATGAGGGCTAGCATACCAAGGACTCCAGCAAGAATAGGAGAAATATTAGCCTGACTAGCTTCCGGCACCTGGCAGGTGGACATGGTGAGATTTGTCGCCGCTGTGGAATGATTAACGTGGCCCTAGGTGAGCAAAGTCCTGCTATACTCACCAAGGCCTGCCTTTACACCGCATTCTAATGTGGTGCAGCCCGTCGCTTGTGTAAAGAAAGTTGCGTCCATACAGATGCATGTCAAATCCGACGCAGCGCATGCTGATTGGTTCAAGGCAGTAGAGAAACAGTTAAGCTAAGAAATCGACCGAGAGAAGTCAATTCAGTTCCGAAGCAGACTTGAGTGGGAGATCAGTATACCTACTGCACAGGGTGACAAACTACTAAAGGGACTGTCCGCCAATGTCGATGTTGGCATACTGGGCATAGAGACCGAAAAACAAGCTGTGCATCGAAAGCCAAGAATGATTCCTGTTTGGAGTTTCACCGGGCGTTGATGGAAGACTTCCACCCAATGCACACGGCCCAGGATAGTCTACGAAGATATAGAGAGATGTGATCGATGCTCGGAGTATTTGCTCAACAGTGATTTCAAGGGCTGTTTCGACAAGTCATTTCCCATTCATGGCGGGTAGTCCAGATGATCAGGGTGTGCATTGTACTTTCACGTAGTGTAAATGGGGTTGCAGTACTTTTGGCTTCAGAATTCTTCATTGCAAGTTACCTGCAGCTAGTCTGAACCCCTGCACACAGGTAGTGACCTAGGTTGTGGGCATCAAAGGCACTGTAACATGTTCAGGCCAACCAGGAGGCAAATCACACTTATGTACAGGACCAGGGCATTCGTTTTAGTAATTTTTCTTGCTATTTGCCTGCTACTATTCCGAAGTCCTGCTCGCTAATTGTTAAAGTAGATTAGGTATATAAAGAGTTGCAATGTGTTTAGCAAGTCATTGAAGTCCGAAAGTTCTTTCCGGTGTTTATCTGAAGGATAACTGGGATATTTGCTGGGTGGTCAGAGTCGATAGTAGGAGCGAACCACGACAGTCTTGCCTCCATTTGCAGGAATTTAATGGGGGCCGTGAGTACGGAGGATTCCTCGGTTTCAGAATATCCCAGCAGGCAAATTAGGGAGTACGGAGTATTCCGTAATCTCTGACACGCTAAATTTCATGAAAGTGGTCCGAGTTTTGTCTCTTTTGACAATTCAAAAAGCAGGACGGATCATCTCGTGAGGACGAATCAAAATAGAACGTGAGATTACCAGAAAACGTCCGGTGTGCGATTGGCATGTGAGTGCTGTTAGCTTGGGGCTAAAAAGATCAGTCGAGTGCTCCAAGAAGAATAGATCATCCTCGATGCAATCCCACGGTGCTCTGTGTCAGAACTTTGACAAGATCCGCACAGACCCAGAGAGAGACGGCAGGGAATTCCGTGCCGTGCAATAAGCGACCGTTAACTGTCGATTCCGTGAAGGCTGCCAATGGCAATGATATGCATAGGGGGCCAGCCTCTTGTTAACAATGGGCTGACTCGACCTCCGATCGATTGCTCCCGGGTCCGAACAAACCCATATTTTCGACAATTACAAACCGAACCCCTCTATTGGTCCACTCATCATTAGACAGAGAACCAATGCCTCGCGGATGGAGGAAGGGACTATGTAAGTGGGGATTCATGTTCAACGAGGAGAATCGTCCGGGAATTGTCTGTGGTGCAAGCTTCCACCAATGGCACGACCAGAGATAAAGTGTATCAAAAGTACCCCTCTGCCATTGACCTTGCTCAGGATGGGCTTTCTTCTCAACTATTCTAGCTACCCCTACTCGCCTCATCTGTAGCCACCATGTTGTTTGTCGCGCTCGCGACGGTAGTCTTGGGGGCCGCTGTGCTCTACGCGATAAAAGCCATATTAACCCCCAGACAGATTCCTGCGCCATTGCCACCAGGACCTATAGGAAAGCCTCTCGTGGGAAATATCTCCGATCTGCCACCTCCAGGCGCGCAAGACTGGATTCATTGGTCGAAGCACAAAGAGCTCTATGGTACGAGTCAACAGCGATGCGACCCTCGGAATCCGGACTATCCCGCTGACATGCAGATGTGACATGGCTTCAGGGCCGATCAGTTCTATCACTGTCTTGGGACAAACGATTGTCATAATCAATGACAATGAAATCGCGACCGAACTCCTAAATAAACGCTCTGCGATATATTCCTCGCGTCCAAATCTAGTATTCGCATCACAAATGTCAGTTTCCGAGCTCAAGATAAACAACTTCACATCCCTGATATCGGTTTGAATAGGGTGGGTTGGGAGCATATTTTGGCAATGCAAACCTACTCTGACCGGTTTCGCGCTTACCGTAAAGCCATGCAACCATACCTCGGTTCAGAGACAGCGATTTCCCAGTATAACTCCTTGCAAGAAGTCGAGGTCCACCGTTTCCTGCTGCGTGTGCGCCAAGACCCATCAAAGCTTAGCCAGCACGTCCAGACGTAAGTTATCACACGCACAAATAAGGGGATTTGTGACATTAATATCCCGTTCAATTCAGGGAAGCAGGGGCAATCATTCTCAAAATTGCCTATGGTTATAACATTGAGCCTCATCAAGTAGATCCGCTGGTTCATATCGCGAATCTCGCCCTCGATCACTTTTCCAAAGCTGGAACCCCGGGCGCTTGGTTGGTGGACATGATACCAATTCGTGAGTGGTCCCCCAAAGGGAGACATGGGAATCAGAGTTAATAATGACAGTGAAATATGTTCCTATCTGGTTCCCAGGGGCTGGTTTTAAGCGCACTGCGCAGGAATGGAAGAAGAACCTTGAGACTGTTATGGACAAGCCGTATGCCTTCGTTCGCAAACGTATGGATGCTGGCGAGTTCCAGCCATCTTACCTCGCGAATCTTTTCAAGGAGTCGGGTTATCCACCAGTTGGGTCCGAGGAAGAGCTTGTAGCCAAATGGACAGCCGGGTCTCTTTACACGGGGGGTGCTGATACCGTATGTCCTTCTTCCGCGCAGAGTTGGATGCCTCGACTGACAATTTCCAGACCGTTTCTTCTATTGAGACATTCTTTATGGCAATGACCGCATACCCTGAAGTGCAACACAAGGCTCAGGAGGAACTTGATCGAGTATTGGGAGTTGGACGCCTGCCGGGGGTGGCCGATCGTGGCAATCTCCCATACATCGAAGCTCTTGTGAAGGAGGTCCTTCGTTGGCATCCCGTGGCGCCAATGGGAATCCCACACATGTCCATTGATGATGACACGTGGGAAGGCTATCATATTCCGAAGGGATCGTTGATTATGGCCAATATTTGGTGCGTTTGAAACTGACATCATACCTTAAATCAGACTGTTAATTTTTGCTACAGGTCCATGACCCATGATCCTGAAGTATATCACGACCCCATGACATTTAACCCAGAACGGTTCCTGGAGATCGATGGGAGAGAACCAGAGTTGGATCCTCACACGATCGTTTTCGGATTCGGCCGTCGCGTTTGCCCCGGTCGTTTCCTTGCTGACAACACAATTTATCTAAGCGTTGCCCGGTCACTGACAGTGTTCAATGTTATCAAGGCTGTTGAGAATGGTAAGGAAGTTGATGTCAATCCGGAATTCCAGGCAGGTGTTATTAGCCACCCGGTTCCATGGAAGTTCAATATCATACCACGAAGTGCAGCACATGAGTCTCTGATCTTGTCTGTGGAGACGGAGCATCCTTGGGAGCAAAGCAATGCTCCTGATCTGGAGAATATCTAATATCATTCACTTGGATGAGGCATAGCTCGCCTTGAGCTACATTAATATCTTTAATACTAGGATATACATATTACTTTCCTACTTCATCCCCAGGATAGTAATTACGACAGCAGTATACTGTCGATGGTCTATCTAGAGATGCAGAAGAAGTAAACTTGTCAATGAAGCATATTACCAACCCCAACCATGCGCAGTAATAAGGATAGTCCAGAATGCCTCACTAAACCCCGGTACTATTGTCTCATTTTGCAGAGAAAGGTGGATCGCTTAAGTTGTTTTGAACGAGAGGGCCTTTTTGGTAACAAAGAAAAGAGTGGGTAGGTCAGGAGATTACTGCGGCTTGAGACCTTTGGATCTTTTATATTTGCAGTCGTTTGATCGCATACATCATGAACACCGCAAATTTCCGAGATATTGGAGAGAGAAAGAATTGTCTAGGTATAATATACTAGCCATAACACTGGCAACACTGGCAAAAGTTTTAGTAGATACAGATGCATTATAGAGGGATGATACACGCAATATGTACGAACAGATTTAGGTAAGATCCAGGCGCAGCAAACACGGGTGTAATGCCTGAATGCTCAGCAAATCCTATAAAAACCCCTAGAATTCCCACTTGAGGAGCTTTTCCTCTTCCCACAAGTCTTTCAGACCCCCAGGAAACGCTTTATATCTCTCCATTCCTTTCCTCGTCCTTTAGGGTTCTCATTGACACGTGTCCACGCTCTTCCCGATTCGGCCTTTTCCCAATGTCGTCCCCATGATACCCCATGCTCCATGGACGCGACTAGTTTTGTTTATCTTTCTACTTTTGGCCTCACACTCTGGCTTTGTATAACCCCAGCATGCTTGTGAGAGTCTCTTGGTTTCTACCACAATCATCAATGTGTTCGTCATAAGGACCTCCCAAAGCTTAGCCGCCTGCTAATCTATATCCTCTCGAACAGAGACAGTGTACGGACAACACTTTCGATTCATCGCATGATGGTGGGGATCAACCATGGGTCTCTACCTGACCAATAGCTACTATGGTCGCTGCATGAGATCAACAATCACAATCCGGTCACGCAAATTTACAACGATGAACGGCATGTCTGAGGGGCTTCAAGATATCATGAACTTGATAATCGTTGGGCATGTCTCTCTTTGCAAAACTTTGCCATTTTGCTCTCTCGGGCGTGATGTACCTTCAGCACAACGTACGTTCCCACAAATGACGAGGTGACCTTAGGCCAGATGTTATTGTCATTCAATATCGCAGTGTGGATAGAGACCATCGACGTTTCTTTTGGGCGACAGTGTGTTACAACTCCCATTCGTCACAATCCACAGGAGGTGCATACATTTGATGAATACCAATCGACAACATTTTCACAGCGAGCAGGACGACACCAAATTTCGATCGACTGTATATACCCCGGTTATATGGCATACCACAGTCCCACAACCATTTTCATGGCAGTAAGGGTTGCGAAATCTGTTCATTTCACATTGTCACTCAGAGCTGTGGCTCATGCTGTGGTGGTTCTGTTTATCTTTGTACATCTGTGCCAAGGGGAAACAACAACCTTCTTGGATTTTGATCGAATTTGCGCACTTCATGCTCCGGATTGGCTTCAACGCTGCGCAGTCTCTGGCACCTTGTGAAACAGTTGTACGACTTTATATATATCATCTACACAGTGCCTCCTTTTTCTATTTGATGATTCGCAATCTGTTCACTTCAAAGCATGGCTATTTCACGCGCCAGTTTACCAGTGAGCCTGTCATGACCTGCATAACCCTCCAATACACTTCACAGGGTCCACCGCAAATACTACTGATGCATCGAGAATGTGGACCATTCACCCAGGCCTATCAGGCTAGGAAGGAATGCCTTGGAGCTTGCAGCCCCTCGGAAGCACCTCATCTCTGTTTTGGCTGCAGTGAAACAACTCCAGTATGCGAGTAGTTGCATCTCCAGACTCGGCGACTGAGGATTGCAAAGCCAAAGCCCATTTTCAATTCGCCATATTGAATGATATTAATGCGTGTGATGCACAGAACAGTGAGGACGACGACGGGTTTCTTCTTTTGCTGTGCAAATGACTTTCAATCGCTCGATACTTGATTAGGCATAGCTCAATCAAAATGCCATGAACCCGCACATCGACGGTTATATTGGCCAAACCAAGGCATCAATGAATGCTATTTTTCAGTGGCATTATGGAACCAAGGAACATAGGTGGTGACATCTTACTTGAACCATCAAATTGTACGTCAAAGAAGCGATCTTCACTCCTTCTGGTGGGCACTGGAAAGCGAATAATATCATCTGCAAATGCATACTTATCAACCCAAGAAATTGCATCATCTAGTGCAAATACCGATCAAATGCGGAGAGCGCGAGGGAGAGACCGCAAATCCAGAAGTGAGCCCCTCGGCTTCAAACTCTATGGCAGGAAATCCGAGCATGATGGGTTGGACTTTGTACGCTGTAAGGCTTCAAAGGAGGGATATTCAAAGAAAGGAAAATCGACAAAGTGGCCATCCAGGCTAGCTCTGGTGCACCACTCAAGCCGTGGATATTTTCCACTCATCTCAGAGGTTAAAGATGACATTGAAATACTCCTACCTCTGCTTCTTACACTGATATTGAGATGGTCAATCCATGTTCAAAGTCGGCTAGAGGACAATCAAGATCGCTATGCACGGGGGATCTTGAAAAGTGTGTTGATCATTCCTTCCATTGGGCGTGGCAGTCAAGCCTAAGAAGGCGCAGAAAAGAGACATCTTGTCCATTCGAAATCTAGCTACGTTACAGGATTTGCAGTGATCCAAACCGGAACAACTGTACGTGCTGCACATTCCGTATGGGATTCGTCAGAAATTGTCGCCCAATGGTTTGTGCTACGATATGAGGCTTTCAAAGGTACGATCATGCGTACAAACTTCAAGATTTCCGAGAATTGGAGTCGATATGAGTGGCAAGACCGGGGCTCAACCCATAGTCAAGGTCTGTACTGGATGGAAAAAAGCAATATCCCAGTCAAAGGCCTTCTAGACCCAGATCAGCTAGATCTATCGGCGGAGCTACGTCGGAACTTTGCGGATTACTGGGGGGTGCGTATCAGAGGACTGAACCTGGGTCTGCATACGCTAACACCAGCTCGGAATGAGCGCCCAATCATGCAATTCTACTGGGCTGAGCGCTATAACAGCGTGGAGCAGCTTGCAAGGCTAGTCCATCGATTACAGTCGTTGAGATATATCAGCCATTAGAAGTTGAAGGAAAGTGCGATGTGAAAGCAGCTACAAACAATACCTACGGAATTCAAAAATGGGTTGGCATATTGAGTAGTATTCCAGTGCCTTCTTTGCTCACAACTATGTGATGTGTTGCAAGTTTTCAAGCTCTTGTCTGCCTGGATAAGAGAACAGAAGGTAGCTCAAGAATATTTCTCCTCTGCAATTCGTTCGTGTTAGGTGAAGGATTTGTCTAATAAAGATTCTCAATTATACACGCACATTGACGAAATGCGGGAGAAGCAACAATCAATTCCAAGCTCCAAGAAGAGCGCACGCCATTCTCATTGAAATTTGCAACATACCGAATCAGCCTTAGAGCAAAGGGAGATATGCAAGCGAGATACTCATACACCCCAGCGTGTGTGAGTCAAGATCTCTCAATCTTTTCCTCTTCGAGGAGAGATACACAAAGCCCGAACCTCTTGTGATTACGTTCTATGGTACGGGGAGAATGGACTGGGGCTGGCGATTAGCCTACCACTAGTAGGTATCAAATAGCTCAGAGTTCATAGTGGGTGGGATATGCTATGGGTAAGTCTCCCATGAAAATTAATTCACCTCAAAACGTCGTTTACTGATGAATCTGTAGCGTTTCATCGCCGGGAATGGAGGAACTCTGGGTTCTCGGACCACAATTGATTCTAACTTGAGCTACAACCTTAGGTTGGCCAGCTATGCGAGTTACCCAGTACAACAGTTGAGCACAATCCAAAAGTCCGTGGCTTCATGGAACCCTCGAGGACTGTCCGTCTGAAAGGTAAGGCTACAAACCGGCAGGGCAAAGAAGAACCACATGAAGAATCGACTCTTATCACCGAATGGGTGTCCGTTATGAAAGTAGCATTGGATTAGTTTGAATCTACACTCATTCTGCTATCACCTCTGCCTCTAAGGAGTTTGTTTCCACTGAAGATGATAGCACCAGCTGCGAAGGTGATAGAGCTGCTCGTTCATCTAAAGCATCAACTGTATCCTATGTCCACTGGATAAAGAGCAGCCATTGTCGGTAGCTTTTCAAATGGCAAAACATGGTGGATGAATTTGAAGATGCTATGACACGGCAAACTACGATCTTCGATGACTTTCAAAAATATTTCCCCAAAAATCGTTCGGCCTCGCGAGATGGCCACTTCGAGAGCACCGGGCAATTTAGTGGCTAGAGTAGAGGATCAGCTCCAGGCTTCAGCAACTGCTTTGTCAAATGTAGCATGTCTCTTTTTGTGGCCGTGACCAAAGCGAGTCGGCTATTTGAAATTCCCTCAACTGGTGTCCCACTCTCGACGAGCAATCGAACTGATACGCATGGACGTACAGGGTCCAAATATAGTGGTTCACGAGGCGGGTCGCTGTTATAACTCCCCGGTATTCACCGTTGTGGCCACGAACGGCATCAAGCACCACATGTTCCTCCTTACGGAGCAACTCTGTGACTAGAAAGAGCAGGTGCAAAGACTCTGAACGATCTGGATAAGTCGCTCTAGTATCAAAGCCTTTATCGTGGAATATTCAACCAGTGTAGTCTTGCAATCCATATTCTCTGCATCTAACTGTAGCTTCCATTGATCAAGTACTGCTTGGAATTGTTCAAGTGTGCAAACAGCCGCCGAGGGGGCCAGAAGTGAAGTAAGATTTCTCAGATAATGCCTCAAAGTAGCACAGGACACTATGATAATGTCGGATAATCCTTACCACCTTTCTCTGGTAAAAAC